CTCTAAAACGCAAAATTTCAATGAAAAACTTACAAGAATCCCCATTTTTCTCTCAAATTTCTACCACTTTTAGATTTTCAAAATAAATGAGCTCGTATTATTTGTCTGAAAATCAGCTCTGAAATTCAGAATAGTTCGAAAATGCGTAAAATTCGATTTTAGTTTCAAATTTCATGACTGAAAGTAAGCTCTAAAATGCGAAATTTGAATAAAAAACATCTTTTGTTTTTGAGCTCATATTATTTCTGTCTGAAACTCAGATTTTGAGCTGAATATCTAGAATTTTTGACCACTTCATGACTGAAAGCAAGCTTCAAAATTCCCCAATTTTCACAAAAAATCATGCAAACAGTCAGATCCATGCAATTAATCAATTAAAAAACCAACTTCATTTGCAATAGTTTAGTCCAAATCCATATTCTCACCTTCCTCTTTCTGCTCCTCTTCTTTCGGCAATTCTCCACCTTCAGCCAACGTCAAATTCCTCGCAAATCCCAACAAATCTCCCTGATTCGCCGCCGCCACCGTATTCTCATTCAACCCAAATTGCGCCAAAACTGGGCCAAGTTGTCCGGTTTGAAGAGCATGTCCAAAATTATCGGTAGCCTGGCGGAATTGCGGAGTCTTGACGGTCTCCGACAACTCTTTTTCGGGCGTGTTTCCAGTCTCTGGCAGGTGTGGCGACAAAGATTCCGCATTGGTTTTCGCCGCCTCAGCTGCTGTATCACTAGATAACGCGTCGCCCAGAGATACGCTAACTTCTTGACCCTTCGATCCTCCCGGTCGCAAATTATTGAGAATCGCTGACAAATCATTGGTCGTAATTCCGGTGGATGTTGCCGCTGGTTCACAATCCACTTCATTATTATCAGTCGTCGATAAATTGATTGGATTCTGATTTTGCGCTGGATATTCCGATGATTGTCCTTGAAGTGATTGGATCAATGAGATCAACTGATTCTGATCAAGTCCTCCCAAAGTGCCTCCAAATTCATCAGCCAAAGCAGCTGGGAATGTAGAAGTTCCCCCGCCAGCCGCACTTCTTTCACTAACATTTCCACCTCTTGCAGGTCTTGAAGTTGGCGGTTTATTCAAAGCATCATTGACTCTTTTGACAAGATCCTTATCCGCGTCAACACTTCCATCTTGAAGCCAATACAATTTCATATCCTTTGACGATTTGAATTTGAGCATATAAACCTTGCCATCAGTACACTCTTTAACAGCTTTGAACTCAGCGTCATCTGGGAAAATGATAAGATCATCAATGACGGCACCGGTGTCTCGTTCTTTCCAGCAAAAATGGGTGAGCATATCCGAACTTTGTTTGATGTAAATAAGGCCTTTTTTGGGATCGGCGACGACTTTTCGAGTGTTTTCCGAGGAACCGGTTTCGAGAAGTGAGCGACCGGCTTTGAATTCGAGAATATTGCCGGATGTTGTGGCGCTTGGACGCACGTTACTGAACATTGCAGCCATGGCTGGAAAAATTGGCATTGATGGGGGGAAATGGTGAACAAAACGTTGAACTAGCGAGGGAAGTGTGTGACCAGTCCCCGGAGATTTTCAATGAGACCTATGTCCTTTTGGTCAGTTTTTCACGCCGATAAAGATCTTGTTTTCAGTTTTTGCTGAACTACTCTCTGAAGAGCCCAAAGTTGAGAATTTCCTGAAAATCGCGTTTTTGAGAGCCCATAACTGATGTTAGAAATTATTTTTATGGAAAACTGAATGCGTCACGTTGTTCAGGAGGTTCGATTTACCAAAGTCACAAATTTTTGGTTAGTAAATCCATACTGTGACTTTGGTAAATCGACGGGCATTCAGTTTTCCATAAAAATAATTTCTAACATGAGTTATGGGCTCTCAAAAACGCGATTCGCAGGAAATTCTCAACTTTTGGCTCATTTTTGGGCTCTTCAGAGAGCCGTTCAGCAAAAACTGAAAACAGGATCTTTATCAGCGTGAAAAACTGACCAAAAGAACATAGGTCTCATTGAAAATCTCCGGGGACTGGTCACACACTTCCCTCGTAAGATATTTTTGAACGACAAAACTTTTTAAATAGAAAATTGGGAAAAATATATTTCTTAGCAACTTTTTCAAAAACAAAAAGCAAATTCTATAACGAAATTCCAAAGAATATTCAACTTTTGAATCGAGAAAACAGAAATCTTCAAAATATACGAAATTCCACGAATTCTATATCAAAATCCATGTTTTTTCCAGCTCTACACGTCTATTAAACCTTTCCAAACCCATTTCCCACAAAATCAGCCGAAAATCCCCAGAAACCCTGCGAAAACTCCCAGAAAAACAACAAAAACAAAAAATGCTGACAAACCCCAGCTGTCTGCATTTTTGCGTAGGCAAAAGTGTTTGCACAATTTCACAAGCTACAGTACACCATTTATTAATTTTTATTTTCGCCGTTCAAATTCTCCATTTCCAATCGGTTAAACCCGTCATTCTTCGAAGTAGACTCGATTTTTCGAAACTCGGATAATTCCTATATGCAGAATACATTGATAGACTTGATAGTTTCTGCGGGATTGTCGGGTTAGGATAGTAACTTGCTCTAGAACAGATTTTTCATGATTTCCACTTTAAAAATGTAAGCTTACCGCAAGCTTTCTCGTTTCAAAGTCGGAAAATCTAGAAGCAAAGCACCGCCATTTTCATCAATCTCAAAATTGGTTGCAAAATTGCTCTGATTCGGGTCATCTTTCATATCTTGTTTTCGCGGTTCATGCGGGATTTCGAATATTTTCCGGTGATTCAGGTCAAGATGGTAGAAGTAGAGTTTTTCGTCGACGCAGTATTGCGGCAAAATGTGAGGGCTAAAAAATTATAGTTAGTTGTATCCTTCAAACGCAAAATTACCCATGAATCAGCCGCAGAAATCGTACAAACATGAAAAATGTGAAACCTCTGTCATATAGCGCTAAGAAACCGAATGCTCGAAATCCACAAATCATAACCTTTAGAGCAAATCTCGCATAATATAGCTTGATTCTCCACCAAAGAGTTCGCGATTTCTCAACATCTGGAATACTAATTCCCATCATAACATTCTGTCCCCTAGTTCGCATATGTTTCAAACTCAAAACCCCACAAAAATCCGTATATTTCACCACTTCATTGTCAATCTTCTCAATTGAATTGGCCCCAGTGACACGGTCTATTTTCCCAACACATTCAGTCATTAATCGATTCGATGATTCAGTTGATTCACACAAAAACACTGTCATTTCCTTGTCCGTCATTCCAAGCACAAATAACGCAATTATCTTCGATTCAGGCATAGTTCCCAGATATTTTTGAAAACCATCCAATAATTCTGATATATCCTCATGATTTTGGGTTGACATAGGGTCATTTGGTATCAGAAGCGTTAAACGATTCATTTTTCCGCTTTCGTCAGCTCTCGCCCCACAAATTATCAATTTTCCCGAATGAATTAGTGCAGTATCTATATTTCAATGTATTTTTAAGTGAGTTATGCTAAGTTCCCTAAAAACTCACTAATAAACGGCAATCCAGCCAACCTTGAAACAGTAAACTTTTTCCTGACAACAATCACTGCGTTTCCTGTGCTTTGCTCCAAAAACAAAACAGTTTGCGAGAACTGATATTGTTCTTGATCATAACTTATTGTAACTACGAGATTTTCGGCGAGAGCGTAGAAATCGATGATTTTTATGAGTTCCGCTAAATCCCAGTCTTCTTCCATCTCGAATGTTGAGTTCTAAAAGAAATTTCTGTGCATTTTGTCGTGGAATCAGGTGCCCTTGGAAAACACGAGATTTTACGAGAAAATGCAGATTTCTCAGTGGAGATTTCTGTGTATTTTGTCGTGGAATCAGGTGCCCTTGGAAAACACTAGATTTTACGACAAAATGCAGATTTCTCGGTGGAGATTTCTGTGCATTTTGTCGTAGAATCAGGTGCTCTTGAAAAACACTAGATTATACGACAAAATACAGATTTCTCAGTGAAAATTTCTGTGCATTTTGTCGTGGAATCAGGTGCCCTTGAAAAACACGAGATTTTACGTCAAAATGCAGATTTCTCGGTGAAGATTTCTGTGCATTTTGTCGTAGAATCAGGTGCCCTTGGGAAATACTAGATTTTAGATGTGATTGCACACTCTTGAATCTATAAACACGATTTTCTGCATTTTGTCGTAGGGTTCAGTGTTTCTTTGAAAAGATCATCATATTTCACATAAGAAACACGGAATTTGACGACAAATTGCAGAAAATCGACCAATTCACGATATTTCACGATTCTCCAGCGAAAAATCTGTGCATTTTGTCGTGGAACCATGTGCCCTTGGAAAACACTAGATTTTACGAGAAATTGCACATTTTTGAATCTATAAACACGATTTTCTGCATTTTGTCGTAGGGTTCAGTGTTTCTTTGAAAAGATCATCATTTTTCAGATGAGAAACACGAAATTTTACGACAAAATGCAGAAATTCACGATTTTCCAACGAAAAATCTGTGCATTTTGTCGTAAAATCCAGCATTCTCAAAGAATACACCGAACCCTACGACAAACTACACTTTCTCACTAACATTCCCCGAAAAAACATGATATTTACAAATACATCTCATCGGAATCTCCTGAATAATCATTGGCATCTGATCGTCTCCCATATCCACAATTCTAGTTTGAGCCTTGTATTTCAGCGAATAGGCGATCTGAAAATACAATTTTGTCTGGAATTTCGTCGATTTTCAAACCGTCGAATCTCGATTAGTGGCTAGAAATTGAGGCGAATCCATTGAGCTCGGCGGAAATGTCGGTGTAAAAAACGAGAGTTTGTTTTTCGATAAAAATTTCATATTTTCACTATTGTTGCGTTTTCGAGTACTATACAAATCTAAAATAACCATCATTTTTGAGGGGTTTTTCCTCTAGAAAATGTCACGTCAAAAATAAAATTCATATAGGTCAAAATAAAAATAACATAACATAGCACAAAAATAGATTTAGTTTGATCCTTCAAAAATCGCCTGCAGACAGTCTATGAACTTTGTTCGATCTTCGGATTTTAGTTGGATAACTGTAAATCAAAATTATTTTAATTAGATGGGGAAAAGTTAGGCTAACTCACCATCCGAATCGAAGGTATCATTGGTGATTCGTAATTTCGGCGCCATTTTTTTGACACGTTCAAAAGCCCGGCCAATGCATCTGAAAATCCGGAATTTCGGAATTTCCCATTTTCCCCTTCAAAAAACTCACGTTTTCAATAAACTATCCTCATAAACTGTAGCCAACGGCATAACTCCCGTGACCACAAGCCATCCCTGTTTTTCCGCAGTCAATGGGAACATTGCGATAAGTGGTTTTGCGGTTCGTCCCTTTTTCATCGATGCAAAAGATCGCAACATGAAATTCGTCGTATTGTACAGAAAATGTCGTGATTCGATCATTTCCTCGTCTGAAAATATTAGAAAAAACTACATTTTCGTCCGGTTGGACATCGACTAAATGACATTTTCATGTTTTTAAGCAAATTAGTTGAAATATTGGGTTTTAATGTTATTCATATGATAGAATGGTCTAAGACGAACAGATTGATATAAATTTTGATGACTTTACGTAATCCATAAGGGATTTAGCGACGTTTAGTCGATAAGCCGCTAAATCACTTATGGATAACGTAAAGTCATCAAAATTTATATCATTATGTTCGTCTTCGACCATTCTATCATGTGAATAAAGTTAGAACCCAATATTTCAACTAACTTGCTTAAAAAACCTGAAATTGCCATTCAGTCGATGTCCAACTATACTTACCAATCGGTCTCGTGCACGAAAATAGATAATACGGTCCATTTGGTATGATTTCTGATTGATTAATTGCGGCGGCCATCGTTTTCCACGATACCAAAAGTGTTCGTTGGCATACGGTTTCGAAGGTTTGTTGAATGTTGAAACGATGTGATTTGGCGCCGGAAATTGAGCTTCTTAGGAGTTGGGTTCCGCACATGAAGCGATCCATTGACTGGAAATTTTTTGGCTTGATTCAATCTCTTTTTCGGGCCTACTCAGGCTTACTCAGGCTTCCAATTTTTCCGAAATCCTAGTAATTTTTCCCAAATCCCCATACCTTTTTCGTCTTCGGCATTTCCATTCTCACCGAAATTCCTCTCGCCAAATCAGCCGCACTCAATTTCGCACAATATCCCAAATGCGCGAAAAATGTGGCGAAAGACGAATCAATTTCCTTCTCCAAAATATCTGTCACCACATTTCGTTGCTCGGTTGATAGAGCCTCGAATTTCTGGCGCGTTTCAGCCAAAGTGATGCTGAAATTATTCGTCTTCATTTTTTGTCGAGATAAAAGTTAGGCTAACTCACCCAAGCGAAGCCAATAAATGTCGTATATTCACATCTCCTCTTTGTGTCCAATTTTTGGTTTTAATCGAAAAATACTCGTCAATCATCATTGCACTATACAAATCCCAATGTGAATATAAAGCAAGGGGAGTCTGAAAACGATATTCTAGCGAATCCAGGATTTCGGCTAACTCACTCTTTTCCAAATGAGATGTGTAATTGATCGTCTTGTTTTCCTTGATTCACAATATTTCTCGGCGAGAATTTGTGGATAAATGGTCGCATTCGATCGATACAAATTGAGGTGTACATTTCGATTGAGATCTAAAAAGTTCTCTGAGTTAGGCTAACTTGAGATCTTCATGATCCTGGAAGTTTAAAACTAGAAATTCCTTTTTTCAATAAATTTTGAAATTTTAAAATCCTGCGGAAAACTGCTGTGGAATTTTTCAAGAAAAATGCAGAAAATTTGAATTTTTATGAAATTTCGGCTCAGAATCCAAAAAAAATTGTATTTCCGATGAGTTCGAGATATAAATTCTGCATTTCATTGAGTTTCAAGTTTCTAAACGAAATTCGTAGGCTAAATATAGCAATTTTTCGGCTTTATTTAAAATTTCCTATTCGAAGTTTTGATAAAGAAGCTTGAAAATCACAGAGTTTTCAACAAAAGCCAAATCTAGCCCCTCTTATAGTTGGGCATCGACTAAATGACATGTTCAGGTTTTTTAAGCAAGTGAGTTGAAATATTGGGTTCTAATGTTATTCATATGATAGAATGGTCTAAGACGAACAGAATGATATAAATTTTGATAAGTTTACGTTATCCATAAGGGATTTAGCGAGGTTTAGTCGATATTTTGTCGATAAGTCGCTAAATCACTTATGGATAACGTAAAGTCATAAAAATTTATATGATTCTGTTCGTCTTAGACCATTCTATCATATGAATAACATTAGAACCCAATATTTCAAATCACTTGCTTAAAAAACATGAAAATGTCATTTAGTGGATGTCCAACTATAGCGCCTCCCCCAAATCCCTCACCAATCGATCAATAAAAGCACTATTCAATCCAACCGCCGCAAACCACATCATTTCAGCCGATGTTCTATTCAATTCCGCGGCCAATTCCAATAATCTAACACAACTTGGTGCACCATTCCAAGTCGATTCATAATAAGTCCACAACAAATTCTGTCGTCTTCTCTCCCACAATCTCGCCTCCTCTCTTTTTATCGCTTTCCGCTGAATCTTTTCCATTCTTCCCTCATAAGATGATTCTTGTTCCTCATCTTCTTCATCATCATCCGTATCATCATCCGATTCATCCTTGATCACTTCATTCGGTTGGGGAAGTCGGAGTTCTTCTAACTCTTGTTCATCAATCAACACATTAACCTGATCATTTTCGAACATGTTTTCGATGTGAAATGGTCGATGAGAATCGATTATATAAATTGTGGCTGCTGGTGGTAGTTGAATTCGTGAAAGTGAACGAGTTGCACCACAATTTATCATAATTATTGAAGTTTTTTGATCTTGAAGATCCAATAAACTTTGTTCGATTGATTCCCAACCATCGACGGCAATGATTGTGTAGGGAACATCGTCGCATTTTAGAAGATGCTGAAAATTTCAGAGTTTTCTTTGGTGTTTGATGAAATACTGTGGTTTTTCGCTCCAAAACCATACAAACTTTAAATTGCCTGGCAACACAGAAATAATCATGTTCTAAAATGAAAGTTTATCACTTGAATAAACTAGTTTTGATTTTCAAAAGTCAGAAAATGCTCCGTGAGCCCAAGGGGACTAGGTTTACATCCTAGTCCCCGTGCGCTCACGGAGCATTTAGGTGACTTTTGAAGGTCGAAACTAGTTTATTCAGGTGATAAACTTTCATGATTATTTCTTCGTTTCGAGGCCCTTTCAAAGGCGCACTAAATTTCATTCTATTTTGGTCTCGAAGCGATTTCCCCTCCTCCTTTCCTATGTATTTTTAATTAGCCCCACACCTGCTTTTGCTCATAATTTTCCTCTCCTTTCTCTCCCTTTTCATTAAAAAATATCGATTTTCTTTCAGAATTTAAAAAAAATCAACAAAAATGCGTTTTGTGCCGGGTCAGCGATGTTTAATAGTTTGGCTAGTTTTGATGCTCACACTTATTGCACTTGTTATGTATTTGGTGAGTTTTTTCCCATAAAAACTTGGAGGTTTTCCATAAAAACCATATTTTCAGGACAGTTTGGAAGGCTTTCGACAGCTGAAAGAATCGCAAAGCAATCAAAATCTGGAAGAGCCTCGTCCAATATTTCTAGCCTTGGTTTTATTCATCACCGATCTCGCCAGCTACATTACTGTTTTTTATAAATTCTACCATTTCTGCGTTCAAACACCCGGATCGAAATTCGCCAATTTAACCGAAGTTTGGCAATTCATTTGGCCAAGAAATCAATATTTTGTTGCTCAACTCGCAGTTCTCACATTAAAAGTCCTCTTTCAAATCTTCCTATTTCTTCGACTCATTTTTCATGTTGACGTCCCGATTTTATTGATTTTCATACCGTTTTGGGGTATTTTACTCATTATTTTGTACGATTTGACCATGCGACTTTACCGCATTCAAAAAGAAGACTAACTTATTCATTTTTTCGCTTCTTTTCCCGATCTCAAAACAAACGTGTAAATAAATAAACAATTCTTACCGATAAAATCATTGTTGTGCAAAGTGCATCTGTATCCACCGCCACAATTATAACAACACTTTGTCGTTTGATGACGTCATAGAATCCTTGGCGAAAATTTTCCTTGAGAATCATGGTCTGCAGAAAAAAATGATGAAAAATGAAAAAAAAAACAATTTTTTTGATGAAAGTGTTCAAAATGAGAGAGAAGGCGCGCTGTGCGATAGAGCGCATTTGATTGTTTGACATTTTTATGCCCTGGGAAGGCGAAGAAAAGTGTGAATAATGAAGGTTTTAGGGTACTTTGCAACAAGTGTTATAAAATTGCGTGGGAAAACAATAAAACATATAATTATCCATAAATCCATAAAGATTTCTATGGACTATTGAATAAACTTGAATTTGAGAAAGAATAACTTGAGAAAACCCGGGATTTCCAGCCGAAAAACAGAGAAAACTGAAAATTTTCTGCAAAAAAATGAGTTTGTCCGAGAGAAATACACAATCGCGACAGGACCCGTTCAAACAAATACGTGCGCCTTCAAAGGAACAAGAAAATTTGAAAAAAAAAGTCGAGACCCATGAATATTTTTGAATGTTCCTTTGAAATTTTATACGGTTTAGTAAAAAAATAATAAAATTTTAAAATTTTATTATTTTTTTACTAAACCGTATAAAATTTCCCCAAAATTTTGGAAAATATTGATTATTTAAAAAAAAGGTGGCCACGTTTCGATCGAATTCCAACGCGTTTTCTTGCCATTTCTAGTTATTTTGCTTTGGAAATTCGCTGAAAATGAAGAATTACAAATATGGTTTGAGAAGAAAGCTTCGGAAATTGAAGAAGAAAACAACTGGATGGTTCGATATTCCATATGAAATGCGAAAAAGTGTTATTTCTTATATGGACACACGATCAAAAGGTCTATTTTCTTGCTGTTCAAAATTGTGTTATGAAGAAGTTATGGAATCGACTGATTATATTAAAGAAATCGAATTCTCAGATAGCACGTCTGGATCAGCAATACGTTTTCGTTTCTTTGACGACTCACACAATTTTGAATTATGGTTTTTGGATGAATGCGAAGATAGGAATAATATTATTATTGAGGGTCATTCGTGAGTTTTTCGAGTTTGGTTTCATAAAAATATAAATTTTTAGAGAAGCATGTGAATATGAATGGATAATAAGAAAAACATGTGATGTCAGGAAAATGGCAATTGATTGTATGAACCGAATCATTGGAACCTGCATCAATTTAAAATCATTTGTATTCAATCCAGATACTCCGGTAAATAAGTCAAAATTAATCACCGATAATTTCTCTGTTTTCAGCATAGCTATCTTTTTGACAACTTCGGAATCAAGCATTTGAAAAAATTGGATTCTCTTCGAGTTTTTCAAAGATGGACACCGATTGATTTGGTTGAAAATGGATTTGTTTCTCTTGAAATGGTTTGTTTTGCAGATTTTCGAAAATGAAAAATAACATATTTTTCAGCTTTACAAAATGAAATGTGTCATAAAATTGCATGCCAATCTGAATTTGGAACAACTCCTCAAATTGTCGGCGCGAAAAATTCGACTGCTAGGAATGAAAATCGATTCGGAAGCTTTGAATGTTTATTGCAAGATGGTTCAAGCCGGGAAGCTCAATGAGAATATCAAGAAATTGAAGTTGGATATGGATAAAGATCATTTGTTGGATCCAAAAAAGTTGTGGCGGGTTTGAATACTGTTCAAAAACATGAAATGTGAGTTTGCAGTAAGATTGCCACGTCATAATAATCCACTTTTTCAGAGAAAACGATATAATCTCGTTTGAAATGAGTTTCGAAACAAGACCGGATCGATATGCTATGATTCGAATCGAGCCGAAATCTTTTCTTATGATTATTCGACTCGAAGAGCGTAGATATGAGTATAGGGAAACTTTGGATTTTGATGACCATTTTCCCGATGTTATGCGGTCTGATTCTTTTTTAAACCAACCTGCGTTTCTGACAGATGAAAATCGATGGACACAATCTGATGATGAATTTTAGCGACTTCAATTTTTTTGGCATGCTAATTATACTTGTTTTAAATTATGTTGATTGTTCAACCGATCATTTCTATACACATCTTTTTTAGTAAATAAATAAATCACTTTCTTCTGCCCAAAAAAATCTTGAAGTTCTCCATCATCACAACTTTCGGCTGGAGATAGTCCATCTGCATCCCGTGAAGTTCGGCTAAGTTTCGACGATGAAATTGATTGGAATTCATTTGTTGGGCATCTTTTAGATACTGTCTTGAGAAAATACTATTTTTTGACCAACTTTTTTCGGTTGCGAAAAATGCAAAAAATGTTTTTAAACGGCAGCGTTTGCGTGACCCATTTCTAGATAACTTGTTGGATGACGTGTCTTTTGTCGTTTTTTTTTCTTTCTGTGGATTTTTCGATTATTTCTGATTTATTTCATTCTACAAATCATGGTCGTTGAAGACAAATTGAGGATTTCAGAAACTGGATTCGGTGGAATGATGGAAGTGCAAGAAAACTTATCAGAAGACAAACTTCAATTATTTTTGACGAAGTGACCGGATGAAATGAACAACCTCGAAATTGTCGGTTTTTATTGGGTTAGTTTTTTGAAATCAAATAAAAATCATCGCAGAATCAATATATTTCGCTCTTTTTTGCTTCAAAGAAAAAATCATGGGTAAAAGTTTCTTTTGGGCCGAAAATATTATCATAAAATAATTCTTCACACCCTTCAGATTCCAAATGCAAATATTGGAAGTGACGAAACGTTGAGAGGCGAAGAGTTGTGTCGAAATTTTTGCGAAGAATTGAAAATCAAATTTGATCTTCTGGATGAATTTTCATTGGAAGTTCAGCAACAACAATTGGACAGTGACAACGCAATGGAGCAGTTGATTAGTGAGTTGGTGAAAGAATCGAAAAGAATAAGATTGACAATTGAAAAAAGAGTAAGTTCTGACTGATTATCAAAATATGTTTGGTTGATGTAAACATTTTCAGGTTTTGCTGGCTGAATATTTATTGACAAAGGAGCATGTGATCGGATCAATTTTCGAGCAAAGAACTTGGCGGAAACATTTGGAAGACGCCATCGACCCAGATATTGTGAAGGTAAGAAAAATGAATTGAGTGAATGATAATAACCTATTTTTTAAAGGTAATATGGCATCCGATATTTGTTATTGTTCATTTCGCGCAAATCAAAGAACAGTTGCTTGAAAAAGGAAAAGGTGCGACCAAAGACATCATCACCAAAATTGTTCAAAAAATGCACGACAAAAATCATTCGGAAGCCGATGAAATTCTTGGAAAAATTGGAAAGATGAAAACAGCAGCGGGTGTTTCGGTGAGTTTTTTTTTATTATTATCATTATTTGTAATCTCAAAAATGTATTTTTCAGGCGCATGTATCGAAAGTGTTCACTTTTATGTCACGAGGTAACGGAAAACATGATGAGCAAAACATTTTGATCGAATATCCCTTCATCGATGCGCAAGAATTTTTGAGGTGGGTGGACTTTTTTTTAATTCAAAAAAAATCAAAGAATTTTTCAGAGAAATGGACACTCGTCCAAGTCGAGGAATTATTGCGATAACATCCGAGCTGCAAAAGTATTTCGAGAAGAAGAAGTTGGCTGTCGATCCAGAAACATGCACAATTCCAGTTGTTGGCGGCTCGTCCAGCCATAAATTGACAAATCTCGAAGGACTACAACTTTTCTTCAAAATCAAATCACCGGACAGCACTCGATTGACTATCAATCCATCTTCTGGTTTTATTGATTCATTTGGTTCAACAAATATCATCATCACCCGCACACCAGAAGAGGACATCGAAATAGTTGAACCAAACGAGGAAAACGTTGTTATATATTTTGCTCCAACTTCAGCCGATGCAATTCACAATTTTCAACCAGCCGGATCTATAACTATTCAAGTGTTGACTGATCCGAAAACTTGATGCGCTTTGATTTTCATTAACTTGTTTTTTGTGTAGAATAGTTTCATTGTTTTTGGTGATTGTTCGACTTCGAGATGAAGCTTAGATTCCAGATAAAGTTTAAATTTTGATACACGTGTTTTTTCTCTCCAGTTTTTGCTTTCTCCGCCCTTCAAAGCTTAGGCTTCGCTTTCAAAGAGAATTTGAAAATAAAGTCGAGACCCACGAATATTTTTGAATGTTCCTTTAAAATTGTACTACATGTACACATACAATATTGTTCCTGGTTTCTTGGCTCAAAAAATCTACATTCGAAATTTACTGCAAGGATTTTTGACTGAAAAAAATGTTTCAAACGGTTTGACAGGCTGTAAATGCGGAACATTGTAGTTTCCATGCTTCTCTGAAAATCTGAATTTCAGTCTTCTAAAACTTAATCTTGAAATTTCGTGTTTTCAGGGTCAAAAATTACAAATTTAAGAGATTTCTAGTAAAAATTTTTGAATTTCAGAATTTCTTAATGAAAATCATTGAATTTTAGCTCAAAAATTCGAAGTTTTGAAGCTTTTCCAAGTCACAAAAAAATCCCGAAAATTTTACGTTTCACCATTTTTCTATTAGAAAATTGAGATTACGAAATTCAGTTTCATTGTGAATCATTTGGCTCTAAAAAAAACGATTTTGAAGTTTCAGAATTCTATTGTCAGTTGGCCAAAAAAGAACTGCTGGCATATGCAATTTCAATGAAAAATAAGAAAATTACTGGAAAAACTATACATATATTTTTGACGTGACCTTTTTATGATTGAATTTCATTTCGATATTTCTCGGAACCTTTTTTACTCAACACTTCAAATCGTGTATAAGAGGCTACAGTAACCAAAAAGACAAAAACTTTTTGCGGTTTTTGAATCGGGGAAAGTCTTCTTTTTGGTGCCAAAAGCAAGAAATTTTCAAAAAGTGGTCCGATTTTTTGGGTCCAATTCAGAATTTTTCTCGAAAAATCAGACCTGGCCCGATTCAAAATTTCTGAAAAATGTTCAACTCTAATTGTTCGATCCATTGTCGGAATTTCTTCGTTGTCTTCTTGAGAATTATTTTTTGATTTTTTTTTTGAAAAAACTTGGGTCTGTGGGCTTGTATTTTAAAACACAATCCAAAAGTTCACTCTGGAAACGCCGAGAAAAAAAGTTCGCCAAGTCTCCCAAAAACAACTTTTCCGAAAAATGTCCAATTTATCGAAATTGTTTTTTTTTCATTGTAAAAGAATGATCACGTAATTGATTTTTTCAACGGCCCCGGTCGTCACGTGTTCTATTTTTGCAAAAAAAAAAAAGTTGAAATATATTTGGCCATTTCTCGAGATTTTTTCGATTGAAAAGCGCCTCTGAAATTTTCTAAAAATGAGTAAGTGATACCGTACAAACTTGTTTATATGACAATCTTGCTTATATATATTTTTTTTAGACTTCGAAAATGTGCTTCTTGGTATGATCCAACCGACCGAAGCCAAATGTAAAAAGAAAAGGAAGAGGTGTAATGTCGCCAATTAAAAGTGGCACATCATACTGGTTCTGGGTGCAAGGTGGTAATTTGGAGTCGGCCAAAATTTCAATAAGTCTAGGTAAGAAATAATGATCAATATTGTGAAAAATATCACATTTCTTCAGTTGAATCAGAGCAGAAAATCGATTTTTTTTCGAAATTCGACAGAAAGAAGCAAAACATTGTCGTGTTGTATTGTGTTTCTCACTGTGAGGGTCAAAATCTCTCGATTAAAATCGATTTCGGAAAAAATCAATTTTCAACATTATTGGCAATCAACGATTCTCAAGAAGACAACGAAGAAAATTCGACAATGGATCGAACAATTAGAGAATTGGTGAGTTGAACATTTTTCGAGAAATTTTGAATCGGAGAACCATAGGAATCGGGCCAGGTCCGATTACTATTGAAAAAATGTCACCTTGGTTCGAATCAAAAACCCTTCAAAATCAGGCCCGATTCCTATGGTCCGATTCAAAAACTGTAAGACTACAAAAAATTTTATCGCAAAAATAAAGAAAAGTAAAACCACCGAGAGGTTTTTATCCTGAAGCGCAGAGAGGAATAATCATTTTTCTCATTCTCGCAATAAATTTGAGTCTTGCAGCAAACCCCCATTGGAAAAATCACTCAAGCGATTTACCATCGATTTCCTCATTCAATTGCCAAAATGTTACGACATCAACGCAGTAAGTTAATTATCAAAAAGCGCAAAACCGGCTTGTGCACCAAGTCAGTTCATTCTGGAACCTCCCATGTGAGCTCAGGAAATTTTAAACTCTGGGAATTGAATTTCAGATTGGAAGACAATGGTGCCGTAGAAAATGAAGAAGCGGGTGAACCGAAACCGAAACTACAAAAGGTATGGCATGGTAAAAATAATACGTTTTAGAATGTAGTGCAAATAAATATTGGTATTATTGAATAAACTTGTTTTTCTGGATATTTTGGAACGTACCACGCCCAGCGTGAGGCATTTGCACGGCGCCAATAGAAAAAAAGCAATTCACCTCGCCAATTTGAGATTTTCTTCAAAAAAGCAAATTTTTGCTTGTTTTTCCGTAAAAAAGTCGTATTTCTCAGTCGAAAAGGTTGTTTTCACCTCGCCAAAAATTTTCAAAACCCACACCGCCAATTTTAAAAGTTAATTTGCACGACGCTGGGCGTGGTATCTAAAATTTGGAAGTCGAGCGCAATACTAACATCCGGAAATATATTAAACTTTATACAAAAAAACAATGTTTTCAAAAAACATCAAAATTTTCGAAAGAAAAAACATGAAAAACCCGTGAATTATGAACCGATATTAAGAAAAAAACATTAACATAAAATAAAAAAAGATCTAATTGGACAAAATAACAAATTTCCACGAATGAATTGTTGAAAAATATGGAGAATGTGATTTGAGATCAATCGAATATCCACTAACCGATCCTTTCGATTTCAATTCTCGTTTTTCTCGATCTGTCCAATTTATCCAAAGTGGTTCATCGGAAGAATTCGAATTCGTATCGACTCGTTTTCTTTCCGCTTTCCAAACACTGATTTGTTCGCGGTTTCGAAGATCGTCCGTTAGTTTTTTCACAACTTCTTTCTGCAAAAATTGAGATTTTTGGCGTAATCTTCCGCATTTGCAGTCCAGGCTTTTGTGACTTCTTCGTGGATTTTTATGCATTTATGGATTCCGGGTTTTTTGGAACGAAAGTTTTTGCTATGAATTTTCGAAGGGATCTTGAGTGCAAAACCACGAACAACATCAATGTAAACATCGCAAACGCACTCATAAAAACTGAAATTTTCCCCAAGTTATCCCATCTCAGTGAGAGGGAATAGACTGTGGGGATGCATGAGAAGAAATATAAGCACCAGAAGAGTAGGACTCTGAAATATTGAAACTACGACACTCCGGGTTTACACTTCAGATGACCAAAATCTCAAAAGCTCCGTGAAAAACCATGAATTTTAATCAAAAATGCACATCGTAATCGCGGAGCATCGTTTAGAAACGATACAAAGCTCGGGCTACAAGAAAACTACAAAAGTTCTGAAAATATAAAATCATCAGTTTTTTCAGGTCTGTGCGCTTGTATTTTTCACTCTGGAAACGCCGCCCAGAAAAAAAGTTCCCCAAGTCTCCCAAAAACAACTTTTCCGAAAAATGTCCAATTTATCGAAATTGTTTTTTTTTTCATTGTAAAAGAATGATCACGTAATTGATTTTTTCAACGGCCCAGGTCGCGTCACGTGTTCTATTTTTGCAAAAAAAAAGTTGAAATATATTTGGCCATTTCTCGAGATTTTTTCGATTGAAAAGCGCCCCTGAAATTTTCTAAAAATGAGTAAGTGATACCGTACAAACTTGTTTATATGACAATTTTGCTTATATTTTTTTTAGACTTCGAAAATGTGCTTCTTGGGATGATCCAACCGACCGAAGCTCAATGTCGCCAATAAAAAGTAGCACCCCATACTGGTTTTGGGTCCAAAGTGGAGACTTGGAGTCGGCGAGAATTTCAATAAGTCTAGGTAAGAAATAATGATCATCGTTGTGAAAAATATCACATTTTTTCAGTTGAATCGGAGCAGAAAATCGAATTTTTTTCGAAATTCGACAAAAAGAAGCAAAACATTGTCATTTTGTATTGTGTTCCTCATTGTGAGGGTCAAAATCTCTCGATTAAAATCGATTTCGGAAAAAGACAAATCTCAACATCATTGGCAATCAACGATTCTCAAGAAGACAACGAACAAAATTCGACAATGGATCGAACAATTAGAGAATTGGTGAGTTGAACATTTTTCAGAAATTTTGAATCGGACCATAGGAAATTCTGAATCGGACCCAAAAAATCGGACCACTTTTTGAAAATTTCTTGCTTTTGGCACCAAAACGAAGATGACTTTCCCCGATTCCTTCAAAATCGGGTCCGATTTTTGAGCGCAGAGAGGAATAATCATTTTTCTCATTCTCGCAATAAATTTGAGTCTTGCAGCAAAGCGACCCCCATTGGAAAAATCACTCAAGCGATTTACCATCGATATCCTCATTCAATTGCCAAAATGTTACCACATCAACGCAGTAAGTTAATTATCAAAAATCGAAATCAAAAAGCGCAAAACCGGCTTGTGCACCAAGTCAGTTCATTCTGGAACCTCCCATATGAGCTCAGGAAATTTTAAACTCTGGAAATTGAATTTCAGATTGGAAGACAATGGTGCCGTAGAAAATGAAGAAGCTGGTGAACCGAAACCGAAACTACAAAAGGTATGGTATGGTAAAAATAATTCGTTTTAGAATGTAGTGCAAATAAATATTATTGAATTCAAAAAATAAACTTGTTTTTCTGGATATTTTGGAACGTACCACGCCCAGGGTGAGGCATTTGCACGGCGCCAATAGAAAATACGGCAATTCACCTCGCCAATTTGAGATTTTCTTCAAAAACAGCAATACTAACATCCGGAAATATATTAAGCTTTATACAAAAAAACAATGTTTTCAAAAAACATCAAAATTTTCGAAAGAAAAAAACATGAAAAACCCGTGAATTAGGAACCGATATTGAGAAAAAACATTAACATAAAATAAAAAAAGATCTAATTGGACAAAATAACAAATTTCCGCGAATGAATTGTTGAAAAATATGGAGAATGTGATTTGAGATCAATCGAATATCCACTAACCGATCCTTTCGATTTCAATTCTCGTTTTTCTCGATCTGTCCAATTTATCCAAAGTGGTTCATCGGAAGAATTCGAATTCGTATCGACTCGTTTTCTTTCCGCTTTCCAAACACTGATTTGTTCGCGGTTTCGAAGATCGTCCGTTAGTTTTTTCACAACTTCTTTCTGCAAAAATTGAGATTTTTGGCATAATCTTCCGCATTTGAAGAGTAGGAAATCTGAAATATTGAAACTACGACACTGCGTGTTTACACTTCAGATGACCAAAATCTCAAAAGCTCCGTGAAAAACTATGAATTTTGATCAAAAATGCTCATAGTAATCGCGGAGCATCGTTTAGAAACGATACAAAGCTCGGGCTACAAGAAAACTACAAAAGTTCTGAAAATATAAAATCATCAGTTTTTTCAGGTCTGTGGGCTTGTATTTTAAAACACAATCCAAAAGTTCACTCTGGAAACGGCCAGAAAAAAAGTTCCCCAAGTCTCCCAAAAACAACTTTTCCGAAAAATGTCCAATTTATCGAAATTGTTTTTTTTTCATTGTAAAAGAATGATCACGTAATTGATTTTTTCAACGACCCAGGTCGTCACGTGTTCTATTTTTGCAAAAAAAAAGTTGAAATATATTTGGCCATTTCTCGAGATTTTTTCGATTGAAAAGCGCCCCTGAAATTTCCAAAAAATGAGTAAGTCATACCGTACAAACTTGTTTATATGACAATCTTGCTTATATATTTTTTTTAAACTTCGAAAATGTGCTTCTTGGGATGATCCATCCGACCGAAGCTCAATATCGCCAATTAAAAGTGGCACATCATACTGGTTCTGGGTGCAAGGTGGTAATTTGGAGTCGGCCAAAATTTCAATTAGTCTAGGTAAGAAATAATGATCAATGTTGTGAAAAATATCACATTTTTTCAGTTGAATCGAAGGAGAAAATCGTTTTTTTTTCGAAATTCGACAAAAAGACGCAAAACATTGTCGTGTTGTATTGTGTTCCTCATTGTGAGGGTCAGAATATCTCGATTAAAATCGATTTCGGAAAACATCAATTTTCAACATCATTGGCAATCAACGATTCTCAAGAAGACAACGAAGAAAATTCGACAATGGATCGAACAATTAGAGAATTGGTGAGTTGAACATTTTTCAGAAATTTTGAATCGGGCCAGGTCTGATTTTTCGGGAAAAATGTCTGAATCGGACCCAAAAAATCGGACCACTTTTTGAAAATTTCTTGCTTTTGGCACCAAAAAGATGACTTTCTCCGATTCCTTCAAAATCGGGTCCGATTCCTATGGTCCGATTCAAAAAAGTTTTTGTCTTTTTGGTGTAGCCCCACCATGTGTCATTTTGTACAGAGCTATGTGCGGGAAAAAATCGGAATAAATTTGAGTCTTGCAGCAAAGCGACCCCCATTGGAAAAATCACTCAAGCGATTTACCATCGATATCCTCATTCAATTGCCAAAATGTTACGACATCAACGCAGTAAGTTAATTATCAAAAAGCGCAAAACCGGCAATGAGACTTGGTAAACATATAGATTCGAACCCGCTGATCTCGCTATAGTGGCCCATTGAGATCAGCGGCTTGTGCACCAAGTCTCATTAAAAGTTCATTCTGGAACCTCCCATGTGAGCTCAGGAAATTTTAAACTCTGGAAATTGAATTTCAGATTGGAAGACAATGGTGCCGTAGAAAATGAAGAAGCTGGTGAACCAAAACCGAAACTACAAAAGGTATGGCATGGTAAAAATAATTCGTTTTAAAATGTAGTGCAAATAAATATTATTGAATTCAAAAAATAAACTTGTTTTTCTGGATATTTTGGAACGTACCACGCCCAGGGTGAGGCATATGCACGGCGCCAAGAGAAAATACGGCAATTCACCTCGCCAATTTCAGATTTTCTTCAAAAAAAGCAAATTTTTGCTTGTTTTTCCGTAAAAAAGTCGTATTTCTCAGTCGAAAAGGTTGTTTTCACCTCGCCAAAAATTTTCAAAACCCACACCGCCAATTTAAAAAAAAAAAATTTGCACGTTTTTTTAGAGCCAAATGATTCACAATGAAACTGAATTTCGTAATCTCAATTTTCTAATAGAAAAATGGTGAAACGTAAAATTTTCGGGATTTTTTTGTGAGTTGGAAAATCCGGTTAAATTTCAGAATTTTTCACAAAAAATCTTGAAAATTGCTCATTTTAACGTTAGGACCATTAAAAACCTGAAATTTTCTGAAAAATTTGCCTCAAATCTAATTTTTCGAACAAAAAAAAACAAATTGTAGAAGTATCGAATTTTTCAAACAAAAAAATTGCCACGTGGTATACCCCTCCAGCCGCTCGCTTAGCCGCTCAAAACGAGGCGCTCGCTCGAGCTTCTGAGCGCCTAAGCCGCTTGAGCCAACGAGCGGCTTGGATGGCTTGAGCCGCTGAGCGGCTAGAGCCATTTGAGCCGCTCGCTCGCTAAGCCGCTCGAGCATGGAGCCGCCCGAGCGCCTCAGCGGCTTAGGCGCTCGAGCCACCAAGCCGCTCAAGCCGCTGAGGCGCTCGAGCGAGCGAGCCGCTCGAGCGGCTCGAGCGGCTCGCTCCATTTTCAAAAATTTTTTTCTATACGAAAATTGTGAAACAGTGGTTTTTTCATAATTTTTGGGTACTTCGAAAATGAAATATTTGTATTGGGACATGGTCCTTGGGTCATGAAAAAATTTTTTTAATTTGAAAAAAGTGGGCGGGGCTTATTTTTTAGTTTAAAGCTGAAAACACTAAAAAATCAAAAAATTCAAAATTTACCAAAAATTTTCTGGTTTTTTTCTAGATGACTTCTAGTTTATTTTTGAATGTTTTTGACGATAAAAAACACACAAAATTCTCAGATAACTGACGATTTTCAGCTATTTTTTATCGAAAATCTGCAATTATGTGTTTATTTTTTTGATATTTCAAGCCGGAAAAAAGCTGAAAATTGTCAGCTATCTGAAAATTTGAAGTATTTTTCATCATCAAAAGCATTAAAAAATCATCTAGAAAAAAACCAGAAAGTTTTTGGTAAATTTTGAATTTTTTAGTGTTTTCAGCTCTAAACTGAAAAATAAGCCCCGCCCACTTTTTTTTCAAATTAAAAAAATTTTTTCATGACCCAAGGACCATGTCCCAATACAAATATTTCATTTTCGAAGTACCCAAAAATTATGAAAAAAACCACTGTTTCACAATTTTCGTATAGAAAAAAATTTTTTTTTTGAAAATGGAGCGAGCCGCTCGAGCGGCTCGCTCGCTCGAGCGCCTCAGCGGCTTGAGCGGCTTGGTGGCTCGAGCGCCTAAGCCGCTGAGGCGCTCGAGCGGCTCCATGCTCGAGCGGCTTAGCGAGCGAGCGGCTCAAATGGCTCTAGCCGCTCAGCGGCTCAAGCCATCCAAGCCGCTCGTTGGCTCAAGCGGCTTAGGCGCTCGAGCGAGCGGCTCGCTCGGCTCGTGAGCCGCTTCAAGCCGCTCAATGACGAGCGGCTGGAGGGGTATACCACGTGGATTTTGAAATTTTGAACTAAAACCTAATTTCTGAATTTTACCTAGAAAACTGAATTTTAGCTCAAAAATTTGAAATTTTGAAGCTTTTCCAAGTCACAAAAAATCCCGAAAATTTTACGTTTCACCATTTTTCTATCTGAAAATTGAGATTACGAAATTCAGTCTCAAAAATTTTTGCGCATCTCAACGAAAATTCACTGAAAATGATTTTAAGCTTCCGAATTTCTCTGAAATTTTCGGATTTTCAGCTGAAAAATGCTAGAAATTTGAACGTTTTCCTAGAACTTTACCAAGAAAACTAAATTTTCACTCAAAAATTTGAAATTTTGAAGCTTTTCCAAGTCACAAAAAATCCCGAAAATTTTACGTTTCACCATTTTTCTATTAGAAAATTGAGATTACGAAATTCAGTTTCATTGTGAATCATTTGGCTCTAAAAAAACGATTTTGAAGTTTCAGAATTCTATTGTCAGTTCTTTCAATGAAAAATAAGAAAATTACTGGAAAAACTATACATATATTTTTGACGTGACCTTTTTATGATTGAATTTCATTTCGATATTTCTCTCATAAGGGATTTTTTTGGGTCCAATTCAGAATTTTTCTCGATAAATCAGACCTGGCCCGATTCCTATGGCCCGATTCAACCATTTCTGAAAAATGTTCAACTCACCAATTCTCTAATTGTTCGATCCATTGTCGAAATTTGTTCGTTGTCTTCTTGAGAATTATTTTTTGATTATTTTTTGAAAAAACTCGGGTCTGTGGGCTTGTATTTTAAAACACAATCCAAAAGTTCACTCTGGAAATGCCCAGAAAAAAAGTTCGCCAAGTCTCCCAAAAACAACTTTTCCGAAAAATGTCCAATTTATCGAAATTGTTTTTTTTTCATTGTAAAAGAATGATCACGTAATTGATTTTTTCAACGGCCCAGGTCGTCACGTGTTCTATTTTTGCAAAAAAAAGTTGAAATATATTTGGCCATTTCTCGAGATTTTTTCGATTGAAAAGTGCCCCTGAAATTTTCTAAAAATGAGTAAGTGATACCGTACAAACTTGTTTATATGACAATCTTGCTTATATTTTTTTTTAGACTTCGAAAATGTGCTTCTTGGGATGATCCAACCGACCGAAGCCAAATGTAAAAAGAAAAGGAAGAGGTGTAATGTCGCCAATTAAAAGTGGCACATCATACTGGTTCTGGGTGCAAGGTGGTAATTTGGAGTCGGCCAAAATTTCAATTAGTCTAGGTAAGAAATAATGATCAATGTTGTGAAAAATATCACATTTTTTCAGTTGAATCGGAGGAGAAAATCGAATTTTTTTCGAAATTCGACAAAAAGAAGCAAAACATTGTCGTGTTGTATTGTGTTCCTCATTGTGAGGGTCAAAATCTCTCGATTAAAATCGATTTCGGAAAACATCAATTTTCAACATTATTGGCAATCAACGATTCTCAAGAAGACAACGAAGAAAATTCGACAATGGATCGAACAATTAGAGAATTGGTGAGTTGAACATTTTTCAGAATGTTTGAATCGGACCCAAAAAATCGGACCATTTTTTGAAAATTTCTTGCTTTTGGCACCAAAAAGAAGATGACTTTCCCCGATTCAGAAAACCTTCAAAATCGGGTCCGATTTCTATGGTCCAATTCAAAAACCGCAAAAAGTTTTTGTCTTTTTGGTTACTTTAGCCCCACCAGAGCTTGTACAGACCTATGTGCGGGAAAAAATCGGAATAAATTTGAGTCTTGCAGCAAAGCGACCCCCTTTGGAAAAATCACTCAAGCGATTTACCACGGATATCCTCATTCAATTGCCAAAATGTTACCACATCAACGCAGTAAGTTAATTATCAAAAAGCGCAAAACAGGCTTGTGCACCACACCAAGTCAGTTCATTCTGAAACCTCCCATGTGAGCTCAGGAAATTTTAAACTCTGGAAATTGAATTTCAGATTGGAAGACAATGGTGCCGTAGAAAATGAAGAAGCTGGTGAACCGAAACCGAAACTACAAAAGGTATGGCATGGTAAAAATAATACGTTTTAGAATGTAGTGCAAATAAATATTGCTAATATTGAATTCAAAAAAAAATAAACTTGTTTTTCTGGATATTTTGGAACGTACCACGCCCAGCGTGAGGCATTTGCACGGCGCCAATAGAAAATACGGCAATTCACCTCGCCAATTTGAGATTTTCTTCAAAAACAGCAAATTTTTGCTTGTTTTTCCGTAAAAAAGTCGTATTTCTCAGTCGAAAAGGTTGTTTTCACCTCGCCAAAAATTTTCAAAACCCACACCGCCAATTTAAAAAAAAAAATTTGCACGTTTTTTGGAGCCAAATGATTCACAATGAAACTGAATTTCGTAATCTCAATTTTCTAATAGAAAAATGGTGAAACGTAAAATTTTCGGGATTTTTTGTGAGTTGGAAAATCCGGTTAAATTTCAGAATTTTTCACAAAAAATCTTGAAAATTGCTCATTTTAACGTTAGGACCATTAAAAACCTGAAATTTTCTGAAAAATTTGCCTCAAATCTAATTTTTTCGAACAAAAAAAAAACAAATTGTAGAAGTATCGAATTTTTCAAACAAAAAAATTGCCACGTGGATTTTGAAATTTTGAACTAAAAATTAATTTCTGAATTTTACCTAGAAAACTGAATTTTAGCTCAAAAATTTGAAATTTTGAAGCTTTTCCAAGTCACAAAAAACCCGAAAATTTTACGTTTCACCATTTTTCTATCTGAAAATTGAGATTACGAAATTCAGTCTCAAAAATTTTTGCGCATCTCAACGAAAATTCACTGAAAATGATTTTAAGCTTCCGAATTTCTCTGAAATTTTCGGATTTTCAGCTGAAAAATGCTAGAAATTTGAACGTTTTCCTAGAATTGATTTTTTCAACGGCCCAGGTCGCGTCACGTGTTCTATTTTTGCAACAAAAAAAAGTTGAAATATATTTGGCCATTTCTCGAGATTTTTTCGATTGAAAAGCGCCCCTGAAATTTTCTAAAAATGAGTAAGTGATACCGTACAAACATTTTTATTATAATTATTTCTTCTTGGTTTTTGGAAATGGAATGATAGTTAACTAGGTCACTTTCTGTTGAAATTATGAATGTATCCAGAAAAAACCATTCATGAAAATTATTCTACAGACTTCGAAAATGTGCTTCTTGGTATGATCCATCCGACCGAAGCTCAATTAAAGGAAGAGGTGTGATGTCGGCAATAAAAAGTAGCACCCCATACTGGTTTTGGGTCCAAAGTGGAGACTTGGAGTCGGCGAGAATTTCAATAAGTCTAGGTAAGAAATAATGATCAATGTTGTGAAAAATATCACATTTTTTCAGTTGAATCGGAGCAGAAAATCGAATTTTTTTCGAAATTCGACAAAAAGAAGCAAAACATTGTCGTGTTGTATTGTGTTCCTCATTGTGAGGGTCAAAATCTCTCGATTAAAATCGATTTCGGAAAAAATCAATTTTCAACATCATTGGCAATCAACGATTCTCAAGAAGACAACGAACAAAATTCGACAATGGATCGAACAATTCGAGAATTGGTGAGTTGAACATTTTTCAGAAATTTTGAATCGGACCATAGGAATCGGGCCAGGTCTGATTTTTCGAGAAAAATTCTGAATCGGACCCAAAATTTCTTGCTTTTGGCACCAAAAAGATGACTTTCCCCGATTCCTTCAAAATCGGGTCCGATTCCTATGGTCCGATTCAAAAAAAATATCGAAATGAAATTCAATCATAAAAAGGTCACGTCAAAAATATATGTATAGTTTTTCCAGTCATTTTCTTATTTTTCATTGAAATTGCGAACTGACAATTGAATTCTGAAACTTCTTCAAAATCGTTTTTTTTAGAGCCAAATGATTCACAATGAAGCTGGAAATAATTCTCAAGGTGGCAATGTTTTCAAAGATATTAAAGGTGGAACTGGAAATTTTCTATTACTACAAAATGAATAAAATTTTTGAAACGTATTTTCCAAGGGTTAAAAATTTCTGAACAAATTTTTCCAGATTTTCAGTCAAATTTCGAGCAAATCTTAGATTTTGAGGGTGGGATTGCGGAGCGAAAATTTGTGGGATAACTCATAACATTTCTAAATATATTAAACTTTATACAAAAAAAAATGTTTTCAAAAAACATCAAAATTTTCGAAAGAAAAAAACATGAAAAACCCGTGAATTATGAACCGATATTGAGAAAAAAACATTAACATAAAATAAAAAAAAGATCTAATTGGACAAATTAACAAATTTCCACGAATGAATTGTTGAAAAATATGGAGAATGTGATTTGAGATCAATCGAATATCCACTAACCGATCCTTTCGATTTCAATTCTCGTTTTTCTCGATCTGTCCAATTTATCCAAAGTGGTTCATCGGAATTCGAATCGACTCGTTTTCTTTCCGCTTTCCAAACACTGATTTGTTCGCGGTTTCGAAGATCGTCCGTTAGTTTTTTCACAACTTCTTTCTGCAAAAATTGAGATTTTTAGAGGAGCTCTAAAACTTGGAAACCCCTAAAAACCCTCACCTTATCATTAGCAAAATGCACAATAATCTTGGTTTTTCCATTCCTCAATTCCGCATTTTCTTTATTAACAACCAGTGTGAAATGTGGTAAAGAAGCCGAACTCAAAACCGGAATCGCATCAATTTTCTTCCAAAAATGTCGAACCGGAATCGGAGACCACGTGAAAAAATCAACATTTTTCGAGCCATCCAACAATTTGTGCACAATTTCCGCCTCCGATTTATCCAATATTGGTAAAGTGACAGTTTCAATGAGGCTCTTCTCATTTTCATTTATCAAAAGAAGATTTGAGAATCCGATATCTTCAATTGACCATTCATTGGATTTCAATGCATTTTGTTGATCGATTAGACGACTTGGTCGAATTGTATTAATATGTGAAAGTGAATCCAATTTTGAGGGGAAAGAATTCAAAAGTCGATGGGTTACTGGAGAAGAAAATGATGAAGAAGATGAGCTGGGAAGACCAAGATGAACATTTGGAAGAAGATCAGGAGATAGGCCAACTATTTTAAACCACGATTCGAAATCTGCAAAAATGAGGTGGGATTTCTGTATGTTTTGTTGAAAATCAAGTTTTTTCTGAAATTCTTTTTTTTTTAATTTTGAACTTCAAAATTTGAAAAAAAGCCTAAATTTTAGATTTGCGGGGAATTTTTGAAGTTTTGAATTTTTTCAAAATTTATATTTGGATTTCCGGCTCAAATTCAGCTACTGTTAAAATTAGAAATTATTTTCTAATTTTCAAAATTCTTGTAACTTTCGGAACAATTCAAGAATTCGGCTAAAATTTGAAAAAAAAATCTACAAATATTCCTGAATTTAGGATAAAATTTCTATTTGTTTTGTTAAAAATCGATATTTTTAAAAATTATTTTTTGTTCAAAATTCTTGAAAAGAAATTTTTAGTTTTCGGAAAAAACTTCTAAAACAAGGGCTAAATTTCAAAAAAAATCCACAAACCTTCGGGAATTCCGGGCAACGCAAATGGTTGATACTTCGTTTCCAGCGCCAACAAATCAATCGAATTCTCCAAATCCTCAAATTCCAATCTCAACACAGTTTCCGGTGAAATACTCAAATATCTACCCGATATCAAATCCAACGCTCTTCCATTCTCCAAAATCACCAAATCCAATCCATCAATCTCAATTCCCCCCAAATAACCAACAGGAATCCAAAAACCTGGGTCCAAATCTTCCAAAACTTTTCCAAAAATACCACGCTCAATGAACTTAACAATTTTCGAATCTGTGGAAATCAAGCGAAGAGTTCCCATTTCATCACAAATCACTCCAAATCTTCTGCCATCTGAGCTCGAAATTGCGAATGGCAGATTATTTTCATCGTAGAAAATCGTGGAGATAACCGCGTTTTTCGAGAAATGCGAAACTTTCTTTGGATTTTTCGGATAGCCATAATATAAATTGATAAGATCTGCTGCTGCTCCTTTTTTAATCGAAATCAATCGATCTTCATGATCATAAATCAATTCAATATTCTCATTTTCTCCATCTTTTTTCGTTCGAATCAATCTTCCTTTTCCATCATATCCAAAACTAATATTATTCCTTTTTTGAACCCATCCAATTGTATCAACTTTATACAAAATATCCGCAAATATTTTCAATGCTCCACCTCGATGATATTCCACAATTTGATCATTCAATTTCTCCAATCTTCCATCCGAATTATATTTCAGAATCGTCTTCAAATCTCCTTGTTCAATTCCAGCCAATCTTCCCGATCCATCGAAACTTCGAATTGTTTTGATGGTTTTCGAGCCGAATCCAGATGTCTCTTGAATTTCGAGCAATTCCTCTTGTGCTCTTCCGAATCCATCTCGTTTTATGCTCATTTTTGCTCGCGCATCTCCAAACATCATTTTTATTTCGATGATTTGTCGATGCGAATCAATTTTCGATGTTTCATACATTAATCCATGACCTGAACTTCGACTTGTTGTTGCGTCGGAAATTACCGAAAATCCATTTAGAGATGCGATTCGACCAGTTCTTTCATCGTAGGAAATCTGAAAAATGAACCTTGATTTGGGGAAAAAGTGGATATGACGGTGAAAAATCCGATTTTTCTAATTTTTTTCTTGAAAAATTCGAAATTTCATGGATTTTTTAGTTCTAAAATTCAAATTTTTATTCAAAAAACATTGTGATTTGGAAAAAAAATGCCACGTGGATTTTAAGCGCGAAAATAAAAAATTCAAATTTTTAACAAAAAAAATACCACGTGGATTTTAAAGCGCGAAAATACGAAATTTAAATTTTTGAAAAAACTGCCACGTGGTTTTTAAGCGCGAAAATACAAAATTCAAATTTTTAATTAGAAAAATGCCACGTGGATTTTAAGCGCGAAAATACAAAATTCAAATTTTTAATTAAGAATATTCCAGCGGAACGAACGCGGAAAACCGGAAAAAAAATGAAATTCTGGGAATTTCTTGGAAATTTCGTAGTTTCTCGTGGTAACTAACTAAGCCTAAGCCTAAAAATTTGGAATCACTCAAGTTTTCTCAAAAATCAGGCTTCCGCGCGGAACGAACGCGGAAAACCGTTAAAAAAAAAATGAAATTCTGGGAATTTCTTGGAAATTTCGCAGTTTTTTCTGGGAACTAACTAAGCCTAAGCCTAAAAATTTGGAATCACTCAAGTTTTCTCAAAAATCAGGCTTCCGCGCGGAACGAACGCGGAAAACCGTTAAAAAAAATGAAATTCTGGGAATTTCTTGGAAATTTCGCAGTTTTTTCTGGGAACTAACTAAGCCTAAGCCTAAAAACTATAAATCAATCAAGTTTTCTCAAAAATCAGGCTTCCGCGCGGAACGAACGCGGAAAACCGTTAAAAAAATGAAATTCTGGGAATTTCTTGGAAATTTCGCAGTTTTTTCTGGGAACTAACTAAGCCTAAGCCTAAAAACTATAAATCAATCAACTTTTCTCAAAAATCAGGCTTCCGCGCGGAACGAACGCGGAAAACCGTTAAAAAAAATGAAATTCTGGGAATTTCTTGGAAATTTCGCAGTTTTTTCTGGGAACTAACTAAGCCTAAGCCTAAAAATTAGGAATCACTCAAGTTTTCTCAAAAATCAGGCTTCCGCGCGGAAACACGCGGAAAAAAAAATTCATTTTTTAAAATTTAGTACAAAAATTCAAAAATGTCATTAAAAACTTAAAAATCCGTTGATTTTTGTGTTGGCGAATCAGCAAATCTGAAAAAATACACTTTTCTCAAAAATTAGGTTTGCGCGCGGAACAAACGCGGAACAAACGCGGAAAATCGGAAAAATTAAAATTTCGGGACACATTTTTTTTTAGAAATTCCGCAGTTTTTTGTGGTAATTAACTAAGCCTAAGCCTGAAAATCAGGAAACTTTGCTAAACTTGAAATGCCGCGCGGAAAACACGCGGAAAATTCCGCGACCTTGCTAACTTTTAATATTTTGAACGAAAATTTGCTTTTTCTCAAATTTCAGACTGGAAATCTGAGAATTTTCAGGCTTCAGGCCTGATTCGGGCCTAAAAATTTGGATTTTTCTTGAAATTTGGGGTTTTTCCACAATTTTCAGGCTTCAAGCTTGAAATTTGAGCTTTTTCTCAAATTTCAAGCTTGAAATCTGAGATTTTCCAGATTCCAGACCTGAATCCTGAGGTTTTTCAGGCTTCAGGTCTAAAATCTGAGCTTTTTCTCGAAATTTGGTCAAAAATTTGGATTTTTCTAGAAATTTGGGGTTTCTTCCAGATTTTTAGGCTTCAGGCCGGAAATCTGAGATTTTTCAGACTTCAGGCCTGAAATTTGAGCTTTTTCTCAAATTTCAAGCTTGAAATCTGAGAATTTTCAGGCTTGAAACCTTGGGTTTTTTAGGCTTCAGGTCTGGAATCTGAGAATTTCCAGATTCCAGACCTGAAGTCTGAGAATTTTCAGGCTTCAGGCTTGAAATTTGAGCTTTTTCTCAAAATTCAGGCTTGAAACCTAGGTTCTAGGGTGTTTTCTTCAAAATTTTAGGTTTTTAGCTGAAATTCCAGCTTTTCCCTCGCCCAAAAGCTGAATTTGCGACATTTCGAGCTTTTGGGTTCAGGAAAAACTGAAACTTTCAGTTTTTCATAATATTATTTGATTTTTTCCCTTAACCACCCCAAAATACTTACATTTCACTCAAAATCCTTTGTCAAATCCATCGATTGTTGTTTTGTCCGCCGAAATCTGCAAAAATTCATGCTTTTTTCTAAATATTGAATGAAATTTCGAAAAATGAACTTACATTTCCATATTTGTTCCAATAATGTTGATGCAATTGATTGAACTGCAAAAACATAAATAGAAAAGTGAATAGAAAAAGTAAATAATAACAGAATGACTAGAAAATAGGGGAAGGGGAAAGGGGCGTGGCTTAGAGATGACCTAACTAGCGAAAAGTTGACATGTGACAAGTCGGGTCAGATTTTTGGGAAGTTATTGACCTAGGTCATCTTCCCCTTTTGTTTATATTTTGACTTACTTTTATGATTGGAATTCAAGATGACCATCCAGAAATCCTCCTTGATTTCTACCAAAAATCGATTTTTGGTAGAAAAACCTGGAAAAATCAATATTTTTCATAAATGTATCTCTCTTTTACTTTCAAATCATCTCAACTTACTTAAATTCCCATCGATTTGCTCCTTTCACCATCGAATTGTTGATTTTCCACCAAAAAGAGATTTTTGGTGGAAAATGCCTGGAAAAATCAATATTTTCATGTAAAATCAATATATGCTAATAAAAATCCACCCAATTTTCATGAAAACCCAAAAAACTGACCAGATTTCATCGAAATCACCAAAGATTTGCGCCATTTACGAGTTGGGCGGCGGCTAAAAAACGGAAATGAAAAATTCGAAATAATTCAGTGCGACACACGTGAAATGACGCGCAATTGCGGACAAACAAAACGTGGGATTTTGAAAATATTTATTTTTGTTTGAATTTTCGCATGAAAACGAGAGTTTTGAAAAGGAAAAGAAAAGTTGAAGTAAATAAAAAGTGTTGAATAAGAGATGACCTATGAAAAAGCGGATGACAAGTAGGTTGTAAATCATGTGTTTTGTGCAAAAATAGGATGTTGGAACAGGGTCAAACTTGATTTACAACCGACAGATTGTCATATTTTGACAAGAAAATAGACAAAAAACAACAAGACTTATTTAGATTTACAACCGATTTATGATGTGGCAGGTAGTCACGTGAATTTGTCATCTTGAAAAGTGTTTTACAACCTTTGACCTAGTTGTGAATCATGAAAATCAACAGAACAACTTGAAAATATAACAATTCACATATACAAATCATTGAAAAAGAAGAATAATCAGACCAGCTTTAAAATTAATCAGCAGACCAAATGGTCTGCTGCTTTTTATTTTTATACTGGCATGCAGCAGACCATATGGTCTGCTAGTTTAATATTATTTATTTGACATTTAGTGGTGTGCAAATAAACATTCAATTAGTTCAGTGGTAAGTGTACTGTTTTTGAATCTCAAGGTGACAAGTTCAATTTCGTATGCGAACTTTTATTTTTTCTCAAAAGTTAGGTAAAATATCAAGTCGAGAGATGACAGTTTACAACCATACTCTCCTATTTTCACATACTGTCTCGTTTTTTGAGCCAAGGTGTCAAAAGACTGTTTTACGATGTGTGTCTCTCTCATTTTTATATACTATTTCTCGGAAGGGGAATGTGTTAGGATAAATGATGGGATATTGACAAACTTGTGAATTTCAACAATTTTATTAGATTTTCAGAATGCAAGGATTACGGTAGACTGAGGGTTACTGTATCTCGGATTGCAATGGTTACTGTAACCAGACTGCAAGGATTACTGTAGCTGCTAGCCCCAGACTGCAGGGATTACTGTAGGTGACAACCTCAGACTGCAAGGTATACTGTAGTTGACAGCCCCAGACTACAAGGATTACTGTAGGTGACAACCTCAGACTGCAAGGGATACTGTAACCCTGCGGTTACGGTAGCTTGAGGCTATTTCGGACTGCAAGGTATACTGTAGCCTCAGGGTTACTGTAGCCAGACTGCAAAGATTACTGTATTTGGCAAATTTTCAACATTTTCCAAATTTCATGAAAAATATACCAAAAAATCAGAAATTTTGTGAATTTTTCAAAAAAATTGAAGAAAATTCAAAATTTCCACAAACTATTACACAAATTCAACTACAAAATAAATAAATGAAATAATAAGTATAAATTAAAGATAAAAAAGTGTGGACTGACTGTAGCATACCACACCACCTGTCATTTACAACCACTAGTCTCACCATATTCCTTCCCCTTTTCTATGTCTGTCTGCGTCTCTCTCTCTCTCTCTCTCTCTTTCATTCCACTCACAGTCCTTCCTTACTTTCCCATATTCCACTCTTTCTATCTCTGCGTCTCTCTATTTCTCACACTCTCTCATCTATTTTCGCACCTTCCTTTTACGATGCCACTCGACCCGACTTTTACAACCCTACCGCCTTTGAAAAGGGTATCTTAACTTTGACCAACCATTTCTACCCTTCAAACTCAACCAAATCCTTCAATATATAGCTCATTCGATTCGTCTAGTTCTCCTGAATCCGTAGATACCCAAAATCGACCGTCCTCGGACATTTTAAACTTCAAAGGCACCGCCGAAGTCAAGGTGCGAAAAAAAGGCGGAGCTTAGATTTTGGGAAACTTCGAGAAGAGCTAGAAAAGTTGAGAAATTTTTGAAAACCAAAAACATTTACAGATATTTAGGCTTAGGCTTAGTAAACCCCCTAGAAAGGTGCAATTTCGGGATTTTTTAGCGATTTTTTAAAATTACAAATTTTTTAATTTTAGTGCCAGATTTCTGAAAATTAGTCTGAAAATGTGCATTTTTGAAATTTCAACATTTTCATTAGGCTTAGGCTTAGTAAACCCCCTAGAAAGGTGCAATTTCGCATTCAAAACTTTCAAAGAAAAAATAAGCAGTCCCAAATTTCTTTTGGGTCTGCAAATTATTCATTGACCATTTTGTGGTCTGCAAATAAAAAGATGAATAGTTAAGTGGTAAAGCGCTTGATTTTGAATCTGAGAGTGGCGAGTTCGATCCCGCATACAAACTGATATTTTTTTTTTTGCTTTTTCGGATGGATTTTTGTGCCAGATTTTTGGAAATTAGGCTGAAAATGTGCATTTTTGAAATTTCAATTTTTTTACAAGGCTTAGGCTTAGTATTCAAAAAACATTTTTTATCCTAAAAATTAACGTTTTCAGCGACATCTCCCGCTTTCTTGCCTTATTTGTCTTATACACGATTTGAAGTGTTGAGTAAAAAAGGTTCCGAGAAATATCGAAATGAAATTCAATCATAAAAAGGTCACGTCAAAAATATATGTATAGTTTTTCCAGTGATTTTCTTATTTTTCATTGAAATTGCGAACTGACAATAGAATTCTGAAACTTCTTCAAAATCGTTTTTTTAGAGCCAAATGATTCACAATGAAGCTGGAAATAATTCTCAAGTTGGAAATGTTCTGCAAGGTATTAAAGGTGGAAAAGTGGATTGTAGACTGGAAATTTTCTATTACTACAAAATGAATAAAATTTTTGAAACGTATTTTTCAAGGGTTAAAAATTTCTGGGTCGACAGAGATTATCATCACCCGCTTTGATTTTAATAAACTTGTTTTTCTGGATATTTTGGAAGTCGAGCGCAATACTAACATCCGGAAATATATTAAACTTTATACAAAAAAAAATGTTTTCAAAAAACATCAAAATTTTCGAAAGAAAAAAACATGAAAAACCCGTGAATTATGAACCGATATTGAGAAAAAAACATTAACATAAAATAAAAAAAGATCTAATTGGACAAATTAACAAATTTCCACGAATGAATTGTTGAAAAATATGGAGAATGTGATTTGAGATCAATCGAATATCCACTAACCGATCCTTTCGATTTCAATTCTCGTTTTTCTCGATCTGTCCAATTTATCCAAAATGGTTCATCGGATGAATTCGAATTCGAATCGACTCGTTTTCTTTCCGCTTTCCAAACACTGATTTGTTCGCGGTTTCGAAGATCGTCTGTTAGTTTTTTCACAACTTCTTTCTGCAAAAATTGAGATTTTTGATTTTCATAAGCTCTAAAACTTGGAAACCCCTAAAAACTTACCTTATCATTAGCAAAATGCACAATAATCTTGGTTTTTCCATTCCTCAATTCCGCATTTTCTTTATTAACAACCAGTGTGAAATGTGGTAAAGAAGCCGAACTCAAAACCGGAATCGCATCAATTTTCTTCCAAAAATATCGAACCGGAATCGGAGACCACGTGCAAAAATCAACATTTTTCGAGCCATCCAACAATTTGTGCACAATTTCCGCCTCCGATTTATCCAATATTGGTAAAGTGACAGTTTCAATGAGGCTCTTCTCATTTTCATTTATCAAAAGAAGATTTGAGAATCCGATATCTTCGATTGACCATTCATTGGATTTCAATGCATTTTGTTGATCGATTAGACGACTTGGTCGAATTGTATTAATATGTGAAAGTGAATCCAATTTTGAGGGAAAAGAATTCAAAAGTCGATGGGTTATTGGAGAAGAAAATGATGAAGATGATGAGCTGGGAAGACCAAGATGAATTTTTTACGTTTTGCAGGTAAAACTATTTTACGTTTTGCAGGTAAATTTTAGGACCTCTGAGCTAAGTTTTGGGCTCTCAAAAGTTCAAAAATTTCCAAAATTGGCTTATAAAAGTTATCAGAGAAAAAAGTTTCAGATATTGTCAGAAAATTTTTTGATTTTGGAAAAAATCGGGGCGCGAATTTTTATGAATTTTCAGCAGGGCTGATTCACGAAGGAAAAAAATTGTTAAAAATGATTTTTTAACATCGAAAGATCAATTCACAATTAGTTTTTCGAGTTTTTCAGCCAAAAATGATGACAAATCGATATTTTTCGAGCTTCTGGAGGGATTTCTGATGAAAATAAGCCTATTTTGCTTTATTTTATGAATTTTTCGAAATTCATCAAAATTTAAAATTTTTTATTTCACGAAAAATCAGCAAAACCTTCTGGAAAGTCAATTTTCATCAGAAATTACTCCAGAAGCTTGAAAAATATTGATTTGTCATCATTTTTGGCTGAAAAACTCGAAAAACTAATGTTTTTTCGACATTTTTTGACTTTTCGTGTTGTTTTATTGTTATTAAATCTATCTGAAACTTTTTTCTCCCAAAAATTATTTTGAAATGTAGCTATGATAACTTTTGAGAGCCCAAAACTTGGCTCAGAGGTCAAAAACCCCCTGAAAATCCCAAATTTTCCCAGAAAATGCAACGAAAGAGATTGCGTTTGCCACAAAACTGATGATTTGACACGAAATACAATTGAAGCAACCACTAGAAAATGCCCAAATTGTCAATGTTCAACTGAAAGAAATGGCGGATGTTCACATATTCATTGCACAAATTGTGGCTATGATTGGTGCTTTAAATGTGTTAAAGAATGGACTGAAAATTGTCAATGGGATCATTGGTTTTGATTGAAAAATTCTCGAAATTTGCTCAATTTATGTGCCTTTGTAAATATTATAAATATTAGGTTTTTAAATATTTTTTTTTTAATTTTTCAGTGTAAATTCACTATATTTATATCTTTATCTTTATATTTTCAGATTTTTTTTTTCAAAATCCCAATTTCCAGAAATGTCCGGAGGTCATCCTGGAGGATATAATCCTCATAATAATCAGCAGATTTATCAGCAACAACAAATGATGAGACAACAACAGCAAAATTATCAAATGTTGCAAAATCCGCAGGTTTTGTTTGATCTACCCGGGAGATTTTGGGGTTTTTCAAGAGGGGGGGAAAATATTGATTTTTTGGGGTAAATTAGGATTTTTTATATTTAAGCTTTTTTAAGCTGAAATTTTATGTTTTTCATGAATTTTTGGCTAATTTAGGTTCAAAATCAAAACCGGTAGATTTTTTGGCTTAAAAATTGTGGAAAATCCAAATTTTGAGCTGAAAATTCATGTTTTTCATGAATTTTAAGCTAATAATTTTCATATTTATATGAAAAATCCAATTTTTAATTTTGAAAATGTGATTTCTTTCAAAATTCTATGGAAACCCCATTTTCGAGCTGAAATTTCACGATTTTCATGAATTTTAAGCTAATTATTCAATTAAATTTGTGATTTTCAGCTAATTCGAGTTTATAGTTGAACCTGGACGATTTTTGTCTTAAAATTTATAGAAAATTCAAATTTTAAGCTGAAATTTCACGATTTTCATGAATTTTAGGCTAATTATTCAATTTAAGTTGTGATTTCCAGCTAATTTAAGTTTATAATCAAAATCGGGAGATTTTTTGGCTTAAAATTTCTAGAAAATCCAATTTTTGAGCTGAAATTTCATGTTTTTCATGAATTTTAAGCGAATTATTTTCATATTTATATGAAAAATCCAATTTTTAATTTTGAAAATGTGATTTCTTTCAAAATGCTATGGAAACTCCATTTTTGAGCTAAAATTCACGGTTTTCATGAATTTTAAGCTAGTTATTCAATTAAATTTGTGATTTTCAGCTAATTAAAGTTTATAATCAAAACCGGGAGATTTTTGGCTTAAAAATTGTAGAAAATCCAATTTTTAAGCTGAAATTTCATGTTTTTCATGAATTTTAAGCTAATTATTCAATTAAATTTGTGATTTTCAGCTAATTCGAGTTTATAGTTGAACCTGGACGATTTTTGTCTTAAAATTTATAGAAAATTCAAATTTTAAGCTGAAATTTCACGATTTTCATGAATTTTAGGCTAATTATTCAATTTAAGTTGTGATTTCCAGCTAATTTAAGTTTATAATCAAAATCGGGAGATTTTTTGGCTTAAAAATTGTAGAAAATCCAATTTTTAAGCTGAAATTTCATGTTTTTCATGAATTTTAGACTAATTATTCAATTAAATTTGTGATTTTCAGCCAAGTCGAGTTCATAGTTGAACCTGGACGATTTTTGTCTTAAAAATTGTGGAAAATTCAATTTTTAAGCTGAAACTTGGGATTTTTCATGAATTTTAAGCTAATAATTTTCGTATTTATATAAAAAATCCAATTTTTAATTAAAATTTTGTGATTTCTTTCAAAATTCTATGGAAACCCCATTTTCGAGCTGAAAATTCACGGTTTTTATGAATTTTAAGCTAATTCTTCAATTAAATTTGTGATTTTCAGCTAATTAAAGTTTATAATCAAAACCGGGAGAATTTTTGTCTTAAAAATTGTGGAAAATCCAATTTTTAAGCTGAAACATGGGATTTTTCATGAATTTTAAGCTAATTATTCAATTAAATTTGTGATTTTCAGCTAATTTAAGTTTATAATCAAAATCGGGAGATTTTTTGGCTTAAAAATTGTGGGAAATTCAAATTTCAAGCTGAAATTTAATGTTTCAACCTCAAATCGATTTTCTAGCCTCTAAATTATCTGAAAATCTCCATTTTCCAGCTAATGCAAGCTCAAAATCAATCCTCCGCCCACAATTCTCCCCGATCCGCCACACCAAATCAACTTCAACAACTTCAACAACACTCTCGAGTCGGCTCACCAGCTCAACCCAATTTCAACAATCTCAATCAGCAACCGCACGGCTCACCGTCGAATTTGGCGTTTTCGAATTCGAATTTAGCGCAAGTTCAAGATGTGCATTCGAAACCGGCGACACCACAAATGATGCATTCGGCACTTTCGGCTGGACATTTGACGAATATGAATGTGGGTTTTAAAGTTTTCACATTTTCAGCCAAAAAATTCGGAATTTCCTGAACATTTTGAACCTAAATTTTAAGCCAAAATTTCTCAAATTTGGGAATTTTTTTCTGATGTTTGGTTGGAATTTCAGAATTTCTTGAATTTTTGAAATCCTATTTTTCGCGCTAACATTGTTCAAATCTGGAATTTCAGCTTTCAATTTGTAACAATTCTGAAATTTTGAACCTAAATTTTAAGCCTAGAAAACTTGAAATTAGCATTTTTTTTTCTAGAAAAGTTTTAGTTTTCTGGAAATTTTTAACCCAAATCTTTTTCAGCCAAAATTTCTCAAATCTGGAATTTTTATTCTGATGTTTGGCTGGAATTTCAGAATTTTCTGAATTTTTGAAAACCAATTTTTATCTACCTTTTTAATAAAATCCCGGTTGGGTGGTGTCTCGATGGAAGCAGGATTTTTCAATGGGGTCCCCCTGTTCTCATTTTTCAAATGTCGCAATTTTGGACATTTCCCATTTTTTCCGAAAATCATACCTTCGCGAACGTCAAAAAGGATCCGATCCTGGACCTTCTGAACAAAAAACACGTGATCTAACCACTTGACCATTTCTGACACAAGAAATGACCATTAATTCGCTTAGAAATGCTCGAAGAAAAATTTTTGACGTGAGAAAAAATATTTGTTTTAAAAAAAGGAGACTGTTACGCCTGGGAGCTGAAAGCTCCTATCCTAAAAAATCTAGTTTTCTGGAAATTTTCAACCCAAATTTTTTAACCCAAAATTTCTCAAATCTGGAATTTCAGCTTTCAATTTGTAGCTGAAAAATTCTGAAATTTTTGAACCTAAATTTTCAGAAAATTTTGAAAAAACTCACAGCTTTAAACCGAAATAAAATTCTTTAAAAAAATCAAGTTTCAGTACTAAAAATCCACGTGGCATTTTTTCAAAAATTTCCTGAATTTTTGAAAACCAATTTTTTTTCCTAAAAAACTTGAAATTAGCATTTTTTTTTCTAGAAAAGTTTTAGTTTTCTGGAAATTTTTAACCCCAATTTTTTTCAGCCAAAATTTCTCAAATTGGGAATTTTTATTCTGATGTTTGGCTGGAATTTCAGAATTTCCTGAATTTTTGAAAACCAATTTTTATCTTGAAAAATTTGAAATTAGCATATTTCTTTTCTAGAAAAAATCTAGCTAAAATTCTTCAAATCTGAAATTTCAGCTTCAATTTGTAGCTGAACAATTCTGAAATTTTGAACCTAAATTTTCCAGAAAAAAATTTCCAAATCTGAAATTGTTATTTCTAGAAAAGTTCTAGTTTTCTGGAAATTTTTAACCCAAATTTTTTCAACCCAAAATTTCTCAAATCTGGAATTTCAGCTTCAATTTGTAGCTGAAAAATTCTGAAATTTTTGAACCTAAATTTTCCATCCAAAAATTTCCAAATCTGGAAATTTTATTTCTAAAAAAATCTAGTTTTCTGGAAATTTCGAAGCCCAAAATTTTCCAGCCAAAAATTTCGAAATCTGGAATTTCAGCTTCAGTTTGCAGCTGAAAAATTCTGAAATTTCAATTTTTAGAGCAAAAAAATCCACGTGGCATTTTTTCAAAAATAAAAAATTAATCCAATTTTTTTGACCGGAAATTCGTTTAGCCGAGCTTTTTTGAGCAGCAATTTTTAATTTTTTACATCAAAAAATTACGATTCTGAAAAGTTTTTTAACCAGAAAATTGAATTTTTAATTTTTTTCAAGTTTCCTTATTTTTTTTCTGCCAAAAGTAATTATAGACTTTTCGAATTTTCTAGAAAAATCCCTGTTTATCCGCTTATTCAAAAAAAATTCTAGAATTTCTCATTTTTCAGCCAATGTCAGTGCCACTTGCTGCAATTTCTCGACCCGCTTCCGTTGCTCCACCACAATCTCTTCCCGCAAATATTCTAATCAATAATCCGGGCTCAATTCAACAACCCGGATCGATTCAAAGGCCTGGAAGTGTTATTCCGCCGGGAAGTATTCATGGTCCGGGAAGTGTTCAGGCTCATGGTCCGGGCTCTATTCAAGCCCCCGGAAGTGTTCATGGCCCGGGAAGTATTCAGGCTCATGGTCCGGGAAGTGTTCAGGCCCACGGACCTTCAAGTGTGCACGGCCCGGGCTCTATCCAACCACCTGGAAGTCTTCATGCCCCCGGATCTCAACACAATCTCAATCTATCATCGCATGGCCCATCTTCAGTAGCCCCCCCAGGTTCAGTAGCCGGGCCTGGAAGTGTTATGGGAGGACCGGCGAGTGTTCAACCGGCCGCGCCCGCCCCGACAACATCGCAAACACCCGCAAAACCGACGGAAGAACAATTGAGACAGGTTATGGATCCGGTTGTGTTGCTGAGAACGCTGATTGCCACCGATTTGAGGGCGAGTATTGTGGTGAGTGAGATTTTGGGGGGGGGGTCATTTTGCCACGTGGCATTTTTGGCACCAAAAATTTGAATTTTGATTCTCAAAATGTTTTTCAATAGTTTTCAGCTTAAAATTGTTAAAAATCGTTAAAAAAAAGTGAAAAATCCTATATTTCGCTATAAAAAGCAAGTGCGCTCTACTGAAATATTTGAGGATTTTTGAAAAATTGAACTTTCCCTGTGAAAAATGAGATTTTCTAGAAAATATCAAGTTCGCTCTACTGAAATATTAGATTTTCTGAAGAATTTTTGAAAAAAACACAGTTTTCATTGTATAAAATGAAGTAGAACTTGATTTTCTTGTTTACAAATTCGAAAACTTCAATTTTTGATTGAAAATATCAAGTTCGCTCTACTGAAATCTAGGATTTTCTCTAGAAATTTTGAAAAAATACAGTTTTCACTGTGAAAAATGAAGGAGAACTTGATTTTCTAGGTTGAAAATGATGAAAATTCAAAATTTCCATTCAAAATTTCAAGTGCGCTCTACTGAAATATCTGGGGAATTTTGAATTTTGTTTGAAAAATTCAAATTTAACACTTGAAAATCTGTTTTTTATTCCAAAAATCACAAAATTCTAGATTTTCAGCCTAAAAATAGTGCAAAATCCCCAAATTTTTGCAGGAAGTAAATCGTAGGTGCGCAAATCTTTTGAAAAATCAACGCGAAGATTCAGAAGAGCACGAAGATGGTCTTCTCGAACAATACAAACGAGCATATAATGATTTTTTGGCGATTTGCGACGATATCGATCGAATTTTGACAACGATTCTAGAATCCAATAAACAAGTGGGAAAATTGGAAAAAGTATTGGGAGATGGCGGGAAAAAGGGAGCGGGAAAACCAGCAACTGGACAAGCTGGAACTGATCATTCGGCTGGATTAATGAATTGTGTTAATCAATTTATCGAAAGTACTGCCGAAGTTCAACGAATGTTTGATAGTACAATTGGAAGTGTGACTGGATCGATGGAAAAAATTAGAAGACGTCAGAAAAAATTTGAGGAAGGTCAAAGACCTTGAATGTATTTTTGAATGAAAATTTTTGAAAAAATTTGAATAATTTTCAGCTGAAAACTTTCTTCAGACCTAAAAATAAAAATAAAAAATTCTGGAAATCAAAACTTTGCAGAAGTGGCATTTTTTGGGGCCAAAAACTAGAATTATGAATAATTTTCAGCTGAAAAATCTCATTTGTCAAGCAAAATTTGAATTTTTCACGTTTTTTTAAAATTAAATACTGAAACTAAATCTTAGGCTGAAGCTTTGGCTGAATCTTCTACAGTAACCTGAAATCTACAGTCCCAGCTTAAATCCTGTGCTAAAAAAATAGTAGATCAGACGATTTTTTTTTAACACCGGGGGGTCCCATGCATATTTTTGGCGCCAAAAAATTGCAGAAACATCCCATTTTCAACTCAAAAATTCAACATTTTTTGAAAAATCCAAATAAAATTTCTCTCGAAATTCAGGAGAATTGCTTTATTTTCTTGAATATTCTGAATAAATCTGAAATTATTGCGATTTCGCTTCATCAAAAATGTTTTTTTTTTGAAAATTTACATTAAGAAACTGAAATTTCTGGTTGAACCCTAGAAAAATAGAATGAAATTCTGAAAATTGGGATTTTCCTGACTTTCTTTTGAATATCAGAAGTTCCACGTGAAAATTTTAAGCTTAAAATCTTGAAATATCCCACTTGTCACATAAAAATTGAACTTTTCATAGAAAATGTTTTTAATAAATTGAAAATCTTTGAAAAGTTCTCAATTTCTCTCAAGAATCTCTTCTGAATGTTTTCCTCAAATTCTAATCTTATCAGAAGTTCCACGTGGCATTTTTTTGGGGTCAAAAACTAGAATTTTGCAAAATTTTCAGCTTAAAATCTTGGAAAACCATAAATTCCTCTCAAAATTCAGGAGAATTGCAATTTTTAGTCATAAATAGGTAGATTTTTGAAAAAATCTGGAAAAATCCCTTTGTTACGCTGAACTTTTTCCAGAAACTCTAAACTTGGAAGAAGGATTTTTTGATTGAAAATCGGAAGTGGGATTTTGAATAATTTTCTCGGTTCAAAAAAATATCTTAAATTTTATTTCCTTAAACTTCAAAAAATCAAAAATCATTGCGATTTCGCTTCTCTTTCTCTCTTTCTCAACGCGGCTTTTCTCGTTCCAAAACTCATATTTGTCAAAATCTTATCCCGAATAAATTCCGGAATCAAATCCATCACTTCAAGTTGAAGTTGATGTGAAATATAGCCAGTTGTGTCGGCCGCATTTCCAATTGTGTTCAGGGCGGATTTGACGAATTGTTCACCATTTGGTGTGAAGAATGATGTCTTTTTGACTTTGCTCATTTTGGTGGCAACCATCATTGGGGCGATTGTTTGAATTGTGATTCCGTGAGATTCGTATTCTTTGCGAAGGATTCCAGACAGCCATGAGACGTATTTCTGGAAAGATTTCAGGCTTTCCTGGCTCAAAAATTCCTCCTGAAAAAATCGGGCATAGGTTCCCCATGCGCGGGCACTCAAAACTCCCAAATTCCCGCGCATTTTCCCATCTCGAAATATGAAAATATCCACTTTTTCGAGATGTTTTGGAAAATGTGAAGGAATAGGGGAGAATTGGGTGCCGGCATTTTTCAATTTCAGTTTTTATCATAGAAAATTTGAGATATTTTGAAAAAAAACAGCCAAAACAGTATGTTTTGTCTAGAAATTTTAGGCTCAAAAATTCCTCCTGAAAAAATTGGGCATAGGTTCCCCATGCGCGGGCACCCAAAACTTCCCGATTCCCGCGCATTTTCCCATCGCGAAATATGGAAATATCCACTTTTTCGAGATGTTTTTGAAAATGTGAAGGAATCGGGGAGAATTGGGTACCGGCATTTTTCAATTTCAGTTTTCATCATAGAAAATTTGAGATATTTTGAAAAAAAAAACAGCCAAAAATGTATTTTGTCTAAAAATTCTAGGCTCAAAAATTCCTCCTGAAAAAATTGGGCATAGGTTCCCCATGCGCGGGTACCCAAAACTCCCCGATTCCCGCGCATTTTCCCATCGCGAAATATGGAAATATCCACTTTTTCGAGATGTTTTTGAAAATGTGAAGGAATCGGGGAGAATTGGGTACCGGCATTTTTCAATTTCAGTTTTCATCATAGAAAATTTGAGATATTTTGAAAAAATCACCTTTGTAGCCGAATAAACAGCCAAAAATGTATTTTGTCTAAAAATTCTAGGCTCAAAAATTCCTCCTGAAAAAAATTGGGCATAGGTTCCCCATGCGCGGGTACCCAAAACTCCCCGATTCCCGCGCATTTTCCCATCCCGAAATATGGAAATATCCACTTTTTCGAGATGTTTTTGAAAATGTGAAGGAATCGGGGAGAATTGGGTGCCGGCATTTTTCAATTTCAGTTTTCATCATAGAAAATTTGAGATATTTTGAAAAAATCACTTTTGTAGCCGAATAAACAGCCCAGAGTGTATTTTTTTCTAAAAATTCTAGGCTCAAAAATTCCTCCTGAAAAAATTGGGCATAGGTTCCCCATGCGCGGGCACCTAAAACTCCCAGATTCCCGCGCATTTTCCCATCTCGAAATATGGAAATATCCACTTTTTCGAGATGTTTTTGAAAATGTGAAGGAATCGGGGAGAATTGGGTGCCGGCATTTTTCAATTTCAGTTTTCATCATAGAAAATTTGAGATATTTTGAAAAAATCACCTTTTTAGCTGAATAAACAGTGTATTTTTGTCTAGAAATTCTAGGCTCAAAAATTCCTCCTGAAAAAATTGGGCATAGGTTCCCCATGCGCGGGCACTCAAAACTCCCAGATTCCCGCGCATTTTCCCATCTCGAAATATGGAAATATCCACTTTTTCGAGATGTTTTGGAAAATGTGAAGGAATAGGGGAGAATTGGGTACCGGCATTTTTCAATTTCAGTTTTTATCATAGAAAATTTGAGATATTTTGAAAAAAATCACTTTTGTAGCCGAATAAACAGCCAAAAATGTATTTTTGTCTAGAAATTCTAGGCTCAAAAATTCCTCCTGGAAAAATCGGGCATAGGTTCCCCATGCGCGGGCACTCAAAACTCCCAAATTCCCGCGCATTTTCCCATCCCAAAATATGGAAATATCCACTTTTTCGAGATGTTTTGGAAAATGTGAAGGAATAGGGGAGAATTGGGTACCGGCATTTTTTCTCAATTCCTTTGCTCACCTTTGTAGCCGAATAAACAGCCCAAAGGGTCATTTGATTAGCTCCAGCAGATGAGCCAACATTTACGATAACTCCAGCTTTTCGTTCAACCATTTGTGGCAAAATTCCAGCGGAGAGCTGAAAAAAAAAGAGATTTTTAGTCAAAAATCCGCCGAAAACCCACCAAAGTTGGTGGCAATGTATTAATTGTTGTGATATTAGCCAATCTCTCGATTCCTCCATCAACTTTGTGCAAAACTTCTGGATATTCATAGCTCAATCCAACATTATTGATCAGAACTCCGATTTCAACCTGGTTCAATTCGGCCAACAAATCTTGATATCCGGAAACAGCGGCATTTGTGAAATCGTAGGAATATGTGCGGATTTCAATGTTCTGAATAGAAAAAAAAGGGATTATTCAGGAATTTCAGAATTTTTTGCTGAGTGAAAATCCCAAAAATTCACCTGATACTTCTCCAAAATCTCCTTCTTTGTCTCATCCAATTTCGACTGTGTTCTTGAAACCAAAAAAACGTTGAATCCTCTTCGAGCCAATTCGAAAGCATAGGCTTTTCCAATTCCATCAGTGGCTCCAGTTACAACTGCAAAAATATTGGGATTTCCCCCAAAAACCATCTTATTTTCTCTTGTTCCATGGTTTTTGTGTTATCAAAAAAACGGCTACAAAGAACTCTGATAAGAGAAAAAAAGTTTCTAATCAGCAAAAATTTTTTTTGAAATCGTGATTTTTTTTGCTGATCAGAGAACTCGAAAATTGTGCAAAAAATGTGGAAAAAACACCTTTTCTATTAAAATTTTCGTGAATTTTCACTTTTTTAATGAAAAACCCGGTAAAAATCAACATTTTCTCTGAATTTCAACTAGAAAATTCATATTTTTCAAATTCGGTATCAAAAAATGCAAATTTTCGTCATTTTCTTCCAATTTACACTTAAAATTGAGGATTTTTCATAAAACTTTCAAATTTCATAATAAAAATGCTCAATTTTATTACGTTCGGTACCAAAACCCTTTAGAAACTCAATTTTCTTCCAATTTACAATCAAAATACATGATTTTCACCAAAAACCTTCAGAATTTCCGATTCTTTTCAAATTTGGACTCAAAATCTGAGATTTTTCATGAAAAATTCAAATTTGGACTCAAAATTCCTCATTTTTCCCCAAAACTTCAGAATTCCCCATTTCCCGCTCCCAAAAACCTCACTCACCCGCCCATCCAGCTCCCGCTCTTTTCTTCAAATCAATCGGCGAAAAGAGCACATAGGGTCCAACAATGTTCCAAATCGATGTCAAAAGTCGATAGGCGACCGCAAAAATGGCCAAATATCCGGCCGAGACCAGAGCACATTGACAACCCATTACTACTGTAGGCTGCTCAAAATTACTATTTGTCGACATTTTTGAAAGAGAAATGAGCAAAAAAATGACAAAATGCGATAAAAAATACGTGGGAAACGTGGCAATTTCACGTGAAAATTCAAAAAAATACAAAAATATTCATCTTTGGCGAGTATTCAAATAAATAAATAAATGAAAAAAAAATGAATTTTCGAGAACGGAGACAATAAAAAAGAAGTGGAAAGGTTATAAGACAGTTTTTTATCACACCATTTTAGGAATGGTATGATAACGGATGGAAAATCTCTCAAAAAACGAGAGAAATAGTGGGGGGAAAAGGGGTAGAAGATACAAAAAAATGGGCAGAGAACAGGTGTAAAATTAATCGACATCCATGTCGTCCAAATCTGGACGATTACGTTTTGCTTCAGGTTCTTTGGTGGTGGTGTCTTCTGGAAAAATTTGATTTTGAATATGGGAAAATGGTGGTTTTCTGGGGATTCATGCAAAACTTTCACAAAATTTAGCTAATGGTTTCAGATTTTTTTCAAAGAGAAATATGGTGTTTTCTGCTTTTAAATTCAAATTTCGATCCAGGAAAATTTAGAAATATCAGAAAAATCTCAATTTTTCTCTCAAACATGAGCCTGTTATTATTTCTGTCTGAAAATCAGCTCTGAAACTCAGATTTTGAAGCTGAACATCTAGAATTTTTCGAAAATCCATAAAAATTTGATTTTTTCAAATTTCATGACTGAAAGCAAGCTCTAAAACGCAAAATTTCAATGAAAAACTTACAAGAATCCCCATTTTTCTCTCAAATTTCTACCACTTTTAGATTTTCAAAATAAATGAGCTCGTATTATTTGTCTGAAAATCAGCTCTGAAATTCAGAATAGTTCGAAAATGCGTAAAATTCGATTTTAGTTTCAAATTTCATGACTGAAAGTAAGCTCTAAAATGCGAAATTTGAATAAAAAACATCTTTTGTTTTTGAGCTCATATTATTTCTGTCTGAAACTCAGATTTTGAGCTGAATATCTAGAATTTTTGACCACTTCATGACTGAAAGCAAGCTTCAAAATTCCCCAATTTTCACAAAAAATCATGCAAACAGTCAGATCCATGCAATTAATCAATTAAAAAACCAACTTCATTTGCAATAGTTTAGTCCAAATCCATATTCTCACCTTCCTCTTTCTGCTCCTCTTCTTTCGGCAATTCTCCACCTTCAGCCAACGTCAAATTCCTCGCAAATCCCAACAAATCTCCCTGATTCGCCGCCGCCACCGTATTCTCATTCAACCCAAATTGCGCCAAAACTGGGCCAAGTTGTCCGGTTTGAAGAGCATGTCCAAAATTATCGGTAGCCTGGCGGAATTGCGGAGTCTTGACGGTCTCCGACAACTCTTTTTCGGGCGTGTTTCCAGTCTCTGGCAGGTGTGGCGACAAAGATTCCGCATTGGTTTTCGCCGCCTCAGCTGCTGTATCACTAGATAACGCGTCGCCCAGAGATACGCTAACTTCTTGACCCTTCGATCCTCCCGGTCGCAAATTATTGAGAATCGCTGACAAATCATTGGTCGTAATTCCGGTGGATGTTGCCGCTGGTTCACAATCCACTTCATTATTATCAGTCGTCGATAAATTGATTGGATTCTGATTTTGCGCTGGATATTCCGATGATTGTCCTTGAAGTGATTGGATCAATGAGATCAACTGATTCTGATCAAGTCCTCCCAAAGTGCCTCCAAATTCATCAGCCAAAGCAGCTGGGAATGTAGAAGTTCCCCCGCCAGCCGCACTTCTTTCACTAACATTTCCACCTCTTGCAGGTCTTGAAGTTGGCGGTTTATTCAAAGCATCATTGACTCTTTTGACAAGATCCTTATCCGCGTCAACACTTCCATCTTGAAGCCAATACAATTTCATATCCTTTGACGATTTGAATTTGAGCATATAAACCTTGCCATCAGTACACTCTTTAACAGCTTTGAACTCAGCGTCATCTGGGAAAATGATAAGATCATCAATGACGGCACCGGTGTCTCGTTCTTTCCAGCAAAAATGGGTGAGCATATCCGAACTTTGTTTGATGTAAATAAGGCCTTTTTTGGGATCGGCGACGACTTTTCGAGTGTTTTCCGAGGAACCGGTTTCGAGAAGTGAGCGACCGGCTTTGAATTCGAGAATATTGCCGGATGTTGTGGCGCTTGGACGCACGTTACTGAACATTGCAGCCATGGCTGGAAAAATTGGCATTGATGGGGGGAAATGGTGAACAAAACGTTGAACTAGCGAGGGAAGTGTGTGACCAGTCCCCGGAGATTTTCAATGAGACCTATGTCCTTTTGGTCAGTTTTTCACGCCGATAAAGATCTTGTTTTCAGTTTTTGCTGAACTACTCTCTGAAGAGCCCAAAGTTGAGAATTTCCTGAAAATCGCGTTTTTGAGAGCCCATAACTGATGTTAGAAATTATTTTTATGGAAAACTGAATGCGTCACGTTGTTCAGGAGGTTCGATTTACCAAAGTCACAAATTTTTGGTTAGTAAATCCATACTGTGACTTTGGTAAATCGACGGGCATTCAGTTTTCCATAAAAATAATTTCTAACATGAGTTATGGGCTCTCAAAAACGCGATTCGCAGGAAATTCTCAACTTTGGCTCATTTTTGGGCTCTTCAGAGAGCCGTTCAGCAAAAACTGAAAACAGGATCTTTATCAGCGTGAAAAACTGACCAAAAGAACATAGGTCTCATTGAAAATCTCCGGGGACTGGTCACACACTTCCCTCGTAAGATATTTTTGAACGACAAAACTTTTTAAATAGAAAATTGGGAAAAATATATTTCTTAGCAACTTTTTCAAAAACAAAAAGCAAATTCTATAACGAAATTCCAAAGAATATTCAACTTTTGAATCGAGAAAACAGAAATCTTCAAAATATACGAAATTCCACGAATTCTATATCAAAATCCATGTTTTTTCCAGCTCTACACGTCTATTAAACCTTTCCAAACCCATTTCCCACAAAATCAGCCGAAAATCCCCCAGAAACCCTGCGAAAACTCCCAGAAAAACAACAAAAACAAAAAATGCTGACAAACCCCAGCTGTCTGCATTTTTGCGTAGGCAAAAGTGTTTGCACAATTTCACAAGCTACAGTACACCATTTATTAATTTTTATTTTCGCCGTTCAAATTCTCCATTTCCAATCGGTTAAACCCGTCATTCTTCGAAGTAGACTCGATTTTTCGAAACTCGGATAATTCCTATATGCAGAATACATTGATAGACTTGATAGTTTCTGCGGGATTGTCGGGTTAGGATAGTAACTTGCTCTAGAACAGATTTTTCATGATTTCCACTTTAAAAATGTAAGCTTACCGCAAGCTTTCTCGTTTCAAAGTCGGAAAATCTAGAAGCAAAGCACCGCCATTTTCATCAATCTCAAAATTGGTTGCAAAATTGCTCTGATTCGGGTCATCTTTCATATCTTGTTTTCGCGGTTCATGCGGGATTTCGAATATTTTCCGGTGATTCAGGTCAAGATGGTAGAAGTAGAGTTTTTCGTCGACGCAGTATTGCGGCAAAATGTGAGGGCTAAAAAATTATAGTTAGTTGTATCCTTCAAACGCAAAATTACCCATGAATCAGCCGCAGAAATCGTACAAACATGAAAAATGTGAAACCTCTGTCATATAGCGCTAAGAAACCGAATGCTCGAAATCCACAAATCATAACCTTTAGAGCAAATCTCGCATAATATAGCTTGATTCTCCACCAAAGAGTTCGCGATTTCTCAACATCTGGAATACTAATTCCCATCATAACATTCTGTCCCCTAGTTCGCATATGTTTCAAACTCAAAACCCCACAAAAATCCGTATATTTCACCACTTCATTGTCAATCTTCTCAATTGAATTGGCCCCAGTGACACGGTCTATTTTCCCAACACATTCAGTCATTAATCGATTCGATGATTCAGTTGATTCACACAAAAACACTGTCATTTCCTTGTCCGTCATTCCAAGCACAAATAACGCAATTATCTTCGATTCAGGCATAGTTCCCAGATATTTTTGAAAACCATCCAATAATTCTGATATATCCTCATGATTTTGGGTTGACATAGGGTCATTTGGTATCAGAAGCGTTAAACGATTCATTTTTCCGCTTTCGTCAGCTCTCGCCCCACAAATTATCAATTTTCCCGAATGAATTAGTGCAGTATCTATATTTCAATGTATTTTTAAGTGAGTTATGCTAAGTTCCCTAAAAACTCACTAATAAACGGCAATCCAGCCAACCTTGAAACAGTAAACTTTTTCCTGACAACAATCACTGCGTTTCCTGTGCTTTGCTCCAAAAACAAAACAGTTTGCGAGAACTGATATTGTTCTTGATCATAACTTATTGTAACTACGAGATTTTCGGCGAGAGCGTAGAAATCGATGATTTTTATGAGTTCCGCTAAATCCCAGTCTTCTTCCATCTCGAATGTTGAGTTCTAAAAGAAATTTCTGTGCATTTTGTCGTGGAATCAGGTGCCCTTGGAAAACACGAGATTTTACGAGAAAATGCAGATTTCTCAGTGGAGATTTCTGTGTATTTTGTCGTGGAATCAGGTGCCCTTGGAAAACACTAGATTTTACGACAAAATGCAGATTTCTCGGTGGAGATTTCTGTGCATTTTGTCGTAGAATCAGGTGCTCTTGAAAAACACTAGATTATACGACAAAATACAGATTTCTCAGTGAAAATTTCTGTGCATTTTGTCGTGGAATCAGGTGCCCTTGAAAAACACGAGATTTTACGTCAAAATGCAGATTTCTCGGTGAAGATTTCTGTGCATTTTGTCGTAGAATCAGGTGCCCTTGGGAAATACTAGATTTTAGATGTGATTGCACACTCTTGAATCTATAAACACGATTTTCTGCATTTTGTCGTAGGGTTCAGTGTTTCTTTGAAAAGATCATCATATTTCACATAAGAAACACGGAATTTGACGACAAATTGCAGAAAATCGACCAATTCACGATATTTCACGATTCTCCAGCGAAAAATCTGTGCATTTTGTCGTGGAACCATGTGCCCTTGGAAAACACTAGATTTTACGAGAAATTGCACATTTTTGAATCTATAAACACGATTTTCTGCATTTTGTCGTAGGGTTCAGTGTTTCTTTGAAAAGATCATCATTTTTCAGATGAGAAACACGAAATTTTACGACAAAATGCAGAAATTCACGATTTTCCAACGAAAAATCTGTGCATTTTGTCGTAAAATCCAGCATTCTCAAAGAATACACCGAACCCTACGACAAACTACACTTTCTCACTAACATTCCCCGAAAAAACATGATATTTACAAATACATCTCATCGGAATCTCCTGAATAATCATTGGCATCTGATCGTCTCCCATATCCACAATTCTAGTTTGAGCCTTGTATTTCAGCGAATAGGCGATCTGAAAATACAATTTTGTCTGGAATTTCGTCGATTTTCAAACCGTCGAATCTCGATTAGTGGCTAGAAATTGAGGCGAATCCATTGAGCTCGGCGGAAATGTCGGTGTAAAAAACGAGAGTTTGTTTTTCGATAAAAATTTCATATTTTCACTATTGTTGCGTTTTCGAGTACTATACAAATCTAAAATAACCATCATTTTTGAGGGGTTTTTCCTCTAGAAAATGTCACGTCAAAAATAAAATTCATATAGGTCAAAATAAAAATAACATAACATAGCACAAAAATAGATTTAGTTTGATCCTTCAAAAATCGCCTGCAGACAGTCTATGAACTTTGTTCGATCTTCGGATTTTAGTTGGATAACTGTAAATCAAAATTATTTTAATTAGATGGGGAAAAGTTAGGCTAACTCACCATCCGAATCGAAGGTATCATTGGTGATTCGTAATTTCGGCGCCATTTTTTTGACACGTTCAAAAGCCCGGCCAATGCATCTGAAAATCCGGAATTTCGGAATTTCCCATTTTCCCCTTCAAAAAACTCACGTTTTCAATAAACTATCCTCATAAACTGTAGCCAACGGCATAACTCCCGTGACCACAAGCCATCCCTGTTTTTCCGCAGTCAATGGGAACATTGCGATAAGTGGTTTTGCGGTTCGTCCCTTTTTCATCGATGCAAAAGATCGCAACATGAAATTCGTCGTATTGTACAGAAAATGTCGTGATTCGATCATTTCCTCGTCTGAAAATATTAGAAAAAACTACATTTTCGTCCGGTTGGACATCGACTAAATGACATTTTCATGTTTTTTAAGCAAATTAGTTGAAATATTGGGTTTTAATGTTATTCATATGATAGAATGGTCTAAGACGAACAGATTGATATAAATTTTGATGACTTTACGTAATCCATAAGGGATTTAGCGACGTTTAGTCGATAAGCCGCTAAATCACTTATGGATAACGTAAAGTCATCAAAATTTATATCATTATGTTCGTCTTCGACCATTCTATCATGTGAATAAAGTTAGAACCCAATATTTCAACTAACTTGCTTAAAAAACCTGAAATTGCCATTCAGTCGATGTCCAACTATACTTACCAATCGGTCTCGTGCACGAAAATAGATAATACGGTCCATTTGGTATGATTTCTGATTGATTAATTGCGGCGGCCATCGTTTTCCACGATACCAAAAGTGTTCGTTGGCATACGGTTTCGAAGGTTTGTTGAATGTTGAAACGATGTGATTTGGCGCCGGAAATTGAGCTTCTTAGGAGTTGGGTTCCGCACATGAAGCGATCCATTGACTGGAAATTTTTTGGCTTGATTCAATCTCTTTTTCGGGCCTACTCAGGCTTACTCAGGCTTCCAATTTTTCCGAAATCCTAGTAATTTTTCCCAAATCCCCATACCTTTTTCGTCTTCGGCATTTCCATTCTCACCGAAATTCCTCTCGCCAAATCAGCCGCACTCAATTTCGCACAATATCCCAAATGCGCGAAAAATGTGGCGAAAGACGAATCAATTTCCTTCTCCAAAATATCTGTCACCACATTTCGTTGCTCGGTTGATAGAGCCTCGAATTTCTGGCGCGTTTCAGCCAAAGTGATGCTGAAATTATTCGTCTTCATTTTTTGTCGAGATAAAAGTTAGGCTAACTCACCCAAGCGAAGCCAATAAATGTCGTATATTCACATCTCCTCTTTGTGTCCAATTTTTGGTTTTAATCGAAAAATACTCGTCAATCATCATTGCACTATACAAATCCCAATGTGAATATAAAGCAAGGGGGAGTCTGAAAACGATATTCTAGCGAATCCAGGATTTCGGCTAACTCACTCTTTTCCAAATGAGATGTGTAATTGATCGTCTTGTTTTCCTTGATTCACAATATTTCTCGGCGAGAATTTGTGGATAAATGGTCGCATTCGATCGATACAAATTGAGGTGTACATTTCGATTGAGATCTAAAAAGTTCTCTGAGTTAGGCTAACTTGAGATCTTCATGATCCTGGAAGTTTAAAACTAGAAATTCCTTTTTTCAATAAATTTTGAAATTTTAAAATCCTGCGGAAAACTGCTGTGGAATTTTTCAAGAAAAATGCAGAAAATTTGAATTTTTATGAAATTTCGGCTCAGAATCCAAAAAAATTGTATTTCCGATGAGTTCGAGATATAAATTCTGCATTTCATTGAGTTTCAAGTTTCTAAACGAAATTCGTAGGCTAAATATAGCAATTTTTCGGCTTTATTTAAAATTTCCTATTCGAAGTTTTGATAAAGAAGCTTGAAAATCACAGAGTTTTCAACAAAAGCCAAATCTAGCCCCTCTTATAGTTGGGCATCGACTAAATGACATGTTCAGGTTTTTTAAGCAAGTGAGTTGAAATATTGGGTTCTAATGTTATTCATATGATAGAATGGTCTAAGACGAACAGAATGATATAAATTTTGATAAGTTTACGTTATCCATAAGGGATTTAGCGAGGTTTAGTCGATATTTTGTCGATAAGTCGCTAAATCACTTATGGATAACGTAAAGTCATAAAAATTTATATGATTCTGTTCGTCTTAGACCATTCTATCATATGAATAACATTAGAACCCAATATTTCAAATCACTTGCTTAAAAAACATGAAAATGTCATTTAGTGGATGTCCAACTATAGCGCCTCCCCAAATCCCTCACCAATCGATCAATAAAAGCACTATTCAATCCAACCGCCGCAAACCACATCATTTCAGCCGATGTTCTATTCAATTCCGCGGCCAATTCCAATAATCTAACACAACTTGGTGCACCATTCCAAGTCGATTCATAATAAGTCCACAACAAATTCTGTCGTCTTCTCTCCCACAATCTCGCCTCCTCTCTTTTTATCGCTTTCCGCTGAATCTTTTCCATTCTTCCCTCATAAGATGATTCTTGTTCCTCATCTTCTTCATCATCATCCGTATCATCATCCGATTCATCCTTGATCACTTCATTCGGTTGGGGAAGTCGGAGTTCTTCTAACTCTTGTTCATCAATCAACACATTAACCTGATCATTTTCGAACATGTTTTCGATGTGAAATGGTCGATGAGAATCGATTATATAAATTGTGGCTGCTGGTGGTAGTTGAATTCGTGAAAGTGAACGAGTTGCACCACAATTTATCATAATTATTGAAGTTTTTTGATCTTGAAGATCCAATAAACTTTGTTCGATTGATTCCCAACCATCGACGGCAATGATTGTGTAGGGAACATCGTCGCATTTTAGAAGATGCTGAAAATTTCAGAGTTTTCTTTGGTGTTTGATGAAATACTGTGGTTTTTCGCTCCAAAACCATACAAACTTTAAATTGCCTGGCAACACAGAAATAATCATGTTCTAAAATGAAAGTTTATCACTTGAATAAACTAGTTTTGATTTTCAAAAGTCAGAAAATGCTCCGTGAGCCCAAGGGGACTAGGTTTACATCCTAGTCCCCGTGCGCTCACGGAGCATTTAGGTGACTTTTGAAGGTCGAAACTAGTTTATTCAGGTGATAAACTTTCATGATTATTTCTTCGTTTCGAGGCCCTTTCAAAGGCGCACTAAATTTCATTCTATTTTGGTCTCGAAGCGATTTCCCCTCCTCCTTTCCTATGTATTTTTAATTAGCCCCACACCTGCTTTTGCTCATAATTTTCCTCTCCTTTCTCTCCCTTTTCATTAAAAAATATCGATTTTCTTTCAGAATTTAAAAAAATCAACAAAAATGCGTTTTGTGCCGGGTCAGCGATGTTTAATAGTTTGGCTAGTTTTGATGCTCACACTTATTGCACTTGTTATGTATTTGGTGAGTTTTTTCCCATAAAAACTTGGAGGTTTTCCATAAAAACCATATTTTCAGGACAGTTTGGAAGGCTTTCGACAGCTGAAAGAATCGCAAAGCAATCAAAATCTGGAAGAGCCTCGTCCAATATTTCTAGCCTTGGTTTTATTCATCACCGATCTCGCCAGCTACATTACTGTTTTTTATAAATTCTACCATTTCTGCGTTCAAACACCCGGATCGAAATTCGCCAATTTAACCGAAGTTTGGCAATTCATTTGGCCAAGAAATCAATATTTTGTTGCTCAACTCGCAGTTCTCACATTAAAAGTCCTCTTTCAAATCTTCCTATTTCTTCGACTCATTTTTCATGTTGACGTCCCGATTTTATTGATTTTCATACCGTTTTGGGGTATTTTACTCATTATTTTGTACGATTTGACCATGCGACTTTACCGCATTCAAAAAGAAGACTAACTTATTCATTTTTTCGCTTCTTTTCCCGATCTCAAAACAAACGTGTAAATAAATAAACAATTCTTACCGATAAAATCATTGTTGTGCAAAGTGCATCTGTATCCACCGCCACAATTATAACAACACTTTGTCGTTTGATGACGTCATAGAATCCTTGGCGAAAATTTTCCTTGAGAATCATGGTCTGCAGAAAAAAATGATGAAAAATGAAAAAAAAAACAATTTTTTTGATGAAAGTGTTCAAAATGAGAGAGAAGGCGCGCTGTGCGATAGAGCGCATTTGATTGTTTGACATTTTTATGCCCTGGGAAGGCGAAGAAAAGTGTGAATAATGAAGGTTTTAGGGTACTTTGCAACAAGTGTTATAAAATTGCGTGGGAAAACAATAAAACATATAATTATCCATAAATCCATAAAGATTTCTATGGACTATTGAATAAACTTGAATTTGAGAAAGAATAACTTGAGAAAACCCGGGATTTCCAGCCGAAAAACAGAGAAAACTGAAAATTTTCTGCAAAAAAATGAGTTTGTCCGAGAGAAATACACAATCGCGACAGGACCCGTTCAAACAAATACGTGCGCCTTCAAAGGAACAAGAAAATTTGAAAAAAAAAGTCGAGACCCATGAATATTTTTGAATGTTCCTTTGAAATTTTATACGGTTTAGTAAAAAAATAATAAAATTTTAAAATTTTATTATTTTTTTACTAAACCGTATAAAATTTCCCCAAAATTTTGGAAAATATTGATTATTTAAAAAAAAGGTGGCCACGTTTCGATCGAATTCCAACGCGTTTTCTTGCCATTTCTAGTTATTTTGCTTTGGAAATTCGCTGAAAATGAAGAATTACAAATATGGTTTGAGAAGAAAGCTTCGGAAATTGAAGAAGAAAACAACTGGATGGTTCGATATTCCATATGAAATGCGAAAAAGTGTTATTTCTTATATGGACACACGATCAAAAGGTCTATTTTCTTGCTGTTCAAAATTGTGTTATGAAGAAGTTATGGAATCGACTGATTATATTAAAGAAATCGAATTCTCAGATAGCACGTCTGGATCAGCAATACGTTTTCGTTTCTTTGACGACTCACACAATTTTGAATTATGGTTTTTGGATGAATGCGAAGATAGGAATAATATTATTATTGAGGGTCATTCGTGAGTTTTTCGAGTTTGGTTTCATAAAAATATAAATTTTTAGAGAAGCATGTGAATATGAATGGATAATAAGAAAAACATGTGATGTCAGGAAAATGGCAATTGATTGTATGAACCGAATCATTGGAACCTGCATCAATTTAAAATCATTTGTATTCAATCCAGATACTCCGGTAAATAAGTCAAAATTAATCACCGATAATTTCTCTGTTTTCAGCATAGCTATCTTTTTGACAACTTCGGAATCAAGCATTTGAAAAAATTGGATTCTCTTCGAGTTTTTCAAAGATGGACACCGATTGATTTGGTTGAAAATGGATTTGTTTCTCTTGAAATGGTTTGTTTTGCAGATTTTCGAAAATGAAAAATAACATATTTTTCAGCTTTACAAAATGAAATGTGTCATAAAATTGCATGCCAATCTGAATTTGGAACAACTCCTCAAATTGTCGGCGCGAAAAATTCGACTGCTAGGAATGAAAATCGATTCGGAAGCTTTGAATGTTTATTGCAAGATGGTTCAAGCCGGGAAGCTCAATGAGAATATCAAGAAATTGAAGTTGGATATGGATAAAGATCATTTGTTGGATCCAAAAAAAGTTGTGGCGGGTTTGAATACTGTTCAAAAACATGAAATGTGAGTTTGCAGTAAGATTGCCACGTCATAATAATCCACTTTTTCAGAGAAAACGATATAATCTCGTTTGAAATGAGTTTCGAAACAAGACCGGATCGATATGCTATGATTCGAATCGAGCCGAAATCTTTTCTTATGATTATTCGACTCGAAGAGCGTAGATATGAGTATAGGGAAACTTTGGATTTTGATGACCATTTTCCCGATGTTATGCGGTCTGATTCTTTTTTAAACCAACCTGCGTTTCTGACAGATGAAAATCGATGGACACAATCTGATGATGAATTTTAGCGACTTCAATTTTTTTGGCATGCTAATTATACTTGTTTTAAATTATGTTGATTGTTCAACCGATCATTTCTATACACATCTTTTTTAGTAAATAAATAAATCACTTTCTTCTGCCCAAAAAAATCTTGAAGTTCTCCATCATCACAACTTTCGGCTGGAGATAGTCCATCTGCATCCCGTGAAGTTCGGCTAAGTTTCGACGATGAAATTGATTGGAATTCATTTGTTGGGCATCTTTTAGATACTGTCTTGAGAAAATACTATTTTTTGACCAACTTTTTTTCGGTTGCGAAAAATGCAAAAAATGTTTTTAAACGGCAGCGTTTGCGTGACCCATTTCTAGATAACTTGTTGGATGACGTGTCTTTTGTCGTTTTTTTTCTTTCTGTGGATTTTTCGATTATTTCTGATTTATTTCATTCTACAAATCATGGTCGTTGAAGACAAATTGAGGATTTCAGAAACTGGATTCGGTGGAATGATGGAAGTGCAAGAAAACTTATCAGAAGACAAACTTCAATTATTTTTGACGAAGTGACCGGATGAAATGAACAACCTCGAAATTGTCGGTTTTTATTGGGTTAGTTTTTTGAAATCAAATAAAAATCATCGCAGAATCAATATATTTCGCTCTTTTTTGCTTCAAAGAAAAAATCATGGGTAAAAGTTTCTTTTGGGCCGAAAATATTATCATAAAATAATTCTTCACACCCTTCAGATTCCAAATGCAAATATTGGAAGTGACGAAACGTTGAGAGGCGAAGAGTTGTGTCGAAATTTTTGCGAAGAATTGAAAATCAAATTTGATCTTCTGGATGAATTTTCATTGGAAGTTCAGCAACAACAATTGGACAGTGACAACGCAATGGAGCAGTTGATTAGTGAGTTGGTGAAAGAATCGAAAAGAATAAGATTGACAATTGAAAAAAGAGTAAGTTCTGACTGATTATCAAAATATGTTTGGTTGATGTAAACATTTTCAGGTTTTGCTGGCTGAATATTTATTGACAAAGGAGCATGTGATCGGATCAATTTTCGAGCAAAGAACTTGGCGGAAACATTTGGAAGACGCCATCGACCCAGATATTGTGAAGGTAAGAAAAATGAATTGAGTGAATGATAATAACCTATTTTTTTAAAGGTAATATGGCATCCGATATTTGTTATTGTTCATTTCGCGCAAATCAAAGAACAGTTGCTTGAAAAAGGAAAAGGTGCGACCAAAGACATCATCACCAAAATTGTTCAAAAAATGCACGACAAAAATCATTCGGAAGCCGATGAAATTCTTGGAAAAATTGGAAAGATGAAAACAGCAGCGGGTGTTTCGGTGAGTTTTTTTTTATTATTATCATTATTTGTAATCTCAAAAATGTATTTTTCAGGCGCATGTATCGAAAGTGTTCACTTTTATGTCACGAGGTAACGGAAAACATGATGAGCAAAACATTTTGATCGAATATCCCTTCATCGATGCGCAAGAATTTTTGAGGTGGGTGGACTTTTTTTTAATTCAAAAAAAATCAAAGAATTTTTCAGAGAAATGGACACTCGTCCAAGTCGAGGAATTATTGCGATAACATCCGAGCTGCAAAAGTATTTCGAGAAGAAGAAGTTGGCTGTCGATCCAGAAACATGCACAATTCCAGTTGTTGGCGGCTCGTCCAGCCATAAATTGACAAATCTCGAAGGACTACAACTTTTCTTCAAAATCAAATCACCGGACAGCACTCGATTGACTATCAATCCATCTTCTGGTTTTATTGATTCATTTGGTTCAACAAATATCATCATCACCCGCACACCAGAAGAGGACATCGAAATAGTTGAACCAAACGAGGAAAACGTTGTTATATATTTTGCTCCAACTTCAGCCGATGCAATTCACAATTTTCAACCAGCCGGATCTATAACTATTCAAGTGTTGACTGATCCGAAAACTTGATGCGCTTTGATTTTCATTAACTTGTTTTTTGTGTAGAATAGTTTCATTGTTTTTGGTGATTGTTCGACTTCGAGATGAAGCTTAGATTCCAGATAAAGTTTAAATTTTGATACACGTGTTTTTTCTCTCCAGTTTTTTGCTTTCTCCGCCCTTCAAAGCTTAGGCTTCGCTTTCAAAGAGAATTTGAAAATAAAGTCGAGACCCACGAATATTTTTGAATGTTCCTTTAAAATTGTACTACATGTACACATACAATATTGTTCCTGGTTTCTTGGCTCAAAAAAATCTACATTCGAAATTTACTGCAAGGATTTTTGACTGAAAAAAATGTTTCAAACGGTTTGACAGGCTGTAAATGCGGAACATTGTAGTTTCCATGCTTCTCTGAAAATCTGAATTTCAGTCTTCTAAAACTTAATCTTGAAATTTCGTGTTTTCAGGGTCAAAAATTACAAATTTAAGAGATTTCTAGTAAAAATTTTTGAATTTCAGAATTTCTTAATGAAAATCATTGAATTTTAGCTCAAAAATTCGAAGTTTTGAAGCTTTTCCAAGTCACAAAAAAATCCCGAAAATTTTACGTTTCACCATTTTTCTATCTGAAAATTGAGATTACGAAATTCAGTTTAATAAAATTTTGCCAGTCTCAACGAAAATTCACTGAAAATATCTGAAAATCCGGTTAAATTTCAGAATTTTTCACAAAAAAATCTTGAAAATTGCTCATTTTAACGCTAGGACCATTAAAAACCTGAAATTTTCTGAAAAATTTGCCTCAAATCTAATTTTTTCGAACAAAAAAAAAAACAAATTGTAGAAGTATCGAATTTTTCAAACAAAAAAATTGCCACGTGGTTTTTGAAATTTTGAACTAAAACCTAATTTCTGAATTTTACCTAGAAAACTGAATTTTAGCTCAAAAATTTGAAGTTTTGAAGCTTTCCAAGTCACAAAAAAATCCCGAAAATTTTACGTTTCACCATTTTTCTATTAGAAAATTGAGATTACGAAATTCAGTTTCATTGTGAATCATTTGGCTCTAAAAAAAACGATTTTGAAGTTTCAGAATTCTATTGTCAGTTGGCCAAAAAAGAACTGCTGGCATATGCAATTTCAATGAAAAATAAGAAAATTACTGGAAAAACTATACATATATTTTTGACGTGACCTTTTTATGATTGAATTTCATTTCGATATTTCTCGGAACCTTTTTTACTCAACACTTCAAATCGTGTATAAGAGGCTACAGTAACCAAAAAGACAAAAACTTTTTGCGGTTTTTGAATCGGGGAAAGTCTTCTTTTTGGTGCCAAAAGCAAGAAATTTTCAAAAAGTGGTCCGATTTTTTGGGTCCAATTCAGAATTTTTCTCGAAAAATCAGACCTGGCCCGATTCAAAATTTCTGAAAAATGTTCAACTCTAATTGTTCGATCCATTGTCGGAATTTCTTCGTTGTCTTCTTGAGAATTATTTTTTGATTTTTTTTTTTGAAAAAACTTGGGTCTGTGGGCTTGTATTTTAAAACACAATCCAAAAGTTCACTCTGGAAACGCCGAGAAAAAAAGTTCGCCAAGTCTCCCAAAAACAACTTTTCCGAAAAATGTCCAATTTATCGAAATTGTTTTTTTTTTCATTGTAAAAGAATGATCACGTAATTGATTTTTTCAACGGCCCCGGTCGTCACGTGTTCTATTTTTGCAAAAAAAAAAAAGTTGAAATATATTTGGCCATTTCTCGAGATTTTTCGATTGAAAAGCGCCTCTGAAATTTTCTAAAAATGAGTAAGTGATACCGTACAAACTTGTTTATATGACAATCTTGCTTATATATATTTTTTTTAGACTTCGAAAATGTGCTTCTTGGTATGATCCAACCGACCGAAGCCAAATGTAAAAAGAAAAGGAAGAGGTGTAATGTCGCCAATTAAAAGTGGCACATCATACTGGTTCTGGGTGCAAGGTGGTAATTTGGAGTCGGCCAAAATTTCAATAAGTCTAGGTAAGAAATAATGATCAATATTGTGAAAAATATCACATTTCTTCAGTTGAATCAGAGCAGAAAATCGATTTTTTTTCGAAATTCGACAGAAAGAAGCAAAACATTGTCGTGTTGTATTGTGTTTCTCACTGTGAGGTCAAAATCTCTCGATTAAAATCGATTTCGGAAAAAATCAATTTTCAACATTATTGGCAATCAACGATTCTCAAGAAGACAACGAAGAAAATTCGACAATGGATCGAACAATTAGAGAATTGGTGAGTTGAACATTTTTCGAGAAATTTTGAATCGGAGAACCATAGGAATCGGGCCAGGTCCGATTACTATTGAAAAAATGTCACCTTGGTTCGAATCAAAAACCCTTCAAAATCAGGCCCGATTCCTATGGTCCGATTCAAAAACTGTAAGACTACAAAAAATTTTATCGCAAAAATAAAGAAAAGTAAAACCACCGAGAGGTTTTTATCCTGAAGCGCAGAGAGGAATAATCATTTTTCTCATTCTCGCAATAAATTTGAGTCTTGCAGCAAACCCCCATTGGAAAAATCACTCAAGCGATTTACCATCGATTTCCTCATTCAATTGCCAAAATGTTACGACATCAACGCAGTAAGTTAATTATCAAAAAGCGCAAAACCGGCTTGTGCACCAAGTCAGTTCATTCTGGAACCTCCCATGTGAGCTCAGGAAATTTTAAACTCTGGGAATTGAATTTCAGATTGGAAGACAATGGTGCCGTAGAAAATGAAGAAGCGGGTGAACCGAAACCGAAACTACAAAAGGTATGGCATGGTAAAAATAATACGTTTTAGAATGTAGTGCAAATAAATATTGGTATTATTGAATAAACTTGTTTTTCTGGATATTTTGGAACGTACCACGCCCAGCGTGAGGCATTTGCACGGCGCCAATAGAAAAAAAAGCAATTCACCTCGCCAATTTGAGATTTTCTTCAAAAAAAGCAAATTTTTGCTTGTTTTTCCGTAAAAAAGTCGTATTTCTCAGTCGAAAAGGTTGTTTTCACCTCGCCAAAAATTTTCAAAACCCACACCGCCAATTTTAAAAGTTAATTTGCACGACGCTGGGCGTGGTATCTAAAATTTGGAAGTCGAGCGCAATACTAACATCCGGAAATATATTAAACTTTATACAAAAAAACAATGTTTTCAAAAAACATCAAAATTTTCGAAAGAAAAAACATGAAAAACCCGTGAATTATGAACCGATATTAAGAAAAAAACATTAACATAAAATAAAAAAGATCTAATTGGACAAAATAACAAATTTCCACGAATGAATTGTTGAAAAATATGGAGAATGTGATTTGAGATCAATCGAATATCCACTAACCGATCCTTTCGATTTCAATTCTCGTTTTTCTCGATCTGTCCAATTTATCCAAAGTGGTTCATCGGAAGAATTCGAATTCGTATCGACTCGTTTTCTTTCCGCTTTCCAAACACTGATTTGTTCGCGGTTTCGAAGATCGTCCGTTAGTTTTTTCACAACTTCTTTCTGCAAAAATTGAGATTTTTGGCGTAATCTTCCGCATTTGCAGTCCAGGCTTTTGTGACTTCTTCGTGGATTTTTATGCATTTATGGATTCCGGGTTTTTTGGAACGAAAGTTTTTGCTATGAATTTTCGAAGGGATCTTGAGTGCAAAACCACGAACAACATCAATGTAAACATCGCAAACGCACTCATAAAAACTGAAATTTTCCCCAAGTTATCCCATCTCAGTGAGAGGGAATAGACTGTGGGGATGCATGAGAAGAAATATAAGCACCAGAAGAGTAGGACTCTGAAATATTGAAACTACGACACTCCGGGTTTACACTTCAGATGACCAAAATCTCAAAAGCTCCGTGAAAAACCATGAATTTTAATCAAAAATGCACATCGTAATCGCGGAGCATCGTTTAGAAACGATACAAAGCTCGGGCTACAAGAAAACTACAAAAGTTCTGAAAATATAAAATCATCAGTTTTTTCAGGTCTGTGCGCTTGTATTTTTCACTCTGGAAACGCCGCCCAGAAAAAAAGTTCCCCAAGTCTCCCAAAAACAACTTTTCCGAAAAATGTCCAATTTATCGAAATTGTTTTTTTTTTCATTGTAAAAGAATGATCACGTAATTGATTTTTTCAACGGCCCAGGTCGCGTCACGTGTTCTATTTTTGCAAAAAAAAAGTTGAAATATATTTGGCCATTTCTCGAGATTTTTTCGATTGAAAAGCGCCCCTGAAATTTTCTAAAAATGAGTAAGTGATACCGTACAAACTTGTTTATATGACAATTTTGCTTATATTTTTTAGACTTCGAAAATGTGCTTCTTGGGATGATCCAACCGACCGAAGCTCAATGTCGCCAATAAAAAGTAGCACCCCATACTGGTTTTGGGTCCAAAGTGGAGACTTGGAGTCGGCGAGAATTTCAATAAGTCTAGGTAAGAAATAATGATCATCGTTGTGAAAAATATCACATTTTTTCAGTTGAATCGGAGCAGAAAATCGAATTTTTTCGAAATTCGACAAAAAGAAGCAAAACATTGTCATTTTGTATTGTGTTCCTCATTGTGAGGGTCAAAATCTCTCGATTAAAATCGATTTCGGAAAAAGACAAATCTCAACATCATTGGCAATCAACGATTCTCAAGAAGACAACGAACAAAATTCGACAATGGATCGAACAATTAGAGAATTGGTGAGTTGAACATTTTTCAGAAATTTTGAATCGGACCATAGGAAATTCTGAATCGGACCCAAAAAATCGGACCACTTTTTGAAAATTTCTTGCTTTTGGCACCAAAACGAAGATGACTTTCCCCGATTCCTTCAAAATCGGGTCCGATTTTTGAGCGCAGAGAGGAATAATCATTTTTCTCATTCTCGCAATAAATTTGAGTCTTGCAGCAAAGCGACCCCCATTGGAAAAATCACTCAAGCGATTTACCATCGATATCCTCATTCAATTGCCAAAATGTTACCACATCAACGCAGTAAGTTAATTATCAAAAATCGAAATCAAAAAGCGCAAAACCGGCTTGTGCACCAAGTCAGTTCATTCTGGAACCTCCCATATGAGCTCAGGAAATTTTAAACTCTGGAAATTGAATTTCAGATTGGAAGACAATGGTGCCGTAGAAAATGAAGAAGCTGGTGAACCGAAACCGAAACTACAAAAGGTATGGTATGGTAAAAATAATTCGTTTTAGAATGTAGTGCAAATAAATATTATTGAATTCAAAAAAATAAACTTGTTTTTCTGGATATTTTGGAACGTACCACGCCCAGGGTGAGGCATTTGCACGGCGCCAATAGAAAATACGGCAATTCACCTCGCCAATTTGAGATTTTCTTCAAAAACAGCAATACTAACATCCGGAAATATATTAAGCTTTATACAAAAAAACAATGTTTTCAAAAAACATCAAAATTTTCGAAAGAAAAAAAACATGAAAAACCCGTGAATTAGGAACCGATATTGAGAAAAAACATTAACATAAAATAAAAAAAGATCTAATTGGACAAAATAACAAATTTCCGCGAATGAATTGTTGAAAAATATGGAGAATGTGATTTGAGATCAATCGAATATCCACTAACCGATCCTTTCGATTTCAATTCTCGTTTTTCTCGATCTGTCCAATTTATCCAAAGTGGTTCATCGGAAGAATTCGAATTCGTATCGACTCGTTTTCTTTCCGCTTTCCAAACACTGATTTGTTCGCGGTTTCGAAGATCGTCCGTTAGTTTTTTCACAACTTCTTTCTGCAAAAATTGAGATTTTTGGCATAATCTTCCGCATTTGAAGAGTAGGAAATCTGAAATATTGAAACTACGACACTGCGTGTTTACACTTCAGATGACCAAAATCTCAAAAGCTCCGTGAAAAACTATGAATTTTGATCAAAAATGCTCATAGTAATCGCGGAGCATCGTTTAGAAACGATACAAAGCTCGGGCTACAAGAAAACTACAAAAGTTCTGAAAATATAAAATCATCAGTTTTTTCAGGTCTGTGGGCTTGTATTTTAAAACACAATCCAAAAGTTCACTCTGGAAACGGCCAGAAAAAAGTTCCCCAAGTCTCCCAAAAACAACTTTTCCGAAAAATGTCCAATTTATCGAAATTGTTTTTTTTTCATTGTAAAAGAATGATCACGTAATTGATTTTTTCAACGACCCAGGTCGTCACGTGTTCTATTTTTGCAAAAAAAAAGTTGAAATATATTTGGCCATTTCTCGAGATTTTTTCGATTGAAAAGCGCCCCTGAAATTTCCAAAAAATGAGTAAGTCATACCGTACAAACTTGTTTATATGACAATCTTGCTTATATATTTTTTTTAAACTTCGAAAATGTGCTTCTTGGGATGATCCATCCGACCGAAGCTCAATATCGCCAATTAAAAGTGGCACATCATACTGGTTCTGGGTGCAAGGTGGTAATTTGGAGTCGGCCAAAATTTCAATTAGTCTAGGTAAGAAATAATGATCAATGTTGTGAAAAATATCACATTTTTTCAGTTGAATCGAAGGAGAAAATCGTTTTTTTTTTCGAAATTCGACAAAAAGACGCAAAACATTGTCGTGTTGTATTGTGTTCCTCATTGTGAGGGTCAGAATATCTCGATTAAAATCGATTTCGGAAAACATCAATTTTCAACATCATTGGCAATCAACGATTCTCAAGAAGACAACGAAGAAAATTCGACAATGGATCGAACAATTAGAGAATTGGTGAGTTGAACATTTTTCAGAAATTTTGAATCGGGCCAGGTCTGATTTTTCGGGAAAAATGTCTGAATCGGACCCAAAAAATCGGACCACTTTTTGAAAATTTCTTGCTTTTGGCACCAAAAAGATGACTTTCTCCGATTCCTTCAAAATCGGGTCCGATTCCTATGGTCCGATTCAAAAAAGTTTTTGTCTTTTTGGTGTAGCCCCACCATGTGTCATTTTGTACAGAGCTATGTGCGGGAAAAAATCGGAATAAATTTGAGTCTTGCAGCAAAGCGACCCCCATTGGAAAAATCACTCAAGCGATTTACCATCGATATCCTCATTCAATTGCCAAAATGTTACGACATCAACGCAGTAAGTTAATTATCAAAAAGCGCAAAACCGGCAATGAGACTTGGTAAACATATAGATTCGAACCCGCTGATCTCGCTATAGTGGCCCATTGAGATCAGCGGCTTGTGCACCAAGTCTCATTAAAAGTTCATTCTGGAACCTCCCATGTGAGCTCAGGAAATTTTAAACTCTGGAAATTGAATTTCAGATTGGAAGACAATGGTGCCGTAGAAAATGAAGAAGCTGGTGAACCAAAACCGAAACTACAAAAGGTATGGCATGGTAAAAATAATTCGTTTTAAAATGTAGTGCAAATAAATATTATTGAATTCAAAAAAATAAACTTGTTTTTCTGGATATTTTGGAACGTACCACGCCCAGGGTGAGGCATATGCACGGCGCCAAGAGAAAATACGGCAATTCACCTCGCCAATTTCAGATTTTCTTCAAAAAAAGCAAATTTTTGCTTGTTTTTCCGTAAAAAAGTCGTATTTCTCAGTCGAAAAGGTTGTTTTCACCTCGCCAAAAATTTTCAAAACCCACACCGCCAATTTAAAAAAAAAAAATTTGCACGTTTTTTTAGAGCCAAATGATTCACAATGAAACTGAATTTCGTAATCTCAATTTTCTAATAGAAAAATGGTGAAACGTAAAATTTTCGGGATTTTTTTGTGAGTTGGAAAATCCGGTTAAATTTCAGAATTTTTCACAAAAAATCTTGAAAATTGCTCATTTTAACGTTAGGACCATTAAAAACCTGAAATTTTCTGAAAAATTTGCCTCAAATCTAATTTTTTCGAACAAAAAAAAACAAATTGTAGAAGTATCGAATTTTTCAAACAAAAAAATTGCCACGTGGTATACCCCTCCAGCCGCTCGCTTAGCCGCTCAAAACGAGGCGCTCGCTCGAGCTTCTGAGCGCCTAAGCCGCTTGAGCCAACGAGCGGCTTGGATGGCTTGAGCCGCTGAGCGGCTAGAGCCATTTGAGCCGCTCGCTCGCTAAGCCGCTCGAGCATGGAGCCGCTCGAGCGCCTCAGCGGCTTAGGCGCTCGAGCCACCAAGCCGCTCAAGCCGCTGAGGCGCTCGAGCGAGCGAGCCGCTCGAGCGGCTCGAGCGGCTCGCTCCATTTTCAAAAAAAAATTTTTTTTCTATACGAAAATTGTGAAACAGTGGTTTTTTTCATAATTTTTGGGTACTTCGAAAATGAAATATTTGTATTGGGACATGGTCCTTGGGTCATGAAAAAATTTTTTTAATTTGAAAAAAAAGTGGGCGGGGCTTATTTTTAGTTTAAAGCTGAAAACACTAAAAAATCAAAAAATTCAAAATTTACCAAAAATTTTCTGGTTTTTTTCTAGATGACTTCTAGTTTATTTTTGAATGTTTTTGACGATAAAAAACACACAAAATTCTCAGATAACTGACGATTTTCAGCTATTTTTTATCGAAAATCTGCAATTATGTGTTTATTTTTTTGATATTTCAAGCCGGAAAAAAGCTGAAAATTGTCAGCTATCTGAAAATTTGAAGTATTTTTCATCATCAAAAGCATTAAAAAATCATCTAGAAAAAAACCAGAAAGTTTTTGGTAAATTTTGAATTTTTTAGTGTTTTCAGCTCTAAACTGAAAAATAAGCCCCGCCCACTTTTTTTTTTCAAATTAAAAAAATTTTTTCATGACCCAAGGACCATGTCCCAATACAAATATTTCATTTTCGAAGTACCCAAAAATTATGAAAAAAACCACTGTTTCACAATTTTCGTATAGAAAAAAATTTTTTTTTTGAAAATGGAGCGAGCCGCTCGAGCGGCTCGCTCGCTCGAGCGCCTCAGCGGCTTGAGCGGCTTGGTGGCTCGAGCGCCTAAGCCGCTGAGCCGCTCGAGCGGCTCGCTCGCTCGAGCGGCTTAGCGAGCGAGCGGCTCAAATGGCTCTAGCCGCTCAGCGGCTCAAGCCATCCAAGCCGCTCGTTGGCTCAAGCGGCTTAGGCGCTCGAGCGAGCGGCTCGCTCGGCTCGTGAGCCGCTTCAAGCCGCTCAATGACGAGCGGCTGGAGGGGTATACCACGTGGATTTTGAAATTTTGAACTAAAACCTAATTTCTGAATTTTACCTAGAAAACTGAATTTTAGCTCAAAAATTTGAAATTTTGAAGCTTTTCCAAGTCACAAAAAATCCCGAAAATTTTACGTTTCACCATTTTTCTATCTGAAAATTGAGATTACGAAATTCAGTCTCAAAAATTTTTGCGCATCTCAACGAAAATTCACTGAAAATGATTTTAAGCTTCCGAATTTCTCTGAAATTTTCGGATTTTCAGCTGAAAAATGCTAGAAATTTGAACGTTTTCCTAGAACTTTACCAAGAAAACTAAATTTTCACTCAAAAATTTGAAATTTTGAAGCTTTTCCAAGTCACAAAAAAATCCCGAAAATTTTACGTTTCACCATTTTTCTATTAGAAAATTGAGATTACGAAATTCAGTTTCATTGTGAATCATTTGGCTCTAAAAAAACGATTTTGAAGTTTCAGAATTCTATTGTCAGTTCTTTCAATGAAAAATAAGAAAATTACTGGAAAAACTATACATATATTTTTGACGTGACCTTTTTATGATTGAATTTCATTTCGATATTTCTCTCATAAGGGATTTTTTTGGGTCCAATTCAGAATTTTTCTCGATAAATCAGACCTGGCCCGATTCCTATGGCCCGATTCAACCATTTCTGAAAAATGTTCAACTCACCAATTCTCTAATTGTTCGATCCATTGTCGAAATTTGTTCGTTGTCTTCTTGAGAATTATTTTTTGATTATTTTTTGAAAAAACTCGGGTCTGTGGGCTTGTATTTTAAAACACAATCCAAAAGTTCACTCTGGAAATGCCCAGAAAAAAAGTTCGCCAAGTCTCCCAAAAACAACTTTTCCGAAAAATGTCCAATTTATCGAAATTGTTTTTTTTTCATTGTAAAAGAATGATCACGTAATTGATTTTTTCAACGGCCCAGGTCGTCACGTGTTCTATTTTTGCAAAAAAAAAAGTTGAAATATATTTGGCCATTTCTCGAGATTTTTTCGATTGAAAAGTGCCCCTGAAATTTTCTAAAAATGAGTAAGTGATACCGTACAAACTTGTTTATATGACAATCTTGCTTATATTTTTTTTTAGACTTCGAAAATGTGCTTCTTGGGATGATCCAACCGACCGAAGCCAAATGTAAAAAGAAAAGGAAGAGGTGTAATGTCGCCAATTAAAAGTGGCACATCATACTGGTTCTGGGTGCAAGGTGGTAATTTGGAGTCGGCCAAAATTTCAATTAGTCTAGGTAAGAAATAATGATCAATGTTGTGAAAAATATCACATTTTTTCAGTTGAATCGGAGGAGAAAATCGAATTTTTTCGAAATTCGACAAAAAGAAGCAAAACATTGTCGTGTTGTATTGTGTTCCTCATTGTGAGGGTCAAAATCTCTCGATTAAAATCGATTTCGGAAAACATCAATTTTCAACATTATTGGCAATCAACGATTCTCAAGAAGACAACGAAGAAAATTCGACAATGGATCGAACAATTAGAGAATTGGTGAGTTGAACATTTTTCAGAATGTTTGAATCGGACCCAAAAAATCGGACCATTTTTTGAAAATTTCTTGCTTTTGGCACCAAAAAGAAGATGACTTTCCCCGATTCAGAAAACCTTCAAAATCGGGTCCGATTTCTATGGTCCAATTCAAAAACCGCAAAAAGTTTTTGTCTTTTTGGTTACTTTAGCCCCACCAGAGCTTGTACAGACCTATGTGCGGGAAAAAATCGGAATAAATTTGAGTCTTGCAGCAAAGCGACCCCCTTTGGAAAAATCACTCAAGCGATTTACCACGGATATCCTCATTCAATTGCCAAAATGTTACCACATCAACGCAGTAAGTTAATTATCAAAAAGCGCAAAACAGGCTTGTGCACCACACCAAGTCAGTTCATTCTGAAACCTCCCATGTGAGCTCAGGAAATTTTAAACTCTGGAAATTGAATTTCAGATTGGAAGACAATGGTGCCGTAGAAAATGAAGAAGCTGGTGAACCGAAACCGAAACTACAAAAGGTATGGCATGGTAAAAATAATACGTTTTAGAATGTAGTGCAAATAAATATTGCTAATATTGAATTCAAAAAAATAAACTTGTTTTTCTGGATATTTTGGAACGTACCACGCCCAGCGTGAGGCATTTGCACGGCGCCAATAGAAAATACGGCAATTCACCTCGCCAATTTGAGATTTTCTTCAAAAACAGCAAATTTTTGCTTGTTTTTCCGTAAAAAAGTCGTATTTCTCAGTCGAAAAGGTTGTTTTCACCTCGCCAAAAATTTTCAAAACCCACACCGCCAATTTAAAAAAAAAATTTGCACGTTTTTTGGAGCCAAATGATTCACAATGAAACTGAATTTCGTAATCTCAATTTTCTAATAGAAAAATGGTGAAACGTAAAATTTTCGGGATTTTTTTGTGAGTTGGAAAATCCGGTTAAATTTCAGAATTTTTCACAAAAAATCTTGAAAATTGCTCATTTTAACGTTAGGACCATTAAAAACCTGAAATTTTCTGAAAAATTTGCCTCAAATCTAATTTTTTCGAACAAAAAAAAAACAAATTGTAGAAGTATCGAATTTTTCAAACAAAAAAATTGCCACGTGGATTTTGAAATTTTGAACTAAAAATTAATTTCTGAATTTTACCTAGAAAACTGAATTTTAGCTCAAAAATTTGAAATTTTGAAGCTTTTCCAAGTCACAAAAAACCCGAAAATTTTACGTTTCACCATTTTTCTATCTGAAAATTGAGATTACGAAATTCAGTCTCAAAAATTTTTGCGCATCTCAACGAAAATTCACTGAAAATGATTTTAAGCTTCCGAATTTCTCTGAAATTTTCGGATTTTCAGCTGAAAAATGCTAGAAATTTGAACGTTTTCCTAGAATTGATTTTTTCAACGGCCCAGGTCGCGTCACGTGTTCTATTTTTGCAACAAAAAAAAGTTGAAATATATTTGGCCATTTCTCGAGATTTTTTCGATTGAAAAGCGCCCCTGAAATTTTCTAAAAATGAGTAAGTGATACCGTACAAACATTTTTATTATAATTATTTCTTCTTGGTTTTTGGAAATGGAATGATAGTTAACTAGGTCACTTTCTGTTGAAATTATGAATGTATCCAGAAAAAAAAACCATTCATGAAAATTATTCTACAGACTTCGAAAATGTGCTTCTTGGTATGATCCATCCGACCGAAGCTCAATTAAAGGAAGAGGTGTGATGTCGGCAATAAAAAGTAGCACCCCATACTGGTTTTGGGTCCAAAGTGGAGACTTGGAGTCGGCGAGAATTTCAATAAGTCTAGGTAAGAAATAATGATCAATGTTGTGAAAAATATCACATTTTTTCAGTTGAATCGGAGCAGAAAATCGAATTTTTTCGAAATTCGACAAAAAGAAGCAAAACATTGTCGTGTTGTATTGTGTTCCTCATTGTGAGGGTCAAAATCTCTCGATTAAAATCGATTTCGGAAAAAATCAATTTTCAACATCATTGGCAATCAACGATTCTCAAGAAGACAACGAACAAAATTCGACAATGGATCGAACAATTCGAGAATTGGTGAGTTGAACATTTTTCAGAAATTTTGAATCGGACCATAGGAATCGGGCCAGGTCTGATTTTTCGAGAAAAATTCTGAATCGGACCCAAAATTTCTTGCTTTTGGCACCAAAAAGATGACTTTCCCCGATTCCTTCAAAATCGGGTCCGATTCCTATGGTCCGATTCAAAAAAAATATCGAAATGAAATTCAATCATAAAAAGGTCACGTCAAAAATATATGTATAGTTTTTCCAGTCATTTTCTTATTTTTCATTGAAATTGCGAACTGACAATTGAATTCTGAAACTTCTTCAAAATCGTTTTTTTTAGAGCCAAATGATTCACAATGAAGCTGGAAATAATTCTCAAGGTGGCAATGTTTTCAAAGATATTAAAGGTGGAACTGGAAATTTTCTATTACTACAAAATGAATAAAATTTTTGAAACGTATTTTCCAAGGGTTAAAAATTTCTGAACAAATTTTTCCAGATTTTCAGTCAAATTTCGAGCAAATCTTAGATTTTGAGGGTGGGATTGCGGAGCGAAAATTTGTGGGATAACTCATAACATTTCTAAATATATTAAACTTTATACAAAAAAAAATGTTTTCAAAAAACATCAAAATTTTCGAAAGAAAAAAAAACATGAAAAACCCGTGAATTATGAACCGATATTGAGAAAAAAACATTAACATAAAATAAAAAAAAGATCTAATTGGACAAATTAACAAATTTCCACGAATGAATTGTTGAAAAATATGGAGAATGTGATTTGAGATCAATCGAATATCCACTAACCGATCCTTTCGATTTCAATTCTCGTTTTTCTCGATCTGTCCAATTTATCCAAAGTGGTTCATCGGAATTCGAATCGACTCGTTTTCTTTCCGCTTTCCAAACACTGATTTGTTCGCGGTTTCGAAGATCGTCCGTTAGTTTTTTCACAACTTCTTTCTGCAAAAATTGAGATTTTTAGAGGAGCTCTAAAACTTGGAAACCCCTAAAAACCCTCACCTTATCATTAGCAAAATGCACAATAATCTTGGTTTTTCCATTCCTCAATTCCGCATTTTCTTTATTAACAACCAGTGTGAAATGTGGTAAAGAAGCCGAACTCAAAACCGGAATCGCATCAATTTTCTTCCAAAAATGTCGAACCGGAATCGGAGACCACGTGAAAAAATCAACATTTTTCGAGCCATCCAACAATTTGTGCACAATTTCCGCCTCCGATTTATCCAATATTGGTAAAGTGACAGTTTCAATGAGGCTCTTCTCATTTTCATTTATCAAAAGAAGATTTGAGAATCCGATATCTTCAATTGACCATTCATTGGATTTCAATGCATTTTGTTGATCGATTAGACGACTTGGTCGAATTGTATTAATATGTGAAAGTGAATCCAATTTTGAGGGGAAAGAATTCAAAAGTCGATGGGTTACTGGAGAAGAAAATGATGAAGAAGATGAGCTGGGAAGACCAAGATGAACATTTGGAAGAAGATCAGGAGATAGGCCAACTATTTTAAACCACGATTCGAAATCTGCAAAAATGAGGTGGGATTTCTGTATGTTTTGTTGAAAATCAAGTTTTTTCTGAAATTCTTTTTTTTTAATTTTGAACTTCAAAATTTGAAAAAAAAGCCTAAATTTTAGATTTGCGGGGAATTTTTGAAGTTTTGAATTTTTTCAAAATTTATATTTGGATTTCCGGCTCAAATTCAGCTACTGTTAAAATTAGAAATTATTTTCTAATTTTCAAAATTCTTGTAACTTTCGGAACAATTCAAGAATTCGGCTAAAATTTGAAAAAAAAATCTACAAATATTCCTGAATTTAGGATAAAATTTCTATTTGTTTTGTTAAAAATCGATATTTTTAAAAATTATTTTTTGTTCAAAATTCTTGAAAAGAAATTTTTTAGTTTTCGGAAAAAACTTCTAAAACAAGGGCTAAATTTCAAAAAAAATCCACAAACCTTCGGGAATTCCGGGCAACGCAAATGGTTGATACTTCGTTTCCAGCGCCAACAAATCAATCGAATTCTCCAAATCCTCAAATTCCAATCTCAACACAGTTTCCGGTGAAATACTCAAATATCTACCCGATATCAAATCCAACGCTCTTCCATTCTCCAAAATCACCAAATCCAATCCATCAATCTCAATTCCCCCCAAATAACCAACAGGAATCCAAAAACCTGGGTCCAAATCTTCCAAAACTTTTCCAAAAATACCACGCTCAATGAACTTAACAATTTTCGAATCTGTGGAAATCAAGCGAAGAGTTCCCATTTCATCACAAATCACTCCAAATCTTCTGCCATCTGAGCTCGAAATTGCGAATGGCAGATTATTTTCATCGTAGAAAATCGTGGAGATAACCGCGTTTTTCGAGAAATGCGAAACTTTCTTTGGATTTTTCGGATAGCCATAATATAAATTGATAAGATCTGCTGCTGCTCCTTTTTTAATCGAAATCAATCGATCTTCATGATCATAAATCAATTCAATATTCTCATTTTCTCCATCTTTTTTCGTTCGAATCAATCTTCCTTTTCCATCATATCCAAAACTAATATTATTCCTTTTTTGAACCCATCCAATTGTATCAACTTTATACAAAATATCCGCAAATATTTTCAATGCTCCACCTCGATGATATTCCACAATTTGATCATTCAATTTCTCCAATCTTCCATCCGAATTATATTTCAGAATCGTCTTCAAATCTCCTTGTTCAATTCCAGCCAATCTTCCCGATCCATCGAAACTTCGAATTGTTTTGATGGTTTTCGAGCCGAATCCAGATGTCTCTTGAATTTCGAGCAATTCCTCTTGTGCTCTTCCGAATCCATCTCGTTTTATGCTCATTTTTGCTCGCGCATCTCCAAACATCATTTTTATTTCGATGATTTGTCGATGCGAATCAATTTTCGATGTTTCATACATTAATCCATGACCTGAACTTCGACTTGTTGTTGCGTCGGAAATTACCGAAAATCCATTTAGAGATGCGATTCGACCAGTTCTTTCATCGTAGGAAATCTGAAAAATGAACCTTGATTTGGGGAAAAAGTGGATATGACGGTGAAAAATCCGATTTTTCTAATTTTTTCTTGAAAAATTCGAAATTTCATGGATTTTTTAGTTCTAAAATTCAAATTTTTATTCAAAAAACATTGTGATTTGGAAAAAAAATGCCACGTGGATTTTAAGCGCGAAAATAAAAAATTCAAATTTTTAACAAAAAAAATACCACGTGGATTTTAAAGCGCGAAAATACGAAATTTAAATTTTTGAAAAAACTGCCACGTGGTTTTTAAGCGCGAAAATACAAAATTCAAATTTTTAATTAGAAAAATGCCACGTGGATTTTAAGCGCGAAAATACAAAATTCAAATTTTTAATTAAGAATATTCCAGCGGAACGAACGCGGAAAACCGGAAAAAAAATGAAATTCTGGGAATTTCTTGGAAATTTCGTAGTTTCTCGTGGTAACTAACTAAGCCTAAGCCTAAAAATTTGGAATCACTCAAGTTTTCTCAAAAATCAGGCTTCCGCGCGGAACGAACGCGGAAAACCGTTAAAAAAATGAAATTCTGGGAATTTCTTGGAAATTTCGCAGTTTTTTCTGGGAACTAACTAAGCCTAAGCCTAAAAATTTGGAATCACTCAAGTTTTCTCAAAAATCAGGCTTCCGCGCGGAACGAACGCGGAAAACCGTTAAAAAAAATGAAATTCTGGGAATTTCTTGGAAATTTCGCAGTTTTTTCTGGGAACTAACTAAGCCTAAGCCTAAAAACTATAAATCAATCAAGTTTTCTCAAAAATCAGGCTTCCGCGCGGAACGAACGCGGAAAACCGTTAAAAAAATGAAATTCTGGGAATTTCTTGGAAATTTCGCAGTTTTTTCTGGGAACTAACTAAGCCTAAGCCTAAAAACTATAAATCAATCAACTTTTCTCAAAAATCAGGCTTCCGCGCGGAACGAACGCGGAAAACCGTTAAAAAAAATGAAATTCTGGGAATTTCTTGGAAATTTCGCAGTTTTTTCTGGGAACTAACTAAGCCTAAGCCTAAAAATTAGGAATCACTCAAGTTTTCTCAAAAATCAGGCTTCCGCGCGGAAACACGCGGAAAAAAAAATTCATTTTTTAAAATTTAGTACAAAAATTCAAAAATGTCATTAAAAACTTAAAAATCCGTTGATTTTTGTGTTGGCGAATCAGCAAATCTGAAAAAAAATACACTTTTCTCAAAAATTAGGTTTGCGCGCGGAACAAACGCGGAACAAACGCGGAAAATCGGAAAAATTAAAATTTCGGGACACATTTTTTTTTAGAAATTCCGCAGTTTTTTGTGGTAATTAACTAAGCCTAAGCCTGAAAATCAGGAAACTTTGCTAAACTTGAAATGCCGCGCGGAAAACACGCGGAAAATTCCGCGACCTTGCTAACTTTTAATATTTTGAACGAAAATTTGCTTTTTCTCAAATTTCAGACTGGAAATCTGAGAATTTTCAGGCTTCAGGCCTGATTCGGGCCTAAAAATTTGGATTTTTCTTGAAATTTGGGGTTTTTCCACAATTTTCAGGCTTCAAGCTTGAAATTTGAGCTTTTTCTCAAATTTCAAGCTTGAAATCTGAGATTTTCCAGATTCCAGACCTGAATCCTGAGGTTTTTCAGGCTTCAGGTCTAAAATCTGAGCTTTTTCTCGAAATTTGGTCAAAAATTTGGATTTTTCTAGAAATTTGGGGTTTCTTCCAGATTTTTAGGCTTCAGGCCGGAAATCTGAGATTTTTCAGACTTCAGGCCTGAAATTTGAGCTTTTCTCAAATTTCAAGCTTGAAATCTGAGAATTTTCAGGCTTGAAACCTTGGGTTTTTTAGGCTTCAGGTCTGGAATCTGAGAATTTCCAGATTCCAGACCTGAAGTCTGAGAATTTTCAGGCTTCAGGCTTGAAATTTGAGCTTTTTTCTCAAAATTCAGGCTTGAAACCTAGGTTCTAGGGTGTTTTCTTCAAAATTTTAGGTTTTTAGCTGAAATTCCAGCTTTTCCCTCGCCCAAAAGCTGAATTTGCGACATTTCGAGCTTTTGGGTTCAGGAAAAACTGAAACTTTCAGTTTTTCATAATATTATTTGATTTTTTCCCTTAACCACCCCAAAATACTTACATTTCACTCAAAATCCTTTGTCAAATCCATCGATTGTTGTTTTGTCCGCCGAAATCTGCAAAAATTCATGCTTTTTTCTAAATATTGAATGAAATTTCGAAAAATGAACTTACATTTCCATATTTGTTCCAATAATGTTGATGCAATTGATTGAACTGCAAAAACATAAATAGAAAAGTGAATAGAAAAAGTAAATAATAACAGAATGACTAGAAAATAGGGGAAGGGGGAAAGGGGCGTGGCTTAGAGATGACCTAACTAGCGAAAAGTTGACATGTGACAAGTCGGGTCAGATTTTTGGGAAGTTATTGACCTAGGTCATCTTCCCCTTTTGTTTATATTTTGACTTACTTTTATGATTGGAATTCAAGATGACCATCCAGAAATCCTCCTTGATTTCTACCAAAAATCGATTTTTGGTAGAAAAACCTGGAAAAATCAATATTTTTCATAAATGTATCTCTCTTTTACTTTCAAATCATCTCAACTTACTTAAATTCCCATCGATTTGCTCCTTTCACCATCGAATTGTTGATTTTCCACCAAAAAGAGATTTTTGGTGGAAAATGCCTGGAAAAAATCAATATTTTCATGTAAAATCAATATATGCTAATAAAAATCCACCCAATTTTCATGAAAACCCAAAAAACTGACCAGATTTCATCGAAATCACCAAAGATTTGCGCCATTTACGAGTTGGGCGGCGGCTAAAAAACGGAAATGAAAAATTCGAAATAATTCAGTGCGACACACGTGAAATGACGCGCAATTGCGGACAAACAAAACGTGGGATTTTGAAAATATTTATTTTTGTTTGAATTTTCGCATGAAAACGAGAGTTTTGAAAAGGAAAAGAAAAGTTGAAGTAAATAAAAAGTGTTGAATAAGAGATGACCTATGAAAAAGCGGATGACAAGTAGGTTGTAAATCATGTGTTTTGTGCAAAAATAGGATGTTGGAACAGGGTCAAACTTGATTTACAACCGACAGATTGTCATATTTTGACAAGAAAATAGACAAAAAACAACAAGACTTATTTAGATTTACAACCGATTTATGATGTGGCAGGTAGTCACGTGAATTTGTCATCTTGAAAAGTGTTTTACAACCTTTGACCTAGTTGTGAATCATGAAAATCAACAGAACAACTTGAAAATATAACAATTCACATATACAAATCATTGAAAAAGAAGAATAATCAGACCAGCTTTAAAATTAATCAGCAGACCAAATGGTCTGCTGCTTTTTATTTTTATACTGGCATGCAGCAGACCATATGGTCTGCTAGTTTAATATTATTTATTTGACATTTAGTGGTGTGCAAATAAACATTCAATTAGTTCAGTGGTAAGTGTACTGTTTTTGAATCTCAAGGTGACAAGTTCAATTTCGTATGCGAACTTTTATTTTTTTTTCTCAAAAGTTAGGTAAAATATCAAGTCGAGAGATGACAGTTTACAACCATACTCTCCTATTTTCACATACTGTCTCGTTTTTTGAGCCAAGGTGTCAAAAGACTGTTTTACGATGTGTGTCTCTCTCATTTTTATATACTATTTCTCGGAAGGGGAATGTGTTAGGATAAATGATGGGATATTGACAAACTTGTGAATTTCAACAATTTTATTAGATTTTCAGAATGCAAGGATTACGGTAGACTGAGGGTTACTGTATCTCGGATTGCAATGGTTACTGTAACCAGACTGCAAGGATTACTGTAGCTGCTAGCCCCAGACTGCAGGGATTACTGTAGGTGACAACCTCAGACTGCAAGGTATACTGTAGTTGACAGCCCCAGACTGCAAGGATTACTGTAGCTGCTAGCCCCAGACTGCAAGGATTACTGTAGGTGACAACCTCAGACTGCAAGGTATACTGTAGTTGACAGCCCCAGACTACAAGGATTACTGTAGGTGACAACCTCAGACTGCAAGGGATACTGTAACCCTGCGGTTACGGTAGCTTGAGGCTATTTCGGACTGCAAGGTATACTGTAGCCTCAGGGTTACTGTAGCCAGACTGCAAAGATTACTGTATTTGGCAAATTTTCAACATTTTCCAAATTTCATGAAAAATATACCAAAAAATCAGAAATTTTGTGAATTTTTCAAAAAAATTGAAGAAAATTCAAAATTTCCACAAACTATTACACAAATTCAACTACAAAATAAATAAATGAAATAATAAGTATAAATTAAAGATAAAAAAGTGTGGACTGACTGTAGCATACCACACCACCTGTCATTTACAACCACTAGTCTCACCATATTCCTTCCCCCTTTTCTATGTCTGTCTGCGTCTCTCTCTCTCTCTCTCTCTCTTTCATTCCACTCACAGTCCTTCCTTACTTTCCCATATTCCACTCTTTCTATCTCTGCGTCTCTCTATTTCTCACACTCTCTCATCTATTTTCGCACCTTCCTTTTACGATGCCACTCGACCCGACTTTTACAACCCTACCGCCTTTGAAAAGGGTATCTTAACTTTGACCAACCATTTCTACCCTTCAAACTCAACCAAATCCTTCAATATATAGCTCATTCGATTCGTCTAGTTCTCCTGAATCCGTAGATACCCAAAATCGACCGTCCTCGGACATTTTAAACTTCAAAGGCACCGCCGAAGTCAAGGTGCGAAAAAAAGGCGGAGCTTAGATTTTGGGAAACTTCGAGAAGAGCTAGAAAAGTTGAGAAATTTTTGAAAACCAAAAACATTTACAGATATTTAGGCTTAGGCTTAGTAAACCCCCTAGAAAGGTGCAATTTCGGGATTTTTTAGCGATTTTTTAAAATTACAAATTTTTTAATTTTAGTGCCAGATTTCTGAAAATTAGTCTGAAAATGTGCATTTTTGAAATTTCAACATTTTCATTAGGCTTAGGCTTAGTAAACCCCCTAGAAAGGTGCAATTTCGCATTCAAAACTTTCAAAGAAAAAATAAGCAGTCCCAAATTTCTTTTGGGTCTGCAAATTATTCATTGACCATTTTGTGGTCTGCAAATAAAAAGATGAATAGTTAAGTGGTAAAGCGCTTGATTTTGAATCTGAGAGTGGCGAGTTCGATCCCGCATACAAACTGATATTTTTTTTTTTGCTTTTTCGGATGGATTTTTGTGCCAGATTTTTGGAAATTAGGCTGAAAATGTGCATTTTTGAAATTTCAATTTTTTTACAAGGCTTAGGCTTAGTATTCAAAAAACATTTTTTATCCTAAAAATTAACGTTTTCAGCGACATCTCCCGCTTTCTTGCCTTATTTGTCTTATACACGATTTGAAGTGTTGAGTAAAAAAGGTTCCGAGAAATATCGAAATGAAATTCAATCATAAAAAGGTCACGTCAAAAATATATGTATAGTTTTTCCAGTGATTTTCTTATTTTTCATTGAAATTGCGAACTGACAATAGAATTCTGAAACTTCTTCAAAATCGTTTTTTTAGAGCCAAATGATTCACAATGAAGCTGGAAATAATTCTCAAGTTGGAAATGTTCTGCAAGGTATTAAAGGTGGAAAAGTGGATTGTAGACTGGAAATTTTCTATTACTACAAAATGAATAAAATTTTTGAAACGTATTTTTCAAGGGTTAAAAATTTCTGGGTCGACAGAGATTATCATCACCCGCTTTGATTTTAATAAACTTGTTTTTCTGGATATTTTGGAAGTCGAGCGCAATACTAACATCCGGAAATATATTAAACTTTATACAAAAAAAATGTTTTCAAAAAACATCAAAATTTTCGAAAGAAAAAAACATGAAAAACCCGTGAATTATGAACCGATATTGAGAAAAAAACATTAACATAAAATAAAAAAAGATCTAATTGGACAAATTAACAAATTTCCACGAATGAATTGTTGAAAAATATGGAGAATGTGATTTGAGATCAATCGAATATCCACTAACCGATCCTTTCGATTTCAATTCTCGTTTTTCTCGATCTGTCCAATTTATCCAAAATGGTTCATCGGATGAATTCGAATTCGAATCGACTCGTTTTCTTTCCGCTTTCCAAACACTGATTTGTTCGCGGTTTCGAAGATCGTCTGTTAGTTTTTTCACAACTTCTTTCTGCAAAAATTGAGATTTTTTGATTTTCATAAGCTCTAAAACTTGGAAACCCCTAAAAACTTACCTTATCATTAGCAAAATGCACAATAATCTTGGTTTTTCCATTCCTCAATTCCGCATTTTCTTTATTAACAACCAGTGTGAAATGTGGTAAAGAAGCCGAACTCAAAACCGGAATCGCATCAATTTTCTTCCAAAAATATCGAACCGGAATCGGAGACCACGTGCAAAAATCAACATTTTTCGAGCCATCCAACAATTTGTGCACAATTTCCGCCTCCGATTTATCCAATATTGGTAAAGTGACAGTTTCAATGAGGCTCTTCTCATTTTCATTTATCAAAAGAAGATTTGAGAATCCGATATCTTCGATTGACCATTCATTGGATTTCAATGCATTTTGTTGATCGATTAGACGACTTGGTCGAATTGTATTAATATGTGAAAGTGAATCCAATTTTGAGGGAAAAGAATTCAAAAGTCGATGGGTTATTGGAGAAGAAAATGATGAAGATGATGAGCTGGGAAGACCAAGATGAACATTTGGAAGAAGATCAGGAGATAGGCCAACTATTTTAAACCACGATTCGAAATCTGCAAAAATCAGATTGAATTTTTGTTTGTTTTGTTAAAAATCAAGTTTTTTTCAAGTTTTGAACTTCAAAATTTGAAAAAAAAACCCCAAATTTTAGATTTGTGGGGAAATTTTCAAGTTTTGAATTTTTTTCAACATTTATACTTGGAATTCCGGCTCAAATTCTTTTTTTGGGCTTTTTTTCAAGTTTTGAACTTCAAAATTTAAAAAGGCTAAATTTTGAAAAAAAAATCCACAAACCTTCCTGAATTTAGGATAACATTTTTATTTGATTTGTTGAAAATCAAGATATTTCTGAAATTATTTTTCGCTTCAAAATTTAAAAAAAAAGCCCAAATTTTAGATTTGCGGGGAATTTTTCAAGTTTTGAATTTTTTTCAAAATTTATATTTGGATTTCCGGCTCAAATTCAGCTACTGTTAAAATTAGAAAGGTAACTTCCGGAACAGTTCAAGATTTAGGCTAAATTTGAAAAATGCACAAACCTTCGGGAATTCCGGGCAACGCAAATGGTTGATATTTCGTCTCCAGCGCCAACAAATCAATCGAATTCTCCAAATCTTCAAATTCCAATCTCAACACAGTTTCCGGTGAAATACTCAAATATCTTCCCGATATCAAATCCAACGCTCTTCCATTCTCCAAAATCACCAAATCCAATCCATCAATCTCAATTCCGCCCAAATAACCAACAGGAATCCAAAATCTGGCGTCGGAATCTTCCAAAACTTTTCCAAAAATGCCACGCTCAATGAACTTAACAATCTTTGAATCTGTGGAAATCAAGCGAAGAGTTCCCATTTCATCACAAATCACTCCAAATCTTCTGCCATCTGAGCTCGAAATTGCGAATGGCAGATTATTTTCATCGTAGAAAATCGTGGAGATAACCGCGTTTTTCGAGAAATGCGAAACTTTCTTTGGATTTTTCGGATAGCCATAATATAAATTGATAAGATCTGCTGCTCCTTTTTTAATCGAAATCAATCGATCTTCATGATCATAAATCAATTCAATATTCTCATTTTCTCCATCTTTTTTCGTTCGAATCAATCTTCCTTTTCCATCATATCCAAAACTAATATTATTCCTTTTTTGAACCCATCCAATTGTATCAACTTTATACAAAATATCCGCAAATATTTTCAATGCTCCACCTCGATGATATTCCACAATTTGATCATTCAATTTCTCCAATCTTCCATCCGAATTATATTTCAAAATCGTCTTCAAATCTCCTTGTTCAATTCCAGCCAATCTTCCAGATCCATCGAAACTTCGAATTGTTTTGATGGTTTTCGAGCCGAATCCAGAAGTCTCTTGAATTTCGAGCAATTCCTCTTGTGCTCTTCCGACACCATCGCGTTTTATGCTCATTTTTGCTCGCGCATCTCCAAACATCATTTTTATTTCGATGATTTGTCGATGCGAATCAATTTTCGATGTTTCATACATTAATCCATGACCTGAACTTCGACTTGTTGTTGCGTCGGAAATCACCGAAAATCCATTTAGAGATGCGATTCGACCAGTTCTTTCATCGTAGGAAATCTGCAAAAAATGAACCTTGATTTGGGAAGAAAATGGATATGACGTGGTGAACAATCCGATTTTTCTAATTTTTTTCTTGAAAAATTCGAAATTTCATGGATTTTTTAGTTCTAAAAGTCAAATTCTTATTCAAAATAATTTGTGAATTCACGTGGATATTAAAGCGCGAAAATTCAAAATTCAAATTTTCAATAAAACTGCCACGTGGATTTTTCAGTTCCAAAATTCAAAATTTTTAATTTTTAACAAAAAAAACTGCCACGTGGTTTTTGAGCGCGAAAGTACAAAATTCAAATTTTCAACAAAAAAATGAAACGTGGTTTTTAAGCGCGAAAGTACAAAATTCAAATTTTCAATAAAACTGCCACGTGGTTTTTAAGCGCGAAAATACAACATTTAAATTTTGAATAAAAAAATTACCACGTGGTTTTTAAGCGCGAAAATACAACATTTAAATTTTGAATAAAAAAATTACCACGTGGTTTTTAAGCGCGAAAATAAATACAAAATTCAAATTTTCAATAAAAATGCCATGTGGTTTTTAAGCGCGAAAATAAAAAATTCAAATTTTTAACAAAAAAAAAAATGAAACGTGGTGTTTAAGCGCGAAAATACCAAAGTTAAATTTTAAATTAGAAAAATGCCACGTGGTTTTTGAGCGCGAAAATTCAAAATTCAAATTTTTAATAAAATTGCCACGTGGATTTTAAAGCGCGAAAATAAAAAATTCAAATTTTCAATAAAACTGCCACGTGGTTCTTAAGCGCGAAAATAAAAAATTTAAATTTTTAATTAAAAAATGCCGCGTGGATTTTAAGCGCGAAAATACAAAATTTAAATTTTTAACAAAAAAAATGCGACGTGGATTTTAAGCGCGAAAATAAAAAATTTAAATTTTTAATTAAAAAATGCCGCGTGGATTTTTTGGTGAAATTTTGAAAATTCTCTGAAAATCGTGAAAAAATGCGTTTTTTCTAAGATTTTCAGTTTTCAAACTTCGGAACTTCCTCAAAATTCACGGCTTTTTAAGCAAAAAAAAAAATGCTCACCTGAATCGGTTCCACCAGACTCTGCTCAACAACCGGTTGAATCGCCACAACTCTCAACAAATCATCATATTCATAGCTAAACGTGCTCAACTTCCCCAAAATCATCATCGATTGGCGCGAAATCAAATGTCCCTGATGGGTCAAATTCATTTTCCAAATCTCCGCCATTTTGAGGCCCGCAATATTTCCATCCGGTGTCCAACTATCAATTTCCACAATTTTTCCATCATTCAAAATCCGCTCAATTTCTCCTTTCTCATTTCGTTTCTTCATAAAATGATGTAATCCATCAGGTGTCGCAAATTCCTCAATTTCCTCAGCATTTAGCCTAACTAAAAACGGTTTGGTATTCAATGAACTTCTCCGCTTCAAGACCCATTCTTCAGCTCCCAGTGAAATCGCCGAAAAACTCGAAGTTTCTCCAGATGTTTCACTTGCAATCTCCTTGATCCGATCATAATTATCATATTGAATTGTGTATTTCGAAATATCCCTTTGAATTGTCTGCGGTTTCCGACGTTTCTGGTTCAAATATCCGAATTTCAGCGGAACTTTTCCAGCTTCATTTATCTCGAGAAGCCTGTTTTCCGCATCAAAAACCTTCTCATTTTTCCAATTTCCCCATTTTTTCACTTGCGACTTAGCAGAACTCTTATCAATTTCCAGCTCATCCAATTGATTTTCCGCAGGACTCCAAATCTTCTGAATTTCTCCCGAATCTGTATAATCAATATTGAAAAGAATCGATGAATCATCGGAAGTTGAGCCAAGTCTCAAAGTGTCTCGATTATTCGCCAAATTGTATTCCATTGAGAAAATATTCACTCCATTTATCTGCAATTTCAGATTAAGAATAAGATTTTAATTAAAAATCTAGGGAAAAATCGGGGAATTTTTCGAAAAAAAAATGAAAATTCCCCGATTTTTCGAGAATTGGTTATTGTCACCGCATGATGTGTTAGAGTTAGTTGGGATGCGAACTTTTTCAGAGATTTTTGTGGGAAATTTTTCAATTTTTGGCGCCGAAAATCCACGTGGCATATTTTTAAATTCAAAAAGTTCGGGGGCCACGTGGAATTTTCTCGAAAATATAAATTTAGGTGTCAAAGAGCCACGTGGAATAATTTTTTCAAAATAAAAAAAATTTCAAATTTCATAATTTCTAGCGCTAAAATGCCACGTGGAATTTTTTCAATAATATATAATTTTCAGCGCTAAAATGCCACATGGAACATTTTCTTTTAATTAAAAATGTTTGGTTCAAAAAAAGCCACGTGTCATAATTTTGTTAAAATTCAAAATTGTGGCCAAAAATCCACGTGGCATATTTTTTCAAAAATATAAATTTAGGCCAAAAATCCACGTGGCATTTTAATTCAAAATTCAAAATTTTTAGCGCTAAAATGCCATGTGGAATATTTTTTTTCAAAATTGAAGTTTCGAGAGCAAAAGCCACGTGGAATAATTTTTTCAAAATTAAAAAAAAAAATCTTAACATTGAAATTTCGGTTCCAAAATCCACGTGTCATAATTTTTCAAATTTCGAAAAAATCCACGTGTCATAATTTTTCAAATTTCGAAAAAATCCACGTGGCATATATTTTTTCAAAATTCAAAATTCTCCGCGCTAAAATGACACTGTTTTATTTAAAAATCTGAAAATATCTCAGAAAATTTCCGAATTTTCAAATTCAACATTGAAAAAATGCCCCAAAAATTCAATTTTTTCAAAATTTCCAAAAAAGTTCGCAATCTGCAAAATGTTACAACTCAAATCGCTGTTAAAAGTTAGTTCTATCACACGGTGTCTCCAATAACCAACCCTCGTCTTGAATCCAACCTCGGCAATTCGTTTCGGCTCATCCGCCGCTCGTTTGAACGTATATCTCCAATCCCATCTGGTAGTCAATGCCCGCCGATCACTCGTCGCCGGTACCGTAGTCCTTCGCCTCGAGACCACCGGCTCCTCAAATCCCCGCGGAATCGTGGTATCAAAAAGCGAGGCGGTTCCAAACGCCGACAAAATACTATAACCCTCTCTGCGAAGTGTGATAATTCTTGTAGAATGCTCCATCTGTGAGATCATCAAATCCACCCCATCCGCTATTCGAACCTGCCCAATTTTCATCGAATTCAACCAAACATCCGACACAACTCGGCCGCCATTTTGCACAACTTCTTTGGCGATTCTCCAAATCTCTCCATCTTTCCGTATCGCTTCCGCTCTTCCAAATTGATCATATTCAAAACCAACCGCAGTCGCGTGATCAACTCTCGATGACAGCAAACCCTTCGATGTGTATCCCAGTTTCGTGGTATCCCTCGATAAACTATCGGGTCTCGAGAGAACTTGTTCAAGTGTTCCGTCAAACGCAGACATTGTCAGAATCGTCTGAACTCCTTGCGATGTTTCGATTTCAATTTGCGTCTGATTCGCTGTATTCAACCTCAAAACCATCCCATTTGCCCCACGAATCATAGACAATTGTGCAATCGGCGAATCCACATTATAGGTAAAATTCAAAAGCGGCTTTCCACTGATCATAGATATCGTAGATGTATGCAATCCATGCCTATTAAACATCAATTTCTCCATTCTTTCCGCATCGGCAACCTCAAAACTTCTCAATTTCTCATTCCATTTCGCACTTCTCCGGGAAACCCTTCGAATTTTCGCGTTCGCCGCGTCCGCAATCACCAAATCACCATTCGGCGCAATCGCAATCGCTTGCGGTGAATTGAATCTCGCCGCCGATGCGCCAACAACTTCCCCCTCATCATCACAACCACAAGCCGCGACGTCACAACTACACGGTGATTTGCCTCCAGCAACAATTGAGAAAACTTGCCGATCTTGTGATAGTTTTCGAATTTGATTGAGACGCTTGCCATCCGATTCAACAACATATACACTTCCATCATTCGCAACACTTATATCTTTGGGATTCTGAAGAGCGGTGAGATTAGATGAAGTGCAAGTCGCTGGTTGTCCTAAAACAATTCTCACAACATCTCCATCAATCTCATAAACCACATTTGTGTCAAGAACATAAATCGAATTGCTGGCAGCGTCAATCGATATTGAGGTAGGCCATACCATTTGCAAATCAACAAGTTTAGTCATTTGCCAAGTTGCGCAATTTCGAAATGGATGCGTGTCTGGAGTGGTTTCGCCGATACTTCGGATATGTCCAGCTGTATCGATGACTCGAATTCGACGGCTGTCAGCGACTGCAAAAATTATTATTTAGATATCCTCCCCTTATAAAAAACGAAATCACTGAAAATTTGGCGTCACATTAAATGTTTCTTTTTGTGCAAACACCGCTTCGTTTTTTGAAAAATCAACGCGCGTTGCGAGACACGGGAGAAAAATTGTGTGCGCCTTTGATGAGGGGTACGGTAGAAGTATTCGTGAATTTTTATTTATTTATTTTCTTTTTTTTTGGGGCCCCGGGGTTTGAGCGCTGCAATTTTTCGAACACGCTTATTGTAACTTCAGGGGATTTTTTTCTTCAAAATGGGAACCCCCCTCACTCCTACTTTGAGAATAGATCACATAAAAAGTATAACAGTTGGGAACCCTGAGATTCTCTCCAACTACACTTCACGAAGAGTATACTAGTGTGTGAAAAAAATAATTATTTTGAAAAAATATCTACCGTAGTTCTTCCCCCCTTTATTTTCGTCGCGACGAGACCATGTGTGTTTCGGGTGCTGCGCCTTTCAAAAACTACGGTGTTTTTTTTTGTTTTTTTCCGGATCTTCGATGTTTCTACATGAAATAAAGGCAGAAATCAACCAAATTGATAACAAAGTGAAGAATAAAGAAGGTTCAACTCTGTTTAAAGCAGAAAATCCTATGAAAGGAGATTTTTAAGTGCTTTATAGATGAAAAACCCGTTTTCCTCTTCAAAATTGCGAAAATGAAGCAAATTCATCTTTGAATTTGTTCTAAATCCCTTCCTCCTTTTGACCGGTAATAGCCCCAAAACACCCTAAAACGGCCTTTTTTTCGATGCAAATTAAAGGCGCATCGATTTTTTGAAGGTGTGTGTCTCGCCGCGACAAAAACGAAGGGGGAGGACAGAACTACGGTCACTTATTTTTTTTTGCACACAAATCTGGGTAATAATATCTTACAATAAAGATTTCCATTTCGATCATAGGCCAATCCTTTGGGGAAAATTAATTGTGCATTTTGTGCCAATCCACCATCACCGCATCCATCGACAGCCGATCCGCAAACACTTCCGTCGCCCGCCACAATTTCATAATTCGATTTCGAATCTTGCGGCTCCAGGCTGCTGATCTTCCAAATTTGCTTGTGAAGTGGGAGAGAGATGACGAGAGTTCCATCGAGTGGACTGACAGCGAGATAATATGAGTGAGAAGTGTCGGCGAGGCTGAGAGTTAGGACAGTGTTGACTGATCCGTCTGATGTGATTCGTCGAATCAAATTGTGATCTCCGACGATTAAACTTCCATCGGCTGCATAGACAAGACTTGTTGGCCGGAATAATGGGATCTGAAAATAGGAATTTGCCTTGGAATCTTGAAATTGCGTGAAAAATAAAAAAATATTTTTTTTTGGTATACGGTATGTGTCAATGTGTGCATTTGTGCGTCGCGGTGTTTGCAGTTTTGCAAAAATTTTATTTTTTTTGGTGCAAAGTTTCAGCGCATTTTCAGCACGTTACGTGGGTTTTCAGATAAATTCATGACTACCATTCGATTCCTCTCGACGAGATGAATCAGGGGAACTGTGATATTTTTCATGAAGCGCATTTTTAGAGAATTTCTAGGCGGGAAATGAAAAATAAAAAAATATTTTATTTTGATATACGGTATGTGTCAATGTGTGCATTTGTGCGTCGCGGTGTTTGCAGTTTTGCAAAAATTTTATTTTTTTTGGTGCAAAGTTTTAGCGCATTTTCAGCACGTTACGTGGGTTTTCAGATAATTTCACGACTACCATTCGATTCCTCTCGACGAGATGAATCAGGGGAGCTGTGACAATTTTCATAAAGCGCATTTTCAGAGAATTTCTAGGCGGGAAATGAAAAATAAAAAAATATTTTTTTGGTATACGGTGTGTGTCAATGTGTGCATTTGTGCGTCGCGGTGTTTGCAGTTTTGCAAAAATTTTATTTTTTTTTTGGTGCAAAGTTTCAGCGCATTTTCAGCACGTTACGTGGGTTTTCAGATAATTTCACGACTACCATTCGATTCCTCTCGACGAGATGAATCAGGGGAGCTGTGACAATTTTCATGAAGCACATTTTCAGAGAATTTCTAGGCGGGAAATGAAAAATAAAAAAAATTTTGGTATACGGTGTGTGTCAATGTGTGCATTTGTGCGTCGCGGTGTTTGCAGTTTTGCAAAAATTTTATTTTTATTTTTTCGTGTTTACGCGCATTTTCAGCACGTTACGTGGGTTTTCAGACAATTTCACAACTACCATTCGATTCCTCTCGACGAGATGAATCAGGGGATCTGTTGAATTTTTCATGGAACGCATTTTTAGAGGAGAAAATGAAAAATATAGGATTTTTCTTTGTTTTCAGGGTTTATACCTTAGCTAATCCAGTTCCTTCACACGGAATATCCTGATTACAATCAATATCTCGTTTCGAACCATCTAATCCAGCAATTGTGGAGACTTTTGGCTCAAGTTCAGCGATTAATCGATATCCACCATCTCCTTTTTCGATGATATCTAGAAAAAATTGGAATTTTTCTTGTAAATCTAGAAGTATCTTACCATTAACAACATCCAAATGATGGTGTACATCAATTGTCCACATATTTCCAATCATTTTCCGCGCCGTCGCTCCCAACATTTGCGATCTTCGCCGTATCCAAACAATTTCCGACGGTCGATTGCAATCCAAATACTCATAACCGATTCGAATACTCATTGCAACTAGTCCAGTTTCACTTTGTCGATAAGCATTCATTTTGTCCCATGTGAAAATGTGAGTTAGGTTAACTTTTGGGGCAAGTGTGTAATCAAATTCTCTTCCAGCGATTCGCAGATTTAGGTGAATTTTTCGAAGATCTTTATCGATTTGCTCACCAAGTAATCCGATTAGCATTGTTGCTGGAGAAGCAGAAGACCGTGCAGAATCATAAATCAATCGTAAATCTGTTCCTTCAATGGGTAAACTCTCAAAAATCGATCTCGAATCAATCAATAACCTAGCACCATTTCTCTCCGATATTCCTTCACTAACATATTGCCAATTCGAAATAATCGAAACTTCTGGAATCTTTCTAGAAGTCGGTGAGCATTTCGGTCTCGCCGCTTGAGAAATCGGTGGAGATTGCGAGCCAGATCGATAGAGAATAATATCATCAATATGAACAATTTGCCTTGGTGCAACATACACACTTTTTTTAACTGGCTTGAATTGCATTCGTAGGAATTGTAGATTAACACTTCGTCCACCATTCACCACCAAATCGAAGTATCCATCACTTCGACTGAGGGTGAAACCATAGAGTGGATGTGATGCATCGGATACTCGAACTCCAGGAAGTGGAATACTCGGGCTAAACGAGGAATCCTCTCCCACATTTTTCCACTGAACTTTCCCGCGGATAACCGCAATCATCGAATCATTGAATTGCGCCGGATCCGTATAACTTTGCACACTTTTCTCCTTGATCAAAAATCCAACTCGTTGCGCAAAATTCGCATTGAAAATCGGTGGCATTCGAAGCAGAACATCAGTTGGCGAAGTCGCTGTTGAGCATACACTTTCTTCCAGACAACTCGGATTATCACAACATTCCGGATCGTCACAATCGATTAATCCATCGTTATCGTTGTCCAAACCATCGTCACAGTGTAATTCAATCGATAATGAGCAATCGGGTCCAGTTTGTCCAGCGTGGCAGATACACGTGTATTCGAGGGTTCGTCGATTTTGTTGACATTCGCCTTTTGATGAACATTGATTTGGGCAACCTTGAATATGACAATTGTCGCCGTTCCATCCTTTTTCGCATTTACAAGTTCCATTTTTTGGCTGACATTTTCCGTGATCTTCGCAGCCTATGGCGCATTCTTGAACATCGCATGATTTTCCGGTGAAACCTTTCCAACATTCGCATTTTCCTTCGGAATTGCAATCGCCGTTTAGGCACGATGTGCAGATTTCTGAAAATTTGGAAAATTTCGATTCGAAATTTGACATTTTTCGTGTAGTTCTCTGGCGGGAAATTCAAAAATTCAAATTTCTTGTTGAATTTCCCGCTAAAATATTGTCCGAGAGAACTTCACAGAATTAAAAGTCTCGGAAAATATTACGGCGCGAGATTCAAATTTTTGAAATTCTGTGTAGTTCTCCTGGACAAGATTTTAGCGGGAAATTCAAAATTTCAAATTTCTTGTGATTTTTTTCAAATTTTTTTTTGTGTAGTTCTCTCGGAAAAGAAATTTGGCTGCAAATTCGAAATTTCCAAATTTCGGTGCCACATTCTTCTCCGAGAGAATTACACAAAAAAATTGAGAAAAAATCACAAGAAATTTGAATTTTTGAATTTCCTGCTAGAATATTGTCCAGGAGAATTACACAGAATTTCAAACATTTGAATTTCGCGCCTAAATGTTTTCCGGGATTTTTAATTCTGTGTAGTTCTCTCGGACAACACATTGGCGGGAAATTCAAAAATTCAAATTTCTTGTGATTTTTTTCAAATTTTTTTTGTGTAGTTCTCTCGGAGAAGAAATTTGGCTGCAAATTCAAAATTTCGGTGCCACATTCTTCTCCGAGAGAACTACACTTGACTTTCAAAAAAAGTACAAGAAATTTGAATTTTTGAATTTCCCGCTAAAATATTGTCCGAGAGAACTTCACAGAATTAAAAATCTCGTAAAACATTACGGCGCGAGATTCTACTGGACAACATTTTAGCGGGAAATTCAAAAATTCAAATTTCTTGTGATTTTTTTCAAATTTTTTTTGTGTAGTTCTCTCGGAGAAGAAATTTGGCTGCAAATTCAAAATGTCAGAGAATTACAACAAAAAACATTGAAAAAAAATCACAAGAAATTTGAATTTTTGAATTTCCCGCTAAAATATTGTCCAGGAGAACTACACAAAATTTAAAAATTTTGAATTTTACGCAAACTCACTTTTCTCACAGTTTCTCCCGCCAAAACCAACATCACAAACGCAAATTTTCTCATCATTCAATTTCCCATTCGCACACGATTTTTCGGAATTCATATTCAAATTTGAACTAGGTTTCAAAGTCGGGCTCGTAGTTGTGGTAGTAACTTGAGGTTTTCTGGGAATCTGAATTTGAACCGGTGCTGATTTCGGAGCTAATCCCTGTGATTTATCAGAAGGTTGCGCCGCCAAAAAATCGACAAAAATCGAGCAATCTTCGCCTCGCCAACCTTCTTGACAATAACATGTTCCATTCGAACAGATTCCTCGATCGGAGCATGTTGGATGCGGGAAACATGCGCGAAGTTCGCACGATTCTCCAGTCCATTTTGGGTCGCATCGACATTTTCCAATGTTTGAATCGCATTTTCCGCGCCCGTTACAATCTGGGATTTCGCACCAGGAGGAGCGCATTTCACATTCTTTTCCCTGCAAAAATTTTTGTAAGTTAGTCTATCTTTTTTTGGAAAATTTTCAAAGTTTTTCAAATTCACATTCTTTGGCCGAATTTCTTCTCCGATAGAACTACACAGAAGTTTGATTTTCAACAGAAATTCGAATTTTTAAATTTCCCGCTAGAATTTCGTAATTAAAAATTTGAATTTCGCGCCTAAAAGTTTTCCGAGAGAAGTACACGGAAAAATTTCTCATCTTATCCTGTAGAGCTCAAAATTCGGCGCATTTTGGTATCGAAATTTTTGAATTTAAAGGGAGATCGTGGCGAGACCCAAATTATCAAAGTCTATGCTCCTTTAAAAAAATTCCGAGAAATCAAGATTTGACACGTGGATTTGACGAAATTTCGACAAAATTTTCGTGTACTATACAGAATTTCGAATTTCACACCAAAATGTTGTCCGAGAGAAGTACACATCAAAAAATTTCCTCTCAAGACCCGGCTCATCTTGTAGAGCTCAAAATTGCACGCATTTTGGTATCGAAATTTTTGAATTTAAAGGGAGATCGTGGCGAGACCCAAATTATCAAAGTCTATGCTCCTTTAAAAAAATTCCGAGAAATCAAAATTTGACACGTGGATTTGACGGAATTTCGACAAAATTTTCGTGTACTTCTCTCTGAGAACATTTAGGCGCGAAATTCGAATTTTTGAAATTCTGTGTTTGAATTTCACGCCGAAATGTTGTCCGAGAGAAGTACACATCAAAATTTCCTCTCAAGACCCCGCTCATCTTGTAGAGCTCAAAATTCTACGCATTTTGGTATCGAAATTTTTGAATTTAAAGGGAGATCGTGGCGAGACCCAAAGCTATGCGCCTTTAAGAAAACTCACCTTAAATCCACTCTTACAAATACAACTGCCACCCGAGAAGATACCATTCCCGCTACAAACCACCGGACAAATCGCCTCCTCGCAAAGAGTTCCCGTAAATCCGGCAGCACAATGGCATTTGCCATGCAAACATTCGCCTCGATTATTGCAATTCGATTCGCAGACCAAAATCGGAGCCAGCGGATGTGTTCGCTCCGATTTTTCTGCTGCCAATTTTTTGGGTGGCTGAGCATTTGCGATGAACGAAATTGGCTCAATTCGATTTCTTTCATTGATAAATGTTAGAAAATGTCGGCCTTCTAGTAGAAATTGTTCAAAACTTGTAGTTCTTGGCGACATGATTTGATGATTCTGATAGGATCCGGAACTGCGTCGACTTCTCGTCGGAAGTTCCTCAACAATATGCGAGACTTCTCGAATGCGATCACTCCTGATCGGAAAAATCGCATCGTGTAGACTCATCGACGGCGGAACGCCGGCTCGAATCAGCATGACTAGTTGGGCGCCGCTGCCGACGGTGGCGTTGAAGATGATGCGGGCGGAACGGGAGAGAATCAGTTCGGTGGTGGCCATGTGTCGCGGGAAGAATTCGACGTCGATTCGTTCGCCGAGTGAGATGGCGGGTGGAAGGGCGCGAATGCCGAGTTCCGAATATCGGGAGGAGAGTTCGGAGGATGGAGATGGTTCGGTGTAGACATATGATGGGGATTTGACTGAAACAATTCTTGATTTTGATTTTTTTTGAGAATTTTATTTTCAAAATTTTCCGAAATTTATGTTTTTCTTCAAATTTGAATTCATTTTGAAAATAAATTTTCCCAATTTTATTTTCAAAATTTCTTGAAACGTAAATTTTCCGGGTTAAAAAAATCATTTTTTCTGGAAATTTTCCAAAAATTCTGAAATTCCAGGTGGAATTTCAGGTTTCAAAAGTTTTAATTTTAATTTTCGGCAAAATTCAACGTGGCAAAATTTTTTTTTCAAAATTCTGAAAAATCCTAATTTTTTTGAGAAGCTTTAATAGTTTTAACTCATAAACTATTTATCAAATTGAGATTTTTCAATTCTATTTTCAAAATTTTTTGAAACGTAAATGTTCCGGGTTAAAAAATCATTTTTCTGGAAATTTTTTGAACTTCCACGTAGAAAAATTCAGCGCTAAAAGTTCTAAATTTGAAAAAAAAATTCTGAAAAACCCCAAAAACTGAGATTTCAAATTTTCCACGCAAGACCCCCCAAAAAAAACTCACACAACATGAATAAAATGATAAAAATTGCAAAAATCAAGGCAGCGGCTAGAAAAAGTGTGCATTTTCCGGCCGTTTTCCAACAACCCGCTCCATTTTCTTGCTCATCTTTCAATTTCTTCTTTTTCGCGTCCATCTGATTATTATTATTATTGTTATTGTTAATATTCATCGAACCAATTTGTCTTCTGAAAAATTCAAAAAATGGAGAGAAGTTAGGCTAATTCTGGGTGAAAAATGATCAATTTTAGGTCATTTTAAGCCTGAAAAATCGATTTTTTTAGCTTAAAATGCCCAATTTCAGACTTACTTTCGATTTTGCTGTACAGTTCCAGTTATTGGATATTTTAGTAGTGTTGATGTGGCATCCGGATAAAATCCAGTGTTGGGTGGAAGATGTCCGGGTCTGCAAAAATTTGAATTTAGGAGGTTTTAGGGCTTGCCACGTGGCAAAAATTGTCCAAAACTAAGTAGTTAATACAAATCCACCCAAGAAAAAGACGAAAAATAAATTGGGTGGGGGTGGATTTGGGTGTGCCAACACCATATGATCGCATTAGCACATGGTGTAACACCCCAAAAAAAACAGAGATTAAATCTGTTTGTGCACCACAGGAAGGGGAAATTCCAGGAAATTATGAGATAAAGAGAGAGGGCTGTGTAGTTCTCTCGGACAAAACAGGAATTTCGGTGGATTTCTTTTGAAATTCGAATTTTTGATATCAAAATTTAATTTTTTAAAAATTTTCAGTATCAAATTTGGCTGCGTACCTAATTCTTGGCTGAGTATCAAACTAGATCCAGATGTATTGTCGAAAAAAGGAATTAATTTCGAATCAAACTGCAATTCCCAATTTTACTTTCAAAATTTTTTGAAACGTATATTTTCGGGCTGTTTTGATTTGAAAATGAAGATTTTTGACTTGTCCTCGAGAACTACACGATTTTAGGCGGTTAAATTGAAATTTCGAATTTTTGACTTGTCCTCGAGAAATACACGATTTTTAGGCGGTAAAACTTGAAATTTCGAATTTTTGACTTCTCCTCGAGAACTACACGATTTTTAGGCGGTAAAAATTGAAATTTCGAATTTTTGACTTGTCCTCGAGAACTACACGATTTTTAGGCGGTAAAAATTGAAATTTCGAATTTTTGACTTATCCTCGAGAACTACACGATTTTTAGGCGGTAAAAATTGAAATTTCGAATTTTCTCCTCGAGAACTACACGATTTTTAGGCGGTAAAAATTGAAATTTCGAATTTTTGACTTCTCCTCGAGAACTACACGATTTTTAGGCGGTAAAAATTGAAATTTCGAATTTTTGACTTGTCCTCGAGAACTACACGATTTTAGGCGGTTAAATTGAAATTTCGAATTTTTGACTTGTCCTCGAGAAATACACGATTTTTAGGCGGTAAAACTTGAAATTTCGAATTTTTGACTTCTCCTCGAGAACTACACGATTTTTAGGCGGTAAAAATTGAAATTTCGAATTTTTGACTTCTCCTCGAGAACTACACGATTTTTAGGCGGTAAAACTTGAAATTTCGAATTTTTGACTTGTCCTCGAGAACTACACGATTTTAGGCGGTTAAATTGAAATTTCGAATTTTTGACTTGTCCTCGAGAAATACACGATTTTTAGGCGGTAAAACTTGAAATTTCGAATTTTTGACTTCTCCTCGAGAACTACACGATTTTTAGGCGGTAAAAATTGAAATTTCGAATTTTTGACTTGTCCTCGAGAACTACACGATTTTTAGGCGGTAAAAATTGAAATTTCGAATTTTTGACTTATCCTCGAGAACTACACGATTTTTAGGCGGTAAAAATTGAAATTTCGAATTTTCTCCTCGAGAACTACACGATTTTTAGGCGGTAAAAATTGAAATTTCGAATTTTTGACTTCTCCTCGAGAACTACACGATTTTTAGGCGGTAAAAATTGAAATTTCGAATTTTTGACTTGTCCTCGAGAACTACACGATTTTTAGGCGGTAAAACTTGAAATTTCGAATTTTTGACTTGTCCTCGAGAACTACACGATTTTTAGGCGGTAAAACTTGAAATTTCGAATTTTCAATATTTTTCGACTTGTCCTCGAGAACTACACAACAAAAAATTGCCACGTGGATATATTTGCGCCAAAACTTAGATTAGATCTTCAAAAATTTCCAAAAATTTTATAGTACTAATCCGTGTAGTTCTCTCGGACAAAACCAAAAACAAATTCTTGTTTTTGTTGGTCAACACACCCAAAAAGAGGTGCCTTTTATGAATAATTCACCGGATTTTTAATCAAATTAATTAGGCAAATTTTCTTTGGGCGAGAGAGAGTGTGAGAAACAAGAGAGACGTAGAGAAACCCGACACTTTTGGGGTCAAAAAAAAATTCGGCGGGAAAAAAAGTATGGGGGGGAGGGAGCTCATAAAAATGTTTATTTCCTTTGGAGTTAGGCAAACTAATTTTGGAGCACACATGTGGATAATTATTTTTGGGGTGGGACCACTAAAATTTGGACACTTTTCGGGCGGTGCAAATGACACTTTTTGGAAAATTTCAAAAATAAATGCCACGTGGCTTTTTTCGCGCAAAAATTTTGAATTTTTGAAAAAAATTGTCCAAAATTAACTCGTGTAGTTCTCGAGGAGAAGAATTCTAGAATATTAATTTTTTTTAAACTTCGAGCTCAATTTTATGTCTGAAATTTCGGTGGGACCACCCAAAAATCCATGAAAATTAGTACGAAAAATGAAAATCTCAGCAAAAAGAGCATTTCTTGTGTGCTCCTCGTTAGCTCTTTTTGCGCGCGCGAAAAAAAAGTTTTTCAAAAAAAAAAGATGAGAAAATTGGCGAAATTTGCATAAAAAAGTATGTTGGGAAAGAGAAAATTTTGAAAATAAAATTGAAAAAAAAAGTAAGAAGAAACCTGATGCTTGAAGTTTAATTTCCGAAAATTTTTTGAATTTCAATTTTTCGCAGAAAAATTCTCTTTTCCTCGAGAACTACACAAATTCTGGATTTTCGAGCGCCAAATTCAAATTCAAATTCAAATTTCCAAATCCCCCAGTCCTCCTCGAGAACTACACAATTTTTTTCCTTCACCCAAGTTATTTTGCTTCCACATTTTTTTGTCAAACAAGCAAAAAACATGTCATTTTTCTTCATACCCCAATTAATAATTAATTATTTTTCCTAAGAGAGCTGGAAAAAAATGAGAAAACTAATATTTTCTCGAGATTTGAATTCAATTGAAATTTTGCCGCCAAAAAAAAATCAATAAAATTTGAAATTCCAAATTTCCCGCATCCACCTGACCTTTTTTTATTAGCAAAAAAGAAGCATTGCTCTTATTTGCACCTGTTCAGACTGGTTACAATAATAAAAACAAATTGCTGCTCCCGAGGATTATTATGTAATAAAAACCCCTAATAATTAGGGCTTTTTCATTAGATACTCAGCCAAGTACGCAGCCAAATCATAAATTTCCCATTTCTCTCCAGGAATTCCCCAATTTTCCCAACAAAAAACTTGAGAAGCATCGGAATTTCCCCGCATTTTTTTTGCAAAAATCAAATTTTCCACTGTTTCTTTGTCAATTCTTTTTTCTGAGCAATTTTACGTTATGTTCTTGTTATTATTTAGATAATAAAGTGCATTTTACTCTCTCGTGAGAAAATGAAGCTAATTGAGAGTAGAAAAGAGGCTAAAGAAAAGTGATTTTGCAATTATTGTTAATCCAAAAATGGAAGTAGATAAATAGGTTAGAATTTGAATAAGCTTATCTGATTTCGCGAGAGAGCAAAAATTTTTAAATTGAAAAAAAAGTACGAATTTTTGAGCTTTACATATTATTAGAATAAAAATGAAAATAAAATGAAATTTTTTTGAAATGAAAACATTTTGGCGCCAAAAATGAAGCCACGTGGCATTTTTTTCGCAAAATTCGAAATTTTCCGAAAAATTTTCAAAAATTCAAACATGAATAGTTGAAGTTTTCAACTGATATATTTTTATGGTTAAAAATTTAAATTCACATTTTTTCCCGCCGTTTTTTCGTGATTGTCCAAGAGAACTACACAAAGCTCTCAAAAGCTGCTGAACATTTTGATATTCTCCAAGAGAGAACTACACAGAAAAATTCAAAATATCCCATCTTCCCGCATTTTCCACTTGTCCGCGAGAAGTACACGATGTTTTTTTTTAAATTTTTCCCGCACTCTCCCTTTGTGAAGCCGAAAAACGTGAAACATTCCCATAAATTCTGCCCAATTTTAATTAGCTCTCAAACACGAGTTAGCGGAAGTCTTGGGGGCCGGAAATGTTTCGAAAAGTGTTCAGGCGTGTAACTAATTTATATTTATACATTTCCCCAAGTTCATTTTACAACAAAAAAATCCGGAATGTTTTTTTTGCTTGCGTGTAGTACAAGTCATAAAATATTTATTGTTTCAAAAATGTTAGCCATCCAGGTGTGTGTGCTCCTTTTTTCTGCTCTCTCGAAAAGCATTAATATTTTATGGGGAATTTTATACATGTATATCTAGGGGGAATTTTAATAACATTTTACTCATCCGGAAAAAAAATATCGTGTGCAGAATATGTGTGAAAATTGAAAGTTGTGTACTTCTCTCGGACAAGCGAAAAATGCGGGAAAACATCTAGATTCAAATTTTCAGCAAAAAATCTTTTGTATACTTCTCTCGGACAACTGGTAAACTTCGGGAGAATGTAAAATTTGAATTAATTTGTACAAAATTTTTCAGCGGGAACAATCTAAATTCAAATTTTCTATAAAAAAAGCCAGGTGATTTTGTTAGGCGCGAAAAAATCTAGAATTCAAAAATCCCATGTCCCTTTAAAAAAAACAACTCACTCATGATATCTCTGGCCGAGGGGTCCAATCGTATTTCCACCTCCAGAAGCTGGTGACAAAGTTGACGATGTGGTTCGCACTGGAAAAATTTGAATTTGAAGACTTTATTTTAGGCCCGTTTCAGGCTTGATTTCAGGCTTGTTTTAAGGCCTATCCTTAGCCTTAAGAACAACATTTTAAGGTCTAATTTTAAGGCCCTTTCCAGCCCAAAAAAAAACAAGAAGCCTACACTCTTCATAATCACAATCCTCTTGATTAAAACACCCGAAATCCCCATAAAACTGTAGTTGTTGTTCATTTTCAGGCGGTAGCCTTCTTCGTGGCGAGTTCAAACTACATTTATAGATCAGATTTGGGCCATTTTGTCGCGCATAAACACTGGTCGACGCATAATGACACGAATCAGCCATTAAATTTGAATTCGGGGCAATTCAAAAATATTTCTAGATGTGAATAATGAGAAAAAAAGTGAAAATGAGGAAGAAGGAGGAGAAAAATGTCAGAAATGAAGAAGGAAAAAAAGTGGGCGGAGCCTATTTTTATTAGGGTGAATTTTTGGCGAGAATTCAAAATTTTTGAAAAAAAAAATGAACCTTGAATTCCACGTGGCAAAACTTCAAGATTTTGGAAGAAGATTTGATTTTTTGAAATTTTTACATCCAAATTTGGAGTTGGGATTTTTTTTAAATTTAAAATTCAGATGCCACGTGGCAAAAGTTTAGAGGTAGAAAATCGCTCAAAAATTGGAAAAAAAAAGAAAGATTTTGGCGCGAAAATTAATTTTTTTCAAATTTTATAACTAAGTTTGGAGTTGGAAAAAAAATTACAATCGCTTGAAATTTGAGAAAAAAAATCTGGAAATCCTCCACGTGGTGAAAAACTTCAGATGAAAAAGTGGAGCCAAAATTTTAAATTTCAAAAAAAAAAATTACGAAGCTTCCAAAAGCCTTGGGAAGCCTTGTAAAATTTTTTTTATCAAAATCTGGAGTTGGGATTTTTAATTCAAAAAATTTCCAATTTTTAAATTTCAAAAAAAAATTCTACGTGGAATTTTTTGGCGGTTTTTCAACAGTGTTTTTTTTGAAATACAATTTTGGATTTCAAAATTTCTCCAAGAAACAGGTCACGAGTTCAATTCCTCCTGGCCGCAAATTATTTTTTTTTAACCCAGGCTACTTCTATTTTTCATCTAACCGCAATTAGATTATAAAAATACAAAGAAATAAATAATTATAGGTTTCACAACGCAAAAAATCTGCCAATTCTCACAAAAAAAAGTACACAATCAAATTTCCTTCGAGGTGAATTTGGAGAATTTACATAATTTTATGTGAAGAAATTTACAAGGTTTTTTCTGCGCGCAAAAAAAACTTTTCCCAATTTTTTGCAGCGGGGAAAGATGTTACTTGTATTTTTAAGGTTAGGAAAGTTCCCCAAAAACTACAGTACCCCAAAAATTGTTACTTGTATTTTTAAGGTTAGGAAAGTCCCCAAACCCTACAGTACCCCAAAATTGTTACTTGTATTTTTTAAGATTAGGAAAGTCCCCCAAAACCTACAGTACCCTAAAAATTGTTACTTGTATTTTTAAGATTAGGAAAGTTCCCCAAAAACTACAGTACCCCAAAATTGTTACTTGTATTTTTTAAGATTAGGAAAGTCCCCCAAAACCTACAGTACCCTAAAAATTGTTACTTGTATTTTTAAGATTAGGAAAGTTCCCCAAAAACTACAGTACCCCAAAATTGTTACTTGTATTTTTTAAGATTAGGAAAGTCCCCCAAAACCTACAGTACCCTAAAAATTGTTACTTGTATTTTTAAGATTAGGAAAGTTCCCCAAAAACTACAGTACCCCAAAATTGTTACTTGTATTTTTTAAGATTAGGAAAGTCCCCCAAAACCTACAGTACCCTAAAAATTGTTACTTGTATTTTTAAGATTAGGAAAGTTCCCCAAAAACTACAGTACCCCAAAATTGTTACTTGTACATTATTTTTGGCTAAGGCCAAATCCAAATCCAAATGTAAACATGGCTTTTTGGCGGCTTTTTTTTGGGGTGGGACAAGAGTAAATCTCAAGTATACACAATAAAAATTGGATATTTTTTTATTGTGCATTTTTTTGGGTGTTGCGCAATATTTTGTCAAGTGTGCTCAGCAAAAAAAAAACTCATTATCTTATCTAGGAAAAATTTTTGATAAAAATAATCCCTGGAATAAAAAAAATCTACAGTAACCCGGAAAATTTACATTTTTGGCGCAAAAAAATCCACGTGGAAATGTTCTTTCAAATGCAATTTTTTACGCGAAACTTGATTTTTCAAATTCAATTTTTAGTACCGAAAATCCACGTGGAATTTGGCGCCAAAAACCCTACAGTAACCCGGAAAATGTGCGCGGAAATTAATTTTTTTTTGAATTTAAATTTTTGGCGCAAAAAAATCCACGTGGAAATGTTCTTTCAAACTCAATTTTTAGCGCCAAACATTCGAATTCAAATTCAATTTTTTGCGCGAAACTTGATTTTTCAAATTCAATTTTGGCGCCAAAAAACCCCTACAGTAACCCCCGAGAAAAATCGAATCACTCACAACTTCCACTTGGTATATAATAAGCTCCTTCGGCATTCTTGTGCAAAATTGTTCCGTCGGAATTTGACGAGTTTGGCCAATCGCCAAATTGTTCGGTGGAGCGCATTTGTGCCTGTTGAGAGCGGCGCTGCAAAATTATATTTTGTGAAAAAAAAATTTGAAGCTCTGAAATTTTCAGCCCAAAAATACCAAAATCAAATTTTCCCTGCTGAAAATCGTGCTAGAATTTTCAGATTTCCAGCCCTACCTGTTGTGACATCGACATTTCATAGGACGAATTGCTCGTGGCCGGAGGCGGTGTAGTTTTAATCAGCAATCCATCTGAAAATTGAAATTTTTTTCCCAAGAAAGAAAAAAAAATCCAAATTTTCCCGCTTCACCCAAATTTTTGATCTACATACCCTCCAAAAAATTGTCGGTTTTGTGTTGAAGAATATTTTTCCCTTTGCTGATTCATTCATTATCAAATAAAAAAAATGATTGTGTAAAAAAATATAATAAAAAATGGCATGAGCAATAAAAATACACACATACAGGCATAAATAAATAAATCAGAACTTTTTGATTGAAAAAAAAATATCTGTGTCTGCGTCTCTAACAGAATCCACGTGGCAAAACATTTAAAAAAAAATTTGTTTTTAATCATCTCTAGCTTCTCTGCGTCCCTAACCGCATCTAATTTCTCTGGGCTCTCTAAGCTTCTAGCTATTCTGTTTCTCTGCCTTCTCTGCATCTCTAACCTAATCAGTGTCTCCTAGTTTAGATTCACTAATTCTCTAGTTTCTCTGCGTCTCTAACCTCTCAGTTATCTTCCTCTGAACTCTCTCTCTCTGCATCTATAACCTTATCTAATTTCTCTGGGCTCTCTAAGCTTCTAGCTCTCTCTCTCTCTATCTCTACCCTCTATGCGTCTCTAACCTCTCGGTTATTTTCCTCTGAACACTCTCTCTCTCTCTGAGACTCTAACCTACTCAGAAATTTTTTTGTACCGGGACAGAATTTTTTAAGCACATTGTTCGAGTACTGTCTATATTTTGTGCATGCCGTGACGTCATCACCTGCACAAAATATAGACAGTACTCGAACAATGTGCTTAAAAAATTCTGTCCCGGTACAAAAAAATTTCTGAGTAAGCAGTGTCTCCTAGCTTAGATTCACTATTTCTCTAGCTTCTCTGCATCTCTCACCTAAATGGTATCTCTAACAGTCTCTAGCTTCTCTGCGTCTCTAACTCTGCCCATCTTCTCTACGTCTCTCTATATCTCTAACTCTATCAGCTCTCTAGCATCTCTGATGTCTCTCACACCCTCTGCGTCTCTCACCCCCCTCCCCTTTCCACTCTGCATCTCTCACCTCTCTGCCTCGCCAACTCTTCCGGATCCTCATAATCATTGGTATAATCGTGTTGTTGCTCAACACCGGGCGGTCTCGGCGGTTGCCACGCTGGCGGTGGACCTTGCAACCCTCTGTGATACATCTGACGATCGTCTTCTCCAGATGTTGGAGAAGGTAGACAATCAGCCGGATGCGGTAGTGGATTCGTAGTGGATTCTGAAAGGAACAAAAATTATTTGGGTTGTCGTGATTGCGGAGTGTCGTTTGGAAAAAAAAAATGAAAATTTCAAATTTTTTGCTGTGAAAGAAACTTGTGGAAAAAAAAAAGAAAACTAAATTGAGGACAAAACAAAAACATGTGTACACTAATAATTATACGATATTTTTCGGATTAATAAAATACATTTCAAAAAAAAAAATGAAAAGGAAAAGTGAAACCGGAAGAAGTTTTACTGACATTTTTTTTTTCGAAATTGGGAAAAAATTCTCCAAAAAAAATTCCAAATCAGAAAATTTTCAGCGGGAAAAAGAGAAATTCAAAATTTCGCATTTTCCCGCTGAATCGTGCTCTTGTCCAAGAGAAATACACGAATTTTAACTGAAAAAAAAATTACAAAAAATGTGTGTACTTCTCTCGGACAAGAGTCAGATTCAGCGGGAAATGAAAAATGAAAAATTTCGCATTTTCCCGCTGATTGTTGCTTTTGTCCGAGAGAAGTACACGAATTCTTACTGAAAAAAAATTACAAAAAATGTGTGTACTTCTCTCGGACAAGAGTCAGATTCGAGAAAAAAGGTTCCAAAATTCCAGAAAATCTAAGAAGTTGCTCAAAAATTCCAGAAAAATGGACCAAAAATCTGAAATTCAATAAAATATAGAAATTTCGTTTAAAAAAATGTTAGTTAGAGAAAATTCCCAGAATTTCCAGAATAATTTAATTTCAAAAAAAAACACAGAAAATTCTAGAAAAGTTCCCAAAAATCAATAATTTGATTCCGAAGGTCCAAAAAACTTCACTAGAAAATTCTGAAAAATTCAGAGGTTCTCAAAAAATCGTCAGAAAATTCCAGAAGTTCCCCAAACTCCCCCGGAAACCCTTCAGCCACCCAAAAAATTAATAAAATAAAAATAAAAACCATTCCCGTTCCTGTGTGGTGCGCGATAAAAATGGGCGTGGCCAAAAATGTCCCCCTCTTTCTCTAACTCTCTCTCTCCTCCCATACTCTCTACTTTTCCATCTAAAAAGCGGCCGAACTACAAAAAAAAACTTGGACGAAGCTTGTAAAACTATCACCATAAAACAGCTGCTTATATTGGATGAGTGACAAGAAAACGAACGAAAAACACATGTATATTTTTGAACCAGAGAAAAAAAAGTATTGGGTTACCATCAGAAATATAATTTGGTTGACCTCAAAAACTTGGAGCCAGAAAAACCAGATGTGCTAGACTGGGACTACTGTAGAATTTATGGGGGTTTAGGTAGATCAGAATAAAAATTAGAACGAATTGTGCAAACACCGTGACGCATAAATGCACAGAAAATCATTTTTTGGCAGCGTTCCAAATTTCAACCGGAAATCTAAATTTAAAGAGATGCGAGAAAGAATTTAGAAAAAAAATGACATTTTTTGCAGAAATGAGTTCAGAAAAAATTTTGGCACACAAATTTTTAGGTAGATCAAAAGTATCTTCAAAATTTGTGGATCTTGGAGAAATTTTTTATTAGAAAATAATTTTCTAACCAAAATTTTGTTGACTATTCTATTTTTTTTATCAATTGGATCGGAAATTTCGAAATCTTCCATGTTTCAAAACAAAAATAGAAACAAAAAACAAAAGGTCAAATCATCAAATTTTTGGTTTTAAACACAAAAAATAGATTTTGGAGTTACGGTAACTCAAAAATCCTGAAAAATAGTCTAAAAACTCGCAAAAATCATATGATTTCCTCCAAATAATTAGCCATTTCTCGCCGCGCGCAAAATAAGTATATAAAATTTGCAAAAAATCATCCAAAACACAAATAGAGATTATTTGGGTAGCCAAATTGCGACAAAAACAAAGAAAATTCTATTTTCCCGCTGAATCTGGCTCTTGTCCGAGAGAAGTACACACATTTTTGTAATTTTTTTCAGTAAAAATTCGTGTACTTCTCTCGGACAAGCGCAAAAATCAGCGGGAAAATGCGAAATTTTGAATTTCTCATTTTCCCGCTGAATCTGGCTCTTGTCCGAGAGAAGTACACACATTTTTGTAATGTTTTTCAGTAAAAATTCGTGTACTTCTCTTGGACAAACGTAGCAATCCGCGGGAAAATGCGAAATTTTGAATTTTTTGCTGAATCTAGCTCTTGTCCGAGAGAAGTACAAAAAATTTTCTATTTTTGAAATTTTTTTCAGTTAAAATTCGTGTATTTCTCTCGGACAAGCGCAAAAATCAGCGGGAAATGAAAAATTCAAAATTTCGCATTTTCCCGCTGATTTTTGCTCTTGTCCGAGAGAAGTACACACATTTTTGGTAATTTTTTTCAATAAAATTCGTGTACTTCTCTCGGACAAGCGCAAAACCAGGAATAAAGGGGATTTTCGGCGCCAAAATCAATTTTCATCGAAAAAAAGAGCAACATGTGGTCTAATGAAAAATGGCCACATGTGAAGAAAAAAAAGGCACAAAACAAACTTTTTGGTCACTTTTCTCCAAAAAACCCTATTTTTCACACCTACTCTAAGGTTTGTTTACCCAAAAAAGGACCATCATCATCACGGTCTATTTAAACAAGCATAATAAAACACAAAAAAATGGCCTTGAAAATATTCCAAAAAAGAAAAAAAGGAAAAAAGTGCGAAAAAATGTTTTGATTAAATTTCCTTTTTACACGGATGGGCCAAAAAAGTATATAAACTAGCAAGAAATTTTTGGGGGCCCCACTTCAGAGAGAAATGCCAAATAATAATTGTCAAGGTCTCCTCTTCTCTTGATATCTTAATATTCCCCCCCCAAAAATGTGTTGCGCAATAAAAAAAAGCGAGACACAGCTAATGGGCCCCAAAAAAAAACAAAAAAAAAAAAAGTTGTCTGCAGGAAGTGGGATTCGAACCCACGCACCCATACGAGTACCAGAACACCCAGTGTACCTCGAACCTGAGGCAAGCGTGACGCTTGAGTCTGGCGCCTTAGACCGCTCGGCCATCCCTGCACATTTTTCCCGGCGCCGAATTTTGTTGATTATTTTCTCGTCGGGCGAGAGATAGAGAGAAAATAGACCACCCGTATTATTATTTCCCCGGGGTGTTTTATACATTTTTAATAAAAAAAATAAAAATTATACGAATTTTTGATATTAAAAACTGCCAACAACACGAAAAAGTCGCTATTTTCCACCAAATAAATCCCAAAATCGGGTCTAACATAACATAAATGTTAAATGATGCGATAGTTACAGTACTTTGCTTTTTAAGTAGAGACGCAGACGGCAAAAAGTGGCGAAAATGAGAAGAAGAAAAGGAAGAATTCAATTAACGGATATCCCAAGTTTTATTGGCATTTATGCAAAAAATTTGAAAATGGGGATAAATTTCAGCAAAAAATTGGGTAGAGAAGGATTTTTGACTGGAAATCTGGTGAAAATTTGAAAAATTCTGGAAAATTTAGCCTAGATCCATGCAAAAAACACAAATTCTTGTCAGAAATCCTCTAATTTAGGCTAAAAATTCACGATTTTCTCAATTTTTCCCAGGTTTTCAGTCAAAAATCCCCCCCAGAATTTTGGACTTAGATACGCAGGGTAGAAGGACTACTGTAGGTTTTTGAATATTCCCAAAAACTCACACGATTTTCTAGAATTTCAGTTTTCAAAAATAAAAATTCCCCCTAGGATTTTCAAAGGTCACGTTTGAAAAAGAATTTTTGATTAATATGAGCAATAGAGCTACAGTACTTCAAAGGAACATGTCTTGTTTGAACTCAAAATGATGCTCTTTGAGGCACACAGTGAACTACAGTATTTTAAAGGAACATGGATGATTGCTCATGTTAATAAAGCTGTGAAAATAGTTCCATCGCTTTTGATTTGCGAGCGAAAATTGAAAATCGAATCATTTTCAACATTTTTTTGAATTTTTTCTGAAGTACGGTAGAAGAACCTGCAGATCTAACCAAAAATGCCAAGATTTATTATCAACGATTCAAATTATCGTTCAATTTCCATCACCAAACTTCACAAACTCCCAAAATTCCGACAACCCATCGACATTTCGTGTGAATCGGATAGCAATCGGCCAATGTTCGACACCAATAAACGGGCGGAGCGGCATCGATTGGTGAAATTGCGATGGAAGCGAGAAGAACCATCAAGAGAACATAGAGGAATTTCATTTTGAAAATTGGAAAATCACGGGGAGATGCGGGTTTTATATGAAAATCAGGAAAATTCTGTCGAAAATAATTCAATTTTGCAATTTTCGCTAACGAATATTCGAATCAAAAAGATCGCAAAAAACTTTTATTTTTCGAAAATAAAAAAAAACATTTTTTTACTTTTGAAAAAAAATGTGCGCGCACTTCGAGACCTATTGTGTGTTTTGTGTGCGCCTTTGAAAAACTACTGTAGTTAAATTATTTTTTCTTTTTTTTTCAGTTTCATCGGTTTTTTACGGGAAAGTTTTTGCAGCTTGGCTAATATGAGCAATCAATCCACAATCATCCATGTTCCTTTAAATTACTGTAGTTCACTGTGTTTCTCAAAGAGCATCATTTTGAGTACAAACAAGACATGTTCCTTTAAATTACTGTAGCTCTATTGCTCATATTAATCAAAAATTCTTTTTCAACATGACCTTTGAAAATCCCAAATTTTTTGTGGCAAATTTTTATTTTTGAAAAATATAAAATTCTATCGTGTGGGTTTTTGGGAATATTCAAAAACCTACAGTAGTCCTTCTGCCCTGCGTATCTAAGTCAAAAATTATGGGGGATTTTTGACTGAAAACCTGGGAAAAATTGAGAAAATCGTGAATTTTGAGCCCTTTAGAGGATTTCTGACAAAAAATGTGTGTTTTTTGCATGGGAACCCCGGAAATCTCAAATTTCCATCCAAAATCCTCAATTTCACTGAAAATTGTTGAATTTTCGAGAATTTTTCAAATTTTCACCAGATTTTCAGTCAATAATCCTTCTCTACCCAATTTTTAATCTAGGTTATAGTTGGTGCAAAAAAAATATTCGAATCAGAAGCGATGGAACTATTTTTGCAGCTTTAATAATATGAGCAATCATCCATGTTCCTTTAAATTACTGTAGTTCACTGTGTTACTCAAAGCGCATCATTTTGAGTTCAAACAAGATGGATTTTGAATTTCGGGGAACAATGTTCCTTTAAAGTACTGTACCTCCATATGAATTGCTCATATTAACACAAAAACCCGCCAAAAATCCTAATTAGCAATTAAAAATATACTGTAAACAAAATAAAAGGCAAATCAAAGCAGGAAAATAAACCGGCCTTGACTTTTTTGTGGCCAACCCGATAAACAACCAATTATAGTTATCCTAGCTGCCTAGGCTATTGTTTTCACACTTTTTTTGGCAACAAAAAGGGACAGGAAAGGGGACTTACAGTAGTTTTTACTGTAATTCTTTGATGTAAAAAACCTGGGATACTGTAGGTTTTGGCGCGAAAATCAAAAAAAAGTAATTTTTTCCCACAAAAAAAAACTTTTTCTGTATTGTTTATTCATAATAATTGAATAAATATTCATATCTGCTTGTAAAACACCACCAAAAAAAAAAAGAAGAACACCGCCTTTTAGGGTTTGAGAAAAAGGGGGGGCTTGTAAATATGAGCAATTACTACTACCACCCGGGATCTTTTGTTATTTTTTTTTATTAATAAAAACAAAAGGAAAGGGCGAGTGATTTCTACAGGTGTGAAAAAAAGAAAAGGCGGTAAAAGCTTGTATTTTTTGAGGCCGACACAAAAAGGGAAACGGAGGTTTTCATGGAAAAAATCAGAGCATTGCTCATGTTAATTTTCTGAAAATTTCTGGTTTTTCGGTCGAAATTCATGAAAAAAGCTTATGTTATTTCTCAAAAAATCAAAAAAAAAAATGGAAAATTTCTGAGAATTGCTCATGTTAAAGTTGTAAAATAAATAATTTTCGAATATTCGAGCATTGCTCATTTTAGTTAGATCCTAAAATCCGAAAAAAATGAAAGTTTTTGAGCATTGCTCAGGTTAGTTCTCAAAAAATCAAGGATTTTCAACATTTTATGTTCATTGCTCATGTTAGAACTCAAAATCCAGAACTTTTGCTATTTTTGAGCATTGCTCATGTTAATTTTCTGAAAATTTCTGGTTTTTCGGTCGAAATTCAAGAAAATTGCTCATGTTAGAACTCAAAATACAAAATTTTTTCCAGAATTTCAGGATTTTCAAAAAAAAAAACAATTTTTTCTGAATATTTAATTAAAATAGTTTGATTACGACAAAAAACCAGGTGAAAAATAGATCAAACTAAAAACAAATTAATTTTTTGAGTCACGAGGTTTCCAATTTTGCCACGTCATAACTCATGTCAAAGTTGAGCTAAGTCGAATTTGATAGAAACCCTTTTGAGACCCTAAAAGCCTAGAATTAGGCCACGCCCATTTTCGCAAGATTGCCGCACAGTTTTTCTGCTCATTTTGAAACTAAACATGAGCAATGCTCAAAAATTTTCAAAAATTCTCTTCTTTCCGAGGTTTAACATGAGCAACGCTCAATTATTTTAAAATTCTTGGTTTTTCAGCTCTAATATGAGCAATGATACAAATTTCCTGAATTTCGACCGATAAACCACAAATTTTCAAATATAACATGAGCAATGATTAAAAATTTCCAAAAATTCTCTTCTTTTTGAGGTTTAACATGAGCAACGCTCAATTATTTTAAAATTCTTGATTTTTTGAGCTCTAACATGAGCAATGTTCAAAAAAGTCCAAAAATTCTTGATTTTTTGAGCTCTAACATGAGCAATGTTCAAAAAAGTCCAAAAATTCTTGATTTTTGGGCTCTAACATGAGCAATGCTCGAAAACGTGCAGAAATTCTTGATTTTTGGGCTCTAAAATGAGCAATGCTACTAAAAATCGTCCAAAAATTCTTGATTTTTGGGCTCTAACATGAGCAATGAACACATTAATTTTGAATTTTGACTTGAAAATCAAAAATCCATCAGAAATTTCATATTTTCGCTGAAAACTCCAAGTTAGATATGCAGGGTGCTTACTGTAGCCCGCGATTTTTTCGTATTCAAAATTTATTATGAACAAATGAGCAAACTATAAACAATATACATTTTTTGTCAATAAATCCCAGTACTCTTCATTTTCTCAAGAATAGAGTCTAGTTTCTCCTCCTCATTTTTCCGATCCTTCTTGTCAGATTTCTGAAGCTCTCCAGAACATTCTAAAAAAAATCGAAAAAATTTTTAATTTCAGGCAAAATCAAAATACCTTTCTCAAGATCGGTGAATAATTTTTCATCAATTCGGCATGGTTTAGTCAAGCAATTTAGGGTGTTCTTTAGGAAATTCATTAGGTAAATAGGGTAATTTGGAACAATGTCAAGTTAGAATAACTCCAGTTAAGTGGGAATTTTCAGCTGCTTTTTCCAGCAAAATAATGCTAACCTTTTCATTTCATATGTCAGCCCAAAAAAAACTTTAAACTCACTTTTGAACAACGTCACAAGCATAGAAATAGCAAATTTTTCGGCTAATAATAGATTAGTTGAGAAGAAAAATGTTATATAAAATGAAAAAAAAAATAATCCTCAAAATTTAACGCAGCTGCGCTCCAGGTGGCGCCCAAAAGGGAACTGCTTACGATTTTTTTATGAATTTTTTTTGTGAAAAAAAATCGCACAGCTACAGTACTAACTCGAAATTTTCCGTGGAAAATATGAAATTTTGAAGATTGCTCATGTTATATTTGAAAATTTGTATTTTTTCGGTCGAAATTCAAGAAATTTGTGTCATGGCTCATGTTAAACCTCGAAAAATAGAGAATTTTCGGAAATTTGTGTCCTTGCTCATGTTAAAACACAAAATCAAGAAACTTTAGTATCTTCCGAGCATTGCTCATGTTATATTTGAAAATTTGTGGTTTTTCGGTCGAAATTCAGGAAATTTGGATCATTGGTCATGTTAAACCTCAAAAAAACCATAATTTTTCGAAAATTGAGCGTTGCTCATGTTAAACCTAGTAAAACGAGTATTTTTGAATTTTTTTCGAGCATTGCTCATGTTATATTTGAAAATTGGTGATTTTTCGTTCGAAATTCTGGAAATTTGGATCATTGCTCATTTTAGAGCTGAAAAAACCAAGAATTTTCAAAAATTGAGCGTTGCTCATGTTAAACCTCAAAAAGAAGAGAATTTTTGGAAATTTTTGAAGATTGCTCATGTTATATTTGAAAATTTGTGATTTTTCGTTCGAAATTCAGGAAATTTGGATCATTGCTCATGTTAAACTTCGAGAAATCGATAATTTTCAAAAATTGAGCGTTGCTCATGTTAAACCAAGAATTTTTTGGAAATTTTCGAGCATTGCTCATGTTATATTTGAAAATTTGTGGTTTTTCGGTCGAAATTCAGGAAATTTGGATCATTGCTCATGTTAAACCTCAAAAAATAGATATTTGTTGGAATCTTTTGAGCGTTGCTCATGCTAAACCACGAAAAGAAGAGAATTTTTGGAAATTATTGATCATTGCTCATGTTAAACCTAGTAAAGCCGAGTATTTTCGGATTTTTTCGAGCATTGCTCATGTTATATTTGAAAATTTGTGATTTTTCGGTCGAAATTCAGGAAATTTTGATCATTGCTCATGTTAAACCTCAAAAAAACGATAATTTTCGAAAATCGAGCGTTGCTCATGTTAAAACAAGAATTTTTTGGAATCTTTCCAGCATTGCTCATGTTATATTTGAAAATTTGTGTCATTGCTCATGTTAAACCTCAAAAAATAGAGATTTTTGGAATCTTTTGAGCATTGCTTATGTTAAACTTCGAAAAATCGATAATTTTTGGAAAATTTTGAGCATTGCTCATGTTAAACCTCGAAAAGAAGAGAATTTTTGGAAATTTTCGAGCATTGCTCATGTTAAACCTCGAAAATTCGATAATTTTCGGAAATTTTCGAGCATTGCTCATGTTAGAGATTCCAAATTTGTTGAATAAAACTATAAAATTGTGAAAAATTTCAAAATTTAAAATTTCCCGCTTCCCAAATTCCCATCCTCCCTCCCCCCAAAAAAACTCCCACCTTTTTTGCTGATTGTATCAAATCGAGCCAAAATCGGCGCCGCCTCTTTCCTATGATATGTTCCAATCGCCAAAACGGGCACTTTTGGTGGCGGCGCATTTTCGGCACGTGACGTGGCATCCGAAGATGTTTCGGATGATGTTGGTGGATGCTCCATTAGTGGTGTGTCTTCGGAGATCGCATTCACTGTTAGTTCGATGGTCTCTGCAGAAAATATTGATTTTTTGGCCGATCGGGGATGAAAATGAGTTATGACGTGGCGAAATACGAAATCCCTTGATTTTCTGTGATTTCGCCACGTCATAACTCATGTTTAGAGTTGAGATAAATCAATTTTCACTGTGGAATCGTGATCAGCAAGTCAAAATTCACTAGGAACACGTTTTGCCGTAAAAAACCGATGAAACTAAAAAAACAAGAAAAAAATTTGACTACCGTAGTTTTTCAAAGGCGCACACAAAACACACAACGGGTCTCGAAGCGCGCGCACGTTTTTTTATTCAAAGTTGAATAAAAAATTATTTTTTTTATTTTCGAAAAAAAAAAGTTTTTTGTGAATTCTTGCGAAACAAAACAAAATGTGGTGGAAAATCGATGAAAATGAGAATGCGAACAACTGTTTGACACGAAGACCAATCATGTTTTGACAAATGTTTATATAAATGAAATGAAACTGGAGAGGAAAAAGGTAATAAGGGGGGATTTTTGAATATTTTATATTATATATATACAAAAAAATCTCTGAAATTTGAGCTTTATCTCTGCACCCTCCTCAAATCGCACACTATTTTTTCGAAGCAACAGGAGAAGATTCACCAGATGCGCGCGCGCGCGCGGTTAATTATATAATAATAATAATTTTTTTTCGAGAAAAAAATCGCGGAGATTATTTTTTTTCACATAAAAATTGAATAAGCCTAATTTCTTTTGACATTGTGGGAAAAACCTTTTTTTTATAGACAAAAAGGCGAAAATTCATGAATTTTGAATGTGCCAAAACTTTTTGGCTGTGAATAATAAAAGGTTTTTTTTTATTTTATTGAATTTTCAGAGAAAAAAATTATTTTTTTTAAATATCAGAAAAAAAAATAAAATAAAAAGTGTTGTAAAAAAATCGATGAGTCATTTCTCTCTCGAGAAAAATTCTGACAAAAAAAAATTTGTGAAAATTGGAGAAAATACTCCACCGGAACTACAAATAGAATAGGGTCTCGTTAGCGTCGAAAAATTTGGAGAGCGAAAAAAAAATCGCGCGCGGGCAGTGGGATTCGAACCCTGGTCTCCTGCACGGCAGTCAAAAACGCTAGCCACTAGGCCATAGCTCTCTTCTCTCCCTCGGGCGAAAATGTTGGTGGAAAGGAGACTGTTTTTTTTTCACTGGACCAATAAAAAAAAAGGATAAATCTGTCACCAACACCCCGAATTTCGCTGTCTGCGTCTCTCACCTCTCAACACTCTCTCGCTTTTAATAACAATAATCTCCAAATCATAATTAAGTCATCTATTCAGGTGTATATTACTAATAAGAGGGGACCCCATATGGAGCAAGATTACTGTAGGATTACTGTAGGTAGGTAAAACTACAGTAACCTGAATCTTAAAGGGACACTCACCTTTCGGCTGCTCATTTTTTCGATTCGAAATTCGAAAAATTTTCCGCTTCACCAAATCCGGTGTGGCACATTTGAATAATCGGGGAACATCCATTCATATGGGCTGAAATTCTGGAAAAAAACCATGCCGCAAAATTGCAAGTTGAGATTTAGGCCACGCCCCCTTAACCAAGCCGCAATTTTGCTATAGAAAATGAATGCCACGTGGATTTTTGGCGCAAAAATTTTAGATTCAAATAATTTCCACGTGGATTTTTCGCGCCGCAAAATTGCATCCACAAAAAAACCAAGCCACGCCCCCAAAACCGCGCCGCAACTTGCAAAATTGCAGAAACCCGAAAAACAAAGTGTATGTGGACCTCTCTGACCACTGTTTTGCGATTCAAAAGACAACAGGCGTGTTTCTAAAACACCGTGTGTAAAAGTGAGAGAGTGGGGAGAAGTGAGAGACGCAGAGAAAGAGGAGAGCTTTTGATAGATTGACAGGTGAAAATTTGAATTTTTTCATTTTTAAAAATTTAATTTCAGGTGTGTACTTGGTACAAAACAAAAAAAATTATGCCAAACCCTAAAAAGAGATCATATATAAACATAAAAAGGGGGTACTGTAGAGTACTGTAATTTTCGGGGGGTACTGTAACTCGTCAAATTATACTTTTATTGGTGGGTGTGAGTGTAGAGGAGGTACTGTAGTAGCTGTGAGGGTGTACTGTAGGTGACATATTCACATATGAACTGAGGCACTATATCGAACATGACTGTTGGGAACATGCCAACGAGATGGGCGGTACTGTAATTTGGAAAAAATTTATTGATTTTTAGGAATATTTTTGGCTGAATAAAATTTCTAATAGATAAATGGTAAAACGTAAATTTTTTGTGACTTGCAAAAGCTTCGAAAATTTCAAATTTCTAGCATTTTTCAGCTGAAAATCTGAAAATTTCAGAGAAATTCGGAAGCTTAAAATCATCTTCAGTGAATTTTTGTTGAGATTGGCAAAAATTTTTCAAACTGAATTTTGTAATCTCAATTTTCAGATAGAAAAATGGTGAAACGTAAAACTTTCGAGATTTTTGTGAGTTGGAAAAGCTTCAAAATTTCAAATTTCTAGCATTTTTCAGTTGAAAATCTGAAAATTTCAGAGAAATTCGGAAGCTTAAAATCATTTTCAGTGAATTTCCGTTGAGATTGGCAAAACTTTTTTAAACTGAATTTCGTAATCTCAATTTTCAGATAGAAAAATTGTGAAACGTAAAATTTTCGGGATTTTTTTGTGAGTTGGAAAAACTTCAAAATTTCAAATTTTTGAGTCAAAATTCCGTTTTCTAGGTAAAATTCAGCAATTTTCATTCGGAAATTTGAAAATTAAATTTAAAAAAAAATGTTTTTTGAAAAATATGAAATAGAATTTGAGGAATGAAAATCCTAGGTTCAAAATTTCAAAATTAAACATTTTGGCACCAAAAATCCACGTGGCAATTTTTTTGTTCAAAAATTCGTTACTTTTATAATTTTTTTTCAGACAAGTTTGGATTTTTGTTGAAAATTATCAGATTTTTGAGCAAAAATTTCAAATTTCTAGCATTTTTCAGCTGAAAATCGAAAATTTCAGAGTTTTAATGGTCCCAGGGGGTGAAAATGAGCAATTTTCCAGATTTTTAATGGAAAATTATGAAATTTCAGACTAAAAAGCTCCCCATACCTAATTTTAAGCTTCCGGGACCAAAAATCCTGGGATTTTTTGTTGAAGAAGGTTTCAGAGCCAAAAATGAGCAATTTTATTAAGAAATTTTGAAAATAGTCAAATTTTTAGATTTTAATGGTCCCATGGCTAAAAATATGCAATTTTGACCAGATTTTAAGCTTCCGGGACCAAAAATCCTGGAATTTCTTGTTGAGGGGGCCAAAAATAAGCAATTTTATCAATAAATTTTGAAAATAGTCATTTTTGAACGAATTTTTGAGATTTTCAGCCTATTTTGACTGAAAATTCACAATTTTCGATCGAAACAGCATTAATCTGTTGAAAATCTTATTTTTTGAAGGGAAATTTTTGAGATTTTCAGCCTATTTTGACTGAAAATCCACAATTTTTCAATCAAAATACCATTTTTCTATAGAAAATCTCAGATTTTCACCATTTTCGGCTTAAAATTCACAATTTCTCGATCAAAATAGCCTACCTTAATCAATAATTGTCCACTGGTTGTATGAGGATTATAATAAGCATATCCCAACCATCCACCAATACAAATCACAATTCCAATCAAAAATGATACAGTCGCAAAACTCGCGCCATTTTCACCAGTTCCATTTGCCAATAGTCGAGTTCCCGGAATTCGATCCAATCCTCCATATTTCAGCGGAATCACATGTTTTTGTGGTGTATTTGGAGCAGTCTCATAAATCTCCTCATTTTCTTCATCATCCGAATTAGCCGAAGTAGCAGCTGGGCAATATAAACCTTTCGATTTCAGATTGCAATTTCCTTGCACCCAATCTTGTCGTCTTCGATGCAAACCCGATTCGTCTGTACAAAATGGTCCGCCGTTTTTCTTTTTCGAATGACACCATTGACATTTGAAGTGTTTTAGGGTGGCATTTGTGCATGAATCACAGGTGTCGAATTGGATGCACGCTGAAAATTGCTTATATTTTTGGCGGGAATGGCACCTTTTGAGCCTAAAATTCCAGAAAATTATTGATTTTTGGCTGGAAAATATTGATTTTCAGAGATTTTCAGTGAATTTTCGTTGAGATTGGCAACATTTTCTAAAACTGAATTTCGTAATCTCAATTTTCCAATAGAAAAATGGTGAAACGTAAAATTTTCGGGATTTTTTGTGAGTTGGAAAAGCTTTCGAATTTCAAATTTTTGAGCTAAAATTCCGTTTTCTAGGTAAAATTCTAGGAAGACGTTCGAATTTCTAGCATTTTTCAGCTGAAAATCTGAAAATTTCAGAGAAATTCGGAAGCTTAAAATCATTTTCAGTGAATTTTCGTTGAGATGCGCAAAAATTTTTGTGACTGAATTTCGTAATCTCAATTTTCTAATAGAAAAATGGTGAAACGTAAAATTTTCGGGATTTTTTTTGTGAGTTGGAAAAGCTTCAAAATTTCAAATTTTTGAGCCAAAATTCAGGTAAAATTCACTAATTAGGTTTTAATTCAAAATTTCAAAATCCACGTGGCAATTTTCCTGTTTGAAAAATAAATTCGATACTTCTACAATTTGTTTTTTTTTGTTCAAAAAAATTGCAAATTTTTCAGAAAATTTCATGGTTTTAATGGTCCCAGCGTTAAAATGAGCAATTATCCAGGTTTTTCGTGAGAAATTATGAAATTTAACCGGATTTTCAGAGATTTTCAGTGAATTTTCGTTGAGATGCGCAAAAATTTTTGTGACTGAATTTCGTAATCTCAATTTTCAGATAGAAAAATGAAATTTTTTTTGTCAAAATTTCGTTTTCTAGGTAAAATTCTAGGAAAACGTTCAAATTTCTAGCATTTTTCAGCTGAAAATCTGAAAATTTCAGAGAAATTCGGAAACTTAAAATCATTTTCAGTGAATTTTCGTTGAGATGCGCAAAAATTTTTGAGACTGAATTTCGTAATCTCAATTTTCTAATAGAAAAATGGTGAAACGTAAAATTTTCAGGATTTTTTTGTGAGTTCGAAAAACTTCAAAATTTCAAATTTTTGAGCTAAAATTCAGTAATTTTCATTAAGAAATTTGAAAATTAAATTTTCAAAAAATATTATTGCAATTGTTATAAAAGGTGGTACTGAATTTCGTAATCTCAATTTTCAGATAGAAAAATGGTGAAACGTAAAATTTTCAGGATTTTTTTGTGACTTGGAAAAGCTTTCAAATTCCAATTTTTTGAGCTACAATTCAGTAATTTTCATTAAGAAATTTGAAAATTAAATTTTCAAAAAATATTATTGGAAATGTTGGAAAAGGTGGTACTGAATGTCGTAATCTCAATTTTCTAATAGAAAAATGGTGAAACGTAAAATTTTCAGGATTTTTTTGTGACTTGGAAAAGCTTTCAAATTCCAATTTTTGAGCTACAATTCAGTAATTTTCATTAAGAAATTTGAAAATTAAATTTTCAAAAAATATTATTGGAAATGTTGGAAAAGGTGGTACTGAATGTCGTAATCTCAATTTTCTAATAGAAAAATGGTGAAACGTAAAATTTTCGGGATTTTTTTGTGACTTGGAAAAGCTTCAAAATTTCAAATTTTTGAGTCAAAATTCCGTTTTCTAGGTAAAATTCTAGGAAAACGTTCAAATTTCTAGCATTTTTTAGCTGAAAATCTGAAAATTTCAGAGAAATTCGGAAGTTTAAAATCATTTTCAGTGAATTTTCGTTGAGATTGGCAAATTTTTTAAAACTGAATTTCGTAATCTCAATTTTCAGATAGAAAAATGGTGAAACGTAAAATTTTCGGGATTTTTTTGAGTCAAAATTCAGTTTTCTAGGTAAAATTCCGAAATTAGGTTTTAGTTCAAAATTTCAAAATCCACGTGGCAACTTTTCTGTTTGAAAAATTCGATACTTCTACAATTTGTTTTTTTTTGTTCGAAAAAATTGCAAATTTTTCAGAAAATTTCAGGTTTCAATGGTCCCAGGGCTAAAAATGAGCAATTTTCCAGATTTTTTGTGAGAAATTATGAAATTTGACCAGTTTTTCGAGATTTTCAGTGAATTTTCGTTGAGATTGGCAAATTTTTTAAAACTGAATTTCGTAATCTCAATTTTCAGATAGAAAAATGGTGAAACGTAAAATTTTCGGGATTTTTTGTGACTTGGAAAAGCTTCAAAATTTCAAATTTTTGAGTCAAAATTCCGTTTTCTAGGTAAAATTCAGCAATTTTCATTCAGAAATTTGAAAAGTAAATTTAAAAAAAAATGTTTTTTGAAAAATATGAAATAGAATTTGAGGAATGAAAATCCTAGGTTCAAAATTTCAAAATTAAAAATTTTGGCACCAAAAATCCACGTGGCAATATTATTGTTTGAAAAATTCGTTACTTTTATAATTAGCTTTTGGTGTTCCTTTAAAGGTGGAGTCCGAGCAAAAAATAAGTTGTGCTAATTTGAAAGAGCATGTTGCAATTAGTACAATCCTCGAAGGATTTTTTCTGAAAGCTTCTCTAACATTAGAGAAACACAGCTCGAAACGGTTGGAGATATGGACTTTCAAGCCATTTTACACGGTGTTTCACTGTTTTTTCGAACTTTGTAATTTTTTAACCAATGTTTGAGAAGCTTCCAGAAAAAATCCTTCGAGGATTGTACTAATTGGAACATGATCTTTCAAATTAGCACAACTTATGTTTTGCTCGGACTCCACCTTTAAGAAAATTGAAAATTAAATTTTCAAAAAATATTATTGGAAATGTTGGAAAAGGTGGTACTGAATTTCGTAATCTCAATTTTCTAATAGAAAAATGGTGAAACGTAAAATTTTCGGGATTTTTTTGTGACTTGGAAAAGCTTTCAAATTTCAAATTTTTAAGCCAAAATTCAGTAATTTCCATAAGGAAATTCTGAAATTCAAAAATTTTCACTAGAAATTCGTTGAATTTGTAATTTTTAACCTTGAAAACACGAAATTTCAAAATTTTTGGTCCCGGAAGCTTGAACTCAAGTTTGAGAAAACTGAAATTCAAAAATTTTTCACAAAAAATCTGGAAAATAGTTGAAATTCCAAAATTTTTTAGCCCCAAAGCTTGAAATAAGGTCTGAAAATTCCGTTTTTGGTGAAAATTCGGCAAAAATTTTTCAAAACTCACTTGGCTGCGCTTTCAAAATCACAACACTATTCGATTTGACTTTGGGAAAAGTGACCTCAATTCGATGATATTCATAAATAACCCGTTTTGGTTGTGTTGAAGATGAGGAAGATGAAGAAGAACTTTGAGATGATCCAGAAGCTGAAGATCCTCCCAAATTATTCATAATTCCATCATGATTGAATAAATACGCATCAGATATTCCTAGTTTCACAGGATGATTTGAATCGCTGATATTCTCGATTTGAAGTGGAATATCCTTGTAAGCAAATACGATATCACCATTTTTGTGAAGAATTGCTTGGAATGAGAAAGTGTCTGGAAAAATTTGTATTATCAGAGACATCTCAATCTTCCGCGAACTGCCGCGTTCGCGGAAGAATGCGGCGCTTCGCGCAAGCTTGCGGTTTACACTCGCAAAACTCACTGTTTTTGGTGTCCTCTCGAAGTTGAACATTTCTCCATTCGACAACAAACATATTGCCATCATCAGCGTAGATTATATTTGAATCCTGGAAAAATATCGGGGGTTTTTTGTTCGAAAATCTATCAGAAAATTCAAGAAACATAGATATTTTATTCCAAATAAGCGAAAAATCAAATTTGCAAAAATATATAAAAATTTCCATTTTTCTTGAAACAGTGAAATTTTTTGAAAAATTTTGGTCGAAAAATGTACGTTTCAAAAATTAATTTTAGTCGGTTAATAAGTGAGTTATTCCGATAACGACTTGATATATTGAACATTAAAGGAACGTGGATTTTTAGAGCGATGGGTCTTACAACGATTAAAATTTTCATAGCTTTCTGATCCCATAAAATTTTCAATTTTTATTTAAATTTTGAAAACTCATATTCAATGAAAAATCAAATTTGATTAAAAATGTATGAAAATTTCCATTTTTATTGAAACAGTGAAATTTTTCAGAAATTTTAAAAATATTAAAGGAACATGGATTTTTAGAGCGGTGGGTCTCATAACGATTAAAATGTTCATATCTTTTTGAATCCATAAAATTTTCAATTTGTTCAAAATTTTTATAAACTGGAATTATGAAAACAGATCAAAATTTCATTAAACATATAAAAAATTTCCATAATTGTTGAAACAGTGAAATTTTTCGGAATATTTTTTTTTTGGAAAATTTTGGTCGAAAAATTTACGTTTCAAAAATTAATTTTTTCTGGTGAATAAGTGAGTTATTCCGATAATGACTCGAAATATTTAACATTTTAAAAAATTAAAGGAACATGGATTTTTAGAGCGATGGGTCTCACAACGATTTGAATTTTCATAGCTTTTTGAACCAATAAAATTTTCAATTTGTTAAGAAATTTTCTTAGCGGAAACCACGAAGAATCAAATTTCATTAAAAATGTATAAAAATTTCCATTTTTCTTGAAACAGTGAAATTTTTCAGAAATTTTGTAAAAATTAAAGGAACATGGATTTTTAGAGCAATGGGTCTCACAACGATTAAAATGTTCATAGCTTTTTTGAATCCATAAAATTTTCAATTTGTTCAAAATTTTTATAAACTGGAATTATGAAAACAGATCAAAATTTCATTAAAAATATAAAAAATTTCCATATTTGTTGAAACAGTGAATTTTTTTTGGAAAAAAAACTTTGGAACTCAATTTTTCAGTGAAAATTAGATGTTTTCTTCAATTTTTGAACTAGTAACTCACATTCATCTGTGTATGAAAATTGGCCATAAGTGGTGCGATAAATTGTGTTGCCGCCAGCCAATTATGCGTCTGATCTCCAACATAAATAAATCCACCTGTAGCAATCGTCAAATTCGACATTCGATGTCCGTAAAACGGGAATTTGAATGAGATTTTTGAGCCGACTGCTCTTCGATATCCTTGACTCAAAATCGGATGACTTTTATTGCCCAAAACTCCGGGTTTTTCCAGCAGTTTATCGATATTTACCCAGTATTTTAGGAGAGCTGACGAATCTGATGTCATTGTTTCCATTATGTAATAAATGTGATCGATCTGAAAGACAAAAAATTGATTTTGAAATTTTATTTTTGAATTTTTTGAAATTGAAAAAAACAAGCTTTTAACCATGCTCCTTTGAAATTTGATTTTGAAACGTGGATTTTTTGCGCCGAAATTTTGAATTTCAAAAAAAAAATGCCACGTGGATTTTTTGTGCTGAAAATTAAATTTCAATTTCAAAAAATTCCACGTGGATTTCTTGGATAAAAAAAATTGAATTTGAAAAAAAATCCACGTGTCACCTTTTTACGCTGAAAATAAAATTTCAAAAAAAAATTCCACGTGGATTTTTTGTGCTGAAACTTTGATTCCAAAAAAAAAGGATTTTTTGCCCCCAAAATATTCAATTAGAAAAAATTCCACGTGGATTTCTTGGATAAAAAAAATTGATTATGAAACTTAAAATTTGAAAAAATAGTTTTTCTGAGCTTCTGGGGATTCGAAAAAGTTTATCTTGATTTTTTCAAACATGAGCAATCCTTTAAAAAACCATGTTCCTTTAAAATTTCATAAAAAAATTGCCACGTGGATTTTTTGTGCTGAAATTTTGATTCCAAAAAAAAAGGATTTTTCGACCCCAAAATTATCAATTTCAAAAAATTCCACGTGTCACCTTTTTACGCTGAAAATAAAATTTCAAAAAAAAATTCCACGTGGATTTTTTGCGCTGAAATTTTGATTCCAAAAAAAAAAAGGATTTTTTTGACCCCCAAAATTTTCAATTTAAAAAAATTCCACGTGGATTTTTTGTGCTGAAAATCGAATTTCAAAAAAAAAAGGATTTTTTGCTCCCCAAAATTTTTAATTAAAAAAAATGCCACGCGGATTTCTAGGTGCCAAAACTTCATATTTCAGGATTTTTCTATACATGTTCGCATGAATTTTAATTCAGAAATCCACGTGGCACAAAAATTTCAGATAGTAAATTTTCAGCCAAACAAATGCTCACCGAATCATTTTTGACTTCAACATCATTTGGCAACGTGGCAGTGGCCGGATCAATTTCATTTTCATCAACTTCCAAAGTTCGTGGAACTTCTCGAATTTTTCGAACTGGCGAAAGTGGAACAAATTCTTCGTGTTCATTCGGACCTAGCGTTGTTTCTTCATTATATCTCAATTGTTCGGGTATTCTTTCCTCATTTATATCAATTATTTGAGCATTTGATGATGTTGTTGATATCCGTAAAAGTAGAAATATGAGGAAGATTTTGGTGATTTTTAGTGACATTTTAGCATGGATTCTGGAAATAAAGGTGCATAAAATATGAGATAAATATGAAAAAGATATCAAATTACTCATGACGTGGCATTTAAAAAAATTGACGATAGATTTCCCTGTGCGAGAACCCGAAAATTTCAGCTAAAACTAGAATTTTAGCTGAAATTTCAAGGTTCAGGCATTATTTTTATTGAAATTTAGTTAATATTAGATTCAGGGTTTTGAGAAAAAAATTGGCGATAGATTTCCCTGCGCGAGAACCCGGAAATTTCAGTCAAAATTTGATTTTTGGCTGAAATTTTAAGGTTCAGGCATAATTTTTCATTTATTATTATTTTCTAAAGAAATCTGAGTTCCCACTGTTTTTCGAAGACTAGATTTAATTAATAGGAAAATTTTGAAACGTAATAAATCGCGTTTGAAAAAAATGTGTCCATACATAAAATAGGTTCCCCGAGTCAGTTTTTAAAGTTAGGGTCCCTCCTTGAAAATTTTCCAAAGTTAAACACCCCCCTCACATTTTTGAGCGAATTTTGGACAAATCTGGGAATTTCGGTAAATTATCAGCAGGAAATTGACCAAGTTAGGCACCCTTCCCTTCAGATTTTTGAAAAAAGTTAAGCCCCTCACCCCGATTCTGGGGACCCATTTTATGTATGAATGTGTCACTTTTTTTCAGCGTGAATTCCTTTTTTGAAAACCTAAATATTGGAGACCTATTTTGTCACGACAAAACCTTGGCTAAAAATTTGAAAAAAAAGTGTTCTCTGTGAGAAACCAAAGACTTTTGACGTCAAATTGATAAAAATCAACTACTGGTCAAAACTAATCTATCTAGAACTACTTTTTTTTTCTAGCCAAAACTAAAACGGGCGGAACAGTAATAAAAGTTTGGGTAAACAAGGTGGATACTTGGGAAATGCGCGGTTTGTTTGAACATCTCATTAAATAATAATCATAACAAATTTTTGATTTACAATTAGGTTAAATATAAATACAGAATTAAATAGTTTTGGGTGGCTTCGGGAATTTTCAGGAAAAAAATTGACGATAGATTTCCCTGCGCGAGAACCCGAAAATTTCCGCCAAAACTCGAATTTTGGCTGAAATTTCAAGGTTCAGGCATTATTTTTATTGAAATTTAGTTAATATCAGATTCAGGGTTTTCAGGAAAAAAAATTGACGATAGATTTCCCTGCGCGAGAACCCGAAAATTTCAGCCAAAACTCGATTTTTGGCTGAAATTTCCAGGTTCAGGCATTTTTCTTGTATTTTATTTAATATTTTAACACAAAATATACAGAATAATAAATTGATTAGAGACAACGGAACATTGAGAGAGTGCAGATCAGATTTCGTATTTTTGGTACGAAAAACTAATTTGTGTTGTCTAGACTCTCTCACTTTTACTTTATCTCTAATCAAAATAATATTCTGTACTTTTTGGTTTTTGAAGTTTTTCTGCATTGGAAAAATACGAACTCCATAAGGTTTTACTAAAAAAAAGACCACCATTAGGTTTTTTTTTTCAAAAAAAAAATAGGAAATAATGAGCATTATTACTATTATTATTATGTGCATTTATAATAAATAAATAATAATTGGTTTGTGAGACGAACGAAAAATGAGAAGAACACACTACGAGAAAAATGAAGGTCAAATGTGTTTTTTTGAGAAGAGACCCATCTATCTTATCTCTTTTTTTTCGGGAAAAAAACTGGATTTTTCGTTTTTTTTTTCAGCGGAAAAGGGAGAAGAATACTTTCTTCTGAAAAACACTATTTTTCGAGTGTTTTTATCTAGTTTTCTTCTTCACTTTTACGGAGGATCATTAGCAATGCAAAGGAGTTTTTTTTTGCGTTTTGAAAAATTACTTTTCTGCAAGAGAAAGTGGAGAAAAAGAGAACTTTGTGAATAAAAAGTTTAGATTTATGAATTTCCAACTTTTTTCATACAAAATAACGAAAATTACCGGATGTTGAGCAAAAACTCACGGAAAAAGGAAAAAAGACAGAAAAAATAAAAAATTCGGCGTTCAAACTACAAAAAACGCGCCAACATGAGAAGGGGGAAACGCGTCAGTGCTCGCAGTGTTTGCGTGTTTGTGGTGCGCACGAGAAAAATTATTGATTTTTGTTTCGAAAGTTGCACTTTTCGTAGGCGAATAATGTTGCGATTTGGAGTTTTTGGGGGTTTTTTAGAAATTTATGGAAAATCTGGGTTTTTTTTTAAATTGGAAGATGTAGTTATTTCTGAAATTGTTCAAAATCTTTGATTTTCGAAGAATATAACTTTGGAGGACTAAAATTCTGATGAAAATGGTTTTTCATCAAAAACTGAGCCATTTTTGAAAACATTTTGAACCGGTTTTCTGAAAATAGAGATTTTTTTGAAAATTCTATGGAAATTGGTGAGTTTTCGCTTCTGAGCAACCTCAAATCTTGTAGTTAGTTTTTGATAAAAATTTTCAGTTTAGGTGTAGTCTGAAAAATGTAGTTTTGGGGTTATTTCTAATAAAATCTACACAGTTTGAATCTGAAATACAAAAATCCATGAAAAATGCCTGAACCTTGAAATTTCAGCTAAAATTCTAGTTTTGGCTGAAATTTTCGGGTTCTCGCGCAGGGAAATCTATCGTCAATTTTTTTTGAAACCCTGAATCTAATATTAACCAAATTTCAATAAATATAATGCCTGAACCTTGAATTTTCAGCTAAAATTCTTGTTTTAGCTGAAATTTTCGGGTTCTCGCGCAGTGGAACCTATCTTCAATTTTTTTTTCGAAAACCCTGAATCTAATATTAACCAAATTTCAAAAAATATAATGCCTGAACCTTGAAATTTCAGCTAAAATTCTAGTTTTGGCTGAAATTTTCGGGTTCTCGCGCAGGGAAATCTATCGTCATTTTTTTTTGAAACCCCTGAATCTAATATTAACCAAATTTCAAAAAATATAATGCCTGAACCTTGAAATTTCAGCTAAAATTCTAGTTTTAGCTAAAATTTCCGGGTTCTCGCGCAGGGAAATCTATCGCCAATTTTTTGTCCTGAAAACCTGATTAATAACCAAAATTCAATGAATATAATGCCTGAACCTTGGAATTTCAGCTGAAATTTTCGGGTTCTCGCGCAGGGAAATCTATCGTCAATTTTTTTTTGAAAATTCCAGAACCTTTTCATTTTTCGACCTCGATAATTTCTTCCTTTATTTTTATTGTGTAATATTTCGCAATTTTCAGATACTTGGGCCCAAAATGACTGCATAAGCGATAAAGAAATACGCTCCACTTTAGGTGCGGCGTTTGATTGTTTTTGTTGTTATAATTTAAATATCTATATATCTATCTATTATTGCACGAACTGTTATTGTTACAAATTATCTATCAAAATGAAGAGATCCACCGATTCTCCACCATCAACAAGTGTTGCGCCAAAATTGGCAAAAATCGAAGAAGCTCCAACAGGTCGACAAATTATCAGCGAATATTTAAAGGGAGATGTCAACGCGGCTGTGACTTATCGAAAAATTTGCAATGCTTTGGACACTTTTGACATGTGGGAGTCGGATGTGCCGAAAATCCAACTTTTGGAACAATTTATGAATATTTCGGATGCGTTGGATGTTCAAACTGAGGGATTGGTTAGAAAATTGTTGAATTTGAATTGGAATAAAATACCGAATGAGATTATGGATAAATATCGCGATTTTCTTTGTGAATTGGCGATTCGGCAGATTTGTTTTACTGAAGAGGTTTTTAAGAGTGTTTGTGAGAGATTGATTCCGCAAATTGAACAAAATGGTGGGTATTTGAATATTTTCCTGTTTAGAAAAACAAGATATACAGAATATTTTTTGATTAGAGACAATGGAAAATTGAGAGAGCGCAGACAAGATTTTTCGTTGTCTTTAATCAAATATTCTGTATATTTTGTTTTTTTTTCTGAATAGGAAAAATATTTTTTAAAAATATTTTGAATCGGTTTTCTGAAAAATTTAATTTTTTTTGAATCATTTCTGGTTTTCTGAAAATAGAGATTTTTTTGAAAATTCTATGGAAATTGGTGAGTTTTCGCTTCTGAGCAACCTCAAATCTTGTAGTTAGTTTTTGATAAAAATTTTCAGTTTAGGTGTAGTCTGAAAAATGTAGTTTTGGGGTTATTTCTAATAAAACCTACACAGTTTGAATCTGAAATACAAAAATCCAAGAAAAATGCCTGAACCTTGAAATTTCAGCTAAAATTCTAGTTTTAGCTGAAATTTTCGGGTTCTCGCGCAGGGAAATCTATCGTCAATTTTTTTTTCAAAAAAAACCTGAGTTTCAACCATAATTCAACAAAAATAATGCCTGAACCTTGAAATTTCAGCCAAAAATCAAGTTTTGACTGAAATTTTCGGGTTCTCGCGCAGGGAAATCTATCGTCATTTTTTTTTTCAAAAATCATAAAAAAGTAACTAAATTTTAATAAAAATAATGCCTGAACCTTGAAATTTCAGTCAAAAATCGAGTTTTGGCTGAAATTTTCGGGTTCTCGCGCAGGGAAATCTATCGTCAATTTTCTGTTCCAGAAGAAACATTCGAAACGACACTCCGCCTTGACGACGCCATTCAAAATCAACACTTCGAAATGGCTCATTATATAATCTCAAATATTCTCAAATGCTTCCCAATGTCCTCGAAAACGTTGCTCCGCTGTTTACGCCAAACATTCCCGCATTTCACGCAGCCCGCCATCAAATCCACGGTTTTTTGTCGAAATTTGATACGGGTTCAGATTTACGCACCAAATTCGATTGTTCAGGATATTTGGCAGATGATTTTTGAGCGATTGGTTAAGGATGATGTGGGTTTTTTTTTTGGAAAATTTAATTTTTGGAATGATTTTTTAAGGCTCATAATTGGAGATGCGAATTGCCGGATGGAGAAGAGCACAGGAATAGTCCTTCACTTTTTGCGATGGTAAAATTATCCGTAGATTTTAAGCCTAGCTGAAAATTTATCGATTTTTTTGCAGAACGAAGAAGATTTGATAAATGACGTGGAAACTGAAACCACTGAAAGCACATCTGAAAATCCGAAAAACACCAAAAAATCCGAAGAAATGATGAAACATTTGGATACGGTTTGCACAGATATTTTGGATTATTTGAAATATGTTCATGAACCGGAAGAGATTACAGGTAATTTTTTTTTTTATTTGAAACTCGGAAATTTATTTTTGAACAATATTACTGTTTCAAAAAATGCAGATTTTTCTGTGTTAAAAATTTTTTCGATAGAGATTTGCAAAGAACAATTGGAAAATCTCATTTTGAGCTCGAAAAAATTACCAAAAATTCCAGAAGAATCATGGATAACATCGATGAAGTTGGAAAATTCGAAACCTGTAAATGCCGAGCAAATTTTCGCGATCCTCAATCATTGTTTGGAATCGACAATGTTGACTGCAATTCATGTTCGACACATTTCATTCGTTTGGCTCTTTTTGTGCTCATTGAAAAAGGTAGGGGGTTTTTGGGTGAAAAATTCGTGGAATTTGGAGTTTTTTGATGTAAAATTTTGAAACGTATTTTTTTCAACCAAACAAAATTCCCGAAAAATTCTTATCACACAGGAATACACATCTCGAATGCTCGAAAATCTCTGGCAAATCAGTTGTCGAATGCCACGAGCTCCGGCCGACGCAAAAAAGAGCCAAGGAGCCGCTGCTTATCTTGCCGCTTTTGTTGCCAGAGCAAAATATATTGATAAAGGGTTGGTTTTTGAAAATAGATGGGAAATCTGATTTTGAAGCTGAAAATTTCGATTTTTCTGGACTTCTAGAGCTCAAGCTGGGCTCCTAAGATTCCAAAAAAAAAAATCATATTTTTGTTTTTGTTTCAGAACCGCATTCGAATGGCTCGAAGAAATGTATGAATGGCTTCGTCATTATGTGGATCAATTCTGTTCGGGAAGTTCACAAATTCTACCAGGTTTACAAAGACACGGCACATTCTATGCAATTTCACAATCGTTCTTCTTGGTTTTTGCGTTCAGATATCGGGATTTTGTTAAGAATTCGGGTGAGTTTTGGGCTGGAAAATTGGATTAAAAATCCGCTTTCAAAACATCAAGTGTCCTCATGAAGCCACGTGGATTTTTCCCACCTAAATTTAAAAAAAAAGCCTTGTGGATTTTTCCCGCCCAAATTCCGATTTTTAAAATTCAATGCCACGTGGATTTCAAGCTCCAAAATCTTCATTTTCGAAAAAAAAAATCCCACGTGGATTTTTAGGGACCAAATTCCGATTTTTTTAATTTAATGCCACGTGGATTTTTCCCGCCTAAACTTTAATTTGAAAATTTTAACGCCACGTGGATTTCAAGCTCCAAAATCTTTATTTTCGAAAAAAAATCCCACGTGGATTTTTTCCCTCCTAAATTTCGCTTTTCCGAAAATTTTTAATGCCACGTGGATTTTTTCCCGCCCAAATTCCGATTTTTAAAATTCAATGCCACGTGGATTTTTTAATGGGGCTATTCAAGTATTTTCTCAACACGCTGAGAAAACAGGAGAAATGCGGAGAAAATGTATTTTCTTCACTTTTTTCGTATTTTCTCAGCCTACCTGAATAGGTTTTCTTCGCTTTTCTCAGCGTTGAGAAAATAACTTGAATAGTCCCATAAGAAACAAAATCAAAAATTTTAAATTTAATGCCACGTGGATTTTTCCCGCCTAAATTTAAAAAAAAGCCTTGTGAATTTTTCCCGCCCAAATTCCGATTTTTAAAATTCAATGCCACGTAGATTTTTTCCCGCCTAAATTTCGATTCTCCAAAAATTCTTAATGCCACGTGGATTTTTTTAAGAAACAAAATCAAACATTTTAAATTTAATGCCACGTGGATTTTTTAAGAAACAAAATAAACAATTTTTAATTAAATTCCACGTGGATTTTTTCTCTCCTAAATTTCGATTCTCCAAAAATTCTTATTGCCACGTGGATTTTTTAAGAAACAAAATCAAAAATTTTTAATTAAATTCCACGTGGATTTTTCCCTCCTAAATTTCGATTCTCCAAAAATTCTTAATGCCACGTGGATTTTTTTAAACTAATTAATTAGACTAAGCTAATTAATCACATTAAATCAATCAATCAATATTCCAATTTTCCAGATTGGCTCGAAAAAATCCGTAGTTGGTCAATCGGTCGAATTGTTCACTCCTCATTGGAACCACTTCGCTATGTCTCTCGCCCGGTTGCTCGTTGTTTTTCGGCAATCAGTAGATCACTTCAATTGGTATACTGTAATCATATAATACCGATTGATGAACAATTACAACAACAAAGACCATTTGATGATATGTTTCCGTTTGATAGTTATCATTTGAAAGTGTGAGTGGTTTTGGGGCAGAAAGTTTGATTTTTAGACCCAAATTTGATTCTGAAAGTGATTTTTTCCAGAAGCTCCGAATATGTCGTCAGTTTGATGCGCAAATTTTCACCACTAGCCGAAGATGTTTCGATTTTATCGGCTGCTTTGAGCTGGAATTCGGCGACTGCTGAAAAATCGGCCGAAAATGCCAATTCTGATGGAATGGACTTTTTGGATAATGATGATTTTGTTGTTGGTGGGTTTTTTGGGCTTGATTAGGCCTAAAAGTCCAGAAAATGGGCCTGAAATGAGCCGGAAATATGGCCTTTTTTCTGACAATTTAGGTCAAAATTCTGGACCTAATTAGCAGGATAATTAATTAATCAGTTAATTACCCTTCTAATTAATCACCTCACTAATTACCTTAATACACCTTTTTTGCAGAATTCCGTGATCGTTCGGGAACATGCGGGCAAAGTTCTCTAATCAATTATTCGGCTGCTCCTGGCCTCAAAACCTTTGGCGCTAATTAATTAATTAGTTTCTGTTTTTATTTTCAATTAATTAAATACCCTCTCTTTTCTCTCAAGAAATTCTGTTCTGTTTTAACTTTTTTTGCAAATTTTTGTTGATTTCCGTCGTTTTAATCTATTTTTTCTATTCTATTTCATTTTTTGTTTTTTTTTATTGAATAAAGTTTTTGGAAAATTTGATTTTTACGCGAAAATTCGGGATTTTTTAGGGGGATCCTCCCCAAAACTGACGTGTTCCACGTTTTTCCGATCTGTTCTGATTTATTTTTCGCTGGAAATCGGCCTTTCTCCTCGTAAGTTCTTCAAAAACCCCCAAAAAAATAGAGAGAGTACACAAAAATGAGAGCGCACAGCGCTTGAGGCAACAAGTGCGCTCTAGCGAACAGCGCGGAATTTCAAATTTGTCAGTTTTTGATTTCGAAAAATTTTGCTGTGCTGGATTTTAAAGGCACATTTTCTTCGGAATGCTTTTGCGTCTCGACGCGAAACGTGCCGCGTGGATGTACTGTAGCAACTAGAGTGTAGTTTTCATCGATTTTTTAGTTGATTCGCAAAAGAATTGCATTGTTTTTCTTCGTTTTTCTCGGATTTATAGTTGGACATCGACTAAATGACATTTTCATGTTTTTTAAGCAAATGAGTTGAAATATTTAGTTTTAATGTTATTCATATGATAGAGTGGTCCAAGACGAACAGAATCATATAAATTTTGATGACTTTACGTTGTCCTTAAGTGATTTAGCGGCTTATCGACTAAACGTCGCTAAATCCCTTATGGCTAACGTAAAGTCATCAAAATTTATATGATTCTGTTCGTCTTAGACCATTCTATCATATGAACAATATTAGAACCCAATATTTCAACTCATTTGCCTAAAAAAAACCTGAAAATGTCATTTAGTCGATGTCCAACTATACTCGGATTTCTTTGTTTTATTGTAGTTTCGATAAGTTCAAGCAGCCAATAACAGCTATGACGTGGCAAAATTGCAATTGGGCGAAAATCTCTTTCAGCTTGATTTTTCGAACATTGCCACGTCATAACTCACGTTCGTAGTTGATTTGAACTTCTGACCAAACTCCCGTCGTCAAAAATAGCTTCACCTCATTTCAACCCAAGTTATTATCGAATATCTCATCGGTACCACGCGCTCCACCGAAATAAACACGCAACGCAGACCGCGCCGCGCCACAACACACACAAAAAAGGAGGGAATTTGAATCGTTCCCTTTTTTGTGCGTGTTGTGGCGCGACGCGGTCTGCGTTGCGTGTTTATTTCACGCCTGCTCCTCGAAGAACAAACTTCGGCCACGGCCAATGACGTCATCATTTTTCGAGAATGAAACTTGCGACGCGGCCCGAAAATGTTCCAGGCCATATCTCGAAAAACTAAAAACGTAGCGATAATCTACGCACCCGAATCTCTTTGAATAAGTATTTTTCGAAGGTCCTGCAGCGATTTTAAGAAATCGTGTCGAGACCCGTTTTCTCAAAAAATAGCATGTTTCTTTGTGCGTTTGCGGAAATTCAAAAATAGTTTTTTTTCAAGCATTTTTTTTCGTAATTAGCTCATTTTCAAAAGGGAATTCTGAAAAGATAAGCATATTAAATAACTTTAGATATGAAAAAACATGATCTGGCATTGAGGGCCTGAGAAGATGGCTAAATTCATGATGTTTTCTGTGACCTGAATGATATTTTTTCAAAAGAACTGACTTCTGTGTTCACTTCTGGACTTGAATTTTCAGCTTTTTCATCATAGTATTCAAGGGTTTAAAGTTTAATTTGTTGAAATTGCGATAAACCTTCGATCATAAACTTTTAGCTAAATTTTTCACTAATTTTATATGTCAATAGCAACTAAAAATCTGTTTTCAAATGAAAAAATGCATTGTATTTCCTACTTGAGTTAACTTGAAAAAGGATTTCAATTGACAAATTTTTTGAATAACCCTGAAAGTTTAGAAATGTTTTTTGATAATTTTTTATCTATAGATTTCGGTGAAAAATATAGGGTTTCGATTGAAACCTGAAATTTCTTGAAAATTTCGTTTTTTTTTTCAATAACTTCAGATAAAGTTGAGTACTAATTCTGAATAAGACTAATTGACCGCAGGTAGAATCTCAAGCATTTTTTGTACTGGTCCTTCGCGAGGCTCTGTTTCTCATTCTCACAACGATGATATGAACTTGCCAATTGGAATCAGAATGGGTTTTCAATGCTACATCATACGATGTTTTCTCATTTTTAATTGTAAAACATCACAAAAAATTAATTTATAAAAAATCATGACAAAAACACTTAAAATCCATCGTTTGACGAATGGAAGATGGTGTAGGAAGCATGTTTGCTGCATGATGTGAAGTTATATATCTGGAAAATGTAAAATTAGTATTTCTCTAGATTATTTCATTGTAATGGGGCTATTCAGATTAGTTTCTCAACCAAAAAACAGGAGGAGAAACTCAAATTCTCAACCTACCTAAATTTTGATTTTTCAGCATAAAAAATGAAATTAAAAGAATAACTATTAGGTTTTATTGATAAATTAGTGATTTTGAGGTGATTAGTGCTTAAAATCGCTTCAATTCCTTGTGTTTTTTGGTTGTCGATGAAGCATATCGGTTTTCAGGTGTCAAAACGACCAAAACTTGGTTTAAAATCAGTAAAAAATTGAAATTCAAATAAATTTCACAACTTCCAATAGTTTCATATATGAATTTATTATTTTATGTTCTTAAAAAGTTAATTTTAAGACGGTTGAGAAACTCAGTTTCTCCTCCTTTTTTCCCGCTATCTGAATAGAGTTTTTCCTCCTTTCTCCTCATGTTTTTTGGTTGAGAAACTAATCTGAATAGCCCCATAAGTGATAATTTTAATGTCCAGAGCATAGTACTAGCTAGTTCGAGATTTTCTGTGAAAACTAAAAATATTTTTATTACATGACATTCTTACATGGTATATAGAGTAATTTTTCGATAGTGTGATTTTCTCTTCAAACTTCTTTAGTCTGGCGATTAAACTCAAGTATACAAATCTTTTGTCTTGGATTTTTTTGCAACAGTCTTTTTTCACTAACTGACAATATATGTTCGTAAAATTCTAATAGAAAAATACTTACCGAAAAAACAAGAATAAATCGATATCCTGACAATCAGAAGTTATTCATACATCAACACGGTTTTTCGCCAAATCTTCTGCCGTTTTATGGAAAATTTCTCAAGTTTTGATCACTTGAACTTCGTTGAACGACAAATACATCCATTGAAAGTTTCTTTAGATTCATATTGTTTGTCTCGTTGTGTCTTTCCGAGTCAAGCCGCAAAAATATCGTTTATTGATAATATTGAAATGTTGTCCAATGGCATTCATGAGTTATCTACAAAATAACGAAGTTAAACAATCCGCAGAGAATATACAATAATAAGGAAACAATATTTTATTTTCTGTTTTTCATATTTTAAATAAGAACGAACGTTTTATACAATTTCCATAGAGAATAGTCAAACAATTTTTCAAAAAAAAAGATACGTTTTAACATTATTTTCAACGAAATCTGAGTAAATTCTGTCAAATGCATGCCTGACTATTAATCTCCGAGCACTAAATAATCAATATATGATTGAACAAACGATTCCTCTGCAGAATATCATTAACTTTCTTAGCAGAGAAAAAGTTTTTAAAAACGGAAAAAAAATGAAAAAAAAAATAAAAATGAAAAAAATGTGTGCAATTTCATGTCAGTGTGTTTGCACACATTGCATACAGTACCCCAAAATTTTCATTGCCGCAAAAAAACAGACGTGATTTTGGTGGAGCGCGTGGTACCGATGAGATTTTCGATAATATGACGTGGCAAAGGTTGTAAATTTCGAAAAACATTACAAATTTTGCCACGTCATAGCTCATTTTCGACCTTACCCCAAAAAACCCTGCTTTTTCCAGAAACCATGGTTGTTCGACTTGCGAATTTCATCGAAACCAACGATGAAATCGAAGAGGAAACAATGGCAACTCGAGGCCTATTCGATCTCTCAACTCTTCTCAAAATTCTTCCGGATGAATCGGAAAATGCTCCGAAAAATGACAAATCTTGGGCGATAAAAACGGCGCAAAGTCAACGATATCTTATTCTCGCTTCTGGATTACAAATGGTTGTTTTCAATCTCGAAGAATCGGCTGCGAAGGCTGAAAAACAATATACAATGAATTTCGACGCGCCAATCAATGATATCGAAATAATCGGTGATTCCTGCTTCATTTGCATCGTTTACGGTGATCATAACATCTCAATTCTATCAATGGAAAACAAAACTTTGTATTTCAATGAGAAATCGCCGACACCAATTGCTCATGTTAATTGCAATATTTCAAATGATCAATGTAATTTGGTTTTTGCGAATAATTCGGGTCAAACTTTCAAGGCAGTTTTTGATAGTGGAGTTGCGGAAGGACATGGTGTAAATCGAATTGTTAATCTGAGCAATGATGAGATTCTTAAATATTTCAAAAAGGTATTTAATGAATGTCGGTGTGTGCGCGCGGTCGCGTTGCGGTCGAAATTCATTTTTTCCTCGAAAATGTTGTTTTTTCACAAAAAAAAACGGTCATTTTTGCGTAATTAAATTGAAGTTATTCATTTTCAAAGTTTCGCTGTTGTTATTTAATATTTTTTCAGCAAAATAGATGAAAATATTCACAAAATTGAATATTATAGGTTTTTCAGACTGAAAACGGTACAAAAACATTAGTAAAGCACAGTTTTCAGTCTGAAAAACCTAATATCCAATTTTGTGAATATTTTCACTATTTTGCTGAAAAAATAATGAATAACAACTTTGAAAATGAATAACTTCAATTTAATTACGCAAAAATGACTTTTTTTTGTAAAAAAAAAACAACATTTTCGAGGAAAAAATGAATTTCGACCGCAACGCGACCGCGCGCACACACCGACATTCATTGATTGCTCAATTCCACAATATATTTTGCAGCACCTCGTCTATGAAATCACCCCGCAAGATCTCGATTTCTCCAACATCAATGGTCCAATCTCCTTCATCTCCACAGGATCCCTCCAATCTTTCGCAAGTCTCAACGAAACTTCCGGATTCCACTGGAATGACGTCGATTCCAAGGAGTTTATCGAATTTGAAAGCGATGAAAAATGGCTGAAAATCCGGGAGACTGGAAGATTCACCTTGTTTTTGGCTGAAAATGGGTGCATCCATGTTTTTGATCCGACAACTCTGTCTTTTGTGGATGTTTTGGATTTGAAACCCGAGGAAACTGACAAGATTTTGGATTTTGTTATTGTGGAAAATGATGTTTATGGAGTCCCAATGGTGTATGCGATGGTTATTCAGAAGGCGAATCAAAATGAATATTATTTGGTGATTTTCGATAAATCAAAGGAATCGGTGACTTTTGAGGTGAAATGCTCAATGGACACGTCGATTTTTGCGTTTGAAGGGAGCGATCGGATTTTGATCACTGTGGAAGAAGTTGATCAGTGAGTTTGCCACGTCATAACTCATTTGAAGAGGTAGACTATCTTCGGATGAATTTTGATCGTGTGGAGAACTCTGAGAAAATATTTCAGCCTCCAAATATAAGCTATGACGTGGCAAATCTGGAAAAAAAATGGGCTTTTAGAGCTCAGAACTAGATTTCGAACTGGTTTTATCGCGAATCTAGTTAGACCTGCCACGTCATAACTCATATGTTTCATTAAAATTCCCGATTTCAAGCTGGAATTTTGAAATTTTCAGAAAAAGCACAAGCTTCCGAACTATTTTTCTGAAGATTTCAGCTTGAAATCGGGAATTTTAATAAAATTTTAGTTTTCGCCGGAAAATTCCAGAACTCACGAGCTATGACGTGGCAAATCTCGAAAAAAAGGAGCTCAGAAATGGTTTTCTTGAAAATCTAATCAGTTTTGACCTGCCACGTCATAACTCATATTTTTCATTAAAATTTCCGAGGTCAAGCTGAAATGTGACATTTTTCAGAAAAAACACAAGCTTCCGAACTATTAAATTTTCATTTTTCAGCTTGAAATCGGGAATTTTAATGAAATCTATGCTTTTTTCGAAAATTCCAGAACTCACGAGCTATGACGTGGCAAATCTGGAAAAAGAGGAACTCAGAACTAGATTTAAAACTGGTTTTCTTGAAAATCTAGTTACCTCCGAAAGTTCCAAGTTTGCCACGTCATAACTCAAAAATCCAATTTCACTTTCTAGAATTTTCAGATCAGTAGTAGTCAATCAAGTCTCCCAATCCCGTCCCGAACTCAAATTCGAAGCACTTCTCAAACAAAATCGTTTCGATGAAGCTGAAACCTTTGCCAAAACGCACAATCTCGATTTGCAAAAAGTCTACAGAGGTCGCGCATATTATTTGATCGATAGATGTGATGAAAATGAAGAGGATTTCAAGATTATGCTGAAAACTGTTGATATGATAACTGATAATGATATGGTTGCTGATTTGTTCTTCTCGCTGATTCAAATGAGCCAAAAATTCGATCGAATTAACACGTATTTGTCAAGAGCCAAAAAGAGAAGAATCACTGATTTGGAGACTTTGAAACATATCGAAAATTGTTGTTTTATTCTGTCGACCTATCAAATCATCAGAGGACCAAATTTCAAGGGAAACGAAGATGGAGAAAAAATGGAGAGAGAAAGTATTTGGGAGGTTTTTGTGAATGCATTGCATGGAGAGGATGAGTGGGTGAAGTTGTATTTGAAGTTTGTGCAAATGGCGGCGATTACGGTGGGTTATGACGTGGTATTTTGGTGGATTCGAAACAAAAATTGAAATTAATTTTGAGAAAATCACATTTTTAAAAAAAAGATTTCATGGAAATTTTTATTCTGAAAAGTTCAAATTTTCAAGGCGAATTTGATTGAAAAATTGTTTGAAATTAAAAAAAAAACATTGAAAAGCTTAAGAAAAATCACTTTTTTCGAACTTTTTTCAAAATTTTCATGGAACAATTTTCAGAAAATTGAAAAATTTCTAATTTTATCCTGTAAAATTCAAATTTTCATTTGATTTTTATTTTGAAAAATTGAAATTTGAATTTTTGCCAGCCGAAAATCATTTAAAAAAGCTTGAAATTTAATTTTTCTAATTTTTCATCAGTTTTTTTAGCTCAAAAAATTGAGAAAATCATATTTTTTCAAATTTTGATGGAAAAATATCTAAAAAATCGGAAAATTTATAATTTTCAATTTTTTTTTTTGAAAAATTGAATTTTTCACCGAAAATCATTGAAAAACTGTCAATTTTCAGAAAAATCTGATTTTTTCTCATAAAATTTCACTATTTTTCCAGGATGCCCGTGTAATTTGGTCTCGCCATGGAAAATCAATAATCGATTTTGTCCTCCAAGAAATCGAGCAAAATTCAATCTCAAAACTTTTCGATCTATTCTCCGAAGCAATTTCAATCGATATCACATGCTGGAATAGTCTCATCGAACACATTTCAATCGATATTTTCCAAGAATGTTTGGATTTTTCGGATTCTCTTGTGCCATTTGTCGAACAATTAGTTGTTCATGTCATCACTTGCCTGGAAATTCGAGATTCTGCAAACTGGCCTGATAATGCGATAAAAGCGTCGAATTGTTTTGAGAATATGACAAAAGTGTTGGCTGAGCGATTTATTACACCACAAGATCAGGCATATTTGGCGATTAATGCGAGAGTTTTGTGTGTTTCGGATGATGAGCGGAATAAGACGACACCGATTTCGAGAATGATGGTGAGAGAGCTAAAAAAATTTGAATTTGGCGCCAAAATTATGTTTTGGAGCCGAATTTCCGGTGTAAACTGGCAGCATAGTTTGAAGTAAAAATTCGAAATTTTCCCCAAAAATCTTCTGCTCCTCAAGCTCTTTTGGATTTTCTGAAAATTCAGAAATTTGATTTTTAAATTAAATATTCAACGAAAAAAATTCCTGGAAAATTTACGTTTCAAATTTTCGATTTTATGAATTTTTGTGTTTGTGAAATGCTAATTCTTCTATTTTTTGCGCCGAAAAATTCGTAGATTACTGTCACACCTCGGCCAAGCCATGGCTGGCCAGAGTACAATTTTTTGAAAACTCTGAATTTTGGTTTTTAGAGGTCAACAATTGAAAAATCACAATTTTTAGAGGACAAAAACTCAAAAATTCACAATTTTTGTACTTTAAAAAGTTAGCGTATAATTTTTTATGGTGAAAACCACGATTTTGGCCGACGTGTGATTACTGTAGAAAATTACTGTACCAATTCATTTTTGGCACAGTAATTTTCTACAGTAACCAAATATATTTTCAACCATTTTTCGTGAAATTTTTTCTTCCCAATTAAAAATTCTGAGCTTCAAATCAAAAAAAAAAATATCGGAAAAAGTGCCACGTGGATTTTGATCGTCATGATTGTGGTTTAAAAAAAAATCCACTTGTCAGTTTTTCTAAAATAAAAATTTCGTGGTTAAAAAATAATGAAATTTTTGAAATGAAATTGTTTTTTTTTACAAAAATCAAATTTTTTTGCACAAAAAAATCCACGTAGATTTTTATCCAGTTTTTTTCCTCGTTTTTCAAAAAATCCACATTTTGCAGCGAGTTCATCACATTCTTCTTGACATCAAAAAATTGGCCACCGATTATTGTTGTCAAATTCAATTCTCATTATATCCAAACTTGACAAATGAGGATATTTGCCATCGAATTCTCCAAAATGCCCTCTATGATCCAAATACGACAAATGCGAAAATCGAGAAATTTGTGAAACCATTTATGCAAGAAAGGAATTTGAATCAAGATCAAACAATATTCAATTATATTCAAATAATGTCTGGCAACGCATTTTCGATCAATAAAAATGGTGGAAATAATGTGTCGAATTCGGCGATGAATATTATTGGATGGGAGATTCAATGTGTTCAATTGTGTGCGAGTTTGGCGGATGAGACAAGAAAATGTCGATCGATTATATCGATTGCATCGGCTGCCAAAATCCCGTGGCCACGACCATTGAATGAAGCGGTTGAGAGGATTTTGAAGAGTAGAAGTTTGGCAAGATCTGAGTGAGCATTTTTGGGAAAATTCATACGGAAAAAGTCGTTGAAACTAGAAATTTACATCGAAAATCGTAATTTTTGGCTCTAGAATGGTTGAATTTTGAAAACTAGAAAATTTGGTTTTTTTTTTGAAATTAAAAATTCAGCCCAGAAAATTTTTTTTTACTGAAAATGACCTGGAAAATTGAATTTTGGAAATTAGAAAAACCCCCATTGAAACTAGAAATTTTTCTCTAAAATCGTAATTTTGTCAAATTTTCAGCTGAAAAACCACGTGGAATTTTTTTTTAATTAAAAATTCAGCCCAGAAAATTTTTTTTTACTGAAAATGACCTGGAAAATTGAATTTTGGAAATTATAAAATTGCGTGAAAAAATGGATCCACGTGGATTTTCAGCTGAAAAACCACGTGGAATTTTTTAAAATCAAAATTTCTGAAAATGACCTGGAAAACCGAATTTTGGAAACTAGAAAATTGCGCTAAAAATAGCTATTTTCAGTTTTTTTCTGAAAAACCACGTGGATTTTTTTAAAATCAAAATTTTGGACACAAAAAATTTTATTTGAAAATTTCTGAAAATGACCTGGAAAATCGAATTTTTGGAAACTAGAAAAAACCTGAGGAAACTAGAAAATTGCGCCAAAAATGAATCTACGTGGATTTTTAGCTAAAAAACCACGTTGAATTTTTTAAGATCAAAATTTCAGCCCAGAAAGTTTTATTTTGAAAATTCGATTTTTTGCGCCTGCCCAAAAAATTCCACGTGGATTTTAATCTTGAAAAATCCGATTTTTGACGAAATATTCAAAAATTCTTCCTGAAGTCCTGAATTTTGAAATTTCCTGGCACAGACCTCTGATTTCCAGTGTTCCATAAAAAATAATGTTTTTTCAGCATCGATGAAATGCGTTCAGTTTGTCAACAAACTGAATTAATCCAACTTCTATCATCATATTATCCACAAGATCGAAGTTTCTACAATTTCATTTCACCCAAAAACAAGAATATAATGTTTGACATTATTCCAATAATTCGTTGCATAATTGCGGATGAAGAAAGAAATTCGAGATTTGTGGATGCGATTAAAGTATTGGAATTGGTCGATTTGGTGACACAAATTGATTGGAGAGAATCGTTGAATTTGGAATATGTGAAGGCTGAAATTGTGATTCATATGATGAAAAGTGGAGATGTTGTGAGTTTTTTAGTTGGTTTTGGGCTGGAATTTCAGCCGGAAAATTTTGCATTTTTTGAAGTTATACAAAGTGAGTTTTTCTTGAAAAACCATCAGATTTTGATGCTGAAAATTGTGTTAGTTCAAAAACATTGTGAGCAATAATTTCAGATTGAAAACCCTTATGTCGAATTTTTGAAACGTATTTTTTCCTGGAATTTTTTGGGAATTTTTTTTTCGAAAAAAATTAAATGAATGAGACACGCGATTTTTTGAGCCAAAATTTTTGTTAAAAAAATAGATTCATCACTAAATTTTTTTTAGTTTTTTGAGGTGAAATTACGTTGAATAGCAGCCTCAAAATGTAAATTTTCGAAAAATAAAGTGAAATTTCACCTTGAATATTTGATTTTTCGGAAAATTTAGTTTTTGAACTTTCCTGATTGTGAAGTTTTTCTTGAAAAAGCATCAGATTTTGATGCTGAAATTATTTTATATTGCTAGCATTTAAAAAAAATGAGAAATAATTTCAGCTTGAAAACCAATATGTCGAATTTTTGAAACGTATTTTTTCCTGGAAGTTTTTTTTCCGAAAATAATTTTCTTACACTAATTTTTTTGTTAAGTGATTAAAAATTACTTATGTAACAAAAAAATCCCCCCTTTTCCAGACCAAATCGATAATCAATTATATCTGTCAATTGGATGAAACCGAAAAAGAGTCAACAATAAATCTGGTCGTCGAATTCATCAAAACATCAGCAGAATCGCCAATTTTGGAAAGCCGCCAAAAAATTTTGGACATTGGCGAGCAAATTGTCTCGTATTTTATGACCAAGAAAACCGAAAATCTTTGTGATTTGCGCAAAAAATTGATATTGATTCGAGATTTGTATGAGGAACGAAAAATGACGACACTTTTATCGGATTTTAATGAGAAATCATGGCAAGAAGCACAAATTCGATATTATCGCAAAAATGAGCAATTGACGATTTATGAGGTTTGATTTTTGGCCCTAGCACTGAAATCCAGGTAAAACTTTTTTGTTTAGAAAATCAAAAAATGCACCAAAATTGGAATTGCGATTGATGAATTGATGACGGCGATGTTGTCTGATGCTTGTGCTGGAAATAATTATCAGCAGATGGTGGATATTTTTGTGTGAGTTTTTTTTTGGCTGGAATTTTTTGGAATATTTTCAGAGAACAGAATATGAAATGATGAGAAATCTGGAAAATATTTGAAATAACAATTTTGGAAAGAATTTTGGCTTTAAAATATCTGATTTTCAGTGAATACTCTTTTTTCTTCAAATTTCAAGCTTAAATTCGAGTCTAAAAAATTAATAATAACATCAAATTTTGCGAAATCCTCTAATTTTTTGCAGTGCTTCTGTTGAATCAGTCGGAACTTGGATTACACCATCTCAAGAAATTGTTGATGTTATTTGTGAACTTTTGGTTTTTATTGTTTATCGAATTCCGAATATTTATGAAAATGAAACTGATGCCGATCAAGCACAAAATGTAAGCCTTTTTGTGCTTTTTTTGGGGCTCAAAAATTCCCGGAAGTTTTACGATTCAAAATTTTTATATTTTAATTTTTTTGAAAAATACATTGATTTCATTTTGAAAAAATAATTATTCAAAAATTAGAGAAACAAAAGTTCACAAGCTTCAGAAAATGTAAATTTTCAGGATTTTTTGAAACAGAACTAAGAAAGTTTGAAATTTCTGCCTTTTTTTGGGCTCAAAAATTCCCGAAATTTTTAAGATTCAAAATTTTTTTATTTGGAAAACTACATTAATTACAGGAATTTGTGTTAATAAAAAAAATTACAGAAAAAAAAAATCTCCAAATATTTTTGCAGCTAATCGAAATGATTGGAAGTATGAGTAGATCTCTTCGCAAATTATTATCCACATTTTCATTGGAAATTTTGGAAAATGATATTGATTATTTATTGCAAATCGAATCCTATTTCTATATGTTTGAACGAATTGTGAAACAAGCATTGAAAGGACAAGATTTGGAAACGGAAACCAATTCGAATTCACAAAATCAACATCAAGATGAGATTGCCAGAGAATCGAGATTGATCTATGGTTTTTCGAGACGGCATGGAATTTATGATTGTAGCAATGATCCGGCACTTTTTGAGGGAGTTTCGGCGATTTTGGCGGCTGCGAGAGTTGCGCCAAGTGTTGCAAGACCGTATACTTCTGATATGTTAGTTGGGGGAGGGTTTTGGTGCAAAAAATCTAGATCAGGCTGAAATTCAATATTTGCAGCTCTGAAAATGAAGCGCACGATTTCCGTATGAATTGGGAAGAATTGACAATGTTTTTGGCGATGCATTCACAAGTTTTGCTTGATGTCAATGTTCGAGTTTATGCGTGCTCTTTGAGTGAGTTTTTTGTGAAGTTTTGGCTGAAAAATCTGAAATTTTATGATATTTTTGGCGAAAATTGAATTCTTGAAAAAATATGTTTCAAAATTTTCATATTTTTTAATCGAAAAATATCAAAAAATTTCAACTGGAAAAATTAGAAAGCTGAAAATCTTGAGTTTTCTCTGAAATTTAAGCTCTCCATAGAATTTCAACAAAAAAGCTGAAATTTTCCAGCATGGAAAAAAAAAATTTTCTGTTTGTTTTTTTTTCCAAAAATTTCTGTTTGAAGGCCCAAATTTTGAGGAAAATTCTGAAATTTTTCAATTTTTTGAACTTTCAGAAAAAAATCAGAATTTAAAATTTTGGAAAATTTTTTTAGAAACTTTCAATTTTTTAAACAGAAAAATCAGAATTCAAAATTTCGAACAAAAATTTCTGAAATTTTTCAATTTTTTGAACTTTCAGAAAAAAATCAGAATTTAAAATTTCGAACAAAAATTTTAGAAACTCTCAATTTTTTTTGAACAGAAAAAAAAAATCAGAATTTAAAACTTTGAACAAAAATTTCTGAAATTTTTCAATTTTTTTGAACTTTTAGAAAAAAATCAGAATTTAAAATTTCGAGCAAAAATTTTTGAACTTTCATGCAAAATTTAGGCTGAAAATATTGTTCTCAAAATTCCATAATTCTCAAAATTTTCAATAATTTTGAATTTAGGCCCAAATTTTGATGAGAATTCTGAAATTTTCAATTTTTCACAAGTTATCCCAATTTTCGCCTTTTCCAGAATGTTTCTCTGGCGAATGGCGTCAAGCGATTCTCGAAATCGGTCAAAGCGTGTTCACAGTCGTCGAGCGAATGATTCAACAAGAAAAATTCGACGGCTGGCATGCGGCAACTTTGCTCAACGGTCTCACCGGCACCGAAGCCAACAAAAAAATGCTGGAATTACGTGGCTCGACTGGAATTCAACGCAACATTCAAGCGCAAATCAACTTCATCACTCTCGCCTTCTTCATGACGTTTCGCAGTCAAAGTTTCGAAATGCTTCCCTCCATCATTCATTCCGCGGAAAATAAGTTTTTGGTGAAGAAGCTGGCGAAATTGGGAATTCGCACCAATTTGGCAGGACAATCGCCAGATATTGTTGAGAAGATTGTGAGACAGGCGGCGAATTTGGCGACGCCTTTAGCACCTTTTCGACTTTTTGAATATTTGGAGATTATTTTGGAGAAATTTGTGAGAGGTGCCGGAAAAAATGGGGCGAAATCGATTGAGGAATTTATGATTCAATACGCGTTTTTGATTGTGCAAAAAGCATCGGCGGCTGGAAATTGTGGAGATTCGAAAATGAGATCGAAGAAAATCGAAGAGTTGCTTGAAATCGCTGGAAGTGCCCTATACATGCTGGACACGGAAAAATGTGGAGAATTGGTTTGTAACTATTTCCAATGTTTGGTCTACGTCATTTGTCCATATAACTATGAAGTGATCCAATTTTGCTGTCATATTTTGTCGAGATTCTCCACGGAAGATGAGATGGCAAAAGGGGGATTTTGCAAGAATTTGCAGAATGTTGTTAGCTTTTTGTGGGGATATCAAAGAACGAATCATATGACGAAAGAGGAATCGATTTGGTATACGAAAAGGGAACATCGATTGGCGGCGGATTTGAAGGTGGGGTTTGTGAAATTTGGAGAAAAATCTGAATTTTTCAATATTTTTAGGGAAAAAAAAATGAAAAAATTCAATAATTCTAGGAAAATTTTGATAAATTTTGAGAAAAATCTGAATTATCTCAAATTTTTGCTTTTATAAAAAATCCCGGAAAAAATATGTTTCAAAATTTTGTGAAATTTTGAAATTTTTATAAAATTTTCGATTTTGTTAATAAATATTCAGCAAAAAATGTTTAAAAAATCTGAAGCTTCTAAATTTTGAGACTGAGAAAAAATTATCCGAAAAAATAGATTTTTGAACTCATATTCTCAATTTTCAGTGAAAAAAATGAGAAAATTCAATAATTCTAGGAAAATTTTGAGAAATTTTGAGAAAAATCTGAATTCTCTCGAATTTTTGCTTTTATAAAAAATCCTGGAAAAAATATGTTTCAAAATTTTGTGAAATTTTGAAATTTTTATAAAATTTTCGATTTTGTTAATATATATTCAGCAAAAAATGTTTAAAAAATTTGAAGGTTCTGAATTTTGAGACAGAAAAAATTATCCGCAAAAATAGATTTTTTTTGAACTCAGATTTTCAATTTTCAGTGAAAAAATGAGAACATTCAATAATTCTAGGAAAATTTTGATAAATTTTGAGAAAAACTGAATTATGCCAAATTTTTGCTTTTATAAAAAATCCTGGAAAAAATATGTTTCAAAATTTTGTGAAATTTTGAAATTTTTATACAATTTTTAATTTTTCATCCATGAATTTTTCGAAATTGCAAATTGAAATTTGAAGTTTATTGAAGCATAATTACTTGTTCCAATATTATCAGTGAAAAAAACTGTGAAAAATTGAATCTCATCTATTTTTGGAGTCAAAATTTCAGTGAATCTGGAAAAACTGGAAAAAACTGGAAATTTCTATTTTTTTTCTTCTTTTTAATTTTGAAAAAGTTAAAAAAACACCAAATCTGTCTGATTTTCCATTCCTAACTCGAAAATTCATTACAGGAATACGAAAAAACATCTGGACATATGTATCCATTCGGAATGGCGTTGAAAATGGATTATGAAGGATCGAATGATGATATGTCGGATTCGACTGAAGCTGATTCAACATGCTCAAATAAGGATATTGTTTATGAGAAGGATAATGTTATTATCAGCGATATTCCACCATTGGTAAGCGTTTTTGATCGGAAAAATTGAGAAAATCTCATAATTTTGAGCTTAAAATCATGGAAAATGGCCTATTTTGAGCATTGCTCATGTTAATGAAATTCTTAGAGCCAAAAATCTGAGAAACTCAATTTTTAAAGCATTATTGCTCATGTTAAATTTTAGATTCTTTATAAAAATCAGGTTAATTAGGCTCAAAACTGAATTTTTTAAGCATTGCTCATGCTAATGAAGTTTTTAGAGCCAAAAATCATAGAAACTCAATTTTTAATATCATTGCTCATGTTAAATTTTAAGATTCTTTATAAAAATCAGGTTAATTAAGCTCAAAACTAAATTTTGAAGCATTGCTCATGTTAATGGGGAAGCCTGAAGTTTTGGAGCTAAAAATCGTTTTAAAAAATCGATTTTTGAAAGCATTGCTCATGTTTATTTTCAGATTTAAATGACAAAAATCAAAATTTGAAAAAAAAAATCAATTTTTGCAGTCATCCAAACGAATTCCTCTCCACATTTTCCTGATGCAAAAGAAAAATGATATCGACGAAGTTTTGATGGAAATTGTAAAATCCGAATTATCGATTACAAATGTGACAATTTGGCAATCATCTTTGAGATCAGTCAATTGGTTATCAAAACGTTTTTCACGAACTCAATTACTATCCTCAGCCATTTTCTCGCACGCAAATCGTTTTGCAAAAGTCGAACAATCGTTGCCGAAAGAAGATCGATATGTTATATCATATCTTCTCTCATCAAATCCCAATCGATCGGTTGTGATTTCAACAATTGCATTGTTGTTTCGAAAAATTATTCTGAGTGATGTGAAAATTGATTTGTTGAGAATGGGTTTGGAAATTGCGCAAAAATGGATAAATACACCGGAAATTGAACCGGCGATGGATGAAAATGAAAGACTGGCGATTGTTGAACAATGTGATCGATTGAAGGATGGAATTGCAAAGTTTTATACGGAATTGGCGTTGAAAAAAGTGAGAGAGTTTTTGGGGAATTTTTCGGAAAATTTAGAATTTTCCGTTCCTGAAGAGATTTCTGAATTGAAATTTTGAAAATCCGACATAAATTTTCTTTATGGGGTGAGTCATAAAAATAAATTGACAAAAAAAGTGCGATTAATTTCACGTTTTTGTCAATTAATCGCTTTTTTCAGAAATGAATGCGATTAATTGACAAAAAACGTGAAATTAATCGCACTTTTTTTGTCAATTTATTTTTATGACTCACCCCATTAGAGCTCCTATTTTTATTTAAAAAAAAAACCATAGTTTCTGAATGAACTAACTTCTGAAATTTTAACTCTAGAATTTCAAAAATCTCTGAAATTTGGGATTTCTCGGGTTCAGCTTGAAAATGAGGTAGAAAACTGGAAAATTCACGATTTTTGAACCCAGAAACAATTTTTGATCGAAGTTTTGGAAATTTAAAGTTCTGCTACTGAAAAATCCTGAAATTCTGAAAATTTTGCTCAAAAACTGTTGGAATTTTCATTTTCCCGAATTTTTGGATCCAGAAGACTTGAAAAATTCATAACATAAAAAATGCGGGAAAAATATGTTTCAAACAAAAAAATTATTGAATGATCCATTTTCAACCAAAATGTTCTTTGAAGTTGACAGCAAGTCTGATTTAGATAAAGCCTCATTTTCTCCCCCTATTTTCCCCATGTTTTTTTGTTGTTTCAGAATGGAATGTTCAATGAAAAAACAGCGGATAGTGTTGAAAAAGTGGAAGAATTGTGCACAATAATATATGATGAAGTAATTGATTGGAGTGATTCGAAAGATGTCGAATTGAAATGTGAAATTGTTGAACAAATTGCAGCAGCGAATAGTTTGGATTTACCCAAATTACATGAGAATATTTTGATGAATTGGATCAATGATCAAGTTGTTGTTCAATCGTTTGATCATATTGATTTGAATGATGTGAGTTAGATTTTGATTTTTGATGGAAAAACATTTAAATTGGCATTTTTTAAGCTCAAAATTTGATGCAGAGCTCTAAATTTTGAAAAAGAGCACAAAAACTAGATTTTTTATGAAAAAAATTCCACGTGGCATATTTTGCGCCGAAAATTTGATTCAGAGCTCAACATTTTAGAAATGTAGCTCAAAAACTAGATTTTTTGTTCCCAAAGAAACAAAAATCAGATTTTTGATGAGAAAAATTCCACGTGGCATTTTTTGTGCTTAAAATTTAATGCAGAGCTCCAAATTTTGAAAAAGAGCTCAAAAACTAGATTTTTTGTCCCAAAGAATCAAATATTTTTCACCGGAGCCTAATTTTGATTCAAAAATTCGAATTTTTCAAAAACAAAAAAAATACGTTTCAAAATTTTGATATAATTTATCATCAATTTTTTTCAATGCTAACTATAAACATCAATTATTGAAAACCAAAATTCTCCAAATTTGGATGAAAATTTTGAAATTATCGTTTTTGAATCAAAATTCGTGGAAATTTTAATCATTCCCAGTGATACAATACAAAGCTTAGAAAATTTCTAACAAAATTAACCTCCAATTTTTTCAAAAAAAAATATTTCTAGACCCAAAATTTATCTTTATTTTTGCAGTCTCTCGGAGGTGGTTCTTTCCTAACAAACACATCCGATGATCCAAACATCAACAACAAATCCTCTCAAAATTCCAACGACGAAATCCTGAAACTTCCAATTTTCGACAAAGTCGTCGATAAAATGACACATTTATGTCAAAAAATCGATCGACACGATTTGCTATCGAAACTCTTTTCGATTTTTGTGCAATCTGGTGAAAAAACGGCCAATGGATTTGTGTCGATTGTTCGAGCATCGTCGATTTTGTTGAGGAATTTTAGCGATGCTGAAATGAAGGCGTGGAATGGAAAAGTGTCGCATGTTTGGTTGTGGTTAGTGTTTTAGGGGGAACAATTACGATGCTCCGCGTTTACGCCATCGAAAATTGTTGAATTTGAGGGTGTAAACGCGGAGTATTGTTTGAAAGTGGATTTTTTATGCTCTCAGACTTCCGATTTTCAAACGATGCTCCGCGTTTACAGCTCTTGTTGATTTTGGGTGTAAAAGCGGAGTATCGTTAAAAAAATGTATTTTTTGCGATGATCTACTTTTACACCATAAAAATGTGGTGTAATTGTGGAGCATCGTTGTTACGATTAAGTTTCTTGAAACAACAAATCTTGGTAAAAAAGCCACGTGGATTTTTTACCTTTAGAAACATTTTTTGGCTGAAAATTCATTCTTTTCATGAAAAATCACCAAAAAACTTCAATTTTCCAGCGAAAAAACGGGAGAACATTTGATAAATCGTCTAATGCATCTAACAAATGTAAAACCATCAACATCTGGCCAAAATCAAGACAATAGTCAATTAATTCGTTCATTATTACAATGTCCAACTCGAACTCCAATTATGTCAACACTAATTGCTTGTCTAATAATTGATAATTCATATAAAGAGACGAAAAATATCGAACAAATCATTGCTCGATTACAAATCTCAAAACAATGGACAATATTGAAAGCATTGTTGGATTATTCGATTGATAATGAATTGAGTTGTGATATCAAATCATTTGCATTGGCTTGGTTTAGAGTTTATGAAAATGCGTTGACTGAGGATGTTAGGGTAAGTTGTGGCGAATTTTGGGGGGAATTTTAATTTTTTAATTAAAATCTCAGAAATTAGCTCGGAATTCTAGAAAAAAGTTGCTAATTTTGTAGAATTTGTAACGGTTTTTGGAAGCACACCATTTTGTTATTCAAATTATTTTTATTATTTTTGAAACGTAATTTTTGGGGTTATTTTTTAAATTGATTTTTTTGAGAAATTTCATTTTTTTTAGTTTCAAACAAAATAAATTTAGCTTCTCAGCCTTAAAATCTTCCCAAAGCTTTCAAATTTTGAAAAAATAATGATTTTGAAATTTTTATGACGTGGTTTTTTTTATTAAAAATCTCAGAAATTAGCTTGGAATTTTTGAAAAATTGCCTTATTTTGTTTTAACAAAAAAAATTTTAAAAATTATAAAGAATCTTGAAAGCACACCATTTTTTTATTCAAAATACTTTTGCAATTTTTGAAACGTAATTTTTGGGGTTATTTTTATAATTGATTTATTTTTGAGAAATTTCATTTTTTTCATTTTCGTTGCATGTTTTCTAGCAAAAACAACATGTAAAAATTCAAGAATTTAAAATTTTCAGCCAATTCTATTTTTTTGCAGTCAACCGACTCGGAATGGTCAGATTGGCAATGTGTTTCACTTCGAAAATGGTCACTTTGGTCAATGAAATGTAATGTGGAAGGTGGAAGACAAACGAATATTTATCGAATTTTGCGCGATTTGTCATGCCCAATTTCGGCCTATATTATAACACTTATCTCCAATTTTAATTCGATGGTGAGATTTTTTGTTTTTGGGGTTGAAAACTGGGGACCGCAAGATTCCGCAAAGCGGCACTATCTACCGGCCACGCTCTATGAGATCTCTATGAGGGCGGAAACTAGAAATTCCACGTCATAGTAAGTCACGTGGCCGACATTTTGATTTTATCCAAAAAACCTGAAAACCCGAATTCTCCAAATTTTTGCAGAAATTGGAACCAATTGACACGAAGAACTTGAAACGAGATTTGGAATTGGGATGGACAAAAGAACAGACAAATCGAAATGTTTCAAATAGTATTGTTGTCAAAATGGAAGAATGATCACATTTTTATCCCCCACATTTTTTATTTTTATTTTATTTCATTTTTTGTTGTACAAATGAATTTAAACTCTTTTTTCTGGTAGATAAATCAAGTTTTTTGGATGAAAGAGAGTGTAAAAGCGGAGCATCGTAGTTCTTTTTATTTTGAAAATCACAAAATTTATTGATTTCCACAGAACAAAAAGTAAAGCTTAACTAAAACTTCCACAAAATCAAAAAATTTCTCATTCCCTTGGATTAACAATTTTCAACTGCGATTCATATCCCGGATCAATTCCAATCGCTTTCATCAAAAAATAGAAAACCGCCTCAGTACTTTCCCGAATAACCTTTCCACTTCTAAATCCATGTCCCTCTCCATCATACAATTCCAACGCGGTCATTATTCCATTTTTCCTGATCTTCTCAAACATCTCAATCGATTGTTCGACCGGAACTACAGTATCCTCTTTTCCGTGTAGAAATGCGATTGGTGTTGAGATTTTGGAAATGTGGTTGATGGGATTGCGTTGGGAGTAGATTTGGGCTTCTTCGGGCATTTTTCCGACCAATAATTCGTTGTAACTTTGCTCGAATTTATGTGTATCTTCATCCAGGGCTGAAAATTTGAATTAATTAATTAACTAATTAATTACCAACCCAATAAATCAGCAACTCCATAAAGCGAAGCGGCAGCTTTGATAATATTATCCGGTGAGATCAGACAACTCAAAATCAAAAATCCGCCCGAAGATGAGCCGGTCATTATCACTTTTTCCGCGTCGACTTTTCCATTTTCGATAAGTGCACGGGCTCCATTCAAAATGTCATTTCTGTCCACAATTCCATAGTTTTTGTAGAGCCTGGAACAAAAAAATTATTGAAAAACTACGATGCTCCACGTTTACGCCAGCAAAAATCGTCGAAATTCATTGTTTTTCGTATTTTTTTTGAAGGTGTCAACACGGAGCATCGTAGTTTTTCCTGAATTCGCTTGGGGATCGTGGAAACTACGATGCTCCGCTTTTACGCCAGCAAAAAACATTCAAATTGATAGGCTTTTGAAGATTTTTTGATGGCGTAATTGCGGAGCATCGTAGTTTTTCTCAAATTGTCTTGGAGATCATAGAAACTACGATGCTCCACGTTAACGCCATCCAAAAATCATTCAAATTAATAGGCCTTCGGAGATTTTATGATGACGTAATTGCGGAGCATCGTTTAAAAAACCGAAAAAAAATCCTCACATTCTCCTAAATTCGCTTCCAAACCCAGTCGAACCTCGATAATTGACATCAAAAACGGCGATTCCGCGCGACGTGAAAAATTGTTTTTTCAAATCCAAACTGGTTTGTGCCGGCGCCGTCGGTCCGCCATGTCCCATTAATAAAACTGGGGGAAGTTGGCCGGATTTTGGCGGGGAATAATTGGAGTTTGTTGGCGGATAGAAGTGACCGGACACTTCGATTCCATCGGAGACAAATCGGAATAGTTCGGGTTCGGAGATTTCGAGTTGATCGATTTCCGATGAATCGCGCGATTCACGATGGATTCGGATGGGGAAATTCTGGAAAAAAAATGATTTTTTAAATTTTCAAACGATGCTCCGCAATTACACCTCCAAATAAATTCATTTTTGATGGCGTAAATGCGGAGTATCGTTGTTTATCTTATTTTCCCACGTTTTTAAACGATGCTCCGCAATTACACCTCTAAAATGCTGATTTTCCCACGAATTTCAGAGGTGTAAATGCGGAGCATCGTAGTTTTTCCATTAAAATTGAAAAAATCACTTTTTTTTTCAATTTTCAAACGATGCTCCGCAATTACAACTCTAAAATGCTGATTTTCCCACGAATTTCAGAGGTGTAAATGCGGAGCATCGTAGTTTTTCCATTAAAATTGAAAAAATCACTTTTTTTCAATTTTCAAACGATGCTCCGCGATTACACTTTCCAAATCCACCTATTTTTGATACCGTAAACCCGGAGCATCGTAGTTTTTCCATTAAAATAGATTAAATCATGATTTTTTCAATTTTCAAACGATGCTCCGCGTTTACAATCCCCAATTTTGATACCGTAAACCCGGAGCATCGTAGTTTTTCCATTAAAATAGATTAAATCATGATTTTTCAATTTTCAAACGATGCTCCGCGTTTACAATCCCCAATTTTGATACCGTAAACCCGGAGCATCGTAGTTTTTCCATTAAAATAGATTAAATCATGATTTTTTCAATTTTCAAACGATGCTCCGCGTTTACAATCCCCAATTTTGATACCGTAAACCCGGAGCATCGTAGTTTTTCCATTAAAATAGATTAAATCATGATTTTTTCAATTTTCAAACGATGCTCCGCGTTTACAATCCCCAATTTTGATACCGTAAACCCGGAGCATCGTAGTTTTTCCATTAAAATAGATTAAATCATGATTTTTTCAATTTTCAAACGATGCTCCGCGTTTACAATCCCCAATTTTGATACCGTAAACCCGGAGCATCGTAGTTTTTCCATTAAAATAGATTAAATCATGATTTTTTCAATTTTCAAACGATGCTCCGCGTTTACAATCCCCAATTTTGATACCGTAAACCCGGAGCATCGTAAATCCCTTACCGTATCCCCTCCTCTCAAATCAATACTAATCAAACTCGACGCTTTTTTGGGTCCCGAAGCGATTGCGAACAATTCGTCGTCCGAATTAATCGATAAATTCGAAAATACCGTATACCCTGCAGTGGGTACTGTAGTTATTGATTGATTTTGGCGGCGGATTATTTGAATTTCACCATTCACGTTGAGAGCCTGCAAAAATGATAGCGTAATTGTGGAGTTTCGTTTGAAAATTGCTCGTAAACGCGGAGTTTCGTAGTTTTTATTACCAAAATATTCGCAGATTGTGCATAATTTCTGAATCCAAGTTGCCAAAGTGGATATCCGATTTCCTGGTCGATTTTCAGCAGATTTTTTTCGGTTTCAGATCCATTTTCAGATTCAACATCCAATTCATAAACATTCCAGAAATTGGTTGAATCATTTACGAAAAGAATTTTGGAATCAGTGAGCCAACTTGGCTCAGTGTAATTTATCTGCAAAAAAATAGGATTGCTCAGATTAAATTTTTGACTAAAAATTTGAATTTTCAGCTCAAATTCGGGCTCGTGAAGCATTGCTCAGATTATAGTTTTTTACTAAATTTTTAAATTTTCAGACCAAATTCTGATGAAATTCGAAAAAATAAAAAGCATTGCTCAGATTGAATTCTTGACTGAAAATTTAAATTTTTTTTTAAATTCAAGATGAATTGCTCATCTTATAGTTTCTGGTAGAAAATTTGCATTGCTCATATTAGAAAAATTAAAATTTTCAGTTTGAAGCATTGCTCAGATTAACTTTTTTCCCCGGAAAATGTGAGTTTTTTGAACATTTTTTTCAAAATTTTTAAATTTGGAATTTTCAAGCATTGCTCAGATTAAATTACTGACTGAAAATTCGAATTTTCAGCTCAAATTCTGATGAAAATTGAGCAAATGAGAAGCATTGCTCATATTAAATTCCTGACTAAAAATTTGAATTTTTTTGAATTTAAGATGAATTGCTCAGCTTATAGTTTCTGGTAAAAAATTCAAATTTCATTTTTTTTCAGATTTTACAGAGAAAAGGCATTGCTCATATTAAAAAATTCAAATTTTCAGTTTGCAGCATTGCTCATATTAAATTCTTGACTGAAAATTAAAATTTTTTTTTAATTCAAGATGAATTGCTCAGCTAATAGTTTCTGGTAGAAAATTTGCATTGCTCATATTAGAAAATTCAAATTTTCAGTTTGGAGCATTGCTCAGATTAACTTTTTCCCCGGAAAATTTGAATTTTCAGCCCAAATTCTAATGAAATTTGGAGAAATTATAGTTTTTCTCAAATTTTTTTGACTAAAAAATTTCAAATTTCAAATTTTCAGCCCAATTTTTTCTCCGAAAATCTTGAATCCTACCTTTTTTCCTTCTCCAGATCTCAGAATTTTTTGATTCGAAGATTGTCCATTTTCATCGATATCAGCTAGACAAATCGAAGTTTCGTCCCAAGGCTGCAAAATTTTGAAACCTATTTTTTCGAGGGAAAAAAATTCTCAAAAAAAAATTGCCACGTCATAGCTCACCATATTCGGATGATTCCACTGCATCCACACCATTCTCTTTCCATTTGGCGAAATTCTCGGATAGGCATAAAAATCGGCGCCGCTCGCAATTATTTTCACTTCTTTCGTCTGTTTATCGATTGAAATCAGGCGATTTTCGGGAAATTTTCGGGCGGTTTCGTGATTTTCGTTGACCGCAAAAATGTGGGTGGAGGTGGAGGAGCAATCGCCGAATCTGAACAGGAAAATTTGAATTTCCCTCGCAATTTTCAAGGTGTTCATGCGGAGCATCGTTTGAAATGAGGAACACTACGAGGCTCCGCGTTTACACCATCAAAAATCAAAGTTTTAGGTCAAGATTTGATGGCTTTCAAGTTGTAAACGCGTAGCATCGTTTGAAATGAGGAAAACTACGATGCTCCGCGTTTACACCCTCAAAAATCAAGGCTTTAGGTCAAGATTTGGTGACTTTCAAGGTGTAAACGCGGAGAATCGTTTGGAATAGAAAAAACTACGAAGCTCCGGGTTTACGCCATCCAAAAACATTCAAATTGATAGGTTTTCAAAGATATTTTGATGGTGTAATTGCGGAGCATCGTTTGAAACATATCTTAAACTAGAAAAACGCGTTTTTTTAAGGTGTCAACGCGGAGCATCGTAGTTTTTCCTAAATTCGCTTGAAAATCATGGAAACTACGATGCTCCGCGTTTACGCCACCAAAAATCGTCAAAATTCATTGTTTTTCGTGTTTTTTGAATAGCGTAATTGCGGAGCATCGTTTGAAACATATCTTAAAGTAGAAAAACGCGAATTTTTCGTATTTTTTGAAGGTGTCAACGCGGAGCATCGTAGTTTTTCTCAAATCTCACCGATTCTTCCCCTCATTCGTCGATAAAATCAACTCAGGCTCCTCATTTTGCACCTTCTGATGATATAATCCATCATTGGTGGCAAAAATCACACCATTTTTCAGCGCATGCAATGCGCCGCCACCGTACTCGTGGAGTGACGTTTGAACACTTTTTCCGGCCGCCCATCTCAATATTTCCGGGCTGGTGGTGGATGTGTTTTTTTGAGTAGAGCTCACGTTTTCCGGTTGACGCGTTTTGTTCGGTCCAGAAGACGGTGTCTGGAAAAAATGCGTCAATGAAGAGCTTGCTGACGTGAATTTTGTAGCTACAAAAATCACGTCAATGAAAATCTTGCTGACGTGAATTTTGTAGCGTGAAAATAAGCTTTTCAAAGCTACAGAAATTGCGTCAATGAAAATCTTGCTGACGTGAATTTTGTAGCTTGAAAAAGACCCTTTTGGAGCTACAAAAATTGCGCCAAGGGTGAGTTTGTTGGCGCAAATTTTGTAGCGTGAAAATCAGCCTTTGAAAGCTACAAAAATTGCGTCAAGGGTGAGCTTGCTGGCGCAAATTTTGCAAATTTTATACCTTCAACAACTTGAGCCTCACAAATACTTTTACAATTGCACTTTGAAAATAAATCCGGTTGAATTGCTCCGATTTTCCAGGTTCCGAAATCAGCAGTGGTAGACATTTTTCGACTGAAAATTTGGAATTTTTGAGGATTTTTAGGTCAAAAAATGTCAATTTTTCGAATTTTTCTGATAAAAATTGGAATTTTTCATCAATATTTCTTGAAATTTCGATTAAAAATCAAATTTTCCGAAGCCCCGCCCCAAAAAAACCAACCTCAAAACCAGAAATTCTCCGAAAATTCGTCGAAACCCAAAAATCTGTGACAAAAAATGACGAAAATTTGCTATCTTATCAAAAAATTTCGAAATATTTATGATCAGAAACCACACATTTTTTTTTAATTTTTTAGCGCCAAAAAATCGTTGCCACGTGGCATTTTTGATCCGAAATTTCAATTTTTCAGCTGGAATTCAAGAAAAATCGATATAGGGTAAGTAGAAACCCAATTTTTTTCTGGAAGAAAAAAAATCGGAAAAAAAATAAATTTTATTTAAAAATTAAAATACACGTCAGAAAATATTATGCTAAATATGGTGAAAATTACAGATTTTCAGGTAAAAAATACCCAAAAATCTGAAATTTTCAGCCAAAAATTACTCAAACTTAATCCCTTGGGCCAATGGTAATTGATTACTGTAGTTAATAGTACAAGTGGATCTTCTCATATATTGTCTCCATGAATCGGAACCCGATTCTCTTCCGCCTCCAGTTTCTTTTTCCCCGCCAAATGCTCCACCAATTTCAGCGCCAGATGTTGGGATATTCACATTTACAATTCCGCAATCACTTCCTTTTGGGCTGAAAAAATATGGGGATTTTTTACCTAAAATTCAATTTTGAAACCTATTTTTTCCAGGAATTTTTTAAAGAGAAATTCAAAAATTTCAAAGGGGATTTTTTCTAAAACTTTTTATTATCAAAAAAAATTCAAATAGCTCAATTTGAAGCTGAAAATCTTGAGATTCCAAAAAAAATCCAAAAATTTTCAATCCAAAAATTCCACAATATTTTCTTTGCCACGTCATAGCTCAGCTGAAAAATGACGATTTTTCGATTTTTTTTTGCTTAAGCAACTTGATAAACTACTGAAGATTTGAATTCAACAAAAAAATTAATCTCAATTTTGAAACGTATTTTTTTCAGGAGCGAAATTCGCTTTTTCAGATTGTTTTTTTGCCACGTCATAGCTCATTTTAAGCCCCAAAAATGCTCACCCCATCCATTTGAAAACATTTTGAATATTTTTGGTGAATAGTGAGGAGCTCAAACCTTGCGCGACCTGGAAAAAAGGCAAAGTTACGCTAACTTCTTCCGCAAACCTGGAGAGTTAGGCTAACTCTCCAAGCCTACCTCATTATTAATCCGAATCGCCTCATTCAAATCCCTGAATTTGAAGACATACAAGATCGGAGCAAACGTTTCTCGGAGCACAACTTCAGCATTGTGTTTGAGTCCGGTCACAATTGTTGGTAGCACGAAGTTTCCCGATTTTTCCAGCACTTTTCCACCGTATTCGATTTTTCCGCCAGCTGAGATGGCTTCCGAGATTGATGCTTGATATTTTTGGACAGCCTGGAATTTGGGGGTGATGATTTTCGATTCGGGCTTAGGCCTAACCATCCAGTTAGGCTTATGTTTTCGGCTTAGGCTTAGGCCTAACCTTCCAGTTAGGCTTATGTTTTCGGCTTAGGCTTAGGCCTAGCCTTCCAGTTAGGCTTAAAATTTTGGCTTAGGCTTAGGCCTAACCATCCAGTTAGGCTTAAAATTTTGGCTCAGGCTTAGGCTTAGGACTTTAGTTAGGCCTAAGATTTTGTCCGACTTGGGCTTAGGCCTAACCATCCAGTTAGGCTTAAAATTTCGGGCTTAGGCTTAGGACTTTAGTTAGGCTTAAGAGATTAATTAGGGCCTAATTAGTGAAGTTCCTAATTGAGTTTATTAATTACTTTAACTAAATAATTAGGAAAAAATTTCTGAACATATTTTCCCCCAAAAAATTCGCGGAAATTCAAATTTTCCCGCCCAAAACCTGACCTGCTCATTATGAAGTGGTCCAATAATCGTATTCTGCTCGAGCGGACATCCGATTCTCGACTCAAATTGTTTGTAGGCGCTTTTCAACCGCTCCAAAACCTGATCATACACTTTTTCGTGGATTATGAGGCGGCGAGTTGTGGTGCATCTGAAAATAATTTCAGATTTTTTTCAAAAAGCTGAAATTCTCGGGCTGAAAATGAAAATACCTTTGTCCAGCAGTTCCGACGGCCGCAAACACCGTGGCTGGTACAACCATATTCAAATCGGCATCTTCGTTGACGATGATCGCATTATTTCCGCCAAGTTCGAGGAGATGCTGGAAATATTTTTTTTTGAATTTTGAAATTTTGAAATCCACGTGGATTTTTCTAGATTTTTTTTTGAATTTTGAAATTTCGCGCCAGAAAAATCCACGTGGTTTTTTTTAAAATTGAAATTAAGAATTTACTGTTTCAGAAAAAAATTTCTAGATTTTTTTTTGAATTTTGAAATTTTGGCGCCAGAAAAATCCACGTGGTTTTTAAAAAATTTAAATTAAGAATTTACTGTTTCAAAAAAAATTTCTAGATATTTTTTTGAATTTTGAAATTTAGCGCCAGAAAAATCCACGTGGATTTTTTTGAATTTAATTTAAGAATTTACTGTTTCAGAAAAAAATTTCTAGATTTTTTTTTGAATTTTGAAATTTAGCACCGGAAAAATCCACGTGGATTTTTTCAAATTGAATTTAATATTTATTACTGTTTCAAAAATTCTAGAAATTTTTATTTTTGAAAATTTGGGTGTCAAAAATTGATTTGTATTTTCATGGATTATTTGAGGACCAAAAATCCACGTGAAATATTTTTTTTTGAATTTTGAAATTTTGGCGCCAAAGATCCACGTGGAATTATTTTGAAAGATTTCATTGTTCTCAGAGAAAAGGTGGTCCATGGGCAGCCCCTTGGAGAGCCCCGAGGGCTGGTCCTAAGGGCAACACTAGTGCATTCAAGGGGCGGCCTAGGGGCAATTAAGAAAAACTAGGGTATGACGTTTTTTAAATTTTAAAAATTTTGACGTGGAAAAAATCATTACTGTTTTAATTTTTAATTTTCGCCATGGCAAAATTCAAAAAAAAATCTTGCGCCAGGAAATCATTCACAATGGTGGTTACCTTCGGAAATCTAGTTAATCTATTTGATAAAAATTAATCGAAATAAAAACATATTTCAAAGAGAAAACTTTTATTTTATAAAAATGAAGCTTCTCAGAATTCTCATTCATAGTTTTCGGAATTTCGGCCCTGCTATACATTCTCGAAATAACAGTCGGAACATCGAATAATAATTTTCTAATGAGCACATTCTCTGACTTCTGCAATTTCGGACTTGGGCAGCGTGAGATGACACAATTTTCCAAATTCACAAATATTCCAAATAGAAATACTCATAATATAAATTTCTTGATTTCCTGTTCCTGCTTTTCACTTTGCAATTTTTTGGAACTTGTAGCATATAAATTGAAATTGAGTTCCCAACTATTTTCTTGAATACCGAAATAAGTGAAATGAAAGAAATTTATTATTTTTTGTGATCGAAAACGTAACTAGGTCACAAAACTAGGTCACGTGCTCAAAAAATACCCATTAGAAAATTTGCCCTTCGTGCTGGTCCGAAGGGCAACACCCCGAAAATAGGGGCAAACCAAATTCCTACGGGCAGCCCGGGGGCAAAATTTTCTCTGAGTTTCTTAAAAAAATTTTGATTTTCAAAATTTACATTTTCGAAAATTTTTGGCACCAAAAATAAATTTTTTTATCGGATTTTTTCGCGCCAGAAAAATCCACGTGGATTTTTTCGAATTGAATTTAAGAATTTATTACTGTTTCGAAATTTCTCCAAATTTTTGAATCTGGATTTTTGGCTCCAAAATTGTCAACGTTTTTACGGTTTTTTTTTGAAGAAAAAAAAAATCCACGTGGAATATTTTTTCAAATTTTGAAATTTAGCGCCAGAAAAATCCACGTAGATTTATTAAAATTGAATTTAAGAATTTATTTTACTGTTTCGAAAATTTTAGATATTTTTTCCAATTTTGAAATCCACGTGGATTTTTCTAGATATTTTTTCAAATTTTGAAATTTAGCGCCAGAAAAATTCACGTGGATTTAATTTGAAATATTTTTTTTGGTTTCATAAAAATTTTGATTTTCAGAATTTACTGTTTCAAATTTTTTAAAATCGCAAATTTGGCGCCGAAAATACATTTTTTAATGAAAATTCAACATTTTGAGCCAAAAATTTCCCACAAAACCCCCAAATCCCCCCTCACCTTTCCAAATCTGGCCTGAACTTGTTGTCCAACAATTCTACCAACTTCAGTCGATCCAGTAAACGAAACCAAATCAACTCGTTTATCTTTGACCAATGCTTGTCCAACATCTCCTTCTCCACAAACCAATGAACAAAGTGCGGGATTGATGTTGTTTTCAACCAAAACTTGTTCGACTAATCTGGAAAATTCGGGGATTTTTGATAGGTTACTGTAGAAAGATCTAGAGTTTTTTGGAAAAAAATATTTTTTTCAAACTCATCGGCTCAAAAAGCTCAGATCAAAATTCAGATTTTTTCAACATTTTTAAAGATTTGGGTTAATTTCTGAAGCTAAAGCTAAAAAAAATCAAAAAATTCCAAAAATTTTCAAAAAAAAATTCACTGTTTCAAAAAATTGTGAAAAACCAAATATTTTTCAAAAAAATTGATACGACTTTCAAATTTTTTCTAGGTTTAAAAAGGATTTCAGGTAATTTAGCTTAGGCTTATCTAGGCCTAACTTAGGCTAAACCTTCCAATTAGGCTTAAGGTGTCGACTTAGGCTTAGACTTCCGCTTAGGCTTTTAGGCTTTACCAGATTTTCTGAAGAAGTTAGTGTAGCTTTGAGATTTTGGTGAATTCCAAAAATTTTCAAAAATGATAAAAATTCACTGTTTCAAAAAATTATGAAAAAAAAATTTTTGGAAAATAAATTGATGGGCAGTCTACTGAAAAACGATAAAAATTTGCTGTTTCAAATTTTAAAAGAGAGAATATTGTTTAAGGTTTAGGCTTAGGCTTATCTAGGCCTAACTTAGGCTAAACCTTCCAATTAGGCTTAAGGTGTCGACTTAGGCTTAGACTTCCGCTTAGGCTTTTAGGCTTTACCAGATTTTCTGAAGAAGTTAGTGTAACTTTGAGATTTGGGTTAATTTTTGAAGCTGAAAAGATCCAAAAATTCCAAAAAAAAAACGATAAAAATTCACTGTTTCAAATTTTTTAGAGAAAAATTGTTTAAGGTTTTTAAGGCTTAGGCTTAGCTAGGCTTAGGCTTAGCTAGGCTTAGGCTTAGCTAGGCTTAGGCTTAGCTAGGCTTCGAGCGACGCAAGTCGCGAGTGTAAACCGCAAGCTTGCGCGCAGCGCCGCAATCTTCCGCGCAGCGGCCAAGTTACCTAAGTTGGGATAACTTTTTTGCTGAATAAGTTAAGCCTCAGGCTTTAGGGTTTTTAGGCTTTTCAGGTTACTTAGGCTTAGCTAGGCTTAGGCTTAGCTAGGCTTAGGCTTAGCTAGGCTTAGGCTTAGCTAGTCTTCGAGCGACGCAAGTCGCGAGTGTAAACCGCAAGCTTGCGCGCAGCGCCGCAATCTTCCGCGCAGCGGCCAAGTTACCTAAGTTGGGATAACTTTTTTGCTGAATAAGTTAAGCCTCAGGCTTTAGGGTTTTTAGGCTTTTCAGGTTACTTAGGCTTAGCTAGGCTTAGGCTTAGCTAGGCTTAGGCTTAGCTAGGCTTAGGCTTAGCTAGTCTTCGAGCGACGCAAGTCGCGAGTGTAAACCGCAAGCTTGCGCGCAGCGCCGCAATCTTCCGCGCAGCGGCCAAGTTACCTAAGTTGGGATAACTTTTTTGCTGAATAAGTTAAGCCTCAGGCTTTAGGGTTTTTAGGCTTTTCAGGTTACTTAGGCTTAGCTAGGCTTAGGCTTAGCTAGGCTTAGGCTTAGCTAGGCTTAGGCTTAGCTAGGCTTAGGCTTAGCTAGGCTTAGGCTTAGCTAGGCTTAGGCTTAGCTAGGCTTAGGCTTAGCTAGGCTTAGGCTTAGCTAGGCTTAGGCTTAGCTAGTCTTCGAGCGACGCAAGTCGCGAGTGTAAACCGCAAGCTTGCGCGCAGCGCCGCAATCTTCCGCGCAGCGGCCAAGTTACCTTAACTCTCCAGATTTTCTGGAAAGCTGAGCTTGCGGAGAGAAAAAAGTCACCTTGTAGTAGCAATAGCAACCAATGGTGTAGATGGTGCCGGTTTCCAAACGACCGCATTTCCAGTCACCAGAGCCAACGCATTATTCCATCCATAAACCGCACACGGAAAATTGAACGCCGAAATCACACCAACCACTCCCAACGGATTCCATTGCTCCAAAAGTGCGTGTCCGGCTCTTTCCGACGGGAAGATTTTGCCCTCCAAACTTCGCGATAACCCCGTCGCATAATCACAAATATCCACATATTCTTGAACTTCACCAACACCTTCCGATTGGATTTTTCCCATTTCCAGCGAGACCAATCGACCGAGATTTGTGAGTTGAGATCGGAGTTTGTCGCCGATTTGGCGGACGACTTCACCGCGTCGTGGGGCTGGGATTTCACACCAATCTTGGTAGGCTTTTCGCGCTTCGGTGACTGCGATTTCGTAGTCGGCTACTGTACCATTTTGAACCTGGAAAGAAAAAGCACGCGGTTGTGACTACTGTAGATTTTGGCGTCAAATTTGGACTTTTTTAATTTGAAAATTTTTTTTGAATTTGGATTTTTCGCTCCAAAATTTAATATTTTAATTTTTCTGAATTGAAAAATTTGCTGTTTCAAAAATTTTCAAAATTTTTGAATCTGGATTTTTCGCTCCAAAATTTTGATTTTCGAAAAAATTTCACGTGGTTTTTTAGCCGGCTAATTTTGAATTTTTAATTTTCGAAAAATAAATGCCACGTGGCTTTTTCGGCGCGGAAATTTTGAATTTTTATTTTTGAAAATTTGCTGTTTCAAAAATTTTCAAAATTTTTGAATCTGGATTTTTCGCTCCAAAATTTTTCATTCAAATTTTTCTGAATTTAAAAATTTGCTGTTTCAAAATTCCACGATAAAAAATTTTGTTTAAAGTTTTTTACAGTTTTTTTGAAAAAAAAAAATAAATGCCACGTGGCTTTTTTTGACGAAAAATTTTGAATTTTTTTATTTTAATTTTTCTGATTTCAAAAATTTTCTAAATTTTTGAATCTGGATTTTTCGCTCCAAAATTTTTCATTCAAATTTTTCTGAATTTAAAAATTTGCTGTTTCAAAATTCCACGATAAAAAAATTTTTTAAAAGTTTTTACGGTTTTTCTGAAGAAAAAAAAATTCCACGTGGCTTTTTTGGGGTCAAAAATTCATGAAAAATTCAGATTTTCAGCTTAAAATTGGCCAATTTTCGTGATTTTCAGCTCAAAAATCCCCATTTTCATAAGACTTTGAATTTTCAAACAAAAAATGCCACGTGGCTTTTTTTGGGTCAAAAATTCATGAAAAATTAAATTTTCAGCTTGAAATCGGCCAATTTTCGTGATTTTCAGCTCAAAAATTCCCATTTTCCTCAACCTTCCCCCTCCCAGAAAAAAAAACTAACATGAGCAATTGGTGTATTTGTGGCCGGAGCATAAGATTGCACAATCGGTCCACTCGCCTTCCATTTTCCATTAAAAACTCCAGTATTATTCTCTTTGAGCCCGAGTTCTTTCAAAAACGCGAATTTCGGCTCATTTATGAGGAGTTTTGTGTTGGAGGCAAAACGACGTGAAGTTGTGAAAACGAAACGGAATGACATCTGAGAAAAATTGGGGAAAATTTCAGCCAAAACTCGATTTTTGGCTGAAATTTTCAGGTTCAGGCATTATTTTCATTGAAATTTAGTTAATATTAGATTCAGGGTTTTCAAAAAAAAAATTGACGATAGATTTCCCTGCGCGAGAACCCGAAAATTTCAGCCAAAACTCGAATTTTGGCTGAAATTTCAAGGTTCAGGCATTATTTTCATTGAAATTTAGTTAATATTAGATTCAGGGTTTTCCAAAAAAAAATTGACGATAGATTTCCCTGCGCGAGAACCCGAAAATTTCAGCCAAAACTCGATTTTTGGCTGAAATTTCAAGGTTCAGGCATTATTTTTATTAAAATTTAGTTATAAATCAGGTTTTCAAAAAAAAAATTGACGATAGATTTCCCTGCGCGAGAACCCGAAAATTTCAGCCAAAACTCGATTTTTGGCTGAAATTTCAAGGTTCAGGCATTATTTTTATTAAAATTTAGTTATAAATCAGGTTTTCAAAAAAAAAATTGACGATAGATTTCCCTGCGCGAGAACCCGAAAATTTCAGCCAAAATTCGATTTTTAGCTGAAATTTCAAGGTTCAGGCATTATTTTTTATTGAATTTTGGTTAATATTAGTTCAGGATTTTCCAAAAAAAAATTGACGATAGATTTCCCTGCGCGAGAACCCGAAAATTTCAGCCAAAACTAGATTTTTAGCTGAAATTTCAAGGTTCAGGCATTATTTTTATTGAATTTTGGTTAATATTAGGTCAGGATTTTCCAAAAAAAAATTGACGATAGATTTCCCTGCGCGAGAACCCGAAAATTTCAGCCAAAATTCGATTTTTAGCTGAAATTTCAAGGTTCAGGCATTATTTTTATTGAATTTTGGTTAATATTAGTTCAGGATTTTCCAAAAAAAAATTGACGATAGATTTCCCTGCGCGAGAACCCGAAAATTTCAGCCAAAATTCGATTTTTAGCTGAAATTTCAAGGTTCAGGCATTATTTTTATTGAATTTTGGTTAATATTAGGTCAGGATTTTCCAAAAAAAAATTGACGATAGATTTCCCTGCGCGAGAACCCGAAAATTTCAGCCAAAATTCGATTTTTAGCTGAAATTTCAAGGTTCAGGCATTATTTTTATTGAATTTTGGTTAATATTAGGTCAGGATTTTCCAAAAAAAAATTGACGATAGATTTCCCTGCGCGAGAACCCGAAAATTTCAGCCAAAATTCGATTTTTAGCTGAAATTTCAAGGTTCAGGCATTATTTTTATTGAATTTTGGTTAATATTAGTTCAGGATTTTCCAAAAAAAAATTGACGATAGATTTCCCTGCGCGAGAACCCGAAAATTTCAGCCAAAATTCGATTTTTAGCTGAAATTTCAAGGTTCAGGCATTATTTTTATTGAATTTTTGGTTAATATTAGGTCAGGATTTTCCAAAAAAAATTGACGATAGATTTCCCTGCGCGAGAACCCGAAAATTTCAGCCAAAACTCGATTTTTAGCTGAAATTTCAAGGTTCAGGCATTATTTTTATTGAAATTTAGTTATTTTCGAAAAAAAAATTGACGATAGATTTCCCTGCGCGAGAACCCGAAAATTTCAGCCAAAACTCGAATTTTGGCTGAAATTTCAAGGTTCAGGCATTTTTCTCGGATTTTTTTATTCACATAAAAAAGTCGAAAACACAAAATATACAGAATATTATTTTGATTAGAGACAACGTGAAATTGAGAGAGTGCAGACAACACAAATCTAATAGTGTTGTCTGCGCTCTCTCAATTTCACATTGTCTCTAATCGAAATAATAAATATTGTGTATATTTTGTTACATTTTATTACAAAATATTCAATTAATGTTATTGTTTGGTTTTTGGTGAAAAAACTGATTATTTTACATATTAAATTTTGAAACAGTGAATTTTTCCTTGAAAATCTTGAACTATTTTCGAAATTTTCAGATTTTCTCCGAAATCTTGGTTTCAATCAAAATTTGAAAAATCTCATGTTTCAACCGAAAAAAATCTATTTTCATCTATGATTTTTCCAAAATTCGGTGAGAATTTGAAACAGTGAAAAATTTGTTCAAAAATAAAATAAAAAATAAAAATCAACATTCGTGTCCAAAAAAATATAAGCGATAATAATCTATGTTTTTCTTTTTTCTTCCTATTTTTATTGTGGGCGGAGCCTATTTTCTGATTGATTTGTTGTAAATCAATCCAAGGTTGATTACATATTATTTAGGGTAACTAACTAATCTCAACAAAAAAAAAACATGATTATAAAAATAAAAATATCAAAATTTTATGGTATTTAGGGCTCCATAAACCCATTTTTAGTGAAAAATCCAAAAAAAATCGGTAAAAATTGATTGTTTGACCTTTTATCATTGTAAGAAGACCACGTGTTGGAAAATTTGGGAGATTTCGTTGAAAAGAAATCTGATTTGATTTTTGAGATAATACCTTATCTTTTGGGTTTTGCAGAAAAAAATATATTTTTTTTGATTTTTAAGGGGAAAATTTAATGAATAACATTCTTTTTCAGACTCAAAAAATATTAAAATCTGACCTGAAATTAATTTTAGGATCATTTCTATAAAAATGAGGAAATCTAACAATTTTTTAGAAAATTTTCAATGAAAATTTTTTTTTGAATTTCTAAAATTTACTGTTTCAAAATTTTTATGAATAAAATTATATTTCAGAAAACAACGATTCCACTAAGATTGACAAATCTCAAAAAAAAAAAATCAAAATTTGACCTAAAATTAATTCCAGGAAGATTTTTCTACAGAAAATTCAGAAATTTCTTAATTTTTAAATTCTTTAAGGTAATTTTTAGTGCCAAATTCAAGTCTAGCCAAAATTCCACCTAAAATTAATTCCAGGAAGATTTTTCTACAGAAAATTCAGAAATTTCTTAATTTTTAAATTCTTTAAGGTAATTTTTAGTGCCAAATTCAAGTCTAGCCAAAATTCCACCTAAATTTAATTTCAGGAAGATTTTTCTACAGAAAATTCAGAAATTTCTTAGTTTTTAAATTCTTTAAGGTAATTTTTAGTGCCAAATTCAAGTCTAGCCAAAATTCCACCTAAAATTAATTCCAGGAAGATTTTTCTACAGAAAATTCAGAAATTTCTTAATTTTTAAATTCTTTAAGGTAATTTTTAGTGCCAAATTCAAGTCTAGCCAAAATTCCACCTAAAATTAATTCCAGGAAGATTTTTCTACAGAAAATTCAGAAATTTCTTAATTTTTAAATTCTTTAAGGTAATTTTTAGTGCCAAATTCAAGTCTAGCCAAAATTCCACCTAAAATTAATTTCAGGAGGATTTTTCTACAGAAAATTCAGAAATTTCTTAATTTTTAAATTCTTTAAGGTAATTTTTAGTGCCAAATTTAAGCCTAGCCAAAATTCCACTTAAATTTAATTTCAGGAAGATTTTTCTAAAGAAAATTCAGAAATTTCTTAATTTTTAAATTCCCTAAGGTAATTTTTGGTGCCAAATTTAAGCCTAGCCAAAATTTCCCCCCAAAAAAAACTCACATTTTCAAATCCTCGAAAAAACCAAAAATGACCATTTTGTTGTCAATTTCACGTGAAAAATTAAATTTTCACGTAAAAATTCCTAAATTTCATTTTTTTTTATTTTTTTTAAATAGAAATTTCAAATTTGGCTCAAAAAATAAAATAAAATCATGGATTTGACCAGAAAAAATTGTTTCAAAGAAAAAAATAATTGAAAAATCTTCATTAATTTTTTTGTATTAAAATTACACGTGGAAATTGGAAAACCCGGGGAAAATGAGAAAAAATATGCAAAATTTACAGAAAAAACCGGAAAATTCGAGTTTTTGGCTCAAAATTGGTGCAAAAAACCAGGAATTTTTCAGATTTTCAGCCAGAAAATCAGGCGTCCAGAATCTTAACATACATTCCATATTGACAAGATCGACATTCATCTTTTCCAGTTATCATAAAACATTTCTCATGTACTCGAACTCCACAATTATAGCAATTATGCCACGAATCCATGGTTTTGATGAGATTTTCATAGGGAGAAACTGGCTGAAATTGAAGAAATTCGGGATTTTTGGCTGAAAATTTCAGAAAAATTCAATTTTTTGGTGAAAATCGGGAGATTTCGAGTCCAAATTTGAAAATTTCATCGGATTTTGGCTGAATATTTCATTAGTTCATAAAATTCCACGATTTTTGATTGCAAACTTGAAAATTTTAAATTCCCAAAAAAATTCACTGTTTCAAAAATTTATGAAATTTTTTGAGAATTTTTGATCGCAAAACTGAAGTTTGGACTCAAAATATGGGATTTTCATCAAATTCCGAGATTTTGAAAGAAAAATTGATTATTTTCAAATTTAGGGGCTTAAAAATCGCATTTAAAACGAAATTTGGGTATTTTAGAGCATTTAGGTCCAAAATTCTCCAAATTTTATCAAAAAATTAATTTTTCTCGAAATGTTTAGCCTGAATTCAATTGAAATCCAGATTTTGAGCCAATTCTTTTGAAAATTTCAATATTTTTTGAGCCCAAACTCAAAAAATCGGAAAATTAATCAATTTGGGCTCAAAAACCTCCAAATTCCATCTGGAAATCGATTTTCTCGAAATTTTTTTCGAAACTTTAAAAATTTTGAACATTTTTTATCCAAAAATATTCAAATTTGGGCTCAAAATTCACCAAATCTCATCAGAAAATCGATTTTTCTCGAAATTTTTTTCGAAACTTTAAAAATTTTGAACATTTTTTATCCAAAAATATTCAAATTTGGGCTCAAAATTCACCAAATCTCATGAGAAAATCGATTTTTCTAGAAATTTTTAGCCTGAATTCAATTGAAATCCAGATTTTGAGCTAATTCTTATGAAAATTTCAATAATTTTTAGCCCAAATTCAAAAAATCGGAAAATTAATCAATTTGGTCTCAAAAACCACCAAATTTCATCAGAAAATCGATTTTTCTGAAAAATTTCATCCAAAAATCCAAAAATATTCAAATTTGGGCTCAAAATTCACCAAATTTCATCAGAAAATCGATTTTTCTCGAAATTTTCAACCTACCAATCTACAAAGTTGACAAAACGACGAGACCTTCGGAACCTGCTCATTCAAAACATCCTCTTCTTCAATATGTTGTTCCACTTGCTCAATTTCCTTAGCTGTCAAATATTGATTTGCCACATCAACAATCTCATTCACATATCCTTGTAATTTCCGTGAAATATTCAGAATTTCCTCGTTTTTCTCTGCGCCCATTTTCAATTTTTCGATAAATTCATCAATGTGTCCAAGGGTGCTTTTAACATACTCCAAATTCTGGTCGATTTCATTTGAATATGGATTTTGGGCTAGATCTTGGGCTAGATCTTGATCTTCTTGATTATACTCGATTTCCTCCTCTCCATCATAAACATCCGGATCGATATCGAGGTTATTCTGAAACGAAGGCAAATGAGGAATTCCGCTTAAATTTGGCTTTAAAAATTTCTCTTAAAGAATTTAAATTTTAGGAAATTTCTGAATTTTCTGTAGAAAAATCTTCCTGGAATTAATTTTAGGTGGATATTTGGTTAGGCTTAACCCGAAAAAATTTCAAAAAAAAAATGAAATTTAGGAATTTTTACGTGAAAATTTAATTTTTCACGTGAAATTGACAACAAAATGGTCATTTTTGGTTTTTTCGAGGATTTGAAAATGTGAGTTTTTTTGGGGGAAATTTTGGCTAGGCTTTAATTTGGCACTAAAAATTACCTTAGGGAATTTAAAATTTCTGAATTTTCTGTAGAAAAATCTTCCTGGAATTAATTTTAGGTGGATATTTGGTTAGGCTTAAATTTGGCTCTAAAAATGACCTTAAAGAATTTAAGAAATTTCTTAATTTTCATTTAAAAATCCTCCTGAAATTAATTTTAGGATAAGTTTTGACTGGAAATCTTAATTTTTGGACTAGAAAATTCCGAAATTAATTCTAGGTCAAATTTAAGTTTGAAGAAAAAAGCCCTAAAAATTTTCCTTAAAGAATTTAAAAATTAGGAAATTTTTTGAATTTTCTGTAGAAAAATCTTCCTGGAATGAATTTCAGGTTAAATTTTGATTTTTTTTTGAGGTTGCATTTTCTGAAAAATAATTTTATTCATTAAATTTTAGAAATTCAAAAAAAAATTTTTTTTTCATTGAAAATTTGACAAAAAATTTTGATAAATGAAAATTTTCTGCAAAATTGCTAGATTTCCTCATTTTTATATCTAGAAAAGATACTGAAATTAATTTCAGATTAAATTTTGATTTTTTTTTGAGTTTTGTCAATTTTAGTGGGATCATTATTTCCTGAAATTAATTTTAGGTCAAATTTTGATTTTTTAAAAAAAAATTTTTACCTGAAACGTAACAGGAACCTGCTCAACCTTCGGATTCTCCAACTTCGGCTTAGCCCTTGATTTCCTAGGCTTCGTCGATTTTTTACGAACATATTTCGGCTTCACCGCATGATCTGTATGTGTAAAACAGGCAATCACAGAATGCGCCCCGCTCTCCTCATGCACTGTAACATTCACAAATGCCGTGCAATTTTTTCCATCCAACGTTTTACACGTGAATTTCGGCTCATTCCTGGGTTTATAGTGTCCCTCGCTAGAACACACGTAATTTATCATTCTCTTCATTCCATCAGAATTCGATCTTCTCGTACAAAACTTCGCATTTGTCTCCAATTTCCTAGCGGTGAACCAGGTTTTGAAATCGTCTTCGCTCTCAAAACATTCACGCTGCAAAATGAATTTCTTGTCGGGAGTCGTGTGTTTTTCGCGAGCGTGGTAGACTAGAATTATCCGGGAGGTTACTGTATCAGTGCAACCTTCAAAGGGACATTTGTAGCGGAATTCGCGGGGTTCCCGAGATGGGTTTGAGTGTCTTCGGAGGATTCTTTGGACTACTTTGATTTCTTGACGGGGGGTTTTGTCGAAGTTGATTTTCTGGAAGACTTTGAGTCAGTTTCTTTGGATAAAATCAATAAATCAATAAAAACTTACTGGAATTAGTTCCTCTTCTTCTCCAGGATGTTTTAATTTAATATGCTTAATTGTTCCTTGTTGAGTATTGCATAAATTCTCACACCCCGCCCTCGGACACTTCCAAACGCCGGAAGCTCTCGATTTTGCTCTCGAATAAACAATGGAATTCGAGAATTCCTGCATTTGGGCTTCGCTGTATCTATGAACACTGATGAGATGTTTCCGGATATTGTCGGTTCTCCCGAAATGGCCGCATTGTTCAACGGGGCATGCGATTTTTTTCACCACGCTGAACTCCATCTCTGAAACAAGAAGTTTCGTATATTCTTGTAGAGCAGCTTTTTCTCTACACGCTAATATCAATTTTCATAGCGAAACCTCCCCTTAAACCCAAGAAAAGCGAGAAAAACCGAAAAAAAACGAAAAAAAAAAGAAATTTCTTTTCCCCCGTAAATCCACACAACACACAGCGCATCGCGACAAGACTCAAAATTCAAATATGCGTGTGCCTTTACTCAAATTTTATTTTTCTAGAACGAATTTTTTGCGGTTTTCATGAATTCTTGAGTTTTCCTAGCGTTTTAAAACGTTTTCCTGTTATTTTGCTTTGTATTCAGTCAAATCTTGTTGGCAGTTTGAAAATACACGTGGATTCATAGCCTTTTCTCGGTTTTATTTGGAGAAAACCTGGGAATTTCAAATATTTTGTTGCAGGTAGAAAATGGCATCGATTCAGTGTTTGAATCCAAAGGCAGAATTGGCTCGTCATGCGGCCGCTCTTGAATTGAATATTAGCGGAGCCCGTGGATTGCAAGATGTTATGAGAAGCAATCTCGGACCAAAGGGTACCCTTAAAATGTGAGTTTTATGGAATTTTGGTCAATATTTTTACCAAAATTTCAATTTTCAGGCTTGTTTCTGGTGCTGGTGATATCAAGCTCACAAAAGACGGCAATGTTCTCCTCCACGAAATGTCGATTCAACATCCAACCGCTTCAATGATCGCAAAAGCTTCAACAGCTCAAGATGACGTAACTGGAGATGGAACAACTTCAACAGTTTTGCTCATTGGAGAGCTCCTCAAACAAGCCGAATCGCTTGTTTTAGAAGGTGTTCATCCACGTTTGGTTACCGAAGGATTTGAGTGGGCGAATCAGAAGACTTTGGAATTACTCGAGAAATTCAAGAGACCAGTCGGCGTCGATCGCGAAATCCTCATCGAAGTCGCGCGAACTGCACTTCGCACCAAATTGCATCAAAAACTCGCCGATCATATCACCGAATGTGTTGTTGATGCGGTTTTGGCGATTCGAAAAGGAGACGAGGAACCGGATTTGCATATGGTTGAGAGAATGGAAATGCATCATGATAGTGATATGGATACAACATTGATTCGTGGACTTGTTTTGGATCATGGAGCAAGACATCCGGATATGCCGAGACATGTTAAAGATGCTTTTATTTTGACGTGCAATGTTTCATTGGAATATGAGAAAACGTACGGTTTTTTGAAGGAAAATCATGTTTTGGACCTTCTGGCGTTGTTAAAAATCGACTAAATCACATTTTCATGTTTTTTTTAGCAACTGAGTTGAACTATCGGATTTTAATCCTATTCAAAGGATAAAAGGGGATAAGGAAAAGTGAATGTTATAAATTTTGATGACTTTACGTTATCCATAAGTGATTTAGCGGCTTATCGACTAAACCTCGCTAAATCACTTATGGCTAACGTAAAGTCATCAAAATTTATATCATTCAGTTTTCCTCATCCCCTTTCATCCTTTGAATAGGATTAAAATCCGATATTTCAACTCAGTTGCTAAAAAACATGAAAATGTCATTTAGTAGATGTCCAACTATAGTTTGAATATGAGTTATGACGTGGCAAACTTTGAAATATTGTGACTTTACAAGGCTTTGTCGAAAATCTGAGTATTTCAGGAATATCGATTTTCCTATTTGTAACCAAATTTGATTTCAAAGTTATTTTACTAGGCTAATCTGACAAATTATCCAAAAATTTTCTGAAATCCGCGATTTTTCAGATAATTCCTTGAATGGTACGGCAAAAAAATGAAAGATATTCATCTCTAGATTTTTATGGAGGGAGTAGGAAAAATTGCTTATGGACTAGAAATTTCCTAGTCCCTCTATTTCTCAAAAGCTTTTCCTCGGGCTTTATGAAATCGAAAAAGCTTTTTCGCCACTTTTAATACAGATTCGGACAATCTAGAGATGAATATCTTTCATTTTTTTTGCCGTACCATTCAAGGAATTATCTGAAAAATCCTGGATTTCAGAAAATTTTTGGATAATTTGTCAGATTAGCTTAGTAAAAATAACTTTGAAATCAAATTTTGGTTACAAATTGGAAAATCGATATTCCCGAAATACTTAGAAGCCTTGTAAAGTCACAATATTTCAAAGTTTGCCACGTCATAACTCATATGCACCCTTGAGTTCTTCAGTATTTAACAACGTCATCGTTACCAGATGGTCCAAATCTACTCCCCTTCAACCGTTTTTGTTTCCAGCGAGGTAAACTCTGGTCTCTTCTACAAATCGGCTGCCGAACGCGAAAAACTGCTGGCCGCCGAACGTGAATTCATCACGCGCCGCGTCCACAAAATCATCGAGCTCAAAAAACAAATCATCGACAATTCGCCAGACGGCAAAAACAAGGGATTCGTTGTGATCAATCAAAAAGGCATCGATCCACCGAGTTTGGATTTGTTGGCCGCCGAAGGGATTTTGGCGTTGAGAAGAGCGAAACGACGAAATATGGAGAGACTTCAATTGGCTGTTGGCGGAGAGGCGGTGAATTCGGTGGATGATTTGACACCGGACGTTTTGGGATGGGCTGGTTTGGTTTATGAACATACTTTGGTAGGATTTGCTTTGTGAGAGGAGAAAATTGAATTTATGTTTTTCAGGGAGAAGAGAAGTACACATTCATCGAAGAATGCAAAGATCCAAAATCAGTCACACTTCTTATCAAGGTTTGTTTGTGGAGAAAAGTGGAGTTGGGCTGAAAATCTGGAAAATTTGACCTGAAATTGTAAAATTTTGGTGATTTTCTAGATATTTCCTATGCAAAATATACAGAATATTATTTTGATTAGAGACAATGGGAGATTGAGAGAGCGCAGACGAAAAACTCATTTTTTCTCTGAATTCTCTCAATTTTCCGATGTCTCTAATCAAAATAATATTCTGTATATTTTGTTTGTGAATAAAAATCCAAGAGAAATGCCTGAACCTGAAAATTTCACTCAAAAATCGAGTTTTGACTGAAATTTTCGGGTTCTCGCGCAGGGAAATCTATCGCCAATTTTTTTGTCCTGAAAACCTGATTTATAACCAAAATTCAATAAAAATAATGCCTGAACCTTGAAATTTCAGCTAAAATTCTAGTTTTGGCTGAAATTTTCGGGTTCTCGCGCAGGGAAATCTATCGTCAATTTTAGACTTGAAAAATACAAAAATTTTTATTTCAAGTTTCCCAATTTTCCAAAACTCTTCAGAATACACAAAATTCCAGCAGCAATGATTAAAATGAGTAGAATAATTGGAGAGCTGAAAAAACCTTGTTTTTTCAAATTTTTCCTCAAAAAAAAACTCACAAAATCACCAATAATTCCAATATTTCGTCATCAGACATTTTTTTTCAGCAAAAAAAAATAAAAATAGTGAGAAAAAATTCTGCGGAAGCGAAAAAATAACAAAAATATTGTTTCAGGGTCCAAATAAGCACACAATTACACAAATCAAGGATGCGATTCACGATGGAATGAGAGCCGTTTTCAACACAATTGTTGATAGTGAGTTATGACGTGGCAAAGCTAGAATTCTAGGTTTTTGGCTGAAATTTTGGGAATGACGTGGCAAAATTTCAATTTTTGGACAAAAAATTTGGAAAAACGACTCAAAATCTGATGTCCGCTTAAAAAACTATAGTCTATTTTGAGGAGAAACGTCAAACTAGACTCTAGTTCATCCTTATTTTCGAAATTGGAAAAAAATCTGTTTAGAAATGCACGTGACAAATTGGCAAACTAGACTCTAGTTTTGAAAAACTGGAAATTTAGTTGATTAATTGGTGCCAAAATTTCATTTTTGAAAATATTCCACGTGGATTTTTTGCGCCAAAATTTTTATTTTTCTGCAAAAATTGCCACGTGGATTTTTCATGCTGGAAACAATTTTCAAAAAAAAAATTCCCTCCCAACCTCATTTTTTCTTGCAGAAGCCGTTTTACCGGGAGCCGCCTCTTTTGAAGTTGCCGCCTATGTTTTGTTGAAAAAAGAGTTGGAAACATTGAAAGGACGTGCGAAATTGGGAGCTCAAGGATATGCTCAGGCACTTTTGGTTATCCCAAAAACATTGGCTGTCAATTCGGGATATGATGCACAAGAAACATTGGTGAAATTGGTTGAGGAAAAACAGGCGGCCGGTGATTTGGCTGTTGGTATTGATTTGGAAACTGGTGGAGCTGCTGAGCCACAGGTAGAGGAATTTTTCTAGAGCTGAAAATAGCGGCTTTTTTTAAATCTCGAAAAATAATTAATTTTGGAATTTTTCTAGAAAAAAGATGGAAAATTTAAATTTTTCTGAAAAAAAAACTTCTCTGTTTCAAAATTTATTAAAATTACGCAGACGATTTTAATAATAACAGTACGGTTAAGATTACAGCGTGTCCTATGTGACACATTGAAATTGCTTTTTAGTGCCCACGGAAAGGACAAAGGTTAGAGAAAGGATTACGGTATTTGGAAAGAGAATATGAGGAAGAATAAGGTTAATATAATCAGTTACCTTTACAGAATAATGTGTGAAGTTTACTAGAAAAAAATTATTTTTTTTAAATTTACTGTTTCAAAATTTTATTGAAAAAAATTAAATTTTTTATTTTTGAAAAATTCGATTTGAATTTTTACTAGAAAAATCTCAAGTTTTTCCTGAAAAAAATCAATTTTCACTGAATTTTCAAATGTCACATTTTTTAGTACAAAAAAAATGAAAATTTGAATTTTTCTGAAAAAAAACTTCACTGTTTCAAAATTTATTAAAAATTGATTGAGAAGTTGGTTTTCCACCAAAATTTTTCATTTCAAAAATTATTTAATTTTTTTTGTTTTTGAAAAATTTGAAAAAAATTATATTTGAATTTTTTCTAGAAAATTCTTTCAAATATCAAATTTTTTAATACAAAAAAAAATGAAAATTTGAATTTTTCTAAAAAAAAAACTTCACTGTTTCAAAATTGGGTGAAACATTGATTTATTTTTCTGGGAATAATGTGTGAAGTCGGTTTACTAGAAAAAATTATTTTTTTTAAATTTACTGTTTTAAAATTTTATTGAAAAAAATTCAATTTCTTATTTTTGAAAAATTCGATTTGAATTTTTACTAGAAAAATCTCAAGTTTTTCCTGAAAAAAATCAATTTTCACTGAATTTTCAAATATCACATTTTTTAGTACAAAAAAAATGAAAATTTGAATTTTTCTGAAAAAAAAAACTTTACTGTTTCAAAATTTATTGAAAATGTGCTTTTAGTTGAAAAAATATATTGAAAAATTGCAAAAATAGAGAAAATATAGTTTTTGTTAAAAAGTTTGAATAAAAATGAAAATCTTTATATCTGAATAGAGAAAATTGAGCTAAAAATCATGGAAAATTCGAAATTTTTCAGAAATCTGAGAATTTGATGACTAAAAATCTCCAATTTTTTTCACACTCAAACTTTTTAAAACCCATTTTTTGCAGGGAATCTGGGACAATGTAACAGTGAAAAAGAATAGTTTGTCATCGGCCACAGTTCTCGCTTGCAATCTTCTTCTCGTCGATGAAGTTATGCGTGCTGGTATGACTAATTTGAAGACACCACAACAACAGGATTAATATGAGCAATCAATCCCGCGCCTACAATTTTCCAGCAAAATCTCATTTTTCTCTCGATTTCAGCTTTTTTCTTAATTTTTTTTGAATCGTTTGTTGAGTTTTTCCCCCTTTTTTGCATGTTGTATCGAATTAAAATGCTTTATTATTTTTTGTTTTTTGATGGAAGACAGGAGAATTATAGAATTTTTCTGAAAGAAAAATTTCAAAGATTATTTACGTTTCAAAATTTATTGAAAAATCTTTTTGAAAAGTGAAAAAATGATTGTATAAGCAACTGCCAATCTACGAAAAAAAATTCAACGATAAATTGATGCTATTTTTTTCAATTTATTGTGAGAAAAATAATCAAAAAGAGGAGGTGAATTTTTATGATATGATTTTTTTGAAACGTAAAAAAATTGGGTTTTCAAAAAAAATTTACAAAAACAAAAGTGAAACAACGAAACTTATCCATAACATAAGAATTCCAGTTGCATTTTCACTAATCTTAACAATCGAAAAATCCATAAGAAAACCATTTGTCATTTCCCCATTTGTTTTATAAACAATACTCATTGTTTTTCCTGGATGAACAAATGATTGATTTGTTGATGGAGGATTCGTCTTGTTATGATGATGATCTTCCAAAATATTTCCCGATTTATCAAAAGTTGAGATTTGAAGAGTCGCATTTCCAACAAGCCCATGATTGATAACTTTTGTTGTGTAATTATAAAAATCATCTCCACTGATTGTTTCAATTACAGTTTGATTAACAGAAGAAATTCCGAAATTTGGAGAAGTAATGTATCCAGTTCGATTATTGTTGGCTTTATTCCAATCCCAAGTTGTCACCGAGTTACCATAAGTGACCTCGAGAAGTGCAGTTTTTGAATCGAGAACAAAAGTGGTTATATAATTATTCAATTCTTGAGGAAATCCGAATGATTTTGAATTATAGGAATTTACAAGATTCGAACTTTTGATTGATCCATAATACACATCTAAGTTTGATGTTTGTGAAATATTCAGAGATTTCAAGTATGATATTGATTTCGAAACTGATACAATTGCTGATGTTCCATTTGTGGCATCAACATTGAAATAACAATCAGCTCCTAAACAATTCGCCAATCTGTATCTTGCGAATTGTTTGACATCTGAAAATATTTAGCTTCCTTATCCCGACAATGCGCCCTCGTTTCTCTGCCTGCATCTCTAGCGCAGTCGGGTAGGTGTTCGACTAGCACCCAGTGTGTGCGCTAGTTTTGGTGGGTTCGAGTCCCACCGCGAGCTTTTTATTTTTATTTTTTTTTAGATTTTTTTCAACCCCTTTCTTATACATATTTCAAGAAAAAACCCACTGGAATAATCTTGAACTAGAATATAGTTTCCAAGAGTTGTCGAAGAATAGACTTTTGGCTTCAAATTCATAACAGTCAATGTTTTGGAAGATGATACTAGTTGTTTTCCAGATGTTAGAACTTGATAAAGATTTCCAAGATTTGTGGCATTCGGACTTGAACCATCGAAAACAACAAATAATCTGATATACGAATAGAACAAGTTGGTATCTGCACTTGATGCGATCAATGATACTTGTGATGTTGGTGCTGTGATAACACAAGCTGTCAAATCAAAGATTATTTCGGGATTTGTTAAGGTGAGCAAATGATTGTCCGGGTTGAATGTGGGCACTGAAAAATGCTGAAATTTTCAGGTTCGATTTTTCTGCACATACTTTCATTATACCGAATACTGAATGCCAATTTTCCCAATGAATTCGCCTCAAGAACAATGCTAAATTTTGGGGCCAAAAAATAGTACGGATCATCTTCAGCCGTTCCAATTTGTACATTATCGATCATTCCATTTGAATATATCAATTGTAAACTTGAATTACTCTGTGTTTCTGAGAATAGCGATAAAGATGCAAAATATCCTTGTGGAACTTCGATGTTCCATCGACATTCTTGATTGATTTGATATCTCGGAACAATTTGCGATTCATTCCATGAACTTGGATAAAAAATTGTTGGGTTCAAGTTTGCTGGAGCGCTGATTGTATTTGTACCGTTACAAACTGAATGTTATATGTTAGATTTTAAAAATAACCTGAACTTACTGTATAGATCAGCGGTTGAAATTGAGAAAATGAAAAATAGGAGCAAGTTGCTCTTTGCTCCGAGCAACATAATTTATTGAGCAAAAAAAATGAGAAATGCTCATATCAGTTGCTTGTTTAAACATTTATGAGAAAAAAAATCACCAAATTTTATTGCTATCAAAGTTTATGTTCACTGACGCACATATGATTCACAAGGGAACCTTTTTTACTCAACACTTCAAATCTTGATGAAATTTTGTCCAGAGGCAGCTTTTGGGGTCATAAGAACATCCTAAAAATTTTAGGACCTCTGAACCAAGTTCTGGGCTCTCAAAAGTTCAAAAATTGCCAATATTGGCTCATAAAACACGTCGTAACTCAATTTTCGATCATTTTTATGAAAAACTGATCAGCGTGGTCGATTTACCCAAAAAGCATCAATAAATCAAATTTTCAGAAAAATTTTTGATTTTGAAAAAAAGAGGGGCACATATGAATTTTCATGAATTTCCAGCCAAAAAAAAAAACTTTACAATTTTTCGAAAAAATATTTTTTTTATTGATGTACTTTTAGGTAATCGACTATGCTGATCAATATCTGAAACTTTATTTCTCCCAAAAAAATTTTGAAATGGAGCTATGATGACGTTTATGACCATTTTTAGGCCTTTTTTGAGTTTTTGAGAGCCCAAAAATCGGCCACAGTTCTCGCTTGCAATCTTCTTCTCGTCGATGAAGTTATGCGTGCTGGTATGACTAATTTGAAGACACCACAACAACAGGATTAATATGAGCAATCAATCCCACGCCTACAATTTTCCAGCAAAATCTCATTTTTCTCTCGATTTCAGCTTTCTTCTCAATTTTTCTTGATTTTTTTTTGAATCGTTTGTTGAGTTTCTCCCCTTTTTTGCATGTTGTATCGAATTAAAATGCTTTATTATTTTTTGTTTTTTGATGGAAGACAACAGAATTATAGAATTCTCTGAAAGAAAAATTTGAAAGAAAATTTACGTTTCAAAATTTATTGAAAAATCATTTTGAAAAGTGAAAAAAATGATTTTATAAGCAACATTTTATCATTGAGCCCATGGAGATAAAAGGTTGTGACAATATGTTTCATCATTATCATAAAGATCCAAAGCGATCAAATTCATATCGTAAACTGAGCCGACAAACTTTTCTGGAATCACGTATGTGGAAGTTCGCAAACAGTTCTGTAAAATACTTGTTATTTTTCTCTATTTTAGTTTTTGTTAACTAACAATTTCAGTGTTGCACCTATGAATAATCTGAAGAATTGGTGTAATTGAGAAATATTCGTTTTTCTCTCCGAAAACTTCGAATTCTCCCATTTCATTTGTTCTCACGCGGTTGAGTGTGTCATATTGACCGACTGAATTTTTCATTTTTCAAAAAAATAGCCACGTGGCTTGCTGTTGACGTGGCGAAACATGTCTAATCCACGTGGCCACTACGCGGAAGCTTGCGCTCTTCGCGCTTGAACAACCAAACTCACCTATATCTTTTTCAACCAACCGAACGTCTACCTTCGCCACCGGTTTTTTGTTACAAAATGTGACTCCTCTCACTGTTACATTTTGAAGAATTGCTGTTGAGAATTTGAAAATTATGCAAGCGAAGATTAGAAATTGAAGCTTCATTTTTGTTGGAAACTGGAAAATGAACATGAATTCAAAAAATCAGAACTTTCAGTCGGATCAAAATCAAGATTCGAAAACATTGAGAGCGTGTTTTATGTTGTCTAGAATACATTCAAATAAAATGTGAGAAAAAATCCATGAAACTTTTGAAAAACCAAATATTTTTGCCACGTCATAACTTTTTTGTGAGGCGGGATTGTCAAAAAACAAATTGCTATCAACAATTTCATTAAAAATCTAACAAAAATAACAAAAATTACATCACCATTTCAAAGTTTGCGAAATATTCGAATCAATAATCGAATAATCAGTGAACATCAACTTCTGCCAATTCTCATTCAACATCTGCCATTCCCGCTGAACCCTCAAAATCTCATCCAAAACATCGTCTCGTCTCTCCAAATTCTCATAAATCCCATCGATTTTCGCCAACTGCTCTTCTCTTTCATCCATTTTTGAATATTTGATTTGTCCTCCACCATTTGAACATCCACCTGGACACGCCATGATTTCCACGTAGTCGTACATTTTTGATTTGGTGGATGTCGAGGAGATCTTCATTTTTCTCACCAGGTTTTGAATATTTCGAAAACCGTAGACTCGGGCGACGCGAAGCACTGAATTTCCTTCAGAATTTAGAACTTCTATTGAATCCATATGTTTGTTTCTGAAAGAAATGAGGTTATGACGTGGCAAAAAAATTTTGAGGGGTGAAAAACTACGACGCTCCACATTTACACCTAAGTTTTGCGATTTTCTCGAGATTTTGCTGAAAATATAGCTATTTTTAATGGTGTAAAGGCGGAGCATCGTTTAAAAAACAACAAAGCTCCGCATTTACACTCTCTAATCAAAATTTTGCGATTTTCTCAAGGTTTTGGTCCAAAACTAGCCATTTCTCATGGTGTAAAGGCGGAGCATCGTTTGAAGTCAAAATTTCACGATTTCCCTCGAATTTTGTGTCAAAACTTTGCGGTGTAAACGCGGAGCATCGTTTAAACTCACAATTTCTGCTGTTTGAGCTCTCCACCATTCAATTTCAGATAACTCCTCACAATATTTTCAGCATATCCACCCGAACTTCCACCATTCTCGCCAATAATTTTGCCACGCGACAAATCGCCCAAAAATCCGGGTGATTGATTCAAATTCGGAATTTCCGGAGAAAATTCGAATTTTTCCAATTCCTCATAGAGTTCAGCTGAAAAAATTGGATTTTAATTTTTTTTTGCAAAATTTTTGAAAATTTGAAATTGAGGTCAAAAATTTTGAGATTTTTTTAAATTGGAAAATTTTTGCATGAAAAAATTAGAAATTTTTGAAAATTTAAAATTTTTAATCTGAAATTTTTGAAAATTTTCTAATTGGAAAATTTCAGAAAATTTTTGCATGAAAAATATAGAAATTTGTGAAAATTTAAATTTTTAATCTGAAATTTTTGAAAATTTTCTAATTGGAAAATTTCAGAAAATTTTTGCATGAAAAATATAGAAATTTGTGAAATTTAAAATTTTTAATCTGAATTTTTCAGATTTTTTTTAAATTGGAAAATTTTTGCATGAAAAATTTTAAATTTTGATCTAAAATTTTAAGATTTTTTTAAAATTGGAAAATTTCAGGAAATTTTTGCATGAAAAATTTGGAAATTTTTGAAAATTTCAAATTTTGATTTGAAAAAAAAAATTTCAAATTTCAAATTCTCCCCCCAAAAAATCCCTCACCCGTACTAATAACACAATCAGTTTCTCGAACCTCCTCTTCTCCGTGAGAAGTACACAGAAATTCTTTGCGGGAAGCCTCCAATTTTTTGTCGAAACACGGCATTATTGTGGCGTGGAATATGCGATGTGGTTGAATTTGGAATTTTCGAGCAAGGTAGTCTGAAAATATTGAAAACTACGATGCTCCGCAATTACACCTTTAAAAAAATCGTATTAAATTTGAATTTTAGGTCAAAAAACTCGCAATTTCTGATTGTAAACCCGGAGCATCGTTTGAAAATGAAAATATTTGCGAAATTCAGAACCAACAATAATTTTTAAAGGGTGTAAACGCGGAGTATTGTAGTTTCCGAGTTTAAAACAATGAAAATCTTGAAATTATTGTATAAAATCAGTTTTCCACTATTTTCAAGAGGGTAAACGCGGAGCATCGTTTGAAAACTTGAAAACTACGATGCTCCGCGTTTACACCTTCAAAATTTCCCAATTTTCTTGAAATTTAGCTCAAAATTCCCCGATTTTTCGCACCTTTAACAATAGCTCCAGCAATAGCTTGCGGCGATCGAATTCGACTGATTTTTGGCACTAGAATCTGAGCATTTGTCGATTTTTCCGAATAACAAACAAATCCGGGACAAGCTGATGATAAAAGGAATGAATTTGAAGAAGAATTCGAAGTTGAAGCTTGAAATTCGGAAAATAACAGAGAATGTGTGAAATGCCGTGCAAATGAGGAATCGATAACATGAGTGACGCCTGGAAAAAAAAATCCTGGAAAATTTACGTTTCAAATTTTCGATTTCATCAATTTTTGTGAAAAAAATCGTAGATTACTGTAGAAATTTACTGTACCAAGTGTTTTTTGGGAACAATTTTTCCACAGTACAAAGAATTATGATCTAACAAATTTTCGGAACTTTTGAGCTACAGTAACCCAAAATTGACCAAAAACCAATTTTTGGCTTCAAAAGTTCCTAGGTTACTGTAGAATATTACTGTACCAAGTGTTTTTTGATCCACAGAATTTTCAGAACTTTTTTGGCCAATTCTTTGATCTACTTAGATTTTTTGCGTCAAAAATCCTAGGTTACTGTAGAAAATTACTGTACCAATTAAAAAATTAATTTTTCTAAATACAGTAATTTTCTACAGTAACCAAATATAACCATTTTTTGTAGATATTTTTTTCTTCCCGCCAACGTTTCAACAATTTTGAAAAAAAAATTACCTTTGCTCAAAAAATAGTTTGAAATTCGAATCGCCGCATTTTCCGGCGAGATTCCCAATTTCACAGCAATCGAGCAAATTGATTGGGGAGATACGGTAACTACCGAAAAATCTGACGATTCGACACCTTGCCAAAGTCTGGAAAATTTCGGATTTTTTGAGCCAAAATACGTGGAATTCGGGGAATTTCGAGTACAGGGGTGTAAATGCGGAGCATCGTTGTTTTTCTCTTCGTTTTTTTAAATAAAAATCTTCAAAAGAATCAAAATCTAGCAATTTTCAAAGGTGTAAACCTGGAGCATCGTTTGAAAATATGCAAAACAACGATGCTCCGCTTTTACACCCTCAAAATGCATGAAAAACATGATTTTGGGTCAAATTTTTGCGATTTTCTTGAATTTTGGGTCGAAATCCAGCAATTTTCAAAGGTGTAAACCCGGAGCATCGTTTGAAAATATGCAAAACTACGATGCTCCGCTTTTACACCCTCAAAATGCATGAAAAACATGATTTTGGGTCAAATTTTTGCGATTTTCTTGAATTTTGGGTCGAAATCCAGCAATTTTCAAAGGTGTAAACCCGGAGCATCGTTTGAAAATATGCAAAACTACGATGCTCCGCTTTTACACCCTCAAAATGCATGAAAAACATGATTTTGGGTCAAATTTTTGCGATTTTCTTGAATTTTGGGTCGAAATCCAGCAATTTTCAAAGGTGTAAACCCGGAGCATCGTTTGAAAATATGCAAAACTACGATGCTCCGCTTTTACACCCTCAAAATGCATGAAAAACATGATTTTGGGTCAAATTTTTGCGATTTTCTTGAATTTTGGGTCGAAATCCAGCAATTTTCAAAGGTGTAAACCTGGAGCATCGTTTGAAAATATGCAAAACAACGATGCTCCGCTTTTACACCCTCAAAATGCATGAAAAACATGATTTTGGGTCAAATTTTTGCGATTTTCTTGAATTTTGGGTCGAAATCCAGCAATTTTCAAAGGTGTAAACCCGGAGCATCGTTTGAAAATATGCAAAACTACGATGCTCCGCTTTTACACCCTCAAAATGCATGAAAAACATGATTTTGGGTCAAATTTTTGCGATTTTCTTGAATTTTGGGTCGAAATCCAGCAATTTTCAAAGGTGTAAACCCGGAGCATCGTTTGAAAATATGCAAAACTACGATGCTCCGCTTTTACACCCTCAAAATGCATGAAAAACATGATTTTGGGTCAAATTTTTGCGATTTTCTTGAATTTTGGGTCGAAATCCAGCAATTTTCAAAGGTGTAAACCCGGAGCATCGTTTGAAAATATGCAAAACAACGATGCTCCGCTTTTACACCCTCAAAATGCATGAAAAACATGATTTTGGGTCAAATTTTTGCGATTTTCTTGAATTTTGGGTCGAAATCCAGCAATTTTCAAAGGTGTAAACCCGGAGCATCGTTTGAAAATATGCAAAACTACGATGCTCCGCTTTTACACCCTCAAAATGCATGAAAAACATGATTTTGGGTCAAATTTTTGCGATTTTCAGCTCAAAAAATCAGAATTCTCTGAAAATTCACCTTCCAATCGATTGTTCCTCAATCAAAACAGTTTCAGCACTCGTAATACATCCATTACACGCCAAACAATCAGCCAATGAGATTTTTATCGATTTCTGCAAAATTCTACGAGGGTTACTGTGGGTTACTGTAGAAAAAGTACTGTACCTTTGTCTTCTCCTCGGCTTCTTTACATTTTTCCGTCTTTTTCTTGATGTTCACCAGATTTTCCGCCGGTTTTTCGGGCACAGTTTTGGTCTCGAGTGGAATTATGCAATCCTGAAAATAAATATACGGTAGTTTTTGGCGGCAAAATTTGAATTTCAAAAAAAATTTACCAAATTTGGTGCAATAAAATCGGAGACATTCGAAAGGCGAACAACTCCAGAAAATCCAGAATCTTCCATTTTTCCTGGCTGAAATTTTGGCTGAAAATTCTGAAAATCAAAAAAAAAAAAAAAAAATAATCGAAAATCGATAGAACGTGCAAGCAAAATTTCCAGAAGACAATTTTAAAGCAAAAATAATTTATTTACAAAATTTTTACAAAAAAATCAATCGATATTCTAATTTTTTATTCATTCGGACACTGCGTAGAGTTCTTTGACACCTTCGTCGAAAAATCTGGAAAAATTGGGGGGTTTTTTGGAGCCTAGAATTAATTTTAGGTTGGAAATTGGGATTTTTTGAATATAAATTTGAATTTCGGATGAAAAATTGGGTTTTTCTGATCTAAATTCAATTTCAGGGTGAAAAATAGGAATTTTCTGACCTAGAATTAATTTTGGGTTGAAAAATGGGATTTTTTGAATATAAATTTGAATTTGGGTTGAAAACTAGGATTTTTTTTAATCGAAATTTAATTTTAGGTTGGAAAATTGGAATTTTTTACCTAAATTTGAATTTCGGATGAAAATTTTTCAATTTTTGACCTGAATTTAATTCCAGGTTGAAAAAACTGGAATTTTCAGACCTGAATTTAATTTTAGGATGAAAAATTGGGTTTTTTGAGCCTAGAATTAATTTAGGGTTGAAAAACTGGAATTTTTCACCTAAATTTGATTTCAGGGTGAAAAATAGGAATTTTCTGGCCTAGAATTAATTTTGGGTTGGAAAATGGGATTTTTTGAATATAAATTTAAATTTCGGATGAAAAATTGGGATTTTTTGAATTTAAATTTGATTTCAGGGTGAAAAACCGGAATTTTTGACCTAAATTCAATTTCAGGGTGAAAATTTGGAATTTTTGAATATAAATTTGAATTTCGGATGAAAAATTGGGATTTTCTGACCTGAATTTAATTTCAGCCCATCTTACCTGGATTTCATTGGAGTTCCAATTTCATAAAACGGATTCGAAATAGTATTGCAATAAAATCCGTGAAACTTCTTGAAGATCAGTCGAATTTCTTGATCTTTCAGGCTGGCTGCCGAAGTTGCGTCGAGTACCAAAACCATTCGAATTCCGGTGTTTGTTACGAAACCGTAGGACTGCAAAAAATACGTGTAAACCCGGAGCATCGTTTGAAAATAGGCAAAACTACGATGCTCCGCTTTTACACCCTCAAAATTCATGAAAAACATGGTTTTGGGTCAAATTTCCGCGATTTTCTTGAATTTTGGGTAAAAATTGCACACTGTGACATGTAAACCCGGAGCATCGTTTGAAAATATGCAAAACTACGATGCTCCGCATTTACACCCTCAAAATGCATGAAAAACATGGTTTTGGGTCGAATTTTCGCGATTTTTTTGAATTTTGGGTGAAAATTGCACCCTGTGACATGTAAACCCGGAGCATCGTTTGAAAATATGGAAAACTACGATGCTCCGCTTTTACACCCTCAAAATTCATGAAAAACATGGTTTTGGGTCGAATTTTCGCGATTTTTTTGAATTTTAGGTAAAAATTGCACTCTGTGACATGTAAACCTGGAGCATCGTTTGAAAATATGGAAAACTACGATGCTCCGCTTTTACACCCTCAAAATTCATGAAAAACATGGTTTTGGGTCGAATTTTCGCGATTTTTTTGAATTTTAGGTCGAATTTCGTGTAATTTTCCCCCAAAAGCTTTGAAAATCTCACCCGATATTTCTGATCGGTAAACAATTGTCCCAAATACATTTCAGTTGCTCTCTGCGATTTCTCATCAACAATATCCAGCGAACAATAAGTGAACATTTCGATTTCGAGCAATTGATTCGAATATTTCGGATTTATTGAGTCGAACAGGCGAATGTTCTGCGAAAAAATGTGAAAATTGAAATTCTTTGGAAAGTTTTGGAGAAAAATTCACCTTTTTAAAATTTCCAGAATTTTTTAAAACAAATTTCTGAAAAATCTAAAGTCAAAACTAATATGCAATTTTTGAAACAGTGAAATTTTTTCAAAATTTCTCAAAATTTTCCACGTGGATTTTTCCCGTCAGAAATTTTTTAAATTCGAATTTTTAAAAAACGCTCACCTCTCTTCCATAAATGAAAAATCCAACAACTCCTAACATCCTAAAAAATCTCGAAATTTCCATGGAAATTTGTTAAAAATTTAGTCTCAGTATTAAAAGTTAGTAAACTTATTCAAACTCCAAAAAATCAATAAAAATTTACCAAAAAAATAAACTTTATAATAATAAAAAACCAGGGAAAACAATAGCAATAATAAATATTCGGCTGAAAATTCAAAAAAAAGGCTTATTCATTAGCAGTCTCAAATTTCGGGTATTTTTGTTGGGCATCTTGCCAAGTTTGTCGATTTTTGCACAAATCACCGATTAATCGACCGAGTTCCGAGACTTCGAGTCGAATTTGTGTCATTGATTCGGCATGTCTGACGGTTACTGTGTGTGGAAGAGTTTCCGAATCGAAGTCGACGGTGATGCCGAACGGGATTCCGATTTCGTCGGTTCGAGCATAACGGCGACCGATTGAGCCCGAACTGTCGTCCTGGAAAGAAAATTGGAAAATTAGTTGAAAATTTAATTTTGGGGTGAAAAATCCTAGAAATTTGATTAGAGACAACGGAAATAATTCAATAATTCATTTTTTTACAACACAAATTCGGTTTTTTGTTCGGAAAACTAAAAGTCTGCGCTCTCTCAATTTTCCGTTGTCTCTAATCTATTTAATTTTCATTAGAATTTTGGTTCTAAATTCAGAATGAAGAAACATTTTGAAACAGTTATTTTTTGAGGGAATATTTTGGAACTATTTTTTCTCAATATTATATTTGCATATTAATGCGGTTGTGGAGCAATTGTAAATTTCAAAATTTCAAAAATTATTTGAAACAGTGAAATTTCCAGGATTTTGTTTTCTATTTTTTTTTTAAGTTTTTGTCTGGAAAAATTTTTGAAAAAAATTTATTGTATTTTTTGTATTTTTACAACTTGAAAAATTTTTGAAAAAAAATTTATTGTATTTTTTAATTTACAATTTTTGATGAATTCGTAAATTATCAAGCCAATTATCAAATCAAAATTTGAAGAAAAACTAATATGAATTTTTTGAAACAGTGAATTTTTTTAACCAAAAAAAAAATATTTTTCTCGATTTTCCAGAAGGAATGTGGATGCAAAGAAATTGTAAATTTCAAAAATTATGAAATTTATATTTCCAGCAATTTTTTCAATTACTTTTTTTTTAGTTTTGGTCTTGAAAAATTTTTGAACAAAATTTATTGTAATTTTTAATTTACAATTTTTGATGAATTCGTAAATTATCAAGCCAATTATCAAATCAAAATTTGAAGAAAAACTAATATGAATTTTTTGAAACAGTGAATTTTTTAACCAAAAAAAAATATTTTTTCTCGATTTTATATTTCCAACAAACTGTGGATGCAAAGAAATTGAAAATTTAAAAAATTATAAAAATTATTTGAAACAGTGAAATTTCCAGGATTTTGTTTTCTATTTTTTTTAGTTTTGGTGTTGAAAACTTTTTGAACAAAATTTTTCAATTCAAAATTTATTGTATTTTTTAATTTACAAATTTTTGATGAATAAGATAAAAAAGAATCAAATCAGAATTTGAAGAAAAACTAATAAGCCTTTTTTGAAACAGTGAATTTTTTTAACAAAAAAAATTTATTTTTCTCGATTTTATATTACTGTGGTTGCAAAGAAATTGTGAATTGCAAAAATTATGAAATTTATATTTCTAGCAATTTTTTCAATTACATTTTTTTTAGTTTTGGTCTTGAAAAATTTTTGAACAAAAATTATTGTATTTTTTAATTTACAATTTTTGATGAATTCGTAAATTATCAAGCCAATTATCAAATCAAAATTTGAAGAAAAACTAATATGAATTTTTTGAAACAGTGAATTTTTTTAACCAAAATTTTTTTAACCAAAAAAAAATCAGGAATTCTATTCCAAACTAAAATTAGGGTCCCACAACGGGTACCGTAGTCACATTTAAAGGGACATCAGAACCTACACTTCATACACTGTATGTACCTTTAAAGGAACGTTATTTCTCGATTTAAAAAAAATTTTTTTCATTTTTATCATTCAAAAACAGCAAATTTCACAGGAAATCCGATAATTTTCCAAAAAATGCTCACCAATTTGTAGCTCAATTCATAGCTGGCCAATTCTTCTTTGACTTTTTCGATGATCGGAACAAGTTTCTCATTTGCCGAAATTGGCAAAATCGAGCATTTGATTGGTGCAACCAATGGTGGGAACGCCAAGAACTGCAAAAAAAAAATGCCCAAAATTTGAATTTCAGTTCAAAACTCTTCTTACAGTTCGTTGCTCATCTCCTTCTCGTTGTCTGAATGAATGCTCCAAAAGTGAATACATAACTCTTCCGATTCCATAAGATGGTTCAATTACAGATGGTGTGATTTCTTGAACGTGAAGCTGCAAAAAATATTGATTTTTGGTTGGATTCAGAAGGCCTGAAACTCACAGTTTTCGAGTATTTTTTGATGTTGACAAGGTCTGGAGTGATGTTGAAATCATTGTTATCGACGGTCAATTTGAAGAGCCTGCAGGTATATAATTTTTGAAAAAAAGCTAGATTTTTCAAGGTGGGAAACTACGATGCTCCGCGTTTACACTCTTGAGAAAACCCGCTAGAAATATGATTTCGGGTCAGAAATTCGCGAAATTTCTTGGATTTCCGGTAAAAATAGGGTAATTTTAGTGGTTTTCACCGAAAAATTGTAAAAAAATTTTGTTCAAAAATTTACTGTTTCAAAAATAATTCATGAATTTTTGAGAATTTTTTGGATAAATGCGAAAATTTTCTGATGTTTTCGAGTATGTTCTTCAGAAGATCGATCGAATTGAAAAAAAACAATTCAAAAATTTATGAAAATTTTGAAACAGTGGATTTTTCCGAAATGAAAATTAATTTTTTTGGCTCAAAAAAACCACGTGGCAAAATTTGAATCAAACTTTTTGGCTGAAAAAATCCACGTGGCAATTTGAATCAATTTTGGCTTGAAAAACACTGAAATTCGTCAAAAACTCAGCACAAAAATTGCTCATTTTTCCAAAAAAAAATTGAAATTCATGTATTAATGGAGATTTCGATAAAAATATGATTTTTTGAGTTCAAAAAATCCACGTGGCAAATTAAGATAAGTATTTTTGGGCTCAGAAAATTCATGTGTCAAAATCGAAAAAAATCCACGTGGAAACTTCAAATGATAAATTTTTCTGCCAAAAATCAGGCTTTGGTTCAAAAAACACGGAATATTCAGTTTTTTCATAGATCAAAATTCTAGAGCTCTAACCTGGCTCAAAAACGTATTTCCCCTCAAAAACCCTCACTTATTCTCCTTCAATTCGGCTTCCATTTGTTCAACTTCTTCATTTGTCAACGCAGCCAACGCTCCTTGAATCTTCTTCGCATCTTTCTTGAAACTCTTTCCCAATAGTGCCATATTCGCTTGCGCTTCAACAACATTCACTTCAGTCGGTTTTTCCAACTTTTTTTCCGCAATCAATTTCACATTTGTCGCTTTATAATGTTGTTGTAGATCATAACAAGCTCGGTCAGCATTTCCAACACATTCAATCCATCCGTAAGATGTTAAGATTTCAGCATCCCAACAATCTTGAGCATAATGAGCCATTTCATTGGATAAATGTTGACGGAAACGCAATCTGCGGGGGTCGATTCCGACTTTGAGAAGATATTGTTGGCAGCGAGCCATGTAATAACCAAGAGTTTCATTTGCAACGGTTTTCTGGAAGATTGAATTCATATTTCAAGAATTTTTCAAATTATTATAAAAATATCCCTTCCAAATTCATTAAAATTTTGAAACAGTAGGATTTTTCTTCAAAAAAATTAGAACTGAAAATTTCAAGAATTTTTTTTAGAACAAAGTTAGAGTAACTAAAAGATTTTTAAAAATTTTCTTCAAACAAAATTTTTCTGGAGAAATAATATGGATTTACCGAAATAAAAAATCGAATTCAAAATTCATTAAAATTTTGAAACAGTAGATTTTCGGGAAAAATATTTTTGAAGGGAAAAGGAAATTTTAAAGCTAAATTCATTGAAATTTTGAAACAGTAGGATTTTTCTCTTAAAAAATAGAACTGAAAATTCTAACAATGCTTTAGAACAAAGTTAGAGTAACTAAAAGATTTTTGAAAAACAAAATTCTTCTGGAAAATTCCTAGCTTTTTGTACCGAAATAAAAAATCGAATTCAAAATTCATGAAAATTTTGAAACAGTAGATTTTCGGGAAAAGGAAATTTTAAAGCTAAATTCATCCGGCTTTTTTCAGATCCAGGTTTCAAATCCCGAAATTTCAAACTCACAGCCTTCACCGCTTCTCCAATCGCCAATTCTTTCGCCGGTTCTCCATCCATTTGATTACACGCCGAAAACAACACCAATTTCTCATTGGCAACTTTGGCGAATTTCGGCAATCTCTTATCTTCGGGATCCACAAAATGCTCAATCTCACACATCGTAAACTCTCGAACTCGAATCAAACCCTGTCTCGGCGAGATCTCGTTTCTGAATCCGAGTCCAATTTGCGCGGCGGCAAACGGCAATTTTCCCTGGTTGAATTCCAGCAATCGCTTGAAATTCACAAAAATACCCTGCGCAGTTTCGGGCCGCAAAAACGCTTTGAAATCTCCGGTTGGCCCGATTTGCGTGGGGAACATCAGATTAAACGCGATCGGCTCAGTCAAATCATTTCCAGTGATTGGACTCTTGAATCCGAATCTAGTGATCACTTGATGCATATCATTATTATCGAAACCTTCCAATCTTGCCAAAACATCTTCGCAATCTTTTTTTGTTTCTGCTGAGGTCTTCTTGTCATTCAACAGTTTTTCAATGCTATTTTTGATAAGATGATCAGCTCGGAAACATTCTCCATTTTTCGTATCTTTTACCATCCAATCAGCAAATCTATCCACGTGTCCAGAGGCTTTTAGGACAGGTTCTGGGGTGAGGGAAGTGCAATCGACTTCCAACATTCCTTCTTCAAGGATGAAGTGTTTACGCCATTCTTGGAGCATGTTTGCCTTCAAAGCGCATCCCATTGGTCCGAAATCGTATCTGGAACGGGAGAAAATTGGAAAATTCTGGAAAATGAGCTCTGGGGCCCCAAAAAGAGCTTAGGCTTATCCTTAAGCCTAACCTTGAGCTTGATTGTAAGCTCAAATCAAATATTCTCATGAGAATATAGATTTGCCACGTGGATTTTGAAGATTTTTGAGTAAATACGCTTCTGGGACTCTTTTTTCTGCGATTTCTGAGAGAATTTGAGCGGTGAAAATTGTGAAAAATCCACGTGGATTTTCAGCTCCCCAAAAAGGTTATGACGTGGCAAAAGACCCTGGGAACGCTGTATTTTTTCCAGAAATCGGAAAAATCCCTGATTTCGCATCCCCCAACTCACAATCCAGTAACACCTCCATAAATCGCAAAAGATTGATCATAGAAGAATCGTCGCTTCAACAAATCCTCCAACTTCAATCGATCAAACGAGGCTTCTTTTGGTGCCAACGCGATTTCGGTTTCCTCCAACAACTTCTTGCGTGCCTTCAATTCGACGACAGCGCGATCGACATCGATTTTTGGAGCGCCTTTGGCTTTGAGATCACGAACCAAGTCGCCGGATTCTTTGACCGCCGCGCGGAGTGGAGCAAGTTGCTGTAAATCGAGATATGTTTATTAGAAACTTCTCAGCTCTGAATTTGAGTCAGTGTAGTTTTGTAAGTAGCAAAATTCAATGACTTTACAAAGCTCTAACTACTTAGCTTCAGAAATAATTTTGATAAATATCGTTCAGGAAAGCTTTTTCTCTCTCAAAAAACCCACAATTTCAATTTCGGGAGTCGCCATTTGTTTCAAATAATCCGATATCCTTTGCTTAACCTTCTTCTCAAACCTGGGTTTTGTCTCTTTTCTGGTTTTTGGTTCCGAAGTTCGCCGTTTATTTCCAACTACTTCTACCTGAAAATGTATTATTTTAGGAAAAGAAAAATTTGGAAATTGGAAAAAATCAATCTGTTATTTATTATAAACAAACGGAACACATTAAATAGAAGAAAAAAATCATATTACGAAAAATTGCGAAATTCTCAATTTTCCAGAAACTCTTCCGGTCAAAACCTGCATACAATTCTTACACTAAAATTCGCCCATCAAAAAATCTCGAAAATTTCAGAAAACCCTCGAAAAATGGCTGAAAATGTGGAATTTTGGGAATCGCGAAAATGAAAATTCCAACACCTCATGGCCTAGGATCCGACAAATTCGGGGGACGAGGCGGCCAACAGCCATCGCTTGTGTACTTCTCACGGAGGATTTCAGATTTTTTTTTCGGTTTTCAGCTGGGAAATCGGGGTTTTCGAGGTTCTAGGATGGTTTTTCATGATTTTTCGAATGGAATAGATGAGAAATCTTGGAATTTGAGCGGGGAGCGAGGAAATTTTATTTTTCATCGATTTTAAGAGTGAAAACGGGGTTAAACCCAAATTTGAAGAGAAAAATCGTGAAAAATCGATATTTTTCCAAGTTTTTTATATAAAAAAAGGTAGAATATAGTGTAAAAACAACAAATTAACACAAAAAATCGAAAACGCGGAAATGACCGCCAAAGATAAAACCAGATTTTCTCTCTGTGTTGTGTTGGAAGAAAAAATCGTTTCAAGACCCACCCACCTTGAAAAATTTATCAGCGACGGTTGAGAAATTCGCGAATTTTCGGCAATTTCTTGCAAACCCTAGCATACACTGAAAATTTTTCGAAAAAAATTTTGAAATTTTTTTTTTGATAAAAATATTTTTCAAGCTCTCAAAACTTCCTATTTTTAAAATTTAGGGGAAACATAAGGGAATTTCAAAAATTTATTAACAAAACTAAAAAATCTAACAAAAAACTAACAAAGAAAAAAGTGAAAATTGAGCAAAATTCACAGAAAAACTTGGAAACCAGTGGAAAAATTAGAAAATCATATGCATAAATTTCCTGGATTCTTCATAGGTGATAAAAAGACATCCAGAAGCGAGCATTGATCGAATATTTGTTGGAAGAAGACCTTTGTAAAGGCCACGAATTCCTGGAAAACAAAATTTGAATTTTAATTGGATGAGTATTTTCCCGGCAGTTTTTTTGTTCAAATTTTTCAGATGATTAAAGCGATACTAGATGTGACTGAATTTAGAAACCAATATTTTTCTATTAAAAATATTTGAAACAGTGAATTTTATTTTTTCTGAGAAAATTTTCAAAAAATTTTTTTTTATTCACCCTTTTTTGCGATAACAAAAGAATCTGCACTGAACTTCAAATCCCATATTTTTTATCAAGAATATTTGAAACAGTGAATTTTCTGGGAATTGTTTTTTTCCAAAAATTGAAAACCCTGAGTGAAAATGAAATCAATGAGTAAATCCCAACAAATATGAAAACTATCAATAATTTAATTTCAGCAAATTTTTATTAGAAAAATAATTGAAACAGTGAATTTTTTGGAAATCAAATTTCATCAAAAATTCTTTAAAATCTCAAAAAAAATTTGGGAGATGACCCAAATTTTATTTTCTACAAAAAAAACTGAATTTCGAGCTTAAAAATTCAATTTTTGCATAAATTTTAAAATATTAAATTGGTGTATTTAATATTTTAATTTTGGTGAATTTTTATTTGAAAAATATTTGAAACAGTGAATTTTTTGGAAATAAAAATTCAAAAATTCTCTGAAATCTCACGAAAAATCGAAATAAGTTCAAGGTTTTACAATAAAAACTGAATTTTTCGAGATTCAGAAAATTTCACCGAATTGAATTTTAAAACCAATATTTTTCTAATAAAAATATTTGAAACAGTGAATTTTCAGAAAATCAAATCTCATATAAAATTCTTCAAAATTTCACGAAAGCTCGGTAGATCACGTGAGCTCAATTTTTTCACAATAAAAACTGAATTTCGAGCTTAAAATTTTGAATTTTGCTAAATTTTCATTGAAATCATATGGTGTAATATTTTAATTCTGGTGAATTTTTATTTAAAAAATAATTGAAACAGTGAATTTTCTAAGAACCAAATCTCATCAAAAATTCTCTAAAATCTCAAAAAATTAGGGAGATGACCTAAATTTAATTTTTTCAATGAAAACTGAATTTTTCGAATTTTGCGCAATTTTTCGGATAATATGGAAACCATGAACCAGCGAAAAATTTTAGTGAATTTTTTTTGAAAATTTTTTATTTTCCTGTATTTCCCAAGGTTGAAAATGTGCTATTTTTTCAGCAAAAAAATTCCGAAAAACCACCCACCATTCTCTTTGACAACATCCTTCAATGTCGACATAAAAGTGCCATTTCCGCTAACTTGCATTCTCGATTTGACAACATCAGCCGGATAAATCGATGTCCAAAGTGCCATTCCACCAATTGAACCCGATAAACCAGTGCGGAACAATCCGATGTCATCTTTTTTCTGCCCTTCTTTTGTCAATAGATATCGAGATGTTTCGTAGGCTCCGAAGAAGAAGAAATAACCGGGAACCTGCAAAAATTGGGGATTTTCAACATATATTTTTTTTGATGAGCGAAAAATTCAGCTTCTGAATTTTTTATGAAAAAAATTTCCAAAAAAATTTTACGTTTCAAATTTTTTCAAATAAAAATTCTCTTCGAAAATTGTGCAAAATTCGCATTTTGAAACTGGAAATTCATTGAAAATTGAATTTAGGTCATTTCCAGAGATTTTATTGAAATTTTCATGGAAATTAAATATCCCAAAAATTATACGTTTCAAATATTTTTCAAATAAAAATTAACTGGAATTGAAATAATTTCACTAGTTGAAAGAACTAAAAATTATGCAAAATTCGAATTTTGAAGCTGGAAATTCAGATTTTATCAAATTTAGGTCATTTCCAGAGATTTTATTGCAATTTTCATGGAAATTAAATTTCCCAAAAATTATACATTTCAAATATTTTTCAAATAAAAATTCACTGAAATTTTTTCCAATATGAACAAACTTTGCCCTAGAAAAATTATGCAAAATTCGAAATTTTGAAATCTGAAAATCTGGATTTTCAGCCAAAAACAGTTTGGATAGTTTTTTTCAGCCCAATTTTTTTGCTGAAAAAAGTTTCTAGATCAAAATTTTGTGCTGAAAATGCTGGAAGCACTGAAAATCGCTGAAAATCAACAATTTCATCGTTTTCAGCACAAAAATTCAGCCGGGAATTTTGGGAATCCAGATTTCTTTGATAACAGACTTTGGATAACTTTTTCTAGCTTATATTTAGCTGGAAGAAAGTTTCCTGGCTAAAATTTTGCGCTGAAAACGCTGGAATCACTGAAAATCGCTGAAAATCAACGATTCCAGCGTTTCCAGCGCGGAAATCTGATCTAGAAGTCTGAAAATCAGGATTTTCAGCCGCAAAAGTTGCACTAACTCTCAATTCCTTTAGGTCATCTCCCGAAATTTTATTGAAATTTTCATGGAAATTAAATTTCCCGAAAATTTTACGTTTCAACACACCTCGGCCAAAATCGTGGTTTTCACAATAAAAATTGAACGCTAACATTTTACAGTACAAAAATTGTGAATTTTTCCAGTTTTTGACCTCTAAAAACTGAAATTCAGATTTTTTCAAAAAATTGTATTCTGGCCAGCGACGGCTTGGCCGAGGTGTGCGTTTCAAATATTTTTCAAATTAAAATTCTCTTTGAAAATTGTGCAAAATTCGAAATTTTGAAGCTGGAAATTCAGTGAAAAATTAAATTTAGGTTAAAAATTTTATTGAAAATTTGATTTCCAAAAATTCACTGTTTCAAATTTTTTCAAATAAAAATTCTAATTTTTCAAAAATTTTGCGAAGAAAATTCTTAATTCACTTTATTTTTCGGCGGAAAATCAAGGCTTTTTCAATTTTTTTGGCGTTAAAAATCCGAGATTACTGTAGTTTTTGGGGTCAAATCCTAGTAAAATTATGCAAAATTCGAAATTTTAGGCTGGAAAATCAGATTTTTCTGTAAAAATTGAATTTAGGTCATCTCTCGAGATTTTTTTGAAATTTTAAAGAATTTTTGATGAAATTTAGTTTTTAGAAAATCCACTGTTTCAAATTTTTTGCAAATAAAAATTAACTGAAATTAAAATTATTCCATTTGTTCAAATAACTAAAAATTATGCAAAATTCGAAATTTTAGGCTGGAAATTCAGATTTTTCAGTGAAAAATTGAATTTAGGTCATTTCCAGAGATTTTCATGAAAATTAAATCTCCCAAAAATTTTACGTTTCAAATATTTTTCAAATAAAAATTCTCTTTGAAAATTATGCAAAATTCAAATTTTGAAGCTGGAAATTCAGTGAAAAATTGGATTTAGGTTTAAAAATTTATTGAAAATTTGATTTCCAAAAATTCACTGTTTCAAATATTTTTAAAATAAAAATTCTCTTCGAAAATTGTGCAAAATTAAAAATTTTAGGCTGGAAATTCAGTGAAAAATTGAATTCAGGTCATTTCCAGAAATTTTATTGAAATTTTCATGGAAATTAAATTTCCTAAAAATTTTACGTTTCAAATATTTTTCAAATGAAAATTCTCATTTTTCAAAAATTTTCCGAGGAAAATCAAGGCTTTTTCACTTTTTTTGGCATTAAAAATCCGAGATTACTGTAGTTTTTCAGGCTACAGTAACCCTAATCATGTTTGGTATCAAAAAAATCACCTCTCTCGCCAGCGTCGGTGTCATTCCAGTGAAAAACCCACGAATCCCCTTCTCAGCCGCAATATCACGACAAACCGAAAACGGTGTGCACTTCAATTTCATCTCTCTCGCCGCCTGCAATCGACACTTGACCAATTCCGTCGGACACAAAACCATCGCGGCAAAAACCGCCGCGAAGCTTCCGGAAATCGCATTTTGTACCGGTGACATCTCGGCAACATCTCGAGTTCCGCTAACTTTTGCCACCGTTTTTTGACAATATCCATAGGCTGTGAAGAGAATCGCATTTTCAGCGATATTTGCAGCCAAAGCTGGCAGTGTTCCAGCGTATAAACCACGTATTCCGTCCAATTTATAAGTGTCTTTTAGACAAACTCGCCAATTTGAATATAAATGTGGGAAAGTTTGGACTTTTACTTTGACTGTGTCTAATGGTTGACCAGCGTAGACATTTGCGATTCCACCTGCGCGAAAATTTTGAGTTATGACGTGGCAAAATTGGCTTGTTTTTATTAATTTTTCAGTTAATTTCAGCTGAAATGAGCTTTGACGTGGCATTTTTGAGAATTGGCTCAACAATTTTGTGATTTTTTGGCTAGAAATTCAAATTTCAAGAAAAACATTTTTTTAAATGAAAATTTCGCTGTAAATTCAGATTTAGACGAAAATTTTCAGCCGGAATGAGCTATGACGTGGCATTTTGAGACATTGACTTAAAAATTTGAAGAGTTTCTAGACTTGGCTCAAAAATTTCGCTGTAAATTCAGATATTATCTGAAAATGCTCCAATTTTGCTCAAACATATCAGAAATCTGATTGTGAGGAAAATCAGGATTTTCAATTTTTCTTCTAAAATTCGAGCTTTATCTACTTTTTCATCAAATTTCTCGAATTTTCATGGAAAAAATTCCAAATTTTCATCAAAATTTTCATTTTTCTTCAAAAATGTTGAGTTTTATCTCATTTTTCATGAAATTTTCCAAATTTTTCACCCACAAAAACACTCACCACAAGTTCCAGCAAATAAATCAATAATTCCATCCTTCACATGATTTTTATCATTTTTCTTCTCATTTCCAGAATGCATTAATAAATCTCTGAAAATCGCAAAATCAAATTTGTTTTGAAAAAAACTCAAAAAATACACGGGTTCCTTTGGACAACCATAAAAATCGAGAAAAATTCAGAAAAATTCAAAAAAAAAAGTTTGAAAACATGTTAATTCATTTCAACGACACACAAAAAACGGGGGAAAAAAGCAAAAAAAAAATTTTTTTTCGAAAAAAAAATCGGTTAATTTTGAGATCGTCTAAAAATGTTTGGAAAAAAAGAAGGTAAGGGGGACCAAAAAATATTCACAGGGACCACAAAATTCACGGGTAAAAAATGGAAAGAGAAGGTAAAAAACCCGGCAAAAAAATGAATATGAATAATTTAGAAGAAGAAGAACTCACAGGCTACCAGAAAAAAGTGTGTATATAAATAAATGAAAAAAAATTTTTTGAATTTGAATTTGAGGAGTGCTTAGGTTGCAATTTTCGAGTTTGGCTGAAAATTTGAAAAATTTTTTAAAGTCTGAAAATCAAATTGAAACGTATTTTTTTCTGGGAAAAAATCGATGGGAAAAAATTTGATTTTTCAGCTAGAAAATGTGATTTTCAGATGAATTTTTTGGCTGAAAATTCTAGACAAAATCCAATTTTCTGCAGAAAAAAACGCGAAAAAATTGAAAACTGATATGAAAAATTGTTACACTAACCGTTTCAAAAATCACATTTTCCTAGATCAAAAATATATTTTTTTCTATTTTTGTTTAGAAGAAAAATAAAAAATTGGGTAAAAAAGTTGATTTACAACAACTCAAAAAAAGAAACAATGCAATAAAAAACAGATTGCATCACTGTTTTTTTTTGTTGGATAAAATCTAAAGAGAAAACTTGGGCGGAGCTTGAAAATTGGAAAATGGAAAATTGGAAAATTACAGCCAAAATTGAGATTTTTCTCAGAATTTTATTTTTTTCAATCAAAAATTCATCTGAAAATCACAATTTCATCCCAGAAAATTGAATTTTTAGCGAAAAAAATCAAGAAAAATCTCAAATTTTTTTCATACATTTTTCCTGAAAAAAATACGTTTCAAAATTTTTATATTGAAATTTTCAAGTTTTGAAATCAAATTCAATTTTCGCCCCAAAATCTCACCTCAAATCGTCGATAGCAATTTTTTGGTGCAAATTTCATAAACCATTCGTTTTCGATAATATGGCATGTGTTGTTGGGTGAATATTGGCGGAGTTCGACGCGAAGCGAATTCGGCAAATTGACACGAGAACACACCGCAATCACTACCGTTTTCTTGTTGTGGAATGTCCTGAAACGAAAAAAAAACCATTTTTTTCCAGATTTTTCGGTTCAAATTTCATCATAAATTTGAAAAATGACGTCATAGATATTGTATTTTTTCGATTTTTGGACATCTGACCTTTTCTATTATCAAATATGGAATGATTTTGATGATGATAGTTGATATGAAAATAGCGAAAAAAAAACCACGTGGTTAGGGGAAAAACAAATTTTTATTTGAAAGCTACAGTACCCAGGACAAAAATCCACCTAGAAAAATTTTGGGGGTACGGTATGCGTCTTTGAAGGCACATCTATCGGAACTGATTAAAAAAGCAAAAAAAAAAATCATAAAAATTCAATTTTCCATAATTTTCAGCACAAAATTTGACACTTTTTCAAGTTTGGGATTTTTCCGAAAAATCACAATTAAATTTGAAGAACCATTGGAAATTGGGAAAATGAATCGAAACTCTACGATTGAAAATTTTGAACATAGAAATTCTGAAACCTATTTTTTCCGGGGGGGGGGAAAATCTACACATTTTCAAAATATTCATGAATTTCCAGGATAAAATCAGAGCGGAGAGAAAAATTCTGGAATTTTGTGGAAGCTCAAAAATCCTTGTTCTAGACTTGATTTTTGAGCTGAAAATCGTAGAAATATGTGGGCCGAAAATTTTTTTATTTGAAAGCCACAGTACTCAGGAAAAAAATCCACGGGGGTACGGTATGCGCCTTTAAATGCACACAGATCGATCGGAAATGATTAAAAAAAGCAAAAAAATTCGATTTCCCATCATTTTCAGCTCAAAATTCGAGTTGGGAAACATTTTTTTCCTGCATTTTCTAGCACAAATTTTGACGTTTTTCAGAAATTTCAAATTTTAAACCCAAATTTTCCCCACCCAAAAAACCCCACTCACATTCAACAAATTAAAAGTCCATCCATCAAAATCGAAAGCCTCCTTCTTTTTATCCATCGATTCTTCCATTAAATACGATTTGAGTGCTGTTAAAGCTTGTTGATTTCTTCCGCCCAACGAATCATAATAATCGATTCGTTTTTGTTGCAAATCAATCACTGACATACACCAATGATATTTTAAATGAACTGGAATTAAAAGGACATCAAATGAGAATATATCCACTTTTCGCGTCCATCTTTTCACTGACGCAAAACCTTTTGTTGTGATGTTGGCGTAGAAAAATGTGTTGAATGCGTAGGTCTGCAAATTTTGGGTTTAGGCTTAGCCAAACTCTTAGGCTTAATTTCAATTTAAAAAAATAATTGTTTAGGGTGCTTTTTACGTAAAAATTATGAATCATAAAGTTCTTAGGGTCAAAATTCATAAAAATCACAAATTTTTGCGTAAAAATGATGGTTCTTGGGTAGAATAGGGTAAATTTTACGATTTTCAGCTCTGGAGCATTTTCAGATGATTTTGAGCGGAAATCTAGGCTACAGAGCAAAATTAGAGAATTTTTGAATACAGTTTTAGGTTTTTAGAGATCTGGAGCATTTTTTGAGCCAGAATTTTGTATTTCTTGAATTTTCTCATTGTCAGAAACATTGTCTGATTGTGGAAAAAAACAATATCGAAAATTGGTTTTCAAAAATTCAGTAAGCATATTTTTTGAAACGTAAATTTTTCAGGAAAAATTTACGTTTCAGAATCAAATTTTTCAGGATCAAATTCAACAGTTTTCGTCAATTTTTGTTATGAAAATCCCAGAATTTCTAAATTTTCAAGATTTCCAAGCCAAAACTCGCAAAACCAGATGATTTTCAGCAAAAATTCGGGCTTCAGAGCAAAGTTAGAGAATTTTTGAATACAGTTTTAGGTTTTCAGAGCTCTGGAGCATTTTTTGAGCCAGAATTTTGTATTTCTTGAATTTTCTCATTGTCAGAAACATTGTCTGATTGTGGAAAAAAACAATATCGAAATTTTGTGTTCAAAAATCCAGTAAGCATATTTTTTGAAACGTAAATTTTTCTGGAAAAATTTACGTTTCAAAATCACATTTTTCAAGATCAAATTCAACAGTTTTTGGCAATTTTCGGAATGAAAATCACAGAATTTCTGAATTTTCAGGATTTCGAAGCTGAAACTCTCAAAAACCCATGATTTTGAGCCAAAATTCGGGCTTCGGAGCAAAATTAGAGAATTTTTGAATACAGTTTTAGATTTTCAGAGCTCTGGAGCATTTTTGAGCCAGAATTTTTAATAAATCTGGTTTTTCAGGATCAAATTCAACAGTTTTTGGTATGAAAATCACAGAATTTCCAATTTTTCCAAATTTCCAAGCTGAAACTCCCAAAAACCGATGATTTTGAGCGAAAATCTAGGCTCCAGAGTAAAATTAGAGAATTTTTGAAGAGCTCTGGAGCATTTTTTGAGCCAGGAATTCTGTATTTCTTGAATTTTCTCACTGTCAGAAACATTATCAGAATGTGTTGAAAAACAAAATCGAAATCTGGTTTTGAAAATTCAGTCAGCATATTTTTTGAAACGTAAATTTTTCTGGAAAAATTTACGTTTCAAAATCAGATTTTTCAGGATCAAATTCAACAGTTTTTGGCAATTTTTCGTATGAAAATCCCAGAATTTCCAAATTTTCAAGATTTCCAAGTTGAAACTTCCAAAAACCGATGATTTTGAGCGAAAATCTGGGCTTCAGAGTAAAATAAGAGAATTTTTGAGCTTTTGTATTTATTTTCAAAATTTCCAACATTCCAATATCGAAATTTTGCTCAGAAACGCAGTAAGCAAATTTTTTGAAACGTAAATTTTTCTGGAAAAAATGTTTCTTCGGAAAAATCTAAAATTTCATGGAAAATGTTTAGTTTTTGGTTCAAAATTCAGTAAAATCTCAAATTTTCACAATTTTCTCCCCAAAAATCACCAACCTTTGGATATTTCGAATCCACTTGACTTCGATGACAAACAAGTTGCAGATAAAAATTGATGACCTCGTCATTCAACCAATTCAATCCACTGAATGTTTCCAAATCTTTTCGGCATATTTTCAGGGTAAAATCACTGGAGAATTCCTCATTTTCAGGTAGTCGTTTGTTCCACGCACTTTTACATAAATCAATGGCTTCGGGTGGTAATTCTGGAAAGAAAATGGGGATTTTGGGGGGTTTTTGAAAAAAAGTGATGAAAATTGGGTTTGTTTCCGAAATTTTTATTTCTAGTCCTAAAAATCGATAATTTCATCGCAGAAAATCGAGACTTTTAGAGCTTCTTCGAGATCAGAAAATCGATATTTCTGGGCTGAAAATATCGATTTTTGATCCAAAAAATCTGGAATTTTGTTCTCTCAAGATGAAAACCAAGTTTTCAGGCGAAACATGGGGGTTTTTTTTCGAGGTGAGAAATCCAAAATAAAAAAACCTGAATTTTAAGACAATTTTCGGCTATTTTAAAAATCGTCACATTTTCAGCCAAGAAATGGATTTTTCCGGGTAAAATTAGTGATTTTTTTCAAAACTTGGGTCAATTTTTGAAACCTATGAACAATTCTAGTCCTAAAAATCGATAATTGTTATCCAGGCTTCTGTGAGCCCAGAAAATCGATATTTCTGGGCTGAAAATATCGATTTTTGATCCAAAAATCTAGATTTTGGGCTCTCAAGTTTTCAGGCAAAAAATGGGGGGTTTTTCGAGGTGATAAATCCGAAATTTGAAAAAAAAACCTGAATTTTAAGACAATTTTTAAATTCGTCACATTTTCAGCAAAAACCTGGGTGAAATTAGTGATTTTTTCAAAATGTGGGTCAATTTTTAAAACCTATAATTATTTTTAATTCTAAAAATCGATAATTTTATCCCAGAAAATGGAGACTTTTAGAGCTTCTTTGAGCCCAAAAAATCTGGATTTTGGGCTCATTTTGAAGAGCGTTCAGGCTAAAAATATGGAAATTTTGAGCAAAATCATCAATTTTTGAGCCCATAATCTTCAAAAACCCACCAATAAACTCATTCTTCTTCTTCTTCTCCTTCAACACAATTCCTTTCAACGCTAATCGATCGCGAACTTCTTGTTGTCGATCTTCTCGCGTCGTTTGTCGATTCAGACCCCGAACACGAAGTTCCTCGTTCAATTTATCCGATCTTTCTTGGGCCGAATTGAAGGTTTCAGCGTAGGATTCCGAATCGTTTCTGAAACGTATATTTTCCAGCAATTTTGAGCTCTGAAACTTCAAAACCAACCGTTTTTTCGGCAACAAATTCACATTTCTCATCATTTCGCTCAATTTCGATTCCGAACTACTCATATCCGAAGCGATTGATGAAGAAGATGGTGTTTGAGCTCTGCAAGAGAAAAAAAATTAATTTCAAGTTAGGTCAACTCAAAAACAAAACCCCCACCCCGCATAATATCGATCACTGCTGGATGGTGTTCCTTCTCTCGACGAATTCTGAATCTGTCGTATCCTTTGTTGTGCTTTCGCAATCAATTCAGCCGATTTCGAATTTGGTTGTCGGAATGTGGAAGAAGAAGAGGAAAATGATGAGGTGGATGATGAAATATTGGACCTGGAAACAATAATTGTGCGAAATTTATTTTGCTAATTTTTTTCTCACAAAATTTTCTGTGAGAAAAAATTGGTTATTTTTGTAAAAAAAAGGTGGGAACTGTTCTTTTTTCGCATTTTCAGATGAAAAAAATACAATTTTGGACTCTAAAATTTGAATTTTCAAAATTTTCTCCGAAATTCCACGTGGCCTACGTTTAGACAAAGTTAGGCCATGTGATTTTTTGCCTCTGGAAAATTTGAAAATTTTGAAAAAAATAATTGTGGGAAATTTTTTTTTGGAAAATTTTTTCTCGCAAAATTTTCTGTGAGAAAAACAAAACTTAATTTGGTTATTTTTGTACAAAAAAAGAAGAGAACTGTTTTTTTTTTTGGAAATTTTGGTGTAAAAACTTTTTTTTTCGCATTTTCAGATTCCTGATAGGAAATTTGAATTTGAGCTTCAAAAAATTCAATTTTGGACTCAAAGGATTTCTAGAGTAAAATTTGAATTTTCAAAATTTTCGCCGAAATTCCACGTGGCCTAGGTTTGGACCAAGTTAGGCCATGTGGTTTTTTGCAGCTAAATATTTGAAAATTTTGGAAACAATAATTGTGCGAAATTTATTTTGCTAATTTTTTTCTCACAAAATTTTCTGTGAGAAAAAATTGGTTATTTTTGTAAAAAAAAAAAGGTGGGAACTGTTCTTTTTTCGCATTTTCAGATTAAAAAAAAATACAATTTTGGACTCTAAAATTTGAATTTTCAAAATGTTCGCCGAAATTCCACGTGGCCTAGGTTTGGACCAAGTTAGGCCATGTGGTTTTTTGCAGCTAAATATTTGAATTTTCAAACTTTTCGCCGAAATTCCACGTGGCCTAGGTTTAGACAAAGTTAGGACATGTGGTTTTTTCCGCTAAAAATTTGATTTTTCAAAATGTTCGCCGAAATTCCACGTGGCCTAGGTTTGGACAAAGTTAGGCCATGTGGTTTTTTCCGCTAAAAATTTGATTTTTCAAAATGTTCGCCGAAATTCCACGTGGCCTAGGTTTGGACCAAGTTAGGCCATGTGGTTTTTTGCAGCTAAAAATTTGAATTTCCAAAACTTTCGCCGAAATTCCACGTGGCCTAGGTTTGGACAAAGTTAGGCCATGTGGTTTTTTGCCGCTGGAAAATTTAAATTTTCAAAACTTTCGCCGAAATTCCACGTGGCCTAGGTTTGGACAAAGTTAGGCCATGTGGTTTTTTGCAGCTAAATATTTGAATTTTCAAACTTTTCGCCGAAATTCCACGTGGCCTAGGTTTGGACAAAGTTAGGCCATGTGGTTTTTTGCAGCTAAATATTTGAATTTTCAAAATTTTCGCCGAAATTCCACGTGGCCTAGGTTTGGATAAAGTTAGGCCATGTGGTTTTTTTCCGCTAAAAATTTGAATTTTCAAAATTTTCGCCGAAATTCCACGTGGCCTAGGTTTTGTGAAAGTTAGGCCACGTCGAATTTTGGACCCTAACTTTCTAAATTTCCGAAAAAATCCAATTTTGGACTCAAAAATATGGGATTTTCATGAAATTTTTTAATTAAAATTCCAAAATTCTTTAAAATTTCCAGATTTTCCCGCCAAAAAATACAACTAACACATTTTTCTCTTCCAAAACAACTCCAAAATTCCTCAAAACCTCCTTATATTTCGTCAACGACAATCGATTCGATGCTTTTTGTGCTGGTCTCGGTTTTTTCGATATCAATGATGGGCTGACGCGAGAAATCGACATAATGTTGCCATTTTGAACAATTCCTGGGGGAAAAATTCAAGATTTTGAGGGAAAATTCATAAATTTTCAGTCAAAAATCACAAAATTTCAATTAAAAATCACAAAATTTCAATGAAAATTCTTAAATTTTCAGTCAAAAATCACAAAATTTCAATGAAAATTCATAAATTTTCAGTCAAAAATCACAAAATTTCAATTAAAAATCCAAAATTTCCCACATTTTTACCCAAAATTGCCCCAAAAAACCAACTTTTCGGTATTCTTTTCTGCGAATTCGGTGTTGCTTTTTGTCCAGCGCGTCTCCAATAATCTCGAATATTTTTCGTTGAAGAACCTGCACCAAATTGTCCAGGAGCCAATAGATTTGGTGTATTTGATCGACTTGCACTATCATCTGGATTTACGATACTTGGAGATAGACCGTCTGCAAAAAAAAACATGTTTTCTGGCTGAAATTTTGCGCTGAAAACCATGGAAATGTTGAGTTTCAGACATTTTCAGCACAAAAATCGAAAAAAATAACTTTCAGCTTCTGGATCTGATCTGATTTTTCCAGACTCAAATTTTGCGCTGAAAATCATGGAATTTTCAATTTTCAGACAATTTCACTATTTAAGCAAAAAAATTGAAAAAAGTGATAATAAATTATATCAAAATTTTGAAACGTATTTTTTTGTTTTTGAAAAATTCGAATTTTTGGGTGAAAATTTGACTGGAAACCATTGAAAATGCGGATTTGACCTGAAAAACAAAAAAAAATAGAATAAATTTATCAATTTAACTGTTCCACAATTTCCAGACCCAAATTTGATGCTGAAAATCATGGAATTATTGATTTTCAGAAATTTTCAGCACAAAAAATCGAAAAAATAATTTTCAGCTTCTGGATCTGATCTGATTCCCAGTTTTCTGAATTTTTTGAAAAGTTTCCAAAAAAAAAAGATTCCAGACCCAAATTTGATGCTGAAAATCATGGAAATGTTAAAAATTGCTGAAAATCGCTATTTTCACGAGTTTCAGCGTAAAATTTTGATGTTTTTCATTTTTTGATGAACTTTTTGTTTTGGCTTTAATAGAAAATTTCCAAAAAAAATAAAATACAATTTTTTTGAAACAGTAAATTTTTGTAAACCCAAATAATGTGAATTTTCAGCCATTTTCAGACAAAAAAAACTCACTAAAAATACTATCCGAGATAATCGAAACTTCATCATCATCTTCTTGCTCTTTTTCATCCAGAAATACAATCTGAAAAAATTTCAGACGATTTTTTAACCAAAAATCGTATTTTTCTAGTCAAAAAACGTTGATTTTCCATATTTTTTCAATCAAAAATCTATATTTAGAGTCTGAAAATCTGAAATTTCAGACTCTAAAAATGAATTTTGATCTGAAATTCCAGCCAAATCCTACCTCATTCTGCAATCTTCTCGCCATTTCCGAATTCGACGGAACTCGCTCTTTTTTCTCCTTCTTCTTCTCAATTTCACCAATCACTTCAACATCTTGTTGAATTTCGAAACTCTTCTCAAATACAACATCTTCGTCTAGATTTTCAGCTGAACTCTGTTTTATTGTTAGAGTTGAAGCTGAAGAGCATGGAATCTCTTGAATATCTGAATCTGTGCTTGAATTTGAACTTGATTCTTGTTTTGGTTGATCTAGATCTTTTCCACATGGAATTCGTTGATTTTCATCGTTGAGGTAGACTATTGGAATCTTCTTATCGGGCTGGAAAAATAGGGGATTTTTCGAGCGGCAAAGCCGTAGACCGCAAGCTTCCGCGAACGCGGAAAGTTACGGTAACTTGCCGCGCTCGAAGTCTTGCGGTTAATAATTTGGCAATTTTTCATACGTTCAAAAAATACGCTTTGAAAACTTTAAGTCTGTTTCTAGGCTAAAATTTTGCGCTGAAAATCAATAGGTCCCAGATTTTCAGCAAAAAATTTGAGTTTGGCTGAAAATGGCTCATAAAGAAGTTTCTAGACTGAAATTCAGTGCTGAAAATCATGGAATCACTGAAAATCCCAGATTTTCAGGTCAGAAATCATCTTCCGGACCTGAATTTCACTGAAAACCCTATTTTTAGGTCAAAAATTCATTTTTCAATCAAAATTTTGTGGAAACCCTTTTTTTTCAGGTCCAAAAATCACTTTCACTGCTGAAAATCTGGGATCCCAGATTTTCAGCACGAAAATTTCATTTTGGCTGAAAATGACTGCCACGTCATAGGTCACATAAAAAATGTTTTAACAAGTTTAAAATCATGATCCCAGATTTTCAGCACAAAATTGCAGCTTAGCTGAAAATTTGAAATTTTTCCCAGCGTTTCTAGACTGAAATTCAGTGCTGAAAATCATGGAATTATTGAAAATTCCAGATTTTCAGGTCAAAAATCATGTATCCGGACCTAAATTTCACTGAAAAACCTTATTTTTAGGTCAAAAATTCCTGAAAATTTGAACTTTCAATCAATTTTCCATCAAAATTTGATAAAAACGCTCACCGATTTACTCAAATTTTGCCTAACTTCCACAAATTCCACAGAAGAATCATCATCTTCTTCATCTTCCTCAAAAACCCGTTGAATTCTCGATTTTTCGCCTTGATTTTCGGCCTCCTCATGATAATTGCCAAACATTCCGATAAATGATTTGAACGGGTTCAAAAATGCGGATCCTGCGAAAAATTGAAAATGAAAAATTTCCCACGTTTTTCACGTGGAAAATGTGGGTTTTGCTCACCGAATCCTCCAAATTTCGTCTTTTTTTTGGGCGTCGATTTTGGCGGCGTTGTATTTGTCCGTTTTCTGCCTGAAATTTGGGAAAATGGATTTTCTGCTGAAAATTTTTGGGAAAATCATAAAAAACTGTATTTTTTGGCGCGAAAACTTGAGAATTTCAGTTTTCAAAAATAAATTTTCTGGCTGAAAGCTCAAAATTTCGATTTTTGTGAATTTTCTAGAGAAGAATATTTGAAAAATGTGTTTTTCAGTGATTTTCGAAAAATTCCTGAAAATTTTGTTGGAAAAATTTCAAATTTTCAGCTTTCCGGTTCTAATTTTGGTTTGAAATTTTCGATTTTTGTGAATTTTTCAGAAATAATATTTTAAAAATGTGCTTTTTCAGGTGATTTTCAAAGAATTCCTGAAAATTTTGTTCGAAAAATTTCGAAATTTCAAATTTTTAGCTTCCAGTTCTAGTTTTGGCTTGAAAATTTCGATTTTTGTGAATTTTTCAGAAAGAATATTTGAAAAATGTGCTTTTTCAGTGATTTTCAAAAAATTCCTGAAAATTTTGTTCGAAAAATTTCGAAATTTCCAATTTTTAGCTTTCAGTTCCAATTTTGGCTTGAAAATTTCGATTTTCGTGAATTATTTTGGAGAGAAAATTTGAAAAATGTGCTTTTTCAGTGATTTTCAAAGAATTTTACAAAATTTAAAATTTTTTGAAAATTTCAATTTTTGTGAATTTTTCAGGAAGAATATTCAAAAAATGTGATTTTTCAGTGATTTTCAAAGAATTCTTGAAAATTTTGTTCCAAAAAATTTCGAAATTTCAAATTTTTAGCTTCCAGTTCCAATTTTGCCTTGAAAATTTCGATTTTTGTGAATTTTTCAGAAATAATATTTTAAAAATGCGTTTTTTCAGTGATTTTCAAAGAATTTCTAAAATTTTTCTTCGAAAAATAAGAAATTTCAAAATTTCAGGTTTTTTCAAAAAGAATATTTTAAAAATGTGCTTTTTCAAGAAATTCTAGTGATTTTCAGAAAATTTTGTTCCAAAAAATTTAGAAATTTCAAATTTTTAGCTTTCATTTCTAGTTTTGGCTTGAAAATTTTGAATTTTGTGAATTTTCAGGTTTTTTCAGGAAGAACATTTAAAAAATGTGCTTTTTCAGTGATTTTCAACAAATTCCTGAAATTTTTGTTGGAAAAATTTAGAAATTTCAATTTCAGAGCCAATTTTTCCCCCAAAAATTTCCATTTTTCAAAAAATTTCCCCAAAAACTCACAATTTTCGTCTTCCAGTGCACTACTAATCCCATTAGACATATCAAAAGTTTATCTGGAATTTTTTTTTGAATTTCAAAAATTCAAATTTTCATGTCAGATATAAAAAGCTTGGAGAAAACCTCAAGAAACATTGAAAAAAATCAAATTCAAAAAAAATTCGACAAAAATTTCATTTTAAAAATAATATATATGATGAGAACAGGAGAAAATGGGCGAAATTTTTTGGAAAAAATAAGATAAAAAATGAAAAAAAAATTGGGGATAAAAATGGAGATTTCAAAGAAAAATGAGAGAAAACAACCAAAAATTAGTGGAAAAAAACAGTGAAGTTAGATTAAATCGAGAATATTCTCAATGATTTATCCATTGAACTTGTCACCAAACTTCGCGCATTTTCACCAAATCGAACTCCGGTGACTGGAGCTGTGTGCTCATTTAGATTTGCCACATCTTGCCACGTTTTCACGTGGATTACTTGAACATTTTGACCGCCGATTGCGAGGAATGTTCCAGTCATATCGAACGAGAGTTCGTTGATCTGCAAAAAAATTAAAGATTTTTGGAGGGAAGATTTTGAGTTACATTAACTTCACAAGTGTAGATTTTCATCAAATTCATAGAAATGAACTTCAAAAATTCAGGGTTTCTGATGAATTTTATATTAATTTTGAGCCTCGGAGTATTTTTTGAGACTGAGAGCCGGAAACTAGAAGTTTGGAGCTCATTTTCGAACCTCGGAGCAAAGTTGGACGATTTTCAGTCGAAATTCGATTTAAACAGAGCCCCAGAGCATGTTTTCAAGCCCTGGAGCATTTTTTGAGACTGAGGACCAAGAACTAGAAGTTTGGAGATAATTTTTGAGCTCTGGAGCATTTTATGATAATTTTAAGATTGAATTTCAACTTCAAAGCCTATTTTTGAGCTCTGGAGCATTTTTTCAGCCTGGGAGCCGGAAATCACACATTTGGAGCTCATTTTTGAGCCCTATGTGATTTTTAGTCTAAATTTCGACTTCAAATCCTATTTTTGAGCCCTAGATCATTTTTTGAGCTCGGAATCCCGAAATTCAGAAATCTGGAGCTCATTTTTGAGCTCTGGAGCATTTTGATATGATTTTTTACCAAAATTTCGACTTCAAAGCCTACTTTTGAGCTCTGGAGCAATATTTTTAGGATTTTGAACCCGGGTGCTCGAAATTCAGTAGTTTCAAGCTCAATTTTGGGCCCTAGAGCAAAATTCGATGATTTTCAGTCGAGATTTGATTTTTACAGCCTATAATAAAGCTCCAGAGCCTATTTTTGAGCTCTGGAGCATTTTTGGAGAATTTTGATATGAAAATCATAATTTTTCTGAATTTTTGGATGAAAAATGTCAAAAAACCTTACCGGTTGTTTCTGTTCAGTGGCAAGCGTCTTCAAATTCTTCAATTTTCTCAAATCCCACAATTTAACTTCTCCATCATCACTTCCAGTCGCCAAATAATAACCATTTTCCGAGAAGGCAATCGATCGAACCGACGAATTGTGTCCCGGAAAATTGGCGGCATTCGATTGCGATTTCAAATCCCAAATCTTGACGACAGCATCAGCGGTTCCGGTTCCGAAAATCAAACCATCTGGGTGGAATTCGATGCAGTGAATTGCGATGTTGGAATCTTTTTCCACAGCGACTTTTGTCAATGTTTTTCCAGTGTGAATGTCACTGAATGCCCAATATGAATCATCGGATGAGGAGAGAATATAATCACCGGTTGCGTTCAGAGAAATATCTGCAAAAAAATTGAATTTTTGGTGGAATTAGAAACTTTGAAAGGCAATGTAAACGTGGAGTATCGTTTGTAAATTTAAAAAATTCGATTTCCCTTATTTTTTCGAGGTGCAGACGCGGAGCATCGTAGTTTTATGCATTTCAAACGATACTCCGCGTTTACGCTGTCATTTTCGATCAAAAATCATGAAAAAATTAACACTTTTGCAAAAAAAAAATTGTAGGCTTATCAAAAATGTTGCTTGAAAGGAACGACAAGAAAAAAAAAACAATAAAACATGGAAGAACCGGTTCTTTTTGATGAAATTCACTATTTTCAGTGAAAGTTCACGGAATTCCAGATATTTTTAGATCAAATTTAAGCCAAAAACGCTTTTTTCAGGTGTCTAAACTGAAATTTCCCGTTTCAAGACAATTTCTGCTGAAAGTTATTCATTTTCCCGTCCGAAATACCAAAATATGAACATTTTCAAATGGTCCGGCAGCCCCATGTTATATAATGAAAGTTTATCACCTAAATATATGAGCTTTGGCTTTCAAAAGCCTTAAAAATGCTCCGTGAGCCCACGGGATCTAGGATTTTATCCTTTTCCCTCTATTATTTTTTAGCAGGGCTCGCGGAGAATTTTTAAGGGCTTTATAAGTCAAAACTAACATATTTAGGTGATAAACTTTCATTATATAACATGGGGCTGCCGGACCATTTGAAAATGTACATATTTTGGTATTTTGGACGGAAAAATGAATAACTTTCAACAAAAAACTGTCTTGAAACGGGAAATTTCAGTTTAGACACCTGGAAAAAGCGTTTTTGGCTCAAATTTGATCTAAAAATATCTGGAATTTCGTGAACTTCACTGAAAATAGTGAAAAAGAACCTTTTTTTCTTGCCGTTCCTTTCAAGTAACATTTTTTTGCAGAAAGTGTTAATTTTTGACTTATGGAGTATTTCAAGTCGAAAAAAAACACAAATTTCAATTCAGAAAATGTCCAAAAACTATTTTTTGACATTTTTTTTCCACAAAAAAATGAAACTTGAATCACCCCAATTAAAAAATTTGAAATGGGGTGATTCAAATCGAAAAAAAACTCTTACCAGTGACTGGTGCTTGATGAACATCAATAACAGCTTTAGCACTAGTCTCCTCCGAATTCCAAACTCGAATATGCGAATCAGCACTTGCCGAAATCGCCGTCTTCCTATCCGCCAACAAAACCACCGCATTAATCTTCTTCGAATGTCCCTTGAATGTCTGCACAACTTGTTCCCTCTCATAATCATACAAGATCGCAGTTCTATCCAATCCACCAGTCAACGCCAATGTTCCACGAATATCCAATGCAGTGATTCCAGGTGTTCCAGTCGAATGAATTGCAGTGTGCGAGGAGATCTGCTTCAATTCCCCGATTTCTTCGACTTTTGCCAATCCTTCTGGCAACGTTTTTCCCCGCTGTTTTCTCTCAGCTGTCAATGATTTCGATTTTTCATCCAATTTTGCGATAACTTGTTCACTCAACCCTCCTTGTTCACCATTTCCATCGTCATTTTCCTCATCCATACTTACTTCATCTTCAATTCTATCCTTCTCTCCACTTCGTGTATGTCCTCCAGCTGTATGTGGTTTCAAAGTGGACAAAGCTTCTCGAGCCGCTGTCAATTCTTTAGTCAATCTTGCGATAACTCGACAAGCCGCATCATGTTGATAAAGTGAGTGAGAGAGTTCTTGACGTGCGATTTGCAATTGTTGACGTAATGAAAAACTGTTAAGCATCACGGTATCCCATTCATCTTGCAGCATTTTCAAGAGTGATGGGATTGAAGTTCCTGACACATTTCGTGGAGCACTTCCTGTTGCACCGCCTTTTATCGAGACAAGCTGCAAGATTTTTGTTTTTCATACCAAAAACTTCATCTTACACCTACCTGTCCCTCATCCATTTCGGTGTTTGTAATAGGATCCGTTCCATTTTCCATGATAAATTTGGTGATTAGCGTTCTATCGAAAACGTGTCCGGAGACGGGAGAAACTACCGGATCTTCTGTCGGTTCTCCGCTAATTGTACAGATAAACGACATTGCTGCAAAAAAATCGTTGAGTTGGTGAAAAACGCGCGGAAAAGCTGAGGGAAAATGGTGAAATTCGAATATTTGAACGCTTGTGAGATGGAGCGCGTTTGCCTTGCTACTGGGGGAAATTTTTCCTAGTCCCTATTTTTTTGCCTTGAAATTCGATTGTTTCATGGGGTTTTCTTAGTGCCTCATAAATCATAAATCAAATTTCAGTTCTCTTCTAGCATTTGCGATTTTCCAGAATCTAGAAATGCATTCAAACACAGAAAAATCGAGGAAAAATCAAAAAATGCTACGCGGCCTAGAAAACCAACGGATTTCTAGTCCCGACACTTGTCAATTTATTTTTCGTTTCTTTTTTTTTCGCGTTCTCCCCAGCTTTTCCCAAGGAAAACCCGTGATTTTGCAGAAGCATGACATATTTTACAAATTGGGATGAATTTGCCAAAGCCGCCGAGCGACTTCATTCAGCAAACCCGGACAAATGCAGGTAAAAAAATGATTTGAAAAAAAGATTCCGTTACCATGGAGATATGCTTTAGATTCGTCACAAAATACAATCACACAGCCGGAAAATTGATTCTGAAATTCACAGACGACGTCGTCTGTTTGCAGTACAGCACAACACAATTGCAAGACGTGAAGAAGCTCGAGAAATTGTCGTCCACATTTTTGCGACAAGTTGTGACACAGTAGGATATTCATTTGTTTTTAAAATAAATATTTATTATTTATGGCTATTTGACGTGAACTGTGACGTGGATGTGTCATTTAAATAATTTTTTTGTGAAAAAACCCCTCTGGAACTCTCGGTAAGTGTTTTATTTTAAAAAAAACCAAAGAAAAATCAAACATGGTCCACAACATCTTCAGTAACAGTATCTAAAACCACATCATCTTTTTCAACCTTTTTCCTAATGATTCTCGGAGTTTGCACACTTCGTGTAGACGGATTCCTCGAAAAATTCATGCGCATCCTCAAAACACTTCCAATATCACTATTCGGCACCGAAACCACGTCATGATCAATCTGCACAGTCTTCACTTTCTCATTGGGTTTCGCCAATTCAACAGTGGCTGCAGATCCCATCATTCCCCGAGCCACCGGTGCACTGTCTTCTGAATAAATCGGGCGGAAATTGGGGTCGCTGAATCCGTCCATGAATAATGGAGGGTTGTAATTGTGAGTGTCGTCGACGATTGCCATTCCGATTGCGATATTTTTATCGATGATCCAGTTGATCTCGAAATCGTCGTCGTCTTCGCCGAGTGGATTTAGGAGAACTTCGGCGACTTTCATCCAACCGAGAATGAAGATTAGCTCGAGGCATGTCATGAAAGGTATCGGCCATTCCATCTGCAAAATATGTGTTTTTAGTCTGGAAAACGCCACGTGGATTTTTTGGCGCAGAAACTTCGAAATTTGAAAAATTTTGAATTTTTTAAGGAAAAACGCCACGTGGAGATTTGAGCGCGAGGCTTTGAAAAAAAAATGAATTCAGATTTGTCGCGCTAAAATTTGGAAATTTGAAAAATGGGATTTTTCGTGCCACGTAGATTTCTAAGCGCAAGATTTTTTAAAAATTTTTTAAATCATATTTTGCGCGCCAAAAGTTTCAACATGAAAAAAATGCCACGTGGATTTTTACCGCTAAAATTTCGAAATTTGAAAAATGGGATTTTTCGCCCCAAAAAAATGCCACGTGGATTTGTTGGCGGCAAAACTTCGAAATTTGAAAAATCGTATTTTTCGTGAAAAAAATGCCACGTGGCCCCTAAATTTTGAAATTTGAAAAATCGTATTTTTCGTGAAAAAAATGCCACGTGGATTTTTTGGCCCATATATTTTGAAATTTGAAAATTTGGGTTTTTCCCGCCAAAAAATGCCACGTGGATTTTTTTGGCGCGAGATTTTTTTGTAATTTTTAAAAGTTGGGTTTTCCCGCCAAAAAATGCCACGTGGATTTTTAGCGCTAAAATTGTTTTCAGAATTCTTGAGGAATTCCTAGACCTCAAAATTTTCCAAAAAAAATTCTGATAGGTCAAAAATATTTTCTCCCTCTCTCTAAGTCTCTCACTTTTGCACACTCTCTTAAATGTTTGCAACGCGGGAAACGTTTTCGGCTATTTTTCACACATTTATTCTTATTTTTTATTTTTCTCTGGGGGCTTTTGGGGCTTTAAAGGGCTTTAGGGGGCTTATTATTAAGCCCCTTTAGCCTCCAAGCAAACTCACCTGTGATTTTGATTTCAGCGAACTCTGCAAAAACTGCCGACTAACCAAGCATAGCACAAAATAAACGCGAACTGCCAGAAAAACCACTTGCGGATAGGCAATCGGAATAGGAATCTGATCAAACTTCAACAAAGTATCCATCGCATTCCGAAACTCTTTGATACACGTCATAACCTGTGTCATACTTCCCGTATCCTTAAGCACACCATCCTTGAACGCATTCGCCAGAAGATGTTTCGCCCAAGCAATCGGCACCCAATATTTATCACCAGGTTTGCATTTCACTTCTTCTAGCGTCACCCTCTCTTCCTCACTCATAAAACCAGCATCAATCACATATTCCAGACTTGGGAAACGTCGGCGAACTTGCATTGAGATGTCGCGAAAGACTAGGATCTGATGGAGAACTACGTAGCGAATGATATTTCGGCGGTAGAGAATTTCGACGTGATCTTTGCCCGGGATGAAGAGGGAGAGATATAGTGCGAGGTTGTCGATGAAGGGCATCGCGGATAAGGCGCTATTCCATCTTGATGAGATTGTTGAGACGAAGAATCCGAGGATGAATGTGAGGGGGATGTATTTCATGCGATCATCGATGTGGTATGCGATTTTGTCGAAGATTCTGAAGTTAGTTGTTTTGTTTTGTTTTGTGGTTGGGGAGGGGGGTACGTTTAGGAGAGGAGAGAAAGTGCGCTCTATCGCACGAGGTCACTTTTTTACCGTTTTTCTCGACAAGTGCGAAAGAACAAATGTCGTTGCACGCGTCGCGGTCAGGCGCTGCGTGCTTTATCCATCAATCGATAAGTGGTCAAAACCATTCAAATTGTGAAAAAGAAAGACGCAGCGCATGACCGCAACGCACTCAACGACATTAGACTTTGGTTCTCACCACGAAAATCTGCAGTAGGCGATTAGTATTATCGATAATCTCATCGATACCACACGCTCCACCGAAATAACGCAACGCAGACCGCGTCGCGCCACAACACATACAAATAAGGGAACGATTCAAATTCCCTCCTTTTTTTGTGTGTGTTGTGGCGCGGCGCGGTCTGCGTTGCGTGTTTATTTCGGGGGACCGATGAGATTTTCAATAAAAGGACAGTCCTAAATTCAAAAAATCTGCAAACACCTTGACGCACACATACACACACCATGGCATACCGTGCTAGCACATAAAAAAAAGAGGGGCCAACAACTCTACACTGACGTGTTTTGTGTAGCGCGCGCGATTCCGGTGATTTTCAAATTTTTTTTGTTTTATTTTAAGTTTATTTTTCATTTTTCACCTGCTTTTTTTGCTCGAAAATATATAGTTTAGTTCAGTTTTTCTTGGATTTTTCAATTTTCCCCATTTTTTCTTACACTTTGATCTCTTCGCTGAACAAAAATCTATACGAAAAATGAATTGTGTAAAAGGCAATCAGCCAAACAGCCAGTTCCGATGATACACCTTTCCAAATTGATCCTAGAAAAAAAACATGATTGATGATTGATATGAGAAAAGAGATTTTTGAGAAATAAAATAGTACGTCACGATACAGTAGGTAGAACTTGTGAGAAGTTCAATTTTGAAAATTAGTTATGACGTGGCAAACTCTAATGACTGGAATGAAATGGATACCATCAAGGTGTAAAAATCTACAAAATTATCAAAAAATACCTTTCCATCTTGAAAGTAATCGAAGAAAAGCGAACGGATTTCCGCCAGTCGAAACATCCAATTGATAATTTATAGTCATATCTAGCTAGATTCTAGAAATATGTAGGTTATTTCATAAATTTCTGATTTATCTGAACATATATATTTCTCCAGACACAAAGATAACAAGGTCATATTTTTTTTACACAAAGTACTTTTTGTACTTTTTTCCAGTGAAATTTTTTTAGATATTTTTTTCAGATAGGGGAATTTCTCCGAACCTCATTTGTGTTCTGATCTCTGGCTCATTTTATTTCCAAGTATCAATTATTTTGATGAATTGCCCTTAATTATCTAGCTACGCTACACACATATCAAAACTTCAAAAATATTTTTATTTCAAAAATCAAAAAAAAATGTCCACAAATTCCACGTATCCCTACGATATTCCTCTACCATTAAATTGTATTCAAGGATTCGATAATTTTCTTGAAATTTTGAAATTCGTTTGTCAAATGGGTTACCTGATTCCTGGTTGGGTGTTGCATATTCTAATTTTGAAGACGATTTTGTGGAAGGAATCGAGAGTGTTTTTGCATAACTCGTTTTTTGTGATCTATGCGTTGGATTCGTTTGCGGTGAGGGATTTTGTACAAAAACCGGTCTTGCAGCGAGGTGCAACGCGTGTGCGTCGCGGTCAGAAAATGTTTTTTTGAATTTTTCACAAAAATCATCGCTGGGAAGTTTATGATTATTTTGTATGAGCTCAGAAATCGGCTCTATCGCAATATAAGGGTCCCATGGAAATATAAGGGTCCCAAAAAATATAAGGGTCCGTTATTTTTTTTGAGGGTCCACCAAAAAAAATTTTTTTTTGAAAAAAAAAAGTATTTTTTCTAATTTCAATTATTTATTTTTCGTTTTTTTTTTTAATTTTTCATATTTTTTTTAGCCAGTCAGTATGTTTCTAGGGGGTTTACTAAGCCTAAGCCTAAAATAATAGAGAAATTTTGAATCCTCTGGTAACTCTATTTTCGGCTTTTCAACATCAGAATTAGCGTGCATACCGTTCTGAAAAGTAGTGCAAAGAATCGTCAAAAAAATATTTTTTTTTGGGGGACCCTTAAAACAAATAACGGACTCTCGTATTTCCATGGGACCCTTATATTGAGATAGAGCCAAATTCAGAGCTTCATCATGTTATCCTTCGATATCACATTCACCCGCGCAATAATGTACATCCCCCCACTCTGCCCAATTCTATCCCCGTATTTCTACACACCATCCCTATTCCTAAAACTAGCCTATGTTGTTCCGAATTATATGAAAGCTATGAAATCGGTCACTCAAATATTTATGAATATCAATCGAATGCACTGCATTCTATATCCAATCACTTATAAAGCCACGTGGAATCGGAAAATGATCCCAATCGTTCTCTTTATTCTATTGAGCCCGTGCTTGGTGACGTGGAATTTGGTGATTTCTCGAATCACGGTGTTTCCGATGTTTGGTGGATTCGGAGTTTCGTATATCAAAAGGGTCGCTTGGGCAAGCTTGTCAACATTTCATTTTATATTTTTGTCCACAGCAGTTATTATAACTATAGTTTGCACAATTCTATCGGTTTTTGTTTTGACAACTCTTCCAATGCGAGTGAAAAATGCGGAGAAAACGTTGTGCATTGCTAACTTCTTGATCTCTGTTGGTTTTATCCTCACCGCGATTTGTCAGGTATCCGTTTGAAACCTACGATCCGTCGACAGATTTTTGTTTAGAGCATCTATGCATTCTGCGCGAAGTGTCCTTCAGATTTCCTATTTGGTATGCAATATTTGAGTCATGATTTTTTGAATATTATTTCTCCGATGATTGTGATTTGCATGAGCTCGCAACTTCGCAACTCGATTTTTCCTGTGAAGTTTTTGAGACCGGTTTCGGTTGTGCCATCTGGGACGTCGCAGAATAATTTGAGCTGAATGGAAGCTAGAACAGAATCAGAAAACCTTTAACATCTCGAACAAAAAATCAAATTTATGTCAGCATACAACTTTGATTTTCTGCACTCTGATATTTCTCAAACCTCGAATTATCACTCATGACTAAATATCATTTATCCTAACTTACAACTCATATTATTCTATTGATGTCTGCAAATATCTCCTATGCAATCTCATTCACAGATCCGATTCCATTCGACTGTAGTCAACAATATGACACGTTCATCGAGATTATGAAATTCGTTTGTCAAATGGCTTACCTGATTCCTGGTTGGATTTTGCATATTCTAATTTTGAGGACGATTTTGTGGAAGGAGTCGAGAGTGTTTTTGCATAACTCGTTTTTTGTGATCTATGCGTTAGATTCGTTTGCGGTAAGGGTTTGGGGATTAAAGTTTGAGGCTGCCAGGTTGCTTTAGGCTTGGGCCTAGGCTTAACTGCTTTGCGGAGGATAGCGGTTTAGACTCGCGCAAGGCGCTCGGGGCTTGTTTGTTAGGCTTGGGCCTAGGCTTAGCCTTTTCGCGGAAGATTGCGGTTTAGACTTGGGTAGAGGTCTTTAGGTCTAGACTAAAAATTAGCGTGCATACCGTTCTCAAAAGTAGTGCGAAGCGTGTGCGTCGCGGTCAGCAGCTTTTTTTGTCGTCGAGGCTTGGGCCTAGGCTCAACCGCTTCGCGGAAGATAGCGGTTTAGACTCGGGTAGAGATGTTCAGGTTTAGACTAAAAATTAGCGTGCATACCGTTCCGAAAATCACGTGCGAAGCGTGTGCGTCGCGGTCACCGGTTTTTTTTTGTTGAAAATAATTTCTCACCAGCGAACTTTTTTGAGCCCTATACTCCGAGAGAAGTACACACCGATTGTGCGATAGAGCAACTTTGATTTTCCAGAGCTTCACGATGTTAACTTGCGATATCACCTACGGTCGAGCTTTAATGTACATCCCACCACTTTGCCCAATCTTCTCCCCATATTTCTTCAATCCCTCTTTTCCTCAAAAGTTATCTTATCTTATCCCGAATTATATGAAAGCTATGAAATGTGTCACTCAAATATTCATGAATATCAATCGATTACACTGTATTCTATACCCAATCTCTTATAAAACCACGTGGAATCGTAAAATACTCCCGATCACTCTCTTTATTCTATTGAGCCCATGCTTGGTGACGTGGAACTTGATGATTTCTCGAATGTTCGCCTTTCCAATCTACGGTGGATTTACCGTAACTTATTTGAAACGGGTTTCGTGGGCCAGCTTGTCATTGTTTCATTTTATATTTTTGTCCACAGCAGTTATTATAACTATAGTTTGCACAATTCTATCGGTTTTTGTTTTGACAACTCTTTCGATGCGAGTGAAAAGTGTCGAAATGACATTGTGCTTGGCGAATTTTTTGATCTCGGTTGGATTTGTAAGCACCGCCTTTTGTCAGGTATTTTTTACGCCAACTTTTTTACGCCATGACGTGGCAATTTGGAATTTTTTTCAGAGTTTCTGGGCATTCTGCCCAACTTGCTCATCCGATTTTCTCTTTGGTATCCAATTTTTAAGCTATGATTTTCTTAACATCGCATCTCCCTTGATCATAATTTGTATGAGCTCACAACTTCGAGACTCGATTTTGTCCTCAAAAATCAAGCAATCTCCATTTATTTTTATTTCGTCTTTGCCGTCAGCAACAACACAAACAATTTAATTATGATTTTCGCGGAAAGTTTAAAATTATAGCCTAGCTTTTTAAAGTTCATTGTCATAAAAAGTATCAGTTTTCTGAAAATCTGAAAATACCACCTGCTGTTTGATTCTCATTCGAGAAAAGTCTAGAGATGTCTAACATCACATCAGACGGGTCTATTGAAATACAGTGTAATTTGAGTTATGATAACACTTGGGAAATAATCAAATATGTTATTCAATTTGTCTATTTGATTTTTGGAAGTGTTTTACATTTATTGATTTTGAGGACGGTTTTTTGGAAGGAGAAGACTTATCGGAGCAATTCGTTTTTCATGATTTATGCGTTGGATTCTCTGGGGGTGAGTTTAAACCGCAAGCTTACAATTAACTTGGGTTAGATACGCAAGTGATACGGGTTACTGTAGTGCGTTTCTCGAGTTCCTGTAAAACATTCTGGGATCATGAAAAAAAATTTCAAATTGCCTCCAAAAAGTCATGTCTGCAAACACCGCGACAAACTTTTGCGTACAGTAGGACATGTTTTTTCCAGAGTTTATTAATGCTATGTTTTGCCGCTTCTCTAACCCGTCCCTTCCTATTCATCCCTCCACTCTGCCCAATTCTTTCCCCAATTTTCTTCGAACCCTCAATATTCCTCCAAGCCTTGTATATTTTCCCGAATTATCTTCGAGCTATCAAATCTGTCACTCAAATTTTAATGAGTATAAATCGTATGACTTGTGTAATATCACCAATGAATTATATCACAATTTGGAAAAAATATCTGAAATTTGCGATAATTATCACACTCCTCAGCCCATTCTTGGTTATTTGGAACTTATTTCTATCGCGAGTTTATATAAGTCCATCGCGTGGCGGATTTTCGCCAAATTATTTGAAGTATGTGGAATGGGCGAGTCTATCACTATTTCATCTTGTTTTCATATCTTTGGCTATAATTATCACAATAATTAGCACTGTTATAACTCTAACTTATCTGTTGATGCTTCCAATGCGCCTCAAATCTGCTGAACGAACTTTGTGCTTTGCAAATATCACAATTTCAATTGATTTTATGATTATTGCAAGCTTCCAGACTGTTTTTGCATTTTTCCCGATTTTTGATTCGAGCACTTTGTACACTTTGCATTTTTATAGTTATGATTTTTTGAATTTAAGGTGACATGTTAATTTTATTTGTAAACATTTTCAATTTTTTCAGTGCTCCGATTGTTCTGATCTTGATTAATCCTCAACTTCGCGATCATATTTTCAAAGGGGGAAGTTCTGCAATCAAAGTTACTGCAACTCAAAATAGTATGCACTAATAGTATTACTAACTAATAGCAAATAAAATTCTCCCAAAAAAAAATTCAGCTGCTCTTTTCAATTCAGTCTCAATGTCCAACATCACTCTAGATGGTCGAATTGAAATCGAATGTGATTTGAGTTATGATAACTCTTCGGAAATTATCAAATGTCTATTTCAGTGTACATATCTGCTGTTTGGGGTTAGCTTACACTTATTGATTTTGAGGACGATTTTATGGAAGGAGAGAAGGGTTTATCGATCGAATTCGTTTTTTATGATCTATGCGTTGGATTCGATTGGGGTGGGTCGAGCGAAGCGAGTGTAAACCGCAAGCTTCCGCGCAGCGGCACTGTCTTCCGCGAAGCGGCCAGGCCTAAGGTCTCAGCCCGAGCTCCAGGCTCAAGCCTAGATCTAGTTTTAATTACCGAGCGCCCCTGGCGCGAGTGTAAACCGCAAGCTTCCGCGCAGCGGCACTGTCTTCCGCGAAGTGGCCAGGCCTAAGGTCTCAGCCCGAGCTCCAGGCTCAAGCCTAGGTCTAGTTTTAATTCTCGAGCGCCCCTGGCGCGAGTGTAAACCGTAAGCTTCCGCGCAGCGGCACTGTCTTCCGCGAAACGGCCAGGCCTAGGATCAGCCCGAGCTCCAGGCTTAGGTCTAGTTTTTTTTAGGAGATGAATTTCGAAATTTCTGTTGATTTAGAATAAGTTACCCAAACTCTTGAGAATTTATTTCATGTAAAAATCCAACGTCAATGAGTTGTTTTGAAACATCTGTTGTTGGAATCCCCAGAATCTCTAGATCTCACCTGTCTCCTTCACAGTCATTCCCATCCCTCCAGAGTACAATCATGCTAACACTTGCCGCTTTCATCGGCCGTCCAATCATGTTCATCCCTCCACTCTGCCCAATTCTATCCCCATTTTTCTTCGAACCCTCGATGTTTCTATCATCCCTATATGTAATTCCGAATTATCTTCGAGCTGCAAGATCAGTCAATCAAATAATGATGAGTATAAATCGTATGACTTGTGTGATATTCCCCATGGATTATATCACAATTTGGAAAAAGTATCTGAAAATTGCGATAATTATCACACTCCTCAGCCCATTTTTAGTGATTTGGAACTTATTTCTATCGCGAGTTTATATAAGTCCATCACGTGGCGGGTTTTCACCGAATTATTTGAAATATATCCAGTGGGCGAGTATATCCCTACTACAACTCTCATTCCTGACTCTGGCTATAATTATCACAATAATTAGCACTGTTATAACTCTAACTTATTTATTAATGCTTCCAATGCGACTTAAATCTGCGGAAAAATCGTTGTGCTTTGCAAATATCACGATTTCAATTGCATTTTTAATCATTGCAAGTTTTCAAAGTTTATTCGCATTTTTCACACTTTTCGATGCTGGTACTCTATTCATTCTGCAATTTTATGGATATGATATTCTGAATTTAAGGTACCCCGTTTTCCTTAAAGTGTAAAATCCTTCAGGGTTTTTCCAGCTCTCCAATTGTGCTGATCTTGATAAGTCCTCAACTCCGCGAGCACATTTTTTTCAAAAAGGAAATGAGAAGTGGAGCTGTTAAAGTTTCAGCAACTCAGCATAGTATCCTTTAGCTACTGTTATTGATTTTCCTGAATTCATTTAAAATTCATTTGAAAATTATCAGCTGCTCTTCTGAAATCACTAGCTCAGTTAGTCTAAATGTCTAACATCACACTAGATGGTCGAATTGAAATTGAGTGTAATCTAAGTTATGATAACTCTTCGGAAAATATCAAATTTGCAGTTCAATTTGTATATCTATCATTTGCGATTCTGATACATTTACTGATTTTGAGAACGGTTTTATGGAAAGAGTGGAAGGTTTATCGGAGCAATTCGTTCTTTATGATCTATGCGTTGGATTCGATTGGGGTGGGTCGAGCGAAGCGAGTGTAAACCGCAAGCTTCCGCGCAGCGGCACTGTCTATCGCGAAGCGGCCACACCTGAGGTTAGGCCGCAGCCCGAGCTCCAGGCTCAAGCTTGGGTCTAGTCTTAATTCTCGAGCGCCCCTGGCGCGAGTGTAAACCGCAAGCTTCCGCGCAGCGGCACTGTCTTCCGCGAAGCGGCCAGGCCTAGGATCAGCCTGAGCTCCAGGCTCAAGCCTAGGCCTAGTCCTGATTCCCGAGCGCCCCTGGCGCGAATGTAGACCGCCAGCTTCCGCGAAGCGGCCACACGCATGCTGAATCTAATGAAGCTGAAGCTTGATCTGCTTGAGCCTGAACTTCTGCTGAAGCAAAAGCTAGATATGCTTCAGCCTGAAGTTCTGCTGAAGATCTGCTGAAAACCGCAAGTTTCCGCGCAGTGGCCAGGCCTAGGATCAGCCTGAGCTCCAGGCTCAAGCCTAGGTCTAGTCTTAATTCCCGAGCGCCCCTGGCGCGAGAGTAAACCGCAAGCTTCCGCGAAGCGGCACTGTCTCTTGCAATGCATGACTCAGAGTCATTTATTGATTTTTGCAGGAAGTTTCTCTCATTCCTATAGTGCTTAGTTTTCACCTGTCCCACTCTTCTATTTTCAGATTCTCATAACTATATCAATCGATATATTCTTGGGTCGCCCTTTCATATTCATCCCTCAACTTTGCCCGATTCTATCTCCTTTATTTTTCGATCCCTCAATATTCCTCAAAACGGTATATATTATCCCGAATTACACTCGAGCTGCAAAATCTGTAACTCAAATAATGATGAGTATAAATCGTATGACTTGTGTGATATTCCCCATGGATTATATCAGAATTTGGAAAAAGTATCTGAAAATTGCGATAATTATCACACTCCTCAGCCCATTTTTAGTGATTTGGAACTTATTTCCATCGCGCGTTTATATATTACCATCGCGTGGCGGGTTTTCACCGATTTATGCGAGATATGTGAAATGGGCTAGTTTATCACTGTTTCATTTGGTTTATTTGACATTGGCTATAATTATCACAATAATTAGCACTGTTATAACTCTAACTTATTTATTAATGCTTCCAATGCGACTTAAATCTGCGGAAAAATCTTTGTGCTTTGTGAATATCACAATTTCAATTTCTTTCATTATCAATGCAAGTTTCCAAAGTTTATTCGCATTTTTCACACTTTTTGATGCAGGAACTCTATACATTTTGCAATTTTTCGGCTATGATTTGTTGAACTTAAGGTAACTCTACTTAAGGAAAGGGTTTTACCAACATGTTTTTTTTAGCTCTCCGATTGTTCTAATCCTGATTAGTCCCCAACTCCGCGAGCATATTTTCAATAGGAAGAAAATTTTTAGAAATGTTCCGCTGAAAGTTTCAGATACCCAAAATGGAATAAATTGAACTGTTGATTTTTTTAAATAGATAAATGTATTCCAACATTTTCGAAATAGAAATTATGAAAATTATAGGCTATAAAAGTATCAGCAACTCAACACAGTATACTTTGAGTACTATTGATTTCAGATGAAGAATTCATTTGAAAAATATTATCAGCTGCACTTCTGAAATCACTAGTTTAGTCAGTCCTAATGTCCAATATCACACTAGATGGTCGAATTGAAATTGAGTGTAATCTAAGTTATGATAACTCTTCGGAAAATATCAAGTTTGCAGTTCAGTTTGTATATTTGCTGTTTGCTATTCTGATACATTTATTGATTTTGAGAACTGTTTTATGGAAAGATTGGAAGGTTTATCGATCGAATTCGTTTTTTATGATTTATGCGTTGGATTCGATTGGGGTGGGTTGGAGAATTGATACTCGCTTTTTGAAATTTGTTGAGAATAACCTGTTTTTGACCAGGAAATGCTCTGAAGTTCCTAGAACTCTTATTTTAGTTCTCAACTGAATCACTTGTTTCACCTGTCCATTCTTCATTTTTTTAGATTCTCATAACTATATCAATCGATATTCTCTTCGGCCGCCCTTTCATGTTCATCCCCCAACTTTGTCCAATTCTATCTCCTTTATTTTTCGATCCTTCTATTTTCATGAAAACTGTGTTCATTATCGGAAATTATACAAGAGCTGCAAAATCGATAACTCAAATAATGATGAGTATAAATCGTATGACGTGTGTTATATTCCCTATGAATTATATCACAATTTGGAAAAAATATCTGAAAATCGCGATAATTATCACACTCCTCAGCCCATTTTTAATTATCTGGAACTTATTTCCATCCCGAGTTTATATTTTACCATCACGTGGTGGATTTTCTATAATGTATGAGAGATATGTGAAATGGGCCAGTTTATCACTATTTCATTTGATTTATTTGGCATTGGCTATAATTATCACAATAATTAGCACAATTATAACTCTAACTTATCTGTTGATGCTTCCAATGCGATTAAAATCTGCGGAAAAATCTTTGTGCTTTGTGAACATCACAATTTCAATTTCTTTCATTATCAATGCAAGTTTTCAAAGTTTATTCGCATTTTTCACACTTTTAGACGCTGGAACACTATTCATTCTGCAATTTTTTGGCTACGATTTTTTGAATCTAACCTCTCCGATTGTCCTCATTCTAATTAGTCCCCAACTCCGCGAGCATATTTTCAATAGGAAGAAAATGTTTAGAAATGTTCCGCTGAAAGTTTCAGATACTCAAAATGGTGTGAACTAAACTTTTTTTGTTAATAAATAATTTTGAGCAAAGCGCAAAGAAAAATTGAAAAATTCTGTCTGAAAATCGCTTTTCACTAGCTCTCGTAAATATCAAAGAGTTATTTAATATTTTTGCCAAACATTCAATTTGATGAACTTTACTATTTTTGTTTTTTTTTCAAAACGTACAAAGTACAAAACACATTTTGAATCTAATTTTTGATCTACTCAATTTACAAAAATCGATTTTTTTTGCAAAAATAAATTTTTTGTCAATCAATATTTGAATTTTCGAAGTTTTGTTGAGTCCATTGAACTCTTCTCGATCGGATAATTATTGTTTAGAAGTTCTCGATCAAAAAACCTTCACAATTTAATTATATGTCTGTCTGAAATCTCAAATTCTCATTTTACTTTTTTTTCTAATTCCAACTCTAAATCTAAATCTCAATTAATTTCCTCATTTTCCCCTTTCCCCAAATGAGTAATATAACCCAAGATGGTCGAATTGAAATGGAGTGTGATTCGAGTTATGATAACTTTATGGAAATTTTCAAATTCCTCATTCAACTAGCCTATCTTATCCCAGGATCGATTTTACATTTATCGATTGTTCGGGCGATTTTGTGGAAGTTCAAGAGTGTTTATCAGACGAATTCGTTTTTTCTGATTTATACGTTGGATTCGGGGGCGGTGAGTGAAGCGGAGCGAGTGTAAACCGCAAGCTTCCGCGCAGCGGCACTGTTTTCCGCGAAGCGGCTAGGCCTAGGATCAGCCTGAGCTTCAGGCTCAAGCTTGGGTCTAGTCTTAATTCCCGAGCGCTCCTGGCGCGAGTGTAAACCGCAAGCTTCCGCGAAGCGGCCAGTGGCGGGCGAGTTGTGACGTGGCAAATGACCATGTCATAACTAATAGGCAGAATTGATCTTCTAGGCGTGACTACTTGGAATATAGAATCTCTAGGCGCGGCTACTTGACAGCTAGGACGTTTAGGATTGGCTACTTAGCGTAGAAGCTCTGAAGGCTCAGCTCCTTATCAGAGCAAGTCTCTAGGCACGACTCCTAGACAATAAGGTTCGTAAGGCGCTGATCCTTGAAAATTGAATTTTCTAGGTCTGACTACTAGAATTTCTAATTCAAAGTAGAAGCTCCGAATTTTCAAATATCATTTTCCAGAGCTTGATAATCACCCTAACTGATATATTCTTCAATCGCCTCACAGTCTACATTCCTCCACTTTGCCCAATTCTAACTCCATATTTCTTCGAACCCTCGATCTTCATCAAAATCATGTTAATCACTCCCAATTATTTTCGAGCAATGAAATCGATAACTCAAATAATGATGAGTATAAATCGTATGACTTGTGTAATTTTTCCATTTTCGTATATCACAATTTGGAAAAAATATCTGAAATTATCGATAATTATCACACTCCTCAGCCCATTCTTGGTTATTTGGAACTTGTTTCTATCGCGAGTTTATATAAGTCCAGCATTCGGAGGGTTTTCCTATGATTATTTGAAATATGTGAAATGGGCGAGTTTGTCTAAATTCCACCTCGTATTTATATCCTTGGCAATTATTATCACAATAATTAGCACTGTTGTGACGATGACTTTTCTGATAATGCTTCCAACACGCGTCAAATCCGCTGAAAAATCGCTGTGCTTCTCGAATATCACGATTTCCGTAGCTTTTCTGATTGTTGGAGGGTTTCAGAGTTTTTTCGCATTTTTTCCCGAAATGTATACGGATACGATTTATAGCTTGCAGTTTTTGAGCTATGATTTTTTGAATATCAGCTCTCCAATTGTGCTGGTCTTGATGAATTTACAACTTCGCGAGCATATTTTCAAAAAAAATGGAGAAGGCGGCGGCAATTCGGCTTTTCAAGTTTCGAAAATTACTGTTGGATAAATATTCATAAAGTTTTTTTTGAGAGAAAACGAGAGAGTGTGCTTGCAGAAGAGACGCGAGACGAAAAAGGGATAGGAAAAAACTCCGCCTGATCTCTCTAATTGCATGTTATATCTTCCATTTCTTAAAAAAAATAACCTCACAATTATATTTTTTTTCTCCTACTAACATGTCAAATTTATCAAATCTGAATGCTCCGATTGAAATGGAGTGTGATTTGAGTTATGATAACTCTTGGGAAATTATCAAATACTCCTTGCAATTTGCCTATCTCATCCCGGGAATTTTGATGCATTTTGGGATTTTGAGGACAGTTTTATGGAAGTATTGGAGTATTTATAGGGATAATTCGTTTTTTATGATTTATACGGTGGATTCGATGGCGGTGAGTGTGAACCGCAAGCTTCCGGCACTGTCTTCCGCCAAGCGGCCAGGCCTAAGGTCTCAGCCCGAGCTCCAGGCTCAAGCCTAAGTCTAGTCTTAACTCCTGTGATGCCTCCTAGAGAGACGCAGAGACTCGTGCACTCTCGTGCACTCATGTATCTCTCCTTCTCTCTAGAGACATTCATTCTTTATGTTGTGGCCATAGACATCAGCCCTTTGGCATATTTATGTACAATAAAGATCTTACATGTACAAATGTCTACCTATGAATGAGTCTGGGTGAAGATGATGATTGGGAGATCATCTACCTTCACACTCCCGAGCGCCCCTGGCGCGAGTGTAGACCAGAAGCTTCCGCGAAGCGGCCAGGCCTAAGGTCAGGTCTCCGCCCGAGCTCCAGGCTCAAGCCTAGGTATAGTCTTAATTCCCGAGCGCCCCTGGCGCGAGTGTAAACCGCAAGCTTCCGCGAAGCGGCCAGGGTCAGGTCTCCGATCTCAAAATCCCAAAATGTTTCCAGAGTCTCATAATATTAACCCACGATACATTAATAAATCGCCCAGTATTATTCATCCCTCCACTCTGCCCTATTCTTTCCCCATTTTTCTTCGAACCCTCGATTCTCCTCAAAACCCTCTTCATAATTCCGAACTATTTTCGAGCTATCAAATCTGTTACTCAAATTTTAATGAGTATAAATTGTATGACTTGTGTGATATTCCCCATGGATTATATCAGAATTTGGAAAAAATATCTGAAATTTGCGATAATTATCACACTCCTCAGCCCATTTTTGGTTGTCTGGAACTTGATTTTATCGCGAGTTTATGTGATGGCAACTTTTGGCGGGTTTTCTTGTAACTATATCAAATATGTGAAATGGGCAAGTCTATCACAACTTTTATTGATTTTTATAATCTTGGCAATATTTATCACAATAATTAGCACTGTTATAACTCTGATTTATTTATTCGCTCTTCCAATGCGCCTCAAAGCTGCTGAAAAAACTTTGTGCTTTTTGAATTTGACAATTTCTGCATCATTTTTATTTGTGGCTGGCGGTCAAAGTTTATTCGCATTTTTCCAGTTTGTTGATTCGAGTACAATTTATGTATTGCAATATTTTGCCTATGATTTTTTGAATCTAAGCAGTCCGATTGTTATGGTTTTGATAAATCCACAACTTCGTGGGCATATTTTGAAAGGAATAAATGGGGAAAACGAAAATGGGAACAGAAATTTTTGAATTTCTATTTCTTTTTTGTTAATAAAGTTTTAAAGCAAATTTGAACTTTTATTTTTCTTCAACAAAAAATTAGCCATGTCTCATTGTTCCTGAAAGATGTGCCGGGTTATTTGGATCAAATTCTTGTGCATAAATTTCGGCCAGAATTGAGAGGATCACAAAGAAAAATAACATGGGTTTCATTTCGAAAACTGATTGAATTTCTGATATTCAGCTGAGAATTTATACTGGAATTTTTGATTTTTCACAGGCGTCTGGGGGAATTTCAGAAATAGTTTTGCCAAAAATAGCGCAAGATCGAAAAATCAGAGGGAACTTTTGAACTAATTTCTATTTTTTGTTATTTTTCTGTGACCGTGAGTTAGGTTAAGTCTCTACATCAAACTAAAGATCCCTAGAAAAGAAACCAGCTGTTTTCTTCTCGAAATAAGTTTTATGATACTTTTCCCTATTTTTTTCTCTTGGTTGATAATTATAACCCCTCAAAAAATAATAACTTCTAGTCATTTTGTGAAATCAAAAAATTAGATTTCCCAATGTCTAACCTAACTCAAGATGGTCGAATAGAAATTGAGTGTGATTTGAGTTATGATAACTCCCTCGAAATTATCAAATATTGCCTGCAGTTAGCCTATCTCATCCCGGGAATTTTGATACATTTTGTGATTTTGAGGACGATTTTATGGAAGTATTGGAGTATTTATAGGGATAATTCGTTTTTTATGATTTATACGGTGGATTCGATGGCGGTGGGTTCGAGCGAAGCGAGTGTAGACCGGAAGCTTCCGCACAGCGGCCAGGGTAAGGTCGGGTCTCAGCCCGATCTCCACCCGACTCAAGCTTGAACCGCAAGCTTCCGCGCAGCGGCACTGTCTTCCGCGAAGCGGCCACGTCTAAGGTCAGGTCTCAACCCGATCTCCACCCGACTCAAGCTTAAACCGCAAGCTTCCGCGCAGCGGCACTGTCTTCCGCGAAGCGGCCACGTCTAAGGTCAGGTCTCAACCCGATCTCCACCCGACTCAAGCTTAAACCGCAAGCTTCCGCGCAGCGGCACTGTCCTCCACGAAGCGGCCACGCCTAAGGTCAGGTCTCAGCCCGATCTCCACCCGACTCAAGCTTAAACCGCAAGCTTCCGCAGCGGCACTGTCTTCCGCGAAGCGGCCACGCCTAAGGTCAGGTCTCAGCCCGATCTCCACCCGACTCAAGCTTGAACCACAAGCTTCCGCGCAGCGGCACTGTCTTCCGCGAAGCGGCCACGCCTAAGGTCAGGTCTCAGCCCGATCTCCACCCGACTCAAGCTTAAACCGCAAGCTTCCGCGCAGCGGCACTGTCTTCCGCGAAGCGGCCACGCCTAAGGTCAGGTCTCAGCCCGATCTCCACCCGACTCAAGCTTAAACCGCAAGCTTCCGCAGCGGCACTGTCTTCCGCGAAGCGGCCACGCCTAAGGTCAGGTCTCAGCCCGATCTCCACCCGACTCAAGCTTAAACCGCAAGCTTCCGCAGCGGCACTGTCTTCCGCGAAGCGGCCACGCCTAAGGTCAGGTCTCAGCCCGATCTCCACCCGACTCAAGCTTGAACCGCAAGCTTCCGCGCAGCGGCACTGTCTTCCGCGAAGCGGCCACGCCTAAGGTCAGGTCTCAGCCCGATCTCCACCCGACTCAAGCTTAAACCGCAAGCTTCCGCGCAGCGGCACTGTCTTCCGCGAAGCGGCCACGCCTAAGGTCAGGTCTCAGCCCGATCTCCACCCGACTCAAGCTTAAACCGCAAGCTTCCGCGCAGCGGCACTGTCTTCCGCGAAGCGGCCACGCCTAAGGTCAGGTCTCAGCCCGATCTCCACCCGACTCAAGCTTAAACCGCAAGCTTCCGCAGCGGCACTGTCTTCCGCGAAGCGGCCACGCCTAAGGTCAGGTCTCAGCCCGATCTCCACCCGACTCAAGCTTGAACCGCAAGCTTCCGCGCAGCGGCACTATTACGTAGCAACAATACTGTTATAGTAATCCCCTGTGCCGATGCGCGGAAGCTTCCGGTTTACACTCGCTCCGCTCGACTCAATTGCACCTGTTCAGAGTCTGATCATGCTATTTTTCGACACCTTTGTCAATCGACCCACAATGTACATCCCTCAACTTTGCCCAATTCTTTCCCCATTTTTCGCTGATCCCTCAATCCTCCTCAAATCATCCTATATCATTCCGAATTATCTTCGAGCTATGAAATGTGCTACTCAGATTTTAATGAGTATAAATAGAATTTCTTGTGTGATATCTCCGATTTCTTATGATTCAATTTGGAAAAAGTATCTAAAACTTTCAATAATTATAACAATAGTTAGCCCAACTCTAGTCACCTGGAACTTGTTTTTATCTCGAGTTTATATATTCCCATTATTCGGTGGATTTTCCTTCACTTATTTGAGATATATCCAATGGGCAAGTTTATCACAATTTCAATTTATATTCATTTCCCTGGCTATAATTATCACCATAATTAGCACAATTATCACTTTGGTATATTTGATTATGCTTCCAATGCGCTTGAAATCAGCGGAGAGAACACTGTGTTTTGCGAATCTTACAATTTCCATGGCTTTTGTGATAGTTGCAGGATTCCAAAGTTTTTTTGCATTTTTCCCATTATTCCATCAAGATACACTATATTTTCTACAATTTTTTGGATATGATTTTTTGAATTTGAGGTGTGCTCTGACAGTTTGAAAATATCCCAAAATGTCTCCTTTTTGCAGTTCTCCAATAGTGATAATTGTGATAAATCCTCAACTCCGCGAGCATATTTTCAAAAAGCAAAATGTTATAAGAGATTCGGTTATTGTTAGAGTTTCAGACACTCATCATAGTGTAGTTTGAATAATTTATGTGCTGACAATGACAAAAATTATTCACATTCCATGCACTTTTGAAAAATAAATTATAATATTTCACCCGTTTTCTGTGAATGTGAAAGCACTTTACAATGTCCTGAATCTATATATCAGATTAAAACTTTCTTTCTAAATGTCTCTCCCAGCTTCCGTCAACTTCACCCAGCATAGTCGAATTGAAATCAAGTGTAATTCGAATTTCGACAACACTGTGGAAATCATCAAATACTCCTTGCAGTTAGCCTATCTCATCCCGGGAATTTTGATACATTTTGGGATTTTGAGGACGATTTTATGGAAGTGTTGGAGGTTTTATCGGAGCAATTCGTTTTTCATGATTTTTGCGGTGGATTCGATGGCGGTGAGTGGATTTTCGAGCGGAGCGAGTGTAGACCGCAAGCCTCCGCGCAGCGGCACTGTCTACCGCAAAGCGGCCACGCCTAAGGTCTCAGCCCGATCTCCATGCTCAAGCCTAGGTCTAGACTTAATTCTCGAGCGCCCCTGGCGCGAGTGTAAACCGCAAGCCTCCGCGCAGCGGCACTGTCTACCGCGAAGCGGCCAGGCCTAGGATCAGCCTGAGCTCCATGCTCAAGCCTAGGTCTAGACTTAATTCTCGAGCGCCCCTGGCGTGAGTGTAAACCGCAAGTTTCCGCGCAGCGGCACTGTCCATCGCGAAACGGCCAGGCCTAGCATCAGTCCGAGCTCCAGGCTTGAGCCTAGGTCTAGTCCTAATTCTCGGGCGCCCCTGGCGCAAGTGTAGACCGCAAGCTTCCGCGCAGCGGCACTGTCTACCGCGAAGCGGCCACACCTGAGGTTGCGAGGGGGGGGGGGTTGCTTAAGGTAGAGAGGAGAGATCTCAGCCCGAGCTTCAGACGTGTAAACCGCAAGCCTCCGCGCAGCGGCACTGTCTACCGCGAAGCGGCCACGCCTAAGGTCTCAGTCCTAATTTTGGAACTAAAGAAGTATAATCGACACTAATTTTTCAAAACATTTTTATCATTGGTCGGAAAAGCCTTAAACTGCCCTAATCTCGATCTCTAAATATAAAGCTGAAAATTGAAACGTATATTTTCATAGAAACATATTTTTTGTCAGTTGAACTTTTGAGATTTCCCAAATATCATTATAGTTTAATTATACATTTGTCAGGTTGAACTTTTTCGAATGATCTATGACTCATACATGAACTGGGACTCCGAATTAGGAGGGAGGGGGTTAACTTCTGGTGGATTTTTAGAGGTAGGGGGCTTAACTTTTGAAAATTTTAGGGTATTTTATGCTTTTTGTGATAAAAAATCAGCAAAAAATGGGTTAGGGGGTTAACTTTTTGAAAGTTCCCCCCCCGGGAGGGGGGTTAACTCAAGGGTCCCCAGAGCGACTAGTTCATGTATGTCTATGAGATTTTCGTGGCAATTCATGATTATTTTTCAAAATCATTTTATAGAGCGTGATCATGCTAATTTTCGCCGCATTCTTCAATCGACCCACAATGTACATCCCTCCACTTTGCCCAATTTTATCCCCATTTTTCGCCGATCCCTCAACCCTCCTTAATGTATCCTATATTATCCCGAATTATCTTCGAGCTATGAAATCTGTCACTCAAATTTTTATGAGTTTGAATCGAATGAGTTGTGTTATATTCCCCCATTCTTATACTACAATTTGGAGAAAATATCTGAAATTTTCGATAGCTATAATCCTATTTAGCCCAATTTTTGTGACCTGGAACCTATTTCTATCAAGAGTTTTTGTGATGCCTTATTTTGGCGGGTTTACCTATGGTTATTTGAAATATTTCGAATGGGCGAGTCTATCACAATTCCAATTTGTATTTTTATCCTTGGCAATTTTGGTGACAATTATTAGCACAATTATAATTTTAATATATTTATTGATGCTTCCAACACGCGTCAAATCCCTCGAAAAAACCCTGTGTTTCACAAATCTCACGATCTCTATCAGTTTTATGATTGTCACGGCATTTCAAAGTTTCTACGCGTTTTTTCCGAATGTTTTCACCGGGTTTCTCTCGAATTTTGTGTTTGGTTTGCAATTTTTGAGCTACGATTTTTTGAATATCAGTTCTCCAATTGTGATGATTTTGATGAATGCTCAACTCCGCGAGCATATTTTCAAAAATCAAGGAACTTTTGGGAATTCGATTATCCGAGTTTCACAAACTCAAAATAGTGTGCTTTGAATTCCACGTGGATTTTCTACAGTAACCCACAGTTTTGGCCCAATTTCGAATCATATTTTTTTCGATGTTTGATAAATTTTTGCACTTTGTTCAAATCAAAATTAATTATAGTGTCTGAAAAAACCAAAACGATCAATAAAAAAATTTTCTGAAAAAATCACCTGCACAAAAAACTTCCCCGACACATTTTTATATGTATATCAAATTATTTTTGTACATATGTCTCTATTATCGAATTTAACCCAAGATGGTCGAATTGAAATCGAGTGTGATTTGAGTTATGATAACTCTCGGGAAATTTTGAAATATATTATTCAATTTGCCTATCTTTTTCCGGGAATTTTGATACATTTGATGATTTTGAGGACGATTCAGTGGAAGTATAAGAAGATTTATCGGATCAATTCGTTTTTTATGATTTATACGGTGGATTCGATGGCGGTGAGTGTGAACCGGAAGCTTCCGCGCAGCGGCACTGTCTTCCGCGAAGCGGCCAGGCCTAGGATCAGCCTGAGCTTCAGGCTCAAGCTTAGGTCTAGTCTCAATTTCCGAGCGCCCTTGGCGCGAGTGTAGACCAGAAGCTTCCGCGCAGCGGCCAGGCCTAAGGTCTCAGCCCGAGCTCCAGGCTCAAGCCTAGGTCTAGTCTCAATTTCCGAGCGCCCCTGGCGCGAGTGTAGACCAGAAGCTTCCGCGCAGCGGCCAGGCCTAAGGTCTCAGCCCGAGCTCCAGGCTCAAGCCTAAGTCTAGTCTTAACTCCCGAGCGCCCCTGGCGCGAGTGTAGACCAGAAGCTTCCGCGAAGCGGCACTGTCTTCCGCGAAGCGGCCAGGCCTAGGATCTGCCTGAGCTCCAGGGTCAAACCTAGGTCTAGTCTTAATTCTCGAGCGCCACTGGCGCGAGTGTAAACCGCAAGCTTCCGCGCCAGGCCTGTGCCGGAAAATCAAAACCCGGAAAACGGAAAGTCGGAAAATTTCCGGATTTTTTGAACCGGAAATCCGGAAAATTCGGAAAATTTTTCAAAGTCTGAAATTTCGATTTCCAGCCTTAAGTTGGCACTAAAACTTATTTTTATCTACAATTCTTCTTTTCACAGGTAATTTAGTAACTAGTTGAGACGTCGTACGTTCAAAAAATAGTAAAATTTGAAAAATTGAAAAAAAAAAATTTCCAAAAATTTCATTTTTTCTATCATAAACTGAGAAAATTTTCCAAAATTTAGGCAATTTTGAAAATATTACTACTAGAGATCATTTCCGGATTTTCCGAGCACATTTTCGGCCACGCCTAGGATCAGCCTGAGCTTTAGGCTCAAGCCTAGGCCTAGTACTAATTCCCGAGCGCCCCTGGCGCAAGTGTAAACCGCAAGCTTCCGCGTAGCGGCCACACTCATGCTGAATCTGATGAAGCTGAAGTTCTGCTGAAGATCTGCTGAAAACCGCAAGCTTCCGCGTAGCGGCCACGCCTAAGGTCTCAGCCCGAGCTCCAGGCTCAAGCCTAGGCCTAGTCCTAATTCCCGAGCGCCCCTGGAGCGAGTGTGAACCGCAAGCTTCCGCGCAGCGGCACTGTCTTCCGCGAAGCGGCCAGGCCTAAGGTCTCAGCCCGAGCTCCAGGCTCAAGCCTAAGTCCTGTCCTAATTCTCGAGCGCCCCTAGCGCGAGTGTAGACCGGAAGCTTCCGCGTAGCGGCCTGGCCTAGGATCAGCCTGAGCCCCAGAACTAATGGAAAAACTTGCCCAACAAATCCTACTAGATTTTTCTGAAGTTTGTTTCGTTCACCCACCCACAACATCACAATTCGATTTCAATTTCTCACCTGCTCCAAAATACCTTCCAGAGTCTCTCAATGTTGATCTTCGATGCATTCATCGGTCGCCCAATAATGTACATCCCTCCACTTTGCCCAATTGTAACCCCATATTTCTTCGAACCCTCGATTCTCCTCAAAGTCTTCTACATTCTTCCGAATTATCTTCGAGCTGCAAAATCGATAACTCAAATAATGATGAGTATAAATCGAGTGAGTTGTGTGATATCGCCAATTTCTTATATATCAATTTGGAAAAAATATCTAAATATTTCGATAATTATAATCCTAGTTAGCCCAATCTTCGTAACCTGGAACTTATTTCTATCGCGAGTTTATGTGATTCCAATTTTCGGTGGATTTTCGTATAATTATTTGAAATATGTTAAATGGGCAAGTCTATCACAATTCCAATTTTTATTTTTATCCCTGGCAATTTTGGTGACAATTATAAGCACTATAGTTACCCTAACTTATTTATTAATGCTTCCAACACGCGTCAAATCCGCGGAAAAATCGCTGTGCTTTGCGAATTTTACAATTTCCGCGGCTTTCACAAGTGTTGCAGCTTTTCAAAGTTTATTCGCATTTTTCTCGAATTTCGATGCGACTCTACTTTTCAGCCTGCAATTTTTTAGCTATGATTTTTTGAATATCAGGTACTTCTATACTTCTAATAATTTCTAGCTACCGTAATGTTTTTGCAGCTCTCCAATAGTGATAATTCTGATAAATCCTCAACTCCGCGAGCATATTTTCAAGGGGGAAAAGGCGAATTCAAATGTTTTTATGAGAGTTACAGTAACTCAAACGAATATTAATTAATTTTTACCTTTTTTTTTGAAAATTTTGTGAAACGTGACCCAGAAAAATAAACGTGGCTTCCAAAAAAATTTTTGCAAAAATTATTCCTAGCTTATTCAAAAATAGAAAAATGTTACAAATATTTCTAATCGGATCTGGATTTGGTTATTCGATGATCGGATGTTCGAAAAAGAAAACAGTAGCGGGACCTGTGAAGAAAGAAGTTGAAAAGACAGTGAAAAAAGAGGAATCTGTAAAACAACCCGAAGTCAAGCCAGAAGTCAAACCAGAACCACCAATTGTGAAAAATGAAAGGCCAAAAAAGGAATTATCGAAGAAAAAGGAAAAAGAAGAAGCAATCAAATTATATCGAAATGTTAAACCAACTCCAATAGGTCCTAAAGCTTATAAAGGTTTTCTACAAGTGTTTGGAGAACGATTTCGATCCACGGTAACTTAGAAACACGCAACGCAGACCGCGCCGCGCGCCACAACACACACAAAAAGGGAACGATTCAAATTCCCTCCCTTTTTTGTGTGTTGTGACGCGCGGCGCGGTCTGCGTTGCGTGTTTATTTCGGTGAGATTTTCGATAATAGCAAGGCAACCTTTTGAAAAGCACTATTTTCAGATACCATTTCAAGAAGAAGGAAAAGTATTTGTAAACTTTGATATGGAAGGTCATTACGGATTGCAACACCCAAGATTCAAAGCATTTGATGCGAATCCAACGCGAAATCGATACAAAGAACTGAAATGTATGGATAGCTCTAGAGTTGTTCTCGAAAATCGAAAAAACGATTATATTAATGCGTCATGGGTGGTTTGTGATGTTGATGAATATCGAGGAAAGAATATATTGACACAAGGACCACTTCCGAATACGATTTCTGATTTTTGGGCAATGATTTATCAAGAAAAAGTGGAATATATTGTTATGTTTTGTTCATTTATTGAAAATGGAGTTGAACAATGTGCAAAATATTATCCAACTAATGAAGGAGATGAGAAATATGATAATTTTGAAGTGAAATATGTTGAAAAAGAGAAAGATCCAGTTGAAGGTGTAACTTGGAATGTTTTACATTTGTTTGATAAAAATTCAAATGAATCGAAACCAAGAAGAGTTAACCATATTTATGTATCTTGGTGGGCTGAAAATACAACACCTGATGATCCGAAATTGACAATTGAATTGTATAAATGGTTGATAAATAAAAATGAATCACATATTCCAATGGTATTTCATTGTAATAATGGAATTGGAAGATCCGCCACTTTTGCATCGATTTATTTTATTCTTCGAATTGATATCGATTACTGGACCTTAGGTTATCATAGTGAGTTGATGTTTGAACACAGGGAAAATTGAGAACCAAAATTATTTCAGCCGAAATGTCACATGTTTTGCTGCGAAACTTTCGGATGTTTCGTCATGAGGCAATTGAATCACCACTTCAATCCACATTTTTTTATTGTTGTCTTTTGGAATATTTTTTTGAAGAAGGAAAATTGAAAGGAAGTAAACAAATTGATCAATTTATGAGTGATTATAAAAAATATGCACAAGAAGTACGAGAATGTTTGAGAACAAACAAGCCGATTAAAATCGATATTTTCAAACAACATTCGATGAGAACTGCGAAGATCTTGAAGAAAGAGAAAACCGAAAAGTCGGAATGGAGTTGAATAAGAAGATTCTTCTTGTTGTTACTTGTGTTTTATAAAGATCTGAAACTAGAACAAAATCGATGGACTTGAAAAGATGTGAAAATTTTGAAATTTCAGACTGTTTTCGCTTCAAGACCTGAAAAATCATTTTTTGAAATGAAATTTAGAAAAAGAGTATGTCACCAAAACGTGAAACGTGACCTAGAAAATAAACGTGGTTCCGATCATTCTGGAGCAATTATTCCTAGCTTATTCAAAAATAGAAAAGAATTTCAAGTATGTTGCAAATATTTTTAATAGGATCTGGATTTGGTTATTCGATGATGGGATGCTCGAAAAAGAAAAAAGAAGTCAAGTCAGCTGTTGTGAAAAAGGAAAGCCCAAAAAAGGAATCATCGAAGAAAAGTGAAAAAATCAAAATAAATACGCCAAATTTATATCGAAATGCGAAACCAGTTCCAATAGATCCTAGAGCTTATGGTGATATTTTGCATGAGATTGGAAAAAGACTTCGATCCACGGTAATTCAGAGAACTTGTCCCCATTAATTAAAACAATTGTTTTCAGGTGGCATTCGCGAAAGAAGGAAAAGTTATCCTTAACTTTGAAGCAGACGACTGTTGTACGGACCCAAAATTCACTGCATTTGATGCAAATCCAACGCGAAATCGATACAAAGAACTGAAATGTATGGATCAGTATCGAGTTGTTCTTGAAAATCGAAAAAACGATTATATTAATGCGTCATGGGTTGTTTGTAATTCTAGAAAATATCGAGGAAAGAATATATTGACACAAGGACCACTTCCGAATACGATTTCTGATTTTTGGGCGATGATTTATCAGGAAAAAGTTGAATATATTGTTATGTTTTGTTCATTTACTGAAAATGGAGTTGAACAATGTGCAAAACAGAGTACCGCAACGAAACATTTTTGTGAAACAGTTTCACTTGGTTTCAGCAGAACATTTTACAAAATTTCAATGTTTTTACTTTCTATCTGAGTCACTTTTTGTTTTTTCAACGAGTGTCACGATTAAAAATGATCAGACAATGAAAAAGGTCGAATTAGAAAAATATTAAAAACGTGACACGGTGCAGGTGTGACGTGTTTTCGATGCAAAACATTTTCAAAAAATGAAATGCTTCACGTGTTTTTTCATAACACATTTAATTTCTCGAAATGTGTCACACCAAAAAAGAGTGACACAAAAAAATGTTTCACGTTTTGAAAAAATTAATTGTGTGACACATTAAAATGTGTCACACAATTTTTGTATGACACATTCAATTTTTAAAAATGTTTCATTGGTTTTCAACGAAACAAATCTGATCAGCTGTTTTGTTTCGCCACATTTTACCATTTTCTCTATTAGAGAATTTGATAGAAAAAGCGACCTGGAAGGGAATTTGAACACATTTCGAAAGGATTAGTTTGTGAAGATATTATTTCACTTTTGAGAACTTATGAAATGGACCCGAAAAAGTCGGACCAAGTCAGATTTTTTGAAAAAAAAACTGACAAGGAAACCTTTCGGAACCGCCAAAAAATTGATAATTTTATCCAGCAAACCTCACCCAATACCTGATATTCCAAGTGGGCAATTTTTTTCTTGGAAAACCTAACCTTGTAAGTGGGAAAAAAATTTAAGGGCTTTCAAGGCCAGCCTCAGTCGGGAAAAACATTTTCACTAGGTGGGTAATTTTGAAAAATGAACCCAGGTGGGCAATTTTCCAGCCACTGCTCCAGGTTCTTGGGTGAGGTTTGTTTTTCCAGAAACCTAAAGTCCTCCACAAAATCTTAGCCTCACCGCCAATTTTTTCAAAAAATTAGGAAATTTGATTTTATGTGGAAAATAAAAACTATTTTTCAAAAAAAAAAAATCAAGTTTTCATTTCAGCCTCATTTTCATCTGAAATTTGAAGTAGGGCAAATTTATGTATCACCTTTTGACACATTTTGGCTATACCAACTTTTTCAGAAAAAAATCAAATTTCCGAATTTTTGAAAATTTTGGCGGTGAGGCTAATTTTGTGGATGACTGTAGGTTTCTGGATAAAATTATCAATTTTTTGGCGGTTCCGAAAGGTTTCCTTGTCAGTTTTTTTTTCAAAAAATCTGACTTGGTCCGACTTTTCGGGTCCATTTCATAAGTTCTCAAAAGTGAAATAATATCTTCACAAACTAATCCTTTCGAAATGTGTTCAAATTCCCTTCCAGGTCGCTTTTTCTATCAAATTCTCTAATAGAGAAAATGGTAAAATGTGGCGAAACAAAACAGCTGATCAGATTTGTTTCGTTGAAAACCAATGAAACATTTTTAAAAATTGAATGTGTCATACAAAAATTGTGTGACACATTTTAATGTGTCACACAATTAATTTTTTCAAAACGTGAAACATTTTTTTGTGTCACTCTTTTTGGTGTGACACATTTCGAGAAATTAAATGTGTTATGAAAAAACACGTGAAGCATTTCATTTTTTGAAAATGTTTTGCATCGAAAACACGTCACACCTGCACCGTGTCACGTTTTTAATATTTTTCTAATTCGACCTTTTTCATTGTCTGATCATTTTTTATTTGTGAAGTGTTGTGAATTTTTTTTGAGTGGTGCTATTTTTGTTTCGAAATTCATTAAAATCAGTGACACTTATAAGAAAGTTCAGTTTCATGTTTCGCTTTGTTTCGAAACAAAACAAAATCTTGCGGTACTCTGGTGCAAAATATTATCCAATTGAAGAAGGAGATGAAAAATATGATAATTTTGAAGTGAAATATGTTGAAAAAGAGAAAGATCCAGTTGAAGGTGTAACTTGGACGGTTTTACATTTGTTTGATAAAAATTCAAATGAATTGAAAGCAAGAAGAGTTAACCATATTTATGTATCTTGGTGGGCTGAAAATACAGCACCTGATGATCCGAAATTAACAATTGAATTGTATAAATGGTTGATAAATAAGAATGAATCACATATTCCAATGGTATTTCATTGTAATAATGGAATTGGAAGATCTGCCACTTTTGCATCAATTTATTATATTCTTCGAATTGATATCGAATATTGGATGGAAGGTTATTATGGTGAGTTGAAGTTTGACCACAGCGAAAATGATCAAATGCGCTCTAGCGAACAGGCGGTACATTTGAATGTTCTGTGTGTTTTAATGAGGAACATTGTTAAAAAAAAGTGAAAAAATGCACATTTTCAGATGGAATTTCATTTATTTTGCTCCAAAGTATTCGGGAATTTCGTCATGGCGCACTCGAATCACCACTTCAAACAACATTCTTCTTCTGTTGTCTTTTGGAATATTTCATTCAAGAAGAAAAATTGGATAGAAGTGAAAAAGTTGATAAATTCATGAGTGATTATAAAAAATATGCACAAGAAGTTCGAGAATGTGTGAAAACGAATAAGCCAATTTCAATCGACGTTTTCGAACAACGTTCGATTGTAATATACAAAACACCTGCGAGCGCAATGGAGAAGCTTCCTGGAGGCTGGGACGACGATTAAGAGACGTTTTTTACATAAAAATTCTTTTGAGATTTTGGTTTGATGCTGATCTTTTCCTCTTTTCTTGAAAAATAAACAATTTCCATAATTATCTGGGAGTTTTTTGGAGCTCTTTACTAACTATAAACTAAAATTATTCATACTTCTTTTTATTTAATCATTTATTTTTCCAATGTCAAATTTAACGCAAGAGGGTTCGATTGAAATGTCGTGTGATTTGAGTTATGATAACACTTGGGAAATTGACAAATGCTTATTCCAACTTACTTATCTATTTCCTGGAATTGCGATTCATTTTGTGATTTTGAAAACGATTTTATGGAAATATTGGAAGGTTTATCGGAACAATTCGTTTTTTATGATCTATGCGTTGGATTCGATTATGGTAAGGGATAGGACCTATAAATCATACTGTATTAAAATTTTGTGATGAAAATGGGACAACAGGTCCAATTTGAATCCTTTCCAGAACTTTATAATGTTAACACTGGCTGCTTTCTTGGGTAGACCAATGATATTTATTCCCGCACTTTGCCCAATTTTCTCCCCATATTTTTTTGAGCCCTCAATATTTCTAAAGTCCCTATACATTATTCCAAATTATTTTCGAGCTGCAAGTTCAGTCAATCAAATAATGATGAGTATAAATCGTATGACTTGTGTGATTTATCCAATGTCTTATATCACAATTTGGAAGAAGTATCTGAAAATTGCGATAATTATCACACTTCTCAGCCCATTTTTAATTATCTGGAACATATTTCTATCACGAGTTTATATAAGTCCAACACGTGGCGGGTTTTCACCGAATTATTTGAAATATGTGAAATGGGCGAGTATATCACTACTTCAATTCTCGTTTTTATTCTTGGCAATTGTTATTACAGTAGTTAGCACTGTTGTAACTCTGGTTTATCTATTTGCACTTCCAATGCGCCTCAAATCTGCTGAACGAACTTTATGCTTTGCAAATATCACAATTTCTATTGCTTTTTTGATTGTTGCAAGTTTTCAAAGTTTATTCGCATTTTTCACAGTCTTCGATGTTGCGACTCTATACATTTTACAGTTTTTTGGCTATGATTTTCTGAATATCAGGTTTGAATATCTTGGGGTAAAGATTATTAAAAGGATTCAGCTCTCCAATCGTGATAATTCTGATTAATCCTCAACTCCGCGAGCATATTTTCGGAAAGAAGAAATCTGTACAAACTATTCAAGTTTCCACTTCTCAAAGTACTAGTATGCTTTAGATTTGCAATTTTGCGGCCTAAAACTTTATTTATTTTTATAAAAGCGGACATTTTTTATCCGGATTCATTGGTGTATTTTTGTCGCAATTAAACGATTTGGCAAATTCCATCGAATTCGACATCATTCCATTCACTCGAAAACTATGTTTATCCTTTTGACTCAATTTTTTTGCGCATAAAGCCTGAAATTTTTCGAACATTCTACTATTTCAAGCGAAAAAAATAACTACCGATGCGATTCGTTGAAAAAACTGTTGATCAATTGTCTCCTCTTCAAAAGCTGGTAATTTTTGAGGTTTCCGTATTTTTTTGAAAAGCCGGTATGCTAAATCGAATCCTAATTTATCGGCAATTCTCGTCTTAACACCGTCGGACTCGAAAAAAGGGTTTACCTTTACTCCAAAGATGCTCCAACTCATAAAACTTCCATCAGTGATACATTTGACACGTTTCTCGAATTCTTGTTTATCCTCACTTTGCAAAAAACGTTGCGCATCAAAAGCATGTCCAATTTCATGGCCAATGAAATAGCCCAAAGTTGCAATAGTATTCCAATACGGTAAATTTTCATCGAGGAATGGATATGAGAAAAGAATCGAGGGGATTGCTAAAAAAAACACGACCATACATGGCGCCCGTTGAGTCAGACGCGAGACGGCGAGAGTATTTTACGAAAATATCCCGATAATGAATTTCGTGGCGAGATATTTTCAATAAAATGTGTGTTCCTTGAAACAAAATAAATTATTTTTTCAAAGGGACACATATTTTCTCAAAAATATTTCGAAGCGATGTCTTTCTCTGTCTGTGATGACGTCATTAGACTCCAGTCGTCTCTCGTCTGACCCGAGGGGCAATTTTCTATTGGAGTAAATGGTCGTGAAAAATCGAATATAGTCTCTTGAAAGCTATTACAACTTACAAATTCGATGTGATCCATACATGACAGATGAATCAACCTGATAAGTCATAACTTCTCTTCTGGCAACCCTCAAAAATGTCTCTTCACTATTCATTTTCAATAAATTCCTTACAAGTTCTAAATATCCTTGTTGTTCAGCTGGTTTCGATTTCTCCACTCTTTCATACATTTTTTCAATATTCCGATATTCTTCTGGCTCACCAATAAATGCTTTTAATGTTTTCAACTCTTCCTTCAACCATCTCTTCGAATTTTCATCCATCCATTCATTTTCATCAATCATTTCATTAAATATATATTTGAGTTCTTCGAAAAGCAATTTCACTCTACTAATATCATTTTTACGCACAAAATTTTTGATGAAAATCATGGACAATGTTCCGGGAAACAGTTTTTCAACAACTGAAAAACAAAATTCGGATCGATTTTCGGATGTGCCGATAAACCTCTCAAGTTCCTTTTCCCATCTGGGTCGTAGAATATTGTCTCGGATTTTCGAAACTCCACGATTTCTCAAAAACGTATTCAACTGAAAATGCGAGAATTTCCAGTATGAGCTTTAACTCTCACCTGTTCAATTCCTGTTCTCGCAACTTTCAACTTCCAATTCATCTTCTTTTCTCGATATTCTTCAGGAAGTAATCCTTTCAAATAACGTTGAAGATCGATAAAAGTGAATGTTGTTGTATCATCCGGCGATAAATCGGTTGCATTCAAATCATTGTTTGCAAATTTCTCAGTCGCGCTCCAAAATTCCTGCAAAAAACATATTTTGAGCACAAAACTGCGGGCAAAAAAAACACACAAACACACACGGTGAGGCAAACGCGCTCTAGCGAACAGGCGGCACGTTTGAATTTTCTGTGTGTCTTTCTCGTTTTTTTCAGCGTTTTCAAGCAAAATATGAGGATAAAACTGAATTACTTCACACAAAAAGAAAAAGGAGAAGATTCTCTACCTAAACAGCTATTCGAAATCGTGAAATAAGCAATTTTCAGCTTTTTTCTCCCAATTTTTCGAAAACACTACATAAAATATATCAATTTGTTCCTTTTTCACTCAGGAATATCAATAATCATGAAAAAGTTCTTGAAAATTGAAAATTTCACGGTTTTGGGTTGTTTAAAGCATACCTTGTATTCCGCTAAATGCGCATAAAACGTGAGCACCAATTTCTTCTCCTTGTACTCGGGCCGAATTGAATTTCTCAGGAAAAACGTATCGATTGGCGTCACTTTCACAACTTCAATCAGTAATTCTGTGAAATCTTGGCTGTGCCATATTCTTTGGTTCAAATCCCCAAGTTTCGCTGACTTTGCTAGTAGACATTTTTCAAATACAACTTTGGCAATTCTTTCGGATCTTGTGACTGGTTTGTAGGTTTTTTGGAAAAATGTTTCGAGTTTTTTTCGATTTTTGATTGGATGATCTGCAAATTCCTTCCAATTTCCACAACTATATTCATAAAAATCTTGACATGGATCGGTTGCATTATTCATTATTTCCCTCATTTCCCCTCCTAATTTTACACATTCTTTTGTTTCACAAACTTCTGAAAACCTCGCGGGTTCTTCTTTGGACAAAATCATGAATATGATAAGAGCAATAATCACCAGCAATATTATAGCTCCTCCAACACCCAATAAAATTGTCTTTAAATATTTTCGCTTTTCCGGGATCTCTGGGTTTTCTGATTGTTTAGTAGAAGATTTCGATTCATTCTCTGATGGCTTAGGCTCAGTCTTCTTAGCTTTCGGATCTTTTGATTTTCTGAGATTAATATGAATTTAGATATTCGAATTTGGAAAGGATGAACTCACAATTTCATTTTTCTGAGATATCTAAAAATAGTGACACTTTGTCAAAAAATTCACGCTCGCTCAAAGTTCACGTCGAAATTCATAGAATGGACCTAAAATCAGCCTGATTTTTGAAATTAGGATAAATCTAGGTTTAATTTAGCCTAACTTCCAGCACAATTTTCATCCAGAACTTACAATTAGCCATGAATTTCAGCCAAAAACCTAAATATAAGGGAATTTGAAATTTCTTTTTTTGCGGTAGAATCAAGATTAGATTACTGTTCAGTTTCAGACTGCAAGAAGTACTGTAGCTATGCAACTGCAAGAGGTACTGTAGTAGTATTCAATTTCTGCTGAAATTTTCAGCCAAAATCCAACTTCCGGTTGTAAACTTTGTGATTTATGTGATTTTTTTCCAGCTCAGATTTTTCCGCGGAGAATAATAATGTGATGTGATTTTTTTTTACTTACAATCAATTTTTGAGTTTTCCCCAGGGAGTTTAGTAATTTTCATCTAATAATAGGTTTTTAATAAAAAAATTTACTAATTTTTTATTTTCGAAAAAAAATTATATCATAAGTTACATATACCCCCGAAAATATCACCTGCTATTTATTCTTGTTTTATTAGTTCCCCCCCCCCCCCTCCTCAAAAATTTTTTCTCATATATAAGATAGGTTAAAATTGAAAAGTTGCCGGTTTTTAACAATATTTATAAAAAAAGAAAAAATCATCGCAAAAAAATTAAAAATAATACTTTTATCCAAGATACATAAATTTATATTTTTTGTTATAAATCCAACAAAAATATAATGAATTTTTATGGCCGAATATGTTTTTGTAAAAACCATATATTTTTTAAAAAAACACATTCTGATTTTCGAAAAATAACGATTTGCGCCGAGCACAAATCGTTATATTTTAATTTTGGCTGTGCGTGGTGAAAATTTATTTTCTAACGTGACCTTTTATTTTCTAAATCTGACGATTTGATCCGAGCTCAAATCGTTAGATTTTGAAAATAGAAGGTCACGTTTTTAGTCACAAATAATATTTTTTTTTGTTTTCAAAATATAACGATTTGGGTTGGGATCAAATCGTTAGATTCTGAAAATAAATACAACGTTTCTAATTCAAATAAAATAAACTGAAATATTTGCCTATTTTTAATCAAAAGTACAGTAACATTTATCGATTGAATATTTTCATTGATTTTCAAATTTAAAGCTAATGATTTGGACAGATATTTGATTTTTCCGTCAAAACCGGCAACTTTTCAATTTTAACCTATCTTATATATTCAAAAAAAAAATGTCGAATTTAACTCAAGATGGTTTGATTGAAATCGAGTGTGATTTGAGTTATGATAACTCGCTGGAAATTATCAAATACATTCTTCAATTTGCCTATATGTTTTCGGGAATTCTGATACATTTTGTGATTTTGAGGACGATTTTGTGGAAGTTTAGGGGGTTTTATAGAACTAATTCGTTTTTTATGATTTATACGGTGGATTCGATGGCGGTGAGTGGATTTTCGAGCGAAGCGAGTGTAGACCGGAAGCTTCCGCGCAGCGGCACTGTCTTCCGCGAAGCGGCCACGCCTAAGGTTGGGGGGGTGGTTAAGGTAGGGGGAATCCGCAAGCTTCCGCGCAGCGGCACTATCTACCGCGAAGCGGCCACGCCTAAGGTCTCAGCCCGATATCCAGGCTCAAGCCTAGGTCTAGTCTTAATTCCCGAGCGCCCCTGGCGCGAGTGTAAACCGCAAGCTTCCGCGCAGCGGCACTGTCTACCGCAAGGCGGCCATGCCTAAGATCTGCCTGAGCTCCAGGGTCAAGCCTAGGTCTAGTCTTAATTCCCGAGCGCCCCTGGCGCGAGTGTAAACCGCAAGCTTCCGCGCAGCGGCACTATCTACCGCGAAGCGGCCACGCCTAAGGTCTTAGGCCGCAGCCCGAGCTCCAGGCTTAAGCCTAGGTCTAGTCTTAATTTCCGAGCGCCCCTGGCGCGAGTGTAAACCGCAAGCTTCCGCGCAGCGGCAAGGCTGGACATATGCCTAAGATCAGCCTGAGCCCCAGGATCTGAAAATTTAGGCTTAAAATCCTGAGAAGTGACTAGACAACAAACTTCCCCTCAAAAATTTCAGCTGTTTTCCAGAGTATGCTAATGTTGATGTTGGATTTATTTTTCGGTCGAATAATAATCTACATTCCTCCACTTTGCCCAATTCTCTCCCCAATTTTCTTCAATCCCTCAATATTTCTAAAAACCATGTATATTCTTCCGAATTATCTTCGAGCTATCAAATCTGTCACTCAAATTTTAATGAGTATAAATCGTATGACTTGTGTGATATCGCCAATTGAATATGTCTCAATTTGGCGGAAATATCTCAAAATTTCACTAATTATAACACTCCTCAGCCCATTTTTCGTTATCTGGAATCTGATTTTATCCAGAGTTTATGTAACTCAAACCCGCGGGGGATTTTCATATAATTATTTGAGATATGTTAAATGGGCGAGTCTATCACAATTCCATTTTGTATTTTTATCCCTGGCAATTTTGGTGACAATTATTAGCACTGTTGTGACTATGACCTATTTATTTATGCTTCCAACACGCGTCAAATCCGCTGAAAAAACTCTGTGCTTCTCGAATTTCACGATTTCCCTCGCTTTTATGATTGTTGCTGGGTTTCAGAGTTTGTTCGCGTTTTTTCCAGCCTATTTTTATGGGTCGGATACACTTTATACCCTACAATTTTATAGCTATGATTTTTTAAATATCAGCTCTCCAATTGTTATAATTCTGATAAATCCCCAACTCCGCGAGCATATTTTCAAGGGGGAAAAGGCGAATTCGAATATTTTCACAAGAGTTACAGTAACTCATAATAGTGTGGTTTGATAATTTCCTGCAAATGTGGAACTTTTGCAAAAAAAAGCTGCAATAATAAAAAAATTTTTGTGCTAATCAAATTAAAAACTTCACATAAAAGCCGATCTAGCTTCCAAAAAATCATCTTTGAAAATGTTGTCCAAAATCATCTCAACCATCTTGATTCTCACCGCAATTTTCGCAATGATTTCGGCTGACAACGAAAAAAATTGTCTTCGTCAAAGTGAATGCCCGCCGCATACTATTTGTATAATCGATCAAGAACTGAATTATGGCGAGTGTTTGCCATATATTGGATAACGAAAAAAAATGAATTTTGGGAAAATATTCATAAATTTTTTCGAGTTGTCAGAGTTTTTGTTGAAGCAGGATTTCTAGATTTGAAGAAAAAAAAAAGAAAAAGTTCGCGAACGGGATCGAACCCACGACCTCTGGATTCGAACGCGAAGATGCTAACCACTCGGCCACGCGGTGCTTTTTCAACAAGCAGGCAAATGTTTGATAAATGAAATACATCCTGAAAATCCTGAAAAATTCTATTTTCTAGTCAATTTGAACTTGGTTTCCCCAAAAATAATACCCCCCAAAAATAACACAATTACCCTTTATAATATTGTTTTTCCTGATTTTTTCTCCTGTTTTCCAACAAAAAAATCAGGATTTTCTCGTCATTCTCTACATATTTTTCCCTCTAAAAAAATATGGATCTGAATTTGAATTTCACATGTGATACTCAACATTTCAACCCAAAAATTCATATTCTTCTATATTTGATTCAAGTTTTCTACCTGATTCCTGGTTTCATTGCAAATCTATTGATTCTAAACACAATTTTACGGAAATTTCGAACAACTTATCGCAAAAATTCGTTTTATAATATTTATTCCATTGATTGCTCAGGTTAGTTTTTGAGGAATTTTGGGTTTGTAAATAGAAGAAAACTTCTTGTTGAGCCCAGAGAATTCGTGTGCAGATGGTATAGCCGGTAAGTGCTTAGGTCCATAGTCTAGAGGTCAAGGGTTCGAATTCACCTCCCGACTATCTTTTTTTGTATTTCAAAAATGTTGCTTGTTTCAGTCAGTTGTTTGATCATTTTCCTGGATTTATTTTTCAATCGAAGCTTCATTTATATCTATGCAATCTGCCCATTTTTCTCCGAATTTTTCGCATTCGATTCACTATTTTTGAAACTGATTTTCACGAGTTCCAATTATTTTCGCGCCTCAAAATCCGTTATTCAAATATTTTTGGTCCTAAATCGCATGAATTGTGTTGTGTCTCCTCTGAAATATGCTGAAAAATGGAGAAAATCGATGAATTTTGTCTATTTTTTCATTTTTTTCCTACCGTTTTTAGGTGAGACCTTTTTTTCTTTATCAGAAAATTCATCAGAAAAAAATTCCAGTGATTTGGAATATTTTAATCTCCAAAATCTTCATCGTAAATATTTTCGGAGGATTCACAGTCTCCTACATCCGAATATTTCCGTGGGCAAAACTATCCATTTTCCAATTAATTTTCATCACAATCGCTCTAATTTTCACAATAATTTCCACAATTACAACAATAATTTCGCTATTTCGGCAAAAAAAATCTGGAAATATTCGAAAAGCTGAAAAATCCTTGTGCATTTCTACTGCAATTATATCAGCCGGATTTTTTGCCGTCGCCGCTTTTCAGATTTTTTATGCGTTTTGCGAGATTTGCTCGGAGAATTCGAATGTTTTTGCGCTGCAATTTTTGAGTTTTGATTGGTTGAATGTTAGTTCGCCGATGGTGATTTTGTTTACAAGTAGATCTTTGAGAGCTAATGTTTTTTCGAGGAAAAATGGGAGAAATATGAAAATAATGGTTAAAGTTAGTGTTTCCCAGATTAAAGAGAAATAAATTTTTTAAATTCAAATTTTTTTTTTGCAAGAAAAGCTTTATTCAAATAATTTCTAGAAGAAAAAGTTCTTTTTAACCTTCACACATCTTCCAAAATCAGATTTCTTCGGATTCAATTTACATCTATAGCCAGGTTCACAATCATCATCTGATTGACACAAACGACGAGCAGAATTGAGGGAAATGGCGATTGAGGCCAGAACGATGAAAATGTGGAGGAAATTCATTTTGAATGTGGAAAAATTGGGGATGGTTTATGTATCTATGTACAAAATTGTTCTTGCAAATCAGAATTTTAAATTCGATTATAATAATCTCAACTTAATTCTGATTCGAATATTCGTTAGCAAAAATTCAAATCCTGATTTGCAAGAAACCTCAAATTTTTGCAAATTTTTACGGGGTGATTCAAGTCGGGCAAATAATGAATGGGACCCCAAAAGGGACCCCGAATGACTGAATGGGACCCCGCAAAAAAAGGGACCCCGTTGAATTTTTGTATTAGTACGAATGGGAGCCCATTGAAATTTTATATTGAAAGGGATACAAAATTTGAAGCCTAAGCCTATGCCTAACCCCAGTGCTGAGGATACGTCTAAGTTTAAGCCTACTTGTGGTCCCATTCTGAAAAATCTTCAATGGGGTCCCATTCGTACTAATACAAAAATTCAACGGGGTCCCTTTTTTTGCGGGGTCCCATTCAGAAAATTCAAAAAAATGCTGTGGTCCCATTTTATTATTTTGGGGTCCCATTCATCACGACGATTTTCAAACACCGGGGTCCCTTTTGGGGTCCCATTCATTATTCACCTTTTTTTTGACTTGAATCACCCCATTATAGAAAGTATTTGAATAAAGCTTTTCTTGCAAAAAAATTTGAATTTACAAAACTTGGCGGGGCCGTAATTGCGGAGTATCGTAGTAATATTTTTTGGACTTTTTGAATAACACAAAATTATCCTGAAATTTTTTATTGAAAACTTAAAAATTCCAAAAAAGTGCGACCACAAAAGCAAGCATCAAACTCATACTCCCAGCTGAAGTTGTCGGATACGATTGTCCCCATGGAAAACCTTGAACAACATCTTTGCATTCAATTCCAGTTGGAATTTGAATATCCGGAAGACTATAAAGACTCATTGTATTCTGGCACGATGATGTAAGCCAACACGAAATAATGTTGATAATTTGGAAGCGAGCATTTGTGATTGTGTTTGGATCACAAGTGTTTGGTTGTCGAAGATCGAGATGATGGGCGGAGCCGGGGATTTCGAGGATGTAGATTCCGCGCGATGGATTGGTGGCGGATGCGGAATAACCGCCTCCCGACCAGGGATCCAGGTGGCCTTGGCTGCAAAATTTTGGGCATTCGGATCATATATTTTTTTTTTGAAAAACTCACGTCAAAATCAAGTTGCTCGCAGCCGACAAATCGAAGCCATACAATTTTTTGACCGCATCAATATCCCAATTGGCAGATGTCCAACTCAAGCTGAAAATACAGGGATTTTTTTCGTGCAAACGAGGAACTTTTGCAAAAAAAAAGATCAAAAAATCAATTTTCCCAAATAATTTGATCAAGTTTTGTGCTAATCAAATCAAAAACATTCACATAAAAGAGCATCTCCAACTTCTCCAAAAATCATCAACTTTTTCTTTGAAAATGTTGTCAAAAGTTGTGTCAACTCTCTTGGTTTTCTCCACATTATTCTTCGCTATGATTTTGGCTCAACAACAATGTACTCGTCAAACTGATTGTCCAGTTGGTCTTTTCTGTTTGAAAAATAACCCGGAGGATATTGCTTATTGTCGGCCACTTTAAGCAAACTGGGATAACTTTTTGGAATAATAAATTTATTTGCATTCAATTTTTCCTATTTTGTATCAATTTAGTTTAGAGATATAACTTGGGATTCCTAATTCTAATTCTAATTTTAAGCCAAAAAGTTTCAAGTCTGAAGAAGCGGAAACTTTCTCACAAAAAATTTAAGGGAGTTCAGAAGCAATTAAAATCCACGTGGAAAATTTCGAATTTTGCCACGTCATAGCTTATCTACGAATATAACGTATTAACTTCTTGACAATTATCAGAACAGCAAAAATTACGTTTCAAAATTTTTATATTGTTTTTTTTGCAAAATTTTTGAATTTTAATACGTTGATGCCTAGTAGATCGAAATATCATCAAAAAATCTGGCGCCATGTGGAAAAAATTTAAATTCAAAAATTTTAGCGCCTTAAAATTCATGTGGCATTTTTTCACATCAAAAATTGAATGACCAGAATTCGAGCCCTGAAATCCACGTGGCTAAAAATTTCGAATTCAACTTTTTGCGTGTAAAATCCACGTGGCAAAAAATTAAAAAAAGTGAAATTTTTGATTTGATCAAAAATTATTTGATTTGAAAAAAAAAATAGAAAAAAAAACACAAACTTTGCAAAAATCTGCACACATTGCTCCTGCAACAATTGATAAATATCAGTGCCACATTCCTCCCAAAACACATCATTAGTTCCACCGTGTGCACACATTGCCATCACAATTTCCGAACATTCTTGCCATGGCCAACCCAATGCATCATTTCCCAATCCACCAACTCCTTCATCTCCACAAACTGAATAATCAATACACCATGTGTAATTAGCGACTTGGTTGTAATTGTAGTAAACATTGGCTGCTTGGGCTACCATTGTAACTAATTGTTGATCGGTGAATGTGGTTCCTGGAAAATTTTTTAGTTTTTTCTATTAAAAATTTTGGATTGCTCATGTTAAGAGCTTTAATTTGATAGGTCGTAAGCCTATTTTTGCATTGCTCATGTTAAAAATTAAAAATCAAAATTTTCAAAACCTAAATTGGATTGCTCAGGTTAAGAGCTTTATTTTGATTCCTCACAAGCCTAAGTCAAATCCTGTACCTACATTTGTAGGAGCTTAAGAGCTTGGCGTTTATAATCCCTAAGCAAAAGCTCAAACCTACATTTTTGGATTGCTCAGGTTAAGAGCTTTATTTTGATACCTCAAACGCCTAGAATTTGGATTGCTCAGGTTAATAATTTTATTTTATATGTGTGGAGCGCGTGGTACCGATGAGATTTTCGATAATAAATAGTTCTAACCCCAGATTTTTATATTGCTCAGGTTAGCTTTTTTGATACCTCATAATTTTTTTCTTGAAAACCCTAAGGATACGTGGATTTTTATGGCGCCAAAACTTTGGATTTAAATTTTTTCTGTTGTATAGCTACACCCCCCCCACTAACCCGTGGAATTCATAAAACTGCACGCCACCTTAACCGGCCACGCAGGCAATGGTTCCAAAAACGAAGTAGGATACGGATAATCAACCATCGCCATATACTCGATAGCTTCTCTCATAAACGCGTTCAAATTCCATCCATCAGTCGCGTTTCGAATCGGCGTTCTCGGGTCCAACGTGAACACCGTGTTATTATTCAAAAACGCCCGTCCATCTGCAGTCGCCGACAAATTCAACACCGCATTCCAAACATTCGCCAAAATAAATCGATTGCATCCATTATCCACATATGTTCTTGATGTGATATTATCAAATACACCTGGCTCAATGCCACCGCCTCGCATATAAATTAAAGGCGCAGAGCCTGCCCAGGCCCCAGTTACAATGTGCGGATATTTCATTCTGAACCATGCCGACAACATTCCACCGTAACTTCCACCGAAAGAGATGACTTTGGTGTCGGATGGGAAGGTGTAGTTGAATTGATTGTTTGGAGTTTTGAGTGTGCTGAGGAGCTCGGCATAATCAGCCAGGGCTTGTTCACTGGTGAGGTAGCCCAGGTTTTTGAGGTTCTATAAAAATAAATTAATTTAATTAGTTCGCTAGAGCGCACTTGCCGCATAAGATGACGTGTTATACGGTTGAGTTTGTCCATAATATCGATGTTCAGCAAAAATCAAACTGGCATTAAATTGCTGTGCAATATCAAACATAATCCCGGTTGCTGTCACAAATCCCTCCAGACTTCCCTCATTTCCAGTGTAGAAGAAAATCGGGCCGCCCGCCTTGTAGAATGTGTTATTCCACATGAAGCGAAGATTGAAGGTGTCGGTGTTGCCGTAGGCGAAATGATCCACTCGCATGCCCTTGTACCATTTGACTTCGACGTTTGGGGGAATGTCATCGAAAGTTTTGGGGTGGATGAGAGAGCGCTGGAATTGGAGAGGTTTTAGAGAAGTTCTATTTTAGAACTGTAGCATTTCGTAAAAACACGTGGTTTTTTTTAAATTTGGGTCACGTTTCATCGAAAAATACTCATTTCAAAAATAAAAAAAAAATAAAAATATTTTTACTACGGTAGGCAAAGTGTGCATTTGTGCGTCACCGTGTTTGCAGAACACAATTTTATTTTTTTATGGGGTGATTCAGGTCGAAAAAAAAAACTTTAAAAAAAAACGTTTTTTTTACAAAAAAAATCGATTCAGAAAATGTGAAAAAATGTCGAAAAACAGGAAAAATATAGCTGAATCGAATTTTTTTTGTAAAAAAAGTTTTTTAAAGTTTTTTTTTCCGACCTGAATCACCCCATAATTTTTTTTTGCTGTGAACGACACTCCGCTTGCGCGCTGTTTAGCGCAACACGAGAATATTCTCATTTTTTGTTTTTTTTTTTCTGGGTTTTCAGGTTTTCGGGAAAAATCAGTGGATTTCAGGCTGAAATTGAAAAACCAACGGAAAATCCGAGAATTATCGAAGAAAGGTGGGTTTTCTCTAGAGAAACACTGCTTCGATTGAAAATTTTGAGTTTTCAGCTCGAAATATTGATGGGCAATTGGAATTCACTATTAATAACGTGGAAAACTTGGAGGATTTTTGGATTTCGATGATTTTTGTGTGATAGAAGCGATTGGTGAGTTTTTTGGTGAGGGATTGCGGAAAAATTGAAAAAATCGATAAAAAATTCTGTGAAATTTGAAAAAAGTTAGGCTAACTCATCAAAATCTAGGCCCAAAAGTCTAGTTTCAAAAATTAAAAAAAAGAAAAAACAATTTTTACTACGGTAGGCAGGAAAAGTGTGCATTTGTGCGTCAGCGTGTTTGCAGAACACAATTTTATTTTTTTCGAATTTTTTTAGTTTTCCACGCAATTTCAGGGCTTTAAAGGCGGTTTCAGAGCATTTTGACTAGACCATCTGATTCGTCTTGTCGAGATGAAAAAGTAGAGCTGTTAATTTTTTTCTGAAACGCATTTTGAACAAAGTTGAAGGCAGAAAACTGTAAATTTTCAGTTTTTCTTCATTTTTTTGCAGTTTTTCAAACTTTGAAGCCTTTATTATAATTCTTCATTATAAAAAGTCATTTCTTAAATTCTTCCTGAATTCTAGCTTTTCGAAAATTGAAAAAAAAAACAAATTTCTCCTAGAATTTCGCATTTTTCATCATTATCAGTAATTTTTCTGATAAGAAAAAGAGCAAAATTGGATTAAAGATGTAAAACCAGAAACCAACACGAATTTAAAAGTTTAAGCGATAACCAAAAGCGAAAAAAGGAAGTGACCGCCCAAAAAACACGCGTCATTGCGGAGTCTCGTAGTTTTACTTTTATTTGTCATCATTTTTTTTTGTTTTCCAACCAAAAACTCACTCTTCTTGGCCATTTCGAACCTTCCAAACTTGAAACAAGTACGAAAATCAAAAAAATTAGTAATTCTTTCATTTCGCACTCTTATATTACATATACATATATAAATACTCAGTTACAAATAAAATGTCTTATCACAAAAAAAAAGTATTACAAGATGACAATTTTCCAATTTTTTTTGCTGTTTCGAAAAAAATTTGATAAGCGAGAACTTTAGAAGTTGCCGTCAAGCACAAACTTCATAATGTCGAGATCGATTTGGTGCATTTTTGAGTTGTGAAGTTTGGTGGCCCTGATGCGGGTTAGGCGCGGAATTCCGCGAGCGGTTGGGGAGTCTGGAAGTGAGGATTTTTAAAGTTCAAGTGATTTTCTCACAGTTGAAAAATGTTGAAAAATGTGGCTGGCGTATAGTTGGACATTGACTATATGGCATTTCCATGTTTTATTTAGCAAGTGAGTTGAAATATTGGATTTTAATCGTATTGATATGATAGAATGGTCTAAGACGAACAGAATGATATAAATTTTTAAGACTTTACGTTATCCATGAGTGATTTAGCGACGTTTAGCCGATCGATTTGCCTTATTGACATATATATCGACTAAACCTCGCTAAATCACTTATGGCTAACGTAAAGTCATCAAAATTAATATGATTCCGTTCGTCTTAGACCATTCTATCCTATGAATACGATTAAAATCCAATATTTCAACTCATTTGCTTAAAAAACCTGAAAATGTCATTTAGTCAATGCATACCACGCCCAGCTTCGTGCAAATTAACTTTGAAAATTGGCGGTGTGAGTTTAGAAATTTTTTGGCGAGGTGAAAACAACGTTCTTGACTGAAAAATACCACTTTTTAACGGGAAAACAAGCAAAAATTTGCTGTTTTTCAAGAAAATCTCAAATTGGCGAGGTATATTCCCGTAAATTTTTATTGGCGCCGTGCATATGCCTCACCCTGGGCGCGGTGTCGATGTTCAACTATCTTCATTTTCGAAAATCAACTCACTGGGTCTAGTTTGCGCCAAACTTCTTCTCAAATCCAATTGAACTTGCGCAAACTTCAAACTTCCAACTCCCCTCTGTTTTTCCTTGTGATTCTCCAGCGCTTTTTGCACCTCCGTCCCAGTAATCTTCTTCTGTATTCTTCTCTCATTCAACCGCTTGTTCAACATTTCTAGAACTTCCATTCGACGCTTCGGGCGGATTCGTTGAATTCGAGTAAGATATTGAGATTGTGCAGAAGTTAGGTGAATCTTCCGGAACTACAGAAACAAGTTTAAAAAAAGGTTTGTAAAAAATCTCACTCACAAACTTCTGAAGTGTCCTCGCAGCTCGATCTTTTTTCTCCTCATTTCTCATGATTCTCTCTCGATCTTCATCAGTGATTCTTTCATTTTCCGATTTTTTCGACTCCGATTCCATGAATCCATTGACTTCTCTTGGCGGCAATCTCAATAGGGTTTCGAATTTTTGAATATCGTATGATTTCGCGATTCGCAGATTTCGAAGCTTCTCTAGAAGTTCGTCGTTTCTTCGGGTTGAATTTTCGATGATGGCAGACCATTCGGAGCTAGAAATTGGAATTTTAAAATATGAAAAATGAAAAATTATGCGGAAAATTGTGAAATCTAGTTTTCGCCCCCTAACTTTTCTCAAAATGAGTTTTAGGAAAAAAATAAGTAGCTCATATTTTTCACCTCAACAAGACGAATCAGATGATATATTCAAAATTCTCTGAAACTGTCTCTAAACTTCTGAAAATACGCTGAAAACTAACGAACAATGAACAATTGGAGTGCAAACACCGTGACGCACAAGTGCACACTAATTGCGTACCGTAGTAAAAAAGCATTTTTTTTTTCAAAATTTTGATTTTTGTTCCCTAAAAAATATCTCGTAATACTTCACCTAACTATTTCAAAATAACTCACTCATAAATTCGTTTCTCCAGCTTCCGCTCGCGTTTCCGCATCGAATCGCGCCAGAAATTCTGGATTTTCCGCGCCGCTTCTTCTTCTTGCAAGCTCATTTTGTCCCGAAAAGAACAAGCAAAACAGCAAAACAAAATGAAAATGACCTTATTTTTGACATGCGGCGAGTTGTTGCCATAGAAACGTGCAAGGGAAAATAGGCGGGACTTGGGCTAACTAGAAAATATTCCACAGGGGGAGATTTTTTGATGTTCAGCGACATAGTCTTTGAAATTTGAACATGTCATTTTTAAATGTGAGCTTAGCGCAGGCGGTAGGTAGCTCGTTTTGCACGCAGAAGGTTCGGGGTTCGACTCCCGCTCGACGCAAACTATTTTTTTTGGTTTTTTGTCAAAACTTCCTGATTTTCGGACCACAAATGCATGTGTCAAAGTGAAAAATTGAGCTCAATCAAATGTGACACATCCATCAAATTCGATTATTTCAACTTTCCCTTGTTTTTCCTTTTTTTCCTTCCTTAAAAACTTTTTTTTCTTGGAACTTTGTGTAGAAAATGAAGAAGAAAAACTAATTATTGAAACCTGGCTCTTCTTTTTCTTCCAAAAAAAAAATTCCCTTTTTTTGGTAGAAAAAATGTGCGCGGCTCTCACGAAATTCGTCTCTAAACCCCCTAATTTTCATCACGCGCGCGCGCGAAAAAAGTTATAATTATTTTTTTTGTGCTCGTAAATGGGATTAGCCTATTTTTCGTTGTGTATGTTGCTATAGAGATGATTTCCAGATTTTTTTAGACAATTTAAGATGAAAAATAGAGGTTTTTTGTAGGTTTTGTGACGTCAGAAGGGATATTTTTAGTTTAGGAAAAAAATAATGTGTAAATTTTGTGAAATTTGATCAGAAACTTGGTGACAAATTTTGAAATTCAAAACTTTTTGCCTCACATTTGACGCAATTTCAATTTCACCTGCTTTTTTGCAAATTTCCCCAGAAAAATACCGTTTTCTCAAAAAAAAAAAAAAAAATTAAAAAATGCGAAAAAAAAAATAAAAAGAAAACAACGAGACTCCGCGTTGACGGCAACGCGCGTCCTGTGTATTTGCATGTTTTTTAATTTTTTTTTTGCATTTTTTCATATTTCGCCGATTTCTTATCGAAATTTTCTGAATTTTTTCATCAATCTAGACTAAGCTAAATCTAAGATCCCATAAAACCCTCGAAACTCCGATTTATGTCTCCCACCTGACTGGGCCGGACGCAATAAAAATCGTACAAATTTTTTATTTTCCTATCATCATCTTCCTCTGATTTTCGCTAACTCACAACTCAACGAAAAAAAATATGTATCATCTCATCTTTCATTTTTAGTATATACGTTGTTGTAAATATGTTGTTCGCCAGTTGGCAAGATTTTTGCAGAAAATCATCGAACAAAAAATATTTTGACAATTTTTTCGCTAGCTTTTGTGGAGCAGCACAAAATGTTGGCTTGAGCCCAGGATAAGCCTAAGGGTAGCCTTAAGTTAAGCCTAAACCATAGCCTAAGCCTAAGGGTAGCCTTAACTTAAGCCTAAGCCTAAGGCTAGCTCTAACTTAAGCCTAAGCCTATCCTAAGCCTAAGCCATAGCCTAAGCCTAAGGATGTGCCTAATTTGAGCCCAGCCTAAGCCTGAGACTTCGTCCAACTTGGTACGCCTAAGCCGAGCGCCTTTGGCGCGAGTGTAGTCCGCTAGCTTCCGCGAAGCGGCACTAAATTCCGCGTAGCGGCCTCACCTAAGCCTAAGAGCCTTAAGTTACGCCTAAACCATAGCCTAAGCCTAAGGCTCTGAAAAATCAAAGCTCTGACTACTGACGATATTTTTTTTTTGAGAATCAGGAATCCTATTTTCACCTGCTCATAATTTTTTGGTGCTTTTTGAAAATCTGAAATTCTCTGAAAGTCTATGTGAAGAGCCTGAATTTCCACGTGGCAAGATTTTTGAAATTCTATCCTAAGTCTCCCTAAAATATACCTTATCCCAAGTCACCCTAAAATGTACCTTATCCCAAGTTAGCCTAACTTCAACAACACCCCAAAAATAGTTCTCTCCCGAATTTCCCAATTACGTAACACATCCTTCCTTTTTTTTTTTTTTTTTTCTCATTCTGACTGACTAACAAATAATTGTTATTTTTATTTTCCGAATTTTTTTTGGCGGGCTCCGATTAATGTTGTTTTTTCGGCGAGCAGCAATTGTTATTTTTTGGGGGGGGGGTCTCTGATTTTCGAAAAAAATTTCGTCGGGTCGGTCACAATTGTGTTGTTAGGTGGTGGGTGTTAAATCATTTTGAAGAGAGAAAACAAACAACACACATACACATTTTTGATCGGTTTTTTTTCTCTGACGAAATTTTTATTTTTGAACCCAGAAAAAAAAAGAAACATGAGTAGGATGAGAGTTATTTTTAGATTTTTCCAACTTATTTTCGGAATTCGGGATACATTTTACACAGCTGAAAATCTTGCCACGTGGATTTTTTAGCTTCTGAAATTCTGAAAACCTTTCCACGTGGATTTTCAGCTTCTGAAATTCTGAAAATCTTGCCACGTGGATTTTCAGCTTCTGAAAATTTCCTTTTTAATTTTTTTCGATTTTTGAACCTAATTTTGGAATTCGCGCTGAATTTTACAAATCTGAAAACCTCGCCACATGGATTTTTAGCTTCCGAAATTCTGAAAATTTTGCCACGTGGATTTTCAGCTTCTGAAATTCTGAAAACCTCGCCACGTGGATTTTCAGCTTCTGAAATTCTGAAAATCTTGCCACGTGGATTTTCAGCTTTTGAAATTCTGAAAATTTTGCCACGTCGATTTTCAGCTTCTCAAATTTTGCCACGTGGATTTTCAGGCTCCTGAAAATTTCCTTTTTTTTTTAATTTTTTGAACTTATTTTTGGATCTCAGAATCAAATTTGGCTAAATTTTAAAAATCTGAAAATTTTGCCACGTGGATTTTCAGCTTTTGAAATTCTGAAAATTTTGCCACGTCGATTTTCAGCTTCTCAAATTTTGCCACGTGGATTTCCAGGCTCCTGAAAATTTCCTTTTTAATTTTTAAATTTTTTTTTCGATTTTTGAACTTATTTTTGGAGTTCAGAATCAAATTTTTTGCTAAATTTTAAAAATCTGAAAATTTTGCCACGTGGATTTTCAGCTTCTGAAATTCTGAAAACCTCGCCACGTGGATTTTCAGCTTCTGAAATTCTGAAAATCTTGCCACGTGGATTTTCAGCTTCCGAAATTCTGAAAATCTTGCCACGTGGATTTTCAGCTTTTGAAATTCTGAAAATTTTGCCACGTCGATTTTCAGCTTCTCAAATTTTGCCACGTGGATTTCCAGGCTCCTGAAAATTTCCTTTTTAGTTTTTTTTCGATTTTTGAACTTATTTTTGGAGTTCAGAATCAAATTTTTTGCTAAATTTTAAAAATCTGAAAATTTTGCCACGTGGATTTTCAGCTTCTGAAATTCTGAAAACCTTGCCACGTAGTTTTTCAGGCTCCTGAAAATTTCCTTTTTAATTTTTAAATTTTTTTTTGATTTTTGAACTTATTTTTGGATCTCAGAATGAAATTTGGCTGAATTTTACAAATCTGAAAATTTTGCCACGTGGATTTTCAGCTTCTGAAATCCTGAAAATTTTGCCACGTGGATTTTCAGCTTCTGAAAATTTCCTTTTTAATTTTTTAGATTTTTCCAACTTTTTTTTGGAATTCGGGCTGAATTTTACAAATCTGAAAATTTTGCCACGTGGATTTTCCGGCCCCAAACTGAAATTTCAGATTTTCAAAAACAGCTGAAAATTGAATTCCTGAAAAAAAATTGCGTCAAAAATCAGAGCTCTGAGCCTGAAATGTGTATTCTGGAATTTTGAGTTAGCTGAAATCGGAAAAAAAATTCAGAACCTGATTTTTTGGAGAACAAAAAGTCAACAGGTTTATTTGTCTTAGAAATTTTTGAAATCAGAAAGTTAGCCGAACTTTTTTTCTATTTTTTAAGCCTAGAAAATTAAAAAATTTTCCCGGAAATCTTAACAAAAATAGAACATCTCTCAGACTTTCTCAGAAAAAAATTAAAAAAAAATTTTTTCCTCATTTCCTACGTCACGAAATCTCTGATATATAAATGCCAAAAGGATTAGCATTATCACAAAAAATTATTTTCCACAGAATTTTTTTTTTTCATTTTTCTCAAAAAAAAAATCTGGATTCTTTTCTAATAATGTTTACTAGGTCTGAAGTGGCTAAAAAATAATAATAGATTTTTTTTTTGTTTTTTTTCCATGGCTTGAAAAGCTAACAGGAAGGAAGAAGGAAATTCAATTCTCAACAAGTTCATTTTTTTCGGCTCTGAGCTTTTCCTCTTTTTAGGCTCCGCCCAACTTTTTCCTCATTTTTTTTCTGGCTAGTTTTTTGAGAGGATTTTCTTGGAGTCCAATTTGGGCTCGGGATTTGTTAGACTATTTTTAGGTCTAGAATTTTTTGGGCTTGAAAATTTAAGGCCAGGAACTTTTGATCTCAAATTTAAGCCTCGATTTTTTTTTTGAGCTAAATTAAGGCCGAGGATTTTCTTGGAGTCCAATCTGGGCTCGGGATTGGTTAGATTATTTTTAGGTCTAGAATTTTTTGGGCTTAAAAATTTTAGGTCCAGAATTTGTTGAGCCAAATTTGAGCTCGAGAATTTTTGAGCTCAGATTTGAGCCTAGGATTTCTTGGACCCAATTCAAGTCTAGAATTTTTTGGACCAAATTTTGGTCCAGGATTTTCATGGGCCAAATTTAAGGCCAGGAACTTTTGGACCAAATTTTGGTCCAGGATTTTCTTGAGCTCAACTTCAAGCCTAGAGTTTTCAAGCTTAAATTTAGACTCAGAAGTTCTTGAGCCAAATTTGAGCACAAGATTTTTGAGCTCAGGATTTTTCAAGTTCAAATTTAAGCTCAACAATTCTTGAACCCAGAATTTTCCAAAATCCCAAAATCAAATTTTTTTTCCCTCAAATTTTCAATTTGATTTTTGGCCAGCCAGCTCAAAGAAAATCCAGTTTTTTTTCGTTTTCGTCTTCTTCTAAAAAAAGAACAAGTGGTGCCTGATTGTTGTATATCCGCCCCTATTTTTCTCTGGTTTTTTTCGGCTTCTTCCAATTTTTTTGTCTCGGATTTTCAACAGCTGACAAGTTTTTCGCGGGTTAAATAGATTGATTTGATACATTTTATTTTATTTCTTTTTATTTTTAGTTGAGAGTTGAAACATCAACTTTTCCCTCTTTTTTCTTTTAAAATTTAAAAAAAAAATTTCAGAAAATTTGAAAAAAAAAAGTTCCGGGTGGGGTTCGATCCGGGACCTTTTGGGTGGGAGGCAGAGCTACTAACCACTAGGCTAAGATTTCTGAGTAGCGAAATTTAGGCTTATTTTGCTAAGCAAATATTTTTCGCGCCAAAATTTCGAAATTCAAATTTTTTATAAATTTTCGCGCCAAAATTTTCTAAATTCAAATTTCAAATCTCCTCATTTTCGCGCCAAAAATTGAGCACTTTCAGTGCTTCTTCTCCGATTTTTTATGCATCAACTGACGTCAATAGTGCAATCATTCATCAATCTTTTTTTTTTCGAAAAAAAAAATAAAAATTCTCAGATTTCCGGGAACTCACGCAAGATCAAAGTTCGAAAAAAAAAGTTTTGCAAATTATTTTTTTCTGCTAAAAAATTGGGGGCCCATTTATATTTCTCACATTTTAGTCTCATTTTTCTTTTTTTGCGCGGGGTCCCATATAAAAAATGCATAGTTTTTTTTATTTATAAATATATATTTTTCTCTTTTTTCCTTTCTGTGCACCAAAAAAATTCAAAAAAAAAAATAGTCGCTAGGTGGATTCGAACCCGCGACCTTCTACCCAGCGACACAGACACTTACCGCCTACACCATCTGGCTGAATCGAATTTTCTTCCAGAAATGGGCAACACAAAATCATCAGTGGACGCCGAAAAATCGGCGAAAAAATCGACGACTCGCCGAAAATCCGCAAACACGCCAAGCACCAGGTAACCCTATTTTTTTGTCGAAAAATGTTTGTAGTTTGATCACGCGAGAAAAAAAACTTGTCAAAAAGTGTAACAATTTTTTGATGAGAATATGTCAAAATTTTTTGTCAATCATGAAAAAAAAAGTTTTTTTTTTCTATTTTTTGAGCCAAAAAATGATCTGGGGGTACTGTAGCAGGATTACTGTAACTCTAAAAATGTGTAGTCACAATATTTTTGTTCTTTATTTTGAATTCGAAAATTTTTTGTATCTACCGTAATCTTCTGGTTCAAAAATACAAATTTTTTGAAGATTTCGAAAAAAAGAAGTTTTAAAGGAACATGCGGCTATTCTTACTGTAGAATTTCTAAAGGATCATAAGGTTTCTGATCTACAGTATTCAGAATTTAAAGGAGCATATCTAAATTTTTTAGAAAACAGAAAACACTCCTAGAAGTACTGTAGAATCTTCAAAGGATCATGGATTTATGATCTACAGTATTCAAAATTTAAAGGAGCATAGCAAATATTTCCAGATTCTAGAAAACAAGCCTAGAAGTACTGTAGAATCTTTAAAGGATCATGGTTTTTGATCTACAGTATGCAGAATTTGAAGGAGCATGACTAAAATGTTTAGAAAACAGAAAACAAGCCTAGAAGTACTGTAGAATATTTAAAGGTTCATAACGTTTCTGATCTACAGTATTCAGAAATTAAAGGAGCATATCTAAAATTTTTAGAAAACAGAAAATAAGACTAGAAGTACTGTAGAATCTTTAAAGGATCATGGATTTCTGATCTACAGTATGCAGAATTTAAAGGCGCATATCTAAAATTTTTAGAAAACAGAAAACAAGCCTAGAAGTACTGTAGAATCTTCAAAGGATCATAAGGTTTCTTACATACAACAGTATGAAGAATTTAAAGGAGCATAACTAAAATTTTGAGAAAACAGAAAACAAGCCTAGAAGTACTGTAGAATCTTTGAAGGATCTACAGTATCCTGAATTGTTTCTGAAGATTTATAAGTTCTAGGATTTTAAAGGAACATACAGTACCCCAATCAATATTTCCAGTAGCAGTGGGCGTCAATCGATTTCCTCGCAAGGCAATCGAAAACCATTGCTCACATTATCGCAACGTCAAATCATCAAATACTGTATGGACAATTCGAAAGATGATTTGGGCGAGAGAATTGTGAGACGGGCACTGGAGAAACGCGACGATTTCCGACAATTCATCGACAATTTGACGAAATCGCAAAAATACGAAAATTCACAGTATTTGAAGCAATTTTTGCAGGGAATTTGTGATAATTTGACGGATACTGATGAAATTAATCGGTGCGTTTTTAAGCCTGAGACCTTAGCTAAGCCTAAGCCTAGCTAAGCCTAAGCCTAGCTAAGCCTAGCTAAGCCTAGCTAAGCCTAAGCCTAGCTAAGCCTAAGCCTAGCTAAGCCTAAGCCTAGCTAAGCCTAAGCCTAGCTAAGCCTAAGCCTAGCTAAGCCTAAGCCTAGCTAAGCCTAAGCCTAGCTAAGCCTAAGCCTAGCTAAGCCTAAGCCTAGCTAAGCCTAAGCCTAGCTAAGCCTAAGCCTAGCTAACTAAGCCTAGCTAAGCCTAAGCCTAGCTAAGCCTAAGCCTAGCTAAGCCTAAGCCTAGCTAAGCCTAAGCCTAGCTAAGCCTAAGCCTAGCTAAGCCTGAGCCTATCTAAGCCTAAGCCTAGCTAAGCCTAAGCCTAGCTAAGCCTAAGCGTAGCTAAGCCTAAGCCTAGCTAAGCCTAAGACTTTAGCTAAGCCTAAGCCTAGCTAAGCCTAAGCCTAGCTAAGCCTAAGCCTAGATAAGCCTAAGCCTTGCTAAGCCTAAGCCTAGCTAAGCCTAGCTAAGCCTAGCTAAGCCTAGCTAAGCCTAGCTAAGCCTAGCTAAGCCTAGCTAAGCCTAGCTAAGCCTAGCTAAGCCTAAGCCTAGCTAAGCCCAAGCTTAACTCTAGCTAAGACTAAGCCTAGCTAAGCCTAAGTCTAGCTAAGCCTAAGCCTAGCTAAGCCTAAGCCTAGCTAAGCCTAAGCCTAGCTAAGCCTAAGCCTAGCTAAGCCTAAGCCTAGCTAAGCCTAAGCCTAGCTAAGCCTAAGCCTAGCTAAGCCTAAGCCTAGATAAGCCTAAGCCTTGCTAAGCCTAAGCCTAGCTAAGCCTAGCTAAGCCTAGCTAAGCCTAGCTAAGCCTAGCTAAGCCTAGCTAAGCCTAGCTAAGCCTAGCTAAGCCTAGCTAAGCCTAAGCCTAGCTAAGCCCAAGCTTAACTCTAGCTAAGCCTAAGCCTAGCTAAGCCTAAGTCTAGCTAAGCCTAAGCCTAGCTAAGCCTAAGCCTAGCTAAGCCTAAGCCTAGCTAAGCCTAAGCCTAGCTAAGCCTAAGCCTAGCTAAGCCTAAGCCTAGCTAAGCCTAAGCCTAGCTAAGCCTAAGCCTAGCTAAGCCCAAGCCTAGCTAAGCCTAAGCCTAGCTAAGCCTAAGCCTAGCTAAGCCTAAGCCTAGCTAAGCCTAAGACTTTAGCTAAGCCTAAGCCTAGCTAAGCCTAAGCCTAGCTAAGCCTAAGCCTAGCTAAGCCTAAGACTTTAGCTAAGCCTAAGCCTAACTCTAGCTAAGCCTAAGCCTAGCTAAGCCTAAGCCTAACTCTAGCTAAGCCTAGCTAAGCCTAAGCCTAAGCCTAGCTAAGCCTAAGCCTAACTCTAGCTAAGCCTAGCTAAGCCTAAGCCTAGCTAAGCCTAAGCCTAACTCTAGCTAAGCCTAGCTAAGCCTAAAATTTTTTTTTTGCAGACTGGCCGAAGAGTTCGGCTGTAGCCACGTGCAATTCCGGCCCAACGGCTTCAAGCCCGATTTTTTCGCGTGCACCGCCGACGCCGTCACCACCGAATGCACATTTCTCGATCAGGCGGCGCATCCGACGAGCGAAACTGCGGCCGCCTGGTCGATGTTGACGGCACACGTGTTTTCGCAAGTTCGAGATGGGTAAGTTGATTTTTGCGAGCGGAGAGCGAGTGTAGACCGCAAGCTTCCGCGCAGCGGCACTATCTTCCGCGTAGCGGCCACGTGGCCATACTGAAAATCCTTGCCACGTGGAAAATTTCGAAAAAAAACTACAACACTCCACGTTTACACCTTTCAGAACACCTTTTTTGCAATTTTTCTGTGTGCCATGTGGATTATTGTGACGTGAAGAATCAGAATGCTTCTCCACGTGGCCGCTACGCGGAAGCTTGCGGTTGACGTCACAAAATTTGCTAGTTCGAGCGGAGCGAGTGTAGACCGCAAGCTTCCGCGCAGCGGCACTATCTTCCGCGTAGCGGCCACGTGGCCATACTGAAATTCCGCGTCAAAACTACAACACTCCACGTTTACACCTTTAAGAACACCTTTTTTGCAATTTTTCTGTGTGCCACGTGGATAATCAATATTGTTTGCCACGTCATAGCAAGACCATACAAGGCGCCCGTTGAGTCAGACGCGAGACGACGAGAGTATTTTGCAAAAATATCTCGAAAATGAATTTCGCTTCGAGATATTTTCAATAAAACATGTGTTCCTTGAAACAAAATACGGTATTTTTTCAAAGGGACATATATTTTCTCAAAAATATCTCGAAGCGATGTCTTTCTCTGTCTCAGATGACGTCATCAGACTCCCGTCGTCTCTCGTCTGACCCGAGGGGCAATTTTCTATTGGATTAAATGATCGTGACAGGCCGCTTAGCGGAAGACAGCGCCGCTACGCGGAAGCTTGCGGATTGTTTACGTCACAAAATTTGCCCTCAAAATGTCCGGGGATATTCTTGCACTTTTTTGCTTTTCATGTGATAAAAAAACGGAAAAACAAGATTTTCCGTGATTTATTTCATGTATTTTTGGTATCCCTGGAAAAAAAATGGAGAAAAACAACTTTACTTTGGCCGAAATACGAAAAAAACAACAAATTGAGGGAAAAAAGGACTTAACCGGGGATTTTTTTTTTTGAAAAAGAGTTTCCTGGAAAATTTGGGGCTCCTGGAAAGTTTTGGTTGAAAAATTGGAATTCTAGAATTTTAGAAAGTCAGGTAGCTGCCACGTCTCAAAAAAACCCCCAACATTTTCCAGCTACTACGCAGAACTCCGTCGCCAACGCAAAAGCAGCAACGCATTCCGCACGCGCGTCTCAGTAGATGTTTCGACCGGAACCGATGACGCGACAAGTGTATCAAGTGCAACACGTCGCTCCAATTCACCACAAGATGATTTGGCGGGTTGCGAAAATCTGCCAATTGATGCGAATCATTCGGTTTGTCCACCTCCCTCGAATCAGCAGGGATCACAAACCAATTTTTTGGCACCACCCACGGTTTATTGAGCGGCTGACTTATCATAACTTCTTTTTTTGTAAATTGAAAAAAAACAAAACATATTTATTTGGTTGACTTGAATAAACACTTTAAAAACTTGAATGTGCACTGTAATCCACGTGGCAAAATTTGAAATTCAAAATTTTTCTGCAAACGAGAAATTTTTGCAAAAAAAGCTCAAAAAATCAATTTTCCGAATAATTTGTTGATCAAATTTTTTGCTAATCAAATCAAAAACATTCACATAAAAGAGCATCTCCAACTTCTCCAAAAATCATCAATTTTTTTCTTTGAAAATGTTGTCAAAAGTTGTGTCAACTCTCTTGGTTTTCTCCACATTATTCTTCGCTATGATTTTGGCTCAACAACAATGTACTCGTCAAACTGATTGTCCAGTTGGTCTTTTCTGTTTGAAAAATAACCCGGAGGATGTTGCTTATTGTCGGCCACTTTAAGCAAACTGGGATAATTTGGGAATAATAAATTTATTTGCATTCAGAGTTTTTGTTGAAAATTTTCAGACAGGAAAACTATGATGTGGAATTTTAGGAGAAGCTTGATTTTCTAGCTCTTTTTTTAAGATTTTTTTCTAGAAATTTCTATTCACAATTATTTTTGTTCCGGTTTCAAAAAATGTCAAAAAATCCCGGAACCTTTCAAAAATGCTATCTTCTGATTTTCAGGTGCCCAAAACTATTATGGAATTTGTGATAAACCAAAAATATTTGAAAAAAATCGTGAATTTCAAAGAAAATAATATCAAAATTTTGAAACGTATTTTTTTTTGGAATTTTTTTGTTTCTATTTTTTTTTGAATTCGTAAGTAAATGAGCTATGACGTGGCAAATTCCATAATTTTCTAGTTTGGGAAAATTTGCAATTTTCAAAATTCCAAAAAAAAAGTTACCGTTGTGGAAAAGGTCAGCCGCATAACATCAAAATTTTGAAACGTATTTTTTTTTTTCGATTTTTTTTTGAAAAAAGTTTTGTTATGACGTGGCGAGTTCCATTATTTTTTCTAAAATTCAAAATTTATACGAATCTTAATTAATCAATAAAAAACGCTGCCAATTAAATTGACTAAACTACATATTTTCAAAAATCCTCTATTGCTTAAAATACGCCTGCTCCACTCGTTTCGTAAATTCAATCAAATTCGGATATTTCTTGAGAATATTCGTCAAATTCGTCAACGGCAATCGAACAGTAATCAGCGTGTACAAATGTCCGAAGAGCAGCGCATCGGCTTCAGTTGGCAATTCGCCAGTCAAATATTTATTTGTGCCAAGTTGCACCGATACAGTTCGAAACACTTTTTCCGCCTGTTCACCAATCTCATCCAAACTTTTCGCCTCCCAATCTTTATCAGATAATTCGCTCAAAACCGATCTTCGTTTCAAAATCGGTAGAATTGTTGACAATGGCCAATGATAAACCGAACCATATCGATCTTTTGTCACTTTTTGATAAGTTTCATCATGTTTCCATAGAATATACAATTCAATGTTGGTCAATAATGAATCAATCATTGAAATATTCGCACGCATGTCAGCCACTTGAATTTCGCTCAAGTGAGAAGTTAGGGTAACTCCCTTTTTGTGCACAAAATCGACGATTTGATGGAAACCGGTGATCAGCGTTTTGTTGATGCGCAACAATGGAATGATGCCTGGAAAAAAGGTTTTCAAAGAGATGAGTTAGGATAACTATCTAAATTACCATCTGGCGAGATGAATTCAACATTTGGACGTTGTCGAACATTGAAGGGAAGTGACGTCATTCGAAGAAATGTTTGAACAGCCAAACAATCCGCATATTCATTGATTAGAGCTTGATCGTCTGGAAAAATTGGATTTTTTGGAAAAAAAAATAAAAATCTTTGGATTTTTTGAAAATTTCTATCAAAAAACACTTCAAAATACCAGAAATTTCCTCCAGAATCCAGATTTTCAGCCAATTTTCACCCAAAAAAAGTTAGAATTTGATCGTCTGGAAAAATTTGGATTTTTTCGAAAAATTTTCAGATTTGGAAAACCACATTTGAAAAAGAAAAATGTGAAATTTTCAAAAATTAATTTTTCAAACTTTTGATATATTTTTGGATACAACTATTTTTTATTGAAAAAATAATTGAAATCAAAATTTTTCAGCGAATTTCAGACAGAACTCTATTTTCTAACAGTTTCGAGATTTTTAGATAAAAATCTAATGAGTTATGACGTGGAAAATCTGGGAAATTTTGAAGTAATATTCTGATTTCGATAATTTTTTCACGAAAAGGAAAAACTCAATTATCAAAAAAAAAAATTTTTTTAAATAAAAATATCTCTAAATTTTGAAACGTATTTATATGAAAATAAAAATCTTTGACATTTCGATCAAAAAAAACTTCAAAATACCAGAAATTCCCCTCAGAATCCATATTTCCCCCCAAAACTCACTCAAATACGGTGTAAAAAGCGAAACATCTTCCCAATCTTGTTGCGCATTCATTGACAATGCATCAGTCACCAATTGGGTGATCACACCAGCTCCACTCATCTGAGCAATCATTTTTTTTCGCTAAAATTTCAAAAAAATCCTCATAAGATAATGAAAATTTTCGGTTGAAAACCAATATTTTCTATCAAAAAAAAAAAAAAGCAAAAATGTAAAAAACTTCAACAGATAATATAAAAATCAACAAAAATAACAGATTCCAGTCAACAAAATGTCTAATTTTCAGCCACAGCTTTTCGTTTCAGCCACGGTTTTTCGCCTTTTGCAGTGGGTCGAGATCGTCGTTTCGCTTCGAAACCACTTCTTTGAGCGGCTCGAGTTTGAGCCGGTTGAATTATTGATTTGAGGCTTTCGATGGCTTTTTGGTATCTGGAAAATCAAATTTTTTGATTTTAATTTCACAATTTTTCCTATATATTGCTAGAAATCTCTGATTTCTGTTCAAATTTTTTCCACGTCATAGCTCAATTGATTTTTGTATAGAAAATGTTCAAAAATATGGTGGAAATCGCTTCTCAAATCAAATTTCACCCTAATCAAATCAAAAATTTCCCATAAAATCCCATCGGCAAAAAATTCATCAACAAAAAATGTTGTCAAAAATCTTCGTCATTTTCGCAATCTTCGCCACGGTTTCGGCCAGAATTTACGACTTTTCGCCTTCGAGTTTCGAAGAAGTTGATTGTCCAGTTGGAAATAATTGTTGATTAATTATTTGGTTTGAGAAAATCAATCGATAAATAATTTTGCATTCAAATTGTTGTTTATTTTCATAAGCTATGACGTGGCTTTCAAGATTTTCTAGTGTTTTTGTTACTCAAAAATAATTTACTGGCTAGAAGATAGCATCAGTCTGGAATTTTAGCAGGATTACCAATTACGAATTACAGATCAAACATTTTAAATTTTCAGACAGCTAAAGTTGATCGTGATCCAGTTCTAGTCACTTAATTTTTGAAGTGGGATGAATATTTTCCCAAACTAGAAAATTATGGAAATTGCCACGTGGCAAAATTACAACATAACATGAAGCTTTTAAATCATTTGCCACGTCATAGCTCAATTACTTACGAATTCAACGAATGCTTTTCTCAAAAAAAATAGGAAAAAAATTCCAGATTTCAAATCATGGAAAAATACGTTTCAAAATTTTGATATTATTTTTTTTCAATATTTCTGGCCATTGTTCTGATATCGATATTTAAAAGAGTTCGGTTCTATTGGAGAAAAAAGCGCAAAGAATTTTGGTATTTTAGTAGGCAAAAATGAGCATTTTGCCACGTCATAGCTCAACTTCAAATTAACCTAGCTGAAAAATTAATTGCCACATCATAAGTAGCTTAAAATTCTTCTGAAAATATGAATTTTCTATATTTCAGAGAGCTAGAAAATCAAGCTTCTCCTAAAAATTCCCCAATTCCATGTCATAGTTTTCCTGTCAGAAAATTTTCAACAAAAACTCTGAATGCAAATAAATTTATTATCCCAGTTTGCTTAAAGTGGCCGACAATAAGCAACATCTTCCGGGTTATTTTTCAAACAGAAAAGACCAACTGGACAATCAGTTTGACGAGTACATTGTTGTTGAGCCAAAATCATAGCGAAGAATAATGTGGAGAAAACCAAGAGAGTTGACACAACTTTTGACAACATTTTCAAGAAAAAAGTTGATGATTTTTGGGAAGTTGGAGATGCGCTTTTATGTGAATGTTTTTGATTTGATTAGCACAAAATTTGATCAACAAATTATTCGGAAAAATTGATTTTTCGAGCTTTTTTTGCAAAAAGTTCCTCGTTATTTTGCATATCAGAAAATCTCTCCAGAAAATTTGTATTAAAAATTATTTTTGCATGGGGAAAATTGATTTTTTGATCTTGTTTTTGCAAAACTTCCTCGTTTGCAGGAAAATTTTGAATTTCATTTCAAAACTTGCCACGTGGATTTTATAGCTTCAAAATTTTCAATTCAAATTTTGCCACGTGGATTTTATAGCGAAATTTCTGTATTTTCAGCTTGAATTGGACATCTGTCAAAAATTGTATGGCTTGATTTTGACGTGAAAATTTCGTCCCAAGAAATTGCAAAATTTCCAGATTTTAAAAAAGTGTTATGACGTGGAATTTTCTCGAAAAAAAAACACGCACCTCTCCTTATCCTTCACAAATTGCTGCTCATCCATAAATTCCTCATCAGTATCACCATACAAATTGGTAACCTTCAACATTTTCACAAAAATCCTCTTCGTCTCCTTGTCTCCCACACTCAAAACACATCCATTATGCCCGGCTCTGCCAGTTCTTCCGGCTCGATGCACAAACAATTTATCATCGCTGGGCAAATTGTAATTGATCACACAATCCACCATATTCAAATCGGTTCCTCTGGCCAAAACATCGGATGAGATCAAGATGCGATTCGGATTATTGTTGAATCTCTGCAGCATACGGTAGCGACGTTTGCCATAAAGTTGCGCGGTGAAAAAATCGACTTCGAATTTTCCCGCACACAATTCTTTGAGCACATGAGCCAAACGGTTTGAGGAGGCTCTGAAATCATTTTTTTTTATAATTAGGGCTTCAAGCTTTTGATAGGGGCCTTAAGGCACATTTTCCTTCAAAAAAAAAAGTCCCGTTTTCCAATTTGTTTATATAAAAAAAACTATCAAATATCACCCTATTTTTTTATTTTAAATTTTTTTCTGCTGGTAGAAAAAAATGGCCGAAACTCTGTTAGAAGCTCAATTTCAAGAAGAAAAGGATATTCTGAAGAATCTCAAGAAACATGCGAATTTTTGGATTCTGTCCCCAAATCAACAGAAGAATTCGGAAAATAGTGGAAGTTATTTGATGCCGCTGGTTTTGTTGTATATTGTAAGAAAAGATGAAATTCTGGAATTTTTTTTTCCACAAAAAAAGCTTGACAAGCTCTGGAACAGGCCTGTGCCGGAAATTTTCCGATTTTCCGGAAAATTTGCTCGGAAAATTCACAATTTTGCCTAAATTTTGGGAAATTTTCTCAGTATATGATAGAAAAAATGAAATTTTTGGAATTTTTTTTTCAATGTTTCAAATTTTACCATTTTTTGAACGTAAAACATCTCAAAGGTGAATTGTAAATAAAAATAAGTTTTAGTGCCAACTTAAGGCTGAAAATTGAAATTTAAGACTTTGAAAAATTTTCCGAATTTTCCGGTTCAAAAAATCCGGAAATTTTCCGACTTTCCGTTTTCCGGGTCTTGATTTTCCGGCACAGGAGACTTTTTGGACCAGCTCCGAATTTTTTGACGGAAAAATCCCCGATAAAACAGATTTTCGGTCTGATTTAGGCCCCAAGTTTCAGGCCGCTGGGTCCTCAAATCCAAACAAAATCTCCTTCCAGCTAATCGACATCATCCAATTCCTCCCCCATCTCGAAATCCATTTCGACATCTATTTCTTCCTCAATCTCTGGTATTCCCTAAGCCGCATCCTAATCATTCTCCTCTTCGGAATCCCCCTCGAAATCGCTCACGGAACCATCAAAATCTACATCTTTTTCACCATCTCCTTCTTCTATTCTCAATACATCCAACAACTTCTCAAACCTCTTCGATTTGTGATAGATATCGAACCAGCTTGTTATGCTCTACTAGTGCTACATCTCACAAATCTCATTCAGAATTGGTCAACATTCTCCCACAAATACCCGCGACTCTGCCTAATTCTCTGCTGCCTTTTCCCTCTGGAACTCTACGATGTCTACCACAAAATCTCCAAAAACGCGCTTCGCGAAAAGACTCTATATTCAAACTTGCTCCCTGTCTGGATGTCTCTCCGGATTTCTTCTCTCCTATTTTTGGATCTATAACCACAAGAATCAACCAAACTTTCTAGTAATTATCGTTTTTCTAACTTTATATTTGTTATTGGCAAAGTTTTCAGGAATTCATATAGAATGATACATTTGATAAACAATATGTTTCTGTACTTTTGATAAATAATCAAATAAACATTTCATTTTTGACTTGAACTAACTAACAATGACTGAAATCGATGTTGAAACTGGTTTCAGGTATAGTTGGACATGTTTTTAAGCAAACGAGTTGAAATATTGGGTTCTAACTTTATTCATATGGTAGAATGGTCTAAGACGAACTGAATGATATAAATTTTGATGACTTTACGTTATCCATAAGTGATTTAGCGAGGTTTAGTCTCTAAGCCGCTAAATCCCTTATGGATAACGTAAAGTCATCAAAATTTATATCATTCTGTTCGTCTTAGACCATTCTATCATATGAATAACATTAGAACCCAATATTTCAACTCATTTGCTTAAAAAACCTGAAAATCTCATTTAGTCGATATAGTTTCAGGCCAAAAATCAAGAATATCTATGCGAAATGTGGCGAATTCTACAAAAACCATGCTCAAGAACACGTGGAAAAATGGGAGCCAATTATCAAGAAGAATTTGTCAGGCGCAGTTCTCAGTTCCGATCAACAGATTCACGCCTTCAATTCTCGACCATACTTCATGGTTTTAGTCACAATTTATCAGGTATTATAAAGTTAAAAAAAAATGGAAACGCGAAAAAAATTATTTTGAAAAAAATTATATACCATAGTTCTTTCCCCTCTCGTTTATTTTTGCCGCGACGAGACACACATCAGTCAAAAATCGATGCGCCTTTAATTCACAACGGAAAAGAGGCGTTTTTGATGTGTTTTGTAGGCTATTACTGGTCAAAACGAGAAATTCAACATTAAATAAAATGAGAAAAGTGAATTAGAACTAATTTAGAGATGAGTTTCCTCGATTTTCGTAATTTATTACCGAAAAATAGGTTTTTCCTCAATAAAACACTTGAAACTCGTTTTTTATAGTGTTTCTTGGTTTAAACAGGGTTAGACCATCACCATTCTTCGATTTGTTATCAATTTGTTTGATTTCTGTCTTTTTTTTCATGTAGAAACATCGAAAATCGCGAAAATCAGGAAATAAAAAAGAAAAAACACCGTAGTTTTCGAAAGGCGCAGCTGAAACACACACATGGTCTCGCCGCGACGAAAATAAACGAGAGGAGGAAAGAACTACGGTATATATTATTTTTCAAAATAATTTTTTTCGCGTTTCCATTTTTTTTAACTTTATAATATGTTTCGAATACGAGCGAAAACGATGTAATAATCATTTTCAGACTATATTTTTCTTTGAAAATTATCATATCTATGATTTTGTGTGCAATATTCACAACGAAACTTGGTGGTCAATATTGATGAGGGCTCAAGGTCTCGGGCTAATCATTTACCCATTAGTTCTCGGAATTCCATTAGAAGTTGCTCACGGAACATTACAAATCGGTATATTTTACATCATTTCAATCATTTATACTTCGTTACTTCGAGAAATTCTCACTGAACATCCATTTTTCTTCGACATTCTTCCAGCAACATTTTCGTTATTGAGTTTATACGCAATTAATATCATTTTGGTGAGATTACAGAATTAGGTGCAGGCTAGGCTAATGTAGTTTTTTTGTTAGAACTGGAGAAACTTTTCATACTTAATAGCTCGAGTAGCGCTTATACTAATCTTGGCATTACCATTTGAATTTTACGAAGTTTATCATTTAATCACTGGTAAACAATCAATGGACTTTCTTTATGTTTACACTTGTGATCTCGGTGGTTGTTTAATCGGAGCTCTTCTCGGATATTTCTGGATCTATCGTAAAAAGCAGACACAAACCGACGCGACAATTCCAATCATTAATTATTTCATATTTTTCGGAAGTTTGATAGCATTCATTTTAATTGCTAAATTCTCCGGTATTCATGATTGATATGTTTATATTTCAGCGTTTTTTATTGGAATAAATCGTTTACACTTTTTCGTTCTCATTTTCATTTGCTAAACAATTCAGTTAGAGAATGACTTCTACTAGAGAATGGCTGACCAAAGTCAAGAAATCTATGACTAATCTGGTTCTAACAGCAGATCAACAACGAGACTCCGCCAATAACAATCCATATTTCATGATTCTCGCCTTCATTGTCCCGGTAAGATTGAAAATACAAAATTAATGATGATTATTTCAACAGATTTTCTCGACAAAATATCTAATCCTTAACTATATCGCTCATGACTTCTACACAAAATATGATGCAGATTTCATAATCGCAAACTATGTCGCAAATATCATGGAAGTTCTGAGATCTTTCATTCCTCATATATTCATCGGAATTCCTTTGGAAATTTCAAACGGACCACTTCAAACCTCAATTTTCTACATTTTCGGTTTAGTTTATCCGAATATTATTGGTTCGGTGCTCAATGATTATCAAGATTATCATTGTGAAACTGCCGGGCAAGCATTGATCGGTTTGCATTTCGCGAATATTGTTAAAGTGAGTTCAGATGTTCGAAAAGATTCCAAGAAGTTTTTCAGAATTGGCCAACATTTTCTTACAAAAAAACACGAATCATCGGATTGTTCATCCTTCTCGTTACCACCGAATCAATCCAAAATGTACTATTCTACGATGTCGGGACCCTGCGCTTTGTGCTCTATCATACAACATGCGGAATTGCTGGAGTATTGTTTGGATTTCTCGCCGGCTATTATTGGATCTACCGACAGCAAAAAGAAGATGGTCCGACGACAAAATGGAGAAGTTCTGCGATCTCTCTGACACTTCTAACAGCCTATCTAATTCTTGCCGAATTTTCCGGACTTCATATGACCGACGAGGAATGGCATCAACAATTGGCGAATCATCCAGAATTCGGAGGCTTTTTTCCAATTATAGTTTAATGTTTTGAATAAAGTTTATGCTTTCTGTAAATTTCTAAACACAAAATTTCTGAAAATGTCTGAACCAAAATGGCTAACCAAGAGAAAAATGATGATTTTCCGAACGAAACTGTCATAAAATCGAGAAGTTATGCAATTTCCCTAACAATTTTGTAGATTTATCTCATTTCTGTGGAATTTTCAGGTCTTCATAGCACTTACGAGGAATATTATGAAAATCATCCATTGTATAAATTTCAGGTCTTCTCAAATTTCTCTATGTTTATTCATTCAATAAATATATCAATTACTAAACATTACGAAGTCATCAAATTTTCAGAATGAATCATAACATTCTAAAAATGGAACCGACCGTCTGGATCTCAAAAATAAAGAAGAGATTTGTTAGTTTGGAACTTATTCCAAGTCAACAAATCCATTCGTTCAATTCGAATCCCTATTTTATGATTCTAGCTTCAATTTGTCAGGTTCAAAGATCAAAAATAAATTGTTAAGCCTAATTTTTCCACAAATTTCAGATTGCTTGGTATATCTATGTGATTAAAGCGTGGATTGATTACGAATCGGTCCAGCCCTCACAAAATCACGAATGGGCTTTTCTCATTTGCTGCAACATACGAATCATTCTTGCTCATTTATTAATTGCGATTCCATTTGAAATAATTCATGGAACATTGCTCATGTCAATTGTCTATGCTTTGATAACAAGTTATCCGCATATAATTGGTACAATAATAGTTGGAAATTATCGATATATAGACACAGAACCGTCAACGTTTGGATTAATTGGATTATTTATAGCAAATCAGGCTAGAGTGAGAAGTTTTCAATTAATTATTGATTGATTTTAAAAATTAAATATTTTAGAATTGGCAACATCTTCCTTTCAAAATTCCACGAGTTCTTCTAACTGTGCTATTAATTCTACCAGGTCTCATCTTTCAAATAATTAAATTCATTGTATATAAAGCGATTCGACCATTCATGTTCTATTGGACATGCGAAATTGGTGGAATTTTGATCGGATTTTTGTTGGGCTACAATTGGATTTATCGGAATAGAGTTAGTCTAATTGACAAATTGAGAAAAAAAATACTTTGTATTTTTAGAGTGACGATAAAGTTGAGACAAAATGGAGAAATTGTGGGATTATTTTGACGATTTTGGTTTTTTATATGATTTTGGCGGAATTTTCCGGACTTCATATAACCTGGGAAGAATTTTATCGTCACCAATGATAATTTTTCTCATTCTAGACTTTTTAAAATGAATTTTTTAATGAGAAAAATGATAGAGATTTTTCTGAAGAAATAAATGGCAAATTTTAAATCGGGCCCGATTTTGAGGGTTTTCTGAATCGGACCAGGGTGACATTTTTCAATAGGAATCGAACCAGGTCCGATTTTTTGAGAAAAATTCTGAATCGGACCCGAAAAATCGGACCACTTTTTCAAAAAAGTCAATTTTTTGGTGCAAAAATCAGGAAATTTTGAAAAAGTGGTCCGATTTTTCAGGTCCGATTCAGAATTTTCTCAAAAAATCGGACCTGGTCCGATTCCTATTGAAAAATTGTCACCCTGGTCCGATTCAGAAAACCCTCAAAATCGGGACCGATTAATCGGACCTGGTCCGATTCAAAAACTGACGAAATAAATGCACCAAATGATAAAGCACATTGTTTATAATGTGAATCTAAACCAACATTTTGCACAAATCTTGCAAGATTGTTTATAATGTATCAAATTCTTCGCAACATTCGGAAAAATATACAAAACTTCTGTTCATTCTATCGAAACAATGAGCGAGGTTCTAATTGACATCGAAAACTCGGAAATTCCGAGAATTTCCGAAGTCCAGCTTGACCCATGGGAGTTGCGTATCAAAAAATCGCTAACCAATTTGGTGCTAACACCAACGCAACAAGCTCAATCCTTGAACAGCCGCCCATATTTCATGGTGGTTATGACACTTTTCCGGGTAAGTTCTATAGAAATATTAATTATTGCGTTCTCTAATACTTCCAGGTTCTTGTTCTCATCTCATTCGCTAATTACTTGATGTCCAAAGATATCCAACCTTACGATTTTGTACCTCTCGCATCCGAAGTTCTGGCAATCATCGCCTATGTGATTTCTCACATCTTCATCGGAATCCCCTTGGAAATCTCGCAAGGAACGTTGAAATCCTCAATTTTCTACCTATCCGTTTTTCTATACACTTTCGTTTTCGCCTCAACATACGCCAAAACTACATCATTCTTCATCTACGGCGGACCATCTGCACTATCTTTCGCCGGTTTACATTTATCCAATATTGTCAAGAACTGGGAAACAATGACGATGAAATTATTGCGAATCATTTCTCTATCCGCAATTTTTCTCGTCGTCGAACTCTTCATGCTCTTCAACTTCAGTCTAAACATTCACCAATTCACTTTCGGACTCTCCGGCGGGCTCCTAGGCTATCTTTTGGGATATTACTGGATCTACCGAACAAAGGTGAGCTCAGAATTCCGAAGATAGGCTAATTGAATTTTCGCAGGACGAAGAAACCCAGGAAATCAAATGGCGAAGTGCTGGCATAATTTCAACGTGGCTTTTATTTTTCCTAGTTCTTTCCGAATTTTTGTATCTTCGTAGATAGTTTATTTTATTATACGTATCAAATTTCATTTTTTTTTTCAATTTCGCTTATTTTTTTATTTTTTGATAAAAAAAATGGCAGAAATTATTGAGATCCCTCTTGAATCGGAACCCCAAGAAAAATGTGAAGCTCGTTGCAAAAAATCCATCATAGGTATATTTCTAACACCAGATCAGCAACTAGATTCCTTCAACGCTCGACCATATCTGATGGGTTTTATAACACTACTTCGCGTAAGTGTAACCAAAAAAAAAATCTCAAAAATAATCTGGTTTCCAGCTCATCGAGATCTTCTACCTCATCTACAAGGGCATCGATTTAGGCGTTCATAAGTGGGATCCAATTTATTTCATCGTCATAACCGCTTATTACACCAGTCATTTTCTAACCCATTTTCTGATTGGTATTCCTCTCGAAATCGCTCACGGCACTCTATTCATGTTCATTTTCTACATCTCAACAATGATCTATCCATATCTTGTTGGAAAAGTTCTCAACGATAGTTTGGGTTTCGAAAGTTCGGATCCCTCCACATTCGCTATAGTTGGCCTATATTTTTCAAACATTGTTCGGGTAAGATTAACCCCTGAATTTCAAAAAGAATTCCTTCCAGAAATGGAGCTCAATTTCTCACCGATTCCTTCGAATCGCCATTCTCTTCATAATCGGAATATTTGCCGAAATCGCCGTATTTTCCTACAAATCATCAGCTGGTGGATGGCGATTTTTCCTATTTCGTGTAACTTGTTCAACGGCCGGCGCGCTTCTAGGCTTCCTTTTCGGATTTTATTGGATCTATCGCAACAAGGTGGGGAACTCGAACTTTTTTTTTACAAAAAAAAAGATTTTCAGAACGAGGATAAGCCTGAGACAACTTGGCGAAACTATTCACTTTCATTGACTTATTTGACAGCATTTCTCCTATTCGCAGAACTTTCAGGAATTCATCAAACAGCACAAGAAGCCTTTAAACCAAAATAGTCCTTTGTTTATTGGCGAAAAATATAAACTTTCCGTCTCGTATTATATTTCACTAAAATAAAGTTTATTCTCACTGAAAAATGCCTGAGCCTATTATTCCTTGGGAGCCCAGAATCAAGAAATTTTTCACAAGTTTCATATTGGCTCCAAATCAACAAATCCACTCATTCAATAGCCGACCATATTTGATGGGTATAATTAGTATACTTCGGGTAAATTTTCGAAATTTTTTTTTTTAATAAAAAAGTTCACAGATCATCTTCCTGATAGTTTCAACCATCAAATTGTGCTTGAAAAATGAAGTAAAAGGTTGGCCTTCGAGTTACATAGAGTTTGCGTTAATCGTTACATCCATGAATATTTCAACTGTTCTCTCTCACATCTTTATCGCAATTCCTCTTGAAATTGCTCACGGCACTTTATGCACTTTTCTTTGCTATCTAGCTTTTCATATTTACCCATTCATTGTTGGAGAAGTTATGTTAGACACTTTCAATTTCAAGTTCACCAATCCAGTAGTTCTCGCATTACTCGGAATCTATCTTTCAAATTTGATTCAGAACGGCAATGATTTTTCTCATAGAAAACTTCGAATCATCATCCCATCTATTATTTTAACAATTCCCGAATTTCACTACCTCATTCACGTATTGAATCAGGATTATTGGAGAGTTTTGATCGTTTTTCAAACTACAGGATTGGCTGGAGGATTGATTGGATTCCTTTTGGGATACTATTGGGTATATCAAAAAGAGGTTCGGAGATCATGAGATCATACTGAAATGTATGTACCTAAAATGGATATTCCAGGGCCAAAACATCCAAATCATGAGATGGAAATGCTATGCAATAATTCTAACATGGCTCGTCGTGTTTTTAATGATTGCTGAACTATCAGGAGTTCATTTGACAGCCAATGAGTATATGAAAGCGAATTCACAATGAAAAGTTGGAGTAGAATCTTTGTTTCGTAATCAACAGATTTTTTTGTCATATTTTCTTTAATTTTTTAAAATAATGTTAACATTTCACTTATAATTTACAAAATAAACTAATTTTTTTGTTTTCTGGCTGGAGATTATTTGAACAAAAAAATGTCTGAATATTCAGTTCTAAAATGTTTCAAGGTTCAGAACCCGTCATGCCAGAAAAATGGGAAAAGATAATTTCGTGGAGACGCAGACATTTTGTGTGGTCTCGCAGCGATTCACCTGAAGAATCGGGGAGAGTACGGTTTCGGCAATTGGTCTTGCAGAGATCCACCGGAGCGACCGGGGAGGAGTACGGTGTCTTTTTTTCTCTGCGTCTCCTCGGATTCGTGTGGTGGCACGACGTGTTCAGAAGGCATACTAACTTTAAAGAAAATCAAATTTTGTTGTTCTCTGTGAAGAAGCCCATAGTCTCGAGCACTATTTAGAAAAAGCTTTTTTCATCGAAAGAATTTCGTTCGGTAAAAAATCAACTTCACAGATTTCTACTTGCCGAAAATAATTGCAAACCTCGTCATATTCCGCTAATACCAACTATACAAAGTCACAAAAGCACAAAATGTTTATTTCAGTGACTAACAAAAAAAAAGTTTGTGAACCCTATCATTTTCCATAACAAAATCATTCATTCTCATTCTCACTTCAACCATGCCCGATACACTCATCAATATCAACGATTCCAATCTTCCCGCCGCTCCACCCGCATCAACACCAAAGGCTGACATCGACAGAGTAATCGAGAAATGGGAGCCAATAATCAAGAGAAAGACAACAAGTCTAGTTCTGACCGAAAAACAACAAGAGCATTCAATCAATGCTCGACCATATATTACGATTCTTTTCACGATTCTACAGGTGAGTTTTGGTTAAATATGAAATACTTCGTGATTTTCCATCTCACAGGTTTATTTGACTTGGAAGTATAACTTTCGCTACGGTGACAAAAGAAATGCTGAGCTCGCATTCATCCGATTTGTAGAAACTATGATCGTCAATATTTTCATCGGAATTCCAACTGAAGTTGCGCAAGGTTCAACAACACTATTTGTTTTTTATATGGTAGCTTTTGCGTATCCACAAATCGTTGTTAGAATGGTTTTGGACGATTTTTGGCTTCGCGATAATCCAATCGGTTTCGCGCTTGCCGGCCTTCACCTAATCAATATTATTCGTGTACGTTAAAATTCCACAGATTCATTCTTCTCTTTTTCGACAACATTTTACAGAACTGGTCAACATTCCCATACAAATACGCTCAAATCCTCTTCCTGTTCGCTCTAACACTTCCCATAGAATTCATGGATGTTTACGAAAGTGTCAAGAGATACGATTCAATATGGCGTACTCAATTGGTTGATCAAACAATCTTGTTTTCGGGGCTCTTCGCTGGCATTTTGTTGGGATTTTTCTGGATTTATCGAAACAAAGAGGAGGACAAGCCGGAAACCGCTTGGAAGAATTATACAATTATTCTCTCCATTTTGACAATTTATCTTCTTATCAACGAATTTTCGGGAATTCATTTGAAATATCAAGAAATTACCGTTTTACGCTTTGGAAAATGATTTTTTGTCTAATTTTGCTGGTTTTCTGCTTGTTTTTTTTTAATTTGTATAAGATATTAAAGCATAAATAATTTTATAATTTATTTTGTTGTGAAAATATCATGCAGATCAGATAACGATAAACTTGGAAATCCTACTGTAAGCAAAAATGCCTGCACACACCAATTCTTGGAGGCAGTTTGAAATTTTCAAATTTATGTTTTTCACAAGAAATTTCTCTGGTTCCCAAAAAAAATATTCTTTTTCAAAAAATATAAAAAAATTCTCCAAAATTTCATTTGTTTAATTTTCCTAGAATAAATAAATAAACACATTTTTTATCTCTTATGTTTATGCTATCAACTTCCACCTCAAAACATTCCCAACTATATCATCATTCCATCAAAAATGCCAACTTTCGGCTATTCCGATGAAACAAACAGTGCCGGATACGTAACAATCCCATTTATCGACACAATCTTCACCCAAATCGAAAAATGGGCTCCAATTTTCAAGAGCAAGCTGTCAAATTGGATTTTGACCAAGGAACAGAGGAAAATCTCAACAGAAAGTACCCCAATTTTTATTCCCCTAGTGGTCGCATTATTTGTAAGTTAATTTTGAAAATAAATTCCAATTCCTCTAATTTAGGCCTACAATTTCTTCGGCTATGCATTGGATGTACTTTTCCACCCTAGACTTGAGGCTTATAAAAGTATATGGAAATTTCTCACAATTTCTGACGAAATCTTCGCAACTCTTGTTATCGGTCTACCCCTGGAAGTTGTTCATGGCCCATTAGTCACTTCCATATTCTACCTAGGCTCTGCAATCTATGGTTTTACCTTCTCATATATTTTAGATGGAGAAATGATGCAAGAATTATATTGTCATGGTGCAACCTATGCACTAATCGCTTTAAATCTAACAAATATCCTCAAAAATTGGAAGATTTTTTGAGAACAAGTATCTGCATTTTTTAATAATCGCGATTTACATCATTCCACAAGAAACCGAGGATATCAAAGATAGAATTCAGGGCGAAATACACTTTCAAAATTTCCATATATTACACGCAATCGGCGGTTGTTTATACGGTTTTCAATTGGGATATTTTTGGATTTACAAAAATGTGGTGAGCTAAATAAAAGCTATCAGCTTCTTCATAGAAAAATTCTCCATTTCAGAACGGAGAACCGCTCGAAAAGATTTCTCGGAGACATTTATCAATCACAATTGGTGTTTTGACCGCTTACGCTCTTCTCGCAAAGGTTTCAGGAATCTATACACATCCATACTATGCTTAATTAATGATGATAAACTAGTTTTTCAATAGCCAGAGGTTTTTTGTTCAAAAATATACAATTTTCCCCAATTTCAACCCATTCCCCTTAAAAACTCACACTTCATTCACAAAAATAATCGTCCTATTGAATTCATTTCGGCAAATGTGTTGATAAACAGCCAAGGGGTGGTATTTTGCATCGCAAATCAATAATCTATGCGAAATCGATGATGGTAGAGCCAGGTTTCCGGATACGTGGTTGATTTCTTTGGTGGGCGCGGAGATCTGGGAAAAAAGAATGAGGTTCTAAGGGATAAAAGGGGGTTTCTAGAGGTTTTGAAGCTTTTTTGATATTCTTGAGCTTTATTTTCTGACCATTTTTTGACCAAAAATGCACCAATTCGTTTTTTTGGTCAAAAATTGACCAAATATTGGTCAATCGGTGATTTTTGGCCAATTTTTGACCAATTTTTTGACCAAAAATGCACCAATTCGTGTTTTGGTCAAAAATTGATCAAATATTGGTCAATCGGTGATTTTTGGTCAATTTTCGACAAATTTTTTGAGCAATTTTTTGACTAAAAATGTACCAATTCGTTTTTTGGTCGATAATTGACCAAATATTGGTCAATCTGTGATTTTTGGTCAATTTTGGCCAATTTTTTGACCAAAAATGCACCAATTCGTGTTTTGGTCAAAAATTGATCAAAAATTGGTCAATTTTGACCAATTTTTGACCAAATTTTGATCATAATTCGGCCAAAACAGTAAATTTATCAGAAATTGGTCAAAAATGCACAAATTTCCGCCCAGAAAACACGCACCTCTTTACTTCTCGTCGCCGTCGCTGAAAACAACCGTGGCTTGAACAAATTCCACAAATGCAACTCTTCAACATCTTTCGAGAGTGTCGCCGAAAGCACAATTTTCTGCGGCGCCCGACGTTGACGCAAAATATCATTGAGATTCTGCACGCGGCTCATTCCACCGCACAAATATTCGACGATTTCCAGCCACTCTTCTCGCATCAATTTTCCCATTCGATCGGCTTCGTCGACGATGAGATATCTGAAATGAGGGGGAAAATATGTAGATTTGAATGACACGTGTGAAGGAAAAATAGGTCACGTATTATATAACAAACTGAATTTCATTTTCATTATTTTTGTTCAAGCAAAATTGCGTTGGACATCGACTAAATGACATTTTCATGTTTTTTAAGCAAGTGAGTTAAAATACTGGATTTTAATGTTATTCATATGGTAGAATGGTCTAAGACGAACAGAATCATATAAATTTTGATGAGTTTACCTTATCCATAAGTGATTTAGCGAGGTTTAGGGCCTAAATATCGACTAAACCTCGCTAAATCACTTATGGATAACGTAGTTTACCTTATCCATAAGGGATTTAGCGGCTTATCGACTAAATATCGACTAAACCTCGCTAAATCACTTATGGATAACGTAGTTTACCTTATCCATAAGGGATTTAGCGGCTTATCGACTAAATATCGCATAAACGTCGCTAAATCACTTATGGATAACGTAGTTTACCTCATCCATAAGTGATTTAGCGGCTAATCGACTAAATATCGCCTAAACGTCGCTAAATCACTTATGGACAACGTAGTTTACCTCATCCATAAGTGATTTAGCGGCTTATCGACTAAATATCGCCTAAACCTCGCTAAATCACTTAAGGACAACGTAAAGTCATGAAAATTTATATGATTCTGTTCGTCTTAGACCATTCTATCATATGACAACGATTAAAATCCAATATTTCAACTCATTTGCCTAAAAAAACATGAAAATGTCATTTAGTCGATGTCCAGCGAATCGCTTGAACAAAAATAATGAAAATGAAATTTAATTTGTCAAGTCGATCCGCACCTCAATTTCGTTAAATCAATTTTCGCCGGAATTTTCTCCACCAAATGCTGAACAAATCTCGCCGGCGTCGCTACAATCACATTCGGCGGTTCGGTTTGCAAACTCTTCGATTCTTTCTCAAAATCATTTGCTCCTGAAAGAGCTTGCACTTTGGCATATCCCTCCTTGTTCCAGCGATCAAATTCATCGACGATTTGCTTGACCAACGTCTGAACAGGCACCAATATCACAGCTTGCAAAATATTCGATTTCGTTGTGCCAATCGCCGCCAAAACCGGCAGCACATAGCAAATCGTTTTTCCCGAACCGGTTGGTGCAGCAATCGCAACGTCTCGTGGTCGAAATGCCGGTGGAACCTGAAGTTCTTTGAAAAGCGTCGGCAAAACTGAATATTGTACTGGAAACCATTTCTGGATTGGGGAATGCGCTGCCAAGTGCTCGGGAAGTTCGATTTCTTCAAGTTTTTGCGAGGTTGTTTCATCGATTTTTGCGGAGAAAGTTGTTGCATTTGATACCCAAGAACTTGTGACTTTCAAAGCTTCTAGATTCACCATTGGCCGGTTTCCCAAGACTTGGAATGGTTTTTCGGTTGTCTCTTCGTCCATTGGCTCCTCTTTTATTTCTTCTTTAATCTCATTCATCTGAAAAACCAAGTTTTGGCAAAAAAAAACGGAAAAAAACAAAAAATAAAAAGACTCTGCTAAACAACACACCAGCGGAGTGTCGTTGCAAACATTTTTTTTCGAAAAATCGGAGAAGAAGATGAGAAGCTAGAGAGAATAACGCGGGAAATGGGGTGAAATTTTGAATTTGGATAAAAATAGTTCACGTCTCAAAAATTTATTCACAAGAAATTTCAAAAATTGAAAAAAAATAGGGAAAACTGATTTTTCCGAAAAAGTTTTCGAAAAAAAACATTTAAAAAGCACTAGGCTACAGTAGTAGCGTTGCGAGACCAAACTTGAATTACCCACATGTTTCTTTATTTTATATTTTTTTCTTCAAAATTAAATTATGTTTTCTATTTTTCCAGAATTCTGGGAGATTTTACGAGAAAAAAGACAAAAAATGACAAATCATTCTGAAATTTCAGCTGAAAATTTGAATTTTTCTTGAAAACCCACGGAAAACTTGATGTTCATGTGTTTTCCGCTCAAATCGATCAATCATCGATTAAAAAAGGGACAAAAGGGAAAACGCGCTCCACCGCAAATATTTGAATAGCCGCCAAAAAAGGTGGTCGGCCAACAAAGTTCATTATTTTCATTGATTAGTTGTTTTTTGTTTTTTTTTTTCAAATTTGGAGCATCCTGGATAATTTCACTGTTATTTCAAGAAAAATTAATTTTCAGATAAGTTTCTGGAATTTGGCTGAAAACAATGGTTGGAAGAGGAGATTTGGCTCGATTTATGGTTAGTTTAGAAGATTGAAAAGAAAAAATCGAGGAAAATTCCGATTTTTTTTAGAAATCGGCTTCGAAATTTTGAAATTTGGATGGTCGGTGGTGGATCAAAATAGCAACGGATGAGCTGGGTTCGAAATTTTGAAATGTGTGAGGATTTTTGGGGAATTGGGATGTTTTAGGGTGGGGGGAGGGAGAAACCGTATTATAAATATTATGTGTGCAAAAAAAATGAGAACGCAAAAAAATAATTATTTTGAAAAAAATATCTACCGTAGTTCTTCCCCCCTCTCGTTTATTTTCGTCGCGACGAGACCATGTGTGTTTCGGGTGCTGCGCCTTTCAAAAACTACGGTGTTTTTTTGTTTTTTTTTTCGGATCTTCGATGTTTCTACATGAAATAAAGGCAGAAATCAACCAAATTGATAACAAAATGAAGAATAAAGAAGGTTCAACTCTGTTTAAAGCAGAAAATCCTATGAAACGAGATTTTTAAGTACTTTATAGAAGAAAAACCCGTTTTCCTCTTCAAAATTGCGAAAATCAAGCAAATTCATCTTTGAATCCTTGTTTCTCAAGTTTGAATACCTTTTTTTGACCGGTGATACCCTAAAAACGGCCTTTTTTTCGATGCAAATTAAAGGCGCATCGATTTTTTGAAGGTGTGTGTCTCGGCGCGACAAAAACGAAGGGGGAGGACAGAATTTGTTTTTTTTTAAATTTTTTTTTGTTTTTTTTCTGATTTTTAGAATACCCGGTAAGATGAACAATTTATTTTTTTTTAATCCAAAAATTAAAGGTACATATTATGCTTTACTAACATTAGTCTCTCTTCTCTGCGAGACCTCCGTCATTCTCCTTTGAATAATCACATTCTCACCAACACTCATCCGATGATCATACTTCAACTCATCCGTCGGTTCCAAGTTCGCCAAATCCACTCCTTTCGTATCGGGAAGGAAGAATATGGAGACGAGCAACGAGACAACACCAATACTGCAAACCACGGCGTATGGCGCCGGTTTATAGATGTTCGAGAGGTAGGCCATTTGTGGGGCGAGAAGGGCGCCGGTTCTGGCGAGAAGCGAACAAGTGCCGATGCCGATTGTTCGGATTTTTGTGGGGAAACATTCGACGGCGACGAGATAGCACGCATCCCAGGTTAGTTCGATGAAACTCACACCAATTATATTCACAATCACGACTGAAAATATTTTTTTTTCTGTAGTATTGTAGATTTTCACTAGCCATAGTATTATCGAAAATCTCATCGGCACTACGCGCTCCACACGCAACGCAGACCGCGTCGCGCCACAACACACACAAATAAGGGAACGACTCGAATTCCCTCCCTTATTTGTGTGTGTTGTGGCGCGGCGCGGTCTGCGTTGCGTGTTTATTTCGGTGGAGCGCGTGGTACCGATGAGATTTTCGATAATAGCTTAAACTACAGTCTACCTTTTAACTAGAGTCTAGTTTAGAAAATAACATGAGTGACGTAAATGTGGAGTCTCATTTGAAATTTTGGTCTATTTTTCACGTCATTGTGTGTCCACGTGGCTACAGTGAGCCAAAAATCCAAAATTCTCGGGTGGTACTGTAAACACCTTTAAACTAGAGTCTAGTTTTGAAAATATTTGAAAAATGGTCCATCAGGGCTTTTATGAGTGACGCAAATATGGAATCTCGTTTGAAATTTTGGTCTATTTTTCACGTCATTGTGTGTCCACGTGGCTACAGTAAGCCAAAAAGCGCCACGTGGCAATGAAATTTTTGAATTTTCAAAATTCGCGCCGAAAATCTTTGGTAGTACTGTAAGCACCTTTAAACTAGAGTCTAGTTTAGAACACAATTTGAAAAAAGGTTCATTCAAGGCTCACTGAAATTTTGTTTTTTTTTTTTTGAAAATTGGACATTGTGACTACAGTAAGCCAAAATGCCACGTGGCAATAAAATTTTTGAATTTTCAAAATTCTCGGGTGGCACTGTAAGCACCTTTAAACTAGAGTCTAGTTTAGAGCATTATCACAAAGCTTTTGAGGTGGCGTAAATGCGGAGTCTCGTTGTGCTTCCCGCCCTACCCCGTAACCTACTCGCTAGATCTCTCGATCCCTGATGTGAGCAATCAGATTCCGGCAAAACCATCAGAATCATAATCGTCATGTAGCATAGCAACATTGCCACTTGCGGATATTGATGAAGCTTGCGACGATCGAAGGAGGGGATCCACGTGTCCAGCATGAATACGAACTTTAAAAAAATCTGATTTTGCATCTCCCCCCTCCCTCCCCCAGCCTGGGGGGGAGGAAAGGCCCCAGGTAACTCACAATCTTCGCAAAGGCCGTAACACCTCCCGACACAAATTGACTCAAATAGAAATTCCCCGCCAAGTTCCCCGAATTCAAATCCGAACCAAAAGCCGACAGGCTTGTGGAGAACCAAAGTGCTCCCACTACAATTGTTCGATAAGCGATTGGCCATGAGGTGAACAAATCCTTCATTGTGTAAATTGTGGTATCCCTGTGATCTTTGGCTTCATCAACCTTGGACTCTTCGATGTATGCGATTCCGGCGAGTTTGGCAATTTGCCTCTCCGCTTTTTCAGCTTCAGCGAGTCTTCCCTTTGTGGTATACCATTTGGGAGATTCGGGAAGGAAGAATAGAATTGGGATGATTGGCGAGGCTAGTAATGCTGTTGCGATTGCTGCTGATCTCCAATATCCGCACACAAAACATACTAACGTGAAGATGACTCGAGCATATCCCCAATTGAAAAATGATCGTAGGAAGACCCGTTGCTCGGGGAGAATAAATTCCAAAATATACGCATAGAATACCACGAGAATACAAGCGATGGAAGTTCCGCAGATGAATCGAGAGGCGGCGAAGAGCTGCCAGGTTGGTGCGAAACCTGACGCGACCCCAAAGATCACACCAACACTTATGCCGAACAGCGAGACGGGTTTTCGACCGAAGTGATCGCCGAGATGACCGTAGGTGACGGTGCCGATGAGAACGCCGAGGAATTGAATTGTGGCCACCCACGCGGCATTGTAGGCGGCGGATCCGCAGAACATTTTGAAGTCTTGGACCATTGAGTGGAATGGGGCATCGCCGACGGTTATTTGGGAGCAATTGGTGGTGAGCTCTTCGCAGATCTCTGTTCTGAATATTATGTTGGTCACTAGGGGTTGGCTATGACGTGGCAAAGGCCGCTGCGCGGAAGCTTGCGGTCTACACTCGCTTCGCTCGAAGAGAGCTCGAACCTCTGTTCAGATCTCAAGTGGCTACAGTAAGTCAAAAATCTTTGGTAGTATTGTAAGCACCTTTAAACTAGAGTCTAGTTTAGAAAAGAATTTGAAAAAAACATTTCTTCAATGCCCAATTCCACATCGTGACTACAGTAGGCTAAAATGCCACGTGGCAATACAATTTTGAATTTTTTGAATGCCTCGGGTAGTACTGTAAGCACCTTTAAACTAGAGTCTAGTTTGGAACATATCTAATTTGAAAAAAAGTTCCTTCAAGGCTCACCGAAGTTTCGTTTTTTTTTTTGAAAATTGGATATCGTCACTACAGTAGGCTAAAATGCCACGTGGCAATACAATTTTGAATTTTCAAAGTTCGCGCCAAAAATCTTCGGTAGTACTGTAAGCACCTTTAAACTACAGTCTAGTTTAGAACATACCTAATTTGAAAAAAAGTTTCTTCAAGGCTCATAGAAATTTTGTCGCTACAGTAAGCCTAAATGCCACGTGGCAATACAATTTTGAATTTTCTAAATTCGCGCCAAAAATCTCGGGTAGTACTGTAAGCACCTTTAAACTAGAGTCTAGTTTAGAACTCACTTTGACAATTTGCACTTTGGCTTCGAAAAATGAAAATTCGCATCGGCACAACTCAGCGGCGGTGAGAAGTTATAGAAAATCGAGAAAATCTGCTGACAACAATAAAATAGGGCAAATTGCCATAGCATAAAACACAGTGTATGAAATCGATTGATTCTCAAAAACGCCATTTTTTGCGCCCGCCACCAAAAGTAGTACAAAAATTCGGGAGATGCCTATGTGCACTGCCTTATCTATTGAACGTGATTATTTTTTCTTATTGTGATAGGCACCAGTGGACTTCTACTTTTTGCGAATTATTTTTTTCGTTGTTGCTCTCTACCATGTGATAAAATTATGTGATAAGAATAATTTATAGATCTAGATGATTTTTGTACCGGAATTTGGAGGAAATTGTCTGTTCGATAGAGCGCACTTGCTGGTTTGTGGGGATTTTTGAATACTTTTAGAACTTGTGCTTTAAATAGAGCCTAGAGCCTAGAGAACCATATTGTCTAGGAGCCGTGACTAGAGCGCCTAACTATATAGGAGCGGAACCTAGACAACCACTATGACAAGGAGCCGTGCCTAGAGACCCTTATTGTCTAGGAGCCGTGCCTAAAGAATCACTATGGCAAGGAGTCGTGACTAGAGAGCCTTACTCTCTAGGAGCCGTGCCTTGGGGACCATTGTGACAACGAGCCATGCCCAGAGAGCCTATCTCTCTAGGAGCCGTGCCTTGGAAACCACTATGACAAGGAGCCGTGCCTAAAGAATCACTATGACAAGGAGCCGTGCCTAGAGAACCTAGCTTCCAAGTAGCTGAGCCTAGAGAACCTGATTGTCTAGGAGCCGTGCCTAGAGAGCCTAAATTTCAAGTAGCTGAGCCTAGACAACCACTATGGCTACAGTAGCTTTTGAAGAGTTTCTAGGCTCAAATTTTGTGCTGAAAATGGTAGAACTGCTGAAAATAGCTGAAAATCAATATTTCCAGCATTTTCAGCAGAAAATTCTGATCTAGAAAAAAATTTAATCCAGTTGATCCAAAATTTCAATTTTCTACAATGGCTTTTGAAGAGTTTCTAAGCTCAAATTTTGTGCTGAAAATGATTGAACTGCTGAAAATAGCTGAAAATCAATATTTCCAGCATTTTCAGCACAAAATTCTGATCTAGAAAACAAATTTTCCATTTTTTGGGCACATTTTCCTACAGTAGCTTTTGAGGAGTTTCTAGACCAACATTTTGTGCTGAAAATGCTGGAAATATTGATTTTTTATGGCTCGAAATAAAAATCTGATTTTCAGAGAGCATTGATACAACATTCTCTCAAAAATTCCTACGTTATCAGTGTTCGCTATCAACACTTTGACGTCTTTGAACTCTGCTAGAACTTTTTGATCTCCTCACCAAAAATACATATATAAAATCTTCATTTTTTCAATAAATCAATTTTCAACAAGCAATTCTCGTTCCTCATTCTTATCCAAATTCTCCTTCTGATTATCCCTCGTATACTTTCTACTTCCATCCGCATTAACTCTCAAATTCTCTCTCAAAGTCATATTCGATCCCAATAAACTCCCCGAAGCCGTCGAATTCAATCTAGACGATTTAATTCCACCGATGTTTTGTTGAAGAACATCCGATCGTTTCAAGATCGTCTGATCCAGATTCAATGAATGATTGGTGTTCTTTTGTGAAAATACACCTGCACTATTCTCATTTTGCAAATCGACTGAATTCACATTCGATTTATTATTGAAGTTTACAACATCACTTCCGGTTTTCACCATATTTTTGCCGATTTGAACTTCAGAAAAATCTCGAATTCTCTCGGAATCCAAACTATTGTTTCGATTGTCGATTTTGGTGAAATTCAGATTCATCGAAGCGTTATTGAAGTTACCATTTTCAGCAGTTTCAGAGAAGCCTGCTGATTTATTCATCTCCGCTCCATGATTTGTGATAACTTTTCCCTTGCCATTTTCGTAGAATCCTTTATCAATAATCTTATTATATTGATCTCTTTGCGATGCATTTTTATGAACATCATAATTTTCGTTAACTCTTCTACCATTATCATCGACATAGTTATTGTAACTCGAAACATCGTGCGATTTTTTGGAATTGTCAACCAATTCATTTCCACTTATTCTGCTACTAGTCACATTCCCATTTCTCGATTTCATCACATTTTTCTCACCGCTATTTTTATTAATCTCCTCGTCCAATTTATCCGTCACATTCGATCTTCTAACAATCTTACCATCTTGATTTGAATAATAAGTTGTGTTATCCCTAAGTTGGTTAGAACTTGTATCTTGATGTTGATTCGCAGAATATTGATTTTGCACTACACTTCCATTTGTATTTTTTGCAAATGATTCGGCATTCTGTGTGGAATTATTAATTGTGTAGTTATTCCTGGCTGTTCTATCAACATCAACTTGCTCTTTAAGAGTTCCATTATCGATTTTGTAGCCATGAAGAATTGTAGAATTAAAGTTATCCGAACTCTCACCATTTGTAGCATTATTGCTTGATGAATTTGTATATTCCCCATTCAATTTTCCAATATGTTTAGCGTTATCATCCGTGTGAATATTGAAATTATTCCGGCCACTAATAATATTCTCATTGCTACTATAATTCCTCCCATCTCGAAGATCCATATCACTTCGTAGAAGTTCAGAACTCGTCCCATTTTTATTATCCGAATAATGATGCGATGTCTCATTCAAGTTACTATTCTCTCCATCTTTGTTCAATTCAAATCTCGATGAATTTTCATTCCGATATCCATTATAAGATCCAGACTTGTTTGTCAAATGTGAAGCGACAAGAATTGTTCCGTCTGATTTGCTTACAACATTGGAGTTTGAGGCGGTTTCATTGAGATTCTCATCGTGACGATTGCTACTTGATAGAACTTTGATGACTAGGGATTTGTTGCCCTGTTGATTTAGAACATCTTGGGAATTCGAGGCGGATGCTTCACTGAGCAGACCATCTTGTGTGTTGTTTGATCCACTGATTACGATGTTTCCATCAGCATCAATACCGCTGTATTCAGAGTTCTGGAATGAAATGGTTCAGGATCTGAGTTACAGTAAGTCAAAAATCATTGGTAGTACTGTAAGCACCTTTAAACTAAACTCTAGTACAAAGTTCAGAACATATTTTTTGTGGCTGAAAATGAGCATCTGAATTTTCAGAGTACCTCCGATTTTTAGCCGATTTTTTTAAACCGAAATTTTGTGCTGAAAATGCTGGAATTATTGATTTTCAGCTATTCTCAGCAGTTCTATCATTTTCAGCACAAAATTTGACCCTAGAAACTCTTCAAAAGCTACTGTAGAAAAATGTGCCAAAAAAATGGAAAATTTGTTTTCTAGATCAGAATGTTGTGCTGAAAATGCTGGAATTATTGATTTTCAGCTATTTTCAGCAGTTCCACGATTTTCAGCACAAAACTTGGGTCTAGAAACTCCTCAAAAGCTACTGTAGAAAAATGTGCCAAAAAAAATGGAAAATTTGTTTTCTAGATCAGAATTTTGTGCTGAAAATGATGGAATTATTGATTTTCGAGCATTTTCAGCACAAAATTCGGGTCTAGAAAAATATTTTTCACTGATTTTTATGGCTGAAACTGAGCATCTGAATTTCAGAGCCATTCTAAATTCCGGATTTTTCTAGATAGCTCAATTTTATGGCTGAAATTGAGCATCTGAATTTTAGAGTTACCCTAAATCCCCGATTGATTTTCATAGCTCAAACTCACATTAACAACTTTAAGTCGAATATCATTACTAGCAGCCAAATCAACCGTATCATTTCTCTCAACAAACGTCGGATCCGATTCTTTCGTCTTCAAAAATGTATGATTTCCAACTCGCTTTGCAACTCTTTCCAAAGTCTGCTGATCAGCATTCGATGAATTTGTGCTACTCGTTCCATTCGCCAATTTCACCATCGCAAGTTCCGATTCCTGTCGTCGAGTTTTATTTTGAACTGATTGCAAATCATCGAGATGTCTTTGATTGACAATTGAACCATCGGAAGTTTTCACAGCAGAGTTGCTGTAATTTGTCGCGCGGGCAGCATTTATCACTTGATCATCCGAAGTTTTCTGAAAATTCTTGAAGTTCTATGACCAGACTTCTGAAGCTCAACCCACATGCTCATTGAAAATCTCCGATCCATCAGTTCCACGAATCCCAACAGCTGTCAGATTATTCCGACCGATATATGTATTATCATCCGAATTTCTCTGCCCACTACTTTTATTTGAATAAGTTCCATCGGAATTTTGAACAATGTCGATGAATTGAGATTCGTTTAAGGCTTTGGAGTTTGTGATGTTATAGTCATTTGCGCTGATTTCGGTGTTTCCACCCAGGGAGGTGTGATTGTGACTTTGGGAGCCGTAGTTTTGAGAATCGTCGTTGGATGTGTTGAGGCTGGCGTGTTGAGCAATCTGAAATTGATTGGGGTTACTGTAGGTTTTGGCCCTGTTACAGTGAATTTGGGGCTTAGGGTACTGTAGATTCTGGCTTCAAAAACGTTCAGTAAATTTTGGGATGTTTCAACACTAATTAAGCCTAGGGTTACTGTAGAAGGTTAGGATTACTGTAGAGTTAAAAATCTTAGAATTGCAGAAAGTTTATGTCTTTCGAATTTTTGCCCAGGGTTACTGTAGATTTTGGTGCCGAAAAATTACAGTAGTCTTACGTTAGAATTGCAGATTCCTAGGGTTACTGTAGATTTTGGATTTCGAGAAAAGCTGTGTTTTTCACACCAAACAAGCTTAGGGTTACTGTAGATTTTGACGGTAGAAAACTATACAGAACATTTGGAGCTTAGGGTTACTGTAGGTTTTTTCCAAAAAACTACAGTAATTTTGGATTTCTAAACAGCTAAAATTTTTTGAACCGAAACAGTTCAAGGTTACTGTAGGTTTTGACGGTAGAAAACTATACAGCAAATTTGGAGCTTAGGGTTACTGTAGATTTTTTTCCGAAAAACTACAGTAATTTTGGATTTGCAAACAGCTAAAATTGTGCATTTTTGACACCAAACAAGCTTAGGGTTACTGTAGATTTTAGCGCCAAGAAATTACTGTAGTTTTGGATTTTTCATTAAACAAACTTCAGATTTTTGACACTAGGGTTACTGTAGATTTTGAAGCCTACAGTAATCTCGCATTTCCGAGCCACAAAATTGAGATTTTGAACCGAAATAGTTCAGGGTTACTGTAGATTTTGAAGCCTACAGTAATCTCGCATTTTTGAGCCTCAAAATTGAGATTTTGGCACTAAATAAGCTCAGGGTTACTGTAGATATTGGCGCCAAAAAACAAGAATTAGGATTTTTCAAAATTTACTGTAAAAATGATTACTGTAGATTTTAGCGCCTACAGTAATCCCATTTCTCTCACCAATGTTCCATTCTCCAATTTCTGCTGATAAGTCTCAGCCTCCGAATCCACTTTCACATCCCGCTTCGTTCCCTTCACATCCGACTTCGAAATCACATCGCCCTTCCCATCATCCGTTTTCTCCTGCACAGAAGACAGCGAAGATCCGCTGTCTCGAATTTTCACCGATTCAGATCTATGAGCAAATGTTGAATCATCGTCGAGCGATGGAAAATCGTCTGGAAATTGTGATTTTTCTTGAGAAAATTTTAGGAGATGTTAGGCTAACTCACAATCGCCGAACGAAAAAAAATCGTCGGCCAAATTTTGGCTGAAAATAGAGAAGAGTAGAAAAATGAAATGGAGAGATACCATAACTAATTTTTCGATTCAATTAAAAATTTTTAATGTTTTTTATACAAAACATTTTACGAGTTTTGGTATTTTTATGGGTTTTTAGCGCTGTTTGATTATTATTATAAGAATTTTATTAGAAACATCAAAATTCAAATTGAAAATGACGTGGAAAACCGTAACCCGAGAATTATGGAATCTTTATTTTTCGGCTGAAAATTTGCCACGTGGAATCTCAGTTTTTGAGCTGAAAATTTGCCACGTGGAATTTTGGAATCTAAAATTTCTGGGTTTCAAATTTGCCACGTGGAATCTGAATTTTCAGCTTCTCAGTTTGCCACGTGGAATTATGCAATCTTGATTTTTGGGCTGAAAATTTGCAACGTGGAATTTTGAATTCTACATTTTTGAGCTGAAAATTTGCCACGTGGAATTCTGGAATCTTAACTTTTGAGCTGAAAATTAGCCACGTGGAATCCTAGTTTTTGGGCTGAAAATTTGCCACGTGGAATTTTAGATTCTAAAATTTTGGGCTGAAAAATTGCCACGTGGAATTTTGAAATCTAAAATTTTGGCGCTGAAAATTTGCCACGTGGAATTTTTGGAAACTTAATTTTCAGGCTGAAAATTTGCCACGTGGAATTTTGGAATCTTGATTTTTTGAGCTGAAAATTTTCCACGTAGAATCTCAGTTTTTGAGCTGAAATTTTGCCATGTGGAATTTTGGATTCTAAAATTTTGAGCTGAAAATTAGCCACGTGGAATCCTAGTTTTTGGGCTGAAAAATTGCCACGTGGAATTTTGGAATCTTGATTTTTGAGCTGAAAATTTGCCACGTGGAATTTTGGAATCTTAATTTTTGGGCTGAAAATTTGCCACGTGGCATGTTGTAATCTAAAATTTTTGAGCTGAAAATTTGCCACGTGGAATTTTGGAATCTTGATTTTTGGGTTCCAAATTTGCCACGTGGAATTTCAGTTTTTGAGCTGAAAATTTGCCACGTGGAATTTTGGATTCTAAAATTTTGGGGCTGAAAATTTGCCACGTAGAATCTCAGTTTTTGGGCTGAAAATTTGCCATGTGGAATTTTGAAATTTCAAATTTTGGCGCTGAAAATTTTCCACGTAGAATTTTAAAACCTTAATTTTTGGGCTGAAAATTTGCCGCGTGGAATCTCAGTTTTTGAGCTGAAAATTTGCAACGTGGAATTTTGTAATCTTGATTTTTGGGCTGAAAATTTTCCACATGGCAAACCATACTGAAAATGTTATCAATGAAATTTTATTTCTCAAAACATCAATAATCAAATGCATATTCTCCGTCATCCGAAGGATGTACCGCTTTTCGTTGCCTTGGACTACTATAATCAACTTCAGGATCCGAATCATATTCTTGATCTTGATCTTGATCTTCCCCAGTTCTTCTATCATAATCATCCGATGTTTCCACTCGATTTTTTCTCGAAATCTTCGTTCCACTTCGGCCATCTGAAACATCTCCATCCCATTCGGTGGTCGTCGTTTTGTTGTGACGTGTGATGTTCGTTTGAACTTGCCGACAACGTTTGCGATATTTTGGATTTGATTCGGTTCCGATGTTGATTGTCTCGCATTGCTGAGTTCTGCAAAATTTTCTGTGGCGTGAAGTTTCAGCGCTGATTAGATTAGAACTCACGAATCTGAATCGTTGTCGGTGTCACTGGAAAAAATATTTTTAGAAGATAAGCTCTTAAGGCCTTAAGGCCCCTTAAGGCCCCTTAAGGCCCCTTAAGATCCTTCTAAGTAACTCACATCTTCACATTCACACGTGGCTTGGCATTTTCAGTCAATTCATCACCGTACTCACTAACATCTTCATATTCCCACTCGGATAGAATGATCTTTCTCCCGGAAGATTCATCGATTCTGACCTGACGGCATCGTTTTTGAGATCTGCTCACATTTTCGCATTGTTTTTGAGGCCCAGCTTGGGAAGAACTGGAATTTTCAGAAGTTTCAGAAGCTTCATCCTGATATTCCCAATCACTGATCACAGTCTGCCTCTGGGTATATCTATCGATCTTGATGCTTCTACACTTTTGCCGAAGTCGATTTCCAACCTTGACCTTGACACATTGATTTTGGCTGGAACTCCAGAATCAGAAGAATCTAGCAGGGTTTTTCCTGGAACTTACATTTGATCTCTTGAAGAACCTTCAGCTTCATCAGATCTAGAAATACCGCCACTGGAAGATTGAAGTTCAGCGCTCTCAGTTCCATCAGATCTTGAAATTGAACCTCCTCCAGAACTTCCATCATCAAGATCTTCATATTCCCAATCACTGATCACAGTCTGTTTCTGGGTTGATCTATCGATCTTGACTCTTCTACATCTCTGACGGTATTTAGGGTAACTTCTAGTTCCAACATTGACCTTCTCACATTGTTTCTGACTGGAAATATTGATTTTTGAATGTTCGTGGCAATTATAGAACTCACGCTTCAGATCCTCCAGATTGGTTAGATTCAGATGCTCCACTAGAACCTCCACTCGAGGTATTTCCATTATCAAGATCTACACCACCACTCGATGATTGAAGTTCTCCACTTCCGTCAGATCTTGAAGTTCCATCAGATTCCTCATCCTGATATTCCCAATCACTGATCACTGTGGTTTTATTGGTAGTTCTGTCGATCTTGACCCTTCGACATCTCTGACGGTATTTCGGATAACTTCTAGTTCCCACATTGACCTTCTCACATTGTTTTTGACTGGAAATATTGATTTTTGAATGTTCCTGGAAATTTAGAAAATTATAGAACTCACGCTTCAGATTCTCCAGATTGGTTAGATTCAGATGCTCCGCTAGATCCACCAGAACTTCCATCATCAAGATCTTCATATTCCCAATCAGAAATCACTGTGGTTTTCTGGGTTGATCTATCGATCTTGACTCTTCGACATCTCTGACGGTATTTTGGATAACTTCTGGTTCCCACATTGATCTTTTCACATTGTTTCTGACCCTGATTCAAATCCGGCATAATCATCGCAGTTCCATCGTCAAATCCTTCACCTTGAAGTTCTCCTGATCTTGGCTTAACATCCTGATCTTCATATTCCCAATCAGAAATCACAGTTGATTTTTGGGTGTCTGGATCATATTTCACTTTTCGACACATTCTTCGAACTTTATCGCTGGAAAATCAATGACTCTTGCCACGTCATAGCCAATCTCCCGACTCACCCAACATCCACATTTTTGCACTGTCGCTGAAGTAGACATTGAGATGTTGTGACTGGCGGCTGAACTGTTGGTGGTTTTGCTCCAGGTTTCGAGCACGGTTTCTTGGGAGGCTTTCTGAAAGCAGAGTTCAGAATTTTAATGGAAAAAAAATTCTTACGGAGTCGTTTTTTTGCATGGTTTTTTGGTGACTGTGGGCCTGAAAATCCAGGATTTTGAAATTTCAAAAAAAAAAAAAACACATTTTTTGGAAACTCACTTTGGTTTGTTGCATGGTTTTCTGGCTATTGAGGCTGCTGGCGCTTGGCTGAAAATTTGAGATTTTCAGAAAAAATCGAGATCCCAGAAGATTTTCAAATTTCTGGGCATTTTGAACTGAAATTCCACGTGGCACAATTTTTTTCAGCAACTTTTTTTAACGATTTTTTTTGCAAATCCGGAATTCTGAATTCTGGGGCCTGAAAATCCGTGACTACTGTAGTTTTTCAGCGCTGAAATCTACAGTAACCCTAAGCTTGTTTGGTATTAAAAAATCACAAATTTCGGTACCAAACGAAATCAAGATTACTGTAGATTTTTAGAGCTGAAATCTACAGTAACCCTAAGCTTGTTTGGTGTTGAAAAATCTCAATTTTCGGGCCTGAAAATCCAAGATTACTGTAGCTTTTAAGCGCTGAAATCTACAGTAACCCTAAGCTTGTTCGGTCTCAAAAAATTCCAAATTTTCCGCGCTGAATAAATTTCCACGTGGCAGATCTTTGGGATGTCTGGGATCTCCAAACTCACTTATCATAACTCAATTCACTTCGTCTCGAAAATGTGTCAACAACACTGAAAACCAGCAAAAATAGACAAGCTAATGAAAAACACAAATTCATTTCGATTTTTCATGTCTCCAATAAAAATTTGGTGAATTTATATACTGATTTTTATGAGAAGTCTATAAATTTTTGTGGGCCAATTAAATTTTTTGTCCCCTATTTTTCCTTGTGTGGGTGTTTTTTTTTTTGCTACCAAAAAAATCATTCCAGGAAAACTTTATGTAAATATTGGGGAAAAATTTAAATTACCCCATAAAATGTGTGTTAAAATGCGCTAATTGTTTCGCAAAACATTAAAATTTCCCCGAATTTCCCCAGATTTTTTGACTGATGAAACATCGTGTATTAATTTTTCTATTTTTCCTTGTTATTTTGACACTTGAGCCAATTTCAGCTCTTGGGAAATCGAGTGAGTTGAAGAAGTTAGCGTAACTTCCATGAATCTGTTTTTTCTAGAACATGGGAAACATCATCTGAAACATAAACATCATGATGAATCGTGTGAAGAGAAACATCACAAACACCAAAATCAAGAAGATTGTGAAGAGAGTCCCAAGGATCTAGACAGCTGTGAGGATGAACATCCTAAGCCTACACCTAATATGGAATGTGATGAGTCGGGAACAACATCTTCGGGACCAGGAAATCAAGATTCCACTCCAGTCTCGCCTGAACTTACATCAACACCTTCGGGACCAGGAAATCAAGATTCCACTCCAGTCTCGCCTGAACTTACATCAACACCTTCGGGACCAGGAAATCAAGATTCCACTCCAGTCTCGCCTGAACTTACATCAACACCTTCGGGACCAGGAAATCAAGATTCCACTCCAGTCTCGCCTGAAGTTACATCAACACCTTCGGGACCAGGAAATCAAGATTCCACTCCAGTCTCGCCTGAACTTACATCAACACCTTCGGGACCAGGAAATCAAGATTCCACTCCAGCTTCGCCTGAAGTTACATCAACACCTTCGGGACCAGGAAATCAAGATTCCACTCCAGTTTCGCCTGAAGTTACATCAACACCTTCGGGACCAGGAAATCAAGATTCCACTCCAGTCTCGCCTGAACTTACATCAACACCTTCGGGACCAGGAAATCAAGATTCCACTCCAGTTTCGCCTGAAGTTACATCAACACCTTCGGGACCAGGAAATCAAGATTCCACTCCAGTTTCGCCTGAACTTACATCAACACCTTCGGGACCAGGAAATCAAGATTCCACTCCAGTTTCGCCTGAACTTACATCAACACCTTCAGGACCAGGAAATCAAGATTCCACTCCAGTCTCGTCTGAAGTTACATCAACACCTTCGGGACCAGGAAATCAAGATTCCACTCCAGTCTCGCCTGAACTTACATCAACACCTTCGGGACCAGGAAATCAAGATTCCACTCCAGTCTCGCCTGAAATTACATCAACACCTTCGGGACCAGGAAATCAAGATTCCACTCCAGTTTCGCCTGAAGTTACATCAACACCTTCGGGACCAGGAAATCAAGATTCCACTCCAGTTTCGCCTGAAGTTACATCAACACCTTCGGGACCAGGAAATCAAGATTCCACTCCAGTTTCGCCTGAAATTACATCAACACCTTCGGGACCAGGAAATCAAGATTCCACTCCAGTTTCGCCTGAAATTACATCAACACCTTCGGGACCAGGAAATCAAGATTCCACTCCAGTTTCGCCTGAAATTACATCAACACCTTCGGGACCAGGAAATCAAGATTCCACTCCAGTCTCGCCTGAAGTTACATCAACACCTTCGGGACCAGGAAATCAAGATTCCACTACAACCTGTGAAGAACTTACATCAACACCTTCGGGACCAGGAAATCAAGATTCCACTACAACCTGTGAAGAACTCACATCAACACCTTCGGGACCAGGAAATCAAGATTCCACTCCAGTTTCGCCTGAAGTTACATCAACACCTTCGGGACCAGGAAATCAAGATTCCACTCCAGTTTCGCCTGAACTTACATCAACACCTTCGGGACCAGGAAATCAAGATTCCACTACAACCTGTGAAGAACTTACATCAACACCTTCGGGACCAGGAAATCAAGATTCCACTCCAGTCTCGTCTGAAGTTACATCAACACCTTCGGGACCAGGAAATCAAGATTCCACTCCAGTTTCGCCTGAAGTTACATCAACACCTTCGGGACCAGGAAATCAAGATTCCACTCCAGTTTCGCCTGAACTTACATCAACACCTTCGGGACCAGGAAATCAAGATTCCACTACAACCTGTGAAGAACTTACATCAACACCTTCGGGACCAGGAAATCAAGATTCCACTCCAGTTTCGCCTGAAGTTACATCAACACCTTCGGGACCAGGAAATCAAGATTCCACTACAACCTGTGAAGAACTTACATCAACACCTTCGGGACCAGGAAATCAAGATTCCACTCCAGTTTCGCCTGAACTTACATCAACACCTTCGGGACCAGGAAATCAAGATTCCACTACAACCTGTGAAGAACTTACATCAACACCTTCGGGACCAGGAAATCAAGATTCCACTCCAGTTTCGCCTGAAGTTACATCAACACCTTCGGGACCAGGAAATCAAGATTCCACTCCAGTCTCGTCTGAAGTTACATCAACACCTTCGGGACCAGGAAATCAAGATTCCACTCCAGTCTCGTCTGAACTTACATCAACACCTTCGGGACCAGGAAATCAAGATTCCACTACAACCTGTGAAGAACTTACATCAACACCTTCGGGACCAGGAAATCAAGATTCCACTCCAGTTTCGCCTGAAGTTACATCAACACCTTCGGGACCAGGAAATCAAGATTCCACTCCAGTCTCGCCTGAAGTTACATCAACACCTTCGGGACCAGGAAATCAAGATTCCACTCCAGTTTCGCCTGAACTTACATCAACACCTTCGGGACCAGGAAATCAAGATTCCACTACAACCTGTGAAGAACTTACATCAACACCTTCGGGACCAGGAAATCAAGATTCCACTCCAGTTTCGCCTGAAGTTACATCAACACCTTCGGGACCAGGAAATCAAGATTCCACTACAACCTGTGAAGAACTTACATCAACACCTTCGGGACCAGGAAATCAAGATTCCACTCCAGTTTCGCCTGAACTTACATCAACACCTTCGGGACCAGGAAATCAAGATTCCACTACAACCTGTGAAGAACTTACATCAACACCTTCGGGACCAGGAAATCAAGATTCCACTCCAGTTTCGCCTGAAGTTACATCAACACCTTCGGGACCAGGAAATCAAGATTCCACTACAACCTGTGAAGAACTTACATCAACACCTTCGGGACCAGGAAATCAAGATTCCACTACAACCTGTGAAGAACTTACATCAACACCTTCGGGACCAGGAAATCAAGATTCCACTCCAGTTTCGCCTGAACTTACATCAACACCTTCGGGACCAGGAAATCAAGATTCCACTACAACCTGTGAAGAACTTACATCAACACCTTCGGGACCAGGAAATCAAGATTCCACTCCAGTTTCGCCTGAAGTTACATCAACACCTTCGGGACCAGGAAATCAAGATTCCACTCCAGTTTCGCCTGAACTTACATCAACACCTTCGGGACCAGGAAATCAAGATTCCACTCCAGTTTCGCCTGAAGTTACATCAACACCTTCGGGACCAGGAAATCAAGATTCCACTCCAGTCTCGCCTGAACTTACATCAACACCTTCGGGACCAGGAAATCAAGATTCCACTCCAGTTTCGCCTGAACTTACATCAACACCTTCGGGACCAGGAAATCAAGATTCCACTCCAGTTTCGCCTGAAGTTACATCAACACCTTCGGGACCAGGAAATCAAGATTCCACTCCAGTCTCGTCTGAAGTTACATCAACACCTTCGGGACCAGGAAATCAAGATTCCACTCCAGTCTCGTCTGAAGTTACATCAACACCTTCGGGACCAGGAAATCAAGATTCCACTACAACCTGTGAAGAACTTACATCAACACCTTCGGGACCAGGAAATCAAGATTCCACTCCAGTTTCGCCTGAAGTTACATCAACACCTTCGGGACCAGGAAATCAAGATTCCACTCCAGTCTCGTCTGAAGTTACATCAACACCTTCGGGACCAGGAAATCAAGATTCCACTCCAGTTTCGCCTGAAGTTACATCAACACCTTCGGGACCAGGAAATCAAGATTCCACTCCAGTTTCGCCTGAACTTACATCAACACCTTCGGGACCAGGAAATCAAGATTCCACTACAACCTGTGAAGAACTTACATCAACACCTTCGGGACCAGGAAATCAAGATTCCACTCCAGTCTCGCCTGAAGTTACATCAACACCTTCGGGACCAGGAAATCAAGATTCCACTCCAGTCTCGCCTGAACTTACATCAACACCTTCGGGACCAGGAAATCAAGATTCCACTCCAGTTTCGCCTGAACTTACATCAACACCTTCAGGACCAGGAAATCAAGATTCCACTCCAGTCTCGCCTGAACTTACATCAACACCTTCGGGACCAGGAAATCAAGATTCCACTCCAGTCTCGCCTGAAATTACATCAACACCTTCGGGACCAGGAAATCAAGATTCCACTCCAGTTTCGCCTGAAGTTACATCAACACCTTCGGGACCAGGAAATCAAGATTCCACTCCAGTTTCGCCTGAAGTTACATCAACACCTTCGGGACCAGGAAATCAAGATTCCACTCCAGTTTCGCCTGAAATTACATCAACACCTTCGGGACCAGGAAATCAAGATTCCACTCCAGTTTCGCCTGAAATTACATCAACACCTTCGGGACCAGGAAATCAAGATTCCACTCCAGTCTCGCCTGAAGTTACATCAACACCTTCGGGACCAGGAAATCAAGATTCCACTACAACCTGTGAAGAACTCACATCAACACCTTCGGGACCAGGAAATCAAGATTCCACTCCAGTCTCGCCTGAAGTTACATCAACACCTTCGGGACCAGGAAATCAAGATTCCACTCCAGTTTCGCCTGAAGTTACATCAACACCTTCGGGACCAGGAAATCAAGATTCCACTCCAGTTTCGCCTGAACTTACATCAACACCTTCGGGACCAGGAAATCAAGATTCCACTACAACCTGTGAAGAACTTACATCAACACCTTCGGGACCAGGAAATCAAGATTCCACTCCAGTTTCGCCTGAAGTTACATCAACACCTTCGGGACCAGGAAATCAAGATTCCACTACAACCTGTGAAGAACTTACATCAACACCTTCGGGACCAGGAAATCAAGATTCCACTCCAGTTTCGCCTGAACTTACATCAACACCTTCGGGACCAGGAAATCAAGATTCCACTACAACCTGTGAAGAACTTACATCAACACCTTCGGGACCAGGAAATCAAGATTCCACTCCAGTTTCGCCTGAAGTTACATCAACACCTTCGGGACCAGGAAATCAAGATTCCACTCCAGTTTCGCCTGAAGTTACATCAACACCTTCGGGACCAGGAAATCAAGATTCCACTCCAGTTTCGCCTGAACTTACATCAACACCTTCGGGACCAGGAAATCAAGATTCCACTCCAGTTTCGCCTGAAGTTACATCAACACCTTCGGGACCAGGAAATCAAGATTCCACTCCAGTTTCGCCTGAAGTTACATCAACACCTTCGGGACCAGGAAATCAAGATTCCACTCCAGTTTCGCCTGAAGTTACATCAACACCTTCGGGACCAGGAAATCAAGATTCCACTCCAGTTTCGCCTGAAGTTACATCAACACCTTCGGGACCAGGAAATCAAGATTCCACTCCAGTTTCGCCTGAACTTACATCAACACCTTCGGGACCAGGAAATCAAGATTCCACTCCAGTTTCGCCTGAAGTTACATCAACACCTTCGGGACCAGGAAATCAAGATTCCACTCCAGTCTCGTCTGAACTTACATCAACACCTTCGGGACCAGGAAATCAAGATTCCACTCCAGTTTCGCCTGAAGTTACATCAACACCTTCGGGACCAGGAAATCAAGATTCCACTCCAGTCTCGTCTGAACTTACATCAACACCTTCGGGACCAGGAAATCAAGATTCCACTCCAGTTTCGCCTGAAGTTACATCAACACCTTCGGGACCAGGAAATCAAGATTCCACTCCAGTTTCGCCTGAACTTACATCAACACCTTCGGGACCAGGAAATCAAGATTCCACTCCAGTTTCGCCTGAAGTTACATCAACACCTTCGGGACCAGGAAATCAAGATTCCACTCCAGTCTCGTCTGAACTTACATCAACACCTTCGGGACCAGGAAATCAAGATTCCACTCCAGTTTCGCCTGAACTCACATCAACACCTTCGGGACCAGGAAATCAAGATTCCACTCCAGTCTCGCCTGAAGTTACATCAACACCTTCGGGACCAGGAAATCAAGATTCCACTCCAGTCTCGCCTGAACTTACATCAACACCTTCGGGACCAGGAAATCAAGATTCCACTCCAGTTTCGCCTGAAGTTACATCAACACCTTCGGGACCAGGAAATCAAGATTCCACTCCAGTTTCGCCTGAACTTACATCAACACCTTCGGGACCAGGAAATCAAGATTCCACTCCAGTTTCGCCTGAAGTTACATCAACACCTTCGGGACCAGGAAATCAAGATTCCACTCCAGTCTCGCCTGAACTTACATCAACACCTTCGGGACCAGGAAATCAAGATTCCACTCCAGTTTCGCCTGAAGTTACATCAACACCTTCGGGACCAGGAAATCAAGATTCCACTCCAGTTTCGCCTGAACTTACATCAACACCTTCGGGACCAGGAAATCAAGATTCCACTCCAGTTTCGCCTGAAGTTACATCAACACCTTCGGGACCAGGAAATCAAGATTCTACTCCAGTCTCGACTTCAACAACCCGCGAAAGAAAAACCAAAAAAACGACGCCAACCCTCAAACCAAGTCGCGCAACTCGTCTAACAACAAGAATTCCAGAAAGTTGCGGTAAGTAGAAGCAGGGGAGATTGATTTTTCGGATGTTTTTTTTTTTTGCAGAACCCGAGCCTGAGCCAGAACCCGAATCTTGCGAAGATCAAACTCAAGAAGAATTCTGTGAAGAAGAATTTGAAGAAAATATGGAAAGTTGTGAGGAATCAGCGGAAAACGACAGAAAATCGATTAGAATTGGATTTGGAAAACCAAAATCGAATTAATTTTTGAATTTCAATTTCGAAATAAATGTTTATGACTCATGTTCAGCAAGACAGCCTTGAAATACAATTTTGAAAAACGGTTGAAAACTGAAAAAGTCTTAACCTAAAGGTAAATAAGCTCAAGCCTAACCTAAATAAGCCTAAGCCTAAGCCTAACCCTAACCTAAGCTGAGACTAAGCATGACCTAAAGAAAGCAAAAAAAAAGCTAAGCCTAAATAAGCCTAAGCCGAAACCTAAGGGTTTAGCCTAAGCCTAAGCCTAACCTAAATAAGCCTAAGCCTAAGCCTAAGGGTTTAGCCTAAGCCTAAGCCTAACCTAAATAAGCCTAAGCCTAAATAAGCCTAAGCCTAACCTTAATAAGCCTAAGCCTAAGCCGAAAAACCTAAGCCTAAGCCTAATAACTATTGTCACTCTGATTTGGAAACAAAGTTTCCATGACTAATATTTGTCTTCCGCAAGTTAGCCAATCTATTATCATTTCCTTTCACCTTCAAATAGAAAAAAAGGTATAAAAATAACAACAAAGAACCTATCGATCATTACATTTTTCTTCTCTAACTATCATTTCATTTTCTCCAAAAAAAATGTTCAAATTTGTGATTTTCTCAACTTTCCTCATTCAAAACGTGATTTCAATTGGGCGAACTCAATCCACATCAATCGAGGGAATTTTATTGTGCGAAGATAAGGTGGCGAGTGGTGTTTTGGTGAAATTGTATGAGCATGACACAGGTTAGTCGAACTACTTACAACACTCCACGTTTACACTGGGAAGATTTTCAGCCTCGCCCGATGAATTGATGGATTCGGCTGAAACTGACAAAGATGGACATTTCAAATTGGAAGGACACGCTGATGAGATTTCATCGATTGAACCAAAGATCAATATTTATCATGATTGTGATGATGGAATCAAGGTGGGGCTGTTTTTGGGGAAAGAAGTTCCGGGTTGGGGGGTTATGACGTGGCAAAGTTTAAGAATTTTGAAAAAAATTGGGATTTTTGAATTCTCAATTTCACCCGAAAAAATTACGTTTCAAAAAAAAATCAAATCGATTTCAAGAATTTTTTTTTGCATTTTTAGAAAAAGCTTGAACAGACAATTCGTCTAGCAAAAAAAAATCGAAAATTTTTTTTTGAAACTTCTAACTTTGCCACGTCATAACTCATATTGAAATTTTTTAATTAGGACATAAAACAAGCCTAGGATTACTGTAGATATTTTGGGAATTTGGAAACTTCTGGATCCTAAATCTCAAAAATATGAAAAAAAAAAATCAATAAATTTTATTTCATGGGAAAATATTTCATTTAAAACCAGCTACAGTAACCCTAGGCATGTTCTATATCGAAAAAATTCAAATTTTCGCGCGAAACATCTACAGTAATCCTGGGCATGTTTGATGTCTAAAAAATCCAAATTTCCGCGCAAAAATACCTACAGTAACCCTAGACTTGTTCTATGTCTAAAAAATCCAAATTTCCGCGTCCAATTATCTACAGTAACCCTAGGCTTGTTCTATATCGAAAAAATTCAAATTTTCGCGCGAAACATCTACAGTAATCCTGGGCATGTTTGATGTCTAAAAAATCCAAATTTCCGCGCAAAAATACCTACAGTAACCCTAGACTTGTTCTATGTCTAAAAAATCCGAATTTTTGCGCAAAAATACCTACAGTAACCCTAGGCATGTTCTATATCAAAAAAATCCAAATTTTCGCGCAAAAATACCTACAGTAACCCTAGGCATGTTCTATATCTAAAAAATCCAAATTTTCGCGCAAAAACATCTACAGTAACCCTAGGCATGTTCTTTTCCAAAAATCCAAATTTCCGTGCGAAAACACCTACAGTAACCCTAGGCATGTTCTATATCAAAAAAATCCAAATTTTCGCGCGAAAATACCTACAGTAACCCTAGGCATGTTCTATATCAAAAAAATCCGAATTTTGCAGCCCTGCCAACGTAAACTAACAATCTTCATTCCCAGTCAATACGTCTCAACCACAAAACAAGCGACGAAAGTGTTCGATTTGGGACGACTTCAATTGGCCGGCAAATATAAGGGTGAAACTAGAGATTGTCTTCACTAGACATTTTTTTTTGCAACCAGAAAAAAAGCTTTTATAAAAAAAATTTTCTCATATTTGACTTGAAGTGTCCGAATCCGTACTGTGTACCCGTTTTTTTTTGAATTCCACTTCTTCGTTGAGCGTTTCGAGAGTCGGACGGTCGGGTTGAGCTGCGATTTTGTTGCGCACTGCAAAATTTTTTTCCGGACTACAAGGTATACTGTACATATCTCTCTCAGACTGCAAAAGTTACAGTAGTCTTTGTAGTTTGAGGTGAGGCGCGCTACATACAAAGATTACTGTACTCGCAGAGTTAGCGGACTGCAAGGGGTACGGTAGTGTTGTAGATTGGAAAATCGTGAGCTACAGTAAAGGTGTTGTGGCTGTACTGTAGCTCCCGAACTGCAAAGATTACTGTACTCGCAGAGTTACCCCGGACTGCAAGGGGTACGGTAGTTTTGTAGTTTGAGATAGGTTGCAGTTCTTCTTGTAGTCTAGAGGTGTTCAGCTCCCGAACTGCAAAGATTACTGTACTCGCAGAGTTACCCCGGACTGCAAGTGTTGCGGTAGTTTGGAAAATCGTGTGACTACAGTAGTCTTTGTAGTTTGAGATAAGTTGCAGTTCTTCTTGTAGTCTAGAGGTGTTCTAGCTAGACTATAGCTCCCGAACTGCAAGGGGTACTGTACTCGCAGAGTTACCGGACTACAAGGGGTACTGTAGCTTTTCAGTTTGAAATACCATGAATCAAGGCTAGAATAGCCTGAAACTACAGTAATCTTTGTAGTTTAGAAAATCCTGAGACTACAGTACTCTTTGTAGTTTGAGATGAGGTTCAGCAGCGATAGCTCTCGGACTGCAAGGGGTACTGTAGCTTCTGGGTCACTATAACTCTCAGACTGCAAGGGTTACGGTAGCTTCGTAGTTTGAGGTCCCTCACAGTTAGGCGTGGACTTGGGTATACTGTAACCACCGGACTGCAAGAGGTACTGTAGCTCCCGGGGAAACTCACTCTGCCTGAAATTCGCCGTCGACAAAGACATCGCAAACCGCGGCTCAACCTTCGGACTCGCTCCAGAAGACAGCGTCTCCGACATTTTCCTCTGCGAAAACGCCCGCTTCCTCAACGAAAATTCGAATAAACTCTTCCTATCATCCGTGTCGGGCGCCTCTTCCGGCTCCAAATGCATCAATTTCACCTCATCATCCGGATTGGTTAGCTCAACTTTGGCTGCGGAGCCCGTCAGTGTTCGTGGAACTTGTGAGAGCTGCGAGTAAACTGGCAGATAATCCGGGTCACTGAACTTGTCACATGATATTGGTGGATGATAGGCGTGGGTGTCATCAACTATAGCCATACCGGTTGCGATGTTTTTATCGAGAATCCAATTCACTTCAAAATCATCGTCATCTTCGCCAAGAGGATTTAGAAGAACTTCAGCCACTTTCATCCATCCTAACACAAAAATCAATTCTAGTATTGTCATAATCGGAATCGGAAATCTCATTTGTGTTTTCGATTTGAATTCGCTCTCCAAAAATTGTCGACTAACCAAACACACCAAAAAATACACCCGAACGGCTAGAAAAACCACTTGCGGATAGGCAATCGGAATTGGGATCTGATCAAATTTTATCAAGACTTCCATGGCTACCCGGAACTCTTTAATGGCTAGGATCACATTATTAAAAGAGGTCAATTGGTCGATATATCCTTTTTGGAAGGCTTCAAGAGCTAGAGAGTTAGCCCAACTTATTGGTACCCAATATTTTTGGCCGGGTTTGCAGTTCACACCTTCGATGAAATCGCATTCGTCTTGATTCATGAATCCGGCATCGATGACGTATTGAAGGGTTGGGAAGCGGCGGCGGACACGCATTGAGATGTCGCGGAAAACTAGGATCTGCAAAAAAATGTTCAAGATCAAGATCAAGTTTAGGGCCATCAAAGTTTGATCTAAAAAATTTCAAAATTGTTTTTTTTTCCTGTTAGAACTTGTTAGAATCCACGTGGCACTATTTTTACGCGTCCCCAAATAAAAAGATCTGAAAATATTTGAGACATATGTCTCATGACATGTAATAAAATTTTTATAGGCTCTCTTGAATATTAGGTCCTAGAGTTCAAAAATCATGAGAATTTTGAATTTTCATCAAGAATTATATCATTGCTCATGTTTGAAACTTCCCAAAGATCAAAAAATTGAAATTTTCCAACCAAAATTACAGATCTTAAGTGATATCTTAAAAATTTAATATTAAAACTAAAAATTTTTAAAAATCAGGTTTTCAAAACATTTTCCTCAAGGTTCTAGAGTTCAAAAATCATTAGAATTTTGAATTTTCTTCGAGAATTATAGCATTGCTCATGTTAGAAACTTCCCAAAGATCAGAAAATTTGAAAAAAATTCATGGATTTTGAGAAATTTTAAAGGAAAATTTCAAATTTTTAAATTTTCCAATCAAAATTACAGATCTTTAAAGTTTTTTTAGTAACTTGGAACCTTTAAAATTCAAAAATCAGGTTTTCACAAAATTTTCCTCAAGGTTCTAGAGTTCAAAAATCATCAGAATTTCGAATTTTCTTCAAGAATTATAGCATTGCTCATGTTAGAAACGTCCCAAGGATCAAAAAATTTGAAAAAAAATCATGGATTTTGAGAAATTTTAAAGGAACATTTTAAAATTTCCAACCAAAATTACAGATCTTAAGTGAAATCTTAAAAATGTATTATTTAAAACTAAAAATTTTTAAAAATCAGGTTTTCAAAAAATTTTCCTTAAGGTACTAGAGTTCAAAAACCATTACAATTTCGAATTTTTGTCAAGAATTATAGCATTGCTCATGTTAGACACGTCTCAAAGATCAGAAAATTTGAAAAAAATTCACGGATTTTGAGAAATTTTAAAGGAAAAATTGAAATTTTGAAATTTTCCAACCAAAATTGCAGATCTTTAAGGTTTAATTAAATGCGGAACCTTTAAAATTCAAAAATTAGGTTTTCACAAAATTTTCCTCAAGGTTCTAGAGTTCAAAAATCATCAGAATTTCAGAATTTTAATTAATTAAATTTGGAAGCTTTAAAATTCAAAAGCCAGATTTTCAAAAAATCTTATGGAAAAACTTCCAAGATTTTTTTTTTGAAAAATTTGTTGCGTGGGAGGCTTCGCCCACACTAACATTTCCAAAATCAGAAATTAATTTACAATTAATTTTATTAGTTTTCGAAATTTATAAATAGAGAAGATTTCTTTGAATCTATACAACATGAAGTTTCTAATCTTGATTCTCTTGGTCCTTCAAATCACCCTGGTTTTATCTGAAACCAAGGCTCAAAGGGATGCTGTCAAGGTTGTTATCGGATTTTTGAAGTTATTCACCAAAAAAAATTCACAATTTCTGGATGCGAATTTCGAAAGAATTGATCCAGATGGTACAAGAATTGGGAGAGGTACGTTCAAATTTTTTTATAAAATATATAATATTTTGTTTCTTGCAGCGGCTTTCATCCAATTCTTGAACAGAATTCCTGATAAAGAAGCTCAAAAACTTGAAAAAAAAGTTCAAGACGCTAAACAACAATCCGATTGGTCTTCTTCTTTTGGCACCGTTGATGCTGAGTTCACAACAGGCAACATGTTAAATGTGCGGGTCTACGACAATGGCGTTCTTAGTGCTATGTATTTAGCCAAACCGAGTTCTTTGACTGAAGAGGGTTACACATTGTTCAGATGGCAACGATTCTAAAGTTTTTTTTTATAATAATAATAAAATCATTTCGGCATGCAAAAACTGTGTGCGGCAGTTGCCATTTAAGCCACGCCCAGTTTTAATTCTGAATATTTCCCCGATCGGTACCACGCGCTCCACCGAAATAAACACGCAACGCAGACCGCGCCGCGTCACAACACACACAAAAAAGGGAGGGAATTTGAATCGTTCCCTTATTTGTGTGTGTTGTGGCGCGGCGCGGTCTGCGTTGCGTGTTTATTTCGGTGGAGCGCGTGAGATTTTCGATGATATTTCGAAAATCAATGAATGTCGGTGTATGCGCGCGCGGTCGCGATGCGTTCCATGTTTTTTTGCATGTTTTCCTCGAAAATGCTGTGTTTTACACAAAATGGTAATTTTTGCCTAAGTTTTCAGTCGGAAAACCCTACAATATTCAATTTTGTGAATATTTTCACCCATTTTGCTGAAAAAATGATAAATAACAACAGCGAAACTTTGAAAACGCAAAAAATGACCAATCCGCATCGCGACCGCCGCGCACACACCGACATTCATTAATTTTCGAAATATTTACCTGATGTAAAATCACATATCGAATAATACTCCTCCGATACAATCGATCTTCCTCAGTTTTGCCGGGAATCAACGCGGCCACAGTGAATGCGCAACTTTCGATAAATGGCATCACATTTAGAGCGCTTCGCCATCTTTCGAAAACTGTTGTCACAAAGAATCCGAGGAGAAATGTTAGTGGGATGTATTTGATACGATCGTCCAAGTGAATTGAGATCTCGTCGAAGATTCTGGAAAAAACCTCGAAAATATACGTTTCAAAATCATTACGAATAAGATTTCGAGACAAAACAGTTTGATTTTTTCTCTAACAAAGCTGTTTCAATGATCAATTGAAAGTGATTTCGATTGATAAGGCCCTCCGCAAGCTTGCGCGAAGCCGCCACGTGGCCGAAGCGGCGGAAGCCGCGCGGAAGCTTATCCCCCCCCCCCGCAAACCTTTTATTCTCCATTGGCAATAAAAAATGATAAGCTGCATAAATCGAATAATACAAAACCAGCCAAACCGCCAATTCCCAAAACACCGATTTCCAAATCGAACCTCGCCACCTCGATAATAATTTCAGAAATGTCAGTGGATGTCCAGATGAGACATCCAGCTGATAATTTACTGTCATTTAAGTTTTAAAGGAAATTCAAAAATCACTAAAAATAGATAAATAAATAAATATTGTTTGATTTGATTCTGATTTCAAAAAAAAATCGTAAATTTCGTCCTTTTCTTGCCAAGGTCGATAACAAGAAAACATGTATTTTGGACATGTCTGCGTCTCGTATCACCTACAAATTTATTTGCCTTATAAACAGAAAAAAGTCTAGAAAACCGTATATTTTTCGAGAAAAAAAGTATGGTTTATTTATTCATGTCTAGCAAAAAATATGGGAGATGCAAACAAAAAATTGTTCTTGTTTTATTCAAATTTCTGATGAAAAATCATATTTTTCAACAACAAAAAAACGCAAAAAAACAGTACGGTGTTCAAAGGCACACAACAATTTTCCATGGGTTCCGTCACGATGTGTGCAATATTTCGTCGCCGTGTTTACACACTTCATTTTTACTTTTGTTTTTTTGCGCAAAAAATTGCTCATCATTTCAACGGAAATCGATTAATCCTGGGAAAATTCACCCGTAAAATCTATAAATATTTTCAGCAGAAAATGGGCAACAATTTTGCTCATGAGCAACCAAAAAGTTGGGACGAAGAAGATGTGAAAAAGTGGATGACAGACGCTGCTCATTTGCAAAAACTCTTCTACACTTTATTCAATGGCTCACAGTTTGATGAATATCATGAACTAACAGACGATCAGCAGATCTCGAAAATATGCTGTGCAATTTATGGACCGCCTGAAAAAGAAGCAGATGATATCGAAAATGCTTATCCAGGAGAGCAAAGAAACGAAGCGAAGAAGATCTTGGATAAGATCAAAGAAGTTTGTAGGGAAAGTCCAGCTGAAAATCGACCAAATTTGAGTATTGGAGTGGTATTTGTTTGTTGCAAGCAACTTCAATACGAGTATACTCTGCCAATTTTCCGATTATTATACGAAATCAAAGATTCTCAACACATTTCACGTTATATTGATACAACATGCCGTGTTTATCATAATTGGGATGATTGGAAGGAGAATAATAACCTTCCACAGTTGAAATATTGTTACCCAGAGCGAGGATTTTATAGCTGTTCGAATAGTTGGAAATTTGAATTTGATGCTGATAAAGATCCAGATATTTCATATGGAGCATCACCGGCTTGTAAATTTTCAACAAGAGTTTGTCGAACAGCTGACACTGTATTGACAACTGTTGGGATTACTTTGGGACTTGCTTCAATGTTAACGCCAGCTGGAATGTTTACTGGACCTGCAATGTTGGGAACTATTGGTGGAACTGCTTTGTATGGATGTGGAAGAGCTGGTAAATTGGGGATTTTTGGGTAGTTAACCTAACTTCTTCAAAGTTTTTCAGGTAAAAGACTCCTCGATAAAGCCGCTCATAAAGAAAATATGAAAGATTTGGAAAGTGCAGCTTTGATGGCCTCAATTATCGCAGCTCCTCTCTCATTTGTCTCTTGTTTGACGAATGCAAGATTAGCAGCTGGTGCAGCACAGGGAAGAATGTTTTCACAAGGTACACGAATTTTGGCGACGTTTGTATTCTTCACCACTTTCTCACTCGACTCATTTTTCCTTATTGTCAATATTTCGAACTTGATTGAGAAAGCTAAAAATGATCAATTAACTAAACTTGATGTACTTCAATTTTCGATCAGTTGTTTGTTTTTTGCAAATACACTTGTTCAACCAAAAACAGCGAATGGAGTGATTGAAAAAGCGCAACAACAAAGATTTGATAGTTTTGCGAATGGTTTGAGTGACGAGCAGGCGAAAGTTGCTTTTGATAAATTTTTGAAGAATAATGAGCATGGAAAGAATATGCAAACGAATTCGAAAATTATTAAAACTTTGAATAAAATCAAACATCCCGATGCGTTTTTCAAAAATAATGCTGGAAATGATATTAGAATTGGTGGAAAGAAGGGAAGAACTGTTTTTGTTACAGATGCACAAAATAATATGAGAAAAGCGAATCCAAATGAAAAGTGAGTAGTTGTTTTGGGGGTTTTTCATTAAAAAATCAGAAAAAAGTCTAATTTCAGAATAAAATTCACAATGAAACGTCAAGAAGGTGCTCCGATTATTCAAAAAGTTCAACAACTCGAAAAATGTCTTGGAGTTGACTACAAAGATCATAAATATTTGAAAAATATGACAAATCAACAAAAAGGAAGAGTTGGAAAGGTATTTGGAGGTTCTGCAAAATATGATAAAGATATTGTTGATGTTGCAACACGAATCTCGGATGATTTAAATATTCAAAATGCTGACGAATTTATGTCGCTTATTGAGATTGTTGCGGCTGAAAAACACAGGAATCCTGAAGAACTGTTCGATGCGAAATTTGTCGCAGGAGTTAGCAATGATTTGGAGGTGGCGGCGAATTTGGCGGCGAAAAATGCAAAAATCTTTGCCGATCCCTTTTCGGCTGTTTATCATTATCGAAAACATGGCGAAGATTTTCTGAAGAATTGCAGTCTTGATTTTTATTTGGGACCTGTTCCGGAGAAAATTGTGCTGTCTGGAAAATTGACGGATATTTGTAATATTGAAACTGTTCATTCAGTAAGTTTCTGATTTTTTTTTTGAGAAATCTGAAAATTCTCTTTTTAGGATGGATTAATTTCAAAAATCACTCGAAAAACCTATTATCTTCCCAACGATGAAATGTGTGTAATTATGGAAAATCCAGACAAGCCAATAATTTCCACATGTTTCAAGAATACTGGAGGGTGGAAGAAGCATTTTCAAAAGTTTCCAATCACTGATACCACCACTCCAGATCTTCAAACTTCTTATGCTGATTTTGCGAGACGAATTGGTCTTCAAACAATCGCTGTTAATATAGTTACTCCAACTGAAAAATATAAGGCAGAAGATTACGGTGAAGATGCGGAATATTATCAAAATATGATTTCACTTTTGTTGAAGGATCTTGCTAGAGATGGAGATGAATCTGATTTTGATTCTAAGAATTGAGTTGATTTGTTGTCGAATTCTGTTATTTGTTTGCTTTTTGTTAATAAAATAAATAACTATGAGAGAAAAGCTCACAAATCTGTTTCCGGGAAAAATACGTTTCATGCATTTTCTAATATTTCATTTTATTTTTTCTATTTTGATGGGCACCTTCTATCCCAATTTATTTATTTGATTGAATCCCGCGGGGATTCCACACAGTGAAAAACTGTAATCTCTGAAAATTTCAGATCAAATTTTTCAAAAGGAAAAATATTGAAATAAAAAAAAACATTTTTTCGAGAAAAAAAACGTGCGTGATTTTTTTCACACAATTTTTAAAAATCTGGTATTTCCTAAATTTGTTACCCGAGAAAAATGGGATCCTGCTTTTCGCAAGAAAAAACAATCCAGAAATATTCTAAAATCAGAGGATGGTTTGATTTACCATATGATGTTAGAATATTGATTATTGATTATTTGGATTTGAGAACAAGAACGAAGTTAGCACGATGTTCTTTAGCTTGTCTCAAAGAAATACTTATGAGTTGGAATTTCGTGGATGAAATTCATATACAGGATTATATTAAGAAAGACTTACGACATATTGGAATTGTGTTGATATCGAAAAACGAAGAGTGGACCTTGAGAATTGTGGAATTGCCATCGCCTGGAAATATTATAGTTCGATGGGAAATACCTCATCCAAATGGAAAGACTGAAATAATATCGACGAGAGGATTTAGAAATTTGAAGCCGTTGCGGTTTCTTTTGGTGAATTTCAGAATGTTTGTGAAGAGGAATAGCAAAAGTTTGAAGAGTATTCGAATTCATATTGTGAGTTTTTCCGTGACACTTTAATAATTCAAACTTTTTTTGCAGAATGATTTTCCGTATCATAAATGCAATATCAAAAGTTTGCAAAATCCAGGATTACAAGATCTTATACTTCCACAAAATACAGTTCATAAAGTCGATCCGATTGCATGTGGATTCATAGATCTCGACACAATATTCCGTTTCCAACATATTATTGAAGTTCCGAATTTAAAACTCGATTATTTTCCAAAAATCAAAATGAAATTCGCGGTATTAAACGCGCCAATATTCAATTTAGAAGAACTCGAAGATTTTTTGAGACATTGTTTGATTGAAGAAGATATTGATGAGGATTTTAAAGCTATTGAAATAATGTTGAAAGATGCTACGATGCCTGATATAAATAAAAAAAAATTGATTGAAGTTATTAGAAAATATGCTGATAATGAATGTGAAAAGTTGCCAGGATATCCAGAAGAACGTCGTGTATTTTATCGAATATCGAAATTTTCGAAGAGAAAAGCACGTGCTATATCTTTGGAAGATGATTGTTTACAATATCATACCCTTGAGAAATAAAATAAAATTTTATTCTTATTTTTATTTTCAGAGAGAATATTTTATTATGGGGATTTTTTAAACAGCAAGCTTCCGCTTTTTGAAATTTTCGAACAAAATTAAATAAAATTGTTTTATAAAACTAGTATTCTCCCTGGGAAAAGCAAAGCTTGAAAGACTCTCAGGGTTCCCAATGTTCATACATTTAACGTGTCCCTTTTAAAATCCGGGGGGGGGGGTTCCCATTTTTAAAAATCCCCAAAAAATACAATAGGCGAGCGTGTTTTCTATTCTGCAGCGCCTTTTCGCGTCAGCGCGTAAGATTAAATGTTTGCGGACCAGTTGGTGTTGACACACACTTTTAATTTTTCCGTTCTTTCTTAAGGTTTGGGATTATTTTCCACACCCCGCTGAAACGAGAAATGACTGTTTTTCTACTGTAGTACGCAATCGAAAAGTGTGCAAACACCGCGTCTCTGCGTCTCTCGAAAATTCACACTCTTTTGTTCGTTCAAAGGAACATACATTTATTAATTTATTGGGTCTCGAAAAGCTGGCCTTCCTGGGCTCCTAGGAATTATGAATCTTATGGTTTAATGTAGATCTCGACACGCTGAATCTCGTGATATTTTTCATTTTTTCACTAACGCCTGTTTTCCTAACGAAAATTGGTACGCCAACTATTTCATTGATTTACGTTGCAGATTAAAGGGACACGTATTTATTTAACCGCGTGGTCTCGACGCAAATCGTAACTTTCTTCGCAGGACCCCTAAAAATATGAGTAACATAGTTTAATGTAGATCTTGAGACGCTGATTCTAATGGTATTTTTAGTTTTTCATATAACGCCCTCTAAGGTAACTAAAATTGGTACGCCAATGAGAACAGCATTTTGCTAATTTTTTCATTGTTTGAGCGGGTGTGTTTCAGAGAGAATATTTTATTATGGGGATTTTTTAAACAGCAAGCTTCCGCTTTTTGAAATTTTCAAACAAAATTAAATCGGAAAACTCTTCACCTTGGAAACGAACACTGTTACTCGAACTAAAATAAGATATCTGTATAAAACTCCGAAAACAAAAATCAGACAACACTTTTTCACCCACCGAACTTGCTCAACACTATAATAAAGACTCATAATAATAATGACCTATGTTACAATAAATACAAGCGCTTACTCGTCCTGGTTTTCATGACCATAGGCCCTGTCTTACCATACTTGTGTCTTTCTACCCATTTTTTTGTATTTTCCTTTTTCCCCAATATTTTTTTTATTTTCACGTTGTCCCCCAACGTATTTCAATAAATAAATAAATAAATAAAATTGTTTTATAAATCTTCAAGTAAAATAGCATTTCATTCATCTTCAGTATAATATTGTAAATAATCTTCATCCAAATATATACATCGTGATTTGTTCTTCAAAATTTTCGATTTTCGCCAAAATATACGGCGTTTATCCACCAAATAGTCTACCGAAAATTTCACATTATCAGCATATTTTCTGATAACTTCAATCAATTTTTCTTTATTTATATCAGGCATCGTAGCATCTTTCAACATTATCTTCATAACTTCGAAATGCTCATCAACATCTTCTTCAATTAAACAATGTCGCAAAAAATCGTCGAGTTCTTCTAAATTGAATATGGCTGCGTTTAATATTACGAATTTTGTTTTGCTTTTTGGAGAATAATCGAGTTTTAAATTCGGAACTTCAATTATATGTTGGAAACGAAATATTGTGTCGAGATCTACGAATCCACATGCAATCGGATCGACTTTATGAACAGTGTTATTTGGAAGTATAATCTCTTGTAATCCTGGATTTAGCAAATTTTTGATATTGCATTCATGATACGGAAAATCGTTCTGCAAAAAAAGTTTGAATTATTACAGTTTCGCGGAAAAACTCACAATTTGCATTCGAATACTCTTCAAACTTCTTCTATTCCTCTTCACAAAATTATTGAAGTACATTTCAAGAATCTCTAACGGTTGCATATTCATATATCCTGTCAACGATATCGATTCACACATTCCCTCTTCTGCTAGAAACATGTCCCATCCAACAACCACAGTATTTCCAGACGATGGCAATTCCACAATTCTGAACACCCACTGTTCGTTTTTCGATATCACAACCATCTCAATATGTCGTAAATCCTCCTCAATATAATCTTGTATATTAATTTCATCGATAAAATTCCAACTTGAAAGTATTTCTCCGTGACAAGCTTGTGAACATCGTGCTAACTCTGCTCTTGTTCTCAAATCCAAATAATCAATAATCAATATTCTAACATCATATGGTAATTCAAACCATCCTGTGATTTTAGAATATTTCTGGATGGCTTCTGAATTGGTTTGAATATTTTCTCGCGATAAATAAGATCCCATTTTTCTCGATGAGCAAATTTCAGAAATGCCAGATTTCTCGTGTGAATTCACGCACGTCGTATAAAAATTTCTTGAAAAAATTGGGTCACATTTATTTATTTTCATTTTCAAAAATGTATGTAGTTTAAAAAAAAAAGATATACAAAGCTAACTTATAGAAAGAGAGGTTCAATAATTTTCAGAAAAATCGTTTTAAAAAATTTGAATGAAATGGATATGTTTTATCTTAAAATTGTCAGATTTAAGCTCCGGAACATAAACTCTTTTCAAAACTAGATTGTGAGCTGAAAAAGACCGACTGAAAATCAATAAGCTAACAAGAACAAAATTGTTTTATAAGAGTATAATTATCATTCATCATCAGTAAAAACAGATTCACTGTCAGTACTATCTGATTCCTCATCATCATCATCGATCGATTCATCGGCAGTATAATAACGTAAATATTCCTCTTCCAAATATATACATCGTATTTTATGCTTCAAAATTCTCGATTTTCGCGTAAATTTCGAAAAGTCTGCAAAGAATTCCACATTATCAGCATATTTTCTGATAACTTCAATCAATTTCTCTTTATTCATATCAGCATCTTTCAACATTATCTTCATAACTTCGAAATTATCATCAACATCTTCTTCAATGAAACAATGTCGCAAAAAATTGTCGAGTTCTTCTAAATTGGGTATGGGCGCGTTTAATACTGCGAATTTTGTTTTGATTTTTGTCATGAAATAATCGAGTTTCAAATTTGGAACTTTAATCAGATGATGGAAACGGAATATTGTGTCGAGATCTACGAATCCACATGAAATCGGATCGACTTTATGAACTGTATTTTGTGGAAGTATAAGATCTTGTAATCCTGGATTTCGCAAATTTTTGATATTGCATTTATGGTACGGAAAATCATTCTGCAAAAAAAATTTTGAATTATTAAAGTGTCACGGAAAAACTCACAATATGAATTCGAATACTCTTCAAACTTTTCCTATTCCTCTTCACAAACATTTTGAAATTTGCCAAAACAAATCGCAACGGCTTCAAATTGCCAATGCCTGTCTCCGATATTAATTCATTATTTCCATTTGGATGCGGCATTTCCCATCGAACTATAATATTTCCAGGAAAAGGCAATTCCACAATTCTGAACAGCCACTTTTCGTCTTTCGATATCAAAACAATTCCAATATGCCGTATGTCCTCCTCAATATAATCTTGTATATGAATTTCATCCACAAAATTACAACTTGAAAGTATTTCTTTATGACAAGCTTGTGAACACCGTGCTAACTTCCTTCTTGTTCTCAAATCCAAATAATCAATAATCAATACTCTAACATCATATGGTAATTCAAACCATCCTGTGATTCCGGAATATTTCTGAATAGCTTCTGAATTCGTTTGAATATTTTCTCGCGAGAAACAAGATCCCATTTTTATCGGGTAACAAATTTAGAAAATGCCAGATTTCTTGTGTTAATTCACGCAAATTTTTAGAAAAAATTGATTTTTTCCCTATATTTGACCTAAAATAAATGAAACAGATATTTTAATCTGCAAAACTCCAGCAGATTTTTTCACATATAACACATTTTCATTTCAAAACTTTATTCAACTTTAATTACATTGTACAACTCGAATTCAAGGTTTTTTTCAAAAAAAAAATGCAAAAAAATAAAAAAGAAAACAACGAGACTCCGCGTTGACGGTAACGCGCAAAATTTATCAATAGAGCGAACATGCATTCTTACTTTTGTTTTCAAGCTGTTTTTTGTCATTTTTTTTGAAAAAAAATATTTATTCATATAAATTGCACAGCGTTTTGTGAGGAAGCGAAAAGGGTTTTTTAAAAAGTTATTAGATCATGCAGCGATTTGTTGTTGAGATGGTGATGGTTTGATTTCGCCAGTCACTGGATTTCTTGCTGAAAAACCAGTTATTTTAATTTTATCCGGTAATCCGCAAGCTTCCGGCGCGGAAGCCTTCCGGAAAAAAAAAACTCACACATGACTGGGATGGCGCGTTTTGGTGTTCTTTGTGGTGAGGCTGGAGCTTCGTCGAAGATTTGAGATTTGAAAGTTGGGGTGACCTGTGAGAAGGAAAAAATACGTTTCAGTGGATTTTTGAGCAACAAGTTCCGCTAACTCACTCTTTTCGGCGATGCAACTTTGGCCGGTTGGTCGCCGAACAAACGATCACGAGTATTGCAGTGTTTCTGGAATAAAACAGAAATTGGGTTGAGTTGGGCAGGGGGAAATTAATGTCTTTCTATGATCAATGAGCCCCCGCTCTTCCAATTCGCATAAATCACATTTTTCTCGTATAATTGCGCGGCTTTGGTGTTTTGGGTGACGAAATTCCTTTGGGGGGGTGAAAAAATCTCATTAAAATGGGTTGAAATTTAATTGTGGGGGGGGGGGATTACGAAATGTTTAGTATGAGTCATTTTATTTTTAAGTGCTGGAGGAGGTTAGAGACGCAGAGGGGGCTAGAGTGGAGATAGCCAGGTCATGTGAAGGATAGACAGGTAGAGGAAGTAAGAGACGCAGACAAGCCATAGCACGACCATTTACTCCAATAGAAAATTGCCCCTCGGGTCAGACGAGAGACGACGGGAGTGTGATGACGTCATCGGAGACAGAGAAAGACATCGCTTCGAGATATTTTTGAGAAAATATGTGTCCCTTTGAAAAAATACCGTGTTTTTTTTCAAGGGACACATGTTTTATTGAAAATATCTCGAGATAATTTTGCAAAATACTCTCGTCGTCTTGCGTCTGACTCAACGGGCGCCTTGTATGGTCGTGTAGAGAGCCAGATCAGGTAACTAAAGGGAGTCAGAGACGCAGACACGTCATAGAAAACAAAACACTCTCTTGAGAGAATCAGACAACGAGAGTAGGTTAGAGAGCACGATGACGTGGCAATTTCAAATTTTAAACATACAGAGCAATTTTCTCAATGGAGCGCATATGAATTTTTAGCGCTAACTGCAATTCACTGACGCATTTTGTGTGTTTGCTGGCGTTTTTTTTTGTTTTGTTTTTCCTTGTTTTTCTTTCGAATTGAAAAAAAGTAGCAAACATTTTCGTATTTCCTCCCCCAATTTCCAACAAAAATGTTTTTTTTCCGCGTCTCGCTCAATTCAATGGTCCGTGAATGGAAGAAGGAGCCATTATAAAAATTGTTTTTCCGCGATTTTTTGTTTTGTTTTTCTTATTCTTTTTATTCAAAAAAAAAACATGAAAATCATCATGTATGAATCAAAAAAAAGAAGAAAGAAACAAAAAAAGTTTTAAAATCTCAGGGGGATTTTTGTTTTTTTTTTCGCTGGCCTTGCTCAAAGTGAAGAGCGAAAAAATGTTTTATGGTCTCGAGGGGGAAATTGAGGCGAAGACTGGAAGACCAAGGAAATTAGTGTTCGCAGGCCTCGTGAGTTATGACGTGGCAGTTCAGAAACAGGAGGCACCGGGGATTGAACCCGTGACCTTTAGATTGATAGAGGCCACTAGGATTTGAAAAATTGAAGTGCGCTCTATTGACAAGGTGTTTTAGATTTGAATTTTCCATGTCCTCGTGATCTCTAACCGTCTAGTAGTCTCTACTTTTCCGTGATCTCTGATGCACTCTAGCTGTCTGATTCTCTCAAAAGAGTATGATGTCTCCAACCTCCTCGTGCTCTCTAGCCTCTTCTACCCGTCTAACACTCCATCGTCTCGTTAAATCTAGTCAACAATTTCCTCTGCGTCTCTAGCATTTAGCTCTAACTCCAAGTGATATCTAGCTAACTCTGGTTGTCTGCTCTAACAGAATTCTTCCTCTAGCTCTCTAGCAGTACCTATATGTCTAAATTTCTCTGGTCGTCTCGAACCCTCACTGATCTCTAGCTGTCCATACTTCCCTGTGCTATCTAACCACCTCTACCTGTCTCTACCCTAGCCCAGCTCTGCGTCTCTAACATCCTCCAGCTATCTAACATACTCTAGTCGTCTAACGCCTCTGTCAATCTGTTCTTACTTCCTCTGCGTCTCTAGTATCTTCTCGCCGTCTTGCATTCTCTAATTTCTACTCTGGTTGTCTGCTCTGACAGAATTCTTCCACTGCGTCTCTAATCGTCTCGAACTCTCACTGATCTCTAGTTGTCTCTACCCTAGCCCCACTCTGCGTCTCTAACTCACGTGTGGTGTCATTGGTGCATGTGTTGGTGGAGCTGGTGCTGCGGCTTGAGCTGGAGCGGCGGCGACTGCGTCAGACATGTTTCTTCTCTGAAAAAAGTGTAGATGAGTGTGTCACCAGAGACCGCTAACCAAAATGAAATGAAATGAAATGTGCTGCTGCTCTCGAGAAGAAACATGTTGTGGGCGGAGCTTGAGGCAAAGAGGCGGTTTTTTTTCGGGGGGTGAGGGCTGACCAAAAAAAACACGAAAAAAGACATAGAGACAATTATTTGGTGGTGAAAAAAAAAGGAGATGGAGAAGGGCGAAGCGAAATGAAATTGGGTTTTGCCAAGCACAAGCTGAGAAAAAATGGAGAAGTGCAAAATATATATATATGGGATGGGTTCAGAAGATGGATGGTGACGTGGCAAGCGGGTAGCGGGAATTGAACCCATGACCCTGAGATTGATAGATGCCAACACTACCACTGAGCCAACAGAGAGCGAGAGGAGGCTAGAGATGCCTAGAGATCATTGGGAACTAGAGAGTATAGAGACGCAGAGGAACACTGGAACTTGTTAGAGAAAAATGGATTTATTGCAAAATAATTTAAAGGTACATAAGTATAAATAATTTAAAGGCGCACGTTCGATTCTATTTATTTTCCCGCCAAATACGGTTTGAGTTCACATTTGAAGGTTTGCGGATTCGGTGTGTACGGATGACAACAACAGCGGCAAACCGAGCCGGATGGGCTGAAAATGAGCAATTTTTGAACATAAAACATAAAAAGAGCCAATTTTTGATGAAAATTTGATGAGCTCTAGAAGATCAGCTCAAATAAGACGAAAAAAAGAGGAAGACAACTTTTTGCTCACATTGTTTATATGTTTTTGTGGTGAGCTGAACATGAAGAATTGGGAATTTAAAAAAAAATTTGGGAAATTCTGTCTAGCTTCTCTCAAAATTGAACACTCTCTTACTACTCTGCTATGTCTGGCGTCTCTCAAATTCTTCTGCACTCTCACTTTTGCCTTGCGTCTAGACTCTCGCAAAATCACACACTCTCTTCTCTTACTACGCTGTTTTCTCTGGCGTCTCTCAAAATCACACACTCTCTTCTCTTACTGCACTGGTATGTCTGGCGTCTCTGGAAACTACACACTCTCTTCTCTAGCTGCCCTGGTATGTCTGGCGTCTCTCAAGTTCATGTGCTCTCTCAACTCTGTATGACGTCCAGAGTCTCTCAAAATCACACACTCGATCACCTCCCTGTTGTATCTGCACTCTCTCCACTCTACATTATCTCTAATTCTCTAGTCGTCTAACTTCTCACACTATCTCTCTCTCTCTCTCTCTCTCTCTCTCTCTCTCTCTCTCTCTCTCTCTCTCTCTCTCTCTCTCTCTCTCTCTCTCTCTCTCTCTCTCTCCGCTCCTCTACGTCTCTCACCGATGCTCGGGAACACATTGCAAATAATCCAAATTATCAATAATATTCTGCATCGATTCCGTCACATTGGGCAATTGAATTTGTGGATTTGGCCAAAGTTTGCAGTTTGGCACGAAGGTAGAGACGCAAGACTGCAAAAAAACAAGGTTACTGTAGGCTCCTTAGGTTACTGTATGCTCCTTTAACCATACATTACTCTGATCAACTCCTTGACATTTTCGCTCGGCGACGAATAGCGGATTGATGACGCCGATGTCGCCTCTGAAATTCAAGATCAAGATGAGCATGAGGGTTTTGAATTTCAGCTAATCTGCGCGGGAATTTTTTTTTTCATCATCGTGGGGGAGCTTTTTGGACTTTTTTTCTCTGGTGAACTCGTTAGAGACGCAGAGGATATACCGTACCTTCGATGACATTTTCTTCCACAACTCTGTTGATATGAGCACTCGCCGCATTGCTCTTCGCTCAAAGTTGTGTCGCGTAGGTATTGGTAGAAATTGTTGAAGGCCTGGAAACAAGGGGGAGTTGGGCTAAGTCGGATTTTTGGGATGGAAGTGGGCCTGGTCTAAATTTTCAGGCTTGGTTTTCAGGCTGTCTGAATCGGGCCAGGTTAATCTTATTTTTAGTTGGAATTGGGCCTGGTCTGAACCTTCAGGCTTGGTTTTCAGGCTGTCTGAATCGGGCCAGGTTAATCTTATTTTTAGTTGGAATCGGGCCTGGTCTGAACCTTCAGGCTTGGTTTTCAGGCTGTCTGAATCGGGCCAGGTTAATCTTATTTTTAGTTGGAATTGGGCCTGGTCTGAACCTTCAGGCTTGGTTTTCAGGCTGTCTGAATCGGGCCAGGTTAATCTTATTTTTAGTTGGAATCGGGCCTGGTCTGAACCTTCAGGCTTGGTTTTCAGGCTGTCTGAATCGGGCCAGGTTAATCTTATTTTTAGTTGGAATCGGGCCTGGTCTGAACCTTCAGGCTTGGTTTTCAGGCTGTCTGAATCGGGCCAGGATAATCCGATTTTTAGTTGGAACTGGGCCTGGTATGAATTTTCAGACTTGGTTTCCAGGGTGTCTGAATCGGGCCAGGATAGTTCTATTTTTAGTCGGAACTAGTCCTGGTGTTATTTATCAGGCCTGATTTTCAATATGTCTGAACTGGACCAGGATAATCCGATTTTTAGTTGGAACCGGGCGTGGTCTAAATTTTCAGTCTTGCTTTTCAGGGTGTCTGAATTAGGCCAGGTTAATCTTATTTTTAGTTGAATTAAGCGTCGTCAACGCGGAGTCTCGTTGTTTTTTTTGGCCAGATCCGATTTTTTTCCCTCAAAACCCCAAATCACGATACGATCTTGTGTTGTTCCACATTTTTCCTCGTTGTTTTGCGCGCGAAAAAAAAATCAGTGTTGAAAATCGCTTCAGATTTTATCTCTCCAAGTTTTTTTTGGCCTCCCAAAAGCTTATCGGATTTTTGTTTGTTCCACATTTTTTTTGTCCAAAACAAAAGCAACTTACAACACCCCAACGATCTTTGAGAAGTCGAAAAAAGACGTGATTTCGACAGCCTTTTCGGCCGGGAAGAAGTTGTTCGAAGTAGGTGCGTTGGAAGCGTTTCTCTTTGCCTTTTAGCCAGACGCACGGGCCCCATTCGGACCATGTTTCGCAGTTTGAAGCCTGGATTGGATTGCCGAACATGGCGCTGATTTGGGATTCTGGAAGAATTCGGGAGTTAGGCTAACTCTGAATTTATTTTTTTTTCTAACCTGTAATCACTACGAGAACTGCCAAAACCACAATTTTAAGCACCATTTTTTGTCTGTAAAAATATACCTTACAGTAATCCTTGCAGTCCGGATTGATTCAGAAAAATGAAGTTTCTCAGAATTCTAATAAGCGTAAGAAAACATTCCGAAAATTCGGACTACAGTACCTCTTGCAGTTCGAGGTACAGTAACTAAGTTACAGTATACCTTGCAGTCTTTTGGGTTACAGTAATCCTCAAGTACAAGACAAACTGCAAATGGTTCTGTAATTTGAAAATTCCGGACTGCAAGGAGTACTGTACCTCGAATTGCAAAGAGGTACTGTAGTTGGGGAAAAAAAAGTTGCCACTGAATATTTTTCCAGCAAGGATACTGTAGAACAAAATGCAAAGGGTTCTGTAATTTTGAAATTCCGGACTGCAAGGGTTACTGTAACTTTGAAAAACAGAACTACAAGAAATACTGTAACTTCTGCATTACTGTATCAAAGGGAAAAAAATTCCAGACTACAAGATATACTGTACCCCAAACTGCAAAGAGTACTGTACTTGGGGAAAAAGGTTTTCGCTCAAAATCTTTTCCCAGCAAGGATTACTGTAGCAGACTGCAAAGCGTACTGTAATTTCGAAGTTCCAGACTGCAAGGATTACTGTACTGTACCTCGAACTGCAAGAGGTACTGTACTTGGGAAAAATGTCAAGTTTTTTGCAAAATTAATTTTGAAAATCTTGAAAATGATTTTTTAAAAAAATTTGGTCAAAGCTGAAATTGGGGTTTCAAAATTCAGAAAAATAATTCCAGAAAACTGGAAAAATTCCCCGATAAAATACAGTGTAAAATAAGTACAATCATAAAATGTTTCACAATAAAAATGGGAAAATAAAAATGGAATAACAAATCTTTCTTCTTTTTTCCCTGATTATCCATCCATATCTTTTCTCTTTTGTCAAAAATATACCTGTTCCCTTTTTTCTTTGTGGACAAATAACCTGTTTCAATTGATATATATGCAACTTTTTATTATTCTGGAAATTCCTGGCTTCAAAAAAATCAACAAAAAAAATCCCACGGCATTTTAATTCAAATCAGCTCTGAATTTCTAATTTTCATATTATGTAATTCAAAAAATCTCACAATTCAAATTCAAAAAAAATGCAGAAAAAATTGGTTTTCGCAATTTTTCTCCTCAAATTCGTCTCGTCTGAAACTAATGATCTGAAATTGGTTTTCGCGGATTTCATGCGAAATCAAGTTTTTCAAAATCCCGATGAGCATAAAGCATATTTCGAGGGCTCGAAAATTGTTGGCTGCCAGGGACAGAATTTGAGTTATGGTAAGTTTTGAGCAAAAAAAATTCTGCCTGCTGAAATCTGAAATTTTCAGATGAATTTGCTCATGAAATTACCGACAAAATGGATCGGAGACTCGGTTTTAATGTGGGTTAATTTTTTTTTCAAAAAATTTGAAAAAAAAAGAATTTCAGATAACTCTAAGCTCGATTGTTGAAAATAAGCCAAAAAATGGCGAAATTTTGGCGGAATATTTGATTTTTTGAGAATTTTCAAAATCCAGCTGAAATTTTGAAGCAAACTATAAATGTGATCTACAGGGTGACAGGAATTTTCAGTTTTTTATGAAAAAAAAAATTTTATTTCAGAATTCTGGATCTTTGATAAGTGAAGTTAAAGCGACGTGTGAAATAATTAATTAATTAATTTTTTAATTGAATAAAAAATCAAGCTGCAATTTTTTTAGAGAAAAATTGAAAATTTTAGAAAATTCTACGAATTTTGAAGCAAAATTCTTCAGTTTTCAAAAAAAAATTAATTTTTGAATTTTCTAAAAATTCTGAAAATCGTGATTTTCAGAAATTTCAAAAAAATCCACAAATTCATGAATTTTGGAGCTAAAATTCTTAACTTTTTCAAAAAAAAATTGATTTTCAAATTTCTCATTTTTTCACTGTTTCAAAATTTTTATAATTGATTTTTAAAAATTTCAAGAAAAAAGAGAAATCCTGATTTTCAGTAATTTCAAGAAAAAATCTGAAAATTTCAGAAAAATCCACAAATTCATGAATTTTGGAGCACAAATTCTTCAGTTTTCTAGAAAAAAATTATTTTTTTTTCAATGTTTCAAAATTTTTATAATTGATTTTTGAATTTAAAAAAAAAAACGAAATCCTGATTTTCAGTAATTTCAATAAGAAATCTGAAAATTTCAGAAAAATCCACAAATTCATGAATTTTAACCCAAAATTCTTCATTTTTCACAAAAAATTGATTTTTGAATTTTCAAAATATTTTTCATGTTTTGAAAATCATGATTTTCAGTAATTTCAAAAAAATCTGAATTTATTAATTCCAAAATCTAATTCTATCAAAATTTAGTGGCTCCAAAAGGCGTCGAAACTTCAATTTCACAATCCAACTTCATAATTTCAATTTCCGGCTTCAATTTTCGAATTTGCCTGATAAATCTGGGCTCCTTGGCAGCTCCAACAAGTGCCAATCTTCTAAAATTCTCCGAAACTTCAAAAAACATCTCAAAAATATTTCGAACAACTCCAAAATGGGCGGCTTCGAGGATTTGAAGACTTTCGAAATCTCGAATATTTTCCGGGATTTTGAGCAACTTCTTTTTTGAGCCTCGTTCAGCTATGAAAATCGGGGAAATCTCCAGATTTCCGGGAAGAAGATCTGAGCTGTTAGAATTCAAAAGATCCAGAGTTTCTCGAAGTGAGGATTTCCCCGGAGCAATAAAATCTTCAACTATTTTTTGAATGGCATTTCCGCCATTCATGGCGCAAGTTGCCAAAAGTCGATGAGTTGGGGAGAATGGGAGGTTGACGATTGTTGGCGCGAGATTTTCGGGAATTTTTGAATCCTGGGAGATTGGGTGGAGAAGGCAGAGTTGAGCGGAGGTGCCGATTATGAGGTCTGGAAAAAAAATGTCTTTTGATTTTTGCCACGTGGATTTTTCTGGCGCCAAAAATTCAGAATTCAAAAATTTCCCCATTTTTTCACTGTTTCAAAATTGTTTCAAGAGTTTTGCAGTTCGAAAAATCCTTAGACCGTAATATTTGTTTCCTGCCAGATACAGTAACCCTGAAGCTACAGTAATCTCTTTGTAGTTCTTACAGTACCCCAACCGGAAAGCGAAACCCTCCGATACAGTAATCCTTGCAGTTCGGAATCACCTAGGATATAATTTGCAAAATTTTTACAGCTACAGTAATTCTTGCAGTCCGAATAGAGCATGCCTTAGGAGTACAGTAACCCTTGCAGTTCTAAATAGAATATACCTTAGGCTACAGTAACCCCAAGCAATTCGGGAAATTTCAGATACAGTAATCCATGAAATTTCGATAGGATTTTTTGAATACAGTAACCCTGGACTACTGTACCTCGAAGAGAATTTCAAATTCCAGACTTCCCGCCAACTCACACGCCGTGCCCTCTCCAACTTTTTCCAACGCCGCCACCGATGCTTGCAAATCCCCACTTGCCACGTGGCATTTGGCACCGTTCCAAAATCCGAAAATCTGATTTTGATCCAAAACGATTTCGGGTAACTCGATGTTTTCAGGTAGAAATTGGAGCTGGAACAAAAAAAACATTTTTTTTAAGGTGGATTCTGGATTCAGAAAAAAGAAACTTACAATTTCAGGTTGCCATTTTCCAGCAGAACTACAGTATCCCCAACTGAATGCGTTGTGATGTGAAATTTTGACATTTTTGGAAGTTTTTGTGAGGAACGCCAGGAAAAGGTCCATTATTGTTCCGCATTTGTCGAAATTCTGGAGGAAAATTGAGAATTTCAGAAAATTTATGAATTTTGACCCAAAATTTGTCAGTTTTCTAGAAAAAATTGATTTTTTATTTTTTCACTGTTTCAAAATTTTCATAATTGATTTTTGAATTTCTAAAAAAAATGTTCTTTGTCTCTATTTTTCATAGCAAAAATTCTGAATTCAAAAAAATCTGAAAATTTCAGAAAAATCCACAAATTCATGAATTTTGACCCAAAATTCTTCACTTTTTCAAAAAAAAAAATTGATTTTCCAAATTTCCCATTTTTTCACAGTTTCAAAATTTTCATAATTGATTTTTGAATTAAAAAAAAGAGAAATCCTGATTTTCTGTAATTTCAAAAAAAAAATCTGAAAATTTCAGAAAAATCCACAAATTCATGAATTTTTGAGCAAAAATTCTTCATTTTTCTAGAAAAAATCAATTTTTTTCACTGTTTCAAAATTTTCATAACTAATTTTTGAATTTTCTAAAAATAAAAATCACCTCAAAAAATCCCGCACCTTCTGAATTTTTGAGAAAAGCCATAGTGACCATCCCGAATCCCGGATAAATTTCAGCTTCTTTCCATTTTGGTAAAATTTCCAGAAATTCCGTGGGGCAATCGAACATCCAATTGTAAAGCGAGGAACATTTAACTGCAAAAAAATATGGTGGCCTAGAAACCCAAAACCTCGTCCCGGGGACTAGTTTTCCCCTAACTCCCTATCCAATATTTCACCGCCTTCAAAAATCGTCTCCGAATCCCAAAACACAATTCCATGCATCTGACCGCAGGTAAAAATCTCCGAAATCCTGTGATTTTTCGTGTAAACATCGTGTAAAAGTTCCAGAACAACTTGCAGAATCAGTTTTGGGTCTTGAAGCGAAGAGCTGTGGGTACTGTAGTTGCGATGAGATTCTTGGAGAATTTCGCGTTTCTCCGTGAGAAGACAGATTTTGGCAGAAGATGTGCCGATGTCAATTCCGATTATCATGGTTTTGCTGGAAATGAAAAAAAAATCACGTGAAAAAATATAAAATTTTAATTTTCAAAAATATTTGGCGTTTGTTCGGTGGAGCGCATTTGCATTTGCTAAATATTTCTAGTCCCCCAGCCAGATTTTTAATCAGGTTTTTATTATCTCATCGGTACTCCACGCGCTCCACACGCAACGCAGACCGCGCCGCGCCACAACACACACAAAAAAGGGAGGGAATTTGAATCGTTCCCTTTTTGTGTGTGTTGTGGCGCGACGCGGTCTGCGTTGCGTGTGGAGCGCGTGGAGTACCGATGAGATTTTCGATAATATGGGTGATTAATATTTTTGTGTTGTCTGCGCTCTCTCAATTTCACGTTATCACTGAAAATTGTGTAAATTTCCAGCCAAAAATCAAATTTCTCAAAAAGTTAACCAGGATTACATCACATTTTGTATTTTTTTTGTAATCATTCTAACATTTTCCCATTTATTTTCTGTGTTCTTATCGCAGTTTTATTTCGACACGAGCCCCGATTCCTAGAATTCTGTGTGTGTGATTTGCGTTTTTATCAATCGAGAAATCGAAAACCGATTTTTATATGACTTTATGTAGTTGGAAACGGGGAAAAAAAAAGAAAAAAATGGAAAAATTTTAAGTCTAGAAATTTCGGATTGTAAAATACACTAATTCGATTTAATTTAAGATAAGGTAAATTTAAGTAAACCTTAAAAAATCGCAAGAATTGAACAAAACTATTGAAAATGACCGCTAAAACCAAAATTTCATCAAAATTTATGCTAAACCCCCATATATTTGCATATTTCCTTTCCCAAAAATTCAAAAAATGTTTCAAACTTTTTTTTTGTTTACATATTTTCTCCTCGATTACTCACTCACTCACTCAATTTTATTTCCCTTCCCTACCATTTCGAAACGTTGTCATGACGTGTCATTTTTCCAACTCCACCCCACATTTTTATCATTTCTCTGCGTCTCCCGCATTTCCACACTCTCTCCGCGGAGTACTTTCTTAGAATGAAACGCGGGCCTTATCAGCGTACTATTTGAATAATCATCACTCGCTTTGATAAACCAAAATTTCGTTTTTAGTCTTTCGCTAGTTGTTGAGCGAGAATTTTTCACTCTTAAATCTAGTGGCTTACCTTATTTTATTAAGGTTTTCTTGAACCTTGTTAAGCAAACTTAAGCCTAACTTAAAGAAACACGAACTAAACCTAAAAATAGGCTAACTTTTGACCCTATTTTAAAACCTAATTCAATTCGAACTTAACCTGAAAGCTTTTAAACTTAGCGTCAGAACTAAGCCTAAGTTTAGTCTAATTTTTGAACCTAACTTAAGACTATTTAAGCTTGTGCTTACGAATAAGCTTAAGCCTAACTTTCAGGCTTAATCCTTGATTATTTAAGGCTAAATATTAACCCTAAATTTAGAAGCTTAACTTAAGATTATTTAAAATGTGCCATTAATGGTAACTACCTTAACTACCTCCAACTTTAAAAAAGCCTAGCTGTACATAAGCCTAAGCCTAGATGCACTTAAGCCTAAGCCTAGATGTACTTAAGCCTAAGTCAGATAAGGCCGAGTCTAGATAGATGTACTTAAGCCTAAGCCTAGATATACCCAAGCCTAAGTCAGATAAGGCCGAGCGCCTTGCGCGAGTGTAAACCGGAAGCTTCCGCGTAGCGGCACTGTCTTCCGCGAAGCGGCTGGGTCTGAGCCCGAGAGCCCTGGACCTTTGCTTTGAACTTTAAAATTCAATTTTAAAAAGTTCTCCCAACTTCATTTTCAAAAAATTCCAGAAATGGAAGACGAAATCGCCGCTCTCGTCGTCGACAACGGTTCCGGAATGTGCAAAGCCGGTTTCGCCGGTGACGACGCTCCACGCGCCGTCTTCCCCTCCATCGTCGGACGTCCACGTCATCAAGGTGTCATGGTTGGAATGGGACAAAAAGACTCGTATGTCGGAGACGAGGCTCAATCCAAACGTGGTATTCTCACGCTGAAATACCCGATCGAACACGGTATCGTCACCAATTGGGATGATATGGAAAAGATCTGGCATCACACATTCTACAATGAGTTGAGAATTGCGCCCGAAGAGCATCCGGTGCTGTTGACCGAGGCTCCATTGAACCCGAAGAGCAATCGTGAGAAAATGACGCAGATTATGTTCGAGACTTTCAACACACCGGCTATGTATGTGAATATTCAAGCCGTTTTGTCGTTGTACGCTTCCGGTAGAACTACTGGTATTGTTTTGGATACCGGAGATGGTGTTACACACACTGTGCCAATTTATGAGGTGAGCAGAGGGTTAGAGCGAGAGAGAGAGAGAGATAGGGGGAGAGACGCAGAGGAAAATCCTAGGCTTAGACTGAACCAAACACTTAGGCTCAGACAAACTTTTGAATTCAAAATTTTTTTGGAAATCACAAAATTTGCGATAGAGCGCACTTGCTCATTTTTGTACAAAATTTCAAAATTGCCGAAAATTCAAATTTTTCGCAAATGCGCCCAATTGAGAAAAACACGCCTAAAGGTATTTAGGCCTAAATCTAGATATACTTAAGCCTAAGCCAGATAAGGCCGAGTTGAGATAGATGTACCCAAGCTTAAGCTTAGAAGATGTACTTAAGCCTAAGCCTAAATGCACTTAAGCCTAAGCCTAGATATACATAAGCCTAAGCCAGATAAGGTCGAGCGCCTTGCGCGAGTGTAAACCGGAAGATTCCGCGTAGCGGCACTGTCTACCGCGAAGCGGCTGGGCCTGGGTCTAAGCCCAAAAGCCTAGACCTAAGCCTAAGGTAGATAAGGCCGAGCGCCTTGCGCGAGTGTAGACCGGAAGCTTCCGCGTAGCGGCACTGTCTACCGCGAAGCGGCTGGGTCTGAGTCTAAGCCTGAGCCCGAGAGCCTAGACCTAAGCCTTAAAAAAAGATAAGGCCGAGCGCCTTGCGCGAGTGTAAACCGGAAGATTCCGCGAAGCGGCACTGTCTACCGCGAAGCGGCTGGGTCTGAGTCTAAGCCTGAGCCTGAGAGCCTGGACCTAAAGTGTAAACAGGAAGCTTCCGCGTAGCGGCTGGGCCCAGACCTAAGCCTAACCCTCGTTTCTTCTAGGGTTATGCTCTCCCACACGCCATTCAACGTCTCGACTTGGCCGGTCGCGATCTCACCGACTACATGATGAAAATCCTGACCGAACGCGGCTACACCTTCACAACCACCGCCGAACGAGAAATCGTTCGTGACATCAAAGAGAAGCTCTCCTACGTCGCGTTGGACTTCGAACACGAACTCGTCACTGCCGCCTCATCGTCTTCCTTGGAAAAGAGTTATGAATTGCCCGATGGTCAAGTGATCACAATCGGAAATGAGCGATTCAGATGTCCTGAAGTATTGTTCCAACCGGCTTTTATCGGAATGGAAGGTGCTGGTATTCATGAGACGACTTATCAATCAATTATGAAGTGTGATGTTGATATCAGAAAGGATTTGTACGCGAATACAGTTCTCTCTGGTGGAACTTCGATGTTCCCTGGAATCGCTGATCGTATGCAAAAGGAGATTCAACATTTGGCACCGTCGACAATGAAGATTAAGATCATTGCGCCGCCGGAGAGAAAATATTCGGTTTGGATTGGTGGTTCGATTCTTGCCTCACTTTCCACATTCCAACAAATGTGGATCTCGAAACAGGAATATGATGAGTCTGGTCCATCGATTGTTCATCGCAAATGTTTCTAAATTATTTTATTTTGAATGAATTTATGAAAATTTTAGGAAACTTGGGGTTTGAAAAAAAATTTAAAAAAAAAAATTAAAAAAAAAAAAATTAAAAAATGTGCGGCGATTGCATTTGGGCCACGCCCCTTTTACGCAGCGGATAGTTGAATAGAGTAATGTTTTTGAATTTTAAAAAATTCAGAAAACCTCTAATTTGAGCAATGCTGAAATTTTTAGGCTTTAAAAATTAGAACATTTTGAACAATAGAAAATTCCCGAAACTTGGCTCCTTAGTATTGGAATTTTCAAAAATCCCCTGAAAATGAGCGATTTCAGAATTTTGGAGTTTTGGAGAGCTTAACATGAGCAATGCTTCTGAATTCTTGAAAATGTATATCACTTTTCATCTAACCTGAGCAATGCTTCAAATTCCATTAAACAATGTTTTTAAAAATTCAGAAAATCTTTAATATGAGCAATGATGAAAAATTTTGAGCTTTATAAAAATTCAGAAAATTTCGAGCAAAATTTGGTTGGGAATTTTCGAAAACTCTATAATATGAGCAATATATCATTTTTCTTATTAGAAAGAAAATTTCTCAAATATTTCAAAATTTTAACCAAAAATCAATAAATTCCAAATTTTCCCAAAAAATCGTCTATAAAATTTGCGAGACAAATCATTTTTATTCGAATTTTACATGAGATTCTCAATTTTCTTTTTGATTTCGGTCATATTTTTCTACAAAACCCTAGCTTTTGGACCTCCTCAAAATGAATGTGAAGATTCAGAAGACTGTGAAGCTGATCAATTATGTTTGGATGAGAATGGAGATGGAATTTCTATTTGTGTCGGATAATTTTGGCTAAATTTTTTGAATAAAGTGCCTAGCATTGCTCATCTTAGCAAAACTCACAAAAATTTATTCACAAACAAACAAGTAAAAGGAACAATAAAATACCTCGTCAAATAATCCAAAACTATTACAAAACTAAATTTCAAGAATGAAATGTGTAGAAAAACGAAAAGGACGAATTTTGAAATTCAGAACTCAAAAAAAAATTGACGAGAACCCAAAAATTTCAGCCAAAACTTGATTTTTGACAGAATTTTTCAGGTTCAGGCATTAATTCACTATTATTAGATGAGAAGTTCTTCAATTTTCAGAAAAAAAAATTGACGATAGATTTCCCTGCGCGAGAACCCGAAAATTTCAGCCAAAACTTGATTTTTGACGGAATTTTTCAGGTTCAGGCATTGGTTTACTATTTTGTAACAAGAAATTATTTTGATTAGAGACAATGGAAAATTGTGAGAGCGCAGACACTCTCTCAATTTTCCATTATCTCTAATCAAAATAATATTCTGTATATTTTAATTTTCATGAGTTCAAACCTTCAAAATTCATTTTTTTTTCTGAAAATTTATTCGGCTTCCTCTTCCTCAGAATTTTCCTCTTCTTCCCCAGATCCATCATCAAAAGCTTCATTGAAATCATCAAAATTCAGCACAAATTCGACATCGTCATCTTCCTCATCAAAATCAACATCAACGAGATCTCCTATCACAACTTGACGATCAAAATGTTCATCATCATCATCTTCGGGATCAGCTCCATCAACACCTTCGAACAATCGACCAGCACATTCACCCTGCAACAGAATTTGATGAAAAATCACTCATTTTTTATCGAAAATTCAATTTTTCAATGAAAAATCATAATTATTGTGGTGAAATCCACCCATCAGTAGTTCCAAAACCTCCCAAAAATATAAAAATATTTTGAAACGTATTTTTCACAGAATATTTTGCGCTGTTAATTAAAAATGATCAGAATTTTGACAAAAAAGCCCGAAACCCTATGAAAAATGAGAAAAATCACTGATTTTCGGTCGGAAATCGGAGAATTTTCAATGCAAAATCAAGTTTAGTAGTAAAAATCGCTACTCTTATTCAAATTTTTCTGAAAATTTGAAGATTTTGAGGTAATATTCATCACCATTATACTACTAATTCCAAAATCTCACAAAAATATACAGAAATATTTTGAAACGTAATTTTTCCCTGAATATTTTGCTCTGTTAAAAATGGTCAGAAATTTGACAAAAATGACCCGAAACCTTATGAAAATGAGAAAAATCATTGATTTTTATCGAAAATTTATAAATTTTCCCTGTCCTTATTCAAATTTTCATGAAAAATCGAACTTTTTGAAGTAATCTTCAACACATTATTCCACACACTTCCAGCACTAATTCTAAAAGCCCATAAAAATGTAAAAATATTTTGAAACGTAATTTTTCACAGAATATTTCCACTGTTAAAAATGGTCAGAAATTTGACAAAAAAAAGGTCCAAAATCCTTGAAAATTCGGCCCTAAGCCCAAAAAACTCACATCTCCTCGAAAATGTTGATAGGGATCATTTTTGTGCAAAACTTTTTGGCAGAGCCAACAAAAATACGTGTCGCATTTTGTACAATGCATTTTATGGCATCCATCGTTTTTCTGCAAAAAATCCGGGTTTCGGGTCCAAAAATCATGATATTCTCAAATTTTCCACTTGCTCTAACTCACCTCAATACTAACACAACATTTCGGACATTGTTTCGAGTTTGCATCTTTCCATTCATCGTTTTCGAAATTTTCGATAATAATTTCCAAATTTCGCATTCCTCCGAAATTCTTCGCCATCTCTTTTCGCTCTTCCAAACCAGATTCTCGCCATTTTTCAAGAATTGCAGTTTTGTCTTCTGAAAAAATATGGGATTTTCGGAGGCTAAATCGGGGAAATTTACCTTGTTTGAATTTGCATCCTGAAATCCCGTGAAATGTTTGTTTACACAAATTACAAAATGATGATGAGCAATATGTGCATTCGACTAGGTTTTTTGAGCTGGAAAATGAGCATTTTCGGCTCAAAATTTAAATTTTTGAGCAAATTCAGAGCTCAAAATTTCAGATTTTTTGAAAATTATATTTTTGAGCTCAATTTTTGGAACTTAAATTAATTTCAGCGATTTTTTTCTCGAAAATTCGTTTTTCCTGTTCAAAAAATGTGCACTTTAAAAAGTTCATCACCAAAAAAAAAGTGAAATTTGAGACAAGATTTTTTTGAGATTGAATTAGATTTCAGAAATTTAAGCTCAAAATCTGCTTTTTCCAGAAACCAGAACAATTTTGAGCTTCTGAAACTCAATTTTCTCCCCCCAAAAAAAAACTCACGGATCCGTCAAATACGCCACTTTTGCACAATCTTCTCTCGGACACTGCACAGCATCATCGATTTCCTGAATCGCTTTTTCCAACAAAATACTCTCATATCTCAAAAATTCGGCTGGTTTCAGCACTTTTTGAATGAAAGCGTGCTCGCATGGTGTGGTGCATCCTTCGGCGAGACATTTCAGACTATTTGGCTGGAAAAATCCAATTTCCAGTCGAATTTCAGATAAAAACCCTGCAAAACTCACCAAATTATTATTAACCAAACACTCAAAATAATTCTCAATGCAACTGATACAAAAAACATGTCCGCAAGGTTGGAATTGATGACAATGCTCTCCCAAAACCTCATCATAACATATTTTACACTCAAAATTCGCGTTATTGAAATGCTCAGCTGATTCGTCTTCAGATTGTCCAATTACACGATTTCGAAGTTGAGAAATTGTCAGATTTTTCTGCAATTATCTCGGTATTCAAATGTTTGATCAAAAAATGTTCAAGTTACCTCAACTTCCAACACCAATGCATCATTCAAAACAATCTTATTATTCGTCCCAATTTCGGCTACAATTTCCATCAATTTATCATAACAAAAATACAAAACTGGCATCGATTCGTTTTCCTCGCAAATTTGTCGCATTTCTTCGAGACATTTTGAGGTCTGGAATTGACATTTATGATTATTTTAACAAAACTCAAAGAACTATCAATTTTAAGTGGGGTTTCTTAATTGCTGTTCTTTGTGGGAAACAAAGATTTCATCGAAACCAGGATTGTTTTTCACTTCATAGGGAATTCGGAGTTCAATTTCAAGTAAAATAGAACAAGCTATCCTAATTATAGGGTTTAGCTTAAAATTATAACTTAAACTAACTTTAATTTAACATTTGAATACTATGAACTATGACAGTATTGAAATATTAAATTAGAGTTAACTCAAGTTGTAATTTCAGGCTAAACCCTATAATTAGGTTAGCTTGTTCTATTTGATCTAAAATTTAACACCGAGTTAACTTCAAAAATAACGTTATGACGTGTATTATCAAACACTATTTTTAATTCAAGTTTTTCAGAATTTCAGACGTTTGAAAATCGGATGATCTCTAATTGTAAGCCATAATATTTATTTTCATCAGATTATTTGAAGTGCCAAAACACAAAATCCCCATTTGAAACTAATCAATATTTTTCCTTGAAAAATTCAAATTTCAAATTTGATAAAAATTCAAATTTGATATTTAGAACCGGCTCAAAGTTATCCACAATTTTCGAGATATACAAACTTTGCCGCGTCATATGAGATTTGAGCTAGACGAAACTTGATGCTGAATCGTGATCTGCACACCGATCAGAAATGATCAGTTCTAACTCGTCATTCTCGGAAAATAAATTAATAAGTACGAAGATTTGGATCAAAAGATTTGTGACGAAATTTTTCCAAAATTCTAAATTTCCGCAATTTTCTCATTTTCGCTCCAAAGTTCGCTGAACAAGCTAATTTCAAACATCTCCTGAGCACAAAAAACCAAAAGAGCACTAGAATTTTAAAATTATCTCTTCTCTTTGACTCCGCCCACTTTTCATACGCTATGAGCCAATTTTCGAGTCCAACAAAACAAACTCATTTTTCGGTGGCGTTTTTCCCAAGAAAAAACTATTTAACCTACTCATGAATAATTAACCAAACATTTTCAGGCTAGCTCATTTTTCCACTAGGAAAAAAAGTGAGTTTTTAAAAATTCTTCCTGTTTTCTCTCTGAGAGATTTTTCGAGCACGATCTTTTGAGCTCTAATCACCTCACATTATTTTATATAGTTATTTAATTATTTTCCCATTTTCCAGCAGAAAAACACGAAAATTCTCATAGAATTCGTTCGCCATTTCATTTATTATTCATTTTTTGTGCCGAATTTATTTTTTTTTCTAGCTTCGCTCTGAAAATGGAGCATTTTCAGCATATTGTCATTCACAAAAAGACTCGCTAACTAATCAAAGTGCGGATTAACTTTCTATTTTCCTCTTTTTTCTTTTTGTTACTTGAGAAAAAACCATGGGAAAAATAAGAGGAAGAAGATGATACTTAAGAAAATTGGAATTTTTTGAAACACAAATGAAATGACTTTTTTGCTGGATTAAACTAGACTTTCTTTATTAGAAAAATGTATCTTGGGCTCTTTTTTCAAGGTCTGAAATTTGAAATCCCCGAAATTTCGGCTCAAAAATCAATTTCCACATGAAAATTTCAAATTTTTCGAAGGAATTTGCATGATTTTCATAGATTCAAAGACCCAAAATGTGAGAATTTTGAGTCTGAAGCCTTCTCAAGTCAAATAGTTCAGTATGAACGAAAATTTCGTGACGAGACTCTAATTTAAAGGAACATAGTGATATTTAGAACTTGAAAAGACGAAATTTCGCGGCGAGACCACAAAAACGACATTTAGGTTAGAAATACGCCATATTTCGTCAAAAAAATCAACATAGTTTAATTTGCACTCAAAATACTCTAAATTTCGTATCAAGTCTCAAACTTTGACTTGAATTACGTGATTTTTCCATTTTCCACGTCATAACCAACTTTCAGAGAAGTTTTTGATGATTTCTGATAACACAGAGTTGATCAGCAGGTGAAAATTTCTCGGGAAATTCCAAGAAAGTTCAACTAGGAAGCAAAGTTCCGTGAAACTTTGCCTACAGGACTCTAACAAGCCTTTTCCACGTCATAACCAACAGCAGACGGTTTCTGATCTTCTACTGCGATAAAAACGCATGAAAAATTCAGAAAAATATGTGAAAATTACTCATATTCCTAAGAGATTTTCTAGAAAATCTCTATTTTTCGAATTTTTCGTTCTTCGGAGTCATTTAGCATTAACTAACGACTTCTGTAGTCCTTTAAATTTGAGTAAATTCCAGGTGCAAACATTAATCCGGTTCAAAATAACAAAATCCAATAATCCCTATTGTCATTATCATTTTGATCATCCAACGAAGCCAGTCAAATCATAATGTTAAACACTAAAACTTTTTCTTCTGTTTTTTTTGTTGCAACCAAAAAATCAATTTTTCACCTGTTTTCCTTCTAGATTATCATAATAATTTATTCATTTTTTCGCCCTTTTTGCACTCGTTGTTTTCAGCAAAAAGAAAAATAACTATGTGCATTTTCTCACCTGTTCTTTAGTTAGCCAATCGGTTTGTATTTCGAATTTCGGCGTCGAAACTGACGGATAATCGGCCGGGAAATCGAAGCGTAGTTTTGCAGGCGGCAGGAATTTGAGCTCATTTTCGAAACGCTCACCGTTCTCCAAAGTTCCGTAGATTTTAATATTTGTCACGTCGAAATCTAGTGTTATTATACCCGAAGTTTCGGCTAATCTGAGCAATTTTCCTTCCCGTAGCACACTTTCTAACGCTTCCAATTCAGCCAATTGATTTTCTCGATCTTCGTCCATTCAAATTCCTTCTGAAAATGAAAATTGAATTGAAAAATCATGAAAAACTTAGAAAAAAACTTCCATTTTTTCAAATTAAATAAATTTTTCGAGTCGAAAACTACTCGAGAACATTTATTTTATTAAAAATCTCGAAACAGAAAATGAAAACTTTTATCAATTGCCCAATATTTCGCAACAAAAAAACGAAAAACAAAAAAAAAAAAAGAGAAAAAAAAACTCTTTCAAACACCCGCTCGTCAAATGCACACAACACACTTGAACCGACGCGCAAATTTAAAACCCCCAGGAAAAGAAATACTGTAAATTACTGTATTTAGACAGATAATCCCTCCCATTATTCCCCTCTTTAGAAAAATTGTTTTTCTGACCTGACTACATATGTATAACATTTATTTTTCTGTGTAAATAAGAAGAGACATGATCTTTGTAGCCGCACTTATTAGCAAATAAAAAAAACATTACAGGGTGGAAATGAACTCTACTATAGCTCTAGAGGAATCTTCAAATGAATTATTCCCAATTATTTTGCTGACTATAAAACTTGGTCTAAATTCGATTGGTCTATTTTTGAATTGTGTATTATTATGGTTGATTTTGGTGAATTGTCGGAATATGTACAAAACTTTGAGCATTCTTTTGATCTACACATTATTTAATGATATGACGATTTCGATTACGATGTTATTAGAAGTTAAGAGGTTAGTTAGTTCGACTAAATGACATTTTCAGGTTTTTTAAGCAAATGAGTTGAAATATTGGGTTTTAATTTTATTCATATGATAGAATGGTCTAAGACGAACAGAATGATATAAATTTTGATGACTTTACGTTAATCATAAGGGATTTAGCGAGGTTTAGTCGATAAGCCGCTAAATCACTTATGGCTAACGTAAATTCATCAAAATTTATATCATTCTGTTCGCCTTGGACCATTCTATCATATGAATAACATTAAAACCCAATATTTCAACTCATTTGCTTAACAAGGGAACCTTTTTTACTCAACACTTCAAATCATGATGAAATTTGGTTTATGGACAGCTTTTGGGGCCATAAGAACACCCTAAAAATTTAAGTCTCCCAATGGACCTCTGAGCCAAGTTCTGGGCTCTCAAAAACTCAAAAAAGGCCTAAAAATGGTCATAAAAGTCATCATAGCTCCATTTCAAAATTTTTTTCGGTGGAAATGAAGTTTCAGATATTGATCAGCATAGTCGATTTACTAAAAATACATCAATAAAAAACTTTATTTCGAAAAATTTTGAAGTTTTTTATTTTTGGGCTGAAAATTCAGGAAAATTCATATGTACCCCTGCTCATTCTTTTTTTCAAAATCAGAAATTTTTCTGAAAATTCGATTTATTGATGGTTTTTGGCTAAATCGACCACGCTGATCATCATATGCTACTTATTTTTTCATAAAATTGATTGAGAATTGAGTTATGACGTGTTTTATGAGCCAATTTTGGCAATTTTTGAACTTTTGAGAGCCCAGAACTTGGCTCAGAGGTCCATTGGGAGACTAAAATTTTTAGGGTGTTCTTATGGCCCCAAAAGCTGTCCATAAACCAAATTTCATCATGATTTGAAGTGTTGAGTAAAAAAGGTTTCCTTGTAAAAAACCTGAAAATGTCATTTAGTCGATGTCCAACTATAATTAGAATAGCGAAAAAACTCACATATTTTTCTTTAGACTAGTTATCTGCCACGAGACATATGTTATGGTATATTATGGTCCATGCAACCTAATTTCTCCATATTTTTGTCACGCTTTGGAAGGAATTCACATTCACGCCCTACAAAATTGGATTTTGTCGCAGATTTTATTGATTGCTTTTCGAACATCTGTTTTGAGATCGACTTCTTCGAAAAGATTTTTGTCAATTGAGCGAACTTTTGAGCTATTGTTTGATGGCGTATTTACCGGGATTAGTGACAGTGGTAAGTAGGATTTTTTTGAACAAGGAACTATGTATAGTTCACGATTCAAAAATAGCTGGAAATAATAGTTAATCTCTTATTTTCTCATAGATCATTTTTCTTTTGAAACGTGAACTATAAACTCAGAAAACCATTTCATAAAAATTCTAGATCTGGTTCCTAGTCCAATTCGAAGACAGTTCTCCCCTCGTAAATTCTCTTCAAAAATGCACATCAGAAATATTCACTCATTCAACAATATCTGGCTATGAATCATATCACAAATCTCCAATGCCATATGCAATGGCTCTTCTAATCCTTCCAAATATTCCCCATTATTTCCTAGCTTTTTGCTTCCGCCACAAACAAAATCATGACTTAAAGCGTCGAAGTTTATCAACAAGCACTTTAAAAATGCACTCAACACTTCGAAAAATCTCAACTCTCAAAGCATTCTTGCCACTTTTCCTATTTTTCGATGTTATGATTTATACATTATGTCAACTTGAATTATTACCTCCGCAAATGAGCCAATATTTTCTGGGAACTATTTCGAGTTCTATTAATATTCTCAATCCACTGATTGCTATAATGTGCTTTAGGCCGTATAGAGGAACTGTGAAAGCGACATGGCGAAAATGGACTACGTAAGTTTTAGAGGAAGTTTTCTGGAGAAAAATGCATATTTTTCAGAAAATTATCAAGATCTCAACACAAAGTGATATTCAGTGAAGAAGAAGAGGTGGAAGCTGTCAGTTTATAACACGCAATTCTACCTTTAACTTCGTTTCAAAAAGTGAAAACCCAAAAAAACAGAAAAAAATAAAAAAAAATTATTTTCGAAATGTGTTTCGTGTACTTCCCGCGGACAAGGTCCCGCAGCGAGATGACGTTTGTCATCATGTGCCTTTAATTTTATTCCACGATTTTTATTTTTGTTTTTTTTTCTTGCAGCGGAAGTGTGTGAAGTGTTCCCAGTGATTTTCAGTGAGAAATACCATCTTGTAGAGTTTTTCATGCTGAAAAAGATCTCGATTTCAGTTTCTGCTAAACGACACTCCAAAGAGCAGAAAACTGAGCCAAAATTCGGAACTTTTCGAAAAATATTGTTTTTTTAAAACTTTCAGTCTTTTTAGAATAACTTTAATCAAAAATACAAATACAGGGCGTTGTTCAGGCTTTCATTTCTGTTCATTTCCAATTTTTCAACGCTCACAACCTAGCAATTTCCATGTCATAAATCTAAATAGGTAATTAACTGATCGTAACAAGACCCTGACACGGGGCGCGCGCGCCAAAACGCGTTCATTTGAAAAAGAAAAGCGAAAAGAGAAAAAAAGGTCATTTTGTTAGTTGTGTTTTGTCACCGACACTTTTTTTTCGGTGATGAATGTCTCCCTTCCTCTTTTTTATTGTTTATATTCGTTTCTTTGTGAAAAACTTTTCATTTTTCACCAGGCAAATCAGGCTGGGTATTATAATATACAATGAATATAGCACCGAGACCTCTTCCACCTTCAAAATCTCAAGTTCGTCGAGATAAACAACCTCCAGAAGTGCCTCAAAATGTGTATGACAGTGACCGAAATATATACTATGAGAAGGGTAAATTCCTTGGAAAAGGAGGTTTTGCTCATTGTTACGAGTTTATAAATCGTGAAACGCGTCAGATGGTCGCTGGAAAAGTTGTGCCAAAAAGTCTGCTAGTCAAACAATATCAACGGGATAAAATGGCGCAAGAAGTGCAAATTCATCGAAATTTATCACATCCAAACGTCGTCAAACTCTTCCATTTCTTCGAAGATCGTCTAAATGTTTATATAACACTGGAATTGTGTCCAAGACGATCTTTAATGGAATTGCACAAACGACGAAGAGCTGTCACTGAACCAGAAGCCAGATATTTCACTTATCATATTGTTCAAGGTGTACAATATTTACACGCTATCAATATTATTCATCGAGATTTGAAATTAGGCAACTTGTTTCTGAATGATAATATGGAAGTGAAGATTGGCGATTTCGGATTGGCAACAACGATGAAAGGAGATGAACGAAAAACAACATTGTGTGGAACACCAAATTACATTGCTCGTAGGTCATTTTTTTTATTTTCATTTTCTAATTAAATCAAATTAATGAACAATATTTGCAGCTGAGGTCTTGAAAAAGTTGGGTCACTCATTCGAAGTTGATATTTGGGCAGTTGGATGTATCCTCTATATTCTTCTCTTTGGAACTCCACCCTTCGAATCCAGCACTCTCGAAGAAACCTACTCTCGCATAAAACACAACAATTACACAATTCCAGTCGAGGCGAATTCATCAGCCGCCACACTTATTCGATGTTTATTACATCAATCGCCAGAACGACGACCACACGCCGCGCAAATTTTGCGCGATCGATTTTTCACAAATGGATATATGCCCGAAAGATTGCCGGTTTCGTGTTTGAGTATGGTGCCGAAGTTTGGGCGTGGTGAGATGGAGGAGAATTTGTCGCCGGCGAGGGGAGCTGCCGATTTTCGAGCTGCTGGGTCTACGAGATGGAATTTGGGGCAAGGAGGTAGAAATGGATTGGCGCCGGTTCCGGCTTATCGAATTTCGGGAAATAATGATAGAGATCGCCAACAACTTCAAGGTAATTAACCGATTTGACAAATATCTGTCTCCAAACATTTTAATGAAAAATTAGAGGATTTTTTGGTAAACTTCAGCAAGTTTTATTGAATTTCGGCAAAATTTTCTAACTTGTTAGTAAATTTTAGCAAAATTTAGTGAATTTCACCAATTTACATGATTCTAAAATAAAAAGAGCAAAATTTGGTAAACTTCAGCAAGTTTTATTGATTTTTGGCAAAACTTAGTAAATTTTAGCAAAATTCAGTAAAATCTAGTGAATTTCACCAAATTTCAATTAAGTCCAGCTAAATTTACATGATTCTAAAATAAAACTAGCAAAATTTTGTAAACTTCAGCAAGTTATATTGAATTTTGGCAAAACTTAGTAAATTTTAGCAAAATTCAGTAAAATCTAGTGAATTTCACCAAATTTCAATTAAGTTCAGCTAAATTTACATGATTCTAAAATAAAAAAGGCAAAATTTGGTAAACTTCAGCAAGTTTTATTGAATTTTGGCAAAATTTAGTGAATTTTAGCGTTCACCCAAATTTACATGATTCTGATTTTTTTAATGGGGCTATTCAGCGAAAAAAAAAAATGTTTTCTCAACGGGAGAAAAGCGAAGAAACCCTATTCAAGTCGGTTGAGAAAACATAAAAATCAAACACTTGAAACACACGAATTGCGACGAGACCCAACGAAAAACAACATGTTCCTTTGACCTTTTGCATTACTGTAAATTGGTCCCGTTGCGATTTTCTACAGTAGGTTAAAGGAACACGATGTTTTTCGTTGGGTCTCGTCGCAATTTGTGTGTTTCAAGTGTTTGATTTTTATGTTTTCTCAACCGACTTGAATAGGTTTTCTTCGCTTTTCTCCCGTTGAGAAAACATATTTTTTTTCGCTGAATAGCCCCATAAATTCCATTTTCAAATGTTGCCTGATTTTAATATTAGAAATGTGAGCAATAAGCAGACAATTGAGTTTTTCTGGCAAGAATATTTTTCAGGGTGAACTAGAAAATTGTATACGTGTTCCTAATTAAAAAAAAAAAAATAAAAATCACATTTTTCAGTCCGTCAAGCAACATCTCGTGAGCCAGACGACGCGTATCTCTCTTCGTTGTTCCAACAATTCAAAAATCTTCTCTCGCAAAATATTCCCGATCTTCAAATCGCTGAAGCAATTCTCGACGAATATCAATCACCCGAATGTCTTCCAATCTTCTGGATCTCAAAATGGGTCGATTATTCGGACAAATACGGCATTGGCTATCAATTATGCGATAATTCGTGTGGTGTTTTGTTCAATGACAATTCTCGAATTATGTTGGATGAGGCTGGATTTGAGCTAACTTATATCGAGAAAGCCAACAAGGAACACTATTTTTCGACAAAGAAGGGCGATTATCCGGCAGCGTTGTCGAAGAAAATTACACTTTTGAATTATTTTCGATCGTATATGAATGACCATTTGTTGAAAGCTGGTGAAGGAGTTGTTGCGCAGAGGGTGGGTTAAAATTTTCGAATTTTCTGACAAAAACTCTTGATTTCAGGCTGGCGATGATTTGGCGCGTCTTCCAACTCTTCGAGTCTGGTTCCGCACAAAATCCGCAATTGTTTTCCATCTGTCAAATGGAACTGTACAAATTAACTTCTTTGAAGTGAGTTTTTTTCTGAAATTTCGTTAAACTTCAATGAATGCTCACATTTTCCTCCAAAAAATCTGTAATTTTTCCAGGATCATATAAAAATGATATTGTGTCCATTGATGCACGCTGTAACATTCATCGATCAGCACAAACGATTTTCGACCTACAAATTTTCGCATTTGCCCAAAAATGGATGTCCAGAGGTAAGAATTGATAAATTTTCAGCTGAAAATTGCAAAAAAATCAGATTTTCAACCCTAAATTCAAATTTTGCAGCAATATATGAAACGACTCAAATATGCTCAATCAATGGTCGAAAGATTGCAAACCGAACCAGCAAATGCGAAAGATCTACCAATGTCATCATCTCGTTTACCAGCTTCATCAAGTAATCTCAATTTTCAGTCAACAGCTCAACCACAATTTTAATTCAGACAGGTATTAATTTCATTTTTCTCCCCTCCTCCCAAATAGTTTTACGCGTTCTTTTTTTTTGTTTTAAATGTGCCATATTATTTTTTCCTTTTTGTTTTCTTTTTAAAAATTATTATTATTATGAATTATAGTATGAATTTTATCAATTTCAATCTGAAAACATTTTTGTTTAACCAGCGAAATTATTGAGAAAAACTATTTATGAGCTTTTTTTCAGTCTAATTTTGCACTGAAAAAATTAAAACAGAATTTTTAATCTAACAAAAACAAATTAAGTAGTTGAACATTTTTCCAAAACTCGAAAATCAATTATGAAAATTTTGAAACAGTGAAAAAATGGGAAATTTGAAAAACTATTTTTTCGAAAATTTATTTTTTTAATGATTTTCAGAAAATTTCAAAATCCACGTGGCAAAAATTTTTTAAAAGAAAATCCAGATTTTTTTGGACTTGAAAATTACTGAAAAAAAAATGAAATTTTTCAAATTTTTTCACTGTTTCAAAATCTTCATAATTGATTTTTGAATTTTCAAAAAATGTTGAAGTTGAATATTTTGGCAAAAATAATTGTAAATTCTGTGAAATTCCAAAAATTGATAAAAAATTTATATTTCACAATGCAAATTCAGAAAAAAATTTCGAAACAAAAAACCTTTACAATCGACTACTTCCCGCCCAAATAACCCATCCAGGAATTTTGAGCCACGCCGGAATATACTGTGCAGTTTGTGTCCAACCACTTCTCTCCAATAAAAACGACAAACTTCGCAAATTATTCGGGCTAACTCCGTCGATATCCACAAATCCATATTCGGAACCCAAATCGGCGGTGACCAAGATTTTTCCGGTTTTTGACATTCTTCGTGAGTCATTTGCTGGAAAAATCTGATTTTTAGCTGAAATTTTGGGCCAAGACCTAAAAAAGGTCGGAATTTCGTCAAAAAATTTCGAATTTTACCTAGTGCAACAATAGCTTTCCCAGGATATTCAACAGTTTCGCCATTCGCAAAAAACTTCCGCATTTTTCACATTGGCTCTTGGTTTTCCATCGGCGTCGATGAAGTATTTTTGAATTAATTCGGTTCGAACTGCGCCTGGCCAAAGAGACACCGTGCAAATGTTGTTTTTCTGTAATGAAAAAAATTTTTAGCATCGATTTAGCAGTCAGAAAACTAGATTTTTTTGACATTTCGAAAATTTTTTTTCCAAAATTGTGTTTAGAAATATTTTAGCCCTATTGAAAAATGTTTGAAGAATTTCAAATTTTTTTTAAACGTATTTTTTTCTGAAAATTATGAATTTTGGAGCAAAACTTTCTCACTGTATCAAAAATAGTGAAATTTTCAAAAAAAAAAATTTTTTTTCACTGTTTCAAAATTTTCATAATTGATTTTTGAATTTGCGAAAAACAGTAAAAAATGCACCGTTCAAAAAATTTCACCAAAATTCCACGTGTCAAATTTGGGAGCTCAAAATTTAGATTTTCAGATTTTTGGACCTGAAATTTTCTGAAAATCAAAAAATTCTACTGTTTCGAGAAAAAAATTGAAAAATATTTTTTCTCAGATTTTTTAACCCAAAAATTAAGACTCCCAAAATTCCACGTGGCAAATTCGGGAGCTCAAAATATAGATATTTAGCAAAATTTGAATTTTTGTAGTTTCAGAGCTCCAGATTCCACGTCGAAAATTTCAGCCTAAAAATTTAGATTTTCAGATTTTTGGACTTGAAATTATTTTGCCACGTGGATTCTGGAATTTTTTTGAAAATCAAAAAAATCTACTGTTTCGAGAAAAAAAATTGAAAAATAATTTTTCTCAGATTTTTTAACCCAAAAATTTTAATCTTAAAAGATTCTGAAATTCCACGTGGCAAATTTGGGAGCTCAAAATATAGATATTGAGCAAAATTTGAATTTTTGTGTAGTTTCAGATTCCACGTGGCAAATTTTCAGCCTAAAAATTTAGATTTTCAGATTTTTGGACGTGAAATTATTTTGCCACGTGGATTCTGAAATTTTCTGAAAAAAAAATTGAAAAATATTTTTCTCAGATTTTTTGACCCAAAAATTAAGATTTCAAAATTCCACGTGGCAAATCTGGAAGCTAAAAATCTAGATATTGAGCAAAATTTGAATTTTTGTAGTTTCAGATTCCACGTGGCAAATTTGGGAGCTAAAAATTTAGATTTTCAGATTTTTGGACCTGAAATTATTTTGCCACGTGGGTTCAATTTTTTTGAAAAAAAAAGTTGAAAAATATTTTTTTCTAATGGGGCTATTCATGTATTTTCTCAGCATGTTGAGAAAACAGGAGAAATGCGGAGGAAATACATTTTCTCCGCTTTTTTCGTATTTTCTCAGCCTACCTGAATAGGTTTTCTCCGCATTTCTCCCGTTTTCTCAGCGTTGAAAAATAACATGAATAGCCCCATAAGATTTTTTGTAAAAAATTTTTTAACCCAAAAATTAAGATTTCAAAATTCCACGTGGCAAATTTGGGAGCTCAAAATCTAATTATTGAGCAAAATTTCGAATTTTTGTAGTTTCAGGGCTCCAGATTCCACGTGGCAAATTTTCAGCCTAAAAATTTAGATATTCAGATTTTTGAACGTGAAATTATTTTGCCACGTGGATTCTGGAATTTTTCTGAAAATCAAAAAATTCTACTGTTTCGAGAAAAAAATTGAAAAATAATTTTTCTCAGATTTTTTTGGGTAAAAAATTTTGTAACTCAAAAATTAAGATTTCAAAATTCCACGTGGCAAATCTGGGACCTCAAAATCTAGATATTGAGCATAATTTGAATTTTTGTGTAGTTTCAGATTCCACGTGGCAAATTTTCAGCCTAAAAATTTAGATTTTCAGATTTTTGGACCTGAAATTATTTTGCCACGTGGGTTCAATTTTTTTGAAAAAAAAAGTTGAAAAATATTTTTTCTAAGATTTTTTTTGTAAAAAATTTTTTAACCCAAAAATTAAGATTTCAAAATTCCACGTGGCAAATTTGGGAGCTCAAAATCTAATTATTGAGCAAAATTTCGAATTTTTGTAGTTTCAGGGCTCCAGATTCCACGTGGCAAATTTTCAGCCTAAAAATTTAGATATTCAGATTTTTGAACGTGAAATTATTTTGCCACGTGGATTCTGGAATTTTTCTGAAAATCAAAAAAATTCTACTGTTTCGAGAAAAAATTGAAAAATAATTTTTCTCAGATTTTTTTTTGGGTAAAAAATTTTGTAACTCAAAAATTAAGATTTCAAAATTCCACGTGGCAAATCTGCGACCTCAAAATCTAGATATTGAGCATAATTTGAATTTTTGTGTAGTTTCAGATTCCACGTGGCAAATTTTCAGCCTAAAAATTTAGATTTTCAGATTTTTGGACCTGAAATTATTTTGCCACGTGGATTCTGGAATTTTCTGAAAAAAAAAATTGAAAAATAAGTTTTCTCAGATTTTTTTTGTAAAAAATTTTTTAACCCAAAAATTAAGATTTCAAAATTCCACGTGGCAAATTTGGGAGCTCAAAATCTAATTATTGAGCAAAATTTCGAATTTTTGTAGTTTCAGGGCTCCAGATTCCACGTGGCAAATTTTCAGCCTAAAAATTTAGATATTCAGATTTTTGAACGTGAAATTATTTTGCCACGTGGATTCTGGAATTTTTTTGAAAATCAAAAAAATCTACTGTTTCGAGAAAAAAATTGAAAAATAATTTTTCTCAGATTTTTTAACCCAAGAATTGAGATTTCAAAATTCCACGTGGCAAATTTTCAGCCTAAAAATTTGGATTTTCAGATTTTTGAACGTGAAATTATTTTGCCACGTGGATTCTGGAATTTTATTGAAAATCAAAAAATTCTACTATTTCAAAAAAAATTGAAAAATAATTTTTCTCAGATTTTTTAACCCAAAAATTTTAATCTTAAAAGATTCTGAAATTCCACGTGGCAAATTTGGGAGCTCAAAATATAGATATTGAGCAAAATTTGAATTTTTGTGTAGTTTCAGATTCCACGTGGCAAATTTTCAGCCTAAAAATTTAGATTTTCAGATTTTTGGACGTGAAATTATTTTGCCACGTGGATTCTGAAATTTTCTGAAAAAAAAATTGAAAAATATTTTTTCTCAGATTTTTTGACCCAAAAATTAAGATTTCAAAATTCCACGTGGCAAATCTGGAAGCTAAAAATCTAGATATTGAGCAAAATTTGAATTTTTGTAGTTTCAGATTCCACGTGGCAAATTTGGGAGCTAAAAATTTAGATTTTCAGATTTTTGGACCTGAAATTATTTTGCCACGTGGGTTCAATTTTTTTGAAAAAAAAAAGTTGAAAAATATTTTTTCTAATGGGGCTATTCATGTATTTTCTCAGCATGTTGAGAAAACAGGAGAAATGCGGAGGAAATACATTTTCTCCGCTTTTTTCGTATTTTCTCAGCCTACCTGAATAGGTTTTCTCCGCATTTCTCCCGTTTTCTCAGCGTTGAAAAATAACATGAATAGCCCCATAAGATTTTTTTTGTAAAAAATTTTTTAACCCAAAAATTAAGATTTCAAAATTCCACGTGGCAAATTTGGGAGCTCAAAATCTAATTATTGAGCAAAATTTCGAATTTTTGTAGTTTCAGGGCTCCAGATTCCACGTGGCAAATTTTCAGCCTAAAAATTTAGATATTCAGATTTTTGAACGTGAAATTATTTTGCCACGTGGATTCTGGAATTTTTCTGAAAATCAAAAAAATTCTACTGTTTCGAGAAAAAAATTGAAAAATAATTTTTTCTCAGATTTTTTTTGGGTAAAAAATTTTGTAACTCAAAAATTAAGATTTCAAAATTCCACGTGGCAAATCTGGGACCTCAAAATCTAGATATTGAGCATAATTTGAATTTTTGTGTAGTTTCAGATTCCACGTGGCAAATTTTCAGCCTAAAAATTTAGATTTTCAGATTTTTGGACCTGAAATTATTTTGCCACGTGGATTCTGGAATTTTCTGAAAAAAAAAATTGAAAAATAAGTTTTCTCAGATTTTTTAACCCAAAAATTAAGATTTCGAAATTCCACGTGGCAAATTTGGGAGCTAAAAATCTAGATATTGAGCAAAATTTGAATTTTTGTAGTTTCAGGGCTCCAGATTTCACGTGGCAAATTTTCAGCCTAAAAATTTAGATTTTCAGATTTTTGAACGTGAAATTATTTTGCCACGTGGATTCTGGAATTTTCTGTTTTCAAAAAAAATTGAAAAATAATTTTTCTAAGATTTTTTGGTCCGCCAAAAAGCTGTGCATTTTTCCAAGTTCCCCTAACTCACTCTCAATTCCACAGCAACATCAGCCGATAATCGATCCAATGCCTGTTTTCCAACTCCATAAGCAACATTAAACAAATACCGTAATCCTCCAGCACTCGAAACATTCACAATCAATCCTTTATTTCCAGATTTCACCATAATTCTCGCCGCAAACACCGTGCAAAAATAGTGATTTCTCAAACCGACATTGTTCACAGTATCCCAAACATATGGATCATAAGTATAGAAGGGTTTTCCCATGTTGTCTGCAATTTTGGGAGTTAGGGTAACTTGAGAAATGTCAAAAATTTTGAAAACTGAATTTTAGCACTGAAAATCCACGTGGCACAATTTCAGAGAAAACTTGAAGGATTTTTTTGACCAAATTTTTTTTCAAAAAATTTCAGAATCCACGTGGCTAAATAATTTCAGGTCCAAAAATCTGAAAATCTAAATTTTTAGGCTGAAAATTTGCCACGTGGAATCTGAAACTACAAAAATTCAAATTTTGCTCAATATCTAGATTTTGAGCTCCCAGATTTGCCACGTGGAATTCGGGAATCTTAATTTTTGACCAAAAAAAATCTGAGAAAAATTATTTTTCAAGTTTTTTGTCAGAAAATTTCTGAATCCACTTGGCAAAATAATTTCTCTAATTTTTTAGGCTGAAACTTGCCACGTGGAATTTTGAAATCTTAATTTTTGGCCAAAAAAATCTCAGAAAAATTATTTTTCAATTTTTTTCCCGAAACCGTAGAATTTTTTGATTTTCAAAAAAATGCAGAATCCACGTGGCAAAATAATTTCAGGTCCAAAAATCTAAATTTTTAGCCTGAAAATTTGCCACGTAGAATTTCAGAATCTTAATTTTTGAGTTACAAATTTTTTTGGCCAAAAAAATCTGACAAGGGAAGTGCATAGGGTTAGGTGTTGAACTTTTGATGAAACGTTCAAAATAAACCAAATCGACCATGCTGATCACGAATCCGAAGTCAAAAATTGCCACAAATGTCTGTGAGCACTTTTCTGGAGCTCCAAAGTTAGAATTGAGTTTTGGTTTTTGCCCATTTTCACCTTGTTTCTGGGTGGAAAATCAATTTTTATAACTTTAATAAGGTTGTTCATCACATTCGAAAACATATCCGCTTTTCAGTTCTTCGAAAAATATGAAAAACCAGCTGAAAACTGCAACTTTTAAGAATTTCGTGAAAATACACACAATCACACACGTTTTTCAAAGTTTTTCGTGCATTTTCGAAAATTACACTTTTGACCTGGTTTTTCATATTTTTTGATAAACTGAAAAGCTGATAGGTTTTCGAATGTGAAGAACAACCTCATTAGTGTTATAAAAATTGATTTTCCACCCAGGAAATTGGTGAAAATGGACGAAAACCAAAACTCAATTTCAACTTTGGAGCTCCAGAAAAGTGCTCACAGGAGTTTGTGGCAATTTTTGACTTCGGATTCGTGATCAGCATGGCCGATTTGGTTTATTTTGAACGTTTCATCAAAAGTTCAACACCTAACCCTATGCACTTCCCTTGTGAGAAAAATTATTTTTCAATTTTTTTCTCGAAACAGTAGAATTTTTTGATTTTCAGAAAATTCCAGAATCCACGTGGCAAAATAATTTCAGGTCCAAAAATCTAAATTTTTAGCCTGAAAATTTGCCACGTGGAATCTGAAACTACAAAAATTCAAATTTTTCTCAATATCTAGATTTTTAGCCTACAGATTTGCCACGTGGAATTTTGGAATCTTAAATTTTGGGCTGAAAATTTGCCACGTGGATTCTGGAGCCCTGAAACTACAAAAATTCCATTTTTTTTTTGGAAAAATTGGCCAATAATCTTGATTTTTCAAAAAAATTCCCCAAAAATCGCACCAGAAATGGCCTGAACAGCCTGATAAGCATTATTCACCAAAATATCCAATCTTCCTCCGGTTTCCTTCTCAAAATCCGCAAAAAACTGCTCAACCTCTTTCATATCTGTATGATCGACATATTTGGCGATTCCTTTTCCGCCGCGTTTCGTGATTTCTTGCGCGGTTTCTTCGAGACTTGACAGGCCCACTTGGGAATTTAGGCTTGATTCGGGCCGACGGCCCGTGATGTAGACAGTTGCACCGGCTTCGCCTAATTGGAGAGCGATTCCGCGGCCTGGAAAATGTTGGGGCCTCTATCAAAAATTTGAAAAAAAATTTTTAGCTCACCAATTCCACGCGAAGCTCCAGTCACAATTGCAATTTGTCCACCCAGCGACATTTTCTAACAAAAATGAAAATGAAAAAGAAAATAACAAAAAAATGATGATAAATAAGAAGAAAAAAGGTTATTTTGATATCAATTGCATCAGACTAGAGTGTAGTCAAAATGAAAAAATCGATTTTTTTATAAATAAATAAATAAATAAATTTTTTTCGAAAATTATTGATTTCTTCCGGCCAAAAACTCTTGAAGCTCCTCATCATCACAACATTCGGCTGGAGTTAGTCCATCTGCATCTCGTGTTGATCGATCGGCACCGGATGCGATTAGAAGTTCGGCCAAGTTTCGACGATGACATTGGGCGGCTGAGAAGGGAATATTTGGATTTTGGAAGTTTATTATGACCGTATAACATTTTTTGCAAAACTCGAAAATCAATTATGAAAATTTTGAAACAGTGAAAAAATGGGAAATTTGATTAAAAAAAAATTTTTTTTTTTGAAAATTTCACTATTTTTTGAAACAGTGAGTAAGTTTTGCTCCAAAATTCATGAAATTTCTGATTTTCAGAAAATTTTTCAACTGAAATTTTTCCCTAAACATTTTTTTGAAGCTGAAATGTTTGCCACGTGGATTTTCAAAATTTTCGAAAATCTCTACTTTTTCAGCCAGAAATTTCTAGAAAAGCAGAATTTTTTGAACCAAAGAGGAATGTTGGTTTAACAATTTTTTTTCAAAACTCGAAAATCAATTATGAACATTTTGAAACAGTGAAAAAATGAGAGATTTGAAAAAAAAGATTTTTTTTTCATTTTTTCACTGTTTCAAAATTTTCATAACTGATTTTTTGAGTTTTTAAGAATTCCACGTGGCAAATTTTGGATTCTGAAATTTTCTGAAAATCAGAAATTTCATGAAACTTTCTCACTTTTTCAAAAAATAGTGAAATTTTGAAAAAAAAATTTTTTTTTTGAAAATTTCACTGTTTCAAGATTTTCATAACTGATTTTTGAGTTTTGAAAAAAAAAAACAGTTGAAAAAAGCACTGTTCAAAGAATTTCACCAAAATTCCACGTGGCAAATCTGGGAGCTCAAAATCTAGATATTGAGCAAAATTTGAAATTTTGTGTAGTTTCAGATTCCACGTGGCAAATTTTCTGAATTTTTCTATCAAGTTTCGAGAAAATTTTCTAGAAATTTCTGGCTGAAAAATTTTTAAAACTACAAAGATTTTCCCCGCTCACCAAAATGCAATGGTGTTTGTCCACCAAAATCCGCCACATTAACATCGGCCCCTTTAGCAATCAAGAATTGTGCAACATTTTCACATCCCAAATCAATACTTCTTGATAATGCGGTCATTGCCAAATGTTGATCTTTGGCCTCGAGAATTTCCGGGTCCAATTTCAGAATCTCGTTCATTCTTTTCACATCATCGTTTCGCATCGCTGTGAACCATTCTCGTTCGATTGCGGTTTCCATTCGAACTGGTTCCATTTGAATCAAATCGTCGAACATTTCGAGCTCTTCTGATGCTCCCAAAGTGGATGGTTTGATGTTCCAGCCTGCAAAAATCTAGGCTGAAAATTTTATGGTTTCATGTTTCAGACAGCAAGGTTTTCAGAGGTTTTTGGTTTTTTTAAGCTGAAAAATTTCAATCTGAAAAAAAAGCGAAATTTCGCCACGTGGCGAAATTCAGCTGAAATTTAGATATTTCTAGACTGAAAATTTGCCACGTGGAAGATTTTTGCTTAAATTTTGAAAATTTCTGAACTCGAATATGCCACGTGACAGATTTTCAGCTAAAAAATTCAAATTTCTCTTAAAACTTCATCTGAAAATCAATTTTCAGCCGAAATTTTCAGATTTTTAAAATTTTCATTTGCTTGAAAATCCACGTGGCAAAGTCTAGCTGAAAATCATATTTTTTCAGCCTCAAATATGCCACGTGGCAGATTTTCAGCTTAAAAATTCAAATTTCCCTCAAAATTCATCTGAAAATCAATTTTCAGCCGAAATTTTCAGATTTTCTCATTGTCTTTTGCTTGAAAATCCACGTGGCAAAGTATAGCTGAAAATTAGATATTTTCAGCCTCAAATATGCCACGTGGAAGATTTTCAGCTCAAAAATTCGAATTCCCCTCAAAATTCATTTGAAAATCAATTTTCAGCCAAAATTTTCAGATTTTTAGAATTTTCATTTGCTTGAAAATCCACGTGGCAAAATTCAGCTGAAAATTTGACATTTCTGGGCTGAAAATATGCCACGTGGCAGATTTTCAGCTCAAAAATTAAAATTTCCCTCGAAATTCCATTTGAAAATCAATTTTCAGCCAGAATTTTCAGATTTCTAAAATTTTCATTTGCTTGAAAATCCACGTGGCAATGAAAATTTGACATTTTTGAGGTCAAATATGCCACGTGGCAGATTTTCAGCTCAAAAATTCAAATTTCCCTCAAAATTTCATCTGAAAATCAATTTTCAGCCGTAATTTTCAGATTTTTAAAATTTTCTATTGCTTGAAAATCCACGTGGCAAAGTCTAGCTAAAAATAAAACATTTTTCAGCCTCAAATATGCCACGTGGAAGATTTTCAGCTTAAAAATTCAAATTTCCCTCAAAATTCTTTTGAAAATCAATTTTCAGCCGTAATTTTCAGATTTCTAAAATTTTCATTTGCTTGAAAATCCACGTGGCAATGAAAATTTGACATTTTTGAGGTCAAATATGCCACGTGGCAGATTTTCAGCCTCAAAAATTCAAATTTCCCTCAAAATTCTTTTGAAAATCAATTTTCCGCCGAAATTTTCAGATTTCTAAAATTTTCTTTTGCTTGAAAATCCACGTGGCAAAGTCTAGCTGAAAATCATATATTTTCAGCCTCAAATATGGCACGTGGCAGATTTTCAGCTCAAAATTTCATCTAAAAATCAATTTTCAGCCGTAATTTTCAGATTTTCTCATTTTTTTTTCAAAATTTACTCGAAGAAGCGGCTCCTTTTTTGGTGGAATCCCAAGTTGAATCAACTTCCTCCAATAATTCACAATATTTGGTTTGCGCTTCGATTTTTGATAAATTCGATACTTTTGACCAGGCATCGAATTTGTAGCGAGAAGATGTGTCATACCAAGAAGGACGTGAAGAATCGTCTGAAAATTTGGATTTTTAGTGATTTTTGGGTAATTTTGAGCTGGAAAATTGGATTTTTCTGAAAATTTTGAGCCGTTTTCGAAGAACAATCTGATTTTCTGAACTTTCTCCTTATTCATTTTCCCCCATCAGAAAATTCAAATTTGATTAAATCAAAAATAAATCGAATTATATAATATGTCCCTTTAAAAACCGTATCTCCTCCCAAAAAACTTCAACAAAAAATGAAATTCTTTACAATTCTCTTCGTGATTTTCTCAATTTTCGCGCCAATTTTGGCGCAAGAATCGTGTCGCGATAAAAGCGATTGTCCAATCAATAAAATCTGTCTTCATGAAATCGAAGACGATTTGGGAAAATGTATCGATTTTGGGGGAAGAAGAAGACTTCATCGCAAGAGTTTTTATTGAAAAATTGAATTGAATTTGGGTTTTTGAATAAATTATTGGTATTTATATATGATTTTTTGCAAAATTTTGGGGAATCTTTCATCTTAAAATTGATTTTTATCTAGCTCAAAATAAAAATCCTAACCTGAGCAATCGAATTTTCAGCCCAGTTTTTTGTCTGAAACTCGATTTTTAGCTTAAAATTTTCAGAAAATTTCAAATTTTAGTTCCAAAACTTCAGAAATCGAGTTTTAGCTCAAAATTTGTTCTGAAACTCGAGTTTTGGCTCGAAATTTTCAGAAAATCCCAAATTTTAGTTCTAAAACTTCAGAAATTTGTCTGAAAATCGAATTCCAGCTCAAAATTCAAGTTAGGATAAATTTAACCTGAGCAATGAAAAATTGACAATTTCTAGGCATAACTTATGGTTTTTCAGACCAGTTTTTGTCTGAAATTCGAATTCCGGCTCAAAATTTTCAGAAAATCTCAAATTTCAGCTCAAAATTCAAGTTAGGTTAAGTTTAACCTGAGCAATGAAAAATTGACAATTTCTAGACATAATTCATTGATTTTCAGCCCAGTTTTTGTCTGGAAATCGATTTTAGCTCAAATTTTGTTCTGAAATTCGAATTCCAGCTCAAAATTCAAGTTAGGATAAATTTAACCTGAGCAATGAGAATTTGACAACTTCTAACCAAAACTTATTGATTTTCAACCCAGTTTTTCGTCTGAAACTCGAATTCAAGCTCAAAATTTTCAGAAAATCTCAAATTTTACCTCAAAATTCAAGTTAGGTTAAGTTTAACCTGAGCAATGAAAAATTGACAATTTCTAGGCATAACTTATTGATTTTCAGCCCAGTTTTTGTCTGGAAATCGATTTTAGCTCAAATTTTGTTCTGAAATTCGAATTCCAGCTCAAAATTCAAGTTAGGATAAATTTAACCTGAGCAATGAGAATTTGACAACTTCTAACCAAAACTTATTGATCTTCAGCACAGTTTTTCGTCTGAAACTCGAATTCTAGCTCAGATTTTTTTAAAAATCCTAAATTTTAGCTCGAAAACTTCAGAAATCCGTCTGAAACTCGAATTCTAGCTCAGATTTTTTTAAAAATCCTAAATTTTAGCTCGAAAACTTCAGAAATCCGTCTGAAACTCGAATTCTAGCTCAAAATTTTCAGAAAATCCCAAATTTTAGTTCCAAAACTTCAGAAATCGAGTTTTAGCTCAAAATTTGTTCTGAAACTCGAGTTTTGGCTCAAAATTTTCAGAAAATCCCAAATTTTAGTTCTAAAACTTCAGAAATTTGTCTGAAAATCGAATTCCAGCTCAAAATTCAAGTTAGGATAAATTTAACCTGAGCAATGAAAAATTGACAATTTCTAGACATAATTCATTGATTTTCAACCCAGTTTCTGTCTGGAAATCGATTTTAGCTCAAAATTTTCAGAAAATCTCAAATTTTAGCTCAAAATTCAAGTTAGGTTAAGTTTAACCTGAGCAATGAAAAATTGTCAATTTCTAGACATAATTCATTGATTTTCAGACCAGTTTTTGTCTGAAATTCGAATTCCAGCTCAAAAATTCTCAAATTTCAGCTCAAAATTCAAGTTAGGATAAATTTAACCTGAGCAATGAGAATTTGACAATTTCTAGACATAACTTATGGTTTTTCAGACCAGTTTTTGTCTGAAACTCGAATTCTAGCTCAGATTTTTTTAAAAATCCTAAATTTTAGCTAAAAAACGTCAGAATTCCGTCTGGAAATCGAGTTTTAGCTCAAAATTTGTGCTGAAACTCAAATTTTAGCTCAAAATTTTCAGAAAACCCCAAATCCCCTCCCAAAACAGCCCCTACCAGGTGGTCCTTGCACGGCCTGTTTATACAATCCATAAAATCTCAAAGCAATCGCCTTCTCCAAATTCGCCACAATTTCCGGCAAATGCGAGCAAGCATTTTCGAATTTTCGCGAAATTTCCGGATTTTCTGAATCGTCCCATGAATTTGTTGATGAATTTTGGCCGGATTTTTTGATATTTTTGAACCAAATGTGCAATAAACATGATCTATACGTGGATTTTTTCCCTTTTTTTTGGAGCAAAATTCAAAAAAAATTAGATAAAGTTAGAGGAAGTCAACCAATTTTGTTAGCGAAAACATAAATTTCCAAAAAAAAAAGAGGAATTTTATGAGAAAATATCACAAAAATGAGAGTTATCCGAACTTGGCCGCGTATTTTTCGGGTGTGTAGGCTTGAATTGTGACGGCGTGGATTTGTTGAAGGAGGTCGCCCATTTTTTCTTGGACTAGTCTGCAAAAATCTGGAATTTCGGGATGAAAATCGATTTTCAGAGCAATTTTTGAGCTGAAAATCGATTTTCAGCCCAATTTTCAGCCAAAAATCTCAAATTTTCAGCCAAATTTCAGAGAAAACTGCATACCTATGTGAATTGAGTGTGGATTTGCCGGCAAATTCGTCGCTGACAATTTCGATTCGAATTTTCGCGCCACAACCATCGGATTCATCGATGATTTCCTGAGAAACAATTATCGGGTTACTGTATGTTCCTTTAAATACATCTAGAATCACTGTATGTCCCTTTAAATACATCTAGATTACTGTATCTTCCTCTAGGTTACTGTATGTTCCTTTAAAAACCTCGAGAAATACTGTATGTCCCTTTAAATACCTCTAGATTACTGTATGTCCCTTTGAGAGCCTCCAGAACCCCTAGAATCACTGTATGTCCCTTTAAAAACCTCTAGATTACTGTATGCCCCTTTAAATACCTCAAGATTACTGTATATCCCTCTAGATCACTGTATGTCCCTTTAAATACCTCTAGATTACTGTATCTTCCTCTAGGTTACTGTATGTTCCTTTGAGAACCTCCAGAACCCCTAGAATCACTGTATGTCCCTTTAAATACATCTAGATTACTGTACGTCCCTTTGAGAACCTTCAGAAGTCCTAGAATCACTGTATGTCCCTTTAAAAACCTCTAGATTACTGTATGTCCCTTTAAAAAACTCACCAATTTCGTGGGCTTCAAAACCTGCATTCTTTCGGTGAGCAATTCGACCATCGACATTTTTCTGCCTAATTTTTACCTGTGAATTTTTTTTTTCAAAAATTAAAATTTGAAAATATTCGCGTGGCGCCTTTAAAACCGTATTTTTTTGTTGAAAAATTTTGAATAAAAATTGAATTTATGGTAGTTTTCAGAAAGAAAAGAGAGATAATTTGAGAGAAAAAAAGGAAAAAACCTGAAGGGACAAAAAACTTACGTGGGGGGCAAGGTAGATTTTTTTGAAAAAAAAAAAAATTAATTTTAAAATTTTAATTTTCAGAGAGAGTAGTGAGTGGTAACAAATAACAGGAAAGAGCTCAAAAAGAGCTCAAAAAGAGCACAAAAAATAACAACAGTTTTTGTCTACCTACGGTATTTACAACAAATATTCTTGGGTTTTTTTTAGCCGAAAATTTTGGCCAAACGATCAGCGGCCTCTTTTTCTTCCTGGGCTTTGCGGGCCGCCAATTCGGCCGGATCGGTGGTCCGTGGAGCGAGATTCAAGCGTGGGCGTTCGGCTGGTGGGCCCGATGGTGGAGCGGCTGAAAATCGATATTTTTGTTGGAGAATTTGCCACGTCATAGTGGGAAAATCGATTTTTAGCTTAAAATAGAGCTAGAAATAATGAATTCACCTCAAAAACAATGATTTTTGGGAGTTTTTGAGGCTAGAAATGATGGATTTTCAGAATTTTTATGAGAATTACAGAATTTTGAGTTGAAAACCTGAAAATTACGGTGTTGGAGCTAGAAATATTGATTTTTCAGTGAAAATTTCGAATTTTTGGGATTTTTATGATCTTCATGTTGTTTTTCAAGCGAAATCACTATTTCTTTTGAGTTCTGAGCTCAAAATTCTCATAAAAATTCTGAAAATCCACCTTGGATCATTTCTAAGCTGGAAAAAACCTGGAAATTTCAAAATTTCACTCAAAAAATCAATTTTTTCATTGTTTTTCTGCTAAAAACTTGGAAAAATTCACTATTTCTAGCTCTAAAACCGAAATTTTCATCGAAAATCTAAGATTTTCATAATCTTCAGGTTTTAAATTCAAAATCCTCAAATTTTCCCATCAAAAATCGTGAATTTGATGATTTTCAGAATAAAAACTTGAAAAATTCACTATTTCTAGCTCCAAGACCGAAATGTTCATGATTTTCAGGTTTTAAGTTTGAAATCCTCAAATTTTCCCATCAAAAATCGTGAATTTGATGAAAAATGTGAAAATTTCAGCTTTTTCAGCAAAAACCTGGTACTTTTAGCTGGAAATCGTGAATTTCTCAAGTTTTTATTCAAAATCCTCTAATTTTCCCATCAAAAATCGTGAATTTGAGGATTTTTAGCCTAAATATGATGAAAAATGTGAAAATTTCAGCTTTTACAGCGAAATTTTCAGCTAGAAATTGGGAATTTCTCAAGTTTTTATATGAAAAATCTATTTTCCTATCAAAAATCGTGAATTTCAGCAAAAATCTGTTTTACAGCAAAAATCTGAAATTTTCAGCTAAAAATCGTGAATTTCGCATACCATCTCCATTTTCAGATTTCCTACGTTCTCCCTCATGTTCGTCAGATTGAGATTTTCGATTATGTCGATTTCTTCCACCATCCCGATGTCCGCCATCTCGATTTCCACCCCGGAAACCTCCGCCGCCTCTTCCTCCACGCCCATCTCCCCCTCTTCTTTCTCCACCGTGCTGACCACCACCACTACGGCCACCTCCATTTCCACCATTTCGATTTCCGCGATCTCGCTGTGTGGCGCGATTCACTTTAAGCGTACGACCATCGAAATCGGTGCCGTTGAGAGTTTGAAGCGCTTTATTGAGTTGATCCTCGTCTAAAAATGTGACGTAGCCGAAACCTTTGAACCGCCCGTCTTCTCTGTCATGCACTAGATGAATGTCGAATTTGCGAATCTGCAAAAAAAGGGTTTTCTGGGGGAGAAAATTAAAATTTGGGCGGATTTACCGTTTCTTCATCAAAATCGCAATGCGCGAGAATTGTTTCGACATCTGATGCGATTGCATCGTAGGGAAGATTTCCAACATACGCTTTGAATTGTCCATCCGCCATGTTTGAAAGAAATCCCTCTGAAATTTCCTTTTTCAGCCAAAAAAAACAAAAAAAAAAGCAATTCTGCAATTGCGCGTCATCTTGTTTGCCACCTCCCCGGTCCGCAATTGTGCGTCACCGTACCCTTGGCCGGCTTCCAAGGGGGGGGGGAGACGCAGAGTGCGAGCTACCCTTTTAGCGTGGCGGTGGGTAGGGACGCACGTCTCGCGAGAGACGCAGACAGCCAATTGGCAAAGTGCCATTGAATCGATACAGAGCATCTTTGCCCGCCTTTTTTGATTTTTTTTATTTCACAGCGGCGGACGCTGAAAATCTGTCATTTCTTGGTTTTTTTCCAGGTGTGCAGCGAAACGCATGATTTTCTGAATATTTATTTATTGGTTCTTTAATACGGGATATCATAATGATTGTAAGTTCACCTTTTCCTTTTAGATCTCAAATAATCCAAAAAATTTGCAGTGTATTGAATGTGGCGGCGCTGTTTTCAGCGGCGGCGAAGTTTGCGACGATTGTGTCGATTCGCATTTGCTCTCTGGAAATGTGTCGCTGCAGAGTGCGGCGGCGAATGCGAAAATCTGCACGGTATGCACTGGAAATGTGCTGCCGAATAATTCGAGGACTTGTGCGAATTGCGGGAAGTGAGTTCTTTACTGGAGTCAGGATTTGAGCACGCTGAAACTTACGAATCTTGCTGAAAATGATTGCGAAGCCGAAAATTGCTATAAATCTCTTGGAGAGCTTGTATGAAGCTTCAGAATGGGCAATCGAGCTTTAGAAACTGGAAAATATTGTGCAGCGTATCTGAAAACCTTGTAGTCTTTGAAAAATGTTGAAAACCGCTGAAAACCATGATTTTCAACCGTGATTCAGTATTTTTCAAAAACTACAAGGTTTTCAGATACGCTGCACAATATTTTCCAGGTTCTAAAGCTCAAGTTTCCATCCTGAAGCTTCATACAAGGTCCCCCAGAGATTTATAGCAATTTTCAGCTTCGCAATCATTTTCAGCGTGGTCGCAATTGATATTTCTATCAAGTTTTGTTCTAACAAGCGAGATCTTTCGAAGATTTATGTTTTCTAGTAGATTTCAACCCGCTGATCACGATCTTATCGTCAAAAATCACAAAACTAAACTTCTAATATGAGTTATTATTTGTAAATGGTAAAGTTTGAAAATGTTAGGCTTTACCTAACTTCAAAAATGATTTTTAAGTTAATTAAAACCTTGTAGAATTCATAAGGTTCTAACTAACTTAAAAAAATCATTTTTAAAATTAGGTAAAGCTTTCTAGAGCTCTGAAATTTTCAAACTTTGCCACTTACAAATGATAACTCATATTAGAAGTTGAGTTTTGCGATTTTTGACGATTGGATTGTGTTAAGCGGGGAGAAAACTTCTAAAAAACATGTATTCTATCAAAAAATCCACTTTGGGCATCGACCAAATCGACATTTTCATGTTTTTTAAGCAAATGAGTTGAAATATTGGATTTTAATTGTATTCATAGAATAGAAAGGTCTAAGACCAACAGAATCATATAAATTTTGATGACTTTACGTTATCCTTAAGTGATTTAGCGGCTTATCGACTAAATATCGACTAAACGTCACTAAATCACTTAAGGATAACGTAAAGTCATCAAAATTTATATGATTCTGTTGGTCTTAGACCTTTCTATCCTATGAATACGATTAAAATCCAATATTTTAACTCATTTGCTTAAAAAACATGAAAATGTCATTTAGGTCCTGGGAGCTTGACCAAAAATTGACAAATTTTTGGTCAAGCTCCCAGGACCTAAATGACAATATTTTTTCTAGACACAGTCACATCGCTTGCGATTCTTCCGAACCTGGCCTCGAAGGTTTCGTATGCATCACATGTCGTCGAAGCCCAATCGTCCAAGACGTGATGCTCGGCGGCATGTCGAATCACGAACCAATTTCGCCCCTGGAAACCGCCGCTCCTCACTTCCCACCCACCGCCGCAGCCACCGATTTCTCCGCCGAAATCTATCATCATCCAGCCATTCAACAAATCGTTCATCAGAATTCCGTGCATGACGAGATCAGTGACGGTGACAGCGCCAGGAATTCACCATTCTATCCCGATACAACTGATTATGACGAGGATTTTGTGCCGAGTGGAAGTGGAAGGGGCCGAGGAAGGGGAAGTGGGAATAATGGGGCGAAGAAGAAGCCTGGAAGAGGAGGTGGCCTGCTCAAGAGACCGATGCCTAGTGGCCCCACATTTTTCGGCGGAGCCGGAGGAGCCCCATCTTCCGCACCAATTCAACCAACTCGCGGAAAACGCGGGAAGCGTGGAAGCTCTGGGAAGGGTCGAGGAAGAGGCCGGGGTAGATCGGTGTCCACCTTCAATGGCTCAAGCTCCCTCGCAAATTCTACCGCCCAGAATTTCGGTTATCCTCCTGGATTGTCCGCGATTCGAGAGGTTGACGATAGTTTTATGGAGGTTGACGAGAGTTCGAGACAATCGGCGGCTACTAGAGCTGATGACGCGGAATATGTGCGAACTATTGTTGTGTGTAATTCGAATGATCCGTTCTTGAAGAAGGTATGTGCCTTTTTTTCTGGAAATCTGAAAAACCCTGCTGAAAATCCTCAAAAATGCTCTTTGGAGGTTGAAAAAACCACCCAAAAATTTTACGTTTCAAAATTTTTATATTATAATTTTTGAAAAATTCACTTGTTTTTTCTACTGTAACGTTATCATCTGCAAAAAATATATGAACAAAAAAGTCTGAAATTATTGCTGAAAATCTGATTTGAACTAGAGACAACGGAAAATTGAGAGATTCTAGAGATATCTGTGTCTGCAATCTCTCAATTTCCTATTGTCTCTTATACATTTTATTACAAAATAGATGAAAAATGTCTGAAATTCGGAAAAATCCTGCTGAAAATCCTCAACAATGATTTTTGGAGGTTGAAAAAACCACCCGAAAATTATACGTTTCAAAATTTTTATATTATAATTTTTGAAAAATTTACTTGTTTTTTCTATTATCAAATTTTCTGCAAAAAATATATGAAAAAATGTCTGAAATTCTTGCTGAAAATCTGATTTGAACTAGAGACAACGGAAAATTGAGAGATTCTAGAGATATCTGTGTCTGCAATCTCTCAATTTCCTATTGTCTCTTATACATTTTATTACAAAATAGATGAAAAATGTCTGAAATTCGGAAAAATCCTGCTGAAAATCCTCAACAATGATTTTTTGAGGTTGAAAAATCATCCCGAAAATTATAGGTTTGAAAATTTTTATATTATAATTTTTGAAAAATTCACTTGTTAAATAGTATGAAAATCCGGCTAAATTTTCTGAAATGTTGCCACGTCATAAGAAAATATTAAAATCGGGCCGAAACGGGCCGAGCCGGGGTTCGGCCCTGGCTTTCCCCACAAATTCATTGAAAGCCGGGCTTTGAGCAGGGGCCTCGGGCTCGGCCCGGCCGGCCCTAGGAACATGCCTGAAATTTCCTAATGAATCTGTACGATTTGGGATAAAATGCGACAAAAATTAAACAAAAACGATCAAAATCTTTGAGCGTGAACTGTAATTGTCCTTCGAGCAAACGTGGGAAGTTTCTGTTTTTTAATCCTGAAAACCACAATTTTTTATTTTTCATTATGTTTTTATCAAGTCAACCTTGAAGTATCGATGAAAAACGATCGAACAACAGTCAAATATCTCCCATTACAACAAATCATCACAATTGTTGAAACCATTGAATGTGCGCTCATAAAAAACATCGTATTAGTTGCGATTTCTGAAATTGTTTTGTTCAAGAAGAACAGCTGATATTTTTTCCAAACCTTGCCACGTGGATAATTGTTTGAGAACAACGATCACAATAATAGTTAGTGGTATGACAATAAAGCTAACTGGAATGACAACTTGAAGGGTTAATGCGATCAATGCGGTTTTGTGAAGTTTGAAAGTTGCTGGAGACATGTGTTGACGCATTTTCTGCAGGATTTGGATGGTATAAATGACTAGGAATGTGAAGTATCTGAAGGATTTGAGAATCACATTTTTTGGGAAATAGAATAAGATACCCCGTAAAAAATAGAATACATAAGATTGTGGAGAGTTGTGCTATCTGAAGCCACGTGTTAGTGTGATAATCATAGATCACGAATCCAGGATGGGATAAAATATGGAGACATTTGGGGAAATATAAATTGATTATCCGATGTTGATCTTCTTCTGATGTTTTGGCGAAAGCTAAAGAAGTTGCGACGACAAAAGGGAAAGTGTGACACAGAACACTAGCAACATATCGTGTAATTCTTTTTTCCTTGAACGAATTTGATGAATGGTTGAGATGTGCAGCTGAATCAGCTCTATACTGAAAACAGGAAAGCAATGCGGGAAGTTCGAAGCAAAATGTGAAAAAATAAAAGACGACACTTGTATGAGTTGTTATAAATGTATTTGCGATGGGGGAGGTGTTATATCCACCGAGCAATGGAAAATAATAATATCCAGCGCCAATCCATGACATATAATTCTCAACGATAAATGTGACGATTTGAAGATACAGTTGACAATATTTATATTTCGAGTTTTTGGGAGATTTAACGATGACTAAATAACAACCGAAGGAATTGATGGGAAATGATATGAAAGCGATTAGATGAAGAATGCGGGTGAAATAAATTGGAGGTTCGCTTCGACACTCAAGATCCATTTGTCCGTTGTTGTCAGAAAGAAAATTTGGAGGAGTTCTTTCTATGAGCGACAGGTGGAAATATGGAATATGATTCTTTGAATGGCAAAAAGTTTCTTCTGATCATTGAGAGGTTCTCAAGAAGAAAATTTATGAAACTATACTATGGTATACAAGGGAAAATTGAGAGAGCCATGTTTTTCTGCATTGCTAGGATTTCAAGCTGAAAATGATTTTTGGAGGTTGAAAAAACCACCCGAAAATTATACGTTTCAAAATTTTAATATTATAATTTTTGAAAAATTTACTTGTTAATTCTGTTGTTAAATATTTTCTGCAAAAAATATATGAAATTCTTACTGAAAATCTGATTTGAACTAGAGACAACGGAAAATTGAGAGAGTCTAGAGATATATGTGTCTGCACTCTCTCAATTTCCAATTGTCTCTTATACATTTTATTAGAAAATAATGAAAAATGTCTGAAATTCGGTAAAATCCTGCTGAAAATCCTCAAAAATGCTTTTTGGAGGTTGAAAAAACCACCCGAAAATTATAGGTTTCAAAATTTTAATATTATAATTTTTGAAAAATTCACTTGTTTTTTCTATTATCAAATTTTCTGCAAAAAATATATGAAAAAATATCTGAAATTCTTGCTGAAAATCTGATTTGAACTAGAGACAACGGAAAATTGAGAGATTCTAGAGATATATGTGTCTGCAATCTCTCAATTTCCTATTGTCTCTTATACATTTTATTATAAAGTAGATGAAAAATGACTGAAATTCAGAAAAATCTTGCTGAAAATCCTCAAAAATGATTTTTGGAGGTTGAAAAATCATCCCGAAAATTATAGGTTCCAAAATTTTTATATTATAATTTTTGAAAAATTTACTTGTTAGTTTTATGGCGAAAAACAACCTCCGCAAAAAAGTCTGAAATTTCTAGTCTGAAAATCTGCCGAATTCAGAAGCCGAAGTTATGAAAACTCTAGGATTTCAACCTGAAAAAAGCATTTTGGGAGTTGAAAATCCACCTGAAAATTTTACGTTTCAAAATTTTTATATTATAATTTAAATTCACTTGTTAAATAGTATGAAGATCCGGCTAAATTTGCTAAAATTTTGCCACGTCATAACTCTGCAATTTCAGCTAATCTCAATTTTGTTCCAGGCGTGTCTCTGTCTCGTCTGCGGTGCTGTTGGAAAAGGTCCCGAAGCCTCCATGGTCTCATGCTCAAATTGTGCTCAAACCTATCACACCTATTGCGTCGGCCTTCACGACAAACTCAACTCCACTGTAGTTTTTCGCGGTTGGCGTTGTCTGGATTGCACGGTGTGTGAAGGTTGTGGAAACGGTGGAGACGAGTCGAAATTGTTGCTATGCGAAGAATGCGATATCTCATATCATATCTATTGTCTTCGCCCGCCGCTTGATCGAATTCCAAGCGGACCCTGGAGATGTCAATGGTGTGCACGATGTCGACGATGCAATACGAAGGTGATGTCGGGAAACGAGCTGACTCGCGATGGAATGTGCCATCCTTGTCATTCGCTGCGGAAGTGTCCGAAATGCGCCAAGGGATATGGAATTGGTGATAAATTGATTCGGTGTGCACAGTGTAATAAGTGAGTTTTTTTGGAGCGAGCGGGGGAATTTTGGGTTCAAAAACAAGCTTTTTCGGTCCAAAATGACCTCAATTTTCAGCCAGAAAGATTTATTTTTTAATTCAAACGATTTTTTGAACCTAAAGATTTGAATTTTTCCCAAAAAAATAACCAGAAAATTCAAAATTTGAAAATGTTTCAACTTTTTTTTATTCGAAAAAAAAATCCTTTTAAAAATTATCGGGCTTGGAAAAGTCCTGATTTTTAGCCTCGAAATTTTGGACCCAAACATTAAGGTCATTAAAAAAGTACCCTAATTAAATCTAGGTTAATTTTTGGTCCTGAAAATTTAGAAACTTAATTAATTTTCCTGAAAATTTAGAAACTTAATTTTCAGGACCCAAAATTTAATTTTGAAGTTTTAACCCTGAAAATTGTATTTTTTCTCTGGAAAATCAAATTTATTTTCAAAAAATTGAACAAAAAAGTACCCTAATCAAATTTAGGTTAATTTTGGCCCGGAAAATTTTGCAAAATTAATTTTCTCGAAAAAAAATTAATTTTAAAGTTTTAACCCTGAAAATTGTATTTTTCTCTGGAAAATCAAATTTATTTTCAAAAAATTGAACAAAAAAGTACCTTAATTAAATCTAGGTTAATTTTTGGTTTTGAAAATTTTGCAAAATTAATTTTCTTGAAAAAAATTAATTTGTGAATTTTTGGTCCTGAAAATTTAGAAACTTAATTAATTTTCCTGAAAATTTAGAAACTTAATTTTCAGGACCCAAAATTCAATTTTGAAGTTTTAACCCTGAAAATTGTATTTATCTCTGGAAAATCAAATTTATTTTCAAAAAATTGAACAAAAAGTATCTTAATTAAATCTAGGTTAATTTTTGGTCCTGGAAATTTCGCAAAATTAATTTTCTATAAAATTTCTGGAAAAAATCAAATTTTGAAGTGTTTAGCCCTGAAAATTTGATTTTTCTCTGGAAAATCAAATTTATTTTTAAAAAATTCAATGAAAATAATAGACTAATTAAATCTAGGTTAATTTTTGGTTTTGAAAATTTTGCGCAAATTAATTTTCCATAAAATTTCTTCGAAAAATTATATTTTTCAGCATTTTCAGTCTAAATACCTTAATTTCTGGTCTGGAAATCTGAAATTTAATCAAAAAATTATCTTCAAATTTACTCTGGCTGAAAATATGGATTTTTTGAATCTGAATCCTGAAATTCTTGGAAAATTCCGATTTTTCAATCTTTGGGACAAAAAAATTCATTCTACAATCTTTCATTCAAATTCCGAAAAAAAACAAATTAGAAACCAAAAAGTTTTCGATTGAAAATTCCGAATTTCAAATTTTTAGGTTCAAAAATCCCTCGAAATTCTTGCTAAAATTTTCCAAATTTTAAAATTCCAAAAAAATTCTCCACGTGAAAAAAATCATTTTTCACGTGAAGCCAATTATTTTTCATCATTTTTTGAAAAAAAAAATAATTTTTGTTCAGATGGCAACACGGTCATTGCGAAAACCTATTCAACGATGAAATGCTCGAACAAGCGGCCGCAAATCGAATGCGCTGCTCAAATTGTCGCCCAAATAAATCAATAATCAACAATGGCTTAGGTGATGGTTCAAACGTTGTGATTTGTGACAATGTCGCTCTCTTCAAACACGCCGACGAAATTCTCAAATCCAAATTCATGCCAAGCCTCGTTCGCCCGACTTATGATAACTATCGAGAATCATTCGATCATTATGGCTCGATTGAAGATGATTATCCAGATGAAATTGAGAATTTTGTAGTTCAAAGAGGTCGTGGAAGAGGGAATCCGGGTGGAAGAAGAGGTATGAATCGCATTGGAATCGGCGGGTTTTTCGCGAAATTGCCAAGACATCGAGTACTAGCATTAACTGAAGAAGCAGCGGCATTGAATAATTTGGATGAAGAGGATACGAAGAAGCTCAAGAGGCCCCGGAAGCCTAGAAGATCACATTTGGAGGATGCATATCCGCCTGCTATTCAAGAAGCGTTTTTTGGAATTAAAGCGGTTGAGGGGAAGAGTTTGGTGGATTTGAGTGTTGATGAGCCGATGTTGAGCGAATATGGGAATGGGAAATTGGGACAAACTGATGGATTGGGACATGAATTGTCGACGGAAGCAACGGAAATGTTGATTAATGATATTAATGAGGTGCGGAGGGGGGAAAATTTGGGAATTTATGCATTTTTGAGCTGGAAAACTGCATTTTCTGATGATTTTGAGCCAAAATTCATGATTTTCTGATGATTTTGAGCCGAAACTCAATAAGTTTGGATTTTTGAGCTGAAATTCAGGATTTTCTGAATATGTAGAGCCAGAATTCGAAAAATTTGGAGTTTTTTGAGCTGAAATTCGAGTATTTACTGAAAATTTTGAATTTTTCTAGCCAAAATTTGAATGTTTTCATGAATTTTAAGCTGAAATTCAGGATTTTCTGATAATTTTCAGCCAGGATTCGAAAAATTCGGATTTTTCTGAGCTGAAATTCAAGTTTTCCTGGAAATTTTCAGCCAGAATTCGGAAAATTTGAATTTTTTGAGCTAAAATTCAAGTTTTCCCGGAAATATTGATTTTTTAGCTCAAATTCCAAGAATTTCATGAATTTTAAGCTGGAATACATGATTTTCTGGAAATTTTGAGCCAGAATTCGAAAAATTTTGAATTTTCAGCCGAAATTTAAATGTTTTTCATGAAATTCATGATTTTCTGATAATTTTGAGCCGAATTTTGAAAAATTTGGTTTTCTGAGCCGAAATTCGAGTATTTATTGAACATTTCAAATTTTGCAGTGAAAAATTAAATTCAGAATTTTTCTAGCCAAAATTTGAATAATTTCATGATTTTCTGATAATTTTGAACCGAAATTCAAGTATTTATTGAAAATTTCGAATTTTTCATTAAAAAATCAAATTCACGATTTTTCTAGTCAAAATTTCTCCTGAAAAATTGTGTTTCTAATATTAATTGGGAAATTTGAGCCCAAAATTGTGCAAAAATCGAAATGTTTTTCGAAAATTTGAGATTGTCGGCTTTTATTGGATTATCAGAAAAATTGCGATTTTCGGATTTTCTATAATTTTTGAAACGTAAAAATTTGTGGAAAAAATTCCTTTTTTTTCTCAAAAACAAAACTCAAATTTCGCGCCGAAATTTACTTCAAAGGTACATACAGTACTCCTAAAATACGCCTTTAATATTCAGGCTTCAATTAGGCCTTAAATGAGCCTAAACACATGAAATTGGGCCCTGAGAATTCCGGCTTTTTCAAATTTTCTATCCAGAAAATTATTTTTTTGTAGAACGAATTTCTGGAAAATATGGATCTTCATGATATGGATGGAGATATTGATAAAGTCGATTTATCGCTATTCTTCGATTATGATGATGATGAAGATTTTGAGGATAGTTTAGGAGGACTGGAAAATGATCAGAAGGATGATTTGAATGATATCAAACCGTTTGAACCGACTTGTGAGTTTTTTTCGCTGGAAATCGATTTTTATCTGCTGAACTCAGCGCTGAATTTGAGCTATGACGTGGAAAGTTATTGATTATTGATTGAAAACTAGAAAAATAAGGCTAACATGAGCAATCTACTACTGTTTGAGAAAGAAAGGTTTATGATGTTTAAAGGTACATACCTATCTACAGTATACCATGTGCCTTTAAACATTGCTTATGTTAAAATCTAGGTAATTTTAAATCGATAGCCAAATTATGCAAAAAATATTGATTAACATGAGCAATCTACTGATCAAGAGATTTTCTGATGATTTTGAGCTGAAATTCGAAAAATTTGGCTTTTTCTGAGCCGGAATTCAAGTTTTTTGTGGAAATTTTGAATGTTTTCATGAATTTCGGGCTGAAATTCAGGATTTTCGGAAATTTCCAAGCCAAAATTCGAAAATTTTGGATTTTTCTGAGCCGGAATTCAAGTTTTTTTTTTGGAAATTTTGAATGTTTTTATGAATTTCAAGCTGAAATTCAGGATTTTCTGAAACTTGAGAGCCAGAATTCGAAAAATGTGGCTTTTTTTAGTCGAAATTCGAATTTATCTGGAAATTCCTCAAAAAAAAATGAAATTTTAGAATTTGAGCACAAAAATCTGAAAATTTTCAGATTTTCCAAAAATATGAACTCAGATTTTTTGCACAGGAAAACGGCGAAGAATCAAATTTAAATTTCTGCTCAAAATTTTCAGGAATTTTTGAAACGTATTTTTGTTTGGAAATTTTTTTGGCAGAAAATCCTGAAAATATTTTGATTTTTCTCTTGAAATTTGAGATTTTGAGCTAAAAAATCTGAAATTTTCCAGCTTTTCCCATGGATCAACCATCATCTTCTTCAAATAACAATCCAATAAATCCAGCAAATTCAATGTATCCAAATGAAGCCAATAACTATGCATCAAATATGCAACAAGTTCAACGAGCTCAACAAGTTGCGCGAACTCAAAGCTCCTCAAATAGCAATAATGCTCCAGATGCTCCAGAAAGATATCAATTCTCTGAAAGATGGGAAGAAGATGAACCATTGGGATTGCAGGCAACAACAGCTGCTGTATTATATTCCAATGAGAAACATCAATATTTGAAGGAGAATTATCCGGAATGGACGGATCGTGTGAAGCAGATTCAGAGATTGTGGAGAACGCTGAGTGCTGATGAACGACAGGAATATGTGAATCGAGCGAGAGAGAATCGAACGACGAGGGGAAGGAATCCGAGACCTAGGAAGGTTGGTGGGAGATTTTGGGAAGGGATTTGGAAAAATTTCATGGATTTTTAGCTGAAATTCAGGATTTTCTGATGATTTTGAGCTCAAATTCGAAAAGTTTCATGAATTTTGAGCTCAAATTCGAAAGTTTTCATAAATTTTGAGCTGAAATTCATGATTTTCTGATGATTTTGAGCTCAAATTCGAAAATTTTCATGAATTTTTGAGCTAAAATTCAGGATTTTCTGATGATTTTGAGCTCAAATTCGAAAATTTTCATGGATTTTTAGCTGAAATTCAGGATTTTCTGATGATTTTGAGCCGAAATTCGAGACTTCACTGAAAATTTCAACATTTTTCAGTCAAAAATTGAATTTATGGGTTTTCTAGCCGAAATTTGAAAATTTTTGCTTTTTCTGAGCCGAAATTCGAATATTTTCATGAATTTTAAGCTGAAATTCATGATTTTCTGATGATTTTGAGCTGAAATTCATGATTTTCTGAAATTTCCAAGCCGAAATTCGAGTTTTCCTGGAAATTTCACAGTTTTCAATGAAAAATTAGAATTGGAGCACAAAAATCTGAAAATCTTGAATTTCATTTTGAAAATTCTGGATTTAATTATTTTAAATTGAAATATTTTTGAAATCAGTTTTTTGTAGAAAATATTGATGAAGCATCAATTCAAAATTATCTGTTCAAAGTTTTCATGAATTTTTGAAACGTATTTTTGTTTGGAGTTTTTTCTGTTAGAAAAACCTGAAAAAAATAATTTTTCAGATGGTGATTCTGAATTTCAGCACACAACTCCGAGAAAAAGCTGAAAATTTAGATTTTTGATCAATTTCTGATAGCTAACTCTAATTTTTAGACATAAAAAGTATGTGCGATCAAATCGAAATTTTGTGTTGAAACATTTGTGAAATTTTTGAAACGTAATTTTTTTTGGAAATTTTTTTCTGTTAAAAAAACCTGAAAATATTGATTTTTCTGCCGAAAACTGAGGTTTTAAGCACAAAACTCTGAGAAAAAGCTGAAATTTCAGATTTTGAGCACAAAAATGTTTAGAAAGAGCTGAAAATTCAGAATTTCAGTACAAAAATCGAAGAAAAAGCTGAAAATTTAAATTTTGAGCACAAAAATCGAAGAAAAAGCTGAAAATTCAGATTTTAAGCACGAAAACCTTTAAAAAACCCTATTTTTGCAGCAAGCCACCACCTCCAATTCAATGGATTCTCCAAATGCCCAATCCCCCGCACCCCATCAATTGGGTGGATTCAAAGTTCCCCAAGTCCCACCACCAGGCACCACTTTCCCCCCTTCAAATGATGACGGACCATCATCGCAACACCCGCAAATGATGATTGCACAATCCCCACAACCTCTACAATATGCACAATTTCCAATGGGAGCTCCGCAGGCTCCGCAAATCCCGCAGCCGCAGAAGCAATATAGGATAACTTGTCATTTGTCGCCGGAAATTCATCAGCAGTATCGGCAAATGACGGAAAAGCAAAAGGATTTGGAGAAAGTTGTGTCAGCGATGGAAGGCGATTTGAGCAAGCAGCGGAAGCAGAAGAAAAATCTGGCGGCGAAGAAACGCGCGCTGATCAAAACTGCACAAGCGGCTCCGGATTACGATGGTAGAGTTGTGGATTTGAATGAGGCGGATCGTGGGCTTTTGCAACATTTGACAGATTCGATCAAGGTTCTGCAAGGGGAATTGGATATTTCGAGACGGGATATGAAGGGGAATGAGGCGTTGCTCAGAGAGTTTGAGGTGAAGCAGGCGATTTTGCGGAATGAGAGCGAGGTTACACCGCAGATGATTGAGCAGACGCAGATTATTAATCAACAGGCGGCGGCGCAAGATGCCAGGATGTTGCATATGCGGCAGCAGCAGCAGCAGCAGCACCAGATGATGAGGATGCGGGGGCCCCCAGGACACCCGGGGGGCCCCCCGGGCCCCCAAGGGCCCCTAGGCCCCCCAGGCCCCCCGCCACCCTACATGCGCCCTCAGCTCACACCACAGCAACATATGGAAATGCAAAGAAGGATGCATATCCAACAGCAGCAGAGAAGAGCCATGAGGAGCTCATTTATGGGAGGTGTTAGGTTCGAGCAGATTGAGAATCCGATAGACAGGGAGGTTTACGAGGTGTTGGATGATATGCTGATTCATATTGTGATGTCGCTTGAAGGACCGCCCAGGGAGAATCAGATGTTGAAGCAGTTGTTGGATCCGAATGTGCAGAGAGTTCAAGTTCAGCAGCAGCCGATGATTGTCTCGCCGCAGATGGTGCCACATCCGATGATGCATCAGATGCCGCCTCCACATCCCATGCAACATCCGATTGTTCACCAGCCGCTGGACCTTGAAGGGCCTACCCGGCCCAAAAAGAAGCGGACGGTCCAGAAGAAGCCGGCCACCAATTTCCCGCCTGGTAGTGAACATGAGGTTTGGGTGGAGAAAATGCGAGCGAGGTTTAGACTGTGTCAGGAGATTCCGAAGAGGGCGAAGGAGCCGCCGCTGAAGAATCCGGGAGCCGCGTTTGCGACGATGGGAATTACGGAGATTCATGTGAGGAATGGTGAGTTTTTTGGGGGAAATTGAGAATTTTCAGGGATTTTGAGATGAAATTCGGGATTTTCTGGGAATTTCGAACTTTTCGATAAAAAATTGAAATTTTTCATGAATTTTAAGCTGAAATTTAAGATTTTGTGATAATATTTAGGCTGAAATTCGAGTTTTACTGAGAATTTTGAGCTTTTCTGGGTAAAATTGATTTTTGAGCCATTTTTGAACGTTGTCATGAATTTTAAGCTGAAATTCAGGATTTTCTGATAATTTTGAGCTTAATTTCGAGTTTTCTTGAAAATTTCGAGCTTTTCAGTGAAAAATTGAAAATTTTCATGAATTTTAAGCTGAAATTTAAGATTTTGTGATAATATTTAGGCAAAATTCGAAAAATTTGGATTTTTTGAGCTGAAATTCAGGATTTTCTGAAAATTTTAGGCTGAAATTCGAGTTTTACTGAGAATTTCGAGCTTTTCAGTGAAAAATTGAAAATTTTCATAAATTTTAGGCTGAAATTCAGGATTTTCTGATGATTTTGAGCTAGAATTCGAGTTTTCTTGGAAATTTCAAGCTTTTCAGTGAAAAATTGAATTTTGAGCCATTTTTCAACGTTTTCATGAATTTTAAGCTGAAATTCGAAATATCTGGGATTTTTGAGCTAAAAATCAAGTTTTCCTGAAAATTTCGAATTTTTCAGCCAAAATTCTGAAAATTTTCTTCAATTCGAAACTGAAATTCAAGATTTTCTGATAATTTTGACCCAGAATTCTGAAAATTTGATGCTTTTTTTCAACCAGGAAAAAATACGTTTCAGAAAATTGTGAAAAATTCGAAATTTTTCTCTGATACTAATGGGAGGTAGTTATCTATGACTGAAAATTCAGATTTGCTTCAATATTTCAAAAAATCTTGAATTTCAGGCTGAAATTTGGCTCAAAAATTCTAAATCTAATGAAATATTAAGAATTTTTTTTAATCTTGAAAAAATTTAATTGTTTCAATCAAAAATTTTTCTCAAAAAAAATTACTGTTTCAATTTTTTCTCTGGAAAAAAAATTCAAAAAATTTGGTTCAAAATTAATTTAAAAAATTTTTTACTGTTTTAAAAATTTTATAAAATTTACGGAAAAAAAAATCAGTTTTCAGTTTTTCAAAAAATAAAAATTTACTGTTTCAAATATTTGCGAAAATCTGCAGAAATCTGAATTTTTTTGAAAATCTTTAAATTTGGGAACAATTTTTTCCTCTGAACAGATTTTTCAAATTTGTTAGTCGAAATTGAAATCAGAATTTTTACAGCTGAAATTCTGTGAATTCTGAAGGTCAAAAAAATTACTTTTTCAATTTTTTCGAAAAATTTGATCCAAAATTAATTTTAAAATTTTTTACTGTTTCAAAAATTTTTTTTTGTTTCAAAAATTTTTTTTGAGAAAATTTCGAAAAAAAATTTTTTTTCTCAGTTTTTGTATGAAAAATGTGCGAAAATCTGCAGAAATCTCAAATTTTCCCCCCAAATCCAAAAAAAAATCTCCAAAATTTTTCTAGACCGTCGATGTTTGAGTGGAACCGGTTTCGGACACATGAATCTCGCCTATATGGACGATTATTACACCGGAGACGATCGAACATGTCGCGTTTTGGCGAGTAAATTATTGGGAATGCACGATATTTTGCCAACACCGAATCTCGTCGCCTTATACAGCCAAACTCAACCTGAATGTGAAGAATATCTGATGGATTTGCTCGACAAAAAATCGCTGAATTTGCAGCCGTTGGCTATAATGAGTGAATGGTTGAACATGAAGCGTGGAAAAATTGAGCATCTTCGAGCACAATGCAGATCCTTTGATGTTCAGCCGCCGATTGAGCCGCTCAGAAGAATGTTCTATGCGGATAGTCGAGAAGAGGATATTGATGTGACGATAACATTGCGTGCGGATGCACCGATTTTGTCAGAAACTGGCACGAAAATTGGAGATGGCGGAGTGGCGGAAGTTGTGGACATGTTGAAGGAAATGTTGGGAGTGACGGGGAATGTTGAGGTGAAGATTGAGGATACGCCACCAATGTCGCCAAGTGTTTCGCCGGCGTTGGCAGAGGAGAAGGAGATGGAGAAGGAGATTAAAATGGGTGGGTTTTTCAGGGGGAAAATTTGGAGCATTTTGAGCCCAAACATATATATATATATATATATATATTTATTGAACCACACCGATACAACATGCTCGAGTTTGGGCTCAAAATGCTCAGAAATCCACGTGGATTCTGAAAGTTCTTGGGAAATTGGGAGGTTTTTGGGTGAAAAGTTTGAAAATATAAATGAAAATCTGAATTTCAATAAGAAATATAGGTTTTTTGGTTCAAAAATTGACCAAAAACCAGAAATTTGAAGATTTTTGGAAGGAATCATGAAATTTGGAGCATTTTGAGCCCAAACATGCTCGATTTTAGACTCGAAATCCACGTGGATTCTGGAATTTTTTAGATTCACCTCAAAATTTGGAGCATTATGAGCCCAAACTCGAGCTTTTTTGGGCTCGAAATGCTTAGAAATCCACGTGGATTCTGGAATTTTCAGATTCGGCTCATAATTTGGAGCATTTTGAGCCCAAACATGCTCTATTTTGGGCTCAAAATGCTCAGAAATCCACGTGGATTCTGAAAGTTCTTGGGAAATTGGGAGGTTTTTGGGTGAAAAGTTTGAAAATATAAATGAAAATCTGAATTTCAATAAGAAATATAGGTTTTTTGGTTCAAAAATTGACCAAAAACCAGAAATTTGAAGATTTTTTGGAAGGAATCATGAAATTTGGAGCATTTTGAGCCCAAACATGCTCGATTTTAGACTCGAAATCCACGTGGATTCTGGAATTTTTTAGATTCACCTCAAAATTTGGAGCATTATGAGCCCAAGCTCAATCATTTTTGGACTCGAAATGCTCAGAAATCCACGTGGATTTTGGAATTTTCAAATCCGTCTCAAAATTTGGAGCATTTTGAACCCAAGCTCGATTTTTTTGGGCTCAAAATGCTCCAAATTTTTTGAGCACTTAAATATAGTTTCAGTGAAAATTGCCTTAAATTTGAAAAATTATGATTTTTGCCACGTCATAGCTTCAATTTTGGCTAAAAGAAATTTTCAGTAAAATTAAAAATTAGATTTTTTTTTTCTGATTTACAATTTAATTTTCACAAATTTTTCCATTTTTCGGAGCATTGCTCATGTTAGGCTGAAAATTTGGAATTTTAAAACCTAAAATTGAAATTTTGGACGAATTTTGAACCCGAATTTCGCTTAAAAATGTCTTGAAAAAAATACGTTTCAAAATTTTTAGATATTTTCTGCCATTGAAATTTTGATGTTTTAATCGTCGCTCATGTTTGGGAAATAAATGCAAAAAAACTGTTTTTTGCAGAAATCGACGATGACTGTGAAAACTCGAATTCTTCACTAGGAACTTCAAGATTCGACATCAAAAACATCAAAAAAGAAATCGTTGATCCACAAATTCCATCAACATCTTCACAATCTTTCGAATGCAAAAAATGCGCGAAAAATATCAATGGAAATGTCTCGTGTGTTCGACAAAAAATGGGAAAACTTGGATTGTTGCCAAATGAAGCGACGGAAGAACAACAAAATGAAACGGTCGTTTTCTGCTCGATGAAATGTTATTATGAACTTATGGCAACTTCAAAAATGCCACTTTCACATGAAGAAATCACGGCCGCTGAATCGCATGTCGATGAAGAGACTTTCAATCGATTGAAACAGATTCATTCGGATAATATTGTGAAAGCGGTTAGCCAGGGAAAATCTGGCAAATTACCGTATGCGCCGACGGTTTCGATGGAGGGATTGATTTCGCCGAAAGATACGAGATATATGATGGATGAGGGAAAGAGGGAGAAGATTGTGGTGAGTTTTTTTCGCGGGGAGCGGGAAAATGGGGATTTTTTGAATGTAAATATGATTGGAGCATTGCTCATGTTAGAAAAAACTCTGAAATTCCCTATTTTCTTTCATAAATTCGGGGTTTTTGATCTGTTTTGAAGCATTGCTCATGTTATGCTTAAAATTTGGGATTTTTATCCTTGAAATTGATAATTTTTGAGCATTGCTCATGCTAGGCTGAAAATTTGAGATTTTTTACCCGGAAATTGATGATTTTCAGAAGCATTTCTCATATTAGGTCGAAAATTTGAGATTTTTGATAAATTTTGGAGCATTGCTCATATTAGGCTGAACATTTTAGATTTTTTTTTATAGATTTTGAAGCATTGCTCATATTAGGCTGAAAATTTTAGATTTTTATCCTTCAAATTGATAATGTTTGAGCATTGCTCATGCTAGGCTGAAAATTTGAGATTTTTTACCCGGGTTTTTGACGATGAAATTGAGAATTATAGAAGCATTGCTCATATTATGCTTAAAATTTTAATTATTGATGAATTTTGGAGCATTGCTCATGTTAGGCTGAAAATTCGGATTTTTTACACTGAAATTGAAATTTTTGGGGAGTTTTAAGCATTACTCATGTTAGGCTGAAAATTTTCTGAATAAAATTATTGTTTTTCAAAGTCCCGAAAATTCACTGTTTCAAAAATAAGCCAGATATTTTCAAAATGAAAAAATGTGGCGAAAAAGAGCAGGAATTCAATTTTTGATTGAATTAAACATGAAAACCTTTAGAAATTTCTGATTTTTGGTTATTTCAGACCATTTTTCATCGAAAATTCAACAAAAAAGCCTGAAAAGAAGCTTTTTCTCTCAAAAATCCCAAATTTTTACAGATGATCCACGTGAGCTCACTCGCCAACACAGTCGAGCCCAAAAATGAGCCACCCCGTGTCGCATCAGATGAATGGAAGATCTATTCAACTCAAGAGCAAGAATCGTTCGCCAAAATCATTGCCCAACATCAAGAATATATTATGTCATCAAAAATGGGAGTTCTAATCCCGCCACATGAATTAGATCAAAGACAATGTGTTTTGTGTGGTTCACGTGGCGATGGTGAAACTTCGAAATGCGGTAGACTTTTATCACTCACTGAATATTTTTGGGTGCATGTGAATTGTGCATTATGGAGTACGGAAGTTTTCGAAAATCAAACTGGTGGATTAGTTCATGTTGATCGAGCTGTTGTAAGAGCATCAAAGGTTTTATGTGCATTTTGTGGAAGACCTGGAGCTAGTATTAAATGTCATAAAATGGATTGTCAATATAATTTTCATGTGTTATGTGCACAATCTACAAATGGTTATTTTATCAAAGACAGAACTTTTATTTGCCGCAAACATGAATTGATTGCGCCAGAAGTTACTGTGCAGAAATTGGATGCGTTGCGAAGGATTTATATTCAACGAGATGAAAATGAGCTGTTGGCACGAATGTTTGAGCTGTCGGATGGGCCCAAATTGTGCTTGAGATTGGGAGCTTTCTCGTTTTATAATGTTGGACAATTGATGCCGGATCAGATGAAGAAGTTTCATAATGCTGGTTTTATTTTTCCGGTGAGAATTTGGGAGGGTTTTTTATTGAAATTTAAATTTGGAAATTTTGAACTCAAAAAGTTCAGGTTGAAAAATTGATCCAGGAGAATTTATTTTTCAGAAATCTTGAGTCAAATTTTTAAGAATTCTAAAAATTGTGAAAATTTCTTATGAAAATTTGGATTTTTCAGCCTAAAATTAGTGAAATTCTGCTCAAAATCTCGATTTCGGCGTGAAAAATTCAAGAATTTTTCGCAAAATCTGAAGAATTTTATGAATTCGAAACATTTTTCATGAAATTTTCAAAATTTGGAAAAAAAAAGAGAAAATTTTGATTCCCAGAGTTTTCAAAATTTTTTGAAAAAAATTACCCCGAAAACTCTGAAAATCAGAAAAGTTGTGCTGAAAATTTGAGGTTTTTGTTGAAATTTGTGCAAATACTCAAAAATTGAGAGAAATTTATAGGAGTTTCAAAAGTTCTGAACATTTCTCATGAAATTTGAAGAATTTTTAGACTAACATGAGCAATGCTTAAAATTGGCCAAAAATTTCGATTTCAGCGTGAAATTCAAAAAGTTCCAGACTAACATGAGCAATGCTCTATAACCCAGTTCTGAAACTAAATCTTTGTAGATTTGAAGATTTCTGAAATTATTCGCAAAAGCTGAAAATTCAAATGCAAAAAACTTGGGTTTTCAAGTAATTTTAAGAATTCGAAAGATTTTTTCATGAAATCTTTTTTCAAAAAATAAAAATTTCACGATTTGAATGTTTTTATTGAAAATTTGGATTTTTCAAAACGAAAATTGAGCTAAAAATTCCAAAATTCAGAAAAAAAACTTGAAATTCCCTATTTTTCTTCAAAAATTTGGGATTTTTGAGGAATTTTGGAGCATTGCTCATGTTAGGCTAGGAATTTCAAGTGTTTTATTCTGAAATCGAGAATTTCTATCAATTTTGGAACATTGCTCATGTTAGGCTAGGAATTTCAAGTGTTTTATTCTGAAATCGAGAATTCCTATCAATTTTGGAACATTGCTCATGTCAGGCTGGAAATTTTGGGATTTTCTATCCTCAATTTGATATTTTTGATGAATTTTTGAGCATTGCTCATGTTAAGCTTAAATTTTGAAGATTTGACTTTGTAGTTAAGATTTTTGGAGCATTGCTCATGTTAGGCTTTCTCAAAAAATTTTTATTTGAAAAAATTTGAATCTCAAAAACTTTTTACCTGAAAATTTCACCCTAAAACCCACCTAACTTTCTAAATTTTCTCTAGGTTGGCTACAAAATTCGCCGCTGGTTCTGGTCTCCAAAATCGAACAAAGAACGCGTTCAATACGAATGCACAATCAGCGACAAAAATGGTCGCCCGTGGTTCACCGTGAAAATTCTCGAAAACACTGAAGACGGCGAAATTTCGACGATTTGCAATGAAGCTGAAAGTGCCACACAAGCCTGGTCTCCGATCTTTGAAAATGTTCGACAAAATCGCGGAACCGCTGATATGCTTCGATTCTTTTCGTCGCAAATTCAAGGCGAAACACTTTTCGGATTGAATGAGAATGTGATTTCGAAAATTACCGAAAGTCTTCCTGGTGTTGATTCATTATATACCTACACTTTCCGCCACTCGAATAGCCCGATTTTGGATTTGCCGTTGGCCGAAAATCCGATGGGATGTGCTCGTGCGGAGCCCAGACAAAGACAACATTTGAAACATCATCGGACCAAACCGCAATCTGGAGGCGGTGGAAATTCCGCAGCTGCGGAGGCTAGCGGAAGAATGGGAAGGACCCGAGGAGTTAAGGCGAGCTTTGCGGATGAACAAGCGGCGGCGCAGATTAAGGCGCTTGGATTGTCGGCCGAATATGCGGCGGTGGGTTTTTTTAGGAGCATTTTGAGCTCGAACTTGCTCGGAAATCCACGTGGATTTTGGAATTTTTAGATTCGGCTCGAAATTTGGAGCATTTTGAGCCCAAACATGCTTGATATCGGGCTCAAAATGCTCAGAAATCCACGTGGATTCTGGAATTTTTAGATTCGGCTCGAAATTTGGAGCATTTTGAGTCTAAACATGCTCGAGTTTGAGCTCGAACTTGCTCGGAAATCCACGTGGATTCTGGAATTTTTAGATTCGGCTCGAAATTTGGAGCATTTTGAGCCCAAACATGCTTGAATTCGGGCTCAAAATGCTCAGAAATCCACGTGGATTCTGGCTCAAAATTTGGAGCATTTTGAGTCTAAAAATGTTTGGGCTCAAAATGCTCCAAATTTTCGATTTTGAAAAAAAATTTGTATTAAAAAAAATGTGAAACTTTGAAAGTTTCATGGAGAAAAATTCTTGAAAAAATACGTTTCAAAATTTTTTGGTCCTGAAACCATAAAAATGTATTTTTAATGGAAAATTCACTCTTTCAAAATTTTTATTTGAAAAAAAATTTCAAGGATTTTTGAAACAGTAGAAATTTTCTTTGAAAAAATATTTTTTTTTTGAATTTTTCAAGAAAAAAATCATTAAAATGCACTGTTTCAAAATTTGTATTCAAAAAATGTGAAATTTTTTACTTTGAAAATTTCATAGAATTTTTACAAACCTAAATTTGATGAGAAAAAATTTCTTGAAAAAAATCTTGAATATATTTAGAGGTATTGCTCATGTTATTCTGAAAATTCAAAAATTTTTCAATTTTTTTTTGCAGATGTACCTCAAAGGAATGGAACCAATCCAAGGCAACCAGCAAATCTTCTCAGCCTACCAAAAAATGCGACGAGAATGGAAGAACACCGTGTTCCTGGCACGCTCCAAAATCCAAGGCCTTGGCCTCTACGCGAAACACGACATTTCAATGGGCGATTTCATCATCGAATACAAAGGCGAAGTGATTCGATCGGAGTTGGGCGAAGTTCGCGAAAAACGCTACAATTCGCAGAATCGCGGTGTTTATATGTTCAGAATTGATGAGGAATGGATTATTGATGCGACGATGGCGGGTGGACCGGCTAGGTGTGTTTTTGGGGAAGGTTTTGGGGTTTTAGGGCCGAAAATCGCAAAATTTGAAGCCTAACATGAGCAATGCTCAAATTTTGCTGAAAATTTCAATTTCGGGGATGAAAATCTCGAATTTCTGAGTCTAACCTGAGCAATGCTCGAAAATTTGATCAAATTTCAATTTCGGGAATGAAAATCTCGAATTTTTAAGTCTAAGGTGAGCAATGCTCAAAAAATTGATCAAATTTCAATTTCGGGGATGAAAATCTCGAATTTTTGAGTCTAAGATGAGCAATCCTTATTTTGCTAAAAATTTCAATTTCAGACTTGAAAACGCTAAATTTTTAAGTCTAACATGAGCAATCCTCGAATTTTGCTAAAAATTTCATTTCAAGGTTCTAAAAATTCCGAATTTTTAATGTTTTGGTGAAAATTGACCTTTTGAAAAAAAAATACTAGAATTTGTGAAAATTTGAGCAAAAATGATTTAAATTCGGAAAACTCGAGAAATTTTGAATTTTTGATTAAAAAATGACCTGAAAAATTTGTTTTGAAGAATTGAGGTTTTTTCGAGCATTGCTCATGTTAGGCTGAAAATTTGGGTTTTTTCGATCCTGAAATTGGAATTTTTGGATAATTTTGAGCATTGCTCATGTTAGGCTGAGAACTCGAAGCTTTTCATTCTGAAATTTAGATTTTTGACAATTTTTTCTGCATTACTCATGTTATAAAATCACATTTCTTGCAGATATATCAATCATTCATGCGATCCAAATTGTTCAACTCGAATTGTTGATTCTGGAAATGGACCATCGGAAAAGAAGATCATCATAACTGCAAATCGACCAATTATGGCGGAGGAAGAGGTTATTTTTGAATTTTTTAATGAATTTTGGGAAAATTTTGAAATTCTCCTGAAAAATTGGCATTTTTTGAACCTAAATTTGATGGAAAAAATTGTTGAAAAAAATACGTTTCAAAATTTTTTGAAAATTTGGAAAATTTTGAAATTCTCCTGAAAAATTGGCATTTTTTGAACCTAAATTTGATACGTTTCAAAGTTTTTTAAAAATTTGGAAAATTTTGAAATTCTCCTGAAAAATTGGCATTTTTTGAACCTAAATTTGACGGGAAAAATTTCTTGAAAAAAATACGTTTCAAAAATTTTTGAAAATTCGGAAAATTTTGGTATTAATTTTTTATTTTGGAGCATTGCTCATGTTAAACTTTTTCCAGCTCACCTACGATTATCAATTCGAACTCGAAGATTCGACAGACAAAATCCCGTGTTTGTGCGGTGCTCCAAATTGTGTAAAATGGATGAATTAACCCCCTCTAATTCCGCTGGTCGGACCTTTTTTTTTCATTGCTCATTTTATCCCTGTTATCAATTATTTTTATTTAATTTAACTTTTAATTAGTTTTAGCCTTTTTTGTCTCGAAATGGTCTCTTTTCCCCCATTTTTTTTGGTATTTTTCTCGTGAATATGTGTATATAGTTTGATCCCCACCATTGATAAATTGCTGCTCATTTTTTTGTTGGAAAAAATTTGAAAAAAAGTAATAAAATGTTTTAAATTCAAGTTTTGGCGCCAAAAAACCTTTGAAAAAAAATAGTAATAAAATTTGGTTTGGAGAAGATGAAGAAGAATTGATAAGACAACCGGTATCAGCAAAAATACACGGTGATTTCGACGAAATCTGACGGGGAGAGAGAGAGAGACGCAGAGAAAATTGAGAGAGGAGGGGGTGGTTAGAGAGGCAGAGAAAGTGAGAGAGTATGAGGTGGTTAGAGATGCAGAGGAAATTAGAGAAGCTAGATGGCATGATGAGGTGGTTAGAGACGCAGAGAAATCTAGAAAGTGAAAGACACAGAGGAAGTGAGAGAGTATGGGTTGGTTAGAGACGCAGAGGAAGTTAGAGAAGCTAGTGGACATGAGAGAGCATACAATATCTAGAGACGCAGAGAAAATTGATGGGTTAGAGACGCAGATGAAGTGAGAGAATATGAGTTGGTTAGAGACGCAGAGAAAACTTATAAGTTAGAAAATATGAGGTGGTTAGAGACGCAGAGGAAGTTAGAGAAGCTAGTGCACATGAGAGAGCATACAATTTCTAGAGGCGCAGAGAAAACTGAATGGTCAGAGGGGATGAGGTGGTTAGAGACGCAGAGAAACTAGAGACTATGAGATTTGCAGAGACGCAGAGCAAGTTAGAGATGCTAGGCACTATTGGAGAGAATAAAAACCTATAGAGATGCAGAGAAAACTGATAAGTTAGAGACGCAGAGGAATTTTGACAGTGTTTGAGAAAACTACAGTAATCCGAACTGCAAATATATAAACAAATACTGTATCTACATACAGTACTACAATAGCCCGAACTGCAAAAATCTACAGTACCTCAAAATTTTAAAAATTAAAACTAGATTCAATTTTTCATGAAAACAAACTTCATCTTCCTAATTTTGTCTTATCTAATTATCAAAAATTAATTAATTATTATTTTTTTTGTTTATCAAACAACCAATTGATCAAATGTCACGTGGTATATATTTTATTAATGATCTTCTTTTTCTTTTTTATCATCGGAATGATCAAAAATAGTCATAAAACTACATAATACAATAATAAGACAGGCTGATGAAATAACACGTCATTGATCTTTTATGATTAGAAAATTCTGGGGTACTGTAGTTTTCAGGTACTGTAGTTTTTCGCTTCAAAAATCGTAGATTTTTTTTTTAAATTAGACTTTCAAGGTGAATTTCGAATGACCACCTGTATCAAACCTCGTTTTCCAATTTTTTCAATATAATTTTTTTGAAACATAGAATTTCCGGGATTTTTCAAAGGCCCGAGCGCTTAGCGCGAGTGTAAACCGCAAGCTTCCGCGCAGCGGCACTGTCTTCCGCGAAGCGGCCACGCCTAAGGTCTCAGCCCGAGCTTCAGGCTCAAGCCTAGGTCTAGTCTTAATTCCCGAGCGCTCCTGGCGCGAGTGTAAACCGCAAGCTTCCGCTTCAGCTGCCGCGTAGATTTTGGCTTGATTTCAATGAAAAATTCAAAATTTTTCATTGAACTCAACATTTTTTGTATACGTGTCAACTTTTTTCAACGAAAAATTCATTGTTTTTCCGCACGTGTCTTTTTTTATTAGTTTTTATCGAAAACCCACGGTTGCATCACTATTTTTGGCAACGAAAAGAGATCATCTAGACTCCGCCCACCTCTTTTTTTTTGACCACAAAAAATGGGGCGAAATATTTTTATTTGATTCGATTTGATAAAAATTTTCTTTTGGTTTCTGCAGACCAAAAAAATGTTTTGAGAAAAATTTTTTTTTTTGAAAATTGAAATTGTAAAAATTTGTTTTTGATCTTGGCGGCTGTCTAGAAAATTTTCTCTTTTTTTGCAAATTTTTTTTATTTTTGGAAAAAAAGTTGGATTTTTTCTGGGATTTTTGGGGATTTTTTTTGTTAGGCTAAATTTTAGGCTAATGTTTAGGCTCAATTTTAAGGTCCTAATTTGAATAGGCTAAATTTTTTACCTATTTTTTGTTAGGCTCATTTCAGGCTGAACCTATTTTAGGCCTATTTTTTGTTAGGATAATTTTAGGCTGGGTCTAAATTTTAAAGGCTTAATTTAAGGCTTAAAAATTAAGGCCCTAATTTGAATAGGCTAAATTTTTTACCTAATTTTTGTTAAGAAAATTTCATCCTCGGTCTAAATTTTTAGGCTTAAAAATTAAGGTCCTAATTTGAATAGGATTTTGAATTTTCAGAATTTTTCTGTGAAAAATTTTGAATTTCTTCAAAAAAATAAATCCAGTTAGGCTTGAAAATTTTAAATTCCTAATTTTTTTAAAATAAAATTTTCCAATTTTTTCTATACTATTTTTTTGAAACATAAAATTTCCGGGGTTTTTTGAAAGCCCGAGCGCTTAGCGCGAGTGTAAACCGCAAGCTTCCGCGCAGTGGCACTGTCTTCCGCTTTAGCGGCCAGGCCGAAGGTCTCAGCCCGAGCTCCAGGCTCAAGCCTAGGTCTAGTCTGAATTTCCGAGCGCCCCTGGCGCGAGTGTAAACCGCAAGCTTCCGCGCAGCGGCACTGTCTTCCGCTTTAGCGGCCACGTAGATTTTTTTCTCCCCAAAATCCCCAATTTTTCCAGTCCAAAATGTCCACCTTCGATCGCGGTGCCAAACCAGACATCGGAACTTTCGTCGCGTTCGATCACATTCGTTTCATCGTCGGCAATGCCAAACAAGCTGCCTATTGGTATTGTGCAAATTTCGGATTTGAGCCATTTGCCTATAAGGGTTTGGAGACTGGATCGAGAGTTAGTGCACAACATGCGGTGAGACAGAATAAGGTGAGATTACTATGACGTGGATGTGGATGTTCCTTGAAAACTTTGAATTGAATTTTTTCCGCCACGTGGGTTTTTTATTCTAGCAAATTTATGAAAGCTTCTGAAAAATTATCAAAATTTTGAAACAGTGAATTTTTATTTGAAAAAAATTATCAAATTCGGGAATTTTTTGAAAAAAAAAAATCATTTTTAAAAAAATTTTGAAACAGTGGAAAATTATTCATACAAAATTTTCAAAATTGTTTTTTTCTGAAAAATCAAAGTCGATTAAAATAATTGAAAAATTGTGAAAAATAAGAGGAAAATTTGAAACAGTGAAATTTTTCAGTGAGAAATTTGTCAAAAAACGTTCCAGAAAAATTTTTCAATTTTGCCACGTGGATTTTTTTTGAAATTCAGAAAATCTGATCAAAATTGAAACAGTGAATTTTTCCACCAAAAAAGTTCCTCAAACCGAAATTTTGCCACGTGGAATCGTAAAATTCGAAAAAATTAATTTTTTTTTCCTGATTTATTTCTAATTTTGGAATCTCAATACAGTTCTTCTCAGAATCCTCAATTAATCCTGAAATTAACTTTGCCACGTGGATTTTCAAATCTCTGAAAAAAATTTTTTGTAAAAATTTTGAAGATAATATAACTTATCGAGCAAATTTATGAAATTTTCTGCAAAATTATCAAAAGTTTGAAACGGTGAATTTTTATTTGCAAAAAATTATCAAATTCTGGATTTTTTTTTGAAAAAAAGTTTTCATACAGTAAATAAAATTGAAATTTTAAAAAATCATATTAAAAAAATTTTGAAACAATGGAAAATTATTCATACAAAATTTTCAAAATGTTTTTTTTTCTGAAAAATCAAAGTCGATTAAAATAATTGAAAATTGTGAAAAATAAGAGGAAAAATTTAAACTTTTTTCAAAAAAAAAATTAATTTTGGAAAAAAAACGTTCCAGAAAAAATTTTTCAAATTCAATTTTGCCACGTGGATTTTTTTGAAATTCAGAAAATCTGAAACAGTTAATTTTTTAACCGAAATTTTGCCACGTGGAATCGTAAAATTCAAAAAAAAATAACTTCCAGAATTCATTTTTGCCACGTGGATTTTCAGAATCCCAAATTTCAGATAATCTTCGTGTTCGAATCCGCACTTCTTCCCGACAACAACGAACTTGCTCCCCACTTATCTCAACACGGCGATGGAGTTCGAGATGTTGTGTTCGAAGTCGAAGATCTCGATTCGATCATTGCTCATGCTAAAAAAGCGGGAGCGAAAATCATCAAAGATATTACTGAGGAATCGGATGAAAGTGGGAGAGTTAGATATGCAACACTTCAAACTGTAAGTTTTAAATATTGGCGCCAAAATTTTTAAAAAATTCAAATTTTATTTTTAAAATCTCGTATATTTTAAGCTCCTGAAGCGAAAAACCCGACTATTTTCGCTCCAGGACCAATTTAAAGGTACAGATTGCGAATTTAGACGTCCTGAAGCGAAAAATCGCTTTTTTTTGGCGCCAAATTTTGAAAATTCAAATTTTAATTTCAGTACGGCGACACCTTGCACACACTTTTGGAGCGTAAATCATATTCGGGCCTCTTCCTCCCTGGTTTCAAGGCGCATCCGATGCCCAAAACATTTTTCCAAGGACTCCCACACGTCGGGCTGAATTTCATCGATCATTGTGTTGGAAATCAGCCAGATTTGGAGATGACATCAGCCGTGGAATGGTACGAAAATGTGTTGAAATTCCATCGATTCTGGTCGGTGGATGATTCGATGATTCATACCGAGTATTCGGCGTTGCGATCGATTGTTGTCACCAATTTTGAGGAGACTATTAAGGTACGGTTTTGGGAATTTGGGGAAAAACTACGATGCTCCGCGTTTACACCATCGAAAATGATGGATTTTGAGCGATTTTTCATCAAATTCCAATGATTGTAATTGGTTTTAGCTTTAAATTTTGAAAAAATCCAGAAAAACAACGATACTCCGCAATAACACCTCAGAAACATGTGGTTTTGACTTCAAATCAATAAAATTCCGGAAAAACTACGATGCTCCGCGTTTACACCATCGAAAATGATGAATTTTGAGCCAAAATTTGAGTTGTGAAATTTGAGTAGTGTTTTAAACGATACTCCGCAATTACAGTGAGTTTCAAGAGGTGTCAGCGCGGAGCATCGTTTGAAAAATGCAATCTCTTAAGCCTAAGCCTAGTCTGGGCCATTTTTCATAAAATTTTAATGAGTGTAGATGGCTTTGACTTCAAATCGATAAAAATTCGAGAAAACTACGATGCTCCGTGTTTACACCATCGAAAATGATGAATTTTGAGCCAAAATTTGAGTTGTGAACGTGTTTTCAAACGATACTCCGCAATTACACCTTGAATAGTGAGTTTCAGAGGTGTAATTGCGGAGCATCGTTTGAAAAATCCCCTCAAAAAACAAAAATTACCTTCCAGATGCCAATCAATGAGCCAGCTTCATCCAACAAAAAAGCAATTTCACAAATCCAAGAATTCGTGGATTATTACGGTGGTTCTGGTGTCCAACACATTGCCCTAAACACTTCCGACATCCTAAAAGCCATCGAAGCTCTTCGTGCTCGCGGCTGCGAATTTCTCACAATTCCCGACGCATATTACACAAATCTTCGCGAACGTTTAGCCAATTCACCCATCAAAGTCGCTGAAAACTTGGATCATCTTCAAAAATTGCACATTTTGGTGGATTTCGATGAGAATGGCTATTTGTTGCAGATTTTCAGCAAACCGTGTCAGGATCGACCGACACTTTTCCTGGAAATTATTCAACGACAAAATCATCAAGGTTTTGGAGCCGGCAATTTTAAGGCGCTTTTTGAGTCGATTGAATTGGAGCAAGAGAAACGTGGAAATTTGTTTAGAAAAGATTAATTTTGATTTATTTTTTAATTAGTATCTAATTAATATTTAGCTTAAATTCTCATTTGAGAGCTCCCCAAATACTAACCTTTTTTCTCCTGTTATTTTGTTTTGTGTGAATTCAATGTGCCATTTTGAATGTATATAAAGTAATTATCAACCCACAAAATTTAATGAATTAATTAGAATACTTGAATTATGGCTAGACAATGAGCAAAATGCGCGCAAAAAACTTTAAAAAAAAAACAAAAATTAAAAAAAATACGGTATTTCTCAAAGGCACATGGCAAACGTGTGTTGGGTCTTGACGCGTGAACTCATTTTTTTTGAAAAATTATTTTTTTTTTTCATTTTCGCTTTTTCGAAATCAGTGTTCCTGTGAGAAATTGAGCTCAAAATATTGTTCAGGATTCCATCTAAAATTTTCCCAGGGGCAATTTATTGTGTGCATTTGTGCGTCGCCGTGTTTGCAGACTATGCAAGCGCGCTAGCGGCAAATAATTCATTTTTGTTTTTCTCTCGCTGTTTTCGCACAATTCTAGATTCTCCCCAGTTTTCAGTTTTAAATGGATTCCACAATATCCTCCTTCGGGGAGAAAGACGATTTGACATGTATCGAGATGCTGAACAATGCGCTGAACCTCGCGAAAACTGGAGATTTCCCCATAGCTTTTGCAAAACTCGAAGAATGCCTGGAGCACGGAACAACGAATCTCAACCTTCTTCCCACAATTTATATGTGGCTTGGGAGAATCTCGAATGTTTTGGGATTCTATGAGAAAACTTTTTCGTTTTATCAATACGAAGTTCAATTGCACAAGTTAGTTTAACTCATAAAAAGCTGAAAAATCATAAAAAATTGCAGAGTAAATCGAGACATGAAACAAGCGACTGATGGATATTTGAGATTGGCGGCGATTTGCAACAAAATCGATCGGAAAAAGCGAGCAAAGAAGGTGCTGAAAGAGTTTGTCGAATATGCGCAAGATGAGAATGATTGTGTTGCTTCGACAATTGCACGGGCTCATTTGATTGATTTGTTATTGGATGAAGCGTTTGGCAAAACATCGGAGGAGAGATCGGGGGTTTTAGAAGAGGCGCAGAAGTTGTTGAAGTATGTGATCAACATGAGTTATGACGTGGCTTCAGGAAAATCTTGAAAATATACCCTAACTCATCAAAATCGTTATGAATTCTAATTACCTTTTCCAACGCTATCGAAAATCTCCCCGAAATAAACACGCAACGCAGACCGCGCCGCGCCAAAACACACACAAAAAGGGAGGGAATTTGAATCGTTCCCTTATTTGTGTGTGTTGTGGCGCGACGCGGTTTGCGTTGCGTGTTTATTTCGGTGGAGCGCGTGGAGTACCGATGAGATTTTCAAGATATTTCGAATTTTGCCACGTCATTTGACATTTGCATCATGATAAAAATCTACTAGAACCCCAAAAATCTCATTAAAATCGTTGCAGAGAATGCGCAGACTATGCAATCGGCTCCGAATTATGCCTCGAAATCGATCGACTCCAGGCCAAATACACCGTGCTCACCGAAACCCCAAAAACCAAAAATGCCATTGAAAAATATCAAAAATGTTTGAATAAATCGCTCCAACTCAAAAACTACACGAAAGTGCATCAAATTGCCTTTGAAATGGCTCGATTTTGCTTCAAAAATGAAATTTTATCGCAAATCGAGCGGATAAATTGTGCAATTTGTTATGCGCAAAAATCGGGGGATGCCGAGGAGATTGCCACGTTTTATCAGGTGAAATTGGCCAAGTGTTTTGAAGAGATTGGACGATTTGAAGAGGCTTATGACGTGGCAATGGAAGCGATGCAGAAAATCGAGAAGAAAAATGAAAATATGAAGAAGTTGTTGCAAGAAGTTCGATTGATTATTTGCAAAGCTTTGGTTGGAATGAAGAATCTTGAAAATGCTGTGTATTTTTTGGTTGTTGCTAGTATTTCAGCTGTTGAGGTAGGGAATGGGGAAAATTCTTGGAAAATTGGCTGATTTTCCTTGTCGGGACCTGGAAAATCACATTTTTTCGTGTCGAGACCTGAAAAATCGCTGATTTTCTTCTGAGGATTTGGAAAATCGCTAATGTTCGTGTCAGAACCTGAAAAATTACATTTTTTCGTGTCAGGACCAAAAAATACGCTCATTTTCCTTTAGGGACCATTAAAATCGCTAATTTTTATGTCAGAACCTGAAAAATCACATTTTTTCGTGTCAGGACCTAAAATTACGCTCATTTTCCATTCGGGACCATTAAAAACGCTGAAATTCTTCTGAGGACTTGGAAAATTACATTTTTTCGTGTCAGGACCAAAAAATAAGCTGATTTTCCATTCGGGACCATTAAAAACGCTGAAATTCTTCTGAGGACTTGGAAAATCGCTAATTTTTCATGTCAGGACCAGAAAATACGCTCATTTTCCTTTAGGGACCATTAAAAACGATGAAATTCTTCTGAGGACCCAAAAAATCGCTAATTTTTCATGTCAGGACCAGAAAATACGCTCATTTTCCTTTAGGGACCATTAAAACGATGAAATTCTTCTGAGGACCCAAAAAATCGCTAATTTTTCATGTCAGGACCAGAAAATACGCTCATTTTCCTTTAGGGACCATTAAAAACGCTGAAATTCTTCTGAGGACTTGGAAAATCGCTAATTTTTCATGTCAGGACCAGAAAATACGCTCATTTTCCTTTAGGGACCATTAAAATCGCTGAAATTCTTCTGAGGACTTGGAAAATCGCTAATTTTTCATGTCAGGACCAAAAAATACGCTCATTTTCCTTTAGGGACCATTAAAATCGCTGATTTTCTTCTGAGGATTTGAAAAATCGCTAATGTTCGTGTCAGGACCAGAAAATCGCTAATTTTTCATGTCAGAACTCAAAAATTGGTGATTTTTCGTGTCAGGACCAAAAAATACGCTCATTTTCCTTGTCGGGACCTGGAAAATCGCTAATTTTCATGTGAGAACCTGAAAAATTACATTTTTTCGTGTCAGGACCTAAAAATACGTTGATTTTCTTCTGAGGACTTGGAAAATCAGTAATTTTTCTGTCAAAACCTGAAAAATCACATTTTTTCGCGCCGGGACCTGAAAAATCGTTTTTTCCCCAGTCAGGACCATTAAAATCGCTAATTTTCATGTGAGAACCTGAAAAATTACATTTTTTCGTGTGAGGACCAAAAAATAAGCTGATTTTCTATTCGGGACCATTAAAAACGATGAAATTCTTTTTGAGGACTTGGAAAATCTACAATTTTTATGTTAGGACTCAAAAAATTGATGATTTTCCAAGTCAGGACCAAAAAATACGCTCATTTTCCTTTAGGGACCATTAAAATCGCTAATTTTCATGTCAGAACACACAATATTTTTGATTTTTGTGCCGGGACCCAAAAATTGATGATTTTTCGTGTCATGACCAAAAAATCGCTGATTTCTCGTGTCAGGACCTAAAATTACGCTCATTTTCCTTTAGGGACCATTAAAATCGCTAATTTTCATGTGAGAACCTGAAAAATTACATTTTTTCGTGTCAGGACCAAAAAATAAGCTGATTTTCTATTCGGGACCATTAAAAACGATGAAATTCTTCTGAGGACTTGGAAAATCAGTAATTTTTCTGTCAAAACCTGAAAAATCACATTTTTTCGTGTCGGGACCATTAAAATCGCTAATTTTCATGTCAGGACCCAAAAAATCGCTGAAATTCTTCTGAGGACTTGGAAAATCGCTAATTTTTTTGTCAGAACTCAAAAATTGGTGATTTTTCGTGTCAGGACCCAAAAATTAGTGATTTTTCTTTTTTTCCAGCAAAAAAACGATGAAAATCTCCACATCTTCTACGAAATCATCGACAAAACAATGCAAGAAATCCAAAATCCAACAAATATTTGTATAAATCAGCGGAAAATCACAATTATTCTCGAACAAACGACAACTTTCGAAGTGTGGAAAATGACAATCTGTGAGATAATTGAGGAGGCGAAAAGGGCGCGAGAGTTAGCGGAACTCGCGAAAAAAGAGGAGCCAGAAATGGATTTGTTTGAGATGATCGCGAAATTGAATGGAAATCGAATGGAAGATCAGCGAACTGTTTTGCCGCCCAGTTTTGCAGTTCGTAAGTAAGAAAAACTTCCGCTCTGAGCCGGGATCGAACCCCTGACCCTTTACTCCATGAGCCTTTTTCAGCTCGTTCAACTTCACGTCAATCGAAAACCAGTGAAACAAAGAAGAAAGGAAAGAGTTTTGCAATTCTTCCTGGTTTAAGAATCCCTCTTCAGAAGTTACAGTAAGTCTATTTTTTAAAATTTTAACCGAAAAACTCCTATTTTTTCCAGAGACCTAAAAATCGATAAAAAGCGTCTTAACTCACTGCTCAAATCATCAAAATCGTCCAAAATGCCCAGCAAAACCTCACTGGACACTTCCGATAAGGAAAGTAGTGTATTTGATTTGGCATCACTCGATAGTGTTTCTTTAAATAAGGAAAATATGCATAATTGAATCTCTCTGTTAAATAGTAATGTTTTCTTTTTTTGAATTAAAAATTCTGAATTATCAATAAAATATTTTATTATTTTTTGGAGGTTGGAGACTGGAAGTTCTTGTGGAGAATTATCGGTTTTTCCCGATTTTTTTTATTTTGTATATTCAGTTTTTCATAGAAATTAAAGCAATACCCGCTGTTGTCCACGCGGAGTCTCGTTGTTTTCTTTTTGTATTTGTTGGCATGATTTTGAAGCCCGGATTTTCATGCCAAATCTGTGATTTTCTAAATTCACGTTCGAGCTCTTTTTGTAGAGCCCAATAATATATAAGCTGAAAAAGAAAGGTGGAGTAACGATGTTAAATACTATACCTTTCTTTTTATATAACCGTATTTTAATAATAAAAAAAAATTCTCTTCTCACTATTTTTTTTAATTTTTGAAAGCTTCACAAGTTGGCCGTATCTTTCATAAAAATCGAAAAGAATACATTATACAGAAAAATGGAGGAAATTCCCGATGAGGTGGTGGAAATGTTTATGAGACGAGCAGAAGAAGAACGGGAGCGATTTTGTATGACATTTACCGATGCAATTGAGGGCGAGTTCACGTCGTTTAGCGTCGAATCGAACTTTTATGATTTGGAAAAATTGAGATTGAATGTTTATTGCAGTGAGTTAAGAAATGGTGATTTTTCTGGGACACTAGTAAATGTTCTCCAAAGGTACTGTATTGTAGTAAACTTCAAAATTCTTTTTTAAAGATTTCTAATTTTCAGATGGAGAGGTTCAAAATGTCGCCTCACAGATTTTGTCGCCTACTAAGATCCAATTCGTGTTTGAGGCTCGAGGAAATGTTATGAATCTAATCCTTGAACATGAAGAGGAAGTTATTCAAAATATGCAAATTTTTCCAACACCTTCACCAGTTATTCGAGGAGGATGAAGTATGAGAGAAATTTGAAAATACAAACAAATTCCTTTTTCAGGATCCACATGCCTCGTCACAAAAATCTCCACAGTGTCTTTTCTTATCGAAATTTTTTGCGTTTTTGGATTGCTGAATGAATAAAAATGTTTTCAAATTTCTGGCAAAGAATTTCAAAGCTTTTGTTAACCTGGAGATCTCATTTTCCTGGAATTTTTCAAATTTTCGAGTGAAAAATTTTTGAAATTTCGCAAGAAATGCGGAAATTTTTCCTTTTAATAATAATAATTTATTGGAGAAATTCCTTTCCTGAACGTGACAAGATATGAAATATCTATAATTTTCCAGAAAGTGAAAAACGACTTGGCCCACATTTTCTGGAAAATCTAATAAATATCCCAAATCGAGATCAAAAATTCACAAATTTTCATGCGCGAAAATCGGGGGATGCGGAGGAGATTGCCACGTTTTATCAGGTGAAATTGGCCAAGTGTTTTGAAGAGATTGGACGATTTGAAGAGGCTTATGACGTGGCAATGGAAGCGATGCAGAAAATTGAGAAGAAAAATGAAAATATGAAGAAGTTGTTGCAAGAAGTTCGATTGATTATTTGCAAAGCTTTGGTTGGAATGAAAATGCTGTGTATTTTTTGGTTATTGCTAGTATTTCAGCTGTTTAGGTAGGATTAGGGGAAAATTCTTGGAAAATTGATGATTTTCCGTGTCAGGAATTAAAAATTGGCTGATTTTTCGTGTCAGGGCCTAAGAATACGCCAATTTTCCATTCGGGACCATTAAAAACGCTGAAATTCTTCCGAGGGCTTGGAAAATCAGTAATTTTTCGTGGCGGGACCATAAAAATTGATGATTTTTATGTCAGAACTCAAAAAGTTTAGGATTTTTATTGTCAGGCCCCAAAAATTGGCTGATTTTTCTTGTCAGGACCCAGGAAATACGCTCAATTTCCTTTTAGGACCTGAAAAATCACATTTTTTCGTGTCACGACTGCAAAATCCAGTGAACATTTCAGCAGAATGGACGATAAAACAACAAGACTCCGCGATTACGAGTAAAAGAAGAGGCCGAAGTCGGGAAACATTTGAAAAGGTCAGTTTTTTTCGGGGAGAGGGAATTTTAAAATTAGTAAATTTCAAAGTTCAACTTTTATTATCATCGTTATTATTATTATTATCAAATCAAAAATACATAGAAAGTGTGGTACCCAAAGTTTTGTTGTTGTTGTTTTTTGTCACTACTCTGTTTTGTCTCGAAATTTCGATCACCAATCATTATTATTGTCATAGACATTGTATAGTCGTCGAATGATGTAATCATCGTCTGCAATAAAAAAAAAATTTGAATTTGAAAATTTTTCGCGAAATTTAGTGGAGCGCACTTGCTTCTTCTTCCATTAAAAACTTTTGGAGGGTTTTTTTTTTTGAAAAAAAAGCAAGTGCGCTCTGATGAATATTCAAATGCGCTCCATTGACAAAACGTCATTTCGACGCCAAAATTAATTAATTAAAATGCGCTCTAGTGCACTATAATTTTAATTAATTAAATTAATTTTTTTCTACTCGTTGTTTTCAAGCTGAAATCAATCGAGCGTGAAAAGTATGAGAAAATAAGGAAGTAAGTAATTTTCAAAATTGAGTTAGGCTAACTGAGTCAGAGGAAAATTAGAAAATTGGAAAATGACGAAAAATATTCATCATTTTTGGAAAATTTTGGTTTTTTTTTCAAAAATGAGGTCACGTCATTTTTAATTACTCATATTTTTAAAAAATTGCGGCTTAAGCCTAAAGCTTAGCTTAAGCCTAAACCTTAAGCCTAAAGCTTAAGCCTAAGCCTTAAGCCTAATGCTTAAGCCTAAAGCTTAAGCCTAAAGATTAAGCCTAAAGCTTAAGCCTAAAGCTTAAGCCTAAAGCCTAAGTCTAAAGCTTAAGCCTAAAGCTTAAGCCTAAAGCCTAAGCCTAAAGCCTAAGCCTAAAGCTTAAGCCTAAAGCCTAAGCCTAAAGTTTAAGCCTAAAGCCTAAGCCTAAAGCTTAAGCCTAAAGCCTAAGCCTAAAGCTTAAGCCTAAACCTTAAGCCTAAAGCTTAAGTCTAAACCTTAAGCCTATTAGGCTTATTTGGTATCATTCGACTCAGAATTTCATCCAGAAGCCCAAAATCCAACTCACAAAATCGTTTCAATGGCGGTTCTCTAGCAACAGTCAACGGAATACTTTCCTGTCCGGCAGCCGACGGATAAACGACCTGCGTCCGCTTCGCGTCACGCTTTCCGCGAAACGGCGGTTCCGCAACCGGCCGCGGAAATCCATAGTAATCCGTCACCACCGTATCCCGCTTGTCCCATTTTTGATGTTGTTGATAATCCGGAACATTTTGAAATTCGCGAAGAGAATAGGCGAGAGTTAGCGGAAGTAGGCAGCAGAAACAACATAGAGCCATGATTTTCATTGGGGAAATCATTTTGGAGCAGTGAACGGTCTGAAATTTTTTTTTTTTGAAAAAAAAATTTGAAAATAAAAAGGTACAACGAATAGTACAATAGAGCGCATTTTCAATAATTTAATTTTCAAATAATAATTTTTAGGCTAAAGTTTTAGGCCTAAAGTTTTGGGCTTAAGATTTAGGCTTAAGCTTTAGGTTTAAGCTTTAGGCTTAAGCTTTAGGCTTAAGCTTTAGGCTTAGACTAGACGTTAGGCTTAAGCTTTAGGCTTAAGCTTTAGGCTCAAGCTTTAGGCTTAAGCTTTAGGCTTAAGCTTTAGGCTTAAGCTTTAGGCTTAAGCTTTAGGCTTAAGCTTTAGGCTTAAGCTTTAGGCTTAAGCTTTAGGCTTAAGCTTTAGGCTTAAGCTTTAGGCTTAAGCTTTAGGCTTAAGCTTTAGGCTTAAGCTTTAGGCTTAAGCTTTAGGCTTAAGCTTTAGCCTAAAAAATTCTGTGATTCAAATGCGCTCCACTGACAAAAACATCAAATTTGGCGCCAGCTTCAAATTTTCAAAATTCAAACTAGAGCTTCTAGGTTTACCCTGGAAGTTAGGCTAAGCTTTGCCACGTCATAACCAATGAAAATGCGCTCTACTGCACGAAATTCAAAAATTTCCTCCCACAAAAAGACGCATCAAATTTCAAAAGGAAAAAAAATGGAATTGAACTATTCGAGAGCCAAAAGTGTTTATAATAAGTGCGTGCTCCACACAAGCTCCGCCCACTTTTTGTTCCAGAAGGCCACGCCCCCCGTAATTCTTTGGTGCGTTTTGAGTACTTTTTACTAGAAAAATTGGAAAAAAACCACTTGAATTTAGATACTAGGTAGACATATGATATCAGAATTCCCGAAGGACAAAAAAAATTTGGGAAAAACAAATTAAATACTAGAGCTAGCTTTACTAAATACGAAGAAGTTTTGAATTTCAAATGTCGTTTTTGGAGCGTGGGAAAACATTTAGGCTAAGTACTAATTCGAGTTTTAGTGGTCAAGGGGAGAAACTTTTTTTGTTTTGGAAATTTATTTTTGGAAACAAAAAAAAATTTTTTTTTTGGGAAAACAAGCACGTCATTTTTTTGGAATTTCATAAATCAGAAGAAGCTTTGAGAAATTTGATTTTTGAAAAAAATTGGATTTGGTTATGACGTGGCAAAAAATTTCATAAATCAGAAGCTTTTGAGTTATGAAATTTGAATTTTAAAAGAATTTTCTAAAAATGTTCAGAGATCTTCCAGTGAAGCCCCTAATATGAGCAATGATTTCTGAAAAAATTTTTCAATAATTTTTTTGAACTTCCAAAGTTTTTTTTTGGGATCAAGGTTTCGCGCCAAAATCCATCCTACAGTAATCCAGGATTTTCTAAATGAAAATTTCGGGCGCTAAAAATTCATGGTTCCGAATTTTTTTAAATACTTAGCCTAACTCCTGACCCTAAGCCTAAATATCTTTAGTTATGACGTGGCAAATTTTTTTGTTTCTCAGAATTTTTTCCAAAAAACTCCCTAATTTCTCAAGTTTCGCTAACTCAATTCAACACAAAGTTATGACGTGGCAAATTTGAAACATGTCCAAAAAGTTTTGGAACAAAGGAAGCTTTGAATTTTTCATTCAAAAAAGAATTTGAGCCGGAAAATTCTTTGAACTTTTTTTTTGGGTTCTAAAGACACCAGGCAAGCCCAGCTAACTCAGAAAAAAATTAAAGCTCCCACTGGGACTCGAACCCAACCCCTTTAACTCCATAACCTAAACCCTTAACCACTAAACCACACATAGTCACGTTTTCTCAAATCGTAGGTCAAATCTCACACAATTTTTATTTATAAATAATATAATCGGCGAACTCTCAGACGTGTCTTTCAAAAACGTTTCTTTTTTTCTTGGCTGGACCAATTATGTGTTTTTTTGTTGCTTTTCATGTATATAGTCAATTACGTCACAAAGAGAAATGGAAAATATGAAAAATGAAAAAAGTTGGACGAAAATACTAGGCTTTAGGGGCTTTCTAAGAGGCTTTATGGGCTTTCTAGGCTTTAAGGGCTTTCAGATTTTGTCCAGAACTTGGGCTATGTTAAGCTGAAGTTATGATAAGTCTGGAACAATTTTTCTAGATCACGATAAAAATTCAGAATTTTTTTAGAAGTCTGGTAGAGTTCTAGAAAGCCTGAAAATAATTCAGAATTTCTCAAAATCCTCAAAAATTCTTGAAGGATTTTAAAAGTTTCCGAAAATTTTGCCACGTCATAACTTTGTGTTGAATCGAGTTAGCGAAACTTGAGAAATTAGGGAACTTTTTGGAAAAAATTCTAAGAAACACTTTTGCCACGTCATAACTGAAGATATTTGGGCTTAGGGCCAGAAGTTAGGAACCAGGAATTTTTAGCGCCCGAAATTTTCATTTAGAAAATTTTGGACACAATTTTCAAAAGTGATAATTTTAGCACCCGAAATCCTGGATTACTGTAGGGTCTAGATCTTTTGAAATTTCCAAAATTACGTCAAAAACAGAAAAGTTGAGAGATTTCGACCAAAACCAAGTAATTTGAGATGATTTGTGCTTTAATTTGCATTTTTGCTGCTGCCTTCGTTTTTTTTTTGAGAAACAAAATACTGATGTTGTTCTGATCGGCATCAGAGAATTTTTGGAGCGGGGAAAATTTAAAATTCAAGTTTTCCACTAGAAAATTCAGATCTGTGAAATCTGAATTTTCTGAAAATATCCCAAAATCTAGGAGGATTGAACTTGCACTAAGTTGAGAGGATTTGGAAAAAATCTATTTTCGGGAGGATTCTCTGGAATTGTTATTTTGATTTACGATTGTTTTTCTGAAAATTTCAGATTTGCGATTTTTTTAGACTTCTAGGAGCCAAAAATTTCGAAATTATCTGGAATTTTGGATTTTCGCGCCAAAATCTACAGTAATTTAAAAACCTGGCACCAAAACTTCAATCTACAGTAGGATTCAAAAAAAAGTTGGTAGATTTTTTGAAAATTTCAAATTTCCAAATATTTCTTGTAGATCAAATTTTCACCCCATAATCTACAGTAACCCGAGATTTCAGGCGCTAAAATGATCAAATTTGAGTTATCTGAAAACCCTACAGTAACCTAGAAAAAAGAAAAAAGAGCCTACAGTAACCTAGAAAAAAAGAGCCTACAGTAATCTAGACAAAAGAACCTACAGTAATCTAGAAAAAAAGATCCTACAGTAATCTAGAAAAAAGAAAAAAACCTACAGTAATCCAAAAAAAAAATTTGGCCCAAATAATTCCATAATCGCGATTTTCCGCGAATTTCAGGAATATCAAATTTTCCAGCCACACACAAAAAAATTGGCTTAAAAATTCTGGGGAAAAATATTGACACAATTATTTTTTATTCTCATTTTTTTGTTGGGAAATAAAATTGGACCCATAAAATTGAAAATTCGTATAAAAAATCATGTTTTTTCGTCTGAAAATGGAAAATTTTGGGATTTCAGAGACAAATCCAAGATGATCCCCCAGTTTTCGCTGAACTTCACGTCATCAAAACAAATTCTGAATTTATTCAGGAAGTTAGCCGAAGTTAGCCCTAGAGGTATTCTATATTTAGCCTAAAAGTTGAAGGATTTGTGCCCAGAAATCGCATTTTCTCACTCAAAAAAAGATAAACAAAAAAAAGGCGACACATCAGAATTTATTATTACATAGTCAGCCAAAAAAATGAAGGCGAACAAAAAAAAGATATTATTTTTTTTGGGGTGGGAAAATCAGAAGATGAACATTTCCGTCTTGGGTAGGGTTTACGGGGGAGGAAATGGGGATTAGGGATCTTAGATTTTGGGGATCAGAAATCGGGTTTTGCTTCTGAAAATTACAGATATTTTCATGATCTACAGAATTTTCAGCTGGATTTCTCAGATTTTTCAGAAGTTCCGATGGAATTCCAGATTAGATCTTGGGGCCACTTCAAAACTAGAATATAGTTAGATTCTGGGGACCCAGCTTCAAATAATTTTTATCTGAATTTGAAAAATGTGTGCTTTGGTCAGAGAAAAAAAGAAATAAAAAACCAATTTCAAATCGCATTTTTCAAAAATAAATTTTCCAATTTTTCTTCCAGCAGAAATTTTTTTTTGAAAATCTGAAATTTGGAATTTTTTTTAGAAAGAAGCTAATTTAACTTAGTTAATTAATGACTTCAAAAAAAATTGAAACTAGATTTTTAAACTAAAATTCTCTAGTCTCCTGGTCAGAAAATTGTAAAAATTGTGACGTGTCTAATTAAAAATGCCTAATTAATTACCTAGACAACTTTTCTCTCCTACAAAATGTCAGCTTTTTTTGTGATTCGAACTTTTGCACCTGGCACCATTTAATTTTAGCAGCCAAAAGTTCAACCAACCAAACTTCCTAGGCAGGCTAAAAATAAAAAAACGAACCTCGAAAAAATTCCAAAAAATTCCAAAACTAATGAAAAAATTCCGAACTTTATACTCTTCTCACCCCCGAAACAAAATGCAATTTCAAAAAAAAAAAATAAAATCCCACGCCTCTGATTTTTATAGGTCTTTTTTTTCTGACAACAAAAAAAGTTTCAAAACATTTTTTTTGCGTCACAAAAATTTTTCAAGTTCAGTGAGCTGAAAATGATTCGTTTTTGATGCCTGGGAAATTTTTGAGATCTTAAAAAAGACTACTGTAGCTACAGTACTCTCTGGGGTTACTGTAGGCGCTTGAATATTCAAATTTAAATTTTCAAAAATTAACATTTAAAAAAAGGACCTCTGAGAGTACTGTAGGTACAGTAATCTGAGATTACAGTATGGTGTAGTTTTGGAACAATTTTTTGAAATTCAAAAGGTTCTACAGTACTCAGGGATTACTGTAGGCTACAATTTCATTGCTCATGTTAGAAAAAATTTCTCGAAAAAAAATAATAATTAATTTATTGGTGCACTAATTGAATTGAATTGCAAATTTCTAGAATTCGTAATTTTTTTCTTTTTAAAAATTTTTTGAATTTGTACTGTAGGTACAGTAGTCTGGGATTACTGTAGGTGCTTCAAATTCCAAGTACTGTAGGTACAGTACCCCTTGATTGATTAATTTTTCAAATTCCAAGAAAAACCCGTTTATTAATGATACAGTAGTCTGAGATTACGGTATCCAAAAAAAAGTACAGTACCCTAAGGTGGAGTACTGTAGGTTGACATCATTAGATTTTGCAGTTCCCGCTCTTTAGCCAGAACACGTTGTTCGAGAAGAAGACGTTCACTTTGAAGGCGGAGCCAGATCTGAAAATTGGGGGTGTAAATGCGGAGTGTCGTACTGAATTTAGATTATCAGATTTCCCAGACTTACATCTCGATATCCAGGCGTCAAAACATCGTAGGGATTCAGAGGTGGCGGGGTTGGAGATCTAGAAAAAATAATTTTACGACATCAAATCTAGAAGCTCCCAAAAAACTCACATCAACGCTGGAATCTGACTTGTTGGATTCAGCAATGAAGTTGAAGTTGAAGCTGAAGCTGAAGATTCCAAATTTTGAGATCTTCCTTTTTTTGGCGGAGTTATTACTGAATCGAGGGAGTATGTTTCGACGATCACGTTCACTGAGCGGAGACGTTTTCGACCACGGCGTGGCTGAAAAAAATCCCAAAAAATTCAAATTTCCTTGTTTTCCCGCCAGAAATCAGCGTGGCCTAGTTCTTGCAAAACCTCGGCCATGTATATTTTCTGGTGCGAAATTTTGCAAAATTCAAAAATATTAATTTTAGCGCCACGTGGCCGAACTTTTGCAAAAACTAGGCCACGTGGATTTTCCAGCGAGAAATTCCAAAAAATTCAAATTTCCTTGTTTTCCCGCCAGAAAACCACGTGGCCGAACTTTTGAAAAACCTCGGCCACGTGGATTTTCTAGTGGGAAATCTTGAAAACTAAAATTTTCACCTTTTCGCCCCTAAAAACCACGTGGCCGAATTTTCGCAAAACCTCGGCCACGTGGATTTTCTAGTGGGAAATTTTGAAAATTCAAATTTCCTTGTTTTCGCCCCTAAAAACCACGTGGCTGAACTTTTGCAAAACCTCGGCCATGTATATTTTCTAGTGCGAAATTTTGCAAAATTCAAAAATATTAACTTTAGCGTCCAAAAACCACGTGGCCTAGTTCTTGCAAAACCTCGGCCATGTATATTTTCTAGTGGGAAATTTTGAAAATTCAAATTTCCTTGTTTTCCCGCCAGAAATTCACGTGACCGAACTTTTGCAAAAACTAGGCCACGTGGATTTTCTAGTGGGAAATTTTGAAAATTCAAATTTTCACGTTTTCCCGCCAGAAATTCACGTGGCCGAACTTTTGCAAAACCTCGGCCATGTATATTTTCTGGTGCGAAATTTTGAAAATTCAAAAATATCAATTTTAGCGCCTAAAAACCACATGGCCGAACTTTTGCAAAAACTAGGCCACGTGGATTTTCTAGTGGGAATATCCAAAAAATTCAAATTTTCACGTTTTCGCGTTTAAAGACCACATGGCCGAACTTTTGCAAAACCTCGGCCATTTATATTTTCTGGTGCGAAATTTTGAAAATTCAAAAACATAAATTTTAGCGCCACGTGGCCGAACTTCTGCAAAAAGTTAGGCCACGTGGATTTTTCAGCATCAAATCTTGAAAACTCAAATTTCCTTGTTTTCCCGCCACAAATTCACGTGGCCGAACTTCTGAAAAAAGTTAGGCCACGTGGATTTTCTAGTGGGAATATCCAAAAAATTCAAATTTTCACGTTTTCGCGTTTAAAGACCACATGGCCGAACTTGTGCAAAAACTAGGCCATGTATATTTTCTGGTGCGAAATTTTGAAAATTCAAATTTCCTTGTTTTCGCCCCTAAAAACCACGTGGCCGAACTTTTGCAAAACCTCGGCCATGTATATTTTCTGGTGCGAAATTTTGAAAATTCAAATTTCCTTGTTTTCCCGCCAGAAATTCACGTGGCCGAACTTTTGCAAAAACTAGGCCACCTGTGTAAAAACACCCATGTTTAGACTCAAAATGCTTAGAAAACCCTACCGTACTCTCTAGCTACAGTACCCACTAACCTTCTTCTTCGATTCCGAAGAACTTGATTGTGGCGAAAGAAACGCTGAACTTGAAGAAGCCGAATCATCGCAATGTAACGAGGGAGTTATTGTTGTATTGGTGTCATCCAAATTTTGAGTGGATTTCGGAAAAGCTTCTGATGTTGGTGAAGGTGTGCTCAACATTGCTGCTAAGATCGGACGCTCTTCAGCGAGTTTTGAAGGTTCGGCGAAGCATAGAAGTTTGTTGTTCTGAAAGATTGCTCAGGTTAAAATTAGAAGGAATTGCTCATATTATAGAGTTTTCAGAGTTAAAAAATGTTTAAATTTTTGAATTTTTCAAGAAAAATTTTTGAATTAAAAAAAAAAATAAAATTTACTGTTTCAAAATTTACTAGAATAATGAATTTTTGAAGAGAAAAATATGAATTTTAAAAATTTTTCAAAAATTTTTTCATAATTTTTAAACCTGAAAATTCACTGTTTCAAAAATTTCTAGAAGTGAATTTTTGAAGAGAAAAATATGATTTTTTTAATTTTTCAAAAATTTTTTCATGATTTTCAAACCTGAAAATTTACTGTTTCAAAAGTTTCATGAATATTTTTGAAAATCGAAAAAAAAATTGTTATTTTGAAATTGTACATTTTTTTACCTGAAAATTTCAAAAAAAAGTTGAATTTTCAAAAAAACAATCGATTTTTCAAAACTGAAAATTCACTGTTTCAAAAATTTCATGAATATTTTTGAAAATCAAAAAAAAATTGTTATTTTGTTATTTTGAAATTTAACATTTTTTACTGAAAATTTCAACAAAAAAATTGAATTTTCAAAAAAATTCGATTTTTCAAACCTGAAAATTCACTGTTTCAAAAATTTCATGAATATTTTTGAAAATCGAAAAAAATATTATTTTGTTATTTTGAAATAGAAAATTTTTTTAGCTGAAAATTTGAAAAAAAAATTGAATTTTCAATTCACTGTTTCAAAATTTACTAGAATAATGAATTTTTGAAGAGAAAAATATGATTTTTTTAATTTTTCAAAAATTTTTTCATAATTTTCAAACCTGAAAATTCACTGTTTCAAAAATTTCATGATTTTTTTTGAAAAAAAATTGTTATTTTGAAATTGTAAATTTTTTTACCTGAAAAAATACAATTACTCAAAAATTTTTAGGGAATTTTCGAAAAAAAAAATTTTTCAACCAAAAGAAAATTCACTGTTTCAAAATTTTCATAATAAAAAATCCTAAAGAAATTCCACGTCATAGTAAAATTACCTCCCAAAACGCTGAAAATCTCTTGCCAATAATCGAATTCCAAATCCTCCCCACATTTTTCCTCGTCTCAAAATTCACACCACTATCAAAATCCAAAAAACTTCGAAAATCTCTTCCGATCATTTTCCGATCTCCAAAAATCGCCTTCGAATCTCCCTCGATTTTCTCCACCAACAACATCTCACTCAACTCAAAAATCACAAAATTTCCCGAAAATCGCAGAAAATCTTCAAAAAAAAATTGGCCAGAAGGTGTTTTCAGCGAATTTTCTTCAGGAATTCGATTTTTCCTGATAAATTCCACCGATTTTCCGATTATCCAACATTTGTCCGGTTTTTTCGGCTGCAATTTTGTATCGAACATCAGCAGCTCCATCATTTCTGTCAACACTTGATTCATCTCAATTCGACGTTGTTTTTCGTGAATACTTCGAGTTTGTCTGGAAAAAGAGTTTTCTCATCACCAACATTTTCTCTAGAGAATTTGTTGCGAGCAGAGCTCAGCTGGGTAGGCTTGCGTTTTGCATTCGCAAGGTGGCGGGTTCGATCCCCACCCCTTGCAAAACTTTTTTTTTTGAAAAATCCACTACCTTTTTTGCGCTGATTCGCCTTTTTGAAGGGAGTTTTGCAGCCTCCATTTTGTTGAATCTGAAAAAATATAAAAATCAGCTGTCCAAAAAAGAATGCGAAAAAATCGAAAATATGGCGAAATTTTCATTTTCGCTAGCGGCGCACGGCGACAAAAATTCGCTTTTTCAAGGTCAAAAATTTCGCGCGCGCGCCACAAAAAACTGGTTTTTCAGCCGGTTGTTTGGGGAAACGAGGAGGAAAAATCGAAACAATACAGAAAATTTTTGGGAGTGGTTTTTGGGGCAGAAAAATGTTCGTGTAGTTCTTTTGGAGAAGCTGAAATGTTCGTGTAGTTCTCGAGGAGAAGCTGAGGAATTTTTGGATTGTGTAGTTCTTTTGGAGAAACTTGGAAGATTGTTTCGAATGCAACGTGGATTATTGACACCTGAAATTCTAATTTTTCTGAAATTTCTGAATTTTTTTGCCACGTGGATTTTTCAGCTGAAAAAAATTCAAAATTTTCTGAATTTTTTTTGCCACGTGGATTTTCAGCTGAAAAAAATTAAAAATTTTCTGAAATTTCTAAATTTTTTGCCACGTGGATTTTCAGCTGAAAAAATTCAAATTTTTAAATTTTCTGAATTTTTTGCCACGTGGATTTTCAGCTGAAAAAATTCAAATTTTTAAATTTTCTGAATTTTTTGCCACGTGGATTTTCAGCTGAAAAAATTCAAAATTTTCTGAAATTTCTTGATTTTTTGCCACGTGGATTTTCAGCTGAAAAAAATTCAAAATTTTCAGAAATTTCCTAATTTTTTGCCACGTGGATTTTCAGCTGAAAAAAATTCAAAATTTTCTGAATTTTTTTTGCCACGTGGATTTTCAGCTGAAAAAAATTCTAAATTTTCTGAAATTTCTTGATTTTTTGCCACGTGGATTTTCAGCTGAAAAAATTCAAATTTTTAAATTTTCTGAATTTTTTGCCACGTGGAATTTCAGCTGAAAAAAATTCAAAATTTTCTGAAATTTCTGAATTTTTTTGCCACGTGGATTTTCAGCTGAAAAAATTCAAAATTTTCTGAAATTTCTTGATTTTTTGCCACGTGGATTTTCAGCTGAAAAAAATTCAAAATTTTCAGAAATTTCCTAATTTTTTGCCACGTGGATTTTCAGCTGAAAAAATTCAAAATTTTCTGAATTTTTTTTGCCACGTGGATTTTCAGCTGAAAAAAATTCTAAATTTTCTGAAATTTCTTGATTTTTTGCCACGTGGATTTTCAGCTGAAAAAAATTCAAAATTTTCTGAATTTTCTGAATTTTTTGCCACGTGGAATTTCAGCTGAAAAAAATTCAAAATTTTCTGAAATTTCTGAATTTTTTGCCACGTGGATTTTCAGCTCAAAAAAATTCAAAATTTTCTGAATTTTTTTGTCACGTGGATTTCCAGCTGAAAAAAATTCAAAATTTTCTGAAATTTCTGAATTTTTTTTGCCACGTGGATTTTCAGCTCAAAAAAATTCAAAATTTTCTGAATTTTTTTGTCACGTGGATTTCCAGCTGAAAAAAATTCAAAATTTTCTGAAATTTTTGATTTTTTTGCCACGTGGATTTTGAGCTCAAAAAAATTCAAAATTTTCTGAATTTTTTTGTCACGTGGATTTCCAGCTGAAAAAAATTCAAAATTTTCTGAAATTTCTGAATTTTTTGCCACGTGGATTTTCAGCTCAAAAAAATTCAAAATTTTCTGAATTTTTTTGTCACGTGGATTTCCAGCTGAAAAAATTCAAAATTTTCTGAAATTTTTGATTTTTTTGCCACGTGGATTTTGAGCTCAAAAAAATTCAAAATTTTCTGAATTTTTTTGTCACGTGGATTTCCAGCTGAAAAAAATTCAAAATTTTCTGAAATTTCTGAATTTTTTGCCACGTGGATTTTCAGCTCAAAAAATTCAAAATTTTCTGAATTTTTTTGTCACGTGGATTTCCAGCTGAAAAAAATTCAAAATTTTCTGAAATTTTTGATTTTTTTGCCACGTGGATTTTCAGCTCAAAAAAATTCAAAAATTTCTGAAATTTCTTGATTTTTTGCCACGTGGATTTTCAGCTGAAAAAAATTCAAAATTTTCTGAAATTTCTGAATTTTTTGCCACGTGGATTTTCAGCTGAAAAAATTCAAAATTTTCTGAAATTTCTTGATTTTTTGCCACGTGGATTTTCAGCTGAAAAAAATTCAAAATTTTCTGAAATTTCTTGATTTTTTTGCCACGTGGATTTTCAGCTGAAAAAATTCAAAATTTTCTGAAATTTCTGAATTTTTTGCCACGTGGATTTTCAGCTGAAAAATTCAAAATTTTCTGAAATTTCTGAATTTTTTGCCACGTGGATTTTCAGCTGAAAAATTCAAAATTTTCTGAAATTTCTGAATTTTTTTGCCACGTGGATTTTCAGCTGAAAAAAAATTCAAAATTTTCTGAAATTTCTGAATTTTTTGCCACGTGGATTTTCAGCTGAAAAAAATTCAAAATTTTCTGAAATTTCTGAATTTTTTGCCACGTGGATTTTCAGCTGAAAAAATTCAAAATTTTCTGAAATTTCTGAATTTTTTTGCCACGTGGATTTTCAGCTGAAAAATTCAAAATTTTCTGAAATTTCTGAATTTTTTGCCACGTGGAAATTCAGCTGAAAAAATTCAAAATTTTCTGAATTTTCTGAATTTTTTGCCACGTGGATTTTCAACTGAAAAAAATTCAAAATTTTCTGAAATTTCTGAATTTTTTGCCACGTGGATTTCCAGCTGAAAAATTCAAAATTTTCTGAAATTTCTGAATTTTTTGCCACGTGGATTTTCAGCTCAAAAAAATTCTAAATTTTCTGAAATTTCTTGATTTTTTGCCACGTGGATTTTCAGCTTTTTCAAAAATTCCAAAATAATTTTTTCCAAAGATCTGTGTAGTTCTCTCGGATGACGAAAAAATCACAATTTCCGTTTTTTTTTTCATTTTTTGCATCCTCAAGAAAAAAAATGAGTAGATCAAATTTCATAAATTTTCAATATGTCATGATTTTTTTTGTCTTTTTCTTGTTTTTCTCACAAATATTTCATTTCATCTCATTTTTTTTCAGAATCACAGCAAAAAAAAGTTATTTTTAGATTTTCCGGAAAAATTTTTCTATGAGGCTCATTAGAAATTCAAATTTTTATATAAAAATTATGATAATTATGTAGTTGCACCTTTAAAGGGACATACCGTAGATTTGAAAATTATTATTTATTTTTACCTTCAAAGGGACATACCGTAGTTTTTTTTTCAAATATATTTTTTAAATTTTGGATGTACCTTTAAAGGGACATACAGTAGTAATAAATATATATTTTTTAATTTTCACAATCATAGTACATAATTCAAAGGGACATACCGTAGTTTTTTCCGAGTTTTTTAAGTTCTGAATTGTGGATGTACCTTTAAAGGAATATACCGTAGTTTTTTTTTTCGAACAATTTTTTAAAATTCTGAATTTAGATGAACCTTTAAAGGTACATACCGTAGTTTGTCTCAAGTTTTTTGAATTTAGTGGTATGCACCTTTAAAGGTACATACCGTAGTTTTTCTCTGATTTTTGAAATAACGTTTTAGCTATCATGTACCTTTAAAGGGACATACAGTAGTAATAAATATATATTTTTTAATTTCCACAATTATGGTGATTTAAAGGGATATACCGTAGTTTTTCTGAAGTTTTTTGAATTTAGTGGTATGCACCTTTAAAGGAACATACAGTAATTTTTTTGAATATTTTTTTTCGAATTGAAACTATGCTGTACCTTTAAAGGGACATACCGTAGTTTTCTGAAGTTTTTTGAATTTAGTGGTATGCACCTTTAAAGGCACATACCGTAGTAATAAATATATATTTTTTAGTTTTCACAATCATAGTACATAATTCAAAGGTACATACCGTAGTTTTTTTTCGAATATTTTTTTTAATTCTGAATTTTGGATGAACCTTTAAAGGAACATACAGTAATTTTTTATTTAATTTAAAAAAAAATCTTTTTTTTTCAAAGGAGCATACCGTAGTTTTTCTTCAGGATTTTTTTCAAATTTTGAAATTGTGTTGTTCTTTTAAAGGAGCATACCGTAGTTTTATTTTCAAAATTCATTTTTCCCCTGCAAAAATTGTTTCCTCTCCCAGAAAAAAAGAAAAAAATTCTTGAACCCAAAAAAAAACTCAGACCTTCTAATCATGGGGGATTAAAACTAGGGTTTATGGGTTTCTAGGCCACGCCCCTTTTTTTTTTGCAAAGGCGCAGAAAAGTGGGCGTGGCCTAAGAATTTGTGAAAAATCAAAAATTCACATTCCGCGCTTCAAAGGGCGCAGAAAAGTGGGCGTGGCCTAAACTAACAAGCCCCGCCCCCATTTCCATGCCGCAAATTAATCATTCTTCTTCCGTTTTGTGTTGCTTTGAAGGACCAAAACAACTTCCTTCCTGTCATTCTTTTTCGTGTCTTTTCTTTTTTTTTCTTTTTTTTTCTTGGGCCTGCTGAAATTTCGTGCTGAAAATGAAAGTTCTCTGAAAATCTTGTAATTGTTGTTTTTGCGCCGGCAAACAACAACAATTACTACTACTTTTTCCTTTTTTCCAGCAGCACAAGGTGACTTTTTTGCGCGCGAAAAAAGTGTGCCAGGCTTGCAGAATTTTTTTTTTCAATCGCAAAAAAAAATGAGAGCACTCTTATCACTGACATTTCCTCCCGCTCTTCCAAAGGTGTGCTTAGCTCAGACGGGTAGTGCTTGGTTTTGCATTGCAAGGGTGGCGGGTTCGACCCCCACCCGAGGCAAACTTTTTTTTATTTTTTGTTGCGTTTTCTTCCGCTTCCGCTTCCGCATCTCAATAGTGGAAAAATTTCCTAATCAAATCCAGTAAAACCGGGCAAAAAGTCACATCTCATCACATCAGAGAGAAAGAGCAAAAGTGTAAAATGATGGGCGGTTCAGAAGCTTCTTCTTCTTTTTCTTTTTTCTATTTTTTTTTCTTCTGCAATGCTCCGAGGCTTAGGCTACTAAAAAAGAAGAAGAAGGAAAAAAATAGAGGAGGAGAGAAGAAATGTTATTCAAAAAAATTATATATTGAGCGAGTTTTTTTTTCTATTTTGCTACTTATTATTTTTTTCTTTCATACATTCTTTTTTTTTTGATGAGTTTTTTGTGGATTGGTCACGTTTTTTGACAAAAATCGGGTTTCTCTGGTTTTTTTTAAACAAAAAAAAATTAAAAAAGTTTGCGCCGGGTGGGGCTCGAACCCCGCACCTTCACACTGCAAAACAACGCACTACCCGCCTGAGCTAGGCGGAGAATTGAAAACTGCAGAGTGAATGTTGGTGATAAGATGGCTGCCGTGTTTTCCAATTCTGCACGCCGGGATGGCGGAGTGTCGTTGTTTCCGCTTGTTTCCTTAATCTTCCCAATTAATTCGTTTTTTTCTTGGTTTCTTCGTTTTCTTCCCCGGAAAATTCCCCAAGGAATTTTCGCAACACAACAAAATGTCTTTTTTTTTCTTTCAAATACTCGTATATTTTGGTCGTCAATTCAAAATTTATGTGCTTTGAAGCTTTTTATTTTTTTTCTTGGTTTTTTGTTTCAGCACCAAAAAATTCCCTTGGATACCAACAATTTTCTTTCAATTTTCCTCAAAGCCCCCAACTAAAAACTATTCGAGCGCAACAAATTCATCTATTGTTTGGCTCGGCGCGGAGCAAGAAAAAAAAACACATAAAAAATTTTGCTTCTTTTCTAATTTTCTCCAATTTTCTTGGTTTTCCCTTCTTTTTTTTGCGAGAAAATTGGAATTTTTCTGGAATTTGAATTTGTTACTTTGAACTTCCGGAAAACACGTCAGGCTAAATTTTGCTGACGCGTTTTTTGTAGTCTAGTTTTTGACCTACACAAAATTCGTCATAGATATTTTTTACTGACTATTTACCTACCGAAAACACGTCAGTGAACTGTTTAGCTAGCGCATTTCCTGTAGCTTCAAAAACTTGATAATTTTAAGCTACGAAAAATGCGTCAGTGTTTGTTTCATTGACGCATATGGCGAAAACTTTGAAATCTCGTGATTTATGAAATCTCTTCAATTTTCGCCCCTGATTTCTCTGCACTCTCTCAATTTTCCCCACTCTCTCACCCTCTCGAACTTTGCCCTCTTCTACCACCAGAAAAAATTGGCTCACACATTCATTTCATGTCTATTCATACATGAAAAAAAATTTGCTCTGGCTCCAAGCTTTTTTTTTCTGACAAAAAAAAAAAGAAAATTTTTGAATTTTTGAATTACCCGCCACTCAATTGTGCAACGGGATAGCGGAGTATCGTATTTTCATTTTGATTAATAAATTTGAATTTTTAATTTAACCTCCAATTTTCTGCACAACGTAATAGCGGAGTATCGTTGTTTTTCGTATTAAATTTCAAATCGAACCTTTTCCCCCCCGTAAAAATCAATTTTTCCAGATTTCCCACCTCCCACCTTCCCACCCAAATGCAAAAATGGTGCAACTCGACCGGTTCGAAATAATCTTCGCCAATCCCGAAGAGGCCTATTTCGCAGGCCAAGAAATTTCGGGAAAAGTCATCATCGAAAATAAGGAGCCCAAAAAATGCAACGAAATTCTGCTGGAGCTGAAAGGCCGTGCTCGCACCTATTGGACGAAACATTCGGGAAAATCCCGAAAACACTGCTCACACTCGGAACCCTATTTTTTGGAGCAATTCAACACGGGTTACACGCACAAATTTACGGTTACCAATGAGGGAAAAGAGAAGGTGAGCGATTTTTGAATTTTTAAATTTCCCCACAGGCAAATTCATATGGATACATTATGGATACATTATGGATCCATCATCCATAATCGACCCATTTCGGTTACATCAAGGGTCCATATAAGATCCATCTGACATCAATCAGGGGTGATGTATCGCTGATGGGTCTCAGATTGATACTCAGCTGATTGAGCTGATAGTTGATTGATTCAAAATGGATCGATGATGGATGATGGATCCATAATGTACCATGTATTGATAAATCATCAAGTCCTCCTTCACAGTAGAGTTTTTTTGAACATGTTTTCTTCCATCCATTCTATTTAAAGATAAAAATGATAAATCGTGGTTTCGTAGTCACTACGAATTCCCGATTTTTAAATCTAGCTCGATTTTATGGATAAAAATGATGAATCGCACGATACCTTTTTAAATCAACTCACATGTTTTGCTACATTTCAAAAAATAATGCAGGAATTGAATGCCGCAATTCAAACGCGTTTTGTAAAATCGGAAATGAGCAAAACAATTCACGTCAAATTATTTAAGCTTAAATCTAGGGCACAAAAGTAGGTCGACAGACAGATCACCGTTTAATATATCAGAAAATCTTCTCATGAGATCGATTATCATGCATGCACATTCTTTTGTTTAGAAGCTTCTGAAAAAGCGAAAAAAAAAACATTTACTCAATTTCGGGCTAAATTTTGAGCTTTTACGAGTCGTTCAACAAAAACTGATAACTGGATATTTCTTAGCAGGAAAAACTCTATCGAATGGTATAGTGTAACCGAGTGAAGTTCACTATAAACATTCACATTTCTCAAAAACCGAAAAATTGGAAATCGCTCGAAACAAGGGATGAATTTATAATCATTTTGTTCAGCGTGAAATTCTGAGTCGAATGGTATATATCATTTACACTCAAGTGCTCTTAATTGGTGCGCAAAAGTGTAACATTAAAGGCGCAGACATTTCAATGAATTTATCCTGCAGCGAAATGTGTGTGTGTGTACTTCTCTCGGACGATTTGCACGCCACATTTTTTTTCTTTTTTTTCGTTTTTTTTGTGTGTTTCCCGTTTCATAGAGAAATTGAGTGTTAAAAACTGCGGAAAACATATAGAATATGTTCCTCAACTAGGATCTAGCAGCAAATGTCATCAGAACTTTGAAATTCGCATGTTGAACATGAATTTAGGCCAGAAACTTTGAAAAATTGGTTTTTTTCGATTTTAGGTAGTAAAACGAGACATTTTTTCAGTTTTTTCAGAGCGTTCCGGAATATAACAACACGAGTTCAGATGGGAAGAACGAAATACAGAAAAATCGGTTCTAAGTTTCTATGTAAGTGAAAGATATAGTTTATTTTTCCATGGAAACAGTTTCAGATCGTCGGGACTTCGAAGATGATGAAACGAACGTCGCAAACAATAACCAATCTTCAGAAATCGACAATTTTCATAATGAACCATCGACATCTGATGAGGAGGAGGATATTTTTCAATTGAATGACGCTGAAGAAGCTTCGAAACATGCTCAAGAAGGTTTGAGAGATGATGAACAAGTTTTGAGTGATGATTCTGAAGAAGGTTGCGGTGAATTTGATGGTTATAGTGTGTCTGATTCGGATGATGATTCGGAAGTTCGTTCCAATTCAAGTGATGAAGTTTGTGTTGAATTGGTTGAACATCAATCAACGAGTCATGATGATGATGAACATCGGATGGAATTGCATGGTTCAACGTTATCAAAAACATTTCGAAATCTATCTGAAACGCATTTCATTGAAATGGCGTCGTCACTTATTTCTAGGGATTGTAAAGCAGGTGAAAAATTCTGACAAAAGCTTGTGAAAAGTTTGAATTTGCAGATTTGGTTCGGAGAACAGCAAATATTGATAAAACAACAAGAAAAACCTTATTTTCAATACACGAAGAAGCTTCAAAAAATTTCGAGGAAATCTATATTTGCAACAAATGCTTGAAAAAATGGAAAAGCGCAAACAAATGGTAAGAAATTCATCTGAAACTCATGTATTTTTTGTTTTCCAGTTGTGATGTTGGAATTGTTCGTTATACACGAGTGCCTATTGAAAACCAATTGAAAGATATCGTAAATTATAATTATAAGGAACTGCTGGATGTAAGAGAACGAGTGAAAAATGGACGTTTGCCGAAGCACAACTGCAACGGCGAAAAATTCAAAGAAAATATTGATAATTCCGACGCGAACAATTTTAAGATGTCTTTGGTTTCATCGCTTGATGGTGTTGAAATCAATGGACACACAAGGTCAGAATATAAGAAAAGTATAGAATCAGCAAAATTGGGTTTTGTGAGAATATTAGAGAAATACAATTTCAAATTTCAGTACACACATCTGGCCAGTCACAGCAATATTTCCTGACCTCCCCACGGACGCTGTCTCATTGATTACAAATATTTTATTGATTGCAATATTGGAATCTTCAGTTGTAATCTCTACACCTGTGTGGAGTTTGGTTTTCGAATATTTTATGGCGGATTTATCAAATTATTCGGTTGATATAACCAATACTCATTTTACATTTCATCTCGTTTCTTTGGTAGCAGATCAACCCGTCAGTTCAATTTTGGGGGAAGGTTTTTTAACTGGGAAATCAGTATAATCTCCTGAAATTAAAAATATCATCTAACTTCCCTTCGTCGAGATAATCCCGATTTAAAAAATGAGGAAAAAAAAATGAATGTGAAAAATTGGAATGTTTTTTGTTCTGGAGAGAAACAAAAACATTGTTCAAGAAACTTGAAATTACCAATTTTTGCAAAAAATGAAACGTGAAAAACGTGTTTGAAATGTGTCAAGACCATTTTTCTAAAGCCAATCATTGTTTTTTATTCAGGCAAAACGCGGGTTGTATGGATTTGTTGGTCATTCTTCAGCCTACAGCTGCCTACACTGTTTATCGCCTGGTAAAATGTACAAGTTGAAAGGACTCGGTAAGACAGTGTGATTCATGAATTATTTCATGTGTGTGTGTGTGTCTGAACAGATGGGATGTGTGTTTCTTCAAAAACATCTCTTTACAGACAGGGAAACCAATCGAGGCGCCGGAAAAACATTGGAAGATTCGCTGAAGGGTTTTTATGGATATGTTAAATTGGTTGTGTCGATTATCACCAAATTTGTCAGACCATATGATTCGATTGTTGATATTTTCCACGGAACCGCTGAAGGAATATTGTATACAATTTTGATAGGTAAAGAGAAAAACTTTGATAGAAAATTGATTATCATTTTGCAGAAAGCGATCCAGATTTTGCTAAAAGAAAAACCGATTTATTTCAATGCAATCAATCAACACTCTACGAAATTGAGAAGAAAGCATATGTGCCCGAAAGTTTTCGCACAAATCGGAACCGTAAGAAGTTTCGGAACGGAACATCGAAATCGAATGTGAGACCAAAAGATTGGAAAAAATTTTTGATCTTTTTACATTTCAGTTTTTTCGAACATCTTACTTAATTATGGCTATTATCAGTGATGATATGAATCCGGTTGGCCGATTTATCACAATTGCCTTAGGTTTGCTAGTCAACAACATGCATAGCAACACAGATATTGATTTCGCTACAATTTCTACGCTTTGCTCATCTTTGAATATTCTGATAAACTCGGAATATCATTTTTATAGTGCTATCAAGTTTCATGTAAGAATTTCACTAAATAGGACTTTTATTCATTACTTTTATAGGAGCTTATCCAACATCTTCCTCGGAACATTCAAAAGTTCGGAAATGTGGCGACACTATCCACTGCGCTATTTGAGACATCGTACAAAGTCATTTTTGGAGATTACCACACGAGCGTATCGACGAAGTTTGCTGAATTTGCGAGCAGCAGGTGAGCATTGCTAAAATGAGAGAAAAATTATTTGAAACATTTATTAGAAACTTATGGCATTTGTAATTTTGAACATTATTTCAGATTCATCGCGAATATGTGCATGAGAAGAGAATTCAGAAGACGGTGGACAAAAGGTGAATACTCGGATGCGACACTTATTTTCGCTTCTGTCACCAAACATATTTTGCCGACATCGGTCGAAGCTTCTAAACCGCTGAGAAACCTCAAACTAGAAGATCAAAAACATGCTGAAGGTTACGATTTTTATGGCATCTTAAAATGTTCATTGGGAAAATTCGTTTCATCATATATCAATGTCAACACCACCAATACTTTGATGTTTTATTATGATGGGCTTCAGTATAACGCCGGCCGATTCATAGCTGTTTGTGTGTCTACAACCAAAAATTTAGTCCTGATCGAGAAGTTCGAAGACCTGAAATTCGATGAGAAATATCGATCACTGAATTTGGCTATGTTGAACGTTCCCAATGTTTATAAAACTGCGTGTGGAGATATTTTGAATAAGATTCAAAATTCTGCTTGTATCAGACAAGCAAAATTATCCGGAAAACGTGAACTCATTGAACTAAAATCGATCATTGGATGCGGATGTTATGTAAAAGTTAATGATTATTACATTTTACTCCAATTGAATGGCGCATTTGTACACGCGTAACTTTTCCCCAGAAAAAGTTTTTTGTTAGTTCTGAATAATTTTTGTTAGTTCTGAATAATTTTTGTTAGTTCTGAATAAAACATATTTTTCTTCGAACGTTTCTTTAAAATATTCAGAGTTATTATTACTCATTGTTATATCTTTTTGCTTTTACATTCACAATACGATTATTTGAAGATGGATTTTGATGACCTGGCTGAACTATTCAACTTAGTAAGTTCCTAAAAAAACATTCAAATTCAATATAACATACATTTTCAGAAAGCAGATTCGCCACGAAGTGTGAGAATCGACGAAGAGAGGTCTGGCACTCGAGAGGTAGGGAAAATGCCACGCTTTTTTGAAACAAGGAAAATTTGCAAATTTGAAGAGAAACAGAGAAAAAAGACAAATCGAACTGAAAAATTTTTTCGCGCTGCAATACCAGTCGAAAATTTATTCATTTTCAATTTTTTTTCATTTTTTCGGCTGGTTCTCTCGCCTTTTTCTGCTTGTCGCGCCTAAAAATAGATCAAAAATACGGGATTCGAGAAGAAAAACCGTAAGAAAAAGTTTAAAAAAATGGAAAATGAATAAATTTTTGACTGGTATTGCAGCGCGAAAAAATTTTGCAGTTCGATTTATCTTTTTCTCTATTTCTCTTCAAATTTGCAATTTAAAAAGGCGTGATGTGTTCATGAACATTTTGAAAAAGGTTCACTTCACCCAAAAACTTTAATTTTCCGTTTTCTGTCATTATGAGCTAAAATGTGCAATATTATAAATTGTTCAGGTATTCACTACCCCGAATCGCTCAGCAATTCGCGACCGAAAAATTATAATTAAAGAGGAAAACGAAAAACATCAAGACAATGTTCCAATCAAGGAAAGTGGCGGAGCATCTCGAAAAACACCCAAGAGACGTGCAAAAATTCTCGTAAGCCTTTTTCCCTGGGGTCGTTTTCAATTTTCAATAACCCCCAAAACTAGAAAAATTATATGAATTCATAGAAAAAACTGACACAATAATATTTTTTAGAAGCCGCCGGAGCAACCAAAAAAGACAATGCTGACAAGAAATCAGAGAAAAAAGATGGGAATTGCGAATGAGGAAGATGGAGATGATAATGAACAGATTCAAATTCAAGAAAACGAGGAGAAAGATTTATCAGATTCTTCTTCTTCTTCGGCGGAAAGTTCGGGGGATGAATGGGTAAGTTGCATTGTCTGAAAATCAAAATTTCATGAAAACAAACCAGAAATTTCAGAATTATCCGAAAAAATTCAAAATGTGCCAGGATGATGAAGATGAAGAGTCTAAAAAAGCGAGCCCAAAAATCGACGCAATTACCAAGCCCACGAATTTCGCGGAACATCCAGAAATATTGAAGGAACCGCCGGAAACGATGCCAACATTAGAACTATCAAGAAAGTCTACAAAATTGAATCCGAGGCCAAAAATCGACGCAATTATCAAGCCCACGAATTTCGCGGAACATCCAGAAATATTGATGGACCCGCCGGAAACGATGCCAACATTTGAATTATCAAGAAAGTCTACAAAATTGAATTCGAGGCCAAAAATCGACGCAATTATCAAGCCCACGAATTTCGCGGAACATCCAGAAATATTGAAGGAGCCGCCGGGAATGATGGCAAAATTTGAACTATCAAGAAAGTCTACAAAAATTGAACAATTAGAGCAACACGCTGGAGCTGTTTCAGACAAAAATGTGGCAACATCTTCGGGTTCCAAGGTTTGATTTAATGAAAATCAGGTTTTTTTGCGCAAATCGCAAATAACTGTTCAAATATGAATGACGCTTGGAATTATTTTAAAAAAAAGCTAATTAGTAGGCTGGCAAAAATGAAGCATTCGGGCAAATTTTATATAATGTACATTTTTACAATATTAACCGAATACACTATTTCATTTTTTGCAGGCCTACTAATTAGTTATAAAATATCCAAGAAAATCAAATGCTGTAAACATACCACGCCCATCTTCGTGCAAATTAACTTTAAAAATTTTGAAATTTTTTGGCTTTTTCGACTGAAAAATACCACTTTTGAACGGAATTTTTTATACCCTATTTATCAGAACAAATCTTAAGTAATTAATAGCAAAGTATAAAATAAAATGAAGACATTAACATTCCAGACTGATCCAACAATTCTCGATTTACAAATACTGGATTCTGAACCGAATGAAAATTTGCCGAAAATGAGCCAACGGAGAAAAATTGATGCATTTGTTTGTTCACAAAAATTATTTTGTGATCCGAAAACGAAAAAATTGTTGTCAAAAGAAGTGAGACAGGTTAGATGATTTTATTCAGTTAAGATTGATTCAATGGTCAATTTTATGCTTCATTACTCAAAAAAATTCCAGATGAAGTTTGAGGATTTCATTAAAAAAAATCCTTTGCGAATCGATTATGCCAAAATCGAAGATGAAGCTGAATATGCACCATGCGATTTCACCAAAAATTTATGTTTAGCAATTGGGTTAATTGGGAGAGTGGTAAGTATAAATATTATCGTTAGAAAAATTGTATTTAGGAAAACGAGAGAAAAAATTTCAGGAAAACGAGAGAGAGAGGCGAAGAAAAGTTCGATCTGAACCAATCCAAAATGCACAAGAAATATTGGTAAACTTAAGATTAATCCAAATTCAAAAAAAATTAATTTCTTTCAGAATCCGATTTCATTCAATAGCTCATATTTGAATGGTAATTTCAAGGTTTATACACCCCGTGGATTCGAAATTGACGCTGCGGCTCCATTTGACAATTTTTCGTGAAAAACGTTCAAAGTGCAGATATTGATGAATTGAGCCAGAAATATTTTGAACATTTCATGAAATTGTTCAGAAAAGATGTTTATTATTTTCTTTATGCACTCCCAACCGACTCCGACAACACAACTTATGTGCCATTGTCTACTGATTTCATTGACAAACCTGTCTGTGAGTTTTCTTTCTTCTTTCTTGTAATTCTTCTTTCACAAATTATCCGAGTCCCCCTATAATCATTTTGAAAACCTGATAAAATTTTTAAGGGTTAGATTTTTCTGTGAAAAATCGGCCTTATTTAAAAAATACACCAATGAAATAAACTTATTTTTTTTTCAAAAAATATTCTCCATTGCCAGTTTGAGAAGAAAATTCCACGACATCAGCAATTCTATTACCAAAATCTATATTTTTACAGCTGCTATCATGATCGCTCTTAATCTCAAGGATCAAAAATTCGAAATGTACAAAAGCCGAATCACCACAAAATTTACCGAAAAGATTAGAAATTGCTTGTTAGTTTTTTATTATTCACTACTGCAAAACGTTTACATTTTTTTCAGAATCAATGGTCGATCCAGAACCGACAAAAATATAGATATACCACTGTTGCTACAAAACTTCAAAGATGTTCTCCAGAAGCGAGAAGGTCGACAAGTTCAAGCTCAAGAAGTTCAAGCTCTACAATTTCAAGCTGAAGAAGATCAAGCTCGAAACGTTTAAGCTCGAAAAAGTCTGAAAAAAGAATCTCGAGATAGATCAAGTTAAATTTTTGTTTGTTTTTGATTGTTTTATTTTTGATTAGCTTCCGTGGTAGCTGCTGTTAAAATTTGTTGTTGTTTTTCATAAAATTTTTATTTGAAAATACTATCAATCAAGTATCAATCAAGCATCCATCAAGTATCAATCAACCATCTATCAAGTATCAATCAAACGAGTTCAGATGGATCCATTATGTGTACCCGATGTATACATCTGAACTGGGGACATGATGTATCAATTATGGATCCATAATGTATCCATATGAATTTGCCTGTGCCGCTTGCTTCCTAAACAACGGGAAAACGGAGTGTTGTAGTATTCACTGTGAAAAAATATTTGAATTTTTAAATTTCCCGCCTGCTTTAAAACAACAAAAAAAAATAAAAAAGTTAGCGCCGGGTGGGGGTCGAACCCCTTACCTTCACAATGCAAAACACCGCTCTACCCGCCTGAGCTAGGAGCACATTTAAAAACTTCAGAGTGAATGTTGGTGATAAGATGGCTGCCGTGTTTTCCAGTGAGAAAAAAATTCTGCAAGCCGGGAGAGCGGAGTGTCGTTGTTTCCGCGATGGTTTTTTTTTCGAATTTTCCCCGGGTTAAACAACGGGATAGCGGAGTGTTGTAGTATTCGCTGTGAAAAAATATTTGAATTTTTAAATTGCCCGCCTGCTTTTTGAACAGAGTTTTTTTTTTGAAATTTTGAATTTTCCCCGGGCAATTGCTAAACAACGGGAAATCGGAGTGTCGTAGTTTTTTTTTTTGCAAATAAAAAATCGCGTCACTTTTCCTCGATTAAATCATGTGGAAAAATTGTTCGCTGCAAAAAAGGGTGCAAAATGTTTTTTCCAAGAAAAAATATCTGAGGCGGGAAATTCGAAAATTCAAATTTTTTCAAATAAAAAAAAACAACGACACTCCGCTTTCCCGTTGTTTAACAAGTGCGCGGCAAATTCAAATTTTCAAACAAAAAACGACGACACTCCGCAGCGCGAAAATGTGAAATTCAAAATTTTGCAGGAGCGAACACTTCCAGCCGGAATTCACGAAGTTCCCTTCTCCTACACTCTTCCAAAATCCCTTCCAAGCAGTTTCGAAGGCGAATTCGGACATATTCGATATACATGCAAAGCGATTTGTGAAAGACCGTGGGATTTTGATATTGTGACACGAAAAGCGTTTACTGTAATCGGAATTGAGGATATTAATTCGGATGCGAAATTGAATGAGCCAACAACATTTTGCGAATCAAATCAGTCTGTCACTTTTTGTTGTCGAAGTTCGGGAAGTGTTTCGGGAGAGATTCGGGTTCCGAAAATTGGATATACGCCTGGTGAGAAAATTGATGTTTCTTATAAGTGAGTTGGAAGTTTTGGGCTCTTTTTTTTTAATTTTGAATTTTTAAATTTCCCGCCTAGTTTCTGTAGCGGAGTATCGTAGTTTCTCAATTTTAAAATTTGAATTTTTGAATTTCCCGCCTGTAGCGGAGTATCGTAGTTTTTATATAAAAATTTTAAATTTCCCGCCAATGAATTGTGCAATGGGATAGCGGAGTATCGTAGTTTTTCAATTTGAATTTTTTTTTGAATTCTTGAATTTCCCGCTTGTTTTCTGTAGCGGAGTATCGTAGTTTCTCAATTTGAAAAATATTTTTGAAATTTTGAATTTCCCGCCACTTAATTTTGCAACGGGATAGCGGAGTGTCGTAGTTTCTCAATTTTAAAATTTGAATTTTTAAATTTCCCGCCTAGTTTCTGTAGCGGAGTATCGTAGTTTTTTAGTTTGAAAATTTTGAATTTTTTAGTTTCCCGCTTGTTTTCTGTAGCGGAGTGTCGTAGTTTTTTATCTAAAAAAATATAATTTTTGAAATTTTGAATTTCCCGCCACTTAATTTTGAAACGGGATATCGGAGTATCGTAGTTTCTCAATTTGAATTTTTTTTTGAATTCTTGAACTTCCCGCTTGTTTTCTGTAGCGGAGTGTCGTAGTTTTTTAAATTTCAAATACCTGCAAAAATACGTTTCAAAAAATAATTTTATAAATTTTTTTGGAACAAAAAAATTAAGCTGAAAAAAATTTCAGACTTTTTTTTTCCAGAGTCACCAACAACAGCTCAAAAAATCGTCAAATCTCCATACGTTTCAATCAAACCACAACTTATCGGTAAGCTTTTGGTATTTTTGACGCCAAAAAAATTTTCAAAATTTTTCCAGCGCCAAAACCTTCGCCGGAAGTGAGCACATCAAAAATGTCTCGCGATCAATTCTAAAAATCGAAAAAGGCGAATGCGCGGCCAGAAGTTCCATCGATTGGCAAAAAGAGAGTCTAACAATTCCGTCGCTGCCTCCGAAACTCGGAAAATGCAAAATTCTATCGGTTGCCTATTCAGTTGAACTTGATGTGAGTTGCGGAATTGCGGAATTGCGGAGTGTCGTAATTTTTTTTCAGGTAGATCAAACTCTAACCGTTCCTTGTAACATTGTGATTGGCTCAATTCCCCAATTATCACAATTATTGATTCATTCAAAACAATCGACTGGGAATTCTGGAAATTCGGTGACAAATGGAAGTTTGGCACCGAAAAGTTCAATAAAAGATAGTCCGCCAAGGATAGAGGATAATAGTTGTGTACAGGTAGGATCTACGGATGCCACGTCATAGTATTCCTCTTCCAGATCTCAATAACAGATGAATGCGGTCAAACGGTGGAAGAAGAACTAGGAAACGAGATGGAAGCCCTGTTATCATCCAGGAAACGCGTTCGAATGCCAAGTTCGATTCTAAGCGAGCTATATCCAACTATGCCAAGTCCTTATTATAAGTTAGTTTAACTCAGCTCAAAATTCTGCACATTTTGATATATTTTTCACCGCTAGATCTTCAATTTAAAGGAAGATCGTGGCGAGACCCACACTATGCGCCTTTAAGAAACTGTTCCCCAAGAAGCTCATCTTGTAGAGCTCAAAATTCCCCACATTTTGGTATATTTTTCACCGCTAGATCTTCAATTTAAACGGAGATCGTGGCGAGACCCATTATGCGCCTTTAAAAACTATTCCCAGAAGGTGCTCATCTTGTAGAGCTCGAAATTCCCCACATTTTGCTATATTTTTCACCGCTAGATCTTCAATTTGAAGGGAGATCGTGGCGAGACCCATTATGCGCCTTTAAGAATTTGTTTTCCAGAGAATCATTTTTCGGCTCATCGGACATATCAGAGGAAAAAGAGCAGGCACAGTTTGGCGAAACTCAATTTGCTCCAAAATATCCGTTTTATACTGATGAATAAATTTTTTGATTTTATTTTTTTTTTGGAATTTTTGAACTGCAAGGAGTACTGTACCAGCTACAGTAGACCTTGCAGTTCGAGCTTCAGACTGCAAGGTATACTGTAGCCTGTGTAAAAATGTGGAACATTTTTATCATCAAACTGCAAGAATTACTGTATTTCAAGCTGCAAAAGGAAGCTACAGTATACCTTGCAGTTTGATCTTCAAACTGCAAGGTATACTGTAGCCTGTGTGAAATTTGGACTCCAACATGCTCATTATCATTTCCCGAACTGCAAGGATTACTGTACCTCATAGACAGCTACAGTATACCTTGCAGTTCAAGCTTCAAACTGCAAGGTATACTGTAGCCTGTGTAAAAATTTGGACTTCAACATGTTTTTTAAGATATTCCGAACTGCAAAGAGTACTGTATCTCGAACTGCAAAAGGAAGAGCTTCATATCAGACTGCAAGGAGTACTGTACCTCAAACTGCAAGATATACTGTTTTCTGAAAATTTTCGGCTACAGTACCCTTCGCAGTTCGGCTACAGTACACCTTGCAGTATGTGTTTTTTTGTGTTGTTTTCAAATTTGAATTCGAATTTTTTCTTATCTCTTTTTTCCCCCGAGCCTACTGTTTTTTGTTTATTTTCAACCTACGTAAATAACTTTTTTTTTTGGACAAAAACACGTTGATAAGAAGCATGTGATGCCCAAAAAACTTCATTTTTGAAAATTCGAATTCGCCAAAAACAAAAAAAAATGCGATTTTATTGGGTTGTTCTGCTGGTGGTTACTGTAGTTTTGATCAGTTTGGCAGAGGCCAAGAAGCAAAAGTGAGTTACGGGGGGTACTGTAGGTCTTCGAGAGTACTGTAGGGTTACTTGAGTACAGTACTACCTTCTTGGGAACTGCGCGGGTTACCGTAGTCTAAATTAGAAAGTTCACGAGACTACAGTACACCTTGCAGTCTAGATGGACGCTTGAACTGCAAGATATACTGTAGCCGTAAAAATTCACGGTACAGTACCCTTTGCAGTTCGGCTTCTAGTTTTTCACTTACCATATTTTTTGTAGTTCGAGATACAGTAACCCTCGCAGACTGGCCACATTTGCTTCAAATGTAGCCGAACTGCAAAGAGTACTGTAGCTCAAATAGTGAAAAATTAGGGCTAGAGTATACCTTGCAGTTCGGAAAGCACTAAAATGCAAATCTGTAACCGAACTGCAAAGGGTACTGTAACTCAAATAGTGAAAAATTGAGGCTACAGTATACTTTGCAGTTCGGAATGGCTTCAGTGTTGAAAATTCGAGTACAGTAACCCTTGCAGTTCGGAATATCACTGATTTTTCAAAATCTCCAGATTTCTCAAAACGAGCCTCTCAAAGCTAAAAAGATTACTGTAACCGAACTGCAAAGAGTACTGTAACTCGAATCTTTTTTGAAATGTACTACAGTATACCTTGTAGTTCGAAATATTCAAGTACAGTAGCGCTTGCAGTCTGGATCATAAGTAACTCGAACTGCAAGCTATACTGTAGCTGTCTCACAGTGAAATCCATTTGCAGAGTTACAGTAACCCTTGCAGTTCGGAAAAATTCCAAATTTTCCAGATCCGCTGCCAAAACCATCCCAGCTTCTTCAGTTCCCCAACCCTCCTCCCCAAAACAACAAACGCAATACGATCAATGCAAAATCCAGTGCAAAACCCAACGCGAATTCATCGGCAAACAAGAATTGGTGGAACAATTGAGAAGAGAGCTGGAGTTGGCCGAGAATTTGCTCGAGACCCGAAAAGCCAATCTTCCCGATGAATTTCAGAATTCTACTGAAACATCCACGACTTCGAGCCCAGAAAATGCGAGGAAAATCTCGAGATATGATCATTTGAAGGCGGCTGCTTCGAAAATCGTCGAATCTGGAAGTGAGCTGAAACAAGCGGTGACTGGAGATAATTCGAACTGAAATTAAATTAAATTTTGTGATTTTTTTCGTGATTTTTTGAATTTGAGATCTACTACTCTACTCTAATTTTTGAAGAAATCCAAATTTTCAAAATTTTCCTTCGAGATCAATAAATATACACATGATAGATAACAAAAAAAACCAAAAAAACCATTCAAGAATCAAAATCATCTTCGGGCGCGCGTCGTTTCAAAATATTCTGCACAACGTCAGGCCGGAGCATCGTTTGAGATTGTTGTTGTTGTTGCTGGTGAAGTTGTTGTGGATCGAAATGTGGAATATTTGAGGTGGAGGTGTCCATTCTGCAAGAAAAACATGAGGAAAATCAGATTTTTCGTGAAATTCTGGCTAAAATTGAGGATCTTATGACGTGGCAACATGAAAACAATTTTTTTTAAATTGAAATAATGATGAAAACCAGAATCTGGATGTTTTTTCGAAAATTTCAAAATTAGTTATGACGTGGCTCAGGAAAAAATTAGCGATGGTACCGAACCTTATCGGCCCTGGTACCGAACTCATTTTGTCAAAGTACCCGCCCCGTCGCTGCACCAGGGCAAAAAGCGTACGGCACCCGAGCAAAATATGTTCGGTACCAGTGCATTCGGGTTTTAATGGATCCGCACCGGTGCAAAATTAGAGCATTTTGCATTGAATATACGCAGGATAAAAGCGGCTCGCCTCTTGAAAGTGAGCTTCAGAAAACAGAAAAAACATTACACAGTGTGAAAATAACATTTATTGACTGTCAAATACAGAAAAAATGACGAATGAAGGCGCCTTCGTTCAGGTTTGAAGTTATTTGATGTTGATTGCAGATTCCACGTCACGTTTGAGGAAATCTGTAAAATATAAGTGATAAATGGAAGTCTGAAGTTACTTTCAAAATTGTTGTGTTGCTTTCAACCCCTTTAATATTTTTTGAGGAAATTTCGAAGACAATCAAAAATCATAGGAAATTCGTTGTAAAAATAAGGAAACTAATCCTCACAACTCAGAGAAGTTACTTCTTTTAATAAAGAATATTTCCCACGTATATATCATACTTTCTAAGTAGATTTTATATAAAAAACACTCACCGTCTAGTTTTCTTTGAAGATCGATCACGATTTGAGCCATTTCCATTGCATTGCGAAGTTCTTCAGGGTGTTTTCCTCGTTTCGTTTCTTTTTTTGACTTCTTCGTTGTTACACATGATATTTCAATCGTTTCGATCTGAAATCAATCATTGAACCTACGGTTTTTCTGAGTTTTCGAAAGACAATACATAAAAATCAAACCTGAAGAGAGCGCCAAACATGTGTTCCTTCAAATATGTCGTCTTTTCGCCTTTTATATCTGAAAATTATTGGAGCACAGTTTGTAAACTGTAATTTTCCTTGTCGAATAGCAATTTTCGACTATCTGAAAACAAAGAATTACATCGAAACCTAGAAAAACACACGAAAAAAGCGTTGAAAAGAAACAAAACAAAAAAAAACATGTTTTTTCTGCTTCTGCGTACTATACACACAAGTTTACGCGCAATTGCACACTTTCTTGTCGGACCCGAGATGGCTTTTTTGTTTGAGACTACGAAAAGTACAATTTTCATGAAAACTAGCGCGATATTCGGAATGAAAATCAAGAATCGAGCATAATCATATGTAAAACTTTTTCGACAACACATTTCAACAAAGTTATTGAATATCGGGGTGAAAATCATCGCTTTTGAGAAGAAGTTTATCGAAAATTGTCATGATTTTTGTTCTAGAAACGTATGATAAGATTTTGATATTGAATTTTCGATGAAAGCATTAAGAACAGACGTATTTACCTATTGAAATTGGCGATAGATGAATTTGATGTTGAATTTTCACATTTTCATAGGAAAAATACCGAAAAACAGCACAATTTTACTTTTCAATGGAAAATATCACATTTTCTTTCATTCTTCATTCTTCAAATGTCGAGCTTTTCTCTTTCTTACGTCGCAAAAACTCCAAAAGTAGAAATGAAGCAACTCAGAGATTCGCTGGCCAGCACGCCACCAGGTGGGGAGGCTGGCTGACTTGGGAACCACATGGAAACCATGTCGCCCGGTTTTTTTTCGCTGGCTAGGTCAAGCCCACATGGCTACCATGTGGTGGCCACTTCGCCACGTCAAAATGAATTTTCATGAAAATGTCTGAAAAACTTGTGAATTGAGACATTTTCGAAAAATTTGGCTAATTTTCTGTTTTTTCGCAGCACTTGAAACCTTAGGAAGTGAAAAAAACAGTATAAAATGCAGTGTTTTGAGTACAAACATACATGGCACTGCTCTCAAAATTGTGAGGGGGAGATCATGACATTTGGAAAAAATTTTCGAGGGGGGGGGATCATTACATACAAAAAATCTAAATTTTTTTCAAAGTGAAATCGGTACGCTAGAAAAAAATTGGGTTTTTGCATGTGGTCATTTTTGACATATTTTTCAGGTTCGATAATTTGGAAACTAGTGCTTTAGGAATATCGGATGTAGAGAAAGGGCGAAGAATTCGACGGATATCATTCATTGGCTAATTATTCTTATTTCTCATTTTATTTCTAAAATTCTCAATTATATTTTTCTATATCCTTCTAAAATAAAAAATGAGTTTATTGTAGTAAGTTCCTTTCAGAAATCTTCATGCAATGATCATGCTCAACCCTTCTGAAGAATTCCATATAAATTATAGACAATGCGTTATTTATTTGATAATCAAATTGAAACTCAAAAATATTGAATTAGAAAACAAAAGAAAAAAGTGGATTCCACCGAGGATTCGATCCAAAAACCGTCTGATTATTACGCGCGATCTCTACCGACTTGACCACGAGGCTACTTTTTTCACACGCTTATTTTTAAGTGATAAAAAAGGGATAGGGGAAGGGGAGAGAAAATGAAGAAGAGAAGGAGAAGCGGAAAAAAATCATGAAATTTTTGAAAAATTTCCATTTTTTATCGAATTTCGCCGATTTTGTTATATGTTTCGACTGTATAAGTAACTTAAGGATGGTAGAAAGGAATGTCTGTCGAAATTATCTTAAAAGAAGGTTTATTTCTTGAGATATGATCCCCCCCAAAATCGAAGCCGTTTTGCTATGTCATTTTGGGGGGATCATATCTCAAGAAATAAGCCATCTTTTGAGATAATTTTAACAGACATTCCTTTCTACCATCCTTAAGTTACTTATACAGTCGAAACATATAACAAAATCGGCGAAATTCGATAAAAAATGGAAATTTTTCAAAAATTTCATGATTTTTTCCGCTTCTCCTTCTCTTCTTCATTTTCTCTCCCCTTCCTATCCCTTTTTTATCACTTAAAAATAAGCGTGTGAAAAAAGTAGCCTCGTGGTCAAGTCGGTAGAGATCGCGCGTAATAATCAGACGGTTTTTGGATCGAATCCTCGGTGGAATCCACTTTTTTCTTTTGTTTTCTAATTCAATATTTTTGAGTTTCAATTTGATTATCAAATAAATAACGCATTGTCTATAATTTATATGGAATTCTTCAGAAGGGTTGAGCATGATCATTGCATGAAGATTTCTGAAAGGAACTTACTACAATAAACTCATTTTTTATTTTAGAAGGATATAGAAAAATATAATTGAGAATTTTAGAAATAAAATGAGAAATAAGAATAATTAGCCAATGAATGATATCCGTCGAATTCTTCGCCCTTTCTCTACATCCGATATTCCTAAAGCACTAGTTTCCAAATTATCGAACCTGAAAAATATGTCAAAAATGAAATTCCCCCTCTCTCTTTGATTTTTTTCATTTTTTTCACCATTTATTTTTTCAAATTTTTGACGAAAAAAATGGAGGGGGGATCATGACATTTCAAAATTTTGGGGAGGGGGATCATTACATGGAGGGTCCGTTGGGCAAAGATGCCATGTATGAGTACAAACCACTGTCTTGCTAGCTTTCCAGGATTTCAAACACACGTCGCCGGAAAACTCGAGGCGACCTGGCCGCCACGCGGTTTCCAGGTGGCCGCAGCAATCTGGTGGCCAGCGAATCTCTGAGTATTTGAAAATTAATTTTTCAAAAATTATGTCAAAGATTAAAAGGATTCTCAACGTTTTTCGCTTCAGTCGATTACGACACACCGCACTCAAAAAATCGCTAAGTATTTTTTTGCACAAGAGCGGAACTTTAGTTCGGTACCAGTGCATAACCCTATTTGTAAAATAATCACTGTTGAAAATTTCGCAAGGGTACCGAACTTGTTCGGCACCAGTCCAAAGTGCAAAAGGGTTCGGTACCAAGGCAAAAAGGTATCGGTACCGTCGCAAAACGTCGAAAAGTCGCGGCACCATCGCTAATTTTTTCCTGAGGGCAAGGCAAAAATGACGAAAAATTTCAAAATTGACACGTGGATTTAAAAAAAAAATAAAATTTCGTAAAATGTGGATTTTTTGCGCTAATATTTGAAATTTAAATTTTCTGGCCCCAAGTTTTTTGAATTTCCTAATTCTGGAAACAACTGAGAATGAAAATGAATGAAAAATTAAAATTTTAAACCAAATTTGCCACGTCATAACTCATTTCTAGCAATTTAGGATTTTTTTTTTGAAAATTGAGATTTTCGCGCCAAAAATCCACGTGGAAATTATGAAATCCAAAAAACTTCGAGGCAAAAAAACTGAATTGCTATATTCTAGCGCTAAAATTTTAGGAAATCGTATTTTTTTTCTAACAAAAAAAGTCCACGTGTCAATTTTTTAATTTTCCAGCAAAAAACCTTGATTTTGGATGTTTTTATGCAAAAATTCCATAAAAATCCGATTTTTGCCAACTCACAATTCATAATCATCAGTTCTAAACTCCAAATTCGGTGCCAACTGACAAAATCGATCATTCGGCAATTTCAGCCCATAATTGTGTCGAATTTGCGGAAGCGCGTGCTCATTTTTCTCGATCGACGTTTGTAGCATTTTTTCGCGATGATCCGGCGCGACTTCTTTCAAAATTCCCAAAATATCGTTGACCGCGTGGATTTCGTCGGAATCGATGACTTGTTTTTGATTGTGGCGCGCGAGGCCGCTGGCGAGCTCCAGAATTTTTGACGTCATTGAGAATTGAACCTGCAAGATTTGAAATTTCCATTTTGTGCTCAAAATGCTCCAAATTCCACGTGGATTGCTACATTTTCATTTTCATCAAGAAATTCGGAGCATTTTGAGACCAAACTTGCTCATTTTTGAGCTCAAAATGCTGCAAATTCCACGTGGATTGTATAATTTCCATTTTCAGCAAGAAATTCGAAGCATTTTGAGACCAAACTTGCTCATGTTTGAGCTCAAAATGCTCCAAATTCCACGTGGATTGCTAAATTTTCATTTTCAGCAAGAAATTCGAAGCATTTTGAGACCAAACTTGCTCATGTTTGAGCTCAAAAATGCTCCAAATTCCACGTGGATTGCGAAATTTTCATTTTCAGCAAGAAATTCGAAGCATTTTGAGACCAAACTTGCTCATTTTGAGCTCAAAATGCTCCAAATTCCACGTGGATTGCGAAATTTTCATTTTCAGCAAGAAAATCGGAGCATTTTGAGACCAATCTTGCTCATGTTTGAACTCAAAATGCTCCAAATTCCACGTGGATTGTATAATTTTCATTTTCAACAAGAAATTCGGAGCATTTTGAGACCAAACTTGCTCATTTTCGAGCTCAAATTGCTCCAAATTCCACGTGGATTGCTAAATTTCCATTTTCAACAAGAAATTCGAAGCATTTTGAGACCAAACTTGCTCATTTTGTGCTCAAAATGCTCCAAATTCCACGTGGATTGCTACATTTTCATTTTCAGCAAGAAATTCGGATCATTTTGAGACAAAACTTGCTCATTTTGAGCTCAAAGTGCTCCAAATTCCACGTGGATTTCAGATTTATGATATTCAGCAAGAAATTCAGAGCAATTTGAGACCAAACTTGCTCATTTTTTGACCTCAAAATGCTCCAAATTCCACGTGGATTGTATAATTTCCATTTTCAGCAAGAAAATCGGAGAATTTTGAGCATAAACATGAGATTTTTCAATTTTTTTAGCTCAAAAAATGAGCTTAAGCTATAATTTCAACCAGAAATTCAGATTTTTCAGTTGCCAAAGGTCACGAATCTCAAAAATTTCAGAATTCATGTTAAAAACATCGAAAAATCCAAGTTTTAAGTCAGAATTTGAAGAAAACTGGGAATTTTCACTAAAAAAATATGTATTTTTCCAAAAAATTTCAGATTTCCCCCCAAAAACCCTCACATCCATCAACATTCCAACAACTCTCGAATCATACTCCTCCACTCCACATTCGGCCAACAATTCTTGAATTGCCGCAACTTCGCTGCTTCCCGTCGGCTCTGAAATTCCAGCATCTTTCTCATTTTTATCCTCATCGGTCATCTGAAAATCTCATGAATTTTTCTCTCTGAAAATAAGTTTGGTAAGGTAAAAAGTGCAATTCAGAACACAATTTGAAATAAAATGTTCCAAAAAAAATGTTTTTCGAGCTTTAAAAAATTTATAATGCCATTCAGGGGAATAAAAATACCACACAAAAATCATCGTAATAAATTAAAGGAACATGGGGATTAAGTACACTTGTTTTTTGGATCGATTAAAATGAGCACATCTCACTTTTCAAATTGATGAGTTATAAAACAGGAAAAAATACGAGTTGATAGAGAGAGAAAGAAATCAATCGATAATTAATTATTGATTCATGATTGCTCGCACAAAATCGGCAATATTCACATTTCCGTGTGAATCATTGTGGCCGGCCAAAAGTTGATCAACATCTTCGTCTGATAATCGTTCTCCTGCAAATTTTATTAATTTCGGGGATGATTTAGCTCCTCAAAATTGTGATTTTTTAGGGGAAACTCTCAATTTATTATAGGAAAAATTTTGATTTTCTGACAAGGGAACTCTATAGTTGGACATCGACTAAATCGACATTTTCATGTTTTTTAAGCAAGTGAGTTGAAATATTGAGTTCTAATGTTATTCATATGATAGAATGGTCTAAGACGAACAGAATGATATAAATTTTGATGAATTTACCTTATCCATAAGTGATTTAGCGAGGTTTAGGGCCTAAATATCGACTAAACGACGCTAAATCACTTAAGGACAACGTAAATTCATCAAAATTTATATCATTCTGTTCGTCTTGGGCCATTCTATCATATGAATAACATTAAAACCCAATATTTCAGCTCGCTTGCTTAAAAAACATGAAAATGCCATATAGTCGATGTCCAGCTCAAGATTTTCAATAAAATATGTATATGTTTTCTAGTAGTTTTCGACCCACTGATCATAATTCCGCCGTCTAAAATTGCAAAACTCAACTTCTAATATGATTTATCATTTGAAAGTGTCAAAATTCAAAAAATCAGAACTTCAGGAGAATTTTCATGCAAATCTGATAGCATTTTTGTTGGGTTTCTGAACAACCCTATGCTATCAGATTTCAATGAAAATCAGCTCCTGAAATCCTGATTTTTCGAATTTTAACACTTTCAAATGATAACTCATATTAGAAGTTGAGCTCTGCAATTTTAGACGACGGAATCGTGATCAGCGCGTCGAAAACTACTAGAAAACATAAATTTTATTGAAAATCTAGAGTGGTGTCAATTTTTCCACGTTTTTCTTACCAAGTGTTGTCAAAAGATGTCTCAACTCGGCCACATTTATCATACCATTTCCTTCCTTGTCAAAATGCGACAATCCTTCGACAAACTCTTCGACTGAGTGTTTTTCACTGCAAAAAAATCATGTTCAGATTCGAAATTTGAGCATTTTTTTACCGAGTCTTTCCGACAGACTGAAAAATTGGCACAAAATCCTCAAACGAAAGTCTCGACTCCTTCTCAAAAGAAGCGACACATTTTTGAATTTCCGCCTCGGTTGGATTCTGACCCAAAGCTCGGAGAACATCGCCGACTTGTTGAACCGAAATCCGCTCATCGCCTTTGCTGTCGAAATAGGCGAACACTTCGCGACAATCGGCCAAATCGTCAATTCCTCCGCTCACCATTCTAGAAGGAAATTGGATTTGATTTTTGAGATTGGGAAGGGAACTTGAGATAATTAAGAAACTCCACGTCGAAAAAACAAAATATAAAGAATTTTATTTTGATTAGAGACATCGTGAAATTGAGAGAGCACAGACGGTTTTTCCAGCAAAAAAACTTGTCTGGACTCTCTCAATTCTCCGTTGTCTCTGATCAATATAATATTCTGTATATCTATTTTGTAGATCTGAAAATTACAGCCCAACAATCCATTTTTCTCAAAAGCTTCAGTGAGCCGAGTTACGTGAAAAGCTCTTATTTTCAAATTAAATAATTGTGTCGAAAAATCGTTTAATTTTCTCAGCTTATTCTATAGTTGGACATCGACTAAATGACATTTGCATGTTTTTAAAGCAAATGAGTTGAAATATTGGGTTCTAATGTTATTCATATGATAGAATGGTCTAAGACGAACAGAATGATATAAATTTTGATGATTTTACGTTATCCATAAGGGATTTACTGACGTTTAGTCGATATTTAGTCGATAAGCCGCTAAATCACTTATGGATAACGTAAAGTCATCAAAATTTATATGATTCTGTTCGTCTTAGACCATTCTATCATATGAATAACATTAGAACCCAATATTTCAACTCATTTGCTTAAAAAACATGCAAATGTCATTTAGTCGATGTCCAACCCTCACATTTTATTTCGCATAACTCAAATCACAGAAGCTTTTGAGAAAAATAAATCCCTGGGCTGTAATTTTTAGATCTATATTTATTTCCCAATTTCAAAAAAATCAACAGGAAAAATGAAATGATAAAAAACATGGGAAGAATGATTGATAAAGCAAAAATTGACAAATGTGTGTGTGTGAAAAACAAACAACACAAAAATCTCTGGATCAATAACTAACACCGTTTTTCTCGAAAACATGTGAACAACAACAACATAAAAGGAAAGAAGAAGAAGAAAATATATGCGATTGTGTTTGAATAGTCAATCGAACGACGAGAGAGTACGGGTAATTGAGAGAGTTTCGCGCGCGCGATGAATGAATGAATAACCGTCGGGGGAAACAAGATGGTCTACATAAATACTATGTGACTAAAATTAGAAGATGAATATTTAGGAGAACACCTGATTTAATCAATTATTGGATGGGGAAAGATGGAATTTTTGATGAGGGAAAATGTTTGAGGTGGTTCTGGAGGTCTTTCATGGTTTTTCACACTGAGAAAGTTCTCGCTTTCAATTTTACTTCAACAAGAGCCAAAAGCGATATTTCACAGTGTGAAAAACTTTACAAACTGGTACATTTTTCATCGAAAATCTCAGGAGAAGCTTCACACATTTCTTTCGCGAGAAAAATGAGTAAAAACAAGTTTACAAGGAAAACCGATGTGATAGAGAGAAAATACATGTATTTCTCAACAATTTGATGTAAATTACAACCGCCAAAACGCCCCCAGAATTTCGAAATTTTCAAAACCGCTCCAAAAAACCGGCGAAAAAAAACAAAAATGACGAAGCGCGCTAAAATCGACGCACAAATGCAGACATTCGACGGCCGCACCACGCGAAAATGCACACTTTGATGATTCAAAAAATGGAATTTCGAGAATTTTCCAGACGGTTTTTCAGCGATTTCCGGATTTTTCATGGGTTTTCAGGGGTTTTTGATGGTTTTTTTGGATTTGGGAGGGTTTTTTGAGCTAGAATGGTGGTTTTCAGCAGAAAATATGGGGAGTTAGAGGAGTTTTTGATGAATTTCGAAATTTTTTTTTGATCTTGATTTTGACCGCTGGCGGGTTTCAAATCATTTTTCAATGTTTTTTCGATGATTTTCTCGCGTTTCCCTCTCAAAACCTGCAATTTTCAGCATGGATCAATACGTAATTCTCCTCAAGCAATTTGTCGGAGCCTGTCAGGCCAATCCGGATCTTCTTCACGACCCGAAACTCGCATTCTACAGAGATTATTTGGCTTCGTAAGTACTTAATTGTTTTCTAGATGCCAAAAACTCCTAAATTTTAGGCTTGGAGCAAATCTCCCCACCAAAACTGCTGCTCCAGAGCCAACACCAGAGCCACAAGCGGCTCCAGCAGAAGAAGCAGCTCCACAAGCCGAGCCAGAAGTCCCAAAACCGGCTGAAATTCCAGTGCCACAAATCGATAATGAGGGAGTCATCCCAGCTGAAACCAACGAGCCATTGTCAATGGGAGACGCGTCAAAAGAGCCGACTGATGAGGATTTCGAAAAGGCGTCGACTGAGAGAGATTTGGCGATGGAAGCATTCTCGAATGGCGATTTGGAAGGATCTTTGGCTCATTATACAGCTGCTATTGAGGCCAATCCGGGAAGCGCTATTTTATACGCAAAGAGAGCAAAGTGAGCGAATTTGATGGATTTTTATGCTTCTGATGGCCGAGAAATCCAATATTACCCTTCTGATAACCTAGAAATTCAAAATTATGCTTCTAATGGCCTAGAAATCCAAAATTAGGCTTCTGATTCCCTAGAAATCCAAAATTATGCTTCTAATGGCCTAGAAATCCAAAATTAGGCTTCTGAAAGCTTAGAAATCCAAAATTATGCTTCTGGAAGCCTAGAAATCCAAAATTACGCTTCTAATGGGCTAGAAATCTAAAATTAGGCTTCTGATGGCCTAGAAATCCAAAATTATGCTTCTGATGCTCTAGAAATCTAAAATTAGGCTTCTGAAAGCCTAGAAAGCCAAAATTACGCTTCTGATGGCCTAGAAATCCAAAATTATGCTTCTGATGGCCTAGAAACCCAAAATTATGCTTCTGATGGCCTAGAAATCCAAAATTACGCTTCTAATGGCCTGGAAATCCAAAATAATGCTTCTAATGGCCTAGAAATCCAAAATTAGGCTTCTAAAAGCCTAGAAAGCCAAAATTACGCTTCTAATGGCCGAGAAATCCAATATTACCCTTCTGATAACCTAGAAACCCAAAATTATGCTTCTAATGGCCTAGAAATCCAAAATTACGCTTCTAATGGGCTAGAAATCCAAAATTACGCTTCTAATGGCCTAGAAATCCAAAATTACGCTTCTGATGGCCTAGAAATCCAAAATTATGCTTCTGATGCCCTAGAAATCTAAAATTAGGCTTCCTATGGCCTAGAAATCCAAAAAACCTCAGAACATATCATTTTTGGTATCAGAAAAACTGTGCCAGGATTGCAGAAAGGGGCGGAGCCTAAACCCCGTCATGTTTAGTATCAAAATGCTCTAAATTGTATGTGTATTTCAAAAAATCTTCTCAAAATGCAGAATATTCATTTACTTCTCAATCATATTATGATTTCCTGGATGAGAAATCTTTTTGACCTTCTTCGGCGCCGTTTTCACTTTGTTCGTCGATTTGTTTGGAGTCGGCTTATCAATAGTGCTAACCGCCGCATACATTGATCTCGCGCAACTCTTGTCAGCCTTCAATTTGTCCTAAATTTGGTTAGATTCGGTTAGATTTTCTCAAGTTATCGTAACTCTACCTCAGCTTGAACTTCAGTCAAAAGCGGCTCCATATATCTGACAATATCTTGCATTGTTACACGTCTCTTCGGATCGCTCACATAAACCTTCTCATAGATAAAACTTCGAAACTTCTCTGGACACGAATCGGGAATTTGCAAATGTTTTCCATTTACGACATTCCTCTTGGCTTCTGTATTTGTAATATTATCCCACGGTTCTTCGCCTTCCGAGAATATCTCATAACACATCACACCATAACTATAAACATCAGTTTTGAATGTGAAAAAGAGTGTTGTAATTGTTTCGGCGGCGAGCCATTTGATGGGAAGTTTTTGCGAAGTTGCCAATTTATAGGCATTTCCAATTCGAGACAACCCAAAATCCGAAAGCTTCACAATTTTGTCCACAGAATACAGGCAATTTCTTGCGGCGATATCACGATGAATACAATTATTCGCGTGCAAATATTCCAAACCAAGAGCTGCTCCAAGGCACATATTCATCAAATCGTAGGTGGAAACCTTCTTGTTCTTCTGGAGGAATGAGTTCAAACCACCGCCTTTGACCAATTCGAGAAGAATGTATAGAGGTTGCTCATCGACTGCGACACCGTAGAAGCGCACCACGTTTTTGTGTTTGAATGCGCGCATGAGGCGAGCTTCTTTCATCATTTCGCGGATTTTTACCTTGTTCAAGTCACCGCCTTTCATCTGGAAATTGGAAGTTTGGGAATTTTTGGTACAGTAATTAATTTTTTCCTCAATGTTTTTGAGCCTTGGGCCTTAGGCTAAGCCTAAGCCTTATCTTAGCAAAATCGCTTAGGCTTAGCCTAAGCCTTATCTTAGCAAACCGCTTAGGCTTAGCCTACGCCTTATCTTAGCAAAGCCGCTTAGGCTTAGCCTAAGCCTTATCTTAGCAAAATCGCTTAGGCTTAGCTTAAGTCTTATCTTAGCAAAGCCGCTTATGCTTAGCCTAAGCCTTATCTTAGCAAAGTCGTTTAGGCTTAGGCTAAGCCTTATCTTAGCAAAGTCGCTTGAGCTTAGCCTAAGCCTTATCTTAGCAAAGCCGCTTAGGCTTAGGCTAAGCCTTATCTTAGCAAAGCCGCTTAGGCTTAGCCTAAGCCTTATCTTAGCAAAGTCGCTTGAGCTTAGCCTAAGCCTTATCTTAGCAAAGCCGCTTAGGCTTAGGCTAAGCCTTATCTTAGCAAAGTCGCTTGAGCTTAGCCTAAGCCTTATCTTAGCAAAGCCGCTTAGGCTTAGGCTAAGCCTTATCTTAGCAAAGCCGCTTAGGCTTAGCCTAAGCCTTATCTTAGCAAAGTCGCTTGAGCTTAGCCTAAGCCTTATCTTAGCAAAGCCGCTTAGGCTCAAAAATCCAAATTTAAAGCCCTTAAATTTAAGGCCAAAATTCAGGCTTATTCTGCCAAAAAAGTGCTACACCGAAAATTAATGAAGAAAAATTTGGTGTACCAAAAATTGAGCAATTTTTGGTATACCACTTTTATAAATACGGTCCCTGAATAAGCCTGAAGTTTAAGGTTTTAAATTTGAGCCTAAAAAACCCACAGCGAACTCACCAGCTTCACAGCCACCTCCACCTCTTTGCCCTTTCTCTTGAGAATTCCAGTCCGAACCTCACCATACGCTCCTTCGCCCAACAAACTACCCAACTTGATATCCGTATGTTTATACTCCCAACTGTGCAATTTAACCGGATTCTTGAGAAAACGGTTCTTTTTCGCCGACGTACCATTCAAATGATAATATGCGATCAATTTCGAGATGTTTTCGAACGACAGCGAGATCTCGATACCAAATTTACCGTTATAGCGACGAACCACCATGTTGCGCATCTTACCCTCGAATGTGATTTCCGATTTTTGATCTTGATTCATGTTCACATCGGTCATTGTTGATTGTACAGGACCACCGGGTTCTTGCGAGCATTCGAAAACCGATAAGATCAGATCTCTCTTGATCTCCTTCGCATCATTTTTGGCGGTTGTTACCTCGCTGACACGAATCAAATAATCGCCATCATTTCGAAGTAAGATTCGCAAATCCTCCCTCGGCAAAAATCCATGATAATATGGAAGTTGTTGAAGACTCTTGAACAATGTCTCATCCTCCACAATATCCCTCGCCTCTGGCAATTTCTCCTCCTTCTTTGTTGGCTCATTCTCCTCTTTTTTTGGCTCGTCTGTCGGTGTTTCAGCTTTCTTCTGATCTTCAGCTGCTGCTGGATCTTCTGCTTCCTTCTTTTTCATTTCAACGCAATCATCACTCATTTTTTCCGAATAGCGACAAGTGTTTTGAAATAGTATAGGCGGTATATCAATAAATAGAGTTTTGACAACTGACGGTGCTCTTTTATAGGGGGTTTTGGGGGGGAAACGTGGATTTTTTATCTGATTTTAAAAGTTCACGTTTGAAATGTTGAAAATTTTTGGTTTTTTAATGTTGGAAGCATTTCGAAATATTTCTAAAAATTGAAAATAAATTTTTTTTTTGAATTTTAAATATTGCCACGTGAATTTTTTAGCTCGAAAATTCTCAAATTCAAATTTCGTTTGCTTCTAAAACCACTGGAATTTCGAATTTTTAAATATTTGAAACAGACCTGTGCCGGAAATTTTCCGGAAAATGATCTTTAGTAGTAATATATTTTCAAAATTGCATGAATTTTGGGAAATTTTCTCAGTTTATGATAGAAAAGATGAAATTTTTGCAATTTTTCAATTTTTACTATTTTTTTAACGTAAAACGTCTCAAACAGTTACTAAAATACCTGTGAATAGAAGAATTGTAGATAAAAATAAGTTTTAATGCCAACTTAAGGCTGAAAATCGAAATTTCAGACTTTGAAAAATCAGAAAAAGCTCAAAAGTTATAGGGAAAGGCCCGATTGAAATGTGTTTTTCAAAAAAATCCCAAATTTTTCCAGTGTGCTCCTCAAATTGAAGCGGCCAATCGGCGCAATTGCCGATTGCGATCGTGCCATTTCGATCAATCCCGACTCGGCGCAAGGCTACAAATTCCGCGGACGTGCCAATCGTCTTCTCGGAAAATGGGTCGAAGCGAAAACCGATTTGGCGACCGCTTGCAAATTGGATTATGATGATACGGCCAATGAGTGGTTGAAGGAAGTCGAGCCGAATGTGAGTTTTTTTTGGGGGGGAAAATTGGGGAACTTTGAGAGCTTTGAAACTCGAGGCTCAATTTCAGAGGATTCTCTGAAATTTTCTAAATATTTGAAGATTTTTAAACCTAAAATTACGTTATCTCAGAAAAATTTGCTTCAAAAAAAATCCAGGAAAAAATAGGTTTCAAAATATTTTCATAATTTTTTTCTTGATCTTTGAAAATTGATAAGGCGATCTTATTTAATTACTGTACATTTATGCGTGTAAATCAGCACTGAACATTGTTTCTTCTTGAAACTTGCTAAATTTTCAACAGAACTTTTTCCCTGAAAATATTTGCCTGAAAAAATGATTTTGCGAGCTTCCTAAATAAATTTGCTAAATCCCAAATCCCGAACAAATAATAATACAAAAATGCTATTTTATTCCATAGCACAAAAGGCACATTTTTGGATTTACTCGTAAAATGAGCAAAACCACTAGAGAAAAATTAGAAAACTAAAAAACCGGTAACGAGATCATCAAAAAATCGTCAGTCGTCTCACTTTTTGACCTTTCGGCACAATTTCTTGCCATTTGGTCCGGTTGGCGCTTTTTCTTTTGGTGGAAGGCCCATTTGTTCGCGACATGACAGATAATAAATATGACATTTTTCTCCGCTACCGGCTGCAAAAATTTGAGATTTATTCTTGTTGGACCATGAAAAATCGGAGAAAAAGAGCTAACCTCTCCTTGCCATATTTCCTGAATGATCTTGTTTGGCTGCTTTTGGCTCAATTGTTGAATAGCACGATTTACGATATTTGCAAATGTACTTCTCGTGATTGCTCAAATGAATTTCACGAGCAATCTCGGTTTCCATATCATTTACGTCGTTTTGGCGCTCAACTTCTTTGAGAACTTTCTGCAAGAATTTGAATTTTGCGAAGTTTAGGGTTTGAAATCATGGAAAATCCCCGAATTCGGGGTTGGAAAATTTTTTCTGGAAGATCTTGAAATTTTGATATAAATCGAAATTTTACGAAAAGTTTCCTGGTTTTTTGAGTTTGAGCACAAAATTCTGATCTAGAAGTTTTTTTTTCGAATTTTTTTTTCAAAAATTCATCAAGCTCTTTTGGAACCAAGGTCTAAAGTTTCCGCTGAAAATCGCTGAAAACGAAGAATTTCATGATTTTCAGCACAAAATTCTGATCTATTTGAACTCCCTACTGGAATTTTTAGGTTTTTTGGATTTTCGTCTTTTTTTGAGCTTCAAAATTTTCTGGGGCCGAATTTTTTTGTAAAAAAATTTTGGTACGCCAAATTTTGATACCACTTTTCGGCCCCTGAATTCGAATTTTCCGGTCAATTTTTGCATAAACCTCACTATTCCGAGATTTTGAATAGTTTCAAAAATAAAATTCGAAGTTTTCTGCTCTAGAAACGTTGCTATCTGGAATTATAAGGTTTTTTTCTCGGGTTTCCGTCTTTTTTTTTTGCTAAGCCTAATTTAAGCTTGAAAATATTCCGAAGCCGAATTTATGAAAAAAATTTTGGTACGCTAAATTTTTCTACTATTTTTATGAATTCGACCCCTGAATTCGAATTTTTCAGTCAATTTTTGCCTAAACCTCACTAAATTAGGCTTGAAAATATTCTGGGACCGAATTCAAACAATTTTTTGGTACGGCAAATTTTCATACCACCTTTCGGCCCCTGAATTCGAATTTTTCGCTCATTTTGTGCTGATTTTTCCCAGTTCCAAATTGGAACTTCCAATTTTCCCGCACCAACCTTCACAACTTTAACATCATCGTCACTATCATCCTCATCCTTTTCATTACTATCCCCATCTCCATCATTATCTCCATCTTCTTCGCTACTCTCAGCCTTCTTCTCCTTCTTATGTTGATGTTGCTTATTCTCATTCTTCAACTCTTTCCCAACTGATTGTTTTTTCAACTGAGGTTTTCTCTCCTCCTCTTTTTCAACAATCTTCGCCTCTTCCTCGTCTTTCTCATGAATTCCCATCTCTTCGTAACATGATTTGCGATATTTGCACTTTGCCAACTTGTGATCTTTGACTGATGATGGAAGGGATTCGACAATGTGCGGTTCTTCACTCCATTGTTGGATTGTTGGAAGGATTCCGCTGTCATAGCAGGATTTGCGATATTTGCATTCGAGCTTTTTGTCGGATTTTGAGATCTCTTCATCGTCATCATCTTCGTCCTGATGTTTTGAAGCGCTGATTTTTGAAGGTGTCACTGGTTTAGGGTTCCATTCCTGAATCTCCGGCAAAACTCCTGAATCGTAACATGATTTACGATACTTGCACTCGAGTTTTTTATCTGATTTTTTGACAATCTCATCATCTTCTTCACTATCTTCGATTTTCTTGACATGTTTCTTCGATTTAGATTCCACCGACTTCAAATTCCTCTTCTTCTCCTCTCTCTCCACAATCTCCTCACTAACTGGAATATCGAATTTCCGATAGCAAGACGGTTTGTATTTACAGGCCAATTTTCTATGAGAAATGTGTGTGTCTGTATCTTGACTATCTGGAATGCCATCACCGTCCGAATCACGGCCATAATTGTGATGTTGTTGTGAGGCTGGAGCGGTCCAGAAGTGCAAAATGTGATTCAAGGAGAAATCATAGGGCTCGATGAGCCCGAGTTTTCCCGACTCGTAGCAGGATTTGCGATATTTGCAACCGAGCCGGTGATCTCTTTTTGGATCGTGTACGTTGTCAAATTCATTGTCATCGTCTTCTAGTTCCTTGATTTGAGCCTTGGTTTCCTTGACATGAACTTTTTTAGCCACAGGTTCGGGTTTCTTTGATTTTGGAACTTTCTTAACTGGTTCATCGCCCTCTTCGGAATCCTCGATCTTCTTTACTGGAGTCTTCGAAGTTGATTTCTTGACCACTGGCTTCTCATCCTCCTCTTCAGAATCCTCGATCTTCTTTGCTGGAGTTTGAGCTTTCTTTGATTTTCCCATTGGAACTGGGACCGGCACTATCTTAACTGGTTCATCGTCCTCTTCTGAATCCTCGATCTTTTTCACTGGAGTCTTTGAAGTTGATTTCTTGACCTCTGGCTTCTCATCCTCCTCTTCTGAATCCTCGATCTTTTTCACTGGAGACTTCTTGGCAGCTTCTGGTTTTTTCACCTCGATCTTCTTTGCTGGCTCTTCTTCCGATTCTTCCTTCTTGGATTTTGATTTGGTTTGAACTGGTACCGGAACTGGAACTGGCACAACCTTTGGTCCTTTTTTTCCCGCTGATTTTTTGGCTGGTTTCATTTCTTCCTCAGATTCTTCAGAATCTTCTTTCACTGGAGCCTTCTTTGATGGTTTTTTGGCTTCAACTTTCTTGGTTTCTACCTTTTTCACCTCATCATCATCCTGATCTTGTTCAGCAAGAGCTTCGGCGATTTTTTGAGCAACAACAGCATCGGCAACATCTTCAGCAGTTTCAACAACTCGAGATTTGTTCTTTTTCACAACTTCTTTCTTCTTGATCTCTCTCTTGATAACTTTCGGCGGTGGAGCCTGTTTCCTGATCTCTCGCTGTGTCTCAATCTTCTTCAATTCCTCTTTGGTTTTTTCAACCGGCTCATAAACCGCTCTCATTCCATATCTCGCCATCATTGCTTTTCTCTTATTCAAACTTCGATGTCGACGAGTTCGTCGTTTTCTCACTTCTTTCTCAATGATTCGTCGTTTTCTGATTGATTCGACGGCGTCATTTGATGAATCTGCAACAGCGATCTCTTGATAACACGATTTTCGATATTTGCACAATGTTTTCAAGTCGCTGAGAGTTGATGGAACTACTGAGCTGACTTCTTTGTGTGCGACTTTTTCAATTTGCTCCTCGTCTTGACTCAAATCGGGCAGAATTCCGGTCTCGTAGCATGATTTGCGATATTTGCAGCGTTCTTGAAGAGTCAATTTCCGGGTTTCTACTTGATCTGCCACGTGGAGAATATCACCGATGCTATCGATTTCAATTTCAGGATCGATTTCTGGAAGTTGTCCGGTTTCATAGCATGATTTACGATATTTGCAGTAGAACTTCTTTTCAAGATCGTCCATTTCTTCGAATGGTTTTTTGTTTTCATCATTATCATCTTGATCTTCAGATGCTGATGTTGAAAAGAAAAATGGAATAGTTTCATCAATCTCCGGAAGTTCTCCAGTCTCATAACATGATTTGCGATATTTACAATCGAGTTTCGCCTGAAGTTTATCCTCAATCTCCTGAAGTTTCTTCTCAACGATCTCGGAATTTGTGACCGGACGATTTCGAACTTCTTCCTCTCTTTCTTCAACTTGATGAATCGCCTTATTCGCAATATCCTTCAATGTTCTCTTCTTTCCATGAGGAACTTGAACTTTTGCAGAAATAAAGCTTCGCTCTCTTTCTTGCTGCTTATCAGTTAGTGGAATATTGTGCTCTTTATAACAAGAGGTACGATATTTGCACACGAATTTTCTCTCGACTAGACTGATATCATCGTCTTCAGAATCTGGAATTCCATCTTGATCAGCATCTTCTTCTTTTGATAATTTATGATGTTGTTGTGAAGCGGGGGCTCGCCAGAAATGGAAAATATGATCTAGAGAGAAATCGTAAGGCTCAATGAGCCCAAGTTTTCCAGTCTCGTAGCAGGATTTGCGATATTTGCAGCCAAGTCGATGATCTCTTTTTGGATCGTGTGCATTGTCAAATTCATTGTCCTCTTCTTGATGTTTTTTCCGTTTTTCAACTTCTTTCATTTTTTTCTCGACGATCTCTTGAATTTCTTCCTCCAAATCATCTTCATCGTCGTCATCTTCATTTGAATCGCGCTGAAAATTGAGAAAAAATTATTCGCTGTTTTGGCAAATTTTGATTCGGACCCGATTTTGAGGGCTTTCTGAATCGGACCAGGGTGACCTTTTTTATATAGGAATCGGACCAGGTCCGATTTTTTGAGAAAAATTCTGAATCGGACCCGAAAAATCGGACCACTTTTTCAAAAAAGTCAATTTTTTGGTGCAAAAATCAGGAAATTTTGAAAAAGTGGTCCGATTCAGAATTTTTCTCAAAAAATCGGACCTGGTTCGATTCCTATTGAAAAAATGTCACCCTGGTCCGATTCAGAAACCCCTCAAAGTCGGGTCCGATTCCTATGGTCCGATTCAAAAACTGCCGCTGTTTTGGCCCCAAAAATACAGTAATTCTTGAATTTTCGTACGTACCTTGACAACTTTTTTGATCTTCTTCTCGTTTTTAGCGGCACTTGCGAAGAAAAATGAATTTTTGAGTTCCAAATTTTCATCCGCGACGAATTTTTGGCAAGTAAAAAGGTTGTAGTCTTGATGGAATTCAACTTCACAGGGAAGATTTGAAGATTTATCTGAAATTCAAGAATTTTTTGGTTTCTGAATTCCAGAAGATGTTTTTGTTTTTCATACCAAAATCTAGAACTTCTAGAGTTCGCTGAGTTTGGATAACTTGCTCTAAATCTTGTTGATTTGTCAAAACAATTGTTGAATAGTTTTGATCAGCAAATTTCAAGTTGTTGATTGTTCCAAATCCATTTTCATTGAAGATTTCTGCATTTTTCGAACTGAGAATCCATGTATCTTCTGAAGAGAGAAAAAATTGAACTTTGACATTGGTAAATAGGAAAAAGATATGAGAAACATGTGTGTGTGTATCACAGCACACTCATAATAAAGAAGAAGATACTAACAAATAATTTTGTGTTGACAAATCATTTTTTGTTGGTTTTTTCTTTATCTCATGAAAAAAAGTAGCAAAAATTACACTAGTAACAAAAAAAAGTAACGAGGAAAAACAACAAACCTGATGTAATAAGATGTTGTGGAATTTTGTCGAGGAATTTGACGAGATGGGCGATTTTTGACGATGGAGAACCGCTTAGGATTAGGGTTTTGGGATGGGCTGAAATTGGTTTTTTTTTCGAAATTCATGATTTCTGGTAGAATTTGTTGACCCGCTGATCTCAATCCAGTTGTCAAAATTTAAAAATCTCTGTTCTGAGCAGAGTTATGACGTGGCAAAGTTTGTGTACGTTTTGGAATTTTGCCACGTCATAACTCATGCTCAGAGTTGAGCTAAGTTAGGATTTTGTACTAAATTCTGGGACTTAGCTTAATTCTGAGCATAGTTATGACGTGGCAATCTTATGAGTTGAGCTAATTCTATGTTCCAAAATTTAGTCAAAAATTCTTCAACTCTGAAAATAAGTTATGACGTGGCAATGTTCCAAAATTCAAAAAATTGTATCTTTCCAACGCTTCAACTTTGCCACGTCATAACATAATCAGCAGTTCGAAATCTACCAGAAAATCAATATTTCAAGTTCAAAAATTTCCCGCTTACCTTGCACATTATTATTATGCGCTAATAGTAGAAAAAGCACAAAACATGGAAACATTGGGAATTTATCGCATGGAGTTGGAGTTGAGATAAATTGAGTAGAATATATAATAAATGAAAGATGATAAAAGCAAAGATTGTGGTGGATAAAATGAATGTAAATAAACCGTCGGATTGGTCTCACTTACAATTTGAAAAATTGTGAGATGAGACTTTTTTTTTTCGTTTCGAAAAAATCGATTCGAAAATCGAATTTTTGAAGTTGGTTCGCCCGAATTCCTCTTCGAAATGGAACAGTTTGAAGAAAGAATTGGAAAAAGAAGAAGTGATTTTATTCGAGAAAAGAGTCTATCTTCCGCCTTCTTCTTCTTCTTCTTATCCGTTTTTCGTTTCGTTTTTGCTTTTGAAGCTGAAGAAAGAAAAGCAGCTGTTGTTAGGAGTTTTTGAAGAAGAAGAAGAAGAAGAAGACGCAGTTTTTTTGTATTGTTTGTGTCCTGAAAGATGGAGGGAAAATTTGAGGATGAAGCTTGATTTTTTGAAGAGTTTTGGAGAATCTTTAGAAGAAAATCTGGAATTTCTAGCTAGATTTGTGAACTCAAAAATAGTAAAGTTCTGAGGCCAAGGATAAAGCTCAAAATTGAAATTTTGGAGAAATTCTGTTCAGAAAATGACAATTTTCAATTAGAATTTGTTGATAGATCCTAAAAATCTGAAATTCCTCGAAGTCCTAAATTTTTTTTTTTTTGAAAATTCAGAAGTTTTGAACTTTGACACATCGGAAAATAGTAAAGTTCATCATTTTTTTCTTTTCGTATATTTTTTGTCAGTTGCTAGTTTTTGTTCTCAAAAAAAAATGAAGATGAAAAAATTGAATTTTTCAAAGTTTTCAAGCCGGAAAACTCATTCATTCATTCAAAAATAAAAAAAATGAAAAAAAAACTGATTTTTTATCGCCCACACATGTTTTTTATATCGAAAAACGAAAAAAATGGTTGAAGTAGTTTATTTGTTTAAAAATCCCAGGAAATATTGAAGGAATTTTTTTTCGTCCCGAAAAAGAGAACAGTGTTCCCACGGGCGGGTTTTGACAGTTTTGATGTTTGTGCACAGAGAATAATTTTTTGGTATTTGGAAATTCGATTTTCTCATGATTTATATCAAAATTCCTCTCTACAGTAGCCAAACTGCAAAACCAGAATCTACAGTAACCCTAGTCATGTTTGGTCTCAAAAATTGGAAATTTTCTGGTGTCAAAAACCACGTGGCTCTAGATTTTTCAAACGAGGCCACGTGGATTGTTTTTCAAAAACACTAAAAAAAAATCTCAGTTTTGCAGGCTCACAAAATGCAAGAATACAATCGAGCTGTCGAACGTCGTAACCAAGAAATCGAGATTGCCGAAAGAAGAGAACGTGTCAGAAAAGCACAAGAAGCCAACAGAAAAGCGGCGGAAGAAGCAGCAAAACAACAAGCGCAATTTGGAGCAGGACCAGAAGATGATTTCGATTTTTCGACTTTTGGAGGTGGCGGCGCGGCTGGAGGCATGCCAAAAGGAGCCGCTGATCTTTTCAGTGATCCCGAAATTGCGGCCGCTTTGCAAGATCCGGAGATTTTGCCAGCGTTGATGGATATTATGAGCAATCCGGCGAATATGATGAAATATTTGAATAATCCGAAAGTTGCCAAATTGATTGCCAAACTTCAAAAGAGCGGTGGATGTGAGTTTTTTTGAAATCAAATTTTTGAAATCATAAACTTTTTGCAGTCCCTGGATTCGGAGGACCGGGCGGAGCCCCAACTGGAGGATGTCCAGGAGGCGGATGCACCGATTCTGGATGCTCTGACAACTTTTCTGCTCCACCACCACCATCCAAAGCACCAGAACCAGATCTTGATTAATTTTCGTTCGATTTTCCCTTTTTTCCTATATTTATTGCATCATCATACCGTTTTTTTCCGTGTTTTTTCTCCGAGTGAATTGAATAAAGTGTTTTTTAATCAAAAACAAATAGTTTTATTTCGTAAACTACACATTTTCTAATGAGATTCAGATGAGAAGTCCTTCGATTCCGAAATAGTGAGCGGCGAGTGCGGCTGAAAATGAAATTTATGGAAAACATTTTCACTTTTTTTGGAAACCGGTTTTTATCAGCGGAATTTATGATTTTTACCATAAAATTTTATATTAAAAATCGATAAAACTCACCGGCTTCGACGAGAAGTCCAAAGGTGACGAAAGTTCCAAAATCCTTGTTTACCTTGTCTTTGGCCATTTTGTCGAGTTCTGGTCCGCCGGCTCCTGGGAACAACATTTTCTCTGAAAATTTTCAGCATTGATTTAACTGTTGAAATCTCTCTAAACCCAGGTTTAGGCAAAAAACGGGAGAAAAAATGGGAAAAAATAAAAGTAAAAAAATTGTCTGCATTTGTTCGTCGCCGTGTTTGCACATTTGTCTACCGTATACCCACGTGAATCATTTTTTTTCTTTTTTTTTTCACGTGAGCTCAGGTTTTTCTTTGATTCCCCTCATTTCTTGATCATTCAAAAACAGGAAATCGAGGGGATGAAGAAATGATGTGTTTTCGCAGCTTGTTTGGTCTGTAATTCATTTTCAAAATCGAATTTCAGATGGGAAACGGGCCGGGGAAACACTCAAAATCATCTACTTCTGCAGAATTGTGCTCGAGTTCTTCAACCAGCGGAACAACTTCTGCAGCTCCTTCGGCTTCACAAAATGTCGTGTTGGATCCGGTGATTGATGGGTATTTTCAACGGTTGGCAGATTCGCCGACAAGTATTTCAATGGCGAGATTTGTGGTGAGTTTTTTCTCGCTGGTCATAATCCCGGTGTCAAAAATGGCTTATTTGAACAAAAAATCATGTAAATTTTGGTTCTAGGTCGAATTTTCATAACTTTTGAGCTCTAATAGTTGAAAGATCGTGAAATTTTAGCCCAGGACATGGAATCTGACGTTTTTAACCTTCAGGACCCTTAAAATTATGTAAATTTTGGTCCTAGACCGAATTTTCATGATTTTTAGGCTCTAGTAGTTGAAAGATCGTGAAATTTCAGCCGAGGACATGAAATCTGACGTTTTTAACCTTCAAGACCTTTAAAATTATGTGAATTTTGGTCCTAGACCGAAATTTCATGATTTTTAGGCTCAAAAAGTTGAAAGATCGTGAAATTTTAGCCGAGGACATGAAATCTGATGTTTTTAACCTTCCGGACCATGAAAATCATGTAAATTTTGGTCCTAGACCGAATTTTCATGATTTTTAGGCTCTAGTAGTTGAAAGATCGTGAAATTTCAGCCGAGGACATGAAATCTGACGTTTTTAACCTTCAGGACCTTTAAAATTATGTAAATTTTGGTTCTAGGTCGAATTTTCATGATTTTTAAGCTCCAAAAGTTGAAAGATCGTGAAAATTCGCTCCAGGACCAGAATTTTGAAAATTTTTAGGTTCTAAAGATGAGATTCATCAAAATTCGATCTAGAACTAAAATATGCATGATTTCAAAAGTCCGGAAGGTTAAAAACATCAGATTTCATGTTCTGGGCTAAAATTTCATGATTTTTCAACTTTTGGAGCTTAAAAGTCATGAAAATTCGGTCTAGGGCCAACATTTTCATGATTTTTGAGCTCTAAAGGTTGAAAAATCATGAATTTTCACCCAAAACACCAAATTTCACGAGAAAAAATCCCCATTTTTCAGGAGCTCTTCGAGCAAGATCTCGCCGAATCCCTTTGGCGTTATTTCTCCACGTCACCAAGTCCACCAAAAGAAACCGACACAATATCTCGCCAAGAATTCAACGATAAATTCGCCCCACTTTCCGGATCATCCACAGATATCTATGTGAAAATCCTGCAACCCATTCATCATTTCATCAAAGTTTGCTCGGAATCTGCGGGAGCTCAAGCAATTCGAGGTGATGAACTTTTTATCACAAATTTGGTGGAGCAAATGACGGCGGCGGAGAAAAGTGGAGAGGAGGAAATTCTGAAAAATATTCTGGAGTGGCGGAGATCGAAATGTGAAAAGTTTTGTCAATCTGTGCAAAATCGCGTCATTTCCAAAGCTACCGGGAATCCTAGTGTATGTCTTAATTAATTAATTACATAATCAAGGTTTTTTGTTCAGAATCTCCAAGATTACTCCTCGGATATTCTGACACCACTTCAAATGTATTATTTGCAATCTTGTCTTCCGGCGACATATTTTCCCAATCGAGATAAAGTGAGTTTTGGGTGAAATTTCATGATTTTTGAAGTTTTAGAGCTGAAAAATCATATAAATTCGGCCCAGGACCAAAATTTTGATGATTTTTAAGGTCCTGAAGATCAGATTTATGAAATTTTGAGTCCTGGGCTGAAATTTCATGACTTTTGAAGTTTTAGAGCTGAAAAATCATGAGATTTCGGTCTGGAACCAGAATTTTGATGATTTTCAAGCTCCTGAAGATAAGATACGTGAAATTTTGATTCCTGGGCTGGAAAATCATGAAAATTCGGCCCTGGACCAAAATTTTAATAATTTCCAAGATCCTGAGCATGAGATATGTGAAATTTTAAGTCTTGGGCTGAAATTTCAGGATTTTTGAAGTTCTAGAGCTGAAAAATCATGAAAGTCCCACCCTGGACGAAAATTTTGATGATTTTTGAGATCCTGATGAGAAAATACGTGAAATTTTGATTCCTGGGCTGAAAAATCAAGAAAATTCGTCCCAGGACCAACATTTCGAAGATTTTCAAGGTTCTGGAGATAAGATACGTCAAATTTTGAGTCCTGGGCTGAAATTTCATGGTTTTTGAAGTTCTAGAACTGAAAAATCAGGAAAATTCAGTCTGGAACCAGCATTTTGATGATTTTGAAGGTCCTGAAGATAAGATTCATGAAATTTTTAGTCCTAGATGGAATTTCATGATTTTTCAACTTTTCGAGCTCAAAGATCAGGAAAATTCGATCTGAGACCAAAAATTGGATACTTTTAAAGGTTTTAAAGGGTAAAAATGAATCATTGTGAAATTCTAACCAAAATTATATCCTATTTTAATGAAACGTATTTTTTAAGGAAAAGATTACTGTAATTTTTCGCGCCAAAAATTCCCCCGATTTTTGCAGCTCGAAGAAAAACACTGGACCCCATTATACACAAGTCTCCAACACGGTATCAGCACAAATCGTTTCGAGACCCTAGTGTTTGATTATCGTGGACCTACCGTATCCATATTTCGCCTAAAAGATGGTCGAATTGTTGTAATTGCATTGGATCAAGAATGGCGACATTCTTCAGTGAGATTTGGAGGTCCGAACACGTCATTTTTCGAAATTTCGCCGAAAATTCGAAGAATTGATGTGATATCGAATGCGGTTTATTGTAATTTGAAATTGAGAACTGCTGCTTATGGATTGTCGTTTAAAGAAGAATTGAAAATTGATAAGGATTTTACGGAGGTTTATGATATTGAGGTAAATTTGAAAATTTGAATTTTTGAATTTCGCGGTTGAAAATAATCTTGAATTTTATAAATTCAAAATATTCAGCTCGATAATCAATCCACGTGGCATTTTTGCGCTGAAAATTCAGTTTTCAAATTGATTTTTCTCGCGCTTGAATATTCCACGTGGATTTTTGAAGCTTTGATGAAAAAAAAAATTTTTGGAAAAAAATCCTGAAATTAAATTTTAATGAATACTTTTGAAAATTTGAATTTTCAATTTTCGCGCCGAAAAAAATTGAAATTTTAACGCTGAAATTCGAGGTTTTTTGAAGTTTTGGCTGGAAATTTTGAATTTCAAATATATTTTTTGAAAAAAGTTAAGGTTATAGGATCAAAATTTCAAATTTCTGTCAATTTTCGAACCCAGAAAAATTTCGAAATTTTTAAAATTCAAATATTTAGCCACAAAAAATCTCAGGATTACTGTATTTTTCGGCGCCAAAATCAACAGTTTTTGAAAAATTCAAAATTCCGGTTTCCAGAATTTTTACTGTTTCAAAATATCTACAAGAGAAAAATTGAAACATTGCTTCTTCGAGTCTCAAAAAATCCACGTGGGCCAAAAATTCTGAAAATTGCAAGAATTCCTCAAAATTCCCCATAATTTTCGCAGGTTTGGGGATGTTCCGGAGCCTCAACTCTTCAAGAACAACAAAAACTCAAAAATTGGCAAAAACAACAAGCGGAAAAACACAAAAAAGTCCCATTGCCCGGAAATTGGGACGATAATCCCGACAAAACGCTGCTCGAAATGGCCGGTTTCCAATTTTCGAACGAGCGAAAAAATATGGAAATGGAAGCGCGACAAAAAGAAGTTATCTCAAATCGAGAAACAACTACAACTACAACAAGTCAAAAATAATTTAATTAAGAGCTTCTCGATCTAATTTTATTAATATTATTCAATCATAGTTCTGAAGATAATTTTTACTAGTCGATTTATTTTTTATACATTTTTGTCATAATTCAAATTTTCACTTATTGTATAGCATGTAATTATTATAAATATTGTCTGAAAGAAGATCCGTAAAGTCTATAAAATTTTTGTGAGACAATTTTATTTGTTCTTGTTTCATTTTTATGAGAGCTCTTATATTTTTGGCCATTTTTTGCTCTGTCTCGAAGTCGCAAGGTAATTTTGAGTAAAAACGAAGTTTAACAAAAATTCTGCGATTTTTCCAGAGACCCTGTTCGCTGCGCAACGAGAAATCCTCAAACATCTCTTCGAAAACCAGACTTTGGACAAAAAATCGGCGCCAGTCTTCAGATTTGAAACTGACAATGCGACAAAAATCGACGTTTGGTCCTATGAAGTTCGGATTTATCGAATGAAGGTCATTGAGTTGGATGAACCGCGTGAACTTTTGTCGGTTTCACTTCATACAATTCAGAGTTGGATGGATTTGAGGTTGCGTTGGAATTGGAGCGATTTCGGGGCGATTTATTCGATGTATTTGAGACAGGATGAAATATGGACACCGCCTTTTGAAATATTTTCAGCGTGAGTATAGTTGGCACGTATTTTTTTGGCCCTCGGTTCGCGGTTGGTATACTGTATTGACAAACACAGTGACGCACAAATGCACAAAAATGTCTCGCGTCTCCCCATTTTGCGCGCTATTTTTCGAAATTGGTCTCGCCACGAACCCCGAAACGCTAAAACGGCACCCGTTCGCTCCACCAAAGCTTATTTCCATGCAGTTTTTCACGGCGATAAAGATGGTGTAGATACTCAGATTTTGATTTGATGCAGCCGTTCTTGAGATTTTGGTGGAAAATTAAAGCATGTCCCTTTAAACAGCGAACCGAGATTCTTTGTTCAGCAACAAAATACGTGTTGGACATCGCATTTTCATGTTTTTCAAGTAAATGAGTTGAAATATTGGATTTTAATTTTATTCATATGATTGAATGGTCTAAGACGAACAGAATCATATAAAGTTTGATGAATTTACGTTATCCATAAGTGATTTAGCGACTTATTGTCGAATTTGAAAAATGTGGCAGCCGTAAAAAATGAAAAACAGTGCAGAGCTGAATGAATGACAAAGTCATTACTTCGTCAGTCGCGTGCGGCTGTGCGTCGCGGCCGAAAAACAAAGGAAAAAATAAATAATTGATTGTTTTTCGACCGCGACGCACAGCCGCACGCGACTGACGAAGTAATGACTTTGTCATCCATTCAGCTCTGCACTGTTTTTCATTTTTTACGGCTGCCACATTTTTCGAATTCGACAATATCGACTAAATATCGACTAAACATCGCTAAATCACTTATGGATAAGGTAAATTCATCAAAATTCATATCATTCTGTTCGTCTTAGACCATTCTATCATATGAATAACATTATAACCCAATATTACAACTCACTTGCTTAAAAACATAAAAATGTCATTTAGTCGATGTCCAATAAGCGTCAAATATCGTTTTGCAGTTATGAAGTTCGCGATCACCGTGATCCAAATTTCCGTGCAATTCAAGTATTCTACACGGGCACAATGAGCACACACATCCCATTATCAGTGACCACAAATTGCAAATTGAATATGGACAATTTCCCATTCGACACTCAAATCTGCGACATACGTGGCGGTCTCGCCATCATGCATCCAGCATTTGTCAAAACCCACTTTCTAATTTCCAACAAGACCGGAAGTTCTTTATGTGAAATGGGGAATTCAGTTTGGGACGTGATCAAAATCGAGACAGGTCAAGTTGAATTGCCTGGCGGATATTCGGGTTATGCGCCAACAAGACTTGCGATTCTTCGACTAACTTTGAAACGAAATCCACTTTTCTATATGTATATGATTGTTTTGCCAACATTTTTCATCAATATGATTGCAATTTTCGGAGTTTTTATCAAGAAATCAAGTGCGATGGAGAGATTAACAATTGTGTTAACGCATATAATGACAATGACTTTTATTCTAGGACTTATCGCTGAAAAAATCCCGAAAACTGAAGAGATTCCACTTTTGGGAAGATATATTATTGTTGGATTGTGTGAGATGATGATCGCATCAATTTCCCAAAGTTTTATGAATAATTGGTTTATGTTGGCGGTTTTGCAACTTGTCAATGTTCATAGTTTTCTACATATGATTTTGAAATATTTGGAGTTTGAGCAAAATCATGGAGATAGAGGAACTTGTTATAGTTTTACTAATAATGATACGATTTTTTACATGGATTAAATGAAAATATTAATTTGTTTTTTTTTGAATATAAGATATAATGAAATTGAAAAGTCGACGTTTTTGAAGCGAAACCCCAATTTTTAGGAATATTCATTACTTTTCCCCATGTTTTGTAATGGTTTTCTAAAATTAGGAAAACATATATGAGAAAACAGTACATAACTATGTTTTTCCAAAAATATGTAATGAAATTTATGAATTAGAAGAATATTTGCAGTTCATTATACATTTCTACTGATTCTGTCTTTTGTAGCGAATTGAGCCGAGGCGAAAATTGTTACATTCTATTTTTTACAAAAAACGTGAAAATTTTTATTGAAAAAATTAAAAATGTAATGAATTTAGCTCGAGTCGAAATCGTTACAATCAATATTTCCTTGTTATAGTTGAGTTTATTAACGGCAGAGTACATAGAGATCGATTTGAGAATCTTCATAAAAGCCGTTTTGGGGACGAATTGTAAATCAAATTTTATTGCCGATCGATCCTTGGCTGTTTTTTATAAACGGAAGTTGATGAATTTCCTCGAACAACTGCGAAAACTGAAATTAAACCGTGTTAATCTTTGTTTCATAAAATGGAACTCACCGATGTGCATTTTTGTAACCGTACTCCAAAAGATTACCGGAGTGAAATCTTTACAGAACACCATTCCCTTTTTCGGTTGGAATAAAAAATTTGAAATGAGAAATTCCACATTTCACGATTAAATAATTTTTGTTTGTTTTTATTATTTATTTTTACGTGTCTCGTTGGAATTTTGTCATTTCTCGTTTCAGAAAATGTGCCAAATGGATCGGTTTTTGGTGAGTTTTACCAAACCACATCTTGAAGGTGAATTCATCTTGTTTACTTCAGAAATATGGGATAAGATGATGTGATAACATGTGGAATCATGTTCAGTGCTGCAATCAACAAATATTCAACAAGTTTCCAAATCGAAAATGATGGATTTCGATAACATTGATTGAATAATTCTCTTCCCAATGAAAATATTCTATGTTCTTTTCTTTGTGTAAAATTGTTGCGATTAATTCACGATTGCGCTTTTTTCAATTTTTGTGAAAAAACCAGACAAAAAACAAGAAAAAACAAAAAAATAAAAATGTAACGATTTTCGCCTCGGACAAAATTGTTACATTTTATATTTTGGGAAATAATGAAACAAAAATAAATAAAATTGTAACGAATTTCGCTCTGGATGAAATCGTTACAACCTGAAACGGCAATTTTTAATTTGATGCAGATTTGTAGAGAAAATAATAACATCAGGCATATTTTTGCGAAAAATGTTTGCATTTATTCGGAGAAATTTTGCGTTAAAATTATCTTGAACATTGTGAATATTGTTGCAAATTTCTTTCGTTTTCGTAAAATCAATTCAAAAACGTCGACTTTTCAATTTTGCTATATCTTATATTAACAATGGTTCATTCGAATCTGAAATGAACTTTTGATTGTTTGATTTCAGACAGAAAATTTTTTATAGTAAACAAGAAATGAGAAATCTCCAAGGAAAACGACTCTGATGATAATAAAATCTCATCATTCCAAAAATAAAAAATAATTTTTGAGAGTTCTGAACTTGTAAATTCTAAAAAAAAACTATGAATTGGCCAGAATTTGTATCCCATCTTCAACTTGACTTCGCAATTTTATCGCTCATCCTAAATTCAATTTTAATAATCCTAATCGCTCAAAAATCCCCCAGCGAACTTGGTTCATATCGACATTTGATGAGTTATATCGCAATTTTTGAAATGCTCTTCTCAATTATCGATTATTTTCTTTCCCCGGTTATTTTATCGCATGATTCGATGTTTCTAATTATAATTCCAATTAAATATTCGGAATATTTGACAAAATCGCAATATTTGATGATTGAATGTGTTTGGTGTGGTTGTATTGGTAGTTTTATGGCGTTTTTTGCGATTCAATTCATTTATCGATTTTGTGTTGTGAATAAGTGAGCGGAAGCTTGAAAATTTGCGATTTTTTGAGCCCAAACACGGCTAGGGTTACTGTAGATTTAGCGTTTGCAGTTTGGTTACTGTAGGGAAATTTTGACAAGAGTTCTGATAATAAACTCTATTGCAGTTCGGGTTACTGTAGGGTTGTTTTGATATCAAATATAAGATTCCAGGTAGTTTTAGCAGCTTGCAGTTTGGATTACTGTACTTTCCAAAAAATGGTTACTGTAGGGTAATTTTTATATCAATTATGAGATTTTTGAATTTTCAGCATCTTGCAGTTTGGATTACTGTAGGTGCTGAATTTTTTTGCAGTTCGGGTTACTGTGGATTTCAGGAAATGATTTTGATATAAATTATTATGTTCTGGACCCAAATAGAAACTATCTGAAATTAATTTTAGATCTTGAAAATTCCTTAAAAAAATTCCAGCTCAAAAAAAGTGCTCAAATCATTCGACGACCATCGTCTATTTTTCTGGATGCTAATCCCAATTCTAACTGGAATTGCATGGGGAAACAATGTCTATTTTTTGATGGGTCCAACTACTGAAAAGGATTCAGCAATCCATGATTTACTTTTGGAAAAACTCGATTTACATTTGAAAAATGTGACATATATCGGGCCAAGATGTTATGAAACATCTGACGAGAATTATGTTATAAAAGTCTATCACAAGGCGATTATATCAATTATAATCTCACTTATCATAAGTTGCACTTCTCTAATTTTTGTCATTATTTTCGCGCTCAAAACATTTCTCAAATTCCGTGAAACATTTCAAATGATTTCCAAGCAGGAAAATAATCTACAACTTCAAACATTCTACGCTTTAGTTAGCCAAACTATTATTCCAATGATTCTAATGCATTTTCCCTGTACAATTGTCCTAATTTCCACAGTTTCAGATTTCAATTTGGGACATATTAGTAGTATCGCATCTGTAACATTTGCTTTGTTTCCAGCATTAGATCCTCTTCCAGTTATGCTAATTATTAAGAATTATCGGGGGACTTTGTTGAATTTTGTGGCGACTCCGGTTGCGATTTTTGTCAGGAGGAAGATTTTGATTTGATTTTTTATTGTTGTTGATAAAAAATGTTTTTTTTTCAGGACAAGTCATGAAAATTTCAAAATTCTCTAGAAAATGAGCCAAAACTGGAAATTTTCCAATTCAATTTCTGAAGTTCCATTTTATTTTGAATAAAAAATTCAAATTTTCCTGGACCACAAAAAATAAAAAACGTGACCCAATGTGTTCTGACGTGTTCCACATCCTTTTCAGTCTCATTTTCGAAAAATTTCAACAATGAAAATAATGTCTAGTTTTGTGCTGAAAATAGTAATAACTTGTATTCCAATCGTTTGTAATATCATTGCTGGAATTCTCATATTTTCATTTATCGATGCACAAAATGAAATTGATCAGAATGCTATGAATAAAACAATGGAGAAGGCTGTGAGAATTGAATCGAAACTCAATAAAACGAGCGAAAGTTTGAAATTGCAACCTGATCTGTTTGGAACGAATAATGAAACGGTTTTGGAATATTTAGTATCTCAGTTTAGTCGCGAATTTGAGACTGAGTATATCGATAAGGTAATCTTTTTTATCGAATAACACTTTGTTTGAATAACATTTTCACAGGCAATCAATCGGAATTATTCAAAACCATTTTCTATTTTGCAAACAAATAATAATTGTTCTGCAGGATATTCCGATGATGATATTGCGAAATTAAAAATAAAATTAGTTGATTTGATAAGAATATTAAAAAATCACTCATTATACATGAAGGAGAATTTTGAAACAATAAAAAATGCATGGTTTTCGTTCCCTAATCTCAAGGAAAAAGAAGAAATGATTATAAAAAAATTTATAGAACTCTATTGGCAAAGGATACAGGTGTTTTTTGTGTTTCTTAAAACAAAATTCATTTCACGTAAATTTTCAGAGATTGAACTCTGATTTGATCATTCCAGTCCACGAAGTTGTGAAAAAAACAGTTCGGACAATTCCCAAAAATCAAATAGAAGTTTCGGAGAGAATTTCTTCTTGGAGATTATCGATTGCTGTTTCATATGGTATTATAATCACAAGTTCTATTGTTTTCTGCGTTTCCGAAATCTGCTATTTGGTTTTTGTTGTGAAACAAGGAAGTGACAAGCACTCACTTCTGTTTTTGAATCTAATAACATTATCCACCCTATGCTCTCTGATTATGTTAATTGTACTGATCATTTTTGGAATCTTGCATGCTGTCGAAGTTTTTCCGGAGAATTCGATTTCAATGCCAAATTTGTCGAAAGTCAGTTTCAAAAATTTCTTTGGACAACATTTCAGGTTAGTTTCACTTTACAAGAGAAGTGCATGGATGAAACATATCGAAATATACCAAATCGAACATGCTGATCACGATTCCGAACTCAAAAATTGCCACAAGCACTTTTCTTGAACTCCAAAGTTAGAATTGAGTTCTGGTTGTTGCTCATTTTCACCTTGTTTTTGGGTGGAAAATCAATTTTTTAACTTGAATTATAGCTGGTTTTTCATATTTTTTGAAAAACTAAAAAGCTGATAGGTTTTCGAATTTGGTGAACAACATTATTCATGTTATTGATTTTTCTCCCAGGAACTTCACCTTGTATATATTTCGATATGTTTCATTAAAAGTTCAACTTACAGGAATGTTCATACGAAATGCATTTCGCCCAAAAAATTTTTTGAAACCTTCCAAATTTCCATCAATCACACGAGATACGTTGAAAATGCTTTTAAACTCGAAGATGATATGACAAAACATATCAAAATTTTGATCAAAATATCTCGACATCCAAATTTGGAAGAACTCTTGAATAACAAAGAAGAATATCTAGCAACCGAAAGCAAAATAGCTCGTGCTGATGCTTGTATACCATCCATGGAAGATAAATATGAAACATATGACTTATATGACGTTTTTTTTAGAGCAGAACATATTATAGACTGGGACAAAATTATGGATCTGAAACTAGAAACTGTTATCCGTTTCGCTTTAAGAAATTACTCTCAAAAAATGTTAAAATACATCATCCGTATGAATGATATCTTGCAAACTGCTGATTTTGATTGTGAATATTTTCAAGTATCCGAATACGAGAATCTCAACTCTCAAATTTTTGCTCGTTTTTCGAATTACAAAACATTTATTGGACCATTTGCATCAGTTCTTATGATAATTTGCTGTATTTCGATTTTTGTGGCTCATTTTATGAATTCGAAAATACTTGGGAATGAGGAGAAACAACGACAAATTGAGATTGTAGAAAAGAAAAAGGTGAGTCACTCTGAAAATCTCTAATTTTCTCTAAAAACCGCAGAAGTACACAACGTAATTGCGGAGTGTCGTTGTTTTTTTTTCAGGTGGAACAAGCGAAGAAGAACGACGAGGAGCGCACTTGAATCGTTACTTGGAATGATTTGAATGAAGAATTGAAGAATCTTATTATTTTTATTTTAAAAACACCGGACGCCTTTTAAGCTGCAAAATCAGCGCTTCTGTTTTGTTGGCTGACTTCACTTGAGATTCACAGACTATTGAAACTTTCAGTTCAGTCAGATCCTCTTTCTCCTGTCTCTCAAAGTCCCGTGACGCATTAAAACACAATTCCTAAGTTTTTTTTCTGGAGCAAACTACTGTTACACTTTGCTCCTTAGCTCCACCCCCAAAAATATATCTGTTCCGAAAATCTCATTGTGCCACAAATTCCACATGGCTGCTGCGGCTCACTCCAAGTTCAACGAATTCCGATCAAAGTTTCGGGGAACTTGTGAGTTTTTGATAATTTTTTTAATCTGGGAAAAAATCTGGGGAAGTCTAGAAGTGATTCTACAGTAATCAAAAATTTTCTGGAAGACGAAAAAATTAGATTCAGGTTACTGTAGGAGCTAGAAACTTGTAGATCACAACATGTGCCGCTAATAAATCCGAAGGTTACTGTATTTTTCGGCCCTAAAATCTACAGTAACCCTAGTTGCGGAAGAATCCACGTAGTGAATACAGTAATCCAAACTGCAAGAAAATCCAATACCTACAGTAATCCCCAAACTTTGAGCCCTAATGTCGCAGTATCCAAACTGCAAAATTTGAACCTACAGTAACCCCCGAACTGCAAGAAAATCCAAAACCTACAGTATCCAAACTGCAAAACCACTTAAAATTCTATTTTCTCATGATTTATATTAAAATTAACCTACAGTAATCCCCGAACTGCAAGAAAATACACGTGGATTTTTGGAGGCCCAAATCTACAGTAACCCTAGGCATGTTTGGGGTCAAAAAATCGGGAATCCAAAATTCTTTATGCATGCTAGAGATCTAGGAACTTTCGAGAAATATCTACAGTAACCCCCGCACTGCAAGAACATCCTGTAAATACAGTAATCCAAACTCTGAGCATGTGTAGAAATATCAAAATAAACCTACAGTTGAATCTACAGTACCCCAAACTGCAAAAAAATTCACGTGGATTTTTGGAAGCCCAAAATCTACAATCCAAAATTCTTCATGAAATTACTGAGATCTAGGAACTTTCAAAAATATCTACAGTAACCCCCCGCACTGCAAGAAACTACAGTACCTTTCAGTCTTCGACTTCATCTACTACCTCTTGGTCCTCACATTTCCCACAATTCTCATCGCCGTCGGATTTTTGAAACACGACGCGTGCCCCAGTGAATCACGAATTCCACTCTGGCTAATCGCCTATGGCCTCGTGATTCTAGCCAACAGATTATTCGCTGAAATTGTGTCGAAAAAGTCAAAAGCGGTGGAATTGAAATATCCGGAAATTGAAAATGAGACAAAATTGGAGAAGGCGCAAAGGGAACTTTGGATTGATTCCGAGGGACCACATTATGCCAAAGCGGTTTTTAGTTTGACGAGAAGTTTTAAGATTTTATTGTGAGTTGCGGAGAACTTCTAGATGTTCTAGATGTTTTTTAGAACTTATAGATCCTTTCAGAATCATCATTGGAATCTACTTGCTCTTCGCAAGTTACGATAACTCTCAATATTGCCACTGGGCTCCTTATTCATTGTTCATTTTCGCCGTCATTTCCTCGATTCTCCTTCTTTTTGGTTTGATTTTGGTTGGATTTTGTCTTTTGTGCATTTTTAGAAAAGAGAATGATAGTCATGCTTGAGATTTTTTGAAAATTTGAAAATTTCAATTTCAAAAAAAAATTGATAAATTCTTGGTAATTCTTGTCGAAAAAATAAAGTTTTTTTTTAAATTTGGTTGTTGAAAAATTCAAATTTGGCGGCGAAATTGAAGGTTTCTCATTAGAGCGCATTTGCATTTTTTTGAAAATTTCTGATTTAACCTTATCGGACACTCCAAAAAAATAAAATTTGAATTTTTTGAACTTCCGCTAGAGATTGTGAATATTTAGCAATAGAGCGCATTTCCATTTTTTTTTAAATTGCTGCGAAAAAATTTGAATTTTCTAAAATTCGCGCTGAAAATTTAAATATTTCTCAATGCACCTTTGCATTTTTCATTGTAAAAAAACGAATTTGAATTTTTTTTTCGTTGTTAAAAAATAAAATTTGAATTTTCCAAAATTCGCGCTGAAAATTGTGAATATTTAGCAATGGAGCACCTTTGCATTTTTCATTGTAAAAAATCGAATTTGAATTTTTTTGAACTCGAGCCAAGAATGTGAATAGAGCGCACTTGCGACAAAAACAGCGAAAAAATCAAAATTCAAATTTCGCGCTTGTTTTCACTGCCGCCAATTATCAATGGAGCATATTTGTCCATTTTTTCAGTGATTTCCGATTCTCCAAACAAATTTCCGTGCAGAAACCACACTTTCTTTTTTTTTCGTCGATTTTCAATGACAAAGTACAACTGTTCCCTTTTGAAATAAAAGAAGATACGAAAATGAACAAAAAAAACTTCCACCAGGAAGTATTCCTCTAAAACCCCGTGACACATCACTTTTTTTTATTATCTTTGAGATTTTGTTTAACAGACATACATTTAGACAGCACTTGCTTCAACTCCTTCCTCATTTCTCTTCTCATTATCATCTCCCAATTTCACAAGTCCAGGGATCGCCATAATTCCGCAACATAGACAAACTCCACAGCATGCGCAGAACAAGCCAAAACACAATGAGACTAGGGTGAATAGAATTGTGAGATAATATGGAGCCCAATGACATTGCTCAGATGAGTCGAAGGATTTGATGACCCAGTAGACACCGAGGAAAAACCTGGAAATGAAATTGTGTTGGGGAAATCAAGTGCGCTCTATTGAGAATTATTAGCGCTAGGTTACAAAATTCGGCTCCCTAGAAACTACAGTATTTTAAAGGGACATACACTCGCTTCGCTCGAGCCGCTTGCGCGGAATTTTGATCTACACTCGCGCCACAGGCGCTCGGGATACTGTACATCACTCAAAGGAGCATACAGTATCCCGAGCGCCTCTGGCGCGAGTTTATGTTCCTTTAAAATACTGTAGGAACCGCGAACCGCTTGCGCGGAATTTTGATCTACACTTGCGCCACAGGTGCTCGGGATACTGTATGCTCCTTTGAGTGATGTACAGTATCCCGAGCGCCTATGGCGCGAGTGTAGATCAAAATTCCGCGCAAGCGGCTCGAGCGAAGCGAGTGTATGTCCCTTTAAAGTACTGTAGGCTCTTAATATACTACGGTAATTTAAAGGAACATATGTTTGTCGCTTTAAAATACCGTAGGCTCCCTAGAAACTACGGTACTTTAAAGGAACATACTTTAAAGGAACATACTTTTTAAAAGAACATACTCGCTTCGCTCGAGCCGCTTGCGCGGAATTTTGATCTACACTCGGCGCTCGGGATACTGTATGCTCCTTTGAGTGATCTACAGTATCCTGAGCGCCTCTGGCGCAAGTGTAGATCAAAATTCCGCGGTTCGAGCGAAGCGAGTGTATGTCCCTTTGAAATACTGTTGGCTCTTAATATACTACGGTATTTTAAAGGAACATATGTTTCTCCCTTTAAAATACTGTAGGCTTCCTAGAAACTACGGTATTTTAAAGGAACATACTTTAAAGGAACATACTTTTTAAAAGAACATACTCGCTTCGCTCGAGCCGCTTGCGCGGAATTTTGATCTACACTCGCGCCATAGGCGCTCGGGATACTGTATGCTCCTTTGAGTGATCTACAGTATCCCGAGCGCCTATGGCGCGAGTGTAGATCAAAATTCCGCGCAAGCGGTTCGAGCAAAGCGAGTGTATGTCCCTTTAAAGTACTGTAGGCTCCTAATATACTACGGTAATTTAAAGGGACATATTTTCGCACTTTTTGAATTTGAAAATTCCCGAATATCTCTCAATAGAGCGCACTTGCTTTTTATACCCTTTCCCCCTAAAAAAAACTTACCAAACAATCTGAAAAGCTCTGCAAGCCAGATACACAAAGGTCAACAAAAACGGATAATTTTTCTTGCGCAATTTTTCGCGTTCCTCTATCTCGATGTCGGTTTCATTTTCGGTTGCCGGGTATTTTTCATCGACCGATTTTCGCTGGAAAAATTATAGAGCTATGACGTGGCTAACAGTTCCAATTTAATTTCATTTCAAAAACCTCACCTGCTTAGTCACAATAGTGCTCGAAACTCTTTCAATAATCAATGCAAATCCAGCAACAATCAACCAAGTTGGAATCATCGGTTCAGCCGGACATCCATCTTTTTTCCAAAATCCGATTGCGATTAGCAAAATCGGAATAGTCAATGTGAATAGATAGTTGACACCGTCGAACACTGCAATTTTAGGGTTTTTAAGGTTTAGGGCAACTTAAGGTAAGTTTTGATAACTTTAGGGTTAAATTAAAGTCATTTAAGATTAATTAAAGTGGTTTAAGGTTAGGTTTAGGGTGTTTAGGGTGGTTTAAGGTTCCTTAAGGGTATTTTCACCTAATTTCCCTCACCTGGACTGTTCAGCGCTGATTTCACAGCCGCCAATTTCTCCTTTCTACTCGCACCTTCAGGCATTTTCGGCTAGACAGAATGAAAATCAACAAATTTTACTTCCAAAATCGGAACAAATGACCTTGTTGTTGGGCGGTTTTAAAGGAAAAACGGCGAAGAAAAAAGTGAACAGATATTTTTCAGAGATCAAACTAAAAACACATTAAAAATGATTGAAAACGTGCGGCAACGAATCGATTTTTTGTTGTTTTTTCGGGGGGAAAAATTAAAAAAAACAAAAGAAATTAAAAAATGTTTGAACAGAAATTCTTACTGTATTTGAAGGCGCACACATTTTTGATTCGGGGTCTTGCAGCGATTTGCGTTTGAACAGTTTATTTCCTTTTTTCAGGGGAAAAACCTACCTTTTTCTCAAATTTTCTAGGCCAAGCAATTTTAAAGTTCTTTTTTTCTAGTCAAAGATAGAACGAGTTGGAAAAGCCGTGGTTACACATTTTTCACAATTAAATCTGCCACGAAAAATTTATTTAAAAAAAAAATAATAAAAATTAATATTTACAGAAAATCCTAATACAAAAAAAACAGAATTAAAACTCATAATTGAAAATCCTAATTTAATTTGAGTTATAAAAAAATGAATACTGAAATTAATTTAATAAAAACTAATGTTTACAGAAAATCCTAATACAAAAAAACAGAACTAAATCTCATAATTGAAAATCCTAGTTAAAAAAAATCAAAAAAAATATTTACAGAAGAATACAAAATTATAATTAAAAATCCTAGTAAAAAACATAAAAATCGAAAAGAAAAAAGAAAAAAGCTAGTTGTAGGGTTTGAAAGAATACAAAATCATTGTAAAAATCAAGAAAACGAAGTTCAAAGGAAGATAAATTCGTCGCATATCGCTCATGAAATCGATCGAATCACACAATTTGCGAGTTCTTTTCGTGGTGATTTCTTCGAATTCTCCGCAAGATTTGGAGAAATTTCCGAGGAACGCCTGAAAATTGAGAAAATGACATATTTTATTGCCAAAAAATCAAAAAAAAACTTACATTAACACTCGAGAAATTAGTTCTGATGTATTCTTCGAAATAATTGAACTCATTGGTGATCGCGATGTAAACGTGTTCATTCAGATTAATAATATCATGAATATTATATGCGATATGTTCCATTTGGTTGATTTTCGCACTCAACATTTTATCGACTCTTTTGAGTTCTGGATGATAATTGTATCCGCATTCCAAATAATTTCGAATTTCTTTCAAGAGACCAGCCATTTCAATATACATATTTGTTTCGATCAGTTGGCAATTTCTCATCTTGCTCAAATATTTTTCGAATATATGGACGGATTGTTGCACGATATTCATCAGCCATTCCAATCACTCGATACCAATCCAAATCGATTTCCAATTCGCCGAAAATTGATTTTCTATAATGATCGCATTTCAACATATTGGTTCTCAATTCCATCAAATCGCCATTGAAATTCGAATAATTTTGTTGTGGAACTTCGAAATCCAATTTGCAATCGAATGGTTTTGGATAATAATCGAGGATTCCAAGACAAACGAGAATATAAAGTGCCAAAGCCGAATAATAGGAGAGGAGTCTGATCAATGAGAAGAAACGATGCAATCTTGGAATATCTGATGTTAGTGAATGACCCATTGTCATAATGAAAACAATTATATAAACTGTTGCAAGAAGAGTTTGGGTTTCACGGCGATATTCAATTGCTTCTTCGATCTGAAAAATTGAACATTTTTTTCATTTGTCATCATTTTTTCAAAAAACTCACCTTCAATCGATTCAAATCCATAATCTTTTCATCCGATTTCCTCAAAAATCCGCTCATTTTCTCCATGACGAATGCACTTGATTTGAAATGTCTTCCAACATTATAATTCGTGATTCGGCCAAGCTTCAATCGATCTTTTTTAAGAATTGCCGCCCAAGTTGGTCTGATTTCATCAAATTTTGAATCAAGAAACTGCGGAAAATCCTCAGTAAATTGGATAGTCAACTGTCTGGCTCTTTCCACAATCGATAAATATTCCGATGCTCTTGTTTTGTCAGACTGTTGATAGCATTGGTTTTCAACTGCGTACATCAATTGTGGTAGATAATTGATCAAAACCGGGTAGTTTTGAAGGTCCTAAATATCAAAATATTATTGATTTACAATTTCAAACTCATTTTTTCTCACCTTTTCCATCAAATCAAGCTTGAAATGCCTAAATACGATGTCTGATGTATTTGTATAATGCCAAACCAGCTTGTTCTCCATTTCTTCGAAATAAAACTCTTTCTTTCTCATTTCCTCACCGTCCATCTTGATTTTCTCATCGAAACTTATCAATCTTTCCTTCACAACATCCTGGTTTTCTTCGAAATTCTCCTTGTCGATCAGCAATAGCAGCATCGCACAACCAATCCAAAAATTTTGAATGAAGAATCCAATCGAAATCATTTTTTCAGCTCAATAAATTGCAGACTGATTCGTTGGTTGAAATCGATCGAATATGAACTGCCCAAACCGCCCATCCACGTTTTGTTTGGCAAAAAATCGTGGAAACACGTGGAACGTGAAACACGTATTTAGGTCACGTTTTTATTCGATTATTTATTTTTTTAATTTCATCTTTTTATGCAGTGTGTTTTCACAACAAAAAGGGGTTTTTAATCTAGATTTCAAGAAAAACAAAAACCACAAATATTTCAAATTATCGGCTGTTTCCCGAGAATCAAAATATCTACTTACCTTTCCATGGTCAAAAATGAGAGGGGGACTAAGTTTACAATCTAGTCCCCGTATTTTCGCATCCTAGTCCTTTGTATTTTTAAAGCTTTTGCTTATCAAACTAGTTTGCAAACTCACTGTGAATTTTTATGGCCTTTGAAAGTTAAAACTAAAAACCTATATTTTTCTGAAAACCTTTTTTTCTTTCATGTCTATTAAACATATATGATCGATTGAAATTTGTTCTGACAATTTTGAATATTCAAAAATTCGGATAATTATTTTAAAAATCGAATAATTTCAAACGAAGCGTGACCTTTAATTAAACATTATTTTTCGATTCTAAAAAAGGTCGAAAATTCACTCATTATTCAAAATTCATTATGAAATGTATCATCCTCATTTTATTATTTTTACCAACCTGCTTTTCATTTGTTCAAAGTTGTATAAGGTGCCCAAACGATAAAGCCAGAGCAAAGAAACCGCCATGTCTGGATAATATGTATTTTTATGTATGTAGGGGCAGCAACCTTTGCTGTAGTAAGTTATTTGAAATATTTTTGTCGAAGGTATAAATTTATAATTTTTTACAGTTAACTGAATGACCCTTTTCTTCACTCTAATCTAAACTTGAATATTGTTTTCAGACGTTGATCATGTAGAATGTTTCGGAGGACACAAAGCTGTTCACAAAGTTGATGGTAAATGTGGAAGTGATCGAATTGCAACTAAAATGCAATTTTTTAACCAAGAAGTTTGTTGTCGTGAGTTATTTATTTAGTAAAACGTTGTTATCTTGTTTTTTAAATAAAATTTCAGCTCCATCTGGTGCAAAATGTTTTGGAGGATCAATAGATGCGACTGTACCACCCTGCAAGTCTGATCAGTATTCACGTCGAATTGAAATAAACAACAAATATTTATTGGATAAAGTTGCACTTTGTTGTCGTAAGTAGATATTTTGGGGTTTCAAAAGCAGGGAATAATTTGATTATTTTTGCAGCGATGCCTGAAACTAATTGTCCTGGAAATGTTCGTCCGACCAAACAACCATGTAAAGCAAATCAATATTTGAAACAATTTGGAGATCAAGATGATGATATATTTTGCTGTTGTAAGTTGTTTGAAATTCAGCGATTTTTAATGATCGTGATTTGTTTTTCAGCGCTTGATGCTGTTCAAAAGTGTCCGGATGGAAGTACTCCTCATTCACCGTCTAGAGGAAACGATTATGAACATATTGTAGATGGTCACAAATTTTGGTGTGGTCAGTTTCATTCTTCCATAAAAAAGTAAACTAAATACAAATAAATTCAAATTACAGAGCTTTCTGGTTTCAAATGTCCGCTCAACGATATTCCAACAAATGCACCGTGTTCAGCACACCTGAGCGAAATGAACATGCCTGCAGGAGAACAATTTCTTTTCAAATTCGAACAGGGACCAGAACTTTGTTGTAGTAAGTCTTATAAAAAATGCATCAGTCATTCAAAAAATATTGTTATTTTCTAGATGATGCAAAATGCGTGAATGAAAAACATCCAAAAGATCTTCCATGTGATGCAAATCAATATGAAAAAGAGTTTAGTGCTTCCCGAAAAGTTTGTTGTGAACTTGAAGAATTGAAATGTGTAGATGGAGAAAAACCAGAAAAACAGTCATGTACTCCAGAAAGATATTTGACTAATCTAGGAGTTGCGGAAAATGAACAAGTCTGTTGTAGTAAGTTTTTTGTCCATCTATTTTTGCTACAGAATTATGATTTTCATAAGCCAATCCGGCCTTTGGAAGAGTATGGCCTAGAAAACCAAACAATTTCTCTTGGTTTTCTCTTCCATCTGAATAAAATATTTCCTTACAGAACTCGATGGATTGAAATGTGTTGCTGGAGAATCGCCAACAAATGAGCCTTGTAATACTGATCAATATAGAACTCTTTTGGGACATGAACATCTTTGTTGCCGTAAGTTAAGAACAACCAAACAGCTGTATAGAACTCTTATTTTCAGCTCTGAATGATTTGAAATGTATGGATGGAGAGATACCACAAAAACAACCATGCACTTCTGAAACATATTTGACTAATTTAGGAGCAACTGATAATGAAGATGTTTGTTGTAGTAAGTTCTTTTCATTTTTTTTAATTTAGAGTGAAAATCTTGAAGAACTTGATGGATTGAAATGTGTTGCTGAAGATGTTCCAACAAATGAGCCATGCAAAGATGAACAATATAAAGATCATTTGGGATTTGCTGATGTTTGTTGTGATTTTAATCAACTCAAATGTGTTAATGATAAAGTACCGACAAGAAAACCATGTGAAGATAATCAATATGTTAGGAAATTCGGGGAGAATAATGAATTCTGTTGTGGTGAGTCTGGAAATTAAGGTTTCAACAAAAAAAACAATAATTACAGGCACGGAAAATATGAAATGCCCAGATGGAAAAGAACTTCGAACAAAACCAAAAAATAATGAAGAAATCGGGATGGAATTGATCAATGGACAAATGGTTTATTGTGGTTGGTTTGAGATGGCCGAGGCCGAGTTCCCGACATTTCTCGGCCATTTGTGTAGTTTTTGAATTGTAAATATAATAATTTCAGATGCATATTTCGAATGTCCAAATGGAATTCAATCATTTCCCGACTCTGAAACTTACTCAAATTGTGGAAAAAATGATAGTAATATCAAACTTCGTCTAAATTTTGATGAATTATTCAAAAGTGCCTATTTGTGTTGTGGTAAGAGATTGAAACTGAATTCAAATTTAAAAAAATAAATATTTATTTTCCAGAGGACCTTAAAAGTTGTCAAATCACACAATCTTCTTATAAATTTGTGACAAAAGAAGCAAATGAATATGGATTGACAAAATCGCTTTTGGCAAATCAGGAAGTTTCTGGATATATTCATCAATTTATTAAAAATGATGGAAAACAGCAATTTCTTTGTCGTAAGCCCTTTTTTTTCCTCTTGAAAAATCTCCCCGTTATTTTCAGCAATTCCTATCGGAAATATATGGCTGGAAATCTATAAACCTGCTGAAAATCAAGAAATCCCAAAAGAATATTTGCCAGTCGATTTTATTGATATGAATCAGGAGAAAAGTTTGAGACCGTGTCAGAAAAATGTTGATTGTAAAGGTCCGAATCAGTTTTGTGGGGATTATACAAGTTTTGCGGAGGAAGATGGGGCAACTTTGAAATTTTGCTATCAAAGTGAGTTGGATTTTGAATTTCAAGGGGGGAAATATATTTTATAGTAGTTTTTTAGTCACTTTTTGTAAAAAAACTGCTAGAAAAATTCATTTCCCATGAAAAAATCTCATTTTTTTCCAGATCCAATAATTCCTATCACAAAAATCTCAAAATCATTCCAATTCGCTGTCGATTCACAAGATTCTGGTCTAAAATTATGTGATTCAAATTCGGATTGTTTAAAAAATGATAGAATTTGTTGGAAAAATGATAAAAAATGGAATGGAAAAAGTGGAATTTGTATTGAAAGAAAACCAATCGCATTTATTTATTCAAGAATTTTTGAAGAAAATTCAAATTTTCAAAATCATTTTTATTTTGCGGTTGATTTGGAAAATGGATGGAAAAATCGAGATTTATTGAAGAAATGTGTGAAAAATGAGGAATGTGATATTGAAAATGGACAATTTTGTGATAATATTATTGGAATAAATGGAGAAAAAGATTTGGAGAATAAATATTGTTTTAAAGGTGAGATCTTATCCCTTTTTAAATAAAAAATCTAGAATTTTTTAGCTCTCAAATCACCTTCACCTCTTATAAAACCAACAATAATTCCCACAATTTCTGGTCTTGTTTCATGTCAAAATTGTCAATTACCATCATTTTGTCATCAACAAAAAGACATGAAATATCTCGATGAAAAATCAATTGAAATTTCGGGAATTTGTTGGAATAGTCAAATTTGTGCTGATCAACAAACTGCATTATTTTTGGAACCAAAATGTCAAAATAATGAAGATTGTCAGAAACAACAAACTGATTCGAATTGTCAAAATGGACATTGTTGTCCAGAAGGTATGAGGATTTTTTTTGGGAGTTTTGGGGATAATTTGGGGCCCGAAAGGCTTGGAAAACTCAAAATTCTGAAATTTAGATCCAGGAATCCTGAAATTAAACAAAATTCAAGATAATTCAGTAGTTCTGACTACAAGGATTACCGTAAAACTACAGTAATCCTTGCAGTTTGGATCTAAATTTGAGCATTTTTCGAAACTTTAGGCTTTCTAGGCTGGAAGCATTGGAAAATCCAAAATTTAATCTGAAAATTGAGCCCTGAGGGACCTAAAGTTCAATTTCAGCCCAGAAAGCCTATCATTCTGAATTTCCCTAATTTTCAGCCAAAATCTCATCAGACGGCTCATTTTCCCAACCCAAACATCATTATATCACTCAAAGATCGTGCAATTCAACATACAACTTCCAAATCAATTTTCCGAATAGTTTTTGCGACCCAAAATCTCAAAAATTAGTTGTAATTGGAAAATTCTCAAAACATGGCGAGAAATTGAAATTATCATCGAATTCCAAAAAATGTGAAAGAAATATTGATTGTGGAACTGGAGAAAATGAAGAAGTTTGTATTTTTGATGGAAAAATTGGAGAAGGGAAGTGTTATTTGAATCCAATGACTTATAAAAGTCCACCTGATGGTTTTCCTATTATGGCTGTAATTGTACCAATTATCATAATTATTATTATTTTGTCCTTAATTGCTGGTGGATATTTGTATTATAAGAAGAGAATCAACAAAGAGGAAAAGAATACTGAGAAATCGAAAAAACATGAGAAAAAATCGCAGAAAAAATCAATCTCGACTCCAAGTTCTGCCAATACTCCTGTTTGAAAAATTTATTTGAAAAAAATAAACTCGATTTCTGAATTAGTGTACTTTTAAGTTCAAAGAATACAGTCAAATCAATACTCAAATAATGAATTTTCGATCGAAAAATGAAGATTTGAAATTGAAAAAAAATCTGTAAAATTTTACTAATTTTCATGAATTTGTTAAAACAAGTCTATCCTAAAGTGTTCAAAAACAGAAAGATTCAATTTTCAACGTAAAAAAAAACAAAACGTGACCTAGTTTTTTGTTTTCATTATGCTTTTTTTTTTGAAAATTTGTAAATCTGGAAACGTTTCCGGTAGTACAAATCTTCATTTTTCGATCGAAAATTCATTATTTAAGTCTTGACTGTATTCTTTGAACTTAAAAATACACTAATTTAGAAATCGATTTTATTTTTTTCAAATACATTTTCAAACAGGAGTATTGACAGAACTTGGAGTCGAGATTGATTTTTTCTGCGATTTTTTCTCATTTTCATTCGATTTCTCAGTATTCTTATCTTCTTTGTTGATTTTCTTCTTATAATACAAATATCCACCACCAATTAAGAACAAAATAATTATAATTATGATAATTGGTACAATTACAACCATAATTGGAAAACCTACAGATGGACTTTTATAAGTCATTGGATTCAAATAACATTTTCCTTCTCCAATTTTTCCATCAAAAATACAAACTTCTGCTTCTTCTCCAGTTCCACAATCAATATTTCTTTCGCATTTTTTGGAATTCGATGATAATTTTAAGTTTTCCAGAGATAACTTGCTACAACAGACTAGTTCATTTTCCGGAACTCCTAAATGCGTGAGATATGCTTCTGGAACACATGGCTGCTTGTCTGGTTTTTCTTCATCTACACATTTCAATTCTTCAAGTTCACAACAAGCTTTTCGGGAAGCACCAAATTCTCGTTCATATTGATATGCATCACAGGGAAGATGTGTTGGATGTTGTTTATTCAGACATTTTACATCATCTAGAAAATAACAATATGTTATGGGGGACCCTCCGCAGAAATTGTTATTAAACGTGCTCCTTTGAATCTGATGAATTTATGGTTCCCGAGCTAAAATCTCTTGTCAAATAAAACAAACCTACTTCAAATGTCTGTGGTTCTTTACCATAGTAATAACTGTTTAGGTTAGAAAGCCCCATTCCGGGTCCCGAAAATCCCTATTTCCAAGATCCCAATGAAAAAAAAAGAAAATTATAATTAGTGTGCAACAGAGCGAATTTTCTGCACTTGGTAAGACGTCAGTGTGCACGATTGCGGTTTATTTTTTGCATTTTTTTATTGGGAAGATCAATATTTTGTAGATGCACAAAAAACTTACTACAACAGACTTGTTCATTTTCGGCAACTCCTAAATTAGTCAAATATCTTTCTGAAGCACATGGCTGCTTGTCTGGTTTTTCACCATCGACACATTTCAATTCTTCAAGTTCACAACAAACTTTTCGGAAAGCACCAAACTCTTTTTCATATTGATTTGCATTACATGGAAGATCTGTTGGATGTTGTTCATTCAAACATTTTGCATCATCTAGAAAATACACAAATTTGAGGATAACAAGTATTTATAATACTTACCACAACACAATTTTGGTCCCTGTTCAAATTTGAAAAGAAATTGTTCAGCTGAACACGGTGCATTTGTTGGAATATCGTTGAGCGGACATTTGAAAGCAGAAAGCTCTGTAAGTAGAAATTTGAGATTGAATTTTAGTTTGAAAAATAAAACTGACCACAACAAAATTTGTGACCATCTACATTATGTTCATAATCGCTTTCTTTACACGGTGAATCATGAGGAACACTACCGTCAGGGCATTTTTGAATATCATCGAGAGCTGAAAAAGAAATGCCGATACATATGTTTCAAGAAAAAAACAATAATAATCCCAGTCCCATTTCAAAATACTTACAACAACATAGTGACAATTTGTCCGATAAATATCTGTTCTCAATTTTGAATTCGCTCAAATACTGATGAGAATTGCATGGTGGGACAGTTGCATCTTTTGATCTTCCAAGACATTTTGCACCAGTTGGAGCTGAAATTTGACAAAGAATAGTTGTATCTAATAATCAATTGTTTATTTTAAATTAATAACTCACGACAACAAACTTCTTGGCTTAAAAATTTCATTAATCTCATTCTAGTCGCAATTCGATCACTTTCACATTTACCATCGATTTTGTGAACAGCTTTGTGTCCCTCGAAACAGTCTACATTCTCAACGACTGAAAAAAGAATGAAGGGTAATGCCACCTGATTTCGATTATTTGTGTTCGCTGGAGCGCACTTGCTTTTTTTCCAGTCTTTATCATCAATCTAGATCTATTAGTCCGTCGTTTATTCTTTGAAATTATTTAAATTGAAATGACAGAAAAAATAGCCGTTTCTCAAAAGCTTTGTCTCGGGCTCCATAAAATCGAGAAAGCTTTTTCGCAACTTTTTATATACAGGATGTACCAAAAGTATACGACATATATTGTGTTCAATGGGTAAATAGGACATAATTTAGTAACTTTGATCATGCATGTTTTTCATTTTGACTTAGAGTTTGATTTTAGGGTTAGGTTAGTGGTTCATGAAAAACGTCGGTGCGGCGCCTCGCTCTTGAACTTCAGAGACCTCTCATATCTGAGTCAATTTTATAAATTGGTTTCAATATTTTTTATGATCTACCTAAAGACCTCTAATAACGATCAGAATCCATCAAATATGGATTTCTGACTTACTTTTATATTTTTCGGTGCTTGAATCAAATCTTAGAATTTGGATAAAATCGTCTAAAATCACGAAATAGCTCCAAATTGACTCATTTCACACTAGATTTTGAATATTCTGTTTTAGTTTAGTGAAATATCATTTATTATCATGTCCCATTCATTCAAATCATTTTGGTAACATTTCTTCTTTAGAAATATCGAAAATTTGAGAGATTTCAGAAAAAATCACCAGTTTTCGGAAATGAAACAGATTTTATAAAATTTCAGCTAGAAAGTCATATTCACAAGTTGAAAGCTACTTCAGAGGTGCAGATATATCATATTTTAACAACAGTCTAGATTTAGTTTGACCAGAAATCAAAACCAGTTCAGCTGAATGTGAAGATTGCTAAAAACCACTCATGCTCGGCGCACCGAAATTTTTATCATTTCGATAGCTAAATTTTCTGAGACATAGGCAGTTACTGATTCAATCTAACTTTTTTCATATTGCTGATGGTTTAGCTTATTCAGCAGTTTCAGGACTCATGAGAAAGTCCGTCGTATACTTTTGGTACACCCTGTAGATTCCGACAATAGAGATGAATATCTTTCATTTGAAACCATGTTCATTTCTGGATTGCCGGGCCATTTTATAACTTACGACAGCAAATTACTCTTCCACATGTACTATAGGAATACATATCAGCATCACATGATACATACTTTGTAGCGCGTTCTTTGTTTGGACAGTATGAACAAGCTTCAAAAGCAGTTGAAAAACAAGTTGGTAAAAATAATACAATGATGATAATATCTTTCATTGTAAATTTTGAAGAATGAGTGAATTTTCGAAAATTTTTAATAAAGAGTCACGTTTTGAAAGTAAGTGACCTAATTTTTTCAAATTTCTTTCCGCAATTAAAAAATCACTCATTCCTAATTTATTCAATTCTATAAATCGATTCAAAAATGAAGCTGATTCTAATATTCATATTTCTAATTTCATCGCTGATTTTTCAAATCCAATCAGATTTATTATAATAAAGTTATTAAAATGAGAAATTTTAATTTTTCAATTAGAGCTATTCCTAATTTCCGATTTTCTCTAGCTCAATTTGATGAATCTAAACAACCTCGAAAAAAAAGAGAAAAAAAATTTCAAACAAAACAATCTTACTGTATTGAAAGGCGCACACATTTTTGATTTTGGGTCTCGAAGCGATGTGTGTTTGAAAATTTATTTTCTGTTTTTTTGCAAAAAAATTTTTTTCTGTTTTTTGAAAGCAAAATCCTTTATTTCAGCCAAATAATATCAAATAACTCTTGGATAAACACTAGCATTCAAATATTCCTCATCCTCTTCATTTTGCCCAATTTGTCCACGTCTTTTTCGTTCCTCTTCCTCCTCTCTTTCAATAATTCGATAAACTCCCTGACTATTCTCAAATCTCAAGCGATAATTCGAATAATTGAAGGCAATTGTATCAAAAATAATCAACATGACGATAAGGAACGCGACAACTTCGAAAAGCAACCATTGTCCTGGATAAACTGGCGAAAATTGCAAATTCGAGTGCGATTCCCACGATTTTTGCCAATTTCGACGGAACAATTCGATATAGATCAGGTTGAAACTCCAGAGTAGAAATTGGATTGTTGAATGCACCAAAGTTTGGATAAGTGAGCCAGTTTTGAGGATATATTTGAGAGCAATATCGAGAAGTGATAATAGGAGAGAAGTTATGATAACTATGAATAAAAGGCGGAGTGGTGAGAGGATTTGGGAGATGTATGATGAATCAGTGACGAGGATGTATTTGAAATCATAGTCGAAGCAGCTACGAGTTTGAATGCGCAATTTTTGACCTTCGAATTCGATGTGATGCCAGTCAGAACTTGATAAATATCTAGATTTTGACAGGATTTCTCGTTTTGGAGCTGATGTTGAAGCTTCTGATGTGTCCGAAGTCAGATTCGCCTCTTGTGGTGTTGTATACACAATCGTAGTCTCATTGCTAAAATCTGATGTCGTCGTTGAATTATCTTCAGGCTCCAAGGTCGTGTAATTTCCAGGCTCCTCAAAGTTCGAGTCCGAATTCAGCAGATGTTCAACCTCTCCGATCTCCTTGCTTCTCACAAGAACGTTGATTGATCGAGGAGTTCGGCGAACTCTTGATTTTGCGTTTTCGAATGATATTGCTGATTTCAGATGTTGCTCGCAATTTGAATGGATTTTCTGGAATTAGGATAAGTTATAGTGAATTTTGACGCGCTGATCACGATCCTGAAGTCAAAAACTTCTGAATTCAACTTTGAACATGAGTTATGACGTGGCATCGAATGCGTTGCGGCTGTGCGCTGCGTGTTCTATATTTGAAATTTGCCAAAAATGAGAAAAAACACGCAGCGCACAACCGCAACGCATCAAACGACAAACATTTTCAAGCTTTGCCACGTCATAACTCATGTTTACGGTTTCCACGTCATAGTAAACCACGTGGCCGCTGAAGCGGAAGTTAGTGCCGCTGACGCGGAAGCTTGCGGTCTACACTATGAGAAGAAACACGCAGCGCACAACCGCAACGCATCCAACGACATGGTTGCGAGAAAAAAAACATTTTCAAGCTTTGCCACGTCATAGCTCGTGTTCAGAGTTGCGATTTTCGACAACAGGTCAAAATCGACTATTCCCAAGTTACCTCAAGTTGATGTGGTCTGAAGTTGACGCAAAATTTGGAGTGAAATAGGAAAAGCGAAATGGCGGTTGCGATGAGAGTGAAGAATAGAATGCGAATTAGAATGAAGACGCGCATTTCTTGGAGTGTTTGTTGTTTTCGAAAATGGCGGGCATTGGGAGAATGTGGACACGTCATTTTGGAGGGGTCACGTGAAAAATGTTTTGAATTTTGAAGATTTTTGGGGATGCACCGGTATTGCGTCAGTAAATGTAGAAGCTGACGCATTTTTTGATACAAAATGATATTGTTTTGAGGGTTTTTATCTGCAAAATATGCGTCAGCAAACGTATAGGTTGACGCATCGAAAAATACATAAAATTTTATTTGAAAAATTGAAAAAAAAATCACACGGTTTGAATGAAGGGTAATAAATAATTTCCAGTTAGCAAAAAAAAATCAATAAAACCGGCTCAAAAGATTTGAATTCGATGATTCTCTCGATCAGTGACCACAATCGAACCATCCGGTGTGACGCAAACATCTTCGACACCCTTCAATTGTCCGGCTCCACCGCCCCATGTGCCGAATGAGGAGATGAATTGGCCTTGCGCGTCGAATATCTGAATTCGATTGTTGCCCGAATCGGCGCATATCACATTTTCTTGCGAGTCGATGGCGATGCCACGTGGAAATTTGAATTGGCCGCCGTGGAAACCTTCTTCACCGAATGAGAATAGGTGATGACCTTGGGCGTCGAAGACCGAGATTCGATGATTTGACGAGTCGGAGACGTAGATCTAGAAAAATATGGAGGGTGGTTTGCCACGTGGCGAAGTGCGCGTGGATACATGGAATATCATTACGGTTTTCACGTCATAGTAAACCACGTGGCCGCTGACGCGGAAGCTTGCGGTCAACACTCGCGTAAAGCGCTCGAGGTCGAGCACGTCATCAGAATTCACGTTTTCCACGTCATAGTAAACCACGTAGCCGCTGACGCGGAAGCTTGCGGTCTACACTCGCTTCGCTCGATGTTAACTAGAGCATTGCTTCGAGCGGAGCGAGTGTAAACCGCAAGCTTCCGCGTCAGCGGCACTGTCTTCCGCCTTAGCGGCCACGTGGATTGCTATGATATGGTAAACGTCATACTAATCCACGTGGCCGCTGACGCGGAAGCTTGCGGTCTACACTCGCTTCGCTCGATGTTAACTAGAGCATTGCTTCGAGCGGAGCGAGTGTAAACCGCAAACTTCCGCGTCAGCGGCACTGTCTTCCGCTTTAGCGGCCACGTGGATTGCTATGATATGGTAAACGTCATAGTAAATCACGTGGCCGCTGAAGCGGAAGATAGTGCCGCTGACGCGGAAGCTTGCGGTCTACACTCGCTTTTCTCGATGTTAACCTGAGCAATGCTTCGAGCGGAACGAGTGTAGACCGCAAGCTTCCGCGCAGCGGCTACCTGGTATAATGTAGCTACTGCTATTTCACGTCATCAGAATTCACGTTTGCCACGTCATAATAAACCACGTGGCCGTTAAAGCGGAAGCTTGCGGTCCACTAGCGCAAAACATACCTGATGTGTAACCTTGCTGACTGCGATAAAAAGTGGGCTGTTGAGTTGTCCCGGAAGATGTCCGATCGAGCCGAATTTCGCGATGAACTGTCCGTTTTTGTCGAAAACTTGCACACGGTGATTATCCTGGAATGAAATGACGGGATACAGAAAAGGCGTCAGCTTCGATAGCCTGCTGACGCATATTTTGTAGCTCAACTTGTTATACACTTATTCAATGAGTAACTAAAATTGCGTCAAGTCGAAAGGCTACTGAAACCGTGTCAGTTTACCTAGTTGCTGGCGCATTTTTTGTAGGCTTACAATAAGTCTGTTAGAGAATGTGTCAAGTATATCAATTGCTGACGAAAGTTAGCTCAAGAAATTGCGTCAGTGCGTTTTTTTGTTGGCGTGAATTTTGTAGGTCCAGTAACTAGACTCTAGTTCTCACCTTATCAGCCACATAAATACTTCCCAATTCATCAATCGCCACACCCCACGGATTATTAAACTTCCCATTGGCATGTCCATGTCCACCAAACGAGAATAAATGATCGCCCTCCAAACCGAACACACAAATCCGATGATTATACCGATCCGAAACAACCAATCGCAATTTAGCCGAAGCTAAACCGGCGGCCGAATCAAGTTCCCCCACACCACTTCCATATCCACCAAATTGCCTCACGAATTTGCCATCCTTGGAGTCAAATATACAAACACGATGATTTGACGAGTCACAAGTGGCGACCAATCCACCGGCAACCGCGCATATACCCCTCGGCCAATTCATCTCGCCATCCTTCGCGCCTTTCCGCCCGAAAACCGCGCGAGGTCTACCGCGAGCTCGCCACTCGCCAGCCTCCCGCGACGCACTCCGCCCGCGTTGCCTCGCCTGCACCGCCAACTTCTCCTTCTCGTCGTCGGTGGTGGTGGACGAGTCTAAACGAGATTGTCGTTCGGCGAGAAGTTGTTGGACTCGCGCCGACGTGAATTGCGATTGCAAGTCGGGATTGGTTCGAGAGCGCTGAAAGCGCTGACGACGCCGTTGTAGCCAGGCGGGCGTTGGCGTTGAATCATCGTCGTTCTCACCTGTGAAATGTGTGACGGGGATCGTGACGTGATCCATGTTGGTGGAAATCTGATTCACCGGCGGTCCGATGTCCTCGCGCGTCATCGATGCAGCTCGACAAACAATCCGAATTCGCCCCCGATTTGGGCTAACTTGAAAATCCTCGCCTTCGGATTCATCAGAAGACACAGCTCTCGACGCGGCTTGTCGTTGCTGATGTGCTCTTCGAATCGTCTCAACCTTCTCGTTCAGCGAATCATCGTTCGAACTTTGCTGACGCAAGAACTTCTTCACTTCGGAAATCGGGGCAGGTGGTAGATCTACCGGTTTTTCCACAGATGTTTGTTGTTGGGGTGGAAGTGGTGGGCGGGATTTCAAGGTGACTGGGGCTGGAATCGGAGTTGGTGACGTGGAAGTTGAAGTGGCTGGCGCCTCGACAATCAGACTTGTCGGTCTCTCCGAATTCCGTGAGGCCGCCCATGGTGAAGTCGAAGTTGGTGGTTGACTTGCCGGATTTCTCAGCCGATTCCACGCCTCTTCTTCGAGTTGTTGACGTCGGCGATAGCGAAGCGATGATTCGTCGGCCGATGTTTCCATGACTGCTGATGTTGGGCGGTGGCTGAAATTTGAGCTAAGGGTCAGGAGGGTTCTCAGAATCTGAAGTTTCAGGGCATGGGTTACTGTAGATGAGAGGACGACACGTGTGTTGGTTAGAACTGTTTTTGAGCAACTACAGTAATCTTGGGATACTGTAGATTTTGTGGAGGTTGGTTAAACTATTTTTGAGCAGTTGTAAAAGCTCTAGAACTACAGTAATCTAGGGATACTGTAGATTTTGTGGAGGTTGTTTGAACTGTTTTTGAGCAGTTGTAAGAGCTCTAGAACTACAGTAATCTTGGAGTACTGTAGATTTTCTTAGACTTATTTGAAGTGTTTTTGATCTCCGAAGTTACAGTAATCTTGGGGTACTGTAGATGAGAAGTACCCTCTGCAGACACCGTTTTTCATAAAGAGTTCAAACTAAAACTTGATTCTAGTAACTACAGTAATCTTAAGATTACTGTACCTTAAGATTACTGTAGATCTTCACTAGTGGAAGAACTATAATCGCAGTTTCTGTAGACCGGATACAGTAAGACTAGGCTACAGTAATCTGGGGTTACTGTAGTCAACCTAAATTTGCCCTTTGAGATCTTCTTTGAACTACAGTACTCTTTGGGCTACAGTACTCTATATACTTCCAAATTCTTTGTATATCCTGCATTTGGGTTACTGTAAACCTGAACTTTAAAAATAAAAAATTTGAGAAAACCACAGTACTACTTCTAAACTATAGTCTAGTTCATGCTGCTTCGAGCGGAGCGAGTGTAGACCGCAAGCTTCCGCGTCAGCGGCACTGTCTTCCGCTTTAGCGGCCACGTGGATTGCTATGATATGGTAAACGTCATAGTAAACCACGTGGCCGCTGACGCGGAAGCTTGCGGTTTACACTCGCTTCGCTCGATGTTAACCTGAGCGATGCTTCGAGCGGAGCGAGTGTAGACCGCAAGCTTCCGCGTCAGCGGCACTGTCTTCCGCTTTAGCGGCCACGTGGATTGTTATGATATGGTAAACGTCATAGTAAACCACGTGGCCGCTGAAGCGGAAGATAGTGCCGCTGACGCGGAAGCTTGCGGTCTACACTCGCTTCGCTCGAAGCATTGCTCAGGTTAACATCGAGCGAAGCGAGTGTAGACCGCTAACTTCCGCGTCAGCGGCACTGTCTTCCGCTCTAGCGGCCACGTGGATTGTTATGATATGGTAAACGTCATAGTAAACCACGTGGCCGCTGAAGCGGAAGCTTGCGGTTTACACTCGCTTCGCTCGATGTTAATTAGTTAATTACACATAATTAAAAATTAAAAACATGCATGACGTCACTCAAAACGTCTGATCTTACCTATGTCTCGAAGAAGTCCGCTCACTTTCCCTTTGTTGCTGCAAATTCTGTCGATCCTCAGATTTGACTCGATAATTATCACTCTCCAACGGCAATCTAAAAGGTCGTGGCAAATAGCTTTGTTCGAGTGGCAAATAGCGGCCGCTGAACTGCGGCACCAGAACACACAGTTCGCCTGATGTTGTGATGGCGGCTGGCAGTTTGGCGGCGTCGTCGCCGGCCGAGAAGCGCAGCTTGCGATTGAATAGCTCGTCGGCGTCGGGCTGCAAGGATTGGAGAGGAGTAAGATGAGCAATGTTTTAAAATTTTTCTTAAAAATCGGTTATTTTGGAGTTTAACATGAGCAATACCCCAAATTTCATGAAAAATCACGATTTTTTGGGCGTAAAATTTTTGAATTTTCATAAATTTTGAGACTAATATGAGCAATACTGCCCAATTTTCATAGAAAATTGATTTTTTTTGAGTTTAACATGAGCAATATTCCGAAATTCATGAAAAATCACTATTTTCGGGCTTTAAATTTTGAAATTTTCTCACATTCTGAAGCTAACATGAGCAATACTGCACAATTTTCATTGAAAATCGGTTATTTTAGAGTTTAACATGAGCAATACCCCGAATTTCATGAAAAATAACGGTTTTTAGGCTTAAAATTTTGAAATTTTCTTAAATTTTGAAGTTAATATGAGCAATACTGCACAATTTTTATTGAAAATTGATTTTTTGGAGTTTAATATGAGCAATGCTCCAAATTTCTTGAAAAATCACGAAAAATTTCATATCTTCACGCATTTTGAGCCTAATATGAGCAATACTGCACAATTTTCATTGAAAATCGATTTTTGGAGTTTAATATGAGCAATCCCCCGAATTTCTTGAAAAATCACAATTTGTGGGCTTGAAATTTTGAAATTTTCAGAAATTTCAGGCTGATATGAGCAATTTTTCACTATTTTCATTGAAAATTGATTTTTTTTTTGAGTTTAACATGAGCAATACCCCAAAAATCTTGAAAAACCACGATTTTTGGGCTTAAAATATTCAATTTTTCATGAATTTTGAGGCTGACATGCCACGTGGATGGAATTTTTTTCTGAAAATCTCAAATCTCACCTGAAAATTCCTCAAATACTCCAATCCTTCGGTGAAAGTGTTTTTCATTCGAACCAATTCAGCATCTTCAATTGCACATTCGCCCTGAAAATTTTTTAAAGATCATAGGGGTACTGTAGACTACTGTAGACTACTGTAGACTACTGTAGAACTACAGAACTAGATTTCTTTGTAGAAACATTTTTCGAGGGTACTGTAACTTTCCCGGGGATTAAAACTACTTCCACGTCATAATAAACCTTTCTAGGATCCTAGATTACTGTAGTTTCCCCAGGGGTACTGTAGACTACTGTAGATTACTGTACCTTAATAGCAGCATCCAATCGACTAACAGCTTCACTCATATTCGAACTTTCAATCTCTAAAACATCTCGTAAATTGCTCATCAGGCGACTTTCAGTCGCCTGAAATGCGTCGATTTCAGCCAAAAAATTGTCTTCACGTTTTTTCAGCTCTCTTTGATATCTGGAAAAAATAGGGGTACTGTAGGAGTACTGTAGACCTTCTTACCTATGAAAATACTCTTTAACCTCGCATTTCGTCGTTTCGCAATTCATTGTCATCAAATCGATGCCTTTTGATAGATTGTCTGAGGCTTCAGTTATTCGATTTGCTAATCGCTTGACCTGCAAAAAATCGAGGGGTACTGTAATCCACGTGGCTGAAAATTTCAGGGAAAATTTTGAAACGTATTTTTTCCTGCTCAAAAATCGGTGATGTTTGGGCTCAAAATGATCCAAATTTCATGAAAAATCTAAAAATTTCAGAAAATATTTCAAAAAATTTTGAAACCTATTTTTTCCGGCATTTTTTCTCGTAAAAAATCGGTGATGTTTGAGCTCAAAATGCTCCAAATTTCATGAAAAATCTGAAAATTTCAGAAAAATTTAAATTCAGCTTGAAATTCAAACAAAATTTGTGGAATACGATGAGAAAAATCATTTTAAAAAAATTTTGAAACCTATTTTTTCGGGCAATTTTTCCTGCTCAAAAATCGATGATGTTTGAGCTCAAAATGCTCCAAATTTCATGAAAAATCTGAAAATTTCAGAAAAAATTTTTCCGGAATTTTTTTCTCGTCAAAAACCGATGATGTTTGGGCTTAAAATGCTCGAAATTTCATGAAAAATCTGAAAATTTCAGAAAAAATTCCTCACCTGATTCAATAATCTCGACATATCCCGTTTCAACATATCCATATGTGTCTGTCGACATTCTTTACACGCTTTTCGATCACAATGTGCACACGGCTCACAATCCGCTTTTTCGTCACAAATTTTACAACGTTCCAGATTGTATCTATGAATATATTCTTCAATTTCAGCCGCAGATTCAGGAGTGGCTTGCAAATGAATTTCCAAAAATCCGGTCAACGTGTAGTTTGATTGAAATGCTTTGACACCATCGTATGGAACTTTGTGCTCAGCACGGCATTCTGGACATTTTAGAGTTCGATGAAGTGTGTCTGCGCAAGATTCTAGACATGGATAACAAAATGTGTGTTGGCAGGGAAGAAGCTTGGGTTGTCTGCAAAAAATTTTGATTTTTTATTTTTTTCCGGTGATGTTTGGGCTCAAAATGCTCCAAATTTATGGGCAAATCTGAAAATTTCACAAAATTTTGAAACGTATTTTTTCCGGTAATTTTTTCTGCTCAAAAATCGGTGATGTTTGGGCTCAAAATGCTTCAAATTTCAAGGAAAATCTGAAAATTTCAGAAAAATTTGAATTCAGCTTGAAATTCTGGAAATTTGAATACATTGAGACAATTTCAATAAAAAAATATTTCAAAAAATTTTGAAACCTATTTTTTCCGGCATTTTTTTTTGCTCAAAAACCGGTGATTTTTGGGCTCAAAATGCTTCAAATTTCAGGGAAAATCTGAAAATTTCAGAAAAATTTGAATTCAGCTTGTAATTCTGGAATATTGATTACGATGAGAGAATTTTAATAAAAAATATTTCAAAAAATTTTGAAACGTATTTTTTTCTGCTCAAAAATCGGTGATGTTTGGGCTCAAAATGCTCCAAATTTCAAGGAAAATCTGAAAATTTCGGAAAAATTCGAAATTTTTTTCAAATATTCGATTTCCCGCCAAAATTCAACCCCCCCCCCCCAAAAAATTTCACAACATTCTACACCTTCTTCATTTTTATCTCAAAAACAACTGTTCCCCGCTCGGTCGATTTTCGCGTGTTCAAAAGCCTTCCCAAAAAAAAAGTGTAATGTTTATAGAAGAGAGTGCAGAGAAGCAGACGAAAATGTGTAAAATTTTCCAAGAGATTTGCAAGTTTCCAAGATAAAATCGAATAAAATGAGATGAGGAAAAACCAAAAAATTCTGAAAATTTCAGATTTTCCTTGAAATTTGGAGCATTTTGAGCCCAAACATCACCGATTTTTGAGCGGGAAAAATTACGTTTCAAAATTTTTTGAAATATTTTTTATTGAATTTTTCTCCATGTATTCAAATTTCCAGAAATTCAAGCTGAATTCAAATTTTCTGAAATTTTCAGATTTTCCTTGAAATTTGGAGCATTTTGAGCCCAATCATCATCGATTTTTGAGCGGGAAAAAATACGTTTCAAAATTTTTTGAAATATTTTTTATTGAATTTTTCTCCATGTATTCAATTTTCCAGAATTTCAAGCTGAATTCAAATTTTCCTGAAATTTTCAGACTTTCCTTGAAATTTGGAGCATTTTGAGCCCAAACATCATCGATTTTTGAGCAGAAAAAATTTGGAGGAAAAATTACGTTTCAAAATTTTTTGAAATATTTTTCATTGAATTTGTCTCAATGTATTCAAATTTCCAGAATTTCAATCTGAATTCAAATTTTTCTAAAATTTCCAGATTTTCCTTGAAATTTGGAGCATTTTGAGCTCAAATATCACCGATTTTTGAGCAGGAAAAAATTGACGGAAAAAATACGTTTCAAATTTTTTTTTTGAAATATTTGGAAATCTATTTTTGATCCTCAACTACTGTAGATAACAAGTTTCCAGAAATTCGAAACTTTCAGTCTACAGTAACCCAAAGTACAGTACTTTTTTCAACTTGACCTTTTTTTGAACTTCAATTTTTCAACAAAAATTTCTGGAAGACCAATTTTACTTTCCACAAAATTTAATTTAAATTTCATGAGCTACAGTAACCCTAGTACTCCCTGATTACTGTAGATCAAAAATTTCTCAAGTTTTTGTTTATCACTTCACAAAATTTTTCCCGATTTTCTTGCTGCGCAAAACAATAATAATAATTTCGGAAATTTGTCCGGAAAATCCCGATTTTTGTTTTGTTATTCGAAAAAAAAAACGAACTGAACAGCTGAGAAATTGAAAAGCACAAACTAGTTTTGGTTTTGCTCACTTTGAGGAGCACAAGAAAAAAAAATGAGCACTTGAGAAAAAAAGTGCTGACGAAGGGAGATTCGAACCCGTGATCGGGTTGAAATTGATAAATTGATTTTTTTTTAGTTCAAAAAAAGTTGATTTCCAAAAAGTACAGTACTTTGGATTACTGTAGACTGAAAGATTCGAATTTGTGGAAACTTTTTCTCTACAAAAAATTTTGAAACGTATTTTTTCTGGGAATTTTTTTCTATTGAAAATAGGTGATGTTTGGGCTCAAAATGCTCCAAATTTCAGGGAAAATCTGAAATTTTCTGAAAAATTTGAATTCGGCTTGAAATTCTGGAATTTCTGGAATACATTGAGACAAATTCAATAAAAAAATATTTCAAAAAATTTTGAAACGTATTTTTTTCCGGCAATTTTTTCCTGCTCAAAAAGAAATTTTTAATCTACAGTAGTCAGGGAGTACTGTAGATCAGGGTTACTGTAGCTAATTTTTGTGAAATTGATCTTCCAGAAAAATACTGTACTTTGGGTTACTGTACACTGAAAATTTCGAAATCCGATATTTTTGGAATAATTTTTGATCCACAGAAATATTTGGAATTACAGTATTCCTGGGTTACTGTAGCCTCAAAATTTCAAATATTTGGGAAAACCTATCTAGCCTCAAAATAATTCCCTGGCTTATTGTACCTCAAAAATGCCCCTAATTTTTTGATCTACAAATCTACAGTAACCTCGGGTTACTGTAGATGACTCACTTATATCGATCCAAACAAATTGGGCACGTCAAAAGTTGCTCGATTTTTTCTAGAGGGTTGACGAAATCCGCTGGACGACTTGCCGGCGGACGAGACATCAATTCGCGCATCTGAAATTTGGAAATTTCAGCATTTTTGGGGAGTTGGGGGAATTTTCAGACAATTTCAAATTAAAATCTGAAAAAAATTGAGTTCAGGATGTTTTTAAAACTTCTAAAGCTTCTGAAAATCTTCAAAAAATTCCAGAAAAATCCAAATTTCCAGAAGAACCTCTCTGAAAAGTTCTAAAAATTCCAGATTTCCAGCCAAAACTCACTTTTTCCCTGGCTTCTGCCTCATTTTGTGGTGGATTATTCATAGCTGTGTGGATTATTTTCTGCAAAAAAAAAATTTGAATTTTTTTTGAAATTGAGAAAAAAGGCGCGAAAATATTATATACAGTAATCTAGAAAAAATACAGTAATAGAGAATAGAGTACTGTAAAAATTAGTTTAAAAAATCATATGTTCCTTTAAAAAAATCTACAGTACTTCAGGAAAAAAAAAACAATTATTTTTGGCGCCAAAAACAACCTTAAGAAATTCCCAAAAGTAAATTAGGTTATGCCCCTTTAAAAATCATACAGTATCCTCAAAAATTCAGAAAGTTAGCCTAACTCAAAAAAAATATACGAAATCTATATTTTCTTTCGCAATACTAATAATAAGCTTTTCTTTTCTCTCTATCTCTTTTTATTCAAAAAGCAAAGAAAAAAGTGGGCGGAGCTTTTTCGGGGGATTTCACCGAGCTCCCAGGAGCTCGGTGAGAGATGAGAGACGCAGAGAAAGAGAGAGAAAACACTAGAAAATTTTGAAAATTTTTATTTTCGCGCTAAAAAATTTAAAAAATTTGGGACCTACAGTATTCCATGATTTTTTTTTTGAAAAAAAAACTCTACAGTACTCCTAGCAGGTTCTGAAAATCTTGAAAATTAGAAAAAATTTAGAATTTTGGCGGCAAAAGCTACAGTAACCCTAGAAGGTTCCGGAAATGCTGAAAATTTGAAAAAAAATCTGATTTACAGTAACCCAGGATTCTGAAATTTGAAAAAAAATAACTTTAGCGCCAAAAAAATTACAGTAACCCTAGAAGGATCCGGGAATCTTAAAAATTCAAATTTTTTGAAAATATGAAATTTTGGCGCCAAAACTTCTGATCTACAGTATCCCCAGTGGTTTCTATGTACAGTAATCCTGGATATTTAAAAAAAAAGTACTTGAAAATTTTGAAAGTTGGCCAAAACCTACAGTAATCCTGGAAGGTTCCGGGAATCTTGAAAATTCAAATTTTTTGAAAATATGAAATTTTGGCGCCAAAACTTCTGATCTACAGTATCCCCAGTGGTTTCTATGTACAGTAATCCTGGATATTTAAAAAAAGTACTTGAAAATTTTGAAAGTTGGCCAAAACCTACAGTAATCCTGGAAGGTTCCGGGAATCTTGAAAATTCAAATTTTTTTTTTGAAATATGAAATTTTGGCGCCAAAAACTCTACAGTAACCTTGAAAATTCCAATTTTTCTGAGCTCCCAGGAGCCAGGAGCTCAGAGAGATTTAGAGAGAGTTAGAGACGCAGAGAAAAAAGTGAATCATCATAAAAGTGAGGATTATTTGTTCTTCTTCCTCCACAGGAACAACGAAAAAAAAAAAAGAAGGTGGGAGTTTTTGGGCTCGCGGAGCTCTAATATTTATTTTTGAATTTTTTTTGGGGGGGATATTGAATTACTGGAAAAAATTCCCCAAATTTTCGCGATTTTTGACCCAAAATCACATGGTGCACTTTTCCTCGAGGAAAAAAACTGAGCTTAAAAGAAAAAAAATAATTTTTTTTTTGCTGTGTTCGAACGAAAGCATATCAAAAATTTCAAAACCACGAAAAAATATTAAAAATATTTGAAACGTAATACAACAAGCATTAGTAAACGAGACAAAACGAGAAAAAAAACATTTGAAAATGATTTGTTTGTTTTTTGCAGCGATTTACGCTAAACACCAGGCAAAGCGGAGTATCGTTGTTTTTTTCCGTTTTTTTCGAGGAAAACATGTTTTTGGCTGGAATTCGATGATTTTAAAAGAAGGTTGTTTGAAAATTTGATAGATTTATTGAAAAATGATTGTTTTGCAGGAGGAAATGAGTTTATCGACTGGAAATTGGAAAAACACGATTTTTGAGAATTAATTAGCTGGAGGGACTTCCATCGCATGTCGTGTAGTACTCATAAACTGCATAGATCGGTCACTGATTCGATTTCTTCTCTTGCAACAAATGAAATCGCAACATAACTTTGAAAATAAGGGTTCAAATCTACCAAAGTAAGCAACCGTATAAGTCAACGGAAAAATCATCTCAACACTTGAAAAGTTGTTGCAAACGTATCTTTTGAATATTTCTTCTCGACTATCATTTTCTTCTCGAATGAAATACACTACAATAACTGAAAAATATGTGAAAATAAAAGAAAAAACAATTGGAATATTCTGATAAATAATCGATAATTCAGCGCGCCTCCGAGTCTCCGATAAAATGTGACGATTTCTACGAACATTATTAAACGTTAGGAGGAATAATAATATTGCGATTGATAAAATCATTAGTTCGAGTACACATCCAGAAAGTACGAAATAATCAAGTTCTGTAGCAATATGGATACAAACAGTTGATTCTTTGACAAAACTTTTAGGTTTAACGTCACTAAAGGCGATAGAATACAAGTCACAAGTATCAGTACTACAAATGTACTTTTGCTTATAACGAGTTGCAGCATAACCTGCAACATAATTCAATGAGAGGAGCAAAAGTAACCATTTTCCTTGAACGAATTTGGTCAATTTTTGAATATCCGCAATGATTATGAACCTTTGGATCGATATTAATAACATAAAACTAATGTCGGATAGATGCAAATTGAGAGTAAAACTGTATGACATCATAAGAACAATCATATGCGTTCGAGTTAAATATATAATTAAAAAAAAGCAAATAAAAACCAAATAGTGAATTGTTGCGATCAGTGAATACACAAAAATCCATTTATAAATCCGATAAATGATTGCCTTCTTTTGTTCTTCTGGTGTTTTCAGGAACAGGTAAAAAAAATGGTAACCGTGAGTATCTTAAAATATTATCACATAGAAAATAAATCGGGTCTTCATCAATCGATAACATTTTTGAAGACTGAAGAAGTGAATTTGAGATTTTTGTGAGACGAAAAATAAAAACTAATTATGGGTTTGAAATTTTTTTTTTTGAAATGTCAATTGTCTTTGTTAGTTACTAAAAATTATGTTTTGAAGTATAATGAGAGAAAATAAAAATAAATTTCATAACGAACTCCAGAATACGAAAAAAGATTTAAACAACAAAAATTAATTATTCCAATTATTAATTAGGGATTTTTTGGGACATCGGATGAATATGTCGCGTGGTAGGTGCTGTAAAAAACAAGTTTTGGGATTTTGGAGTTAGGGTAAGTTTTTTCTGAAAATTTTCAGATTTTCAGCCAAGAAATTATTAAAAATCTTCAAAAAAACGCCATTTTCAGACTGAAATTTCCTGAAAATCGAATTTCTCTGATCATTCAAAATTTTTTTCAAAAAATTTTGAAACGTAAATTTTTTGGGTAAAATTTTTGACAGAAGTTCGAATTTAAAATTTTTTTCATGAGAAAATTGATTTTAAGTCCAAAATCTGAAATTTCTCAATACTTGTTGAAATTTTCAGATTTTCAGACAATAAATCTTTGAAAATGAAATTGAAATTTCAAAACCTCAGAAAATATCAAGAATTTTTTGGGAAAAATTGAATTTTCAAAGAAAAAATCGTGAAAAACCTCAATTTTTGTTCAGATTTTCAGCCATTTTTTCGACAATTGTTCAAAAAATACTTAAATATATCATCAAACTTTATCAAACTTCAGAAATTATAATGCACTGCTCTACCCCTTGATCTATATTCTCCATCCATATTCGTTATATCTTGCCGAAAAGTAACATTACAAAACAGAAAAGCTTCCAAGCATCGCGTATACAAACCAACATGAACTCTCGCACCATAATATCCACGATCTGTACAATCATGTTGAAGCAAAAAATTCATTGAGCGATAGTCGGACATTTCGCCGAAATTCGACAAAATTCCGCCGTAGATTTTTGTGGTTGAACCGCCCGCTGGTATTGTTCCTTTGATTTCCAGTGTTATATCATCGTCTGGTGAGCTAACAAGGCAACCTTTTTTACTCAACACTTCAAATTTTGATGAAATTTTGTCCATGGACAGCTTTTGATCTCCCAATGTACCTATGAGCCAAGTTCTGGGCTCTCAAAAGTTCAAAAATTGGCTCATAAAACACGTCATAACTCAATTCTCGAGAAATTTTATGAAAAACTGAGTAGATGATCAGCGTGGTCGATTTACCCAAAATCCATCAATAAATCGAAATTTTCGGAAAAAATTTTGATTTTGGAAAAAAAGAATGAGCGAATTTTCATGAATTTTCAGCCGAAAAATAACAAATTTCAAATTTTTTTGAGAAAATGTTTTGAAAAAAAATCACATTTCCTAATTTCGCGCTCAAAAGGCTACGTGGGAATGCGGAGCATCGTAGTTTCTTTGATATTCAAAATTTTACTCGAAATCGAGAAACTTCAAATTTTCTGAATCCCCCCCCCCCAAAAGGCTGTGTGTAATTGCGGAGCATCGTAGTTTTTCTTGAAAAAATTCAAATTTTCTGAATTCCCCGCCCAAAAGGCTATGTGTAATTGCGAAGCATCGTAGTTTTTTTTTTTTTTTTTAAATTCAAATTTTCTGAATTCCCCCCCCCCCCCCAAAAGGCTGTGTGTAATTGCGGAGCATCGTAGTTTTTCTTGAAAAAATTCAAATTTTCTGAATTCCCCGCCCAAACAGCTATGTGTAATTGCGGAGCATCGTAGTTTTTTTTTTTTGAAAAAATTCAAATTTTCTAAATTCCCCGCCCAAAAGTCTACGTGTAACTGCGGAGTTATGACGTGTTTTATGAGCCAATTTTGGCAATTTTCAAACTTTTGAGAGCCCAGAACTTGGCTCAGAGGTCCATTGGGAGACTAAAATTTTTAGGGTGTTCTTAAGACTCCAAAAGCTGTCTCTAGACAAAATTTCATCAAGATTTGAAGTGTTGAGTAAAAAATATGCTGTTATTTTTGGCACTAAAACTTACGTTCAAAAAATAGTAAAATTTGAGAAAAAAATTCAAAATTTTCATTTTTTTTCATCATAAACTGAGAAATTTTCCCAAAATTTAGGCAATATTGAAGATATTAAAAACACTACTAAAATTCATTTTCCGGAAAACTGGAAAATTGATTTTTCCTTGAAAAAACCGGAAAATCCGGAAATCCGGGCTCATTTTTGCTAAAAAACTGAAAAATGGCTGAAAATTTACAGATTTTCCAATAAAAATATGAAATTTCTGATTTTTTGAGCTAAAAATTTCAATTTTTCGGAGAAATCTTGATTTTTTGAGCTCCAGGGCTCATTTTTGCTCAAAAACTGAAAAATGGCTGAAAATTTACAGATTTTCCAATAAAAATATGAAATTTCTGATTTTTTGAGCTAAAAATTTCAATTTTTCGGAGAAATCTTGAATTTTCGAGCTCCAGAGCTCATTTTTGCTAAAAAACTGAAAAATGGCTGAAAATTTACAGATTTTCCAATAAAAATATGAAATTTCTGATTTTTTGAAAGCTAAAAATAGCATTAGAAAATTTCAAAAAATGAAATACCATGGGAATTTCAAAATTCGTATTTAAAGCGATTCCTCTCTTCAATTTTCTCAAAATGATTTTCTTCCCCATTTTTCTTACTGTACTTCTCGCAACCGTCAAAAACGTCCAAAGTGCATACGAACACTATACCGAATTCATTTTCAAAGCGAATCTAACTTGTTCATATCCCGGAAGAGCATTGTATTACATTCAATTCATTCATAAATATTACAATTGGTTTTATCCAAATGATGACCTGTCGGTGAAACAAAAAGATTGGATTTTTGGGCAAACTGTGAATCCAGAAAAAACATATTATGGTACTATGCTTCGAAACAGAGAGCGAATGCCTGTCGCATTTGATATGACACATAATTGTACATCGAATGGTGACCGTTATGATGTTCGAGTATATTTTGGGAAACATTGTAGGCCCAAGCATTACAACGTGTGTTATGTAGATTTCGATTTTGATTTCACGGATGCTAATGATGTTAGATATATTGATCAGAAAAATGATTATGGATAATTTGAACATTGATTTAATGAATCTATTTTGGCACAAGACTTGCTTAAAAAAATAAAAATAAATTTCATAAATTAAAACGAATACGAAAAAAATTCAAACAAAAATTAATTATTTCAATAATTAATTAGGGATTTTTTGGGACATCGGATGAATATGTCGCGTGGTAGGTGCTACAAAAATTTGGGTTTTTTGAGTTAGGATAAAAAAATTTGTGATTTTTCAGAATTTCAGAATTTTTTTAATGAAAAAAAAATCATTTCAGAACCGAAATCTGAAATTTCTCGATATTTGTTCAAAATTTCAGCAATTATCCAGTTTTTCAGTCAGAAAAATCTTTAAAAACTCTAGGAAAAAACCCAGTTTTCAGCCAATTTCTGACTGAAATTTCCTGAAAATTAAATTTCCCTGATCATTTTTTTGTAAAAATTAAACAGATCCAGCATTAAAAAATCATTTTTTCAAAATTTTTTCAAAAAATTTTGAAACGTAAATTTTTTGGGTAAAATTTTTGACAGATTTTTCGAATTTAAAATTTGAAAAATTGCATTTTGTGAGGGCTTTTTGTAAAAAATCAAATTTTCAGCCAAAATCTGAAATTTCTCAATATTTGTTCAAATTTTCAGATTTTCAGACAATAAATCTTTTAAAATCAGAAATTTCAAAACCTCAAAAAATATCAAGAATTTTTGAAACGTAAATTTTTTGGGAAAAATTGAATTTTCAAGGAAAAATCGTGAAAAAAACTCAATTTTTGTCAAAAAATTCCAGATTTTCAGCCAAAATCCTCACCTCGGATAATCCAATCCCGTATTTTGTTGATAATAATGTGAACCTCCAGATTTTCCCGCAGAATTTCCCGCCGAACTTTTTTGTTGATCATTCGAATAATATCCATCATAAGAATTGCTGCTGTAAGATTTCAGAAAACTATTTTTTTTGGCTGAAAATTTCAGCACTCACTTATCATAGCCATAATATGCATCATATCCTTCTGTACTTGATTCGCCATATTTTCCACTGGCATTTCTGGAAAATTTTTGGATTTTTTGGGAAAAATTGGGGGATTATTGAGCAAAAATTTGATAGAAAACCTAGATTTTCAGTCAAAAATCTAGAATTTTCAGCCAAAAACACTCACGCTTCATAATACCCTTCATAACCTTCTCCTTGTGCTCCTGCAGATTGTGATTCATAAGTTTCCTGATTGTACGAATTGTCGTAGGAGCTGTAAGAATTATTGGATTATCATAAGCGTCAACTATTATTTTTTTTTCTTCAGATTCAGTTTAAAAGAGAAATTTTGAAGCGTATTTCTTGCTGGACATTTTTTTTTGGATGAAAATTCAGAATTTTCAGGATTTAAACAGTGAAAATTCGAACTTTGAGCATTTTTTTGAGCTGGAGCCAAATTTCCTGGATGTTTCTTGTCAAGTGTATCAAATTTTATGGTTTTAGGCTGAAATTCATCAAAAAACTGAAAACTTCTGAATTTCAAAGTTCTCAAAAGTTTGAAGATCAGAAAAAAACAGGATTTTTACAGTTTTTTGCTGAAAATCTTTAATTTATCTGGAAAAACTCAGATTTTCCAGATTTTTTAAGTCTTACTCAAATTTTCAGGATTTTCAAGGTTTGTAGATGAAAACTTTCATAATTTTGGGATAAAATTCAAATTTTTGAAGAGGAAAATGAAATTTCCCCAGAATTTCAGCAATTTTCAGCATAACAGCTCAGATTTTCTTGATTTTCATCAAGTTCTCAAAAGTTTCAAGACCAAAAAATACAAAAATTTTACTGTTTTCTAGCTGGAAATCTCCTGAAAACTCGAATTTTCACAATTTTCAAAGGGAAAAATCGAATTTTCCTCAGAAATTGATCAAAAATGACCCAAAATCACTCATTTTTCCAGTTTTTTCCCGAATTCCCCCCAAAAAAATTATCACTCACTAAGAATCCTTGGAATAATCCTCTTTTTGATATTTCGAATATCCACTTCCACTTCCACCCTGGTTATAATCATCATATCGATTTCTTCCACCTCCTCTACCACCACCACCTCTTCGATTTCCACCTCCACCAAAACCACGATCTCTATCTCGATACCCTCGTCCACCTCCACTCTCGTTCTCTCGTCTCTCGCGTTTCTCTCGCTCTCTGACTCCGCCACGTCGTTTTTTTTGCGGTGGTTCGCGTGGAGAATCGTCGCGTGAATAACCGACGGCTGGAAAAAATATGGGACTTTTTTGGGGAATTTTTCGAGTTCCAGAGCATAATTTTGCTCAAAAACTGAAAAATGGCTGAAAATTTACAGATTTTTGAGCTGAAAATTTCAATTTTTCAGAGAAATCTTGAATTTTCGAGCTCCAAAGCTCATTTTTGCTCAAAAACTGAAAAATGGCTGAAAATTCACAGATTTCCCAATAAAAATATGAAATTTCTGATTTTTTGAGCTAAAACTATCGATTTTTCAGAGAAATCTTAAATTTTCGAGTTCCAGAGCTCATTTTTGCTCAAAAACTACCCAAAATGGCTGAAAATTCACAGATTTTCCAATAAAAATATAAAATTTCTGATTTTTTGAGCTAAAAATATCAATTTTTCAAAGAAATCTTGATTTTTCGAGCTCCACAGCTCATTTTTGCTCAAAACTACAAAAAATGGCTGAAAATTTACAGATTTTCCAATAAAAATATAAAATTTCAGATTTTTTGAGCTAAAATATCAATTTTTCAGTGAAATCTTGAATTTTCGAGCTCCAGAGCTCATTTTTGCTCAAAAACTACCCAAAATGGCTGAAAAAAGCCTGATTTTCACAATTTTCAGCTCCAAAACCTCTAAATTTTCAGATTTCCCCCAAAAAAACTCACGAGGTCTGTCAATTCCCGGAATTCCTCGACTATGATCAATTGGTATATGCATATCATCAACGTGTTTTATTCGTCCAGATGATGATCGATTACTTCGAACTGGACTCATTGGACGATCTTTGAATGATCGACATTGTTCTTCGATCTGAAATTGGGATTTTTTAGATGAAAAATGAGATTTTTCAGGCTGAATTTTAAAAAAATCGCTAAATTAGACCTAAAAATCCAAAATTTTTGAGCAAAAATGAGCTCTGGAGCTCGTAAAATCAAGATTTCTCTGATAAATTGAATTTTTTAGCTCAAAAAATCAGCAATTTCATATTTTTATTGAAAAATCTGTGAATTTTCAGTCATTTTTCAGTTTTTGAGCAAAAATTTTGAAATTTCAGACAATTTTATGCTCAAAATTTTCAGCTTTTTTAGCTCAATTTTTAAAATCAACATTTCAAGAAAACTTTTTATCTGAAAATTACAGATTTTCAGCTCAAAATTGATGGGAATTATAGGCTTACAAGGAATGGTTTTCAATGTTCCCCCAAGGAAAAAATCGAGAGTATGTGGAATGTTGAGGGTTCCCATGGGTAAGAAAAACCCTAACGGGAATAAGGAGAGAAATGCCTTATTCTCAAGAAAAAATGTATTTTAGGTCGATTTTTACACCATTTTTTGATTTTTAGAGCATCTGTAACTCGATTTTGAATCTATTTCATGAACTTTTGAGTCGTGGAAGTTGTTCAGAATGGTCGATTACGTGTTTGTGAAACTTTTTATCAAAAAATTAGACATTTTTTGAAATTTGGTTTTTTTAGTCGGGGTTTTTCTGATCAAATGGTCACCAAAAAACACAAAAAATAATTTTTTCCATTTTCAAATGAACGGAACTTGAAAAATTTATGACGGTCAACAGACGTAATTTGGTCCGTAGAATCCGAAAATCATAGTCTCGATTCACACAAACTTCTCCTTCACAACGAAAACGTTGATTTTCTATGAATTTTTTGAACTGGATTTTTGATTTGTTGGACTTTTGGGACCAAAATTATTTTATTCCTAATTTTAGTCGAAGTAATACTAAAGTACGCCGTTTGCGCTACAAATGAATTTTTGGACCGACATTTTTTATCAATTTTGAAAAAAGTTTCGATTTTTCTAAAAAATTTCATCGCAAAAATCAATAACACCAAAATTTTCTAAAACAAGGCATTTTTCTCCTTATTCACGTTAGGGTTTTTCTTACCCATGGGAACCCTCAACATTCCACATACTCTCGATTTTTTCCTTGGGGGAACATTGAAAACCTTTCCTTGTTAGTTCTAGTCAAAATTTCCAGATTTTCAAGGCTGAAATTAGCAGATTTTCGGCCAATTTTTAGCTTAAAAATTACCAAATTTTCAGCCCAAAAATACATACCTCATCAAGAGCTTCTTCCAATGACATTCCAGTTTCTTTGGCAAGTTGTCGAGCGTGATATCTGCAAAAAAAAATCTGTAATTTCAGCACAAAAATCTGAAATTTCCACAGGTTTTGATGAGAAAAACGATTATTTTTCATCAAAATTTCACAAAATTTTATATATTTTACATCAAATTTTCCCAAATTTCCAGCCAAAACCCTCCAAAACCCCCACCTTTTGACAGCAATCGGTGAATCTCTGTGCAAACTCGTTTCCATCGCATTCGGTCCATCTCTTTTCGCCAAATTCATCTTATATTCATCGGCTTTTTCGCGATTTCTTCGCTTTTTTGCATTCGCGTCTTTTGGTCGCAACAATTCGTCGGAAATTGGAGCAACTCCGGGTGGAAGCTTGAAGTTTTCGGGCTGCAAAAAATTAAATTTTGAATTTCAAAATTAAAATTTGGACAATTTTGAAAAAGGTTTTTTCAATTTTCAGTTAAATTTTCAGAAAACCTGTATTTTTGCTGAAAATGAGTTCCGAAAATTGAATTTTGAATTGATTTTGAAGATTTTTGTATTTATTTTGAAAAGTGGGGATTTTTTAGGACATTTTTAATTTTCAGTTAAATTTTCAGAAAGCCTGGAATCTTGCTGAAAATGGGCTTAAATTTTGTTTTAAAAGCACATTTTTATTAAATTTCATATAATTTTAATTCCAGGTATTTTTTCAGATCAAAATTCGATTTTTTTGCTGAAAATGAACCTCAATTTTGCATCAAAATCAAAATTTCATCAAATTTCGAACATTTTTTTCAGATTTCCCAATAAAAATATAAAATTTCTGATTTTTTGAGCAAAAAATATCAATTTTTCAGAAAAATCTTGATTTTTCGAGCTCCAGAGCTCATTTTTGCTCAAAAACTGAAAAATGGCTGAAAATTCACAGATTTCCCAATAAAAATATGAAATTTTTGATTTTTTGAGCTAAAAATTTCAATTTTCCAGAGAAATCTTGATTTTTCGAGCTCCACAGCTCATTTTTGCTCAAAAACTACAAAAATGGCTGAAAATTTACAGATTTCCCAATAAAAATATGAAATTTGCTAATTTTTTGAGCTGAAAATATCAATTTTTCAGAGAAATTTTGATTTTTCGAGCTCCAGAGCTCATTTTTTAAGTTAAATTTTCAGAAAACTTGGAATCTTGCTGAAAATCAGTCTAAAATTTGTTTTAAAACCACATTTTCATCAAATTTTGTAAATTTTTTGTTCTAGATCATTTTTTAGATCAAAATTTCACAATTTCCCAAAATTCCCCCTTCAAAACTCCAAAACCCACATCGATAGTATCCTGTGTAAATTGAACCATCTCCTGTTCCCTCCGCAATTTCATTCGAGCCGCCGGTCTTGCTCCAGCCAACCATAGCGTCTTCCTGATGATTGGTCCCAAATATTCGCCGGGCTCTTCTTTGCGCAAAGCCGGAGGGAGTAGTTGATTTGGGAGCGGAGCAATTTGTAGCTCATCGACTCCGAGACCTTTGAGAGCTATTGGGATTGGACAGATGTCTTCGGGTTTTTTACTGGAAAAAATTGGTTTTTTGCGCTGAAAAACATCGGGGAAATGCTGAAAATTCAGCTGAAAATCGAAAATTCGCATTTTCATTCGAAAATCAATTTTAATTTCACGGATTTTTGAAGGAAACTTTGTCATCTCAAGTTTTTTGCGCTGAAAAAATCCCTCTTGCAATAAAATACCTGGGGGAAATGCTGAAAAATCAACTGAAACATTTTTCAGAGACCTGTTTCTCATCTGAAAATCAATTTTATCACAATCTGAGCACGGGATATTGTTCAGAATTGTCGATTTACTGAAAAGGGAAGTACACAGGGTTCCGGAATGAACTTTTGATAAAATATACTAAATCGATCATGCTGATCATGATTCTGAAGTCAAAAACTGTCTGTGGAAACTTCTAGAGCTCCAAAAGAGTTCACAGACAGCTTTTCACTTCAGGATCATGATCAGCATGGTCGTTTTAGTATATTTTATCAAAAGTTCATTCCTGAACCCTGTGTACTTCCCTTTTCAGTAAATCGACAATTCTGAACAATATCCCGTGCTCAGATTGTGATAAAATTGAATTTCAGCTGAATTTTCAGCATTTTCCCGAGGTATTTTGTTGCAAAAAGGGATTTTTTTCGCAGCGTCCACCCAAATTCCTCACGTTCTCAGTTGTTCCGGAATTTCCGGAACATCTTTCGGATTCGGCGTTCCAAACCCAGCTTTTCCATATTTGATTGGCATATCAGTTTTGATCAGCGAATTGGGTCGTCTTCTTCTTGGCGGTGCACTTTGTGTCGGATATTGTGGTTGAGGTAGAGGCGGAAGGAATTGTGGGGTTGGAAGGAATTGCGGAACTACTGGCGCACCGTATTGAGTTGGTGCGTGGATTTGTTGCGGAATTGCGTCGGGTTGTTGGGGTTGTTGGGGTTTGTTGCCGAGGAGAGAAGTGAGATCGATTCCAACGACATTTCTGGAAGAAGACAATTCGTTTCGGTCGAAAAATACACTGATTATCGAGTTAGGGAAACTGTTTTCACTCAAGATTTTTAATAAAATTAATAGTTTCTAATAGTTTTAGACCCACTGATCACGATCCAATGAGTAATGACGTGGCAAAGTTAGAAAATTTCGAAGAATTTTCAAACTTTGCCACGTCATAACGCATTATGAACGATTGGATCGTGATCAGCGGTATAGTTGGACATCGACTAAATGACATGTTCATGTTTTTTAAGCAAGTGAGTTGAAATATTGGATTCTAATGTTATTCATATGGTAGAATGGTATAAGACGAACAGAATGATATAAATTTTGATGACTTTACGTTAGCCATAAGGGATTTAGCGGCTTATCGACTAAACATCGCTAAATCACTTAAGGACAACGTAAACTCATCAAAATTTATATCATTCTGTTCATCTTAGACCATTCTATCATATGAATAACATTAGAACCCAATATTTCAACTCATTTACTCAAAAAAACATGAAAATGTCATTTAGTCGATGTCCAACTATTAGAAAACATTAATTTTATTAAAAATCTCGAGCAGGAACAGTTCCCATAAATCGATAATGCTCAGAGGCTCACAGGGCTCAAGTTTGAAAGATCAGGAGCTCCAGAAGCACAAATCCTACTCACTTAATCGCCTCGGCCAACTCATTTCTCGTCGTCACCGCCGGCACTGCGGCCTTCGCAATCTCCTCTTGTTTCGCTCTCTTCTTCGCCGCCTTCTCCTCATTCATCCGTTTTTCCACCAATGATTGAATCTCGATTCGATCAGCTCGAGTGACTTCAGGATTCGCCATGAAGTTTTTGATCTCGACTAGAATGTTGCGCAATTTCGGCGCAATGTCGAAGAGTTCGAGAAACTCGTTTTTGAGGTCCAACGATTTTTGGACTTGTTCAACGGTTAGCGTTTCTTCCACTTCTTCTTCCTCAACTTCTGGATTCTGATCTTGTTCCTCTCGAACTTCAGGACCTCTAGAATCTTCAGCCTCATCTTCAACATCCATTTCATCATCAGCTGCCGGTTCAGTTTCAGTTTCAGCAATTTGTAGCTGACTTTCTTCTTCATCGTCATCATCAACATCCATGGAATTTCCAGTGTCTTCCACTATTTTTGCCACCGTTTCTTCTACCTCCGTCTGATCCATTTTTGCTGGAAAATTCGGCCATTTTCAAGTGGAAGAATGCGGAAATCGATGAAAAAGGTCACGTTTCATTAAACAAAAAAAAAAGTGAAAACCAGCTCCACAGCCCTCAACAGAAACATCGGTGAGCTAAAGTTGGACATCGACTAAATGACATTTTTGTCGATTTACTGAAAAGGGAAGTACATAAGGTCCAGGAAAAAAACTTGTGATAAAATATAGTGAAGTATACTAAATCGCCCATGCTGATCATGATCCCGAAGTCGAAAGCTGCCTGTGAACACTTCTAGAGCTCCAAAAGAGTTTTTGTTTTCGATCATTTCAGCCATGTTTTAGGGTGAAATTCATTCTTTGACTCTGAACAACATTATCCAGGTTAAACAATTGATTTTTCACCGTAAGACATGGCTGAAATGATCGAAAACAAAAACTCTTTTGGAGCTCTAGAAGTGTTCACAGGCAGCTTTTGACTTCAGGATCATGATCAGCATGGTCGATTTAGTATACTTCACTATATTTTATCAAAGGTTCTTTCCTGGACCTTATGTACTTCCCTTTTCAGTAAATCGACAATTCTGAACTATAGTTAGACATCGACTAAATGACATTTTCATGTTTTTTAAGCAAATGAGTTTAAATATTGGTTTATAATGTTATTCATATGATAGAATGGTCCAAGACGAACAGAATGATATAAATTTTGATGACTTTACGTTACCCATAAGGGATTTAGCGACGTTTAGTCGATAAGCCGCTAAATCACTTATGAATAACGTAAAGTCATCAAAATTTATATCATTCTGTTCGTCTTCGACCATTCTATCCTATGAATACGATTAAAATCCAATATTTCAACTCACTTGCTTAAAAAACATGAAAATGTCATTTAGTCGATGTCTAACTATACAATTCTTCAAAGAAAAAATCCGATTTGGGGTTTTTTCGTGACATTTTTTCACGTCAACCTAAAAAAAAATAAAAATGTTCCCTTTGTTCAGTTTCTCTCTCTATTCACATGGGAAAAGGTGGAAAAAAATTTATTTGATCTACCCCGCTATTTTTCTACATATTTTCGGCGAACTACCATCGATTTTTTTTCATCATTTTGTGTATTTTTTGGCCGTGCGAGCACGTGAAAGATAAGTTTTTCAGGGGTAATTTTATTTTTTTTGTTCCAAAAAGCTAATACCCCCACTCGAATCTTCAAAAACTAGAGAAAGTCTGCGCGCGCTCCCCGAGTTAGTACCGCCTACCAGCTTTTGAAACCCAAAGCCATTCATGATATGATCTGAGTGAGGATTCTTCATTGAATCCCTTTGTTGCGGCCGGAAAACAGTGACGGGAGAGATTTGCATGGGGTTTTGCGCATCGTTTATGATGTTTTTCTGGTGAAGAGTGGGGGAAATGAGAAAGAAAGGGATAATTCTTTGAAAATAACGATTTTCTAGTATTTTTTTTCGCAGGCGATTCAAATATGGCTGGATTTATGGATTTGGTGTGAGATCAACGCTAAGGTATTCAATTCTAAAACATTTTTGAGGGTTTTTAAAAACGAAAACGCCGAAAAAAAAAAACAAAAATAAAACAACAACACTCCGCGAAATGCCTGTTGTTTAGCGCTAAACAACACGCGTCAAACGTAATTTCGCGGAGTATTGTTGTTTTATTTTCATTAAATTTTCATTTTTCGCTGAAAATTGACATTTTCTCGTTGAAAATTGAAAACTTTGTTTATTTTTCGATGAGAAACAATCAATATGTTTATTGGCCGAACATTTTCTAGTCCCCCCATATGTTTTGAAATGGAAAATCCATTATTTTTGATATTTCAAGAAATTTAATGATTTTTTTGTAGAAATGACAGTTACACCAAAAAAGGAGCGAATGGGAAGAAGGAAAAGCGATCCGGGAACTGTTGGAAATCGATCAAATGCGGATAAGTCAGATAGTTTTTTTTTATTTTGAAAAAAAATCAAATTTCTTCAGAATCGCGACTTGTGAGCTACCTTGGGGTGGAACAAGAATGGTGGCATTGGGACCATTGGATTTGACACAATTATCCGGATCTTTCGTCGGACAATCAACACTTTTAGATTTATTCAACATGTTTGAAAGGAAATTGAATTCAGTGATTGAAGATGAGCCAATCGAAAAGCTATTGAATAAAACATTGCAAAGAGGTGGCGATATGTATTTTGATAATCTTTGTCGAACTCTTCACGGTGTATCAGAAGTCTGTCTACCTGCAGTTTTGAAAAATCTACTGATTTGGTATGAAAAATACGAGGAAACGTTGAGTTTATCCATGCTTGCGACGGGTTTGAGCAATGAAAATCGAAATAAACTTGTGAAGAAATTACTGGCGATTAATTATTTGTTTTGCCTGGTTTTGATTGAGATATTGCCGCAAGTTGAATTTCATCTACCACAATGTGATGTGTATATCAAAAAGATTTTGGATATATGTTTTCGAAATGTGCAATATAAAGAGGTGGCACAATTGGGCATCAATAATACGAATCATTTGGTTGTGGCGGAGACTTATGGAGAGGTTATTGGAGTTTTGAGTGGACCCTATTTTTCGCATATTCATAGGTATATTTTTGATTTTTTGAGGGAAATTTTCAGAAATTTTCAATATTTTCACGGCATTTTGATTTAGAAACGTATTTTTCATTCAAAAAACATGTTTTCTAGTGAATTTTTACCTCGATCCTGTTGTCAAAAATTGCAAAACTCGATTCTTGAACTTTGCCACGTCATAACTTATTTTCAGAGTTAGGCTAAGCTATTTTTGACGTCAGGATCTTGATCAGCAGGTCAAAATTCATCTAGGAACCTTTGAAAATACAAATTTTCAATATTTTCACGGCATTTTGATTTAGAAACTAGGAAAAAACGTATTTTTCATCAAAAACATGTTTTCTAGTGAATTTTTACCTCGATCCTGATATCAAAAATCTACTTAGCTCAACTCTGGACTTTGCCACGTCATAACTCATGTTCAGAGTTGAGCTAAGCTATTTTTGACATCAGGATGATGATCAGCAGTTCAAAATTCATCTAGGGACTTTTTAAAATTACAAATTTTCAATATTTTCACGGCATTTTGAACGTGGCAAAGTTTGAAAAATCGTATTTTTCATTCAAAAACATGTTTTCTAGTGAATTTTTACCTCGATCCTGATGTCAAAAACTTCCTATCTCAACTCTGGACTTTGCCACGTCATAACTTGTGTTCAGAGTTGAGCTAAGCTATTTTTGACATCAGGATCTTGATCAGCAGGTTAAAATTCATCTAGGGACCTTTGAAAATACAAATTTTCACGGCCTTTTGAACAAGAAACTATGAAAAATCGTATTTTTCATCAAAAACACGTTTTCTAGTGAATTTTTACCTCGATCCTGATGTCAAAATCTACTTAGCTCAACTCTGGACTTTGCCACGTCATAACTCATGTTCAGAGTTGAGCTAAGCTATATTTGACATCAGGATCTTGATCAGCAGGTTAAAATTTATCCAGGGACCTTTAAAAATAGAAATTTTCACGGCATTTTGAACAAGAAATTGTCAAAAATAAAGAAATTTGAGTTTTCTAGTTGATTTTTACCTGCTGATCATTATCCTGATGTCAAAAACTGCCTATCTCAACTCTGGAACTTTGCCACGTCATAACTCATGTTCAGAGTTGAGCTAACTAGCTTTTGACATCAGGATCTTGATCAGCAGGTCAAAATTCATCTAGGGATTTTCAAAAATATGGAAATTTGTATTTTCTAGTTGATTTTAACGAGCTGATCAAGATCCTGATGTTAAAATCTACTTATTTCAACTCTGAAACTTTGCCACGTCATAACTCATGTTCAGAGTAGAGCTAGGCTATTTTTGACATCAGGATCTTGATCAGCAGGTCAAAATTCATCTAGGAACCTTTGAAAATACAAATTTTCAATATTTTCACGGCATTTTGATTTGGAAACTATGAAAAATCGTATTTTTCATCAAAAAACATGTTTTCTGGTTGATTTTTACCTGCTGATCATTATCCTGATGTCTAAAATTGCAAAATTCAACTCTGAACATGAGTTATGACGTGGGAAATTTTGAAAAATGATTTCAAAAGTTATTTAAAGTAAATTCAAACTTTGCCACGTCATAACTCAGATTTTTCCAGAATCTTCATGACTCATATTAACGAACTAAAAAAGGATATCTCACAAATCGCTTCCCATCAAATAATTGCATTAATAATGGCAATGAAATTTGTGAAAATCAAAACGAATCAAGTGGAAGATTTTGAGATTGGTGTCAAATTTTTGGATGATTTGGCGAGTCTAATGTTGGAAGTCAAAGATAAAGATGTGAAACATGCTGTGATGGGATTGTTGGTTGAGATTCTGTTGCCAGTTGCAGCGCAAATTAAACGGGAGACGAATATTCCGGCGCTGATTTCGTTGGTATCGAAATTGTATTTGCCGACGAATGAGATGACGTCGAAGAAGCAGCATAAATTGGTGAGATTTTCAGAAATTTTTGAAGGTTTTTCACTAGAATCTTGAAGCCTTTCAAGTTCAAAACTAGAAAAAACCAAGATTTCGAAATGAAATATTGTGAAAATGAGGATTTTTCTCGAAATTTCCAGAAATTCTTATAAAATCTGGGCTCAAAATGTTGATTTTGAGCCATTTTTTAATGAATTTTTGAATTTTAATATGACGTGGCAAAAGCCTGTTTTTTGTTTTGAAAATTTTTAAAATTTAAAACGTGACCTAATTTTCAATTTTCAATGTAAGAAGCTAAAAAGATGAGGTTTCCCTCATTTTTTGGTCTGAAAATTGTTGGAAATGCTAGAAATTTTCAAAATGTGCGTTTTTTTCCAGGAATTTCTTTAGGTTTTTATCAGGAATTTGAAATTTCCAGAAAAAACTCAAATTCTATGTTTTTCAGCCTAAAAATTCTGAAATTTTCTTGAATTTTGAAGGAAATTAGCTGATTTTGTCATTTTTTCCTCAAAAAATTGAGCAAAACTCTAGATTTTCAAGAAAAAAGAACTATGACGTGGCAAAATGCTCATTTTTATTAGAAAATTTGAAAAAAAACGTGACCTCCAAAAATTTAAAAAAAAAAATCCACGTGAATTTTGATCATTTTTGATTTTTGAAAATTGGGAAAAGTGTGAGCTTTTGTAGGATTTTTTGTAGGATTTTAAGGATTTTCCAGAAAAAATTGAAAAAATTCTATATTTTTAATCTGAAAACTTTGATAAAATCTAAAAATGTGCAATTTTTTGTCAAAAATTAATCAAAGAATACGGATTTTCAGCTCAAAAATTTAAAAATTGCTTCTGAAAGTTATAATCCAATCTAGAATAATCTAGAAATTCAGAAAAATCTGAAAATTTCTCAAATTTTCTGTTGAAATCTTGATTTTCAGTTGGATTTTGAAGGAAATATGCTTCTTTTGTGAGATTTTCCTAGAAAATTGATGAAAATTTCAGCTTCTCAAAAATAATTCTCAAAAAAATCCCGAAATTTTCCAGGCCGCATTCCCGCTTCAAACGTGCCTGCTCTGTGTTTCCCAAAAACACTTTTTCCTCGCCAATTGGGTGCCATTCCTCAACATTTGCCTGTCTCACCTCAAAAATAATCATTTGCAAGTTGCTCGAGTTGCTCTCGAGAGTTTATACCGGCTGCTGTGGGTTTATATGATTCGAAATAATGCGGATGGAAATGCGGCAACGCGATCGAGATTGGAATCGATTTGTGGAAGTTTGTTCCCGAAGGGAAAATCGATATATTGGTGAGGGATTTGGGGGAAAATTGGGCATTTTTTGGTTAAAAATTGAAATTTTGACATGAAATTTGTGAAAAATCAAAGAAAAAACTTGATTTTTGACTGGGAAATCTGAAATTTTCAATTTTAAGGTATCTGGGCCTAGAATCCCAAAATTCTTACAAATTTAGTGAATCTCTAGAATCCCAAATTCTTCCAATTTAGTAAATCGGGGGCCTAGAAATCCTAATTCTCCTATTTTTTAAATTTCAGTGGCCTAGAAATCCAAATTTTTCAATTCAGTGAATGTTGGGGTCTAGAATCCCAAATTCTTCCATTTTTTTTAGAATTTTGGTGGCCTAGAATATTCAAAAATTATCTGAAACTGAAGTTTTTGTGGCCTACATAGAATTTTAAGCCGAAATTATTTTGAGAGCTTAATTTTTCAAATTTTTGAGCCTTATAACTTGGATCACGGCTCTATTTTCACATTTAAAAAATTTTTAAATATTTTTTTCCAGTTCCACGCGATGCTCCTCTCAACATTTTTGTCAAAATCATCCATTTTATCTCGAATCAAAAACTCGATTTTGCTTTCAAGGTGCGTTGTCTTTTTTTTTGAGGGGGAAATTCAAAATTTAAAACATTTATTGGCATTTGCTATGTATCCGATTGGGGGTTTTATTAACTAACACAGCTTCTGAATGATTTTCTTTCATCTAAGTTTGGAAGTACTGTAGTTTAGATACAGTAGGCAAATTGTGGCAGTTTCGGAGATCTTTCCTGAAAAGTTATGATTTTTGCTAGAAAAAACTATTTTTTTTCGAACTCACTTTTTCTTTTCCAAATTATATATTTATTGGGTAGAGGTCCTATTGTGTCTGTGTTAATTCATAGCATCGAAATTTGTTCATATCCTCGAATTTTCGTGAGATCTTTCCTGAAATAATTATGATTTTTGCTAGAAAAATTGTATATTTTTGCCAAACTCACATTTTTTTCTCTTCAAAATCAGCCCGTAACGACATTTGCTCCGTCGGAAAATTTTTGAAAATTTCATTATTTTTTTGAGTACTGTAGTTTAGATACAGTTGGCATTTTGAAGACTTTTTTTCATGATTGGAGCCAAAAAATGTTCTCAGAAGAAAATTGAGTTCTGAAAATTGAAGATTCAAAAAATTTTGTAATTATTTTTTGTTTCAAATTCAACTTACCCTAATTTCAATTGTGTGGGATTTTTGAGATGCTATGCTCGGTTCGGCGTAGAAAAAAGTGTAGGTTTTTTTGAAAATCAGAAAAGTTGTTGGGAAGATTACTGTAGTTTAGATACGGTACTCGATTTTGTTCGATTTTTTTTTGGACTCAACTACTCCGAATAGGGAGGATACGGGCTTTTCAAATTTTTCTAGACGCAGATCTGGAAAATGGATGTTCTAGAAGTTTTTTTTTTGTGATTTTTCAAACTCACATTTTTCTTCTCTTTTCAAAATCAGCCGAACTCGTACTTTGTGGTATAGGATGTTTAGAAAATTCCATAAATTTTTGAAATTTGGAGTACTGTAGTTTAGATACAGTAATACTTTTTTGTCGATTTTTCGGAGATTTTTCACCTGAAATTTTGTAATTTTTGCTAGATAGCTTTAGTTTTTAAGCTTACATTTTTTTTCATTTTCCAAAAATAGTAAAGCAGAATTGCATTCTTGTTTGAAATATTTATAATTTTTATTGATTTTTGAAGAATAGGATTGAATCGTCTCCGGGTTTTCTGAAAATTTTCTGAAAAATTATGATTTTTTACGATAGAAAATCTTTGACTCACTCTCAATATTTTTTACTCCTAATAAAATCAGCCGAACTCGTACTTTGTGGTATAGGATGTTTAGAAAATTCCATAAATTTTTGGAGTACTGTAGTTTAGATACAGTAATACTTTTTACACATTTTTTTAATGAAAAAGTAGAGAAAAATGAGAAAGACGCCGTGGACAGAAAAAAGACGCGGAGATAATATTGATTTTTTCTGTGTCGAGAAATAGTGTTGGCTAGAGAAATGTCTCTCATTTTTCCCACTTTTTTTGGTGGGAAATTTGAAAATTGCGAGATTTTGTATTTTTCCTGGAAATTTCAAAAGAAAAAAACGATTTTGAACAATTTTTTTCCACATTTTTTATTAAAAGTTCAACATATAAAATCGAAAATTAGTATCTTCTGATTTTCCAACGAATTACTGTAGTTTAGGCAATTTGTGGCATTTTTTGAGATGTTTTCCTGAAAAAATCTATATTTACAACAGAAAATCTGGAAAAACTTGAACTCACTTTTTTTCTCACAAAAATCTGTGGTATTCCTTATATGAGAAATCGATTTATCTTAATTTGAAGGGTTAGCTGAGTTTTCGAAAATATTTTTCGGTATGATTTATTTTTCGATCGATAATTTAATCGGGAAGATTACTGTAGTCTAGATACAGTATTCACAAATTTGTATATAACTTTGCTTATAGCCGCTTGGTTTGTTTGGCTCGTCATTTTTCCTAGCAATTTCAAAAAATCTTCGAATTCTTGTTTGTTCTGAAAAATAGTTGATTTTGGAAAAATTGGAGAATTTATGAAAAGTTACCATTTTGAAGCATTTAATCAGGAAGATTACTGTAGTTTAGATACAGTATTCTAATTTTGATATTTTCTTTCATGATAATGATTCTTTCCATAATGCTGAGAGTTCCAAAAATCGTCAATTATTTGACGTAATTTTTTATATCCGTATAGGTTCTGAAAAAAATGATGATTTATATTTGGAAAATTTTTGAAAGAGAATCAATTTACCTTTATTCGCCTTAAAGTTCAGAATTAGAAGAGAGTACTGTAATCTAGATACAGTATTTTTAATATGGCTATTTTATATCTGAAACTGGAAATAATTATGAGAGTCAGGGTAACTTGAAAGCCGACTTACCTTAATTTCTGCTCCCGTTGTTTTCATAACATGAGATAATTGAATTTTTGGAAGATAACTGTAGTCTAGATACAGTATTGACAAGTTTGAATATATTTAGAGAAAATAGAATATTCATAATATAATAATGAGCAAAACTGGGCTTCTTATAAGGAAAGTGGGCGTGGCCTAATTTGCCCCGCCTTCTTACCGGGTACTTGAAGGATTATGGGAAAATTTGCCGATTTTGGGAAGAATTTTAGACATGTGCCTGGAATTGATGTGTTTTTGAAAGGGTGTGAAGAGTTTGAAAATGGGGAGATCTTTTGATTTGAGCGGCTATGGAAGATGGGAATTTGGGAAGATTTTATTTGAAAAATTTGATTTTTATTGAAGTTCAGAAGCATTTTTGAAATTTACACTCAAAATTGTGATTTTTAGCAGGAATTGTGATCTTCAGACTACTTGAAACCTATTTTTCCAAACTTTTTTTTTCCGGAAATTTATACGTTTCAATTGATTTGTATTGTTTTGCTTGCATTTGAGAAAATTTAATAACTATTTTTGAGATTTTTTGAGATAAAAAAAATATAATAGAAAATATTTATTTTGAGAAAAGAAGTAATTCAGGCTGAAAATTTGATTTCTAAAAATACAGGAAAACGTGTTTCCCAAATTTAATTACCTGAATTTATGTAGATTATTAGAATCTGAAAGTTTTCCCGAGTTTTTTCAAATTCGAATTTTAATGATGAGGATTTATTTCATTATAACCAAAAAAAAATACAAGTTACTGTAATTTAGATACGGTAGTTTTGTGCAGATGTAATTTGATACCGTGGGTGGGAATGTTTTCGGTTTTGGGCACTGAAAATATGAATTTAAATTTTGAAGAATATTTTTTTTACCAATTTCAACTTACTGTATCTAGTTTATGTAGAATTTTGTTTGAAATTCAAATGTTTAACAGACCATGTACCGATAAGGATGAACAGGAGTTTTTTGAGCAATCTGCAAAAAAAAACCGTGGAATTTATGAAAATAAAATTTTTAGTGGAAAGTTTATGTTTTTAACTCACGATTCGACAGAAATGAATTTTGCAATCATCAATTTTCGATATAGGTTTTTGGCACGAATTACTGTAGTTTAGATTCAATATTCTTATTGATAACATTTTTTATCTAGTTTTTCGGATCTAATTTTTCGGCTACTGTATTTTCTCTAGAGTGTTTCTTTGGCCCGAGATCTGAAAACGAAATTTTTGGATTTTTTTTGTATGTGGAACTCACGCGCTCCATGACATGTAATAGGATTTTCTTAAAAATCATTTAGGTACCATCTCTGCTACCAAAAAAGTAATCATTGTATAAAACACGATTCTAAAAAAAATAAAAATTTTTAGTGGAAAGTTTCTGTTTTTAAGTTCAACTCACTGTTCCTTGGTTATGAATTTCACAACTTTCGATTTAGTTTTTGGCACAAATTACTGTAGTTTAGATACAATATTCTTTCTTTTCAACATTTTTTGATCTTTTTTTGAGGTATTTTTCGCTCATTCCTTTTAATTTGTATTGGAAGCAATTCTGAAAATTGAATTTTAGACGGTTTTCTGGCTTTTTCCAACTCACTCACGGAGGCATTTTTCTTCAAATTTCTTCTTCAATGAAATTCTGAGAGTACTGTAGTCTAGATACAATAATTGATGATTTCGAAAATATTTCTCCCGATCTCCTGTGTGCGCTGAAAAATGTAATCTGCCTGAATCTTGGGATTTCAAGCTCACTAGTTTGAAGTTTTCTGTTTTCTTGAAATCAATAATTATTTTTGATGGATTTCGAGGTCTGAAAATTGGGAATTTTTTTGTGGTTTTTTTCCTGAAAATAAGATTCTTGCTACATTGAAAAATTGTATTTTTATTCAAACTCACTTTTTTAAACTCAAAAATCAGTGGAATTCCTCATGACTGAAATCGGTTCTTCATTATCTCACTAAATTATGGTTCGGGAATATTTGGACATTGGGTATAAGTTCTGTAGAAACAGTTCTTGATAGTACTGTAGTTTAGATACAGTATCAAATTGTGGATCTGAAAATTTCAGTCATGTTTTTGGAAATTTTTCTGGTTTTACAACTCACCAGTTATACAGTAATCTTTAATATCTTCAATATATATATTCACAGTTTTGTAGTTGATTATGAGAAATAATTTTCGGTCAATATTGTTGACCAAAACACGGCAACGAATGTTCTTTGGTCTTTGATTTTCGAATAAATTGGTAGTTTTTGATAGTACTGTAGTTTAGATACAGTAGTTCTGAAAATTTTGAAATTAATATTTAAAAAATAAAAAAAGTTTTGATCAATCGATAGAATAAAAAAAGTGTGTGGCGTTCTTTTTTGTTTATAAAAAGAGAAGAAGCGATCAAAGTGTAATAAACAATGTTTTATTGGATGGAAAGTTAGCAGATGTTCTTTTTTTGACTAAAAATGTCAGAAAAAAAGAGGAAACAATTACAAAAATTCGAAATTTTTAAACCTAACTTCTATGAGGTATAATCGAATTACCGTAGTTTAGATACGGTATTTTTACGAATTTACCAGAAATTATTGTGCTAATCATTTTTTTTCAAAATCTCACCAAAATTATCAATTTATTGAAGAACTGGCATAGGTTCATTCAGGAAAAACTACTGTAGATTATTTTGGAGATAGTACTGTAGTTTAGATACAGTGAAAATTTTGAATTTTCTATTGTCGAACACAAAATAAAGAATGAAAATGTGTAGACGCTCTTTTTTTCATTTAAAAAAGAGATGGTGAGTCAATATTGTAAAGAAAATATTTATTTTTATTGAACTGCCACGTGTTTTTTTGCTGAATTTCAAATTAAATTTGATGCTCCAAATTTTAGGGCTCAAAAATATGCTCATAGAAGGTTCTGGCTCAAAATTATGAATTTATTGGAATATATGGAAAACAATATAAACAATATATTTTTTCGTAGAAATCGATGAAAATTCGACGAGAACTAGGAATATACTATTGATTTGTAATGATTTTTCCCGGAGAAAAATCACAAAACTTGAGAAATTTGAGAAAAAAACTGCAATTCTGAAATTTTGGACCAACTTTTCTGAAAATCGTCATTCCACATCACACACACATTCTTGAAATTATAATTTATTTTTAATTAGTTCACACCATAACAACAAAAAAGGTTAATATTTTAGCAATAATTTGTGGTGGCAGAAAACAGTTGTCAGTATATGAATCGCACACGATTCGCGGGGCTCATGGTTCTCGCAGGTTACAATGATAGAAGCAGGAAATTCTAAGTACTGTAGTCTGGATACAGTAATAATTATGTTAATTTTCTTAATTGCAATGAGTTTCTTGGGTAGTATAGTTGGTCTTCTGAATTTGTGACTGTTCTCCTCTATGATTTGAACATCGTGTCTTTTTTTCTGAAAAAATTGATTTTTGTTGGAAAAATTTAGGAAAGTTTCAACTTACATTAGAACTTTAGATGATTTGATATAAGTACTGTAGTTTAGATACAGTATGCAATTGATTGATGCTATTTATCCAGGCTTTAGTGTCCATGCTTTGTGAGAGTAGTAGTTCTGCAAAAATGTTTGAATATTTTTCCGCAACAGCTTTTTTCAACATACTTTTTTTAAAAATATATGGATGTCATTGAAATTTCGTCTACGATCATCTTGGTGACAAGTTCTGCGGTTTTGTCGTCGTAGTTTCTCGGAAGCAGCACGGTAGTGATGGCGACGACGTTAGGTTGGTAACATATTTCGAAATGCTTTTCGACAGTTCAGTTACATTTGATTACTGTAGTCTAGATACAGTATATCTATATTTTAGCTGATTTTTGACCATCTCTTGGTTAATTTATGGAATCATCTGGTAGAATGATGATGGTAACATCTGAAGGCGGAATCGAATAATAAGTACTGTAGTCTAGATACAGTATACAAATAGGTTGATTTTATATATCCAGTGTGGGTAGGATTCTAGGGTTCTGAAAAAATTTTTTGAATATTTTTCCGCAATAGCTTTTTTTTTCAACTTACCTCAGCTGATGAGTACTGTAATTTAGATACAGTATTGTGATTTTGGTATTTTTCATTGACTAGTTGTTGTTCGATTAAATATCTATAAGCACGTTTTGTATGTGTGTTTTTCAGTTTAGCTCTGGAAAAATTGGATTTATTTTTCATAATTTTTCTGAGTTCTTAACTTACCTTATTTATTTTCAGCTTTTTCAAAAGACATCAAATATTTGATAAACTACAGCTTTTAGATAAATATTGGGAAGATTACTGTAGTCTAGATACAGTTTTTATAGGCTGACAATGTTTTTCTTGAAATCTTCTTGGTCTATTGATAGGAATCCTTTTTCATCTTGTTGGTCTGTAAAAATATTTTTTTTGAAAAATTTTTTTGGGATTTTCAACTTACCCAATATAAAAAGGCCAGATTGTTTTCTGTGTTTTTGATCTCTGAAAAAAAAAGTTTAAAGAAAATTTTCATTTTTTAAACCTAACCGTTTTCATACTTATACATGGTAGTGATCTTCATCATATTTCTAGGCTAATTCTGTGAGATAATTGAATTTTTGGAAGATTACTGTAGTCTAGATACAGTATTGACAAGTTTGAATATATTTAGAGAAAAAAGAATATTCATGATATAATTATGAGCAAAACTGGGCTCCTTATAAAGAAAGTGGGCGTGGCCTAATTTGCCCCGCCTTCTTACCGGGTACTTGAAGGAATATGGGAAAATTTGCCGATTTTGGGAAGAATTTTAGACATGTGCCTGGAATTGATGTGTTTTTGAAAGGGTGTGAAGAGTTTGAAAATGCGGGAGATCTTTTGATTTGAGCGGCTTTGGAAGATGGGAATTTGGGAAGATTTTTTTTGAAAAAAATGAAATTCATTGAAATTTTTAATTTTCAGATTCCTTAAAAAAATTTCTGAAAATTGAAGTTACTCGGAATTTTGAGCTCAAAAATTTAATTTGAAATTAAAATATTGAAACATCTGAAAAATGGCCCAAAACTCATATTTTGACACAAAAAACGGCCGAAAATTGAAAATCCTAAAAAATTTCCTCTATTATCATTAGAGCGCACTTTCTCTACTCCTCGTTATAGGAGAGGGAAGATTTTTTTTTCGAATTTTTCTGCCAAATTTTAAATTTGATTTTTTTTTCAACAATAATTGTTGTAATTAAAATTTTGAGCTCAAAATTTCGAGTTTTGTTATCCAAAAGATTTTTCAAAACCAAAACCACAATTTGTTTTCGAAAAATTTCAATTTTTTTACAGGAAATCATCTTTGATCTACTATGCGTCAACAGAACTCAAAGATCTTTATACGCCGAAAGAATGAACATTGGCATCCGCGCTCTAATGGTAATCGCAGACGGTTTACAACAGAAGGATGATCCACCAGCAATGCCGAAATCAATGGGACCATTAGCCAGTGGAACTGTTCATAAAATGCGCAAAAAACAATATATCACAAGACCACTAACTGCAGAAATATCAAAAACAATTGGAATCGATCAATTCTATCCGCAATGCCGCAAAGCTTTTGATAATATTCTGCGAATTCTTGACACACAAATTGGCAAACCTTTGATGATGTCAACTGTGCAAAGTAGAGGAAAAGAACCCGAAGAATTGATATCTGGAGATGCGAAACCGAAATTAGATTTGTTTCGGACTTGTATCGCAGCGATTCCGCGATTATTACCAGAACCCATGGGATATGTGGAACTTATTGATATCTTGACAAGATTGACTGTTCATATTGATGAGGAATTGAGGAATATGTCGGGACTGACGTTGCAAACAATTATTGGAGAGTTTTGCGAGTGGAGAGAGCAGGTTTTTGTTGCGCAGCTCTCGCTGATTCAGACACAGATTTCGGATTTTTACCCGCAAGTTTTGGATGATTCGCTGAGGTTGTTGTTGCAATTGTTGACGACGTGGAAAGCGGCGATTGTTGTGGAGAAGAAGCGGTGAGTAGTTTAGAAATATTTGAAAAAAATCAGATTTTTAATGATTTTTAACTTGAAAATTGTGTAATTTTGGTCTGAGATTATGAAAATTGAATTTTTCATCAATTTTTCAATTGAAAACTTTATTTTTTCGCCTCAGGAGCAGGAAAATTGGATTTTGAATGATTTTTAACTTGAAAATCGTCTAATTTTGGTCTGAGATCATGAAAATTGAATTTTTGGTAAAAAATTTGTGATTTTTTGCCAGAAAATGAATTTTCATGAATTTTTCAATTGAAAACTTTTAATTTTTCGCCTCAGGAGCAGGAAAATTGGATTTTTAATGATTTTTAACTTGAAAATTGAATTTTTGGTCAAAATTTGTGATTATCCGGTCCAGTAATATAATTTTTCATGATTTTTCAATTGAAAAATTTATTTTTTCGCCTCAGGAGCAGGAAAATCAGATTTTTAATGATTTTTAACTTGAAAATTGTGTCATTTTGGTCTGAGATTATGGAAATTGAATTTTTAGTTGAAAATTGTGATTTTTCGCAAGGAAATTGAATTTTTCATGATTTTTCAGTAGAAAACTTCATTTTTCGCCTCAGGAGCAGGAAAATTGAATTTTTAACTTGAAAATTGGATTTTTGGTCAAAATTTGTGATTATCCGGTCCAGTAATATAATTTTTCATGATTTTTCAATTGAAAACTATAATTTTTCGCCTCAGCAGCAGGAAAATCAGATTTTTGGTGATTTTTAACTGAAAAATTGTGTAAATTTGACCTGAGATAGAATTTTTGGTCAAAATTTGTGATTTTTCGCAAGGAAATTGAATTTTTCATGATTTTTCAATTGAAAAATTTATTTTTTCGCCTCAAAAGCTGGAAAATCAGATTTTTAGTGATTTTTAACTTGAAAATCGTGCAAATTTGGCCTGAGATTATGAAAATTGAATTTTTGGTAAAAAATTTGTGATTTTTCGCAAGGAAATTGAATTTTTCATGAATTTTTCAATTGAAAACTTTATTTTTTTGCCTCAGGAGCAGGAAAATTGAATTTTTAATGATTTTTAACTAGAAAATTGTGTAAATTTGGTCTGAAATCATGAAAAAGGTGATTTTCTGGTTCGGGACCACGAAAACTGGGTTTTTCATATATTTTCGGCATTGCGTGGTTCTAAAATGAAAAATTTTGCAATTTTTCATCTAGAACCACGAAAATTGCACTTTTAATGGTTTTTTGATTTTAAATTCGAATTTCCCGGTCAAATTTTTGGTCTGGGACCACAAAAATCGGATTTTTCAATTTTTAATCCAATTTCTGAAGTTGCGGTTCTGAAATTTGAAAATGAACAGATCTAGCTCTAAATTTTCAAATTTTACCACTTACAAATGATAACTCATATTAGAAGTTAACTCATATTAGAAGTATTACGCCTCTTATTTTTTCCAGAGCCGAATCCGCACCATCAGCCCAACTTAGCCCAATTCAATCGCATCAACGAAGTGCCACGTCACCGAATACCGTATCCTCGGTCACAAGTAGTATTCTATCCGGAACCGCCTCTTCTCTTTGCTCATTGCCCGAGGAGAGTTGTTCGATAAGTGGTGGAAGTATGGGAGGAGGAGGTGGAACGAGTAGTGCAGGAACACCCACGAATTCGAGCTCGCAATTGAATACACCGCAGAGTAAAGCGGATTTGAGGTACGGTGGGGAATTTTCTGAAATTCTAGATTTAGAACTTCAAAATCTAGAAAAACAATTTTGAAAAAAAAATCAAAATGAGCCTGAAATGTTCTAGAAATCCAAAAATCCACGTGGCACAATTTTCTGAAAAAAATTCAAATGAGCCTGAAAAATTCAAGAAATCTGAGCTTAAATTGGGCTCAAAATGCTCCAAAAAAAATCCACGTGGCATAAATTTTCTGAAAAAAAGTTCAAATTGAGATTGGAAAATTCTAGAAGTCTGAGCCTAAATTAAGCCTAGGACTAGTCATATTCGGGCTCAAAATGATCCAAAATTTTTGAAAAAAAATCCACGTGGCAAAATTTTGTCTGAAAATTCAAATTGAGCCTGAAAAATTCTGAAATTCTAGATTTACAACTTTAAAATCTAGAAAATAATTTTGAAAATAATCCACGTGGCAAAAGATTGTATGAAAATGATTGAAATTGAGCCTGAAATGTTCTAGAAATCCAAAAATCCACGTGGTAAAATTATCTGAAAAAAATTTCAAATTGAGCCTGAAAATTTCTAGAAGTCTGAGCCTAAATTAAGCATAGGACTAGTCATTTTTGGGCTCAAAATGCTCCAAAAAATCCACGTGGCACAATTTTAAGTGAAAAATTTAAGTTGAGATTAAAAAATTCTAGAAATTCTAGGTCTACAACTTGGAAAACCTGAAATTTGGACCAAAATTAAGCCTAAACTATGAGCTTAGTCATATTTGGGCTCAAAATGCTCCAAAATTTTTGAAAAAAAAAACCCACGTGGCAAAATTTTCTGAAAAAAATTCCAAATGAGCCTGAAAAATTCCAGAAATCTGGTCTAAGCCTAGTCATATTTAGACTCAAAATGATCCAAAAAAATCCACGTGGCACAATTTTCTGAAAAAAAAGAGTTCAAATTTAGATTGAAAATTTCTGGAAATCTGGTCTAAGCCTAGTCATATTCGGGCTCAAAATGCTCCAAAAATGCTCCAAAACCATCAGATCCTTTTCATTTTCCAGCTCAAATTCTGGCGGAGGTGGACTTGTTCATGTCTTACACTCAATCGAAGGTCTCGCCATTGTCTATTTGTGTCAAACCCGTTCCCAGCCCAAAAAACTCGCGATTTCTCTCCTCAAAGAAGTCAAAATCATCTTCGACTTATTGCAACTCGAAAATTCCAACTCCGCACCGCCGGATCAACCTGTAATTACAGTACTCGATCAAGCGACTCCCTATGTTGTCAGAAAATATATTGAACATGTTCCTTTAAAGGAGCGAATGTCGTGGAATATGGATTTTGCGTCGGTTTGCGAGAAAATTTCGACAATTGAAACTGATAATACTCTGGTGAATAGTGATCGGGGAAATGAGTATTTTCAATGGGATCCGTGGGGTTGTGCACTCAGTGGATATGCGGAGATGAGGCATTTGTTGAAGAGATGTCCGATGGCTGTGGCGGCTGCGTGGCCTATTTTATTTGCCAGATTGAATGCGGTGTCGGGATATGTTGATCCAAAGTAGGGGAGGGTTTTGGGGGGGGGGGAATTTTGTTTGGAAATCGAAAAATCTATTATTTTTATCCAAAATCTATGATTTTTCTTCAATTTTCATTTAAAAATGCGATTTTTCGAATTGGAACAGCCAAAAGTATCAAAAATTTCAATTTCGCCACAAATTTTGAGTCATTGAAATTGTGATTTTTCAATTGAAAACTTTAATTTTTTGCCCCAGGAGCAGGAAAATCAGATTTTTAATGATTTTTAACTTGAAAATTGTGTAATTTTGGTCTGAGATTATGGAAATTGGATTTTTAGTTGAAAATTGTGATTATCCGCAAGGAAATTGAATTTTTCATGATTTTTCAATTGAAAACTTTATTTTTTTGCCTCAGGAGCTGGAAAATTGGATTTTTGATGATTTTAACTTGAAAATCGTCTAATTTTGGTCTGGGACCATGAAAATTGGATTTTTGGCCAATATTTGTGAATTTTTCATGATTTTTTTATTAAAAATGCGATTTTTCGAATTGGAACACCCAAAAGTATCGAAAATTTCAAATTCGCCCTAAATTTTGGATCTGGGACCAGTTTTTCTCATTTTAAACTAGGAAATTGTGTAATTTTGGTCTGAGATTATGAAAATTGGATTTTTGGAGGTTTTTTAGTCAAAACTTGTAATTTTTCGATTCGGGACCACCATACGTCGCATACCCTCGTTTCAAATCCACCAGTGCACACCCCTGTGTTTGAAAATTTTTGGCAAAAGGGATAACCCCCCCCCTTTTCCTTTTTCATTTTCAGCTAAATAAACTTGACAATCTAAATTTTTTATAAACTTTTAGCTCAAAATTGCTTCACTTCGGCAAATATTCTCATCTTCTCCGCTTTTGAGTCGAATTTCGATTCAAAAATTCAAATTTTTCAAAAACAAAAAAAAAATACGTTTCAAAATTTTGATATAATTTATTATCAATTTTTTTTCAATGCTCCCACCTTTAACCCTAAACCTACCTAATTGACCCTAAATGATAAATCCTATGACAATAAATCAAAACCAAAATTCTCAAAATTTGGATGAAAATGTTGAAATTATCGATTTTTGAATCAAAATTCGTGGAAATTTTAATCACTCCAAATAAGTGTTAGAGTAAAAAGCTTAGAAAATTTCTTCAAAATGCTTTCTCAAGTGACATCCCCTTCCAAAAACTGGGGTGAGTGATAACCCCTCCTCGGGTCGATTACCCCACGCATGCGACGTATGGGGACCACGAAAATTGGATTTTTGGTAAATTTTCGGATCACCGTGATTTTAAAATGAAAAATCTTGCAATTTTTTCATGTAGAACCACGAAAATTGGATTTTTGGATGATTTTTAATTTTTAAATTCAAATTTCGCGCAAAATTTTGGGTCTGGGATCATGAAAATTGGGTTTTTGGTCAAAAATTTGTGAATTTCTGCATTGGGACCACAAAAATTGAATTTTTCATAATTTTGAAATTGAAAACGTTAGTTTTTGCTCTGGAGCAGAAAAATTTAATTTTAAAATAAAAAATTATGCAAAAAAATGTCACGTGAAACGTGAAAATTTTTCATTTTTTCTCATTTGCAACAAAAATTACCACATCATTTCTCATTTTTCCAGCAATCCGCAAAATGAAAGTCGTTCTTCACTTCTCCGCGGATCGAAAAGCAAAGGAACCTCATCGATTTTTGGCGAACAACTCGGACACGAAGCATGTTTGGCACTTTGGCAGAAATATCTGATAATGTGTTGTGCACTGGCACCGGCACCTTATAATTTGTCGCAGCGCAGTTTTAGCCCGACGAATTCGTGAGTTATCGGGGGAACTTTTTTTCAGGGGAAATTGATTTTTTAAAAAATTTTCACTCTGAAGTTTGCTATCTGAATTTTAGTTAAGAAAAATATTTTTGGAAAAATGTTTTTGGAAAACCCGAATTTTACGCTGAAAATTTAAAATTTCCAGTAAAAAATTCAAAAAGCCGACTTTTGAGCTCATAAATATGAATTTTAAAAAATTTGGGAGCTTGAATTGTTGAGCAAAAACTTTTGGCTGAAAAAAAATTTCAAGTTTCAGATAAATTTTTGATTTGAAATTTTGCTCAAAAATAAAATTTTTGGAATCTAAAACATTTTTCAGAATTGTTATGAAAAAAAAAATTTTTTGAGAAAAACTGAAAATTTCTAATTTCTAATTTTGAAACCCGAATTTTGAGCTCATAAATATGAATTTTAAAAAATTTGGGAGCTTGAATTTTTGAGCAAAAACTTTTGGCTGCACATTTGAGCTCAATTTTGGAAAAAAATTCAAGTTTCTGATGAATTTTCGATTGAAAACTGAAATTTGGATCAAAAATTCCACTCTGCAGTTTGTTATCAAAATTCTAGTTCAGAATCTTTGGTTTTCTGATTTTTTGAAAAAAATTGTTTCATAAAAACACCCTAATTTTGAGCTCAGAAATTGAGCCCCAAAAAATTTGGCTCTATGAGCTCCTAGAATTTTTAGAGCAAAGTTTCCCTCTCCTCTTAAAACCCCCGATTTTTGCAGCCTCGACGGACCATCGGATGTTTTTCGCTCCGTATCCGCTTCACTGCGAAGTTCAAGAACCCCGGTGCCCAACTCATTATCGCAATTAATATCAAAAGCTTGCACAATTTTGAGATGGGAAAATCTGACGGATATTCGAGATAGTGTTGTGCTCGGAGTTGGCTCGATAAATCCACTGGTATTCGAGATGCTTTTGGATGAATTGAAATCGAATGGGATTTTGAGAGAGGCGACGGAGAAGAAGGCGGAGACGAATTTGAGAAGACGGAAACGCAAGGATTTGCTACGTCTTCAGATTATTAGAATTATTGAGATTGCGGTGTTTCGCGGGCTTTTGATGGTTTCGTCGACGTCGAATTCGAACTCAAATCCAGAATACACGTTGAATCCGCTGATTGTGGAGTTTATTGATTCGATGCGAATAAATTTGGAAAATGATCATGATCGCGATATAAATGTGGTGACGAAGTTGCGGTTGCATTTTGCCAAATTGATTCATTTGATCATTGATGCCACGCCACATTTGGCTAGACATTGTGAGGATTTTTGGGCGAAAATTATAGACTTTTTTGGACCCCTCAAATTTGAGGTCCATTCTATATTTTAAAAATTAAAAAATTCATAAAAAATGAATTTTTCATTCTGAAATTCTTGATTTTTGATAGAAGTTCGAGAATTTTTTTGGAAAAATTTGAAAAATTGAATCTGAAAGGAATTGGAAAAAAAAAGGAAAAATTTGAAAAATTGAATCTGAAAGGAATTTTTTCGAAATTTTGATTGAAAATTGTGCTTTTTCATCTAGATTTTTTGGACCCCTTAAATTTGAGCTCCATTTTATATTTTGAAAATTTAAAAAAATCCCTGAAAATCGTCTATTTCATCCTGAAGTTTCTAATTTTTGACAGATTTCATAGAATTTTGTGGAAAAATATTTGAAAAATTGAATCTGAAAGGAATTTATTTGAAATTTCAATGAAATTGATTTTTCAGAGAATTTATTTACAAAAAAATAGGCTTGTCGATAATTTACAAAAAAAATATTTTTCCAAACCCCAAAAATTTTCTCTGTTTCAAAATTTCTCAATAATCTTTCTGGTAATGTTTGAGCTAGTGCAAGAGGGAAATTGGATAATTTCAAATTTTTGATTAATTTTTAATTTTTTTTTTGAAAAAACTGTAATTTTAAGTGATTTTTCCCTAATAATCAACTGCTCCAAAAAATTCACTGAAAATTTTTCACTCAAAAAATATTTTTCCAAACTCCAAAAATGTTCACTGTTTCAAAATTTCTCAATAATATTTCTGGTAATTTTTGAGCTAGTGAAACAGGGAATGTCGATAATTTCAATTTTTAATTAATTTTTAATTTTTTTTTTTTGAAAAAATTGTAATTTTAAGTGATTTTTCCCTAATAATCAACTGCTCCAAAAAATTCACTGAAAATTTTTCACTCAAAAAATATTTTTCCAAACTCCAAAAATGTTCACTGTTTCAAAATTTCTCAATAATATTTCTGGTAATTTTTGAGCTAGTGAAACAGGGAATGTCGATAATTTCAATTTTTAATTAATTTTTAATTTTTTTTTTTGAAAAAATTGTAATTTTAAGTGATTTTTCCCTAATAATCAACTGCTCCAAAAAATTCACTGAAAATTTTTCACTCAAAAAATATTTTTCCAAACTCCAAAAATGTTCACTGTTTCAAAATTTCTCAATAATATTTCTGGTAATTTTTGAGCTAGTGAAACAGGGAATGTCGATAATTTCAATTTTTAATTAATTTTTAATTTTTTTTTTGAAAAAATTGTAATTTTAAGTGATTTTTCCCCTAATAATCAACTTCTTCACAAAAAATATTTTTCCAAACCCCAAAAATTTTCACTGTTTCAAAATTGCTCAATAATCTTTCTGGTAATTTTTGAGCTAGTGCTACAGTGAAATTCGATAATTTCAATTTTTGATTAATTTTTAATTTATTTTTTGAAAAAAACTGTAGTTTTAAGTGATATTTCCCTAATAATCTGAAAATTTAAAAAAAAAAATATTTTTCCAAACCCCAAAAATTTTACGTTTCAAAAAATTCCCAAATATTTGTTGGGATCTATACAAATTTGCTGGGGTGTAAAGCTATTAACCAAAAAAAACTGACCGTAGACAAATGCACAAATGGATGATCAGCCGGTGCTTCAGATTGTGTCTTCGATATTTGTGGCAGAAAATTTATTTTGTTTTAAACCTGAACCTAAATTAATAATAATAATAATAATAGTTTATTCATAAAACATAGTTATTTGACCCGAGCTCGTACCCGAAAAAAAAAAAAAATTATTATTTTTGCAGCACTTTTCAACGAGGAACGCCGTCAAAATTTGTTCTATCTATTTATTGGATGGTGTTCGCGCGCTATTGCCGCTGATCGAAAATATCGAGATCGAGAAGTTGGATCGTATGTGGAGCAGAAATCTGTGCTAGCAATGACTCGAATCCTTTGCTGTGGACCCATTTTTGAACCGGCGAAATCGATTGGAGAAGATGGAAGTTTGTATGGATGGCTGGAGAAATTGATTGTGTCCACTAATCCGATTGTGAGTTTCAAAATTCTCACGAAAAAATTCGGGGGAAAAATACGTTTCAAAAATACGTGTTTTCGAAAATTTTGATTTTTATATTTAATTCGGGCCATATTTGTTCCAAGCCTATAATTTTTATTTAAAAAAAAGTGAATCTGAAAATCTGAAAATTACTCTGGATAGAAATTTTGAAATTTTCTCTCGCGAAATTTGTTTTCATCCGAAAATTCTTGATTTCAGACTGAAATTTTCAGTTGAGAAAAAATGATTTGAAAAAACTCCGAAAAATACGTTTCAAAAAAATTATTTTTGAAAATTTTGGTTCTTATATTCAATAATTTTAGGGCCTCATACAAATTTATATTTTCTATGGTTTCTAAAATTCCTAAAAATTTTAAAATTCAAATTATTCATTTTTTTTCTGCAGAAAATTCTAAATCTTCTAATATGAAAATTACTGTAGACAGAAAATTTTGGAATTCAAAAAAAATTTTCTTTCGCGAAATTTTTTTCATCCAAAAATTCTTGATTTCAGAATCAGCTAAGAAAAAATTATTTTTGAAAATTTTTGGTTTTCATATTCAATAATTCCAGGGTTTCATATTGATTTTCAGCCAAATCTTAAAATTCAAAAAAATATTCATTTTTTTCTTCTGCAGATGCAATCAGAAGTTGAAGAAATGTTGGCGTGGATGCTTGAACTCAATGAATCTGGATATCTATTGGACTGGCTTATGATGCAATGCTACACGCAATCCTCGTCAGTCGCTTGCCGCTGTTTCCGCGCGTTGGTTCGCGTTTTTTCGCGACGCGATTTTCCGTGCGAATTTGTGTCGCTGTTCGTTTTGTGTCAATCGATGTTGGCGGTGGCGTCGGTCACCGATTGTGCACTTCATATGATTGAGATTTTGAGGAAACAGTTTTTGGATACGTGGGTTTTTTATGGAGCTAAATTGAAAATTTAAAAATTTTGGTGCTAGATGGATTTGTTGGCACAAATTTGTGTATTTCAGAAATTCGCTCGAAAATTTCAAATTCTGAAAATTTTTAAGCTAAACTCCACGTAAAATTATGAAGTTTTGAAAAATTTGGAGCTGAAAATCCACGTGGGAACATAAAATTTTGAAAAATTTAGGATTGAAAATTTTTGCCACGTGGCAAAAAAATCAATAACTTTCTGAAAATCTGAATTTTTTCTGTGTTGAATATTGTGGCTGAAATGAAAAATTAACCAAACTTTATAATTTTGGAGCTGAAAATCCACGTGGGAACTTTAAATGTTCAAAAAAATTTGGCGCGAAAAAATTCCACGTCGATTCATTGGCTCAAAATTACGTATTTCAAAAATTCACACGAAATTTTGAGTTTTCAAATTTTGAAAATCTTGGAGCTTGAAATCCACCTGGAAATTTAATAATTCAAATATTTTAGAATTGAAAATCCACGTGGGAACTTGAAATTTTCAAAAAAATTTGGCGCGAAAAAATTCCACGTCGATTCAATTCAAAAATGCACACGAAATTCTGAGTTTTCAAATTCTGAAAATTTAGGCGCCGAAAAATCCCATGTGAAATTCAAAATTTCAAAAAATTTTACCTGAAGCAGCTATAAAAATGCCACGTGGCAGAAAAATCGATAACTGAATTTTTTCTGTGTTGAATATTGTGGCTGAAATGAAAAATTAACCAAACTTTATAATTTTGGAGCTGAAAATCCACATGAAAATTTCAAATTCTGAAAAATTTTTCTTAATTAAAAAAAAATTTAACGTGGGAACGTAAAATTTTAAAAATTCAGGTACCAAAATTGCCACGTGGCAGAAAAATCAATAATTTTCTGAAAATCTGAATTTTTTGTGTTGATTATTGTGACTGAAATAAAAAATTAACCAAACTTTATAATTTTGGAGCTGAAAATCCACGTGGAAATTTGAAATTTTGAAACTTTTGGAGCTTGAAATCCACCTGGAAATTTAATAATTGCAAATATTTTAGGACTGAAAATCCACGTGGAAATTTGAAAATTATCAAATTTCTTTTTTCAAAAATTTAGAGCACTAAAAATTGCTGAAATTATGAAGTTGTCGAAAATTTGAAAAATTCGAAGTACTAAAATTGCCACGTGGCAATGAGTTTCTGAAAATCGGAATTTTTTGTGAATATTGTGCCTGAAATGAACAATTAGCCTAGCTTCATAATTTTGAGACTGAATATCCACGTGGCACTTTTGAATTATAAAAATTCCACGTGTTTTCCAGACAATCCACATCACCTGGAAATGTTCAAATGCGAAAAACCAACGATATTGTTACACCGCCTTTTGGTCACGTTTTCCCAATTGAACAACAAGATGTTTGTACGAGATTGGCGAATGCTTATCCACATTTGACTGTCACGATTTTTAGTGGTAAGATTTCCCTGACCCTCGAAAATATCTGGAAGATATCTGAAAATTCCAGAAGTCTCATATCGCCTCGAAACTGCAAATTGTTCCAACAAGGCTCATCTTCTTGGACTCTTGAAACCGTGGATTTCAAATCTGGAATTAGTTGATTCGAATGTTTCGGAAGAAGCTGAAGGTCCACGTGGATGGGGATCTGAAGAGGCGACTCAATTGGTTCTGAATAATCTTCTCTATCTCACCACAATTTTATCGATTGATTATGAGAAAGAGTTGGCGGAACTCTGGAAATCGCTAGCTATTTCGTTTCCCGCAAATCTTCCCACAATTTTGAATTTCTTTTATACTACAACATTGCTATCACAGGATGCTTTGTTACCGGTGACGAAAAGGATTTGTGTGTTGATATCGAGAGTTGTTGGAACTCGAACATCGGCGATTTTGTTGGAATGGTTGAGCACGGTTCATGATACGTCGAGGATTCTACTCGAGAGATCGGAGATTCCGCCGTATTATCGATGGAGAGATGAATCGAAAGAGTTGTCGACGTCACAAGCGCCGCCGCGAGATGTTTCGATTGAGAAGGAGGAGGAGACGTCGAAGGATGGAGTGAGGTTGTTGCCGATGCCGGCGTATGGTGGACATTATTCACCGTTGAGTCAATTCTTGCCGCCGGTTACGCAGAGTGTACAGTTTTATACGAAGTGAGTGATCAAACTAGACTCTAGTTTAGCAAAAAAATTTTAAACTAGACTTTAGTTTTATGAGAGCTTCTAAAAATTTGAAAAATTTTGAAATTTTTGAAGAATCAGAATATTTTCTGAACCTGTAAATTATACGCTTCAAAATTTGGCATTCAAAAATCAAAAATTATTCCAATTTGAAAATTAACCGAGAGTTGAGTTAGGACAATTTTCTGTAAAATCTATCAAATATAGAGTTCGATCAAACTACACTCTAGTCACTAATTTTTGGCGCCAAAAATGCAAAACTCTAGGATTTTCAGAAGCTGGAATTTTGGAATCCATTATCAGATCTGAAACTGAATTCAAAAAAGTTCACTCGAATTTTTGGGAATTTTTATTTCACAAAATTTGAGCCGAAACCGTCTAAAAATATCAAAATTCACTGAAATTCTCTGAATTTTCAGCTAGAAATTACGAAAATTCGATAAAATTTTGAAAAATCAACAATTTTCCGAATTTTTTTCTGAAACTGTAAATTATAGGTTTCAAAAAAAATCTAGGCTGAAAATTTTCTTTTTTTTTTGGATTTTTGATATTTTTAGACAATGAAAATTGAGAGATTTTAAAATTGACCTGAATTTTTGCAAATTTCCGAATTTTTTTCTGAAACTGTAAATTATAGGTTACAAAATTTAGCCTTCAAATATCAAAATTCACCGGGATTTGAGTTAGGATGAGCCAATTTTTTTCGCAATTTTCACGCGCAAAAAATACGTTTCAGAATATTCTGATATTATGTGTTTTTTTTACAAAATTTTGGTAATTCTCCCAGCTATTTAAAAAAAATAAACTGACATTTTGAATTTTAGAAAGCTGAAAAGGTATTTTTAGCGCCAGAAAATTAGAACTTATGTGAATTTTTTGATAAAATTCTAAATTCAGACTTGAAAATTCTGATGAAATATTTTGCAATGATTAAATTTTTGTTAAAAATTCAAATTTAAACTAAACGTTTTTTACCCTGGGATTTAGTTAATAAAAATCGCAAAAAAATATTTCAATTTTTTTGCAGAAGTGAAGTTGGACTTCTTCTAATCTGTGATATAATTCGAACAACAAATACAGTAGATTGGACTGATTCCATCGCAGCTCTTCTATTTCATTCGGGAATTCTTCGCCTTGATTCACTTCGCCCGATTCTTTGTCGACATTCTCGACAAACTATCATCAATGTCATCATGTTGTTTGTCGATAAATCATATTTGCCACAAATTTCGACGATTTTACTCAAAAATGAGATGACCAATACCAATAATTTGGGAGAAAATGAGAGGAATAATAATATGAGCAATGCGGAAGAAATGAGAGGAGAATCGCCGAGTTTTGCCAAAGAGGAATATCGAAAAATGATGCGGCAACAGCCGTCGATTTTTACGAAACAAGAGGATTTGTTGAGTGTGCTGATGTTTGGATTGAGTGAGAAGTGAGCTTTTGGGCTGAAAATTACGAGTTTCAGCAAAATTTTGAAATTTTGTATTATTTCTTGACTGGAAAAATTACAAAATTGGTAATAAATTCCGAAAATCTGAACAAAAAATTGCAGAATTTTTCAGATTTTCTATAGCTTTTCATTAAAAAAATGCGAAAAGCCCAAAAAATTCTGGAAATTTGGCTTAAAAATGCTGAAAAATGAGGTTTTGAGTGGAAAATACTGAAAATTTTAAATTTTAAATTACTGAAATTTTTTTTTTTGAAAAACTTTTGAACTTTGAAAATTCATGAAAAGAAAATTTTAAAAATTAAGCCCGAAAAAAAATATGCTGAAAAATTGTGTCTGGAAATTTTCCGCCTAAAAATCCACGTGGCTGAAAATTTGAAATTGCAAAATGTTGATGAAAAAAATCTCGAACATTTTTTTTTTGGAAATCTGAAATTTTGAGGTCCAAAAATCCACGTGGTTGAAAATTTGGCTCGAAATTTTTGCAGAAATTTGAAAAATTGAGTTCTAAACTTTGTTTTGGACAAAAAATTTCAGCAATTTTTAGCCACTATTTCAGATTTTCTAGAATTTTTTATCAAAAATGCGAAAATTCTGGAAATTTGGCTTGAAAATGCTGAAAATTTTATATCACTGAATTTTTTTTTTGAAAAACTTTTGAACTTTGAAAAAAAATTGAATTAAAAAAAAATTTAGCCCCAGAAAAATATACTGAAAAATTGTCTAGAAATTTTTCGCCTCAAAATCCACGTGGCTGAAAATTGTGAGCATTTTTTGGGATTTTGAGGAAAATTGAATTTCCTACCCAAAAATCCTTTTTTTCTGCTGAAAATTCAGATTTCAGCAAAGTTTTCATTATTTTTTGACTCGAAAAATTACAAAATTCGTAATAAATTCCAAAAATCTCAAAAAAATTCATACATTTTTTGAAACGAATGAAAAACAGGCTCATTTTTTGAACAAAAAATTTCAGCAATTTTTTGACTGAAAATGAACAATTGTTAGCCAAAATTTCAGATTTTCTATAACTTTTTATCGAAAATGCGAAAATTCTGGAAATTTGGCTTAAAAAATGCTGAAATTTGAGCTGGTTTTTTGATTTCATGAAAATTGAGAATCTCAAATTTTAAATCACTGATTTTTTTTTTGAAAAACTTTTGAACTTTGAGAAAAAATTGAATTTCCTAGCCAAAAATATTATTTTTTTTGCTGCTGAAAATTCATATATTTCAGCAAAATTTTCATTTTTTTGACTAGACAACATCATTAATAAATTCATTCATAAATTCTCAACATTATTAATAAATTCCAAAAATCTCAAAAAAATTCATACATTTTTTGAAACGTATGAAAAACAGGCTCATTTTTTGAACAAAGAATTTCATCAATTTTTTGACTGAAAATGAACAATTGTTAGCCAAAATTTCAGATTTTCTAGAACTTTTTATCAAAAAAGCGAAAATTCTGAAAATTTGGCTTGAAAATGCTGAAAATTCGAAAATTTTCATCACTGAAATTTTTTTTTTGAAAAACTTTTGAACTTTGAAAAAAAAATTGAATTAAAAAAAAATTTAGCCCCAGAAAAATATATGCTGAAAAATTGTGTCTAGAAATTTTCCGCCCAAAAATCCACGTGGCTGAAAATATTCCGAAATATTCCGAAAATATTCCGGATTTTGACCTAAAATTAGAATTCTGTAGAAAAATCCCCGGAAATCTCAAACATTTATTGAAATTTGAACTTCTGATTTCGAAATTTTTGCAAAAATTTGAAAAATTGGGGTTTAGAGCTAGAAATTTCACGTGGAAAATAGTTTTGATGGCTAGAAAATTCTGAAAATTATAGATTTTAATCAGAAAAATTTAAAGAAAATCACGAATTTTACATCACTGAAATTTTTTTGTTTTTCGAAATTTTTTTTTTTCGAAATTTTTTTTTTTTCGAAATTTTTTTTTGAAATTTTTTTTTTTTTTTGAAAATTCATGAAAAGTTACAGAAAATTTCTAATAAATCCACGTGGCAAAAATTGAAAAAAAAAATTGAATTTCAAAAATTTAGCCCAAAAAAAATATGCTGAAAAATTGTCTAGAAATTTTCCGCCTCAAAATCCACGTGGCTGAAAATATTTCGAAATATTCCGAAAATATTCCGGATTTTGACCTAAAATTAGAATTCTGTAGTTTATTCTCGGAAATATCAATTGAAATCTGAACTTCTCGAAATTTCACGCGGAAAATAGTTTTGATGTCTAGAAAATTCTGAAAATTTATCAAAATTTGAAGAAAATCGCGAGCTTCGCCAGAAAAATCGCGAATTTCCAGCATCGATACACCAATGTGGGCAAACGAAGATGCAAACAGTCGAAATTGGCGTGTTCCAAGTGCCCAACATCTCTCGTGCACAATTCAACACATTGTCAAATTGTTGATTGGCCGAATGCCAATGTTGGATGTGATTTGGACGCAACTCGCCATGAAAATGGCACTCTCCACATCCCACCGACACATTGCCGGAAGATGTTTTCAGATTGTTTCGGCACTCGGACAACCGCCTGGACCATGGATTCCATCGCTGATGTCGAGATTGGTCGAGACTGCTGGTGAACAACACGATGAGACGCAGGCATATGTGACGGATTTGTTGATTTGTTTGATTGATTGCTCGCCGCAAATTTCGATTGTGAGTTGGGTTTTGGGAAATTTTGAAAATTTAAAGTTTTGGGCCATTTTCAAGCCGAAAATAGTGAGATTTTCTGGACCCTTTTTGAAGCTTAAATTTTGTTTTCAGAAGATTTATGAAAATTCAAATTTTCATTTAGCTTTGAAATCATAAACTCAATCAGAAATTGTTTTATTCAGATTTTTGAAATGCAAAATTTGAAACGTAGATTTTTGGGTTCAGTTTTATGAAAAAAAAAATTCGAAAAAGTGTCTTTAAAAAATTTTCGAAGCTGAAAATTGAGATTTACCGAATCCTGAATTTTGAAGTTCAAATTTTGATTCTAGGCTTTTTTTCCAGGCCAGATTCTTTTCTCGAAAGGTTTATGAAAATTGAAATTTTCAGATATTTTTTAGCTCTGAACTTAAAGGCTGTAAAATCAAGAATTGTTTTGTTCAGATTTTTAAAATGCAAAATTTGAAACGTAGATTTTCATGATTCAGTTTTATGAAAAAACAATTCAAAAAATTATCTCAAAAAAAATTTCATAAGCTGAAAATTGAGATTTTCGGACCTAAAATTTTGAAATTTGAACTATTTAAGCTTTTCCCCAAAAACGTTAGGTTATGAACATGTTTACAGATGAAGTTAATCCATTTTTTTTCCAGAAAATTGAAATTCACTGTGGGATCAAAAATTGATCGTTCAGATTTTTCAAATGCAAAATTTGAAACGTATTTTTTGGGGTTCAGGAAAATCAGAGAATTTTTTATTGTTCAAAGTTTTTTTTATCAAAAAAAATCTAGAATAGTTTTCAAGTTTTCCTGATCTAAATTAAACTTCAAAATGAAATCTGTAGAGAAATTTGAAAAATTGTTTGAAATTTCAAAAAACATTTTTAGGCGTTGAGAAAATTTGTGAAAATGTATTTAGCTTTAAAATCCGACATTTCAAAAATGAGAGGAGCCAACACAAACAGAATCAAAAATTGTTTTGTTCAGATTTTTCAAATGCAAAATTTGAAACGTAGATTTTAGGGTTGAGGAAAATCGGAGAAATTTTTATTTTTCAAGGTTTTTTTACCAAAAAAAAAATCTAGAATCTTTTACCAACGAAAAAATCCAATCCAATTTTCCAGCCACTCACTGAATCAATAGAACTTCGCCAAGTTCTATCACCAACTCATATGCGATCAACTTCGTATACACCGGCTTTGGTTCGACAATCAATGATTTGTTCGAGAGTTCAACATGTTGATAAAAAGAGTTGGTTTTTGCCACGTCACAAGTCATAATTTTGAAAAATTCTATTATTTTTTTGCAGATGCTCGACTTTCGCTTCTTGTCTCCGATCAACAAACCTCCCCTGAAACTCTAATCCGCAGCAAATCCGCTGAACAACTTCAAACCGACATCGAACAACAAGATGAAGAAACGTTGGCGAGAATGCAGATTTGTGCAATTGCGATTTCGTTGATGGAAAGTTCGATGGACAACGAGTTTTTGCTGGCCATTCAATTATTACACCGGGTTTTGGATGTGTCGAAAACTTTGAAATTGCAATGTTTGGCCAAATTGGACAAAATGGTTGGACAATTGGAGTGGAAGAATTTTAATGGGATTATTTCGCTGGTTACTAGAGGTTTGCGGGGGTTTTTTTAATGAAATTTCAAATTTTTTCATCATTTTTAACTAGAAAAATATTAAATTTTTTTGTTCTCGAGTCAAAAAAAATTCATAATTTTTTTCGAAAAAAATTTGAAAAATTTGAAGTCGCTCTTTGTTTGAAAAAAAAAAGAATTCAGGATTTTTTTCCAGAATTTCAAGATTTTCTATTTTTAAACCACGTTTCACGAACTATTTTCCAGAAATCTCGAAATTTTTAAAAATTTCTTTCAAACTAAAATTTTCACTGTTTCAAAATAATTGTCAATAAAAATTTGAAATTTTGAATTTTGATTACAAAATTGATTGGTTTGTGGGAAAAAAATATAAAAATATCAATATTTCTAACCAAATAACTGAAATTCTGTAATTTTCATCCAAAAATCCTTGTTTTTCAAAAAAAAAAACTTTGGAAAAAAATTGACTGTTTCAAAAATTTCATATAATTTTTCCGAGAGAATTTAAAGCAATAAATTGTTGTGTGTTCATGTTCGGAAAAATTATCGAATTTCCTTTCAAACAGGATTTTTTTTCCAAAATTGTTGCTTTTTTCTCAAAATTAGGATTTTCACTGTTTCAAAATCAAATAAATATCAAAACTTGTTTGAAACAAATTTTTAAAAAATCCAATATTCTCTTTTTTTTCTTAAATTTCAGAAAAATCTGATTTTTTTTAAATCAATTAAGTGAATTTCGGTAATTTTTATCCAAAAATTCCCTTCAAAAAATTCACTGTTTCAAAAATTTGATATAATTTTTTTTGAAAAAGATTAACAATGAAAGGTCTGCTTTTCTACCTCCAAAAAATTCCCGAAAATCCCCATTTTTCGCTGCCGCGTTCCAAATCTCAAAACCTTTATTTTCTCCTTGGCTAATTTGTGACACACCTGTCGTTTCAAATTCATTTCACAAATCAACGAAAAGTGTCATTTTTGGGGCCTGTTCGAAGAGAAAAAAAGAAAGATTGAACAGTTTGATTAGACAGTTTCGAACTCTTCGGTTTTTTATGACACTTTTTGGGTGGGTATTAAAGAAAAAGATGTGGTTGAGAGATTGGAAAAATTGTGGATTACTGTAGGCTGGGAAAATTTGAAAAAATCTGAAAATTTAAGCTTGGAAAAGTGAAATTTTTGAATTTTTCTGAAAATCTGAATTTTTATAGAATTTTTCAGAAATTTTTTGAAGAAGTTTAAATTTTTTTTAGAAATTCTGAATTGTTTCAAAAATTTTTACCTGAAAAATTCAATTTTCTAAATTTTGGCGCCAAAAATTATGAATTTCTTGAATTTTGGCGCCAAAAAACTCTGAACCAGTGAATTCTTGAAAAATGTCAGGTCTCAAAATTTTAACAATTTTTATCACCAAAAAAATGTTTTCAAAAAATCATCAAAACCATAGAAAAAACAATTTCTTAACAGAAAATCTGAATTTTTATACAATTTTGTCAAAAATTTTTCGAAGAAGTTTAAATTTTTTTTTTAGAAATTCTGAATTGTTTCAAAAATTTTTACCTGAAAAATTCAATTTTCTAAATTTTGGCGCCGAAATTTGAAAAAAAAAATTTCAAAAAATCATCAAAACTATAGAAAAAAACAATTTCTTAACAGAAAATCTTTGAAATTTTTACAAAAAAAAATTGAAGTTTTTCAAAATCCCAAAAAAATCCAAATTTTTTTCCTTTTGCAGGCGCCATTGTTCCAAATGCCTACGAATCGTCAATTCAAGCAATGATTCGATTATGCGATGTGATGAACGAGGAAATTGTTGGTGGAACTGGTGGAATTGCTCTCTTCGTCTCTCACACTCTTCCATATTTGGTCTTGAATTTCGAGAATCCCAATGGACTTTGTATCGAAGTGGCTAATGCCATCTCAGCGGTACGGTATTTTTTTTGGCAATTTTGAAAAATCCTAAATCCCAAAATTAATTTCAGTATTGCGATGAGACTGTGAAAACACAATCTGGAGCACCGGCTGATCATCCATTTGTGCATTTGTCTACGGTCAGTTTTTTTTTTGGAAAATGGTTCTAAACGCCAGCAAATTTGCATGGAGATCAACAAAATTTGGGAGATTTTTGAAACGTAAAATTTTTGGGGTTTGGAAAAATATTTTTTTTTGTGAAAAATCACTTAAAATTACAGTTTTTTTCAAAAAAAAAAATTGAAAAATTAATCAAAAATTGAAATTATCTAATTTTTCTATTCCACTAGCTCAAAAATTACCAGAAAGATTATTGAGAAATTTTGAAACAGTGAAAATTTTTGGGGGTTGGAAAAATATTTTTTTTGAAGCAGTTAGGGAAAAATCAATTAAAATTACAGTTTTTTTCAAAAAAAAAAAATTAAAAATTAATCAAAAATTGAAATTATCGAATTTCACTGTAGCACTAGCTCAAAAATTACCAGAAAAATTATTGAGAAATTTTGAAACGTAAAATTTTTGGGGTTTGGAAAAATATTTTTTTTTATGAAGCAGTTAGGGAAAAATCACTTAAAATTACAGTTTTTTCAAAAAAAAAATTAAAATTTAATCAAAAATTGAAATTATCGCATTTCCCTCTTGAACTAGCTCAAAAATTACCAGAAAGATTATTGAGAAATTTTGAAACAGTGAAAATTTTTGAAAAAATATTTTTTTGTGAAAAATCACCAAAAATTATAGTTTTTTTCAAAAAAAAAATTAAAAATTAATCAAAAATTGAAATTATCGAATTTCACTGTAGCACTAGCTCAAAAATTACCAGAAAAATTATAGAGAAATTTTGAAACAGTGATAATTTTTGGGGTTTGGAAAAATATTTTTTCTGGATTTTTTGGGATTATTTTAACTTTGAAACAGTGAATTTTTGAGAATTCAAAAAAGTAATTAATAAAATGTTCTCTTCCAGGTAATGCGTCAATATTCGGTGAAAACCTTCACAAAAGACTGTGAACAATTCATGAAATGTGTCCTACAATATATTTGTGATGGATGTATTGCTTTGAATGCCGATTCGATTCTTTGTTTACTATCGGAAATGTTGGAACGAGGATGGAATTCGATATCTTCGCATATTTTGCACATGATCTATTTGCTCCTACAACATAATCATCATAGTGTTTCGCCGTTGTTGATTAATGCGCAGGTTGGCAGGTTTTTTCTGGGAGCGGGGGAAATTTTTTAGAAAAATCTGCTCAAAAATAAACATGATTGGGTTACTGTAGATTTAAAGGCGCATTTTTTGAGACCAAACAAGTTTAGGATTACTGTAGATTTTTGGCGCAAAAAATCCGAATGTTTTGAATATAAACATTACTAGGTTACTGTAGATTTGAAGACGCATTTTTTGAGACCAAGCAAGTTTAGGATTACTGTAGATTTTTGGCGCAAAAAATCTGAATTTTTTGAATATAAATATGCCTTGGGTTATTGTAGATTTAGAGGGGCATTTTTTGAGACCAAACAAATGTAGGATTACTGTAATTCATTCTTAGGTTACTGTAGATATTTGGCGCAAAAAATCCGAATTTTTTGAATATAAACATGACTGTGGTTACTGTAGATTTAAAGGCGCATTTTTGGCACCAAACAAGTGTAGACTTACTGTAATTCATTCTTGGGTTACTGTGGATTTTTGGCGAAAAAAATCCGAATTTTTTGAATATAAACATTACTAGGTTACTGTAGATTTAAAAGCGAATTTTTCGAGATCAATCAAGTGTAGGATTACTGTAATTCATTCTTGGGTTACTGTAGATTTTTGGCGAAAAAAATTCGAATTTTTTACATACAAATATGCCTAGAGTTACTGTACCGTAATTTTAGAGATTTCCGAATAATTTGAATTTTTCAAAATTCCCGGGCTTTTCTACTAGATCAAACTACAGTATTCTGAGCATTTTTACACTGCGCCTTTAAATCTACAGTACTCCTAGATCCCTCAAATTTTTCAAAATACAAAAAAAATGGCAACATATGTTTATTAATTTATGAATCACCTGTTCTTTTGCCGATTTTCGTCTCGAATTTCAAAAGAGAAAATTTATTGGCCATTTTTACGATTTTTGACACCTTTGTGTCAATTTTGTTGATCATATGGTAACATGTGTTTTTTTGGTTCAAAATTTGATGGATTTTATGATGGATATGGAAAAATCAATATTTCAGATGAATCTGAAATTTTTTGGCCCCTGAAAAATTATTATTATATATTTTTTTCTTTTTTTTTTGATGAGAAAGGTGATCTTGATAAGATTTTTCGTTTTATATCTCCAAAGATACTCAAATTGACATATAAATGTCATAAAGTTGTATTATTTAGAGATTAGAATCTTTTTGGTGACTTCCGATAACTAGGAAGATGAGAATGAGGTTTTATGGTTTTGGAATGGGATTTTCAGGAGAAATTTGAATTTTCTATGATAATTTTGAACCAATTTTTGATGGAAATCTGGAATTTTCGGCTGAAATTTGATAAGTTTTACTGAAAATGTCTGAAAATTTAAGCTTAAAAATCAGAATTATCTGAATTTTTTGTTTGAAATTAATTAATTATTCAAAAATTATTTTAATTTTTATTTTTGTACTGAAAATTTCACTGTTTTTAAATAAATTCCGAATTTTCTGAAGCATTTCAAAAAATCCAGAAAATTTCACTGTTTCAAAATTTGGTTATATAATTTTGCACTATTTTTTTTCTGATTTCAATGTCGAAGAAAATTTTCAGCAAAAAAAATCCCCAATATTGTTTTATTTTTTTTTTCTTCACAGGTAATCCGAAGTGTCTCCCGTCATCTTCAAGGAATCCATTGGCAAGAAGCCTCGAAAATCTATAAAATAATTGTGGAAAAATGGAGAAATGAGGAGATCAGTGTGCCCGATTTCACACTGGATCCATCTACAACATCCACTCAATCACAAACAAATCATCAACATCAACGATCTTCAGAAGACGATGAAAAATCGCCGAAATTGTCGAGAAAAAGTGGCGAGAAATCGACAGCCGATGCGGCTAGTACATCACTCAAAAGAATGCCGCCGTCGCATATTCGAGTTCGAGATCGACTTGTTGGAATATTGTCGGCTTCTGGATTGAGGATCGGATTACCATCGTCGGTTTCACTCGTTTTTTCGAAATCTGATTTGGGAAGTGATGCGAGCTCGACTGAAAGGATTTGTGCGTCATCGCAAGAAGTTGCGTCAACTATGTCGCTGCCAGATCCGTCGCAATCTGGAATTACAGATTCGTTTCCTAGAGTTTTTAAGGTATGTTGAAAAGCGCTGAAAATCCTAGATTACTGTAGATTTTTCTGGGTTTACTGTAGCATTTTTGCGCCCCAAAAATCCAAATTTTTCGAACATTGATTTTTTCCTGGAAAAAATAGGTTTCAAAATTTTTTTTAATGAATTTTTGAAATTTTGTGGAAATATTAAATATGCTAGAAAAAAGTTAAAAAATTCTACTGTTTCAAAAATGTTCAAAAAAAAAATTTTATATACTTTTTTTTCAGCTCAAGTTCTGTAGTTTTTATAAGCTTAAAAACACGCGGATCTGAAATTTCTGAAATTTTTGTAGGAGTTGGATTTCCTAGAGGTTTAACATTTTTTTATTAAAATAGTTTTAATTATTTACTGTCTCGAAATTCTGGTGGAATTTTTGAAGAAAAAAACATTCAAAAATTTTTAGAAATCTGAATATTTCACTGTTTCAAAAATTTGAAAAAACAATTTTTTTGAATGATTTTCAGAAGTTTCATAAGCTTTAATATTTTGACCGAAAAAATTATTTGAAAATAATTTTTTTCATTAAAAGAATTCCCAAAAATTCTACTGTTTCAAAAATTTTCAAAAAAAAAATTTTATAAATTTTTTTCAGCTCAAGTTTAGTGATTTTATAAGCTTAAAATCATGTGGAATTGAAATTTCTGAAATTTTTGAAGTTTTTCATCACTCTAAATTTTATTAAAAATAGTTTTAACTTTTTACTGGCTCAAAATTCTGGTGGAATTTTTGATCAGAAAAAAATGATTCAAAAATTTTTAGAAATCTGAATATTTCACTGTTTCAAAAATTTGAAAAAAACAATTTTTTTGAATGATTTTCAGAAGTTTCATAAGTTTTAATATTTTGACCGAAAAAATCTTTTCGAAAAAAAAATTCCCTAAAAATCCTAAATTTTTCAGCTCAAGTTCTCTAAAAAAATTTGCAAGCTTAAAATCCCGCCATCCCCATTTTTCTTCCAGGAATTCGATTTCCTCGAAGCCGAACACGACAGTGTCTCCGAAACCGCCGACAGTTGTTTTGGCTGGCTTTCAACAATGCGACCAACTCGAGATGATGAGACATCGAATTCGAATTCAAACAAGGAACTTAGCTCGTCTTCAGAACATCAACAAGAATATAATAAAGAAGAGGAAGAGGAAGAAGATGAGGAGGAAGAAGATCAGGAAGAAGATCAGGATGAAGAGGAAGATCGAACACCGTGTCCAAGTGAATGTGAGGAAGAGGAGGAAGAGTTTGAGCCCCATATACCTGAGCGGAGATTGATTGGGAGACGAAAAATTGATCTGGAAACGTATATCAGGCCTGGAAGTTTGGCTGGAAGTTCGATTGCTGAAAATTTCAGCCATTTAGAAGAGGAAAATGTTTCGGTTGATGGAAGTTCTTGTGCATATAGCCTAACTACAGATTATTATCTGAATTCAAATCGCCCAAGAACTCTACGCATTCAATGTGGACATCATGTTGATGGAAAAGTTGAGAGAGAATTTGGAAGTGTTGTCAATGAATTAAATGAGACGCAGACGCAGGATGCGACACTGTTGGCGTATGCAACGCTGTTGTCAACGCAACTCTATAAGGCGTGTTGCGGAAAGACTTGCGCGTTGTTGCGCGATGCTGCGCATATGCTCACGAATCGTGGAATGTCGCGGAGTTTTAGTGTGACCCAGGAGGTGTTGTGTAATGTGGTGGAGATTCCGTTCTTGTTTGTGACGGAGCAGTTTTTGAGATGTTCGCCGATATCGCAGAGAATCAAACTGGCGTTGAATGAGTTGAGAGAGCATTGGGAGACGTTTGTGGAGCGAAGGGATCAGTGTCAGAAGGTTTGTGGGGGATTTTGAAGATTCGGAAAATTTGACTAAAATCTGGGTCTCGATAGGAAATTTTGGGTTTACCAAAGGTTGGGACTCATTTTTACCAGAATTTTATGAGGATTTTGAAAATTTGGAATTTTTACAAGCTACAGTAGGATTTTCGCTTCGGGACCCTCTTCAAATGAAAAAACCGAAATTTTTGGCAGATTCTGAAAATTTGACTAAAATCTGGGTCTTGATAGGAAATTTTGGGTTTTTTTTTTACAAATTACAGTAAAATTTTCCAAGAATTTTGAAAATCTGGGTCTTGACACGAAAAAATGTGGAATTTTTACAAGCTACAGTAGGATTTTCGCTTTGGGACCCTCTTCAAATGAAAAAACCGAAATTTTTGGCAGATTCTGAAAATTTGACAAAAATCTGGGTCTTGATAGGAAATTTTGGGTTTTTTTTTTACAAATTACAGTAAAATTTTGCAAGGATTTTGAAAATCTGGGTCTTGACACGAAAAAATTTGGAATTTTTACAAGCTACAGTAGGATTTTCCCAAGTGGAACTCATTTTCACCGGAATTTTTTGAGGATTTTGAAAATTTTGGGTGGTTTTCAAGGTACAGTAGGATTTTCCCCCCACTTGCACCTTTTTTGACCGGAATTTTATTAGGATTTTGAAAATTTGGGTTTTTCCACGAAAAATCTACAGTAGGATCGAGTATCAGAGATTCTTTTCCTGAGCTGGTCCCTGATCTTCTAGATCTTCTGAACTCTGATCTTTGTCAGGTTCTTCGCCGGATTCTTCCAGTCTTGGCTCCAGATTCTCCCTCTGAGATTCGAAATTAATTTTGGTTCAAAAAATAATTTTACCGGAATCTATGTATAGGAATCTTGGTCTCGACCAAGAGAAATTTATAATCTACAGTAGGATTTTCGTGGCGAGACCTAAGTAGATTTTTTTGAAATTCAAAAAATTCCAAGTTGAAAAATTTCAAAACGGAATTTTTTTGTCTTCATAAAAATTTGATCTTCCAGCTTCAGATTCTCCCAAATTTTATTTTCTAAAATTTAAATATTTTTCCCGGTCCCTAATTTTTCCCCCCCAAAAATGTTCGCATCCGTTTTTGTTTTACCTAACCAAAATAAGTGTGTCCAAATGAGATGCGAGATAAGAATCTTGACAAGAATAGGAACTGTTTTGTGTATGTGTGTATTGTATGTGTAAGAGAGACAAATGTTCGGTTAGAACCTGTCACTCAACAGAAAAAAAAGAAAATGTGATGAGATTTTGAGATAACAAAAGGAGAATGGAGATTTATGGAAGGCTAGGAGAGGTGAGCAAAAAAAAATAACATTGCTCTGAAAAATCTGAAAAAAAACCTGAAATTAATTTTTCCAGGCCATTAATTCTCTCCGATCAACCTATAAACTGTCAGCACTTGGTGGAACTTTGCAAAGTTCTGCAGGCGCCGAATTGGACGTCGGAAAATTGCTGAACAAATTGGTGTTCCAAGTGATGTTGATGAGTGACGCGTTGAAGGATATGGCGGATGCGGTGAAGAATTCGACGGGATCGCAGGTGGGGGTTTTGAATTTCTGGTCGAAATTTAAGCGAAAATTTCAGATTTTTTGAAAAAATTTGAGCTGAATCGTGAAATTTTGACTGAAAACAGCTCGATTTTTGGGGCTTGAAAAGTTTTGGGAGTTTTTTGAAGTTTGGAGAAAAATTAGCATTTTCTAGAAAATGAAATCATAATTGATAATTTTTTGAAACGTAAATAATTTGGGATTTTTTTTTGAGAATCGGAAATTTTTGGAAAATTTTTTATTGTAAAAAAATCGCAAAAAATTATGTTTAGGAAGTTTTTTGAAGCTTCAGTTTTTTTTAGCCAAAATTTTAGCTAAATCGTGAAATTCTGGATTTTTGACTGAAAACAGCTCGATTTTTGGGGCTTGAAAAGTTTTGGGATTTTTTGAAGTTTGGAGAAAAATTAGCATTTTGTAGAAAATAAAATCGAAATTGACAATTTTTTGAAACGTAAAAATTTTGGGAATTTTTTTTGAGAACTCGGGAATTTTTGGAAAATTTATTGATTTTTTAATTTTCTAAAAATTATAAGATAGGGTCGGTTTCAACTGGAATTTCAGCATTATCTGAAAAATTGAGCAAAAAAATTAATATTTTTCAAATGATGCTGAGATTATATTATCAATTTTTCAACTATAAAAAGCTTGAAGTCATTTTTTTGAAACGTAAAAATTTTGGGAATTTTTTTGTTGAGAAATTGAGATTTTTTGGAAATTTCTTATAGTAAAAAAAATCACGGCGAAATTATGTTTAAGAAGTTTTTAAGCTGAAAATATTCAGATTTTTTTCTAAAATTTGAGCTGAATCGTGAAATTCTGGGTTTTTGACTGAAAACAGCTTGATTTTTGGGGCTTGAAAAGTTTTGGGATTTTTTGAAGTCCGGAGAGAATTAAGGGTTTTTTAAAAATCCCAACAAAATTCTGTTTAAGAAGTTTTTAAGCTGAAAATCTCTATTTCAACTGGAAATTCAGAATTATCTGAAAATTGTGAAAAATCTTTTTTTTCAATGAATATTCAAAATTCAAAATTGATTTTGAATAAAAACAAAATTGAAGTCATTTTTTTGAAACGTAAAAATTTTGGGGATTTTTTTGAGGATGTGAAATTTTTGGAAAATTTCTTATTCGCAGCGAAATTATGTTTAAGAAGTTTTTGAAGCTGAAAATCTCTATTTGAACTGGAATTTCAGCATTATCTGAAAAATTGGGAGAAATCTTTTTTTCCAATGAATATTAAAATTTCAAAATTGATCTTGAATAAAAACAAAATTGAAGTCATTTTTTTGAAACGTAAAAATTTTGGGATTTTTTTTTGAAAATTTGAGATTTTTTGGAAAATTTCTTATTGTAAAAAAATCACCGGGAAATTATGTTTAGGAAGTTTTTAAGCTGAAAATATTCAGATTTTTGCTAAAATTTGAGCTGAGTCATGAATTTCTGGATTTTAGACTGATTTCATCATTTTCTAGAAAATAAAATAGAAAATTGACAATTTTTTGAAACATAAAAATTGTGGGATTTTTTTTTTTGAAAATTTGAGATTCTTTGGAAAATTTATTGATTTTTAATTTTCTAAAAATTGTAAGATAGGGTCGGTTTGAACTGGAATTTCAGCATTATCTGAAAAATTGAGCAAAAAATTAATATTTTTCAAATGATGCTGAGATTATATTATCAATTTTTCAACTATAAAAAGCTTGAAGTCATTTTTTTGAAACGTAAAAATTTTGGGAATTTTTTTGTTGAGAATTTGAGATTTTTTGGAAAATTTCTTATTCACAGCGAAATTCTGTTTAAAGACACACAATCGACTAGAAATGAACAGAAAACGAGTTTGTTATTCTTTCATAACACCTTTCAAGTAATCGAAATTCATAAAAATCAAGAAAAAATTTTGAGTCTGGCAAAAGTGAAAAAAACAAAATAATTGTTTTTGAAATCGCTCAGCCGACGGGATTTTCGAAAGTGTGTGCACACAACGAAGCAATAGAGCGCACATGCTGTTTTTATCATTTGAAAATAAATGCGGGAAATCTGTTTTTTCCAGTGGCTGATGTGTCTTTAAGAAGTTTTTAAGCTAAAAATCTCTATTTGAACTGGAATTTCAGCATTATCTGAAAAATTGGGAGAAATCTTTTTTTCCAATGAATATTAAAATTTCAAAATTGATTTTGAATAAAAACAAAATTGAAGTCATCTTTTTGAAACGTAAAAAATTTGGGATTTTTTTTTGAAAATTTGAGATTTTTTGGAAAATGTCTTATTCACAGCGAAATTATGTTCAAGAATTTTTTGAATTTCAGATTTTTCTGAAATTTTGAGAAACTTTAATCTGAGCAATCCCAAAATTTCAAAAAATTGATGAAATTTTTCAAAATTCCTAGAAAATCCCCCGCGATTTTCGTGCATTTTGCATTTTCACCTGCTCTTCCTTCCTTTTTTCATTTTTCATCCCAATTTACTCGTATTTCACTAATCCGAATCTGGGATTACGGTAGCTTTTTCTTCTTCATTTTCCGATTTTCTCGCTTATTTTGTGTCAGTTTTGTTTGGAGTTAATCGAGCGAACTGAAATTAGAAGAGAGAATTTATGAATGTGAATGTTTTGTTGTTGATTTTCACCACACTTGAATGGATTCAGATGTGTGATGTTGGGAAAATTGAGAAATTGTGGAAGTTGTGGCTGGAATTTACAATCTTCTGATGATTTCTTTGAAGTTCTACAAAAGCTCTGATTTTTTCCAACCAAATTTTGATCTGAAATTGATTTAGACCTGAATTTTTCCGATCTTTTAGAGTTTATCTAAGAAGATCTAGAGTGACTTCAAATGGAACATCAGATTTTTTGGGTTCTGGTAGATCAGGAAACTTGAAGTTTAGCTATATTCCGAAGCTATCCATGATTTTTTCTAGAATTTTCCGATCTTCTGAAGAACTCCTAGAACTTTGGCTTATCATATTCTGATTGTCTTGATTCTGAAAATCAGAAGTTTGTGCTGGAAAAACTGAAAATCCACGATTTTTTCTTGATTTTTCCGATCTTCTGAAGAACTCCTAGAACTTTGGCTTATCATATTCGGATTGTTTTGAATCTGAAAATCAGAAGTTTCTACTGAATAGCCTAGAATTCCATCCTCAGCTTTCTGATCTTCTAAAGACTTCTGATAATTTGGTGATCTGAAAATCAGAAGTTCCTTTTGATTTTCCGATCTTCAACCCCCCGTTTTCCCTCTCCAACTTTTGCTCTAATTATTCCTACCGTAATCCTGTTGTTGTTGTCACATTTCTCATTCTACTCCTTTTCTCTTTACATATATATATATATATCCTAAATATGCATTTTTACTTGTTCCGTTCTATAATGTGGTATGTGGTATGTGTGTGTGATCTGTCAACACTAAAAAAAGTCATCAATCATTTCCAAGCCGCCTCTCCGCCTCATAACTACTCTGCTTTTCTTTTCTTTCTTTTCCACCCGCTTCGGGCAATTATGACGGGGGGAAAAGTTGAAAAGCGCAATTTGTCAAGTTATTATTATTTTTGGGAGTTGTCAGAAATTTGGCACACACGCGCAGATCTGTCGCATTTCTGTCCTGACTTGTCGTGTTTGTACTTTTTGCGGAGGATTACGGTAGGGCGGGGGGTTCCGGTGACTTGCGTTTTTGATTGATGGTGTAATTGAAGGCGTGGGGAGATCTGAGAAACTTGAAGAGTAGCTATGCCTGAACCGCTGGAACTTGGGAGCTCAGGATCTTTAGGGTTCTGTTTGGTAGATCTGAGAAGTTCAGATGCATTTGCTGTTTCAAGCGGGAAATGGGAAGTTCTGAATTCTTAAGCTTAATGTTGATTTCATCATCTGAGGGTCAATATTTCCAGGCTGGAAATTCTCTGAGGAATGGTGTTTAGCTAGTTTTGAAGCACTGGAAAATTAGAGCTCAGGTTCTTCTGGTCCAGAAGTTCTAGATGCTTGGTCTGAAACATCTGAAGTTGTACAGTCTTTAAAAAGGTTCATAGGGAGAAGTCAAAGATCTCAGACGACTCCAACTCAAACATCAGAAGCTTCGAAATCTCAAGAATCTGATCTGGTAGATCTGACAAAATTTTCTGAAGATCTGGAGATTTAGAGATTCCTAATCCATTTTGAAGCCTAGGAGTCATCTTGATAATAAACTTTTAAATCTTTTTGTGAGCGATTTTGTAGATCTGAGAAGTTCTGCTATAATTGAAGCCTGAAATCAACTTACTGATTTTTCGAGGGTATCTCTAGTGGACCTGACAAAATTTTCTGTAATTTTGGTAATTCGAAGACCCCACCGATTTGCTTTTTCAGATGGAACATTGGATGTTCCGAATTCTTCAGATAGATGTTGATTTGAAGATCTGAAGTTTGAGGCTCTCTTAAGAAAACTTTCTCTGAAGAAAATATTTTGCGGAACCATTTTGAAGCCTCGGTGTCATCTTGATTATGAACTTATAAATCTTTTAACAAATAATTCATCAAACTATTTATTCAACATGAATCCCTCATCCAACAATTAATCCCATGGTTTAATTAACCGCCGTTGCATTTTTGCCACATAAAACCATCGAAACTGGATCATCAAAACTGAAGAAAACTTTGTTTGAAATTATGCACCAAACTATCAATCATGACTTACTCGGTTGAATACAATATACTATAAGGTATGTTATCTAATACCTCGTACCAAACATGGATAGACCTCCGCTCGGCTCTGTATGATGGATCATCACCCCAATCAATAGTTGTGTTAGTGAATGTTGGATCTGTCCATGTATATGATTTTGGAAAAATACATTCATTTGTTTCATTTTCTTCACATTCCGTTTTGAATAGTCCATCAATCAGTACAAATTGAGGATTGAGGTCGAGTGAGTCTAATATTGTCGAAGTTGAAAAATGTGGCAGTCGTAAAAAATATTACTTTGTCAGTCGCGTGCGGCTGTGCGTCGCGGTCGGGAAACAAAGGAAACAATGGATTATTGATTGTTTTTCGACACGACTGCCACATTTTTCAACTTCGACAATATGAAAGGATTTTCAAAAATCAAAAATATATTTATCAAAGTTAGTTGAGCAGCGATAGAAAAAGGAAAATGTTGTTTTTGAGTTTTTCACTCAACTTCTAGGTTTTCTTTTTTTTGAAATGGGAATATCCGCCCAACTTCCTTTAAGAATCTTGAAACTTACTTCCAACAAGGCTTATCTCATTCATATTCTCCACTCCCGATAGTGTCGCATCCTTTGTTTTGCAATATGCTAACCCAGTAGCATATTTGAATCCCAAATTTGTTGTATCTATGAAAACTGACATGCACCAATACCCCAATTTTCTCGACAACAATTTCCATCCTATTTCACAACCATAAGGTGTCCAAACTCCATCCGAATAGTCCAAAATATAGTCATTGTAGTAAAATGTAACATTTGGTGAGATCGGACAATCTGTGGAATTTGTTTTAAAAGCCACCTGCATTCCTGAAGTTTCCGTTGAACTTTGGATAGTTTTCACGGTGTTGCAAGTGTAACAAGTTTCATTAACCAAGTGGGCAACCTATGATAGAATTATGGTCTAAAAGAAAAGGATGTATAATAAATTACCGTGCAATTATCATCATTGTAACATTCAGTGAAACAATCATCAGATTGGATTTCTGTACAATTATTGAGATTCGAAGGTTTTCCCCAAATTGCTATCATGTTTGAAGTGATGATTTTTGGAGAAAATAGGAGAACCAGGAGAGTTAGGATGTTCATAGTGTATTTTTCTGAATAAATGAGAAATTTTGTGGTTGCATGGGGAAACTACAAATTCCAATTTGATTTTATGGAATTGTATGTATGTACAATTTTTTTCTTGTTCATCCCACGGAAGGAAAAATTTGAACATCTATATTTTCGATCTTGAAAATCTCAAGATCCACAGATGTTTTTTTGTAGATCTGAGAAGTTTTCGAGAGATTTGGTAGATGAAATCAAACTTCTGATTTTTTCAAAGTTTTTCTCGATTTTCTGAAAATCCGAAACTTGGAAATCTAGAAGTTCTCCAGAAGTTTTTGATTTGAAATCTCAACTTTCCTTGTTCCATCACTTGGTCAGGTTCTCATCCCCGAACTGATTCAGATCTGAAAGATCTACGATCAAAGTTCTGAAGTCCGAAGATCAGGCTGATTTTCTAGTTGATCTCTGATGTGACATTTTGAAGTTCTGAGGTTCTCCTTGATCTTCCTAGAATTTTCCGAAGGCGAGCAAACCTACAGTACTCCCTACACCTCCTCCCACACATTTCATTTTTTTTTTCAAAAAATGTTGTCTCTCTCCTCCAACACACCGTGCACGCGCGCGACACAAAGGCGATATTATTTATTACAACAGCTGTGAAAACAGTATATACATATATCTGACGGAGGTCTTGTTAAACACTTGTTTCCTTTTTTGGAGGAAAAAGAATTAGATGGATTACTGTAGGGGAGGGGAGTGTAATTATTATATTATTATGAACACCTGTTGAAAAAGGAGGATGAGCTTTTTATGATGATTTATGATTGGGGAGAGAGGATTTTTGAATTGAAAGGGGCAGGTGGAAGTGTGGAGAATGAGTTATGGGAACTTGAGAGGTTCAGTAGATTATGTAGAATCTAGATTCGGAGATTCTGGAGTTCAACTAACTTCTTTGAATTTTCTGAGAGTTTTGGAAGGATCTGAGCTTCATGCTAAATTTTTTTGGTGAATTTCTGGAGATTGTCTGACTCTCCTAGAATCGTGTGATCTCTGAAGTTCTGAGAAATTGAGTTTTAAAGTTCTGGAATTGATCAAAAGCTAACTTCAGTTGAATTTAAGCTAACTTCAGCTGAATTTAAGCTAACTTCAGCTGAATTTAAGCTAACTTCAGCAGAATTTAAGCTAACTTCAGCTGAATTTAAGCTAACTTCAGCTGAATTCTTGATTTTCATGAATTTTGTCGAGTTCTAAAAATTTGAAAGGATTTTTTTTTTGATTTTTGGAAGTTTCGGAAATTCCTGCTGGATTCTCAGTGGTAAATTGTTCGAATTAACCTAACTATTCTAGATTTGTCTGATCTAGATTTCGAGGTTCCAAAAGTTTCAGCAGTTAGGATAACTTCAACAGATGTTTTTTATCGATTTTCATGAATTTTCTCACATTTTTGGATTTTGAAAGGTTCTGAAAGTGGTCCAAGTTGGACAAACTTCAGCTGAATTTTATCCTTGATTTTTATGAATTTTGTCAAGTTCTAAAAATTTGGAAGGATCCTAGCTTCATCCTATATTTTCATCATGATTATTCCGAGATAGCCTAACTCTTCTAGATTTATCTGATCTCTGAACTAGGAATTCTGAAAGATTGTGTTCTCTAGTTCTGAAAGTGGTCTAAGATGGGCTAACTTCAGTAGAACTTTCTTACTCGATTTTTTTCGAAATTGAACTTTTCGATCTAAGATTTTGCTTTCCAGAGTCTCATGGTTTTGACTTTTGATCTTAGGTTTCGATTTTTTGAAGTTTCCGATACTAATCTTTGCTCTTCACTTGAACTTCGAGATTCCAAGATCTCTGATAGTTTTCTACAGTGAAATTGGAAGATCCCCAAAAATTTCGAAGCATTCTCCTTCTTTTTTCGTTTCCTCACACCAATTATTATTATAATACAGTCTTTCGCCTTTTCTTCCAACCTAATCCGTCAATTCGCGCACCCTTCTCTTTTTATTTTTCTTTTTCTTCTTTTTCCTCTCGTCGCATGCATGACTATAAAAAGAAGAAGAAAGAAGAACAATTAAGACAGGGTGACAGCAAAAATAAGGATGATCTGATAATTGGAATGAAACCTAAGAGGAGCATTTTTTCGAAATACGCAAAAAAGGTGTTCAAGGTTAATAGTAAGATCGTAAATTGGGTTTTGGGGGGAATTTGGAAGATTTGGTTTTGAAAAATGAGTTTTGAGGAATCTTATTCTTGATCTAGAAGGTTTGGTGGGAGATCAGGAATTCTGAGATCTAGAATTTCTAGTTGGGAAGATCTGATCTCGAAGAATGAGTTCTAGGGAACCTTATTTTTAACCTAGAATGTCTGGTGGAAGATTAGGCATTCTGAGATCTAGAACTTCTAGTTTGGAAGATCTGGTAGAAGATCAGGAATTCAGAGATCTAGAACTTCTAGTTTGGAAGATCTGAAATTAACATTTGAATTATTGAAAGCTTTGAAGCTTAGAAGTTGAACCTTGAAGTTTATTAACGAATCTAACAATCAGATCTCAGAGCTTCTAAGTTCTCAATTTCGAAGTTCCGATACTGAATTCGGAATTTGCAAATTTTTGAATCTGGAATTTTCAGATTTTCAGGTTTAATCTTAAAAAAAAATATATTTCAAATAGAATTCTGAAACCCCATTTTTGAATCTCCAAATCTAAAGCCTGAATCTTGAATTTCAAATCTTGAACTTTTGGATTTTTTTCTCAAATTTCAATTTTGGAATTCTGAATTTTTTATCCTGAATTCTGAAAGCTTCTGAAATCAAAAATTTTTTCCAGACCTACTCGCTCTCACCAGCCATCATGGAACATCATCGCGAACTTCTGATGTGTTCATCCAGCGACACTGATCTCACGGCAACAACTTCATCGAATTCGAATATAATGGGTGGCGGAGGTGGAGGAGATGGCAGCGATGCGCAGTTGGATTCGCACGGCGATTCGCGTTCGCAACACTCTTGCGACTCGCTGGTGTTGTTGTTGGCGAATAAACGATATTCGCAGGCGTTGAGGATTGTGAGGCAGTTGAGGTGAGTTGAGAGACGCAAGCTTCCGCGAACGCGGAAAGCCTTTCCGGAAGGGTTTTGGGTTGAAGATGAGCATTTTTTGAAAGTTCATGGTTTTGTTCAGAAGATTTTCAAATTTCCGATTTTCCTGATTAGAAAAGCCTAAATTTAAGGTCCTAAATTGGAAAAGAGAGGCCCCTAGATTCCGAAGATCTCTAGATTCTGAAGCTCCGCAGTTTCTAAAGGTTCCTAGATCCTGAAGCCCCCCAGTTTCCGAGGGTTCCTAGATTCTGAAGATCCCAAGATTCTGAAGCTCCCTTGATTCTGAAGCTCCGCAGATTCTGAAGATGTCTAGATTCTGGAAACCCCTAGATTCCGAAGGTCCCAAGATTTTGAAGATCTCTAGATTCTGAAGGTCTCCAGTTTCCGAAGGTCCTTAGTTTCCGAAGATCTTTAGATCCTGAAGATCCTTAGATTCTGAAGGTCCACAGATTCTGAAGATCTCTAGATTCTGAAGATCTATAGATTCTGAAGGTCCACAGATTCCGAAGGTCCTTAGATTCCGAAGGTCCCCAGTTTCCGAAGGTCCCTAGATTCCGAAGATCTTTAGATTCTAAAGGTCCCTAGATCCGGAAGCTCCCCAGTTTCCGAAGGTTCCTAGATTCTGAAGATCTATAGATTCTTAAGGTCCCCAGATTCTGAAGATCTCTAGATCCTGAAGATCTCTAGATTCTGAAGCTCTCCAGATTCTGAAGATCCCAAGATTCTGAAGATCTCTAGATTCTGAAGATCTATAGATTCTAAAGCTCTGCAGATTCCGAAGGTCCCTAGATTCCGAAGATCTTTAGATTCTGAAGCTCCGCAGTTTCTAAAGGTTCCTAGATCCTGAAGCCCCCCAGTTTCCGAAGGTTCCTAGATACTAACTCTCTAGATTCTGAAGCTCCCTTGATTCTGAAGATGTCTAGATTCTGGAAACCCCTAGATTCCGAAGGTCCCAAGATTTTGAAGATCTCTAGATACTAAAGCTCCTCAGATTCTGATAGACTAGATTCTAAAGGTCCCTAGATGTTCTATGATTCTTGTCAAAACATTCTAGATTTTCTGGAATTTTCTAAAAATTATTCCGAAATTCAGATGTTTTCCAATAGAATCCTGATCTTCCCAGTTCCCCCCAATAATTATAATCTAATAAGTAGTAATGCAAAAGGTTAATATTAATATCATCAATTTTGTCATCAGCCGCAACATCGATGTGATATTTGTATGTAAAAGGATTAGGGGGGAGCGAGTAAATATTCCCCTTTTTCCCTTTTTTCCACCACCACCCATCAATTCTTCTTCTTCTTCTTATTAAATAAACACTTGTAGTAGTAGTAGTACTGATTGACAAGAAGATGATGTCTTTTTCTCTTTCTGTCTTTCTGTCGGTCACATCTTACAGTACTCCTCGTCTTTTTTTTGGTGGTGTTTATTCAACCCCGTGTTGTTGTTTTTCGTTATCTGATTGACCTGAGCAAGGAGAATGGGAGGAGCTGCATTTTTTCATCTGAAAATTGAGGGTTGCTCCAACGATGCTCCGGGATTACGCGCTGGTTTTTTATCGGAATCTATTGATGGTCCAAAATTGTTGCACAAATTTGGTGAATCTGGAAGTTTAGAGCATTTTTCAAGTGGATTCGGATTTTCCAACGATGCTACGGGATTACGCTGTTAGAGATTTAAAATTGGCTGGTCTGAGGGTTTTGTCAAACAACACTCCGGGATTACGCGGGGACACTTCCTTCTGTAGATCCGAGCTGGACGTTTTTTTCAAAACAACACTCCGTGGTTACGCAACTGATTTCAGTTTTCAAGTCTTGAATCTGGAATTTTGTATCTTTATCGATTTTTGATTCTCAAACGACGCTCCGTGGGATTTTCTGAGTTTTTTGGCAGTTTCAAACGACACTCCGTGATTACGCTGTACTTTGCTTGAAACTTTGTTCCGAAAATCGTTAATCTGAAGATTTTTTCAAACGATGCTCCGCTTTGACGCCTAGCTTTTTCGCACAGATTTTCGCACAGAGCTCTCAAACATCCAATCGGAACACATTTGATTTTCAAATGTTCAAATCACTTCAGTCTCGCTTTTTTCTTAGTTTTCCCAATATTTTCGCCCTCTTGAAAAAGTGTGCTTTTGTGTTGCTCTTTTCCCGTTGTCGCTTGCTCACTTGCTTCAAATTCTCAAACACAGCCACTCAAAACCAACACAAAGTCGTGTCATTTTTCGCACAGTATCCAATTTTCTCTCATCTTTTTTCTCGTGTTGAAGCTTGTTGAAAATGTGTGATCAGCGCAAGACGACTACTGTATGTGTGTCAATAACCAGGAGGTGCATACAGTAATCGAGAAGACTTTCTCTCGCCGCGTGTCAAAATTCGCTCCTCGCCCGCCTGCTCCTTTTCTAGTTTTTATTTGTCAAACGCAGATTTTTTTCCTCCCAAACACAACGAGAAAATTTTGTCACTATCATCATCACGGTGTGTATTTTTTCACTAGTGTTTGACGAGCAAAAGAGCAGCAGGCACCAGATTAATTTGTTGTTTTTAGGAGGCTGTGTGTTATTTCGGGACACGCTTGGTGATATAATCTTATGTGTACAAATTAGGCGGAAGGGTACTGTAGGTGAACGAACATTGCTCATGTTTAAAAAAATTTGATATAGTAAATTGGAGCCCTGAATCGTCGTTACACTTCTAAGCAAATCTGATTTCCTTTTCAAACGATGCTCCGCGTTTACACCTAGTTTTCTTTGGCTTCAAAAATTCAATGGATCTTCTGATTCAGTTTAGGTTGCTCGAAGTTTTGTGATGTTTCCCCGATTTAGCCGAATTTTCCTCCGAGTTTCTGAAATTTATAGAACTTCTATTTCACCGGAGAAAATTTCGTGATTGATTTTGAAACTGCGTAAATGCGGAGTGTCGTTTGACAGCTTCTAGATCTTCTAGATTCTATTGTTCTTCGAAATCCCCGCTCTTCCAAAAAATACGTTTCAAAAATCGACCAGATTCTGAGAATCCCTGGGAAAATCGATTCACATTTGTCTATTTTTCGCTGTAGCCAGGAGGGCAGTCAATTTTCGAATAATCATAAAAAAATGGTGTGTGCCGGTCATAAAATGAGTAATAATCCCGTCTCTTCTCTTTTTCGCTATGAAATTGCAAAAAAATAGTACAATCGGATGTGTATTTTTAACCAGGAGGACAGGTGAAAAAACCCTTGAAGATGAATTTTTTTTTTGGTTTGGTATTTATGAAAATATATAAATAATGGCGCCAGAATGGCCGAAGATGATTGAGATAATTGTTTTTTGCTGACGAAAACGGAAAATCTGACGGAAGAGGTCAGATTTATTGCTATTGGTGGATTTTTGGCTACCTTTTTTTTGCTTTTTTTTTGGTGAATGAGACTACGATGCTCCGCTTTGACACCTTGAAAATTGGAGGGTTTTGAATGTCAAACGATGCTCCGGAATTACGTCTGGAAGAACTGAATTTGTAGGGTTCACTACGATGCTCCGCTTTGACACCTTGAAAACCTTGAAGTTTGAGGATTTTTAGATTTTTGAATGTCAAACGATGCTCCGGAATTACAGATAGAAGTTCTGAGTTCTGAAATCAGGAGTTGAAGAATTGAACGAAGCTCCGTCTTTACACCTAGACTTTGTGATCTTCTGAGATTTTTGAAGTTGGCTACGATGCTCCGGAATTACATTCAGGATTTTGACCTTCGGTTTGGAATTCAGAGGGGTTTTGAACGATGCTCCGGCTTTACACATAGCTTATCCGATAGTATTCTGAAATCCCCTCTCCAAAAAAATTGGAAAATTTAATCCTAAATTTTTTACGTTTCAAAAAATTATGAAATATTAAAAATGAAATTTTTTTTTGATATTTGAATATTTTGTAAAAAATCACAAAATCCATTATTTTTTGCAGAAATTCGTACGGCGAAGAATATGGATGTTGTGAAACTGTCGACATCGATGTTCTTCTTCTCTTATTCTGCCGAAGTCATTCGCTAAAAGCGTGGGCTCAAGTTGGCGCATCTCCCGAAGAAATCAATAAACAAAGTGAATTGTTGCGAGAGGCGAATGCCGAAATGGCGAGTTGTGTGAGAAGATCACAGCAGCAACAACAAACATCGAGTATTGTGATTTTGTCTGGAACAAATACGACGACTGCAAGTATTTCCGATTCTTTTGCACAAATTGATAATTAGCTTTAACTATTTTTAAAAAAATTTTTGAGATCAATGAATTCATGTGTATTTTGATTTCAAACGATGCTCCGCAATTACGCGGAAATTCAAAAAATTCAAAAAAAAACCACATGTAAACACGGAGCCTCGTTGTTCCTCAAAAAATGATGATTTTCAAACGATGCTCCGCAATTCCGCCAATCAAAAAACGAGTTCGAAATGACAAAAAAATTATTTTTTTTTGAAAATTCAGAAAAACCGCCTGTAAACGTGGAGCATCGTTGTTCCTCAAAAAAGAACGATGATTTTCAAACGATGCTCCGCAATTCCAAGATGCAAAAATGTATATTTTCAGCTTCCGTAAACACGGAGCTTCGTAGTATTTTTTATAAAATATTATGTGCGAACGATACTCCAGGTTTACACGTGAAATTGCGGAGTGTCGTAGTAAAACCCGGAGCATTTTAGTCTTCCAAACGATTCTCCGAAGTTCCACCGTGAAATTGTCCAGAAAATTCACCTGTAAACGTGGAGCATCGTAGTTTCTTGTTCAAACGATGCTCCGCAATTCCGCGCATCAAAAAAAACGTTCAAAATCACCAAAAATGCATTTATTCACAAAAAAAATAAATAAAAAATATATAGAAATCTGTGTAGAGAAAAAATTCTGGGGTGGAAATTCAAAAAAAATTGTAATATGTATCACTAAAATCACTGGGAACAACCGAGAAAATGTACAAAAATTGGGGAAAAAATTGGGAGGGGGACCAGATTTTATGCGAGATTTTTATATGTTCAAAAAAAAAATTGAAAAAAATTCCCGTTTCGAGTGCGGAAAATCTAAAAAAGAGAGACCATGGGAAAATGAGAGAGTCTAGAGAAATAGAGAGGTAGAAGATCAGGGCTTGGCTAGAAGATCGGAAACATCGAATCCCCCCTTTTTTGGCGTCGTTTTTGTGGGAATCAGGGGACTTGGAAGAACCTGACCGCCGAATGGCGAGATTTGTGAATTCATCAGATTCGCCAGATGATTCTGAAACAGTGCCATCTGCCAGGGGTACGGTAGAATTTGATCGACTGATGGAGCACCGGCGCCGCGGAGCAATAATTGTTGCGCTGCAGCCAGACCAGCCACCGCTTTTTCAGCCATCAGATTGTTATGGGAGTGATCTAGCCTTGGTCTCTTCAAAATCGGTTCGTCATCTTCTGAAGCGGATTCGGAGGGATGTGGAGAGTGTGTGGGAAGGGAGGAGGATTTGCCGTTGGGCGAGGATTCTTGATCGGTTCCCGAACTTGTGCCGCCGCCATGATTTGAGGAGCGATGAAGTTGTCGTTTCTTTTCGCGTTTGCCGGCGCCAGCGTCGCGGAAGCCTTTGGCGAATGGATTGTGGTCGATTTTTAGTTGGGTTACCTGGAAAATTTGAAATTGCTGGAAATTGCCACGTGGATTTTTAGCGCTAAAATAATTCATTTCAAAATTTTTGGCGTCAAATAATCTACAGTAATTTATAGAGTTTCAAAAATTGTTGTGAAATTATTGGTTTAAAAAAAAATTACAGTACTCTTTGCCACGTGGATTTTTCGCGCCAAAAAATCTACAGTACTTTTGAGCAGCTGTTTTGCCACGTGGATTTCAGGTCAATTTTTTCAGCAAACAAATTTTGAGCTACAAAAAAATCTACAGTACTCTCTCTATGCCACGTGGATTTTTGGGTTCAAAAATTTAAAAAAATTAAAGAAATTATTGATTTTCAAAATTTATAGTAAAGTTTGCCACGTGGATTTTTGACTGCTCCAAATGATCTACAGTAATCATTGGGAAGCTTCATTTGCCACGTGGAAAATTTTTCAGAAAACAAATTTTTAGCTACAAAAAAATCTACAGTACTCTCTCTATGCCACGTGGATTTTTGGCTGCTCCAAATGATCTACAGTAATCATTGGGAAGCTTCGTTTGCCACGTGGAATTTCAGGTCAAATTTTTAGCTACATAAAAACTACAGTAATCCTTTTCCACGTGGATTTTTGGCACCAAAACTTTATTTTTCAGTTTTTAGGCATGCAAAAATCAATTTTTCAGAATTCAAAACAATTTTTTCGCGCCAAAAAAATCTACAGTACTCCTAAATTCCTCTTGCAAAATATTTCAAATCCCAATTTTTCGCGCGCGCCCCAAAAATTCTGGGCTACGGTACCTCCTACAGTACCCCTTCTCCAATTTTACACACTGTGTCGATGTGTCGATTTTCCATCACTCGACAATAAATCGAATCATCACCTTTTTTTGTTGGACGCGCGCGCGAGAGATTTGAGACGCAGAGAAAATTAGGCAAGGATTACTGTAGTTTTTTTTTGATGATGATTGAATCCGGTTCATTTCTCTATTCATAGAAGAGAGAAAGAATATCGATTAATTTTTTGGAACTTTTTTAAAAAAAAACGTGGCAAAAGATTACTGTAGATTTTTTAACTTGGAAAATTCAAATTTCTTGGATTACTGTAGATTTTTGAGCGCGAAAACTCAGAATTTAAATTCAAAAAATTCTTCAAAAAAAATGCCGAACCTTTTCATTTTGATACGCCGTGACAGCAATAAATTCAGTTTCCCGAAAGACAAAAAGTTCGAAATGTGCAATACGGTAGATTCATGATGTCATCGCATCGAACAACGTGTAATCGAGGCTGATATTTGTGCATTGAGTTGAGGATTGTCTGCAAAAGAAGCGGAATTGGCGGAGTGTCGTTTGAAATTTGGGGAATTTTGGTGGTTTTTGGGTGAAAATTGGTGGATTTTGAGTGTTTTCAGGGGATGGAATTGATTTGGCTGCGTACGTTTGATACTCAGTCAAAAATTTGTTTTGATTTTTGAAGGCTGAGTATCAAATGTACGCAGTCAAATTAAAATTTTACAATTTCAGCGGGAAAATTGATTTATTTGAATTTTCGAAATTTCGCGCTCTAGCTGAGTATCAAATGTACGCAGTCAATTTTAAAAATTAATCAAATCGACAGAATTGGCTGCGTACGTTTAATACGCAGCTAGAAAATGTTTAGGGGAAATTCATAGTTAAATTGGCTGCGTACGTTTGATACTCAGCTAGAAAATTTGTTTTGATTCTTGAAGCTGAGTATCAAATGTACGCAGTCAATTTTGAAAATTAATCAAATCAACAGAATTGGCTGCGTGCATTTGATACTCAGCTAAAAATGTTCAGGGGGAATTCATAGTTAAATTGGCTGCGTACGTTTGATACTCAGCTAAATTTTTCCATGGGATCCCCCCTCATATTTACATTTCTATTTATTTTCGTCCCCCCCCCCCAAAAGTCATCTCAAATTTCCATTTTTTTTTCGAGCTGGCTGACAAATCTGGCGATTTGTCGGTTTCAAATTCCGCGGATTTTTGGAAATTTAATATTTTGGAGGGTGGGAGAAAATTTGAATTTCAAAATTTTCGCGCTAAAAAAATTAGATTTAAAAAATTTAGCTGCGTACGTTTGATACTCAGCTAGAGAAAATTCATGAAAATTGAATGAGTTTCAAATGTACGCAGCCAATTTTTTTGATTTGATTGATTTTCAAATTTAGCTGCGTACATTTAATACTCAGCCTCAAAAATCAAAACAAATTTTTGACTGAGTATCAAACGTACGCAGCCAATTTAACTATGAATTCCCCCTAAACATTTTCTAGCTGAGTATCAAACGTACGCAGCCAATTTGAATAATTTTCAAATTTAGCTGCGTACATTTAATACTCAGCTAAAGCGCGAAATTTCAAAAATTCAAATCAATCAATTTTCCCGCTGAAATTGTATTTGACTGCGTACGTTTGATACTCAACCAACACTTTTTCAAAATTAAAAATGGTTAACTGAGTATCAAATGTACCGCGAAACTTGAAAAATTCAAATTTTTCATATTTTTAAATTCATATTTTCCCGCCAAAACTTTCCGAATTCAAATTTTCCCCGAAATTTTCCCCGCTAATTTTCTCTCCCCCAAAAAAATTAGCATTCAAATGCCGTGCGCGAAATTCGACTCTTTTTGTCCAAAAAGAATATGAAATTTTGTTTTTTCTTCGTTTCAAAAGAATCTTTTCATTTTCCTACTGTAAAAAAGATGGGCGGCGCATTTAAAAATTCAAAAATCCACTTACATATCCATGTTTATCCGAAATATTGTTGGTGAGCTTTAATTTGTGAAAATTCGCACCTTTTGACATCCAATGTTCACCTGAAAACACATAAAAATAGCAAAAAAACAACGACACTCCGCAATCCCACCTGGACTCGGCGAATCCGGATGAATATACATTCGCTTCGGCATTTCGGGGTCGGCTTTTCCAGCAACCATCCATCGACTATTATTGAATTTGTATCTACATTCATCGGCTGGCACCAGATCCATTAGCAGGATGTATTTGCTCTTCTTGTCGAGACCCGATAATTTTACGCGGTACGCCGGGAATATTCGTCTGAAAATTTGAAAATTAAAATCCAGGGCGAGGGGTGTATTTAAATATGCCATTTGCCCCCGCTTCCCCAAACACACCTATAGCGCAGTGGTAGCGCGCTGGTTTGGTATGATTTTGCGCGCGGGTTCGATTCCCAGCGCCCGCAAACTTCTTTGTTTGTTTGGTTGTGAAGAAGAAAAATCGATAAGAACAATTGTTCTCTCTCTCAATGTGATAAACATTTTTCGTTTTTTTTCACGCCTTTTCCCAAAAAGATTACGGTAGCTTCTTGCTCCAAGAAAAGCGAAAAAGTGTCAATTTTCGAGCCTCTGAAGGAAGCCTCAAATTCAATTTTGCTCTCGCTCAAGGAAGGAATTTGTGTTGGCTGGGGGGAAATTCGACACTTTTCTTCCCACTTACTTATTATTTTAAGTCACTTGGGAAAGAAGCAAAGTGGCTAAATAAATAAAGAAAATATTTGGGAAAATAATAATAATTGAAATTTTGAAAATGAAAATGAAAATGATACGTGGAAAAATCGATAATTTTGACACGTTGCAAACTAAAAATCAATAAAATTTTCGAAAAATGAAATTTTCTGTCCAAAAATGATCAAATTTCAAATTAAAATTCTGAAAAACATAGTTTTCAGGCAGAAAATCCACGTGGAATGTCAAAAAATGTTGAATTAGCCTAACTCAGCTCTAAAATTCACTTCCCGGCTCAATTTTTCGCGCAAAATTCAAAATTTCAAATAAAAATTCTGAAAAACATAATTTTCAGGCAGAAAATCCACGTGGAATGTCAAAAAATGTTGACTTAGCCTAACTCAGCTCTAAAATTCACTTTCCGGCTCAATTTTTCGCGAAAAATTCAAATTTAAAGCTGAAAATCCACGTGGAAGTTCAAAAAATCAAAAAAAATGTTGACTTAGCCTAACTAGGCTCAATTTTTCGCGCAAAATTCAAATTTCCGCCCCTCAAAACCCACCTTCCACTTTTCGTAATAACCATCTCAGTTCCACATCCCGAAAACTCCTGCCATAGCTCCTTGTCATCCAGCTCCACCTTCGGATCATCCACAATTCCATCGTCTTCGGGTGGCGAAGGCGCGGCGGCCGCGTTTCCGCCGGCAGCCGCAGCTAATGCGGCCGGACCGCCGCGCGGAAAGAACGCGGAAGCGGCGCCCATGAATGGCGCGAAAAGCGCCAGGTCGGGACGAGTTGAGGCGGCCAGAAATGGATTGAATGCCATTTTTTTGGAGGTGGATAGTTAGGTTAAATAGAAAATATGCGAAACAAAAAAACTAGGAATATATTATTATTATGAAAATATGTGTGAAGAAAGCAACCTGAAAAATGAAAGTTTGTAGATCAAAAATAGTTTTTTTTTTTGAAAAAGAGGTCAAAAATTTTGCGAGGTAAAGATTTTGCGAGGGTTGTGTTTAAATATGCAATTCACCCCGGTTCTCCCACGTGTGCGCGTGGCGTAGTGGTAACGCGCTGGGCTGGTAGGATTTTGCTCCCGGGTTCGATCCCCGGTGCCGGCGAACTTCTTTTTTAAAAATTATTTATCATGAGAGGGAAAAAAATCCAGGGAAAAATAGGTTTCAAGATTTTTTGAAGAAAAATTTGAAACAGTGAGAAATATTATATTTAAAATCTGGTCTAAAATTAATTCAGAATTCGAAAAATTTAATTGAAAAAGCTTTAGGAACCTTCGAATTTATCAACATTTCTGGAAAATTTCAAAATTGGTTTGAAAACTAGCTGGAAATTCATTTCGAGGCTGAAAAAATATTCAAAAAATTTCGCAGGCTTCAAAAATAGTTCCTAGAACTTGGGAACCCTTAGAAATATCCCAAAAAAATTCCCCCAACATTTTTGAAGCCAGAAAACCGGCTCGCAAAATTCTAGAGCCCTGAAAATTCAGAAAATATGGTAATAAGCTTGATTTTCCAGAAAAATTTAGGTTAAAAATAGTTTAGAAGTCTTCAGAACCTTAAAAACCTTAAAAATTCGCTGAAAAATTTCAGAGAAAATTTCCAATACAAAAATTGCAGGAAAAAATAGGTTTCAAAATTTCTAGAAATTTCGGAAGCTTGAAAAATAGTCTATAAGTTTCTAGCTACAAAAATTCACCAAAAACCCTTAGAAAATCCCCACAAGCTCCCAAAACCCTTCCCAAAAATCCCCAGCTTCCCAAGTTCCCACCACCCAGCTCCCAACCTCCCAAACTTCCCAAAACCCAAATCTAACAGGTCGGGGTGAAAGAAATCGCGCCTTTCTTCCCAAAAACGCGCTCACAACACAACTCTCCCCGCCCCAAAACCGAAAAAAACCCGTGTCTCTCTCAATTATTTTGCCGCCTTCCCTCTCCAAGCTCCGCCCACTTCTCGCCTCCGATTGGTCGATTTCTACAAAAAGGGGCGGAGCTTGGGAGGGGGCGGAGTCGCGATGAGAGAGTATGGGAAATGGAGAGAGCAGCAGGGAGAGGGAGAGCGGCAAAAATGTTGTGTAGTTTTGACATTCGGTGCAATTGCGGGCGGGTTTTTTTTTCGCGAATTTTGGCGCCAAAATTGAAGACACGTGGATTTTTTGGCGCGAATTTCAAATTTTTTGAAAATCAATTCTTGCTTAGTAAATTTTCGCGTTGAGACCAAAAACTACAGTACCTTTTCCTACAGTACCCTTTTCTGAATTCAATTTTTTTGGTCCCAAAATCTACAGTAGTCGCTCTAGAATTTGAATTTCCCGCGTCAAATTCAAAATTTTCAAAAATCCTAATTTTTCCCGCCAAAAATCCTCATCTACAGTACTCCCCTCGAAAAATGCAAAAATTTTCAAGTTTCGAAAATTTTCGAAAATTCAAATTTTCGCGCAAAAACTCCCACCTACAGTACTCCCTTTCTCAATTTGCTCTCAAAGCACAGCAAAAAATCGCTAATAGCAACCGAAATTTTTATTGCCCAAGAAGAAAAAACTGACATTTCGTTTCGGGACCAATAAAAATTAATGGAAAAAAAACAATGAGAAACTTTTATTCGAAAAAAAAATCAGGGAGGAAACAGAAGGAAAAGGGGTCAAAAAATAACAAGAAAAAAAATTAACAAAGTTAATAACAAGGAATTTCAGACAAAAATTGAATCTGAAATTAATTTCAGGGCTCAAAATTTGACCTAAAATTGATTTTTGAACAGAAAAGCTCAAAATTCGGACCAAAATGTGAAAAAATAACAAAAAATAACTTCCCAGGCCTAAAAACATCTGAAAAATTCAAATTTCCAGCCCGCAAACCTCCTAGGCCTGTCCCAAATGTCGAATTGTCGCCAGACTCGGATCAACATCCATCTCATCTTCATATCGAATCAAGATTCCAATCAGCGCGTGAAGTGTGTGCTCTTCCTGGGAGCTCAAAAGAGTTCGGGCTTTTTTGGAGTCCGGGCCAGCATTTTGGGCTTCTCCAGATTTATCCAATTCTCGCATCGCTGGATAAACTCCTTTTTGTCGTAAATGTTCACGGCCATGTTTGGTGGCGCAAAGCTGGAAAATAAAAAGGTTTTGGGGGGAATTTTTCAAAAATTCTGGAATTTTCAGACCTAAAAAAGCCTAGAAACTGCAAAATTATCTGAAAATGAGTTAAAAATTCCGAATTTCCAGTCTAATTTCGCTCAAAAATTAATTCTAGATCAAATTTTCAGCTCAAAATTCAATTTCCAGTGTAATTTTTCCGAAAAAAACACACATTTTCTGTCAAAACTGATAAAAATCTCGCAAATATAATTGTTCATCATCGAAAAAAAAACCAACACGCTTCATTAATTTTTCGCCAGTTTCTTGCTAATTTGAAATAAGACAACTAGAAAACAGCGAGAAATTAAGAAGAAAGATTGAAATCGAGAAGAAGAAGAATGAAAGCAAGCCTTGTTAGTTAGTTAGGTCAAATAATTTTTCGTTTTTTTTTTTTTGAAAAAATAAAAATGGGGACCTTAACGTGCTTAAGGTTGACCTAAAATTAAATTCAGGAAAAAAATCCACGTGGAACTCTTAAAATCGAGGATTCCGAAAATTTACACTGAAATCAGGATTTCGCTGAAAAATCTAAAAATTCCACGTGGAAACTGTGAATTTCAAAAAAAAAAAATTTTTTTCGAAATTTTCACAAAAACTTAAATCTAGAATGAAAATCCACGTGGATCCTGAAATCTCAAAAAAAAATCATTTGCTGGATTTTTATCTGAAAATCCACGTGTGTAACTCTGAAAATCGGGAATTTTGAGCTGGAAAAAATCCACGTGTAAAAAAATCTTTCAAAATTGTTCCACAAAAATTTTGAATTTTGAGAGATTTCAAGATCCACGTGGATTTTCATTCTAGATTCAAGTTTTCGTGAAAAATTTGAATTTTTTTTTTGAAATTCACAATTTTCACGTGGATTTTTCCCGATTTTCAGAGTTACACGTGGATTTTTTCCAGATCAAAATTCCAGCAAATGTTTTTTTTCTGAGATTTTCAAGGATTTTCCGAATTTGATTTTTTATTTATAAAATTTTCAACACCATCAAAATCCACGTGGAATCCCCCAAAATTCCAGACCAGCTTCATAATTTTTACCTGAAAAAGTGCCTCGACCAATTTCTGCCTAACAATCTCGCTCCTCTCTCGCTCCTTATCATAATATTGCAATCTGATGGGCAATTTCGACATCTCGTCATCGTCCAAATTATCATTGAGATCCATTAGTGGAGCCAGAATTGCGCACAGATATTCATCAGATTGATCGAGAAGAATCGGGTGGACATCTGGAAATAGAGATTCGAATTAGGAACAATCTAGGTTTGGTGGAAAGATCGAAATCTATAGTGAAAAAAGTTCAGAAAAATTTCTGGACTTTGGGAAAAAAGGGGGGTGTAAAAGCGGAGCATCGTTAGAATCTGAATTTTCAAGCTTCGCTGTTAAACATCTAGAATCGAGGTGTCAAAGCGGATTGTCGTTGGATGAAATTAGAAGGGCTCAAAGGTGTAAACCCGGAGCAACGTTTAGAAACTAGCTGAAGGTGTAAACCCGAAGCATCGTAAAAATTCGGCTTGAGAACGGAATTTCGAGGGTGTAAACCCGGAGCATCGTTGGAATGATTCAAAGGTGTCAAAGCGGAGTCTTGTTGGGTCAGACTTCAAGAAAAATCACGGAGGATCCTTCTAGTTCAAGAAATCAAGGTGTAAATCTGGAGCATCGTAGGAATCATGACGAAAATCCCGCGTAAAGTCGGAGCATCGTTCGTCTATGAATTTCAGATGTTCAATCCTCGTAGATTTCACTTCAAGATCAAAACCACGTGGCGAAATTTCAGCAGCGTAAACGCGGAGCCTCGTTGGGTGGTCCTGCCTACCGTAGCCCATCTCCCAAAACTTCACAAAAAACTTGTCTCAACTAACAACCTCCCCAAATCAGCTCTTCATTTTCTCACAAACAATTTGTGCTAAAAATGCCCAAGGGATTCGGGTCTCCAAATTACTTTGTGTTGTCGGAAAAGGGGTCTACTGTAAGTTAGGCTAACTTGGGGGGACGAAAAACTGGAGCACAATCTGTTAGGGGTGGTTAATTAGGTATTTATTTATTCATTTATACAACAAGGAGTCCAAAATTGGTGTTGTATATTTGAGATACAAAACTTCTCAAATTTTGCATCATTTTCTCCCGTTTTTCTTTGGCTCATTGCTCATTTTAAACACAACACTCCAATTCAATTGTCTTCTCTTTGTTATTGTTTTTGTGTGGAGGCAAAAAGAGAAGAGAAGTTTGTGGACAAAAAAGGAAAAGAGAGGAGGTGAAATTTGAGACTCGCCAAAAATTAGTCGAATTTAAAACGAGATGAATGAAGAAGAAGCGACGCGGGAGGGACTTTTTACAAGTCATCAGAATTGTGTACTTCTTTTGGAGGAGACATATGGAATATTATCAGTATAGTTTCCAAATCCACGTGGCCGCTAAAGCGGAAGACAGTGCCGCTGAGGCGGAAGCTTGCGGTCTACACTCGCGCAAAGCGCTCGGCAAGTCACCAGACTTGTGTACTTCTCTCGAACAAGACGAAATCGGTTCACGTGGCATGCTATGACGTGGAATATCAGTACGGGTCCGATGGCACAATGATCCACGTGGCCGCTGACGCGGAACCTTGCGGTCTACACTCGCGCAAAGCGCTCGGAAAGTCACCAGACTTGTGTACTTCTCTCGGAGGAGACATATAAACTATTAGTATAGTTCCTAAATCCACGTGGCCGCTAAAGCGGAAGCTTGCGGTCTAACTTGTGTACTTCTCTCGGACAAGACAAAATCCAGAGAGTCAGAAGCAAAGTTTACCTCATTACGCAATTAGGTAAATAAAAACAGAGACAATATTTTGGGTAGATCAAATTTCGACAATTTTCGGGTTGCGCAATGGATTTATGGATGATGGAATAGGGCTAATCGGTGGTTTAGTAACAGGAAAGTGTGATTTGTTCGGAAAAGGGGCCGTTAGGCTTCAGGGGCCAAAGTGGGCCCTGAAGCCTAAAAGATGAAAATAGCCTTCTGTTCAGGTTCAAGCGAGGATCAAGAAAATCAATTTTTCAACTCGGAACCTGACGAAAACCAAGAAAAATCGATCAAAACGAAATTTTAGATCTCCATATTTCAATCCAGAATCTTCACCCGTAAATACATGAGCCAAGATAAAGAACATCGAAAAACATCAGAGCGGACCATCGCATAGAGACAAAGTTAGCCTAACTTCCCATAAGCATACCAACCGTACGAAAAAAATGATTAAAAACCTTTTTTTTTAACAAAAAATGGTCGAAAACTATATTTTTCCCATTTTTCGACATTTTTTTTCACACAAAAATGAAAAAAAATCGGAAAAAATTATAGTTTTTCGACTTGAACAACAAAAAACATCAAAATGTCGAGCTTCTGTACAATTTCTAGTTATGATAACTTTTCCACTTAAAAAGTTCAAAATCCTCTTACGCAACCACCAAAATATTGTCCAAAACAGTGTCAATTTTCGCGCATTACGCAATATCTCCAAATAATATTTATCTACCGTAATCCACCTTCCCATAACAATTATCGCTATAATAATAATAACAACGATAATTGCTCTCAGGGAAAGAAAAAGAGTTCCTGAGCTCTGCCAATCCAAACAACACATGTTAATTAGCGATTTATCAATTGTAGGGGTGCCGAAAAGAACACGAGACATTTTACACCTGTTCCTAGTCTCTTCAAGCTTTTGCGGCTCTCAGAGCTTCTCTCTTACAACCTGCTTCATTTTCACATAAATCTTGCGATTCGACACCTTCCATACTGTAACCAAACCAACTGAATAACACGACAAGGCTGGAACCAAAACGAAGGACCAGCTGTTGTTTTGTTGTTATTATGTTGTGAAGAACAAGGGGGGGGAGACAAAAAGTTATTATATGTCTCTACATTTTTATGATCGAATGAGATGATGAATGGGGTCACAGGGAATCAAAAATATGAGAGCAACTTGGAAACTGGGGGAGCTTGGATGGTCCAGAAGTTTCAGAAGAGGAACTTCGAGGGAAGATCTAGGAAGAATTCAGGAAGCTAGGCTAAAAGGATCAGAAGTTTCAGGAGAGGAACTTCGAGGGAAGATCTAGGAAGAATTCAGGAAGCTGGGCTGAGAAGATCTAGGAATATAGGCTAACAAGATCAGAATTGTTGGATTATGAGCCCCGGCTCTTTGAGGACCACAGGAACTTCAAGAAATCCGAGGAAAGATCAGAAGTTCCTGAAACTTCAATGGGAGGTCTAGAATTATCGCTCCAAAAAGACCTGTTGAAAACTGAGCCCAGTGCAATTAGCACAATATTAATTATTGCGTAATTGATTGCAAATGAAGTTAGCGGAACTTGAGAACAAAATCAGAAGAAGCTCGGATTTCCGAATGTGATTCAAATAGATTTCCAGATTGGAGTTCAGAACTTCAAAAATCCAGCAAGACTTCAGGAGGAGCTCAAAAGTTATCCTAACCTTCCAGAGAAGTTAGGGTATCTTTTAAGAGCTGCGGAAATTACCAAACTTGCTAGAAAGATCTAGGATCGAGATCTAGAAACATCTAGACCATCTAGAACTAGGCCTAAGCCTTCCAGGCTAAAAAAATTTCAAATTTCGACTCACAACTGTACGAAACTTCAGATTCTGAATCCAGATTTCGAAGCCCAGGCCCAAAATTTCACACGCAATTTCAAAATTCACACAGCTGTTGTCACTGGGCCAACAACACCAACTAATAAATCAGCCAACACTTTATCAAAACACGAGAAATTTGAGAAGCCAAAGGCAAAAGAAGAAAAAGATGATATTATTATGAGGACACAATATGTTTAGTCCATTTCTTTATGACCTCCTATTCTCCAATAATAAAATATCTTTTTCCTCTCCTCTCTGATGATGTTTCTACTACATTTACTACCACATCATTACACACACACAACCTGTGCAAATATTCTCTATCAATAGCTAGATAGCTACATAGATATATCACTTTTCTTGTCACAATTTGTGTGAGATGAAATGAGAAAACCAGAGGGACAGATGAAACAAGTCGTGAAATTTGTCACAGAGATGGTGAGAAATTCGACACAGGAAATCGTGGATGGCGCAAAACGGATGTGGAATTTCAAATTCGAAAAGTCACGCCAAAACACTTTGGGAGGAGGAAGCTCCAAAACTAGTTGAAAAAATAGATTTTCAGAAAAACTGGGGGATTTTTCCGGAATTTCTGATATGAAAGTTTCATGTCGAAATGTTGCCACGTGGAATTCTCATTCTAGAAACTTTGAGGACGAAGATTCATTGCCACGTGGATTCTTGAGCACGGTGTACCAAAAAAAAAGTCCGGACGAAATTTTGAGAATCCAATTTTCATAGCAAAAATAATTGCCACGTGGATTCTGCAACCAAAATCCTGTGAGATAGCCTAACTTCAAAAACTTTGCAGTGGATATTTTCAGATCAGAATTTCAAGATTAAATTGCCACGTGGATTTTTGGAACTCAAATTCGTGGAAAATGAGAGAAAATCGGATTTTCTGTGCCTGCCAAAAACTTGCCACGTGGCATTTTGAGCCCTAAAAATCCGGAAGAAAATAAATAATGTGCTCAAAATTATATCGTGTAAAATTTTTGCCACGTGGAATTTGGGCTCCAAAATTGAGGAAATCCGATTCTAGACGATTGAAAGCTTAGGAATTTCTGCTAAAAAATGTTGCCACGTGGATTTCAGGTCCAGTTTCGGAGCCAAGAACACGAGTATTTTCAAGGTAGAATTTTTGCCACGTGGATTCTCTAGCTCAAAATATCTTCAGAGCTTCATGCGTCAGAAAATCGAATTCTATTCAGAAAAGTTGCCACGCGGATTTTCGTGGGCTTAAGAATCGAAGTTCACCACGTGGATTTTCAGGTCTTCTAAAACTACACTACCAAAATCGCCTAACGCAAAACCCATAAATCATCACAGCAAAAACCAATACCACCCGGCGGTCGCACTCTTCTTCTTCTTCTCTTTGTTTCTTCCAAATATGATAAAGTCATCCGTCCAACGCAACACAAAAAAAAACCAACAAAGTATCAATCAATGTCGTTTAGTTAGTTAGTTTTTGTGTGTGTGGCGGAGAGGGGGTGCGCGACCTCCATATGATTTATGGAATATGTTACAAATTGTTATTTCTTCTTCGTCTTTCTTCTTATATGTTTGGGCTATGCTTGTTTCGAATCCAATTATTTATGATCCGCTGATTAGTTTCTCGCGCACTTTTTTATGGCGGCTGTGGAGAAGAAGAAGAAGAAAGGACAGAAAACAAGTTGAGAATAGGGACTTAGGGTTACGGTAACTCAGAACTTCTACAGAGGCTTCTAGAGATCAAGAAATTTTTGCTCCAAAAAAGTCTATTGAAAAAAGAGCTCAGGCAATTAGCACAATATTAATTATTGCGTAATTGATTGCAAATCAAGTTAGAGGAACTTAAGAACAAAATCAGAAGAAGCTCGTTCAGAACTGCAAGAAAGACTTCAGGAAACTTCGAGGGATCTGAGGAAGATCAGGATACAACTTGAGGGATCAGAGAGTTTCAGAGTTACTAGAACTTCTGGAAAACGTGAAAAGCTTCGAGTTTTTTGTTGGAACTTCAGAAGACCACTTAGAATTCAGCCGGAAAGTGTCAAAATATTCAAAAAAAAATTTTTTTTTGGAACCTCGAAAAAATACGTTTCATTAAAATTGGAAATTCTAGAAACATTTTTTTCAGTTTGTTAACTTCAATTTAATTAGATTAGATCCTAATAATATTTCAGGAAACTAAATTCTCAAAAATGATTTCCAGATTCCCCCTTATCTCCTCTCTAAAATCAGAAATCGGCCACTTCAAACAACACCTTCTATCCGACAAAAAACACATGTCATGTATCCAATTACCACACACATACAATAATCATCATCAACTCAACCAGTTAACGACACTTGTAACTTTTTGTGTTCGAGCGGCGGTTGATTTTTATCGCCAGGTGCCCAGGTGGAAGAAGAAGAAGAAGAAAAAGAATATTGGGAAAACTGAGGTGGTTATGAGGGGGACTTTGGGGTAAACTAAGGTTAGGCCGTAGGTTCACCTTAAGGACCCTAATGAAGAGTTAAAACTTTATAATTAGCGTTAGAACTCTTCCCTAGCAAAACTTAAATTTTAAAAATTATTAGAGAGTTTACCTAATTCAAACTTCTAGGTCTTTAATTCTAATTGGGAGCTATTAAGAACCTAATTACTTAGAGTTTAGGAATAGTTATCTAATTTAGTGATTTTTAGCTATTTAACTTATTACTCATACTTAACCTTAAGTTATCCTTAAGAATTTAGCTAACTTCCAGAGTTATCTAAACTACCGTACCACAATTTTGAAAAAAACCGCGCGGCTCTCTTCAAAAAACGACTTGCACCTGGTCGTATCTAATTACAAGTACTTAATTTCCCCGGTCCGCTAACAAGCAAAAAAAGATTTGGCGCACTTGTAGATAATAAAAATAACAAGGAGAAGGAGAAGAAGAAGAAGTACAGGTGTGTCAGCAAAAAAAGCGTGGGGGGGGGATAGAGTAGGGTTACGGTAATTTTGGGAAGATCTGGATTCAGCCTGAATTTTAACGATTCTTTCTGTCAGCATTCCAGGATTTCTCTAGCTCAGGATAAGTTTTGGCCTCAAAAATCCACGTTTACATATGGTATTTTTGGGGCCCCAAAACTTGAGGACTGAACTATTTTTATAAAATTTTTCCAGGTCTTGATCCAAAATCTACCAATTTTCCAGTCAAAAATCCACGTTTACATATGGTATTTTTGCCGAAAAATCAGTTTATTTTGGTCCTTAGCTACGGTATTTTTGCAGTTTTCCAGAACTTTCCAGAATCATACCAAAATTCACCAATTTTCCAGTCAAAAATCCACGTTTACATATGGTATTTTTGCCGAAAAATCAGTTTATTTTGGTCCTTAGCTACTGTATTTTTGCAGTTTTCCAGAACTTTCCAGAATCGTACCAAAATTCACCAATTTTCCAGTTAAAAATCCACGTTTACATATGGTATTTTTGCCGAAAAATCAGTTTATTTTGGGTCTTAGCTACGGTATTTTTGCAGTTTTCCAGAACTTTCCAGAATCGTACCAAAATTCACCAATTTCCCAGTCAAAAATCCACGTTTACATATGGTATTTTTGCCGAAAAATCAGTTTATTTTGGTCCTTAGCTACGGTATTTTTGCAGTTTTCCAGAACTTTCCAGAATCGTACCAAAATTCACCAATTTCTCAGTCAAAAATCCACGTTTCCATATGGTATTTTTGCCGAAAAACTCGTCAATTTTGGCTCACCTTCTCCAAAAACAAAAACAACAATAAAACACTTGTTTCATCTCCTCGCTCTTTATGGTATCAAGTGTCAGTTCAGCGGATTAACCAACTTATTGTCTTCTCTTAGAATGTTGTGTGTGTGTATGTGAGGCTTCTTCTGAAGAGCAAGTCAAAAAAGGTCAAGTAGTAAACATTCTGTGAGCATCATCATCATCATCATCACAAATTAGACAGACTAAGGTCCCAATGTTGTTACTTTTCTCAAGTGCTGCCTGCTTACACAGCAAATATGTCACAGGAAGTCGAAACATTTTTGGGATGGGGGGGAGAAAAATTGGGGACCTAAAGCTCTCTGAATATGAGCTATGACGTGGCAAAGTTTGAGTTATTGTAAGTTTACTGAATAGGACCAGGTGCCTCTGTTTTTTTGGACAGAAACAGAAAATGCCGAGCACGCTTTGCGCGAGTGTAGACCGCAAGCTTCCGTTTTAGCGGCCACGTGGATTACTATGATATGAAATAAGTATCAGCCCCGGCTTCCACGTCATGGTAATCCACGTGGCCGCTGACGCGGAAGCTTGCGGTCCACACTCGTGCAAAGCTAGTGTAGACCGCAAGCTTCCGCGTAAGCGATTGTAGACCGCAAGCTTCCGCGTTAGCGGCACTATCTTCCGCTTTAGCGGCCACTTGGATTACTATGACGTGGAAGCCATAAGCCACGTGGCTGCTGACACACACAAGCTTTCGGTCTACAGCTTTACGGATCAAAAATAACTATGACGTGGAGAGCCACGCGGAATCTTGCTCTCCACAAAATGCGCTCGTCGATTACTGTACCGCAATCTTCGATCATTTTCTTATGTTTCTGTGTCCAAAATTTTTCCGTGTCACATGATAACTACTACTGTCCGTCCGCAGCTGTCAAAAAGCATTAGTTGAAATTTTATCATTTCAAACACACACTGAATCTCGTTTTTTGTTGTGTTGTTAGTGGGTTGTGGTGGTGGCGACAAAAAAAAGAGGAGTGTTCAAATTGTGTGTAGATGTTACAAAAGTGACGATAATTCGAACAAAAATGATACCACAAATCAAATTACAGTGACAAATAATAATGTGTGGTGAGAGAAGAGGGGTTGCCAAAATCGAAAATCGTGAGATTCTGGAGCTGGAGGTGGAGCTACGGAATAGGTGTCTTACAGGCTCAGAAAGCAGCAAAATCAAATTTTTGAGGCCGGAGAAACCGAGTCTAGAGGGAAATTTTGCAGCCAAAAAAATTCAGAAAATCTCATTTTGCCACGTGGATTTCCAGACGATCAAAGCCACGTGGATCTTGAGCCAAAAAATTCAATCAAAATTTACAATTTACTGGTTTAGATTTTGAACAACCGGATGTTTTATCGAAAGCCAAAATCCAATTTTTCCAATACCAAACTCTCGAAACGTACATTTTCCAGGTTTCAATTTTGCCACGTGGATAACTATGACGTGGAATATCAGTACGATTTCGATGTTTTGGTAATCCACGTGGAAATCGTACTGATATCCCACGTGAAAATAATCCACGTGGCCGCTGAAGCGGAAGCTTGCGGTTTACACTCGCGCAAAGCGCTCGACCAGGTTCCACTCCTGCCCAAAAATCAAATGTCTTCCGATATCAATCCAATAAAACCACAGTATCCAAAAAACAATTCACTTTCAGCCAAAAAAAATTGCAGTTTTTTTGTTGGGGGTATCAACTACAAAAGATACCGCAAATCGTCCATCTATCTATATTTGATTTGACACATTAATCAATCTCGTTTACGAGTTTGTGGGTTTTCTTCTTATCATTTCTTTTCTTTGTGGAAACACACAACTTCAGCGAAAAGATGATGAAAAGAAATGTGAACACCGACAAATTTTTTCCAACAAGCAAGCCGCGCGGGACACAAAACTAAAACCCAAAATATTAATGACCTTATCAACTTTCAGTGACAACTGCGACACACAAAAAAAACAACATTCTTCATTGTTTTTTTGCGGTGGGGGCGCAAAAAGCGATACCGTAATCAAATTAACCAAGATGAACAAAAAAAAGGGTGGCGGCGACGGAAATACATAAAATGGTGATAGGGAAGAAGAAAAACAGCTAGGCTGCGAAAAAAAATGAGAAGAAGAAGAAGATGTGATGATTGAGAAACAAAACGAAAAATTGTTGGGCTATAAATTGACAAGCGAATAAAATTGAATCGCGAAAATCGAGAGATGGGTCAAGGTGGAAAAGATCGGCAAGAATTTCGAAATTTGAGATTCTGGTGATCCAGGAAAACCTTCGAACTTCCAAGTTCCTAACATTTTTTGAGCAAAAAATTTTCTAGAACCCTAAAACTCCCGGAAAAAGTGCCAGAGCTTGAAAATTCATGGAAAATACGGGAAAAAGATCTGGGATTCGGATCTTCTGTTAAGAGTTCAACAAACAGTTCAATTTGAGCAGAAGCTTCTGAAAAATCCCAAATTTCGAGAAAAAACTATGTTAGCTCATACTAAAGACGAAAATATCAAAAATCCAGTCAAAAACCCGGAAAAAATAATTACTTACAGTATCTGAGAAGAAATAGTGTAGGCTTCTAAAAGACGCAGAGAGAAAAGTCCCAAGGATCAAAAAATAGTCCATTTTGAGCAACATTTCCCGGAAAATCTCAATCTTCAGCCTAAAAATCGATATTTTTGGTATCAAGATGAAAAATACCGAAAATTGTTGATTTATAATAGTATCTGGGACGAAATAGTGTAGGCTTCTAAGAGACGCAGAGAGAAAAATTCCAAAAATAGTCCAATTTGAGCACAATTTTCCAGAAAATCTGAATCTTCAGCCTAAAAATCGCCAAACCTACAATTTCCAAGCCGTTCCTTCTAATCTCCAATTCCAATCTTCCTCTCTTAATAGTCCAAAATAGGAGCGGCTTTTTACAGAAGAAACATCAACACGACATCGTCAAAAAAAAAATTTTCGGCCATGTTTTATAGCTTTTTGACACCACTTTATTACCGTCATTTTATGACAACCTCGAAAGAGACGAAAAAAAAAAAGGCGAGGAAGATGAAGTAACTAAAATGAAAATGAGAAGGAGGAGGAGGAGGAGATGAAATAAAAATGACACTAAATAAAACAAAATTTGAAAAGGGGGGGCTTTCGCGCGAGCAAAAGAGTTAGGCTAAGTTCAAATATGGTGATTGTTGAGACCCTTAAGCAATTTTAGGTAGTTTTTTGGGTCCCAGAGCAATTTAATGTAATTTTTAAGGCTCCGGGCCACAATTTAGTGATTTTTCAGGTCCTGGAGCAATTTTAGGTGCTTTTTTGGAACCTCGAGCAATTTTAGGTGATTTTAAAGGTTCTGAAGCATTTTTCGGTGATTTTCAAGGTTCTAAAGCATTTTTCGGTGATTTTTTGGGTTCTAGAAAAAGTTTAGGTGATTTTTAAGGTTCTAAAGCATTTTTCAGTGATTTTCAAGGTTCTAGAGCATTTTCCTGTGATTTTTAAGGTTCTAGAGCAATTTTAGGTGGTTTTCAAGGTCCTAGAGCAATTTTAGGTGATTTTCAAGGTTCTAAAGCATTTTTCGATAATTTTTAGGCCCCTAGAGCATATTTTAGTGATTTTTTCGGACCTAGAGCACTTTTCGGTGATTTTTAGGCCCCTAGATCATATTTTAATGATTTTCAAGGTCCTATAGCAATTTTCGGTGATTTCTCAGGTCCTAAAGCATTTTTATACTAAAAAAAAACACATAACACCACAAAAAACCTGAATTTTTATTTTAAAAAAACCCATAATTTCAGCCAAAAATCAAAATTCAACCTAAAATTCAATTTCGGACCTAAACGATTCGAAAATTCTTGAAAATCCCGAATTTTTAGCTGAAAACAACATATTTTCAGGAAAAATCAAAATTTTTATCAGAAATTTTAGAAAAAAATAGGCGAAAAACCAAGTGCGCTCTACTGATAATTATTCAGATTTTCCCATTCTACAGTCAAAAATGTCTCAAATTCGGCGCGAAATTCAAATTTTTCCTCAGAAAATAAAGATTCTCCTCAAAAATCAATATATTTTTCCCAAGGGGAAAACAAACAAATCCCGTTAGCCAATCCCGTGAAGGCTACAGTATATTTTCTATTTTTTTTTGGAAAAAAAGAGCTCACCATCATCAAAAGCCAAATTTCTGAGAATATCAGCTGCACATTCGCGAATTTCTGGAGTTTTTGCCGTGGCCAAAATATCACAAATCAGCGAGAGCGTCGATTTTTGAGCTGAAAATCATGAATTTTCCATTTTTTGTGAAGAAAAATGGGCTTACAATCCAAAATGTTCCTTCGAATCGGCTGCAAAACTGTCAAATTCACAATGATGAATCCGGTGAATTTTGCGCGATCCTCATCTCCGCCATCAATCGAATTTTTGATTTGGCCTGCAAAAATAGGGAAGTTAGGGTAACTTTTTGAAATTTGCAAAAATTGGGTGATTTTTGGTCAAAAATCTCTCAAATTCCACGTCAAAAATCCACGTTTACATATGGAATTTTTGCCGAAAAATCTGTGTATTTTGGTCCTTAGCTAAGGTAATTTTGCAGCTTTCATTTACCAGAATCGTACCAAAATTCACCAATTTTCCAGTCAAAAATGCACGTTTACATATGGAATTTTCGCCGAAAAATCTGTGTATTTTGGTCCTTAGCTACGGTATTTTTGCACCTTTCATTTACCAGAATCGTACCAAAATTCACCAATTTTCCAGTCAAAAATCCACGTTTACATATGGTATTTTTGCCGAAAAATCAGTTTATTTTGGTCCTTAGCTACGGTATTTTTGCACCTTTCATTTTTCAGAATCGTACCAAAATTCACCAATTTTCCAGTCAAAAATCCACATTTCCATATGGAATTTTTGCCGAAAAACTTGTCGAATTTTGGTCTCAAAAATTGCGATAAAACGTGTTAAACTACGGTATTGTTTTACAACTAATTAGATCATTTTGTCACACTTTTTTGTGTCATTCTTATCATCAAAAATATCAAGTGACCAGCAAAATGAAATGAAAAACTATTTTCGGGGGATCTTGCTGTGAGAATTTCCGGTAGATCAGATAAAACAAATAGGCAGGCAGGTAAAGAATAATGATGTGAACAAAAAAAAACACACATCAATTGGCACAACATCGATTAACACCTATTGTTTTTCTTGTCTATGATCTTATCGGATCGAGATAGGTTGGGTTTTGGGTTGGGAAAAAAGCGGAAGGAAGGTGGAAATTCTGGGGATTTTGGGAAACTAACAATTAACTTCCCAACTTAAATTCTAGACCTCATTTATCAAGCAGACCTGATTGTCTAGGACTGGCCTCTAGAGATCCATTTCGACAAGGATCCGCGCCTAGAGATCCGCTATGGCTAGGTACGACGCCTTGAGAGTTGCTATGTCAAGTAGTCTAGATAGAGCGCCTAGAAGCCATGCCTCCCAATTATCAGAAATTCCTTTAAGATCTCCAAGTTCCTCTAACTTCAGCCCACTAAATACCATAAATTCCAAATTCCAAACTATAATTAGCCACCTTTCCTTGATAACACAGTGTTCTGCTCTTCATTTTCGCAACATAACATGATAACACACACCAGGTTTTATCGCCTCACAATATTTTAACGACCACTTTTGCACACACATAAATCTTGTGTGTCGAATTGTAGATTAGGGGGACTGTGAGATCATTAATTAATTAGTTTACATAGCCATAAAAAAACAACGAACATGGTGGACCCCGTAAAGTCAACATGTTGTGCAATTTATGATGAGCCGAGTGATAATGGGAAGGTGCACAGGGTGGACGAAAAAATGGGGGATTTTCAGGGGGTAACGAACTTGGCAACTAAGAAATCAGGAAAATTTCAATAACCGGAAATCCTGGCGATTACATACGGTATTTTTGCCGAAAAATCTGTTTATTTTGGTCCTTAGCTACGGTATTTTTGCAGTTTTCCAGAACTTTCCAGAATCGTACCAAAATTCACCAATTTTCCAGTCAAAAATCCACGTTTACATATGGTATTTTTGCCAAAAAAAAAAATGTGTATTTTGGTCCTTAGCTACGGTATTTTTGCAGTTTTCAAGAACTTTCCAGAATCGTACCAAAATTCACCAATTTTCCAGTCAAAAATCCACGTTTACATATGGTATTTTTGCCAAAAAAAAATGTGTATTTTGGTCCTTAGCTACGATATTTTTGCAGTTTTCAAGAACTTTCCAGAATCGTACCAAAATTCACCAATTTTCCAGTCAAAAATCCACGTTTACATATGGGATTTTTGCCGAAAAATCTGTTTATTTTGGTCCTTAGCTACGGTATTTTTGCAGTTTTCCAGAACTTTCCAGAATCGTACCAAAATTCACCAATTTTCCAGTCAAAAATCCACGTTTACATATGGTATTTTTTCCGAAAAATCTGTTTATTTTGGTCTTTAGCTAAGGTATTTTTGCAGTTTTCCAGAACTTTCCAGAATCGTACCAAAATTCACCAATTTTCCAGTCAAAAATCCACGTTTACATATGGTATTTTTTCCGAAAAATCTGTGTATTTTGGTCCTTAGCTAAGGTATTTTTGCAGTTTTCCAGAACTTTCCAGAATCGTACCAAAATTCACCAATTTTCCAGTCAAAAATCCACGTTTCCATATGGTATTTTTGCCAAAAAATCTGTGTATTTTGGTCCTTAGCTACGGTATTTTTGCAGTTTTCCAGAACTTTCCAGAATCGTACCAAAATTCACCAATTTTCCAGTCAAAAATCCACGTTTACATATGGTATTTTTTCCGAAAAATCTGTGTATTTTGGTCCTTAGCTACGGTATTTTTGCAGTTTTCCAGAACTTTCCAGAATCGTACCAAAATTCACCAATTTTCCAGTCAAAAATCCACGTTTACATATGGTATTTTTTGCCGAAAAATCTGTTTATTTTGGTCCTTAGCTACGGTATTTTTGCAGTTTTCCAGAACTTTCCAGAATCGTACCAAAATTCACCAATTTTCCAGTCAAAAATCCACGTTTACATATGGTATTTTTTGCCGAAAAATCTGTTTATTTTGGTCGTTAGCTAAGGTATTTTTGCAGTTTTCCAGAACTTTCCAGAATCGTACCAAAATTCACCAATTTTCCAGTCATAAATCCACGTTTACATATGGAATTTTTGCCAAAAAATCTGTTTATTTTGGTCCTTAGCTAAGGTATTTTACGAGCAATTTTTGGTGCCCTTAAGACTTCTTAAACAGTTTTATATTAATAATTTTGTGCCCACTTTCCATTTTCCACTTTGTCCGACCAAAATTCCAACAATCCAATTTTTGCCACACATTTTATGACACTCACTCAAATAATAATAATTATTATTATTTTATTATCAGCGGGCTAAAAAACGAGCCAATAAAATTTGGTGCTACTTTTTCCACTGATAACACACACACCGTGTCGAATTTTGCTGTGCGTGTTACTTTTACCACCCGCTTATAATCATCAAACAAACAACAGAATGCTACTGTTTGTATCTATCGAAATGGGAAAATGTTGAAAAATTTTTGGGGATCGAGGGGAGAAGAAAAATCCGAATCCAAGAGTACAGTTTTGGAGCCACGGCGTCTCAAGACACTGTTATAATAGGATTAATTTCACACGTATTGATGAATTTTGATAAGGTGTGAGAAACAACACTAACAAATATTGAAGATGGGTGCGAAATTGGGGACTTTCGGTAAGGTGGAACTGAAAATTTTCAGCTTGAATTTGAATTAGAATCAGGAACTTCAGAAGATCTGCAAAACCGGGTAATTCTGGAAAAATATTCTGGTAATAGCAAAGTTGGATCTACCCCCAGTATTTCAAGGCACGGCTCCTTGACCCCATCCTCTCTCAAGCATCCACTCCTTGAAACCATGTTTTTCAAGTCGCCGAGGCTTTAGACCATAATCCTGTCTAGAATCGGCTACTTGACATCAAGATTTCTCAAGGCTTCACTACTTTAGGCAAAAATTGTGTGTAGAAATGGTTCCTTGACATTAGATTCCTTCCAGACTTCATAAGACTGCGCTCCTTGACACAATCATCTCCCAAGGAGCGATTCCTATACATCACATTCACTCAAGGCTCTGCTCCTTGACCCTTCTCGATCACAAGCAACGGTTGCTAGACCTTCTCCATGTCGCCAAGTCTCCGCTCCTTCTCTCAAGGCACCCCTCCTCCCATATCCCATAAATCAAAAAAAAAATTCCAATTTCCAACCTCGCGACCTTTCCTGTTACAAAAGAAAAAGGCAACACGCTTATTAGATTAATCGAGGTCGAATTTTCCGAAATTTATCATTTTGGGCCCCAAAAAAAGTGCCGAATTATACACCTTGTGTTGTGTTATCAACAAAAAAACTCGGCAAAAAGAAGCCGGCAAAGGGGATTAGTGTTATCATTTTTTCGGTTTTTTTTGTGTTGGATTGGGTGGAAAAAAAGTGTTTGTTTGTTTAGTTTAGGGAGTACTGTAGGTAGGCATTTTTGTGTGAAAATGTGTCAAAAACGATGGGCGAGTTACAGTAACTCAAAAAGTAAACAGACGAGCAAAAAGTAACTTTTTGATTCGTGAAAAATTGTGTTAACTGTTTGCAAATACTCACAATCAGACTACCGTATTTTTTGCAAAAGTTATGAGCTTTATAGTTTAAACTTATGGAAAGTTCAAGAGTTAGGCTAAATTGGGTGGAGAAAAAATCAATTTTGAGGATTTCACACTAGTTTTTATGAGAAAATAATGGAAAAATAAAAAAAATTCAGATTTTTCATTTAAAAAATCAAAGTTTTAAATTTTTTTTTTGAATAAAAAAATAATTGGTGCTTTTTTGGCTTATAGCTCTCATAAAATAGTCTCAAAAAATCAAATTTCAAGAAAAATCTGATAATTTCAAACTTTCAGAATATTTTTCCTGAAAATCTTGAAATTTCTGATCAAATTTCAAAATTCTTCAATTTTCCAAAAGCCCCAAAAATATACGTTTCAGAAAATTAATACTAGATTTTTGACGTGTTTTTCGACAAAAATCTGAGAATTTCAAATTTTTACAGTATTTTTCCTGAAAATTCTGACAAAAACCTCTAGAAAATTCAAAAATCTCCCCACAAACTCACCCAACAAAATGCTCAAATATTCCACATTTCTCAATTTCAATTTCTCATCAATTCGATCCGGAAAATGCCGTGAAATATTTGCGAGAAGTCGACTGGCAACCGATGAATAAACCGCCTGAAAATTGAGATTTTTGGAGATTTCTGAGTTAGGCTAACTACTTGACACACTAGAAAACACTTGTTTTGTTATGTTTTCGGCCTACAAAAGTCTCTTTTTGATAAGTAGTACTTGGAAAAGGTGTCAGGTTACCAAAAATATGCAGATTTTGTGGTATTTGAGTGAGATTTGGCCTAATTTCGGTATTTTTGAGCAAAAATTGCTCATTTTTATAAATTCTTGGTAATTTTTTGTGTAATTGAGTTCTGAAACATTCAAAACTTTCAGGAAAACTCGAATTTTAGCTCAAAATTATTCAAAAATGATGAATTTCAGCTTATTTTGAGCAAATATTGTTCAAATTTGAGAAATTTTGGAATTTTTTGTGAAAATTTCATTTGATTCCTTTTAGAAAAATCCTGAATTTATGAAAAATTCGAATTTTGGCTCAAAATTATTCAAAAATTATGAATTTCAGGTTGAAATAGAAAAAATTCAAATTCTGGCTCAAAAATTCCAAATTTTTCGAATTTTAGCTCAAAATTATTCAAAAATGATAGATTTCAGTGTGTGTTTTTAAGCTAAAAATGCTCAATTTTCAGCCCAAAAATCCCCATCCCCAAAAAACCCATTGCTCACATTAGCAACCATCGATGTATAAGCAATTTCAACACATTTCGATTGTTTCAAAACATATTCCGCACTTTCAATAGATCCAGATGCGAAATTCGTCAAAGCCGTGAAGGTCTGTGTTCGATCCGATGCTGTCGCTTCACACAATTCACAAATCGCTTTTCCCAGCGCAAAATCGGATTTTTGAAAGAATTGTCCAGCTGAACCATCGAGAGCCGCACTGATTCCAGTCACAATTTCGAGAGCACCTCGGCGGAGTTGTAATGGAGATGTTGGGGCGAGGAATTGAACCAATTCTTGGAACGATTTATCGTCTTCACTCATTCTGGAAGAATTAAAGAGTTGTGATGGCCTAGAAATCCAAAATTATGCTTCTGATGGCCTAGAAATCCAAAAGTATGCTTCTGATGGCCTAGAAATCCAAAATTATGCATCTGATGGCCTAGAAATCCAAAATTATGCTTCTGATGGCCTAGAAATCCAAAATTATGCTTCTGATGGCCTAGAAATCCAAAATTATGCTTCTGATGGCCTAGAAATCCAAAATTATGATTCTGATGGCCTAGAAATCCAAAATCATGATTCTGATGGCCTAGAAATTCAAAATTATGCTTTTGATGGCCTAGAAATCCAAAATTATGCTTCTGATGGCTTAGAAATCCAAAATTACGCTTCTGATGGCCTAGAAATCGCAAATTATGCTTCTGATGGCCGAGAAATCCAAAATTACGCTTGTGATGGCCTAGAAATCCAAAATTAGGCTTCTAATGGCCTAGAAATCCAAAATTATGCTTCTGATGGCCTAGAAATCCAAAATTATGCTTCTGATGGCCGAGAAATCCAAAATTATGCTTCTGATGGCCGAGAAATCCAAAATTATGCTTCTGGTGTTTCTCAAAATTTAAAGAAATCGCTGAAATCTGGAACTTTTCAAACATAACAAAAAAATTCTCGAAATTTTGAAATCTATGACAAAAACTATCAGAAATCTCATTTTTCAACCTTAAAAATACAATTTTCGGAAATTTTTGAGGTTGAAAAATCAAATTTCTGATAGTTTTTGTCACAGATTTCAAAATTTCGAGAATTTTTAGGTTTTGTTCGAAAAGTTTCAGATTTCAGTAATTTCTTCAAATTTTTATATGGATTTTTTTCATGAAAAAAATGTATTTTTTTTAATTTTTGGAATTTCGTGTAATTTCATGTTTTTATTGTAATTTCATGTTTTTCTTGTAATTTCATGTTTTTCTTGTAATTTCATGTAATTTCACATTAAATTTCACAAATTTATCAGATTTCTGCCCACTTTTCGGGATTTTTTCAAAAATTCCGGGTCCTAACTCATATTTTGTACCAAAATGATCGAAAAATCCCAGATTTCCAGCTCAAAATCCACCAAATTCCTCTGCTATCCAAATCCGTCAGCTATTTGTCAATCTACCGTACTCCCCGCGCTTCTTTAAACACAAACGGGTGGGTGCGAATAGTGACAACCCCCAGTCAAGTAGTGAAGCACAAAACAACAACGCGAAAATGCATTTTCACGATTCTCTTTTGTATTGTTGTTATAAATACAGTAGGATCGAGTGGGGAAAACGACGAAAATGAGGATAAATACAGCAACTAGCCAAAAAGGGGTTTGGAAGTTGGGCTAACTTGGAAATCCCTAGGCTTCTAGTGTTCGAAAATCATAAAGATGAAGCTGGAGACGAAACTATGGATGAAAATGACCGAAAAGTGGTTTAGAAGTTAGCTAAACTTAGGAATCTAGCAAAAAGTAGCTAATTCTGAAGTTAGACTAACTTAGATAGCTATATTCGATAGAGCGCACAAGCCTTTTTGAGCTCAAAATCGAATTTTTGAAAGCGAAAAATCATTGCCACGTCATAACTATAGTCTAGGCTAGAGATTTCGAATTCTCAGAAGCACCTTTGAAAATTACAGAACAAACTGTGAGTTATCCGAAGTCTAGATAACCGTACCAAAAAGAATTCTACGAAGTTTGCCACGTCATAGCTCATATTCAGAGTTGAGCTAAGTCGGTTTGGACCACGGGATCAAGCTCAAAAGATTTCGTCCTTGTTGGCGCAGCCGGTAAGTATATAACTTGCGGATCAGAGGGTCAAGGGTTCGACACCCGCTCGATGCGACATTTTTTATTTTTAGCAAGATCTAGCTCAGTCTCAAGTGTGTTCTTCGGCTACCGTAATCCACCTGCTCTCTCCCGTTTTTCAAAAACACGGCGACTGCAGGTGTAAAGTAGCTAGGCGAAAGAAAAGAGTCAATCAATCAACGGCGGCTCAACGCAAAAAAAAAATAAATTTATTTTCTTTCGAGAAAAACGAGAAGAAATTGGAGCAGAAGTTGTCATGTTAGACACTTGTTCGTGTCATTGTAACACTTACCGCAACAAGTGACAACAACTGACAAAAAGGAGGAGAAGAAGAGCAGATAATAATAATAATCCTAATGATTATTGGGGATCTATGGAATTGTCGGAATTGTGGAAAATTAAAAAAAAATTGACGATAGATTTCCCTGCGCGAAAACCTGAAAATTTCAGCCAAAACGCGATTTTTGGCTGAATTTTTTCAGGTTCAGGCATGATTTTAGGTTAAACTTAGGTTTTTTGTGAAAAAAAAATTGACGATAGATTTCCCTGCGCGAAAACCTGAAACTTTCAGCCAAAACGCGATTTTTGGCTGAATTTTTCAGGTTCAGGCATGATTTTAGGTTAATTTCAGGTCTAAAACCCAAATTTTCTGGAAAAAAAATTGACGATAGATTTCCCTGCGCGAGAACCTGAAAATTTCAGCCAAAACTTCGATTTTTGGCTGAATTTTTTCAGGTTCAGGCATGATTTTAGGTTAATTTCAGGTCTAAAACCCAAATTTTCTGGAAAAAAAATTGACGATAGATTTCCCTGCGCGAGAACCTGAAACTTTCAGCCAAAACGCGATTTTTGGCTGAATTTTTCAGGTTCAGGCATGATTTTTGGTTAAATTCAGGTCTAAAACCCAAATTTTCTGGAAAAAAAATTGACGATAGATTTCCCTGCGCGAGAACCTGAAACTTTCAGCCAAAACGCGATTTTTGGCTGAATTTTTCAGGTTCAGGCATGATTTTTGGTTAAATTCAGGTCTAAAACCCAAATTTTCTGGAAAAAAATTGACGATAGATTTCCCTGCGCGAAAACCTGAAACTTTCAGCCAAAACGCGATTTTTGGCTGAACTTTTCAGGTTCAGGCATGATTTTAGGTTAAACTTAGGTTTTTTGTGAAAAAAAAATTGACGATAGATTTCCCTGCGCGAAAACCTGAAAAATTCAGCCAAAACGCGATTTTTGGCTGAATTTTTTCAGGTTCAGGCATGATTTTTGGTTAAATTCAGGTTTTTTGTTTTAAAAAAAATTGTCGATAGATTTCCCTGCGCGAGAACCTGAAAATTTCAGCCAAAACTTCGATGTTTGGCTGAAATTTTCAGGTTCAGGCATGATTTTTGGTTAAATTCAGGTTTTTTTATGAAAAAAAATTGACGATAGATTTCACTGCGCGAGAACCTGAAAAATTCAGCCAAAACGTGATTTTTGGCTGAATTTTTCAGGTTCAGGCATGATTTTTGGTTAAATTCAGGTTTTTTGTTTTTAAAAAAATTGACGATAGATTTCCCTGCGCGAGAACCTGAAAATTTCAGCCAAAGCGCGATTTTTGAGTGAATTTTTCAGGTTCAGGCATCATATGTATTATTGTTAGTATTTTTTCCTGTGTCGAAAAACAAAATCTACAGTTTATTATTTTTGAGTACAGACAACGTGATATTGAGAGAGCACAGACAAAATAATCAATTTTCCGTACAAAAGCTAATTTTCTGTCCGCGCTCTCTCAATTTCACGTTATCTCTACATTTCTGAAAATTTTGAATCAAAACTCACTAAAACCAAAAAATACTAGGACTTTCAGCAGGCTTAATTTTCTAGAACTGCTTTTTTTTCTTTTTTTTCAATATTTAAAAGAAAAAATTAGGTTTCCACGTGGCAAAATCCAAGGTCACGTTAAAAAGTCTCAAAAATGTTCTTTTTCTTCAATTCAAAAATAAGATTTTCCAAATTGCCACGTCATAGTTCACGTGGTTTTTGATTTACAGTACTCCTCCTACAGTAATCCACGCAACTTTAGTCAAAACAAAAGTTACGCAATAAATCAGTGCAAAAACAATATCTTGCATAATCGAAATATCCATACATATTTATTTATTATAAAAAAGTGGGGTCAGATTACGGTATTAAGGTGATTGAGGAGTCTCGAATTTCATAATAATAGTAATAATTGATCAATATTTGGTAGAAAATACGGACAAGATAGATAGATAGGTTAAGTGGTTGAAGGATTAAAATATATGAGAGAGAAACTTTTTTTTTGAATTTTTGAGGGCAAAATGTGAACTAAATACTGACAATTTATACCACAACATTTTTGATAGAAAAAATTCGATTCAGCAAATGTCAAAGGGCTATAAGATAAACCCTGAAACTTGAAAAATTGGAATTTTTGGCCCTAAAGACTAGTAGGCCTTTCTGGCCCGAGAACTGGGTAATTTTCTTGGCCTGGAAGCTTAAAAAAGCAGAAATTTCGGATATTTTTAGGTCCGGAAGGTATTTTGGGCCGAAATTTGGGAGCTAAAATTTTCAGACTACAAGTCTGAAAGTTGAAGCTTTTTTTTAATTTCACAAAAAAATATTTGAAAATTCCCAAAATTATTTTTTTTGTGAAATTTGGAAAAAGCTTCAACTTTCAGATTTGCGGTCTAAAAATCACTAAATTTCGGCCCAAAATACCTTGCGGGCCTAAAAATATCCGAAATTTCTGCTTTTTCAGTTTCCAGGCCTAGAAAATTACCAAATTCTCGGGCCAGAAAGGCCTACTAGTGTTTAGGTCCAAAAATTCCAATTTTTCAAGTTTCAGGGTTAATCTTATAGCCCTTTGAGCTTAATTTTCAGTATTTACTTCACATTTTCCACCAGAATTCCAAGAATTTTCTCATTCAAAGCCAACCGCTGACCTTTTCTGAACTTTCCAGTTCTCCAGAAACACAACACAAGTTAGGATAAGTCTTCCTTCAAATATTGACATGTCACCCAAGGTGTCATCCTTAACTTCTTTCCCATCCCGCCACACACAAAAATTGCGCAATTTCAAGGTATCCTTCTTCTCTTCCTATCTTAATCCATTGCACAAACTTCTTTTTCTTTTGGCGGTGCAGAAGGAAAAAGATGATTAGAAAAGGAAGGGCGAAATTGCGCAACTGATATACTAGTCAACGACGAATATTTGTTGATGTTGTACTATTTTATGATGCTGGTTGGAGAAGGAAAAAAGTGGGCATTTTTTGGGGGATTTGAGATTCTAGAGTTAGGGGAAATCTTCTTAATTTCGGATTTTGAACAATTTCTAGCAATTGAAAATGTGTAAATCGTAGAAATTTCAGAATTTCAGCTAAAACCGTATGAAAATGTATCATTTTCAGGATTTTTAGTTATGACGTGGTCATTTTTTCAGGGATCTGAGATTCTAGAGGAAATCTACCAAATTTCGGAGCAATTGAAAAACTAACAATCGGCTGAAATTTCAGAATTTCAGCCGATTTTTAGTTATGACGTGGCATAATTAGAGCAAAGTTTAGCTGACATTAGAAAATGCTCAATTTTTGGATTTAAAAGTATCTAGATTTGTTCTGAAATTGATTTTTGAACAAAAAACTTGTTAAAAAAAACAATTTCTCTTCAAAAATCAATTTCAGAACAAAACTAGTTACTTTTAAATCCGAAAATTCAGCATTTTCCAATGTCAGCTAAACTTTGCTCTAATTATGCCACGTCAATACTAAAAATCCATTTTTTAAAGGTTTTAGTAGGCATTTTCAAATTTCTAGCTGGAAATGATAAATTTTTTTCTGATTTTCACAATTTTTATATAAATTAAGCTTCAAAAACTTCTGAAACTATATCATTTTTGCTGAAAATCCCACAAAACAACATGCAAAATATTCTTTCACGATATTTCGAATCGCTTTTGACCAAAAATAAAAACAAAAATATTTTCTCAAGTTCAAAATTCTTCATAAATAAATAATTCAAAAATGCATATTATCCAAGAATTCCCAATTCCTTCTTCTGTTTTCGTTTCTGCTTAATCACATCCATATTTCGATCTTTCCAACTCGATTTTCGCAATTTGATTGGTCGATTTCCCACGTATTTTCCATCCATTTCACGCATTGCGCGAATGTAATCCTAGAAGAATTAAAATTATTGGATTTAGCCTAACTTAACTAAGTTACCTCTGAATCTCTAAATGAAACAAATCCATAACCTTTGCTCTTATTAGTCCTGGATTCTCTCACAACTTTCGCCTTTTGAAAACTTGGATATTTTCGGAATGCTTTAGCCAATAATTCCTCCGAAACTTCATTTCCTAAATCACCGCAAAACACTCGGAAATCATTATCATCCCATTCTGCTAAACTTGGATCTTCCCATACTTGTCCACCACCTCCTCTCACATATTTCTTCTTCGATTGTTGATCTTTGATACGTTTTTTAAATGGATCAGTCTGTTTTTTGAAGTTCATTTTATCAATATCTGATTGTAGTGCTTGAGTTCGCAGCATTTCTTGAGGAATCGCAATCGGAGCTTCGTACAGAGTCGGAGCTCCTTCTATTGTTGCAGTTGCACTAACTCTTGATGGCCCAGGGGCTCCTCCACGTAATTGATGAGGCATGAAAAGCCCTGGTGGACGCGCCAAATTATTCGCTATAAATGGTGAGGAATGTGCGGCTAGAAATGGTGGGGGAAGCAAAACTGGCGGTTGTGGAGGAGCAAGATCTTGCGGAGCTGTTGGTGGAGCAGAAAGAGTTTCGGTGGATGATGTTGGAGCTGCGGAGATTGTTGCATTTTCGTAGACTGGCAAGGGTTCGTCGAGTTGAGCGATTTCGCTTTCGAAGCTGGAAAAAACAAGTTTTTTGGAGTTTTTCACAGAGAACAAGGTTTTCTGCCCTCATTTCAATTGAAAACTCTCCCCAACACATAGAAAAAATCGCCCCAAACAAACTCACAGCGCCAATTCATCCTCAAAATCCGCCATTTTCGTCGAAAATTCTAGAACGCGCTTCGAAAAAAGAAAATATTTTTTGCGTCCGCAAACACGCGAAACGACGCGATATGTGCAAACACGGCGACGAACAACGCGCAATTGCACACAAAAATTTTACTTTTTTTTCGATGGTTTTCTGGGTTTCTGAGGGCTTTTGTGGTTTTCTAGGGCGTTTTTCCAGTTTCATGGTGTTTTTAGATGAATTCGGCGGGTTTTGCTTGCTATGCGTGAAAAATTGTATGCCCTGAAAGCTTAAAAAACAAGATTTTTTCAATTTTTAGGTAAAAAGTTTGAAAATGACTAGCGGAGATGATGACATTGAGATGAAGGAAGAAGAAGAGCAAATGGATGAAGTAGACGATGAAGAAGAATCTGACAGCTCATCAGATGATGATGTTCAAGGTGGAGATGATGATGAAGACGAAATTCCAGAAAGTCAACGAAAAGCATACATCCCAGGACTCTCGCGACCATTGAAAAAAGGCGAAGAACTCGAATTCGATCCAGATGCCTATCGACTTTTCCACACTTTCAACACCGATTGGCCATGTTTGAGTTTCGATGTTGTTAAGGATGGACTTGGCGAAAATCGCACAAATTATCCAGCTGAGTGTTATATTGTTGGAGGAACTCAAGCAGAAAAGGCGAAAGATAATGAGATTATTATTATGGGTTTGAAGAACTTGACTGAGATGCGGGTAAGAAATTTTTGTTTTTGAGCGGATTTTTTTTAGCAAATTCTTTCAGAAACCAAAAGAAGGAAAAGGCGATGATAGTGATACTTCTGAAGACGAATCTGAAGATGAGGATGAGGAAACAATTAAGAAACGAGAGCCGAAAATGCACACAGTTACAGTTCCACATTATGGAGGGATTAATCGAATTCGAGTGGGTTTTTAGAGAGGATTGGTGGATTTTAACCCGCTGATCACGATTTCGTTGTCAAAAAGTGCAAAAATCAATTCCTAATATGAGTTATGACGTGAAAAAGTTGGGAAATTCGTGAATTATGAGGTCATAACTTGCTTTAAAAATGGTTTTCATGGAAATCTGATAGCATAAAGTTGTTCAGGAGTGTCGATTACATAAGTTCACATTATTTTTCACAATTAAATTAATTTTAAAAATTATTTTCGCTCTGTGAAAAATGTTCCGAAGTTTTCTGAACAATCTTTGGAATGTCAGAAAGTTCGGAACATTTTTCACTGAGCAAAAATAATTTTTAAAATTAATTTAATTGTGAAAAATAATGTGAACTTATGTAATCGACACTCCTGAACAACTTTATGCTATCAGATTTCCATGAAAACCATTTTTAAAGCAAGTTATCACCTCCTAATTCATGAATTTTCTAACTTTGCCACGTCATAACTTATATTAGAAGTTGATTTTCACACTTTTTGACAGCGAAATCGTTGTCAGCGGGTTGAAAAGTACCAGAAATTCAATTTTCCAGTCCGAACGTCTCGGAGACAGTACAGTTTGTGCGTGTTGGAATGATCAAGGACGTGTGCAAGTGTGGAATATCACAGATGCTCTCAACACCGCGCACGCCATGTCAGGAGCCACTCAATCCACAGAGCACAAAATCGATCGTCCACTCTTCACACATCCCGGAACTGGCAAGGAGGGTTACGGTTTGGCGTGGTCGCCGTTGAAGAAGGGAGATTTGGCGACGGGTGATTGGATAAGGAAGATCTTCTTGTGGCAAATGAAAGAGGGTGGACAGTGGGCGGTTGGATCGACACCATTGACTGGACATAAGAGTGAGTTGAGAGGGGAAATGCTGAAAATTTTGAAGAATTTCAGATTTTTTTCTGGAAAAGGGTCCTTTTTTATATTAAAAAAAATCAGAAATGTGTATTTTTTGAGCTATTTTATATTTCAGAAGAAAAACAGGATTTTTGAAATTTGCCACGTCATAGCTCAAAAATTTCCATCTGGGCTGAAAAATGAAAAATACTCTAAATTTTCTAGGCTTATCAGGACCATAATCTTGATTTTTACAAGCCTAAAAATCTAGGTTTTTTCAGGCCTAGAACTAGGCTTGTTTGGTCTCAAATGCTCCAAAATATCTAGGCTTCCCAGGTTGATAATCTTGACTTTTACACGCCTAAAACTAGGCTTGTTTGAGCTCAAAATGATCCAAAATTTCTGGGCTTTTGAGCCCCATAATCTTGATTTTTAGAAGCCTAGAAAAAGCCCGATTTCAGGCCTGACAAGGCTTGTTTGGTCTCGAAATGCTCCATATTTTCTGGGCCTTTTCAGGCTGAAAATAGGCTTGTCTGGTCTTAAAATGCTCCAAACTTTCTAGGCCTTTTCAGGCTGAAAATAGGCCCTAAAATACGCTTATCTCAAGCTCTTCCTTAGCCTGAAACCAGGCCTGTCTGGTCTCAAAACGCTCAAATTTTCTAGTATTTTTACAAGCCTAAATTTTTTAAATAAAAATCTAGGCTTTTTTCAGGCTGAAACTAGGCTTGGGGGATCTCAAAATGCTCCAAAATTTCTGGGCTTTTGAGCCCCATTGTCTTGATTTTTAGAAGCCTAAAAAAGCCCTATTTCAGGCCTGAGGCTAGGCTTGTTTGGTCTCAAAACGCTCCAAATTTTCTGGGCCTTTTCAGGCTGAAAATAGGCCTTAAAATACGCTTAACTCAGGCTCTTCATAAGCCTAAAACTAGGCATGTCTGGTCTCTAAAGCTCCAAAATTTCTAGGCTTATCAGGACTATAATATTGATTTTTAGATGCCTAAAAAAAGCCCGATTTCAGGCCTGAGGCTAGGCTTGTTTGGTCTCAAAATCATACGTCGCATACCCTCGTTTCAAATCCACCAGTGCACACCCCTATTTTTGAAAATTTCTGGCAAAAGGGATAACCCCCCCTTTTCCTTTTCCTTTTTCATTTTCAGCTAAATAAACTTGAGAATCTAAATTTTTTATAAATTTTTAGCTCAAAATTGCTTCACTTCGGCGAATATTCTCATCTTCTCCGCTTTTGAGTCAAATTTCGATTCAAAAATTCTAATTTTTCAAAAACAAAAAAAATACGTTTCAAAATTTTGATATAATTTATTTTCTTCTTTTAATTTCTTCTTTTTCTTAATTATCAATTTTTTTCAATGCTACCACCTTTAACCCTGAACCTACCTAATTGACCCTAAATGATAAATCCTATGACAATAAATCAAAACCAAAGTTCTCAAAATTTGGATGAAAATGTTGAAATTATCGATTTTTGAATAAAAATTCGTGGAAATTTTAATCACTCCAAATAAGTGATAGAGTACAAAGCTTAGAAAATTTCTTCAAAATGTTTTCTCAAGTGACATCCCCTTCCAAAAACTGGGGTGAGTGATAACCCCTCCTCGGGTCGATTACCCCACGCATGCGACGTATGCTCAAAATGCTCTAGGCTTTCATAGACATACGTTTATGGGATAATTCAAAAAAAAAAATTCTGAAAATTTTCATATTTGTGTGGAAAAAAATAATTTTTTGACACTTTCTGAATCAAAATTTTTTGTGAAATTCAAAAAATCAAAGTTTTCGGCACTCAAAATCAGGATTTATTGAAAAATGGCGATTTATTGCGAAAGAGACGGGTTTCTGTAATACAAATAAGGATCCTTGATCAATTTTCGGCGACATTTTTGATAATCTTCTACAAAATTGTCATAATCATCAAGCCATTTATAATAATATTTGCTTTTTTCTTTTTCTTCAGTGATTTTTGCTTTTTCTTGATTACAATACTCAAAAATACAAAGAAGAAGAAAAAGATGTAAAAGATGTGAATCGATCGCACCATTTCGCAGATTTCGAACATGACTATTGATTCTATCGGTAGTTTTTGAATTATCGATTTCATCATATAATAATTGATGAATTTTAAGAAATATATCAATAGCCAAAAAGCAAGCTGATCTACCAACTCCACTGTCGCAATGATAAACTTTTGGGAATTTTGAAGATTTCTTTGATAACCAGCGATATAGTTCAATTGTCAATTTCGCATCTTCTGGTGTAGTTTTATCAGGCCACCAAGATACATAAACATGGTTGATTGTTCTTGTTGTTTTGCTTTCTGAATCAGTTACCTCTAAAATCGTCCAAACCACACCTTTCACTGGATCCTTCTCTTTTCGCACATTTTTCACCTCAAATTCCTCGTATTTTGCGACTCTTCCCTCTTCCAATGGATAATATTGTGCACATTGTTCCACACTTTTTTCAATAAATGAGCAGAACATTACAATATATTCCGCTTTTTCCTGACAAATCATCGCCCAAAAATCGGAAATTGTATTTGAAAGCGGACCTTGTGCCAGAATATTCTTCTCATTTTCATAAACCATCCATGAAGCATTGATATAATCGTTTTTTCGATTTTTGAGAATGATTCGAGAATAATCGTAACATTTTGGTCTTTCGTAGCGATTCAATGTTGGATTTTTATCGAATGTTTGAAACCATTTTCGTTTACTTTCATAATTAGTCTCGTTTTTGAAGCTCATAACTTCCCGTTCGATTGACTGCAAAAAATTGAATAATTTTGAAACTACAGGAATTATCCCTTAGGGAACTTGATTTTTAGGTAGTTTTCGATCCGCTTAACACTATTCCGAAATTGCAGAACTCATTGGGTTTTCAAGTAATTGAGCTGAAATATTGGTTTCTAATGTTATTCATATGATAGAATAGTCTAAGACGAACAGAATGATATAAATTTTGATGAATTTATGTTATCCATAAGTGATTCAGCGAGGTTTAGTCGATAAGCCGCTAAATCACTTATGGATAACGTAAAGTCATCAAAATTTATATCATTCTGTTCGTCTTAGACCATTCTATCATATGAATAACATTAGAACCCAATATTTCAGCTCATTTGCTTGAAAAACATGAAAATGTCATTTAGTCGATGTCCAACAACTCAACTAATGAGTTATGACGTGTAAAAGGGGCTGAAAACTAGCTTCAAATATGATTTTCATGCAAATCTTATAGCATAGGGTTGTTCAGCAGGGTCAATAACATAAGTAAGGATTTTTGAATAGACCCTTCTGCACAACCCTATGCTATCAGATTTGTATGAAAATCATTTTTGAAGCTAGTTTTCAGCTCCTAAACTCGAAATTTTCTACAATTTCAGATCGAAAACTACCAGAAAAAAATATTTCGTTAAAAAATCCAGTTCAGCCCATCACTAACATATTTCATCACACATTCAAACCATTCACAAAGCGCTTCGTGAGAAAGTCCTCCAACACGTGAGATTTGTTGTTCCCGATTCAAATCAATAGGTGATGGAGGTTGCTCTTCCTTCTCATTATTATTGATTAATGTTGAACATGGCTCTTGTTTTGTCGCCGGTGAAAGAGGCGAAGTTGCGCTAACTTTTGGTGAAGCAATTGATCGAGCCGTTCCGATGCCTTTGTTATTGTTTCTCTTTTTTGAACATTCAAGAATAGATTGGCATAATGCCAGGAATAAACTGATTATAATTGAGATATCTAGCATTTTTTGGTTGAAACAGAAGAAAAAATGAGACTGGCCCATTGAATGGGCTTTTTATAGGGAAAACGTGAAGATTATTTTTTTATTTTTAGGTCACGCTGAAAAATATTTCTGTTATTTTTTATCGTGCAAATTCGAAAATTTTGGGCCAAAAAACCCAGGAAAAAATACGTTTCGAAAAATTAAAAAAAATCCCAATTTTTCGGATTTTTCTCGGGTAATATTTTGTAATAAAAAACACAAAAAATCATAATTTTTCATATTCCGAAAAACAAAATAAACAATTTATTATTTTTGAGTAGAACCAACGTGAAATTGAGAGAGCGCAGACAGAAAATTAGTTTTTGGTACGAAAAATTAATTATTTTGTCTGCGCTCTCTCAATATCACGTTGTCTCTACTCAAAAAATAAAAAACTGTAGATTTTGTTTTTCGACACAGGAAAAAAATACTAACAATAATACATATGATGCCTGAACCTGAAAAATTCAGCCAAAAATCGCGTTTTGGCTGAAATTTTCAGGTTCTCGCGCAGGGAAATCTATCGCCAATTTTTTTTTTAAAACAAAAAACCTGAATTTAACCAAAAATCATGCCTGAACCTGAAAATTTCAGCCAAAAATCGAAGTTTTGGCTGAAATTTTCGGGTTCTCGCGCAGGGAAATCTATCGTCAATTTTTTTTTTTAAAACAAAAAACCTGAAATTAACCTAAAGTCATGCCTGAACCTGAAAAAATTCAGCCAAAAATCGAAGTTTTGGCTGAAATTTTCAGGTTCTCGCGCAGGGAAATCTATCGCCAATTTTTTTTCCAGAAAGTGTCGAAGATCTCGCCTGGTCGCCAACTGAAACCGGTCTTCTCGCCTCGTGCTCCGTCGATGCTTCAATCAAACTTTGGGACACAAGATCGGCACCAAAAGATGCATGTGTTCACACCGTTGCTAATGTTAGTTACTACCTTCTGAACCCCCAAAAACCCTCTTGAAAATTATGAAAATTTTGCAGGCTCACGCGTCAGATGTGAATGTGATCTCATGGAATGCTCACGAGAATCTGATAGTTTCTGGTGGCGACGATGGTGAGCTCAAAATTTGGTCGTTGAAAACTATTCAATATGGACAACCTGTTGCGAGATTCAAATATCATACTGGACCGATTACTTCGGTTGAATGGCATCCACAGGTTTTTTTTTTTGAAAAAATTTGAAAATTGGGAGATTTGGGTGAAAAATTACGTATTTGCTAGATTTTTTCGGACCAGAAATCAAAATTTCATCATAATTTTTTTTTTTCAAAAAAAAACCCCTGCAAATTTTTTGGAAATATACCCAAATTGAGAAATTTGAGGTTTTGAAGATCCCGAAATTTAATTCCAAAATTTTATTTTCTCCTAAATCACCCGAAAAATTTAGCAAAATTAATAAATACGTTTCAAAATTTTCATATCAAAAAACAAAATGTTTATTTTTCTATTGTTTGCTGATATTGACCAAATAGAAAAAATTAACAAAAAAGCTGAAAATTTTGTAATTTAGAAGAAGTCTAAAATTCGGATAAGATTTTTTTTCACAAAAATCAACCGAAAAAATTTAGCAAAAAAATTACGTTTCAAAATTTTGATTTTTAAATTTATCCCGAGCGCCTCTGGCGCGAGTGTAGATCGAAATTCCGCGCAAGCGGTTCGAGCGAAGCGAGTGTATGTTCCTTTAAATTACCGTAGTATATTAAGATCCTACAGTATTTCAAAGGGACAAACATCTGATCCTTTAAACTACCGTAGTATATTAAGAGCCTACAGTATTTCAAAGGAACATACACTCGCTTCGCTCGAGCCGCTTGCGCGGAATTTTGATCTACACTCGCGCCACGGGCGCTCGGGATACTGTACATCACTTAAAGGAACATAAAGGAACTTACAGTATCCCGAGCGCCCGTGGCGCGAGTGTAGATCAAAATTCCGCGCAAGCGGTTCGAGCGAAGCGAGTGTATGTCCCTTCAAAATACTGTAGTTTCTAGAGAGCCTACAGTATTTTGAAGGGACATACATATGTTCCTTTAAAATACCGTAGTATATAAAGAGCCTACAGTATTTCAAAGGGACATACACTCGCTTCGCTCGAGCCGCTTGCGCGGAATTTTGATCTACACTCGAGCCAAAGGCGCTCGGGATACTGTATGGTCTTTTAAGTGATCTACAGTATCTCGAGCGCCTCTGGCGCGAGTGTAGATCAAAATTTCGCGCAAGCGGCTCGAGCGAAGCGAGTGTATGTCCCTGTAGGCTTTAAATATACTACGGTAGTTTAAAGGGACATATGTTTGTCCCCTTTCCTCCAAAAATCCCCAAAATTCTTCCAGGAAACCACAACATTCATGGCATCCGGCGAAGACGATCAAACAACAATTTGGGACATTGCAACAGAAGCCGCCGAAGTGAATAGTGATACAATCGAAGGTGTTCCACCGCAATTAATGTTTGTTCATATGGGACAAACCGAAGTGAAAGAGGTTCATTGGCACGAGCAAATTCCAAGTTTGGCATTGAACACTTCGATTGATGGTTTTAATGTCTTCCGAACTATTAATATTTGAATCTTGTTCAAATCCCGTTGATTTTTTTCGGGTAGAAAATTCAATTTTCTCCCGTTTTCTTTGTTCCCATATTTCACTGTTACTCAAAATTTGTTAAGTTTTTTTCCTGTTTTGCTAAAAAAATGAATCCAAAATCTTTTTATAGAATTTTTTCAGAAATATTTTTCATTTTTTTTTTTTTGGTCAACGAGAAGCTCGGTCAATTTCACTCCTCACACAATATATCATCCACGGCATCATCAATTGGAGAAATCTGATCAAATGCTCAGAGATTTCGCGACCATGTAGAGGATTTCTGAAATCATTTTTTGGATGCCTGAAAAATTGCTGAAACTCACGAGCAAACTGTTATTATCATCGCAATAATAATTGAACAATGAGCATTTGAATGTTGAATTTGTCGTCGAAAAATGAAAATGAAAGACCAGGCGAAGATCAAGAATAGGACAAATGCATTTGGTGAAACAGGATTTCGTGGAGCAAAGTCCATTTTTTCAAGGAAGAATGAGATATTTGTGCACCAAATGGTGTCTTGTTTTGTGGACAGTTTTTGGGAAGTCTTCTGGGTCAAACTTATGGGAAATTAAAGGTTTTCGGCAGAAAATCGATATTTTATAGCTTAAAACAATTTTGAATTCCACTTTTTCAAGTCAAGCAGCTCAAAATCGAAATCTAGATATTCAAGAATTTCCGATCTTCAACATGCAAACTAGACTCTAGTTTGACGCTGAAAGTGCTGAAAATTACAAAAATTATATGGTGAGAGACGCAGAAAGCTAGAGAAATGAGTCAGGAAGCGATTTTTTTAGTAATCTAGAGACGCTGGTTCGAACCACGGTGGGTGCGGAACATTTTTTCTGGACCAGAATTCCACATAGATCGCGATTTTCACCTCGAAATCTGGAGATTTTCACGTTTTCATGCTGAAAATCGTGGATTTACGTGGAAATTCCAGAAACATTCAGTGAAAAAAATTTTATTCAGAAAAAAAAATATATTTACACGAAATCTGCTATTTTCTCGACAAATTTTGCTCATTTTTTACTTCTTGTGAGGAATGCGGCGATTGCTTGATGACATTCTTTGGATTGCCAGCGTTGAGCCAAAACTTCGCATTCGTGCTGGAAAATTAGAGAATTTTGGGGTGAAATTTATAAATTTCGATGAAAAATGAGATTTTTTCAAAATTCTGGGTAAAATTTCACAATAATTAGCTGAAAAACAGATTTACGTTGAAACATTCTTTGAAAATTTTAAGTTTAAAAAATTCTGGGATTTTCAATTGAAAAATGCTCAAAATTCGTAGAAAAATCCAGAATTTTAGATTTTTTCAGCTTTAAAGCAACACCCTCGTATAATAGGCACTTTCTTGAAAAAAGCCCAAATGCTCTCAAATCTTAGATTTAGCTTAGTTTTACTGTTTTCTAGTTCGGAGAAAAAATTCAAAACGTTTCAATAAGTATTAGCCGAAATATGGAAACCCATTGAAAAATTGAAAAAACTCGAATTCAAACAACGCGGGCTAGCGTCAACGCGGAGTCTCGTTGTTTTCTTTTTATTTTTTCGCAAAATTTTTTCGTTTTTTCGGAAAATGACAATTTGCATGGAAAAAACTGTTTTCTGGGTATGAAAAAAATAAATTGAAGAAGTATAAACACTAAGATTCAATATTTCAGACGAAAACTCAATTTTCCAATGGAAATTGTGTTTTTTCAGTTTTTGACCGGAATATGCAATATAAAACTGAACTATCATTGTCAAAAATGAAAGTAGAGATGGTTAAGGACATTCAGAAATCATTGTTACAATTTATTTCATTGTTTTCAGTGAAACAATTCACTTTTTGTTGAAAAAAAGTTGAAAGGGGTACTGTAGTACACAATTGTCGTCACAGTGTTTGCACAAATGTCATGAAATTGCGGATCTGCACAATCTGCAGGCGATTTTCAAAAAAAAATAATTTTTTTTTTCAAAATCGGTCAAACTTGATCGTTTTTGAGTATTTCTTCTTCATATTTCTTGTGAGTATAGCTGAATAGGTTAATTTTATTTATTTTGGTGTTTGAAAGCATTTCGCAATGGCCTTATTATACGAGGGTGTTGCTTTAAATTCCCAAATGTCATATTTTCAATTGAAAAATGCTCAGAAAATTCGTAAAAAAAATCCAGAATTTCAGATTTTCAATTGAAAATTTGAAAAATTATCAAAATTTGGTTTTAAAAAAACCAGAAAATCCATGAAAAACTTCAAATTTCATATTTTCAATTGAAAAATGCTCAAAAATTTGAAAAAAATCCAGAATTTCAGATTTTTATGCTTTAAAATTCAAATTTCATATTTTCAATTGAAAAATGCTCAAAAAATTCGTAGAAAAATCCTGAATTTCAGATTTTTTATGCTTTAAATTTTAAATTTCAATTGAAAAATGATTAGAAAATTTGGTAAAAAATCCAAAAATTCTAAAAATAATGTCAAATTTCATATTTTCACTTGAAAAATGAGAGAATTTTGGGCTGAAATTTCGATTTCTCTGAAATTTTTGAGCTAAAATCCCAAAAATCCCGCTCACCTCATTAGTTTTCAAAAGATTCTCCCTGTGCAAATGTCTCAACAGAGTTTTGTTAACTCTCAACGATTCCGGTGGAAGGGTCGAGAATCCTTCGACAATTTTGGCGGCCGTGGCCGAGAATTCCGAATCTGCCACAACTTCATTCACCAAACCATATTCATGCGCTTTTGCAGCGGTGATTTTCTTGCAGACGAGGAGAAGCTGCAAAAAAATTTTTGAAATTCATTTTTTGCCGCGAAAATTTGACACGTGGATCAAATTTTCGCGCCAAAATCAAATTTTTCCCAAAATTCGTACCTCTGAAGCTCTCAATGGTCCCATAATCAGCGGAAATGTGTAGGAAGATGCTCCTTCTGGTGATTGTCCCAATGGTGCGAATGGAGTGTGGAATGTGGCCTGAAAATTGAAAAAATATCGATTTTTGGCTGAAAATCTGTTGAAAATGATGAATTTCAAGCTGAAAATCATGAAAAATGATGAATTTCAGATCAAAATTGTCTAAAACCCGCCCAAAATCCCCCTCACCTTATCCGACGCCAAAATATAATCAAACATTCCAAGTACAGTAACCGAAATTCCAACAGCCGGTCCTTGAATCAGCCCAATCAGCGGTTTTTCGTGTGTCACAAATGAGTCGACAAAATTTTTCAACAAAATTTTCGCGTCTTCCGCCATTTCTTTAATAATTTTCGGATCTCCGGAGGCGGCTTTTTTGAAGTTTGTCAAATCATTTCCCGCCGAAAAATAGGCGCCGTTTGCTGCAAAGGAAAATGTTTTTTTTTCGAATTTTTAGGTTGAAAAATATATGGACAACATATTGATTATGAAATCCGGAAATTTTCTAAATTAAAATTTTGAAACGTATTTTTTTTTGTTCGAGCGAAGCGAGTGTATGTTCCTTTAAAATACTGTGGGCTCTTAATATACTACGGTAATTTAAAGGAACATACACTCGCTTCGCTCGAACCGCTTGCGCGGGATTTTGATCTACACTCGCGCCATAGGCGCCCGGGATACTGTAGATCACTTACAGGAACATACAGTATTCCGAGCGCCCATGGCGCGAGTGTAGATCAAAGTTCCGCGCAAGCGGCTCGAGCGAAACGAGTGTATGTCCCTTTGAAATACTGTGGGCTCTTAATATACTACGGTAATTTAAAGGAACATACACTCGCTTCGCTCGAACCGCTTGCGCGGGATTTTGATCTACACTCGCGCCATAGGCGCCCGGGATACTGTAGATCACTTACAGGAACATACAGTATTCCGAGCGCCCATGGCGCGAGTGTAGATCAAAGTTCCGCGCAAGCGGCTCGAGCGAAACGAGTGTATGTCCCTTTGAAATACTGTAGGCTCTCTAGAAACTACGGTAAATTTTGACCATTTGGCTCATTTTCGGAACATTTACTATATATTTTTTTCATTTTTCAGAGAAGATTTTCTTTCAGATAAATTATTTTGTGGGGCAACGGATAATGTATTGATTATGAAATCCGGAAATTTTTTAAATAAATTTTTTGAAACGTATTTTTTCAGGATTTTTTTCGCCCAAAATAATGCTAATGGTGGCCTAGAAAACCAAAATCATCATTTTGGTGGCCTAGGAAACCAAAAGAATGATTTTGGTAGCCTAGAAAACCAAAAGCTTGTTTCTGGTGGCCTAGGAAACCGAAATTATGATTTTGGTGGCCTAGGAAACCAAAAGAAATATTTTGGTGGCCTAGGAAACCAAAAGAATGCTAATGGTGGCCTAGAAAACCAAAAATGGCCAAAATTTCTCTGAAAACCCATTTTCAGCGTGAAAAATAAGGAAAAAACCCCAAAACTCACCACTCAAAACCGTCACCGACGTAGTTTTATCGGCATTCGACGCAATCAACGCATCCTTAATCCCGTTATACATATCCGGTGTGATCGCATTGAATTTTTGCGGGCGATTCAATGTGATTTTGAAGATTTTTCCCTCTTTTGTCACTTCGAGACCTTGAACTGGTTTGAGTCCTTCCAAAGTTGCAGAAGATGATTGAGCCACTTTTTGATCTTCGGAAAGAAGGGAATTGACGAGTTTCGCATAGTCATCTTGAGCTTGTTCCTGGAAAATGGGAAATTCTGATTACTCTCTTCTCATACCCTAGAAACTACGGTAATTTAAAGGAACACACACGCGGAATTTCGATATTGCGCGGAATTTTGATCTACACTCGCGCCATAGGCGCTCGGGATACTGTAGATAACTTAAAGGTACATACAGTATCCCGAGCGCCCGTGGCGCGAGTGTAGATCAAAATTCCGCGCAAGCGGCTCGAGCGAAGCGAGTGTATGTTCCTTCAAAGTACTGTAGGCCCTCAATATACTATGGTAGTTTGAAGGAACATATGTATGTCCCTTTAAAGTACTGTAGGCTCTTAGAAACTACGGTATTTTAAAGGAACATACACTCGCTTCGCTCGACCCGCTTGCGCGGAATTTTCAACTACACTCGCGCCAAAGGCGCTCGGGATACTGTATGTTCCTTTAAGTGTCCTGCAGTATCCCGAGCGCCTTTAGCGCGAGTGTAGATCAAAATTCCGCGCAAGCGGCTCGAGCGGAGCGAGTGTATGTCCATTTAAAATACTGTAGTATATTAAAAGCCTACAGAACTTTAAAGAGACAAACATGTGTTCCTTTAAATTACCGTAGTATATTAGGAGCCTACGGTATTTTAAAGGGACATACACTCGCTTCGCTCGAGCCGCTTGCGCGGAATTTTGATCTACACTCGAGCCAAAGACTCGGGATACTGTAGATCACTCAAAGGAACATACAGTATCCCGAGCGCCCGTGGCGCGAGTGTAGATCAAAATTCCGCGCAAGCGGTTCGAGCGAAGCGAGTGTATGTCCCTGTAGGCTCTTTTCATACCCCAGAGCCTACGGTATTTCAAAGGGACATATGTATGTCCCTTTAAAATACTGTGGGCTCTCTAGAAACTACGGTATTTTAAAGGACGCACAAACTCACCTTCGTTTTCCCGGCCAATGCCTTCCACGCATCATACTTGGCCCTGCCCACAAAATCCATCATCCCCGGTCGATTTCCCTGCACATCGCCCGACGTGGATTGCTTGAACAGCGCGTACAATTGCAACTTGACCGAATTATCCGGCTCCTCTGACAGTTTTTTGAGATTCTTCTGGGCGACGTCGAACGATTCGGACGAGAAGAATCGATAGTTCGTTGGAGCGCCGATGCACGTTTTTGAGAGTTGTTTTGTGATGTTGCGAAGCATTTTGTTCCTGTGTGGTTTGGAGAATTGAGAAAATATGAAATGGGGGAAAATCCAGAAAAAATTGAAAAAGAAAAAACAATTGGATCACGTGAAAAATGAAAAAAAACGTGAAATTTTTGCCACGTGGAATTCGAAAATTTCTGATTTTTCAAGCAAAAATTAAAAATATGCCACGTGGCGTGAAATTTCGATTTTCTCACGTTAAATCTGTGAATTTTGAAAAAATATCTCAATTTTCAAGCAGAATATGAGAATATTGACTATGATAACGATTTAAAAACGAAAAAATAGCTGTAAAATTTTATAGGGTAATTCAGGTACTTTGTAGGCAAAAATACAATAAAAATTTTCCACTTGTCGATTTTTCGCGCCAAAAAACCCCGTGGAAACTAGCCACAAACCCATTTTCACCGAGAATTTAAAAAATAAAAATAAAAACTAGCGCGTTGACTACGGTACACAAGCCATGTTGCCTGCGTACCCCACAGTGTTTGCACACTTTCTTTCTCTGCACTCTCCCCATTTCACACAATCTCTCGATTTTCCTCGTTTTTTTCGAAATTTAAATATTTTGCTCGTTTTTCAGCTTTAAAGCAGAAATCAAGTGAGAAAATTATCAAAAACATGAAAATTTCAAAAAACAATCCGATTTTGCGAAAAAAAATGAAAAATAGTATAATTATCACAAAAAACGGGAAAAAAGATTGTAAATAAGTGAAATGGGAACAGCTAAGAGAGAGCGAGAGACGCAGAGAAAGATAACAACAAAAAACACGGCGTGGTCAATATAATAACAGCCTGGGTACAAAGTTTGACCCATGTTTGTAGTCTAGACTACAGATAGCGAAAAATTCGTAGATCAAGTGTTTTTATGAAGAAAAAATGGAAAAAAATAAAATTTGTGGGAAAAATTATTAAAACAACAAGGAACATAAATAAAGACGAGAAATTAAAAAAAATAAAATATGTATAACTATTTGACATCAAAAAAAGGGGAAAGCGAGCAAAAATAACATTTTTTGAACAAAATTTTGTAGAGAAGACAAGAAGAGAGCAGTTTTTTGAGGAAAAATTTGGAATGCGCTGAAAAATTGGGAAATTTTATGGAAATAACAAGTTTTAGAGTCGAAATTAGGAAATTTTCAAGAATTTGGAAAATTTAATTGTTTTTTAGGTGAAAATTGTGATTTTTAGGTGAAAATTAAGGGTTTTGAGTGAAAATTAAGTTTTTTAGGTGGAAATAATGATTTTAAGGTGAAATTTATGATTTGTAGGTGAAAATTGAGGTTTTTGAGTGAAAATTAGTGTTTTTAGGTGAAAATTCAGATTTTTAGGTGAAAATTAGGGTTTTTGAGTGAAAATTAAGGTTTTTAGGTGAAATTTATGATTTTTAGGTGAAAATTAGGGTTTTTGAGTGAAAATTAAGGTTATTAGGTGAAAATTATGATTTTTAAGTAAAAAGTTAAGGTTTTTGAGTAAAAATTCAGATTTTTAGGTGAAAATTCAGAAATTTTCCAAATTTTTCCTTTTCAAAACCCCTCTCACTCACCATATTCAACTAACATCTCTGCGTCTCTTCTCTAATCACTATCACTATCGCTTTCCTCCTCCTCTTCTTCTTTCACCAACTTCTCCTCTGCGTCTCTATCCTCCTCTTCCTCTTTCGCCTTCTTTATCTCTGGTTCTCCACTTTTCCCATTATATTTCGCCTCTTCAACTCTTCTTCTATAATCTACAATCATTTCAGCCAACACTTCTTGCGCTTCTTTTTCATATTCTGGTCCGATGTCACGTGGCGACATGATGTGTTTGTTCAAATATTTCATCATACTGAAATTATTCATTTTCGGGATCTACCGCGAGCTTCCGCGTGTGCGGAACGTTGCGGAAGGTGGCGGAAAACACTCACCCAAAAGCTTGAACACTCGGTTTTTTGAAAAGTGCTTCCAATTGTTCATTGCATTTGACGCGTTTCTTGTTTTTCGGATCTTGCAAATTGTGCAATTTGATGTAGTCCCAAAGACATTTGACAATCTGGAAGAAAATTTGAATTTTGGCGGGAATTTTTCAGGTTGTCCTCGAGGACTACACAATGTCAAAAATTCAAATTTTCTAGTCTTGGCGGATGAAACTTCTCCTCGAGAACTACAAAGGTTTTTTGAAAAATCTGAGAATTTGAATTTTCCTCGAGAACTACAGAAGATAAAAATTCAAATTTTTAGGTTTAGCGGCAAAAATCAGCTACTCTTGTCCTCGAGAACTACAAAAATTCAGAAATTTCAAATTTTCAGGTTTAGCGGCGAAAATAGTCTCGTTTTGTCCTCGAAAACTACAAAATCTCTGAAATTTTCAGTTCTGGCATTAAAATCAGCTCATCTTGTCCTCGAGAACTACAAAACCTCAGAAAATTCAAAATTTTCAGGTTTAGCGCTAAAAATAGGCTCATCTTGTCCTCGAGAAGTACACGAATTCAAAAATCTAGAAATTTGAATTGTCCTCGAGAACTACACAAGATAAAAATTCAAATTTTTAGGTTTAGCGGCAAAAATCAGCTAATCTTGTCCTCGAGAACTACACAAATTCAAAAATCTAGGAATTTGAGTTGTCCTCGAGAACTACACTCAAAAATTTCAATTTCCCGCCTAAAACTCTCAAAATTATCGGTTGTCCTCGAGAACTACACGGATTTTCAATTTTCAACATCCTTCTTCCAAAAATTCCCCCAAAAATCTCTCACATCACAACGTTTCATATAAGCTTTTCCCGTAATCTCCTGCAATTGTTCCGAACAATAAGCCAACTGTGTTTTCGGTCCAACTTTTCCCGCAATCTTCTCCTCGCCCTCTTTTTCTTCCGCTTTCCGCTTCTTCGAACTGCTTTCGAATCGCGCATTTTTCTTGATCTCTTGACTGGCTTTTGAGGCGGCGGCTCTTCGTGTGGTTTTGATGTTTGAGGCGATATCATCGAATTCCGAAGAATCCGCTTTTTTCGACGCTTTTTTGCCTTTCAATTTTCGACCCGAATCGATTACTCCATCGTCTGAATCCGAATCCGATGATGCACTGAAAATATTGATTGATTTTGACTCGCTGATCATGATCCCATTGTTAAAAACCACTTGTCTCAACTCTAAAAATGACTTATGACGTGGCAAAGTTCCTCGAAATCTAAAAAATTGCATAAATTTGTTCAGAAGTGTCGATTTGGTTTTTTTCAATTTCGTACAGTTCCACCCAAATGGATTTTTGCTGAAATTTACCAATTCCAATATGCTGAAAACGATTTTTTGGTGCATTTTTGACTTCAGAATCGTTTTAAGCGTAGTCAAAACAATTCTGTGGTCAAAAAAGCAGCAAAGAATCGTTTTCGGCATATTGAAATTCGTAAATTTCAGCAAAAATCCACTTAGGTGTAACTGTACGAAATTGAAAAAACCAAATCGACATTTCTGAACAACTTTATGCAATTTTGTAGATTTGGATGAAGTTTGCCACGTCATAACTCATGTTTAGAGTTGAGATAAATGGTTTTTAACAAGGGGAACATGATCAGCGGGTCAAAAATTGCCTTAACATGAATTATGACGTGGCAAACTTCATCCAAATCCACAAAATTGCATAAAGATGTTCAGAAGTGTCGATTTGGTTTTTTCAAACTTCGTACAGTTCCACCCAAGTGGATTTTTGCTGAAATTTACCAATTCCAATATGCTGAAAACGATTCTTTGGTGCTTTTTTGACTTCAGAATCGTTTTCGGCATATTGAAATTCGTAAATTTCAGCAAAAATCCACTTGGGTGAAACTGTACGAAATTGAAAAAACCAAATCAACATTTCTGAACAGCCTTATGCGATTTTGTGAAGTTTGCCACGTCATAACTCATGTTTAGAGTTGAGATAAATGGTTTTAGACAATGAGAGCATGATCAGCGGATCAAAAACCAATAGCCTTACCCAGCTTTAGAAGAAGTCTCTCCATTTTCCTGTTTCACAACAACTTTTTCCTCTTCCTCATTCTCATTTTCATTTTCATTCTCAGAATCCGAATCCGAACCCGATTCCGCCTCTTTTTTCGGTGTTTTCTTATTCTTCTTCTGATTTTTCTCAATCGATTCCCTCGTCATTTCATTAATCTTCTTCTTAAAACCCTCAAAATCCACGCCGAATTTCTCCTTCAAATGAACTCGAACATTTGCGCTGGTCAACTTTGATAGATCTGATGTTGAGACAAGATCGAAAATCGCATTTTCAGCCAAACTCAAATCGATTGGAAATGCAGGTTCTGGCCCAGCTGATGCCATTTTTCAAGCTGGAAATCGGGGAAAAACGTTAAAAATGAAAAGAAATCTAGTTTTTTGACATTTTTGGGTCAAATTTTCAGCAGAAAAAGGTTTTTCACACGTTTTTCAACTTTTTTAACCCAAAAATGCACAAAACCCCACAAAAAACAGTGTTTTTCAAACAAACAACAAATTAGAAAAAAACGCATTGCACACATGGTGTTTGCACACTTGCATACCGTATACCACACAAAAACAAAAAATAATTATGCGGTGCAAGGTCATTTTTGTCGATAATATGGATTTTTGGGGAAAAAAAGGGGAGATTTTCTTGAAATGTGTCTCCTTGGAAACATGAAAGGAAAAGAAATAAAATTTATTTGGAAAAAAAACACAAAAAAGTCAGTCACAACAATGATTTCCTGGCACTTTTGAGTACTGTATTCAATTTCTGAAGCATCAAAATATCCCCGCGAACTTTGACCTTTCCAGACATGAAACCTTGTACCGCATCAATATCACCAAGCACCAATTTCACAAAATCCTCATCGGCTACAGTAACCAGCGCATTCGCTGCGAGACCCTTCTCTTTCTCATTTTCCACTTCAAAAACATCCAGGTTTATAGTATCGACACCTGAAATCTGAAATTTCCCTGGCGGTTTTCTTTGCGCCGAAAACTTACAGTACACCTTTCGAACTTTGTCATCTACAGTAATCCGAAATACAACTCGACCTTTGATCTTCTTTAAATCTGCAGATTTTTGACGAATCTCATCGCGCATAACATCGAAAATCACAGTTGAAGAAAGCTCGTCGGACATTTTTTTGGGGGGAAATTGATTTTTTAATCAGAAAAAAATTGTTTTTAATATAGCCCGTCAGTAACTCGAGTACTGAGTACTGAGTATACTGAGTACTGAGTATTTGCAAAATACTGAGTACTCAGTATTTGCGAGTACTGAGTACTTGAAAATACTCAGTACTCAGTATACTCAGTATTTTGAGTACTGAGTATACTGAGTATACTCAGTAACTGAGTACTCGAAAATACTCAGTACTCAGTATTTTGGAAATACTCAGTACTGAGTACTGAGTATACTGAGTATGTCAGTACTCGGAATACTCGATTTTAAAGGCATGTTCCACCAAAAAAATTTTTTTGAAAATGAGGTATTTCGGCACGGGGAACATTTTGGTGAGGTATACGGTCGGGAACAGACTTTTAAAGGCGCATGCCAGGCTATTACGAATTTTCCGAGATAATTTTTTCAAACTATCATAACTTTTTTATTTTGGAAGCTTTTTTGAAAATTCGACAACCATTTTGACGGTCTTGAAGCGGGCTACATTTTTGGTGTTGACACCAACTACCGTACTTCGCTCCTAAGAGGTGAAAAACACGCTTTTTCTCTCGAAAATGTCGATTTTTGACACAAATATGAATAAAAATGTATTTTTCACCTCTTAGGAGCGAAGTACGGTAGTTGGTGTCAACACCAAAAATGTAGCCCGCTTCAAGACCGTCAAAATGGTTGTCGAATTTTCAAAAAAGCTTCCAAAATAAAAAAGTTATGATAGTTTGAAAAAATTATCTCGGAAAATTCGTAATAGCCTGGCATGCGCCTTTAAAAGTCTGTTCCCGACCGTATACCTCACCAAAATGTTCCCCGTGCCGAAATACCTCATTTTCAAAAAAATTTTTTTTGGTGGAACATGCCTTTAAAATCGAGTATTCCGAGTACTGACATACTCAGTATACTCAGTACTCAGTACTGAGTATTTCCAAAATACTGAGTACTGAGTATTTTCGAGTACTCAGTTACTGAGTATACTCAGTATACTCAGTACTCAAAATACTGAGTATACTGAGTACTGAGTATTTTCAAGTACTCAGTACTCGCAAATACTGAGTACTCAGTATTTTGCAAATACTCAGTACTCAGTATACTCAGTACTCAGTACTCGAGTTACTGACGGGCTATAGTTTTTAAATAGGAAAAGGTCAAAAATAATAAATGATAACAAAATTGGAACATTGAGGTCTGAAAAATTATACTAGAGAGCGTATGTGCCTTTGAATTAATTCATTTTCTGTTCGGAAAATGTGACGATTGTTGAGACCTGACCTATCACGTGAAACATTGGTCACTTTCGAGATGAAAATCAGAATATATGTTAGTAGGCCTAATTTTTTATTAAATATCATGGTTTTAGCTTCAGAGTGCGTTTTTGACCGTCCAAAATGGTTGAGTTTGAACCAAGTTACGAATTTTTTAAGGTGAAAAACTTTTGTTAGAAATTTTTGTATACAAAATCCCTCTGGGCTTTTTGATAACCCACCAGGACCTACAACTTCCGCATAGTAACATCTTTTGAAGAATTTCTGAAAATTTGAGCCCTATATCAAAATTTTCAATTTTATTTACCTAAAAAAAAATAGAATAAATAAATAAATAAATACTGTTTGTTTTTCAGCGAAGTAAACGCGCTCCAACTACATACCGTAGTTTGCTTTTTTTTGCCGACCCAATTTTTTTCATTTTTTTCCATTTTTTCTTGTTTTTTCTCCCTTTTCCCCAAAAAACAAGCAATTTTGTAATTTTTCTGCTTTCAGAAGTTGGCGAAACTCGAATTATCCAAGTTTGCCCGAACAAAATGGTTTTTGGTAGCGATGTATGGATTTTTTCGATGAAATTCAGGTAAAACCTTATCAACTCAGTAGTTTCCACAATAACCAATTTCCTCATTTTTCAATTAGTGGAAATGCCTTTTTTCGCATGAAAAAGAGTAAAAGAATAAAAATTATTGTTTGAATCGCCGCACAAAAATGCGTTGTTTATCAATGGGGCGCGTTTGGCCGCGTTTCCTTTGCTGGCGAACGGACAGTAAAACGAGAAAAAAACTAAGTGGAATAAATAAAACATATAAAAAAACGAGTCATTTTCGGTTGGAATGTAGTGAAAAAGAATAAATAAAAAAGATAAAAAGAATCAATTATTTTTTATTAATTTATTTCACGTGAACGTGTGACGTGGCAGAGGTGGCGGCGTAGAGACCGCCTATCTTTTTCTATTTTTGTTTTTTGTGTGTGCAGTGGTCTGCAGTTTTTTAGTAGGTGTTTTGTGCGTTGCATATTTATTAGGCGGTTTTTTCATTAGGTTTTCTTCGGGTCAATTTCCTAGGTTATTTTAGCTGTGTTTGATCAATTGTAAATTGTTTTGTATTTGTATTCTAATTGTGTATTGCTGGAAAATGAATGTTTTTTGAAAAAGGAGTTTTTTTCAGCGTAAAATAGGTCTTTAACTGATTAATTTGAGTTCGTCATAGGTCTTTCACGGCAATTTAATGAGAAAAACACCTATGACGTGAATTCTTTTATGTTTTTCTCTAAATCTCTTCCTCTCACCCTATTGCATTTTATCATTAGCCTAAAATGTTGTGTTTTACAGGTGCCGGATTGAAAAATTTGTTCGCTGAAAACGGTAAGTGTTTGTTTGTTCAAAAACTAACGCAGTCTATAACACAAAAATCCTTTTAGATTGTATTGAGCTCGGTGTCAAGCGATTCAACTTTGACGATGTTTCCAACAAACAGCGACTCAACCAATTCATCGAGACTTTCCTCCATCAAACAGAAATTCGAACACTCTGTCAAACAATTCAAGTTCAGCGATTGCCTCGATATCCACCTATTCACACACTCTGCAAAATGATGCACCAAAATCGCTTGAGGATTCGATAATGGAGGAAACAAGAAAACCGTGCACAGATGCGTTTTATGAGGAAATGGCGAAACTTGTTGGGAAAAGAAAAAACAATATCACTGTTATTGAAAGAGTGAGTTGAAATATAACATTAAAAATCCCTGGTTCAGAACAGGTCTTTGCTTTTTTCTCTCAAGAAAAAAGCAAAGACAATTTTTCAAAGCATTTTATTGAAGAAAAAACATTATTTTCATTATCAAATCAATCAATCAATTTCAGTTCCAGCTCATCGATCAGGCAAAGGAAAGAGTCTTGTTGGAGAACCCAACATTCGACTTTTTGACTGCCGAGTTGAAGGAAATCAAAATGGTTTTTGGTCCACGAGTTGTTGAAGTAAGTGAAAATTATAGAGAAATACATTTCATGATTTCAATCGAGAAATACATTTCATGATTCAGATCCTCCATATCGGATGTATAAAAATCAATGAACATCAAAATTTCAAAGATGCATTGTTGGAAGTTGCCGAAACAAAATCGCTGTCACTTAAGCAGCTGGACAAGCTGGATGTATTATTCCGAAATGACGAAGATTCAGCATTTCGTGAGCTGAAGAATTTTCAAGAAAACAAAACCAAAATTACGGTAACTTCCCAATCAAAAAAACCTGTGCAAAAAAGTACTTGACAATTTCAGGATGTGACTGTTGATAGAACAATGGCATCGCGAGGAATATCGCAATCTGTTTATGAAAATATCAAAGATGAGTATCCTCTTCTCGACTGGCAACGTTTTCTAAAGTGAGTTGATTCTTTTTTTTTCAATCAATAAAAAATCGTCTTACAGTGAGGAAAAAAGCAACCCTGGAGGAAAATTGCAAGCGGACACGGTCCGCAAACATATCAAGGCATTTTTGAAGAAAGAAGAAAGAAAAAAGAAAGAAGCAGTCGAAAAAGAAAACGGCAAAAACGAAGCCTAGAGTCAAAAAGTCATTTTTCACCAAATTTTTATTTTTTTTTTCAATTTTATTTCATAAATTTTTTTCCATAATCCTGTGTAAATTTCTGTAGATTTTGGTTCTCTCGTTGTTTTCGTTGAAAAATCACCCACTACCCTAATTTTCAACGAAGAGCATGTCCTCATTGAAAAATCACCCACTACCCTAATTTTCAACGAAGATTCAAAAAAAATCGGTACGAGATTTTTGCAAAAAAAATCGGCCCGAGATTTTTCAAAAAAAAAATCGGCCCGAGATTTTTCAAAAAAAAAAAAAAATCGGCCCGAGATTTTTCAAAAAAAAAAATCGGTTCGAGATTTTTCAAAAAAAAAATCGGCCCGAGATTTTTCAAAAAAAAATCGGCCCGAGATTTTTCAAAAAAAAAATCGGCCCGAGATTTTTCAAAAAAAAATCGGCCCGAGATTTTTCAAAAAAAAAAATCGCTAGTAAATTATGAATAAAAAATTATACCCCAATATTTTCCAATGAAGCTCTAATTTCACCTGTTAGTTTTGCCCCCCCCTCCCAAACCTCAAAATAAACTAACTTGACTGGTCGCCCGTTCCGTGTGAAGTTGTTAATTTTTTCGAATGTCCTCCTGTCCAAACGAAACATCTTCCTTGTTCGAAAGCCTGAAACTTCTACATTCATTTTCTCAACATTTTTGGCTATTCTTAAACTTACATCAGAAAATGACATTTTGATGGGACACATGCTTTCTGTGACAGTTTTCTCTAAAAAAAAAATAATAAACACTTTCTGCGCTGAAAAAAACACTCAAAAACCAGAAAAAAACAAGAAATAAAAATGTCATCAAAAAAAATTAAAAGCAAAACAACGTTACTCCTCGTGCGCGTTGTTTAGCGTTTTTTTTGGCAGGGTAGACGAGAGAGTGTGTGAAATAGAGAGAGAGAGAGGGTTAGAGAGAGAGAGAGGGAGAAACATGTTTTTTATTTGAAAACAAATTTTTTTTTTTTTTTTTTTTTTTTTTGAACTGAATCATTTTTCTGGTTTTGAGTGGTTTTTTCAGCACAGAAAGTGTTTATTATTTTTTACATAAAATTTTTTTCTGATGTAAGTTTAAGAATAGCCAAAAATTTTGAGAAAATGAATGTAGAAGTTTCAGGCTTTCGAACAAGGAAGATGTTTCGTTTGGACAGGAGGACATTCGAAAATATCAACAACTTCACACGGAACGGGCGACCAGTCAAGTTAGTTTATTTTGAGGTTGGGGGGGGGCAAAACTAACAGGTGAAATTAGAGCTTCATTGGAAAATATTGGGGTATAATTTTTTATTCATAATTTACTACCGATTTTTTTTTGAAAAATCTTGGGCCTAAAAAAGTAATTCAACAATAGAAAGCAAGATTCATTTTCCCACAAACTTCAAATAATTTAAATAATGGTTATTCTTCTCACAAAAATATTAACAGGAGTTGACACAACATTAAATAAGGTTCCCCGATAATTTTGAATAATTAACATAACTGGAAGAGGATCTAATGCTGGAAATAAAGCAAATGTCACTGAAACTATACTACTTATATGACCCAAATCAAAGTCCAAAATTGTTGAAACTAGAAGAATTATAGAAGGAAAATGCATTAGAATCATTGGAATTAAAGTTTGGCTAACTAAAGCGTAGAATGTTTGAAGTTGTAGATTATTCTTCTGCTTGGACATCATTTCGAAAGACATTCTGAATTAAAAAAATGTTCTGGCCAATTCAGAAATTCTGGCCAATTCATTTTGCTTTTTCAGTCAGAAAAATAGACTTCAGAGATTTTCGCTTTCGAAAATCTGAGAACGAAAAATAATAAATTTTATTATTGTACTATCGTTGTATTTTTTTCTGACAGAATCTGACAGGAAATTGAAAAAAAATGTATTTTTAGATTTTTTTAGAGCTTTCTGTAGATTTTTTTTTAGATTTTTGACCTATGACGTGGAACATTTCTTGAAAAAGTTTATTTCAAATTTAAACTCAAACATCAACCAAATTTTCTTGATTCACCCCGGCTAATCTGAGGAATGTTTCTTCCAACGAAGATTGTGCTAGAATGTAGTCTTTGACCTGGAATTAATTTTGAATTAATTTTTTTTTAATTGATTGATTTCCTCACATTCAATTGTCTTGCTAGATTTTGTACCATTTCAAATTTATCCGACCATTTGTCTTCGAGATTTTTCGGGATAAGCCAGACTATATTCAATGTTTTATTGGATTCTGGAGTTCGAAGAATTGCACCAGGAATCTGATTTTTAATCGCATTCACAATATTTTCCCGATCTTTTGAATCATTTAAAGTTAGAGTCATTGTATAATTATTACCATATAATGATTTTAATTCTTGACTAGTTCCAATAGCAATCAATTTTCCCTGATTCAATACAGCAATTCTCGAACATAATGCTTCACATTCATCCATTGAATGTGATGTTAACATAATTGCACTATTTCCATCATTTTGTTGTTGTCTCGACCAAATCAATAATTCCCATATTTCTCTTCTCGCTTTTGGATCAATTCCAGCAGTTGGTTCATCTAATATTATCATTGAATTTGAATTTGTTGATAAAAGTGCGATTCCAATTGAGATCTTTCGTTTTTGTCCTCCACTATAATATCTGCATAATTTATTTGATTGTTTTTGCATTCCAACGCAATCCAAAATTATGTTTGCTTTATCGCGATAGTTCAAAAATCCATGCATTTGTCCGAGGATTTCCAAAACTTCACGGCCTGTTAGATCTAAAAGTAGAGCATCGAATTGAGGACAATATCCGATTTGCTTTAAAAAAAAGACATTGATTACGGAAGCCTAGTTTATTGGCAAATAATAAATGGGACCCCAAATGACTGAATGGGACCCCGGTGTTTAAAAATCGTCGTGATGAATGGGACCCCAAAATAATAAAATGGGACCACAGCATTTTTTGTTTTGCCTGAATGGGACCCCGCAAAAAAAGGGACCCCGTTAAATTTTTTATTAGTACGAATGGGACCCCACTGAAATTTTATACTGAAAGGGATACAAAAGTTGAAGCCTATGCCTAAGCCTGAAATCCTAACTAAAACCTAAAACCCTGACTAAGCCTAAGCCTAACCCCAGTGCTGAGAATACGTCTAAGCCTACCTGTGGTCCCATTCTGAAAAAATTTCAATGGGGGTCCCATTCGTACTAACACAAAAATTTAACGGGGTCCCTTTTTTTGCGGCGTCCCATTCAGACAATTTAAAAAAATGCTGTGGTCCCATTTTATTATTTTGGGGTCCCATTCATCACGACGATTTTTAAACACCGGGGTCCCATTCAGTTATTTGGGGTCCCATTTGGGGTCCCATTCATTATTTACCTAGTTTATTTCCCCTTTCAAAAACTCCCTCACAATTCTATCTGCCACATCAATTCCTCCAATCCTCGCTTCTCCACTTGTCGCAAATCCCTCCCCCGTCAAAATATTAAAAGTACTCGTTTTCCCCGCTCCATTTATACCTAACAATCCAAAACATTCTCCTTTCTCCACAGTCAAACATAGATTATCAACAACCGCTGATTTCCCATATTGTTTTGTCAGATCTTTGATGATCATCGCATAATCTGTCACATTTGCAGTTCGGGCTTTTGTAACTTCTTCGTGGATTTTCACGCATTTTGGGAGACCAATTGCTTCCAGGTGGGTACTTTTTGAGACTTGTTTTCTCACAAACGTTTTTGCTATGAACTTTCGAATTGCTCTGGATTGCAACCCAACGAAACACATCAATGTAACCATCGAAAATCCACCCATAAACATCGCAAGTTTCCCCAAGTTATCCCAACTCATCAACTCTTGATTGCTTAGCATCACATTCTCATTCAGCCTTAGAATAGCTCTGCCAAATGCGAAACTCGGGAAGAAAAATGAGCAAACATCGAGAAGCGTTGAATTGTCTTCTGAATGTGTTATTTGAGTTTTGATAAGTACAATGATTCCGACGATGCCTGGACTGATGATTTGCCAAATTACGAGGAAAACATTGGCTTTTGATGGTGATTGTAGAAGTAGTGAGAGTGAATAGACTGTGGGAATGCATGAGAAGAAATAGAGCATCCAGAATAGTAGGACTCTGCAAAAAAAAAAACTACGACACTCCGTGTTTACACCCCGGAAATTCCTGGCTAGCTAAATCCCAAAAACTTTGAAAATTGCCCCTCGGGTCAGACGACGAGACGACGAGAGTCTGATGACGTGACAGAGAAAGACATCGCTTCGAGATATTTTTGAGAAAATACCGTATTTTTTTTCAAGGAACACATGTTTTATTGAAAATATCTCGAAGCGAAATACATTTTCGAGATATTTTTGCAAAATACTCTCACGTCTGACTCAACGAGCACCTTGTATGGTCGTGTACACTGCTGTTTAACTACGATACTCCGTGTTTACACCCTGGTGTGTTTTATTCTTCGATGACCAAAATCTCTTTATGAACAAAATCAATTTGCGGAGCATCGTTTAGAACTGTTGTTTAACTACAACACTCCGTATTTACACCCCGGGAGTTGTTATTTGTCGAAGATCAACATTTTGTTCCAATTTTAACATAGCGTAAACACGGAGCGTTGTAGTTTCTCATTTTGCCACTCACGTTAATAGATGTTTCTCCATCCAGTTCCAATAAATAAACATCGCAATAAAAATCAGACAAACCCCCGAAAACATCAGAAAATCAAAAAGCAACGATGCTCCATAGAAAGTGATCGGTGAAATTCCGCTCAAAAATTGTTGATGTGCAAACCTCGAAACCCTCTCCTCAATTTGAAACATCACAAAACTCGAGATCAATATTGCCAAGATCAGAATAATCAAAAACGATGCAGCGACACTTGCACTTCCAACAGCTAAAGCTCTGTGTCCGAGGGAGAATAGATGAATGCGAGCTTCGATTGTGACATCTTCCTGATTCGGATAATATTTAGCAGTGTTAATCAGGCTAACCAACGCTGGTAGAATATGTATGTTTCTCGAGTTATAATAAATCACCGGATGTTCGAAATCATCTTCTTCAATTCCGAAACCAAATCCAACAGCTGGCAACATTCCATAAGTTTCGATCATAAATTTCGTCACATCCCCATCGAATTTAATCTCCTCAAAACCAGATTTCTTCTGCAAAGTCAAGGCTTCCGCAAATTTTTCTCCATATTGATCAACTATAAAACTGGTTGGTGTCAAAAGATCCAAACTGAGACTTCGACTACTTTCTGTGCCGCCCATTTTATAGGTTTCCAGGGTACCGAGAATCGCGAAAATTATAATTGGCAATACGATTTGGCCTATTAGATGTGCCCATTTTCTTCGAAGATAGAGGTATTTTTTGCGGAAAATTGCGGTGATTTGAGAAGTGATCAGGTGGAATCCAGAAGCTTGTTGATCTGAGAGGTGAAAATTGAAAAAACAACGATGCTCCGCCTAAACTCACATTCATGACTTTCCATAAGTCGTTTATACTTCTCAGAACTCTGGGAATTCTCATGAACCTCCTTTATACTCATATTTTTCCGACTTGTTATAATTTCCTCAACTTTTTCACCAATAGTTATAAAAACTTGTTCCAAAGTATTCAAAGACAATCCAAAACTTGTCATATCCAGGGTAATCAATTCATTCAAAAGATATACAGGCATCCCACTAAAAACTGCATTTCCAAAATCATTTTCTTGAATTGCTTCGATGGCTTTGAATAAATTTGGAAATTGGTTTTTCCAGGATTCCGTAAGAACTATTTGAAGTTGCTGACCGTGTAGATCACCACATGAACTTTCAGGAATATAAAACTTGCAGATTTCTTCCAGAACTTTTCTCATTCGATCCTTATTTCCTTTCTGGCCTAGAACAACAGTTAGTAAATAACCAGTTCCATATTTTTGTTTCAAGAATTTCGGAGTTCCAGATGAAACAAGTTTTCCATGTGACATAATAAGAATCCAATCACCAAGTCTTTCAGCTTCATCCATATAATGTGTTGTTAATAATATTGTTCTAGAAGATTTTAGAGTTGGATTTTCAGATTCTGAGTAAATTTTTTTTTTTTTTTCTGAGTAAATTTTTTTTTGTTGAGATTCTGAGGTAAAAACTGGTCCGATTTAAATTTTCCAAAAATCTAGAAACTCCAGAATTCTCTCCAGATTCAGAAATGTACCTTGTAAACACGGAGTGTCGTAGCAGACGCAAGAGATATTTTTAATAAAATGTGTGTGTTCCTTGAAACAAAATACGGTATTTTTCAAAGGCACACACATTTTCTCAAAAATATCTCGAAGCGATGATCAGACTCTCGTCGTCTCTCGTCTGACCCGAGGGGCAATTTGGTCGTGAACAATCAAAAAGTCTACGATGCTCCGCGAGAACGCCCACCTCTTTCTAGACCTACCGATTTTGTTTCTCCCTCTCCAATAAATCTTGAACATCTTTCCTCGCCCCAGGATCCATTCCAGCTGTTGGTTCATCTAATAAAACAACTTCAGATGATCCAATCAATGCCATACAAACACATAATTTCCGCTTCATTCCTCCCGATAAATTCTTGGAAATCTCATATTTCTTCGAATATAATTTGACATCACTCAACAATCCAACCATCTCCTCTTGAAACCCTCTTCCACTATCTCGATTTCCCTTAAGTCCATTAACCAACCAAAGATGTTCCTCGATTGTTAGATTATCATAAAGTGGATTGTATTGGGGGCAAAATCCCACTTTTCCACCACTTATCGAGATTTTTCCTGAACTAGGTTTGATAATTCCTGCAATACTTTGAAAAGTCGTCGATTTTCCCGCTCCATTATGTCCCAATAGCACCGAAACCTGCCCCATTTTCGCTTCAAAACTCATTCCATCCACACCTTTTTCACCATTCGACCAAGTTTTCACCAATTTTTTCACCGAAATTCCAGCATTCGCTCCGATTCTAGCTTGATCAAGCTCGTTAGATCCTTGAAGAAAAACATCTAGAGGAACTTCAGCTTGTTTCTGGAAATTTCAAGGTCTGAGGACTTCAAGGTCTAATGACAAACCTTCTCCCGCTTCCACGAAAAACTTATCTCCGAATTCCTAACTGCGTCCAGAATCAAAGTCAACAAAAACATCCAAATGATATCGAACATCATCATAAGAATCGAAAATCCAAGTGGAAATCCTGAACTCGAATCGAACAGGTTCAGAAATCCGTAGGGTTTTTCTGAAGAAATTTTTTTTTTTTTTAATTTTCTAAATAAATTTTTTACCTCGATATATAACCTTCAAAATACTGTGAATGGCAATATAAAAAGCTCCATTGAAATTCAGCGAAAAATAGAAACACTTCAAGAATTCAGAACTATCATCGATAGATATAAAAACTCCTAAAGCTGAAATTATCGGCCAGATTATAACAATCGCTTTAATTCCAGAATTTGGGGTTTTGAAAAGTGAAGCGATCAGAGCTCCGAATGTTAGGGATCCGATTCCATAGAGTGAGATGACAATTATGAATAAGAGACGGTTTAGATGCTGAAAATTTGAGAAAAACTACGATGCTCCAGGTTTACACCCAAAAATCATCATTGTAAACACGGAGCATCGTAGTTTTCCAACAAAAAAAAACATTTGAACTACGATGCTCCAGGTTTACATCTAAAAATCAGTTTTCACAAAAATTATCACCGTAAACCCGGAGTGTCGTAGTGTTTTTCTCACCTGAATATTCATCAAAACTTGCGCCATCGCCACCAAAACCACAGAAAACTTCAAGAATCCCACAAAAATGTGTGTGAAATAAAACCAGGGTGTCGACAATCCGAGCGCCCTCAAAAACGGTTTCACACCCGATATCTCCGCCGAAATTTGTCGCGTGATATGCAAAACATTGACGAATAACACAATCGGAAGAATTGCGGGCAAATTGTAGAGGGTGGAAGTGGCGAAAAGTTTTTGTTGATGTGAAGGTGTGTCGAAAGCGTGGAATGATATCGGTTTCATTGATCTTGTGAAGTTGTTCGGTGGATTTTCGTCAACGAAACTTGATTCTAAAGCGTGTTGAAGTGACAAGAATCCAGATTCTAAATAGATCGGATACAAATTCTCAGTTGTCCCATTTTCCCAGCCATAGGGAAAAATCCAATTTCTATTCAAATTCCATTGATCCCCTTCGTAATTCCTCATGAAAAATCGATATTTCAGCACTTTTCTCCTCTCTTCAAATCTCGTTTCATCAAAAACAATTCCACCAACAAAATCATTAATCGCACAATAATCGGCTAGATTCATTTTCAGATTTTTCATCATTTCTTCTTCGTTGGGGAATTGAATTGAAGTCAAATTCACATCATAGATATATCTTTTTCCTAGGTTTTCCATGATTCTTTGGATTCTTTGGGGATTTTTCGATTTTGTGACATAGGCTAACTTGAGTTTGCTTTGTTTGCACCATCGATGATTTTGTAGTTCTAAAGTATCATCGATTCCACCAAAAAGTTCAAAACTGCGCGCAGATTGGCTTGGGATTTGATCACCTGGGGAGATCTAAAAAGAGATCTGAAGGAAGAAAAATATTTGAACCCACCGCATAGATCACAAAAACCAGCAACACTAAAAATAGGAATGGTAGAACAACTTCGAGAAATGTCCACAATCGATTTCTTCGCAAAAGAATCGCATCTTTTTGGAGAAGTATCCAGAATTGCCGGAATTTTGAAAGCATTTTAGATACTATTTGGTTTCAGCGAAAATTTTGGGGAGGATGGAAAAATGTTTATTTATTTATTTTTGTAACTTAATCAGTGTATTGTAAATTATTTGATTTTTGGAAAAATTGTTAAAACTTGGAAAGTAATTGTGAGGAGAGGAAATTAAAATCAAAAGATAAATTTTTTTAATTAAATTTTAGAGATTGCGTGAAATTCAAAAATTTCAAAAAAAAAATTTTTTTTTTGTACATAGTTCCGGGAAGGAATTGAACCCTTGACCTGTTTCTTGGAAATTCCCAAAAAAATAAGCAGTCCCAATTTTCTTTTGGGTCTGCAAATTATTTATTGACCATTTTGTGGTCTGCAAATAAAAAGACGAATAGCTAAGTGGTAAAGCGCTGGATTTTGAATCTGAGGGTGGCGAGTTCGATCCCGCATACAAACTGATATTTTTTTTTTTTGCTTTTTCGGATGGATTTTTCTGATTTTTTCACTCAAGAATGTGTCGAACTATCCTGGCAAGCAGCCGCGTCTTGAGAGGTTCACTAGTTTCAAAAAAAAAAATTTTTTTTTTGTACATAGTTCCGGGAAGGAATTGAACCCTTGACATGTTTCTTGGAAATTCTTGGTTCAGAGGGTACTGTAGATTCTGGAAAAAATGTTGCGTTTTGGAACGTTGTGTTGTTACTCTCACCATATGCTCTTTGTTGTGCACCTGCTGTGTTGTACACCTGCTGTAAAAGATTAATTTTTTTGATATGAGAAATAATATAATTACTTGAGAAAGACACTCATTCATTTTTTTCTCTTTATCTAACATCTCAATTTTCTACAGTTTACTCCCAATTTCGCAAAAAAAACACATAATTTACAGCAAAATATGTTGTTGCTCCTTCCCATTTTTTTATGGCTACAATGTATCGTGTTATTTTCCACGTGCTCAACAATTTCCAATGACAAAGGTAAATATAGTTGGTCGAACCATTTTTAATATATATAAGAAACATTACATTACAGAAAAAATTGTGAATGCCGCTGTTGAGGCTTTTCGGGCGGTTGGCAAAGATTGGGAAATGGATTTGTTGACGTTGAAAGAATTGGGACCAAAAACGGATTTATTGATGAAAAATGTGGTTCCTATTGGTGCTATGGTTGTGGAGATGGCGAAGGTATTGTATTTAGAAATATCAGGCGATATTTAACGGTCTTCATGTTACAGCGGCCAACTTGGAGGAACTATGAAGCAAACTATGAAGCGTTGCTGAACTTTCAAAATCAAACGGAAGGGATACGAGAAAATATGCAAGATAAAATCGACTTTTCTACAATGATGCTGGGTGACACAATACCAAGGCCAAACTACTATAAGGTAAGCGCCGATCAATTTAACTCATTGCAATTTGACATTTCAGAAAGTGAGGGATCCTATTGCGAGCATGAAGTTGCTGAGCGAAAAATATCTCAACCCCGAGATTGTTAACAGAATTGATTTTATCAATGATTATAAGAAAGCATGTACAACTGGCGAAAGGTAAAATTGTTTTCAATGTTTAATTAATTGTTGTGCTCATTTGAAAGAGCATGTTCAGTAGTACATTCCTCGAAGGATTCGAGAAAAGCGAAGAAGAAAACCTATTCAGGTCGGTTAAGAAAACATAAAACTTGTGTTTTTGAGGAAAACATGGGCTGAATTACAAAATTCGAAAAAACAGTACCACACCGTGTATGTAAAATGTCTTGAAAGTCCATAAGTACTGTAGCTTATATTTGTTTTTGTTTTGAGAAGCTTCCAGAAAAAATGCCTTCGGGGAATGTACTAATTAGAACATGCTCTTTCAAATGAGCACAACTTATTGTTTGCTCGGACTCCACCTTTAACAATTTAACAAATTACATTTTTCAGAGCTCCGGAATCGATACTGATGGTAGGACTTTAATTTATTGTCAGTTCGCAAAAAAATGACCGAAAATAAAAGAACCTCCGTTTGAATTGGCGCTCACGTACAGTAGACTAAAAATGATGCACATCAAACTGGTTGGCAAATAGCCAGCGTGTAAATTTCGCATTTTATTTTTCACATAGACTCCAAAATTCAGCGAAGTCTACTGTAGTCTTGGTTTTCTAGGTCATTTTGGTTCTCTTCCAAAGTTCTTATTTTTTCGGAATGACAATAGTATTTTCTCAACACGCTGAGAAAACAGGAGATTTTATTTTATTTTTCTCAGCCTACCTGAAAAGGGTTTCTTCCTGTTTTCTTAGCGTTGAGAAGCCCCATTAGAATATTTTGCGAACCGACATCATTAAAATGCTAAATAGATAATTTGACATCTTGTACAGTATTTACGATATCGATTGATCGAGTCGTGTGGAATTGCAATCACGCAAAGAGAGGCACATGAAATATCTGATATTCGTAAAAGTTTGTGGAAAATAACTCTTCGATTGCAATTTGATAGAAATCACCAGGATTTAACAACAGAGGAGTACATTCTACCAGCAGGTATTTAAACAAAAAATTATGTTTTTAATTAATTTATCACAGAATTTATGGACATTTATAAAAAAATTGACAAAAGCATTCTTAATGAAGATCTGGATGTCTATGATCGACACTTTAAAAATCATCAAGAAGCTCTTGAAGCCGTTTTTGATGAACTGCGAGATCGAGCATCAATTGAGAAATTGGAAAATTATGAAACACCGTAAGCATTATGAAACTTTTTCAGCATTAATTTCTCTTTTTTTTTTCACAGTTGTTTGCTACGTTCATTCATTAACATACGAAACTTTGATTATATTGCCGTTGAAGGATTTGTAATGGAGCTGAAGAATCAATTAATTGATGTGGCAAGTTTTTTAAACTTTAATTTTTCAGACTTTTCATAACAAACTTTAGGCTTTCATAGCGGCAAGTTGTGCGAATGTATCTCATTACGAAGATGATGAATCCATCAACAAATATGCTCAAAAAATGTCTGACCTGGTTACAGAAATTTCTTCATTCACATCAAAATGGCTCAATGACTCACTTGTATGTTGCTTCTTTTGATTTTGTTGATACATACCTAAATAAGCGTGTTCTTTTTGCAGATATCAGCGTGGCCATCAGCACACAATGAAATTCTGAATGAAGAGATCTTGCGATATGCAAAAAAACGCACTGGATACAATAATGACAACGATATGATGCGATTCGTCTCAACAGAACGACTCAGCAGAACGGGAATTCCCGGGTCAGTGTTAATATTTCATATTAATTAATCATATGATGTTTTTAAAGGGGGGGGGGCCAGGGAAAACCCCCAGGGGATTTTTTTCTCGAAAGGCCTTAAAAAGTCCGAAAAAAATATTCCATGAACTTTTTTCAATACTATCACACCCGTTCAACCAATGAAAAAAATTGAAATTTTGTTTATTCACACTGCGCGACAATTTGCAAAGGAACTAGCTAACTAAGTGGCAAAACTAAATATACCCACAGCGAAAAAAAATTATTTTTTTCTGTTTCCGTGTGGTACGGTGCGCAATACAGAAAGTGTTTGCACACACAAAGGTTAGACAAAAGTGTTTGCACAGTTTTTTGTTTCGTTTAACAGTAGAAAACACTCGTTGCGTGGCTTGAACGGGTGTGGTATACGTGGTACCTAGTGTATGGAACATTTTTTCTGAGCGTTTCCAGAAAAAAAACCCTTGGAGGGTTAACTACTTTTAAAATTTTTTTGTGGTGGTCTTACCCCCCTCTTTAATGAGGCTTTTCAATGAAAAAAAATGTTTTCTCAGCGTTAAGAAAACGGGAGAAAAGCGAAGAAAACCTATTCAAGTCGGTTAAGAAAACATAAAACACACAAATTGCGACGAGACCCAACGAAAAACAACATGTTCCTTTGACCTTTCGCATTACTGTATATTGGTCCCGCTGACGAATTTCTGCAGTATCTTAAAGGAACATGTTGTTTTTTGTTGGGCCTCGTCGCAATTTGTGTGTTTTATGTTTTCTTAACCGACTGGAATAGGTTTTCTTCGCTTTTCTCCCGGTTTCATAATGCTGAGAAAACATACTTTGAGAAAGTTTAATTTTGCAGCTACTTATACGAGATAATAATTGTGCGAGCTGTAGATGAGAACTACGAACTTATGTTCGAACGAACAGGAGATCATTGTTCTCTTACAATGGGCACATCCGGTTTTGATACTATTATCGCTCGTGTATTCGACGACCCTGCGAAAAAACCAACGCCATTGAGTATCACAGGTTAGAAAAAAACGTGTTTAATAGACAAGTATTCGAGAAGTATATTTTTACCAGGCCTAGGATTTTTCCGTTTACGTTCTTGGGTTTTACGGCTCAAAAAATCGTAAAATAATTCGTTAAAAAATTAATAAATATAGTTAATTTTTGACAAAAATTTTGATAAAATTAAAACTTCAAAAAGATCTACCCATAAAAAGCGTGCGGGGAACCTTGCCATTTAGGCCCAACCCTCCAGCTTTGAGCGAGAGTTGAATTTTTTCTGCAGCAGCGGTTTTTCATTGGAAAAGGTTCTGTTTTTACCCTTGTGACGCGCCACCTAACAATTTCCCAGGTCCGATTTATTCTTACAGAAGATGGTGTGATTCGACTAGTGGGCCTGGTGAAATACGCGGAAAAATTGAACATAACCATTCAGTCCGAAATGAAGTAAGTTTGTTTTTGTTGTACATATTTAGGCTTAGGTTTAGTTAAGAAATTTAGACAAGGCCCAGACTTTAGCCCTTTCGTCTTTAATGATAGTTTCAATGACCTGCAATTTCAGCTCGTTATATAACGCAGAAAATCTTCCACTGATTGCTGAAACTTTGAAAAATAAGATCGGAAAACGATTCATCACGCAACAAGATTTCCATTGCTGGGCAATCGTCCGTGAATGGTCGTATTTTCCTTGTCCAACAATCGATTATTATTCGAAATCATATCAGTATGATGATAGATGGAACAGCACCACTACTTTCAGTTATAGCAAGAAGGGGCCTCTTCAACACCAATATTGCCAAGAGTTTCGCTTCTTTTTCTTTATGTAATTAAAAGAATTATCGGGGAACATTGTTTAATGTTGTAACTACTCCTGTTAATATTTTTGTACGAAGAATGAACATTATTTAAGAGACGTTTTTTGAAAAAAGGCAAATAGGGTCGGACAACAAAAAAGGGTGTAATTTTAGAATCGGCTAAAATTTTTTTTATTGATACATGGATGGATGGTGAACATTTTCCACCATATTTTTTTCCATAAAATCGATGCACCAATTTGGTGGGGGGTGATGAATGCGAAAAAAGACATTTTTTCAAAAAATCAGAACTCAGCTCAAACTTCATATTTTTTGATGATCAAAAAAGGATTTTGTAGCTCTTGAGACGCTCTTTACTCCTGAATTTACTAGAATTGCCGAAATCCAAAAATAAATTTTCAATATTGATGGAAAAATTTTGACGCTAATTTTCCCTCCTTAAACGCCATTTCCGCAATTTCTAACTCGATCCATTAGATCCGCCTTGCAATTTTACGTCGGATTAGTCGAAAAAAACGGAAAAAAAGGGGGCCCTCAAAAAAGTTCTATTCCAGCTTCTAATTTTCATTCTGACGCGCGCAACACACATGTGTGTATTTTGTGTGCGCATGCTCACATATATGTGTGTTGTGTATTAGAATCTTGAAATATACAAGGGTACTGTAGTGTGTGTAGTTTTTTTTTGTATTTTAATTGTAGATTTAGCATCTGGGGAGGTAAGAAAAACCCCGGAGGATTTTTACATGCAAAAATGTTTTTCCTGGGGGTGGACCTTTTTTGAGAATTTTTTGGTTCTGAACTTTGAAAAATTGTAACTTTACTTATAGTGGACGAAAAAAATCGAACATAAAAGCTAAACAAAGCTTACATTTCGCTCTATGAATTCAGCTAATGGACAGTTCTATGAACTGGAAAAATTGTTGTAACAAACTAATTTTTTGACGTACAAAATTCGAAATTTTCAAAAAAAAAAAAGGAAAATTCGAAATATTTTTAGAGAAAGTGTCAAGTGTTCTATTGTCTAGATTCGAAATAACGTATACATATTTCCGTAATGTAATAAAAATGTTAAAATCTATAGGTTTTCCGGGTTCCCCGAAATTCTGAACATCGATTTTATGCTTTTCTCTTGCAAAAACAAACAGAAATAGTGTTTTCTGCAGGCTGCGATTTTAAGTAAAGTTAAAAACGTGAAAAAAGTTCACTGGATCGATTCCTCACAGCATGAAAAATATTATCAAAAAAAAATAATTTTTAGGAGAAGTTTCAGGGAATCAAAAATGAAGTGTACGCGATTTCTATCAGCACCAGAAGAGCTGATATGTCTAGCAAAGTTGCCTGAAGAACTTTCACTTGGTACTGCGTCTTGATAGATTTTATGTCAAGTCTTGAAGACATATTTGTTGTACGAAAAGAGCACACCTCGGCCAAAATCGTGGTTTCCACAATAAAAAATTGTACGCTAACTTTTTACAGTACAAAAATTGTGAATTTTTCAGTTTTTGTCCTCTAAAAACTGAAACTCTGATTTTTCCAAAAATTGTACTCTGGCCAGCCATGGCTTGGCCGAGGTGTGTATTGGAGTCCCGCGTGATCTACAGCGAGTAAAAATTGCTGGTCTAGAACTTGTGAAAAAGCATTCAACTTGATTTTTGAAAATACATTCCTGAACTTTCAGTGTGCCAAGAGAGTAAAAGGCCTCAACCAATTTCGGAAAAAAATATGTGCAGCAACAGGGATTTCAAAAATTATGGATTTTTTCTTTTTTTTTAACTGATTCTGAGTCTACCTCATTCTCACCAATTTTCAATTTATAAAGGGCTGACATGTTTCGAATTTTCCTTTTTTTTGAAAATTTCGATATTTGTACGTCAAAAAAATTAGTTTGTTACAACAATTTTTCCAGTTCATAGAACTAAATCTACAATTAAAATACAAAAAAAACTACACACACTACAGTACCCTTGTATATTTCAAGCTTCTAACACACAACACACATATATGTGGGAGCATGCGCACACAAAATACACACATGTGTGTTGCGCGCGTCAGAATGGAAATTAGAAGCTGGAATAGAACTTTTTTGAGGGCCCCCTTTTTTTCCGTTTTTTTCGACTAATCCGACGTAAAATTGCAAGGCGGATCTAATGGATCGAGTTAGAAATTGCGGAAATGGCGTTTAAGGAGGGAAAATTAGCGTCAAAATGTTTCCATCAATATTGAAAATTTATTTTTGGATTTCGGCAATTCTAGTAAATTCAGGAGTAAAGAGCGTCTCAAGAGCTACAAAATCCTTTTTTGATCATCAAAAAATATGAAGTTTGAGCTGAGTTCTGATTTTTTGAAAAAATGTCTTTTTTCGCATTCATCACCCCCCACCAAATTGGTGCATCGATTTTATGGAAAAAAATATGGTGGAAAATGTTCACCATCCATCCATGTATCAATAAAAAAAATTTGAGCCGATTCTAAAATTACACCCTTTTTTGTTGTCCGAGCTCCTTCATTAAAATTCACCATTTTGCAAAAAACGTCTCTTAAATTATTTGAAGTTTGTGGGAAAATTAATCTTCAAAAAATATAGTTTCTCATTGTTCTCTGTTGTAACTTTTCGCTTTGTAGTTAAGAAATGAGTTCAGACAAATTTTTCAAGAAATGTTCCACGTCATAGGTCGATTATCTAAAAATACACTTTTTTTCAATTTCCTGACAGAAAAATAAACCCATAGTACAATAATAAAATTTATCATTTTCATTCTCAGATTTTCGAAAGCAAAAATCGCTGAATTCTATTTTTCTGACTGAAAAAGCAAAATGAATTGGCCAGAATTTGTATCAAATCTTCAAATTGGTTGCGCAATCTCATCTCTAATCCTAAATTCAATTCTGATAATTCTAATCATCAAAAAATCACCGAAAAAGCTTGGATCCTATCGATATTTGATGAGTTATATCGCATTTTTCGAGATGTTTTTCTCAATTTTGGATGTATTTCTATCACCAACTATTTTTTCACATGGATCTATGTACTTTGTGATCATTTCTGGTATTAAAAATGGAATATTCCCCAAATGCATATATTTTCTATTGAATTGTATTTGGTGTGGTTGTATTGGAAGTTTTATGGCGTTTTTTGCGATTCAATTTATTTATCGATTCTGTGTTGTTAATGAGTAGGGTTTTCCTGTGAATCTAACCATCTCTTAATTTTTCTAGCTCGAAGAAAATCCTCAAATCATTTGATGATTATCGTATTGTATTCTGGATGTTGATCCCAATTTTATTCGGAATTCTGTTGGGTTTGATTGTTTGTTTCCTGATTGGTCCAAATGCCGAAACTGATCATGCAATATCAGATCTTCTCCTAACATCTCTCGATATGAAAATTGACGATATAACTTATATTGGACCCAGGTGTTTCGAGAGAACTGCGGATAATCAATTTATTATATTCTACAAAGCAATTATTGCGATTATCATTATCTTCATAATCTCAACAACCTCTTTGATAATCGTGATATTTTTCGGATTCAAAACATTTTTAAAATTCAGAATGTCTTTCGAAATGATTTCCAAACAGGAAAATAATCTACAACTTCAAACATTCTACGCTTTAGTTAGCCAAACTTTAATCCCAATGATTTTGATGCATTTCCCTTGTACAATTGTGCTTATTTCTACACTTTCAGATTTCGATTTAGGGCATTTCAGTAGCATTGCAACGGTGACATTTGCTTTATTCCCAGCATTGGATCCTCTTCCAGTTATGCTAATTATTAAGAATTATCGGGGAACTTTGTTTAATGTTGTAACTACTCCTGTGAATATTTTTGTGAGGAGGAAGACTGTGATTTGATAAAAGAATAAATGATTATAATACTTTTTTCTATTTTCTGTAATCATCAAGTTAATTTTCACTGTAAAAATTAAAACTAAAAGTTTACAAACGCTTTCTGCTCTGAAATGATGAATGGACTGCGATTTTCAGCAGCTGTTTGTTGAAAATGAGAAAAAGTTTATTTTTTTTAATCTAGAAAAGTTATAAATCAAAACTTATGAGAATATAAATCAACACATTCTTGCTGGCGTTTGCTCAAAAATGGATGTACTTTGCGTGATCCTTGCACCGCCTCTTCACCGCATTCTTTTCTCCACAAATCGATCATACAACCGTCAGCTCCCCAACTATCATTGCAGAAATAATCGCCCGGCTTTAGTCCAGTAGAAATCCAGCATTTTTCGTCTTTTTCGTCATCCCACGATTCTCTCATTTTGAATTTCAGGCCGCACGGTAAAAGTTGAGTTTGATAAATCTTATATGAATCGAAAATTTTGTCACTTAACTCATCTTTCACCACATCGACTTTGTCGTTGATTTTTGCAATTCTATCAATACAATCCTTGACAATAACTCGAGCATTTTCGATTTGTTCATCGGTGTGTGGTTTTGGGTGGAACCTACTTCTTTCAACAGACTCCATAGCTTTGAAGAAACACTCCTTCGGATTCTGCTCTCGATTCTCGCCAGCATAATCTGCGAGAGAGCCAAGTGTAAATACTAGAGGAACTAGAAAGAGGAAAATAAATAGAAACTTCATTTTGCACTGAAAATGAAAGTAACAAGTGGTTCACTTTTCTTTTATATACGATTTTTCAGCAGCTGTTTGTGTTTTCTGTTGAGAAAATTGCACATAAATTTTGTGAAAACACGCAAATGCGCTCAACTGCACTCAACGTGTTTTTTTGAAAAGTTCAAAAAATTCATGTAATTATCTTGCTTTGTCCGTTCTGCACTAATGAGATGAACACTTTGAAGAAACTAATGGACTTTTTTGTTCCGCCACGTCATAGTTCGTTCTTGATCTTTAGTCTAGGCAATTATACCCATTCATCAACAAACTTTTCATTTTCCATCTGAAAATATTTGTAATATTTTTTTCCCGAGAGAAAACGTCCTTTCTTTCATCTTTTTCGTTCTGAAACAATTGATTTTTTGCCAGAAACATTTCAAAATGCAACAATTTTTGTTGCTTTTCCGTAAAAATCTGATACTTTGGAAGCGCAATAAATTATGGACTGTTTTCGAAATCATTATCCCTTGTATTTTGATGGCAATTTATATCGGTTTTCTGCTAAACGTGGGTTTTTTTTTGTTTTTTTTTGAAATTAAATTAACAATTGTCTTCAGAATGGATCGAAAGGTTCACCGATTACCAAAAAATTCGAAAAATTTCAAATTCGAGGAAATGCCGAGGATTTTTCGCTAATGAATGATTGTACATCGAATATTAAATTTGGATATTCGTAAGTCAGCGATTTTCTGCTGCTTTTTTCCCTAATTGATTTATAGATCTTCACCCGAACTTCAAAATGAAACCAAAAAAATTATGAATAACTTCAGAAAGAACTTCAAGAATCCAGATTTTAATGTAATGCGGCTAAACTCCGAGGACGAAATCAAAAAAAATCTACGAAAAGTAGCGAAAAACTTCGAAGAGACATATGTCTACAATGAATGTGCACTTCAAAATTACAGACTGTCCAGTGGTGTTTTCTTCGATGAAATCGATTTTGACCAACAAATCTTGAAATACCGACTCATTTATTCAACCTTCGATCATCATTGGTTAGTCAGAAAGCGCATAGTGGTCCCATATTTGAGAAATGAAGAAGATACTTCTTATAAAGGCAATGGATTTTTGACATATCAACATGCGATTGAATCAAGTTTCATTGATATTATCAATAGTTCAAATAACTCGAATCCAATTCTTAATTTCGAAGCGTTTCCTGAACCAGAAATTGTTATGAAGATTATTTTCCTACATATACAAAGTTACCCATTTTTATTATCGATTATTATTTTCATTAATGTGGTTCATGTTACACGTGAAGTGTCAGCTGAAAATGAGAATTTGAAGGGGTATCTAATGACACTTGGATTATCAAACTTCAATTTTTATTTGACACATATTTTGAGTGGAATTTGCAAATTGGTTTTTCTGATCTCAATGCTAATTCTACCATTTTGGATGAAAGAATATGTGAGTAAAGGATGTGAGTAAAAATATTTTGTTTTGGACCCTTTTTCAGCTGTACTTTGATCATATTACTATATTGTCAATTGTCATAATATTATACGGTATTTCTGCAATCACATTTGGTGCATTTATCGCCTCATTTTTCTCAACATCAAATTCCGCAATCAAAGCATCAATCACAGTTTGGGCAATGTTGCTAGGATTATTTGTTTTTTTGCATCCCGAAAACCATCAAGAAATCATCAAATTCTATATTTACGCATTAATTCCGACTGGAGCTTTTCAATTAGCTTGTGATATTCTCGTAGAATTGATAATTGATGACAAAGAGTTGACAATTTTTAATATTTTTAGTGGCTCTTCGAGCAGATTCACACTTGGAAATGCTGTTTCGATGCTGGTATTCGATATTGTTTTGATGTTTGGTATTGCTTTATTTGTCGATGATTATCGGAGATCAAATGATGTTAGTTTCAAAGAATTTTTAAAATCAAGTCTCGCAAAATATGGTTCGAAAAGTGTTGAGAGTATTAAGATGAGTGAATTACAAGAATCAGAAGATTTATTGAAAGATTCGAATGAAAATCGGAACGAAGATGTTGAAAATGGTATAATTGTCAGTAAATTGGTCAAAATATGGGGAACAACCGGAGAAAAAGCGATAAATGGATTGAGTTTTGAAGCGAAAAAGGGTGAAGTTACTATTTTATTCGGGCAAAATGGCGATGGAAAATCAACGACTTTTCACTGTATTTCAGGGATGATTCCAGTAACTGAAGGTAAGTTTTCAACAATTGTCATTAGTAAATTAATTTCATTGTCAGGGAGAATTCTAATATCTGGAAGGGAATCAAATACAAATCTAAATATAGGGCTTTGCCCGCAATATAATCCAATTTTTGATCAATTAACAGTTAAAGAACATCTTTGGTTTATAAATGGTCTCAAAGGAAATAAAAATAATCGAAAATTTCAAGCCGAAATGAATAGATTGTTGGAAAATGTGAAACTGACGGATAAAAAACATGAATTCTCTTCAAATTTATCGGGAGGAATGAAGCGGAAATTGTGTGTTTGTATGGCATTGATTGGATCATCTGAAGTTGTTTTATTAGATGAACCAACAGCTGGAATGGATCCTGGTGCGAGGAAAGATGTTCAAGATTTATTAGAGAGAGAAAAGCAACATCGAACAATATTATTAACAACACATTATATGGATGAAGCTGAAAGACTTGGTGATTGGATTCTTATTATGTCTCATGGTAAACTTGTTTCATCTGGAACTCCGAAATTCTTGAAACAAAAATATGGAACTGGTTATTTACTAACTGTTGTGTTAGATGATGGAATTAACAAACATCGAGATAATATTTGTGAAGTTTTGCAAGAATTATGTAAATTCTATATATCAGAAGCTCAGTTGGGAAATACACATGGAAAACAAATCGAAGTGATTTTGCCAGAGAATAGGAAATCCGATTTTCCGATATTATTTAGAGCATTGGAAACGATACAGAGGAAAGAGTGAGTTTAGGAAGTACATATGCCACGTCATAAACAAAAATTTCAGATATACTAGCGAAATATTTTTCATTCTCCCAAACGAATTGAAAGATAAATTGAAGACTTTGCAAATAACAGATTATGGTTTATCTCTAAACTCATTGGAGCAAGTTATTCTAACTCTCAGTGAACAAATCGGGACCAATGAAACTAATGGAATTGTGAATCAGAATCACGAATTTGAAACGACGAAATTCGAAAATTTGCTTGAAAATCAATCAGAACTTCCGGAAAAGACGGGAATATCTCTAATGATTTCGCAAACCTCGGCGATTTTCCGCAAAAAATATTTATACACAAGAAGAAGATGGAGCCAATTGATTGGTCAATTATTCCTCCCACTTTTGATTATTGGATTGATTTGGCTGATTGTGAGAGTAAAAATCCATCAAAAACTCGCGTCAGATATGTTTGAAAAAGGCTACAATTTGGAGGAATTCTCGCCGGCAGTTGTTGTTTGGAAAGCGGATAAAGATTCGCTGTCCGAACATCTTTTGAAAATTATAAAAATTGTGGATAGAGTTTCGGGCTTTGATTGTCAATATGATGAGAAATCGGAGTTGTTGAATATAGCAGGAGAATTATACGGAAAAATTCCACCTCTTTTATTCGGCTTCACTGAGAATACAACTCTTTTCAATTATCAAAATCAGCATATTCTACCAGCTCTGATTTCTTTGAACAACCAGGCAAGATTATTGGAAGAAAAAGCTTCAACAATCGAATGTCGAATAAATTTATATATGGAAAATAAATACAAAATCGATTTTGCTGATTCAACATCGGAAAGTGTTCTTTCTGGATTCTTCCTTGTTATTTTCTCATTGGTCACTTCATCTTTTGTTATATTTTTAGTCGAGGAGAAGGTTTCAAAATTCGCCCATCAACAATTATTAACTGGAATCTCACCAATAACATTGTATGTGACTTCAATGATTTTCGATTTTCTAGAATTTTCCGCAATTTGCTCTATATTTTTGATATTTTTCTATCTATTCGATTTCCTATTGGAACACTTAACAAAGTGAGTTTTACTTAGAAATTCGAAGAAAGTTTCGAAAAAAAAATATTTTCAGCATTATTCTATTCTGGTTTCTATATTTCATATCAAATGTTCCATTCATTTACATCATTTCACAATATTTTAAATCACCTTCAAAGGCTCGAGTTTTCCTAGTCATTTGGCAAATCTTCATTCCTGCAGCATTAATAATTCTTATATATTTTGTAATCGATTCAACCCGCGGCGGAAGGTATTTAACACCAAGATCAGAGTTTTTTGGCTTCGTTAAATTATTTTTAGAGGTAAATATTCACAATTAGCAATTATGTAGAAAAAATCATGATGTTTCCAGTGTATTTTCTCATTTTTCGTGCCATCTTTCTCGTTTGGTACCATTCTACTCGAATTTATAGATAATGGAATGTACAATTATTTTTACATGGAAGTGCGAAGATTTATAATTTCAATGGTATTATTCTCAATTGCATCATCAATTGTTTTCATTGCTTTGCAATTCAAAACAATTCGAAAATATTTGTCGAATAAATTCTCATCTGGCAAAATTGGAGGGGAAAATGAGCGAAGGAGTGATTTAGATATATCGGATTCTGTTGTTTTAGAAAAACAGAAGGCTGAAAATGCAAATGCTATGGATTATTCTTTAGTCGTGAAGGTAACTTATTAAAAATTGCAAAAACAAGAAAAAACTAGAAATGAAACATAAAAAACCACGCTGCATGAGAAAACGTTCAATTTTCTTCATTTTCAAATTATTATCGAAAATCTCATCGGTACCACGCGCTCCACCGAAATAACACACACGAATCAAAAGTGATCCAAAATGGTATAATAATGCATCCATTAACTTCAGAAAAATGGGAGCCATTATGTACCTCAAAACCATAACAAAAAGGATCCATAATGGATCCATAAATTCTATGGGGTAAAAATGGATCCTTTTTGAATTCAAAAAGCATACATTTTTCTAAAAAATAAGTATGCAAAATGAATCATTTTTGCGTAGTTTTTTTTCGTTTGAATTGGTGGAAAGCTGCGATTAATTCATTTATTTTCAAAGAACAAAAATGAAAAAAAAACAAATTGCTCGTGAAGTTGCAGGGTGGGGTCCAATTAGATTGTTGAGGTAGAATTTTTGAGGAAGGGGACTTTGAAAAACCAACTTGTGGATTGGGAGTTTCCGGAAAACCATTGCATGAAATCGCTGTTTCCTTGATTCCAAAAGCGCATGGCCTCCTGGCTCATTTTGGACTTGTCCTCTTTTTTTGATCCCTGTAAATAAAAAATGATACACTACAGGTTTCAATTTTTTTTATTTAAAATTTTCAATTTCTCACAGGGGGATGTGTGAGCAGTCTCCAGAGTTTTTCACGCTGAGAAAGATTCCGTTTTAAGTCTTTGCTGCAGGACTCTCTGACAGTACAAAAATGAGCCAAATTTGAGAATTTCTGAAAAAGCTCTTTGGAGAGTCCCGCAGCAAAAACAAAAACTGTACAGCAACATATATGTATAATTGAAAACCTCCAGGGAGCAAAAAACTCACTCTAGTAAGTGCGCACATTGATTGGCTTTGTCGGTGGCTTCCTTGGTAGTGGCTCACCATTCTGATGACTGACATCCAGTAAGTCATGCGGCGGGGGTTCAGGATTTCGAGAAGACTGAAATCGAATAAATTGAAATTGGGTTTAGATTTTGAAACGAACCGCTTTTTTGAAAAAAATGTACCATCAATACGTTGCTTCGCGGCAGACCCACGAGTTTTTGGAGGCATTTATGTTCAAACCTGATGCTGAAAAATCAAAATTAATAGCGTAGCAGAGCTGAAGGGATCGTAGAAATATAGTGAAGAAAGCGAAAGAAAATAAGAACGCAACAATGAACAAATCACACAATCACGAAAACTCAATTGAACACACCCACAGGTGGAGAGAGGTTTTTGGTCAAAATTTGGCCCAAACTTGAATAATTTTTGTTTAGAAATTGGTCAATTTTTGACCAAAAACCCGATTGGTACGAGTTTGACCAAAGATTGGGCAATCTCCCTCCACCTGTGGCCACAGACATTCACAACAAAAATAGATTACTAGAGAGAAAGGTCAAAACAAGAAAAAACGAAAGCGGAGTGAACCAATATCTACAGCTCAAATCAAAACTCTCAATATTACGCAGTTTTATCATGCCTCAGAGATTCGCTGGCCAGCTCACCACTAGATCAAGACCACGTGGCCAGAAAGTTCAAAAAGGACTGAATTTGATTGATCAAATCGATTCGGCAACCAGGTCGCCTTGCATTTTCAGGCGACGTGGTCTCAAATCTTTGTCACCCAGAAAGGCTGTTTGAATTCACAACAGTCATTTTTTCTGTTTTTTCTCATCTAATGGTTTCAAATACTCATTAAAAACAGAAAATAAGTCATATTTTTAAAAAATGCTCCAAATCACAAGTTTTTCGGAATTTTTTCTCTCACGCGAGGTCGGCTCGAGGTGGACAACCTGGGCGATGTGGGCTGTATGAACTGTCCGAACTTACGGCCACGTCGTCTTGCAAAAAAACCCGGGCCATGTGGTTGTCCATGTCAATTTTAGATTGGTAGTCGATCCCACCTAGTAGCCAGCTGGCCAGCGAATCTCTGAGGCACAAAAAACAAAATAAAACATGAAAAACATAGAAAAACGCCGAAAAAACACAATAATTTCGAAAATGAAAAATTAATTGGAAGAATACGCCCATGTGGATTTCTCTTCCACGGCCATCTAATAATGGATGCATTATGGTTACTTCTCAAAATTCTCAAAGAAAAATAATGGATGCATTTTTATTCTCATAAAGGATGCATTTTTTCTCGCGTTTAATTTTAAGGGATACAAATTGTTTGCTATTAGTATGCAATATTTTTTTATATCCATTATGGATCAGTCAAGATTTCCCTGTGAAACACGCAACGCAGACCGCGTCGCGCCACAACACACACAAAAAAGGGAACGATTCAAATTCCCTCCCTTTTTTGTGTGTGTTGTGGCGCGACGCGGTCTGCGTTGCGTGTGATTTTCGATAATACACAAAAATTGACTCGTCGCTGCGAGACCTTCCACAAAAGGTACGGTAACACACAAATCAGCTGTGTGTTTCTTTCAAAAACTAGATTTTGATAAGGTAGTCTAACTTTTTTCCATTTTTATCGATTTTTTTCAATTTTTCCGAAATCCCTCCCCAAAAAACTCACCAATCGCTTCAAATCACAAAAAAATCATCGAAAATTCGAAAATCCCGCTTCAAATTCAACCAATAATCGTTCTCCTCACATCATTTCGACCCTGAAAACTCAAAAATTTCAATTGAAACAATGTTTCTCTAGAAAAACCCACCTTTCTTCGATAATCCTCGGATTTTCCATTTCCAGCATTGTAGAACATCTGAAAAATGCAATTTTTGACTGAAATCCACTGATTTGCCCCGAAAACTGAAAACCCAGCGAAAAAAAAAACGAAAAAGGAGAAAATTCTCGTGTTTCGCTAAACAGCGGGCAAGCGGAGTGTCGTTGTACTTAAAAGGGAGAGATTTTGCAGAACCTCACCAAAAAATTCGGCAATTTCACAGCATTGGATAATTTGAGTTTGGCTATTTCGTCAAATGAATGTTTCGGATTATTGGGAGTGAATGGATGTGGAAAAACAACGACTTTCGATATTTTGACGGGATATTCTTTTGCAACAAGTGGAGAAGCGAAAATTGGCGGGAAAGATGTGACTGACAGAATTGTGAGTTATCCTATCTTTTCTGAAATTTTCTGAAACTAAACATATATTTTTCATATAGGGTATTGGATATTGCCCGCAATTTGATTCGATTCTTTTGGACTTAACTGGTCGAGAGATTTTAGAAATTCTTGGAAAAATGCATGGATTTAGAAATTATCAACAAAAGGCTGAAATTATCCTTGAAAGCATTGGAATGCAAAAACAATCAAATAAATTATGCAGATATTATAGTGGAGGACAAAAACGAAAGATTTCAATTGGAATCGCACTTTTATCAACAAATTCAATGATAATATTAGATGAACCAACTGCTGGAATTGATCCAAAAGCGAGAAGAGAAATATGGGAATTATTGATTTGGTCGAGACAACAACAAAATGATGGAAATAGTGCAATTATGTTAACATCACATTCAATGGATGAATGTGAAGCATTATGTTCAAGAATTGCTGTATTGAATCAGGGAAAATTGATTGCTATTGGAAGTAGCCAAGAATTAAAATCATTATATGGTAATAATTATACAATGACTCTAACTTTAAATGATTCACAAGATCGGGAAAATATTGTGAATTCGGTCAAAAATCAGATTCCTGGTGCAATTCTACGAACTCCAGAATCCAACAAAACATTGAATATAGTTTGGCTTATCCCGAAAAATCTCGAAGACAAATGGTCGGATAAATTTGAAATGGTACAAAATCTAGCAAGACAATTGAATGTGAGCTTAGGGAAATCAATCAATTAAAAAAAATTAATTCAAAATTAATTCCAGGTCAAAGACTACATTCTAGCACAATCATCATTGGAAGAAACATTCCTCAGATTAGCCGGTGTCAATCAAGAAAATGTTTAAGTTTTCATTATTATATTAGATACATTATTATTCTGAAAAATAATCATAACTGAAATATTCTTGAGGTGTCTGCTGTCATTATTGATTCATCAAAGATTTGCTCTTTCGATTCGTTTGAGGTTTCTTGGCGAAGTTGACCGTCGAAACGAGGATTCTGAAAAAAATTGTGTTTGAATTCCCGCCACACACACTGCGACGGCGTCGTCAATGCGGAGCATCGTTGTTTTATTTTTATTTTTTTGTTTTTTTTTCGGCAAAAATGTTTTTTCTTGTTTTTGGCGCGTTTGCACTTTTTCCTTGCGATTTTCTTGTGTGAAATAGAAGAATTAGATGCTAGCTTTGTTTAGAACTTGAAATTTTCACAAAAAATTCAAATTTCTCTGATGAAAATCATGAAAAAACCTACCTCCTGAAGTTCTTTCCTAACTGTTTCATCCAAATCCTCTTTATTTGTCCATTTTGAAGATAGCATCATATCAGGTGTTCCCTAGAATAAATTTACTTGTTAAATTAAAGAAAATTTTGAATTTACCGCGAAAATCGACTCTTTTTCCTCTCGAAACCCATCTACGCTAGACTGTGTGGTTGGCGCAAGTCCACCATTTTGCCATTTACAAATATTGAGTTCCGGATGATCTCGGCATATCCGCCATTTTGAAAAAACCGGTTTTTTCGATGAATTTCGCGGGAGATGTCGCTAAAAACGTTAATTTTTAGGATAAAAATGCGCTCCACCGAAATAAACACGCAACGCATACCGCGTCGCGCCACAACACACACAAATAAGGGAATTTTGTGTGTGTTGTGACGCGGCGCGGTCTGCGTCGCGTGTTTATTTCGGTGGAGCGCGTGGTGATAATATTTGGTTTACCTTCCACTCACAAATCGCCAAACTCTCATCCAAATTACACAACTTTTTCAATAATCTTTTGGGCACCAGGTTCCATCTGGCTGGAATATTGTCTTCAGTTAGGAAAAGCGATGGAAATGTGACTAGAAATAATAGACCTAGTTTCATCTGAAAATTAAAATCCATATCGAAAATCTCATCGGTACTCCACGCGCTCCACCGAAATAAACACGCAACGCAGACCGCGCCGCGCCACAACACACACCTTTGTGTTGTGGCGCGACGCGGTCTGCGTTGCGTGTTTATTTCGGTGGAGCGCGTGAGATTTTCGATAATATTTAGAGAAAAAAACAAAATTTTCTGAGGACAAAAAACCGGCAAAACAAGAAATTGTTTTTAGATAGATAGGAGAGGGTGAGAATACAAAGAGCAAATACTCGAAAAACAAACAACTGTTTTCGGAAACAACTGAATATCTAAAATAATGGCGAAAAAAAGTTGTGGGGCGAATAAGAAACAATAGAAATTACACAGGGGCGACGTAACCTTGACGAATTTTGAGGCAAACTAAACTATTTATGATAACTACATATGAAAAACCAACATTTATTATAATAATGTGACTAAAAAACAAAACATGCTTGGTATCATATAAGTGGAACGAAGAAAGAACATATTATTATTATAATAATAATAACAAAATAAAAATACATTAAACATTAGGAGGCTAATAGTTTTTTTCTTCTTCTGAAAATTGAAGCGCGTTGTGTAACAATAATTATCATGAATAAGCTATCAAGTGTTCAGAAAATGATTAGTTTATGAAGAAAAAAAAACAGATAGCTTTTCAAAACATGGGGAAATGTAGGGAATTTTTTAAAAAGTCTAGACTTGGATTTTATGAAAAATTCGGTGAAAAAACACGAAAATGTCACGTTTTTATAGCGAAAAATCTGTTTTCATCAAAGCAATTATAGTTTTCCAATTTGCCACGTCATAGTTCACGTGCCTGTTGTAAAATTATTTGAATTTCCCAGATAATTTCAGATTTTGTATGACAAACTGGTTGAATTTGAAAGTTTTTCAGACAAATCCTGAACTCTTGAGTATTAAAGGTTCAGGATTTGTCTGAAAAACTTCCAAATTTAACCAGTTTGTCATACAAAATCTGAAATTATCTGGAAATCTCAAATATTCATCAAGTCACGTGGACTATGACGTGGCAAATTAGAAAACTATAATTGTTTTGATGAAATCAGATTTTTGGCCATAAAACGTGACCTTCTCGTGTTTTTCCACGTCATTTTCAGTTGCAAATGACCAAAATCCAGATTTTTCCAGAGAAATGTCGTATTTCAACTATGCCTACACCAAAGATGAGAAGGTAAGAATGGATTTTTAAAGAAGAAAAAAAACAATTTTCGATTTTCAGGACACTTTAATCTACACGGATGAAATGGACAACTCGTTCTTCACATTTCGACCAGCAAAATCCAGCAAAGAGTTCAATGTGTTGAATTTTTGGATGGTTGCCAATTTTGTTTTTGCGATTTTTATCATTCTTTTTGCAAGTTCGGTTTCGCAGGAGTTGTTCATGTTTTTGGTGAGATTTTTTGAACAAAACTTGCCACGTCATAGCTCAAGTTCAGCGCTGACAAGGGAACTGTTTTCACTCTAGATTTTTAATGAAATCTATGTTTTCTAGAAGTTTTCGATCACGATTTGAAAATTGCAGAGCTCAAATCTTAACATGCGTTATCATTTGTAAGTGGCAAAGTTCGAAAATTTCAAAAAATCGAGATTTCGGAAGCAAATCTGCATAGGATTTTTTGAAATTTTTTGAACTTTACCACTTACAAATGATAACTCATGTTAAGATGCAATTTTCAGACGGCGAAATCGTGGATCGAAAACTACTAGAAAACATAGATTTCATTAAAAATCTATAGTGAAAGTTGAAATCTTGTGAGAAAAGCATGAGAAATTTCTGCAGATTCTCTTCGAGAGCGTTCTCTTCGCCTTGATTCTGATCGACAATCCAACCGGCTATGCAATCCATTTATTCTATCAAATCTACATGACACTCTTCTTCATTTTTCTCCTCACAAAACGTGCCAGTTTTTCGCCGGTTAATTTCAATTTTCTCCCGCACGATTCCGAAGCCGAAATTAATGTTATTTTCTATTTTGCCATGGGTGAGTTGAGGTTTTGTCTTCAAAATTTCCCTTTTTCTCATTTCCAGCCATGTCGATTCGATTGATCGCAAGTCTCCTTGCTATGCTAAACATCTATGATTTGCTCTAATAATTTTTTGTTGTTGATATGGGAAAAAAGGATTTTTGTAAGTATATCACAAGATCTTATCTATCTATGCTCGCGAACCAAAACATTTTTTGATTGGAAAATGTTACAGCAGCGATTTTTTTTCGTTTTTTCGTTCATTTTTCGTTTTTTTTCCTTAGAATCCAAGTTTTTTTCCAGATAAAAAATGAAAATCATGCATTTGAACCAGAAACTTAGGACTAACAAGAAAGTGGTGAGAACCAAGTTATCCTAACTCCTATGACATAAATTTCCAGATCGAACCTGTAAATTGCTGCAATATCCCAATAACCCATGCCGTTTTCATCTTCCAATCCTTGATTATCATCCTATTTCTCACCTGCGCAATCTCAACTCTCAATGGAACTTTCTACCTAGTTGGGGTAAGTTCGGATATATCACGAAAACTTCTCAACATAGATATTCTAGGCGCTCATTCAAATTCTGATTACCATTGGTTTCACCTTCGAGATTCTTCGCTTCATTGTTTTTCATATTTTCTTGCAAACCCTTGGAAGTGTCACTGCTGGCTATGTTTTTTGCAGTCTTTTCTTTAGATGTGGGTTCTAGTGTGTGGGTTTTTTTTAATTTTCAAAGTTTTACAGATAACTACGATCCATCATTTTCTCGCGACTTCCCAGAAATCACAGATGTTCACATTTGGATCTTCGCAGTTCTATTGATCGGTGAGTTAGTTGTTAGTGTACTTATAGATCTCCCCGAATTGTGATTTCAGCAAATTCTTACTACATGAAATTGATCCATGATCTCTACGACTTCCTTGAAGAAAAACATGAGAGAGCTCAAGAAATCGCTGAAATCGAAAAATGTGTTGTCTAGTAGATAATTGTGATTTCTTCGTTGCGCAAAAAAATCTAGTTGTGAATCTCATTTTTTTCCATTTTAGAGGTTGCATTAGATCTTCCTTTTGATACTTTTTTCAAAAAGTTACATTTAGTTTCTAAATTTTATGATTTTCCAGGTTAAAAATGCCCTCTTTCGATTGTACGTTGAAAATCGATAAGGTATGAATCTTACCGTAAGATTGGTGAATTTGGTACTAGCCTAGGCTAGTACGCCTATAAAATTACAATTTTCAGGACGAGCCTCGAACTTTCTGGAGAATCCCAATTAGTGTTGCCATTTTGTTGGTTCAAGTTTCGGTTGTTGGATTTTTCGTGCACATGGCTTGTGCAAACCCGCGAGTGATTATAGAGAACCTGTGTTTTGTACGTTTCACACTCCGAATAGGAAGATCTAGATTTCACGAAATTTCAGGGTGCCATCCAAGTCGCCATTTCGATTTGCTTCATCACAAACTTCTATTACGCGATTCTTCTTCACTTTGTTGCGCAAGTTTGTGGTTTGGTTATTGGATTTTTCGTTTTTGTGCAATTCTTCATAGGTGAATTAGAAAATCTTGTTCTTTTTAATTAAAAATTCAAAAGTTTTTCAGTGGAGGCTGGAAGATGGAACGAATCTGAAACGAAAGTGGTAAAATCCAATGTCGCTGTGATTTTTGTGATTTGTGAGTTTTCCATGGATAAAATTACAAAATAGAATTCTACCTTCTGCAGATTACATCTTCTACATGAATCTCGTCTACAAACTCGTGGTTTATCTCAAGAATAAACGCGAATCTGCTGCAAAGCAAATTGAACCAACCGCCCCTTCTGTAAATATGGAGGAGTCCAAGTTTTTCAATAATTTTTGAATCTATCTATCTATCATATTTTTTTACATCTTGTCAAATAAATTCTGTATAATTTAATGTGTTTTTTCTTGAAATCTTATGGGTTTAAAGTGAACCTAATTGTAAGTATAAATATTTTCATTTCGTCAGAATTTCCATAATTTTTCTGTTTAGAGAGCATTAATGCCAACTTTTAATTTCTCACTGAACATTAATCCGGTAAGAGTTCCCAGATCAAAAAAAAAATCACTAAAAGCAAAGAATTTTTGAGAATGAGCCAAGAACATTCTGGAAATTACCAGTGACCACCGCAATTTTATTCATTCAAATATCAATTATCCTATTTTTCGTTGGCTTGGCATTCGAATTAAAACGCTATGAAATTGCGTTGTTGGTAAGTTCGAATTTCAGATTTTCAGACAAAAAAAACAATTTTTTGTTTAAATAGAGCGCAGTTCAATTGATCATCACATTATTCTTCATATCCGATTTGTATTATGTGATTTTGGTGCATTTTTGTGCGCAGATTTTCGGATTTCTTGGGCTGGTTTTGTGGTTTTTTGATGCTATTTGGAGAAGTGAGTTTTTGTTTTTAATTTTGAAGAAAAACTGGCGAAAAATTTCCCAGGTTTAGACAAACTCCTGATTTTTCCAGTCGGAATCCGAAAATCTGAAGCCACCAACATCGAGATCTTCACCGCCTGGTACATGACAATCATCGGAATCTTCTATATTTATTACATGGATCTCGTCTACCAAAACATTTTATTCATCGAAAAACAACGAAAAGCTGCAAATCTTCGAAGATCCGCTCCACACAATTGTAATAATGCTTGAAAAGTTTTAATTTTTCTCATTTACTCAATAATAATTATACTTATGCTAACTCGTTGTTTTTTTGTGTGGTGGAAAAGAGTTTTGAAAATGCTCTTGAATATATATCTAAGAATTTTTTGATTTTCAGAAATCTGAAAGATTAAAATGGTTTTTAGATGCCAACTGTCAATCTGGCTATAAATATCGATCCGGTGGGTTTTTCTGGAATTCCCGAAAATTTTTGAGCTTATGGTGTTAATCTTCAATTCTACATTAATTTTTTCAGAATGAACCTCGAACATGTTGGAGAATCCCAACATCAATCGCAATCTACATTTTCCAAGCCTCCCTGATTCTATTGATTATTGGAATAGCTGTTGGCTATGAACTTCCAGGTTTGCTGATTTTGGCACTCGTCCAATTGCTCATTTCTGCACTTTTTGCCATGAACTTCTACTATGCGATTTTGGCTCATTTTATTGCTCAGATTATTGGTTTAGGATATCTGCTTATTTTCTTCGTTTGGTATATTTGTATCAGTAAGTTGCATTCATTAATCGAAATTCAAAACTAAACTTTTCAAAATCCATCGTAATAATTTTCAGTGAGCCGACCTGTCGTAACAATTGATGCGTTAAAAGACAACATATTCTGGCTCATCGTGATCTTCATCATCTTATTCTTCCACATTTTCTACATGAATCTCGTCTTTCAACATTTGCATCATTTGACCAAAACCAAAACTCTCGATCAACTTCAGCCAACTCAGTTTTTGTCGCATCAGCGACTTCGACCACTTCAGCGCCTTCACAATAACAGCCGTTGGGAGATTTGAGAAGGGTTTATGAATATTTACCCACAGATGTCAGATGACTTGTGTATATGTATAAAAACCTTGGAAATTTTTGAAAATACAGATTTTTATTTATTAATTTTTATCTTGTTACTCAATTCTTTTTTCAAAAATACTGTTTGAATCTTGTTATAAAATAATATTTTTTGCTATTTTTTTGAAATACCTTTTTCAAATGAGGTCTTTGAATCTCTGTATAAGTAGATATTTCTGAAAAAAATTTCACAGGTTCAATCAAAAACTTAAATTCAGCCCAGAGATGACGCAAATTCGCTCCAATGACAACTCGTTTCGATCGATGATGAATCGATTTTCGATGTATTGGATTCAGGCGACGATTTTTGCGCTGTTCATTGCGTTGGCTGTTTCGTATGGTGACCCGAGAATTTTGATTGGGGTGAGATTTTGAAAAATTGCTGAAATCCTAGCTGAAAATGCATTTTTTCGCGAAAATTCATGAAAATTGGATTTTTGCCTCAAAAAAAGCAGCTAAAAATTATATTTTTGCTGAAAAAAACGCGAAAATTCATGAAAAATAGCTATTGCTCATGTTAGTCTTTCCAATTTCCCCTGAATTACCCTAAATTTAGTAAAAACGTGTGAAAACCTGATTGCTCATGTTAGTTTTTTCTCTGAAAAATGGCATTTTTCTTGAAAAATGCCCAAAATTTCATGATTGCTCATATTAAACCCATTTCCCCCAAAAATCTCTGGAAAAATGTATTGCTCATGTTAATTTCCCACTGGAAAACCCAGTTTTCCCTCAAATCATCCAAATCCTATGATTGCTCATGTTAATTTCATCCAAAACACTGAAAACTGCGTGTTTTCCCTCCAAAAACTTCAAAGGCGCACACATTTTTCACCCGGTTGGGTCTCGCCACGCCGTGTGTTTCACGCGAAATTCAAAATTTTGTTTTTGGGATTTTTTCGCGGGTTTTTTTTGAGAAAAGGTAGATTAATTTCGAAAAAATCACATTTTTTTTCCAGTCAGTCGTTCAAATCGCCATCACTTCAATGTTCATGTTGGATATTTTGCCAGCAATTGTGATTCATTCGATTTTCCAATGGATTCTGCTGATTTATACCAGTCTTCTGCACACTGTCAGGATTTTTAATTGTGAGTTTTTTGGGTTGAAAATTTGAAGATTGTGGGATTTTTTGGGGAAAAAATGAGCTAAAATGAGCTATTTTAGCTGAAATTTTGGAAAATTTGAATTTTCTATCATTTTCAATTTCAAAAGTGCTCCTAAATTTTCTATTTTTTAAATATTAAACGTGACCTATGACGTGGCAAATCATTTTTAGAATGTAAATTTAGAATTTTAGCTTCAAAACAAGCTAGAATTGCAGAAAATTAAAGATTTCTGTCCAAAAAATCAATATTTTGGCCGAAAAAAGGTTAAAAAATTCCCCAAAATCCCCAATTTTCCAGTAGCCGATACGAAAAATCTGGAAATCCTCGAAATCCAACAAAACAATTGGGCCACAATCGCCCTGATTCTCTACCAAATCTCGGGAAAAATACGGCACCTTTTTAGCACCGAGGCGACAAAAACTGCCGAGGAGTTTTGGCCGCCCCGGTGCTAAAAAGGTGCCGAAATTACGGCACCTTTGTAGCGCCGAGGCGACATTTTCATGAAAAATCCATTATTTTACCATACAAATGACTCTTGTTCTCTTTTCATCGAAATTTTCCGCACTAAAAATGTAGCAAGCGTGTCCGAGTGGATAAGAGGATGGGTTGTCATTGTTTTGACCCAAGTTCGATGCCCCTTTCCCGCACCTTTTTTCATTTTTTTCGTCTCACTGGCGCACCATTTTAGCGCCGGTGCGTCTCTTCGCGCGCCGTTTTAGCGCCGGTGCGTTCTCTCTGCGCACCTTTTTAGCGCCGAGGCGAGAGCACTTCCCGCCTTGGCGCCCCAGAATGTCGCCTTAGCGCCCCAGGATGTCGCCTTGGTGCCGTATTTTTCCCGAGATGTTCTATTTGAAAAGTGTTATGGAACACATTATTTTTGTCCAAAATCAACGCGAAAATGGGGAAGATTTTGATGGAAATTGCGAAAAAACCCGATTGTTTGATGATGTGTAGGGACCTGAATTTAATTTTTTTCTGTTATTTTTGCTCTTTTTTGTGTTGTAACAATGATATAATTCCTGTAATTTTTATCGATTTTTTCTTGAAGTCAGTGAGTTCAGGTAACTCTAGAATATCTCATATTTCCTCTCCCTAAAGATTTTTTAACCAGATTTTTCAGATGACTAACAACTACCAAACTGAATCGGTATGTTTATCTGAAATTTGAAATTTTTTCGAAAAAATTATATTTTTCAGTATGCGTTGAAGTCGAACAGAAATCAATTGCTCTTGAACAATTTTTGTGTTTTCGGTATACAAATGTCATGTTTCATGTTTTTCTGTCGTGAATCTTATAATCAGAAAAGTGTCATGTTTTTGACTTTTGTGAGTTTTAAAATTGAAAAACATAATTTTTCACAAGACAATTTTTTCAGGCCCTGATCCAAGCTATGATTTCGACCATGTTTGTTCTTCGAAACGAAATATGCATCGCATTTCATCACAAACTTCAATCATATCTTTTTCACTATACGTGTTTTATCATTTTGATAAAGTGTATTGGATGTAAGTTTGAACTGGCTCAAATGATGAGCACAATTTTGAAAAGCTTCGAAAAATTCAATATAACTTCTTCTGTGTTTCAGATGCGTACGCAAAGAACTTCGACATCTTCCCGTATTTTGTACAAGAACCGGACTACGCTCTCATTTTGGTTGTACAATTCTATTACACTGACTGCGTTCGCGATTATTTCAAACAAAAATTGTATTTTACTACCCAGAAAACTTGGCGCTTTTTTTAAAGATCTTGGGAATGGGACCACTTGTTAAACTTTTTGTTATTTGTTAAAAATTTAATTTTTTTAAATTCGTTTTGTTTGTTGAATTAGTTTTTTCATGAGTTATTGAAAAACTCTAGGGTATCTCTCAAATCTTCACTTTTTCTCAAAAATTTTTCACAAAATTTTCCAGATGACTAACAACTACCAAACTGAATCGGTATGTTTATCTGAAATTTTCAGATTTCCAAAAAAAAAATAATTTTTCAGTTGAAGAAAATGCGATTGCTCATCAACTTCATTTTGCTTGGCTGGATTCAATTATCGATTTTGTTGCTTTTTGGCCTTGTAGCTTACGGATTGGAGAGTTTCAAGTTTATGATTTTGGTGAGTTTCTGAGTTAAATTTTGGCGGGAAATTCAAAATTTCATGTTTCTGGGCTTAAAATTATCGATTTTCCATGAAAAATGGCGCAAAATCCACCAAACATGATGAATTTGGGCTCATTTTCAGCTAAAAATTTGAATTTTTCAAGTTTCCGGGGTCAATTTTGGCGGGAAATTCAAATCTACACTCAAAATTATCGATTTTTGATGAAAAAAGGTCATATTGCTCATGTTAAACCTCAAAAGAGCGCATTTGCCAATTTTCAGCAAAAAATTTGAATTTTTCAAGTTTCCCGGGTCAATTTTGGCGGGAAATTCAAATCTACACTTGAAATTATCGATTTTTTTTTTGAAAATTAGGTCATATTGCTCATGTTAAACCTCAAAAACCTCCAATAGAGCGCGATTGCCAATTTTCAACTAAAAATTTGAATTTTTCAAGTTTCCGGGCACAATTTTGGGGGGAAATTCAAAATTTCAAGTCTACACTTGAAATTATTGATTTTTCATGAAAAAAGGACATATTGCTCATGTTAAACCTCAATAGAGCTCATTTGCCAATTTTCAACTAAAAATTTGAATTTTTCAAGTTTCCGGGGTCGATTTTGGCGGGAAATTCAAATCTACACTTGAAATTATCGATTTTTAATGAAAAATAGGTCATATTGCTCATTTTAAACCTTAAAAACCTCAATAGAGCGAATTTGCCAATTTTCAGCTAAAAATTTGAATTTTTCAAGTTTCCCGGGTCAATTTTGGCGGCGGGAAATTCAAATCTACATTTGAAATTATTGATTTTTGATGAAAATAGGTCATATTGCTCATGTTAAATTCTAAAAACCCCACAATTTCTCAATAGAGCGCATTTGCCAATTTTCAGCAAAAATTTGAATTTTCCAAGTTTCCGGGGTCAATTTTGGTGGGAAATTCAAATCTACACTTGAAATTATTGATTTTTAATGAAAAATGGGTCAAAATTGATGAATTTGGGCTCATTTTCAACCAAAAAATATATTTTTCAGGCTGCAATCCAAGTTTTCATCTCAATCATGTTCATTTTCCAACAAAAATCATTCGTCTCAATTCATTACACGGCTCAATTGATTCTCCTCGTCTATTCCTTGATTATTATTTTGATCAAGATATTTGGAGGTTAGTGTTCACGCGCTCCACCGAAATAAACACGCAACGCAGACCGCGTCGCGCCACAACACACACAAAAAAAGGAGGGAATTTGAATCGTTCCCGTTTTTGTGTGTGTTGTGGCGCGACGCGGTCTGCGTTGCGTGTTTATTTCGGTGGAGCGCGTGGTACCGATGAGATTTTCTGCAGGAATCTCCACGAGCTCCTTCGACATTTTCCAACTTGTCTTCTGCTCCGGAACCAACGATCTCATCATCTTCGTCCAAATCTTCTACTTCTCATGCGTCATTCAATATCTCGAATTCCTCACCGAAAAATCGGAGAAAAAATCGGAAAAAACCAAGATTTTCCAATTTGTCTAACTCTTTCTTGTTATTTTTGTTATTGTTAAATTTTGTAAATGTTTTTTTTTGTTGAAAAATCTAAGAGTTCTTGAAACTCTGAAATACCTTAAGCTTCTTCTATTTAATTAAAAAGTTTTTTTTTGAAATTTTATTTTAGGTACCATCTAAAAATGGCTAATAATAATAATATCCAATCAGATTCGGTGAGTTTTTTTTTATTTTTCAAAATTATCGATTTTCAAATGAAAATTGGCTAAAAAATCAACAAATTGCTCATCAAATCTTCACTTGAAATTATCTATTTTTCATGAAAAATAGGTCATATTGCTCATGTTAAACTCTAAAAACCCCACAATTTCTCAATAGAGCGAATTTACCAATTTTCAGTTAAAAATTTCAAATTTTCAAGTTTCCGGGGACAATTTTGACGGGAAATTCAAAGCTACACTTAAAATTATCGATTTTTCATGAAAAATAGGTCATATTGCTCATGTTAAACTCTAAAAGTGTCCGAAAACCTTCAATAGAGCGCATTTGCCACTTTTCCGCTAAAATTTTGAATTTTTCGAGTTTCCGGGGTCAATTTTGGCGGGAAATTCAAATATACACTTGAAATTATCGATTTTTGATGAAAAATAGGTCATATTGCTCATGTTAAACTCTAAAAACCCCACAATTTCTCAATAGAGCGCATTTGGCAATTTTCAGCTAAAAATTTGAAATTTTCAAGTTTCCGGGGTCAATTTTGGCGGGAATTTCAAATCTACACTTGAAAATTATCGATTTTTCATGAAAAATAGGTCAAAAATCAATAAATTGCTCATGTTAATCCTGAAAATCAATTTTTAATTAGCAGATCCCGTTGAAGAAGTTTCGATTGAAGCTCGATGAATTCTTGATTTTCACATGTCAATTCTCGATTTTCTACACATTCGTCGCTGAAAACATCAAGAGTCACAAATTTTTGATTTTTGTAAGTTCAATTTCAGCAAAAAACTACTGAAAATAAATATTCAGGCACTCATCCAAGCTTTCATTTCTGTAATGTTTATTCGTCAAAAGGCTGTGTTCATTATTACTCATTTTCTCGTCCAACTTTTGATTTTCCTCTACACGATAATTCTGAATTTGTTCAGCATTTGGTTTGGATGTGAGTTTTTCTGGATGAAAAATCGATAATTTTAGGTCTGGAAACTCGAAATTTTGAATTTCCCGCCGCCAAAATTGACCCCGGAAACTTGAAAAATTCAAAATTCTAGCTGAAAATTGCCAAATGCGCTCTATTGAGAAATTGTGGGGTTTTTAGAGTTTAACATGAGCAATATGACCTTTTTTCATCAAAAATCGATAATTTCAAATGTAAATTTGAATTTCCCACCAAAATTGACCGCGGAAACTTGAAAAATTCAAATTTTCAACTGAAAAATTGGCAAATGCGCTCTATTGAGAAATTTTGGGGTTTTAGAGTTTAACATGAGCAATATGATCTATTTTTCATGAAAAATCGATAATTTCAAGTGTAGATTTGAATTTCCCGCCGCCAAAATTGACCCCGGAAACTTGAAAAATTCAAATTTTTAGCTGAAAGTTGGCAAATGAGCTCTATTGAGAAATTGTGGGGTTTTTTAGAGTTTAACATGAGCAATATGACCTATTTTTCATGAGAAATCGATAATTTCAAATGTAGATTTGAATTTCCCGCCAAAATTGACCCCGGAAACTTGAAAAATTCAAATTGTTAGCTGAAAATTGGCAGATGCGCTCTATTGAGAAATTGTGGGGTTTTTAGAGTTTAACATGAGCAATATGACCTATTTTCATGAAAAATCGATAGTTTCAAATGTAGATTTGAATTTCCCGCCAAAATTGACCCCGGAAACCTGAAAAATTCAAAATTTTTAGCTGAAAATTGGCAAATGCGCTCTATTGAGAAATTGTGGGGTTTTTAGAGTTTAACATGAGCAATATGACCTATTTTTCATAAAAAATCGATGATTTCAAATGTAGATTTGAATTTCCCGCCAAAATTGACCCCGGAAACCTGAAAAATTCAAAATTTTTAGCTGAAAATTGGCAAATGCGCTCTATTGAGAAATTGTGGGGTTTTTAGAGTTTAACATGAGCAATATGACCTATTTTTCATGAAAAATCGATGATTTCAAGATTCCGCCACCAGAAACTTCGACATCTTCCGCTTCTTCAACCAAACAGCCTCGGATCTCTCGATGTTTCACTTCCAAATCATCTACTTTGTGGCAGTTCTTGGATATATCGAAGTTCTTGTTGAAAACATCGAGAGTAGATCTAAAAATCCTGAAATTCCTGATCAATTTCAGCTTCCGATGAATGAGTATAGAAACGAGATTAAAAAATATATTATTCAAGTCTGCCAATCTTTGATGCTCTTGTTTTTTGTTTTTGAAGTTGTCCGCAGGAAGAACTACCACTTTTTGATCTACGTAAGTTATGGGGTGGCTCAAGTCGAAAAAAAATAATAAAAAACCATTTTTCAGCCAAAAATGATGACAAATCAATATTTTTCAAGCTTCTGGAGTGATTTCTGATGAAAATTGACCTTGAAATTCACTTTCCAGAAGTTACTGATTTTGAATTTCGAAAAAATCAATAAAATGAGGTAAGATAGGGTTCCCGAAGCTTATTTTCATCAAAAATCACTCCATAAGCTTCAAAAATATTGATTTTTCATCATTTTTGACTGAAAAACTAATTCTTACCAGGCCTGTGCCAGAAATTTTCCGGATTTCCGGATTTCCGGTTTTTTCGCGGAAAAATCAATTTTCCGATTTTTTTCATGAAATTTTTGGAATTTTACGACTTTTTGAACGTAAAACGTCTCAAATAGTTACTAAATTAAATTACCTGTGAATTAAAGAATTGTAGATAAAAATAAGTTTTAGTGCCTTAACTTAAGGCTGAAAATCGAAATTTCAGACTTTGAGAAATTTTCCGGATTTTCCGGCTCAAAAAATCCGGAAAAAAAAACTTCAAATTTATTTCAGGCACTCATCCAAGCTCTCATTTCCATAATGTTTGTTATCGAAGACAAATCCTTTGTCACATTCCATCTTATCGTTCAACATATCGTGTTTTTCTACACTTTTGTTCTCAATTTTTTTAAATGTGGGTTTTATTATTGAAATTCATGCGAAAATTCCCGGGTTTTTGAGCTCAAAAAATGGTTTTTGACGTAAAAAAATAAAATAGGTTTTTGGTTTTCTAGGCCACAATTAACATTCTTTTGGTTTTCTAGGTCACCAAAATCATTCTTTCGGTTTTCTAGGCCACCAGAATCGTGCTTTTGGTTTTCTAGGCCACCAAAATGATGATTTTGGGTTTCTAGGCCACCAGAATCGTGCTTTTGGTTTCCTAGGTCACCAAAATGATGATTTTGGGTTTCTAGGCCACCAAAATCATGTCTAAAAATTGACACGTGGCAAATTTTTCTAGGTTTCGAGCAAATCTTAAATTTTATATCTGAAAAATCCAACATGTTCAACCTGACACGTGTCAGAATTGATCATGAAACCTCAAATTTTTGGGCGAAAAAAAAAATCCTGGAAAAATACGTTTAAAAAATTTTAAAGGGACAAACATGTGTCCCTTTAAACTACCGTAGTATATTAAGAGCATACTGTATTTTAAAGGAACACACACTCACTCCGCTCGAACCGCTTGCGCGGAATTTTGATCTACACTCGCGCCATAGGCGCTCGGGATACTGTACATCACTCAGAGGAGCATACAGTATCCCGAGCGCCTATGGCGCGAGTGTATATCAAAATTCCGCGCAAGCGGTTCGAGCGAAGCGAGTGTGTGTTCCCTTAAAGTACCATAGGCTCCTAATATACTATGGTAATTAGAAGGAACATATGTATGTCCCTTTAAAATACTGTAGGCTCTCTAGAAACTACAGTATTTTAAAGGGACATACACTCGCTTTGCTCGAACAAAAATACGTTTCAAAAAATTTATTTGGAAAATTTTCGGATTTCATAAATAGAAAAATTCTGAAATTTTCTAGATTCCGAAGTGGAACGCTACGACATCTTCCAATTTTTCCACCAAAAAGCCACGGATCAAACGTTGCTTTTCAGCCAAATCATCTACATTGTCGCAGTTCTTGGATATCTCGAATTCCTCACCGAAAAATCGGAGAAAAAATCGGAGAAAACCAAGATTTTCCAATTTGTCTAACTCTCTCTTGTTATTTTTGTTGTTGTTAAATTTTGTAAAAAAGTTTTTTTTTGTTGAAAAATCTAAGAGTTCTTGAAACTCTGAAATACCTTAAGCTTCTTCTAATTGAAATTTTTTTTTGAAATTTTATTTTAGGTACCATCTAAAAATGGCTAATAATAATAATATCCAATCAGATTCGGTAAGTTTTTTTTTTTGAATTTTGAAAAAAAAAATCAAAAATTGGCTGAAAAATCAACATATGCTCATTTTAAGCTCTGAAATTTCTCAATAGAGCGCATTTGGCAATTTTCAGCTAAAAATTTGAATTTTCCAAGTTTCCGGGGTCAATTTTGGCGGGAAATTCAAATCTACACTTAAAATTATCGATTTTTCATGAAAAATTGGTCATATTGCTCATGTTAAACCTCAAAAAACCTCCAATTGAGCGCATTTGCCAATTTTCAGCTAAAAATTTGAATTTTCCAAGTTTCCGGGGTCAATTTCAGCGGGAATTTCAAATCTACACTTAAAATTATCGATTTTTCATGAAAAATTGGCTAAAAATCAACAAATTGCTCATTTTAATCCCAAAAATCAATTTTTGCAGCAAGAAATGAAGAAAATCCGAAATTACATGAACAATCTGATGATTTGCTGGTTTCAATTCACATTTTTCCTCACTTTTGCATTTTCGGCCTACGAAAATCAGAGCTATAAATTGATGCTTTTCGTAAGTTCCTTAATTAGAATTTTAATTAATTAATTAATTAAAATTTATTTGCAGGCAATGATTCAGGCTGAAATTTCAGTCATGTTCCTCCTCAAATCCCGCTCTTTCATCACTTTTCATCTCGTTTTTCAACTGCTTCTCCTCATTTACACGTGGATTATTTGTTTGATTCAGAGAATGGATTGTGAGTTGGCAAAATTTAGTTGAAAATTTTGAAAGTTTCGAATTTCCCCCAAAATTTGGAGAATTTTGAGTATAAATATGCCTAGAAAAAAATCCACGTGGCAAATTTTTAAAATCCGAAAAACTACTGTAGATTTTGGCGCCCAAAAAATCCACGTGGAAAAATTTAACATTCAAATTTTCGCGCCAAAAATCATCATAAAAAACTACTGTAGATTTTGGCGCCCAAAAATCCACGTGGAAAATTTTAAAAATTCAAATTTTCCCGCCAAAAATCATCATTTAAAACTACTGTAGGGCTTCTGGCCTCAAAAATCCACGTGGAAAATTTAAAAAATTCAAATTTTCGCGCCATAAATCATCATTTAAAACTACTGTAGATTCTGGCGCCCAGAAATCCACGTGGAAATTTTTAAAAATTCAAATTTGGCGCTAAAAATTTACCAAAAAAAACTACTGTAGATTTTGGCGCTCAGAAATCCACGTGACAAAATTTTGAAAATTAAAATTTTCCCGCAAAAATTCAAGTGGAAAAATTTTGAAAATTCAAATTTTCGCGCTAAAAATCATCAAAAAAACTACTGTAGGGTTTTGGCGCCCAGAAATCCACGTGGCAAAATTTTAAAAATTCAAATTTTCGCGCCAAAAATCCACGTGGCAAAATTTTAAAATTCAAATTTTCGCGCCAAAAATCCACGTGACAAAATTTGAAAATCTGAATTTTGGTAGATCAAAAATATTTTTCCCGCGAAATTTCTGCGGGAAAACTTTGTGAGCTGTTGGGTCAAACTAGACTGTAGGGGCCGACATCCGCCACTTCGACTTATTCGAACTCCATCGCTCCGGAACCAACATCACATTCATCTTCCTCTTCCAAATCTTCTACATCTTCTGCGTCTTTCAATATCTCGAATTGCTCACCGAAAAATCGGAGAACAAAGTTTTGTTGGCGGCTCCGAAGAGCTCAAAAATGTTTGCAAATGTTTAATTGTTAATTTGTTTTTATCTGTTAATTAATTCTGTTTTTTTTTAAATTTTTTGAATTTCATATTTTTTTCAAGAGTTATCAAAACTCTGAAATATCTGATTTTTTTTTGGTAAAAACAATTTTTTTGATTTTTTGAAAAATTTACAGATGGAAAATCGAGCAAATCAAAATCTCACGGTAAGATTTTTAAAATTAATTAATTAATTAATTAATTACAGCTAAATGTGTTGGCAATTCTCACAATTGCCGGTTTTCACTTGCAAAATCTCTACGACTACGGTTCTACTGGATTCAGGGAGAATGATAGATTATTTCAGGGTTTGGTGAGAATTTGTATTACGGTATCAAAGGAACATGATGAAAATTTGCAGGTTATCTGGCAATTGCTCACTTCAGCCATGTTCTACTATGAAATCCGGGATTACATCAAATTGCATCTCGCCTGGAGTTTGTTGTGTTTCGGTGTTGTGCTCTTTTTTGTCGCGGCTGATTATTTGGGATGTGAGTTTTTCAGAGCGCAATTGCCAATTTTCAGTTAAAAATTTGAATTTTGCAAGTTTCCGGGGTCAATTTTGGCGGGAAATTTGAAATTTCAAGTTTCCAGGCTTAAAATTATTGATTTTTCATGAAAATTGGCTCAAAATTCACCGAAAATGATGAATTTTGGCTCATTTTCAAGAAAAAAAACCGAAAAATTGAATTTCAATCAAAATCATCGATTTTTTCATGAAAAATTGCTCAAAAATCAAGATATTGCTCATGTTAAACTCTAAAAACCCCACAATTTCTCAATAGAGCGCAATTGCCAATTTTTCAGACAAAAATTTGAATTTTTAAAGTTTCCGGGGTCAAAATTATCGATTTTTCATTAAAATTGGCTCAAAATTCACCGAAAATGATGAATTTTGGCTCATTTTCAAGAAAAAAAAACCAAAAAATTTAATTTCACTCAAAATCATCGATTTTTCATGAAAAATTGCTCAAAAATCAAGATATTGCTCATGTTAAACTCAAAAAGTATCCGAAAACCTCCAATTTCTCAATAGAGCCAATTTTCAGCTAAAAATTTGAATTTTTCAAGTTTCCGGGGTCAAATTTGCCGGGAAAATCAAATCTACACTTAAAATTATCGATTTTTCATGAAAAATAGGTCATATTGCTCATGTTAAACTCTAAAAACCCCAAAATTTCTCAATAGAACGCATTTGCCAATTTTTCAGCTAAAAATTTGGAATTGTTCAAGTTTCCGGGGTCAATTTTGACCGGAAATTCAAATCTACACTTGAAATTATCGATTTTTGATGAAAAATAAGTCATATTGCTCATTTTAAACTCTAAAAACCCCACAATTTCTCAATAGAGCGAATTTGCCAAGTTTCAGATGAAAATTTGAATTTTTCAAGTTTCCGGGGTCAAATTATCGATTTTTCATGAAAAATAGGTCATATTGCTCATGTTAAACTCTAAAAACCCCACAATTTCTCAATAGAGCGAATTTGCCAATTTTCAGATAAAAATTTGAATTTTTCAAGTTTCCGGGGTCAAACTACATTCAAAATCATCGATTTTCCATGAAAAATAGGTCAAAAATCAAGATATTGCTCATGTTAAACCGGTTTTTTTTGCAGATCGGGAATACGAGTTGGTGGAACTTGTCTCGCACGTCTTCGATAGAAACACTGTCATCCGCCAAGCCATTTACACCATGGCCATTTTTGAATATCTGATTTACCTTGGCAAAAAATCGGCGAAGATTGAGATGGAGAATCAGAATCTTCAAGATCCAGTCAACGAAAATCTCCCGGTAATTAAGATTTAATTAATTAATTAGTTAGCTAATTAGCTAATTAATAAAAAAAACAAATTTTCCAGCTCGATCCAATTATAACTCTCGCACTTTTCTCTATTCACTTACACACTTTATACAAATACGGTTACTGTGGATTTTGCTGTAATTTCCGGCTTTTCCAGATTCTTGTGAGTTTCAGACTGAAAAATGCCTGGCTGAAAATGAAAATGAGAATTTTCCAGACAATCTGGCAATTATTCACATCCACTTTGTTCTACTTTCAAATCCGCGACTACATTAAATTGCATCTCCTCTGGAACGTGTTGTATTTCGGCTTTGTTCTCTTTTTCGCTCGCGCGCGATTTTTTGGGATGTGAGTTTTTTTCATTAGAGCGTATTTGCTCCTTATTTTCTGGCCGAACTTTGGAAAAAACTCGGCCAGCTGAACAATTTTACATGAAAATCAGGTGAAAAACCTCCAATAGAGCTAATTTTCAGCTGAAATTTTGAATTTTCCAAGTTTCTGCGGTCAATTTTGGCGGGAAATTTGAAATTTCAAGTTTCCAGGCTTAAAATTATCGATTTTTAATGAAAATAGATCATATTGCTCATGTTAAAATCGAAAAACCCCACAATTTCTCAATAGAGCGCATTTGCCAATTTTCAGCTAAAAATTTGAATTTTTCAAATTCCCGGACACATTTTTGGCGGGAAATTTGAAATTTCAAGTTTCCAGGCTTGAAATTATCGATTCTTCAAGAAAATAGGTCATATTGCTCATGTTAAACTCTAAAAACCCCACAATTTCTCAATAGAGCGAAATTGCAAATTTTCAGCTAAAAATTTGAATTTTTCAAGTTTCCGGACTCAATTTTGACCGGAAATTCAAATCTACACTTCAAATTATCGATTTTAAATGAAATTTCCCTCAAAATCCATCAAAAATGATGAATTTTGGCTCATTTTGTGCTCTGAACGATTAATTTTCAGACGCAGAAACTGACGTTTCTGAATCCGACGTCTCCTCAAAAGTCATTGACAAATACACAATTGTCCTCCAAGCGATCTACATCTGGGCCATCATCGAATATCTCATTTTTGTTGGCAAAAAATTGAGAATGAGCCGCCCAAACTGATTTTTTCACTATTTTTGAATATTTGTATTTTTATTATTATATTGTATTTTGATTTGTAAATTTTAAAATTTACAGTTTTTTTTGGCTTCAAAAAATCCACGTGGCAAAAAAGTTAACCTAACTCTGACAGAAATATCTATTTTTAATTAATTTTCCCATTAATTAATTACAGACAGATGACTAACCTGAAGAAAATTCGAAAATCGATAAATACCTTATTGATTGGCTGGTTTCAATTATCGATTATTTTCCATTTCGAATATTTTGAATATAAATTTGATTGTCAAATTGCCGGGTTTCTTGTGAGTTGGCGATGCCAACTTGGCATAACTTCTCCCAAAAATTTCCATTTTTATTTTCAGGCATTTTTCCAAATTCTAACATCTCTCACATTCCTCGCCGCCTCAAAAACCTATATCTCACTGCATCTCCTCTGCCAACTCATCATTTTCATCGGCTGCGCCTTTAAAGTCTTTGGCGAATTTATGGGATGTGAGTGGGGGTTCGTGGCGAGACCAATTTCGATAAAAAATAGCGCGCAAAATGGAGAGACGCGAGACATTTGTGTGCATTTGTGCGTCACCGTGTTTGCACCAAGTCAATACAGTATACCAACCGCGAACCGAGGGCCAAAAAAATACGTTTTCAGGGTTTCCCATGTGGCATGACGAGTTAGCCGAAATCAATCTTCTCTTCCAAGCCTTCTACATTTTCTGCGTATTTCAACACATTGAATTTCTGCTGGAGGATTCGGATGGATTCGAGAATTCCAATTTTTTCATAAATCCTAACTTTTTTTTTTGAATCAAAAATGAATGAGTTCAAGTAACTCTTCAATATTTTCTAGATAAAAAATGGTTTCCTGAAATCCTGAAATGTTTCCAGATGACTAAGATTAACAAAACTAATCTTCCTGTAACGGTGAGTTTCTCAAAATTTCCAGAAATCTCCCCCCAAAAAACATTTTTCAGCACGATCTCAACAATATTCGAAAAATCCTCAACACTTATCTCATTTTCGCCTTCTTCCAATTATCGATTTTCTTGACTTTCGCCACAGAGGCTTATCAAACTCAAAGCTACAAATATATGATTTTGGCGCTTCTTCAGGTCGAGATTTCGATCTTGTTCATTTTGAAGGCGAAATTTTTCATCGTTTCGCATTTGATTTGTCAAATCATCTTCTTCTTATACTATTATGCTCTTCATTTGATCAAGTTTTTGACAGGTATACGGTAGGCGCACTTGTGTGCATTTGTGCGTCACCGTGTTTGCAGACTCGGAAAATATTTTTATTTTTGTGCAGCCGCCGACACAGCAAAATTCAATGTTTTCGAACACTCCGAACATCTTGCCGGTTTCTACACAATCTTCCAAATCTTCTACATGTTCTGCGTCTTCCAACACATCGTGATTCTTGTTGAGAAAACTGAAGCGAAATCAGAAGAGGAGCAGAAACTTTTCGAAAATGTTTGACTTGTTAAATTTGTTATGTTTCTCTGTATGAAAAATATGCCTGTTTGAAGAAGAATTATTGCATTGGGAGTTTGCATAACTCTGAAATACCGTGTTGTTTTTGTTTTTGTTCAAAAATTGTTTTGATTTTCCCGCCCAGTTTTCTTTTCAGAAATGTCGAGATTCTACAGCCCACACAACATTGATCCGGTGAGAATTTGGGCTGGAATTCTGAAACAAGCTGATTTCCAGGATCAACCGATCACCCTGTATTGTCTCCCGGTCAAAGTTGTCATCGGATTCGTCCAAGCGTTCTTCACCATTTTCTGGGGAATAGCGGCGTTTTATGCGACGGGAGGAGTTGTTGTGCCATTGGCGATTATGGTGAGAGGAGAAAATGACAGAAATTTTGGGATTTCTTGTTGAAAATCCGCAAGTTTTGCAGGCAATGATCAATGCGGTGTTCTTCTTGAGCTTCGCCACTGATATTCTCCCAATGATGATTGTCCACTTCGTGATTCAATCGATTTTCATCGTTTTTCCCATTGGATTCGTCATTTGCTCTTTGATTTATACACTTGGTCGGTTTTTCTTTGAAAATCTGAAGGAAATGGTTCCCAAATTCAACAAAAATCGTTTGAAAGCAGTCATTTTGAATGATTTTTGATGGAAAATGACCCCGTAAACGTGGAGTATCGTTTGAAATGCTGAAAACTACGATACTCCACGTTTACACCTTGAAAATTATGGAAAATTGAATTTTCAAACGATACTTCGCGTTTACACAGTCATTTTTCATGATTTTTGATGGGAAATGACTCTGTAAACGTGGAGTATCGTTTGAAATGCTGAAAACTACGATATTCCACGTTTACACCTTGAAAATGATGGAAAATTGAATTTTTTAAATTTTCAAACGATACTTCGCGTTTACACAGTCATTTTTTATGATTTTTGATGGAAAATGACCCTGTAAACGTGGAGTATCGTTTGAAATGCTGAAAACTACGATACTCCACGTTTACACCTTGAAAAATGATGGAAAATTGAATTTTTCGAATTTTCAAACGTTGCTCCGCGTTTACACAGTCATTTTTCATGTTTTTCAGTGAAAAATGACCCTGTAAACGTAGAGTATCGTTTGAAATGCTGAAAAAAACTACGATTTTACACGTTTACAGCTTGAAAATTATGGTGAATTGAATTTTTAGAATTTTCAAACGTTGCTCCGCGTTTACACAGTCATTTTTCATGATTCTTGATGGAAAATGACTCTGTAAACGTGGAGTATCGTTTCAAATGCAAAAAACTACGATACTCCATGTTTACACCTTGAAAAATGATGGAAAATTGAATTTTTCGAATTTTCAAACGTTGCTCCTCGTTCACACAGTCATTTTTCATGTTTTTCAGTGGAAAATGACCCTGTAAACGTGGAGTATCGTTTGAAATGCTGAAAACTACGATACTCCACGTTTACACCTTGAAAATTATGGAAAGGTGAATTTTTTGAATTTTCAAACGTTGCTCCGCGTGTACACAGTCATTTTTCATGTTTTTCAGTAGAAAATGACCCCGTAAACGTGGAGTATCGTTTGAAATGCAAAAAACTACGATATTCCACGTTTACACCTTGAAAATTATAGAAAATTGAATTTTCAAACGATACTTCGCGTTTACACAGTCATTTTTCATGTTTTTCAGTGGAAAATGACCCTGTAAACGTGGAGTATCGTTTCAAATGCAAAAAACTACGATGCTCCGCACATACACTTTCATGTTTTTGAGTGGAACATTTCAAACGTTGCTCCAAAAATCGTGATCTCAGAAGCTGAAAACTAGCTCGATTTTTTGAAATTTTCGAACTTTGCCACGTCATAACTCATGTGAGCTCTGCATTTTTCAGACGGCGAAATCGTGGATCAAAAATTTAGAGTGAAATTAGAAAAAATAACTAAAATTTTGCAGGATACGCCGCTGCTTACGGTTGGTTTGCCTCAATCAACAAGGAACTTTCCAACGAGATTTCCACCTCCTTCAAAGGCTATTCACCACTCTGGACTCTTTTTGTGTCGATTTTCAACTTGGCTGGTAAGATTTTCTTACAAAATTCAAAAATTCCCCTGAAATCCCCCCATTTTCCAGTCTACATCTACTACATGAACTTGGTCTACGTTCAAATGCGCCACGTCGAACTCAAAAGATACCTTTTGCGCGCGGAACCCGACTTCGAAACCACTCAAGGACTCTTCCAACGCGACGAAACTGCGTATGATGGAAATGAGAGAGGAGTCAACGGCAATCATATTCCATTCAATTCGATTTATCCGAAATTGTGAGCTTTTGTTGTTGAATTAGCCTAACTTGGTATTTTTCTCGTTGGTTCTTCCTTTTTTTATATTATTCTTTCTACTGTTTCATTTTGTTTTTTATCTGAACTTGTTAACCGTTAATAAATACATCGTTTGAAAAAAAAATTTGAAAAAAAATCAACAAAAATAGCAAATGCGCTCCAATGACAAACCTGTTTTCTTGTGTGAAATTTGAAAAAATAGCAAATGCGCTCTAATGACAAACTGGTTTTCTTGTGTAAATTTTGAAAAATCAACGAGAATAGCAAATGCGCTCTAATAACAGACTGATTTTCATGTGCAAAATTTGAAAAATAGCAAATGCGCTCTAATGACAAACCGGTTTTCTTGTGCAAAATTTGAAAAAATAGCAAATGCGCTCTAATAACAAACTGGTTTTCATGTGCAAAATTTGAAAAAATCAACAAGAATGGCAAATGCGCTCTAACAACAAACTGGTTTTCTTGTGCAAAATTTGAAAAAATACCAAATGCGCTCTAATAACAAACTGGTTTTCTTGTGTGAAATTTGAAAAAATAGCAAATAATTTTTTTTAAAAATCAAAACGCGCTCCATTGACAACAGTATATTTTATTGAGAAATTCAAATTTCCCCCGCCAAATTTAAATTTGCGGGAATATTCTTTCATTGTTTCAAGTGTATGTAGTAAGTACTATATACATTATGTATATTTATTTGTGCATTCCTTTTTCAAGTGCACCCGACCCAAACATTTTATCATAATAAAAATAAAATATTATAAAATTCTCTGTATTCTTTTTGAAGATTCCCTAACTTTCCCCCCTACAAAAAAAGGGCAGAAACTGAATGGGTACGGCTGAAAGGGTGCGCACCCTTTTTTTCAAAGGGGCCGAAGGGGCAAAATCGAAAAAGGGGCCGGAGGGGCAAAATAAAAAAGACTGAAAGGGGCAATCAAAAAAAGGGGCCCACAATATTTCTTGCGATATTCTGAAAGGGTGCGGCCCCTTTTTTGAAAACGGGCAATTTTCGAAGGATTTTCGAAAAATTGCTGGGGAAGTTTTCGACCAAAGCGAATATGATGGGATGACTGAAATTTTGAGAATTTCAGATTTTCAGCTAGAAGCACGTGAAAATCATTTTTTTCGGAAATTTCTAGTTTTTTTGCTACAAATGTTTTCAGACATGCTGAAAACGATGGGATGACTGAAATTTTGAGAATTTCAGATTTTCAGCTAGAAGCACGTGAAAATCAAATTTTTCGGAAATTTCTAGTTTTTTTGCTACAAATGTTTTCAGACATGCTGAAACCGATGGGATGACTGAAATTATGTGAATATCAGATTTTCAGCTAGAATCATGTGAGAACCAAATTTTTCGGAAATTTCTAGTTTTTTTGCTACAAATGTTTTCAGACATGCTGAAACCGATGGGATGACTGAAATTATGTGAATATCAGATTTTCAGCTAGAATCATGTGAGAACCAAATTTTTCCGAAATTTCTAGTTTTTTTGCTACAAATGTTTTCAGACATGCTGAAAACGATGAGATGACTGAAATTTTGAGAATATCAGATTTTCAGCTAGAATCATGTGAAAATCAAAATTTTCCGAATGTCTAGTTTTTTTGGTTCGACAATTTATTTTCGAAAAAAAACGAATAAAACAAAAACAATTACAATAATTGTCGAATTATTGAGCTTGTTCGAACATATATTTCTGGAGGCGATTCATCCGTCCGACAAGGTAGTTGCTTCCGATTATCTGGAGTTTATTTGATGTCGAAAAGACGAGTGTTGGTGGAGCATGTTGGTATGAGTGCTGAAAATAAAGCGAATTAGACAAAACATTTTTCTATTGGAACTATTTGTTGTCAAGTCAACTTGAGTCGGTGGGTTTTTATCGACTCGACTCCGATGGTTGATTATCTCGTGGTGGATGTGAGTTATCAGACATTTCTATGTCGTTGGTTGAGGTGAACTCTGGATGGCAAACATTTGCGCTAATAAAATTAGTGTTTGGTGGAATTGGTCAGTTTCAACCAATAACATCAATCACATCATTCAAAATTCAACATCTAATCCAACGCAATAACTATATTTGAAAACTCCATCCATCACGAGAAGTTCGATCATCGAGGTCTATTAATGAAACCCATCGGCAGGAGTCGAGTCGAAAGTTGTATCTTAACGACTGACTCAGATTCAAGTCGGTTTCAGAGCATCTATTTTTATTGAAAAAATCACTCACCATGTTTTGACCGGCACTTCGAACTGAAAATTGCTTCTCTAGGTGCTCACCAGTCCAGTCGACCTTTGAGCGATGTTTCCTCCGTTGATTTGGATTTCGACCAAATGCGCTTTCTTTTGATGTGATTCACGTTCTTCATCTGAAAATTAAAAAACTATTTAAATCCGCCTAAAACTCATTAATAGGGCTGAAATTGACAAAAATGCGAAATAACGTCGTTCTACTGTCAAAAAAATCGAAAAATAGACAATTTTAGTTTTTGGCCTAAATTCAAGCGAAATAGGTCAATTTCAAAGTTCTTATGAAATTTCCTCCGCGATCATAGGCGGGAAACATGTTTTACGTGTTTTTCGAAGCTTTAAATACACAATTTCTGTATGAAACGAGGAAAACACAAGAAAAAACGAAAAAAAAACAAAAAAAATAAATTGAATGGTGGCCTAAAAGTTTCTAGGAACCTCGGCCAATGGCCTAGGATTCCAAGAATTGGATGTTTGCCAACTATTTTAGGCCAATTTTTTTCTTTTTTTTTGGTTTTTACGCGTAAAAAGCTTTATTTTCTTGGAAAAAACTCCTTTTTGTGACTTACTTTTTTGATTAGTATTTTTACAGATGGAAAGGAGTCTCACACCGACTACGAAAACGTCTAAAAAGGCAAAATTATGGAGTATTCGATAAAATTGTGAGTAGTTTTACAAATTATGCGGTTTCATGATTTTTCCAAGAGAAATGTTTCACGATTTCTCACTTCTACAGTAGTGGCCAAAAAGCTATCACCTTTTTATTTTTTGCTATAAATCACTTCAACTATATTGGATTGGGCTCAATTTTTTTTCTGAGCTATGTGGGTGACTAATGAATATATTTCGAAGGTATTTGTCGAAAAAAAATTTTTTGATGGATCTTCAGATCATTAAAACTGATTTTCAAGAATCTGAATATTTTCACTTTTTTTCAAAACTGACCGGAAAACTTCGAATCAGCGGAAAATGATAGAATTACTCAATTTCTGTCATAGTAGACATATCTGGCTTTCGATTCCGACCCTAATCTTGAAATTTGATTCATTGTGAGATCTATTCCGATGGTTTCAGTGAGACAATCTAGAAAATCTGAAATGTCTCAATAAATCGATTTTCATGACTGATTATCGTCGGATATTCAATAAAACACTTCAATTTGATCATTTTCTTTCTTAAACTTCATTTTCGAATCGAAATCCGATGTTTTTTGTATAATTTTGACATTGATGGAATTCCGATCTTTGTCTAGATCTTCGATTCTAGACCATCAAGGACATCAAACATTGATTTTAGTGATGAATTTTATACTCAAAGTGTTCAGGAATACGTTTGACAAGCAATCTCACCTCTACAAACATCAGTGGTCTCATATGAGATCATTGAAAACAAAACTGCATTTTTGTGAAGAAAACCAATGGAAAACACTATGAATTTGAGAACTTTTTATTCAACGGTGCTTATTTCAAGAGTTAGGCTCAGCGACTTTGAAGTCGATTGTGGCACATAAACAGAATCACATTGAGAATAAAATTCATCACTAAAATCAATGTTTGATGTCTTTGATGGTCTAGAATCGAAGATCTAGACAAAGATCGGAATTCCATCAATGTCAAAATTATACAAAAAACATCGGATTTCGATTCGAAAATGAAGTTTAAGAAAGAAAATGATCAAATTGAAGTGTTTTATTGAATATCCGACGATAATCAGTCATGAAAATCAATTTATTGAGACATTTCAGATTTTCTAGATGGTCTCACTGAAACCATCGAAATAGATCTCACAATGAATCAAATTTCAAGATTAGGGTCAGAATCGAAAGCCAGATATGTCTACTATGACAGAAATTGAGTAATTCTATCATTTTCCGCCAATTCGAAGTTTTCCGGTCAGTTTTGAAAAAAAGTGAAAATATTCAGATTCCTAAAAATCAGTTTTAATGATCTGAAGATCCATCAAAAAAAAATTTTTCGACAAATACCTTCGAAATATATTCATTAGTCACCCACATAGCTCAGAAAAAAAATTGAGCCCAATCCGATATAGTTGAAGTGATTTATAGCAAAAAATAAAAAGGTGATAGCTTTTTGGCCACTACTGTACCAAGAATTTAACTAGGTTTATCTCATTTTTGATTGAAACATCTGGAATCTTTCGTTTTTAGGTTGAATTTTGTCGATTTTCACACTCATTTGTGAACAGTCTGGAAACGAGCCGGCTAGCCGAGCTGAACTTGACCTACCTGTGAGTATCGTGCAGAAAACCAAAGAGTTTTTATCATCATTGCGATTCTGGCATTTTTCAATACGATACAATCAGGTATTTCAGCTCAACCCGTTTCTAGTCTGTTCACAAATGCCTTTGTCAATAAGATTGTATCAGATCCTAAAAAATACGAAACTTTTCTGGGATAAAACTTACGAGGGAACCTTTTTTACTCAACACTTCAAATCATGATGAAATTTGGTCCATGGACAGATTTTGGGTACCTTATGACCGCAAATTGGGATCATAAGTACATCCTAAAAATTTTAGTCTCCCAATGGACCTCTGAGCCAAGTTCTGGGCTCTCAAAAACTCAAAAAAGGCCTAAAAATGGTCATAAAAGTCATCATAGCTCCATTTCAAAATTTTTTTTCAGAGAAATAAAGTTTCAGATATTGATCAGCGTGATCGATTACCTAGAAGTAAATCAATTAAAAATATTTTTTCGAAAAATTTTGAAGTTTTTTATTTTTCGGCTGAAAATTCATGAAAATTCATATGTGCTCATTCTTTTTTCCAAAATCAAAAATTTCTCCGAAAATTTGATTTATTTATGTTTTTTGGGTAAATCGACCACGTTGATCATCATCTGCTACTCAGTTTTCATAAAATTGATCGAGAATTGAGTTTTGATGTGTTTTATGGGCCAATTTTAGCAATTTTTGAACTTTTGAGAGCCCAGAACTTGGCTCAGAGGTCTATTGGGAGACTAAAATTTTTAGGGTGTTCTTAAGACTCCAAAAGCTGTCTCTAGACAAAATTTCATCATGATTTGAAGTGTTGAGTAAAAAAGGTTTCCTTGTTAGCATGTTTGTTGGTCGCCTATTAGCTGAAAATTAAACACTTCCCTTGAACCTCATAACAATACTAATATATTTTACTTCTAAAAATTATCAAACTGAGGTTAAGAACGAAGTTCTGGTTCCCACAATATTCCAAAAAAAAATTGAAAAACTATATAATTATGGTTTATTCGATGTTTCAGATTGAATCGTTCGACCGCCGGACTCGCCTCCGCCAACCGCTGGATTGTAAATAATTTGAATTAAAATTTTATATGAATATTACTTTGGAAAAGTTCAGTTTGATTTTTTTTCGTCTTTGGAACAAGTTTCTAGTTTGATCCTCTTGAAATTTCATAATCTTATTGTTTTCAGCATGTCCGAGAACCAAAGCAGCAGAAAACTAGACAGTTTTTGAACATTTTTGATTTTCACGTGAAAATCACGTGATCCTATTTATTCGTTTTTTTTTTCGAAAATAAATTGTCGAACCAAAAAAACTAGACATTCGGAAAATTTTGATTTTCACATGATTCTAGCTGAAAATCTGATATTCTCAAAATTTCAGTCATCTCATCGTTTTCAGCATGTCTGAAAACATTTGTAGCAAAAAAACTAGAAATTTCGGAAAAATTTGGTTCTCACATGATTCTAGCTGAAAATCTGATATTCACATAATTTCAGTCATCCCATCGGTTTCAGCATGTCTGAAAACATTTGTAGCAAAAAAACTAGAAATTTCCGAAAAATTTGGTTCTCACATGATTCTAGCTGAAAATCTGATATTCACATAATTTCAGTCATCCCATCGGTTTCAGCATGTCTGAAAACATTTGTAGCAAAAAAACTAGAAATTTCCGAAAAATTTGATTTTCACGTGCTTCTAGCTGAAAATCTGAAATTCTCAAAATTTCAGTCATCCCATCGTTTTCAGCATGTCTGAAAACATTTGTAGCAAAAAAACTAGAAATTTCCGAAAAAAATGATTTTCACGTGCTTCTAGCTGAAAATCTGAAATTCTCAAAATTTCAGTCATCCCATCATATTCGCTTTGGTCGAAAACTTCCCCAGCAATTTTTCGAAAATCCTTCGAAAATTGCCCGTTTTCAAAAAAGGGGCCGCACCCTTTCAGAATATCGCAAGAAATATTGTGGGCCCCTTTTTTTGATTGCCCCTTTCAGTCTTTTTATTTTGCCCCTCCGGCCCCTTTTTCGATTTTGCCCCTTCGGCCCCTTTGAAAAAAGGGTGCGCACCCTTTCAGCCGTACCCATTCAGTTTCTGCCCAAAAAAAGCGCGCAAAAATGTTAAAACACTTGAAAAATCCACTTAACATGAGTTACTAACCTTTTTTTTGTTAATATTTATCGGTTCAGTGTTCAACTGGCTTCCAATATTTGTTGATTGGATCAATCTTGTTAACACACACGTTTCTCTTTGCTTTTCATTCACCCTTGCTTCCTTTTAACTACTGATTTTTAAATTTAAAAAATTTTCACGAAAAAAAAAGTATTACTGTAGACGCTTGCAAAAGTGTGCATTTTGTCGTCGCCGTGTTGACACACACACCGGCGGCGTTTTTTTTTATTTTCACTTTTTTTTGGGGCGGGCGGGGTTTTTGCGGGTTTTCAAAAAATTTGAATATTTTTCAGTGATCTGCGGGTGTGGGAAATCTCGAAAACTTTGGGGAAAATCGATTTTTAGGGTGTTTTTTCGCGGGAAATTTTATTTTTGTAGGATTTTTTCGGGATTTTTGAAGTTTTTTCTAGAGAAAACTGGAAATTGTCAAATTATTCCGGGGAAATTCAATTCTCAATGTTTTTGCAGTGAAATTTGACACCACACGGGAAACTAGCTGGAAATTCAAATTTCCCCCCTAAAATTGCATCATTTTTGAAAAAAAAAGAATTTTTCAGTGTTTATAGTTTGATCCAGCACACGCAACGCTTTTAAAAATTGAATTTTCTCTCATTTCTCGAATTTAATGACGAAATGAAATGACGAAGTTCTGTTTTTTCGACAAGTAAGCGTTTTTTCACTAATTTTGGTGAGATTCATGGCTTCTGAGGTTCCGGAGAGTTTCTAGACCGGAAAATCATGATTTTTCATGATTTTCTGGTCTAGAAACTTCAAAATCTAATTTCTGACTAAAAAATCATGGTTTTCTGGTCGCCAAACTTGGAAACTTATTCAAAACCTGATTTCTGAGGAGATTTTTCGCTCCTGAAACTCTGAAATTCAAATTTCGAAGTTCCTAGATCTGAAAATCATGTGATTTCTGAGCCTGAAAGCTTTAAAAACAGCTGAAATTCAAATTTCTATGATTTTTCAGTCTAGAAACTATGTAAAACGCTCAAAGTTCAAAATTTGAAGGGTTTCCGAGTTTCTAGACTGAAAAATCATTGAAATTTGAATTTCAGCTGTTTTAAAGCTTCCAGACTATGAAATCACATGATTTTCAGATCTAGGAACTTTAAAACTCTTGAAATTTGAATTTCAGAGTTTCAGGAGCGAAAAATCCCCTCAGAAATTGGGTTTTGAATGAGTTTCTAAGTTTGGCGACCAGAAAACTATGATTTTTCAGTGAGAAATCAGGTTTTGAAGTTTCTAGACCAGAAAATCATGATTTTTTGCTTTAAAAACTCTGAAAATCAAAATTTCTGGGATTTCTCAAGCTTCTAGACCGAAAAATCATGAACAATCATGATTTTTTGCTTTTGAAACTCTGAAAATCAAAATTTGTGGGATTTCTCAAGTTTCTAGACCAAAAAATCATGAACAATCATGATTTTTCGGTCTGGAAACTCTGAAACCCCTTAGAAATCAGGTTTTGAAGTTTCTAGACCAGAAAACCACAAAAAATCATGAATTTTCGATCTGAAAACTCTGAAACCCCTCAGAAATCAGGTTTTGAAGTTTCTAGACCAGAAAACCACAGAAAATCATGAATTTTCGGTCAGAAATCAGGTTTTGAAGTTTCTAGACCGAAAAATCATGAATTTTCGATCTAGAAACTCTGAAATTTCAGATTTTTCCAGTTTTAATTCAAAATTCCCAAAAATTTGCCCTTTTTCCCTCCAAAAATCAGCCGCAATCTTATATGTGTGTGAAAACTGTCACTTTTCCCCATTTTGTTCCATATACTTATCTGATTTTCCACTTTTTTTCTGTTTTTCTCAGTTTTTAACCAAAAATACCACTGATTTTTTTTTTGAAGAGACCCAAAATTGATCGAAAAGCCGACGAAATTGTATAATAATACAATATTATAATAAATCAAAGCAGCTGTGCGACGATAGAAACGACAAAAATGGCCGACACATTGAAGTAAGCACTTTTTCTACTCGAAAAATCGCATTTTATGGGTTTTTTACCCCAGAATTGCGAAAAACGCGATTTTTGCATTGAAAAAGATAGTTTTCTCGAAAAATATCGAATTACAAGCCAAATAAAATAATGCAAAAAAAGTTAGTTCGTCTAACTCGATCCTGTTTGATTGACTAAAAAGATATTAAACCAACCATTTTATTTTTCTTTTTTTTTTGGTTTACACTGTTTTTCTTTAAAAAAATATATTGCAAAAGTGCACTTTTTCTGAGGAAAAATTGTACTAATTTTGTTTTTTTTTTGTTCTTTTTTTTAGTTGTATAGATAGTTTTGGTTTGGTTTTGTTGCGAAAATTGTGTACGAAAAATTTTCTTAGTACATTTTCACTGAAAATCCACCAAATTTGCTCAATTATCCATGTCTAGACAACGTTTTTATCGATTTCCCAGGGATTTTCAACATTTTCTTGCAGTTCTCATCAATCTCACCAAATGGGTGGTCGAAAGCATCAAAACAATCGTCGACACAAAAGTGTCGCATCGGTTGGCGACCGAAAAAATCAAAGATCGTCTTCGCAATCCAGCGCCACGCCAGCCACGTTGGCCGCCAAATTTGTGCCACAAGTCGTGAGTTTTTGAGTGGAATTAGGGGATTTTCGAACAAAAAGTCCAAAAAATCTCGAAATTTGAGAGAATTTCGAGATTTTTTGGCGAAATTATAAAAACAAGACCTTTTCCCTGATTTTTGGTTTAAAAATCATGAAGTTTTCAAGAAAATTGACCCTAATCCTTAAAATAAGTCAAAAAACCTGAAATTTCGTGAAAATTCCAGATTTCTTGGCAAAATTCTGAAAATATAGGCCTTTTCCCTGATTTTTGGTTTAAAAATCTTGAATTTTGAAGAAAATTCACCCTAGTCCCAAAAAATAAATCCAAAAATCTGAAATTTCGAGAAAATTCCAGATTTCTTAACAAAATTCTGAAATTATGAACCTTTTTCTGATTTTTGGTTCAAATTTTGAGATTTTTGAACTTAAAAAATCTTGAATTTTGAAGAAAATTCACCCTAATCCTAAAAATAAGTCCAAAAAAAACTTGAAATTTTGGTAAAATTTCAGATTTGTTGGCGATATTCTGAAAATATAGACCTTTTTCTGATTTTTGGTTTAAAAATCTTGAATTTTGAAGAAAATTGACCCTAATCCTAAAAAAAGTCCAAAAAATTTCAAAACTTGAGATTTTTGGCGAAATTATGAAGACGAAAACCTTTTCCCTGATTTTTGGTTTAAAAATCTTGGATTTTGAAGAAAATTGATTCTAGAGGTCTGAAATTTCGAGAAAATTCCAGATTTTTTGGTGAAATTCTAAAAATTAAAACCTTTTTCTGATTTTTGGTTTAAAAATCTTGAATTTTGAACAAAATTGACCCTAATCCTTAAAAAAAGTCCAAAAAACCTGGAATTATGCTAAAATTTCAGATTTCTTGTCCAAATACTGAAAATATCAACCTTTTCCCTGATTTTTGGTTTAAAAATCTTGAATATCCCAAGAAAATTGACCCTAACCCTAAAAATAAGTCCAAAAAAACCTGGAATTTTGCTAAAATTCCAGATTTTTTGGCTTGAACTTTTGATATAATTCGGAGAATTTTCAAATTTTCCGTAAACATGAGCAATGCTCATCATTTCTCTATTTATTTATTTAGTCAACTTATTGTAAACCCCGCTTTTGTTCTGTTTTCCGACCCGAAAAGGACATATATGTTTATTTTATCAAAATTTGAAGAAAAGAGGGGGAATTTGGATTTTTGAAGGTGTTTTGGGTCAAAAATTCCACCAAAAATGCTCCAAAACCACAGAAAACATGTCAAAAATCAAAAATCGAGGAAAAATCCCATATTTCCACTCAAAATGCTCCAAAAATTAATTCTAGGACGGTCAAAATGCGTTCATATTGTGCATCACGCGTCTTGGAAGACAAGGCCACGAATTCACGTGGCATGATATCCGAAAGGTTTATCACAAGGACACGGGAAGAACTTTGACAATGGACGAAATGAATGCAATGTATGGAACCAAGAATTTGACAAAGTAAGTGATTTTTGAATAGAAATTGAGGGAAACTGGGAAATTCTGGCTAAGTTTGATCGAAAAATGAGGAAAATCCTAGTTTTGGAGCTAAAATTGATGAAATTTGAGCTGAAATTGATGAAAATCCTGGTTTTTGAGCTGAAATTATTGAGAATCCAAGTTTTTGAGCTGAAATTGATGGAAACCCTGGGTTTTGAGCTAAAATTGATGAAAATCCAAGTTTTAGAGCTAAAAATGATAAAAATCCTAGTTTTCCAGCTAAACTTGATGAAAACCCAAGTTTTTGGGCTAAAAATGGTAAAAATTCTAGTTTTCAAGCTGAAAATGATGGAAATCCTTGGTTTTGAGCTGAAATTGATGAAAATCCAAGTTTTGGAGCTGAAAATGATGAAAATCCAAGTTTTCCAGCTAAACTTGATGAAAATCCTAGTTTTGGAGCTAAAAATGGTAAAAATTCTAGTTTTGGAGCTGAAATTATTGGAAATCTATGGTTTTCACCTGGAAATGATGGAAATCTATGGTTTTCCAGCCAAAAATGATGAAAATCCAAACTTTTGAGCTGAAATTGATGGAAATCCACGTTTTTAAGCTGAAATTGATGGGAAACCACGTTTTTGGGCTCATTTTGACCCTAAAATGACGTTTCTAGCTCATTTGTGCTAAAAATTACAGATTTCCAAGTTTTTGGCTCATTTTAACGTAATTTTCGCTCTAAAAAATCCTCTAATCATTTTCACATTGAAAATTGACGAAATTCTTGAATTTTTCATTCAAAATTCATAATTTGCAATGAAAATTTCATAAAAATCATGAAAATTGGCTTCATTAGGCTGAAAATTATCAAAAATTTCAATTTTAAGCCCCAGAATCAAAAAATTCCCAAAGTTTCCAATTTCAGACCAAAATAGCCCGAAAAACTCACAGTCTATTGAAAATATCACAAAAATCACCAAATTTCATAATTCTTCACATTTCCACACTGAAAATGCCCCAAAAATCCCCTCATTTTTCCACATTCCAGACGCGAAATCCTCGAACTGCCAGCTGTCTCACAATTACTCGAAATAATGGATGGTAGTATGTTGTGTCGATTCCGTCTCAATTTGTCGGCAACGGCGGCGATTCATCAAGACAAACAACAACGAAAAGCGGTGCCACGTGGCAGTGCTGCTGAAAATTTCAGCCAAAATCAGGCGTTGCATGTGGAGGATTTGGAACAACAATTGGTGGCTGATGCGCAGAAGGTTGGTGGGGTTTTTGGGGGAAATTGGCTGAAAATGATCTGAAAATATGATTTTTAGCTGAAATTTGTGATTTTCTGACTGAAAATTCATAGAAATGATCTGAAATTAAAGATTTTGTGTGAAAAGTTCGATTTTCACAGTCTTTCAGGTCAAAAATAACGAATTTTTGACGAAAAATGACCTGGAATTGAAATTTGAGACTGTCTGAAAATATGATTTTTTAGCTGAAATTTTTGTGATTTTCCAGAATTTCTAACTGAAATTCATAGAAATGACCTGAAATTGATGATTTTGTGTGAAAAATTTGATTTTCACGGTGTTTTAGGTCAAAAATAATCAATTTTTGACAGAAAAAGCTTTAACTTACCTAAAATTGGGTTCTAATGATAAAATTACCAAAAAATAGTGTTTTCTGACCTATTTTCCACCTACAATTGAGAATTTTTCTGAAAATCACTCTGAAAATCTCAAATTTCCCCGATTTTTTGCAGGAAGAATCGAGTCCTATCGAAATCTCAACAGATATTGACGCAAAATCCAACGGACCAACATCGGATTTGTCGAAATCCGATGTTTTGTCGCCGAATTTGGAGGAGAAACACGCGGAATTGTCACATCAGGCATCACTTCAATCAACTGATGATGAGGGATGGGTTTCTGGAAGAGAAGTGAGTGATTTTTGACTGAAAATTTGGAATTTTGGGGGAATTTTGACCCGAAAATTGGGCTTTTGGGGTGATTTTGACCTGAAAATTGCATTTTTCTTCAAATTTTCACCAAAAAATTGCATTTTTCTTCAAATTTTGACCTGAAATTCCCAATTTTCAGACAAGATCCGATAATTCGTCTCCACAATTGGACGAATCGCCGAAAAATGAGCCAGTTTTTGAGGAAGAGCAGCCAAAAGAGGAGAATGTGAGTTTTTTCGGGCTCTTTTGGTCTGAAATTGGGAATTTTTGGGTTCTGGGGCTGAAATTCTAGATTTTTCATGATTTTCATGGTCAAAACTGGAAAATTTGGGAATTTTTGGATTCTGAAGCTGAAATTCTAGGTTTTTCATGATTTTCATGCCCAAAACTGGAAAAATTCCAGATTTTCTGATTCTGGAGCTGAAATTGGCTGAAATTCTAGATTTTTCATGATTTTCATGCTCAAAACTGGAAAAATTCCAGATTTTCTGATTCTGGAGCTGAAATTGGCTGAAATTCTAGATTTTTCATGATTTTCATGCTCAAAACTGGAAAAATTAGAGTTTTCCAGGTTCTGGAGCTGAAATTGGCTGGAATTCTAGATTTTTCATGATTTTCATGCTCGAAACTGGAAAAATTCGGTTTTCCAGATTCTGGGGCTGAAATTCTAGGTTTTTCATGATTTTCATGCTCAAAACTGGAAAAATTAGAGTTTTCCAGATTCTGGAGCTGAAATTCTAGATTTTTCATGATTTTCATGCTCAAAACTGGAAAAATTAGAGTTTTCCAGATTCTGGGGCTGAAAATCATGGTCTAGAAGGTTTTTGGGCTGAAATTCTAGATTTTTCATGATTTTCATGCTCAAAACTGGAAAAATTAGAGTTTTCCAGATTCTGGGGCTGAAAATCATGGTCTAGAAGGTTTTTGGGCTGAAATTCTAGATTTTTCATGATTTTCATGCTCAAAACTGGAAAAATTACAGATTTTCAGATTCTGGGGCTGAAAATCAAGTTTTTGATGAATTTTTGGGTCAAAAATAGTATTTTCTCTCAATTTCAGCCAAATTTAATCTCAAAATTCAAATTTTCAGCCAATTTCCACCCAAAATTCTTAAAATTTTCAGACAAATCGAATTGCGGCTGGAAGTGATGAAATGGATGGTGGAGTTGTCTCAATTGCACCAATGATGTATGAGCAAAAAGAGCATTTGGAGCATTTCCGGCCAACAGTTGTCACAACTTCGATTGAAGCCGCTTTTGATGCAATTGATGAGAATAGTTTTGGATATGCAAATGAGACGGTTCAGGAGAAAATGTGAGGATTTTTGGGGTGAAAATCATGATTTTTGAGCTAAAATTCATGGAAAATGACCTATTTTTGGTCCTGGAGCTCTAATTTTTGACCTTGGAGCCGATATTTGAGCAAATTAAGCGTTCTAACTTAAAAATTGTGAAAAAATGACCTATTTTTGGTCCTGAAACAAAAAAAGAGCATTTTTTGAGCTCAGAGCATGATTTTTCACGAAAATTCATGATTTTTGAATTTTTTCCCAATTTTAGGTTAAAAATTATGAAAATTAGGCTCAAAATTCACTAGAAACTCAATTTTCAGCCAAAAATTCCTATTTTTTCCAGAAAATCACCAACTTCCTCTTCTTCTCTCACAATTCCAGCACCAACTCCACGAAAATCTCGAAACGCTGAAAATTTGCCGGAAAGACAGGAGAATATTCAAAAGCTTATCGAGAAATTCGACCAGCCGATTGGATTTGTTGAGGTTTGCATTTTGGGCTGGAAATTTGGGATTTTTGAGTGGAAATTTGGGATTTTCAGCCAAAAATTGATAGAAAAGTGGCTGAAAATTTGAATTTTTGAAGATTTTTAGGCTGAAAATTGATCTGAAACTCGATCTTGAGCTCTAGAAAATCGAAAAATCTGAAAATTTTCAGCCTAGAATCAAAAAATGATGAAAAATTCAATCCTAGATCAGAAATTATCGATTTTTGCCAAAAATTGGTCTGAAACTCGATTTTCAGCTCCGAATTTCGAAAAATTTCGAAATTTCAGTCTAGGACCTGAAAAATCATGAAAAATGATTTTCTAGACCAAAAATTATCGATTTTTCTCAATTTTCAGCCAAAAATTGATCTGAAACTCGATTTCCAACTCCGAATTTCGAAAAATTTGGAAATTTCAGTCTAGGACCTGAAAAATGATTTTCTAGGCCAAAAATTATCGATTTTTCTCAATTTTCAGCCAAAAATTGATCTGAAACATGATTTTCAGCTTCAAAATTCGAAAAATTTGGAAATTACGTATTTTTTTTACCAAAAATTCATTTGGAGCAAGATTTCGAGCTCCGAAATCTGAAAATTTCGAAATTTCAGTCTAGGACCTGAAAAATGATGAGAAATGCTTTTCTAGACCGAAAATTATCGATTTTTCTCAATTTTCAGCCAAAAATTGATCTGAAACTCGATTTTCAGCTCCGAATTTGGAAAAACTTGAAAATTTCTGAAATTTTGCAGATGAAAACCGATTCACCCACAAAATCGCCAACAAAATCAATCTATAATCAAGTTTTGGCTGAAATTGGTGAAACTGAAAAGAAGATTGATGAGATATTCACGTCTCCCGCGAAAAATCCAGAATCCGAAGCTCCAAATCCGACTGGAAAATCGCCAAAAGTTTTATTCAGAAACGCGTCGACTTATAGCCAAATTTTGGCGCAGGAAAAGAAGGATTTGAGCAATTTTGCGGAGGAAAAACGAAAAGAGGCGGAATTTAGTGTGAAAGAGGTGGGGTTTTGGAGAATTTTGGGCTGGAAATATGGAAAAATCGATATTTTTAAGCCTAAAAATCGGGGTTTTCATCATTTTTTGGGTATTGGACTGAAAATCCTGGATTTCCAGACGAAAATGCTGAAAATTTTGCTCTTGGTGAATTTTGGCTGAAATTCTGAAGTTTTCCAGTGAAATATATGGAAAATCGATATTTTTAAGCCTAGAAATCGATTTTTCATCATTTTTAGGTCCTAAACTGAAAATCTTTGACTTTCAAGCGAAAATGCTGAAAATTTAGCTCCAGATGATTTTTGGCTGAAATTCTGAGGTTTTCCAATGAAAATTGTGGTTTTTGGGCTGAAAATCGTTATTTTAAGCCCAAAGCGCTGAAAATTGAGGAAAATCGATATTTTTAAGCCTAGAAATCGATTTTTCATCATTTTCAGGTCCTAGGCTGGAAAATCGTGGATTTTCAGGCAAAAATGCTGAAAATTATGAATTTTTCACTGAAAAACGTGATTTTTCATCATTTTTTTGGGTCCTGGACTTAAAATCGTGGATTTCCAGACGAAAATGCTGAAAATTTAGCTCTTGGTGAATTCTGGCTGAAATTCTGAAGTTTTCCAGTGAAAATTGAGAAAAATCAATATTTTTGAGCCCTGAAATCGATTTTTCATCATTTTTTGGGTCCTGGGCTGAATATCGTGGATTTCCAGGCGAAAATGCTGAAAGATTAGCTCCAGATGATTTTTTGGATGAAATTCTGAAGTTTTCCAGTGAAAATTGTGGTTTTTGGGCTGAAAATCATTATTTTGAGCCCAGAGCGCTGAAAATTGAGGAAAATGTATATTTTCAATGAGTTTTCTATCATTTTTCGAGTTCTGGACTGGAAATTTTGAATTTACAGTCAAAAATGCTGGAAATTTTGAATTTTTCGCTGAAAAACGTTATTTTTCATCATTTTCAGGTCCTAGACTCTGTAAAATGCTGAAAATTCGAATTTTCAGACAAAAAATGCTGAAAATTTTGAATTTTTCATCATTTTTTTGGTTCCTGGACTGAAAATCGTGGATTTCCAGACGAAACTGCTGAAAATCTTGTTCTTGGTGAATTTTGGCTGAATTTCTGAAGTTTTCCAGTGAAAATTATGGAAAAGTTGGGTTTTTTCATCGTTTTTTGGGTCCTGGACTGAAAATCCTGGATTTCCAGTCAAAAAATGCTGAAATTTTAGCTTCAGCTGATTTTTGGCTGAAATTCAGAAGTTTTCCAGTGAAAATTGAGAAAAATCAATATTTTTGAGCCTAGAATTGGGTTTTTCATCATTTTTTGGGTCCTAGGCTGGAAAATCGTGGATTTCCAGTCAGAAAATGCTGAAAATTTTTAATTTTTCACCTGAAAAACGTGATTTTTCATCAATTTTGGTTCTAGACTGGAAAATCGTGGATTTACAGACGAAAATGCTGAAAATTAAGCTCCAGATGATTTTTGGCTGAAATTCTGAAGTTTTCCAGTGAAAATTGAGAAAAATTGATATTTTTGAGCCTAAAAATCGGGTTTTTCATCATTTTTTGGGTCCTGGACTGAAAATCGTGGATTTCCAGTCAAAAATGCTGAAAATTTTGAATTTTTCACCTGAAAAACGTGATTTTTCATCATTTTTTGGGTCTTGGACTGAAAATCCTGGATTTCCAGTCAAAAATGCTGAAAATCTGGCTATTTGTGAATTTTTGCTGAAATTCTAAAGTTTTCAAGGGAAAATCGATATTTTAAGCCCAGAAATCGATTTTTCATAATTTTTTGGGCCCTGGACTGGAAAATCTTAGATTTCCAGATGAAAAATGCTGAAAATTTTGATTTTTTCGCTGAAAAACGTCATTTTTCATCATTTTTTTGGTCCTGCACTAAAAATTGTGGATTTCCAGTCAGAAAATGCTGAAAATCTGGCTATTGGTGATTTTTGGCTGAAATTCTGAAGTTTTCCAGTGAAAATTGAGGAAAATCGATATTTTTAAGCCCAGAAATCGATTTTTCATCATTTTTCCGGTCCTAGACTAGAAAATCCTGGATTTCTAGTCAAAAAATGCTGAAAATTTTGATTTTTACGCTGAAAAACGTGATTTTTCATCAATTTTATGCCCCATGCTCTGTAAAATGCTGAAAACTCGAATTTTCAGACAAAAATTATCATATTTTCAGCAAGCCTCAATGTCGTCGTTGGAAATCGAATATTTCGAATCGAAAATGCGTGCTGATGCCGGTTTATTTGATGAGGTATGGGAAATTTTGAGATTTTTGCTGAAAATTGACTGAAAATGATGAAAATTTCGAAATTTTGGCTCAAAATGCTCCAAATTTCATAAAAAATCTGAAAATTTAGCTTAAAATGCTTCAAATTTCATAAAAAATCTGAAAATGTAGCTGAAAATCCTCCAAATTTCATCAAAAATCTGAAAATTTAGCTTAAAATGCTCCAAATTTCATAAAAAATCTGAAAATTTAGCTTAAAATGCTCCAAATTTCATAAAAAATCTGAAAATTTTGGCTCAAAATGCTCCAAATTTCATCAAAAATCTGAAAATTTTGGCTTAAAATGCTCCAAATTTCATCAAAAATCTGAAAAATCAGCTCAAAATGCTCCAAATTTCTTGAAAAATCTCGAAATTTAGCTAAAAAATGCTCCAAATTTCATCAAAAATCTGAAAATTTTGCTTAAAATGCTCCAAATTTCATGAAAAATCTGAAAATTTAGCTTAAAATGCTCCAAATTTCATCAAAAATCTGAAAATTTAGCTCAAAATGCTCTAAATTTTATCAAAAACTCGAATTTTTGCTTCCAGCTTGGAATTAATGATTGTGATGGTTATACTCCGCGAGCTTCTATCGATCCATTATCCGAAACGAGCCAAAAAATTCAATCTGCTCAAAAATCGAAAAGTAGCGAAAAATCGGAAGGATTGGTCACCGTAATTGAGCGAAATATGCCTGGAAAATTGGCGAAAAATCGGCAAAATTCGGTTGAGGTGAGATTTTTGGTTGAAAAATTTGAATTTCTAGCTGAAAATGCTGAAAATTTGAGCCCAAAATCATCAAAAATCGAGTTTTGGTTGAAAAAATGGATTTTCAGCTATTTTTTGACTGAAAATTTGAAAATTTTGAATATTTACAGCTAAAAATGTTGAAAATCTGAAAATTGAGCCATTTTCGAAATTTTGCCACGTCATAGCTCAAGTTTTTCTGAAAATTTGAAGAAAATTGGATTTTCAGCTATTTTTTGACTGAAAATTCGAGCATTTTCAGCTAAAAATGTTGAAAATCTGAAAATTGAGCCATTTTCGAAATTTTGCCACGTCATAGCTCAAGTTTCTCTGAAAATTGGATTTTCAGCTATTTTTTGACTGAAATTTGAGAATTTCCAGCTGAAAATGTTGAAAATCTGAAAATTGAGCCATTTTCAAATTTTTGCCACGTCATAGCTCAAGTTTCACTGAAAATTTGAAGAAAATTGGATTTTCAGCTATTTTTTTACTGAAAATTGGGAAAATTTGAGCATTTTCAGCTGAAAATGTTGAAAATCTGAAAATTGAGTCATTCTCGAAATTTGCCACGTCATAGCTCAAGTTTTTCTAAAAATTTGAAGAAAATTTGAATTTTCAGCTATTTTTGACTGAAAATTTGAAAATTTTGAGCATTTTCTGCTGAAAATGTTGAAAATCTGAAAATTGGGCCATTTTCGAATTTTGCCACGTCATAGCTCAATTTTCTCTGAAAATTTGAAGAAAATTGGATTTTCAGCTATTTTTTGAATGAAAATTTGAAAAATTTGGGAATTTTCAGCTGAAAATATTGAAAATCTGAAAATTGAGCCATTTTCGAATTTTGCCACGTCATAGCTCAAGTTTCTCTGAAAATTTCAGGAAAATTGGATTTTCAGCTAATTTTTGACTGAAAATTTGAAAAATTTGGGAATTTTCAGCTGAAAATGTTGAAAATCTGAAAATTGGGCCATTTTCGAATTTTGCCACGTCATAGCTCAAGTTTCACTGAAAATTTGAAGAAAATTGGATTTTCAGCTATTTTTTGACTGAAAATTGGGAAAATTTGAGCATTTTCAGCTGAAAATCCAATTTTGACTGGAAATTTGAAAATTTTCAGCTCGAAAATATGAAAATTCCAAACTTTGGTTGAAAAATTGATTTTATCTGAAAATATCAGATTTTTGAATGTTTTCAGCTGAAATTTTCAATTTTTCTGAAATTTTCGAAAAAAATTGGATTCTTACCTATCTTTTGACCAGAAATCCTGAAATTTTTCAAAAATTTTCAGCCAAAAAACCTTAAAAATCTGAAATTATCCATTTTTTTGCAGAGCGACGCTGATATCGCATATTCTTTGTGCTCTGAAGATGAAGCTGAACCAATTACTATGATTGAAAGATCGATGAAACCTGAAACAAGTTGGAAAAATGAAGAAGCTGCTGCTGAAAATTTGGCTGAAAAAGAGTCATTCAAACGACACAAACGAGAAAAAACGGTTGTTGTAAATGTTGAATTGGATAATGGAGGAAATGGAGCGAAAATTGAGGAAAAAGTGGCGAATTTGGAAATTCAGACTAGTATTAAGGTGAGTTTTTGGACCTGGAAACTTGTAAAATTGAAGTTTTGGTGAAATTTGAGCCTAGAAATCTGAAAAAATGAATTTTTGGGCTTGGAACCTTGAAAAATTTGATTTTTGGTGAAATTTGAGCCTAGAAATCTGAAAAAATGGATTTTTGGGCCTGGAAACTTGAAAAATTGAATTTTCCATGAATTTTGAGCCTAGAAATCTGAAAAAATGAATTTTTGGACCGGGAAACTTGTAAAATTGAATTTTTCGTGAATTTTGAGCCTAGAAATCTGAAAAAATGAATTTTTGAACCTGGAAATTTGAAAATTTTGATTTTTGGTGAATTGAGCCTAGAAATCTGAAAAAAATGAATTTTCGGACCTGGAAACTTGAAAAATTGAATTTTTGGTGGAATTTGGGCTTAGACATCTAAAAAAATGAATTTCTGGTGAATTTTTGGACTTGGAAACTTGAAAAATTTAATTTTTCGTGAAATTTGAGCTTAGAAATCTGAAAAAAATGAATTTCTGGTGAATTTTGGATCTGGGAACTTGTAAAATTGAATTTTTGGTGGAATTTGAGCCTAGAAATCTGAAAAAATGAATTTTTGGACTTGGAAACTTGAAAAATTTAATTTTTCGTGAAATTTGAGCTTAGAAATCTGAAAAAAATGAATTTCTGGTGAATTTTGGATCTGGGAACTTGTAAAATTGAATTTTTGGTGAAATTTGAGCCTAGAAATCTGAAAAAATGAATTTTTGGACCTGGAAACTTGTAAAATTGAATTTTTCGTGAAATTTGAGCCTAGACATCCGAAAAAATGAATTTTGGACCTGGAAACTTGAAAAATTGAATTTTTGGTGAAATTTTGAAGTTTTTCACTCAGAACTCGAAAATTCACGATTTTTGGTGCAAAAAATCGATTTCTCGTGATTTTTTGACCTGGAAACTTGGAAAATTGAATTTTTCGTGAATTTTGAGCCTAGACATCTGAAAAAATGAATTTTTCGTGAATTTTGAGCCTAGAAATCTGAAAAATTGAATTTTTGGTGAAATTTGAGCTTAGAAATCTGAAAAAATGAATTTTTGGTGAAATTTGAGCCTAGAAACTTGAAAAATTGAATTTTTCATGAATTTTGAGCCCAGACATCTGAAAAAATAAATTTTTGGACTTGGAAAATTGAAAAATTGAATTTTTTGTGAAATTTGAGCCTAGAAATCTGAAAAAATGAATTTTTGGATCTGGGAACTTGAAAAATTGAATTTTTTATGAATTTTGAGCCCAGAAATCTTAAAAATTGATTTTTTCGTCAAATTTGAGCCTAGACTTCTGAAAAATTGAATTTTTCATGAATTTTGAGCCTAGAAATCTGAAAAAATGAATTTCTGGTGAATTTTGGTCCTGGAAACTTGTAAAATTGAATTTTTGGACCTGGAAACTTGAAAAATTGAATTTTTCCATGAATTTTGAGCCTAGAAATCTGAAAAAATTAATTTTGGACCTGAAAACTTGAAAAATTGAATTTTTGGTGAAATTTAAGCCTAGAAATCTGAAAAAAATGAATTTTTCGTGAAATTTTGAAGTTTTTCCACCCAGAACTCGAAAATTCACGATTTTTGGTGCAAAAAAGTCGATTTTTCGTGATTTTTTGACCCGGAAACTGATTTTTGGACCGAAATTCGGATAAATTCGAGTTTTCTAGGCCTAAACATGAAAATTAGGCCCAAATTTAATTGTTGAACTGAAAATCTAAGCCCCGGGTTTTCCAGTCTTGTTTAGGTAGTTTCTGGGCCCGAAAATTTGATTTTTGGCCCGAAATTCAAAATTTTGAGCTTATTTGGCCTTGGAAACTTGAAAAATTGGATTTTTCGTGAATTTTTGAGCCTGGAATGTGGAATAATCTGAAAATTTGAATTTTCCATGAATTTTGAAGATTTTTGGTCAATTTTTGACATGGAAGCTTAAAAAATTGAAAAAATCTCAAATTTCTATGATTTTGCTCAATTTTCCCAAATTTTTGCAGGAAAGAATAGCCGCTTTACAAGATGCAGTATCAGGTCAAAAAAGTCCGGCACCAATTGCAAAAATCGAAAATGAAGAAGGAGAAGAAGCGGGAATTATTCACACGTTGAATAGAACACAAGAATTCGAGCAATCTGTGTTGGAAATTCGACCGGCTAATGTTGCGGTGAGTGAAAATCTGGTTAAAATGGTCCAAAACGCGAGAATTTTGGCTCGAAATGAGCAAAATTGAGATTTTCAGCTTATTTTTGACTGGAAACGCTGAAAATTTGCCGAAAATTGGACAAAAATCACGATTTTCCTAGAATTTTTGCTGAAATTTCTGGAAATTTCACGTATTCTTTCAAATTTCTAGAATTTTTGCTGAAAATTCCCAAATTTCTGAAATTTCTAAAAATTTCACGTATTCTCTCAAAACTCTAGAATTTTTGCTGAAAATCTCAAATTTCTGAAATTTTCTAGAATTTCTGGAAATTTCACGTTTTTTCTCAAATTTATAGAATTTTTGCTGAAATTCCCAAAAAAATCTCAAATTTTCTAAAATTTCTGGAAATTTCACTTATTCTTTCAAATTTCTAGAATTTTTGCTGAAATTTTCTGAAATTTCTAAAAATTTCACGTATTCTCTCAAAACTCTAGAATTTTTGCTGAAAATCTCAAATTTCTGAAATTTTCTAGAATTTCTGGAAATTTCACGTTTTTTCTCAAATTTATAGAATTTTTGCTGAAATTCCCAAAAAAATCTCAAATTTTCTAAAATTTCTGGAAATTTCACTTATTCTTTCAAATTTCTAGAATTTTTGCTGAAATTTTCTAAAATTTCTGAAAATTTCACGTATTCTCTCAAATTTCTAGAATTTTTGCTGAAAATCCCAAATTTCTGAAGAAATTTTCTAAAATTTCTTAAAAATTCTCTTATTATTTCAAATTTATAGAATTTTTGCTGAAATTCCCAAAAATCTGAAGAAATTTTCTAAAATTTCTTAAAAATTCTCTTATTATTTCAAATTTATAGAATTTTTGCTGAAAATTCCAGATTTCTGAAATTTTCTAAAAATTTCTGGAAATTTCACCTATTCTTTCAAATTTCTAGAATTTTTGCTGAAAATCCCAAATTTCTGAAATTTTCTGGAAATTTTGCTGAAAATCTCAAATTTCTGAAAATTTCTGGAAATTTCACGTATTCTTTTGAAATTTCTAGAATTATTGCTGAAAATCTCAAATTTCTGGAAATTTCACGTATTCTTTCAAACTACAAGATTTTCAAGAAACTTTCTGAAATTCCCAAAAATCTGAAATTTTCAGACAAATTCGGATGGTTCAATGCGTGCTCGTCGCCGTCAAGTTCGATTTATGCGTGGATGTTGTGTTGTCTCCTAAAGTGCTTCTTCTGGTGCTCAAAAATCCCCCCGCCCACAAAAAATGCTCATTTTTCTGTTTTTTTGTTTGTTGAATCCCCCTCCCGAAATCTTCTTGGGATTTTCAGAATAGCTGAAAATCCACACACACACACGTTTTTCCATTTTATTTTATTCTATTTGATCCCGCCCCCTTTTTCCCCTTTCATTTTATTTTTATATTAACTGAACTGTTATCAGAGAAGCCTCCCAAATCAATCACACAAAAAATTGTAAATGAAGTTTTATATGATGACGTGGCAGCGGAAATTTGGGATTTTTTGGTTGGAAATGAGCCAAAATTTGAATTTTGCTCGAAAATGAGCATTTTTTGCTCAAAATTTAAAAATTGATACTAATATGAGCAATCCACGTGGCAAATGAGCATTTTTTGCTCGAAAATTCAAGATTTTTGGTTGGAAATGAGCCAAATTTTGAATTTTGCTCGAAAATTAACTTATGACGTGGCAAATGAGCATTTTTGCTAGAAAATTTGGAATTTTTTAGTTGGAAATGAGCCAAATTTTTAATTTTGCTCGAAAATGAGCATTTTTTGCTCAAAATTTAAAAATTGATACTAATATGAGCAATCCACGTGGCAAATGAGCATTTTTTGCTCAAAAATTCAAGATTTTTGGTTGAAAATTGCTCAAGAACGAAAAAATTTATGAGCTATGACGTGGCAATTTACATTATTTACAAATATCTTCACCTAATCCTTCCTAAGGCCTTAAAGGCTTTAGCCCTTAAGTTAAGGCGAATGTTTATCGATTAAATTAAATTGCATTTGCGCGGTCTTCACAATAATATCATCATGATTTCCGGGTTTCTGGAATTCGGCATTCGATCCGTCGATTTTCGACGTCAATTGTCCGCACGCATTCTTATAGCCCACTTTATCATCGGATTGACCGTAAATCGAAAAAATGTACTTTGCCTCGTATTTTTGACGTGAATTGATGTCTTGAATGAAGCGCGAGTTGCACGATAAACCGTTTATCATATTGCAGGCACCGGGAAATGGAAGAGCACATAGGAATGAGCCGCGATTTGCGCCTGTAAAAACGTTGGTTCGTCAGTTGCGTGCGGCTGTGCGTCGCGGTCGAGGGACAACAACCGCGACGCACAGCCGCACGCGACCTATGACGTGGCATTTTCGCTAACTCACCAGCCACAGATACAAAAGTGTCGATCAATGGTGTTAGAGCTGGTCCCAATTGCTCTCCAGTATCCACGCAGGCTCCACCTAGAATGGCTTTCCGGGAAATTGGGGAACCCAAGGAGTATCCGATTACATCGACTTTTCGGCGGGTGAATGCGGCTACGACTTGAATCATGTAGCGGACCTTAAGGAAATCGTGTTAGGGGAGTTCTTAGGGACCTTAGGGACCTTAGGAACCTGAGGCTAATTGATTTTTAGCGCTCTAATCAAATGGTTGGTGACTTTACGCTCGCTCGGGAAAATCGGCCCGATTTTTTGAAAAACAGTGAAAAAATCGGCCCGATTTTTTGAAAAACAGTGAAAAAATCGGCCCGATTTTTTGAAAAACAGTGAAAAAATCGGCCCGATTTTTTGAAAAACAGTGAAAAAATCGGCCCGATTTTTTGAAAAACAGTGAAAAAATCGGCCCGATTTTTTGAAAAACAGTGAAAAAATCGGCCCGATTTTTTGAAAAACAGTGAAAAAATCGGCCCGATTTTTTGAAAAACAGTGAAAAAATCGGCCCGATTTTTTGAAAAACAGTGAAAAAATCGGGCCGATTTTTTGAAAAACAGTGAAAAAATCGGCCCGATTTTTTGAAAAACAGTGAAAAAATCGGGCCGATTTTTTGAAAAACAGTGAAAAAATCGGCCCGATTTTTTGAAAAACAGTGAAAAAATCGGCCCGATTTTTTGAAAAACAGTGAAAAAATCGGGCCGATTTTTTGAAAAACAGTGAAAAAATCGGCCCGATTTTTTGAAAAACAGTGAAAAAATCGGCCCGATTTTTTGAAAAACAGTGAAAAAATCGGGCCGATTTTTTGAAAAACAGTGAAAAAATCGGCCCGATTTTTTGAAAAACAGTGAAAAAATCGGGGCGATTTTTTGAAAAACAGTGAAAAAATCGGGCCGATTTTTTGAAAAACAGTGAAAAAATCGGCCCGATTTTTTTGAAAAACAGTGAAAAAATCGGGCCGATTTTTTGAAAAACAGTGAAAAAATCGGCCCGATTGACTGTTTCAACGTTTTCCATGAAATAAATAAGCTGAAAACGATTCTGAAGTCAGAAATTGCTATATCTGTCATTTTGAGCACTTGTGGAGCTCTCTTCAGCTCCAAAATTGCTCAAAATGACAGATATAGCAATTTCTGACTTTAGAATCGTGTTCAGTCTACTCGAATTCACAAAAACCACCCCAACCTGCTTAACATATTGACACTTCATATCAACCAACGGCATCGGTGTCTTTCCCCCATCTCCATAACTCGTCCCATACACCAATTCATCACCCCATCCAACATTCAACAAATGCTGCCTATGCCCACCAAAAGTGCCGGCCGTATTCGTGATCCCGTGCACCAAAATGACGGCTTGCTTACGGGTTCGCGAGTTGCCGTCATGTTTCCCACCACCATAACTTCCACCACCGCCCAAATCTCGTCTCGCGAGCAATTCGTCGATATGATGACCGTATTTTTGATCCAGAAATCGATTGAAACTCGCCGAAAATTCGCAAGAAATCAGGGGGAATGAGAGGAAAAAGAAAAACCACATTTTGAATTGACTAGAAAATGAAATGAAATGCGGCGGGGTGTTGTAATAACTTATAAAAGGGAAGAAGATACGCGAGAAGAAGAAGAACAATAACAATAACTTTCAGAACCAAGTGGTTTACACTGTATGTTGATCGAATTTGGCAATTGACCGAGGTTTAACAAGTGTGTTTTTGTGACTAATGTTAGGCGAGAGAGAGAGAGACGCAGAGACAAATTGATGATTTTTTGAGTTGCCACGTCATAGCTTCATTTTCGGGGGTCAGGAACCAGATCAGAAAATTATAGCTGTCTTGAAAATAATACGAAAATCCGTCTTCTCTGCGAGACCCTGTGCAGAGGAGTACTGTAGCACACGTTTCGACTGTGTCAATTTTCGAAAAAATGACAAGTTCGCTGCAAGACCTGTGTGAAAAGTACTGTAGCACACGCTTCGGCTGTGTCAATTTTGCGAAAACATGAAAAATAACGAAAAAAATGGCTAAACAGCAAGTTCGCTGCGAGACCTGTGGGCATGGTACTGTAGCACGAGCTTGGACTGTGTCGATTTTCCGTAAAACAACGAAAAATGGTCTAAAAGAGCAAGTTCGCTACAAGGCCTCTGTGCATAGTACTGTAGCACACGTTTCGACAGTGTTAATTCCCGAAAAATGGCAAGTTCGCCGCAAGACCTGTGGGCATAGTACTGTAACACACGTTTCGACTGTGTCAAATTTCTGAAAAATGGCAAGTTCGCTGCAAGACCTGCATGCAGAGTACTGTAGCACACGTTTCGACTGTGTCAACTCGAATTTTCCCGCTTCAAAACTTTATGTATGTATTTACATTTTGCTCATTTATGCACCGTATTTTTGACAGCATGCGCCAATTGCAGTCGAAATTGTGCAAAAGTGTCCAAATCGAACTCGAAATCCTCATTTGTTCCGGGCATTTTGATGTTTATCACAGGTCGCAGACTTTTTGCCACGTGTGAATTGGCGGCAACTGCAAATATTTGAATTTTTTTTTGAAAATAAATTTTTCCTTACTGATATTGATTTTCCAATCGATATTCCCAACCTTTTCCCGATGATTTTCGAAAATTTTCCTCATATTCTGTATTGTCTCGTCGTCTAAACTCTCCCCATTATCGATTGATTTCAAATTCTCGCCATGTTCCAAAAGCTTTTCAAAACCGCGCACAATTCCGGCATTCTCCAACGAGACTCCGCGTTTGCGCTGCACAACCGCCTCAAAAATCGATTGCAGTTCTTCGAAACGCATCTTGTGCTCTGGAAAAACGGGAAATTTCAGTGGAATTTCGAATTTTTCAAAATTACCGCGAGAAAAAGTGACGAGAAATGGAAAATTCGAGAGATTCGATGAAATTCAGGCATTTTTCACAGAAATTTTGGGAACACGAGCAGATTTTGAGAATTTTCGGGTGACATTTGGGGTGCGAAATGCAGAGGTGTCTGGAAATGAGAGAGCGTGAGAGATTTAGAGAAAGAGAGAGAGATAGTGCAGTGGGGCGCATTTGGTATTTTGAATGCTTTTCAGAGTTTTTTTGAGAAAAAAATGACTGCAGGCACCGGGAATCGATCCCTTGACCTTTAGATTCAAAATTTGAGCAAATACGCTCTACCGAACTGTTCAATAGAGCGAATTTGAGCACTTGAGGATGGAAAACCCTGATTTTTCATAATTTTTAAATGAAAAAAATGCTTGCAGGCACTGGGAATCGATCCATTGACCTTTAGATTCGAAATATGAGCAAATACGCTCTAACGAATTGTTCAATAGAGCGAATTTGATCATTTTCGTGAAAAAAATGATTTTTTTGGTATAATCATGTTCAATAGAGCGAATTTGACCACTTTGGGGTGGAAAACCCTGATTTTTCATAATTTTTGAGAAAAATATCTCTGCAGGCACCGGGAATCGATCCCTTGACCTTTAGATTCAGAATTTGAGCAAACACGCTCTACCGAACTGTTCAATAGAGCGAAATTGATCATTTTCGACAGAAAATCAATTTTTTGGTATAATCGTGTTCAATAGAGCGAATTTGATCGCTTTGGGATGGAAAATAGTGATTTGCCACAGTTTTTGAGAAAAAAATATCTCTGCAGGCACTGGGAATTGATCCCCTGGCCTCTAGATTGAAAAATCGAACTGCCACGTCACAAACCCCTCCCCCCCCCCCCAAATTTTCACACCCTTCATAAACCCGTCACCCACACCCTACACCATCTGCACATATGGTGTATTGGTCTAAACAGTCGCCTATCAATTGAAAGGTGTCAGGTTCGATGCCGGGCCGAAGCAATGACGCAAATATTAGGAGAATCGTGAATTCCGGAACTATCCGCATAGATCTACGTTCGATCGAATGCGGCCGGATTGTGTCCGATTGACTAATCTTCTCTCTGAGCTTTTTTGGGGAGTTCAGTAGAGCAAATTTGCTCCAATTTTCACAAAATCCTCACAATTCCTCCCCATGTTCATCGCATTTCCAAAATTTTCCCTCCTGAATTTTCCTCGATTCCATCACAAGTTCGCATAACTTCGAAAATCGTGCCTTATTCAATCTTGCGTCGGCAAAAAGAACAAGTTCGATTTGATCTTCGAATTCTTTGCGATCATATAGATCTTCACAGTCTTTGAGCTCTCGCAAAACATCGGAATTGCGATTTTTGATGAAATCAAAGACGAGATGTAAATTTGTGGAGTTTATCCAATTGTGATTGATTGAGATGGTTTCGGTCTGGAATTTGGGGGATTTTTTGTGGATTTGAGAGCTCTGGGGGGAAAATCCGTGATTTTTTGCTCCGGGAGCTCAAACTACAGCTTCTAGAGCAAGTTTTCATGATTTTGGAGGTGGAAAGCGTGAAATTTCGAGTCCTAGAGCTAGATTTCATGATTTTTCAGCTTCTAGTCCTTAAAAATCATGAAAACTCGCCCCAGGACCGAAAAATCGTCGAAATCCAGCTCCTGGAGCAAGTTTTCATGATTTCCGAGATTCTGAAGCTGGAAAGCGTAAAACTTTGAGTCGTAGAGCTAGATTTCATGATTTTTGTGGTCCCGGAGCTGAAAAACCATGAAAACTCGCCCTAGGACCGCAAAATCATCGGAATCCAGCTTCTAGACCAAGTTTTCATGATTTTTCAGCTTCTTGAGCTTGAAAATCATGAAAACTCGCTCCAGGACCGGAAAATCGTCGAAATCCAGCTCCTAGAGCAATTTTTCATGATTGTTCAGCTTCTAGACTTTGAAAATCTTGAAAACTTGCCCCAGGACTGAAAAATCATCGGAATTCAGCTTCCAGAGCAAATTTTCATGATTTTTGTGGTCCCGGAGCTGAAAAACCATGAAATTTTCCTCTACGACCTGGAAATGGTCAAAATCCAGCTTCAGACCAAGTTTTCATGATTTTTCAGCTCCGGGACCTTGAAAATCATGAAAACTCGCTTCAGGGCATGAAAAATTAGCGAAATCCAGCTCCCGGAGCAAGTTTTTATGATTTTTCAGCTCCGGGACCTCAAAAACCATGAAATTTTGTTCTATAACCTGGAAATGGTCAAAATCCAGCTCCCGGAGCAAGTTTTTATGATTTTCCAGCTTCTAGGCCTTGAAAATCATCAAAACCCAGCTTCTAGACCAAATTTCCTTGATTTTCCAGCTCCCGCACCTCAAAAATCACCCCAAAACCCCGCAATCTCCTCATACCAAATTATGAACTTGATGATACCAATTCGACGGAACAAAAACAATCTCTCCAGCCTCTTGCACAAACTCAAAAACCCCATTCTCCTCAAAAATCTCCGATTTTTCGCGAATATCTTCGAGACCCGCAAACAAATGCTCTTTTCCCGGCGGGACCATTATCCACAATTTTCGGCCGCAAATATTGGCTGACCAACTGTGCGAGGAGACAACATCCGAGTGGAATTTTGTCCTGGAAATTGGGGAAAAATCGTCGGAATTTGTGATGTGAGTGAAATTTTCATGATTTTTCGGACCCTGGAGCTAATTTTCATGGTTTTCAAGGTCTTAGAGCTAGAAAACTATGAAAAAATTATCCCAGAGATGATTTTTGATGATTTTCATGTCCCAGGGCTGCAAAATCATGAAAAATGATCCCAGAGCTGATTTTTCATGATTTTCTAGGCCTTGGAGCTAGAAAATCATTAAAAATGGTAGCAGGTCTGATTTTTGATGATTTTCTAGCTCCTGGAACTGGAAAACCATAAAAATATGCTCCCTGAGCTGATTTTCACAATATTCCTTGCTCTGAAGTTCAAAAATCATGAAACCTTGCTCCAGAATAGGAAAACCATCGAAATTCAACTCTGAGAGCGGATTTCCATGATTTTCTAGGTCCTGGAGCTAGAAAATCATAAAAACCTGCTCCTAGAGCGAATTTTCATGATTTTCTAGGTCCTGGAGCTAGAAAATCGTGAAAAAATGAACCCAGAGCTGAATTTTCATGATTTTCTAGGTCCTGGAGCTGAAAAATCATGAAAAAATGATCCCAGGATTGATTTTTGATGAATTTATAGCTCCTGAAGCTGGAAAACCATCAAAATTTTCGTCGGAAGCAAGATTTCATGATTTTCTAGGTCCCGAAGCTAGAAAACTATGAAAAAATCGTCCCAGAGCTAATTTCTGATGATTTTCAAGTCCCAGAGCTGAAAAATCATGAAAACCTGCTCCTAGAGCTGAAAAACCATCAAAATTTTCCTAGGAAGCAAGATTTCATGATTTTCTAGGTCCTGGAGCTGAAAAACCATGAAAAAATGCTCCTGAATATAAAAAGCATCGAAATTTGACTCTAAGAACAAATTTTCATGATTTTCTAGGTCTTGGAACTAGAAAATCATGAAAACCTGCTCCTAGAGCTAATTTCTGATGATTTTCTAGCTCCTGGAGCTCCTGGAGCTAGAAAATCATGAAAAATGATTCCAGATCTGAATTTTCATGACTTTCTGGACCGTGAAGCTCAAAAAATCATGAAAAACTTGCTCCTAGAGCTGAATTTACACAATTCCCGTCTCCCAGAACCTTAAAATCATCGAAAATCAGCCCAGAAACCCCGATTTCCCTCCTAACACACCATGATCCACTAGCACCATAATAAACAAATCGATAATCATCGCCAAACGGATTCTCATCACGATTTTCCGTCCATTTTTCGCGATTCACAAAGTCGCGCGACAAAAATGGATGCAATTTTTGATAGCAACTCGTGCCAAATCTTCAAAACCACTGTTTATATTTTTTGTATTTATGCGAAAACCCACTCATTTTGAAAATGCCAATCTTTCAGATATTTCTCCGGTGATTTTCCAAAATCTAGATATTCCTCAAAACTTTGACTTATCACATCTCCATTTTCCAAAGCTATTGGGACTTTTGAATTGCCAAATGTGGTTTTCAAATATTCCACGTTCGGAGTCCCATCCAAATTCACCCATTTTCGCCGGGCTTCCCAAGATTCAGTTGCCCAGTTTTCAAAAACAAAAGGTTTGTTGGAAAAACCGAATTTTAGCAGAATTTCGAGCCACGGTGTTTGCGAATTGCTGATTTTTATCATTTTTACCTAGGAAATTATGAAAAATTAGGTTTGGCAAAAAGTGCGTCAAGGAACAATTCACTGACGCGTTTGATGTGAGCGGTTTGCAGAGAAATTTGAAAATTCCTTCCCCACATTTTTTTCACCCCGGGAACCCCCTAAATACCAATATTAACACCCTATTACATCTGCATAAGCAAATAGACATTCCAAAAGGTGTCGGAAACCCTTTGCACCCATTGTTTACATAAAGACAGATGTCTTTATTATACTTGTATAATAAAACACCATGATCCGGCTTGCACCATATTAATAACTATTTATAAATCGATTTTTTGCTATTTTTTTTGGGCAAAAAAGCCAGGTAACGTTGAACCCGATGTTTTCAGATACGCTTAATCTCATTTTCACATTATTTCAGCTCAGAAACCCCTAGAAAACCCCGAAAAACCCCAAGAAAAACAAAAAAATAAAAATAAAAAATTGTGCGTCAAGGTGCAGATGATTGACGCATTTTCGGGGATCGCCCCGCCTCTTGGCGCGTTTCTCGTGCATTTTGCGTGCATTTTCAAAGAAAACATGTTTTGCCTCGAATTTCACCGATTTTTTGGAGTTTTCCAGATTTAAAAGTGAAAAAATCGATATTTTCAGCATGCTCAACGTTCCGACTTCGATTATGTGCCGATTGGCAGCGAGAAACGCGATTTCTCGCAATTTCACCACTTCTGTCGTCTCCAAGGTACTTTTAGCCGATTTTTTGAGTAAAAAACACACGTTTTTCAGTCGGCTGAGACGAAAACACCAATCCAAAAATTGGGATGGGAATATTTGTTGAAACAACGCGCCAAGAATCGTCCAATCTCACCACATCTTACCATTTATCAACCACAACTCACATGGATGGTAAGAATTATTGAAAAAAATGAAGAAATCATGGGTTTTGTTGAGTTTTTATGGTGGAAAATGAGGTCTACGTGAAATTTTGACCTGAAAATGGGGAAAATCTTAAATTTCACGGTAAAATGCAAAATTTTTATGAAAATCAGAAAAGAGATGTGAAAATGTCCTTGAAATAGCTCTAAATTCATCATTTTTCACCAGAAACATTGATTTTCCATCAAATTTTCAAAAAGGTGACCCCTCTTGGTTCAGGGGGTCTCAAAATCTAAAAATTTATCATTTTCAGCTTGAAATGGCTCAAAATGTATAGTTTTTTACCTAGTTTCCACCAGAAATATTAATTTTCTATCAAAAATCACAAATTTTTGAGAAGGTGACCCCCCTTGCTTCAGGGGGGGGTCCCAAAATCTGAAAATTCATCATTTTCAGCCAAAGATGGCTCAAAATTCATCATTTTTCACTAAATTTGCACCAGAAACACTAATTTTCCATCGAAAATTACAAATTTTCTAAAAGGTGACCCCCCTTAGTTCAGGGGGTGCCAAAATCTGAAAATTCATTATTTTCAGCCAAAGATGGCTCAAAATTCATCATTTTTCACCTAGTTTTCTCCAGAAACACTAATTTTCCATCGAAAATCACAAATTTTCAAAAAGGTGACCCCCCTGGATTCAGGGGGTCTCAAAATCTGAAAATTCATTATTTTCAGCTTGAAATAGTTCAAAATTCATCATTTTTAACCAAATTTGCACCAGAAACATTAATTTTCCATCAAAAATCACGAATTTTCAAAAAGGTGACCCCCCTTGATTCAGGGGGGTGCCAAAATCTGAAAATTCATCATTTTCAGCCAAAGATGGCTCAAAATTCATCATTTTTCACCTAGTTTCCCCCAGGAATGCTTATTTTCCATGGAAAATCACTAATTTTCAAAAAAGTGACGCCCTTGGTTCAGAGGAGTGCCGAAATCTGAAAATTCACTGTTTTCAGCCAAAGATGGCTCAAAATTCATCATTTTTCACCAAATTTGCACCAGAAAAATTAATTTTCCATAAAAAATCACAAATTTTCGAGAAGGTGACCCCCCTTAGTTCAGGGGTCCCAAAATCTGAAAATTCACTGTTTTCAGCTAAAGATGGCTCAAAATTCATCATTTTCACCAGAAACATTGATTTTCCATCAAATTTTCAAAAAAGTGACCCCCCTTAGTTCAGGGGGGGGGGTTCCAAAATCTGAAAATTCACCTTTTTCAACCAAAAACAGCTCAAAATGCATCATTTTTCACCAAATCTGCACTAGAAACATTGATTTTTCATCGAAAATCATCAATTTTCAAAAAGGTGACCCCCCTTAATTCAGGGGGGTGCCAAAATCTGAAAATTCACCATTTCCAACCAAAAATACCTCAAAATTCATCATTTTTCACCAAATTTTCACCAAAAATCCCCCAATTTTCCAGTTATCCGGTTTCCATCGTATCAGTGGTTGTGTAATGGGTGGAACCTTGTTAGTCGGTGGCCTCGGTTTCGCCGTTCTCCCATTGGACTTCACCACTTTCGTCGATTTCATCCGCGGATGGAACTTGCCGTGCGCCGTCACCGCCGTCTTCAAATACATCATTGCTTTCCCGATCATTTTCCACACTTTGAACGGAATTCGATTCTTGGGTTTTGATTTGGCGAAAGGTGTTGATAATATTGGACAGGTAAGGGTTTTTGGGGCGGAAATTTTGGAGAAAATCCGGGTTTTCTGGAGGAAAAATTGAAAAAATTAATGAATTCCAGCTGAAAATCGATTTTTTAGTAAAAAATCGGTCAAAATTCTAGTAAATTTATGATTTTTGAGCTGAAAATCCTGAAATTCAGGTTTCTGAGCTGAAAATTCTGAAATTTCAGCGCGGAATTCAATTAAATTCAATTTCAGGTCAAAAATCTTGAATTTTCTCGTTTGAAAGTCTGAAAATCCCAAGTTTCAGCTCTAAATTGGCCTAAATTCAATTTCAGGTCAAAAATCTCGAATTTTCTTGTTAGAAAGTCTGAAAATCCCAAATTTCAACCTGAAAGTTAGCCTGTAGTTAATTTCAGGTCAAAAATACCCTTCTAAGCCTTTTTAGGGTCAAAAATCTCGAATTTTTACACCAAAGTTAGCCTAAATTTAATTTCAGGTCAAAAATACCCTTCTAAGCTTATTTAGGATCGAAAATCTTAAATTTTTACACCAAAATCAACCAAAATTTAATTTAATGTCAAAAATCTCGAATTTTCTCTTTAGAAAGTCTGAAAATCCCAAATTTAAGCTCTAAATTGACCTAAATTCAATTTCAGGTCAAAAATATCTTAATAAGCTTATTTAGGGTCAAAAATCCCAAATTTCCACCTGAAAAATAGCCTAAATTCAATTTCAGGTCAAAAATACCTTTCTAAGCTTATTTAGGGTCAAAAACCTTAAATTTTCTCATTAGAAAGTCTGAAAATCCCAAATTTCAGGTCTAAATTGACCTAAATTTTATTTCAGGTTAAAAATACCTTACTAAGCTTATTTAGGGTCAAAAATCTTAAATTTTTACACCAAAGTTAGCCTAAAATTAATTTCATGTCAAAAATCTCGAATTTTTCCGTTAGAAAGTCTGAAAATCTCAAATTTCAACCTGAAAATTAGCTTAAAATTAATTTCAGGTCAAAAATACCTTTCTAGACTTATTTTGGGTCAAAAACCTTAAATTTCCACCAAAAATTCCGTTCTAGACTTATTTTGAGTCAAAAATCTCAAATTTTTACACCAAAAATCCTAAAAATCCCAAATTTTTACCCAAAATTGAATTTCAGGTCTACAAAAGTGGCTATTTGGTATTTGCTGTTTCAGCAATCATTGCTCTTGCCGTCGTCATCAATGCATGCCAAAACAAAAGCCAAAAGAAGTAGACTAGACTCTAGTCTAGCCTATTTTCTCTAGGCCACGCCCCCTTTTTTTTACCCGAAACCACGCCCCCTTTTTTTCTTTTTTTCTTCGTAAATTCTGTATTTTTGCCCGTTTACCGTAGTTTTTTGTATCTATATTTTATCGATTGAAAGTAAAATAAAATTTTTTTAGGCCCGTGCAATGACGAGAGACACAATGTTGGATTCAATCGATATGGCATCGTCAAGTGCGACAAATATGACGAGTTTTAGAAGGTTTGTGGAGGGTTTTTGAGGTGAAATTGAGCTAAAAATGATAAAAATCATGAAATTTTGACCGGAAAATGTGGAAAAATTGCTGGAAATGATGGATTTTGAGGGTTTTGGGGGGTTTTTTTGCTGAAAATTTCAGCCTGAAATTAATTCTAGGCTGAAAATGATCAGAATTAGCCCAAAATTCATAAATTTTGGACCAAAAACCCGGAATTTCAACCTGAAATTAATTCTAGGCTGAAAATAATCAGATTCAGCTCAAAATTCTCAAATTTTTGAGCAAAAAGCCGGAATTTCAGCCTGAAATCAATTCTAGGCTGAAAATTTGTCCTTATTGGCTGAAAGTAGTCTGAAGCAGTTCAAAATTCATCGAATTTCAACCTGAAATTAATTCCAGGCTGAAAATGATCAGATTTAGCTTAAAAATCTCAAATTTTTGAGCAAAAACTCGGAATTTCAGCCTGAAATTAATTCTAGACTGAAAATGATCAGATTCAGCTCAAAATTCACAAATTTTTGACCAAAAACCCGGATTTTCAACCTGAAATTAATTTTAGGCTGAAAATTGATCAAAATCAGCCTAAAATTCTCAAATTTTTGACCAGAGGCCCGGAATTTCAGCCTGAAATTAATTCTAGGCTGAAAATGATCAGATTTAGCTCAAAAATGTCAAATTTTGGACCAAAAACCCGAAATTTCAGCCTGAAATTAATTCTAGACTGAAAAAGATCAGATTCAGCTCAAATATCTCAAATTTTGGAACAAAAACCCGGAATTTCAGCCTGAAATTAATTCTAGGCTGAAAATAATCAGATTTAGCTTAAAATTCTCAAATTTTTGACCAAAAACTCGAAATTTCAACCTGAAATCAATTCTGGTCTGAAAATAATCAGATTCAGCTCAAAAATGTCAAATTTCAACCTGAAACTAATTCTAGGCTTAAAATTTCCAGCCTGAAATCATTTTCAGCCCAAAAAAACCTAAAATAAATTCTAGGCGAACAATGGCAACCGGAGAAATGCGCGAATTATTGACAAAAAATGGCGGATGTGATCCAATTGAAGTGATGTTGATGAAATCAGACAACAAAAATGCCCACAAAAATTTGCACATTTCCCCGTCTTCTTCTTCTCATGGAGTTAGCCTAAATCCAGAAAAAACGCGAAGAATGTCGATTGGCGGAGGAATGGAGAAGAATTTGGAAAATGAGGAAGTTAATGATTGGGAAGAGCCGAGATTGGATATTGAGGGATTTATTGTGAGTGGTTTTGGGGATGGAAATTGTGAAAAATGAGCATTTTTTGACCCAAAATATGCGAAATTTAAAGAAAAATGAGGTCCTGAGCTTGAAAATCATGAAAAATGCAATTTTTGACCTCAAAATAGGCGAATTTTGAAGAAAATTGAGCTCTGGAGCTTGAAAATCATTTAAAAAATCAATTTTTGACACAAAACAGCTGAATTTTGAAGAAAAATGAGCTCTGGAGCTTGAAAATCATGAAAAATTGATTTTTAACCTCAAAATGATGGAATTTCAGAATTTTTGACCCAAATTAGCCTAATTTTGAAGAAAAATGAGCTCCTGAGCTTGAAAATCATGAAAAAAGTGATTTTTTGCGGAATTTTGAGAAAAAATGAGCTCCTGAGCTTGAAAATCATGAAAAAAATTGATTTTTGACTCAAAATAGGCGAATTTTGAAGAAAAATGAGCTCTGGAGCTTGAAAATCATGAAAAAATTGATTTTTGATCCAAATTAGCCTAAATTTGAAGAAAAATGCTGAAATTGCTGAAATTATAAGGTTTTCGACCCAAAAAGTGAAAATTTGAGAAAAAATGAGCTCCTGAGCTTGAAAATCAAGAAAAAATTGATTTTTTGACCCGAAATAGGCGAACTTTGAAGAAAAATGAGCTCTGGGGCTTGAAAATCATTAAAAAAAATGATTTTTGACCCAAAATATCCAAATTTTGAAGAAAATTGAGCTCTGGAGCTTGAAAATCTTGAAAAAATTGATTTTTGACTTCAAAATGATGGAATTTTAGGATTTTTGAACCAAAAAGTGAAAATTTGAGAAAAATGAGCTCCTGAGCTTGAAAATCAAGAAAAAATTGATTTTTTGACCCGAAATAGGCGAACTTTGAAGAAAAATGAGCTCTGGGGCTTGAAAATCATTAAAAAAAATGATTTTTGACCCAAAATATCCAAATTTTGAAGAAAATTGAGCTCTGGAGCTTGAAAATCTTGAAAAAATTGATTTTTGACTTCAAAATGATGGAATTTTAGGATTTTTGAACCAAAAAGTGAAAATTTGAGAAAAATGAGCTCCTGAGCTTGAAAACAATCAATTTTCTACAGGAAATTAGCCTGAAATTAATTTCGGTGCTGAAAATCATGAAAAAATTGATTTTTGACCTAACAATTATGAAAAATGAGCATTTTTTGACCCAAATTAGCCTAATTTTGAAGAAAAATGAGCCCTGGAGCTTGAAAATCGTGAAAAATTGATTTTTAACCTCAAAATGATGGAATTTTGGGATTTTTGAATCAAAAAGTGAAAATTTGAGAAAAAATGAGCCCTGGAGCTTGAAAATCATGAAAAATTGATTTTTGAACCAAAAATAACCAAATTTTGAAGAGAAAATGAGCTCTGGAGCTTGAAAATCATGAAAAATTGATTTTTTTGACTCAAAATCGGCGAATTTTGAAGAAAATTGAGCTTTTCAGCTTGAAAATCGTGAAAAAATGATTTTTGACTTGAAAATGATGAAATTTTAGAATTTTTGAACCAAATTAGCCTAATTTTGAAGAAAAATGAACTCCTGAGCTTGAAAATCATGAAAAAATTGATTTTTGACCTCAAAATGATGGAATTTTAGGATTTTTGAATCAAAAAGTGAAAATTTGAGAAACAAAAGAGCTCTGAGCTGAAAACAATCAATTTTCTACAGGAAATTAGCCTGAAATTAATTCTGGTGCTGAAAATCATGAAAAAATACAATTTTTGACCCAAATTAGCCTAAATTTGAAGAAAAATGCTGAAATTGCTGAAATTATAAGGTTTTCGACCCAAAAAGTGAAAATTTGAGAAAAATTGAGCTCTTGAGCTTGAAAATCATGAAAAAATTGATTTTTGACTTGAAAATCATGAAAAACTGGAGAAAATGAGCATTTTTGACCCAAAATATGCGAAATTTGAAGAAAAATGAGGTCTGGAGGTTGAAAATCATGAAAAAATTGATTTTTGACATAAAAATCATGAAAAATACAATTTTTGATCCAAAAATATTCAAATTTTGAAGAAAAATGAGATCTTGAGCTTGAAAAATACAATTTTTGACCCAAAATTGCCGAAAAAAATTTGAATTTTCGAATTTTCCCTCCCAATTTTCCTGTCGTCATCCCGGAGCATCGTTGTTTTTTTTCTGCAAAAAAAATATTTTTGAACAATTAAAAACCCCGAAATTTCTCTGCAGGTCGACTACTTCCAACACAAAATCCACGAACGCGGTTGCGAATGGTACGATGCTCCGCAATTACCCTACGGAACACAACCCGAACACGAAATGATGCGATCAATGGCGGCGATTTTCGAATCGAAACATCAACAAGACTTCGAGACATTCTCGGAACAATTGTTGGCGTCGACAAAAATGACATTTTCGATTTATCAAGAAGTTGTGCAACAAGTCGGATTTGCGGCAACACAAAGTGATGCGTGTCCAATGAATTATGGAAGATTGGTACGAGGGTTTTGGGGGGTGAAAATGAGCCAAAAATTGGGAATTTTGAGCCTAGAATCGATTTTCTAGTCATTTTCAGCAAAAATTGGGTTTTGGAAGCTTCCGGAGGGAAAATGAGCCAAAAATTGTGAATTTTGAGCCTAGACTTGGTCTAGAATCGATTTTCTAGTTATTTTCAGACAAAATTTGAGTTTTGGGAGGTTCCTGGGGTGAAAATGAGCCAAAATTCATGAATTTTGAGCCGGAATTAGCCTAACTTCATCATTTTTGACCTAGAAGCCTAATTTTTGCTCAAAAATGCTCAATTTTCAATTTCAGATTGGACTTGTCGCATTCAGCGGAATGGTGGCCGCAAAAATGATGGAGAATTTCGAGCTTCGAGATCAGGTTCGAAATTTGGCAGTCTACACGTCGCTCTTCATCAAATCACGAATCCGAGCATCTTGGAAAGAGCACAATAAGACTTGGGTGAGACATTTTCGGGAAAATTTGGGAAAAAATTGTGAAAATTGACCTAAATTTGATGAAAATCGATGAAATTTGACCTAAAAATGCTCAAAAATTGAAAATTTTTGATAATTTTTAACCTGAAATTCAAGTTTTCTATCAAAAATCGCTGAAATTTGCCATGAAATCCATGTTTCACTGAAAATTATGAATTTCAGCTCAAAATTCACCAGAAATCGCTGAAATTTGACCAAAAATGTCCAAATCTCGAATTTCAGGTCAAATTTCATAAAAAAACAAGAAATTCTCCAAATTTTTACCTCAAATTCAAGTTTTCTATCAGAAATCGCTGAAATTTGACCTAAAAATGCTCAAAAATTGAGAATTTTTGATAATTTTAAACCTGAAATTCAATTTTTCCATAAAAAAATCGCTAAAAATAATAAATTTCACTGAAAATTATGAATTTCAGCTCAAAATTCACCAGAAATCGCTGAAATTTGACCAAAAATCAGCAAATCTCGAATTTCAGGTCAAATTTCATAAAAAAACAAGAAATTCACCAAATTTTTACCTCAAATTCAAGTTTTCTATCAGAAATCGCTGAAATTTGACCAAAAACCTCTAAATCTTGAATTTCAGGTCAAATTTCATCAGATTTTCTGTCAATTTCTCATATTCTCGATTTTTATGACACTTTACCATCATAAGTATACTTAGTTATGCTAACTAACCAAAAAAAGGCTATATTTATTTATTTTTTATGGATATTATTATTATAATCCGTTAATTAGGGGGTGTAAAGTGTCTTTTTGTTTGTTTTGTTATTCTTTTTTTTTTTTTTTGGAAAAATGGGATAATGGGTGCGAAAATTAGCACCAAAAATTGGGGGGGGTTTTGGTGCGAAAATTTGAGATTTTTAGCCCAAAATTAGGTTACATCCAAATTTTCAGCTCCTAGAAAAGTTTTGAGAATTTTTAGCTTTTTTCTAGAACTGAAATTTAGGATTTTCAGCCAGAAATCGAGTTTTCTGGCTCTAAATAAGGCTTTTAGGCTATTTTTGGTGAATTGTGGGATTTTAAGCCAAAATTTGAGATCTAGAAAAGTTTTGAGAAATTTAGAGTAGCTTAAAATTCGCAGAACTTCTCGAGAGCTGAAAATTTCGGCATAAATTCACCAAAAATAGCCTAAAAGCCCAATTTTCGGCCTGAAATCCCTCAGATAGGCCTAAGTTCGAGTTCCAGCCTAAATTTGACTGAAAATTATGAAATTTTCGATTTTTGCTGGAAATCTGACTAGTTTTAGGGATTTTTTACAAGTACTTTAAGCTGAAAAATCTCGAATTTCAGCTCAAAGTGCTCCAAAATTCCAAATTTAGGCTTGAAATTCACGAAAAATCTAAAATTTTGCTCAAAATAGACGAAACTAGGCTGGAAAATGGCTTGAACCCGTATTTTTTACCCTAAATTATCTAAAAACGGCCCAAACGGCCTTAAAAAGCCCTAAAAAATGCGAATTTTGCAGGCCGGTTTCATGCAACTCGGTCAACAAATGAAGCAAAAATACAAAATCGAATCGGACGAAATCGCCGCAAATTTGGAGGTTTTCAATCGAAGACGACGAAGATTATCGATTTTTGGACTGAGCGCCGCCGCCGTCGTCGGAATTGTTGTTGGTGGACGATTCATTTTTGGTGGCAAAGTTTGAAATTATTGCCACGTGGCACTTCTTCTTCTTCTTCTTCTCATTATTCGTGTAATAAGCATAAGCATGTACTTATTTTGTATCTCATCTCTTCACTTTTTTCCAATGAAATTTTCGTTTTTCACACAAACCTCTTAAAATTTTGTTGATAAGGCCCTAAACTAGTGTAGCCTATAAAAATAGGGCTTTAAAACCTTTAAAGTGACGGCGAACATGCATTCATGAAGAAATAAAAACTTTCGCAGGCGGCGGGGATCGAACCAAAAACCTCTGGGTTCGAAAAGCGCGATGCTAACCGCCTGAGCTACGCGTGCACCTGGGAAACTGGGGGTGATTTTTGTTGAGAAGCGCGCGGGTTTCGCTCACTTTTAAGCGTATCCCTTGCCACGTGGCGCTAGGCTCCGCCCCCTTTTTTGTCTCGTCAAAAATTTTGAGAGATAAAAATCATGGAGGGGTTTAAAATTTAGTGTTATCATCAATTTTTTTTGTTTTACGAAGAAAAAAGTTTTGATTGATTGCGATCATTAATTTTTTTTTTGCAGTTTCAATTCAATTTCTACACATTTTTTTTGGCGCCAAAAAATTTTTTTTTCGAAAATTTGAAAAAATTCGAATTTCGCGCCAAAATGTCGACAAAATCGGTGGTTTCGACGATTTCGCACTCCAGTAATTCGGTGTACGTTTAGGGGAGGGTACTGTAGGGGGTACTGTAGGGTCCCAAGGATTACTGTAGACATTTTTTTGCGAGTACTGTATCCGGTTGACTCATGAAAATAGTGATTGCACTTTTTTGATAATGATATTTGGAAAATTTTTTGGGAACTACAGTACTACAGGGTTACTGTAGAAAAATCTGGTTTTAAAGGAACATAGTTTGGGTCTCGCCGCGAAATCCCTGAATTTAAAGGAACATAGTCATGTCTATACTCAAAATGCTCCAAATTCCACGTGGAATTCAATTTTCGATGAAAAATCGATTTTTAAAGGGACATAGTTTGGGTCTTGCCACGAAATCCCTGAATTTAAAGGAACATAGTCATGTCTATACTCAAAATGCTCCAAATTCCACGTGGAATTCAAAAATTTTGCAATTTTCAATGAAAAAATCGATTTTTAAAGGAACATAGTTTGGGTCTCGCCACGAAATCTTTAATTTTAAAGGAACATAGTCATGTTTATACTCAAAATGCTCCAAATTCCACGTGGAATTCAAGTTTCAATGAAAAAATCGATTTTTAAAGGGACATAGTTGGGTCTCGCCACGAAATCCCTGAATTTAAAGGAACATAGTCATGTTTATACTCAAAATGCTCCAAATTCCACGTGGCATTCAAAAATTTTCAATTTTCAATGAAAAAATCGATTTTTAAAGGGACATAGTTTGGGTCTTGCCACGAAATCCCTGAATTTAAAGGAACATAGTCATGTTTATACTCAAAATGCTCCAAATTCCACGTGGAATTCGAAATTTCAGTGAAAAATCGATTTTTAAAGGAACATAGTCATGTTTATACTCAAAATGCTCCAAATTTCACGGGGAAAAAAATTAGCCATAGAGCGCACATGCATTTTCAGCGCGCGAATCGGCAAAATTCAAATTTTCAGCCTGATCCCCGACAAAACCACGTCATGGCAATCGATTTATTTGCTGACGGCCATCGGAATGTTTTGCGGAATTCAATTTTCGATATTTTTTCCCACGTTGTGGCCATTTTTGAATACGGTAATTTCTAAATGCCACGTGGCAATTTGAAATTTAAAAAAAAAATTGATTTCAGGTTGACCCCACAGCTTCCGCCTCGTTTTTTGGATTCATCACCGCCGCTTTTTCTGTGGGACAGGGTTTGGCGTCGCCAGCTTTTGGATATTGGATGAATCGCGCGAAATCTGGTGGGTCTGGGAGCCCGAAATCTGGCAGAGCATTTCAAGAGCTTCAAAATGAGCCCAAATATGATATGAAAAATTTTGAAATTTTTTTTGGTCTAGATTTTCAGCCTGGATTTTTGGATTTTCAGCCATAATCTGAAAATTTCCGGCTCATTTTGTAGAGAATTTCGAGAGCTTCAAAATGAGCCCAAACACGATTTTTGAAAATTTCAGATTTTTGGCTGAAAATCAAAATCTGACGTCATCATTTTGTTATCAGTTGACCTGAAAACAAAATGAGCGAAAATTTGAGAGCTAGACTGTAGTCCGGACTACGGTAGTGCTGCTTAATTTCAGACAAAAATCTGAAATTTTCAGAATCGAATTATAGCTCATTTTGTAGAGAATTTCAAGAGCTACAAAATGAGCTCAAACATGATTTTTGAAAAAAAATTGGGCTAAAGTTTCAGCCTAGATTTTCAGCCAAAATCTGAAATTTTCAAAAATCATGTTTGGGCTCATTTTGAAGCTCTTGAAATTCTCTACAAAATGAGCCCAAACATGAATATTGAAAAAAAAGTTTTGGACTTATTTTCAGCCAAAATCTGAAATTTTTAAAAATTAAATTTGGGCTCATTTTGTAGAGAATTTCAAGAGCTACAAAATGAGCTCAAACATGATTTCTGAAAATTTCAGATTTTGGCTGAAAATAAGTCCAAAACTTTTTTTTTTCAATATTCATGTTTGGGCTCATTTTGAAGCTCTTGAAATTTGCTATAAAATGAGCCCAAACATGAATTTTGGAAAAAAATTGGTCTCCAGTTTCAGCGTAGATTTTCAGCCAGAATCTGAATTTTTCAAAAATCATGTTTGGGCCATACATGAACTACCTCTCCGAAACCGGAGGGAGGGGGGTTAACTTTTTGAAAAATTTTTGTGGGGGGCCTTAACTTTTCAAAAAATAAATTGAAGAAAAAATTAGGAAAAAAATTAGAAAAAAAATTTTTTGGAAAAATATTTTTTTTTCATTTTTTTTTTCGAAATTTTCAGATGCCAAGAAGGTGATATGTGTTTAAAATGCAGTAAAACTATTGTTTATTCAATTTTACATAATCTTGTTTCAATTTATTGTGGTTTCTTTCAAGTAACCCCCTTCCTAGATCTAGAATGAGCATTTTTAAGCATATTTGGGCAATTTTTTTGAATTTTCATATAAATATAGCATCTAATCGTTACTAAGCGCGATAAAACTTGTTTCAAATATAGTTTAACTCTCGTAGATAAGATATATAACAACTATTGTCAATTTGGTGACGTTTCCTTTCTTCTACCCCCCCCCCCTCCGTATGTTGAAAACTAACATTTTCTTCAATTTTCAGGTATTTTCACAAATTTTTTTCTCCTGAAACCACTAAATGGGCATTGATTCGTGCTAAACACTAGTAAATAAGTATAAAAAGGCATGTCTAACAATTATTTGAAGTATAATTGCAAATTACGACCTCTACCCCCCCACTCCGTTTTCGGAGCCTGAGACTCCGAAAACGGAGTGGGGGGGTAGAAGCTCCATTTCTTCATAAAACTTCAAAGAATTCTTTGGCATACCTTTCTATACTTATTTACTAGTGTTTAACACGAATCAATGTCCGTATAGTGGTTTCTGACTGAAATAAATATCGAAAAATTCTGAAAATTGAAGAAAAATGCTGGTTGCTAACTTACGGAGGGGGGATAGAAGAAAGGAAACGTCACCAAATTGACCAGAGTTGTTATATATCTTATCTACGAGAGTTAAACTATATTTTAGACAAGTTTTACTTGGATTGATTCAGTAGAACATAACAAATTGAACATTGAGTAAATTTTCAAAAGAAAAAATAAAAAATCATAAACATAGAGGGAATCGAACTGGTGACCTCCTGATTGAAACTCCAACGCGTTAGCCAGTACACCAGGAGCACCGCGCAGAAACGGGCGGCGAATGTTTATGATAAAGAAAGTTTGGCGCCGTAAAATTTAAAAAAATGTGGCGGAAGCAAATATAAAAATTTTCTTTTTTGACAGAAATTTTCATAAAAGCCTCCGCCATCAATTAATTTGTAAGACTTGAGAAAAAACTATTGTATGATTTCCACGACATGTTGAACTTTTTTTCATAAGTCAGAAAAAAATTTTACAAGAGGAGGGGGGTTAACTTTTTCGAATTTTTTTTTTCTGGAAGGGGGTTAACTCGGGGGTCCCCGGAGCGACTAGTTTATGTATGGTTTGGGCTCATTTTGAAGCTCTTGAAATTCTCTACAAAATGAGCCTAAAATCTCAGACCCAGGCCTAAAATTCAGGCCCAAAACTGAAGCCCAACAAATTTTTTTGCAGTCCGTCAACCTTTGGTCTTCGGAATCTCCGTAATGATTCTGTCCAACATAATTTTCTGTTTCGTCGAAACTTTCAAAGAAAAAGAGCGGCGATGGGTTATGATGACTGCGCGATTTTTTATTGGTTTGGGAGCCGGAACTGTGGGAGTTATGAGAGCGTATGCGGCGACGGCTAGTAGTTTAGAAGATCGTGCACGGGCTATTACTTTTATACAGGCTTCCTATGTTATTGGAATGACGTTGGGACCTGGAATACAGGTAGGAAAGGAAAGGGGATTGCTCATATTAGCTGTCTACAGTAACTCGAGAGCATTGAAAGGGACATACACTCGCGCTAACGCGCTCGACGAATTTTGATCTACACTCGCTCCGCTCGGACTACAGTACCCCCTTAAAGGGACATTGCTCATGTTAGCTAAGTACGGTAGCCTAAGGGAATTCAAAGGGACATACACTCGCGCTAACGCGCTCGAGCGGAATTTTGATCTACACTAGCTCCGCTCGGGCTACAGTACCCTTTTCGAAATTTTTTTACACACTACATATGTTTTGTTTGTAGTTTGAACCTTTTTTGTTCAAAAATTCGAAAAAAAACAAACTTTTTTTTGTTGTTTTTTCTACTGATAACAAAGTGTCTGGTACCGAAAAAAAACAAAAATACTTTTTTTTGATAAAAAAAATTTTGGGAATCGTAAAAGAAAACAAACCGAGGGATTACTGTATGTCCCTTTGAGTAGCTAACATGAGCAAGGCCGAGCGGAGCGAGTGTAGATCAAAATTCCTCGAGCGCGTTAGCGCGAGTGTATCTCCCTTTAAATTCCCTTAGGTTACTGTAGATAGCTAATATGAGCAATGGCCCTTTAAGGGGGGTACTGTAGGCCAAGCGGAGCGAGTGTAGACCGCAAGCTTCCGCGGAAGCGGCCCGAGCGCCCTGCGCGAGTGTATGTCCCTTTAAATTCCCTTAGGTTGCTGTAGGTAGCTAATATGAGCAATGCGCCTTTAAGGGTACTGTAGGCCGAGCGGAGCGAGTGTAGATCAAAATTCCGCGAATGCGGCACGAGCGCGTTAGCGCGAGTGTGTGTCCCTTTAAATTTCCTTCGGTTACTGTAGGTAGCTAACCTGAGCAATGTCCCTTTAAGGGGCTACTGTAGGTCGAGCGCTCTGTGCGAGTGTATGTCCCTAATTAGGGGGGTACGGTAGCTCTCTTTAAACCCAAGCTTGACCTTTGACATTAAAGAGTGTATGTTCCTTTAAATTTCCGTAGGTTACTGTACGTAGCTAACATGAGCAATGCTCCTTTGGCCGAGCGAAGCGAGTGTAGACCGCAAGCTTCCGCGAATGCGGCACGAGCGCGTTAGCGCGAGTGTATGTCCCTTTAAATTTCTTTAGGTTACTGTACGTATGTCCCTTTAAAAATGTCTCCCAAACACTTCTTCCAGGTCGCCTTCACGCCGCTCAGCTACCCGGGCATCGTTCTCGGCGCAATTCACATCGACATGTACACGGCTCCCGCGTGGTTCGCCTCAATCGTCTGCCTCCTCTCGCTGATCTTCATCTTCATTTTTCTCGAGGAAAACTATGCGGGAATCGATAAGGAGGAGGACGAGGAGGACTCCTACACAGCTATGCCCACTTATGACACGATTTCGGTGGCCGTGTGTGTTGTCACACAGTTCACACTCATGTTTATTATCACCAATTTGGAGACGTGAGTTTGAGGGGGCTTAGCTAGGTACAGTAACCTGAGGAAATTTAAAGGGACATAAACTTGATGTGAATCTGCAAGGTACAGTAACCCACGGGAATTTAAAGGTACATACACTCGCGCTAACGCGCTCGAGCCGCATTCGCGGAATTTTGATCTACACTCGCTCCGCTCGACCTACAGTAACCCAAATTTAAAGGAACATACACTCTTTCATGTCAGAGGACAGACTTGGCTTTAAAGGGAGCTACCGTACCCCCTTAATTAGGGACATACACTAGAGCACAGCGCTCGGCCTACAGTACCCCCTTAAAGGGACATTGCTCATATTAGCTACGTACAGTAACTCGAGAGGATTTAAAGGGACATACACTCGCGCTAACGCGCTCGAGGAATTTTGATCTACACTCGCTTCGCTCGGCCTACAGTACCCCTTAAAGGGACATTGCTCATATTAGCCTATATACAGTAATCTGGTTTAAAGGGAGGTACAGTATCCAGATAACTTTAAAGGAACACACCCCACGTGGCATTTCACAGACATTGCTCATATTAGCTGGCCACGCTCGAAATTCGGGGCATTGCTCATATTAAACACCAAATTTCTAAATTTCAGAATCGGTTCACTCTACGCCAAAATTATGTGGAATTGGACGAATGAGCAGGCTGTGGAATACACCGGGATTTTACAGGCCGTGAACGGGCTTTTCGGAGTTTTGGTATATGCACTTTTTGCGGTGAAACTCGGAAATTAGTGAGTTTTTCGGATGCCACGTGGAATTTGGAGCATTTTGAGTATAAACATGACCATGTTCCTTTAAAATTTGAAGATTTCGTGGCGAGACCCAACTATGTCCCTTTAAAAATCGATTTTTTCATTGAAAATCGAAAATTTTTGAATTCCTCATGAAATTTGAAGCATTTTGAGTATAAACATGACCATGTTCCTTTAAAATTTGAAGATTTCGTGGTGGGACCCACCATGTCCCTTTAAGAAAACAAATTCAATTTTTGCAGCATTTCAAAGGCGCGCGAGCGAATTTTCACAATTTTCGGCCTCGGTTTGGGTGTGATTTATCACTTGGTAACGTTTCCCTATCCATGGGGACAACCCTTGACTTATGATCAGAAAAGTGAGTTGTTTTTCAGATTTTCAGACAAAAATCTGAAATTTTTGAAAATCATGTTTGGGCTCATTTTGTAGCTCTTGAAATACTCTACAAAATGAGCCTAAAATTTCAGATTTTGGCTGAAAATTCAGGATTTCCAGCCCAAAAAACTGAAATTTTCCATGTTTGGTCTCATTTAAAAGCCCGTGAAATTCCAGACATCACCACAAAACACGGAAAAGTGATAGTGGAAGATTTGGGCTGTAATCCACACCAATACAAATGGTGTGATCACACCAAGGACGTCAATTTTTGGCTGTATGCCGGAATGTACGGTATCGTTTTGGCCGCCTGTTTTCCGATTGTGAATATTTCGATGAACACGTTGTTTAGTAAGATATTGGGAGCAAGGAGGCAGGTATGTTCCTTTAAAATTTGGGTACTGTAGGTTACGCTCTGTGCGAGTGTATGTACCTTTAAATTCCCTTAGGTTACTGTAGGTCGAGCGGAGCGAATGTAGATCAAAATTCCGCGAATGCGGCTCGAGCGCCTTTGGCGCGAGTGTATGTCCCTTTAAATTCCCTTAGGTTACTGTAGGTAGCTAATATGAGCAATGCTCCTTTAAGGGGGTACTGTAGGCCGAGCGGAGCGAGTGTATGTCCCTAATTATGGGGTACGGTAGCTCCCTTTAAACCCAAGCTTGACCTTTGACATTAAAGAGTGTATGTCCCTTTAAATTCCCTTAGCTTACTGTAGGTAGTTAATATGAGCAATGCCCCTTTAAGGTTACTGTAGGCCGAGCGGAGCGAGTGTAGATCAAAATTCCGCTCGAGCGCGTTAGCGCGAGTGTATTTCCCTTTAAATTCCTTCAGGTTACTGTAGGTAGCTAACCTGAGCAATGTCCCTTTGAGAGGCTACTGTAGGCCGAGCGCTGTGCGCGAGTGTATGTCCCTAATTAGGGGGTACGGTAACTCCCTTTAAAGCCAAGCCTGTCCTCTGACATGAAAGAGTGTATGTCCCTTTAAATTCCCTTAGGTTACTGTAGGTAGTTAATATGAGCAATGCCCCTTTAAGGGTACTGTAGGTCGAGCGAAGCGAGTGCAGATCAAAATTCCGCTCGAGCGCGTTAGCGCGAGTGTACGTCCCTTTAAATTCCTTCAGGTTACTGTAGGTAGCTAATATTCAAATTTCAACTAGGAGTACGGTAGCTTCCTTTAAACGCTCCTATTTTTCCAGGGAACAATGCAAGGTATAATGCTAATGTCCGGAAGTCTGGCCCGAACAATCGGGCCAATGCTAGTCTCATGGATTTTCCAAGAATGGGGGCCAGATCCACTCTGGATTTTGGAAATCCTAGTTCTATCGATCACCATGATTCTATGGATGGTTTTCTATCGACGAATGACACCGTTGGAATCGAATCCCAAATTGGAAGCCTACGATCATTTTCATTATAAAAATGGGGTTAGATATCGAATTTAGGATGAATTTTTGAGATTGGCTGGAAATTTTTTTTCAGAAAAAAAAATTGACGATAGGTTCCCCTGCGCGAGAACCTCAAAATTTCAGCTAAAATTCGATTTTTGACTGAAATTTTCAGGTTCAGGCATGGAATTTCGTAATTTTTAGGTTCTGGAGCGAAATTTCATGATTTTCTAGATTTAGAATCTGAAAAATCATAAAAATTCACCCGGGAACCTGATTTTGGTCAAAAAAAATTGACGATAGGTTCCCCTGCGCGAGAACTCGAAAATTTCAGCCAAAATTCGATTTTTGACTGAAATTTCCAGGTTCAGGCATGGAATCTCGTGAAAATTTAGGTTCTGAGGGGGAATTTTCATGATTTTTCAGGTTTTGAATCCGAAAAACCCATGAAAATTCACCCGAAAACCTGATTTTGGCCAAAAAAATTGGCGATAGGTTCCCCTGCGCGAGAACTCGAAAATTTCAGCCAAAATTCGATTTTTGACTGAAATTCTCAGGTTCAGGCATGGAATCTCGTGAAAATTTAGGTTTTGGGGCGAAATTTCATGATTTTTCAGGTTTTGAATCTGAAAAATCGTGAAAATTCACTCCAGAATCTGAATTTCTTTTGAAAAATCTGTAGTCCTATAATTTTTTCTGCAAAAAAAAAATTTTCAGCCATTTTTTTAGTGATTTTTGTTTTGAAGATCTCTGTTTATTAAAAAATATATCTAATTTTCAAATAAATCTAACAAAACTACCTAATTTACCCGCTTCAAAAGTTTCAGATTTTCCTCTTGATCTTGCGAAAATTCGGCAAAAAATCGATTTTTCGCCTCTTCGAGTTTGGATTTTTCGGGCGGCTCGGACAGCTGGAATTTGGGCCTTTTTGAGGCTGGCAACATTTTTGGATCGGTTTTTATATTGTCACGGGAGTTGAGGAGAGCTTCGTGTTCCAGAATTTTTTCGGTCTGGAATTAAATTTAGGTTGTTTTTGGCTGGAGCATTTTGAGCCCAAACTTGGGCATGTTTGGGCTCAAAATTTTCAGAATTTCAAATTCTCACCGTCTCATTCCATTCATAGCCGCTCGGCGAGCCAACCAACAAATGTCGAAGTTTTCCGCCGCTCAACGCGTTGATTTTCTCGAATTCCGCATCGTCGATTTTCGGGATTTCTCTGGAAAAATTGACGATAGGTTCCCATGCGCGAGAACCCGAAAATTTCAGCAAAAATGCGATTTTTGACTGAAATTTTCGGGTTCAGGCATGGAATTTCATTAAAACTAGGTCCCGGGGCGAAATTTCATGATTTTTCAGGTTTTTAACCCAAAAAATCATAAAAATCCACTCTAGAACATGATTTTGGCACAAAAAAAATCGGCGATAGGTTCCCCTGCGCGAGAACCCGAAAATTTCAGCCAAAATGCGATTTTTGACTGAAATTTTCAGATTCAGGCATGAAATCTCGTGAAAATTTAGGTTCTGGGAGGAATTTTCATGATTTTTCAGCTTTTCAAACTGAAAAATCATAAAAATCCACTCTAGAACATGGTTTCGGCACAAAAAAAAATCGGCGATAGATTTCCCTGCGCGAGAACCCGAAAATTTCAGCAAAAAATCAAGATTTTGCTGAATTTTTCAGATTCAGGCATGGAATCTCGTGAAAATTTAGGTTCTGGGAGGAATTTTCATGATTTTCCAAGTTTTGAAACTCAAAAATCATAAAAATCCACTCTAGAACATTCCCTGCGCGAGAACCTGAAAATTTCAGCGAAATTCTAAAATTTCGCTGAAATTTCCAGGTTCCGGCATGAAATTTCGTATAACAACACCGATTTTCAGCCAAAACTCGGTAATTTTGGCTGAAAATCGTCATTTTTCCGCACCTTCTAACTGTAGAAGTCATAATCGGATTATCATTATCATCCGTAACCGCTTTATCACTAGAAGTTGACATAACTAAGAATAATCTGGAATTCTCGTCCTCTAAAAACGCATTTCCTCTCGCATCCTGAACAACATTCGGATTCTCCAACAATCGATTTTCATGCTCAAGAATTTTGAACTCTTCTTCAAAATCCACTCCAATAACCTTAACTTTAGGTAAGGTTTCTTCTAGTAATAACGCAGCTTTTCCCAAATCTCTAAATGCCAATCCTTCAAGCCTCAAATATTTCAAATCCTTCATCATTTTCAAGCCCATCAAGCCTTTTGCAGATATCCTTTGACAACCGGATAAATCTAACATCTCCAAATTTGGCATAAGTCCACCAATTCTTCCCAAACACCAATCATCAATATATTCACAATTTGCTAATCTGAGCAATCGAAGTTTCGATAAATCTTGAAGGTTTTCAAGGCCTTCGAACATTATCTGAGTTCCTGAAGCGTCGATAGCTTCGATGAAAAGATTTTCAACTTTTCTACCGGGTAAACTGTATCTGTTGAATTTATCCTTTTTATACCAATTATCATCGCCGATGAATTTGACAGCGGCTCCACGGTGGACTAGAAAATGAGCAGCGGCTAGGTCTGGACCCAAAAATAATAGTCTCTCAGCTATAACTCGCTGATCATACTGCATATGTTGAAAATTCCGGTATCTTCGGTATCGCCTAATATTATCGATTGAATGGTCAACATATCTCATTTGTGTGTGCCAGGTTAGAAGTTCCATTGGCAATGCGCCAGTCTCTCTTCTCGTCATATCAGCAACATTCTTTTTGGGAGCCACTGAAAATCATGAAAACCTTTTCTGCAATCAAAACCAAAACTAGAACTCACAATCATCCGGTCTTTCTGGCGTGATATACATCCCGGTGGGTAGTTTTATGAAATTTTGTTGTTTTTGCTTGTCTTTCACGTGTTCCACATATTCCTTCTCCAATTCTTGCCATCGTTTGAACTTTGGCCATTTATGCACCCACCCAGAACACTTGGAACTCGTGGAGATTTGCCGAACTAGCGCGGGCTGCATACGAAAAAAGTGCAGAAAATAAAAAGAAAAAGTAAAGGGACAGCGATTTTTGCGGCTGTTGGGTCTCGCAGCGCGCGATGAAATAGTGTGTGGAATGGAGAGACGCGGACGCCATTTTTATTTTATTTTTACAATTTTTTTCATTTTTAAAACTCAAAATTCTTTACAAAAATACGGTTTTCAGATGGTTTTGACAGTTGCGGATGCGAAAAAATTAACTGTTGCACGACTTAAAGAAGAGTTATTGAAAAGAGGATTGTCGGATGCTGGAAATAAACCGGATTTACTCGCAAGACTCACGGAAAGCATCGAAGACTCTATTCTAAACGATGCTGGAGATTTATCACTTCCAAATGATGATATTCTGTTGAATGATGATATTTTGGATGCGCCAAGTATTGATGGTGATAATGATGTTGAAAAATTATTAAATAGCTCGGAAGACGTGGTTACATCACCAACTCCCCCAGCAACAACTATCAAACCAATCGAAGCTCCAGAAGATCCGAAACTTGCAAGAGCTGCGAGATTTGGACTTCCTGTAACTGGAACAGCTTCTGCTACGGAATTAGCGTCAGAATCAGCGAAAGAAGCGAGAGCCAAACGATTCGGCATCCAAAATACGCCTGGAGCAGCAGGAGCGGAGGAGGATAAAAAAGCGGCGCGAGCTGCAAGATTCGGTATTGAGACATCTAGCGAGACCAAGGATAAATTGGCAGCAAGAGCGGCGAGATTTGGGATTCCGGTGAATTCGGATGGAAAACGAGCAGCTGGAGAGGCGAAAAGTGAAGAAGAACTGAAGAAATTGGAGGAACGCGCGAAACGTTTTGGATTAATTGATGAAGATGTAAGTTGTGTTGCTAAAATCGATATTTTCCACGTCATTTTTTTTATAATTTTCAGGCGGACGCCAAGAAAAAAGCGCGTTTGGAACGATTTGGAGCGTAAATCTCATATTTTTTGTTATTTAATTGTTAATAAATTTAAATTATCTTATCTTATCTCTCTAGAAATTCTTTAGAGGTAAATACCCATAATTTTTCTATATTTATTTTGAGAAAATTTTAAAAAGAAAAAAATCAAAAAAAATTTGAAGAAAAATGGCTGAAAATGCTGAAATCGAGGCGCTTTGTAGTATTTGGGAAGATGTGGAAGTCATAGAGGATTCTCAGAAGAAAATCATAAAGCATAAAATTCGCTCTATGGAGAATGAGGCGACATCGGCGTCGATTCGAATTCGAATCGAGATTTTTGAAGGATATCCTGAAGTTGAGCCGAAAATCGAATTATCGATGGCCAGAGGAATTAGTGAACGCGATTTTGAGGAGTTGAAATTGAAAGTTGTGGAATGTGTGAAGGAGAGCTTGGGAATGCCGATTGTTGATGTTTTTCAGGTAGATTTGAGGATTTTTCCGGCTGAAAATGATGAATTTTCAGTGGATTTGCTGAAAAATCTGGAAATTTCAACCAAAATTCGAGTTTTGACTGAAATTTCCTGGTTTCTCAGGTTCCCGGGTGAATTTTCATGGGTTTTTCGGATTCAAAACCTGAAAAATCATGAAAATTCCCCCCAGAACCTAAATTTTCACGAGATTCCATGCCTGAACCTGGAAAATTCAGCAAAATCTGGAATTTTGCGGAAATTTTCGGGTTCTCGCGCAGGGAAATCTATCGTCAATTTTTTTTGGTCAAAATCAGGTTCCCGGGTGAATTTTCATGGGTTTTCGGATTTAAAACCTGAAAAATCATGAAAATTCCCCCCAGAACCGAAATTTTCACGAGATTCCATGCCTGAACCTGGAAAATTCAGTAAAATATTGAGTTTTGCTGAAATTTTCGGGTTCTCGCGCAGGGGAACCTATCGTCAATTTTTTTTTGGCCAAAATCAGGTTCCCGGGTGAATTTTCATCGGTTTTTCGGATTCAAAACCTGAAAAATCATGAAAATTCCCCCCAGAACCTAAATTTTCACGAGATTCCATGCCTGAATCTGGAAAATTCAGCAAAATCTGGATTTTTGCTGAAATTTTCAGGTTCTCGCGCAGGGGAACCTATCGTCAAATTTTTTTGGCCAAAATCAGGTTCCCGGGTGAATTTTCATGGGTTTATCGGATTCAAAACCTGAAAAATCATGAAAATTCCCCCCAGAACCTAAATTTTCACGAGATTCCATGCCTGAATCTGGAAATTTCAGCAAAATCTGGATTTTTGCTGAAATTTTCGGGTTCTCGCGCAGGGGAACCTATCGTCAATTTTTTTTTCACTAAAAATCCCAAATTTCCAGACTTGCTGCGATTTTCTCACTGATCGTCAACATTTTTCCGATCTCGATTGCTCAATTTGCATTTCTCCGCTCTCAAATTCCCCAATTATCGTAACTTCTTGCGATCATTTTCTGCATTTTTCATGTTTTTCGAAATATTTGCATTTTTCGAAGACGGAAATCGTCAAAAATCTTCAAGAAGCTCAAAAATACGATAAAGATAAAGTTGATCAGGTGAATTTTCACACAATCAGAAATCCCCAGAAAAATCGATATTTTCCAGCATTTCTACTGCCCAATTTGTCGCTATAATCTGAGCAATTCCACAGAATTCGAGCGGGAATTTCAGAAAATTCTGGAATTCTACAAGAAAAATCAGAAAACCCTCAAGGCGCCGAGACGAGATAGTGTGGTGAATGGAGAGGACGCAGAGAGGAATCTGAAAATTTGGCGGGAACAGCAAAAACGATTGGCGAAAATATTTGAAAAACAAAAATTGGCGGGTGGAATTATCGATATTGAGGAGGAGAAAAAACGATTACGATTGATTTCTGAGAATTTTAATGAATAAATTGTTTTTTTTTTTTGAAAATTCCACGTCATAACGTGAAAACGTGACCTAATTTCGTTGTTTTTTCGTGGTTTCCAACCAGATTTCGGTCATTTCTGATTTGGAAAAATGGAGTGCTTAGCGGTTTTCAATAATTGTGGTGGGTTTCAGCCAAACATCAATTTTTGGCTGAAATTTTCCGGTTCAGGCATGAAATTTCATGATTTTCCAGGAAAATTCCCTCCAGAATCGGATTTTAGCGCAAGAAAAATTTGACGATAGGTTCCCCTGCGCGAGAACCCGAAAATTTCAGCAAAAATCGATTTTTGGCTGAAATTTCCAGGTTCAGGCATGAAATCTCGTGAAAATTGAGGTTCTGGGGGGAATTTTCATGATTTTTCAGGTTTTGAATCCGAAAAATCCATGAAAATTCACCCGGGAACCTGATTTTGGCCAAAAAAAAAAATTGACGATAGGTTCCCCTGCGTGAGAACTCGAAAATTTCAGCCAAAACTCGATTTTGACTGAAATTTCCAGGTTCAGGCATGAAATCTCGTGAAAATTTAGGTTCTGGGGGGAATTTTCATGATTTTCCAGGTTTTGAATCCGAAAAACCCATGAAAATTCACCCGAAAACCTGATTTTGACCAAAAAAAATTGACGATAGGTTCCCCTGCGCGAGAACTCGAAAATTTCAGCCAAAATCGGTTTTTGACTGAAATTTCCAGGTTCAGGCACAGAATGTCGTGAAAATTTAGGTTCTAGGGGGAAATTTCATGATTTTCCCACAGAGTGTAATTTACTACCCGAAAAATTTCGCGCATTTTTTGAGACCTGACACGATCTTAGGGGTGGGACAAAAATCGACGAAATTCAACGCAAAAACGAGAGATTTAGAGAAAAAATTATTTTTGATCTACCCAAAAATTAATGAAAAATTTGAGGTCTAGCGATTTGAGGTAGTAAATTACACCCTGTGTTTCCTGGTTTTCGAACTGAAAAATCATGAAAATTCACCCGGGAACCTGATTTTGGGCAAAAAAATTTGACGATAGGTTCCCCTGCGCGAGAACCCGAAAATTTCAGCAAAACTCAAGATTTTGCTGAAATTTCCAGGTTCAGGCATGAAATTTCGTAAAATTTCACCATTCCCAGTTGAAAAATCACGAAATCCCCGAAATTTCCAGCCAAAAAATGTGTCAAAAAGTGTGCGGCTCTGGAAACCGACAAATCCGCCAGCAAATGGCTCTCACGATGTTTCATCGGCTTCTTTTCGCTAGTCGCGAGCGTTTTTGCCTACGGAGCACTCTTCAAAATCATACCCTATGAGATAAGGTGCGTTTTGACTGAAAATCTCCAAATTTCAGCCTGATTTTCAGCGTTGCTCCCTCGTATTTCTCAATTTTCTGGCGACTTTTAATGTTCGTCTATTTGTTCTACACAATCATTTTTCACTATTCACAGTGTATTTCAAACGAGCCGATCAAAGTTCCGCAACTGGGAAGAGAGGGAAAATATTGTCATAAGTGTGATATTGTGAAATGTGCACAAACTCATCATTGTCCGGTTTGTGATAAGTGAGTTTGGCTGGAAATTTGGGATTTTTAGAGTCCAGATAAGCCTGGGCTCAGATTTTTCAAGTTCAGGCTGGATTTCTTCGCTAGAAAAATTGACGATAGGTTCCCCTGCGCGAGAACTCGAAAATTTCAGCCAAAACTCGAATTTTGACTGAAATTTCCAGGTTCAGGCATTTTTTAACTGAAAATATCTGAAATTTCGTACCCCAAGCTTATTTAGATTCAAAAAATCCCATTTTTCTGAAATTTTCAGATTTTACAAGTTTAAGGCTTATTTTCAGACGAATTTCCTGAAATTTCATCCCAAAACCTTAAAAAAAAATTGACGATAGGTTTCCCTGCGCGAGAACTCGAAAATTTCAGCCAAAACTCGAATTTTGACTGAAATTTCCAAGTTCAGGCATTTTTTAACCAAAAAAATTTCTGAAATTTCGTACCCTAAGCTTATTTAGATTCAAAAAATCCCCATTTTTCTGAAATTTTCAGATTTTTCAAGTTTAAGGCTTATTTTCAGACGAATTTCTTGAAATTTCCTGAAATTTCATCCCAAAACCTTAAAAAAAAATTGGCGATAGATTTCCCTGCGCGAGAACTCGAAAATTTCAGCCAAAACTCGAATTTTGACTGAAATTTCCAAGTTCAGGCATTTTTGGACTGATTTTCAGATTCTAGAGCGAATTTTCATGATTATTTATTCGAGAACTTGATTTTGGTGCAAAATTTCAGCCAAACTTCGAGTTTTGGCTGAAATTTCGTACCCCAAGCTTATTTATATTCAAAAAATCCCCATTTTCTGGAAATTTTCAGATTTTTCAAGCCTAATCTCAAATTTTCAGATGTATCTATCAATTAGACCATCATTGTCCATGGATTGGTCAATGTGTCGGAGCCCACAATCAATCAAACTTTGCCAGTTTTCTCTCATTCATGTCCCTCGCATGTATTTGTTTCTTCGCACTCGCCTCATCATTTTGGATTGCTCATTTTAAAGAACTCCAACTTGATATAAGTAGTCTACTCAAAAATCTTCAACAATCTTCGATTTTGAGCAAAAATGATGCGGAGATGGTTTTGCGAAATTCAATTTTGTATTTGAATCCGATATTTATCGTATTTTTTTCCGGATGTTCAGGAAAAGGCTACGAAATTACCGTGTTATTCGGATTCTTTTTCGTGATTTTCTTTCTGTTTTTCGTTTTTTGGGTGGCGCAAATGTGGAAAATTGCGAATGGAACTTTTACATTAAATGGAGAGATGTTGAAGAAATCTGGCGAGAAATTGAATTTTCAAACAATTTCGCATAGATTCCGGAAATATTATGGAGTAAGATATAACGAGTCTTTTTGGATGGCGTTTTTGATTCCGGTCAAGAGGGAAAATATGCATTTTCATGATTATTAGAGGATTTTTAATGATAATTTACTTGTTTTTCAAAATTTAAGAAAGGTTAATAAATATTTGTGCACAATAGAAAAAATTGCATTTTTTACAACGACACTCCGCTTGCCCGCTGTTTAGCGCAACACGAGAGTATTTTCATTTTTCGTTTTTTTTCGCTGGGTTTAAACGTTTTCCGTCAAAAATTGAATTTTTCAGATGTTCTACAAGGCTGGAAATGGAAAATCCGAAGAAATGTGGGTTTTTTCTAGAGAAACACGGTTTGAATTGAAATTTTTGAGTTTTCAGGGTCAAAAATGATTTAAAAACGTGGAAAACTTCGAATTTTCGTGTGATTTGAGAAATTGGAGCGATTGGTGAGGTTTTTGGGGAGGGATTTCGGAAAAATTGAAAAAAATCGGTGAAAAATTGGGTAAAATTTGAAAAATTATGAAAAACTCTTGAAAAATTGAAAAAAGTTAGGCTAACTCATCAAAATCTAGGCCCAAAAATCTAGTTTGGTTCGAAACTTGGGAAAAAAAAACATAGAGACCCATGGAATTTATTCGATGCGCCTTTAAAATTCCATTGTCCCATAAAAATTGATGTAAATCATTTATTTTCGCGAAAAATCTAGCATTTTTCCTTGTCCTTAGCTCCAACAATATCCAAAGTGACATAAGTCATATCATAAGTTCCGCCGATTTTTGAAGCCGGGATTGGGAATTCAGAAATTCGCTTGCAGCCCTGAAATTTTCAGAAAATCATAGGTTTGCAGCCATAGAGTTAGCCAAACTTACAGCTTTTTTGACATTACAATCGTGAGTGATAATGAGATATGGGGCAATTGAAGTGACTTCGTCTTGAGCTCCGAAAACCGAGAATTCTCCTTCTTTTGATGATTGAGTGCCTTTCAACAAATCATCTGGGTCCACTGCAATCAAAATTGATTTTTTAGAGGAAAAATTAGGGGGAAAAAACTCACAAGTATCTTTTTCCCACAATTCGACCTTGGCTGAAATTCGCTTCTTATTGCAAATCGTCGTTCCTTTCACAGTGATATTTTGATTTTTGGCCTCAATAACGAGACCGAAAATAAGAATTGACGAAACCAAGAAAAGACCGCGCATTTTCCGATAACCTTTTTCAAAAAGTTACCTTTTATAGGCGATGAAAAATTGAAAAAAAGGCGGAACTTTACACTTTTTGAATCGAAACGACGAAAAACAATCAACAAGGTCATTTTTAGATGGAAACGGAAGATGAATCAGTATTTTTTTTGATAAAAATAACGAAAAATGACGAATCTTTGACCAAAACTTTGATACACGTGGCAAAATCTTAGGGCAAATAATGAATGGGACCCCGGTGTTTAAAAATCGTCGTGATGAATGGGACCCCAAAATAATGAAATGGGACCACATCATTTTTTTTGAATTGTCTGAATGGGACCCCGCAAAAAAAGGGACCCCGTTGAATTTTTGTATTAGTACGAATGGGACCCCACTGAAATTGTATACTAAAAGGGATAAAACGTTGAAGCCTGAGCCCAAGCCTGAAAACCCTGACTAAGCCTAACCCTGAAATCCTAACTAAGCCTAAGCCTATGCCTAAACCCAGTGCTGAGGATACGTCTAAGTTTAAGCCTACCTGTGGTCCCATTCTGAAAAAATTTCAATGGGGTCCCTTTTTTTGCGGGGTCCCATTCAGACAATTCAAAAAAATGCTGTGGTCCCATTTCATTATTTTGGGGTCCGATTCATCACGACGATTTTTAAACACCGGGGTCCCATTCAGCATGGGGTCCCATTTGGGGTCCCATTCATTATTTACCAAATTTTAAAGGCGCATCACAAAGACAATTCCATTTTTCTGTGTATTTCTCTCGGAATAGATAAAAATGCCACTCAAACTCACCAAAAATTGATAAAATTTTTTTTTTGATAAAAAACCAAATGGCAATTATAAATATTTGGTTATTCCCTATTTTCATCGCTATTTACTCAATTCTAACACTTTTGATATGGTAGTTAAAATTTGTCTATTTTCTATGAAAACTAGAGAAAAAAATTGATTTCAGTGTGATTTTGTCGATAAATTCGCATCATTTTCCGGCGAATTGGCCGTTTTTGAGTGATTTTACGAAATTTCAACCGGCCAAAAATGCGTATACTATTATGAGCAATCATATTTTGCTCTTTTGTGAGTTAGAGGCTTCCTAAGCTCCCCCAGAATCTAAATTTCAGTACTAATCTGGATGTATTTGAAACACCGTGAATTGAAATCTTACTTCCGCCAGGCAAATCAATCAATATACTACGAGAAAATCTCGTGGGCCAATTTATTGATCGGAATTTGTGCGATAAGTTGCTATCAATTAGCCGTGAATTTCCCGGCGACAAAAGTCGCCTATTTTGAGCTTTTCGGCAATCGAATTAGCCTATGTTTGGGTCTTATTTACATTTGGATACACTCGTTTTTGAGTTTGAATGTGAGGGATGAGAATTTGAATAATTTACCGATTTTTTTGATGAGGATTTGCTTGGGAAGTGTGGTTTTGTCGTTTTTAGCTGCTAGTAAGTCGAATTTGGTTTATGACGTGGTATTGGGGCTCAAACCTAGAATTGAAATATGCCTGAACCCGGAAATTTCAGCCAAAATTTGAATTTTGGCTGAAATTTTCGGTTTTTGACGTCAAAACTTGGTTCTGGAATGAATTTTCATGATTTTTCAATTTGAAAACCATGAAAATTCAAGAAATCCATGCCTGAACCTGAGAATTTCAGCCAAAAATCAAATTTTGGCTGAAATTTTCGGGTTCTCGCGCAGGGGAACCTATCGTCAATTTTTTTTTTGCCAAAATCAGGTTCCCGGGTGAATTTTCATGGGTTTTTCGGATTCAAAACATGAAAATTCCCCCCAGAACCTAAATTTTCACGAGATTCGATGCCTGAACCTGAGAATTTCATCCAAAAATCAAATTTTGGCTGAAATTTTCGGGTTCTCGCGCAGGGGAACCTATCGTCAATTTTTTTTTGGCCAAAATCAGGTTCCCGGGTGAATTTTCATGGGTTTTTCGGATTCAAAACATGAAAATTCCCCCCAGAACCTAAATTTTCACGAGATTCCGTGCCTGAACCCGAAAATTTCAGTCAAAAATCAAATTTTGGCTAAAATTTTCGGGTTCTCGCGCAGGGGAAAATTTTTTTCTATTTTTCTACCCCTTATCAATTTTTTCCACGTCATAACCAAATTTCAGCCAAAATCTGAAATTTTCCAGTGATCCAGGCTAACAAACTGGCCAAGCCAAACCAGACACTTTGCGCAATTTACGAATGGTGTTGTTATTTTTCGTTCGCCATGTTTTTGCTTACCGATTCATACGAATTTCGATTTATGGTCTTCCGACCGCCCAAATTGATCATTCGAGGTTGCTCAGGTTATAACCCGCGAGTTTTTGAAAGTACAGATGTTAGTGAGGAAGATGAGATACCAAATATGTCTCAGAGATTTGTGATGTGAATAAAAAATTTTATCTCTGGTTGTCTAGCCTGTCTGCGTCCCTGCCCGCTTTTAAATTAAATTTCAATAATTTATTAAGTTAAAATCGGAATAATTAATTAATCAATTAAATAAGAGACGATCAAATCAGGAAAAGACGGGGGTTATTAAAGGAACATGAAGAAGAAGAAGTATATACACAAAAGTGTTGTTATTAATTAAATTAAATTAAATTATTAAATAAGGGGGAAAATCAGAGAAGGCACATAAAGCAAACTAAAAGTACTTCCTAGGAACACACAAAAAAATTTGGGATGGGAATTTCAAAATTGCACAAAATCACAGTTTTCTCGGATAGCAAAAAATGGGGGGTTGTGGCACACAGAAAATGGAGAGAGAACATGAAACCTGTTAGAGAAATAGATAGGGAAACGAGAGGGTACGGTATGATGTTCCTTTAAGGTACGATAAGGTTAAGGTACGACTTTAAGGCAAGGTACGACTGTATGATGTACTTATCGTAATATGTTCATTAAAGGGACATTCTCTTTTCCAAAGGTATATATCGTGCTGTGTACCTTAAAGGAACATTATATCGTAATATGTTCATTAAAGGGACATGCTCTAAGGTAAATCTTAAAAAACTTTTAAAAAAAAACCTTAGAGCATGTCCCTTTAATGAACATATTACGATATAATGTTCCTTTAAGGTACACAGTACGATATATACCTTTGGAAAAGAGCATGTCCCTTTAATGAACATATTACGATAAGTACATCATACAGTATGTCCCTTTAAAGAACATACCCCTTTAAAGTACACCATACGATACCTCCCTTTAAAGTGGTTGTAGTACGACGGCGTTTTTCATGTCCGGCGCATAGCTAGGCGGGATAAACGGGTCGCCGTTCGTCTCGAAATCATCGAGCACCGCGAACTTGGCAGTGGCCCCAAAGAAATCGTGTGGGTGAATGTTTTGATGGTGGATTTGGGTGTGATACGGAATCTGGTGATACGGAATCTGTTGTTGTTGTTGTTGTTGCACGATCTGTTGTTGTTGTTGTTGGTGGAAATTCTGATGCACCATAAGCATATTGTTGTATTCTAGAGGATAGGCTTGGGTGGCAGCTGGAGGAGGTTGAGCGAATATTAATCGCTGAGTGGTGACTTGTGGTGGTGAGTCTTGATCGGATGGTGTGCCTACGCTGTTGGCTGATGTTGTTGGTGGTAGTTGTTGGGGAGCTGGTTGGGCGACACGTGGCGGGGAGGAGAGGGAGGATGTTGAATTGGCTGAAACGTATCAGTGGTTTAGGGCTTGGAATCTGAATCTGAATCTGAATATGCGCTTGAGATCTACAATGAGGGGTTGTAAATAGTACTCCTAGGTAGTTTTTAAAGGCAAATCTTCAAAATTTCAAATTTCCCCCCGAGGATTGCTATGTGCAGACACTGCGACGCACTTTTGCGTACAGGAAGGTTTGAACTTTTAAATTTTTCATTATTTTTGTTTCGTTCAGGCTGAGGCTTCGTGGGTGGTCTTCGGTAACCTCTCTAACTGCTTTTCAAACCAGGTTTCAACCCCAAGTTAGTCTAACTCACAATTAGGTCTATGCTGTTGCTGTTGAACCTGTAGAATCATATTCGGAGCATTTTGTGCTTGTGGAGCCGGTTGAATATACTGCATTCGTTTCATATCAAAATGTATCTGTTGCTGTTGAGCCTGAGCCTGAGCCTGTGCGACTTGCTGTTGCGACGGTGTAATCTGTTCATACGATCGTTTCGCCGCGCCACTTACACGTGGCACGTATTCCGCACCGCCGGAAGCGGACGCGGTGGATGCGGCAGTCGCCGCCGCCACACTTCCACTGCAGTCGAGACTCTGCGCACTGTTGCAACGTTTTTTGGCGCACATCGCTCCGCGCATGTATCGATTTTCGAAGAAACGTTTGTCGAGGCAGACGAGACAGATTTGACAGTCGGGCATACGACAATCTTCGCATTGATTGCAGCCGATTCGGGCTTTGAACGTGGGAGCGTCGCGCTGGAAAAGTCAGAGAGTTAGGGGGGTGAGAGAGGGTAGAGATGGAGAGTAGGGTAGAGATCACTGTGAAGATGAGAGATCCCTAGAAAAACAGTAGGGTTCAGAGAAGCAGAGAAAACTTGAGCTAGATATCGAGAAAATGTACAGAACCAGAGAAAATCTGATCAGAGAGTACTAGAAAATGAGAGATCCCAGAGAGGATGTTAGAGAACACATCTAGATTAGAGGGTGCAGACAACGAGAAGGGAGAGTACGGGTATCTAGAGTACTCCAGAGAGCATAGAAAGCTCTAGAGAGTAGGGGTAGATGGGAGAGTCTAGACACCCAGACACTCCAGAAGAGCGCAGATAGGTGAGAGAATATAGAGAAGTAGACAGAGTGAGAGATAACAGCTGGAGGAGAGAGTCTAGACGGTTAGGGTAAGCTAGAAATAACTGGAATATAAGAGAGTGCAGACAACCAGAGAATCAGATAGGGTTAGAGAGCATGGTTATATGAGAGAGTGTAGACAACTAGAGGAACCCGGGCGAATAGGAAATGCTAGAGAGTATAGCTGTATGAGAGAGTCTAGACAACTAGAGGCACAACTAATGGAGAGAACCCAGACGACCAGACAACCCTAGAGAGTAGGGGTAGATGATAGAGTCTAGACATCTAGAGGCACAACTAATGGAGAGAGCCCAGACCCTAGAGAGTATAGCTGTATGAGAGAGGCTAGACAACTAGAGGAACCCAGACGAATAGGAAACCCTAGAGAGTAGGGGTAGATGAGAGAGTCTAGACATCTAGAGGCACAACTAATGGAGAGAACCCAGACGAATAGGAAACCCTAGAGAGTAGGGGTAGATGAGAGAGTCTAGACATCTAGAAGCACAACTAATGGAGAGAGCCCAGACCCTAGAGAGTATAGCTGTATGAGAGAGGCTAGACAACTAGAGGAACCCAGACGAATAGGAAACCCTAGAGAGTATAGCTGTAGGGGTAGATGAGAGAGCCTAGACAACCAGACACCTCTAGAGATCACTAGACAAAAAGGAGAGAGCCCCAGACACCAACCTGCAATCGATTCTCCAGCACTCGCAAACATCGCCTCTCAATACAACTCTGCTTCTTGACACCCGGCCCACCGAATTGCGGTGAATCCTGACAATATGTACACTGACCGCACGGTTTACACTGACATCCACGACAAACACCGCATCTAGAATGAAATTATTGATTGATTTTTGGGGGGGATGTCCGAGAGAACTACACACACTTGTACTAGAATACTAGAAAATGTGTGTGGGGATAATTGGATTTTTACGCGCGCACCTGAAACTGAAGACTACAAAGTTCGCGAACAAAAATTGTGACTTGATTTTCGACCCACAAGGTCAGGGGATCGATTCCCGGTGCCTGCAGAACTTTTTTCTCTTGAATACCAAGTTCTAGAGACTAAACAACGATACTCCGCGATTCCGACAAAACCGTACCTTTTGTTAACTAACCTCTGCGACCGATTCATACTACTAGTCACCACGGGCGGTGCGGCTGCAGCTTGTTGCGCAATCTGCGGATGCGGTGCGGCTTGCGGCGCGTACGCAATGTGTTGCGGAAACATTGCGTACTGTTGTTGTTGGGGCGGCGGTGCAAAATGATTGTTGTTCATCGATTTTTCGCCGGCCTGGAATTAATTAATGAAAGGCTGTGCAGAAAAAGTACATAAGTATAAGAGAAGCTACAGTACCATCACGGTAATTTAAAGGGACATACAATTGTGGATTTGGGATTTAAAAAAAAATAAAACTTTGTCCTGAGGGATACTGTAGGTTGCTCATGTTAAAAGAAGCTACAGTACCATCAGGGTAATTTAAAGGGACATACAATTGTGGAAATGGGATTTTTTAAAAATATAACTTTGTCCTGAGGGATACTGTAGGTTGCTCATGTTAGCTCAGCTACAGTATCATCAGGATAATTTAAAGGGACATACAATTGTGGATTTTGGGTTTTCAAAAAAAACGTTATCCTGAGGGATACTGTAGGTTGCTCATGTTAGCTCAGCTACAGTACCATCAGGGTAATTTAAAGGGACATACAATTGTGGATTTGGGTTTTAAAAAAAAACTTTATCCTGAGGGATACTGTAGGTTGCTCATGTTAGCTCAGCTACAGTACCACCAGGGTAATTTAAAGGGACATACAATTGTGCCACGTGGATTTGGGATTTTTTAAAAATAAAACTTTGTCCTGAGGGATACTGTAGGTTGCGCATGTTAGCTCAGCTACAGTACCACCAGGGTGATTTAAAGGGACATACAATTGTGGATTTGGGATTTTGAAAAAAAAATGACTAGAAATATGGAGAGTTAGGCGAACTTGAGGTGAGCAAAAGCACATAAATGCGATTTTGTGTTGAGAGAAGAAGAAGCGGGGAAAATAATCATATTTTACGCATATTTTATTTCCCTTCTAGCCAGAAAAAGAAGTTTTAACAATAGAAGTTTAGAAAAAGCACACATTTTTTTTTGGCGGGAAATTTTTGAAATTCAAAAAAAATTAGCGCGAAATTTTGAAAAATCAAATTTTTGAATTTTCAAATTTTGGCGGTAAAAATTTGAATTTTCAAATTTTGGCGGTAAAAATTTGAATTTTCAAATTTTGGCGGTAAAAATTTGAATTTTCAAATTTTGGCGGTAAAAATTTGAATTTTCAAATTTTGGCGGTAAAAATTTGAATTTTCAAATTTTGGCGGGAAATTTTCAAAATTCAAAAATTATTGCCACGTGTCAATTTTGGCGGGAAAAAATTTGAATTTTCAAATTTTGGCGGGAAATTTTCGAAATTCAAAAATTACGTATTTTTTTGACACTCAAATTTTCGCGCGAAAAACACTTTCCACGTGGAAATTCGACGCAGAAGGTCGGGGGATCGATTCCCAGTGGGGGCAGAATTTTTTTTTTAAATTTTTTGAAAATTCAAATTTAAGCGCCCAAAACAAACATCCACGTTTGGAAATTTGAATCAGAAGGTCGGGGGATCGATTCCCAGTGGGGGCTGAATTTTTTTTTTTTTGAAATTTAAAATTTTTGGTGCCAAAAACGTTTTCCATGTGGAAATTTGACTCAGAAGGTCGGGGGATCGATTCTCAGTGGGAGCAGAATTTTTTTTTTTTTTTTTTTTTTTTGAAAATTCAAATTTTTGGTGCCCAAAACAAACATCCACGTGTGGAATTTTGAATCAGAAGGTCGGGGGATCGATTCCCAGTGGGGGCAGAATTTTTTTTTTTTTTTTTTTTGAAAATTCAAATTTAAGCGCCCAAAACAAACATCCACGTTTGGAAATTTGAATCAGAAGGTCGAGGGATCGATTCCCAGTGGGGGCAGAATTTTTTTTCGTTTTTTTTTTGGAAAATTCAAAGAAAAATCGAGAATGGAGAAAAAAAATCACAAGCGATATAATTTGAATCAGGGGCATTATGATGATGATTTTTCCACAAACATACAACAAAAAAAATAAAAAATTTTATGACAAGTTTTAAATGTGAGAGAATTGTCTTCTTGTTTTTCGTGCATCTTTTTATAATAAAATTAATGTGTGCAAGAGAAAATTATCATTTTTTTCAAGAAGGATTTTATGAGCTACCGTATTCTTTTTTGAATTTTTTGGCGGGAATTTTGGTTATGATTACTGTAGCTCGATTTTTGGCACTAAAAGAGCTACAGTACCCTTAGCTTAAAGGGACATACGTTTCAAAAAAAGGATTACGGTAGCTCATGGAAACCATGTGGCATTCCGGAAGCTTATAGCTACCGTATTCTTTTTCTTGAATTTTGTTAGGGTTACTGTAGCCACGTGGATTGTCTTGATTTTTGATCACCAGAAAAAATCCTCGCCCGCACCCGACCTCGATCCCCCGACCCTCCACCTCAAAACCCAGAGATCTACCACTACACCACAGAAAATATCTGGCGTGTCAAAAAATAATCAAATCAAATCAAAAAGGAAGCAGATGAAGAAGAAACATTGAGAAAGACTCTGAGCAGCTCAAAAAGTGAGCAAATATTTGATCTACCAAAGAAAAGTGAGGGAAATACGATTTTTCGGATAAATATATATAAGAATAATAATTATTATAAGAATAATGAGAAGGAGAAAAAAGTATATATTTATATAGAAATTTGAAATTCTGACTTTTCCCGCCAAAAAATTTCCGAAAACCGCGCGCTTATCAACGAAAATCGCCCCATCTCCCCCAGCACTCGCGTAGCTCAGGCGGTTAGCGGCGCCCCTTTTCGATCAAAGCGTCGCTCCCAAGTTCGATCCACGCCGCCTGCGAACATTTTTATTTTTTGTGTTTTTTCGCCGGAAAAGTATAAAAAATCTCCCGGAAAAAGATGTGACAAGTCGTTTAAGTGAGCCGAAATGACAGGGGAGAACATCTCAAAAAAAATGGGGAGAAGATGAATTATTATTCATGTAAAATAAAAAGGATTGGTTGGATTTGGAAAGAGGAGGAGGAGATGTGGGATTACTGTAGTGCTCTTTGGAGCAATTATTATTTATGCATCTGTCTATTTAGCTACATAATAGAAGTTAGAATAACAATAAACTTCTTAATCCCGTTTTGCCTAACAAAATCCCAGCGTTGTCAAGGGTTGTTAATTGAATTTAGGTTAACTCTCTCTCTTAGTGCATACTTAGCCGAAAAATCAAAAAAAAAAAAAGTTGTGCGGGCGGGGGGAGTCGAACCTGAGCAAACCTGAACGGCTGCACGCTAACCGACTGAGCCATGTGTGCAAGAAAAATTTGGAAAAGAAAAAATAGTAGTAGTAGTAGTATTTTGTATTAATAATAATTTCTTGGGTCATTTGAGGACACAAAAATAAAAAGAGAGACCTGTGAAGGTCAGATTTTTATCATCAGATCTTTTGGGAGGAATCCGGGATTTTTATTGGTTAGTTACTCTAACTTAATGTATGCGACAGCGATTTGTAGCGTGGGAATTTTGAAAAAAAAATAATAAAATTTGAATTTTTTATCAACCCGCGCGCGCGAAAAAAGTGGAAAACAACGTGTTTATCAGCGAAAAATGCGCTGCTTTCAAAACACACGGGATAGCGCAGTGGTAGCGCGCTGAACTCGCGCTTGCGGGGTCAAGGGTTCGACCCCCGGTGCGAGCTAAATTTTTTTTTTTTTTTTTTTTTGAATAAAGTGCTTGGGATGAAACAAAGAAATTAAAAATTCACAAGCCACGGAAATTTTGCGCTCGAAAAATTCGAAAAAGCAAAAAAAGGGAGAGAATATAATAATGGAATACATAAATCTTGAAAAATAATGACACGAAAATTGAAAATGCAAAAAATAAAAGATTAATTTTGCGGCGAGAAATGAAATTGGAAAAAAAATGTTTTTTTTTCGGATTTTTTTCAATTTCTCCCCAAAAAAATCAGATAAGTACATACAAATTTTCCAATTTTTTTTTTTGAGAAAATGAACATTTTTTTTTGTTGTCCAAAAGAACTACAAAAATGGATAAATCTTGGAGAAAACCTATAATTAATTATAGGTTTCATCCAAAAAAAAGTACCAAAAATAAATAAAAAAGGGGTAAAGGTCATTTGGAAAAAGTGGGCGGAGCTAAATTTGAATTTTGAAATTTTCCCGCCAAAAAGTACCACGTGGATTTTTTTGGCGCGAAAATTTTAAATTTGGAAATTTTCGCCAAGAAATTCAAAAATTCAAATTTCCCGCCAAAAAGTACCACGTGGATTTTTTTGGCGCGAAAATTTTGAAATTTGAAATTTTCGCCAAGAAATTCAAAAATTCAAATTTTCCGCCAAAAAGTACCACGTGGATTTTTTTGGCGCGAAAATTTTAAAATTTGAAATTTTTGCCAAGAAATTCAAAAATTCAAATGTCCCGCCAAAAAGTACCACGTGGATTTTTTTGGCGCGAAAATTTTAAAATTTGAAATTTTCGCCAAGAAATTCAAAAATTCAAATTTCCCGCCAAAAAGTACCACGTGGATTTTTTGGCGCGAAAATTTTAAAATTTGAAATTTTCGCCAAGAAATTCAAAAATTCAAATTTCCCGCCAAAAAGTGCCACGTGGATTTTTTTGGCGCGAAAATTTTAAAATTTGAAATTTTCGCCGAGAAACTCAAAAATTCAAATTTTTGCGCCAAAAAATTCCACGTGGATTTTTTGGCGCGGAAATTTTAAAATTTGAAATTTTCGCCGAGAAACTCAAAAATTCAAATTTCCCGCCAAAAAGTGCCACGTGGACGCGAAATTCAAATTTTTTTCGAAAAAAAACCTCATAAAAGTTGCTTTGTCCTTTTTTCCGATAAAATCTCCAAGTTTTCGGGTCAAAATCGATCGAAATCTGCAAAAATTCGATTTTTTTGGTGAAAATTGGAATTTTAAGGAGAAAATACGAGAAAAAATGAATTTTTTTTCGAAAAATTCAAATTTTTTCCAAAAAAAGTACCCCAAAATTCAGAAAATCACAAAAAAAATCATATTTTCTAGAAAAAAAAGTAGAAAAGAATAAAAGTTAGGCTAAATTGGGTACTAAACATATTTGGGTTTGGCCCTAATTTTTTATTAGATTTATGTTATTTGCATTTTTTATTCGAATGTACTACTTATTAATCAGTTAGTTAGCTAGAAAAAAAAATATATGGGAAAATGGGAAAAAATATCATTAAATATCATGAAATAAAAGTTAATGGGAGGAGGGAGTACTGTAGGTTTTGGCGCCAAAAATCGGAAAAAAATTTGAATTTTGAAAATTTTCTGAAAATTACAACACTCCGCTATTCCACGTGGAATTTTGAGCGCGAAAAATTTGAATTTTGAAAACTACAACACTCCGCGTTTACACATGGTTTTTTGAGCGCGAAAAATTTGAATTTTGAAAATTTTCTGAAAACTACGATGCTCCGCAATTCCACGTGGATTTTTGAGCGCGCGAAAAATTTGAATTTTGAAAATTTTCTGAAGACTACGAAGCTCCGCGATTCCACGTGGTTTTTTGAGCGCGAAAAATTTGAATTTTGAAAAATTTTCGAAAACTACAACACTCCCAATTCCACGTGGATTTTTGAGCGCGAAAAATTTGAATTTTTGAAAATTTTTGAATTTCAAAAAGTTCCCACCACAAATTTAGATTTAAAAAAAAACTACGAGGCTCCGCTATTCCACGTGGTTTTTTGAGCGCGAAAAATTTGAATTTTGAAAAATTTTCGAAAACTACGATGCTCCGCGATTCCACGTGGCATTTTTCAAGCGGGAAAATCCAATTTTCAAAAAAAAAAAATGAAACCGCAAACATTTTTCTTGTTTTTTCTCGCATTTTGTCTCTCTTCTCCTGTCCTAATGACCTCGATAATCAACAAAAAAAAATAAAGAAATAGGAATAAAATGTAAGTATCTAAATACATAAATCTCCCAATTTTTATTGGGTAGATCAAAAAACTTGAGAATTTTTGAATATTTTTGGCGCCAAAAATCAACGCGATCAAAATTATTGCATAAATAATTATTTACGAAACAAATTGTACATTTTTTCTTATCTTTTTTCTTTTTCCCTCATTTCATTCATTCCATAAGTAAATAAAAATATACACAGAAATTAATTTTTCAACAAAAATCGAAAATCAATCAATAATCGCTAGAGGGGGAGAGCGCAGAGAAACGAGGGTCAAGTATAAAAGGGCAATCGCGCCCAGCGCTCTCGAGAGCGCTGGTAGTCTAGTGGTAGCGCGTTGGTTTTGCACGCGTGGGGTCGCTGGTTCGACCCCCGGTGCGAACTAACTTTTTTTTCTTTTTCTACACATGTTTCCTTAACCCATATGTTCCTCATTTCTTGCTGTCTCCCTTAGAATAACACAGATGAGCAATCGTAAATTATTAGAAGCAAAAAGATTTTTTTTTTGGAGAAGAGAAGAAGGAGGAGGAAAAATATATGAGATATTATAAAAAATGTGGGAATTTTGTTGGTTGAATCGTTAAAATAATCCCAATTTTATGTGAAAACAAGACGGGTATTTTCTGGGGAGAAAAATCCAAAAATTAAAAAAAAAAAAGATGTAGCTCGCACCGGGGATCGAACCCGAGCCAGCTAGACCGGCAGGTAAGCGCGTTGCCACTGCGCCGCGCTTCGCGCGCGCGCCAATTTTTACAGTAAACTTACAACAAAATTAAAGGCGCATCTTATGGGGCTAAGTGTCCTAAAAATGACCTATTTTTATCTGGTAAGAAGGGGAAAAAAAAAGAAAAGAGAGAAAGAGAAGAGGAAGAAGAAGGGAAAGACAAAAAGGTGGCGGCCTTGAACCAGAAAAATCCCCACTCTCTACCACACATTTTCTATATATTATTTATATTATTATTATACACCATCTTCTGGGGACCTTTCAAAAATCCAAAAAAAAAAAAAAAAAAATTTTTTTTGGTCCCAAAAAATGCTTGAGTTTCAAAAAAACAAAAGTTTACACACCAAAAAGTGATTTAATGCCTTTGTCTCCCTGGTTTTCGCGCAAAAATGGGCGGAGCCTAATAGGTCAAAAATTTTGAGGTCAGTAGATCAAATGGGAATTTTAAAGGGACATACAGTATCCATGTAGCTTTGTTAGTGCTAAACTAGACTCTAGTTTGGTTTACAGTAATTTTTGGGGGTTTTTTGGGATTTTAAAATTTTTTTTCAAAACTAGACTCTAGTCTGGCAGCTACAGTAACCCGAAATTTCTGAAAAAATCTTCCCGGGATTGAAAATTGGATTTTAAAGGGAGGTACAGTATCCCCAGTAACATTTTTCAATAAGTGCAAAACTATACTGTAGTTTAAAGGTACATAGTAGTCTTTTAAACATACCCAGAGGTCAAAAACTACAGTAATCTAATAACTAGACTGTAGTTTTCATTTAGTCCTAAAAAAGCAAAACAAAAAAAAAACAAAAAAGTTCGCTCGCACCCGGCATCGAACCCCTGACCCCTCAGCTGCGAGATCAGCGCGCTACCACTGCGCCACGCGTATAGCAAATGAGGCAGCGCTTTTTTCGCTTATATAATCGGGAGCCCGCGCTTTTTTTTGATACAGTAGGCAAGTTTAAAGGTGCATATGAAAAAATAAAAGTTTGTTGTACTGTAGAGAAAGGAGGAAATGAGGTAAATACATAGTTGTGAGTAAATCAATTGAGTAAATATATATATTTTTGTATATTTTGTATATAAATATATATATTCTTAAGAGAGAGAGAGAGAAAAGTCAAGTTTGTCTAAGTCTAATCGATGAAAAATGAAAGAAGAAGAAAGAGACTCACACTCAAATAAGGAACAACACAAAACGCAGTGCACAAAAATCGTGACAGGTCGAAAAAATGGGAAATACTGTGCTGGGAGAGCTCGTGGACAGGTGAAATTCAATATTTTCGCCTTTTTTTCTCTTTTCGCCCGGCAATCTCGAATTTCCCCACAGGGATCGAAAAATAAAAAAAAATTAAAAAAAATTTTTTGAAAAAAAATTTCTAGCGCCTCTGAAAATCCAGGTGGAATTGGCGGAGCGTCGTTGTTTTTTTTTGAATTTTTCAAAAATTCACACTTTTGGAATACTGTATGCACCTTTGAATTCACACTACATTCAAGTTTTAAAATTCAAAAAAAAAATAAAATTTGAAAATAAATTTTGGCGCGTCGGAAAGTTCAGGTGGAATTGCGGAGTATCGTAGTTTTTTTTCAAAAATTCAGAATTTTGGAATACTGTATGTACCTTTAACACCACACTACTTTCTAGTTTAAAATTTCAAAAAAAAATTTAAAAAAAAATTTCCAGCGCCTCTGAAAATCCAGGTGGAATTGCGGAGTGTCGTTGTTTTTTTTTAAATTTTTCAAAAATTCAGAATTTTTGGAATACTGTATGTACCTTTGATATCACACTACATTCTAGTTTCAAAATTTCAAAAAAAAAATTTTTTTTTGAAAAAAACATTTTGGCGCGTTTGAAAATCCAGGTGGAATTGGCGGAGTGTCGTTGTTTTTTTTAATTTAAAAAAATTAGAGATACTGTACCTCCCTTTGAAAATTCACCAGTTTTCCTTTAAGCTCAACTACAGCCTAGTTTAGATTTGGAAAAAAAAATTCCGGGTTACTGTAGGCGCCTTTAAAATACCCTACACCTCATAATTTTTTCAAAATGCAGACTTTTGGAATACTGTATGTACCTTTAAAACAAATCTACAGTAATCTTTGATCTACCTACAGTAACAAAAGGTTTTCCTGGCTGTCAGCTGAGAGGTCGAGGGTACGAGCCCCGGTGCGAACTTTTGAATTTTTTTTTTTTTTTGAATCTACAGTAATCCCCATTTTTTTGGGGTTGAAAAAGAAAAAGGAAAAAAGGAAAAACGAAAATAAACACCACACAGAAATTTTGCTGTATGAATAAAGAAAAGAAAAGAGCAGGAGCTCTCTGCTTCTCTCGCCACACTCTCTCCATTTTGCACACTATTTCCTCGATTTTTTCTTGGTGGCTCGGCGAATAAATAAAGAAACAATAGATGGAAAAGGTAGGGGAAAATGAAACATTTCAAAATAAATACACAATTTTGGGGGTTTTGGGGCGAAAAATCAAATTTCGCGCGAAAAATTCAAGAAATTCTCGAATTCCACGTGGAAATTCGACATCCTTGTGAAATTTGCAGCATTTTCATATATATTTTCAAAAAAAAAAAAACAAAAAAAAAGTTCCCACCGGGGTTCGAACCCTCGACCCTTTAGCTGTGAGCTGAGCGCGTTACCACTAAGCCACGCGTAGGGGAAATGAATGGGCGCTTTTTTTCGCTTATAAAAACTGTGGATTTTTAAAGGCACATTGGAAAAACATGGGAAAATGTGGGATTACTGTATGTTCCTTTAAAAAATGTACTGTAGATCCCGAATTTCCTCTCAAAAATCGGAGAAAAATTCAAATTTCGCGCGGGAAAAAAAAATTATACAGTCCAAAATTTTTTGTTTCGTAAAAAAAATGAAATGAGTGTGTTATTTTTATTTTTTTTTTTGGGAAGAAGAAGAAGATGACAAATTTGACATTTTTTGCCTCCTCAAACAAAAAAACTTTTGTTTTTTTTTGTGATACAAAAAATTATTGTATGTTTAAAATAAATTCCGTTTCAAACAAAATTTTTCGAAAAAAACTTTATTTAGAACAAGAAATTCAAAAAAAAAACATTGAAAATAGGAAGGAAAACAACTAAAAACATCTAATTTTTCTATAAAAATTGGATTTTTGGGGGCTGAAAATGGGCCTGAAATAGGCCTAAGATGAGCCTAAGCACATGAAAATGGGCCTTAAATATTCAGGCTTCTAATAGGCCTATTTAAGGCTAATTCGAATTAGAAAAAGGCCTTAAATGGGCCTTAAATATTCAGGCCTATTCTAGGCCGCTTTTCACCGCCCAAAGCCCCTCTAAAACTCCTGCAACCTAACATTTTTGGGTAAAAAACATTCCAACTTCTTGAGACTTCCTCTAACTTCCCACCATTTCTCACAAATTTCGGCCGATTTATCAGTGGGAATACTCGACAACCACATTTTCCTGATGTAATCCGAAATTTCCGGAGCAATTTTGAAGCGAACCGAGTTGGCGGAAATATCGATTGGATAATAATCCGGGTTGCGGCTCGAACCCACGTGATTTTCGGCGATTCGCGCGGAAAATCCGTCAGAGATTACGGAGAGACGCGAGGAATCCGCGGCGGAAATGCGGAGACGGAGAGATGAGTGATCCTGGAAAATTTTGGGGATTTTTTGGGGGGGCCTAAGGGGCCTAAGGGGGCCTGAAATAGGCCTATTTCAGGCTTAGGTTGAGAATGATATTAATATTAGGCATATTTCAGGCCTTTCTAGATTTAGGCTTATTTTTAGGCCTTTCTAGATTCAGGCTTATTTTTAGGCCTTTCTAGACTTGGGCTTATTTTTAGGCCTTTCTAGATTCAGGCTAATTATCAGGCCTTTCTAGATTTAGGCCCATTTCAGGCCTTTCTAGATTTAGGCTTATTTTTAGGTCTTTCTAGATTTAGGCTTATTTTCAGGTCTTTCTAGATTTAGGCTTATTTTTAGGCCTTTCTAAATTTAGGCTTATTTTTAGGCCTTTCTAGATCTGATTTTTTTTTTGAATTTCGAATTTTTCGCGCCGAATTTAAAGGTGCATAGTTTGTTTCTGCGAAAATTTCAAATTCAAATTTTTCGCGCCAAAACCTACCGTATTCTGTTGATTTTCGATCAGAATTTCACTGCCTTTCGCCTCCATTTTTTGCCATTCTCCACATTTTTCATTGATTATTCCGGTGAAATCACGTTCGGCTGAAAAAAGGGAAGAAATTGGGTTACTGTAGGGTTACTGTAGCTCAAAATAATCGCTACGAGACCCAAAAATCTCAATTTTTCGCTTCAGGACCTTGAAAATCCTAATTTTCAGGCCAAAACCTTCCCCAGGGTTACTGTAGCTCAAAATAATCGCTGCGAGACCCAAAATGGCTCATTTTCCCGCAGAAACTCTCCCTAGGGTTACTGTAGCTCAAAATAATCGCTACGAGACCCAAAAATCCAAATTTTCGCTTCAGGACCTTGAAAATCTCAATTTTCCCGCCAAAACCCTCCCTAGGGTTACTGTAGCTCAAAATTATCGCTTCAGGACCCAAAATGGCTCATTTTTCCGCATTTTTTCCGCACAACCCACCATCAGAATTTCGATATTTGGGAGTTCCAGTCAAAATGTGCCACCATCGCCAAGTTGGCGCCAAAATAATCGGTTTTGGGCGACATTTTTGGCAGCCCGAGCATGGTTGCTCATATTCGATTTGTAGTTCAATTGGAGACGGTGAACGCTGTAATTGGGTTACTGTAGATCGCTTTGAGACCCAAAAATTAGTGAAAAATGCGAATTTTTAGGTCCTGAAGTGAAAATTTCGTGGCTAGGAGTACTGTAGCTCAATTTTTACGCTTCAGGACCCAAAATTCGTGAAAAATGGGAATTTTAAGGTTCTGGAGTGAAAATTTCGTGGCTAGGAGTACTGTAGCTCAATTTTTTCGCTTCAGGACCCAAAATTCGTGAAAAATGGGAATTTTTAGGTCCTGGAGTGAAAATTTCGTGACTAGGAGTACTGTAGCTCAATTTTTTCGCTTCAGGACCCAAAATTCGTGAAAAATGGGAATTTTTAGGTCCTGGAGTGAAAAGGAGTACTGTAGCTCAATTTTTACGCTTCAGGACCCAAAATTCGTGAAAATGAGTAATTTTTGAGTTCTGGAGTGAAAATTTCGTGGCTAGGAGTACTGTAGCTCAATTTTTTCGCTTCAAGACCCAGAATTCGTGAAAAATGGGAATTTTTGAGTTCTGGAGTAAAAATTTCGTGGCTAGGAGTACTGTAGCTCAATTTTTACGCTTCAGGACCCAAAATTCGTGAAAAATGGGAATTTTTAGGTCCTGGAGTGAAAATTTCGTGGCTAGGAGTACTGTAGCTCAATTTTTTCGCTTCAGGACCCAAAAAACGCCATTTTTCACCAATTTTTCCCTTACCTTGCACATTTCCCAAATATACGCCCATCTTCTTCTCAATCCTCCAAAATACCACATTTTTTTGCGAACCTCTTCGATTTGTCGATTCCATCCCATACTCAAATCCGATAAACCGTACTCAATTATTTCATCATTTTCCGCGTTTTTTACCTGCAAAATTGGAATTTTCAGCGATTTTTGAGCGAAAAATCAGAAAATTTGATTAATTTTAGGTCAAAATTGAGGAATTTCGAGAAATTTAACATGAGCAATGCTCAAAATTCCGCGATTTTTTCAAATTTTCAGCCAAAAATTCCAGATTCCCCACCTCAAAAGCGTATAAATTCCTTTTTTGCTCTTCAATCACAGCCATTGCACTTTCACAAGCAGCTCGAACATCTTGTGAATTCGCAAAAACTTCTGGAGCAATTCTTTTCAGAAATGCGTTATCGTAACCTCCCGGATAGAAACCAATAGGAAGTATTGATTTTTCGCTGAAAAATTGGGGAAATTCGTGATTTTCATGAAATTTGGGGATTTTAGACACCCAATTTGATATGGTTTTGAGAATTTTGAAAATTTCAGATTTCAGGGCTCAAAATGCTCCAAATTTTCAGAAAACTTCAAATATAGTCATGTGAGGTGTCAAAAATCCGGAAATTTCATGAAAACCCCGAAAATACACGAGAAATCACGAAAAAACATGATTTTCGGAATTTTTGCCAAAATTTTTTTTCAAATCTTGAGTTCTAGAAGAAAACGTGGATTTTCGCGGGGAAATTCGTGATTTTCATGAAATTTGGAGATTTTAGACACCCAACTTGCTATAGTTTTGAGAATTTTCAGAAATTTCATATCTCAGGGCTCAAAATGCTCCAAATTTCACAAAAATAGTCATGTTTGGTGTCAAAATGCTCCAAAAAACTCACCGATTTTTAAAAATCCCACTAACAACTTTCCCAATCGCTCCATCTCCTCCCACAACATAAATCGCATCAGCTTCTTGTTGATCTAATGCTCCAGCCAATTGTTCCATTTGTTTTTCATCTTTCGCTTTCACAATATCCACTGAAATTCCAGCCAAATGAAAAAGTGGAAGAGCGTTTTTTGTGAAATTATCGACGACATTTCGAAGATTTGCGTCGGTGTTTATTAGAACGAAAATTCGACGAGGACGATCTTCGGCTGCAAAATTATTGATTTTTGGGCCCAAATTCGAATTTTTCATAAAATTTCCGGTTTTTTGACACCCCATAAGCCTATTTTTCGATATTTCTGAAAATTTGGAGCATTTTGAGCCCTGAAATCTGAAATTTCTGAAAATTTTCAAAAGTATGTCAAGTTGGGTGTCTAAAATCCACAAAATTCCTGGAAAATCCGAATTTCCTCTCCAGAATCCTCAAAATCTTCTAGAACTCTGAATTTATCAAATTTGGATCTAAAAAATTCCGAAAATCATGTTTTCATCAATTTTGGATGAAATCTCGTGAATTTTTAGATTTTTCATGAAATTTCGAGTTTTTTGACACCCCATAATTTTTTTTCTGAAAATTTGGAGCATTTTGAGCCCTGAAATCTGAAATTTCCGAAAATTTTCAAAACTATGTCAAGTTGGGTGTCTAAAAACTGGAAATCCCATAAAAATCACGAATTTCACCTCGAAAATCTTGGATTTCTTCTAGAACTCGAGATTTGAAAAATTTTGGCCTTAAAAAATCCGAAAATCATGTTTTCACCTGTTTTAATTAGAATTTCGCTACCTCCTGGGAATTTTCAAGTTTTTCATAGAATTTCCGGATTTTTGACACCCCATAAGCCTATTTTTCAATTTTTCTGAAAATTTGGAGCATTTTGAGCCCTGAAATCTGAAATTTCTGAAAATCCTCAAAAGTATATCAAATTGGGTGTCTAAAATCCCCAAATTTCACGAAAAACACGAATTTCACCTCGAAAATCTTGGATTTTTTCTAGAACTCTGAATTCATCAAATTTTGGCTCGAAAAGAATTCCGAAAATCATGTTTTTATCAATTTTGGATGAAATCTCGTGAATTTTCAAGTTTTTCATGAAATTTGGAGGATTTTGACACCTCACATTACTATATTTGAATTTTTCTGAAAATTTGGAGCATTTTGAGCCCTGAAATCTGAAATTTCTGAAATTCTTCAAAACCATATCAAGTTGGGTGTCTAAAAACTGGAAATTTCGTGGAAAATCCAAATTTCACCTCGAAAATCTTGGATTTCTTCTAGAACTCAGGATTTATCAAATTTCAGGACAAAATTTTTCAATTTTTCATGGTTCCAGGCTCATTTTTGATGAAAAATGACGATTTTTGGGTCAAAAAATCGGAATTTTCGCAAATTTCCCTCAAAAAACCCACGACTAATCGTTTTTTCTCCAAAAATCCGCGCAATTTTCGAATATTCCGCTCGAATCGTCTGATTTCTGCTCCATCTATAAACCCAATCTCCAGCCAAATATCCGCAAAATGAGAAAAACACCGTTTTTTTCTTGTGCTCATAAAGAACTTTGGGAATTCGGCCAACTTTTTGAGCAAATTTTGACATCCTGAAATTAATTTTAGGTGGAAAATCTGAAAAAAAAAGGTGGAAATCGATAAAAAATGGTTGATAACCATGAAAAAATCCGGAAAAAAATGGAGAAAAACTTGAAAAATCTTTATTATTAAGTACATGAAAAAGAGATCGTGTCTGGGATGAAAAAAAATGAAAATTATAAGCTTTTGGTGGTTTCTAGAAGAAAACGTGGAATTTTGAGGGGAAATTCAAATTTTTCATGAAATTTGGGGATTTTAGACACCCAACTTGACATACTTCTGAAAATTTTTAAAAATTTCAGATTTCAGGGCTCAAAATGCTCCAAATTTTCAGAAAACTTCAAATATAGTCATGTGAGGTCTCAAAATCCTCCAAATTTCATGAAAAACCCGAAAATCCACAAGAAATCTCGAAATTTTGATGAAAATGGGGATTTTCGTAAGCCAAAATTTTCAGAATCCTGAGTTCTAGAAGATTTTCAGTTTTCTAGAGGTGAAATTTGGATTTTTCATGAAATTTGGGGATATTAGACACCCAACTTGATATACTTCTAAGAATTTTCGAAAATTTCAGATTTCAGGGCTCAAAATGCTCCAAATTTTCAGAAAACTGGAAATCTAGTCATGTGAGGTGTCAAAAACCCGGAAATTTCATGAAAAACCCAAAAATTCACAAGAAATCTTTAAATTTCATCAAAAACCATGATTTTTGGAACTTTTTTGAGCCAAAATTTGATAAATCTTGAGTTCTAGAAGATTTCGAGTTTTCAAGAGGTGAAATTTGGATTTTTCATGAAATTTGGGGATTTTAGACACCCAATTTGATATAGTTTTAAGAATTTCTGAAAATTTCAGATTTCAGGGCTCAAAATGCTCCAAATTTTCTGAAAAATCGAAAAATAGTCATGTGAGGTGTCAAAAATCCGGAAATTTTGTGAAAAACCCGAAAAAAAACCACCAAAACCTTATAAACTATTATTTTTGATGCGAAAAATGACCAAATCAATGCAAGCTTTTGCATCTTCACACGAATTATGTCCTTGTGCATCACAATTATCAGATTGGATGAATCTTTGAAGATATTGAGCTGATAATTTCTTGAGTGGTTGTTTTAATGGTCCTTTTTTGAATAATAATGAGGTGTCGACTACATTGTAGTGCATAAGACGCATTGCTTTGAAATCGGATTCCAATGAGTGGCCAATTAATATTGTTTCAGAATTTACCAATTTAAACAGCTTTTGTTGAGCCTGAAATGAAAAAAAACTGATTTTTCAGATTTTTTCACCCGAAAATATTAAAAACCTCGAGTTCTAGCAGAAATCAAGACTTCTAGAGGTGAAGTTAGTGTTTTTCATGAAATTTGGGGATTTTAGACACCCAATTTGATATGGTTTTGAGAATTTTTGAAAATTTCAGATTTCAGGGCTCAAAATGCTCCAAATTTTCAGAAAAATCGAAAAATAGTCATGTGAGGTGTCAAAAACCCGGAAATTTCATGAAAAATCCGAAAATTCACGAGAAATCGCGAAATTTCATCAAAAACCATGATTTTCGGATATTTTTTAAATCCAAAATTTGATAAATTTCGAGATCTAGAATATTTCGAGTTTTCTAGAGGTGAAATTTGGATTTTTCATGAAATTCGGGGATTTTAGACACCCAACTTGATATGGTTTTGAAGAATTTTTGAAAATTTCAGATTTCGGGCTCAAAATGCTCCAAATTTTCTGAAAAATTGAAATATAATCATGTGAGGTATCAAAAGTCCGGAAATTCCATGAAAAACACAGTAATGCACAAAAAATCTGAATTTTTGAAAATTTAGTGACCCCCCTGAACTTATAAGCTGAGGGGGGTACCAAATTTCACAAAAATTCATATTTGATCTCAAAATTCTCGAAATTTTGCGTAGATTTCGATTTTTCAGCTCACCGAAGCCAAATCATCCTCAGCCATTTCCAATTGTTCCATTTTCAATCCAGAAAACTCAAAATTCGGATCAATAACTCGAGTCGGCGGTTTGACAATTACATCCAACACCAAATTTCCAGCCAAATTTACGACTGAAAGTCGGCCTAAAGCCGGGCCGTGAAGTGTATAAACCATTTCACAATCAATCGCGTAGATCTGCAAAAAATAAGGATTTTTGGCTTAAAATTCATCATTTTCAGCCTAGTTTCAGCCAAAAATGCTCAAAAATTCACCTGTTTCGATCTCGGATCATTTTGTCCAGTAGGAGGCGGTGTATGTATGAATTTTTGCAATTCCGATCGGAAAAGTTGGTCGAAAACGTGATGTTTGACTATATTACAACCGGGTGTTGTATTTTTCTCAGTTTGACAACAATTGTGAATTTTTCGGAAGGTATCTGCAAAAATCGAGGTGAAATTTGAATTTTTCACAAAATTTGGGGGTTTTTGACACCTCACATGAGAATATTTCGATTTTTCTGAAAATTTGGAGCATTTTGAGCCCTGAAATCTGAAATTTCTGAAAATTTTCCAAAGTGTGTCAAGTTGGGTGTCTAAAATCCCCAAATTTCATGAAAAATTCGAAAATTGATGTGAAAAAGCTGAAAATCTTCTAGAACTCACTATTTGAAAAATTTAAAAGTTAAAAAATTCCGAAAATCATGTTTTTTCGCGATTTCTCGTTAATTTTCGGGTATTTCATGAAATTTCGAGATTTTTGACACCTCACATGACTATATTTGAAGTTTTCTGAAAATTTGGAGCATTTTGAGCCCTGAAATCTGAAATTTTCAAAAAATTCTTCAAAACTATATCAAGTTGGATGTCTAAAATTCGGAAATTTCCTGAAAAATTCAAAAAACACAGTGAAAATGCTGGAAATCTTCTAGAACTCGAGATCTGAAAATTTCTGGCTCAAAAAAATTCCGAAAATCATGTTTTTTCGCGATTTCTCGTTAATTTTCGGGTTTTTCACAAAATTTCCGGATTTTTGACACCTCACAAGCCTATTTTTCGATTTTTCTGAAAATTTGGAGCATTTTGAGCCCAGACAACTGAAATTTCTGAAAATTTTCAAAAGTATGTCGAGTTGGGTGTCTAAAATCCGGAAATTTCATGGAGAATTCAGAAATCGCTGTGAAAATGCTGGAAATCTTCTAGAACTCGAGATTTTCAGATTTTCACGTAGTAAATTAGCTTACCTCCTTTTCCATGGCGATAAAATCCTTTATTATGATATCTACATTCCAATTCCGGCACATCTCCATCGTTTTTCATCCGAAATTCTTGAAAACATCTACAACAAGTTCGAATTTCTTCATTTTCTTCAATCCACAATTTTTTATTTATATCATAAATTGTCGGTTTTATTTCGACTTTTAATAATTCTTGTTTGAATATTGGATATCCATATTCTTCAATTTCAGCCAAATTCGATTTCATTGCTGAAATTTGCTGGAATTTTTCAATTTCAGTCATTTGTTCATAGGTTTTTCGTTCGGTTCTTTTGATTCCAACTGAAATTTTCGAATAATTCCTTCCAGCCAATAATTGATCATGGGAAACAGCTGAAAATTTTGAAAATCTGAAATTTTGATATGAAATATGCCTAGGGTTACTGTATGTCCCTTTAAAAATTCCAAGTAATTTTTGATCTACTTACAGTAACCCTGAATTTTGATACCAAATATGCGTAGGGTTACTGTAGCTACAGTACTTCTAGAATTTTCGGGTCTCGAAGCGATCTATCCAATCTTTAGCGCCAAAATTCGAAAAATGCAAATTTTCGCGCCAAAAAACCTACAGTAACCTTGAATTTTCGCTTCAGGACCCAATAACCCCCAAAACTACCGTATTTCGGCTCAAAATGCATCATTTTTCATGAATTTTCCACGTCTACAGTAATCTACCGTACTCACTATTCGATGCCACCGGAATCACAAGATCTTTCGATTGTTTTCGCAAATTATTGATCATATTCAACACGTTGACTTGATAGGTTTTGTCGCTTTTCGCGTTTTTCATGTATTCCAACTCCAATTTTTGAGCCTGTAATGAATTTTCAGAATTTTTTGGCTGAAAATCTGATTTTTTTGAGTCCGAATTTGTCTAGGGTGAAATTTTTATTGAAAATTGCAAATGCGCTCCATGGATAAATCTGTTTTCCAGGGAAAATTTCAAAAAGTTTAGTAGAAAATTGCAAATGCGCTCCATGGATAACAGGGTTTTCTATGGAAAATTTCAAAAAATTCAATAGAAAATTGCAAGTGCGCTCCATGGATAACAGGGTTTTCTATAGAAAATTTTTGACATTTTTAGAAGAAAAATACAAGCGCGCTCTATTGATAATACTGTTTTCCAGGGAAAATTTACAAAAAATTTACTAGAAAATTGCAAATGCGCTCCATGGATAACAGGGTTTTCCAGGGAAAATTTCAAAAAATTCAAATTTTCAGCTGAAAAAATCGATTTTTCAGGCGAAAAGCCATAAAACGCTCACCATTTCTCAAAGAAAAAATGAAATAAAAATCAGCTAAAACAAAAATTTCCAGACTTCAGCAAAATGACTCAATTTCTCATCACAGACCAAGAAAAAATGAGCTAAAAAATGAGTAACCATGGTGACATTTCATGGAAAATTTTTGATTTTTTCAGACCAAAAAAATTAGAAAAAAATTTTTTTTTGGGGTTAAAGTTTGGGTTACTGTTACAGTAGTAATTCAAATTTTTTGGCGCGAAAAATACAAAATTCAAATTTTTAAATTTTGGCGCGAAAAATTCAAATTTTTAAATTTTGGCGCGAAAAATTCAAATTTTTAAATTTTGGCGCGAAAATTCAAATTTTTAAATTTTGAAGCGGAAAATTCAAATTTTAAAATTTTGGCGCGAAAAATATAAAATTCAAATTTTTAAATTTTAGAGCGAAATTTTCGGATTCAAAATTTTTCTCTCAAGAAAGAAAAAAATTTGAATAAAAATTGGTTTTAAATCAAAAATGGGCGGGAAACAAAAGAGATATTTTTTCGAAAAAAAATTGTTTTTTTTTTCAATTTCAAAATTGTCACTCACTTTGATTTTTTTTAATTAAAAATTAAAAAAAACATTTTTTTTGAATTTTTTTTGCTAGCCACGTGGCAAGACTACTGTAGGTGTACTGTAGCTAGGAAAAAGGTTTTTTTGATCAAAAAATAGTGTTGCTCATATTAATTTTTTCAACTTTGCTAGAATTTCAAAAATATGGCCTAGAAAACCAAAAATACACATTTCTAGGTCATTTTTGCTCAAAAACCATGATTTCTAGCTCATTTTCAGCCTACCTCTTGCGCAGCTTCAGCTTTTCCCATATCCACCAATTGTCTGAATATTTTTTCCATCAAAGCTTTGCGACACGTGGATTTGATTTTTGTGCAAAATGGCTCCAAGACGGGCGGTGCCACCAACTTTTTTGTCGATTTTTCCGGCGAGGATTGCGGTTCGGATTTTACCGTAATTTTCGCGCGCTTTTGGGGTACTGTAGGTGAGGGCGGGAGTACTGTAGGCTTCTTTTTTTGACCAAACATTTCTTCTTGCGTGAGGAATTTCTGGAAAAAAATTGGGGGGTTTTTGAGGTACTGTAGGGGGTACTGTAGTCATTTTTTAAATTGATTTTCAGCTTTAGGGCCGAAACTTTGAAAAAATGGCCTAGAAATCCAAAAATTCACATTTCTAGGCCATTTTTGCTCGAAAAATCATATATATGGCCTAGAATTTCAAAAAATATGGCCTAGAAAACCAAAAATTCACATTTCTAGGCCATTTTTGTCCAGAAAAACACAAATATGGCCTAGAAACCCAAAAATCCACATTTCTAGGCCATTTTTGCTCAAAAACCCCAAATTTCAGCTCAAAATCCAGCATTTTTCATCGATTTTCCGCTCACCTTCTTCTTCCGCTCCGCTTCCGCTTCTCTCGCCTTTCTCGCGCGTTCTTCCGCTTCCTTATAGGCCTGTTTCATTTTTTCGGTATGACTCGATAATTTGTGAATTGGTGGCGGTTTTCGAGTGGAGATTGGCTGCAAAAACTGGCGGATTACTGTAGATTTTCGTGGCGAGACCCAAGATTTTTAGAATTTTTTCAAATTGGGTGTCTAAAATCTGGAAATTTTGTGAAAAATTCAAATTTCAGATTGAAAATTCTGGAAATCTTCCAGAATTTCAGATTTGAACAATTTCAGATAAAAAAAATGCCGAAAAATCGAGGTTTTAGGCCCAAAAATGCTTGGGTTACTGTAAAAAGCTCGAATTTTTTGGCGCTAAAATCAAAAATTCAAAATTTCAAAAACTCACCACAGTACCACCACTACTACTAACATGAGCAATGCGTTTTGGCGCCAAACTACTACCGTACTCCTCCTCCTTCTTTTTCTCCTGTCCCTTTAAACTTGTACTCGGCTGATTTTCCTCTTCTTCTTCTTCTTCTTCCAAACTTGGATGTTTTCGCTTCAAAATTGAGCTGCTCGAGCTCGAAATCGGAGTTGGAGCAACTTTTTCACGTTCCATTGATTTTCGAGTTTTCTGGAAGAAAAAAATTGAAAAAAAAAATTTCAGCCAAAATTCGATTTTTGGCTGAAATTTTCAGGTTCAGGCCGGATTACACTCGCTTCGCTCAAGAGTATTTTTCCGAGCGGCGGAGCCGCGAGTGTAGACCGCAAGCTTCCGCGTCAGCGGCACTGTCTTCCGCTTTAGCGGCCACGTGGATTACTATATGATTGCTAAAGCTATTTATCCCACGTCATAGTAATCCGCGTGGCCGCTGAAGCGGAAGATAGTGCCGCTTACGCGGAAGCTTGCGGATTACACTCGCTTCGCTCGAAAAAAAATTGACGATAGGTTCCCCTGCGCGAGAACTCGAAAATTTCAGTCAAAATTCGAATTTTAGCTGAAATTTTCAGGTTCAGGCATGATTTTGATTGAATTTCGGTTATTTTCCCAAAATTTTAGCAAAAATCCACTTTTTGCTGAAATTTTGAAACTTTTTGAAAATTCGTTCATTTCCAAATTTCGAGAAATGTGGAAATGTCGGAAATTTTCAAAAAATGGGCAAATTTCACAGTTTTTGTGAAATTTCCCAAAAATTTCAGCCAAAATCATATTTTTGGCCGAAATTTTCAGGTTCTGGCATGCTTCTAGGTTAATTTTTGGATGTATTTTTCGAAAATTTCAGCAAAAATCCAATTTTTTGTCAAAAATTTGGTTTTTTCATGCAATTCGGCTCAAAATTCCGCGTTTTTCGTTGGATTTTCAGCAAAAATCGCAAATTTCCAGCCATTCAGCACCTCCAACTTATTCTTGTTGGCATTTCCAGCCGTCCTAAATTGTTCCTCAGCTCTCCAATGTCCAATATGTGCACTTTTCACATACATAAATTGTTGCTTTCGCTCTTTTTCGCGTTTTTCTTCGCGAATTCGCATCGCCTCCAATTTTTTGTCGCGTTTCGCTTTTTCGATTTCCGCTGCTGTTCTTCTCGATTTTTTAGCTTCAGGATCATCTTCGACGAAATCTCCAGAATCTTTGGGCCTGGATTTCCGGGCTTCAGGCTTGGAACAGGCTTCGGGCTGGGTTTTAGGCCTAGAACTTCTGGAAGAATCTTCAGAACTTGATTTCGGCCTGGATTTTCGGGCTTCGGGCCTGGATTTCCGGGCTTCAGAGCTGTCCGAACTTGATTTCGGCTTGGATTTTCGGGCTTCGGGTGGATTTTTGAGCCTAGAACTTCTCTCCGAACTCAATTTTCGTCCAGATTTCCGGGATTCTGCCTGATTTTTGGGCCTAGATCTTCTAGCTGAACCTTCCGAGCTTGATTTTTTCGTAGATTCTCGATCTGATCTCCTGCGAGCCTCTTCCGAACTCGACATTCTTCTAGATTTCCGAACTTCAGGCTTCTTTTTGGGGCCAGATCTCCTCCGATCATCTTCCGATTCCTCTTCCGAACTTGTTGATTTTCGTCTGGATCTTTTTGAACTTCCAGATTTTTTCATAGATTCTCCTGATCTTCTTCTAGATCTTCCTGATTCTTCAGATTCCTCTTCTGAACTCGAACATTTCCTGATCTTTCCAGCTCGGTTTCTAGATCTCCTAGATCTTCCAGTTCTGCCTTCCGAAGTCGATTTTCTCCTAGATCTTCTAGATTTCTTCGCTGCTTTTCTAGATCTTCTCAAATCCAATCCCTCATCTTCATCCGAACTCTCATCCCAACTTCCATCCGATGTTTCCGATCCGGAAAATTCCGATTCCGATCCTTCCACAATAAAATCTTCCATCGAATCTCGACTGTCGTCAGATTCCTCTTCCGAACTAGATCTTTGCTGTGTCTTGATCTTTCCAGCTTGGTTTCTAGATCTTTTCGTAGATCTTCCAGCACTGTCAGAATCTTCAGATTCTTTTTCTGAACTTGTTGATTTTCTTCTAGATCTTTCGGAAGCTTCAGATCTTTGAGTTGTCTTGATCTTTCCAGCTTGGTTTCTAGATCTTTTCTTAGATCTTCCAGCACTGTCAGAATCTTCAGATTCCTCTTCCGAACTTGTTGATTTTTCTCTAGATCTTTTAGAATCTGATTTTTTCTTAGATCTTCCAGCACTGCCTTCTTCAGATTCCCTTTTTTGAAGTCCAAATGTCTTCGATCTTTTTTCCACATATGTTCTGTATTCCTCTTCCGAACTTGATTTTTCCGATTGCGAAGATCTATATGGAGATCTAGCTGGATCCGAAGGTGCTACTGGATCCGAAGATCTTATCGATTCCTTTTTCGGGCTTGAAATCGGTGCCGGACTCAAATAGGGATTGAAAATCGGCGGCGGGCTCGCAATTTTCACCGCAATCGATTTTCTGATCGGAATTCGAGGTTGAGTTCGAGCTGAAGTTTGAGTTTCATCATCCGACGAGCTGACCAAGTCGATTAATTCAACATCTGGAAAAATGTGGGATTTTTTGGGTGGAAAAAAAATTGACGATAGGTTCCCCTGCGCGAGAACTCGAAATTTTCAGCCAAAAATCGAATTTTGACTGAAATTTCCAGGTTCAGGCATGGTTTTAGATCAAAAATCCGATGGCCGCTTACGCGGAAGCTTGCGGATTACACTCGCTTCGCTCGAGAGTATTTTTTCGAGCGGCTGAGCCGCGAGTGTAAACCGGAAGCTTCCGCGTCAGCGGCACTATCTTCCGCTTTAGCGGCCACGTGGATTACTATGACGTGGGATAAGACTGATATGATTGCTAAAGCTATTTATCCCACCGCATAGTAATCCGCGTGGCCGCTGAAGCGGAAGATAGTGCCGCTAACGCGGAAGCTTGCGGATTACACTCGCTTCGCTCGAAAAAAAATTGACGATAGGTTCCCCTGCGCGAGAACCCGAAATTTTCAGCCAAAAATCGATTTTTGGCTGAAATTTTCAGGTTCAGGCATGGTTTTAGATCAAAAATCCGCGTGGCCGCTTACGCGGAAGCTTGCGGATTACACTCGCTTCGCTCGAGAGTATTTTTCCGAGCGGCGGAGCCGCGAGTGTAGACCGCAAGCTTCCGCGTCAGCGGCGCTGTCTTCCGCTTTAGCGGCCACGCGGATTACTATGACGTGGGATAAGACTGATAAGCTATATGATTGCTAAAGCTATTTATCCCACGTCATAGTAATCCGCGTGGCCGCTAAAGCGGAAGATAGTGCCGCTGACGCGGAAGCTTGCGGATTACACTCGCTTCGCTCGAAAAAAAAATTGACGATAGGTTCCCCTGCGCGAGAACCCGAAAATTTTAGCCAAAAATCGAATTTTTGACTGAAATTTCCAGGTTCAGGCATGTTATGTTAATTTTTAATTTTCCCAAAATTTCAGCAAAAATCCACTTTTTGCTGAAATTTTAATCTCATTTTTTGAAAATTTCGTTCATTTCCAAATGTGGAAATGTCGGAAATTTTCAAAAAATGGGAAAATTTCACGTTAATTTCAGGTTAAAACCCTAATTTTCATACAAAAACCTGGGATTTTAACGTGAAAATCGGAAAATTTTCGTTTTCCCCATGAAAACCTGCCCAAAAAATCCCACCTTTCGGCTCAATTTTCGCCGATTTTTGTGCAATTTTTTCCGGTTTCACTTCAATTTCCACCACTTCTACTTCTTCCTCCAACTCTTCTTCATTTTCCACAATTTTTCGCTTTTTCTTTATCGGTATCATTTCCTCGTTTTCGTCCGCTTCTTCTTGCTAAACAATAAACCAAACACAAAACATGCAATTGGGTGAATTTTGGGTGCAAAAATCCCGTTTTTTTCGTGCAAAACCAAGGATTTTAGGTTAGGGTAATTAAGGGGCAATTAGCGATTAATTAAGGGTAATTAGAGGTGCAAAATTGAGATTTTCAGCTTATTTCAGTCAAGAAAACATGGTTTTCCCATGAAAAATCGATAATTTTAAGTTACGGTAATTAAGGGTAATTAAGAGTAATTAAGGGTAATTAGCGATCAATTATACAAATTTTAGGTGAAAAATCCGAATTTTCACTACGTAAATTAGTTTTTTACGTGAAAAATCGATAATTTTGAGTTAAGGTAATTAAGGACTAATTAAGGGTAATTAAGGGTAATTAGGGATCGATTATACAAATTTTTAAATGCAAAATCGGAAATTTCAAGCAATTTTAGTGCAGAAAGCAAGTTTTCCCATGAAAAATCGATAATTTTCAATTAAGGTAATTAAGGGTAATTAAGGGTAATTAAGGATGCTTTTACAGTACTTTAGGTGCAATGAAGGGTAATTAAGCGTAATTTTCACAATTTTACTACAGAAAAACCTTTAAAATCCACAATTTAAACGCTAATTAGGGCCTAATTAACCCTAATTAAGTGCAAATCAAAAATTCTTACCTTAAAAATCGGAGTTGGTGTGTAAGAAGGTGCTTCTTTGATTTTTTGACGCATTTCTTTGGTGCTCAACGGTTTTTCGGTGTTTAGCTGTAATTTAGGGTAATTAAGGTAGGTAATTAGGGTAATTAGGGTCAAAAATCGTGATTTTTGGCTAAATTTACCTGAATTTCGGCTCTTGGTTCGGTTTTGACTGGTTTTTGAGAAGAAGTTGATGGAATGTCTGAAAAATCGTGATTTTCCCGAATTTTCAGCCAAAAATTTGAATTTTTCATAATTTTTGGGTTAAAATTTGTGATTTTCCCGATTTTTTCACTCAAAAACCCAGATTTTCCCAAAATCTCACCATCATTTCCCAACAACGGATCAATCGGCGCATAATTGCTCAGATTATAATTCATCTCGCCACTTCCAGAGTAGCCATAATATGAACCCATTCTGAAATTCAAGAAAATTCGATTTTCAGCCTGAGATTAAGCTAAAAATAGTGTGAAATTGGTTGAAAACCACTCAAAATCGATAAAAATATGAGAAAATTTTGGAAAATTTATTAAAATTAGAAGTTTTTGGTGTCAAAAAATGCGAATTTTCACGGAAAATCCTAAAATTCGACTGAAAATCCCAGATTTTCAGCTATTTTCGAGCAAAACTCTGATTCATATATCCGTGACTTCGTTGAACTCCGCTTTTTTTGCTTGCAATATGCTTTTCCACAGTCAAATCATCACAGGCGGCTCGCATTTGATTTCTGGAAGAAATATTTTTGAAATCGGGCGAGCAAACGCGCTCCATTGAGAAAATGCGTTAAACCATGGATTTCTGGTTGAAAAATCGATATAAATTAGACCACGCCCCTTTTTTGCAATCCTGGCACACTTTTTCCATGGGAAAATCGAAATTTATGTCAAAAATTCAGATTTTTGATGGAAATTTGACTCAAAATTCAGGGATTCTGATAAAAATCAATTAATTTTTTGAATTCGGGCGAGCAAACGCGCTCCAATGAGAAATTATCGATTTTTGCGTTAAAACCATCATTTTAGGTCAAAAAACATGGTTTTTCGTGATTTTTTCCACTAAAAATCGATAATTTTCGATAATTCCCATAAAAAATCAATAATTTACCTGATAAAACTTGGCGCATATCCTTTCTCATCCAATTCCCTCTTCTCCTTCTCATTTTCCTCTCGATTCCTCACCAAATTCCTCTGCCTCTCTTCGTCTCTCCATTTCGCATTCTCTTGCATCTCTCGCAATTTTGCGGCCTTTTCTTCATCGGATAATTTGGTCCGGCCCGCCGGCCTGGATTTATCCAGTTTGGCCTTGTTATTCCCGCGACCCGTATCGAATTTGATCAATTTGTATTCTTTCGTGGGTTTTTGAGGAGTTTCGGGTGATTTTGAGCGTTTTCTCATCTGAAAATTTCGGATTTTCAGTCATTTTTTATCTGAAAATCACAAAAATGCCAAAAACTACCTCAATTAACCCGTATTTTTTGTCGATTTTCGGATTTTCATCCGAATTTCGGCGATTTCTTGAGGTAGAACTTGATGGTTGATCTTCCGATGATGAAGATCGAGATCTAGATCTTTTTCGAGGTGGAGATCTGAAAAAATCGATTTTCAGGTCTAGAGCTTCAAAAATTGCAGATTTTTGGTGATTTTTAGGTCTGTAACGTGAAAAGTACAGATTTTCAGGTCTAGAACTCAAAAAATTTCAAATTTCCCGCCAAAAATTCACCGTTCTCTGCGTCTCTCCTCTCTCCGTTGTCTCTCCACTGATCTTCTTCTTGATGTTTGATCTTCCGATGATGGAGATCGAGATCGAGATCTTTTCCGAGGTGGGGATCTGAAAAATTCGAATTTTGATGATTTTCACGAAAAATTCAAATTTTTCATGTAAAAATCGTAAATTTTCATTAAAAACCTGTATTTTCAGGTCCAGAACGCAAAAAATTCAAATTTTCTTTTTTTTCGAGCTGGAGATCTGAAAAATATAAATTTTTCATGAAATTCCAGGTTTAAGAGCTGAATTTTAAGATTTTCAGTAAATTTTTCAAATTTCCCGCCAAAAATTTACCTTTCTCTGCGTCTCTCCTCTCTCCGATGTCTCTCACTCGATCTTCTTCTTGATGTCTGATCTTCCGATGATGAAGATCGAGATCTAGATCTTTTCCGAGCTGGAGATCTGAAAATATGAATTTTTCATGAAATTCCAGGTTTAAAAGCGGAAAATCAGGCTTTTTAGTCATTTTTCGACCCAAAATCATAAATTTTTGAAATTTCCCGCCAAAAACTCACCTTTCTCTGCGTCTCTCCTCTCTCCGATGTCTCTCCACTGATTTTCTTCTTGATGTTTGATCTTCCGGTGATGAAGATCGAGATCTAGATCTTTTTCGAGCTGGAGATCTGAAAATAGGAATTTTTCATGAAATTCCAGGTTTAAAAGCTGAAAATCAAGCTTTTTAGTCATTTTTCGACCCAAAATCATAAATTTTTCAAATTCCCCGCCAAAAACTCACCTTTCTCTGCGTCCCTTCCCTTTCTGGTCTGAAATACTACTCGATCTTCTTCTTCGCCTTTTCGGCGACGCCAATCTTTTCCGTCTGCGTCTCTCCTCATCATCACTCTCCTCACTACTATCTCGCCGTTTTTTGCTCTTCTTCTTCTTCTTTTTCTCCTCCTTCGAACTATTCATCATAGATTTCAACATTTTCTGCAATTTCATCTTCATCAACGGATTATCCATCATTTCCCGTCGTTTTGTCTCCTCTCGAACTCTTACGGCAACAAATGGATCTTCTGATCGAATAATTTCAGTTTGCAACGTGCTCTTCTTCAATCCACCACTTCCTTGTGCTGATATAACAGTTCTCGTCTTCACCAGCGAATCGATTTGTTCCGGTTTTTCCTCATTTACAACATCCGAATATTTCTCGAAATTCTTATCGACTTTCTTGCCAAGCAGGTAATCTTCTCGATTTACTGATGATTTTGCACCTTCGTACATCCAATCAATCTTTTTTCCATCGCTCATTTTGCCTGAAAAACAGCTTTGGGAGGGAAAAACTGAAAAACTGCCGAAAAACAAAAAAAAATAAAAAGCAAGAAGTACGGTTGGCAAAAGTGTTTGCAGATGTGACGCACAAATGCAGACAAGAAAAATATTTTTATTTTGTGCGCCGCACTTTTTTCTTTTTCCTTCATTTTCCTCCCAGAATCCTTGGGTTTTCACAATTTTTCATAGAAATCCTATAAATTCGATATTCCAGATGCTCTCAGTATTGGGTAAATCACCATTGGCAACACGCCAAGCAGTGCTCATCGTCTCCACCCAAAACCTGAGTTCCGCCCCCGTAACAACTGCGGAAAATGCGCATCCGGCGGCGCGCGTCAGCTCACAATCCGCGCAATTTCGCAAAGGAGCGGGAGGGCGTGCGAGTTTCTCGGGAAATGTTGTGACGGTTTTTGGAGCGTCCGGGTTTTTGGGATTGCCCGTGGTGAATCGATTGGCCAAAAATGGATCGCAAATTATTCTTCCATATAGGTACGGGGGTTTTGGGGGACGAAATTGACCTAGAAATGATGATTTTTGGGGGGAAATGTGAATTTTGGGTCACGCAGTGTATTTTTTTAAATTTTGACGCTAAAAACATTTATTTCTTGCTCTTGAAGCGAAAATAATGAATTTCTAGGCCAAAAATCGTAATTTTCATCAATTTTCGCCGAAAATCGTTGAAAATTGCACATTTTTTGTCAAATTTTGACCTAAAATTCAAATTTTCCCGCCAAAAATCAATTTCCAATTTTCCAGACAAGACCCATATTATATGCGCGAGCCAAAAGTGCTTGGAGAACTCGGACAAGTGTTGTTCTTCCCATTCGAGTTGAACGATGAGGAAAGTATTCGAAAAGTGGTCAAATATTCGAATGTTGTTGTCAATTTGATTGGAACACGTGTGCCAACCAAGTAAGCCATCAAAACTAGACTCTAGTTTCGTTTTGACCGTTGAAAATATCGAATTTTGGGTCGAAATCAAGCAATTTTGATGAAATTTTCAAATTCGGAAGAGCAAACGTGCTCTAATGAGAAAATTTTGAATTTTGCTTCAAAACGTTGATTTCTAGTTAAAATTCATTATTTTTCATGAATTTTGGCTTAAAATGTATCATTTTCTATCAAAAACCAAGGATTTTGAACGAAATTCAAAAATATATTCAAAATCGGAAGAGCAAACGTGCTCTAATGAGAAAATACTGAATTTTGCTTCAAAACGTTGATTTCTGGTCAAAATTCATTATTTTCAAGCAGAAACCAAAGGTTTTGAGCGAAATTCAATGAAAATTTTCAAATTCGGAAGAGCAAACGCGCTCTAATGAGAAAAACGCTATTTTAGGTGAAAATTCATCAATTTTCATGAATTTTACCTTGAAAATGCTGATTTTTCAGCCAAAAATTCAAATTTTTCCAGAAACTATGGCTACTACGATGTTCACGAAACCGGCGCTCGTCGTCTCGCAAAAATCTGCAAAGAAATGGGCGTCGAAAAATTCGTGCATTTATCCGCTCTCGGCGCCACAGTCGATCCACCAAAAGGCCATTTTGTGGCGAAATCCGAATTTTTGCGCTCAAAAGGTTTGGGCGAAATTGCGGTTCGCGAAGAGTTCCCCGAAGCCACAATTATTCGACCATCTGTGATTTATGGCGAATTGGATGGATTTATTCAATATTATGTGTCGCGTTGGCGAAAAACACCATTGGATCATGTTTATTTGTATAAGAAGGGTGAACACACTTATAAAATGCCGATTTGGGTGAGATTTTGCGATTTTTTGGGGTAAAAATCATGAAAAATGGCCAATTTTGACCTAAAAACATGTTTTTTGAAAAAAAAATCATGAAAAATGGCCAATTTTGACTTGTTTTTTCAGAATTCGGATGAGCAAACGTGCTCTATTGAGAAATTGCGTTGAAATCCCGATTTTTTGACCCCAAATTCAGTGAAAATCGATATTTTATCATTGGAGCGCATTTGATCTTCCGAATTCAAAAAAAATTGAATTTTTGACAAAAACTTGCTGAGAAATTGTTTTTCTTGAAACTAGAGTCTAGTTTGATCTGGAAAAACTCAAATATCCAACCAAATTCAAAACTAGAGTGTAGTTTTGATCAAAACTGTCATTTTTGAGTTTTTTTAATCAAAAAATTAAATTTTCTCCCCAAAAATCATAACTAGAGTCTAGTTTCTCAGAAAATAATCATGTTTGGTATCAGAAAAATCGATTTTTCATCAAAAAATTTAAATTTCCCGCCAAAAATCATAACTAGAGTCTAGTTTGCCTGAAAATAATCATGTTTGGTATCAAAAAATGCAGTTTTTCACCAAAAAATTGAAAATTTCTCACAGGTTGGTGACGTGGCACACGGAATCAACAGCGTTGTCAACGATCCAACAGCCAAAGGACACACCTACGAATTTGTTGGACCACACTGTTATCAATTGTCCGAATTGATTGATTTTATGTACAAAAAAGCGCATTGTTTGTCGGATTTCGGATTCAAGTGAGTGCTTTTCTGGGTTTTTGGTGGAAAAATCTGAAAATTTGGCTGAAAATGAGCCGGAAATTATGGAATTTGAGCAAAATTGGGTCTAGACTCGTTTAGGCTCAAAAAATGCTTCATTTTTGAACCTAAAATGAGCCTAGGCTTATTTTATACCAAAAATTGCCTAATTTTTGAGCCTAAGCTTGTCTTGGGTCAAAAAACCCCAAATTTTTACCCCAAAGTTACCCTAAGTTTATTTAGTGTCTAAAGATCCCTAATTTTCGGGCCTAGGCTCATTTGGTGTGGAATTTTTACCCTGAAATTACCCTAGGCTTATTTAGTGTCTAGAAATCCCCAATTTTCAGGCCTAGGCTCATTTGGTATCAAAAAATGCCTTATTTTTGAGCCTAAGCTTGTCTGGTGTCAGAAATTACACTATTTTTGACCTTAGCATGAGCCTAGGCTTGTTTAGTGTCAAAAAATCCCAAATTTTCAGGCCTAGGCTCACTTGGTATCAAAAATTGCCTAATTTTCGGGCCTAAGCTTGTCTTGGGTTAAAAAATCCCAAATTTTAACCCTAAAATTACCCTAGGCTTTTTTGGTGTCTAAAAATCCCCCTATTTTTTTCTAGCTACAAACGTCACGGTCTACCAGATCCCTATTTCATGGCTCTCACATTAGCCACCGAATTCTACGGAAAACTCTTCAAATGCAAAGTTCCCCTAAATCGCGAATGGATGGAATTTGTGGAAGTGCAAAACGATGTTCTGACCGGCGCACGAACTCTGGCCGATTTAGGTGTTCGAAGATTGACCGAATTCGAATTGGCTGGTGGACAACAAGCATTTTATCGATCATTTAATCGATATTTCGAAGAACAATATGGAGAATTGCCAGCACCTGCGTTGCCATTGCGGTTAGTGAGCATTTTTGAGCGAAAATTTGGGAAAATTGGATTTTTTTGACCTAAAATTCAAGAAAAATGGATTTTTTAACCTAAAATTCAAGAAAAATCGATATTTTCTCATTGGAGCGCATTTGATCTTCCGAATTCAAAAAATTATTCAATTTTCAATGAAAAATGGTGGATTTTGACCTAAAATTCAAGAAAAATCGATATTTTCTCATTAGAGCGCATTTGCTTCTCCGATATCAAAAAATTATTCAATTTTTAATGAAAAATGGTGGATTTTTACCTAAAATTCAAGAAAAATCGATATTTTCTCATTAGAGCGCATTTGATCTTACGAATTTCAAAAAATTATTCAATTTTCGATGAAAAATGGTGGATTTTGCACTAAAATTCAAGAAAAATCGATATTTTCTCATTAGAGCGCATTTGATCTTACGAATTTCAAAAAATTAGCTGAAAAATCGTAACTAGAGTCTAGTTTTCACCAAAAAATCAAAATTTTAGCTGAAAATCAATTATTCTTATGTTAGAACTAGAGTCTAGTTTCAGTTTCAGCGCTGAAAATAACCAATATCAAAACTAGATTCTAGTTTTGATAAAAGCTTAAATTAATTTCCCTACAAACTAGACTATAGTTTCATTTTAGTCAAAGATTTTGGCCAGAATAATAAATCTAAAATTTTATCAAAACTAGAGTCTAGTTTTGACTTTGAAAATCAAAAATTTGGGTTACTGTAGAGTAGTTTTCGGCGCGAAATTCAAAAATTCAAAATAATTTTTGCAGTTCGCCACCACTCACCAAAAAAGGCTTGGCCACACCAAAAATCAAATCAACAACTGGCGGAAAAAGTGTGGCTTTCAATTAATCGATTTTTCTGGTAATTAATTAATTAATTAATTGCCACGTGGTTTTACTAGTTAAAATAGAAAAAGAAAGTTTTTTGTGTATTTTTTCGGATTTTCGATAAAGGTAAATATTTTTTAATTAAAAAACTTCATTTATATTGCACAGACAAGTTAAAAATATAGGATTTTGAAACCTGAATTTTCAAATTCAGGCCGAAAAATTTGAAAAATCCTATCGAGGACCATTGAAACCCGGCGGACCATATTGGAAATTATTTTGCGGAAGATTTTGGGGCTGGAATTGTTGCTGTTGCTGAAATTGCTGCTGTTGCATTTGACGTTGGAGCTGAAATTGTTGAGCTGTGGCGAAATCTTGTTGGCGTTGTTGTTCCATCCAAGAAGTTGGGTATTGTTGCGGCTGATTTTGCTGCTGGAAATTTTCAGATTTTGAGCTGGAAGTGGAAAATCTGAAATCCACGTGGTTTTCTGAGCATTTTGAGCCCAAATATGAGGGTATTTGGGCTCTAAATGCTCTAAAAACCACGTGGATTTGAAATATTTTCAATTTGAGCTTGAATTTGGGTGTTTGGGCTCAAAATGCTCCAAATTTTGAGCTGGAAGTAGAAAATCTGACTTCCACGTGGATTTCTGAGCATTTTGAGCCCAAACATGAAGGTGTTTGGGCTCAAAATGCTCCAAAATCCCCATTTCCATCCAAAACTAGTCATGTTTGGGCTCAAAATGCTCCAAATTCCACGTGGCGCCCAAAAATCTCACCTGTCTCATCAAATTCTGCTGTTGTTGATACATATTTTGCTGCTGTTGAGTATATTGAACCGGTGATTGTTGAAAACCCATTGGTGACTGCAAAAAATGCGATATTTTCTCATTAGAGCGCATTTGACTCTCCGAGTTCAAAAATTGTTCGAAAACGGGTAATTTTGAGCCAAAAAACACGATTTTCAGCGTATTTTTGCTCAAAAATCTCATTTTCAGCACGATTTTCAGCCAAAAAACACCAACCTGTTGTAAATATTGTTGTGGACTTTGTGGAATTCTTTGAGGACTTGTTAAATTTGAAGAAGTTGAAGATGTGGGAAGCATCTGGAATATATTTTGCATTGGAGCGCATTTGAAGCTCCGAATTTGAATTTTTGGAGCAAAAAATGGGAAAATTTGGCTCAAAATGCATGATTTTAGGGTAAAATTGGAAATTTTGCATTAGAGCGCATTTGAAGCTCCGAATTTGAAAAATTATTCGATTTTTAATGAAAAATGATGGATTTTGAGCTAGAAATCAAGAAAAATCGATATTTTTCTCATTGGAGCGCATTTGCCTCTCCGATTTCAAATTTTCATTCAAAAATGCAGGGTTTTTGGTGTATTTCGAGCTAAAAATCACATTTTTCTCATTGGAGCGCATTTGCCTCTCCGAATTTGAATTTTTGGAGCAAAAAATGCGAAAAATTGGCTCAAAATGCATGAAAATTGAAAAAATTTGCATTAGAGCGCATTTGCCTCCCCGAATTCAAATTTTCATTCAAAAATGCAGTGTTTTTGGTGTATTTCGAGCTAAAAATCACATTTTTCTCATTGGAGCGCATTTGCCTCTCCGAATTTGAATTTTCTGGGAAATTTTCGATTTCGGGACAAAAATGGCTCAAAATTCATAGTTTTTAGTGAAAGAACACGGATTTTCAGCTAAAAATCGAATATTTCTCATTGGAGCGCATTTGCCTCTCCGAATTTGAATTTTTGGAGCAAAAAATGCGAAAAATTGGCTCAAAATGCATGATTTCAGGGTAAAATTGGAAATTTTGCATTGGAGCGCATTTGAAGCACCGAATTTGAAATTTTGGAGCAAAAAATGCGAAAATTTGGCTCGAAATGCATGAAAATTGTAAAATTTTGCATTGGAGCGCATTTGCTCGTCTGAATTCAAATTTTCATTCAAAAATGCAGGTTTTTGGTGTATTTCGAGCTAAAAATCACATTTTTCTCATTGGAGCGCATTTGCCTCTCCGAATTTGAATTTTCTGGGAAATTTTCGATTTCGGGACAAAAATGGCTCAAAATTCATAGTTTTTAGTGAAAGAACTCGCATTTCCAGCTGAAAATTGTATATTTTGCATTGGAGCGCATTTGAAGCTGCGAATTTGAATTTTTGGAGCAAAAAATGCGAAAATTTGGCTCAAAATGCATGAAAATCGACAAATTTTGCATTGGAGCGCATTTGCTCGTCTGAATTCAATTTTGAAGCATAAAAACATGCTCCGGGGCTCATTTTTGCTCAAAAAATCCCATATTTTCCCCACCTGATTGCCATTGGCAAACATTTGTTGACCAATTCCATAATTTTGTGTATTTTGAGCCGCTCCATAATTAAATTGCTGATTTTGGCTCAAATTTTGATTTAGGCCCAAATTAAGGCCCGAACCTGGGCCTAAATTCGGGTTTTGTGATGTTTGTGTGAATCCAGCGGCTTCGCTGCTGATTTCTTGTTTGATTTTGATGAGTGGTTTTGGTGGCGGAGGTGGATTGGTGTATTGATGGGCGGAAACTGCAAAAAATTTGAATTTGGGTGAAAAATAGGGGATTTTTGATGGATTTTAGGCTAAAAAATTGAAGTTTTCACATATTTCAGCTTAAAAAATCAATTTTAGGCTAAAAAATTGAAGTTTTCATGATTTTCAGCTTAAAAAGTTGAATTTGTAATGAATTTAGGTCGAATTTCATCATTTTTTTTTTAATTTTCAGACATTTTCAGCTCAAAATTCATCATTTTCAGCAAAAAATCAAATGAATTTTAACCTTCAAATTGAATTTTCATGAAATTTCACTTAGAAATTTGATTATAGGCTGAAAAATCATCGTTTTTCACAAAGTTTAGCTTGAAATGAGCCACGTGGCAAAAAATTTCAACAAAATTTGAAAATTTCAAGTATTTCAGGTCAAAATTCATCAATTTTCATGAATTTCAGCTCAAAAAATCAATTTTTGGCTTGAAATTCCTTATCTCAGGCAAATCGTCCACCGGTGTTTTTGTTTATTTTTCCAAATCGTCCACCGGTGTTTAAAAAAAAAGTCCACCGGTGTTTTTGTTTATTTTTCCCACCGGTGGGAAACCGGTGGGAAAAATAAACAAAAACACCGGTGGAACACCTCTTTTTGGTGTTCAGACGGTGTTCAAACGGTGTTAAGCGAGTGTTAAGGTGGTGGTACACCGGTGCTATTATCAAATTTGTGACCACCGGTTTCCCACCGGTGGGCCCACCGGTGGGATTAATGAAGAGAAGGTGTTGAGTGAGTGGAGAATTGGTGTTACACCGGTGGGACGATTTGCCTGAGATTTTCAGCCAAAAATCAGATATTCCATGAATTTCAGCCTTCAAATTGAATTTTCCATGAATTTCAAAAATTTGATTCTAGGCTGAAAATGCATCATTTTTCACAAATTTCAACTTGAAATAAGCCACGTGGCAAAAAATTGCACAAAAATTTGAGAATTTCATGTATTTTAGGTCAAAATTCCCGAATTTTCACAAATTTTAGCTAAAAAAGTCAATTTTAGGCTTGAAATTCCTTATTTTCAGCCAAAAATCAAATATTCCATGAATTTTAGCCTTCAAAATTGAATTTTCATAGAATTTTGCTTGAAAATTCGATTCTAAGCTTAAAATTCATAAATTTTCATGAATTTTAGCTTAAAATTCATCATTTTCAGCCAAATTTTCAGTCAAAACCAAATTCCCTTACCACTTTGCTTCACAACAATCGGTTTTCGCTCCAATTCCTCTCTCGAATTATGTCTAAGTCTCTCCAATTCGCGTGCTCTCTCGGCAATCTTTTCATTCTCCAATTTTTCCTGCAAAAAAAAATTCAAATTTTTTTTTGGCGGGCGAAATTTCCCAGAGAGGTTAGAGCTAAACTTAGAGAGACATGCAGAGAAAAACAAAGGAATTTTAAGCGACATTTTTTTGAATTTTCAAAATTTCCCGCCACCATTCTCATATGTGAGCAAACCTGCTCCAATCTCAATTCCTCATTTTTGCTCTTCTCGATTTCGTCAGCCATATTATCTTGCTCCAAATTTTCCAAAACTTCAGCCGCTTCCTAATTTTCATCATTTTTTTCAGTTTTTTTTTTGAATTTTTGGTCAAAAATTTCAATTTTTCACAAAAAACTACATCAAAATTCGGGAATTTTTCAAAAATTTTCAAAAATTCTCACTTTTTCCAACCGAATTCTTCGTTCTTCTTCAAGTTTTGCCATTTCTTCAGCTTCCTGCAAAAAATTTTGCAATTTTTTTTTGAATTCGGACAAGCAAATGCGCTCCAATGAGAAAAACGTGGAATTTCGATATTTTTGCGGTGGAGCGCGTTTGCTTGCGCGAAAATCGAAAAATTCAAATTTTCTGCGATAATTTTTGCCGGCAGAACCAAAATTTCGATTAAATTTTCAAATTCGGACAAGAAAATGCGCTCCAATGAGGAAATATTGATTTTTCTTGATTTTTAGGTCAAAAACCACCATTTTTCATCAAATTTCGCTTAAAAAAGCATGTTTTTGGGTCAAAAAACGTGGATTTTTCGATATATTCTCATTGGAGCGCATTTTCTCGTCCGGCTTCAAAAAAATTAGCGAATTATGGTGTTTTTGGTGTCAAAATGCTCCAAATTTCGCGCTATTTTCAAATTTCGTGCCAAATTCCCTTACCTGTTTCCTCTTTCTCTCCTCCTCTTGCCTTCTCAATATCTCAATAGCCTCCTGCCTCTCTCTTTCCTCTCGTTCTTTCCGTTCTCTCGCTTCTCTCGCCTCTCTCTCCTTCTTCTCTCTCGCTTCTCTAATCTCTCTCTCCTTCTTCTCTCTCGCTTCTTTTTCCCTCCTCATTTTCTCCATTCTTTTCTCTTCCGCCATTTTTCTCTGCTTCTCTGCAATCTCTTCCATTCGTCTTCGTTTCTCTAATTCCTCCTCGATTTTCCTTTTTTTCTCTAATTCCTCTCTGACTTTTCGCTGTTTTTCAGCTTCTTCCTTCTTCTTTTCGTCGTCCATTTTTTTTGCACTTTCAAGTATTTTCTCATGCAATATTTTTCCCGCTTCTTCGCCGTATTGCAAGCCAAAATTCTGGAAAAATCACTGGATTACTGTATTTTTAAAGGAACATGGCTCATCAAAAACAGCAGACCATATGGTCTGCTGTTTGACGGGCGAAAAATAATTAGCAGACCATATGGTCTGCTGTTTGACGGGCGAAAAATAATTAGCAGACCATATGGTCTGCTGATTAGAGAGCGCAGAGAAATAAACGAGCAGACCATATGGTCTGCTGATTAGAGAGCGCAGAGAAATAAACGAGCAGACCATTTGGTCTGCTGATTAGAGAGCGCAGAGAAATAAACGAGCAGACCATTTGGTCTGCTGATTAGAGAGCGCAGAGAAATAAACGAGCAGACCATTTGGTCTGCTGATTAGAGAGCGCAGAGAAATAAACGAGCAGACCATTTGGTCTGCTGATTAGAGAGCGCAGAGAAATAAACGAGCAGACCATTTGGTCTGCTGATTAGAGAGCGCAGAGAAATAAACGAGCAGACCATTTGGTCTGCTGTTTGAGGGGCGAAAAATAATCAGCAGACCATATGGTCTGCTGTTTTTCTAGGGGCCCAGGCTTATTTGGTGTCAAAAAATAGCCCGTTTCAGCCCGTAAAAGCCTACATTGAACAAAACCGAAGCCTGCGTTGGATTCTTCTTGAACATCTCCACAAATTGATCAGCCATTCCTGTAAAAATCCACAATTTTTCATCATTTTCAGAGCCGCCGACCTTTTATCAATCCCAGCCCATTCAGGCTCGATGCAGATATTGTTGTGGCAGAAGCGGAAGACGGCTGAAAAATTCCAAAAATGCTCGATTTTCAGCACAAAATTTCAGCACAAATTACACCAAAAATGATAAAACTCAGGATTTTTTATTCACCACACAACACCAAAAAAAATGATATTTTACAAGAAAAATGAGGGAAAAATATGTGAGAAGTGGACATTAGAAAAATAGTGTGGAAAATTGAGAGAATTAGAGAAACCAGGGAGAGAGAGAGAGCATGCAAAAATGAGAGAGAGAGCAGAGAAAAAAAATGTGGGGGAAAATCATGCAGGATTTCAGGGGGTTTAGGGGATTTTTAGAGCTAGAAATCTAGATTTTCAGAATTTTTCCCTAACCTGAGCAATGTTTTTTCTCTGCACTCTCTCAAATCTCTCTCTCTCTCTTTATTTTCTCGGTGGTTTGCCAGTCATTCGGCGAATCTCACCGCAATTCTCTCTCAACGGCGTTCTTTCGCCAAAAAATTGTTGAAAATTTGAAGATGTGGTCGGAGTTTTTACCTGCGCGGAAGAAGAAGCTGAAGAGGTTGAAGGTTGAATAGTTGAAGCTGGAGGTTTCGGAAGTGCTGAAGCTGAATTCGAGGTCGATGTTGATGGAATTTGCATTTTTGATGCAATTTTGATGGGGGACGAGTCTGGAAGAGAGAAAAAATTTGGATTTCTAGGCCACAAGCTCATTTTCCCCCAAAAATCTAAAATTTCACCTCCAAAAATGCTCACCTTTTTCACTACTTGGCCCAGTTCCTTCAGGCCATTTCAGAGAATATCTCGAATTTTGGACAACTTGAAATTTGTCGACAAATAGCTTCGATTCACTCATAATTTTCTTGCATTCTGGAGTTTCGAGGATGAATGAGATTTTTGGTAGGCGACGACAGATTTCGACGATAAATAGGCTGAAATTTTGAATTTTAGATTTTCGCGCCACATTTAAAAAATTCAAGTTTCATATCAATTTATTTCAGCCAAAAATATCATTTGATTTGAGTCTGAAAACGTTTCCACGTTTCTAGAGCAGACCATATGGTCTGCTCGTTTATTTCTCTGCGCTCTCTAATCAGCAGACCAAATGGTCTGCTCGTTTATTTCTCTGCGCTCTCTAATCAGCAGACCAAATGGTCTGCTCGTTTATTTCTCTGCGCTATCCAATCAGCAGACCAAATGGTCTGCTCGTTTATTTCTCTGCGCTCTCTAATCAGCAGACCAAATGGTCTGCTCGTCTATTTCTCTGCGCTCTCCAATCAGCAGACCAAATGGTCTGCTCGTTTATTTCTCTGCGCTCTCTCTAATCAGCAGACCAAATGGTCTGCCGCTTTATTTCATTGCAAAACACTCACGATTGCGTAATATCCTCCTTTACAGGTTCGTACAAACTAGTAATCGTCGTAACCACAAGACTTTTATTTTTCTGGAAAACTGCCAACGAATAAATGTCCTCCAAGAATTGATGAAGATGAGCGCTGAAAGCAAAATTTGAATTTGAATTTTTGGCGGGAAAAACACAACTTACATCAAAAGATCGGAAAATTGAAAGGCATAGTTGGGCACGGCTGTACTATTTCGTTTAGCGCTGGAAAAAACTCGAAAAATTCCATTTTTCACCCAAAAATCACTCACTCCACCACTGATTTCCTATAAAACTCTTTCGATTTCTCCTTCTGAATATTCAATGTCTTCACAACTTGTTCTCGATTCTCCGTTATTCTAGCCATATTCATTTCAGGCTGCTTTTTTCGCATCTGAACATCGAAAAATTCCGTCGATTCTTTGACCCAAACATTCAAATAAACTCGCGATTTTCGCATGGGTTTTGATTGATTTTCTGTTGAATTTTGAGGGGCAGCGGGAATTTGAGGAATATCTTTATCACGATAAAATAGCATTTTTTGGCTAGCATGACCAATGTTCCAGCCATTTTTATTCGCCTCATGAAGCACATACTTGAAGACATTTTCCGGAATTGTCACGGTTTGCAACACAGTATCGAGAGCCTCGTTTATTTTCTGAAAATTTAATTTTAGTGGATTTTTGAGCATAAAAATAACTAGCAGACCATATGGTCTGCTCGTTTTTTTTCTCTGCGCTCTCTAAACAGCAGACCAAATGGTCTGCCCGTTTATTTCTCTTCGCTCTCCAATCAGCAGACCAAATGGTCTGCTGGTTGTTTTTCCTCTCGCTCGCTAAACAGCAGACCAAATGGTCTGCTCGTTTATTTCTCTGCCTTCTCAAAGCAGCAGACCATTTGGTCTGCTAGTTATTGGAGCGCATTTGCTTTTGTGAAAAATCAAAAAAATCTCACCGAAACTTCAGATGCAGACCAATCTTTCACATCTCCCATTTTCACAACCAATTTTTTCTTCTCTGGAGGATTTGAGGCGGCTTTTGGTGTTGGAATCTGCAAAAATCGATAATTTGGCCATTTTTCACCGAAAAATCCCCAATTTCCTCCCAAAATCCACCTACCACTTGAATATCATCATCCTTTTCCACTTTTTTCGCCGCATTCTCAATTTCCGTAATTCTTTGCTGCATTCTTGACGTGACAGTTGCACGGTGTATCGATAAATAGGAGGCGATTTGCTCTTGTATTTTTCCACGTTGAATTTTCGGAATGTGCTCTTTTTTGTAGAATTCCTCGATTCTGAAGGGAATTTTTAAAAGTTACTTAGCTGAATTTTTTTTTAGCCAAAAACTCACTTAAGAATCAAATTAACCAATCCATCAGTCAATCTTTTCTTTCCACTTGCAAAATATTCGATAGAACTCGTGATAAATTCAGTAAGAAGCTTGTCAATCACTGCTTTTCTGGGCGCTGGCGTCATCGGTAATTTCGGCACAACAGCCATCAACGCCGTTAATTTTTGTGGATTCACGAGTGCCAAAGAAGCTGGTGATAGAGATACAAGTTTTTCAGGCGTTTTTTCGACGGGTTTTGGTGTGGAAATCGGTGTGTTTGAGGTGGCGGTTGATGTGGAAGGTTTCAGTGGTGTTGATGGTTTTGTGGCGGGTGGATCGGAGGAGGTCTGCAAAAAATTGTATCTTTGTTTGAAATTCTACACTTCCAGCAGCAAAAGCGGAGCATTCTGAGCCCAAACTTGATTAATTTGGCCTCAAAATTCTTTGCTCAACATTATCTAGCAGACCATATGGTCTGCTGATTTGCAACTGCAGAGAAATAAACGAGCAGACCATTTGGTCTGCTGATTAGAGAGCGCAGAGAAATAAACGAGCAGACCATTTGGTCTGCTGATTAGAGAGCGCAGAGAAATAAACGAGCAGACCATTTGGTCTGCTGCTTTGAGAGCGCAGAGAAATAAACGAGCAGACCATTTGGTCTGCTGATTAGAGAGCGCAGAGAAATAAACGAGCAGACCATTTGGTCTGCTGCTTTGAGAGCGCAGAGAAATAAACGAGCAGACCATTTGGTCTGCTGATTAGAGAGCGCAGAGAAATAAACGAGCAGACCATTTGGTCTGTTGCTTTGAGAGCGCAGAGAAATAAACGAGCAGACCATTTGGTCTGCTGATTAGAGAGCGCAGAGAAATAAACGAGCAGACCATTTGGTCTGTTGCTTTGAGAGCGCAGAGAAATAAACGAGCAGACCATTTGGTCTGCTGATTAGAGAGCGCAGAGAAATAAACGAGCAGACCATTTGGTCTGCTGATTAGAGAGCGCAGAGAAATAAACGAGCAGACCATTTGGTCTGCTGCTTTGAGAGCGCAGAGAAATAAACGAGCAGACCATTTGGTCTGCTGATTAGAGAGCGCAGAGAAATAAACGAGCAGACCATTTGGTCTGCTGATTAGAGAGCGCAGAGAAATAAACGAGCAGACCATTTGGTCTGCTGCTTTGAGAGCGCAGAGAAATAAACGAGCAGACCATTTGGTCTGCTGATTAGAGAGCGCAGAGAAATAAACGAGCAGACCATTTGGTCTGCTGCTTTGAGAGCGCAGAGAAATAAACGAGCAGACCATTTGGTCTGCTAGTATTTTCGTTGCATTCTTCATTTACCAGCAGACCATATGGTCTGCAATATTTTCACCCCGTACCTTCTCCACAATATCATCATCCAAAACAATAACACTATCAGTTGTTTTCTCCTTCACAACTTCCGGAACTTTTTTAGCTGGAGCTGGAGCAGCTGGTGTCGCCACTATCGCCTGCGCCAACATTTTCTTTCTCTTCGCTTCCTGTGCTGCTCGATCTGCTTCACTACTACCAAAAGCCCTTTTCATCGTGGGTGGTCCGCCGACCATTCGACTACTTCCACTTGGCGGAAGTCCCACCATTCTCGCCGGTTCTGCGGCTGAAATTTGGCTGGAAGTTGGTGCTGCAGCTGAGGAGAGCTTCTTTTTCTCTGCACTTGTTGAAGTCGATTCTTCCATCACACTTTCTTCATCATCATCTTCGTCAACAACGAATTGCGATTCGTTGAGTTCTGGAAAACATTTAAAAATCATTATGACGTGGAATTTTTGACATCAAACACCATTTTCACCCGAAAATATATGTATTTGGTGTCAAAATGACCAGAAATCCCCAATCTTCATGATAAACCAAACCTTTCAGCTCCAAACTTCCTCGATTCACATAAAATCCTCCCTTAATAGTTTCCATTGTCGATGGAAGTTGCTCTTCGAATGCCTCACTATCATCAATAAATCCATCCTCATCCTCATATCCATCATACTTCTTATTTGCCACGTCATCCTCCTCAAATCGATATTTTTTGCCTTTTTTGCTGTATTTCGCCTCCAATCTTCGGATAAAATCAACAGCTCCAATATTATGCAAATCTCCATCTAAACTACTTTCCTCTCCAATTTCCGATACATTTTCGCGTCTTTTCAATTCTTGATAATCAATTTCGCTATATTTATTGCCGCCCGGTTTTAGAATGTCGAATTCAATCGATACGTACGGCTTCTCCTTTTTCGCTTTTTTCTTTTTATTTCCTGACACATCCATGATTTGATTTAATTGCTGAAAACATCCTATTTTAATTACGCATTACCTAATTAACGAAAATTACTAATTAGCAATCAAGAAATCCACAAAAGCCCCGTAAAAAACCACGTTTTGCATCCAACAAGAAAACGAAAAATGAAAAAAGCGAAAAAAAAAACAAATGAAAAAAGCGTGTGCCACTGGAGCGCATTTGCTGCATTTAAGGAAATAATGGGCGGAGCCTAAAAATTCTTCATCAAGATTTTTGTTTTGTGAGCGAGAGAAAATTAATTAGCAGACCATTTGGTCTGCTGTTTGGCAAATGAAAATGAAATAGACTAGCAGACCATTTGGTCTGCTGATTAGAGAGCGCAGAGAAATAAACGAGCAGACCATTTGGTCTGCTGCTTAGAGAGCGCAGAGAAATAAACTAGCAGACCATTTGGTCTGCTGCTTAGAGAGCGCAGAGAAATAAACGAGCAGACCATTTGGTCTGCTGATTAGAGAGCGCAGAGAAATAAACGAGCAGACCATTTGGTCTGCTGCTTAGAGAGCGCAGAGAAATAAACTAGCAGACCATTTGGTCTGCTGATTAGAGAGCGCAGAGAAATAAACGAGCAGACCATTTGGTCTGCTGATTAGAGAGCGCAGAGAAATAAACGAGCAGACCATTTGGTCTGCTGCTCAGAGAGCGCAGAGAAATAAACGAGCAGACCATTTGGTCTGCTGTTTCTCTAGTGACATGGAAAATTTTTGTGACTCAAATTTGATACTTTTGCTGAGAATTTTCAATGTTCAAGAGAACTAAACGGATTTTTAGAGGAAATTTCGAAATTATGTTTGTTTTAAGACCTTGAAGCTTCGAAATTCCACGTTCCTTTAAATTTTCTAGGTTTTCAAGAGTTCTCCAAAAGAACTACACGAAATCATGTTCGTAGTGAGACAAAAACACAAAACATCACAAAAAACTTCATTTCAACCCGATTTTCATCAAAATTCCGCTAATTTTTCATTTTTTCCCTGAATCTCCTCGTTTTTTCGATTGACTTCGGTGTTTTTTCGTTGCAGATTTCGTTGCAGCACCGGATTTTGGCGGTTTTTTATTCTCAATTTCTTCGCCTCTCAACACATTTTCCATGGCTTTCACTGAAATTGTGCGATTTTCGGCGGATTTTTGCAGAGGCCACCATTTTTTCGATTCTTTTCTGTAAAAGATTAATTTTTCATCAAAGTTATTATTTAAAAAATCGTCCAAAATCTCACCGTTTTACTAGGCATCTCTCTAACATTTCTCGATCTAACACTCGCTCCAGAAACACTATTTTTCCTCGAGTTTCCTCCAGAATTCCTTGGTTTCTGTGTTCCCCAAAATGTAATATACAAATTCGAATTCGCCAAATAATCCGCCAATTCTTTGGTGACCGGTTTAAATTGAAAAGTTTCTTCATGTCCATAAGCTGGCGAATTTCCAGAAACTGTCAAAGTTTGCGTTTGTTTTTTAGCTCCAAAAAATCGATATTTACACGTGGATTTTAGAATTCGACGTGGCAAACCGATGGCGGATAGGATTTTGACTTTGAATGCGATATTTTTTCCGATTAGTTGATGTGGATTTTCGACGTATTCGCCTCGAAGTTCTTTTCCGTTTGTTGAACATGGAGATAGTCCAACTGTTAACAGACCGATTTCTTGACCTGAAATTATTTTTCAAATTGATTTTGGTGGAAAATTAGGAATCTGTCTAGAGAATTCAATAAAACTAGTGTCTGCTGTTTGGAGAGCGCAGAGAAATAAACGAGCAGACCATTTGGTCTGCTGATTAGAAATCGCAGAGAAATAAACGAGCAGACCATTTGGTCTGCTGATTGGAGAGCGCAGAGAAATAAACGAGCAGACCATTTGGTCTGCTGATTAGAGAGCCCAGAGAAATAAATGAGCAGACCATTTGGTCTGCTGATTAGAGAGCCCAGAGAAATAAATGAGCAGACCATTTGGTCTGCTGTTTCAGCAGACCAAACACTCATAAATTTGCTCACCAGACAAATCAACAATCGGAAATTGCTCTTCAACATCAATCAAATAAGCCAGTGATTGCAAGAAAACAACACAACTTGCAATAAAAACCGGCGAATCTGGTGGTTCATAGAATGGATCTCGTTCTTTTGGCATATTCCAATCATCAGATCCATCGATTTTCGCTTCATACATTTCTTGCATTCCATAATATCGATTCATAAATCGCGATTTTTCCCATATAAAATAGGTGTCTTCCGAAATATTATGAACTTTTATCCAGATTTCAGTCAAGCCTTCGGATAATCCACGCATTTCCGGGGAGACGAGCACGATTTCAAACTTCACGTTTCTTCTGAAAAAAGTGATTTTTACCCAATTTTCATCGTGTAAACGCGGAGCATCGTTTTCCCTACCCTAATTCTCCAGCCATCGCATTTGCTCTTTGCACCAACGGCAAAGTCGACATTAATTCCTCCTCCAAAATCATATCTCGACTATTTTCCCCATTTCTCACACCATTTTTATTATTGAAAATCTGTGCATGTGTTTGTGCAATTTCCGATTGTGCCATATCATAAGTTATATCAGTTTTTGTGCCTTTTTTCGTCGGATTATTGAAAACATACAAATGATTGCCGCCAAAAAATACACGATCATTTTGTTGAAGTTGCACTTCACCATGTATACTTTTTCCGTTGATTAGAATATCGACATCTTCATTGAGTGGAGTTAGGCTAACTTGATTGTTTTTGTCGTTTTTTAGAAGAACGTGTTGAGGAAGAATTGATAAACCGGACATTTGTATGAAGTTACCAGAACTTGTCGGCTTATTTCCTAGAAAAAATGGGATTTTTTTCAAATTTTGCTTTGTGTCAGATTTGTTTTTTGCAAAAAATCTCACCAACAACAGTTTCCCCATCCGGAATGAAATGCACAATAACATTAGTCAACGCTGGATCCTCATTCAAATTCCACAAATGGCACATTTTCGCCTTCTTCTTTTCAATTTCCGCTTTTTCCGCCGCTCCTCCCGCATGTTTTGCCGCTTCTTCCGCGATTTTTTGCTGCCAACTCTTCTCCATTTCCTCCATTTCTTTTTGATTTTGCGCTAATAATTGTCGCAATTTCTCGATTTCCTCTTGCGACGCATCGCCGCCCATTTGATTTTGAAGTCGCGCATTTTCTTCGCGCAACTCGCGCATCGCTTTTTCGGTTTGGTTTTCGTTGATGACTGCGTTGGTTTTTATGGATTTTGCACGATCTGCGAATCGCAGGGTTGATAGGGTTTCCTCATAGTTTATATCGGCTGGAGAAATCGCAGCAATCTGTAATTTTTGAGATTGATTTTGATTGAAATCTTGCAAAACAGCAGACCATATGGTCTGCTCGTTTTTTTGCTTGCAAAACAGCAGACCAAATGGTCTGCTCGTTTTTTTGCTTGCAAAACAGCAGACCAAATGGTCTGCTCGGTTTTTTCCTTGCGAAACAGCAGACCAAATGGTCTGCTCGGTTTTTTCCTTGCAAAACAGCAGACCAAATGGTCTGCTCGGTTTTTTGCTTGCAAAACAGCAGACCAAATGGTCTGCTTGTTTTTCTGCTTGCAAAACAGCAGACCAAATGGTCTGCTCGGTTTTTTGCTTGCGAAATAGCAGATCAAATGGTCTGCTCGGTTTCTTTCCTTGCAAAACAGCAGACCATTTGGTCTGCTTTTCAATTTTCTCATCCGAGTTCTCAATTTTTGAAAAACCGCACCATAATAGTCTTGCTATTTCCACCCAACGCATTTTTCAGCAAACAAGTCAGCACCGAATCTCGATACGGAATTTGCGTCGATTTTTTGGATCCCTTCGATTTTTGCTGATCATGTAGTGCTTTTATCACTCTTCCCAAAGTTGTTAGCGATTGATTGATCACAATTCCCTCTTTCAAACGATCTCCTTCTGTTCCGGCGGCTGATTGACGTTCGCTGCAAAAGAATACGCTTGAAATGACAATTTTTTGGCTTGAAATGAGGGTAAGCCACGTTTTGACGTGAAAAATAAAAACATTTTCTGCTTTATTTTCTTCAGGAGCGCAAAACAAAAAGAAAAGTGATTGCGCGGCCGAGAAACCTGTCAATTTTCTAGGCCATGCAAAACCTAGTCCCCTTCTCACCTTCCCGCCAAATCCACCAAATTAATTTCGGATTTTTTCATGCTTGTCCCCGAATTTTTGCCGGATTTTTGGGCGAATGTGATTTTTACAATAGTATGTGCTCGACTACTTGTTGCATTCATTTGAGTTGCCGCAATTGTTCGATTTTTTGTGCCTTCTTCGATTTTTGCCTCGATTTCTTTGAATGAAGCCACAGGGACTGTTGTGAGGTTCTCCACTGCAAAAATTGATAGATTTCAAGATTTTCAAATTTTTCCAAGCCTATTACACAGGGTGTAATTTACTACCTCAAATCGCTAGACCTCAAATGTTTCATCAATTTTTGGGTAGATCAAAAATCATTTTTCTCTAAATCTCTCGTTTTTGCGTTGAATTCAGTCGATTTTAGTCCCGCCCCTAAGATCGTGTCAGGTCTCAAAAAATGCGCGAAATTTTTCGGGTAGTAAATTACATTCTGTGTATTATTACTCACCATAAAACCCATTTTTCGGATGTTCTCTAACTTTCAATCCACCTTTTGGCGGTGCTACAGTAGTTAATAAATCCCTGACTTTCTCGCAATAAATTTCCAACATTGAAATGAAAACTTCAAAACTCGCATTTGCATTCGATTTTTTACCGGATTTTTCCTGAATTTGTTTGAAAAGCTCCTCACAAACAATTGGCACAATTCCCTTGTTATTTTTAAAACCAACAATTGAATAACTTTTCCCACTTCCAGTTTGACCGTAGGCAAAAAGTGAGCAATTGTAGCCGGCCCATGCGTTTGCCAAAACTCCGCGACCCAAATCTTCGAACACTCTTTTCTGCAAAAATAAATGTGAAACAAATTGTATAGCAGACCAAATGGTCTGCTGATTAGAGAGCGCAGAGAAATAAACGAGCAGACCATTTGGTCTGCTGCTTTGAGAGCGCAGAGAAATAAACGAGCAGACCATTTGGTCTGCTGCTTTGAGAGCGCAGAGAAATAAACGAGCAGACCATTTGGTCTGCTGCTTTGAGAGCGCAGAGAAATAAACGAGCAGACCATTTGGTCTGCTGCTTTGAGAGCGCAGAGAAATAAACGAGCAGACCAAATGGTCTGCTGCTTTGAGAGCGCAGAGAAATAAACGAGCAGACCATTTGGTCTGCTGCTTTGAGAGCGCAGAGAAATAAACGAGCAGACCATTTGGTCTGCTGCTTTGAGAGCGCAGAGAAATAAACGAGCAGACCATTTGGTCTGCTGCTTTGAGAGCGCAGAGAAATAAACGAGCAGACCATTTGGTCTGCTGCTTTGAGAGCGCAGAGAAATAAACGAGCAGACCAATTGGTCTGCTGCTTTGAGAGCGCAGAGAAATAAACGAGCAGACCATTTGGTCTGCTGCTTTGAGAGCGCAGAGAAATAAACGAGCAGACCATTTGGTCTGCTGCTTTGAGAGCGCAGAGAAATAAACGAGCAGACCATTTGGTCTGCTGCTTTGAGAGCGCAGAGAAATAAACGAGCAGACCAATTGGTCTGCTGCTTTGAGAGCGCAGAGAAATAAACGAGCAGACCATTTGGTCTGCTGCTTTGAGAGCGCAGAGAAATAAACGAGCAGACCATTTGGTCTGCTGCTTTGAGAGCGCAGAGAAATAAACGAGCAGACCATTTGGTCTGCTGCTTTGAGAGCGCAGAGAAATAAACGAGCAGACCATTTGGTCTGCTGCTTTGAGAGCGCAGAGAAATAAACGAGCAGACCATTTGGTCTGCTGCTTTGAGAGCGCAGAGAAATAAACGAGCAGACCATTTGGTCTGCTGCTTTGAGAGCGCAGAGAAATAAACGAGCAGACCATTTGGTCTGCTGCTTTGAGAGCGCAGAGAAATAAACGAGCAGACCATTTGGTCTGCTGATTAGAGAGAGCGCAGAGAAATAAACGAGCAGACCATTTGGTCTGCTGTTTAGAGAGCGCAGAGAAATAAACTAGCAGACCATTTGGTCTGCTGATTAGAGAGAGCGCAGAGAAATAAACGAGCAGACCATTTGGTCTGCTGCTTTGAGAGCGCAGAGAAATAAACGAGCAGACCATTTGGTCTGCTGCTTTGAGAGCGCAGAGAAATAAACGAGCAGACCATTTGGTCTGCTGCTTTGAGAGCGCAGAGAAATAAACGAGCAGACCAATTGGTCTGCTGCTTTGAGAGCGCAGAGAAATAAACGAGCAGACCATTTGGTCTGCTGCTTTGAGAGCGCAGAGAAATAAACGAGCAGACCATTTGGTCTGCTGCTTTGAGAGCGCAGAGAAATAAACGAGCAGACCATTTGGTCTGCTGCTTTGAGAGCGCAGAGAAATAAACGAGCAGACCATTTGGTCTGCTGCTTTGAGAGCGCAGAGAAATAAACGAGCAGACCAATTGGTCTGCTGCTTTGAGAGCGCAGAGAAATAAACGAGCAGACCATTTGGTCTGCTGCTTTGAGAGCGCAGAGAAATAAACGAGCAGACCAATTGGTCTGCTGCTTTGAGAGCGCAGAGAAATAAACGAGCAGACCAATTGGTCTGCTGCTTTGAGAGCGCAGAGAAATAAACGAGCAGACCAATTGGTCTGCTGCTTTGAAAGCGATTTCGACTTTTTTCCCACCTGATCCGCATAATGTGCATTAGTCGGTGAAAAATATCCATTTTTCTGCTCCTCAAATCCATCATGTGACCAATAAGAATGATCATAGGTAAACCGTTTTTCCTCATTCGTCTTCGGGTCACGGATTACTGTAGTCTGCTCGTCGGGCATTTCAATTGCCAATTTACAATTCCTTTTTTGTTCCCGCTCATTGAACGGGCGAACTCGAACTGCCACAATAATCGAATCCGAAGTTTTTCCCATTTTTTACTGAAAAAAACACTTTTTTGGTGAAAAAATGTATAATATGGATTTCCTTCCTGTTTTCTTTTTCCCTTTTTTTCATTTTTGTTGCTATGTGTCACCAAGCGACCTTCGAAAGATGAAACATCACAAAAAGTAAATAAAACTACTATTTTTAAATAAAAAGAAACCAGCTGAAAATAAATCAAAAATGTTGTAGCCCGATGCGGGGCTCGAACCCGCGACAGCCAGATTAAGAGTCTGGTGCTCTACCGACTGAGCTAACCGGGCGCACGTCATCTCTCTTGTAATTTTTTCTTTTCTTTTCGGCCCCACGAGAGAGTGTGGGAGTATGAGAGAGACAGAGATGACTCATTTGCCAAAATAATTTCTCACTTTTCTCGTAGTTTATTTTAATGAACGAAAAAAAGTAACTCAAAAAATCAAACAAAAGCCATGTTTACCCAAAGGAACTCTTCTTACTGCTATTTAAAAGAAAAGTTGGCAAAATTTTTTGAAATATTTCGAGTGCTAGGGCGACAAAAATGCGAATGAATTTGAATCTATTTTTAAATCTAATAATATCAATTCTAGGCCTTCTAGTTAGCCTAACTTCTTGCCAACAACAAAATTATGTGACGTGTAATACGGCTCAAGGCCCGGTTAGAGGACAAACTGTCGATTTGGGTGAGTTTTTGGAAATAAAACCAAAAAATAAAATAAATTCCACGTGAAATTTTGGACAAAAAATTAATTTTCAATTTTCTGATAATTAGGAAAATGCGAAAACCTTTTGAGGTTGGTTAGATGAAATTCATAGGCAGACCAATTGGTCTGCTGCCTGGCAAATGAGAAAAAACGGAGGAGCAGACCAATTGGTCTGCTGATAAGAGAGCGCAGAGAAATAAACGAGCAGACCATTTGGTCTGCTGCTTTGAGAGCGCAGAGAAATAAACGAGCAGACCAAATGGTCTGCTGATTGGAGAGCGCAGAGAAATAAAGGAGCAGACCATTTGGTCTGCTGATTGGAGAGCGCAGAGAAATAAACGAGCAGACCATTTGGTCTGCTGTTTAGAGAGCGCAGAGAAATAAACGAGCAGACCAAATGGTCTGCTGATTGGAGAGCGCAGAGAAATAAAGGAGCAGACCATTTGGTCTGCTGTTTGGAGAGCGCAGAGAAATAAACGAGCAGACCATTTGGTCTGCTGCTTTGAGAGCGCAGAGAAATAAACGAGCAGACCAAATGGTCTGCTGATTGGAGAGCGCAGAGAAATAAAGGAGCAGACCATTTGGTCTGCTGATTGGAGAGCGCAGAGAAATAAACGAGCAGACCATTTGGTCTGCTGTTTAGAGAGCGCAGAGAAATAAACGAGCAGACCAAATGGTCTGCTGATTGGAGAGCGCAGAGAAATAAAGGAGCAGACCATTTGGTCTGCTGTTTGGAGAGCGCAGAGAAATAAACGAGCAGACCATTTGGTCTGCTGTTTAGAGAGCGCAGAGAAATAAACGAGCAGACCAAATGGTCTGCTGAAAAAACACCTAGTCTCAAAATCCCCCAAATTCTCGCAGGCTCCGACCAATCTCAACTCTACTCTGGCCGTGCCGATGTCTTCACCGGTATTCCCTATTGCCAACCTCCAGTCAACAACCTTCGCTTCGAACCTCCCCAATCAATTTCCACATTCAACTCAAGTGTCTACGATGCGACAAGTTTCAAGCCAAAATGTCCGCAAACCGGGCTTTCCGGCCAACAACAACAAACCAGCGAAGATTGTTTGTATTTGAATATTTATACACCAAATGCGAATGGAAATGGGGGAACTCAGATGGCTGTTATGATTATGATTGATGGTTATAATGGATTTCAGAATGGTGGATGTGATCAGAGTCAGGTTAAAGGTTAGTTTCGCATACATTCTAGACAGGGCTTGCGAAGCACGCCCTGTCTGGAAACTAGAAACAATGTTTGTAGATCAAAATGAAGTCTCTCTAGAACTACAGTACCCCTTCCAGGCATCGTCTCCAACCTCGTTCAACGTCAAATCATCGTAGTCACCCTTCAATACCGTCTCGGTGCCCTCGGCTTCTTCACAACCTATACAAACACAATTCAATCGAATCTAGGAATGTTGGATCAAGTGGAAGCCATAAAATGGGTTAAAACAAATATCCACAATTTCGGAGGCGATCCAAATAAGATTACTGTAGCTGGACAAAATGACGGAGCTTGTGCTGTTTCGGCACATACGCTAAGTCCAATGAGTCAGGGGCTTATCAATCAGGCGATTATATCCAGTGGAAGTATTTATAGTTGCTATAATCCAACGCCAATTGTTCCGGGAACCCAGGCCCCTCAAGGGGCCACCCAGGCTTCTTCTACTGTGAGCCCTGCAGGCTCACAACCTATGTACGATCAAGCTTCTGTTGGCAACGCTGGTTATTACCAAAATACCCAGACCTCCACAAGTTCTTATAACTCAGCTTCTTCTTCGGCCCAAGTTTTCCAGGATCCTAGCCAGCAACTTGCCTCAACTCTGTGCAACCAGACATGGACGCTCCAGAATATGCAAAATATTCAGAATTGTTTGAAGAATTATACGGTCGACTTTTTTGTGAATCAGAAACCGGTGAGGATTTTTTATCTTTATTATCTAGGGTGAGAGAAATAAACGAGCAGACCATTTGGTCTGCTGATTAGAGAGAGCGCAGAGAAATAAATGAGCAGACCATTTGGTCTGCTGATTGGAGAGTGCAGAGAAATAAACGAGCAGACCATTTGGTCTGCTGATTGGAGAGTGCAGAGAAATAAACGAGCAGACCATTTGGTCTGCTGATTGGAGAGTGCAGAGAAATAAACGAGCAGACCATTTGGTCTGCTGATTGGAGAGTGCAGAGAAATAAACGAGCAGACCATTTGGTCTGCTGATTGGAGAGTGCAGAGAAATAAACGAGCAGACCATTTGGTCTGCTGATTGGAGAGTGCAGAGAAATAAACGAGCAGACCATTTGGTCTGCTGATTGGAGAGTGCAGAGAAATAAACGAGCAGACCATTTGGTCTGCTGATTGGAGAGTGCAGAGAAATAAACGAGCAGACCATTTGGTCTGCTGATTGGAGAGTGCAGAGAAATAAACGAGCAGACCATTTGGTCTGCTGATTGGAGAGTGCAGAGAAATAAACGAGCAGACCATTTGGTCTGCTGTTTCGAGAGAGCGCAGAGAAATAAACGAGCAGACCATTTGGTCTGCTGATTGGAGAGTGCAGAGAAATAAACGAGCAGACCATTTGGTCTGCTGATTGGAGAGTGCAGAGAAATAAACGAGCAGACCATTTGGTCTGCTGTTTCGAGAGAGTGCAGAGAAATAAACGAGCAGACCATTTGGTCTGCTGATTGGAGAGTGCAGAGAAATAAACGAGCAGACCATTTGGTCTGCTGATTGGAGAGTGCAGAGAAATAAACGAGCAGACCATTTGGTCTGCTGTTTCGAGAGAGTGCAGAGAAATAAACGAGCAGACCATTTGGTCTGCTGATTGGAGAGTGCAGAGAAATAAACGAGCAGACCATTTGGTCTGCTGATTGGAGAGTGCAGAGAAATAAACGAGCAGACCATTTGGTCTGCCGATTAGAGAGCGCAGAGAAATAAACGAGCAGACCAATTGGTCTGCTGCTTTGAGAGCGCAGAGAAATAAACGAGCAGACCATTTGGTCTGCTGATTGGAGAGCGCAGAGAAAAAAACGAGCAGACCATTTGGTCTGCTGATTAGAGAGCATAGAAAAAGTATGCTTTCAGGGTGGTCCAACAGCCACATGGATGATAGTACGTGACACGTCATTCCTTCCCGGCTCCATCGATTCGCTTTCATCTCGCCGCCCAAATATTCCAATTATAATCGGAACTGTTCAAGATGAAGATGCGGATTACGCATTCAAATTGATCAATACCGGAAAAGCCCAAGATTCCGATAATTTGGATAATTGGATTTTCGATTTTGCGCGGAAAAATAAGCTGAACTCGACACAGACGCAAAATGTTAGCAATATTATTGGACAGAATTATGAAGTTGATACTGGAGCTGGAAATACAGTTCAGAGGGATCAACCGGTTCAGAATCTAGGTCAAAATCAGGGCCAGGCCTACGGTCAGGCCAATCAGGGCCAAGTTCAGAATCAGCAATTCACCAGCGCAACTTCACAAATCGTCTATGTCAATCAGTACAGTGGATTTGGACAGGCGAATCAGAATCAGTATGGAAATCAGCAGAATCAGAACTCACAGAACTTCAACCAAAATCAGAATTCAAATCAGAACTCACAGATCTACAGCTCAGGAACATCTCAAAACCAGTATGGAAATCAGCAGATGTCTAGCCAAAATCAGAACTATCAGAACTTCAACCAGAATCAGTACAGCTCTGGAACTTCTCAAAATCAATATGGAAATCAGAACTCGCAGATTTACAGCTCTGGAAATCAGCAGATCTATAATCAGAATCAGAACTCCCAAAATCAAAACCAGTATGGAAATCAGCAGAACACGTGAGTCTAGAATCTAGCCTGATCTTTCCAACCCTAACCTCCGATGTTTCCAGCTACAATCTTCAACGAGATCCCAGCAACAATCAGCAGAACTCTGGATCTTCCTACACCTCACTTCAAACCATTACTCAGGTTAGTCTGGGGAGCCTGTGATGAGATTCTTTATAGATCTTTTCTAGATCTTCTCTAGATGTTCCAGATCTTCTCTAGATCTTCCTGATCTCCCCCCTGATCTTCCCCGCACTCACCCATCTGAACTTCCAGATCGCCTCCGATCAATCCACCAGTCTCACCACCACCCAAATCCAATCCTACATGCAAAACGGCAACAGCGTCGTCCGAATCTATCAATTCACCTATGTCTCCGATGTTGGAAGATCTACAGTACCACAAACTTCGGATAACTGGAAACGTGAGTCTTATTTTCATTTTCATGCCACGTCATAACTCACCATGTATTTTTTCAGCGGTTTTCCGAGGTCAGGACATGTATTTCCTGACAATGTCCGAGACAATTTGGACAACATCCAATTACACGGCTGAAGATCGCCACGTGGCAAATCAGATGGGACAACAGTGGAGCGATTTTGTCAAGACTGGGTAAGGCGGGGCCGGGCCTGGTTTTAGGCCTGGGGCCCGGGAAGCTGTCAGGCTTAGGCTGAAAATGCCGCTGGAGAAATTTTGAAATTCCAAATTTTAGTGCGGGAAATATTTGCCACGTGGTAAACACATTTTTTTTTTTTGAAAAAAATTTCATAATTTTGGCTGCCACGTGGATTTTCAGCACAAAATTTCGGATTTTCAGATAAATTTTTCGGATGCCTAAAATCCACAAAAATCTTGGCGTCAACGTGGATTTTTTGAAAAATACAAAATTTGAATCTAAATTTTTCGCGCGAAAATTTGAAATTTTAAAAATAAAAAATTTTCGCGCGAAAAATGATGCCACGTGGATTTTTGAAAAGTACAAAATTTGAATCTGAATTTTCGGCGCGAAAATTTGAAATTTCAAAAATAAAAATTTTCGCGCGAAAAATGATGCCACGTGGATTTTTCGATGTAAGAAATTTGAATTTAAATTTTCGCGCGAAAATTTGAAATTTCAAAAATAAAAATTTTGGCGCGAAAAATGATGCCACGTGGATTTTCCGATGTAAGAAATTTGAATTTAAATTTTTCGCGCGAAAATTTGAAATTTAAAAAATTAAAATTTTGGCGCGAAAAATATTTCCACGTGGATTTTTGAAAAGTACAAAATTTGAATCTGAATTTTCGGCGCCAAAATCTACAGTAGGCTTAAAAAAACTAAAATATTTGCAGCCAAGTCCAAAATTGGTCTCCCACAACTTCCGGTAACTACAACTACTGTAATCTCAACTCTCAACCTTCTCAAAATCAAAATTACGGTCAAGAGGCGCGAAAAGTGTTCCAAGATCAAATTAATCCAATTTGCCAAGAAGCTCAAAACAATTTTGCGATTGCCAATAATCTTACTGTACCCTACAGTACTTCCTCCTCCTCCTACAGTAACCCATTGGGTACTGTAGTCTCAAAAACACCCGCCAATGTACAATATTCGAATGATGCTCAAAATGGGCAGAATTTTCATATCACTTTTCAGGTTCAAGGTTTTCCAAATGGAAAATGAGCCAGGGAAAGGGGAGATTTGATGTAAATAAAGTTTTTTGACCTGAAATTTACCTGAAATTAAAATTCTATGAGAAAAATGAGCATTTTTGAGCGAAAATTGGCTGAAAATCACTCAAAAATGCTCATTTTCAGACTAAAAATGGGCATTTTTGAGCAAAATCGCGCTCAAAATCATCAAAAATGCTCATTTTTAGCCTAAAAATGAGCATTTTTGAGCAAAAATGGGCTGAAAATCACTCAAAAATGCTCATTTTCAGCCTAAAAATGAGCATTTTTGCCCAAAATTGCTCATTTTCAACCTGAAATTCCAAAATTTTCCACAAAAACCTTCATTTTCCCGCCAAATCTAAGCCGAATCATCCGAAGAATCCACCTCCAACTTCTCCTCAGCTTCCACCAATTTCAGCAAAATCGTCTCTTTGCTCTTCCGAATCTCGGCCAATTTTTCGAGCTCCTCAAAAAGTTTGTTGAGCTCAATCTCCTCGGATTTCGAAAATTCCCAAGTTTTTTTGAGAATTTCCAAATTTTCAGCGATTTTCGCGTCGATTTCGTGGATTTGTGATTGGAATTGTTTGACACGATGTTCGAAGTTGGGCCATCTGAAAAAATTGGACATTTTTGAGGCTGAAAGCCTAATTCAAGCCTAGTTTTAGCCAAAAAATCGGGGGCTGCGAAAAAAAAACGAAAAAAATAAAATAATTTCAAACGACGCGCGCGCGCGCATGCAACGTCACCGCGGAGTCTCGTTGTTTTCTTTTTATTTTTTGCGTTTTTTTCGAAAATCACAATTTTCATGGTTTTTTTGAGTTTTACACGTTAATTTAGCCTTAAATTTTTCCTTTTTCCCAAAAATGTCGAAAAACAACCTACAAAACCTCAATTATTCACAATAATTTATTATTTTCCCTACTTTTCCTTTTTATTTTTATTTTTTTATTTTTTATTTCCCACTTTCAAAATCATAAAAAAACGTTTTCAAAACCAACTTTCCAACAAAATGCGCAATGGTTTCCGAATTCTTGCGAACAATTTCCGATTTTTGGAGCGTTTTTTCGAGCTCTGCGCGCTTTTTTTCGATTCGAGAATCGACTTCGGTGATGTAGAATTGAATGGAATTTGATGATGATGACATTGCTGGAATAGCAAAGTTCGCTCTAATGAACAACTGGAGAATTAGGTTTTTATTCAAAATTTCAAGAAAATTGAGGCAGAAATGGTGAAAAGCGGTGAAAATGAGTTAAAAATCAAAGTGCGCTCTATTGAACTGATGGAAAATTAGGTTTTTATTCAAATTTTCATGAAAATTGAGGATTTCAGGGGAAAAGATGAAAATGCGCTCTACTGAACAACTTTTAAAGGTACATGAGGTATTTTTTAACAAAACTAAATAACATACGTTCTTGGAAATTAAATAATCATGTGCGCTCCATTGACAAACCTAAATTTCATTCAAAAAATCGATTTTTCAACAAGAAATCAAGTGCGCTCCATTGACAAACCTAAATTTCATTAAAAAATTCAAAAAAATTAATTTTTCAACAAGAAATCAAGCGCGCTCCATTGATAAACCTAAATTTCACTAAAAAATTCAAAAATTTTCAACAAAAACCGTTTATTTCAGGGGAAAAAGAGAGAGAAAACTAGGAAAAAATTGTTTTTTTTTTGTTCAATTTAAAAATGAAAAAAGTTTTATTTTCCAGCCCATGCGTAAAACTGCTTCCGTTTTTGCACCTCCATGTTATTGCTCATATTATAGTCCTCTGCCATATTTGGTGCACTGCGTTTACCGGCCCATGCGTAAAATTGCTTGCGTTTCGCGCGCATCGCATCCACATCATCCTCTCCGCGTTTTGTGTCCACCCAACGGTAGAATCGTTTGTAGGCCTGCAAATTTTCACGGCATTTTGCGGGGAGACACTTGAAATAACCCAATTTTCTCAAGTTTTCGTGATTTTTGGTCGAAAATCCGGGATTTTTCATGATTTTTTGGCCCAAAACTCACTGTAATTGGTGCTGCTGCCACATCAGCATCCTCTAATAAGTTAGACGAACTCGATTGCTCCGCCGCCACGGCTCCACCAACAATTTGGCTCACCAACAACACCAAAGCCCAAAAACACGCCAAAAAACCTCTCATTTTTTGGATCCGTGCGTTTTTTTTTCAAAAATGAGCCCACTATTGTTTTTTTTTTTGCTCATCTCGAAGGCTCCGCCCATTTTTCGAGCTCGAATTTAGCCACGCCCATTCGTCACTTTTTTTGTGACTACACTAACTAATATGAGCAATTATCATTGAGGTGTGAAATTCGGATGAATATGTATATCGGGATTTTAAAAAAAAAAAAAAAAAAATTGGTGCGTCAGCTGGGGGTCGAACCCGAGTCTTAGCAGACGCGTGTGTATGTGAGACGCGTGTGTATACCACTCGCACACGCGTGCTTCTTTTTCCACACGCGAAATTGTCATATTTAAATAGCGCGCTCATTTTTCAACGAAATTTTGCATTTTCTAAGAAAAAAATCCAATTTCAAGCCGGAAAACGCACAAATCAAAAGAAAAACCAATTTTAAACCATGAAATATCACCCCAAAATCTCCATGGTTTTTTCTTTTCGAAAAAAAAATGTGTTTGCCCCCGAAGAAAACAGAATTTTTTATGACAAAAAAAAACAACACGGGAAAAATGAAAAATAAATTAAATTCGAGTTAGGATAACTTTTTTTCTAGATAAAAACGCTTCGGAAGAATTGGAGAAAGTGTTGATGAATTAGGGAGGGATTTTTGGCGATCGAGACATCGATGCACATTGAAATTCCGGAGGAATGACGACAAACCTAAGAAAAATCGGGAAAAATGAGCGAAAAGATGAAAGTGCGCTCTATTGAACTAATGGAAAATCGAGAAAAAATTCAAAAAAATGTTTTTTTATTGCAAATTGCCACGTCATAGCCCCTCACTTACCTGTTGAAATGGACATTCTGCATTACTCGAACACATCTGATTCATCCTCGGATCTTGAGTTACCGGAACTCGACACAAAAACTTCTCCCCCTCAACTTGTGTGCATTTTTCGCCGCCCGAGCACTGATAATCGTAAAAACACTCGATATTTCCGATTGTCGCCTGGATGTCGGTGATGCAAATTGCATCATCCTTGTTTTGAACTTTGCAGCGCTGGAAAAAGCCAAGTGCGCTCCAGTGAACTCGTGGAAAATTGAGGATATATTCAAAAAATTAATTTTTTTCTATGCTTCTATGACTAGAGTCTAGTTGCTCATGTCAAAAAGCGTGAGAATTTCGGGTGACGTCATTTTTTGTGCATTGCTCATCTTAACAAGAAACATTGCTCATATTAAATATTCTTAAAATCCCTGCATTACAGTAGAGCACACTTTCTAACAAATTATGTGTATTGCTCATATTAAACTAATTGTTCAGAATCATAGTTCATACCTTCCAAGCTAAAGTATACTATGAGCAATGCCTACCCGCATAAATATAGTGTAATATGAGCAATGCTCTAGTCACATCATATGCTTTTGCAACTTTGTGAGTTCCCACGCTATGTTGTATTTTTAGCAAAAATTGTAATATGAGCAATGCTGTTAGCAGTAGAGCGTATTTGCATATTCACCTGTCCACTCAAACAATCCGAATGATAAATGCACTGTCTTCCTTTCTTCGTCATATCATATCGACATACCGTGACATTCCGATCGACGAATCGAATTCGACCCGAACAACTTTCGCCCATTCGACACTGGCCAATTTGTTAATTATTAATTAATGGCGCCAATTTTAATTATTCATAATTGGGATCGAATTTCTCGGCTTGCCCTCATTTTTTTTTTGGGGGGGAAAAATTTGAGATGAATAATTTAGCGCCCATTGTTTTTGATCATCGAGCGCGCTAGCGCGAGTGTAGACCGCAAGCTTCCGCGTTAGCGGCCACGTGGATTGCTATGAGGTTTGCCACGTCATAGCAATCCACGTGGCCGCTAAAGCGGAAGATAGTGCCGCTAACGCGGAAATTTCCGGTCTACACTCGCGCAGGGCGCTCGGTCCGCAAGCTTCCTGCCATGTGGCTATATGGTTTTCCACGTGAAAAACCAATTGCTCATGTTCAGGACCATTTACTCCAATAGAAAATTGCCCCTCGTGTCAGACGAGAGACGACGGGAGTCTGATGACGTCATCTGAGACAGAGAAAGACATCGCTTCGAGATATTTTTGAGAAAATGTGTGTCCTTTTGAAAAAATACCGTATTTTGTTTCAAGGAACACATGTTTTATTGAAAATATCTCGAAGCGAAATTCATTTTCGGGATATTTTTGCAAAATACTCTCGTCGTCTCGCGTCTGACTCAACGGGCGCCTTGTATGGTCGTGTGTTAACTTATGTGAGTCAGGGGTGGGAAGACATAAGCCATGGCAGGCTACAACGACCGGACAGCAAGAGGGGCAGGACAATTTCGCTCCAGGTCTGTGTAGAGTTAGAGGGACACACACTCGCGCAGTGCGCTCGTGCCGCCTACGCGGAATTTTCCGATCTACACTCGCGCTTCCGCGCTCGGGGCCGCTGACGCGGAATTTTCCGGTCTACACTCGCTCCGCTCGAGCCACGTGTATTTTCGAGCGTAGCGAGTGTAGACCGCAAGCTTCCGCGTCAGCGGCACTGTCTTCCGCTTTAGCGGCCACGTAGGGCTCATAGTACACGTGGAAAACCTAATCGATCTCATGTTTAGGTATATGACCAGTAGGGTTTGCCACGTCATAGCAAACCACGTGGCCGCTAAAGCGGAAAACAGTGCCGCTGACGCGGAAGCTTGCGGTCTACACTCGCGCTTCCGCGCTCGCCAAATCCTCACATGATAATCCTTGTCACAAGGCACGGCTGCCGGGTCCATGGGTTCCTCCACAAAAACATCCTGGTGTAAAGGCGGAGCATCGTTGGACAAGGACATTTTGACGAGATCCGCGTCGTCGACTTTGATATAGATGGGTTCGCGAGGAATTGAGGTGTCGTGACGTTTGGCTGGAAGGTCGAGCGTAGCGAGTGTAAACCGCAAGCTTCCGCGTCAGCGGCACTGTCTTCCGCTTTAGCGGCCACGTGGATTGCTATGACGTGGCAAGGGATCATAGAAATCCGCGTGGCCGCGTTCGCGGAAGACAGTGCCGCTAACGCGAAAGCTCGCGGTTTACACTCGCGCACAGCGCTCGGGTCGAGCGGAGCGAGTGTAGACCGCAAGCTTCCGCGACAGCGGCACTGTCTTCCGCTTTAGCGGCCACGTGGATTACTCATCCCTTGCCACGTCATAGTAATCCACGTGGCCGCTAAAGCGGAAGACAGTGCCGCTGACGCGGAAGCTTGCGGTCTACACTTGCTCCGCTCGAGGCATTGCTCATATTAAACTCGAGCGAAGCGAGTGTAGACCGCAAGCTTCCGCTTTAGCGGCCACGTGGTTTGCTATAGGGTTTGCCACGTCATAGTAATCCACGTGGCCGCTAACGCGGAAGCTTACGGTTTACACTCGCGCAGAGCGCTCGACTTACCCACACTCCCCGAATCCTCAAAAATAGCCCGAGATTCCTCGGGCTCTTCAAAAACCGCCTTGGATTCCTTGACCACTTCTACATGAACTGCAGGTGGTACTGTAGAGGTTAGCGCAAGTCGATGTTTAATCGGAATCACATAACCATCAGTCACCGTATCCCCATACTTATAACAAATTCTGTCCTGAACTGCCGTGCTGAATACACACAGATATTCGCCGCTGGGTGGAGGACAATCCGCTTCCGATTCACAGCGAAGTGGAATCAGCGCCTTGATTTGATGTCGACAGATCATTTCGCCAAAGTAGAGAGTGCAGAAGAGCGCGGTGTTACAGTCGGAGTCTCGTTCGCACGGTGAGTTGAGATCACCGGGTGCTGGGTCGAGGATTTTGGGAGGGTCTGGAAAATGAGGAAGGTTCGGGGGGAGCTACTGTGAGGGACACACACTCGCTTCGCTCGACTCGAGCGCTATGCGCGAGTGTAGACCGCAAGATTCCGCGTAAGCGGCACTGTCTTCCGCTTCAGCGGCCACGTGAATTGCTATGACGTGGCAAGGGATGATAGTAATCGACGTGGCCGCTAAAGCGGAAGATAGTGCCGCTGACGCGGAAGCTTGCGGTTTACACTCGCGCTTCCGCGCTCGAACAAAAATAGTTAGACAAACTACAAAACACATAGACATGATACAAATACTTTATAGTTTCACACAAACAAAAATACATGAATCACAAAACACAGTGCAAATTTGAATTTTTATGAAAATCACAGGGTTCTCAATGGAGCGCGCTTGGGAATTCTAACAAAAAAAACTAGCAGATTGTCAATAGAGCGCACTTAACGTTAAAAACACAAATTTTAAAATTCAGAGTGAAAACACTAGGTTATCAATAGAGCGCACTTGAGTATATAGACACAAAAACACATCTACAAAGGTATTCTCATTAGAGCGAACTTGCTCAAAAACTATGTATATTCTTATCATTATCAATAGAGCGCACTTGCCCCCGCTCTTCACCCTACAGTAATTCCATTTCCAGCCGCCAAACCTTGTCTAGCCATAGTTGTCGTCGGTCTCACATATCCCCCAACATTGATCTGACAATTTCTCGATCCCGATCCCGAAATCACACACGAACTTCCAGCCTGGCAATCGGAGTTGCTTGAACATCCAGATGTCGGGTTCGAGTTGGGATAACTCTGAGAGCCCAGACAAATCTTGACACCGTTCACCGATGCCTGACAGGTTAGACCCGATTGACAATCGGAGCTCGAGGAGCAGTAGGAGCCGAGGGTTTTGGTGGAGGAGGGCTGGAAAAGGGGCGAGGTATGACGTGGCACCGCAAGCTTCCGCGTAGCGGCTCCGAGCGCGGAAGCGCGAGTGTGTGTCCCAGGGACATACATAGCGCTTTCGGCCGCTACGCGGAAGATTGCGGTCTACACTCGCTGCGCTCGAGCCAAATATGAGCAATGTCTCGAGCGGAGCGAGTGTAGACCGCAAGCTTCCGCGTCAGCGGCACTGTCTTCCGCTTTAGCGGCCACGTGGTTTGCTATGACGTGGCAACCCCTACTGGTCCAATACCTAAACATGAGATCAATTAGGTTTTCCACGTGTACAATGAGCCCTACGTGGCCGCTAAAGCGGAAGACAGTGCCGCTGACGCGGAAGCTTGCGGTCTACACTCGCTCCGCTCGAATCTGCTATGACGTGGCAGACAAAGCTCGAGCGGAGCGAGTATAGACCGCAAGCTTCCGCGTCAGCGGCACTATCTTCCGCTTTAGCGGCCACGTGGTTTGCTATGACGTTTGCCATATCATAGTAATCCACGTGGCCGCTAAAGCGGAAGACAGTGCCGCTGACGCGGAAGCTTGCGGTCTACACTCGCTGCGCTCGAGCCTAATATGAGCAATGTCTCGAGCGAAGCGAGTGTAGACCGCAAGCTTCCGCGTTAGCGGCACTGTCTTCCGCTTTAGCGGCCACGTGGATTGCTATGACGTGGCAACATGAGATCAATTAGGTTTTCCACGTGTCCAATGAGCCCTACGTGGCCGCTAAAGCGGAAGACAGTGCCGCTTACGCGGTAACTTGCGGTCTACACTCGCGCAGAGCGCTCGAGTCTGGACTTACCTGAACTCCCCCGCCAATTCCATTGTTTCCACCATTATTATAGTTATAAGTTCCTTGATTTTCCGTAACTCCACCGCCAATCGAATATCCCAAAATTGGTGCGGAAAATATAGAAATTGCCAGGAAAATCCACATTTTGTGCTCTTGTGCTCCAAAACTTATTGACTCTTTCTTTTATCACAAGAATTTTTAAAAAAGTAAATATTTGGATTTGAAAATTTTTTGAAGTTTCAAAAAAAAAGTTGGGGGAAAAATGAGTCATCTTTTGAATAGATCTGATAAATATTTACCCAAAATCAATTTAGCGGAAAAAAAAGTGAGAAAAAGTGGATTTATGCTAATTTTTATGAGGGGATATCGGGTTTTTTGGACAGAAAAGTTTCAAAGAGAAAGTGACCGCGGAAAATTTTTTCCGGGGATTTTGGTGTCAAACGTAGACCGCAAGCTTCCGCGTCAGCGGCCTCGAGCGCGGAAGCGCGAGTGTATATCCCTTTAAGAAGATCATACATACACTCGCGCTTCCGCGCTCGGGGCCGCTGACGCGGAAGCTTGCGGTCTACACTCGCTGCGCTCGAGTCTTGCTGCATTGCTCCCGCCAAAAACTACAGTACCCCGCTTCAAAAATCAATAATTTATTCCTCAATCTCTCCTCAATCATTAGCTTTTCTAAAATACTCCACAACATTTTCCAGGCTATAATTATCCCTTAAAATCTCCTCCAATCCTTCCAATTTTCCACGAATCGGTTTTCCGTTCAATTTTGCACGGCATGTTAACAGATTACGGTAGATTTGAATGATTCCGGTGTCATCGATTTTCATGTTTTCCGCTTCCTCGTGGATTCGATCGTAGTTGCGGAGAAGTTCCGCGTTTCCGGAACTCAGGAAGGAGAAGACGTCGGAATTATTGGCCTCGAGTTCCTGGGAAAAAATGGGGATTACTCAGGTTAAGGGGCACAGTACATGATTTTAAAGGATCATAAGTGTCAGGTGTTCAGCTCGTACCCGTCTCAGGTAGGTACAGTACCTGACGTTAAAGGAACAAAGATCAGAGTCAGTGCTCATATCAGTTTGGACTACAGTACTCTCGAGCGCTTTGCGCGAGTGTAGATCGCAAGATTCCGCGTAAGCGGCACTGTCTTCCGCTTCAGCGGCCACGTGGATTGCTATGACGTGGCAAGGGATGATATTAATCCACGTGGCCGCTGTCGCGGAAGACAGTGCCGCCGACGCGGAAGCTTGCGGTCTACACTCGCTCGAGACATTGCTCATAGTAGGCTCGAGCGAAGCGAGTGTAAACCGCAAGCTTCCGCGTCAGCGGCCACGCGGATTTCTATGATCCCTTGCCACGTCATAGTAATCCACGTGGCCGCTAAAGCGGAAGACAGTGCCGCTGACGCGGAAGCTTGCGGTTTACACTCGCGCTTCCGCGCTCGTCCCGTGCAAAAATAAAAATGTCCAAAATCTTCCAAAAAAAAAAAATTTCATTTGGACTCTCAAATTTCCATTCACTCCGTCACACTTCCGGTCCAAGACTAATTTTGTTTCGTTTTATTTTGGTATCACATTACTCATGTTATACTACTATTAGATTCTCAGCAAAAAAAAATCCCCCCAAAAAAAATGTGACCGGTGTCTGATGTGTGTGTACCTTTAGAGCGGAAGCCAAGATCTTCTGCTTTTCCAAGTTTATGAGATGCGTCATTTTGGGATCCAATAATTTGAGACAGTGGAAAACGGATTCCTCGTTGAGATCTGAAAAAACATCAGGGTCAGAAAGGTTCTCGGCAGCTTTGCGCGAGTATATGTCCCTTTAAGAGGGCCTTACATACACTCGCGCTTCCGCGCTCGGGACCGCTGACGCGGAAGCTTGCGGTCTAGACTCGCTCCGCTCGAGGCATTGCTCATAGTAGGGTCGAGCGGAGCGAGTGTAGACCGCAAGCTTCCGCGTCAGCGGCACTGTCTTCCGCTTAAGCGGCCACGTGCTTTGCTATGACGTGGCAAATCCTATAGTCAACCACGTGGCCGCTGAAGCGGAAGATAGTGCCGCTGACGCGGAAGCTTGCGGTCTACACTCGCTCCGCTCGAGGCATTGCTTATAGTAGGGTCGAGCGGAGCGAGTGTAGACCGCAAGCTTCCGCGTCAGCGGCACTGTCTTCCGCTTTAGCGGCCACGTGCTTTGCTATGACGTGGCAAACCATATAGTAATCCACGTGGCCGCTGAAGCGGAAGACAGTGCCGCTAACGCGGAAGCTTGCGGTCTACACTCGCTCCGCTCGAGGCATAGGCGAGTGTAGACCGCAAGCTTCCGCGTCAGCGGCCTCGAGCGCCTTGCGCGAGTGTATGTCCCCTATCCGTCTCACTCAAAGGCACATACACTCGCGCTTCCGCGCTCGAGGCCGCTGACGCGGAACCTTGCGGTCTACACTCGCTGCGCTCGACCAAAACCCACCACAAGACACATCGACTCGAACTTGTTTGCTCATGGTTTCCTCGGTTACCCGATCTCGAATAATCGAGATTGTTGTCAAACAATCCGAGCGGAAGATTGCCGAACCTTTTCTGCAAAAATATGGGTATTGCTCATGTTAGCTTTGAGATTACAGTAAAATCCAAACTTAAAGGGGCATGTACCTTTAAATACCTGACATACAGTAGTAGGTCCCCCGGTTTCTTTAAAGGAACATACAGTACTCCCCCCAAACTCACGAATAAATCACTTGCAACAATGTCCCGCCATTAGTAACACATTGAAAATTATTGGTAATACTGTCGCTTGGCGGGCACTTCAAAGGGATATTTGGGATAAGTTGGTGGAGCCAAGCATGAGCTTCGGAGATTGAAAACGTTCCTGGAAAGACTTGGGGCTAGGGGTGAGTTGGGGTAACTCGGGCAAACCTGTGAAGCTGAGAGTTGTGAGAGGTCTGGATAGGTCGAAATCATGGGTTCGGATGTGGGAAGACAGTGGGCGGATGATATAGCCAGCAATCTGAAATTGCTCATGTTAGACATTCAAGGGAGCTACAGTAGCGCATAGTATACTGTACTAAAATGATAGCATTGCTCATGTTACCATAGGATAAATAGGGTCAGGGAATACAGTACCCAGTAAAGTATACACTCTCGAAAGATTGCTCATGTTAGCTTCTCAGGGGACACAGTACCCCCGTCGAAGGCACCTTGCTCACCTACAGTACCCCCAGTGCTCATCCCACGTCATCCCACGTTTTCTTGTTATTATTTTGCTATCATTTTTTGTCTATTGTAAAAATTCCGGGTAATCCGTCCCTAATCCCCCCGAAATTTTCCCCGAAAATCATCATTTGTGTTCAGATGATCAACTACAGTACAGTACACTAGACCTATACGGGCCTTGATATAGGCCCGGCCTAAATCTAGGGGGCTACCCTAGGCCCACCCTAGTCCACAGATGGGTAGGTAACCTGATCCGTGAGTCCAGACTAGTTCCAAAATCGGAGGAAAAGCCACCAGAGGCTCCGCCCACTTTTCGGAAAAAAATATTTTTTTTTCACGATCATTCATTCCTGAAATCCGCGCAAAATGAAAAATTTGTGCATTTTTTTGCTCGTCGTTTTGTCGATGATCAGTTTGGTGCTAGCCAAGGCGCATCCATTTGTTTGGACTTTTTCCAGGATACAACAGGTACGGTATGGGGTTTGAAAGGGGTATACTGTAGTTTCTCGAAGGTTTTTAAAGGGACATGTTAGGTTACGGTAGTCTGGAAGGTATTAAAGGAACATAATCAGTTAGTTATGGGTATGTTCCTTATATACAGATACAGTTAGGGAATCTTAAAGGGACATAGCTTTGGTACGGTAGATTAGGAGGCTTGAGTTAGTATAGGTTCCGGGTACTGTAGAGTGGATGAGTGATTGCTCATGCTAAAGAGTACGGTAGCTACGGGACATTCTACCTTACCTAGATAAAGATGATTGCTCATACTAAAGGGTAAGTTACTGTAGGTAACAGCTAACATGAGCAATCTTCCCCGAGCGCTAAAAGTGTATGTACCTCATAGACTCAGATTACAGTAGGATGATTGCTCATGCTAAGGGTACGCTCCTTTAACATTATCTATGTACAAACATTGCTCATTTTAAGAGGCAAGCTAACATGAGCAATCCTCCCCAACCTCCTAGCTAATCTGAGCAATTGCAGGATCCCTACATGATCAAACGTGGTCTCGACAACTGCGGCTGCAATCTGGGATGTTTCTACTCGTCAGCACGCGATTGTATGAGTTGTTGTGGGCTGGCGCTCTAACATGAGCAATACCTTTTGAAATTGTGAAAATATCCCCCCGAATAAACCGATTCTAACCCCGTTTCCACTCTAAATTCAGCTACAGTATCCCAACACCAACCTGCGCAACTTTCGGATGAACTTTCGGCGACACATACACACTCAACACACCCTGTTCACCCTCATTCGAGCGCACTCTCAACTCCAGTCGACAAATATTGGCCTGACATCTGTAGGAGGCTAAAAGGGGCCACGGATTCAGATCGCTTTGGCGGACCTCACTCACAACTGACGCGTTTTTTTCGACTTCGATTAGTTTGAGCGGAATCTCCGATTGTACCATGATGAAATCAATGGGAAGAACCAATTCGATGGTTAGATTATAGCATCCGAGTTCGGCGATGAATTCGAAACTGTCGTGAATTTGGAATTGAGGAATGAACGCGACTCCGGGACCGTTTCCAACTTTTTTCGTCATTTCTTCGTATCTCTGACGTTCCTCCATCACTTTTGATTCGAGTTCTTCAACTTCTGATCTGAACGAAAAATTGGGGTTGCTCATATTAGCAGGAAGTTACATACTTCAAGATTGATTGCTCTTGCCTAGCTACAGTAGCCATAATTTAAAGGGACATACACTCGCGCAGAGCGCAGAGCGCGAGTGTAGACCGCAAGCTTCCGCGTCAGCGGCACTGTCTTCCGCTTTAGCGGCCACGTGGTGTACTATGACATGAGAAAGGATCATAGTAAACCACGTGGCCGCTGAAGCGGAAGATAGTGCCGCTGACGCGGAAGCTTGCGGTCTACACTCGCGCAAAGCGCTCGACTCGAGCGCTGTGCGCGAGTGTAGACCGCAAGCTTCCGCGTCAGCGGCACTGTCTTCCGCTTTAGCGGCCACGTGGATTGCTATGACGTGGCAAGCAATAATAGTAATTCACGTGGCCGCTGAAGCGGAAAATAGTGCCGCTAACGCGGAAGCTTGCGGTTTACACTCGCTCCGCTCGACTCGAGCGCATTGCGCGAGTGTAGACCGCAAGCTTCCGCGTCAGCGGCACTGTCTTCCGCTTCAGCGGCCACGTGGTGTACTATGACATGGGAAAGGATCATAGTAAACCACGTGGCCGCTGAAGCGGAAGATAGTGCCGCTGACGCGGAAGCTTGCGGTCTACACTCGCTCCGCTCGGGAGCCATTGCTCATATTAGCTCAGTATAGGCTACTGTATTTATACGGACATACACTCGCTCGAGGAACATTGCTCATGATAATCTACAGTAGGCGTGAAGAGGCTCAAGACATATGTTGCTCATATTAACCTTATTAAGCTTAAAGGAAGCTAGATTGCTCATATTAGTTCTACTATACTAAAGGGACATACACTCGCGCAGAGCGCATTGCTCATATCAAACCCACCTCAACTGCTGAACTTTCACCGAAAAATTGGCAGATTGTGGCACTTGTTCCAACTTGGCTCTGTTCGATTTGGACAGCGTGAAAAGCCATCCAGTATAAGTGCACACCACAATATCCGGCTCATTCCAACTCGACACAAATCCACAACTTATACTTGTTATTGACTCGTCGCATTGCTGGAAATCATGGATACTGTATGAACAGGGCTTGCGAAGCACGCCACGTGGCGATTTTGGCGCCAAAAAATAGTTTACTATCCATGGTTTGATAGAAAATAAGCCTACACTGTTTTTTATAGTCAAAAAAGCCACGTGGCGTGCTTCGCAAGCCCTGTTTATATAGTTTTTGATGGCAAAAACTGTCTGAGCAGGGCTTGCGAAGCACGCCACGTGGCGTTTTTGGCGTCGGATGACTGCAAGAGGAAGTTAGGGTAACCAGACAATTAAAGTAGCTTAAGAGAAAGCTAAGGCATATGTACTGTATGAACAGGGCTTGCGAAGCACGCCACGTGGCTTTTTTGGGGGCAGAAAATAGTGATCTATCTGGGATTCGGGTCATTTTGATAGTAAATAAGGCTACACTGTTTTTCATAGTCAAAAAAGCCACGTGGCGTGCTTCGCAAGCCCTGTTTATAGAGTTTTTGACGGCAAAAACTGTATGGACAGGGCTTGCGAAGCACGCCACGTGGCTTTTTAGGTAGGCTAGGCTAGGCTTTCAGGAACACACAGTGGGATGACTGCAAGAGGAAGTTAAGGTACCCCCCCCCCCCTCACTCACAAACATCCCAAAAATCGTCGGATGATCACTCTCATCCACCGTATACACTTCAACACATCCATCCTCTTTCCCAATCAAAATATCCGGAAACTGCGATCCAGTCATCGCATAGCACATGATCGATGTGATCGCAGCTTGGGAAGTCGTCTCCACTTCCCATAACACCTTTCCACCGCCTTTCGGAACACTAACCAGACCCAATTTCCCGTGCCGCGTTCCATATAATACCAGCTGCTTTGAATAACCGCCATCTCCCATGAAAAGAGCGAGAGTGAATGGGATATCGGATAATTTGATATCGTATGCGAGATCGGAGCCTTCGATGCATTTGATGGTTGCGTCGGCACATCCGATTATCATTGCGAATTTTCGATCTCCCCATGCTTCTTCGTTGATTAGACTCACTACATCGTGGATGTCTTCGGGTGACAGAAAATGCTGGAAGATCAAGGGTGGGGTATTGCTCAGGTTAGAGCTACAGGAGTCCCAGACTTAAAGGGACATACACTCGCTCCGCTCGAAGCCTACTGTACCTACAGTACCCCAACTCACATCCATATCCACACCATCATGATAATGATGTAAACTTCGTCGACCGGCCACCACCAATTCAACACCATAAACATGTCTGCAAAAAAAAATACAGTATTACTTGGGTTACTGTAGCCCTCCCCCCTACAGTACTACTCACAATCGTCTAGCCGGTTCGGCCATATCCGTCGGAAAATCGTAGAACATTTTTCCCTTTTTATTGATGCCGCGCACCGAATTCCCGGAGGCCACAAATAATTTGTCCTTGGTGGTGCCAAGTTGACCAGCCAAACACATTGCATCGATTGGTGGACCTGGTGGGGTTTTTTTGTCGATCTGTAAGGGTTAATATGAGCAATGGCATGCTACTACCTAAGGTAGCCTAAGCTCTCCTAGATCCCCCTGAGTTCCCCTAACTCACCACCGTATCATTCATCTTCCTGGTCAACGTGATCAAACTGCCATTCTGACTTCCCACCGATATCTTATCCAACACATTCTTCTTTTTTTCTCCTGATACAACAGCCATACATCCCCGATTTGTGGTGCCGACTTGGGCGAAGTCGGTTCGGGTATAGATTATCATTGCTTATTATTTGAGAACGGGGGAGCCCGGAAAATATGGGGAGGGGTCAGAAGAATATATGAAGAGCGCAGGAATATTGCCATGGCAACCAAAAATATACACAGCATGCATAAAGGGGGGGGGGGAGGAATTTAAAGGAACATAGGAATTTGAAAAAAAAAGGTAGGGGGAAGCTTAGAGCATAGAGCTTAGAGGTTAATTAACAACTATTTAAAGGAAAATTTGATGAATTTTGAAAACTTATAGCGCGCCAATTTTAAATTTTCAAAAAAAACAATTTTGCCACGTGACCTACTTATCATATTTCAGACTATAAAAACCGCAAATCCCCGATTTTCGGGTATTTTTAGATTCGGATAGCAGACAACAAGAAAAAGGGTCAATAGAAAATGGCATCATCACAATCAAGTTCAACTCATGTGAGTTTGAGGGGGAGTCGAGCGCGGAAGCGCGAGTGTAGACCGCAAGCTTCCGCGTCAGCGGCACGAGCGCTTTGCGCGAGTGTGTGTCCCTTTAAGAAGATCATACATAAACGCGGAAGCTTGCGGTCTACACTCGCTCCGCTCGAATCCCAATATTTTTTCTGCAGTCAAAAGTCGAAGAATCCGCGTCACAAAGCAATCTTCACGGTATAAAATTTCATGGTCAAGTCGAAAAAATCAACCAAGGACTCTTCTCCTCACTAACCAAGCGGAAAAGTCGACGAATTCCCGACGACATTCTTCCGCGTCTCAAAAAACTCGACGCCTACAAATTGTCGGCGGATAAAATGCATCGAGCCTTGATTTATGAACTCATCGAAAATGCACAGTATTCGAAGTTGCTGTATACACCAAATCTACCGATTGCTATACAAATGGATCGACCGTATCGGAATATTGGAGAGTTTTTGGGGAATTTTGAGAAGATAACAAAGGCTTCGAGAAAAGGACAATATCCGGCTATGGAAGGACCGGTGGAAGTTTTTCGGAATTGTTCACTTGAAAGAGATTCATATGTCAAGAAACAATTAGAAAATCTAAAACCACTCATAACATTTATCGGGCTAGAATATTGGGAATATTCTCGACTTCGAAATTTATACCTGGATAGTTTGGAAGCGTATGATACTGCAATTACAGCACAAAGTAAGGAAAGAGATGAAGCTGCAGAGATTGCGACACAAAAAGCAATGAAGAATCGGAATGATTGTAAGGAGAAATTGATGGAATATGTGGGGAAATTGTGGGATAATGGAAAACCGAAACATGCGGAATGTGTTGTGAAATATGCGGAAGAAGCGGTGAAACATCATCAGAAAATGGCGGAGATTTTGACGAAAGCCGATGTTGGACAGAAATCGACGGTTTCCGTGTTACCCGCAAAATGAATGATTTAATTGTGTAGGGGCATGCGGAAAATTTCCGGTTTTCAAAAAAAATGGGATTTACACTCGCGCTACCTGCGCGGAAGCTTGCGGTCTACACTCGCTCCGCTCGAGCTTTGTCTGCCACGTCATAGCAGACTCGAGCGCAGCGAGTGTAGACCGCAAGCTTCCGCGTAGCGGCCGAAAGCGATGTGTATGTCCCTGGGACATACACTCGCGCTTCCGCGCTCGGGGCCGCTGACGCGGAAGCTTCCGGGTTACACTCGCTCCGCTCGAATTTACCGCCAATATTGGAAATTCAAATTTTTAAATTTGAAAAAAACGTGGCAAAATTTTGAAAATCCTACAATTCTCAAATAAAAAAAACGTCACGTAAACCCCCACGTGGAATTCCCGATTTTCGAAAAACCTCCGAATTCTCAAAAAAATTAAATTTCCAAATTCAACAAAAAATAATAATAAAACGTCACGTAGACCTGCTCAACGTGGAATTCCCGATTTTCGAAAAATCCCCGGATTCTCGATCATTCCTAATATTCCTACAATAAAGAAACAATGAGCACTTGGATGAAAATAGCAATATTGCTCATGATAAATACAGTACTTGCTCAACAATTCTCAAATCCAAGTTGTGCGGAAAATGTTCTTGTAAATGGTTTACCAAAAAACTCGACACTTTTTCTATTCATGGTTGGATTTGGTCAGAAAAATGTGAGTTTATAGAAATCACAAAGTATAATTTTCTATCAGTAAATTCTCCAAATTCTCCCGCATTTTTAGACACCTAACACGATCTTTAAGGTGAGACACATCGTCAAAAGCCAACGCAAAATTCATAGCTTTAAAAATGATCTATCCAGTAAAAGTTTTGAGGACAGAGATTTTCGATCGTGAATTACATACTGCAGTCTTAATAAAAAATGTGATGAGAAATGAATGATTTCAGGTTGAAGACGTGTTTTATGTTGTGAAACAAACTACTTGTTGGCTACCAAAAAGTGATCAAATTAAAGCTGCAGCTTTAAAACAAGGACAGCAAGTTATACAAACAGAAGATTCCTTCGATATTGTTCGTGCAAATATAAAAGGCGAGGCTGAAGATATTGCAAAACTAGTGAAAGATAGAAAAACAATAGGCTTCAGAACATGTTCAAATTTTCAATCCGATCTCACTTTTATCAAAAGTCAAGAAGCTTCCACCCTCCAAAATTTCACCAAAGTCTTCCTCATCGCTCATCAATCAACCTACGATGATCAATGCGATTACTATGCAAAATTCAATGGTACTGGCTTGGCTTCTTCCAAATTCACATTCTCCATGATCAGATTCGACAACAAAACAAGCAATGATTATCCAATTTTGACAGTTCCACCGGATCAAATCAAAATCGGAGATTCTCTCGCTTCTCCAGAACTTCGAAAATCATCTGGGAACTTGTAAGTGACAGCCTTAAATATTCCCAGAAATATAATATCAATCTGAATTTCAGCATCAACAAGGAACTTCTGGGAGTTTCTGAACCTTCAGCAGCCTCATCTTCTACTTCAACTGACACCACCATCATAATTATTTTGGTTGTTGTAATTGTGATTCTTGTTGTTATTATTGTTGTTGGAGTTGGCCTATTTTTGTTTTGTAAATTGAAAAAGAAGAATAAGAACCCGAAGAAGGACAAAAAAGGATCGAAAGAGAAGAAGATTGAAGTTGCACCAAAACATCCAACAAAATCAACATTGGATTGTAGCATTAGTGGAGTAACTGAATCCGGTGGAAAATAAATAAATGATTTGGTAGTAATTAGTTAAATGTGATATTTCAAACGCGCCCCAATTTTTACACAAATTTTTAATTTTATCACATTTTCCCAATAAAAATTCTACATATTTTTGATTTGTTCTCGAAGTTTTTCGATTGTCGAATCGAGATTTTCATGAGTTCCAGCACGAAGATCAATAAGAGCATCACGAAGATATTCTGCAAGGAAATGGGCATTTTTTGGCGCCAAAAACTACAGTACCTTAAAAATAGCGGCAAAATTGAAAATTCAAAATTTTCACCAAAACCAGTCATGTTTGGTGTCAAAAAATCGCAAATTTTTGGCGCCAAAAACTACAGTACCTTAAAAATGGCGCGAAAATTCAAATCTTCGCCAAAACCCCGCCATATTTAGTATCAAAAAATGGCAATTTTTCCCAGGATTCCCAAAATCCACCTACCAGCATCGCACAAAAATTCCTTCATCAAATTCTTGCTCAATTTCTTCCCAGGTTGCTCTTTGCTCTTCCACACATCATTTATCGATTGCAACAATTTCTTCACAACAAACGCGGCAATTTTGTCCAAAATCGCTGAAAACAGCACCTCATCTTCCAGATTTTCAGCCGAACTCCGATTTTCCGCGGGATTTTCAGATTTTTGCTTGAAATATTCGGAAATCGCCATTTTCGCCGTTTCATTTGCCAGTGTTTCCTCCCAGAATCTCAATAAATGCAATAGGTTTTGAGTTGCTGTAACTACGAAATCTTGAGGTGTTGGAAGGGCGGATTTTGGGAAATTATCCATTTCTTCGTGATATACTTCGCTCTGCAAAGAATTTGGGTTACTGTAGATTTTGGCGGGTGAAATTTGGAGCATTTTGACACCAAATATGATGAGCGTGGCCTAACTTTTGCAAAACCTCGGCCACGTGGTTTTCCCGGCGGAAAATATCAATTTTAAAAATGTTCTGATAAAAAATTTGAATTTTCAAAATTCCGCGCAAACAAAGAACGTGGCCTAACTTTTGCAAAACCCCGGCCACGTGGTTTCTAGGCGCCAAATTGCAGTTTTTGAATTTTCTGACAGAAAATTTGAATTTTCAAAATTTCGCGCGGAATAAAAATGGTGGCCTAACTTTTGCAAAACCTCGGCCACGTGGTTTTCCAGGCGCAAAATTGCAGGTTTTAAAAATTTATTTAAAACTTCAAAATTTCGCGCTGAATAAAATGGTGGCCTAACTTTTTCAAAACCTCGGCCACGTGGTTTTTCAGGGGCCAAATTGCAGGTTTTGAATTTTCTCACAGAAAATTTGAATTTCAAAATTTCGCGCTGAATAAAATGGTGGCCTAACTTTCGCAAAATCTCGGCCACGTGGTTTTCGAGGCGCCAAATTGCAGTTTTTGAATTTTCTGACAGAAAATTTGAATTTTCAAAATTTCGCTCTGAATAAAAATGGTGGCCTAACTTTTGCAAAACCTCGGCCACGTGGTTTTCCCGGCGCAAAATTGCAGGTTTTAAAATTTCCTAACAAAAAATAGCGTGGCCTAACTTTTGCAAAACCTCGGCCACGTGGTTTTTCAGGGGACAAATTGCAAATTTTAAAAATTTTCCGACAGAAAATTCGAATTTTCAAAATTTTGCGCTGAATAAAAATGGTGGCCTAACTTTTGCAAAACCTCGGCCACATGGTTTCTAGGCCTATTTGGTGTCAAAAAACGCGCCAAAATCAGACCTACCCCATGATTCGGCATTTTATCGGTAACAAATCGATGGCTAGCTCGAATCGCCATTTTCACCCGTTCACCCATCCATTTTCTCGCCATTTTCACCTCATTTTCATTGCTAAAACCAATCTGCTCTTGATATTCTTCTAATATGAGCAACATTTGTCCGCCCAACGCGATTCGCTCCAAAAATTCCTCGAATTTCGCCGAATTCTCCTCCATTCTTCCCAATTTCTGTACATAATCCGTGAAAATTGGTCGCAAAATTTGGGATTTCAAATATTCTTGTGATTTTTCTTGAGATTCCCCATAGATTTCGCGGATTTGGTGTGAAATTTCACGGAGAAAATACAAGAAATTTTCGAGATTTGTGGAAATTTCGACGATTTTCGCAAAATTGAACGGAGGATTTTCGAGCATTTTTGATAATTTTGAGGCCAGCGGAGATTTTGCAGACTCCAGAATTCCAGAAATCAGGATTTTTTCGATATTTTCAGGCGATTCGGTGGAATCCTCTTCAGAATCGATGAGAAGCTGCAAAAATGGGATTTTTTGAGACCAAATAAGTTGAATTCGATATGGCCTAGGATTCTGAAAAGCTAGGCCATGTGATTTTAGAGCGCGAAAATTTTAATATTCAAATAATTTTTTTTGAAAACCTCTATTTTAGCGCTAAAAATTGACGTGGCCGAGGTTTTTAGAAAGTTAGGCCACGTGGTTTTTTAGCGCGAAAATTTGAATATTCAAACTATTTTTTTTTTGAAAACCTCTATTTTGGCATCAAAATTAGACATGGCCGAGGTTATTAGAAAGTTAGGCCACGTGATTTTTAAGCGCGAAATTCCAAATTTTCAAATAATTTTTTGAAAACCTCTATTTTAGCGCTAAAAATAGACATGGCCTAGGTTTTTGAAAAGTTAGGCCATGTGATTTTTAAGCGCGAAAATTTGAATATTCAAATAATTTTTTAAAAACTTCTATTTTAGCGCTAAAAATAGACGTGGCCGAGGTTTTTGAAAAGCTAGGCCATGTGATTTTAAAGCGCGAGAATTTGAATATTCAAAGTATTTTTTGAAAAATTGTATTTTAGCGCTAGAAATAGACGTGGCCGAGGTTTTTAGAAAGTTCGGCCACGTGGTTTTTAAGCGCGAAAATTTGAATATTCAAACTATTTTTTGTGAAAACCTCAATTTTAGCTCTAAAAATAGACATGGCCGAGGTTTTTAGATAGTTAGGCCACGTGGTTTTTTAGCGCGAAAATTTGAATATTCAAATAATTTTTTGAAAACTTCTATTTTAGCGCTAAAAATAGACGTGGCCGAGGATTTTAGAAAGTTAGGCCATGTGGATTTTCGGGAAACATTAGTTTATGAATATTTTTTTTTTGAAAACTTCTATTTTACCGCTAAACATAGACGTGGCCTAGGATTGTGGAAAGCTAGGCCATATGGTTTTAGCGCGAAAATCGAACTTTTTCAATTTTGGAGTCAAAAACCGGACCGCACACGCAACGCATGCAAAAATCTACGAATTCAGCTCAAAAACCATCATTTTTTCCCAAATTTTCGCATTTTCAACCCAAAATCCTCACCGATTTCAAATCATTCAACAATTGATAATCCAGATATTCATCCATAGCCATTTCCATCACTTTTTCCATTTGCCCATTTTTCAAAAATGTTTTCCAAGCCTCTAAAAGCTTCTCAAATCCCTCATTTTCATCACAATATTTACAAATCGACGCCAAATGAGCTCGAAAATGCTCAGCAGCTTGAGCCAAGAATTGTTGACCCCAAATTTTGATGGATTTCGGTTTTTCATCGAGTTCTGGAGCGGAGACTTTTTGTAGTAATGAGCTGAGTGATTGATCGATATGGTATTGATAAAGACGGTAGAAATCTAGAAGAAAATAGGGGGTTTAGGGAGGTTTTTTGAGGTCTCTAGATGATTTCTAAGGTCCTTAAGGTCCTTAGAGATGTTTTTAAAGTTCTTAGGTATATTTTAAAGGTCCTTAAGGTTATAGAAGGTCTAGCAGTTGATTTCGAAGATCCGTAAGGTCTTTAGGAAGGTCATTAAGATCCCTAAGTAGGTTTTTAAAGCTCTTGAGGTCTATGGGGAGGTTTCTAAAGTCCCTAGATGACTCCTAAGATCCTTAGGGTTACCGTAAGCTTCCGCGGCAGCGTCCACGTGGTTTACTTTGACGTTTGCCATATCATAGTAAACCGCGTGGCCGCTGACGCGGAAGCTTGCGGTCTACACTCGCGCTTCCGCGCTCGACTTTAATATGAGCAATGCTTCGAGCGGAGCGAGTGTAGACCGCAAGCTTCCGCGTCAGCGGCACTATCTTCCGCTTCAGCGGCCACGTGGATTACTATGACGTTTACCATATCATACTAAACCACGTGGCAGCTAAAGCGGAAGATAGTGCCGCTGCGCGGAAGCTTGCGGTCTACACTCGCGGCTCCGCGCTCGATTTTAATCTGAGCCATGCTTCGAGTGGAGCGAGTGTAAACCGCAAGCTTCCGCGTCAGCGGCACTATTTTCCGCTTCAGCGGCCACGTGGTTTACTAGGACGTTTGCCATATCATAGTAAACCTCGTGGCGGCTAAAGCGGAAGATAGTGCCGCTGCGCGGAAGCTTGCGGTCTACACTCGCTCCGCTCGATGTTAACCTGAGCAATGTCTCGAGCGGAGCGAGTGTAGGCCGCATGCTTCCGCGTCAGCGGCACTATCTTCCGCTTCAGCGGCCACGTGGTTTACTATGACGTTTGCCATATCATACTAAACCACATGGCAGCTAAAGCGGAAGCTTGCGGTCTACACTCGCGCTTCCGCACTCGACTTCAATATGAGCAATGCCTCGAGCGCAGCGAGTGTAAACCGCAAGCTTCCGCGTCAGCGGCCACGTGGTTTACTATGACGTTTGCCATATCATACTAAACCACATGGCAGCTAAAGCGGAAGCTTGCGGTCTACACTCGCGCTTCCGCACTCGACTTCAATATGAGCAATGCCTCGAGCGCAGCGAGTGTAAACCGCAAGCTTCCGCTTCAGCGGCCACGTGGTTTACTAGGACGTTTTCCATATCATACTAAACCACATGGCAGCTAAAGCGGAAGCTTGCGGTCTACACTCGCGCTTCCGCACTCGACTTCAATATGAGCAATGCCTCGAGCGCAGCGAGTGTAAACCGCAAGCTTCCGCGTCAGCGGCCACGTGGTTTACTATGACGTTTGCCATATCATACTAAACCACATGGCAGCTAAAGCGGAAGCTTGCGGTCTACACTCGCGCTTCCGCACTCGACTTCAATATGAGCAATGCCTCGAGCGCAGCGAGTGTAAACCGCAAGCTTCCGCGTCAGCGGCCACGTGGTTTACTATGACGTTTGCCATATCATACTAAACCACATGGCAGCTAAAGCGGAAGCTTGCGGTCTACACTCGCGCTTCCGCACTCGACTTCAATATGAGCAATGCCTCGAGCGCAGCGAGTGTAAACCGCAAGCTTCCGCTTCAGCGGCCACGTGGTTTACTAGGACGTTTTCCATATCATAGTAAACCACGTGGCCGCTAAAGCGGAAGATAGTGCCGCTGCGCGGAAGCTTGCGGTCTACACTCGCTCCGCTCGATGTTAACCTGAGCAATGCCTCGAGCGGAGCGAGTGTAAACCGCAAGCTTCCGCGTCAGCGGCCACGTGGTTTACTATGACGTTTGCCATATCATACTAAACCACATGGCAGCTAAAGCGGAAGCTTGCGGTCTACACTCGCGCTTCCGCACTCGACTTTAATATGAGCAATGCTTCGAGCGGAGCGAGTGTAGACCGCAAGCTTCCGCGTCAGCGGCACTATCTTCCGCTTCAGCGGCCACGTGGATTACTATGACGTTTACCATATCATACTAAACCACGTGGCAGCTAAAGCGGAAGATAGTGCCGCTGCGCGGAAGCTTGCGGTCTACACTCGCGGCTCCGCGCTCGATTTTAATCTGAGCCATGCTTCGAGTGGAGCGAGTGTAAACCGCAAGCTTCCGCGTCAGCGGCACTATTTTCCGCTTCAGCGGCCACGTGGTTTACTAGGACGTTTGCCATATCATAGTAAACCTCGTGGCGGCTAAAGCGGAAGATAGTGCCGCTGCGCGGAAGCTTGCGGTCTACACTCGCTCCGCTCGATGTTAACCTGAGCAATGTCTCGAGCGGAGCGAGTGTAGGCCGCATGCTTCCGCGTCAGCGGCACTATCTTCCGCTTCAGCGGCCACGTGGTTTACTATGACGTTTGCCATATCATACTAAACCACATGGCAGCTAAAGCGGAAGCTTGCGGTCTACACTCGCGCTTCCGCACTCGACTTCAATATGAGCAATGCCTCGAGCGCAGCGAGTGTAAACCGCAAGCTTCCGCGTCAGCGGCCACGTGGTTTACTATGACGTTTGCCATATCATACTAAACCACATGGCAGCTAAAGCGGAAGCTTGCGGTCTACACTCGCGCTTCCGCACTCGACTTCAATATGAGCAATGCCTCGAGCGCAGCGAGTGTAAACCGCAAGCTTCCGCTTCAGCGGCCACGTGGTTTACTAGGACGTTTTCCATATCATAGTAAACCACGTGGCCGCTAAAGCGGAAGATAGTGCCGCTGCGCGGAAGCTTGCGGTCTACACTCGCTCCGCTCGATGTTAACCTGAGCAATGCCTCGAGCGGAGCGAGTGTAAACCGCAAGCTTCCGCGTCAGCGGCCACGTGGTTTACTATGACGTTTGCCATATCATACTAAACCACATGGCAGCTAAAGCGGAAGCTTGCGGTCTACACTCGCGCTTCCGCACTCGACTTCAATATGAGCAATGCCTCGAGCGCAGCGAGTGTAAACCGCAAGCTTCCGCGTCAGCGGCCACGTGGTTTACTATGACGTTTGCCATATCATACTAAACCACATGGCAGCTAAAGCGGAAGCTTGCGGTCTACACTCGCGCTTCCGCACTCGACTTCAATATGAGCAATGCCTCGAGCGCAGCGAGTGTAAACCGCAAGCTTCCGCTTCAGCGGCCACGTGGTTTACTAGGACGTTTTCCATATCATAGTAAACCACGTGGCCGCTAAAGCGGAAGATAGTGCCGCTGCGCGGAAGCTTGCGGTCTACACTCGCTCCGCTCGATGTTAACCTGAGCAATGCCTCGAGCGGAGCGAGTGTAAACCGCAAGCTTCCGCGTCAGCGGCCACGTGGTTTACTATGACGTTTGCCATATCATACCAAACCACGTGGCAGCTAAAGCGGAAGCTTCCGCGCTCTTCGCTCACCTTCCACCGAATTCAACGTGGCAAAAGCCTCATAAATCTCATCCAATCCCCCATCAAATTTCATCGCAAATTCCGTCCCTTTCCACGTCAAATATCGATCTTTCGTCTGATGAAAGCTTTCAGCATCAAATCTTGGCTTCGCGCCAAGTTCTCGAATAATCCTCAAATTCTCACCAATCGCCACCAATGTTGGGAGCAGCGAATCGTCAATTGCACGATTTTTCAGCTTTTCAGTTTGCCCATCTTCAGAATCGAAAATCGCGCGAGCCTCCAGTAAACTCGTCAACTTTTTCAGATTTCTTTTGGCTGTATCGAGTTGCACGAGCTGTTCTTCGTGTGGAGCATAAGAAGTTGTGCATTTTGACAAATTTTCTTGAAGGCATGAACTTAGCGAAACTATTTCATGACCAATTCTACTGTCTAAATGCGTCATTTGCTTGAGAGTTCCTTGAAGTCCCGAATTTATCGTAAATAAGTTGCGATTTAATTGTTCTACGAGTTGTTTGCATTCCTCGCCACGTGGAATATCATAATAATCATCTACACTTCTTCTTTCACTATGAGCAATCATTTTTTGCTGAAAATTTTTGGATTTTTTCTGAAAATCTAAAATCTGGCAAAAATCCAAAAAAAAAAAAAATAACGTGGCGTGTGGGTTTACGGTAAACAACAGGCACGCGGAGTGTCGTCGTATTGTTTATTTTTGTTTTTCGCTTTTTTTTCCCCGTTCACCTCAAGTTTTCTTTGGAAAATATGCATTTTCTCTGCGTCTCTCTGTAATTAGCGTACTCTAGACGAGTGCCAGCATCGATTTTTGACTGGAATTTCAAATTGCAGCTGAAAATGAGCGATTTTTAGTGAAAATTGAGAAAATTTTGCAGATTTTATGTCAAAACGAGCCGGAAAATTGGGCGATAATAACATAGATGAGGTGCAAGATTGGGAGAATCACATAATTCTGCGAGTTCCGGAGGATTGTGTGGATAGGCTCAACAAAATCGCCCTCGACGAAGCGCAAAAAGGCGAAGAAGTTGCGATAAATGTGTTGCCGGATTTGCGGCACGCTCAAATTCGCCTAGGAAATCGCATCCTTTCCGGAAAATTCATGGATCTACCATGTGTCAATGAGGTCTATAAGACTTTGGACAAGAAAAATGTGTATAAAGTGGCGGATTTGAATCAGATTTTGGTGTGTAGTCATGATGTTGTGAATCCGAATTTGGCTTCGACTTCGACTTCGAGCAATTCAACGAGTTCTGCAGCTGCAAATGATCCAAATGATGCGAAAATCGCGAAAAAAGTGAGTTTTTTATCAAAATTCATGATTTTTAGCCCAAAAAACCCTGAAAATCCCAAATTTCCACCCCAGGAAGCCCGCCAATGGCATTATCCACATGGCCTAACTCCACCAATGAAATCGGCCAGGCGTAGACGATTTCGAAAAACGAAAAAGAAAAAGTATATGGATGCACCGGAGGTGGAGAAAGAGTTGAAGAAATTGTTGCGAGCAGATTTGGAGGCGGATAGTGTGAGATGGGAAATTGTGGAGGATAAGAAGAATGTGAGTCGATTTTTAGCATTTTTTAGGCTCGGAAATGGAAATTTTGACGTTTTTTGGTCTAGAAACGCTGAAAATTGACCTAGAAATGTGATTTTTGCATTTTTTAGGCTCGGAAATGGAAATTTTGATGTTTTTTGGTCTAGAAACGCTGAAAAATGGCCTATAAACATGCTTTTTGGTTTTCTAGGCCATGATTTGAAATACTAGGCCATTTCTAGATCTAGAAACGCTGAAAAATGACCTAGAAACGTGATTTTTGGTTTTCTAGGCCATGATTTGGAATCCTAGGCTATATTCAACCTAGAAAATCAAAAAAATAGCCTAGAAATTCAAAAAATGACCTAGAAATGTGTTTTTTGGTTTTCTAGGCCATGATTTGGAATTCTAGGCCATTTTTAACCTAGAAAATCAAAAAAATAGCCTAGAAATCAAAAAAATGACCTAGAAATGTGTTTTTTGGGTTTCTAGGCCATTTCTAAACATTTCTTGATCTAGAAACGCTGAAAAATGACCTAGAAACATGATTTTTGGTTTTCTAGGCCATAATTTGGAATCCTAGGCCATTTCTGAACATTTCTTGATCTAGAATCCTGAAAACTGGCCTAGAAATGCGATTTTTGGTTTTCTAGGCCATAATTTGGAATCCTAGGCTATTTTTAACCTAGAAAATCAAAAAAATGACCTAGAAATCCGAAAAAATGGCCTAGAAACATGATTTTTGGTTTTCTAGGCCATATTTAACCTAGAAAATCAAAAAAAATAGCCTAGAAATCCGGAAAAATGACCTATAAACATGATTTTTGGTTTTCTAGGCCATGATTTGGAATCCTAGGCTATTTCTAAACATTTATTGGTCTGGAAATATGAAAACTGACCTAGAAACTATGATTTTTAGGTTTTCTAGTCCATGATTTGGAATCCTAGGCCATTTTCAACCTAGAAATCAAAAAAATGGCCTAGAAATGTGATTTTTGGGTTTCTAGGCCATATTTAGACTCAAAATTTGTGAAATTCTCCCAATTTTTTCAGATTTCCCAGTCAAAATTCCCGAAAATCCCCAAATTTTTCCAGGAATCAGCTCAAGTCAAAGAGGAAAACATCACCGAAACCGCACTTTTTGGAGATAATGTATCTTCCAGTGAGGAAGAAGAGGATGAATAAATTGTTTTTTTTTTTTGAAATTTTGGTTTTGCCTCCCCCGAAAAATGCGTTATGAGAAGCGCTATTATATTTATTTATTTTTTATATTTATCGATTTTTTCGCATGAATCATAAAAAAATTAGGCAAAATTGTCATATTTTTCATTTTCTAGCTTCTATTTTCGTGGAAAATGGGAAGTTTCAGGTAGAAAATTGCTGTTTTTTTGAACTTTTTTTTCTCCCGAAAAAAAATCGAAAATTCTTTTAGAAAACTACAGCTTTTGTCCTTTTTTTCTGTCAAAAAAAAAGAAAATTTTTTTTTTTTTTTTTTCAAAAAAAAAAGAACACTTAATTTTTGATCACTCAAATTTTTTCTGGCCAAGCTTATCACCAAAAATACCGTATTTTTTTGTGTGATGGAAGGTTGCCACGAAAATTTTAGGCATTTTTTGAATTTTTCCGGGTTCATCTGTGAAATTTTTCGAATTTAGCGCAAATGCGCTCTATTGAGAATCTGCGAAAATTTAAATTTCCATTAAAAACCCAAGATTCTCAATAGAGCGCATTTGCATCATTTCCACGTGGAAAACAGGCTGAAATTTGCAAATTTGCACGCATTTTCAAGAAAATACGTGGAATTATCAATAGAGCGCATTTGGTATTTTAAAAAGCTTAAATTGACGATTTTCGTGTTGGAATTAGCAAATGCGCTCTATTGAGAATCTGCGAAAATTTGAATTTATTTCGAAAACGCAAATTTTGCAGTAGAGCGCGTTTGCATCATTTGCAAGTGGATTTGCTAATTTTCAGCATTTTTAACCTATTCCAGCCCTAAAATCGTGATTTTTCTCGATTTTCCTCCAAAAATAGCAAATACGCTCTATTGAGAATGTGGGATTTTTTGAATTCATTTCGAAACAGCAAATTTTGCAATAGAGCGCGTTTGCATCATTTCCACGTGGAAAACATGGGTTTTTTGATATTTTAGGCTGAAATTTTCAGCATTTTTGACCTTTTCCAGCCCTAAAATCGTGATTTTTCTCGATTTTCCTCCAAAAAACCATCGAAACACTTTAGTTGTGCCCCCCGAAAACAAATAAAAGTACAATATTTGACTTTGAACCAACCAAACACAGTTTCTATTCTATTATATTATATTAAGGTCAATAGCATATATTCAATTAAAAATTATCGATTTTCCTCCCGGGGAAAGATACTTGGAATTCGCAGGAATTTATCCAGTCCCCTCCCGCAAATTCTGTCTCTTTCTCTAACCGCACTCTCTTCACAACTGTCTATCTCTTTTTTGCCGCGCGCACTGTCACTATTCGCACTATTTTCATTAAACGAAATTATTTATTATTATTCACAGTTTTGTATGAGGTTTGTGAGATTTTCCGCGTCGAGCGCTTTGCGCGAGTGTAGACCGCAAGCTTCCGCGTCAGCGGCCACGTGGATTACTATGACAGGAAAACCATAAAGGGGATGATAGTAATCCACGTGGCCGCTAAAGCGGAAGATAGTGCCGCTGACGCGGAAGCTTGCGGTCTACACTCGCTCCGCTCGACACATTGCTCATAGTAGGTTCGAGCGGAGCGAGTGTAGACCGCAAGCTTCCGCGTCAGCGGCACTGTCTTCCGCTTTAGCGGCCACGTGGTTTACTATTACACGAAAACCATAAAAGGGATCATAGTAATCCACATGGCCGCTAAAGCGGAAGATAGTGCCGCTGACGCGGAAGCTTGCGGTCTACACTCGCTCCGCTCGAGCCATGTGGTTTACTATGATCTCTAAGGTTTACTCCTAAGGTTTACCATGTCCACACCTGGGAATTTTCACGTTTTACGGTTTTACGCCTCAAAAAATCACTGAATATAGTGAATTTTGACAGAATCAAATTGAAACTTCGAAAAAAACACAACATTTAAAAAAAAAAATTTCATTCAAAAATTTCTTTAAACAATGTTGTGTTTTTTTGAATTTTCAATTTGATTCTGTCAAAATTCACTATATTTAGTGATTTTTTGAGCCGTAAAATGTAAAAATTCTTAGGTGTGGACATGGTAAACCTTAGGGGTGAACCTTAGAGATCATAGTAAACCACGTGGCTCGAGCGGAGCGAGTGTAGACCGCAAGCTTCCGCTTTAGCGGCCACGTGGTTTACTATGATATGGTAAACGTCATAGTAAACCACGTGGCCGCTACGCGGAAGCTTCCGAACATACACTCGCGCTTCCGCGCTCGAAGCCGCTGACGCGGAAGCTTGCGGTTCCACCAGCCTGCCAGATAAATAAGCCCCCGGAATTCAATTTCCCCTTTCCTTCCTTTCTCTACCACCCTCCACATTCTCCAAACTCTCGTTTTTAATCAAACAACAAAAAACTTTTGTTGTTATTCACAAAAAAATTGGAATTTTTTGAATAATGTCGGAATTTTTGGCCTAAATTTTTATGATTTTTTTAATTTTCAAATAAAAATTTGATTGATTTTTATGAGCTATTATTTGAATAGAAAAATAGAAAAAAAAAATAATATTTTTTGCTCTGCGCGGAGCAAAAAAGGATTATTATTTTTATTTTTCCCCCCTTTTTCTCACACATTTTATACATATATATAGATAGAAGTAGATTTTTTCAAACCAAAAAAAAAACAAAGTTTTTCCGTTTTTTTTCGAGAAAAGTGATGAAATCTACATCCCTTGGGTATTTTTAGTCGAAAAATTTGGAATTTTGAGCATGAAAATTTGAAAATTTTGATTTTCGCGCTCAGAAAATTGTGCGTAATTTTGTAGTATTGTAGTTTTTCTAAAAATTCATGATTTTTGGGCCAAAAAAACCACAAAAAGGCTTCTAGGCCCCCTAAATTCATGATTTTTGGCCCAAAATTGACCTAAAAATAATTCTAGCCTAAAAAAGGCTTCCAGACCTTTCCAGACCCCAAAATTCATGATTTTTGGCCCAAAATCAACCTAAAATTAATTCCAGACTCAAAAACATCACGGAAAGGCTTCTAGACCCCAAAATTCATGATTTTTGGTCCAAATTCAACCTAAAAATAATTCTAGGCTAAAAAAAGGCTTCTAGACCTTTCCAGACCCCAAAATTCATGATTTTTAGCCCAAAATTGACCTAAAAATAATTCCAGACTCAAAAACATCACGGAAAGACCCCAAAATCCATGATTTTTGACCTGAAATTAATTCCAGATCGATTTTCCAGACCCCCCTCCCCATCCTTCACCAAAAAATCACCATTCTCTTCTGAATCCTCCCCATCAGAACATCAGAATTTGAGTCGAAACGAACGAATGCGACGAAATCGCGAATTTCTTCTGGTTCTTTTTCTCATCGTCTTCTTCCTATTCTATTTCATCACATCACGAGAACCCACTGAAAATGATCAGAATTTTGGCGGTGAAAATCAACAGCGCGCCAAATTTTTGGCGCCAAATTTGAAGGGGTTGGAGACGCTGGGTGTGGAAATGGCAGCCTATAATCGGACGTCGCCCTTCATTTTTATTGGTGAGCGGGTTTTCGGGGGGGCTAGGCAATGCTTCGAGCGGAGCGAGTATAGACCGCAAGCTTCCGCGTCAGCGTCCACGTGGATTGCAATGATATGGTAAACGTCATAGTAATCCACGTGGCCGCTAAAGCGGAAGACAGTGCCGCTGACGCGGAAGCTTGCGGTCAACACTCGCTCCGCTCGAGAATATTTTTCGAGCGGCGGAGCTGCGAGTGTTGACCGCAAGCTTCCGCGTCAGCGGCACTGTCTTCCGCTTTAGCGGCCACGTGGATTGCAATGATATGGTAAACGTCATAGTAATCCACGTGGCCGCCCTAGGCCCTAGGCTCATTCGGTATCTAAAAATCCCAAATTTCTAGAAATGTTCAGCCAAGTTACCCTAAACCCCCCGAATTTTCCAGGAGGAGTGCCGCGATCTGGAACCACTCTAATGCGAGCAATGTTAGATGCTCATCCAGATGTGAGATGTGGTGAAGAGACACGTGTCATCCCCCGAATTCTAGGACTTCGAAGTCAGTGGCGGAAATCGGAGAAGGAGTGGAATCGGCTACAACAGGCTGGTGTAACGAATGATGTGTTGAATTCGGCCATTTCTTCGTTTATTATTAATGTGAGTTGGGGTTTTGGGGGGCAAAATTGGAGGATTTTGACCTAAAATTCATGAAAATCTGTGAATTTTGACCTAAAATTCATAAAATTTGATGAATTTTTACCTAAAATTCATGAAAATCGCCAAATTTTGACCTAGAAGCTCACATTTCGCCCAAAATCTAATTTTGAAACTGTAACTGTACGGGGCGGGCTTCGCCAGCCCTGTTTAGACAGTTTTTTCAATAAAAATTGCAAGCACGCTCTATTGAGAATCACAATTTTAATTAGAAAATTTGAAAAAAAAACATTTTTTCATTAAAAATTGCAAGCACGCTCTATTGAGAATCACAATTTTAATTAGAAAATTTGAAAAAAAAAAACATTTTTTCATTAAAAATTGCAAGCACGCTCTATTGAGAATCACAATTTTCACACGGAAAATTTGAAAAAAAAAACGTTTTTTTTCATTAAAAATTGCAAGCGCGCTCTATTGAGAATCACAATTTTGATTAGAAAATTTGAAAAAAAACATTTTTTTCATTAAAAATTGCAAGCGCGCTCTATTGAGAATCACAATTTTGATTAGAAAATTTGAAAAAAAACATTTTTTTCATTAAAAATTGCAAGCGCGCTCTATTGAGAATCACAATTTTAATTAGAAAATTTGAAAAAAAACATTTTTTTCATTAAAAATTGCAAGCGCGCTCTATTGAGAATCACAATTTTGATTAGAAAATTTGAAAAAAAAAACATTTTTTTCATTAAAAATTGCAAGCGCGCTCTATTGAGAATCACAATTTTGATTAGAAAATTTGAAAAAAAACATTTTTTTCATTAAAAATTGCAAGCGCGCTCTATTGAGAATCACAATTTTAATTAGAAAATTTAAAAAAAAAACAGTTTTTCCACTGAAAATTGCAAGCGCGCTCTATTGAGAATCACAATTTTGATTAGAAAATTTGAAAAAAAAACATTTTTTTCATTAAAAATTGCAAGCGCGCTCTATTGAGAATCACAATTTTAATTAGAAAATTTAAAAAAAAAACAGTTTTTCCACTGAAAATTGCAAGCGCGCTCTATTGAGAATCACAATTTTAATTAGAAAATTCAAAAAATCTTTTTTTTTTTCATTGAAAATTGCAAGCACGCTCTATTGAGAATCACAATTTTAATAAGAAAATTTGAAAAAAAAACATTTTTTTCTCATTAAAAATTGCAAGCACGCTCTATTGAGAACCACACTTTTCACACAGAAAATTTGAAAAATCATTTTTTTCTATTTTTTAAACAGAAAACCTGAATCCTGGAATTTTTCAAGGGAATTTTGACCTGAAATTAATTTTTGAACACAAATTTTTCACTTTTTCTGCAGATTTCATTTTTTAAACTGAAAACTAGCTGGAAATCCTTCCTGAAATTAATTTTTGAACCCAAAGGGCGTGCTTCGCAAGCCCTGTTCACACAGTTAACTTCATTTTCCTTCAGATAATGGCTGGTCACGGTGAAGCAGCTCCCCGATTATGCAACAAAGATCCGTTCACAATGAAATCCACCGAATATTTACACGAGATTTTTCCGAATGCCAAATATTTGATGATGATTCGAGATGGACGGGCTACTGTGAATAGTATTATTAGTAGAAAAGTCACGATTACAGGTGAGCGGAAAATTCGAGCGCGGAAGCGCGAGTGTAGACCGCAAGCTTCCGCGAAGCGGCCACGTGGATTACTATAATATGGTAAACGTCATAGTAATCCACGCGGCCGCTGAAGCTGAAGATAGTGCCGCTGACGCGGAAGCTTGCGGTCTACACTCGCTCCGCTCGAGGCATTGCTCATAGTAGGCTCGAGCGGAGCGAGTGTAGATCGCAAGCGGCACTGTCTTCCGCTTTAGCGGCCACGTGGATTGCTATGACGTGGAAACCACGTGGCCGCTGAAGCGGAAGATAGTGCCGCTAACGCGGAAGCTTGCGGTCTACACTCGCTCCGCTCGAGGCATTGCTCATAGTAGGCTCGAGCGGAGCGAGTGTAGACCGCAAGCTTCCGCGTCAGCGGCCACGTGGGTTGCTATGACGTGGCAACCACGTGGCCGTTGACGCGGAAGATAGTGCCGCTGACGCGGAAGCTTGCGGTCTACACTCGCTCCGCTCGATGTTAACCTGAGCAATGTCTCGAGCGAAGCGAGTGTAGACCGCAAGCTTCCGCGTCAGCGGCACTATCTTCCGCGAAGCGGCCACGTGGTTTCCTATGACAGGAAAACCATATAAGGGATCATAGCAATCCACGTGGCCGCTTCGCGGAAGATTGTGCCGCTGACGCGGAAGCTTGCGGTTTACACTCGCTCCGCTCGAAAATCCACGTAGCTCGAGCGGAGCGAGTGTAGACCGCAAGCTTCCGCGTCAGCGGCACTATCTTCCGCTTTAGCGGCCACGTAGGTTGCTATGACGTGGCAACCATAGAGGTCATAGCAATCCGCGTGGCCGCTGACGCGGAAGCTTCCGGTTTACACTCGCTACGCTCAAGGACATTTTTCGAGCGGAGCGAGTGTAGACCGCATTCTTCCGCGAAGCGGCTCCGAGCGCTTTGCGCGAGTGTATGTCACGTTTAACATGAGCAATGTCTTCTAGATGTCTTTAACATGAGCAATCTTGTTTCAGGCTTCGATCTGAATGATTTCCGTCAATGTATGCAAAAATGGAACACGGCAATTCAATTAATGATCGAACAATGCGAAAAAGTCGGCTCAACCAAATGTCTCAAAGTATATTATGAGCAATTGGTGTTGCATCCCGAAAAACAAATGCGCGAAATTCTCGAGTTCCTCGAACTCCCCTGGAATTCCAATGTATTACATCACGAAGAATTGATCGGAAAATCGATAAGTTTATCGAATGTCGAGAGAAGTTCGGATCAAGTTGTGAAACCGGTGAATTTGGATGCATTGAGTAAATGGGTTGGAACAATTCCGGAAGATGTTGTGAAGGATATGGATGAAATTGCACCGATGTTGAGGAAATTGGGATATGATCCTAATGCTAATCCACCTAATTATGGTAAGCGGGGGATACTGTAGCTAAGTGTAAACCGCAAGCTTCCGCGTCAGCGGCCACGTAGTTGACTATGTTCCCCTGCCACGTCATAATGAACCACGTGGCCGCTAACGCGGAAGACAGTGCCGCTTACGCGGAAGCTTGCGGTTTACACTCGCGCCTCTGGCGCTCGTCATGGGTTACTGTAGAAATAGGCTAACATGAGCAATGTCAAAAACAACTCAAACCTAAAGGATTACTGTAGATTGTCCTCCATGTCCCTTTGAAATTCTACAGCAGATGTTCCTTTAAAAACTCACCAGGATACTGTAGCTCCCTTTAAATTTATTTGATGGCTAATATGAGCAATGCCTCGAGCGGAGCGAGTGTAAACCGCAACCTTCCGCGTCAGCGGCACTATCTTCCGCTTTAGCGGCCACGTGGATTGCTATGACGTGGCCGCTGACGCGGAAGCTTGCGGTCTACACTCGCGCTTCCGCGCTCGGTCAGCCACTCTAGGCATATTTGGTGTCAAAAAACGCCCAATTTTCGCCACGTCATAACCATAACCCAATTGCTCATATTATAGGAAAACCCGACGAAATAGTGGCTCGAAAAACGGACGACGTGCACAAAAACGGCGAAGAATGGTACAAAAAAGCGGTTCAGGTGGTGAATGATCCATCTCGGGTTGATAAACCGGTTGTGGTGAGTTTTTTGGGCGAAAATCTGGGTTTTTTGGCTGAAAATTCGGGTTTTTTGGCTGAAAATCCGGGATTTTTGTCTGAAAATCCGGTATTTTTGGCTGAAAATTTGGGATTTTTGGCTGAAAATCCGGGATTTTTGACTGAAAATCTCCTCAATCTGAAATTAATTTTTTTCAGGACAACGACACCAGATAAAAGGAAAAGCTGCAAAATAAATGAATGGCCAACGGGTTTTTTGCCTTATAGATTTTTATTGATTTTTGTCTAATTTTAATTAATTTAACTAATTGTTTTCCGGGTGCACATTTTTGGTAAATTTATTTATTAATTAATTTTTTTTAATTAGCAATTAAAAAAACAAAAATTAATTACCCGGGTTATTTAAAAAATAGTACAAAGATATGCCATTTTGACTAGGAATACAAGATAATTAGGGTAATTAAGTAATTAACATTTAATTACCAGGAGGATTTTAACTCTAATTAGGGCAATTAAGTAATTATGTGGGGGAAGATTTAATTACCGGGAAAAATAAGCGAAAACTAATTAAGATATGTAAATTCTAAGGATTACTTAAGGTATTTAATTAGGGATAACCTTAAATAAATATGAAAAATGCACAATTTTTGACTAGAAATGCTCTAATTAAGGTATAGTTAATTGGGTAATTATCTAGGTAATTAAATATACTAATTAATTAATTAGGGATAATTAGCCCTTCATAATTGAATAAATATGAAAAATGCACAATTTTTGGCTCGAATTTAAGTATACCTTAATTAATTAGGTTAATTAGGCTAATTAAGCCCTAATTAACCCCTCAAATCTCCTCATCCGAATCGATTTCTTCTTCTTCCAACATCGGAATCGCATCCGCTGAGGCTCTCTTCGATTTTTTCCGACGAAATTTGAGTTTGAGCCGATCCAGCAATAATAATGTTGTTGAAAGACATGTGGTGAAAATGAGCACGAAAATTGTGGCTGAAAATGGGGATTTTCAGCGAATTTGTGGCGAAAATCCACGTTTTTTGATACCAGGTTCAATTTTGGAGGCCGAAAAACATGCAGGTGGCCGAACTTTTCCAAAAACTCGGCCATGAGCATGTTTTTGAGGCCTAGGCTTGTGGGGTGTCTCTAAAAACGTGGATTTTCGCGGCTGAAATTAATTTCAGCTCAAAAAATCATGCTGAAATTGAATATAGGCTTGTGGGGTGTCTAAAAACGTGGATTTTCATGCCAAATTCGAATTTTTTTTCAAAAATTTCAAAAATCGCGCGCTTACCAACATAAATCGTCTCATTTGTCTCCACAATTCCACACTCCAACTTCCAATTTTCGGGAAAATATTTCCTCATCAAACTCTGCACCCTCTCTATTCTACACGGTATTTCACCGCATCCGGGTACAAAAATCTCAAAAACCCGCTCGGAATCCGTCTCATTCTTATGAAAAACGCGCAAAATTGGCGAATTTTCAGACAAATTTCCAGATTTGTGCATTTCCAGCATGAGACACGTGGCATATTTGGGAAATGTTTCGAATTTTATGCCGAGAGTTGAGAGAAGTGCGGCGATTGTGGAATCGTGAGCAGAATAGGCGTAGAATTTCAGATTGTTCGGGGGTTTTTGTTGAAATCTGGTCATTATTTCGGAGAGTAGAGTTCCTGTGAGAAAAATTAAGGGTTTTTGGGGGTTAATTAGTTTTTAATTAGCCTAAACCCTAATTAGTGGAGAAAAATCGCAAAATATATCATTTTTGGTGTCAAAAAACGTGAAATTTCCTGAAAAATCAGCTTAATTACCTCTTAATTACCCTTAATTACCCATTATGTTAATTAGTATCAAAATATATCATATTTGGTGTCAAAAAACGTGAAATTTTGTGAAAAATCAGCTTAATTACCTCTTAAGTACCCTTAATTACACCTAAACCTAATTAGTGAAGAAAAATCGCAAAAAATATCATGTTTAGGGTCAAAAAACGTGAAATTTCATGAAAAATCTAGTTAATTACCTCTTAATTACCCTTAATTACCCCTAATCTCAATTAATATCAAAATATATCATGTTTGGTGTCAAAAAACGTGAAATTTCATGAAAAATCACCTTAATTACCCCTAATTACCCCTAATCTTAATTAGTATCAAAATATATCATATTTGGTGTCAAAAAACGTGAAATTTCATGAAAAATAACCTTAATTACCTCTTAATTACCCCTAATTACCCTTATCTTAATTAGTATCAAAATACATCATATTTGGTGTCAAAAAACGTGAAATTTCATCAAAAATCTAGTTAATTACCCTTAATTACCCCTAATCCTAATTAGTGAAGAAAAATCGCAAAAATATCATGTTAAGGGTCAAAAAACGTGAAATTTCATGGAAAAAACGAGTTAATTACCTCTTAATTACCCCTTACCCTAATTAGTGAAGAAAAATCGCGAAGTATATCATATTTGGTGTTAAAAAACGTGAAAATTCATGAAAAATCACCTTAATTACCTCTTAATTACCCTTAATTACCCCTAATCTTAATTAGTATCAAAATATATCATGTTTGGTATCATTCTGCGTCAAATTTCCCGCTGAATCCAGAAATGCCCCTCTACAAACCTCCCCGTAATCTTCTCAGCACCTCCGTCTCATATTCCAACATCGATATTCGGTGATACAACATCTCCAATCTCTCAAACACGGTGTCATTCATCCACGTGGGCCACGCAATCCGGTTGCATTTTTCACACCAAAAATTATCAAAAACCCGCCAAATGTCACGAATACCCACCATTTCTCCCAAATTCCGCCTAATTATCGCTAATTCCCCGTTAAATTCCTTAAGGATGTTAAGGGCTTTTGGGGATTTCCATTGATTTTCGAGCTCTTTTTCGGCAACTGGACATTTTATGCTCTCGTAGAGTTCCTGTAATTAAATTTTGAGGTTAATTAGGGTATTAATTAGGGTTAATTACCCTAATTCGGGATTTCCGGATGTTAATTAGCCTTAATTACCCCTAATTACCCTAAATTTGAAAATAAGCTTGTTTGGTATCAAAATGCACTAAATTTAGTGCTAAAATCAAATTTAAATGAATTTTGGGTTAAAATTCGGGATTTTTGGATGTTAATTACCCTTAATTACCCTATAATTAATTCCCGGCTTAATTAGTATCAAAATTCACTAAATTTAGTGCTTAAATTAAATTTAGGTCAATTTTGGGTTAACAATTTAGGATTTTTGGATGTTAATTAGCCTTAATTACCCCTAATTACCCTAAATTTGAAAATAAGCTTGTTTGGTATCAAAATGCACTAAATTTAGTGCTAAAATCAAATTTAAATGAATTTTGGGTTAAAATTCGGGATTTTTTGGATGTTAATTACCCTTAATTACCCTATAATTAATTCCCGGCTTAATTAGTATCAAAATTCACTAAATTTAGTGCTTAAATTAAATTTAGGTCAATTTTGGGTTAACAATTTAGGATTTTTGGATGTTAATTAGCCTTAATTACCCCTAATTACCCTATCATTAATTCCAGGCTTAATTAGTATCAAAATGCATCAAATTTTCCCGCCAAAAATCCACCGTATACCTTGTCCTGCTCCCTTGGCATTGTATGAATCGGAATCGGTCGCCACTGTATATTATGAGCAATGCCGGTTTTTGGCGGGAAAAATCCCGCCATATTTGCTTGCGCCGACATCAGTGTTCGATTGTAGTCCGAACTTCGAATGTAGATCTGAAATTTTTCGAATTTGGCGGGAAAAACAGGGTGGCCTAGGTTTTGCACAAACTCGGCCGCGTTGATTTTCGGCGGGAAATTCAAAAAATATCGTGTTTGGTGTCAAAATGCGTGAAATTTGGCGGCGAATTCAAATTTTCCACACTCACCTTCTCTAAATTCATCTCCAAATCACCAATCCACTTCGCGTATCTCGAATTCAACCATTTTCCCAATCGAAATTGTTGTTGAATGCCTTGTTCGGTTAATTCGCCAATTCCTTGCGGCCATTTTGAAATATCACTTGGGTGCAATAATTCGCCGGGTGTACGGTCACCGTGGCGCCAAATCTGACGAAAAATTCGAATTTGGCGGGAAAAATGACGATTTTTGATACCAAATTTGAATTTTCCAGCTAAAAATCCACATGGCCTAGGATTCCAAAAACTTCGGCCACGTGGTTTTCAAGCGCGAAAATCGGGATTTTTGAATTTTTCCAAAGAAAATTTGAATTTCTCAATTTTCCCACCAAAAATCCACATGGCCTAGGATTCCCAAAACTTCGGCCACATGGTTTTCAAGCGCGAAAATCGGGATTTTTGAATTTTTCCCAATTTTCCCCCATCAGAAATCCACATGGCCTAGGATTCCCAAAACTTCGGCCACGCTCAATTTCACCGCTAAATTCAAATTTTCCACCAAAAAAATCATATTCGGTGTCAAAAAACGTGAATTTCTCTGAAAATTCCCAATTTTCAACTCACAACTTGCACAAACTCCAAATTGGGATCATTTTCCTGATAATTCTGATTCTGTGCCGCAAAAATTTGTAGGGGAGCAAAAATGAGCCAGAAAATCATCTGAAATTTGTCTGAAAAAAATCCGGGGAAAAATTGGGGGCGAAAAAATTGGAAAAAGGCATCAATCCTGTGAAAATCGAGAATTTTTAGTGAAAAATCGTGAAAAAAGCGATAATTTATAGGAAAAATGGAAATTTTGTGTGGAAAATCGAAATTTTGGCACAAAAAACAAAACGGAATGATAAAAATTCGAATTCAAACGTTTCGCGCGCGAAAAAAACGTGTGGATAGAGACGCAGAGGAAAAAAGGACCGGTTAGACAACGAAACAGATAATTTCTACTGAAAAAACGAGAGAGAGAGAAAGAGAGAAATAGTACAGGAAGATGAGAGAGTTTAGACATAATTACAGCATTTGTTCATTTTTCGAGCCTGTGTGTAGAACAATTTCGATTGATCCGATAAATTCTCCGATTTTTTGACCTGAAATTAATTTTGGGTTGGAAAAGAAGCTGAAAATTTGGGATCAGGCTGAAATTTGGGAATTTTTGAGTCTAAATAAGGCTAGATTTGAGGTGGCCTAGTTTTTTGAAGAGTTAGGCCACGTGGAATTTTGAGCACGAATTTAGAAAATTTGAATGTTTTCAATAATTTTCAAAATTTGAACTTTTCGAGCTAAAAATCCACATGGCCTAGTTTTCTCAAAAGTTCGGCCACGTGGAATTTTGGAGGCTAGATAAGAAAATTTGAACTTTTCAGCGCTAAAAATCTATATGGCCTTGTTTTTTGAAAAGTTAGGTCATGTGGAATTTCGGGCGCGAAATAGGAACATTTGAATTTTTCACGCTAAAAACCACATGGCCGAGTTTTATCAAAAGTTCGGCCACGTTGTTTTTCGGGCGCGAAATTGAAAAATTCAAATTTTTATCAGAAAATTTAGCTTTGATTTAAAAAAATTTGAATTTCAAATTTTGGCGCTTGAAAATTGTAGGTGTAAACATGGAGCGTCGTAGTTTACACCACGTTTTTTTCAATTTTCGCGCTAAAAACCACATGGCCGAGTTTTCTCAAAAGTTCGGCCACGTGGAATTTTGGAGGCTAGATAAGAAAATTTGAATTTTTTCCAGCAATTTTCAAAATTTGAAATTTTCGCGCCTGAAAATCCACATGGCCTAGTTTTCTCAAAAGTTCGGCCACGTCGAATTTTGGGCGCGAAATTGAGAAATTCAAATTTTTCAAAAAAAATTCTCCTATGCAAATTTTCATCAGAAAATTTTCGGCACAAAAAAAAAATTTGAATTTCAAATTTTCGCGCTCGAAAATTGAAGGTGTAAACACGGAGCGTCGTAGTTTTTGATTCTTATACGATGCTCCGCGTTTACACCGCTAAAAACCACATGACCGAGTTTTATCAAAGGTTCGGCCACGTTGTTTTTCGGGCGCGAAATTGAAAAATTCAAATTTTCGGGCATATTTGGTATCAAAAAATCGCAAATTTTCACCTAAAAATTAATTTCCGGTGCCCAAAACACTCACCAAATCATCCAATTTCTCGCCTCGATCCAAAACCGATTGAATTGTGTTGTGCATCACAATCTTCGTCTCCTCAACTTCCTCCTGAACACGTGTCATCGGATCGGCGTCACGTGGATTTTGCCATTTCGCCAACAATTCACCCAAACCGTTATATGTGCAATCTTTGTCGGTTTTGATGGCTGGCTGTAGAGAAAATCAGGTGGAAAATTGAATTTTTGGGGGATTTCGAGGCAAAAATCAGAAAATTCGACTGATTTTGACCCAAAAACCATGTTTTTTGAGGGTGTGAACGCGGAGCATCGTAGTTTTTCCATTCAAACGATGCTCCACGTTTACACCTCTATGTTTTCAGGGCGAAATTGACCCAAAATGAATTCTAGGCTAAAAATAGTGCAAAATTCACGTTTCCGGGCTCATTTTTGCTCAAAAATCTCCAATTTTGGCTCATTTTCCATGCTTACCCATTGAATCGCCGGAATTTTGGCAGTAAAATCGTCCAAAACTCGTCCCAGACACGACATGGCGACCCTGGATTGATATTCGGCGTCTGTGACACAAACAGCTGATAAACCATCATTCCGCACATAGCAATGACACAAATATTCGTTTTCCTGGAATTAATTTCAGGTTTTGGTGGGGAAATTTGGGATTTTCAACGTTTTTAGATGAAAAATTGTGAAAATTTGGGATTTTTTGTGCAAAAATGATGTTTTTTGATGAAATTTTGGAGCATTTTGGCTCAAAATGCTCCAAAATTCAATTTCAGGTCAAAATTATGCTCAAAATGCTCAGAATTCGCTTGAAATTCAGAATTTCGAGCTCAAAATGCTCCAAAATTTGATTTCAGGTCAAATTTACACTCAAAATGCTCCAAATTTGCTCAAAAATTTCAATTTTGAGCTGAAAATGCTCCAAAATTTGAATTTCTGGTCAAAATTTTCAGATTTTCACAATTTTTAGGTTCAAAATGCTCCATATTCGCTTGAAATTCAGAATTTCCAGCTCAAAATGCTCCAAAATTCAATTTCAGGTCAAAATTACACTCAAAATGCTCCAAACTCGCTTGAAATTCAGAATTTCGAGCTGAAAATGCTCCAAAATTCAATTTCAGGTCAAAATTTTCGGATTTTTACCATTTTTAGGTTCAAAATGCTCCAAATTTGCTCCAAAATTTAATTTCAGGTCAAATTCGTGCTCAAAATGCTCCAAATTTGCTCAAAAATCTCAAAATCGGGCTCAAAATGCTCCAAAATTTAATTTCAGGTCAAATTTACACTCAAAATGCTCCAAATTCGCTTGAAATTCAGAATTTTGAGCTGAAAATGCTCCAAAACTCAATTTCAGGTCAAAATTTTCGGATTTTCACCATTTTTAGGTTCAAAATGCTCCAAATTTGCTCAAAAATCTCAAAATGCTCACCTTAACCGAGCTTCTCGCTCCCAATCCACTTCTTTCCACCAACAATTTCCCGGTGAATGTCATAAATTCCTGAACAGATCCACGTTGGAAAAAGCTGAAGCTCGACAAATCGAAGGCGGTTTTGAGGATCTTAACATCTCCCGAATCGGTATTTTTGTGCAAAACGGCTATCGAATACAATTTCATGGCTGAAAATCTGGAAAATTTGCGAAAATTTGGCTGAAAATGTGATTTTCAGCGTGAAAAATGGGGCAAAAAGATATGAAATCGGTCAAAAACCGTTAAAAATCGCAAAAAAACCGCTAAAACTTCAATTTTTCACCCGAATTACAACAAAAAACTAGAAAAAACGACCCAAAATTAATTTTTCAACAATTTTTCGACTTCTCGATTCCATCCATTTTCGAATGCCAGTTCGCCGAATCGTTCCAGCGATTTTCGCGCAAATTTGCGAATTTCGTCGCGGGTTTCGCGCGATTTTTCGACTATTCGTAGAATTGTTTCAGTGTATTCTGGAAAATTGGGAAAATTTGCGATTTTTTGACACCAAACATGATTAATTTTGAGTTGGGGTAATTAAGGCTAATTAACACTAATTAGAGATAATTAAGTCTGAAAATCTGGGATTTCTGCAGTTTTAGACCTAAAATTAGAAAATCTCGGGAAAATTTGCGATTTTTTGACACCAAACATGATTAATTTTGATTTAGGGTAATTAAGGCTAATTAACACTAATTAGAGATAATTAGGTCTGAAAATCTGGAATTTTCGCAGCTCTTCAACCTAGAATTCAAAAATCTCGGGAAAATTTGCAGTTTTTTGACACTAAACATGATTAATTTAGAGTTAGGGTAATTAAGGCTAATTAACACTAATTAGTGATAATTAGAGATAATTAGGTCTGAAAATCAGGAATTTTTGCAGTTTTTCAACCCAGAATTCGAAAATCTCGGGAAAATTTGCAATATTTTGACACCAAATATGACTAATTTTGAGTTAAGGTAATTAAGGCTAATTAACAATAATTAGTGATAATTAGCGATAATTAAGTCTGAAAATTCTGGAATTTTTGCAATTTTTAAACCTAGAATTCAAAAATCTCTGTAAATTTCCAGTTTTTTGACGCCAAACATGAGTAATTTTGATTTAAGGTAATTAAGGCTAATTAACACTAATTAGACTAATTAAATATTGAAAATGATGCATTTTTGACTCAAAATCTGGAATTTCTGTAATTTTCCACCTTAGGCTTCAGAAAATTCCCAGTTTTTTTGTCTATAATTAGAAATATATTAATCAAGGCTAATTAACGCTAATTAGCCTAATTAAATCCCCAAAAATCAATAAAAATCTCAGATTTTCTCAAAAAAAAAAAGAAAAAAAAAGGAAAAACGAGATTTGTTCTCAAAAAAAACCGGTTTTTTCGCGAAACACAAAGAAAAATTGATCAAAATTGCAATTTTCGAGATAAAAAAGGTCTAGAAAATTAGGAATTTAGGGCCTTATTGGGCTTAGGGTAATTAGGGGGTAATTAACACTAATTAGGCCCAATTTTCGAAGTTCTGGACCTGAAATTCATCAATTTTCATGTTTTTCGGCTCAAAAATTATTAAATTTAGGCTTAGGGTAATTAGGGGGTAATTAACACTAATTAGGCCCAATTTTCAAGGTTTTGGGCTGAAAATCCATCATTTTTCATGTTTTTCGGCTCAAAATTCACCAAATTCGCTCACCTTCCCTGGAAATCGACAAAAATCCCACGCATTTTCCCTCAAAATCCCTGACAATATCCATTTGTGGTCCGCCCGAATCATTTGATACCAAAATTGTTGAGGCGGCCATCGCTTCGACTACTGAAATACCGAAATGCTCATTGTGCATTGTGTGCAGCGAAATTAAAGAGCGCTGGAAGAAAAATGGGTTTTTTGGTGGAAAAATCGATAATTTTAAGCTAAAAATCATGTTTTTAACGCAAATTCTCATTGGAGCGCATTTGCTCATCCGACTTCAAAAAATCAATTGATTTTTGATGAAAATCCGTGGTTTTTGGGTGAAAATTTCAAAATTTAGTATAATCTGAGCAACTCACCGATAATTCTTGAATCAAATCCTCATATGGTATATTGACTTTGAATTCCAGATTTTCAGCAACATTCAGTTCTTGAGCATAAGCCTGAAAATGCTCCAAAATTTAATTTCAGGTCAAAAATTCAATTTTCGAGCTCAAAATGCTCCAAATTCCCTCAAAAATTCAATTTTCGGGCTCAAAATGCTTAAAAATTTAATTTCAGGTCAAAAATTCAATTTTTGGGCTCAAAATGCTTAAAATTTGCTCAGAAGCTCAATTTTCTGGCTCAAAATGCTCCAAATTTCCTCAAAAATTCAATTTTCGAGCTCAAAATGCTCCAAAATTTAATTTCAAGTAAAAAATTCAATTTTTGGGCTCAAAATGCTCCAAATTCCCTCAAAAATTCAATTTTTGGGCTCAAAATGCTCCAAATTTCCTCAAAAATTCAATTTTCGAGCTCAAAATGCTCCAAAATTTAATTTCAAGTAAAAAATTCAATTTTTGGGCTCAAAATGCTCCAAATTCCCTCAAAAATTCAATTTTCGAGCTCAAAATGCTCCAAAATTTAATTTCAAGTAAAAATTCAATTTTTGGGCTCAAAATGCTCCAAATTTGCTCAGAAGCTCAATTTTCGGGCTCAAAATGCTCCAAAATTTAATTTTAGGTCAAAAATTCAATTTTCCGGCTCAAAATGCTTAAAATTTGCTCAAAAGCTCAATTTTCGGGCTCAAAATGCTCCAAAATTTAATTTCAGGTCAAAAATTCAATTTTCGAGCTCAAAATGCTCCAAATTTTAATTTCAGGTCAAAAATTCAATTTTTGAGCTCAAAATGCTCCAAATTTAACAAATTTTTTGAATTTTCGGGCTCAAAATGCTTGAAATTCCCTCAAAAATTCAATTTTTGAGCTCAAAATGCTCCAAATTTTAACAAATTTTTGAATTTTAGGCTCAAAATGCTCCAAATTCCCTCAAAAAACCAATTTTCTAGCTCAAAATGCTCCAAATTTCACCAATTTTTTGAATTTTAGGCTCAAAATGCTCCAAATTCCCTCAAAAAATCCAATTTTCTGGCTCAAAATGCTCCAAATTTCAAGCTACCTTCAAATCTTCGACTCTCTTCCGATCTTCCTCATTTCTACATCCTCCAGCAATACAAAGTCGAACTTCCACATCGGATTTCAGTCGATTTTTCACATCGTGCAGAATTTCGATTTGAAGTCGGTGATTTTTTTCGGGTCGAATTTGGCCGACAGAAAGAATTCGTAGGATTTTCGTCTCTTCGAATCTGGAAAAATGAGATTTTTGAGAAAATTCGGGATTTTTTGAGTCAAAAATCATCATTTTTTGAAGTCGGACAAGCAAATGCGCTCTAATGAGAAAATATCGATTTTCCATGAAAATTAGGTTAAAAACACTAAATTTCTCGAATTCCAGCTCGATAAATCGATTTTTAATCGAATTTCACATGAAAACCATGCTTGGTAACAAAATTTTTGAAATCGGACAAGCAAATGCGCTCCAATGAGAAAATATCGATTTTTCATGAAAATTAGGTTAAAAACACTAAATTTCTTCGAATTTCAGCTCGAAAAAATCGATTTTTCATCGAATTTCACACAAAATTTTTGAAGTCGGACAAGCAAATGCGCTCCAATGAGAAAATATCGATTTTTCATGAAAATTAGGTTAAAAACACTAAATTTCTTTGAATTTCAGCTCAAAAAATCGATTTTTCATCGAATTTTACATGAAAACCATGATTTGTAACAAAATATTTGAAGTCGGACAAGCAAATGCGCTCCAATGAGAAAATATCGATTTTTCATGAAAATTAGGTTAAAAACACTAAATTTCTTTGAATTCCAGCTCGAAAAATCGATTTTTCATCGAATTTTACATGAAAACCATGATTTGTAACAAAATATTTGAAGTCGGACAAGCAAATGCGCTCCAATGAGAAAATATCGATTTTTCATGAAAATTAGGTTAAAAACACTAAATTTCTTTGAATTCCAGCTCGAAAAATCGATTTTTCATCGAATTTTACATGAAAACCATGATTTGTAACAAAATATTTGAAGTCGGACAAGCAAATGCGCTCCAATGAGAAAATATCGATTTTTCATGAAAATTAGGTTAAAAACACTAAATTTCTTTGAATTCCAGCTCGAAAAATCGATTTTTCATCGAATTTCACATGCTTTATGACAAAAATTTCTGAAGTCGGACAAGCAAATGCGCTCCAATGAGAAAATATCAATTTTTGATGAATTTTGAGCTAGAAACATGGCTTTTGGGTCAAAATTTTGCGATGTTTCCAAATTCCGGCTCAAATTTATCGATTTTAGGTTAGAAAACACAATTTTTTCAAATTTTGGGTCAAAATTTATCGATTTTCATCGAATTTCACCCCAAAAACTCACAAATTCTCCGCCTGGCTCTCAATTTCCAAAAACGCTTCAACATCACACGGTGGATATACAATTTCGACGTCTTTTCGGCTCCAAATCGAGCAAATGTGTCGTTGTGTCCATTTTCCATTAACCATTACGATTTTGGCCGATTTTCCGGCCAAAAAATAGAAAAATGAGAATAATCGATAATAGTAGAGTTTGAGAATAGATAAAATGTGACTTTGGGCGATTAGACTTGAATTATTGAATGTGGATTGACGAGTTGACACAACTTCAAGCATATCTGGAAAAAAAATCGATTTTTTGACACAAAATTCGAGATTTTTGGCTGAAAATTGCTCATTTTAGACCTAAAATTCAAGTTTTTCGGGTAAAAATGAGCAATTTCAAGCAAAAATCATAGGATTGCTCATATTATATAGAATTTGACGATTTCAACCCAGGTTTTGAATGTTTTTGACTAATATGAGCAATTTTCAGAGGATTGCTCATATTATATGAATTTTCACATGAAAAAAGTCGAAAAAAGCTGATTTTTGAGGCATTGCTCATATTAAACCTGTTTTAAACGTTAGAAATTCCAGTTTTTGTATAAAATGAGCAATTCTCTTGAATTTTAGGCAGAAAATTGTGGAATTGCTCATATTAGATGATTTTTTAAATCAAAATTTGTAGTTTTCTGCCTAATATGAGCAATTTTCAGAGCATTGCTCATATTATATGATTTTTAAATCAAAATTTGAAGTTTTCTGCCTAATATGAGCAATTTTCAGAGCATTGCTCATATTATATGATTTTTAAATCAAAATTTGAAGTTTTCTGCCTAATATGAGCAATTTTTTAGAGCATTACTCATATTATATGAATTTTCACATAAAAAAGTCGAAAAAAGCTGATTTTTGAGGCATTGCTCATATTAAACCTGGTTTAAAGCTTAGAAATTCCAGTTTTTGTATGGCATTGCTCATATTAGGTGAATTTTCGTGATTTTTTCACTAAAACACATGAAAATTGGTCATTTTTGGCTCAAAACCCCAAAAAATGCCAACTCACCACACGAAATCGTTGGATAATGCACATATGCTCCAACTTTAGCTCCAGCAAAAATGCGAAAAATCGGAAGTGCCAGCGGATATCCCATAGAATCGATGAAAACCTCGGGAACCAGATGGAAAAGTGCTTCGAGTGCCAAAAAACCGCCCATAATTGCTTGCATTAACATGGTGAAATGGGGGTATAAATCGGCTTCGACGAGACGGCGAGAGCTGAAAATTGGCTGAAAATCATGGATTTTCTCGTTTTCAGCGTGAAAAATGATGAAAAATGAGGTAGAATAGGTTGAAATTCAAAAAAAAAACGATACTTTTTTGAATTCGAATGAGCAAATGTGCTCTAATGAGAAATTCTTGATTTTTTATGGTTTTTGGTGGAAAATTCAAGGTTTTCTTGATTTTTTCGTTCCAAAAACGTATTTTTGATGAAAACTAAGCTTTTTTTTGAGTTCGGAAGAGCAAATGCGCTCTAATGAGAATTTGGCTATTTTTCATGGTTTAAAATGGAAAATTCGAATTTTTCTTGAATTTTTCGGTCCAAAAACGTATTTTTCATGAAAATTAACCTTAAAAGCAAGAAATTCCACGAAAATTTTGAATTCGGAAGAGCAAATGCGCTCTAATGAGAATTTGGCTATTTTTCATGGTTTAAAATGGAAAATTCGAATTTTTCTTAAATTTTTCATGAAAATTAAGTTTTTTTTTTTTGAATTCGGAAGAGCAAATGCGCTCCAATGAGAATTTGGCTATTTTTCATGGTTTTTAATGTAAAATTCAAGGTTTTCTTGAATTTTTCATAAAAATTAAGTTGTTTTTTTGAATTTGGAAGAGCAAATGCGCTCCAATGAGAAAATATCGATTTTTTATGGTTTTTGGTGGAAAATTCAAGGTTTTCTTGAATTTTTCATGAAAATTAAGCTTTTTTTTTAATTCGGAAGAGCAAATGCGCTCCAATGAGAAATTCTTGATTTTTTATAGTTTTTTTCGGCCAAAAACGAATTTTTCATCAAAATTAACCTTAAAAGCAAGAAATTCTACGAAAATTTTGAATTCGGAAGAGCATGTGCGCTCCAATGAGAAAATATCGATTTTTCATGAATTTTCGCTTGTAAAACACACCAAATGTCCTGGATTTTGGATTTTTCCCCGAAAAAACTCACTACAAATACACAAATTCCACATTTTCGGGATCTAGTTCAATTCCGAACCGTTGCCTCGCTTTCAGCAAAATCTCCTCCTTATTCGCATCAAAATCGCCCGAATACACGTAGTATTTGTAGTTTGGGTGGGATTTTTGCATGGCTCGAATCGCCGCCCACAAAACACGTTCCCCACCTCCGCCAGCATTACAATATGGGTGAAAAAATGCGATGGATTTGGGTTTTCTGCCGAAAAAAATCGATAATTTTCCCATAATTTTCATATAAAACTCACCGTTTTTCCCTGACAAGATATATTATAACCGGAATTGTTAGAAGCAAACAAATTAAAGCGGCCAACATGGCAACAAAAATCGATAATGTCTCCTCTTCTCTTCTTTTTTTCTTTTTTCTCGTGTGCCGCAAGGGAAAAAGCTTAATTAGGACACGTTGTGTGTGTTTTTGTCAAAATCTATTTTTATATCGGATTTCGCAATGAAAGGGAAAACAACAAAAAAAATAAAATAAATTATCGATTTTTGCTCGATTAAAGGCGCGACGAATATTTCGTTTGGGTCTTGTGTGGATGGGAACATTGTGTAGTTCTCGAGGACTTAATTTTATTTTTTTTCCGGAAATTTTTAGGATGCTTATTATAAAACGGGTGTTTTCGACGGTTTTGCAGGGAGAAAAATCGAAATTTCGAGAATTTTTCGAACTCCCGCAACAATATGACTATAGAACATGGTTCCCAATGCACATGTCAGTTCAACTAAAAATTATGGAGGCCAAATTGAGAAGTGTAGATTTGGTGATAGAAGTGCATGACGCAAGAATTCCAATAACTGGGAGAAACGAGCAATTCTTCAATCATCTCTACGCAATTCGACCGCATATTCTAGTGCTCAACAAGTGTGATTTGATAGATATGAAAAAGTATCGAGGAAAAATTGAGGATTATTATTATGACAGGGGAGTTCAGAAGGTGTTATTTACTGATTGTAAAAAACGAATGCCGAAAGCGATGAATGATGTGAAGAATTGTATGTTGGAAGCGTTGGAGAATACGCCAAGGTTTAATCGGACTGTTAAAAATGAATATCAGGTGGGCATTTTGGATTTTTGAGCAAAAATCGTTTCAAGAGCTGAAAATATTGATTTCCAGCAATTTTTCACCCTAAAATTCGTGCCAAGACCTAAAAATCATCAAAATTCATCATTTTTGACCCAAAAATCTTGCCAAGGCCTAAAAATCCGGTTTTTGGCCCAAAAAATCGTGCCAAGACCTAAAAATATTGATTTCCAGCGATTTTTCATCAAAAAAATCGTTCCAAGACCTAAAATTATTGATTTCCAGCGATTTTTCACCCTAAAAATCGTGTCAAGACCTAAAAATATTGATTTCCAGCAATTTTTCACCCTAAAATTCGTGCCAAGACCTGAAAATATTGATTTTCAGCGATTTTTCATTAAAAAATCGTGTCAAGACCTAAAAATATTGATTTCCAGCGATTTTTCATCAAAAAAATCGTGCCAAGACCTGAAAACTATCAAAATTCATCATTTTCACCCTAAAAATCGTGCCAAGACCTAAAAATATTGATTTCCAGCGATTTTTCATCAAAAAATCGTTCCAAGACCTAAAAATCATCAAAATTCATCATTTTCACCCTAAAAATCGTGTCAAGACCTAAAAATGTTGATTTTCAGCGATTTTTCATCATAAAAATCGTGCCAAGACCTAAAAATCATCAAAATTCATCATTTTCACTCTAAAAATCCCAAATTTTTTTGCAGGCAATGGTAGTTGGTATCCCAAACGTCGGAAAATCCTCGCTAATCAACGCAATGCGTACACACAGTCTAAAAATCAAGAAAAAAGCGGTGGAATCGGGTGCGCGACCCGGAGTAACAGTTCGAATTCAAAACCGTGTTCGAATTCTCGACAAACCGCCCATTTATATCATAGATACACCCGGTGTTCTATCACCAAATCATCGAAACATCGAAGAAGCTATGAAATTGGCATTGTGTGATTTGGTGTTGGAATCGCATGTCAATCTATATTATTTGGCTGATTTTCTGCTCTTTTGGCTCAATAAATCCGGTGATTTTTCGTATGTTGAAGCACTGAAAATCGACCAAAAATCTGATGATATTCAAGAGATTCTAGCGAAAATTTGTGCTTCTCATGGATTTTTGATGAAAAATCGAGAAAGATGGGATTTCGATAGGGCTGCTAAGCATTTTATTCAAATTTATCGAAATTCGACGACTTTTGGAGATTCTTGTTTGGATAATTTGTATTTTCAGTAATAAAAATTGATTTTTTAGGATTAAAATGTGATTTTTGGCGATTTTCGCGCCAAAAATTGCAAAATTCTTCATTTCTCAACAACACGATAATTGGAAATTCTAGCATTTTCCCGGAAAAAATCGATAAATTCCTGAATTCTCTCCTCTTCGTCTTCCAATTCCAAATTGTACTCATTGAAGATTTTGTTGTGCGATTTCAGCGTGAATTTCAGCTTTTTCTCGAATAAATGCAGTGAAGATGTGTTGTCGTCGGTGATTTTGACGAAAAAATGGCGAATTTTGAGGGTCTGCAAAAGAAATTTGGGCGATTTTTAGCCTAAAATCATGGTTTTCGCGCTGAAATCCATGAAAAATCGATAAATTTGAGCCGGAATTCGAAAAAACCGCAAAATTTTGAGCCAAAAACCATGTTTCTTGCTCAAAATCCATGAAAAATCGATATTTTCTCATTGGAGCGCGTTTGCTCATCCGATTTCAAAAATTCCAAATTTCCATATGGCTTTTTATCTAAAACAGGGATTTTCAGATGAATTTTATCAAATTTGAGTGAAAATTAATGATTTTCAGCATTTTTTCATGAAATTTGACTGATTTTCAGCCTAAAAACCATGTTTCTAGCTCAAAATCCACGAAAAATCGATATTTTCTCATTGGAGCGCGTTTGCTCATCCGATTTCAAAAATTCGTAAACTTTATATGGATTTTGATCTGAAACCGTGATTTTTAGATGAATTTGAGTGAAAATTAATGATTTTCAGCATTTTTCATGAAATTTGACTGATTTTCAGCCTAGAAATCATGGTTTTCGCGCTGAAATCCATGAAAAATTTATATTTTCTCATTGGAGCGCGTTTGCTCATCCGATTTCAAAAATTTTGGGATTTTCGAGGGTTTCACATGAAATTTGAGGATTTTTAGCGTTTCAGGAGCTATTTTCAGCCGGAAATCACGTTTTCGCGCTAAAATCCATGAAAAATCAATATTTTCTCATTGGAGCGCGTTTGCTCATCCGATTTCAAAAATTTTGGGATTTTCCAGGGTTTCACATGAAATTTGAGAATATTCAGCGTTTCAGGAGCTATTTTCGGCAAAATATTAGATTTTAAGGCTTGTTTTAAAGGGTTGGTGCTCCGCCAGGGAATCTTGCTTGGTTTAGATAGGAATAAGGTGCTCCTGGAAGGTTCCAGTTTTAGAAAAAATTCTAGCATCAATTCAGCCCATATTTTTCCTCAAAAACACAAACAAGTTAAAACCTACGAAATAAAACAAGTAAATGCGCTCTAGCGCACAACTCGTTTTTGAATTTTCGTGCGTGTGTTTGCACACAACTTTGAAAATAACACGGTGACGCCTTTTTGCAGACGATTTTTTCACCAGGAAAACACCAACCCTTTAAGAAATTTGACTGAAATTCCATGATTTTGGCCTAAAATCCTCAATTTTCACCCAAAATTCTCAGATTTTCGCATTTTCACCCAAAATCCCACCTCAATCGCATATCCAACAATCAATTTCACAGCTTCCGTCGCAATTCCCTTTCCCCTTGCCGCTTCTTCCGCAATCATCACCTCAATTTCAGCCTGCGCAAACCCGTCGCCATTCTCCGCTTCCCCTTCGCCAATAAACAAATTCACATCGCCAACCATCGCCCCCACCTCTCTCTTCTTTTCCCCACCAAAAACCGTCGCATCCAACACAATAAACGTCAATTTATCCTCATCCTCTCGCCAATTTCGTTGCATCTCATATTCCTCCTCTAAACTTAGTCTATCTGACGCGGTGAGCCGCCGAATTTCTTCATCCGCCATCCAGTTCGAATATTTCGGCACATGTTCAGCTTCATATGGGATGAGAACCGTTTTCGGGCCCAAAATCTGGATATTTTCGTTGATTTTCATGGCGTGGCCTAGGAAAAATGCGAGGAGAGGGACTAGGAAACCAAAAAACGGCCGAGTGCAATAGAGCGCACTTGCTGTTTCACACAGGCTTCCCATCTTTTTTTGTGCTTTTCACGTATTTTTTTGGCCCTCGGTTCGCGGTTGGTATACTGTACTGACTTGTGCAAACACGGTGACGCACAAATGCACAAAAATGTCTCGCGTCTCTCCATTTTGCGCGCTATTTTTCGAAATTGGTCTCGCCACGAACACCAAAACGCTAAAACGGCACCCGTTCGCTCCACCAAAGCTTATTTCCATGCAGTTTTTCACGGCGATAAAGATGGTGTACTCAGATTTTCATTTGGTGCAGCCGTTCTTGCGATTTTGGTGGAAAATTAAAGCATGTCCCTTTAAACAGCGAACCGAGATTTTTTGTTCAGCAACAAAATACGTGTTTTCAGTCATTTTTTCCAGCGAAAATGCTATCTCGGCTCAATTCTCCCATCACCACAACAATCCGCAACAAAGCGCGCGGAGTTATTGTGCAAAGTTACGCCGCCGACGTGCTTCCCTACAAAGGAAAACCGGCAAACGCGAAATCGAACCGTGTTCGTTTGGAAGCCGGTAAAACGTACAATTGGTGTTCGTGTGGATTGAGCATTAGTCAACCGTTTTGCGACGGAACTCATAAGATCAACGGGTTGACCAATGTGAAACCGGTGGCTTTTCAAGTGGAGAAAACTGGGGATTATTCGTTGTGCGACTGTAAACAGACTGCGACTCGACCAATTTGTGATGGAGCACATAAAGATGTAGGCGATTTTGGGGAAATTCTTGATTTTGGGGGAAAAATGGAAAATTTTGATGAATTTTGAAATGAAATTCATGAAAAATCGATAATTTTGTCGTGTGATATGAATTTTATTCAAAAATCGATAAATTTCCTTGAAACCTGATAATTTTGAGGCGAATTTCATGAAAATTTGCAGATTTTCATGAATTTCAGCGAAAATTCTGAAAATTTACAGTTTTTTACCTAGAAATTGCAGATTTTCATGAATTTCAGCCAAAATTCTGAAAATGCATGGTTTTTTACCTAGAAATAGCAGATTTTCATGAATTTCAGCAAAAATTTACGGTTTTCACCAAGAAACCACTGAAAATGAATAATTTCTAGTTAAAATGATGATTTTCAAATTGCCACGTCATGTGTTTACGTAAAAATTTGAATTTTCAATGCCACGTGGATTTAAATCCAAATTTTACACTGAAAATTCAAAGATTCCCTCAAAAATTAATTAATTTTTCGAATTCGGGTGAGCAAACGCGCTCCAATGATAAAATATCGATTTTTCATGATTTTCGAGCGGAAAACATGGGTTTTCACTCAAAAATCGATGAAAAATGCGAATTTTTGCTTAAAATTATTGATTTTCCAGGTTTCAAAAGCTCCACGCGATCTTCACGCCTCCCGCCAAGTCGCCTTCCACGAATCGCCAGTCTACGAAGGTGTCGCCCACAAATTGGGATACAAACCCAAAAATGGCGGTTTCCAATAACAATTTTATTGATTTTTGACCCAAAATTAGCCTAAAAATCAAGTTTTTATAGAGGAATGTAAGGAATAAAGTGTATTTTTTTGTGTCTAAAAAAATCTTTATTTATTTTTTCCCCGAAAATCGGAAACGTGTTTTTCTACACAATTTCAAATATCTATTTTTTGAGCGCTTTTTGATATTCTTCATCGAAATTCGCCTTGAATTTCGTGATTTTTCGACCCAATTCCAGATTTTCAGCTTTTTCTTCGGCGATTTTCAGACCGCGCACGATTGCTTTTGCAGTTGTGCGAATTGGCAGCGATTCGGAGAGCTGGAAAATTCAAAATTTGAATCTGAAAAGCTGAAAATTACCAAATTTTCTCCTTACCTGTTGAATCGTTTTCTCATTATTGAAAAGTTGGCGGAAAATTCGAAAAACCATTGATTTTTTCAGCAAAATTGAGGATTTCGAAGACAATCTCTGCAAAAATTGCGAAAAATGGAAGAAAATGAGGTAATTTTCAGTCAAAAAATGCTGAAAATCCCAGAATTTTTGATCTAATATGAGTAATTATACAAATTTCAATGAGATTTTCGATGTTTTTGGCTGAAAAATGCTGAAAATCTCGAATTTTCAGTCGAAAAATGCCCAAATTTTCAGCAACCTTCTTGCTCTTCTCAAATAATTCAATCATCAAATGGACCAATCGAATCGATATTCGATTTACCGCAACTTGTTGTCGATAAGATTTTCTCGAATTTGACCTATGATGATATGTCGAAATCGAGAGGTGTAAGTGGAGTTTTGGGCGGGAAAAGGGCCTGAAACTAGGCCTTAAAGGCCTGCAAAATAGCCCAAACCAAGCCTGAAAAGCCCCAAAACCCTTGATTTCCAGGTGAATCAGGACTTCAATGATTACGTCAAAACCGAAATGACGAAAGGTTTCGAAAAACTCGGAAAAATCATTGCCAACTGCAAAACTGACGTGAAAAAAGAGTTGCCGAAACGAGAATCGGAAAGAAGAAGACATCGGCTAACTCGAATCAATGAAATATATTCGGCACTTGATACCAGATATTCATTGCTTGATTTGACTTATAAGGTATGAGTGCGGAAAGACCGCAAGCTTCCGCGCAGCGGCCACGTGGATTGCTATGATATGGTAAACGTCATAGTAATCCGCGTGGCCGCTGACGCGGAAGATAGTGCCGCTGACGCGGAAGCTTGCGGTTTACACTCGCTTCGCTCGAGCGACAAAGTCGCGAGTGTAGACCGCAAGCTTCCGCGTCAGCGGCACTATCTTCCGCTTTAGCGGCCACGTGGATTACTATGATATGGTAAGCGTCATAGTAATCCGCGTGGCCGCTAACGCGGAAGCTTGCGGTCTACACTCGCTCCGCTCGAAAATCCACGTGGCTCGAGCGAAGCGAGTGTAGACCGCAAGCTTCCGCGTGAGCGGCACTGTCTTCCGCTTTAGCGGCCACGTGGATTACTATTGCGGTCTACACTCGCTTCGCTCGAGCCACGTGGATTTTCGAGCGGAGCGAGTGTAGACCGCAAGCTTCCGCGTCAGCGGCACTGTCTTCCGCTTTAGCGGCCACGTGGATTGCTATGACGTGGAATATCACTAGGATTCCAAATTATAGCAATCCGCGTGGCCGCTAAAGCGGAAGATAGTGCCGCTGACGCGGAAGCTTGCGGCCTACACTCGCTCCGCTCGAGCCACGTGGATTTTCGAGCGGAGCGAGTGTAGACCGCAAGCTTCCGCGTCAGCGGCACTATCTTCCGCTTTAGCGGCCTCGTGGATTGCTATAATTTGGAATCCTAGTGATATTCCACGTCATAGCAATCCACGTGGCCGCTAAAGCGGAAGATAGTGCCGCTGACGCGGAAGCTTGCGGTCTACACTCGCTCCGCTCGAAAATCCACGTGGCTCGAGCGGAGCGAGTGTAGGCCGCAAGCTTCCGCGTCAGCGGCACTATCTTCCGCTTTAGCGGCCACGCGGATTGCTATAATTTGGAATCCTAGTGATATTCCACGTCATAGCAATCCACGTGGCCGCTAAAGCGGAAGACAGTGCCGCTGACGCGGAAGCTTGCGGTCTACACTCGCTCCGCTCGAAAATCCACGTGGCTCGAGCGAAGCGAGTGTAGACCGCAAGCTTCCGCGTGAGCGGCACTATCTTCCGCTTTAGCGGCCTCGTGGATTGCTATAATTTGGAATCCTAGTGATATTCCACGTCATAGCAATCCACGTGGCCGCTAAAGCGGAAGATAGTGCCGCTGACGCGGAAGCTTGCGGTCTACACTCGCTCCGCTCGAAAATCCACGTGGCTCGAGCGGAGCGAGTGTAGGCCGCAAGCTTCCGCGTCAGCGGCACTATCTTCCGCTTTAGCGGCCACGCGGATTGCTATAATTTGGAATCCTAGTGATATTCCACGTCATAGCAATCCACGTGGCCGCTAAAGCGGAAGACAGTGCCGCTGACGCGGAAGCTTGCGGTCTACACTCGCTCCGCTCGAAAATCCACGTGGCTCGAGCGAAGCGAGTGTAGACCGCAAGCTTCCGCGTCAGCGGCACTGTCTTCCGCTTTAGCGGCCACGTGGATTACTATGATATGGTAAACGTCATAGTAATCCACGTGGCCGCTTCGCGGAAGGTTTCCGGTTTACACTCGCTCCGCTCGAAAGTCCACGTGGCTCGAGCGAAGCTTGCAGAAAACCCTCCTCATTTTCAGAAATTCATGAGACATTCCCATCAAATTGTCAACATTTGCTTCATTCCCGGCAAAGTTTTGGACGAATTCCATCGCGTTTTGGATATTTTGAGACGGTGTAGAGAATCTGGCGGGGAATTTACGGGAGATAGCACCGAATTATTGAAAGAGATGAGAGATTTATCCAGGTAAGGGGTTTTTTGGGTGAAAATGAGCCAAAATTCATGAAAATTGGACTTTTTTGAGCCAAAATCATGAAAAATCACGAAAAATTACCCTAGAACCATGTTTTCCGCGCAAAAATCGATATTTTCTCATTGGAGCGCGTTTGCTCGTCCGATTTCAAAAAAATTATTGAAAATCGCGATTCTCCCAACCGAAATTGAATAATTTTTTTGAATTCGGACGAGCAAACGCGCTCCAATGAGAAAATATCGATTTTTCATGAATTTTAGGTCAAAAAAGTCCAATTTTCATGAATTTTCGCTCAAAATTCAATTACAGTATGGCTATGGAGCACTACGAAGAGCATATTCTCCCAAATTTGGAGTCAAAAGCCGAATCTCTTGGAATCGGTGCACTGTCTTTTGACGCCTTCAGTATTCCGAGTATCAAAAGGCGAAGATTTGGAAAAATGTGTAGAGATAATCATGGACTACAAGTTATGCCCAATTTTGAAGCGTGAGTGAGGGTTTTGGGGGAAAATTTGAGAAAATTGATGAAAAATCGATAATTTTGACCCGAAATTCAAGAAAATTTGACCTAGAACCCAATTTTTTCCTTGAAATTCGTGAATTTCTCATTGGAGCGCATTTGCTCGCCCGAATTTGAACAAAATCTATGAATTTTAGCTCAAAAAACTCGAATTTTCATGATTTTTTCACTGAAAATCCCCAAAAATTTCAAATTTTTCCAGAAACGCGGTCAATAATTCGCCAGCCGCCCGTGATTTTCCAAAAACAATGCAAGACAAAATTGATGAGATGCAAAAGAAAATCGATTCTCAACAATTGGAAATTCGAGCATTGACTGAAGGAATCACCGCTATGACACAGTATTTTGGACAGGTATGAATTTTGAGCCGAAAATCATGAAAAATCACAAATTTTGACTGTAAATTTGAAAAAAATGATGATTTTTAAGCTGAAAATCATGGAAAATCACAAATTTTGACTGTAAATTTGAAAAAAAATGATGATTTTTAAGCTGAAAATCATGGAAAATCACAAATTTTGACTGTAAATTTGAAAAAAATGATGAATTTTGAGCTAAAAATCCGAATTTTTGGTTGAAAATAAGCTATAAAATTGATTTTTGAATTTTTCTGAAATTTGGCTGGAAATTCAACATTTTCAGATTGAAAATATGCTAAAAATCTCGAAATTTCAGTCTAAAAATTAGAAAATTTCAAATTTGACTGGAAATTCGAAAATTCAGCCCAAAATTCCAGATTTTTCATTTTCAGCTTAAAAATATCCGAAAATTTCAAAATTTCAGATAAAAAAATTCGAAATTTTAAAATTTGACTGGAAATTCGAAAATTCAGCCCAAAATTCCAGATTTTTCATTTTCAGCTTAAAAATATCCGAAAATTTCAAAATTTCAGATAAAAAAAATTCGAAAATTCAGCCCAAAATTCCAGATTTTTCATTTTCAGCTTAAGAAAATCTCAAAATTTCAGTCTAAAAATCCGAAATTTTCAGATTTTTCTAGAATTTTCAGCCAAAACCCCCCCAAATTTTCAGGCTTTCCCCAAACAACGTCAAAATCTACGCCGATTCCTCCACCGTTTTCCGATTTTCAACGGCGGAATTCTGCAGAACTCTCCAGAAGGAACTTCTGGATGTTCAGCTTCAACTTCAGGAACACCCCAAAAAACTTCAAGAAAGCGAAAAATTGCGGAAGAAAACCAAGAAGAAGTATCAAAAAGTTTGTAAAACTTGATTTTCTGTGTGGAAAAAATCAATATTTTTTTTGTAAAAATCTTATCTTATCATAAATACAATCAAGTAATAGAGAGCTATATTTAATATGAGCAATAATTAATTTTAGGATAATTTAATTTAGACAGGGAAAAATGGAATCACAGATCACTAAAGCGATGGCTGGCATTGGGTTGGGTTTTTGAAATGTTTAAGGTTTGGGGTTAGGCTTAAAGGGACATAGGCTTGAAAATGTCTGGGAGCAAAAAATCGTGTGAAAATTGGGGAAAAATCTTCAATTTTTTCAAAAATTTCCAAATTTTGGCTCAAAAAACCCCAAATTTTCACACAATTTTCAAAATTTCCAGATTTCTCAGCCTAAGGCTAACGACTTATTATTTAAGAGCCCTAAGGTTCAGGAGTTTCCAAATTCTTCGACACATAATAATCGACCAAAGTCTGAACATTTAGTCGGAAATTGTCCAAATGTGCTTCGATGTGTTGAATGCAAATCTCGTCCAAATTATCTTTGCCCAACGCGACGGCTTTTAGAATTGTATGACGGTAGGGAACTGCGTGCGAGAGCATCTGAAAATTACAGATTTTTTGAGCCAAAATTGAGCATTTTTAAAGAATTTTGAGCCATTTTCTATGAAAATTTGAAGGTTTTAGTGAAAAATGAGCATTTTAAGTAGTTTTGAGCCAAAATTGAGCATTTTTGGATAATTTTGAGCCATTTTATATGAAAATTGGAAGGTTTTAGTGAAAAATGAGCATTTTGAGGTGTTTTGAGCTAAAATTGAGCATTTTTGGATAATTTTGAGCCATTTTCTATGAAAATTGGAAGCTTTCAGTGAAAAATGAACATTTTAAGTAGTTTTGAGCTCAAATTGCTCATTTTAAAAGAATTGGAGCCATTTTATATGAAAATTTGAAGGTTTTAGTGAAAAATGAGCATTTTTGGATAATTTTGAGCCATTTTATATGAAAATTGAAGCTTTTAGTGAAAAAAGAGCATTTTGAGGAGTTTTGAGCCGAAATTGCTCATTTTAAAAGAATTTTGAGCCATTTTATATGAAAATTGGAAGCTTTTCATGAAAAATGGGAAATTTCAGGTATTTCAGGCCGAAATTGAGCATTTTTGAAAAATTTCAAGTTGTTTTCGAAGAAAATTGGAAGCTTTTAGTGAAAAATGAGCATTTCGAGTAGTTTTGAGCTCAAATTGAGCATTTTAAAAGAATTTGGAGCCATTTTCTATGAAAATTAAGAGAACTTGGGAATTTTGACAGGAAATTAGAAGTTTTTAGTGAAAAATGAGCGTTTTGAGCCGAAATTGACCATTTTCCGATCACTTCGAGCTACTTTGGAGAAAACCCCGAATTTTGAGCCTGAAATGCTCATTTTTGATGAATTTTGTGCAGTTTTCAATGGAAAATGACAATTTTCATGTGAAAAATCATGAAATTCCCAAATTTTAAGGCGAAAAAAGTGATTTTTAACCAGATCCTATCTATGTTCCGTCTTATTTTTAAAAAAAATCTTCGGAGATGTTTCTTGTGGGATAAATCACCGATTCAAATCTGCTTCATTTTTCTTTCTCCAATTTCATGTGGCGTTTTGTTGCTCTTCTATTTCTCATCTACATTTTACTCTCCAAACACCCAGAACCAAATGAGAAATATGAGCATAAATTGGCTCCAATTCCAATTTCAAATTGCTCATGTGAAAATCACAATTTCTGCTATGCAGATCCGCTAAACCCATCAATTTTTTACAAGAAATTCGATTGTTCGAGTTTGAAAATATTGAGAGAATTTGGGATTCTGGAGGAGGAGGACACGAAAAAGACGACGAGGGATTCGAAAAATGTGATATTTGTATCAGCAACTTCGAATGATCATTTCGAATTCACAAAAAAATCGGTAAGGGAACTGGGATTTTATTAAAAAGGTAGATGTTTTCTAGTAATTTTCGACACGATTCCGTTGCCTAAAATTGCATAACTCAACTCCTAACATGAGTTATGACGTGGCAAAGTTTGAAAAATTGCGAGTTCAGAAAGAGCCTTCCTGAACACCGCTATGCTACCAGATTTTCATGAAAATCATTATGAAGGCGAGTTTCGACCTGCTGAAGTCGAATTTTCAAACTTTGCCATAACTCATGTTAGGAGTTGAGTTATGCAATTTTAGACAACAGAATCGTGATCAGCGGGTCGAAAACTACTCGAGAACATAGATTTCACTTAAAATCTCGATTTTTTCTTCAAAAAATCGTTAAAAATCACGCAATCGTACCAGATTAACCAAATTTTCACCAAAATCTCACCGAAAAAAATATTCTAGAAATAAACAGGGAATATTTTTGGGTAATATGTGAGCTCTAGAGATTTTGGTGAAAATTAGGATTTTCCGAATCATGAAAAAAAACATTTGTAGCTGGAATCAATTCGCAAATATTATCCGAATCAAAAATACATCTTATACACTATGGGACTAGATCAATCAAATAGTGAAAAACTACTTGAAGATTTCGAAAACCTCGAAATTCGCCAGTTCAATTTTTCAAAATATCCAAAATATGTGGAAAATTTGATGGAATATCGATGGAAACCTCTAATAATTGGAGAACTTCTTCGAGAATATTCAAATATTTGGTGGATGGATGCTCATATTATTCTAGAATCTTCCGAACATCTAGATAGAATTTATGAGGAGCGAGCAAGGGGAGACAGTTTGCAATCAGATATAATTTTCACAATTCCAACAAAGCACAGCAATTTTGCTGTGCTTCATCCAAATCTTCTCGAATATTTTCCAACTTCTTCAATTGCTCTTCTAAAACGTAGTGTTCAATTGGGCGCCAATTTTATATATTTCGCCAGGAGTCGCGATTCTCTAGACATTCTAAAATGGTGGATTCTTTGTGCATTGGATGAGAAATGTATGAATCCTGAAGGAGCACAACTCAAATGTCAATTTGCTCCTCTCAATCATTACGATGTTTATGCCAAATGTTTTCGATTCGATCAATCGGTTTTGAATTTGTTGTTATTGAATCGGTTTCAGGATTATAGAAAATATTTGAGTTCGAATGGATTTGGTGAATCGCATTATTAATTTTTCAAATTCGGAAGAGCAAGTGCGCTCCAATGATAAAATGTGTTTGGTGGGGGTTTGATCAAAATTAACTTCAAAAATCGCTTTTTCACGGAATTTCGATCAAAAATTTGGAATTCGGAGAAGAAAACGCGCTCCAAGGATAAAATGTGGTTTTTTCAAGTTTAGAGTCAATTTTCAGAGGTTTCGATGAATTTTCGGTCAAAAGTTGACATTTTTCATCAAAATTAACTTCAAAAATCGCTTTTTCACGGAATTTCGATCAAAAATTTTGAATTCGGAGAAACAAGTGCGCTCCAATGATAAAATATCGATTTTAGCGCTAAATCTATGAATTTCGGCGGGAAATTATGAAATTTAGCATTTTTCATCATTTTTAGTATAGAACTCGTATTTTTACAGGAAAATTTTGAATTCGGAGAAGCAAACGCGCTCCAATGATAAAAAAATGTGGTTTTTCCAAGTTTAGAGTCAATTTTCAGGAGTTTCGATGAATTTTGGCTCAAAATTCATCATTTTCTACAATTTTTTACCTTAAAAGCCTGTCTTGGCAAAAATCCATGATGTCTTTTCAACGACTTCTGATAAGCTTGATCTACAACCGCAGTCAAATTCTCCGTCTTCTTATGATCCGAATTCGATCGATATTCAATAACCATTTGTGTCAACATTTCCAGCATAAATTGCAATCCTCTTTTCAACCACAGTAATCCTTCAGTTGCGATTCCGAATTTGCCGCCATTTTCAGCCAAATCCGAATCGATTAAATCTTGAAGATACACTTGTGATTCTTTATTTGTCTCGTATTTTGCTCGAACTTTGTTCACATTTCCTTGAATATCGTTTTTCACCAAAATGAAGGCTTTTCCGAGAAATTCTGGAAAAATTGGGGATTTTTTGAGCAAAATAAGGTGAAAATTCATGAATTTTGAGCTCCAGAGCTCAATTTTACATGATTTTTCACCTAAAAATCGATATTTCATTATTTTTCAGCTCCAGATCCCAATTTTACATGATTTTTCAGCTGAAAATCGATATTTTCATCAATTTCGGGTCAAAAATCATGAAATTTCACAATTTTGAGCTCCAGAGCTCAATTTTCACCTAAAAATTGATAATTTCATCAACTCTAGGTTAAAAATCATGAAATTTCATAATTTTGAGCTTCAGAGCTCAATTTTATATGATGTTTCACCTAAAAATCGATAATTTCAGGCCAGAAATCATGAAATTTCATGATTTTTAGCTCCAGATCTCAATTTTACATGATTTTTCCACCAAAAAATCAATAATTTCATAATTTTGAGCTGCAGAGCTCAATTTTACATGATTTTTAACCTGAAAATCGATAATTTTATCAATTTCAGGTCAAAAATCGTGAAATTTCATGATTTTGAGCTCCAGAGCTAAGTTTTACATGATTTTTCATCTGAAAATCCAGATTTTCATCAATTTATAGTCTGAAATCATGAAATTTCACATATTTGAGCTCCAGAGCTCAATTTTACATGATTTTTCACCTAAAACCATGAAATTTCACCATTTTGAGCTCCAGGGCTCAATTTTACATAATTTTTAACCTAAAAATCAATAAATTCATCAATTCTAGGTCAAAAATCGTGAAATTTCACATTTTTCAGCTCCAGAGCTCAATTTCCCATGATTTTTAACCAAAAATCGATATTTTCATCAATTTTAGGTCAGAAATCATCAAATTTCACAATTTTGAGCTCCAGAACTCAAATTTACATGATTTTTAACCCAAAAATTGATATTTCCATCAATTTTGGGTTAAAAATCATGGAATTTCAATGAAATTCCATGATTTTGAGCTCCAGAGTTCAAATTTACATTTTTTTCACCCAAAAATCGATATTTTCATTAATTTAGAGCTCCAGAGCTCAATTTTCACGATTTTTCACCTAAAAATCGATATTTTCATCAATTTCAGGTCAAAAATCATGAAAATTCACAATTTTGAGCTCTCGAGCTCAATTTTACACGATTTTTCACCTGAAAATCGATATTTTCATCAATTTCCGGTCAAAAATCATGAAATTTCACATTTTTCAGCTCCAGAGCTCAATTTTACATGATTTTTCACCTGAAAATCGATATTTTCATCAATTTCAAGTCAGAAATCATGAAATTCCATAATTTTGAGCTCCAGAACTCAATTTTCACCTGAAAATCGATATTTTCATCAATTTCAAGTCAGAAATCATGAAATTTCATAATTTTGAGCTCCGGAGCTCAAAATTACATGATTTTTCACCTGAAAATCGATATTTTCATCAATTTCGGGTCAGAGATCATGAAATTTCATAATTTTGAGCTCCAGAGCTTCATTTTACATGAAAATCAATATTTTCATGAATTTTAGGTCAGAAATAACAAATTTACATAATTTTGAGCTCCAGAACTCAAATTTACATTATTTTTCACTTAAAAATCAATAATTTCATTAATTTAGAGCCCCAAAGTTCAATTTTACATAATTTTCAACCTTAAAATCGATATTTTCATCAATTTCAGGCCAGAAATAGTGAAATTTCATCATTTTGAGCTGCAGAGCTTAATTTTCACCTAAAAATTGATAATTTCATCAACTCTAGGTTAAAAATCGTGGAATTCCATGATTTTGAGCTCCAGGGCTCAATTTTCACCCAAAAATCGATATTTTGATAAATTTCAGGTATAAAATAGTTAAATTTCACCATTTTGAGCTCCAGAGCTGAATTTCATATGATTTTTCACCTGAAAATCAATATTTTCATGAATTTTAGGTCAAAAATCGTGAAATTTCATGATTTTTCACCTAAAAACATCAAATTTCTTGATTTTCATCCCAAAACCAACCCACCAACAAAATCGGCAATTCCCTGGCAAGCGCTCAAAAATTGTTCAGTCGGAATTTTGCCGCCGTCCACCAAATGCGGAAAAAAGTGCTCGGGTTTGGCGAAATACGTCTCTTCGCCCGGTCGATCCGCAAAATCCGTCATTTTTTGGCTGAAAAATTTTTTATTCAGTTTTTCCAGGCAAAAAATAGACAAAATATACATAGAGAACGGAGAAAAATGGAAAATTTTCAAAAGCGGACTTTTTCACGGAAAATTTGAGCTATGACGTGGCAAAGGTGGAGCTTTGCATTTTCAGCAAAACCTAGATTTTGCTGAAAATACAAAGCCGCAGATTTACCACGTCATAACTCTATAAAGCCGATTTATGACGTGGAAAAATCGATACCCTATAAATTGCATCAAAAAATATTTTCAGCCAAATTCAAGATCACGGTGTTTTTCAGCAAATTTTGAAATCTTCACTTAATTCCAAATCTAATATGAAAATAGGTCAAAATTTCAAAATTTTCTGAAAAACACCGTGATCTTGAATTTTGCTGAAAATATTTTTCGAGGCGATTCCTAGGGTATCGATTTTTCCACGTCATAAGTCGCCTTCAGAGAGTTATGACGTGGCAAAACTTGTATTTTCCCCAAAATTTAGGTTTTGCTGACGTCATAGCTCAATTTGAATCACATGTCAAAAAAGTCCCCTTGTGAGAACTTTTATCAGGGAAAAAATCGATAAGAAGAAAAAATTAGAAGAAAAAAAAAGTCAAAAAATGATAAGCAGGTTAGCAATCGAGAAAATTGGCGGCCATCAACAATTCGAGCGCGACTTCTGGTGGAATAATAAATTCAGGAATTTCAGTAGCAGCATTCGTGTAGCGCACTTTATACGCAAAATATTGACACACTTTTTGAAGCACATGCGACGGGATTTCGCGGAAATACACGACGTTGCTCTCGTTTTCCGCATAGACGCCGGGACCGCTAAGCATTGCGCGGATTGTGCCGGAAGTTAGAGCAAGTTCGCGTTTGATGATGAATTCGTGATCGTCGGATGAGACGAGTTTGACATATTCGGATGTTGGACCTTCGATTCCGCCGAATTGTTGTTTGTTGGGTGAACGCTCGTCTGAATTGCTGTCCGATGTCATTTTTGTGCTGAAATTCTTGAATTTTAGAGCGAAAAATGAAGGAGTTAGAGTTAAATTTCAATTTATGAGGCTTTTAACAGTTTCCTTATCCTATTAATCCTATAAAATTTCGAAAAATGCACATTTTCTGAAAAATTCGAATTTTCCCGCCGCAAACCTCTTTCTAACGCCTAAAACTTATTCAAACCTCTGAATTCCGGCATTTTCTAACCTAGGCTAACTCGAAAACCCCCAAGAAATCACCGAAAACCCGCAAAACACAAAAAAAATGACAAAAAATTCAATCAATCGCAAAAATTGGCAAACAGCCAAGGTGCACATGTGCTACCGTAGTTTGTCGCGTTGCGAGACCAATAAAATGCGTGCAGAACAAGAGAGAGCTGCCCGTTGAGATGGGCGGCCGTCGTTTGCCATTCGAATTTCAGCCGGCTCCTCTCTGCAAAAATATTGTTCGTTGTTTTCCTGTTTTTGATGAAGAAATGCTTGAATTTCCTGCTGAAAATGTGCATTTTCAGACGAAATTTGAGCGTTTTTTCAGCATATTTCGTTGATTTTCTCCTAAAATTTTCATAAATCCCATCTAATTTTTTCCAAGCTTTCAGGTAAACTCCCATATCCAACATGTACGCCCAACGTCTTGCTGTTCCACTCGCCCGTTCCCTCCTCGTAAGTTTTTTTTTCAATTTTTTGATTTTCAGAGGGAAATTTTTGAAAGTTTCAGGAGATTAAAATTTCCATATCTGGGAAAAGAAATAAATAATTTTTGTCTAAGCTTGCCTGCAAACAATGTTTCCCAGATCTTGAAATTTCAACTCCTCATCCTCAATATTTTTCAAAATACTCATTTATAAAACAAAACTATTTTATAGGTCTCGAGAGCCCCACTTGCTCTTCGCATGGAATCGGCTATTGCCACCCGCATGATCAGCACCACCGTTGCTCGCAAGGATATCGACTCCGCCGCCAAATACATCGGAGCTGGAGCCGCCACCGTTGGAGTCGCTGGATCAGGAGCCGGTATCGGAAACGTTTTCGGAGCCCTCGTCATCGGATACGCCCGTAACCCATCACTCAAGCAACAACTCTTCTCATACGCTATTCTTGGATTCGCTTTGTCCGAGGCTATGGGACTTTTCTGCTTGACTATGGGTTTCATGATCTTGTTCGCTCTCTAAATTACTCCACCAATCAATACACCACCGTTTTGTTTTTTTAGCCAATTGTTTTTATTTCCTAAAAATTTTTATAATGTTGGGAAGGGGCTAACCTTTGCCCTCATTCTTCTTCTAAGAAACACGGCGGCATGGGGAGTTCCGACCTTATGTAATGTATTAGTTCGAATAAACCTTTTTTCGACTAGCCTCTCTGTGTTGTATAGTTTTAACCCCCAAACTGAATGAACTCTTTTTGAACAAATATTATAAGATGCTTTATTATATAATGCAATATTTCCTGATCAAAAAAACATAATGAGATTCATTGTTTGTTAACCTAGGTAAGTGAGTTAGTAGTGTTAGTAGAGGTAAACAGTTAGATAGGTACAATATATACAAATTTCAAAGAAAATTACCAAAAAGATGACTCAGGAGGTTGAAAATAATCATGAATAGAATTTGCGACCTGCGCAATTAAATCTGCAAAATTAGCGATTGTGGAGAATATCAAATTGAAGACGAGATGAATAATCTGAGCAATGAAGCGAATTAGATATGAAACATTTTCGCCGAGATTTTCGCCCAATTCATGGCATCCGAAAGAAAGCTGCAATTATTTTACAAATATCAATATTGGGAAAAGAAGTTCGGCTAACTCACATTATCAGTAATACCAATCCAAATCGCTGAGAAAAGTGTGCCAAAAACGGAGAATCCGGAGGCTAAAGTGGCGAAAAACTGGGATATACCGTGTCCGATTTGATCAGCCAAAATTGACATTTCAAATGGAATTCGATGCGCGAAAAATACGGGATCTGTTTGGTGGCAAAGTGCGTTGAAAAGTGGAGAAAATGGTCCGGCGAAATATCTGGAAGGAGGGAAAAGGTGATTTTTAAGGTTTCTAAAGGGTTCTGAAGGCTTTAGAGGGCTTTGGGGACCTTAAAGAGCTTTAGAGAGTTTCTAAAGGCTTCTGGAAGGCTTTAGAGACCTTAAAGGGCTTTAGAGCGTTCCTAAAGGCTTTTAAAGGCTTCTGGAAGTCTTTAGAGGGCTTTTAAAGGCTTCTGGAAGGCTTTAGAGACCTTAAAGAGCTTTAGAGAGTTTCTAAAGGCTTTAGAGGGCTTTTAAAGGCCTCTGGAAGGCTTTAGAGACCTTAAAGACACGTAGAAAACTAGAAATGTGTGTTCGAAATCGTAAAAATTTGAACACGCGCCTTTTTTCAAAGTTGTGTGTTGTTCGTTTGAAAAAAAGAAATAAATAAATAAAAAGTGGTGGTACGGTATGCTAAGAATGCACACATGTGCGGCAAATCACGAACATTTGTGCAAACACCAAATTTTGCGTCGGCTGAGCGATTTCAAAAAAGGCAATTTCTTTTTTTGACTTTCGTTAAACTCAATATTTTTCAATTTTGTTTATGTACTTCCACTATTTGAAGGATGATAAAAAACATGCAAATAAGGATTTTTGAACGATTTCTAGTTTTCTACGTGTCTTTAAAGGGCTTTAGAACGTTTCTAAAGGCTTTTAAAGGCTTCTGGAAGTCTTTAGAGGGTTTTTAAAGGCTTTAGAGGGCTTTTAAAGGCTTCTGGAAGGCTTTAGAGCGTTTCTAAAGGCTTTCAAAGGGTTCTGAAGGCTTTAGAGACCTCTTAAGGGCTTTAGAGGGCTTTTAAAGGCTTCTGGAAGGCTTTAGAGACCTTAAAGGGCTTTAGAAGGTTTCTAAAGGATTTCAAAGGGTTCTGAAAGCTTTAGAGGGCTTTTAAAGGCTTTAGAGACCTTAAAGGGCTTTCAAAGGGTTCTAAAGGCTTTAGAGGGCTTTTAAAGGCTTTTGAAAGGCTTTGGGGACCTTAAAGGGCTTTAGAGAGTTTCTAAAGGCTTTCAAAGGGTTCTAAAGGCTTTAGAGACCTCTTAAGGGCTTTAGAGGGCTTTTAAAGGCTTCTGGAAGGCTTTAGAGACCTTAAAGGGCTTTAGAAAATTTCTAAAGGCTTTAGAGGGCTTTTAAAGGCTTCTGGAAGGCTTTAGAGACCTTAAAGGGCTTCAGGGACTTCAAAGGGCTTTAAGAACCCTAAAAGGGCTTTAGAGGGCCTTAGCTCAAAACTACAGTCTTGTTTGGTGTCAAAAAATCCCCAATTTTCGCCACATAACATACCTGCAAAACCATCCCTCATCCGGAACTTCAGTAGGCCAAAAAATGGCCCGAATCACGGCCAAAAATGTGAAAAGTGTGCAGAATCCGACAAAAACGAACGCGAAAATGTTCCAAATCGATTTCAAATCATCAGCATTTTCCACCCAATTAAAATTTCGCAAAAACGCCGCGATTTCGCCAAATTTCAGACGAATTTCAGCCAATTTTTGCTGAAAATCCGGCTCATTTGGTGGCATTGGCAGCGGTTCGCCTTTGATTTCCTCTTCGAGATTTTCGGGGAGAATTTCGACGGAAATCTCAGATGTTGGGGGAGTTAGATTGGAGGAAGGTGGAACTTCGATCTGTAAAAAAAAATTTTGGGGGATTTTTAGTGGAAAATTAAGCTCCGCCCCTTTTCTGCAAGCCTGGCACAGTTTTTTTGAAGGAAAATGGGAAAATTAGTGGGTTTTAGGGGTAAATTTGAAAATTCTAAGCTCCGCCCCCTTTTTTCTGCAATCCTGGCGCAGTTTTTTTGAAGGAAAATGGGAAAATTAGTGGGCTTTGGGGGTAAATTTGAAAATTCTAAGCTCCGCCCCTTTTCTGCAAGCCTGGCACAGTTTTTTGAAAGAAAATGAGAAAATTAGTGGGTTTTGGAGGTAAATTTGAAAATTCTAAGCTCCGCCCATTTTCTGCAAGCCTGGCACAGTGTTTTTTAAAGTTGCAAGAGGAGCTAAATTTTTTGAATTTTCAAATTTCGCGCAAAAAACCTTCTGTTCCAAAAAAATTGCAATTTCAGGGCACAGTTTTTCGATGATTACAAAAATTTGTGTGAAATTTGAAGCTCCGCCCCTTTTCTGCAAGCCTGGCACAGTTTTTTTTTCCAAATTTGAACATTCAATTTTCGCGCAAAAAACCTTCGGTTCCAAAAAAAACTGCAATTTCAGGGCACAGTTTTTTTTTCGATGATTAAAAATTTTGCTGTGAAATTTGAAGCTCCGCCCCTTTTCTGCAAGCCTGGCACAGTGTTTTTTTAATTTGAAAATTCAAATTTCCCGCCAAAGCTTAACTAAATTTTTTGAATTTTCAAATTTCGCGCAAAAAACCTTCTGTTCCAAAAAATTGCAATTTCAGGGCACAGTTTTTTTTCGATAATTAAAAATTTTGCTATCAAATTTGAAGCTCCGCCCATTTTCTGCAAGCCTGGCACAGTGTTTTTTTGAATTTGAAAATTCAAATTTCCCGCCAAAAAACCTTCTGTTCCAAAAAATTGCAATTTCAGGGCACAGTTTTTTCGATAATTAAAAATGTTGGTGTGAAATTTGAAGCTCCGCCCCTTTTTTTCTGCAAGCCTGGCACAGTGTTTTTTAAATTTGAAAATTCAAATTTCGCGCCAAAGATTACCTAAATTTTTTGAATTTTCAAATTTCGCACAAAAAACCTTCTGTTCCAAAAAATTGCAATTTCAGGGCACAGTTTTTTTTCGATAATTAAAAATTTTGCTGTGAAATTTGAAGCTCCGCCCCTTTTCTGCAATCCTGGCACAGTTTTTCTCACCTCCTGTACAGTAACAGTTGGAATCAGAACCATTTCTCTAGCCTTTGATGATGGTTGGGAAGACGGAGTTGAGCTAACTGAAAATAAAAGACAATTTTTTTATTTGCTCACAAAAGTTTTTGTGCTCTTTTTCTTGTTGGAGCATTCTTTTTCACAGGAAAAGAAAAGAAAGAAAGGAAAATTTGAAAGAAAAAACAAACAACTTTTTTTCTAGAGCAAGGAAAACTCATGTGATGAGCACAAGCGGGAAAAAATATTATTGATTGATTTTCAGGCGCCAAAAAACTACAGTAACGAAACTAGACTCTAGTTGTCCAGAAATTTTGGAAAAAACCAACCTGTTTTACTTTTTTTGGCGCCAAAAAGTTTTGTGGAAATGTTGGAAACCATGCTGAAAAGTTAGAATTTTGGGGGAAAACATTAAAAAAATTTTGAGTTCCGGGAAAAATGAAAAATGAGTGCGCAAGAAAAAATTTCCGAATTTTAATCCTGAAATTAATTTTTTTTTTCGAAAAAAAATTTTGTTTACTTTTGGAGTTACAAATGGATTAGATGCATTGGGTAAATAGGAAAATTATGCGGGGAGGGAAAATTTTGAATTCAAAAATTTAAAAAAAAACTAGAGTCTAGTTTTGCCACGTGGATTTATAAACAGATGAAATTTTCAAAGGAATGAAGATAAACTAGACTCTAGTTTTGCTATTACTGTAGTTTTTAGCGGGAAAATTTTGAAAAAAAATTTTTGACGTCAAAAATGAATTTCCAGATATCTACAAAACTACAGTCTAGTTTTGCCACGTGGATTTCTAAACAGAATTCTTGAAAATTAGAGGAAATTAAACTAGACTCTAGTTTTCTTGGCAGGAAAATTTTGAAAAAATATAAATTCAAAATGTTTGACGTCAAAAATGAATTACAAAACTAGAGTCTAGTTTCAGAAATTTTTAAAAATTTAGACTAAACTCTAGTTTTGTTACTGTAATTCTTGGCATCATTAAAACCCCAATTTTTCGCGGGAAATTCAAATTTTTTGATGAAAAATCTTAGCAAAAGTGAAAAAGTATCGAAAATATGTGGAGAGAAAAAGAGAAATTCAATATTATTTATTTAAAATATTCATTCACACCACCTGACATTTTTGGTGGAATAAAAGAAGAAAGAAGAAAATTTGGAACAATGCCAAAAATTTTGAATTCTATTATTTATTCATAAATTTGTTTGCACCCACCAAAAATCCGAAAAAATTGGGATGCGCGCGAAAAAATTGAATTTGAAAATTTTTTTTTTGAAAAAATGCTCTAAACTAGACTCTAGTTTAGATATCTTCATTCTTTAAAAATCCACGTGGCGCCAAAAAACTCACTAGTTTTCCGTGTAAAATAAATCTTGGGCTCTTCTTCCTCCTCCTGAATTTCCTCAGATTTTTCGTCAAGATAAGCTCGCCTGGCTTCCAAATACGAAGAATATCGATTTTCGACTTCTGAAATTTCAAATTTCAATTGAAAATTCAGCAAAATCCAGCGAAAATACCGTATTTTGAGACCATTTTTAGCAATTTTTCGAAAAAATTCCCAATTTTTCGAAAAAATTCCCAATTTTTCGGGGGGAAAACGGATATTACACAGAAAAATTATGTGAATTTGTGAAAATTTGAAGAGCAAAACAAATACAGCATTTTTGGCGCCAAAAAAGCGCTTTTGGCACAGATCCAACAAAAAAAAGCCATGGAAAAAAGAGGGTGGAGAAAAAGAGGGACAAAATCACGTGCACCCTCTCCTCTCCCTCTGCGCACTCTGCGTCTCTCACTTCTCCACACTCTCTCTCTCTCTCTCGCCTCCATTTTTGCATTATTATGGATAATTGTTATTATTGTTGTGGACAGCGAAAATAAAAACAAATTAAATTGAATAAAATGAAATATTGTGACTAATTTCTCCTGGAAAATGGAAGAGAAATTATAATACTTAGAAAACCCGTTTTTTGTCCGGGATTTTTGAGTTAGCCTAAATATGATTAGACTCAGCTTGTAGAGAATTTCAAGAGCTACAAAATGATGTATAATGATATCGGGGAATTTCTAGATTTTCATATGGAAAATCCTGAAAACTAGAGAGCTCTCAAGAACAAAAATTCTGCGCAAAAATGAAAAATTCAAATTTTTAATGTGAGAACAAAAAACTACGATGCTCCTCATTAACACCCGATTTTCTGGCTGCAAAAATCGAAAAAGCTCGAACTAAACTCTAGTTTGGATTTTTTTCTTGGAACTTTGAAGTTTTTCTGTAGCCCATTTCACTGGAAACAAAAATCGAGTTATGACGTGGCAATTTGATTTTAGAGAAAAAATATTTTTTCAGAATTTTGTTTGTGTTTTTACAATAGAAAAATCATGCCAGGGTTGCAAAAAGCTAGATTTTCCTAATTTTCGACTGAAAAACCATGCCAGGATTGCAAAAAAAGGGGCGGAGCTTATTTTCTGTCAATTTTCAGTAGAAAAACCGTGGCAGCCTTGAAAAAAGCTAGATTTTCCTAATTTTCGACTAAAAAACCATGCCAGCCTTGCAAAAAAAAGGCGGAGCTTATTTTCTGTCAATTTTCAGTAGAAAAACCGTGGCAGCCTTGAAAAAAGCTAGATTTTCCTAATTTTCGACTGAAAAACCATGCCAGGATTGCAAAAAAAGGGGCGGAGCTTATTTTCTGTCAATTTTCAGTAGAAAAACCGTGGCAGCCTTGAAAAAAGCTAGATTTTCCTAATTTTCGACTAAAAAACTGTGCCAGGCTTGCAAAAAGCTAGATTTTCCTAATTTTCGATAGAAAAACCATGCCAGCCTTGCAAAAAAAAGGCGGAGCTTATTTTCTGTCAATTTTCAGTAGAAAAACCGTGGCAGCCTTGAAAAAAGCTAGATTTTCCTAATTTTCGACTAAAAAACTGTGCCAGCCTTGCAAAAAGCTAAATTTTCCTAATTTTCGATAGAAAAACCATGCCAGCCTTGCAAAAAAAGGGGCGGAGCTTATTTTCTGTCAATTTTCAGTAGAAAAACCGTGGCAGCCTTGAAAAAAGCTAGATTTTCCTAATTTTCGACTGAAAAACCATGCCAGGATTGCAAAAAAAGGGGCGGAGCTTATTTTCTGTCAATTTTCAGTAGAAAAACCGTGGCAGCCTTGAAAAAAGCTAGATTTTCCTAATTTTCGACTAAAAAACTGTGCCAGGCTTGCAAAAAGCTAGATTTTCCTAATTTTCGACTGAAAAAACTGTGCCAGGATTGCAAAAAACTAGATTTTCCTAATTTTCGACTAAAAAACTGTGCCAGGATTGCAAAAAACTAGATTTTCCTAATTTTCGACTGAAAAAACTGTGCCAGGGTTGCAGGAAAAGGGGCGGAGCCTAGATCACAGCAAATTTTTTTCTACGTGACCTCAAATAAAAAATCATTGCAGAATGTGTTTTTCACGCGGCACACACATCTGGGCGGAGCCTAATAAAATCCTGTTTTTACTCGTTTTTTGAGGATTTGAACCCGAATTTCAGGGAAAAGTTGATTTTTCACTATCAGAATTGAGCAAAGAAGGGTTGAGGGAGGTCCGGAAGACAGATAATTGCTTATTAATCTCCTAATTCCGCTCAAAATGACGTTTCTCCATATTTTTCTCGATTTTCCCAGGAAAGACAATAAACTTTTGATTCAAAAAACTATTACTACTTGAAAAATTATCAACTACTTCTAAAAATGTAGTTTGAGCATGTTTCTTTCGGTTTCGGCTTCAAAAACACATTTTTTGTGAAAAAAAACACAAAAAAAGACATTTTTTTTGCGAAAATACTGTAGCGACACGTGAAATTGTGCAATGAGAAAATGCGTAGTGAAAAATTTGCTGTGCTAGATTTTTGAGCAAGAAGCTTAAAATGTCTTCAAAATTAAAAAACCCCCCGAAAAATTCTAACCTGAGCAATTGATTAATAGTTTGATTAGCATATGGATGTATCGAATTCGAAACCCTTTTCGATCCAACCGAATCAATTTCATCAATAAAAATAATACAAGGTGCACGAGCTTTTGCCTTCTCAAATAAATCCCTCACTCTTCTGGCTCCTTGTCCAACTAAAACCTCATCGAATTCACTGCCTGATGTGTGAAAGAATGGAACTTGTGCTTCGCCAGCAATTGCACGAGCTAACAGAGTTTTTCCGGTTCCAGGCGGTCCGACGAGAAGAACACCTTTTGGAAGGCGGCCACCGAGACGAGAATATTTTTCGGCATCTTTTAGGTAGGAGACGATTTCTGCCACTTCTAGTTTTGCTTCATCCATCTGCAAAATTTGAATTTTCATTGATTTCGCGATAAATTAGAGAAAAAAAACTAAGATTTTCTGGGCTTTTCGCTATTTTTCCCAAAATCAATAAAAAAAAACAATTTTTCGAGCAGAAAAAATAATAAAAAAAACGTGACGTGAACCTCCACGTGGAATTGCCAATTTTCTTTGAAAAATCCCCAAATTTTCGACCATTTCTGGTTCTATTTAACCAATGAAGTAAAATGAGCAAAAATGAGCACTTGAAAATAACAATTTCGTTTATATTATTTCTAATAACTTCGACGTTTGCTCAACAATTTTTGAATCCAAAATGTGATGAGAAAGTTCTTGAAACTGGTTTACCCAAAAACTCGACACTTTTTCTATTTATGGTTGGATTTGGTGATAAAAATGTGAGTTTTTAGAGATTTTTTGATGGGAAAATGTGTGGAAAATGAATGAATGATTTCAGATAGAGGAAGTATTTTATGTTTTGAAACAAACAACTTGTTGGCTACCCAAAAATGAAACAATTAAAGCGACTGTTTTGCTTCAGGGAAGCAGGGGAATTATAATTGAAGATTTCAAAAATTTCGATGTTGTTCGTGGAAAAATGAAAAGCGAGGCTATATCAGCTACAAATTCTGTTGTAAATGAAAAACCGTTTACCCCAAGATGTTCTGAATTTTTAAAAGATCTCAAAGTTATCAAGGATTTATCCACTTCGACGCTCAAAGAATTCTCCCAAATCTTCCTGATTGCACATCAATCAACTTTCGCCGATCAATGTGATTATTATGCAAAGTTCAAAGATGCTAAACTCAACAATTCTACATTCAAATTCGCAATGATCCGCTTCGATGACACAACATCTGATGAATATCCTACATTGAACATCAAGCCTGCCCAAATTAAAGTTGCCGATGCTCAAGCTTCCCCCGATCTTCGAACATCATCCGGCAATTTGTAAGTGAAACATCTCGGTCTTCCCTAGAAAAATCTATATTTTTCAGCATCAACGGACTTGTGACAACTAAAAATGCAGATAGTGAAGCAGTTGAACTTTCTATTTGGGAAATTATTGGAATCATTTGTGGAGGTGTTGTTATTGTTGTAGTTTTGGTGAGCGGAATTGTTGCTTTTGTTGTTTGGAAGAAGAAAAAGAAGGGCAAGAAATCGAAAAAACCGGATCCGGAAGGTAGTAACGAGAAAACAAAATTGTCTACATTGTCAACATCGCCAATACCTGCGAAAAATACATTGATTTCGCCAATTGAAAAAAAATCCAAAAACAGCAAGGAAGAGAAGAAAGAGGAAAAAAAAGAAGAGAAGAAAGAGGAAAAGAAAGAGGAAAAAAAAGAAGAGAAGAAAGAGGAAAAGAAAGAGGAAAAAAAAGAAGAGAAACCAGAGGAGAAAAAAGTGGAGGATATGAAGGATGAAAACAAAACTTGTAAAACTTCACTTAAAGACAGAAAGGGTTATAATGCGTCCTTAATTAAATTTCAAGAAGACGCTTTCGATCAATTTTCGGACCTAACACAAAATGCCACCACACAAGGACCATCCACGAAAAAATGAGAGAAACTCGAGAATGAAAAATTATTTGGTCTTTTTTGTTGATATTGTATGTACAATTAGACAGTTTTGCAGCGAAAAATCTGAAATTCTTCGAATTTCAGAAAAATTTGAGCAGCGCTTCGCTACCGCCAATTAGCGATAAACAATCAAAATGCGCAAGGTTTTGTTGTTTTGTGTGACCGACGGCTGGCGGGTTGTGCGCTTTGACAAGTTGTGTGTGGCAAAGGGGCGGGGCGTATTTTGTTTATTTTTGAGAGCTCTCTAGTTTTCAGGGTTTTCCAGATGAAAATCTTGAAGGTTCCTAGCATTGATAGACATCATTTTGTAGCCCTTGAAATTCTCTACAAGATGATTCTAGATACATTTAGGCTAACTCCAAAATTCAAGGAGAAAAGGGTGCTCAAACGCCGTGTCGAGATAAAAATCCCAAAAAATATATGGTTTTCCCGGTAAAATTTCCAGATATTGAAAAAAATCGTGGATTTCACGAATCAAAGTTCATATGATCAGTTCCAGAAAAATCAGCCACACCTAAGAAAAAATGGGTTTTCATCTACTATATAAATTGACAAATGTTCTTCCATTTACCCATAGTATTTTTCTTCCTTCTTCTCTTAAACTAAGTCTAATTGTAACTAAATATGTTTGATAATATAGAAATTGCTGAAAATGACCCGGTTTTCTGTGTTTTCGAAAACTTCAAAGCCGATCAAAATCCACGAAAAATCAATTTAAGTGTTGGAGCATATCGAGATGAATTTGTGAGTTCCCCCAAAGTTTTTAACGCTGAAAATCATTAATTTTCAGGAGAACCCAGTGATTTTCAAAGCGGTAAAGCTTGCTGAAAAACTAATTTCAGAAAATAAAGAATACACGCAGATTACCGGTATTTCGCAATTCAATAATCTAGCTGCCGAACTAATTTTCGGCCAGAAGAATATCAACACAAATCACTTTTTCACTTGTCAAACAGTTTCTGGAGCTGGTGCTTTATTTCTAGGCGCGCAGTTCTTGGCGAAGTTCTTGCCACACAAAATAATCTACTATTCGCAGCCGACTTGGGTCAATCATCATTTTATTTTTGAACAAGCCGGCTTGGAAATGAGATCTTATCGGTATTATGATGAGAAGACTCGGGGAATTGATGAGGATGGGTTTTTGGAGGATGTTAGAGGTGGGGAAAGGGATCTAGATAGCAGAACTACTAAGCCTAAGCTTTGTTTAAGCGATGCCGGAAGGTTCGGCGATTCTCCTCCAAGTTTGTGGACACAACCCTACTGGCCTTGATCCCTCCGAAGAACTTTGGACGAAAATCTTTGAACATCTCAAAGCCCTGCCGTTTTTCGATATGGCTTATCATGGTTTCGCCAGTGGAGACATCGAAAAAGACACATTTCCTATCAGACAATTTGTGGGGACAACTCGAAAAGACGCGTTGGTCGCGCAATCCAGGCCTGTGCCGGAAATTTTCCGAATTTTCCGAATTTCCGGATTTTCCGGTTTTTTCACGGAAAAATCAATTTTCCGGTTTTCCGGAAAATGTGCTCGGAAAATCCGGAAATGATCTCTAGTAGTAATATTTTCAAAATTGCCTAAATTTTGGAAAATTTTCTCAGTTTATGATAGAAAAAATGAAATTTTTGGAAATTTTTTTTTTCAATTTTTCAAATGTTATTATTTTTTGAACGTAAGACGTCTCAAATAGTTACTAAATTACCTGTGAATAGAAGAATTGTAGATAAAAATAAGTTTTAGAGCCAACGTAAGGCTGGAAATCGAAATTTCAGACTTTGAAAAATTTTCCGGATTTTCCGGATTTCCGGTTCAAAAATCCGGAAATTTTCCGACTTTCCGTTTTCCGGGTTTTGATTTTCCGGCACAGGCCTGGCGCAATCATTCGCCAAAAATATGGGATTATATGCGGAGAGAGTTGGAACGCTTTCAGTGATTTCAGCGGCGGGGAATGCGAAGGCTGCTGGCTCACAGATTCGACAATTGGTTTCAGCGACCTATTTGAATCCACCTTGTCATGGCGCGAAAATTGTGAAGACTATTTTAGGAGACTGTGATTTAAAGGTATATGAGGGCTGGACTCAAAGTCCAAATCCAAATCCAAATTTCCAGAAAATCTGGCTTGACGAACTTCACGATATGTCAAATCGCATCAAGGAAATGAGAATAGCTTTGAAAGCGAATCTAGAAAAAAGGGGCTCGAAAAAGTGTTGGTCACACATTATCAAGCAAACCGGAATGTTCTGCTATTCGGGTCTGAATTTGGGACAAGTCCAAGAACTTCGCGAAAAATACTCCATCTACATGCCAAATGATGGGCGAATCAATATGTCGGGAGTGAATCCGTGGAATATTGATTTTTTGTCGATGGCGATTTTTGAGGTCGCCGGATGATCAATGTATACAGTGCTATTTGAACAACCAGCCAGAAAATTTTTATCACATTTTTCGAAAATGAATCAGCGAAAAGTACACAAAATTGATGTCATATGCAAAAACTACTATTTAGCATTTGGGGAAAAAATGTCTTGTTTCTATGGCTGCATAAAAACACAGAATAGCGTTTTCAGAAGTTTTAGTAAAACAGATTCAGAACACCGTGACGTCAGTAGTGTGAACGCATATGGTTTCCACGTCATAGTAATCCACGTGTCTGCTAACGTGGTATCCGCGTTAGGTTTAATACGAGGCGAGCTCAGAAAAACTTGTGTTTTCAAAATACGTCCAGTGGATTGGTGCGTGCAAACACTGCGACGCACTTTTGCGTACAACCCGAAAAAAAAACTCCTTGGAAGAGAACGGAAATGGCCTAGTCAGAGGCTTCTTGGGTGGTCTCGGCCAACCGGAATAGCTGTCTACCTGCCTTTAATTCATACCACGCCCAGGGTGAGGCATATGCACGGCGCCAATAAAAATTTACAGAAATTCACCTCGCCAATTTCAGATTTTTTCGAAAAACAGCAAATTTTTGCTTGTTTTTCCGTTAAAAAGTGGTATTTTTCAGTCGAAAAGGTTGTTTTCACCTTGCCAAAAAATTTCAAAAGCCACACCGCCAATTTTTGAAGTTAATTTGCACGAAGCTGGGCGTGGTATGCTTTAATTCCTAGTTCAGCCAAAAAGTCACACAAACTTTGCCACGTCATAACTCATAGTAAACAGGATCGTGACAAATAGGTCAAAATCTACCAAAAAAATCTCGATCTTTCAAACTTTGTACACACTCTGTGCTTTGCTATTTTCCAACATCAAATCATTTATCATCGTTTTCCTCGAAAGTATATGGTTCGATAAGCCGCAATTCCTTATCACATCATTCAATATAAGTCTCCCCGTTTCATTTTTCTTTTCAATTTGTAGTCTTCGACCAAACAACACACCCGCTTCTCTGCCCCCGCTCTCTCCCCTCCCCACACTCTCTCACCCCTATTGCGAAATATTATCCAACATTGGGTCGGTGTGTCTCAACAATGCGAAACTCCGCCTCACAAGCCACTCACATGATGTTTTTTGCGCGCGTTTTTGTGCGGTTTTTCAGCGGGATAATTATGATTTTTTTGCAGAAAGGGACTTTTTCGAGGTCCCCGACCCATTGCCGGTAAACAAAAGTTCACACTTGTTCAACGCAAAGTTTCAGCTTCACTTTTCTACAAAGGTAAGTCCTTATATACCAAAAAAAAAAGTTTGGGGTAACATTGGGTAATATTGTGAAATCGCAAAGTCTGAGCAATCTTCTCTTATACTCCCAAATATTCCACGTCATAACTTTCGAATACCAATCAATAATCATTTCAGGAAGCCCTCTAGTCTCCGTCGCGAGCTCGTTTGTCACTAGACTTCAACGATCTACCTTCCGACTTTTTCGAATCAACACAATGTTCCAATCAGCAGCTGCCTGTACCACAATGTTCTTCCAACCACAACAACAGCAACTTCAAGAGTTCGGCCTGTGTGCCGAACTCAACCCAACTCGGGTTTTTGACGACGCCACCATCACCGCCACTACCTCCGATGGCTCGATCGCCGCCTGCGGATCCGCGCCAGTTTTTAGACCTCGACATGTTCCTGGACTCTCCATTCTACCATCACCCTCACCAAGTACCAAATCAATCGCGTCGGTTCGATTCGCCGAGTTGCGCGTTAATTGTGGATCTGGGGCAGGAGCAGGAGCAGCAACAGCAAACGGCACACGACGAGCGAGCCATGAATTCGTCGAACAATATTTTGAATGAGCCAAACGCCGCGTTTAACAACAGTTATTTGTATGGTGAGTTGGAAGGAAGATTGCTCAGATTTAACTTGCGTACTAAATAGAAGAGCTCAGTTCTGAATAAGACAGTGGTGTAATGTCTGAAATAGGATATTGAATGTGAGCGTGTATTCCGCAGGATTCCGCGTCAGATTACTGTGACGTATACCTCTTGTAGCTTACAAGCTTGTTAGCAGTCATATCCCATGTCATAGTCACAATCCACGTGGCCGCTGAAGCGGAAGACAGTGCCGCTGACGCGGAAGCTTGCGGTCTACACTCGCTACGCTCGAGGCATGGAAACCGGTCATTTTGCAGCTCAAAATTGACCGAAAATCACGAATTTCAGCCTTCTAGATTTCAAAATTGATGAAATTTAGGTCGAAATTCTAAAAACACTCATTTTCAACCTAAAATTAATTTCAGATCAATTTTTAGAGCTGGAATTCATCAATTTTGAACTCTAGAAATCTGAAATCCATGAATTTCGGTCAATTTTGAGCAGAAAAAGTGTCTAGTATTCCACGTGGCCGCTATTGCTCATTTTAGGCTCGGCCGGAAGCTTCCGCTTAGCAGCCACGCAAATTACTATGACGTTTACCATATCATAGCAATCCACGTGGACGCTAAAGCGGAAGATAGTGCCGCTGACGCGGAAGATGCGCGGTCTACACTCGCTTCGCTCGAAAAAAAAGTCCTCGAGCGTAGCGAGTATAAATCGCAAGCTTCCGCGTCAGCGGCCACGTGGATTACTATGACGTTTACCATATCATAGCAATCCACGTGGCCGCTGAAGCGGAAGATAGTGCCGCTGACGCGGAAGATGCGCGGTCTACACTCGCTTCGCTCGAAAAAAAAGTCCTCGAGCGTAGCGAGTATAAATCGCAAGCTTCCGCGTCAGCGGCACTATCTTCCGCTTTAGCGGCCACGTGGATTACTATGACGTTTACCATATCATAGCAATCCACGTGGCCGCTGACGCGGAAGCTTGCGGTCTACACTCGCTTCGCTCGAAAATCATTCTCATCTCGTTCCAGACTTCAACACAACCTCCGATTTCAACGACATTGACAATTTGATGCAATGCGATATCTCATCGCTTGACAACTTCATTCACCACGATTCTTCTTCCTCACCCACAACTTCAACTTCAACTTCAACCACTCATTCTTTAACCGATCTCGAACCGATCGACGAATTCTTCCCCGAATTGACTCATAACAACAAATGTAAGAGAAAGAATTCTAGAAATATTTTTTAAACAAAACTATTATAACTTACTTCTAGATCCCCGCAAATCTTCCACATCCTCATCAACAAATTCCACCGAAAACATCTCCGAATATCGTCAAAAACGCGACAAAAACAACATTTCGTCACAAAAATCGCGCGCGAAACGAGAGGCAAAAGTTCGTGAAACTTATGCCGAAAAAGAGCGACTTGAGCGAAGAAATGGCGATTTGAAGGCGATGGTGAGAAGTTTGGAGGAACAAGTGGCGGATTATAAAAAATATGGTTATGATGTTCATTAAACCGAGGGATTAAATCATTTTTTCTTCGGTTCACCCCCTTTTTTTTCCTTTTTGTATTTATCTTCTTTATTCTAAAGTAGTTATAGTATTTTTTCTTTTTTTTTTGAAATATTTATCGAATAAACCATCATTTTTGAAAAAACAAACAAAAAAGGTCTCACACCAATCTACTCGTGTAGTTCTCCCGGAGAAGTTTTCAGGATTTTCAGACGCTTTATGTGAGTTTTAGGAGCAACTTTTTGAAAAAAAAACAAAAAATAAAAATCAAGGCGCACATATTTTTCAAATTTGGTCTCACACCGATTCGCGCATTCGTGTAGTTCTCCCGGACAATTTTTCATTTTCGAGCTCAGCTTGTTTTTCACCGCATTTTCCTAGCTAGTCTTTAGTTAAAGAAACCTTGTCGAATGACGTAATTCAAAGAGGCAAACGCGCCCCATCGATAAATATCTCCGTCTCTTTCTGTTTCATCATTTTTTGCCAAGTTTCAGCTGTTTTTTCGTTTTTTTCTGTCATCCTGGATTATTTTTTTTCATTATTTTCAGACAGAAAAAAGAGAATGCAATCGATAAATCTGAACGTTGGCGGATTATTACAAAATAGCGCGATTTTACGAGGAGGAAGCAGAACTAGCGGTAAGAATTGATATTTAGTTATTTTTCGGGCGGAAAAATTAAAATAAAAATATTTTTCAGCAGTCGGAAAATCAGAAGCTGCAGCGTTGCAAATCTCACGAGCATATTTGTCAGTTTGGCGACAATGTGGCAAAGTTGCACCGCAAGTTTTACGCGATGCAATTTTGTCGAATCGAAAATTGATGAAAACACCGATTTCGATGAATTTTCCGGAAAATGAGACGATTTTGAAGATTCTACCAGCATCTGGAACGCTTTGTGAGTTTTTTTTCTGGACGCGCGGAAGCTTCCGCGTCAGCGGCCACGTGGATTGCTATGATATGGCAAACGTCATAGTAGTTAGCGTGGCTGCTGACGCGGAAGCTTCCGGTCGAGCCTAAAATGAGCAATGTGGAATACCAGCCACATTTTCTGCTCAAAATTAACCAAAACTCGTGAATTTTGGACTTCTAGAGTTCAAAATTGATGAATTTCAGGTCAAAACTCTCATTTTCAACCTGCAATTAATTACAGATCAATTTCACGGCTGAAAATGATAATTTTGACCTAAAATTCATCAATTTCGAACTCTAGAAGTCTGAAATTCATGAGTTTTGGTCAATTTTAAGCTAGTTTGCCACGTCATAGTAATCGAGCCTGCCTGAACCTTGAAATTTCCTCAATTTTCTTGAAAAACTCGGATTTTCTGGAAAATGTTGAAATTTTAAGGTTCTCGCGCGGGGAACCTATCGCCAATTTTTTCCCTGAAAAAACTACGATGCTCCGCATTTACACCATCAAAATTGACCCATTTTCCATCAATTTTAAAGATGTGAATGCGGAGTATCGTTTGAAAAACGTCAATTCGATGCCTGAACCTTAAAATTTCAACAATTTTCATGAAAAATCTGGAAAATGCTGAAATTTTGAGGTTTTCGCGCAGGGGAACCTATCGCCAATTTTTTCCTGACAAAACTACGATGCTCCACGTTTACACCATCAAAATTGACCCATTTTCCATCAATTTTGAAGGTGTGAATGCGGAGTATCGTTTGAAAAACGTCAATTCGATGCCTGAACCTTAAAATTTCAACAATTTTCATGAAAAATCTGAAAATTGTTGAAATTTTGAGGTTCTCGCGCAGGCGAACCTATCGCCAATTTTTTTAAATGAAAAAACTACGATGCTCCACGTTTACATCATCAAAATTGACCCATTTTCCATCAATTTTGAAGGTGTAAATGCGGAGTATCGTTTGAAAAACGTCAATTCGATGCCTGAACCTTAAAATTTCAGCAATTTCTGAAAATTGTTGAAATTTTGAGGTTCTCGCGCAGGCGAACCTATCGCCAATTTTTTTAAATGAAAAAACTACGATGCTCCACGTTTACATCATCAAAATTGACCCATTTTCCATCAATTTTGAAGGTGTAAATGCGGAGTATCGTTTGAAAAACGTCAATTCGATGCCTGAACCTTAAAATTTCAGCAATTTCTGAAAATTGTTGAAATTTTGAGGTTCTCGCGCAGGGGAACCTATCGCCAATTTTTTTTTCAAGCGAAAATATTTTTCAGACATTCAAAAACGTGGATTCCGAACTCGCCGTCAAACTTTCGGCGTAGGCACCTCAAAATCTCAAAACCCACAAGAAGAACCGCGAACTCCTCTCACATTTCTCAGCGAACTTTTCGGCGCCAAAAAATCCCCAAAAACCGCCGAACTCTCAACAAATAGCATCGAAAAATGGCATCAATATGAAGCGGATTTGAAGAAATTGCCCGAAAATCAACAAAAAAACTATACAGATGGATTTGTCAAGGGACTTTTATCGAATTCCGGACAAGTTTTGACGAAAGAACCGAAAAAATCGAATACTTTGACGAGATTCTATATTTTTTTGGTTTTTTGCATATTTTTGGGTTATTTGAGTGGAAGTAAGTTTTGATTTTCATTTTTTTGAACAAAAATGCATAATGCATAAAAAAGGAATCCGAATTCGTGTAGGCGATCGACAAATCGGCTCATTATTCTTCTCGAATCCACAAGAAGTTAATCCAGAAGATGTTCAAGTTTCATTCGAAGATGTTAGAGGGGTAAGCCACTTTTTTTGGAGATTTTTTTTTCAAAAAACTACGATGCTCCGCAATTACACGTAGCCTTTTGAGCGGGGAATTTTGAAAATTTGAATTTTCTCCATTTCGAGTAAAATTTCAAATATTAAAGATAAAATACGATGCTCCGCATTTACACGTGGTTTTGTATTGCGAAAATTTGAATTTTTCAAATATTTCCCATTTTTTTCAAAAATTAGCGCCAAAACACACGTGGAATTGCGGACCATCGTAGTTTTTAAAGGAAAGTAAATTAATATTCAATTTCTGAAAAAAAAACTACGAGGCTCCGCAATTACACGTGCTTTTTGGCGCTAATTTTTGAAAAAATTGGAAATATTTGAAAAATTCAAATTTTCGCAATACAAAACCACGTTTCTTTGATATTCAGAATTTTGCGTGAAATAAAAAAAAATTCACATTTTCTAAATTCCCCGCTCAAAAGGCTACGTGTAACCGCGGAGCATCGTAGTTTTTTCTTGAATATTCAAAATTTATCGCGAAATTAATAAAAATTCAAATTTTCTAAATTCCCCGCTCAAAAGGCTATGTGTAATTGCGGAGCATCGTAGTTTTTTTGAAATTTGGCGTGAAATCAATGAAAATTCAAATTTTCTAAATTCCCCGCTCAAAACGCTATGTGTAATTGCGGAGCATCGTAGTTTTTTGAACAAAAAATTTCAAAAATTCAAATTTCCCGCCAAAAACCACGTGAAATTGCGGAGCTTCGTAGTTTTCTGAACAAAAAATTTCAAAAATTCACATTTCCCGCCAAAAACCACGTGAAATTGCGGAGCATCGTAGTTTTTTCTCTAATTTATATCGCGAAATCAAAAAAAATTGTGAATTTTGCAGATGGATGAAGCAAAACTTGAAGTGGAAGAAATCGTCTCCTACCTAAAAGATCCCGAAAAATATTCTCGTCTCGGTGGCCGCCTTCCAAAAGGTGTTCTTCTCGTCGGACCGCCTGGAACCGGAAAAACTCTGTTAGCTCGTGCAATTGCTGGCGAAGCACAAGTTCCATTCTTTCACACATCAGGCAGTGAATTCGATGAGGTTTTAGTTGGACAAGGAGCCAGAAGAGTGAGGGATTTATTTGAGAAGGCAAAAGCTCGTGCACCTTGTATTATTTTTATTGATGAAATTGATTCGGTTGGATCGAAAAGGGTTTCGAATTCGATACATCCATATGCTAATCAAACTATAAATCAATTGCTCAGGTTAGAATTTTCCCGGGGGGGGGGGTTTAATTGTGAAGACATTTTAAGCTTCTTGCTCAAAAATCTAGGCTCCGCCCCTTTTCTGCAAGCCTCGCACGGTTTTTTTTGTCGAAAATTAGGAAAATCCAGCTTTTTGCAATCCTGGCATGGTTTTTCTATCGAAAATTGGTGAAAACTAGGCTCCGCCTCTTTTTTGCAAGCCTCGCACAGTTTTTTTTCAGTCAGAAATTAGGAAAATCTAGCTTTTTGCAAGCCTGCCACGGTTTTTCTATCGAAAATCGGTAGAAACTAGGCTCCGCCCCTTTTTTTGCAAGCCTGGCACGGTTTTTTAGTCGACAATAATACAAATGTCTGAAAAAAAATTTTTTTTTGTAAAATTTTATTTTTAAAAATTGCCACGTCATAACTCAATTTGTGTATTTTTCCAGTGAAATGGACGGATTCACAAAAAACGAGGGAATAATCGTAATCGCGGCCACAAATCGAGTCGAAGATCTAGACAAAGCCCTTCTTCGACCGGGCCGTTTCGATGTTCGAGTCACAGTTCCAAAACCGGATTTGACTGGAAGATTGGATATTTTCAACTTCTACCTATCCAAAATCGTCCATTCACCAAATATCGATGCAAAAACACTGGCGAAAGGTTCGACTGGTTTTACTGGAGCTGATATTGAGAATATGGTGAATCAGGCGGCGTTGAAAGCGGCGACTGATAATGCGGTTGAAGTTACGATGGGATATTTGGATGAGGCTAGGGATAGGTATGGTTTGGGAGTGTGTGCCGCAAGCTTCCGCGTTAGCGGCCACGTGGATTGATATGATATGGTAAACGTCATAGTAATCCACGTGGCTGCTGACGCGGAAGCTTGCGGTTTACGCGAGTGTGAACCGCAAGCTTCGTCAGCAGTTAACAGGGCGTGCTTCGCAAGCCCTGCCTAAACAGTTGGCCGCTACGCGGAAGCTTGCGGTTTACACTCGCGCAGAGCGCTCGGGTCGAGCGGAGCGAGTGTAGACCGCAAGCTTCCGCGTCAGCGGCACTATCTTCCGCGTTAGCGGCCACGTGGATTGTATGATATGGTAAACGTCATAGTAATTAGCGTGGCCGCTACGCGGAAGCTTGCGGTTTACAGATCTGCGCGAGTGTAGACCGCAAGCAGTAAACAGGGCGTGCTTCGCAAGCCCTGCCTAAAAAGTTGGCCGCTAACGCGGAAGCTTGCGGTATACGCTCGCTCCGCTCGAGAAAAATCGAATTAGCTCAAAATTTACCAAAACTCATGAAATTCAGGTTGAAATTGAGAGTTTTGACCTAAAATTCATCAATTTTGAACTCTAGAAGTCTGAAATTCATGAGTTTTGCTCAATTTTGAGCTAGTTTACCACGTCATAGTAATCGAGCCTGCCTGAACCTTGAAATTTCAACAATTTCCATGAAAAACCCGGTTTTCTCTGGAAATTGTTGAAATTTTGAGGTTCTCGCGCAGGGGAACCTATCGCCAATTTTTTAATGAAAGAACTACGATGCTCCACGTTTACACCATCAAAATTGACCCATTTTTCATCAATTTTGAAGGTGTGAATGCGGAGTATCGTTTGAAAAACGTCAATTCGATGCCTGAACCTTTAAATTTCAACAATTGTTGAAATTTTGAGGTTTTCGCGCAGGGGAACCTATCGCCAATTTTTTCCAGAGTTCTGATGGGTCCAGCTCGAACCGGCGGTCGAATTCCAGACGAAGAAGCCAATCGTAACACAGCCTATCATGAAGCCGGTCATACTTTAGTGTCGATTTACACCAAAGACGCCACACCATTGCATAAGGTAGGCTTTTTGGGCTTTTTTGGGCTCAAAATCGTGATTTTCAGCTTTTTTTAGCCTGAAAATTGTGATTTTCACACTTTTTTGATATAAAATGGTTAAATTTTGAAGAAAATCCAGCGTACTCGCGGAGCATCGTTGTTTTTCAGGTCACAATAATTCCACGTGGCCAATCATTGGGACACACTGCAATGCTTCCCGAAAAAGATAGCTATCAACTGACAAAATCGCAAATGTTAGCACAATTGGATGTTATGATGGGCGGAAGAGTTGCGGAAGAATTGATTTTTGGTGATGATAAGGTTTGCGGAAGGTTGCGGAAGCGGAAGCGGAAACAATTATTTTGCAGGTAACAACTGGTGCAGCTGACGATTTGTCAAAAGCCTCACAATTAGCTGTTCAAATGGTTAAAGTGTTTGGAATGAGTGATAAAGTTGGACTTCGCGATTTCACCGCTTCAACATCGGAAAAGGAGACTTCGCTGGTGTCGGTTTCGGAATTATCACCACAAACCACTGAAGCGATTGATAGTGAAATTACGCGAATTTTGATGGAGAGCTATAAGAGGGCTAAGGATATTTTGGTTAGCAAAAAGGTTGGTGGATTTTACGATACTCCGCATTTACACTTGGCCGAGAGTTTTATGATTTTTCGCGCAAAAAACACCACGTGTAAATGCGGAGCATCGTAGTTTTTTAATTGAAAAATTATGGGAAAAAAAAATTAAAAAACAGTTTTTGATAATTATTATTTTTCAAAAATTCAAAATTTCGCGCCAAAAAACACCACGTGTAATTGCGGAGCATTGTAGTATTTCTGTTTTCACATTTAAAATTTGAATATTTCATTTTCGCGCAAAAAAACACCACGTGTAATTGCGGAGCATCGTAGTATTTCTGTTTTCACATTTAAAATTTGAATATTTCATTTTCGCGCAAAAACACCACGTGTAATTGCGGAGCATCGTAGTATTTTGCAGAAAGAGCATCAACTTCTTGCCGAATCACTATTAGAATACGAAACTCTATCAGCCGAAGAAGTTCGACGTGTAATTTCGGGACAAAAAATCAAGCGACCAACGCCGGCGGCTGTCAAAAAAAGCAATGAAAATAAATCGCGGTAAATTTTTTTTTTTTTTTTTTTTTTTTTGAAAAAAATTTCGAAATTTTGCAGCTCTCCCTCGAAATTAGTTTTGCACCTTTTCGAAGAAGAAACTCGTCCAAAACAATAATTTTGCGAAAAATTTCGTTGTATTTATTTTTTCTTCTTCTTCCTTTACCGGTATAGTATTCTTTAGTTGGTTTTCTGTCATTTTTTTTGGTGAACAACGATAAAATGTGTGTAGTTCTTTTGGAGGAGATGGAAAAAACAAAGTTTATTCAAAAAAAAAATTGATTTCAGCTTGGATTCCAAGAATTTTTGAGCAAATGTTGAAGTTATTATAAATAATATGAGCTAAATTGCTATTTTCATCGAATTTCGCATTTTATTTCATTAGGAATGATAGGAATGGTCGAAATTTGTGGATTTTTCAGGAAAATTGGGAAATCCACGTGGAGGGGTTCACGTCACGTAAAAAAATGTTTTTTTTTTCGAAAAATTGTTTTTTTAGCTCAATTTTTAACCGGGATTTTAGAGTTAGCCTAAATGTATCTATAATCATCTTGTAGAGGATTTCAAGAGCTACAAAATGATGTCTAACAATGCTAGGAACCTCGAAGATTTTCACCTGGAAAACCTCTGAAAATTTCAGGACAAAATAAGCCCCGCCCCCTTGCCACACAAAACTTGTCACAGTGCACAACCCGCCAGCCGTCGGTCACACAAAATAACAAAACTATGCGCATTTTGATTGTTTATCGCTGAATGGCGGTTGCGAAGCGCTGCTCAAATTTCTTGCGAAATGCCACGTGTCAATACATTTTTTGTCAACGTTGACTTTCCCACCGCCCGAAAATAAAAATAATTGCGTCTAGCCCACAAATTTCTTTAAAAGCCCCCCCCCCTAAACTCTCAATCACAAAATGAATTGTCTCCAAGTTTTCGTTTTCTCGATTTTCGTCTTGATTTCCGGCGGGTTTTCGGCGGATACTGCTTTGGAAAGTTTTGTGAATGATCTCGAATTGCATATCACACAAGCAATCAAGATCGGAGATCGAAACGCACTCTTGCACCGCTTCAAATCCGACTACGAATATCTGGATTGTCAGAATCAGAAATTGAATCGTGAACAAGTTGTGGATTCATTGTTGGGAAGAAAAAAGGATCTACCATTCATCAGATTGTCCAAAGTGCAAAGAATTTCAGCAGATCCAGCCAAATTCTATTTTATCATGGAATATCGATTCGATAAATCTGGCGGGAAATTTGCATGGAACTCTACTGTTGAATATTTTAAAGATGTTCATGTTTTTACTCAATCAAAGGAATTGGGATGTTGTTCTGTTTGATGAATAAAGTTTTATTGAGCAAAAGGTCAGGGGATCGATTCCTGATGAGAAAAAGAAGTTTTCACCGAAGTTGTGTTGAATTCCTTGTTCCAAATATCCTAACATCCTCCCTCTTCTTGGCCCTCTTCCAAAACACAAAACCCTCGAAAAAATCGCGTCGAACACGCGAATCAGCAATCAGAATCATGCAAAAATTGGCGCAGAGAAAGAAGAACCCGCCATTTGTTCGATAGAGCGCGATTGCTTGTCCGAACGCACTGCTGAACTTGAAGACTTGCGAAAATTGATAGAAGATGAAGAAGAGTGTGGTGAAGGTGTGAGAGGCTGTGACGAATACCAGCTTTTTTTCCTGCAAAAAGGTTTTTGATTTTTCGAGTGTAGACCGCAAGCTTCCGCGAAGCGGCACTGTCTTCCGCTTTAGCGGCCACGTGGATTCCTATGACGTTTACCATATCATAGTAATCCACGTGGCCGCCAACGCGGAAGCTTCCGGTTCACGACCATTTACTCCAATAGAAAATTGCCCCTCGGGTCAGACGAGAGACGACGGGAGTATGATGACGTCATCTAAGACAGAGAAAGATAGCGCTTCGAGATATTTTTAAGAAAATATGTGTCCCTTTGAAAAAACACCGTACTTTGTTTCAAGGAACACATGTTTTATTGAAAATATCTCGAAGCGAAATTAATTTTTGAGATATTTTTGCAAACTACTCTCGTCGTCTCGCGTCTGACTCAATGGGCGCCTTGTATGGTCGTGGGTTTACACTCGCTCGAAAAATATTCTCGAGCGGAGCGAGTGTAGACCGGAAGCTTCCGCGTCAGCGGCCATGTGGATTCTTGTGACGTGGGATATGACTGCTAAAGCTATCTATCCCACGTCATAGTAATCCTCGTGGCCGCTAAAGCGGAAGACAGTGCCGCTGACGCGGAAGCTTGCGGCCTACACTCGCTCCGCTCGAGGACATTTTTTCGAGTGTAGACCGCAAGCTTCCGCGTCAGCGGCACTGTCTTCCGCTTTAGCGGCCACGTGGATTACTATGACGTGGGATAGCTTTAGCAGTCATATCCCACGTTATAACAATCCACGTGGCCGCTGACGCGGAAGCTTGCGGTCTACACTCGAAAAAATGTCCTCGAGCGGAGCGAGTGTAGGCCGCAAGCTTCCGCGTCAGCGGCACTGTCTTCCGCTTTAGCGGCCACGAGGATTACTATGACGTGGGATAGATAGCTTTAGCAGTCATATCCCACGTCATAGCAATCCACGTGGCCGCTGACGGGGAAGCTTCCGCCACTCGACACTTACCCTCGCATTTTTAAAGTTTTTCAATCGATAAATCGTAATTATAGTAAGAATAACTGATAGTATCTCAAAACCCAGGGTAGTTCCTCCAACTATCAATCTTTGCATAACTAAACCAGGTTTTTCTATCAGAATAGTTGTCCCATTTCCAGACTCCACTATAGTTTTGCCCTCAAAAAGCAATGGAAAACATGAGATTGTTGTTAGAATAAGTATAACTATCATATAATTCCTGGCCAGTTTTGGATTCCAAAATCGTGAATAATTGATAAAAGTTGCGTTGAGTCGATTAATTGCCATCAAAAAATTACAAAAAAAATGGAAAATAACCAAATGAAAATCGAAAAATTGGAAAAAATTGGCGGTGAGAATATAGAATTTAGTGGGATAGGCTAATTTGAGCCATAGGAGAAATGAGCAATGATAAATATCGATTATTCCGGTGAAGAAGAAAATATAGAAAAATGTGCTGGTTTTGTAGTATTTTGATAGGATAACAGTGGTTAGAATGCATAGAAATATGGCGAGAATGTAGAAAATATATTCGTAGGGTTCCGTGATTATTAGCATTTTTTTTGTTGAAAATTGAAATGAAAATGGGTTATAGAAACTTCTAGTAAAGGTAATAGTAATTATAGGTTATAAACAGCTGAAAATATTAAAAGCGTAATCATGTTAAGTTCAGACTAAAAAAACCTTTTAGGAAGTGAAATAAATTGATTTATAACTTTTGGTTTTCGTCATGTTCAATTAAACTAGAAAATAGTTTACGAGCGGCGGAGCCGTGAGTGTAAACCGGAAGCTTCCGCGTAAGCGGCACTGTCTTCCGCTTTAGCGGCCACGTGGATTGTGACTATGATGTGGGATAGCTTTAGCAGTCATACCCCACGTCTTACTAATCCGCGTGGCCGCTAAAGCGGAAGATAGTGCCGCTGACGCGGAAGCTTGCGGTCTACGCTCGCTCCGCTCGAGAATATTATTTCGAGCGGCGGAGCTGCGAGTGTAAACCGGAAGCTTCCGCGTAGCGGCCACGTGGATTACTATGACGTGGATTGTCAGTACTGAATTGTTAATTGGCCGCTAAAGCGGAAGACAGTGCCGCTGCGCGGAAGCTTCCGGTTTACACTCGCTCCGCTCGACCCGAGCGCTTTGCGCGAGTGTAGACCGCAACCTTCCGCGTCAGCGGCACTGTCTTCCGCGAACGCGGCCACGTGGATTACTATGACGTGGGATAGCTTTAGCAGTCATACCCCACGTCATAGTAATCCACGAGGCCGCTAAAGCGGAAGCTTGCGGTCTACACTCGCTCCGCTCGAAAAAATGCACTTTGGCACCGCGCCAGCTGAAAAAATTCCCCGAAAAAAACCTTTGAAAAAAATACGTCTAAAAATATCAGCTGCAATGCTAAAAATCACGGAACCCTATCAATATTTCTTCTATTTTCTCGCCCTATTCTTCTGTTGTCAAATCGCTCAAATCCTTCGAAAATATCTGAAATTCGGCGCATTTTTCTACATTTTCTTATTCTCCGGATTTTGTGACATCTACCATTGCTCATATTTTTTGTGGCTCAGCTTAACCTATCCAACTCAAGCCTATATTCTCACCGCCAACTTTTTTCAATTTTTCGATTTTCATTTGACAATTATTCATGCTTGCTCTAATTGTTTATTAGCTCTCAATCGATTTAACGCAACTTTTCTCAATTATTCAGAATTCTGGAGTCCAAAAAATGCTCAAATCTACATCATCTACTATATACTAATTGGAAACATGCTTTTCGGAAAATAGTGTGTCCAGAGCCCGTTCTCAGCTTCCACTTCATAAAAATTGATGATCAAAAAAAGGAAAGATAGCTTTGTATGGCACCTCGGGGTACCTTTTTTCCGATTTTCAATAACTGTTGTTTGAGTGCGCGGAGAGTTGAATGTTTCAAGAAAGTCAGAAATTTCAATGTATTTTTTGATTTCGAAATGTTCCACTCGAGATTGCTCTGTCCCCAGAAGACCGTTTTTGATGAGACCTTCACCATTCGATCCCAAATTCTTTCCCATCGATGCGCTAATATTTTGTTTTTCGAAAAGTGCGCGAGTTTTCACGTGAAAAATCAAAACTTTTTTCATGTAAAAAAGAATGATCACGTTTTTATTCAAAAAATTAAAGAACACGTTTCTTATCTGATCGTTTTCTATTTTCTGAAGAAGCTAAACATTTTGAGTCATTTCTCGATGATAGCTTCTTCCTAATAGGTTGGGTAAATTAATAGAAAACAAAGTGAGTTGAACTACTGTAGATTTTCATTAGTTATTTGAAACTTCAGATGAAAATGGTTTCCAATGAATGGAAGAAGATGAACTGTATCGTATTTTATCGTGAGTTTCGGTTCAGATTTAGTCCAGAAAGCTGGGAAGTAAATAAGTGTCTTCTTCGGAATAAAAGAGAAGAAAGAAGAGAAACAATTATACCCCCAGCGAGGTACAGTAATGGAATAGGCTGGGCATGATGATAGAAAATAGAAGGCAAAAAACATGCTTCATGCTTCCTTCAAATATTCGGTTTACTAGGTTTTTTGGCAAGGTTAAGCTGATCCTGGGCCGGTTTGGAACCAAACAAAAAAGTAAAAACTCAAAGGCGGTCAAGTGGGTGATTTGAAAGAGGTGAAATAGCGGATGAAAGATTTTTCTGAGAGAACTCTTTCTTGAAGGAGAAATAGGGGAAAATATGAAGTTGCTTTTAAATGAAAGAAGATGACTTTTTATCAATTTTTTTCTTTTTACATCAAATCTCTATCTTGAAATCGAACTACTCAACTTTCTTCCAATTTTTATTGAACGGATTTCAAGATAGAGTTATGATGTAAAAGGAAAAGAAGGGATGAAACAAATCCTCTTTCATTTAAAAGTGGAGTCTGAGCAAAAAATACGAATTTTGAAAGAGTGTGTTCTGATTATTACATTGGTTAAAAAATTTCAAAGTTCGAAAAAACAGTGAAACACCGTGTAAAATAAAATGGCTTAAATGTCCAGATCAGGTGTGCTTTCACAAAAAAAAAGACACTGTACAAAAATTTTCAAAAGCCACACTGTACATTTTTTCACGAAAAAGTTTAGTTTTTCTTGATTCTCAGCGAATTTTGATGACAATTTTCAAAAATTCAAAATTTCACGCTGCACAATTTTTTGGAAAAGTTTCCACGCTGCACAGAAATTTTAGGACACTCTCTCGCTAGGTGTGTGTGAAAGTTTCAGCGGCTATTGCTGAAATTCAATTTTCAAATGTTCTCAAAAGAGTTGAGAGAGGGATTGTGATCGTTTGGCACTCTCTAAGTGATTTTTTGCCTCTTTCTGAAAAAAAGGTGAGGGCGACGTTTGTGTGATCAGAAAAAGTATCAACCACTGTTCGTGATTTCATTAAAAGCTTAATTATTATTGAATTAAAAACACGTGAGAAATAAAAAACTAGGTCAAGTGATGTGGATTTAAAAACAGTATAGGTAGCCATGTCGTCAGTCGCGGTGCGGTTCTGCGTTGCGTGTTGACCTCGATATTTTCCATTGAATTTGCCAAATTTTCATTTCTAAAAACGTGTCGCTCACACGCATCGCAACTGACGACATGGCTACCTATACTGTTTTTAAATCCACGTCACTTGACCTAGTTTTTTATTTCTCACGTATTTTTAATTCAATAATATATAGGAAAAAAACAGATCAGTGATCATGTTGCATATTGTTGATACATGTTTTCGGTTTCTCAACCATCTGTTCAAAATCTAAATGAAACACTTTTAGTTTTCCATTCTTAACAGGACTTCAGAGTAACTAACTGTTTATAAAAAGAATACTGAGCGCGAAGCCGCGACAACCCAGAAGGAGGAGCCGGCGATAGCCGGCGGAGCCCTTCTGGTTTCTATACTAATTCTATCTACAATCTCATGTTTTCCAATATTTTTCGAGGACAAAACTATAGTGGAGTCTGCGAATGGGACGATTATTTTAATTGAGAAGCCTGGTTTAGTCACCCAAAGACTAGTTATTGTAACTTATGCTCTAGTTTCTGAGCCAATTTCAGTTTTGCTGACTGTTTTTACGATTTATCGATTGAAGAATTTCAAAAATATTCAGGTAAAGAGCTCTGTCGTGTGAACCGGAAACTTCCGCGCAGCTGCCCCGTGGATTACTATGACTTTTACCATATCATAGTAATCCACGTGGCCGCTAAAGCGGAAGACAGTGCCGCTTACGCGGAAGCTTGCGGTTTACACTCGCTCCGCTCGACACGAGCGCTCTGCGCGAGTGTAAACCGCAAGCTTCCGCATCAGCGGCACTGTCTTCCGCGAACGCGGCCACGTGGATTACTATGACCTGGGGGGCTGATAAGGTTATTCCACGTCACAAGAATCCACGTGGCCGCTAAAGCGGAAGACAGTGCCGCTGACGCGGAAGCTTGCGGTTTACACTCGCTCCGCTCGACACGAGCGCTCTGCGCGAGTGTAGACCGCAAGCTTCCGCGTCAGCGGCACTGTCTTCCGCGAACGCGGCCACGTGGATTACTATGACCTGGGGGGGCTGATAAGGTTATTCCACGTCACAAGAATCCACGTGGCCGCTAAAGCGGAAGACAGTGCCGCTTACGCGGAAGCTTGCGGTTTACACTCGCTCCGCTCGACACGAGCGCTCTGCGCGAGTGTAAACCGCAAGCTTCCGCATCAGCGGCACTGTCTTCCGCGAACGCGGCCACGTGGATTACTATGACCTGGGGGGGTATGATTGCTAAATCCCACGTAATAGTAATCCACGTGGCCGCTAAAGCGGAAGACAGTGCCGCTTACGCGGAAGCTTGCGGTTTACACTCGCTCCGCTCGACACGAGCGCTCTGCGCGAGTGTAAACCGCAAGCTTCCGCATCAGCGGCACTGTCTTCCGCGAACGCGGCCACGTGGATTACTATGACCTGGGGGGCTGATAAGGTTATTCCACGTCACAAGAATCCACGTGGCCGCTAAAGCGGAAGACAGTGCCGCTGACGCGGAAGCTTGCGGTTTACACTCGCTCCGCTCGACACGAGCGCTCTGCGCGAGTGTAGACCGCAAGCTTCCGCGTCAGCGGCACTGTCTTCCGCGAACGCGGCCACGTGGATTACTATGACCTGGGGGGCTGATAAGGTTATTCCACGTCACAAGAATCCACGTGGCCGCTAAAGCGGAAGACAGTGCCGCTTACGCGGAAGCTTGCGGTTTACACTCGCTCCGCTCGACACGAGCGCTCTGCGCGAGTGTAAACCGCAAGCTTCCGCATCAGCGGCACTGTCTTCCGCGAACGCGGCCACGTGGATTACTATGACCTGGGGGGGGGGGGTATGATTGCTAAATCCCACGTAATAGTAATCCACGTGGCCGCTAAAGCGGAAGACAGTGCCGCTGATGCGGAAGCTTGCGGTTTACACTCGCTCCGCTCGACACGAGCGCTCTGCGCGAGTGTAAACCGCAAGCTTCCGCATCAGCGGCACTGTCTTCCGCGAACGCGGCCACGTGGATTACTATGACCTGGGGGGCTGATAAGGTTATTCCACGTCACAAGAATCCACGTGGCCGCTAAAGCGGAAGACAGTGCCGCTTACGCGGAAGCTTGCGGTTTACACTCGCTCCGCTCGACACGAGCGCTCTGCGCGAGTGTAAACCGCAAGCTTCCGCATCAGCGGCACTGTCTTCCGCGAACGCGGCCACGTGGATTACTATGACCTGGGGGGGTATGATTGCTAAATCCCACGTAATAGTAATCCACGTGGCCGCTAAAGCGGAAGACAGTGCCGCTGATGCGGAAGCTTGCGGTTTACACTCGCTCCGCTCGACACGAGCGCTCTGCGCGAGTGTAAACCGCAAGCTTCCGCATCAGCGGCACTGTCTTCCGCGAACGCGGCCACGTGGATTACTATGACCTGGGGGGCTGATAAGGTTATTCCACGTCACAAGAATCCACGTGGCCGCTAAAGCGGAAGACAGTGCCGCTGACGCGGAAGCTTGCGGTTTACACTCGCTCCGCTCGACACGAGCGCTCTGCGCGAGTGTAAACCGCAAGCTTCCGCATCAGCGGCACTGTCTTCCGCGAACGCGGCCACGTGGATTACTATGACCTGGGGGGGGTATGATTGCTAAATCCCACGTAATAGTAATCCACGTGGCCGCTAAAGCGGAAGACAGTGCCGCTGATGCGGAAGCTTGCGGTTTACACTCGCTCCGCTCGACACGAGCGCTCTGCGCGAGTGTAAACCGCAAGCTTCCGCATCAGCGGCACTGTCTTCCGCGAACGCGGCCACGTGGATTACTATGACCTGGGGGGCTGATAAGGTTATTCCACGTCACAAGAATCCACGTGGCCGCTAAAGCGGAAGACAGTGCCGCTGACGCGGAAGCTTGCGGTTTACACTCGCTCCGCTCGACACGAGCGCTCTGCGCGAGTGTAGACCGCAAGCTTCCGCATCAGCGGCACCATCTTCCGCTTTAGCGGCCACGTGGATTACTATGACCTGGGGGGTATGATTGCTAAATCCCACGTAATAGTAATCCACGTGGCCGCTAAAGCGGAAGACAGTGCCGCTGATGCGGAAGCTTGCGGTTTACACTCGCTCCGCTCGACACGAGCGCTCTGCGCGAGTGTAAACCGCAAGCTTCCGCATCAGCGGCACTGTCTTCCGCGAACGCGGCCACGTGGATTACTATGACCTGGGGGGGGGTATGATTGCTAAATCCCACGTAATAGTAATCCACGTGGCCGCTAAAGCGGAAGACAGTGCCGCTGATGCGGAAGCTTGCGGTTTACACTCGCTCCGCTCGACACGAGCGCTCTGCGCGAGTGTAAACCGCAAGCTTCCGCATCAGCGGCACTGTCTTCCGCGAACGCGGCCACGTGGATTACTATGACCTGGGGGGCTGATAAGGTTATTCCACGTCACAAGAATCCACGTGGCCGCTAAAGCGGAAGACAGTGCCGCTGACGCGGAAGCTTGCGGTTTACACTCGCTCCGCTCGACACGAGCGCTCTGCGCGAGTGTAAACCGCAAGCTTCCGCATCAGCGGCACTGTCTTCCGCGAACGCGGCCACGTGGATTACTATGACCTGGGGGGGGTATGATTGCTAAATCCCACGTAATAGTAATCCACGTGGCCGCTAAAGCGGAAGACAGTGCCGCTGATGCGGAAGCTTGCGGTTTACACTCGCTCCGCTCGACACGAGCGCTCTGCGCGAGTGTAAACCGCAAGCTTCCGCATCAGCGGCACTGTCTTCCGCGAACGCGGCCACGTGGATTACTATGACCTGGGGGGGCTGATAAGGTTATTCCACGTCACAAGAATCCACGTGGCCGCTAAAGCGGAAGACAGTGCCGCTTACGCGGAAGCTTGCGGTTTACACTCGCTCCGCTCGACACGAGCGCTCTGCGCGAGTGTAAACCGCAAGCTTCCGCATCAGCGGCACCATCTTCCGCTTTAGCGGCCACGTGGATTACTATGACCTGGGGGGTATGATTGCTAAATCCCACGTAATAGTAATCCACGTGGCCGCTAAAGCGGAAGACAGTGCCGCTTACGCGGAAGCTTGCGGTTTACACTCGCTCCGCTCGACACGAGCGCTCTGCGCGAGTGTAAACCGCAAGCTTCCGCATCAGCGGCACTGTCTTCCGCGAACGCGGCCACGTGGATTACTATGACCTGGGGGGGGGGTATGATTGCTAAATCCCACGTAATAGTAATCCACGTGGCCGCTAAAGCGGAAGACAGTGCCGCTTACGCGGAAGCTTGCGGTTTACACTCGCTCCGCTCGACACGAGCGCTCTGCGCGAGTGTAAACCGCAAGCTTCCGCATCAGCGGCACTGTCTTCCGCGAACGCGGCCACGTGGATTACTATGACCTGGGGGGCTGATAAGGTTATTCCACGTCACAAGAATCCACGTGGCCGCTAAAGCGGAAGACAGTGCCGCTGACGCGGAAGCTTGCGGTTTACACTCGCTCCGCTCGACACGAGCGCTCTGCGCGAGTGTAGACCGCAAGCTTCCGCGTCAGCGGCACTGTCTTCCGCGAACGCGGCCACGTGGATTACTATGACCTGGGGGGGTATGATTGCTAAATCCCACGTAATAGTAATCCACGTGGCCGCTAAAGCGGAAGACAGTGCCGCTGACGCGGAAGCTTCCGGTTTACACTCTTTCAGGAATCCAAATTGGTTTTCGTCACCGCGTCTCACACAATATTCGCAATTCTCTTCCTAATCTATGAATTCTCAATAGTTCTCAAGTACAATGTTCAATTTTTGACGGATTTTCGAACAAATTTGGGATATCTGTTTTTTTGCTCGAATTTTGTGACGATTTTAATTGCTGATGTTCGAGTTCGCAATGATTTTTTGAAAAAATATAATATTAAATATCGTGTAGAAGTTCGGAGCTCACATATTTCGGATTCTAATTGATTGTGAAATAATAAAGTTTTTGAGAATTTTGATGAAAAACTACGAAATTTTAGTCTAGCTCGAGCGGAGCGAGTGTAGACCGCAAGCTTCCGCGTAACCGGCACTATCTTCCGCTTTAGCGGCCACGTGGATTGTGATTATTTCGGCCAAATTTTCGGAATTCCTGTTCCCATAGCTCAAAAATCCCCACTCGCTCAAATTTATCTCCCCAAAAAATCAAGCTACACCAACACCAATAAAGAACCAAGGGCGAGAGATAGAGCAACTGCGAAGAGACGCAGACAATGAGAGATTGGCGGGACAGATGGATTTGTATGTGTGTTGTATAGCGTTATTATGGTACGCTGCTTTTTTTGACGAAAGTTTTTTTTTGTTTTTTTTAACTATGTATGATTTGACGTACGAAAAAAAATACGCAAAAAATGACGTAATGACGTTTATGCATTAGGTTAGGTGAAGGGGACCTTAGGTCCTTTACTAATTAAGTTTCTTTAGTATAATCTTTTATCTTTATATCTTATTATTGTATTTATCTTTTATTTATCATAAACTATGCTTAATCAAAGAACTCGAGGTCAATTCTTACTAAACTTTAGGGAAAAGCATAAAGTATATGCCCGACTTCCTTTAGCTAAGCTAGAGGGGTCGCGGCGTATAACGATCTTTTTTTTGAAAACAAAATCTTCACATGGAAGTTCAATTGCGATTCTCCATTCATGGACGAGGGGAGGGGGAGGAGGCTGCCCTCACATGGAGGAACCACGACATTTATCGTCTGCTGGGAAAATTGTCTGAATCTTAGATAATATTCCATAATCTTCAAGATGGTCACAGAAGATCAGATCATTTAGGATTAGGCCTATTTAGTGTGACTCATAAAAGTTAGGGTAAATGAAACGGTAACCAATAACAATTTTGCAAATGCGCGAAACAAACAAGTGACTGAAATTCCAACATCAAGTGAAAGGAGAAATCGCGGAGACCCTGACTAGGTCAAAATCACCTTGGTCGACAATACGACCGGACGCCAGCGCAACACTTCACAGTGGGCGGAAGTCAAACATTCAATATAGTCCGAAGCGAAATCCAACGCCGAAGACGATGGATCGACAAACTCAAGAAGCTCGACGGTGACTCAGAAGAAGAAGTGAAACCGGGGCGGTACCATTTTGCCGAACGGGGGATGTCACGCCCCCAGACACAAGCTGGCAACATCTAGGCTCCGCGGCCCACAAGGACCCTATCTGAAATGAAAAGTACCCCGCTGCACCAGAACCCTTCACATGGAAGATCAATTGAGATTCTCAAACCTTGGGAATCTGCATTTGAAGCCTGAAAGCTTGGAAAATACGAAACTCTACCAGAAACCATGCTGAACTTTAAAATCGAGATCTCCTACGAAGCCTGGAAGCCTGGAAGCTATGAAAATCACATCAAAAACCGCAATTTTGCCGGAAAACCTGGCGCTTTTTCATTGATTTTTGAATTTTTTTGGAAAAATTCACATTTTCTGTTGAATAAACCATTTTTCAAAGCCCAAATTACAAAAATCATCAAAAATATCTCACTTCAACTTCTTCCACAACACGAATTCCACTTCCAAACGAAGGTTCGGTGTTGTTTTCGGAATTTGTGACGAATAAATCCGCAATTTTCTCCCTGAACATGAAGATCTATAAACATCCGCAAATCCAAACTCACTTCAAATTCTGCCTAACAACATCGGAACATTCTAAAACGTCGGCCATTTTATACAATTTTGGCGCCAATTTCTTATAATACATGTAAAAACCACAATCTCCGTTGATGCTCACAAAATTCTTGAAGATCTGAACCGAAACTTCGATAAAAGTGAATTCACTTCGTAGAAAATGCAGAATGTGTCGGACGATTTTGGAATTTTTATAATGTTCAGATAAATTTAATAAAAAAAAAAAAACCTCACATTTACCCATTTTTCATCGCGTAAACGCGGAGCAACCCTTCAAAATCAAATTGTTGATTTTCGAAATTCTTTGAAAATCACCAATTTCATTTGTCTTTTAGGCTGTTTAGAAGGTCTTGGGATGCAATTTCTAAACACAAAAATGCGTTTTAGCTTCACTTTATTCAGTTGGGGAGAATGTGTTGAGAAAATGGTTGAAAAATAAATAAAAATACCGTTCGTGAATTTCGTGAACTCCAAATTTCCAGGAGAAAAACTTAAAATCTCTTCATAAAACCAAAAATATAATAAGTGTAGATAAAAATAGGGCAAAAAAAGAGCAGTATATTCGACACAAAATAGGCGGAGAAAAAAAAAGTGAACAAAAAAAATGACCGGAAACTTCGAGATCTAGGGAAAAAATCAATAATTAAATTGACTAGATAATGCTCATATCATATTCAGAAGTTGGTTGTAGTTGGGAGGAATTTAGAGACGCAGGCGGGGGGTACTGTAGATTTCGTCGTGGGACCTGCGGGGGTGGCGGAGGAGCTGGCCGGCGAGATAGTATTGAATTTGAGGAGGAATAGAGATCATCTCCAATACATGAATAATCGCGATTTGAGAAGGACTGGAAAAAATGATTTTAGGTCAAAATTTTCAGATTTTGCTCATGTTTGGGCTCAAAATGCTCCAAATTTTCAGATTTTTTTCAGAGATTAAAAATTACCTCATTAGCACTTGAATTATCTATACTTCCACCACCAATCGATCCATTTTTCATCATTTTCGGACATCCATAATTCGGTGATAATCCGGCGGTTTGAAGAAGTTCGATGCATTCTTGGAATCCTGAATTCTGAGCATACCAAAGGCATGAGCGATCTTGTTCGTCCAATATTTTGAGATCAGCGTTGTTCTGCAAAAATTTTGGTGTAAACGCGGAGCATCGTTGAAAAATCGCTTACCCATATCAAAATCTGGACAATTTCCAATGATCCAATACTACAAGCCAGATGCAGAACTGTTCGATGATCTTTTGTTGAAATTGGCGCGTTTATCTGAAAAAATCGATATTTTTTGGAATTTTTAAAGTTTCGGGGCTTGAAAATCTGATTTTCAGCTCAAAATTCGAGAAAATTGCAGATTTTCAAGGTCCCAGATTCAAAAATTCAATAAAAATCAATTTTAATGGTCCCTGGGTCAAAATTCAAATCCTAGGATCAAAAAATTCGAGAATAATCGGATTTTTTGAAGTCTTGAGTGAAAAATTGCGATTTCCAAGGTCTCGGGATGGAAAAGATCAAGAAAAATCCAATTTTGATGGTCCCTGGTTCAAAATTCACAAAAAATCGGATTTTTTGAAGTTTAGAGTGAAAAATTGCGATTTTCAAGGTCCCTGGGTCAAAAAATAGAGGAAAAAAGGATTTTCGAAGGTCCCGAGTCGGATTTTCAGATTTTCAAGGTCCCGAGTCGGATTTTCAGATTTTCAAGGTCCCGAGACCAAAAATTCAAATCCTAGGGTCAAAATTCATTGAAAAATCGGATTTTCGAAGGTCCCGAGGCCAAAAATTCGAATCCTAGGGTCAAAAAAATCGAGAAAAACATGAAAAATCCAATTTTGATGGTCCCAAGGCCAAAAATTCCAATCCTAGGGTCAAAATTCACAAAAAATCGAATTTACTAGGTCCTAGATTGAATATTCCAGAAAAATTCAATTTTCAAGGTCCCGAGGTCAGAAATTCAAATCCTAGGGTCAAAAAATCGGATTTTTGCAGTCCTGGGTTGAAAAATCAATTTTGATGGTCCCTGGGTCAAAAAATTCACAAAAAATCGGATTTTCTGAATTTCTGAGGTAAAAAATTCAATTTTCAAGGTCTCTGGGTCAAAAAATCCAATATTTCAGCTTCCGATATCCAAAATTCAAGAAAAATCCAATTTTGAGGGTCCCAAATTCCAAATTTCAACTTTTCTGGGATCAAAAATCACAATTTTCAGCCAAAAATCAAGTTTTCAGCTAAAAAAAAAAACAGTATTTCATTATTTTCTTCAAAGAATGAGTTCTGATTAACTTTCAGCTCGAAAATATCAATTTTGGGGGTCCCAGGGTTAAAAATCGCAAATTTCAACTTTTCCGGGCTCAAAAATCACAATTTTCAGCAAAAAATCCAATTTTCCAGCTCCCAATATCCAAAATTCAAGAAAAATCCAATTTTGATGGTCCCAGAGTTAAAAATCGCAAATTTCAACTTTTCCGGGCTCAAAAATCACAATTTTCAGCAAAAAATGCAATTTTCCAGCTCCCAATATCCAAAATTCAAGAAAAATCCAATTTTGATGGTCCCAGAGTTAAAAATCGCAAATTTCAACTTTTCCGGGCTCAAAAATCACAATTTTCAGCAAAAAATCCAATTTTCCAGCTCCCAATATCCAAAATTCAAGAAAAATCCAATTTTGCGGGTCCCAGAGTTAAAAATCGCAAATTTCAACTTTTCCGGGCTCAAAAATCACAATTTTCAGCCAAAAATCCAATTTTCCAGCTCCCAATATCCAAAATTCAAGAAAAATCCAATTTTGATGGTCCCCGGGTTAAAAATCGCAAATTTCGTGTTTTCTGGGCTCAAAAATCACAATTTTCAGCTAAAAATATCGATTTCTAGGTCATTTTCAACCAATTTTCACGTTTTTTGGCTCAAAACACTCCAAAATTCCCCTTACCTGTTCAACTCCCAATCCATTCGCCATCATCACACAAATCTTAACAACATCTCGATCCAACACAGCTCCAATCAATTCACTTTCCTTCATCAAATTCTGCGGAATAATTTCAATAAATCTCTTCTTCAAATATTTCGCCTCAATCCATTTCTCTTTTTCTTCTCGACTCGATTCTCCAATCGGTTTTCGATTTTCTCCTCCACTTATTATTATATTCTTTTCCCAAATCATTTGATTCGCTTTTCGATTTCCGATTGATTGCATTACAGCTAAATGTTCAATCGGCCATCCATCTAATTCCAAACTTCTCACTTTCGAAACATGACTTCCAAGGTTCCGATGGATTCCTGAACATTCGATACAGATTAAGATTCCGAGATTTAGCGATGCCCAATCTGGATTATTCTGTGAGCAATCTGCACATTTATCATTTCCATCAATTTGTCGAAGAGCTTGAACTTGAACCTGGAAAACAGTAGGTTTTTGAGGGGAAAAATTCAGGTTTTCAGCTCAATTTCCAGCGATTTTCAGCGATTTTCAGCTCAAATTCCCCCATTCTCACTAAAAATTCAGGTTTTCAGCTCAATTTTCAGCGATTTTCTCGATTTTCAGCTCAAAATCCCCCATTCTCACTAAAAAATACATGTTTCAGCTCAATTTCCAGCGATTTTCTCAGTTTTTCAGCTCAAAATCCCCCCATTCTCACAAAAAATACATGTTTCAGCTCAATTTCCAGCGATTTTCTCAGTTGTTCAGCTCAAAATCCCCCCATTCTCACTAAAAATACAGGTTTTCAGCTCAATTTCCAGCGATTTTCTCGATTTTCAGCTCAAAATCCCCCATTCTCACTAAAAAAATACATGTTTCAGCTCAATTTCCAGCGATTTTCTCGATTTTCAGCTCAAAATCCCCAATTCTCACTAAAAATTCAGGTTTTCAACTCAATTTCCAGCGATTTTCTCGATTTTTTGGCTCAAAATTCCCCATTCTCACTAAAAATTCAGGTTTTCAGCTCAATTTTCAGCGATTTTCTCGATTTTTTGGCTCAAAATTCCCCATTCTCACTAAAAAATACATGTTTCAGCTCAATTTTCAGCGATTTTCCCTCATTTTCAGCTCAAAATTCCCCCATTTCTCACCTTATTCGCAATATTCCTTGTCGTCGGTTGGCTCATTTGACTCGTCAGCGCAATTTCAATCTGTTCTTCAATCGCCGCCACCCATTCGTCTCGTTCTTCCATCGAACTTGCGCAGAATTCCCATCTCTGTTGATTGTGGGTGACGATTTCGAAGCATTCTTCATCTTCGTCTGCATTTTTGCGATTTTCTCCGCGATTTTTCTTGGATTTTCCTGGAAAATGTCAAGATTTTCGGTGAAATTTGAGCTTTTGGGCTCAAATTTGAGACAAAACTCGAAATTTTCACACAAAATAAGCCCCGAGGCACAATTTCAGCTAGAAATTGTGCTGAAAATCGATCTAGAGTCAAATTTGACGTAAATTTGCGTTTTCTGAGCCAATTTTCAGCTCTCTGGGCAGATTTTGAGCAAAAATTCTAGATTTTCAGTCAAAAATTTGATGAAATTCAGCTCCTAGAGCAATTTCAGCTAAAAATTTGGCTGAAAATCGACGTAGGGCCGAATTTTATGTAAATTTGCGTTTTCTGAGCCAATTCCTGCTCTATGGGCAGATTTTGAGCAAAAATTCGAAATTTTCAACTAAAAATTACGCTTCCAAACTTTTTTTGTAAAAAAATTTGATGAAACTTCGAGATTTTTAGAATCTTAGGCTCATTTTTACTGAAAAATGGATGAAATTCAGCTCCTGGAGCAATTTCAGCCAAAAATTTGGCTTTAACTGGACCTGGGGTCAAATTAACCGTAAATTTGCATTTTCTGAGCTATTTTTCGAAGTTTAGGCTCATTTTTAATGAAAAATTGATAAATTTTGAGCTCCTAGAGCAAAAAACCCTCACCAATAACAGTCATCGGCTGCGCAGGCGGTGTAAAATGTCCAATTCGATTCGATGGTCCCGCATCATCCGATCCACCCGAATTCGCATCAAACATTCCAATAGCCTTTGGTGTTCCATCGGAATTCGTCACAATTGCACTACTTCTTTGTGTATTTCTGGGTCTTTGCCGCCCCGATATTTTAACCGTTGCCAGACCCAAGAAAACCTCTTTCCCATGCACAGTTTTATCCATATAATCCTTCAAATTCTGATGATATGTCAATCTTCCATCATTATACAAGCATACATATTTCTTCTTCCATTCTCTGCAAAAAATCCGGTATTTTGAGCCGAAAATCTCGAATTTTTAATCAAAAATTACCTATTTAGTGCCGATTTCGTGCTCTTTTTGTACAATAATCCCTGTTTGACTGGAATTGCTCTTCCAACTCCCAAATTCAACGCTTCAATCGCTTTATTCTTCTCCTCGTGGCTATCTTTCGGTCGTTGCTGGAGAAAAAAACAATTATTTTTATTTTTCGGGGTACTGTAGATTTGAATGTGTGCATTGACACCGCGACGCACAAACGCACACAATTATTGTTTTTTGGGCCCATTTTTCGATTTTTTCGGAAAAAACCTGAGTTTTTGACAGATTGTCAGATTGAAAAATGGGTTGTGAAATAGGAAAAAGGGATTTAGGAGTTCACGTGAAGATTTCACGAAAAAATGTTGAAAATTGGGTGAAAATCAGTTATTTTCGTGAAAAATTCATTTTTGGGCCTATTTTCATAGAATTTTATGAAATTTCCCCCCAAAAACTCACAAAAATATTCGAAATCCTGCGATTTTTGCGCTGCGTATTCGGTGTCGAGCTAGGCGTTGGCAAATGCGACGTCGACGCGGAAACCTGCGATGACGTGGCAAGCGGTGTTGCCGGCGAACCTTGTTGTTCATTGAAATAGTCATTTGAGTCTAGCAATGCGGCTGACGATCGTACACCATTCATCGTCGAATGTATCGATTTTTGCGATGCTGACGGTGAGATCGCAGCCGATGAGCTGGTTCGATATGCCGAATATTGTTGTTGTTGTGATTGTTGAGGAGGATATTGATTCGATCCGGAAGGTCTCACATTTTCCGACATACTTCCTCGAATTAATCCACTTCTTCTCGATGAATTTGTCGAAATATAATTGGATTGTGATTGTGATTGTCTGGCTGAGGAAGGAGCCGCAAAAACAGCAGTTGACATGTACCTTGGATCCTAGAAATTCGGAAGTTAGGGGAAAAAACTGTTCAAAACTTTTTCTCTCTCAAAAAACACACAATTCTCTTCAAGTATTTCTGTAAACACTTGAGGTACGAAAAAGACGAGAAATTATACAAGTTCAAAGATCTCGCGCCTACCTGATAATCTTTTTGTCGTAAATCTGAATGTGTTGGTGTTGGAGTTCGGGTTTGGGGGCCGGATACTCCAAAAGTGTTGCGTATTCGGTGTTGAATGATTTTACAGCAGGCTGAAAATCAGAGATATGTCTTGTGAAATGAAGATAGGCTGAAATTCCAGAATTTCCATTTTCAGAGATGAAAATTGTTTGAAATCTGAAGGGGATCTTCAGAATTTCGGCAAATTTCAAGGGCGAAAATCGGAAATTCTTGGATTTCAGAGAAAAATTTGAAGTGTTGAATTTTTCACGAAATTAGTTATAGAAAATTGTACTCAGATCTAACAACAAATGCTGAAATTCCAGAATTTCCATTTTCAGAGATGAAAATTGTTTGAAATCTGAAGGGGATCTTCAGAATTTCTGCAAATTTCAAGGGCGAAAATCGGAAATTCTGGGATTTCAGAGAAAAATTTGATTAGTTATAGAAAATTGTGCTCACAATCAGAACTAGAAAAAAATGCTGAAATTCCAGAATTTCCATTTTCAGATATGAAAATTGTTCGAAAGGGATCTTCAGAAAGTAGACACTTTTCAAGGGCGATAATAGGAAATTCTAAAATTCCAGATAAAAAGCTCAAAAAATCTCCCCTTGCAAAAAAAAAAACAAACAAAAACACCAATGCATTTCTAAACACCGAAAAAGTACGAAAAATAAGTACATACTTGAGGAAAATTCTCATTTATAGCGAATTTTTAGAAAAACAAGATCTCTTGACACCAAAAAATCTTTAAAAAATCGACTAAAAAGTGAAAAGTTTTTGGGGCGAGAGTCTTTGTTTGCTTTTCATGTCTCGTGTTCAACTTGAAAACACTACATACAAATAAAAAGAGGAAATATATAAAAATGTGAATAAATAATATAAAAATTTCAATTTTGGGACGAAAAAATCGAAAACAACTTTAATCCTCCTCAATTATGTACTTATTTTCGGGGGAAATGAGTTAAAGTAACCTACCATCTTTAAAAACCCGTTCGACATTCGTTCCATAGGTAGAACTCGTCTCATAATAAGCACATCGTTTCATTTGCGAAGCCATATGTCTTCCCTCTTCTTCCGAAATGATTCGTCCCTTTTTCTCCGATAGATTATCTTTGGTTCCAATGAGCAATAGCGGGATATCAGAAATGTTTCGATATTTGCTCATTTCATGCGCCAACAGGCGGATACTTTCGAAACTTTGTTCACAGCACACTGAGAACACGAAAACCACTGCGTCTACCCACTGACAGAACTGTAACGTAGATGTTTAAGGGTGTTAGGGATTTTCGGAAATTTTCAAAAATAGCCATAGCCTTTTTTGTCTAGATTTTTGTGCAAAAATTCAAAGTTTTCTGATTTTCCACTAAGTGACCTATGACGTGGCAATTTTTCCTCTAACCTGCACATCCAAATGTTGCTGTCCCTCGTCTCGAATCAACAACAAATGACTTTGTCCCTCGATAACCACCTCCTTCTTGAATCTTCCACCCTCGGGACTCTCTTCAGCCGTATAGGTTCCAGTCAAATAACGGTGTACTAAGGAGGTTTTGCCAGACTGTGTAGTTCCAACAATTCCCTGTAAAATGATGGGGTTAGACGTGTTTTTGACCAAAAATCACCGGGTATTTTTACACCAAGTACAAGGCGGTTGTATCATAGTAACTAATAAAAAAAACTTGTAACAAATTTTTTGGGAAGACCACCCAAGAAGATAAAAGGAGATGCCGGCAAACTAAGGTGTGAGAACCTAATGACTATTTCTAGTTTGATGCCTAAGCGATCAAACATCAAGTTTACTGTAAATAGCGCAAAACTGCCAGGTTTTAGCGCGAATTAGCTAAATAAAAAATTAGAACAAGTTAATTATTCAAAAATGTTGATTATGTCATAACATTAGTTAGATCTAATCTTATCTATCGGATAAATCTTAGGCTAAGTCAAATAGGAGAAAAATGTGACACCAAAAACATGGTGGGCGGGGGGAGAAAAGTTAATTAACACCTTTAAGATTTTGGTAACCCGGGGTGAGGTTTTGGTGCAAATCCGGATAGAAAATAGCGGATTTTGGAGTTGTAGGTCAAAAAAAAATCCACGTGGAGTTTTCTGTTGGAAACAGTGACACGTGGATAATTTTTGGTTGAAAAATTCTCGCACTGAACGTGAAAAATCGTTCGTTCTACAAAAAAATTACTCAAATTTTCATTTTTCGCGCCAAAATTCGACCTAGAGCTCAAAAATTTCTGGCACAAACAATAAAAAAATGCTCACACCTTACACCAATCTAACTAATTAACTTTGCGAGATCGCAATCTGTGCCAAAAGTGCCCAGTTTGCGCAACAACAAAAAAATAAAGGTGACGCATTACTGCTATTATGATTTTCTTGGGCGAGTTGGGCTAACTAATCTCAAGACTATTTATTTTTGCAGCAAACAATATACAATAAAGAAAGAAACACCTGTCAAGAACAAGAAAATAATAATAATAATAAGAGGGGGAGGATTAGTAAAGGAAAAAATAGAACAAATGTCTATTTTTTGGCTAGGTTCCAAGAGGTTATGACGTGGCATTTTCTATGATATTTTGGTACTGTAGCATCAAATTTTCGCCCCGAGACCCAAAATCCCATCACTTACCAATCTCATTTCACTAATCGATCTCGACAATGTCCATTCGTGTGAATTCACAAAAGAGTCTGCAAAAAATCGATAATTTTTCTGAAAATCTCTGAAATTCATTGGGTTTGGAAGTTTCCCCACAAAATCTAATACCATGACACGTGGCAGATCTCAAAATCCTTCGTCTCACTCCCATCTTCGGCAAGTTCGCGTAGTTCTGCGCCATTACCGGCTGCGGAAGCGGAAGCGGCACGTGGAAAACGACACGTGTCAGCGAGCGGGACGCGCGGCTTTTCCGCGCGTCTCGCTCCCCGAACAACATATCGCGCCATTTTCGTTGTGGTGGCTTTTCGAAATCGCTATCCAGATGAATTGTCGAATTGCTCAGATTAGGCTTCGGCCAATAATTATAGTCATAATCGTAGTCGTAGTTTCGTACAAGTGGCATTTTCTCTTTAAAGGTGCATGCGCCTTTAATGAAAAATCGTGATTTTGGCGCCAAAAATGATGAAAGTGAGGAGAAAACGAGGAAAGAAGAAGCTAATAAGTTGGGCAAACAAAAAAATGAAAAAAGAAAATTTCTGAATGGAAAATGTATACACTTTTTGATCTACCAAAAATCAAAGGTTACTGTACATTTTTCGCGCCAAAAATCCACCAAAACTACCGTACTTTTTGACCTATTTTTCGCGCCAAAAATCCACCAAAACTACCGTACTTTTGACCTATTTTTCGCGCCAAAAATCCACCAAAACTACCGTACTTTTGACCTATTTTTCGCGCCAAAAATCCACCAAAACTACGGTAATTTTTCGCACCAAAAAGCGGATATATTGTATATATATATTTACAAAATAATAAAAACGGCGTATATGTAATCTGATGCCAGTCTCTTTCACTCACATCAAATCTTCGTTCGTTCGTTCGCCGCCTTTTTTCGCCAGACACCCAAAATTTTGAAGTGTGTTAGATCAGAAAAATGACCGTATCCGATTTCAGAGGAAAACTCGACCAAAACTCAATGGAAAATCGATAGAAATCGGATTTGGGGAAAAAATTCGTCAAAAATACAATTTTTTTGGAAAATTTGCATATTGTTTTTCAAAAAATAATCGTATTGTTCCGGGAAAGATTTTTTTGTCAAAAAAAAAATCGGAGAGACAAAGAAAGAACGAAAAAAAACCAAATGTTGCCAGATGCAAAAAAAAATTGGGGAAAAGGGGGCCTAAAATTTACCTAGCCTAAAATAGGCCTATCTAACTAGAAGCCTGAGAAAGACTGAAAATTATGGTATACAAAGATAAGCCTAAAACCCAGCCTAAAATAAGCCTAACCCCAGACCTGAAAGTACCTCGGTCAATTTGATCGTGCGCCAAAATGAAAATCGAGCCTCGTCCAGCTGACCTTCGGCTTTTTGTGTCTTCAACAACAAAAAAAGAGCGCAGGTCAATGACACCATTAATAATTACACAATTTGGTGGATATTATTTGGGCGACAGGTGCTTACACCAATGAAAAATTGACAGAAAAAGTCAAAAGAGGGGGGAAGATGCTTGATTAATTAATTAAATATTTAATTAACTGAGCAGCCTAAGATATGCCTAAAAATTGGGAAATTTGGGCTTGAAAATCATCAAAAACAGGCCTGAGAGTACCTAAAAACCGGGCCTAAATGGGCCTAAAATAAGCCGTGCCTAACCAAAAACAAGGCCTGAAGATACCTAAAATTCAGCCTAAACCAAGCCTTAAAGTACCTTTAGAAACCAGGCCTGAAAGTACCTAAAATTCAGCCTAAACCAAGCCTTAAAGTACCTTTAGAAACCAGGCCTGAAAGTACCTAAAATTCAGCCTAAACCAAGCCTTAAAGTACATTTAGAAACCAGGCCTCAAGATACCTAAAATTCAGCCTAAAAGTACCTCAAAACCAGGCCTGAAAGTACCTAAAATTCATCCTAAACCAAGCCTAGAAGTACCTTAAAAACCAGGCCTGATTAGCACAGCCTAAATGGGCCTAAAAATATGCCTAAACCCATCCTAAAAGTACCTTAAAAACCAGGCCTGAAAGTACCTAAAATTCATCCTAAACCAAGCCTAAAAGTACCTTAAATCAATCCTAAATCAATTCAGCCTGAACAGGCCTAAACAGGCCTAAAATCAGCCTATTTCACCTCAAAAAACGCCAAAAATAACGCAAAAAAGAAGAAAATTGATGAATTAATTAAATATTTAATTAAGCATAGGAAAAATGGCAGAAATAATGCGTTTTCAGCAAAAAAATAATGAGAATTTTCAATTTCCTCTTCTTCTAGAGCAAATTTGGCTGAAAAATCCAAAATTTTGGCTGAAAATCCGGAAAAATTCAGCTAAAAATATAGATTTTCACCGAAATTTGCCTCATTTTCTGCTGGCCACAAATTTCAAGGATATATTTATTCATTCTTTTTTTCGAGGTCAACATTTTCATCTTTTCTCCCAAAAAAACACAAATTTTTGGAGGGAAAAAGGAAGAAAATCGGGTAATAATTAAAAACTTATTAAAAATATCGATTTTTGGGTGAAATTTAGGGGAAATTTCGAATTTTAGATAAGAAAATGAGGCAAAAATCATACGGTTCAGTGGATTCTCATATGCAAATTTACACCTGCTTTGGGTGAGGGGAAAAATCGATAAAATCTGGGATTTTCAGTCAATTTTCAGCCAAAAATTCCAAATTTTCGCTCAAAAAACTTCCAAACCCAATTATTTTCCAAAAATTTCCAAAAAAAATCCACTTACCTTCAATAGCAACAACTTGTTCTCTCAGTTGGGTTCCAAGTACATCATAGCCTTCCGGAAGTAGATTTAATAGGTCGTAAATCTGAGAAAAAAAGGGTTTTTGGCGGGAAAAAGTACAGTAATCCTGGGCTTATTTTTGGCGGGAAATTTGAACTTTGAAAATATTTGAAAATTAATTTTTGGCGGGAAAAAGTACAGTAATCTTAGCTTATTTTTGAGCGGGAAAATTGAATATTCAAAATAAAATTTGAATTTTAGTTTCAAGTGGATTTTTGCCGCCAAAAACTACAGTAACTCGGTCAAAAATAGGCGGGAAATTTGAATTTTGAAAATATTTTAAAATTAATTTTTGGCGGGAAAAGTACAGTAATCTTAGCTTATTTTTGGGCGGGAAAATTGAATTTTCAAATAAATTTTGAATTTTTGTTTCAAGATTCATTTTTTCCGCCAAAAACTACAGTAACTCGGTCAAAAATAGGCGAGAAGTTTGAATTTTGAAAATATTTTAAAATTAATTTTTGGCGGGAAAAAGTACAGTAATCTTAGCTTATTTTTGGCGGGAAAAAGTACAGTAATCTTAGCTTATTTTTGGGCGGGAAAATTGAATTTTGAAATTAAATTTTGAATTTTAGTTTCAAGTGGATTTTTGCCGCCAAAAACTACAGTAACTCGGTCAAAAATAGGCGGGAAATTTGAATTTTGAAAATATTTTAAAATTAATTTTTGGCGGGAAAAAGTACAGTAATCTTAGCTTATTTTTGGCGGGAAAATTGAATTTTCAAAATAAAATTCGAATTTTTGTTCCAAGTGGATTTTTGCCGCCAAAAACTACAGTAACTCGGTCAAAAACAAGGCGGAAAATTTGAATTTTTAAAAATTTTTTGAATATCAATTTTGGCGCCAAAATTCAAATTTTCGCTCCAAGACCACCTTTTTCGTGTCAAAAATCCACCAAAAATCGATACCTGATAAATACTCGGATGCACACTTTCAAATCGATGAATTTCGGCGCGAATCTGCTCGGAATTCAACGTGTTATTTCCACTCGAGACCAATAAATGGCGCGAAGACATTTTTAGCTGCAAAATTTTGAGATTTTTGGCTGAAAATTTCGAGATTTTCAGCAAAAAATAGGGGCTAAAACTCACATTTTCTATGATTTTTCCCTATCGAATTCCACTATTTTTCCATCAGAATTTATTGATTTTGCCTGCAAAAATCGGGGAAAATATTATTATATATATAAAATATAAAAATGTGAGAAGAAATAGTGAAAAGATATGCGATTTGATAAGAATTGCGGATTTTATGACTTTCCGCGCGCGCAAAAATTTTCATATCAGAACAATTCCACGTTTCCGCGCGCGCGGAACACCCCAAAAATTTCAAAAAATCGAAAAAACCGAGAGGAAAACGAACATATTGTGAGTGGCGAGAGAGCACTGCGAAATGAGAGAGTGGCGAGAGAAAAAGTTTGGTGAGAGGGTTGTGGCAGAGACGTAGAGGAGATGGGGTGAGAGGGGGCAGAGAAATGAAGATTGATGGTTTTTTTCGGAGGAGGAGGGAAAGAAATGTGTAGTTCTCGAGGAGAAGCTGAATTAAAATTTCCACGTGGAAACATTTAAATCAAAATTTTCCACTAAAAATACACAAAATAACGAATTTTCAGCTGAAAATCCAAAAAACCGCAAATTTTTTCACCTGCAACTGCCTAAATCGATGATTTTCATGACAAATCTATCAAACTTGACAAGATCTAGAAGTTGAGAAGCCCGGAATTCAACGATTTCGACCCCTAAAACCCCTTCGCACTCAAAAACCACCGCGCGGAAAATAAAAATAATCGTCCACGAGAACTACACACATTCAAAAATGGGTATACGGTGTACGCGATGCGAAATGTGTGCAAACACCGTCGCCGCCCGCCAATCAACAATTTCCCGCATTTTCCTGTGTTTTTTGCGTTTTTCCCGGGTAAACTAGTGATTCCAGCGTTATAAATCGAAGTTTTCAGATAAATCATGGATCGCAGATCATCATTACGGCCTAGAAAATCAGAAATCTCTCAAATTGTATCAGCAACACCACAAAAATCGCCTGGAAGACAGCCAAAAGGCCGAAGAGCACCGGCCTCTTCAAAGCAATCGATTGTTTTCAAAAATGAAGCATCCGAATCATCGTCATCTGAAGATGATTCTTCCGATTCCGATTCCGAAAATCAATACAAGAATCCGGTGGATCCAAGTCTAGAAGAGGAAGATCTGGAAATTTCGGATATTTTTTTGGAGAATTCTAGCGATAAAGAGAATAGTCCAGGAAGGCGTAGATCTCAAAAAATCAATAAAAATCTGGCGAATTTAAGCCTGAAAGCTTCGGAACCTCAAACACCATCAAGAAATACAAGAAGTTCAATGAAAGGACGTGATTTCTACAGTTTAAGCGATCAAGAAACGGATTCTGAAGAAATGGAGATGGATATTGAGATCAAAAGGGTTCAGTGAGTGCATTTTTGACTGAAAATCGGCTGAAAATCCACGATTTTCAGCCAAAATAGTGCGTTTTCAGTCAAAAATCGATAATTTTCTACAGAACTCGATCTGCTCGCCGTGCTCTTGCACCAATCACACCCAAAAAAGCCACCACCAAAAAAGGAGTTACGCCAACTCGCCTGGCAGTTTCCAAAACTCCAGGAGGCACCAGGAGCTACAATTTTGCGACGAGGGTGAGTTGTGAGCTGGAAATGGTGGCGAAGACGCGAAAAATCTAGGACACGTGGGAAAAAACGTGGATTTTTCAAAGCCTAGGCTTATCTAGACTCAAAAAACGTGGATTTTTTGAGCCTAGGCTTGTTTAGGCTCGAAAAACGTGGAATTTTTGAGCCTAGGCTTATCTAGTCTCAAAAAACATAGATTTTTCAAAGCCTAGGCTTATCTAGACTCAAAAAACGTGGATTTTTTGAGCCTAGGCTTGTTTAGGCTCGAAAAACGTGGAATTTTTTGAGCCTAGGCTTATCTAGTCTCAAAAAACATAGATTTTTCAAAGCCTAGGCTTATCTAGACTCAAAAAACGTGGATTTTTTGAGCCTAGGCTTGTTTAGGCTCGAAAAACGTGGATTTTTTGAGCCTAGGCTTATCTAGACTCAAAAAAACGTGGATTTTTTGAGCCTAGGCTTATCTAGACTCAAAAAAACGTGGATTTTTTGAGCCTAGGGCTTATCTAGACTCAAAAAACGTGGAATTTTTGAGCCTAGGCTTATCTAGTCTCAAAAAACATAGATTTTTCAAAGCCTAGGCTTATCTAGACTCAAAAAACGTGGATTTTTTGAGCCTAGGCTTGTTTAGGCTCGAAAAACGTGGATTTTTCTAGTCTAGGCTTATCTAGACTCAAAAAACGTGGATTTTTCAAAGCCTAGGCTTATCTAGACTCAAAAAACGTGGATTTTTTGAGCCTAGGCTTATCTAGACTCAAAAAACGTGGATTTTTTGAGCCTAGGCTTATCTAGACTCAAAAAACGTGGATTTTTTGAGCCTAGGCTTATCTAGACTCAAAAAACGTGGATTTTTTGAGCCTAGGCTTATCTAGACTCAAAAAAACGTGGATTTTTTGAGCCTAGGGCTTATCTAGACTCAAAAAATTGTGGATTTTTCTAGTCTAGGCTTATCTAGACTCAAAAAACGTGGATTTTTTGAGCCTAGGCCTATCTAGACTCAAAAAAACGTGGATTTTTCAAAGCCTAACCTTATTTGGGCTCAAAAAACGTGGAATTTTGAGTCTAGGCTTGTTTGGGCTCTAAAAATTCCCAATTTTCAGACTCGAAAACAAGAAACCGACTCAAATCACCGCTCCCCAATCGCAAAACTTCGCCTAACTCTTCCCGGTCTCTCAACAATTGCCCAGAAAATGAAAAATCTCGCCGACAAGCTGCATTTATCGGAAATTCCCGAAAATCTACCGTGCAGAGAGAAAGAGACGCAGGAATTGCGAAAATTCATCGAGCAAGCTGTGCATCCGAAAAAAGGCGAAAGTGGAGCGATTTATATTTCGGGAGTTCCGGGAACTGGAAAAACTGCCACTGTGAGAGCTGTACGTTGATTTTTGATGGGAAATTTAGAATTTTTGATGAATTTTGAGCTAGAAATCGCGAAAATTGAGGTTTTTGAAGGTGTAAACGCGGAGCATCGTTGTTTTTCCAGGTCATCGAATCTATGAAATCCTCAAAATCCTTCGTCTATGCCGAAGTTAATGCGATGATTTTCCGCAAAAAAGTTTTTGCCGAAATCTATAACCGAATCCAAGAGAACTACACAATATCAGCCCAAAAGACACCCAAAAAACAGCAGCTGGCTGAAAATGCATCGCTGAAAATCGCGAGCTCTACGGCTCGCCTCAAATTGAATGCGATGTTCCGGAAGGCGGACAAAAATCGATCGCCGATTGTGATTTTGGTGGACGAGTTGGACGGGTTGTGCAATCGCAAACAGGATGTTTTGTATGATATTTTTGATTGGACTTCGATGCCTGAAGCGAGGGTTACGATTATTGGTGAGATTTGGAGCATTTTGAGCCCAAAAATCATGATTTTTGATGGTGTAAACGTGGAGTATCGTTTGAACTACGATAATCCGCTTTTACACCTTCAAAAATCCACAAAAATCGATATTTTTGATGGTGTAAAGGCGGAGTATCGTTTGAACTACGATAATCCGCTTTTACACCTTCAAAAAATCCACAAAAATCGATATTTTTAATGGTGTAAAGGCGGAGTATCGTTTGAACTACGATACTCCGCTTTTACACCTTTAAAATCCTTCAAAAATCATGATTTTCAATGGTGTTAACGTGAAGCATCGTTTGAACTACGATACTTCGCTTTTACACCTTGAAAAGTCAATATTTTCAATGGTGTAAATGCGGAGTATCGTAGTTTTTCCTTTAGGCTCTTCAAACGATGCTCCACATTTACACCTATGAAAAATATGGCAAAAACCATTAAGTTTAGTTGATTTTTATCGAATTTGGTCTCAAAATGAACTAATTTTCACAAATTTTTATGATAAAATACTCAATTTTCAGCCCGAAACTGATTTTTGGCATAAAATCTTGCAAAATCATCAAATTTGGTATCAAAATTGATGAAATTTTCCCCATTTTTCACCCAAAAACCCTCCAAATTCTTTGCAGCCATCGCCAACACTCTCGACTTCCCCGAACGTATGTTATGCCAGCGAATTTCTTCCCGTCTCGACAAACGTCGCCTGATTTTCCAACCCTATGAACACGAACAAATCGAGCGGATTATTGATGCGAGATTGGCGAAAAGTGAGGTGATTGATCCGAATGCCGTGAAATTGGTGGCGAGAAAAGTGAGTTTTAAGGGGAAAAATCGTGAAAAATGGACAATTTTGAGCCAAAAATCGTGAATTTTGAAGGGGTAAACGTGGAGTGTCGTTTGAACTACGATACTCCGCATTTACATCACCTTTTGAGCTTTTATATGCATATTTGGTGTCAAAAAATCCCAAATTTTGAAGAGAAAAACTACGACACTCCGCAATTACACCCCGATTTTCCAGGTCTCAGCAATATCAGGAGATCTTCGTCAAGCTCTCGATATGCTTCGTCGTTCAATTCGAATTGCAATCGAAATGAAATCGACGAAATTAACCATGGAACACGTGAATTTGGCACAAAAAGCGGTGGCAGAACCGCTGAAAATGCGCCTAATCAAATCGCTCAAATTGCACAAATTGATGATTTTTAGAGCTGTTTTGACTATTGTGAGTGGGAATTTTTGGGTCTTGAAGGGAAGATTTGACCTACAGTAAGAATCTAATTCAAATTTCCAAATTTTCCGCCAATTTTCAAAAATTCAAATTTCAAAAATTTCCCGCCATTTTTCAAAAATTCAAATTTCAAAATTTCCCGCCATTTTTCAAAAATTCAAATTTCCAAATTTCCCGCCAATTTTCAAAAATTCAAATTTCAAAAATTTCCCGCCATTTTTCAAAAATTCAAATTTTCAAATTTCCCGCCAATTTTCAAAAATTCAAATTTCCAAATTTCCCGCCATTTTTCGAAAATTCAAATTTCGAATTTTCCCGTCATTTTTCAAAAATTCAAATTTCGAAATTTCCCGCCATTTTTCAAAAATTCAAATTTCGAAATTTCCCGCCAATTTTCAAAAATTCAAATTTCCAAATTTCCCGCCATTTTTCAAAAAATTCAAATTTCCAAATTTCCCGCCATTTTTCAAAAATTCAAATTTTCCAGATTCAATCAACCGAAAAAGAGGAGACAATATTCAGTGAAGTCTATAAAATGTATTGTGTTTTGTGTCAAACACTTTCTGGAGTTGCGCCAACTTCCGATTCATTGGCTTATGATTTGGCACTACAATTAGCGCGAACCAGGTAAATTTTTGAATTTTTCGCATTTTGGCGCGAAAATTTGATGAAAAATGAGCCAAAAATCGTGATTTTTGCTCGAAAATGAGTTATTTTAGGTCATTTTCCACCAAAAACCCTCGTTTTCGGCTCATTTTTTCCCAAAATTCTTGAATTTTCAGCCTACTTATCCTATCTCCCGGTCAAAATGGAATGTTTCGCCGAAAAATCAAGCTTGGAATGGCTGTTTATGAGGCTGAGAAATGTATTCAACAAATTGAGGAGCTTCAAAAATCACATTAATTTTCCTGTTTTTTCCAATTTTCTTTCAAAAAAATCGCATTTTTCCGCATTTTGTAAATACCATATTTTCCATGTTTTTCGCAATAAATCACTGTTTTTTTCGCTTTTTTCCAACTTTTTCAAGGGTTTTTCACCCAAAAAACCCCTATTTTACGCCTAAAATTTTTTTTAAACCCTAATTCAGGTATTTTCAGATGGAAATTCTGAGAAAAGCTGAAATTCAGCAATGCGCTTCTGAAGCGCTCGAAAAATTGGATGATTTTATGGCGGGCGCCGAGGAAAATGAGAGGTTTGTTTGAATTGCCGCGCGTTTGGGTCTCGCAGCGCTGGGGATATTTACGGCGGAGTTGTGTGTAGTTCTCGAGGAGGAGAGTGCATTTTTTTGTTTTTCGCCGGGTTTTGACCTAAAATTAAGGGGATTTCGAGATTTTTAAGAAACTTAGGGTTAGAATTAGTGTTGTTAAGGTAGTTTGGAGGGAAAATTCGTTTTTCCAGAAAAAATCGACGATCTTGTGGTCGATTTTCTGTCGTCTCAAAAAGGCCAATGTTGTTTGCTGGAAGGAGAGCCGAATTGTGGAAGAGAGACGATTTTGATGAAGGTTTTGAAGAAATATAGTATTGATTTGAGGGTGATTAATGTTGGTGAGTGAAATTTGGGTGGAAATGATGGTTTTTGACCGGAAATTTGTGAAAAATAAGGTTTTTTGGGTCCTGGAGCGAAAAACTCTGATTTCTTTTAGCAAATTTCGATGATTTTTGACAAAAAACCCACATTTTTTACACGAAAATCATGAATTTTGGGTAAAAAACCCTCAAAAATCATCAAATTTTCCAGGTTACGCAGCCGCCGATCCTTTGCTCCAAGAATCTTTGGCTCGAGAAAATGAGCAAGACGGAGAATATTCGGTTTTCCTGATTCGAGACGCCGATGAACTCATCAGCGGACATCAACAGGAATTTTTGTATACAATGACTGATAAGGCGACGAGTTGCTCGTGGTTGGTGTTTTTTTCGATTTCGAGACAGGTATGTTTGGGATTTTGAGGCAAAATTCGAGAAAAACGGTCAAAAATGACTCGAAATTCATGTTTTCACTGAAAAATGGGCAAAAATCGATAATTCTAATCTGAAATTCGAAAAATTACGAAAATTGACCTAAATTCAATGATTTCCGAGACCTACAGTAATTTTGATGGTTTTTAAAGGAACATGAGGCATTATAGAGCTGCAAAAAATCCGCCCGCCGCTCATGCCAGTCGGGTAATTTGCCCCCCGGCCCGGCTCGAACACCCTCGATAGACTATGATCGATTTGCCCGGGTAGCCCGCACCCGTCTGCCGGTTTGCCCGATTTGCCCGTTGCCCGTCACACCGTGCATTTTCTTCTCTTTTTCTTTTCTATCTCTCGTTTTTGTGCACTCTCTCTCACTGTTTTTTTGTTTTCACACGTGTGAATGCACGGTGTGGCGGGCAAAACGGGCAAAAGAAGCAAAGGGGCAAGTTTATGCGGGCAAACGGGCAAATCGGGTAAACGTGAAGGCGGGTGCGGGCTACCCGGGCAAATCAAGAATGTGTGAGCGGGGGGCATCGGGCAGTTTTTTTGCAGCTCTAAGGCATTAAATAGCCATTTTGAGTGAAAATTCGTTGAAAATGACCCGAAATTCATGATTTTCACTGAAAAATGGGCAAAAATTGATAATTCTAACCTGAAAATTTGACAGAAATTTCAATTTTAAGCTGAAAAGTTCGAATTTTCGGTTAAAATTCATCATTTTTCCCCAAATTTTCCAGAATTTCGCTCAAAACCTGGAAAAACGTGGAAATTCTCGAATACCACGAATTCGTGTGACTTTCGATCAACAAACACCAACATTCGATGAATATTGCACGGCATTTCGTCAAATGATTATACCGAAATCGTCGGAAGCCGAAAAATCGACGAATTTCCAGGGATTCTACCAGGAGATGCGCAGTGACACGTGGCTCAGAGACTTCTATGAATTGTACAATTTTGATGGGCTGAAAAAGCTGGCGGCGATGATTTTGATGGAAGTTGCGATGGGTGGGGATCAGGTGAGTATTTTGAGCCGGAAATCGTGAAATTTGGAGCATTTTGAGCCAAAATTCAGGATTTTTCATAAAAAATGACCTAAAATTCATTTTTTCCAACTATTTTTATTCAAAATTTATCATTTTTGAGGGTGAAAAATAGCTAAAATTTGAATTTTGATGAAAATAAGCCTAGAACAACAGGCCTGAAACAAGCCTAGAAAAGCCTAAAATGAGCCTAGAGCTAGGCCTAAACAGAGCTCAAGGCTGGGCCTAAAAAAGCCTCTAAAATGAGCCTAAAACTAGGCCTTAAAAAACCCAGAAGCTAGGCCCAAGATAAGCCTAAAGCTAGGCCTAAAAAACCCCAGAAGCTAGGCCTAAAATAAGCCTAAAGCTAGGGCTAAAATCCCAGAAGCTAGGCCTAAGATAAGCCTAAAGCTAGGCCTAAAATCCCAGAAGCTAGGCCTAAGATAAGCCTAAAGCTAGGCCTAAAAAACCCCAGAAGCTAGGCCTAAGATAAGCCTAGAGCTAGGCCTAAAAATCCCAGAAGCTAGGCCCAAGATAAGCCTAAAGCTAGGCCTAAAAAATCCCAGAAGCTAGGCCCAAGATAAGCCTAAAGCTAGGCCTAAAAAACCCCAGAAGCTAGGCCTAAGATAAGCCTAGAGCTAGGCCTAAAAATCCCAGAAGCTAGGCCTAAGATAAGCCTAAGACGAGCCTAGAACTAGGCCTAAGATAAGCCTAAAGCTCGGCCTAAGATAAGCCTAGAGCTAGACCTAAGAAAACTCTGAAGCTAGGCTTAAAAGAACCCAGAAGCTAGGCCTAAAAGAAACCTAAAGCTAGGCCTAAGATAAGCCTGAAACAAGCCTAAAGCTAGATCCTAAAGCTAGGCCTTAAAAAACCCAGAAGCTAGGCCTAAAAAACCCAGAAGCTAGGCCTAAAAGAAACCTAAAGCTAGGCCTAAGATAAGCCTGAAACAAGCCTAAAGCTAGATCCTAAAGCTAGGCCTTAAAAACCCAGAAGCTAGGCCTAAAAAAACCAGAAGCTAGGCCTAAGATGAGCCTAGAATGAGCCTAAAATTGGCCTAAAATCAGCCTAAATTATGTGATTTCAGACCATTTTTTATCAAATTTTCTGATTTTCAGGTCAACATTACCTGAAAATCCCAAATTTCCTCCCAAAAATCTCCTATTTCTTCCAGATTCCAACCCAAAAAACGGTCGAAAATGCCCTATGTTCCCTAATGCCCTCAAATCGTAAATTATCCATCCTCCAAGATCAAACCCTCCGATCTCAATGCGTTTTTCTGTGTTGTCATCGACTTTGCCGCAATCGCCGCGCGGAATCCGAATTCCTCACTCCGCGCACCACATTCCGCACCGTATTTTTGGAGTATAAAAAACTCGCGAATTTACACTATGCGCCTTTAAATGTCAACAATGATGTGTTTGTTTTTCGAGAAATTGAGCATTTGATTGAAATTGGATTGTTGAAGTGTGAGAAGATGGCGAATTTCAGCAATATTTCGTTTAGGTAAGGGAGTTTTGGGAGATTTTTAGGGGAAAAGCTGAAAATTTGACTGAAAATGAGCTAAGAAACTTGAAAAATGATGAAATTTAAGCTGAAATTCAAGATTTTTGATGAATTTTGAGCTAAAATTTTTTTTAGCCTAAAAATCAGCAATTTTTAGCCTGAAATTGATTTCAGGATGATTTTCTTTAGAAATCTCAAAATTTGACTGAAAATAATGAATTTTTAGCTGAAATTCAGGATTTTTGATGAATTTTAGCTTAAAAATTAGGAATTTTCAGCCTGAAATTAATTTCAGGTTGATTTTCCTTGGAAATCTCAAAATTTGACTGAAAATGATGCATTTTGAGCTGAAATTCAAGGTTTTTGATGAATTTTAGCTTAAAAATCAAGATTTTGTAGCCTGAAATTAATTTCAGGTAAATTTTCTTTAGAAATCTGAAAATTTGACTGAAAATGATGAATTTTGAGCTGAAATTCAAGATTTTTGATGAATTTTAGCTTAAAAATCAGGTATTTTCAGCCTGAAATTTATTTCAGAATGATTTTCTTTAGAGATCTCAAAATTTGACTGAAAATGATGAATTTTGAGCTAAAAATCTGGATTTTTGATGGATTTTAACCTAAAAATCATGAATTCTTGGCCTGAAATTAATTTCAGAATGATTTTCTTTAGAAATATCAAAATTTGACTGAAAATGATGAATTTTGAGCTGAAATTCAAGATTTTTGATGAATTTTAGCTTAAAATTAGGAATTTTCAGCCTGGAATTAATTTCAGGTTGATTTTCTCTGGAAATCTCAAAATTTGACTGAAAATGATGAATTTTAAGCTGAAATTCCGGATTTTTGATGAATTTCAGCTTAAAAATTAGGAATTTTTAGCCTGAAATTAATTTCAGGTTGATTTTCTCTGAAAATCTCAAAATTTGACTGAAAATGATGAATTTTGAGCTAAAAATCTGGATTTTTGATGGATTTTAACCTAAAAATCATGAATTCTTGGCCTGAAATTAATTTCAGGATGATTTTCTTTAGAAATCTCAAAATTTGACTGAAAATAATGAATTTTTAGCTGAAATTCAGGATTTTTGATGAATTTCAGCTTAAAAATTAGGAATTTTTAACCTGAAATTAATTTCAGGTTGATTTTCTTTAGAAATCTGAAAATTTGACTGAAAATGATGAATTTTAAGCTGAAATTCAGGATTTCTGAAGAATTTTAGCTTAAAAATTAGGAATTTTTAGCCTGAAATTAACTTCAGGTTGATTTTCTCTGGAAATCTCAAAATTTGATGAATTTTTAGCTGAAATTCAAGATTTCTGATGAATTTCAGCTTAAAAATTAGGAATTTTCAGCCTGAAATTGATTTCAGGATGATTTTCTTCAGAAATCTCAAAATTTGACTGAAAATAATGAATTTTTAGCTGAAATTCAGGATTTTTGATGGGTTTTAACCTAAAAATCATGAATTCTTGGCCTGAAATTAATTTCAGAATGATTTTCTTTAGAAATCTGAAAATTTGACTGAAAATGATGAATTTTAAGCTGAAATTCAGGATTTCTGAAGAATTTTAGCTTAAAAATCAGCAATTTTCAGCAAGAAATTATTTTCTGGATGATTTTCTTTAGAAGTCTGAAAATTTGACTGAAATTGATAAATTTTGAGCTGAAATTCAGGATTTTTGATGAATTTCAGCTTAAAAATCAAGATTTTGTAGCCTGAAACTAATTTCAGGTCAATTTTTCTCAAAAACCTCGATTTTCAGAAAAATCTGGCTCGATATGGATGCTCTAACCGTCGAAAAATCGATATCCGATGTTCTCAAACTTCCCACAACTGTTCGCGATTTTTTTGCCACAATTTTGGACTAATTTTTTGGATTTTCCGCTGTAAAATATGAAATTTTCACTATTTTTTATAGATTTTTCATGATTTTTGACCCTAGATGTGTATTTTTCACACTTTTTTACCTGAAAATTCGAGATTTTCAGCCTGACCAGCTGAAATTTCCAGAATGGCTCAAGAATACGATGTTGTGGCTCCGCCGAATGCGAAACGAATGAAAACCGACATGGCTTTTGATGAGAAACGTGTGCTTTATGTGGTTTTGGAGGGATGCAGTTTGGAGACGGCGAAGGTGAGCAAAATGAGCCTAATTTTCAAATTTGGAGCAAAATGAGCCAAAATTCGGAAAATTTGATGAATTTTGAGCCAAAATTCAGGTTTCCACGTGGAAAATGATGAAATTTGAGCCAAAATTCGAAATTTAATGAAAATTGAGCCTAATTTTGCAAATTTGAAGCAAAATGAGCCAAATTTCAGGATTCTACGTGAAAAATGATGAATTTTGAGCAAAAATGAGCATTTTTGATGAAAAATAAGCTAAAAATTCGGAAAATTTGATGAATTTTGAGCAAAAAATTTGAAAAATGAGCATTTTTGATGAATTTTGACCTAAAATTCGAAATTTAATGAAAAATGAGCCTAATTTTGAAATTTGGAACAAAATGAGCCAAATTTCAGGATTCCACCTGGAAAATGATGAATTTTGAGACGAAATTTGGGATTTTTCATGAAAAATGAGCCAAAATTCGGAAAATTTGATGAATTTTGAGCAAAAAATTTGAAAAATGAGCATTTTTGATGAAATTTGAGCCAAAATTCGAAATTTAATGAAAATTGAGCCTAATTTTGCAAATTTGAAGCAAAATGAGCCAAATTTCAGGATTCCACCTGGAAAATGATGAATTTTGAGACGAAATTTGGGATTTTTCATGAAAAATGAGCCAAAATTCGGAAAATTTGATGAATTTTGAGCAAAAAATTTTAAAAATGAGCATTTTTGATGAATTTTGACCTAAAATTTGAAATTTAATGAAAAATGACCCTAATTTTGAAATTTGGAACAAAATGAGCCAAAATTCAGGTTTCCACGTGGAAAATGATGAAATTTGAGCCGAAATTTGGGATTTTTCATGAAAAATGAGCCAAAATTCGGAAAATTTGATGAATTTTGAGCAAAAAATTTGAAAAATGAGCATTTTTGATGAAAAATGAGCCAAAATTCGAAAGTTAATGAAAAATGAGCCTAATTTTCAAATTTGGAGCAAAATGAGCCAAATTTCAGGATTCCACGTGAAAAATGACGAATTTTGAGCAAAAATGAGCATTTTTGATGAAAAATGAGCTAAAATTCGGAAAATTTGATGAATTTTGAGCAAAAAATTTGAAAAATGAGCATTTTTGATGAATTTTGACCTAAAATTCGAAATTTAATGAAAAATGAGCCAAATTTTCAAATTTGGAGCAAAATGAGCCAAAATTCAGGATTCCACCTGGAAAATGATGAATTTTGAGACGAAATTTGGGATTTTTCATGAAAAATGAGCCAAAATTCGGAAAATTTGATAAAATTTGACCTAAAACTTTAGGATGTTCACATTTTCCCACCAATTTTCAGGTCGGTGGTGAATATGTGATTTTGAGCAGCGATAAACATGCCAACTTTTTGAGAAAACAGAAAAAAGACCCGTCGGACTATAGACCGGATATTTTGCATCAGGTTGGTGAAATTTTCATGAAAAATGAGCCCGGAATCGTGGAGCATCGTTGAAAACTCGAGAAAACTACGATGCTCCGCGTTGACGCCGTCAGAAATGGTCAAAAACTGGTTTTTCAAACGATGCTTCGCGTTTGCACCTCTAAAAATTCAAAATTCCCCCAATTTTTCGCAGCGTAAACGTGGAGCATCGTTTAAAATTCGAGAAAACTACGATGCTCCGCGTTTACACCTCCACAAAATCTTCTTGCAGTGCCTCCTGAATCTCCTTGACAGTCCTCTAAACCGTGCCGGAAAACTTCGAGTATTTTTCCGAACTTCGAAAAATGTTCTGGTCGATGTGTCGCCACAGTGCAGAATTCCCAGAACTTTCGATCGATTTTGCGGTCTGATGGGTGAGTTTAAGCCAATTTTCAGCCAAAAAAACAGAATTTTTCACTGAAATCTTGATTTTCAGTGCAACTTTTGCACAAATTATCGATTCGCGCAGCTGAAACCACTCAAAAATTGATGTCTGTTGTCAAAAATCCGGTCACTAATCATTTACCGGTTGGATGTCGCAAAATTTTGATGTCTTTTAATGTTGAGGTGAGGATTTTTGACCTTAGAGACGTTAATTTTGACCTTAGAGACCTTAGGGACGTTAATTTTGACCCTAGAGAACTTGGGGACGTTAATTTTGACCCTAGAGACCTTAGGGACGTTAATTTTGACCCTAGAGACCTTAAGGACGTTAATTTTGACCTTAGAGACCTTGGGGACGTTAATTTTGACCTTAGAGACCTTGGGGACGTTAATTTTGACCTTAGAGACCTTGGGGACGTTAATTTTGACCTTAGAGACCTTAGGGACGTTAATTTTGACCCTAGAGAACTTGGGGACGTTAATTTTGACCCTAGAGACCTTAGGGACGTTAATTTTGACCCTAGAGACCTTAGGGACGTTAATTTTGACCTTAGAGACCTTGGGGACGTTAATTTTGACCTTAGAGACCTTAGGGACGTTAATTTTGACCTTAGAGACTTTAGGGACGTTAATTTTGACCCTAGAGAACTTGGGGACGTTAATTTTGACTCTAGAGACCTTAGGGACGTTAATTTTGAACCTAGAGACCAAAGGGACGTTAATTTTGACCCTAGAGACCTTAGGGACGTTAAAAACCCTAATTTTCTTCTAGGAATGCACATTGGCCAATAAATTGGTAACACCAGAAAGTGAAGAATCGCTAGTTGTGGTAATTGGAGGAATTGCGAGAGGAAAAGTGAGTTTTTGGCTGAAAATGTTCAAAATTTGGCTGAAAATGGTGATTTTCAGCCAAAAAACCGTGATTTTCACCCCAAAAACCCCAAAAATTTTCAGATTAGCGTGGATTACACGGATTCCGAGACGAAAATCAGTAATTATCCACTTTCGGCAGCTTTGGCTTGCGCAAAAGTCACCAGTGGATTAGAGGAAATTTGGAATATTATTTGATTTTTTGTGGTTTTGTTAATTTTTTTTGTTGATTTTTTGTTTGGAAATGAAATTTGAGAAAATTTGGAGTTTTTTGAGACCGAATTTGCCACGTGGAAATTGAAAATTCAAATATTAGGCCGAACGAGAAAAAAAACAAAAAAAAATTCACCGAAACCGTTACTGTAGTTTACAGCGGTGTTTGCACACTGTTGCACACGTGGCATTTTAGATGACGCGCAAAAATGTTTTTTTCGCGATTTTTTTTGGCACAGCTGCAAAAACCGATTGTGCGCCAGCAATGTCTCCTGCACTCTTCTCTCTCGCCCTCCACGGGCGTGTGTGTTTGTCGGCGTCTCTATAAGCGCACACACTCTCTCGCCGAAAAATTATTTTTTTAAATTTTTTCTCGAATTTTTTTGAAAAAAGCTGAAGTTAGCGGAAGTTTCAACAAATGAATCGTACATGAGAAGATAGAGGAGAATGAGACGAAGACAGAGAAATATAATTTGTTGAGTGAAAAAATTTATTAGGCGTGAAAAACGTGAGATTTTGAAGTACCCTCACAAAAAAGATATTTTTGAAATAATGAAGCAAAACTTTCAAACTTTTTATATGAAATAAGATGTTTAATATACTTATGTTGAAAAAAGAAAGAAGAACTTCTTACCGGACAATGAATTTGTACTGTTAGACGAGAGAATAACCAGCCTTTGTCTTAAAAATTTCAAAGAACCGATGTTTTTCGGGAAAAATTTCAACAGTGATTTGAATAATTACAAGTATGGCTTACAATTTCATGATAAAATCATTTTTTATTTTCGCTGAGCTGTTTCTGAAGCTTATAAAGCAGGATCTCTTCTAACAATCAGAATACCACATTAATCATCGAAATTTGAAGTTCTATCCCACAGCTCCTAATTTTGCGGCACTTTTTGATCGAAATTTGAAGAAAATCAACAAAGCTCAAGTTGAAAGCAGCAAAAATTTATTAAAAATCTGTTATTTGAATAGTATATTATTAACTCCACTTCGTTCATGATCGAAACCGCTGATTCCACTAGGCTGACGTTCGCAATACCTGAAAACAAAATTGTGTGTTTGAATTAAACAGTTTTGAATCATGGACATATGAAATATTAGCTCTTATTAAAATAAAATGCGATGAAAATGAAAATATAATTTTACTTTTCAAAAATGAACGGTAGAAATAATATTAGAACATGTATCTTGATATAGTTTTTGCTGCTGAGAAAGATAGACTAAGTCTTCATACTCCCCCGTGCCTCTATCATGGTGAAATAACGTCAAAATGACGGAAACATTGAATTTTTATTATTTCTTCAAGTAATTTTACTATTTTATAAAAATCAATCAAAAATTGGAATTACCTTCAATAAAATCTTCCATAGAACCCTAAAACTCTTTTCGTGAGGCTCTCCACGTGAATTCCTTTGTGAATTTCTGGTCAGGTTGGCAATCAATTGGATTCGTTCATCGAAATAATTCTTGTTTGGGACTCTCCGACATCTTCATGTTTCCGTCAACTCGTATCACGCTCATCTAAATATAAAATCATGATTTTTTGATAAATTTAGATACGAATAACTCACTTTTCAACAAGAAAAATATTGATTCGCCGACCTCGAAAAATGCTTCTCTAATGCATCGCATCTCACTCAAAATCATCGCAAATTCATCTCCAACCAATTGTATATTCATTCCAACTCACAAAAATTCAAACTCGATCAATTCCAGAATAAAAATTTTCTTCGAAAAAAATGGACTTCATAAAAACAACTTTAGCATCCGTCAGCCCCATTTTCATCACTCGATCCAAACATAATAAAATTCTCCTTTAAATTCTCTACAAACGATAGTCTGTCCGAATATGTGAAACTTCCTGAAAAACTCACAAAAAAATAAAAAAGAAGAAAAAAATTAATTTTCTGATGGAAAAAAACAAAAAAAAAAGAAAATTTTTTTCTCGTGCAAAAACCGAAAACGCGTCAAGTGCTGGCGCGTTTCGCGCGATCATTCAGTTTTTGCAGCTGTGTTTGGCTGAAAATTGCGTTTTTCCCTTGAAAATTCAAATTTTAGGCCAAACGAGAAAAAAAACAAAAAAAAATTCACCGAAAACATTACTGTAGTTTACAGCGGTGTTTGCACAGTGTTGCACACATGGCATTTTAGGTGACGCGCAAAAATTGCGTTTTTCCCCTGAAAATCAAAATTTTAGGCCGAAACGAGAAAAAACAAAAAAATTCCCCGAAAAAATTACTGTAGTTTACAGCGGTGTTTGCACACTGTTGCACACGTGGCATTTTATGTGACGCGCAAAAATGTTTTTTTTGCCAGAAAATTGCATTTTTCCACGTGACCTGCCACGTATTTTTGATGGATTTTTTTAATTTTCAAAAAAAAATTCCATTTTTTGAAAAATGCTTGAAAATCTGCAAAATCTCACGAAATCCTCCAATTTTTCGGCGGAAAATGTGGAAATTCTGGGATTTATAAGAGAAACCTTCCCGGAAAACGAGTTAAAGGTGGAATCCGAGGAAAAAACAAGTTTGATTCATTCCGGGGTCCTTTCTACACTTTGGAAATGTCCGTTTACTAAAAAAATTGCGAAAAAAGAGCATCGGAGAAAAAAACGGAGAGAAACGAAAAAAGTCCATATGTATTGCAGGTGGGGCTAACGCGCTCCAGCGAACAGGCGGAAAATTTGAATTCTGGAGTTTGTTTTTGTTTTTGTTTTTCCTTTTTTTATGTTTAATAAACTCATTTTTCATGAATTATTAATGATTTCGTATTCATTATGTTATTCCGTAATGGTTTATTTGACATATTCGAAAATTTTCATGTCACAATAAGATTTTTTCAGATGCATTTTCTGCATTGCTGTTATTGCGCTGGGAAATTTGAATATCCTCAAATGCGCCTTGTCACACAGAGCCAAAAACAATTAGAAAAATGGAAGAAAATTTTGGGGCCTCATTTCGTGCGAAATATAAAAATGTATAGTAAGCCACATATTTGCCGTTCGCATTTTGAATGGGATTCTTGGGGAAAAATCGCAAGAAAAGAGTTACCGAAGCCGTTCCCGTTTCTGAATCAACGGAATTCAATGAATCATGCTCCGCCAACTTCCAATATTGCTGAAATTACTCCAATATTATCAAATCTTGCTGAAATTACTCCACCATTATCAAATCTTGCTGAAATTACTCCATCAACTTCGAATACAGCATTTGAGAAGGATATGGATGTTCATGGAGATGCAACAGAATCTCTAAATGAGCAACGGGATCGATTGGATGAAGTGAATCCATTTCAGGAACAAATTGATATGATAAAAGATCCGGTATTATTTGTTAGTAAAATCACTAAAAAACATTTCATTTTCTAGAATTATCAACCGACAACTAGAGATTTTGCTGAAGTTTGCGAAGAGGAGTGTGAATATTCGAGTGATTCTGATGGAAACCCTGAAGAATTTCAAATCGACTTCAATTTTCTTCTAGTGTCAATTCAGCTTCTACTCCCATTGATTTTGTATTGTAGAGCATGTTGCTCACAAGCAAAATATAAATCTACAAAATCAGGATGCGCATTAGACGTGAGTTTTTTTTTGAAAATAAAAAGAAATTATGTTCCATTTTTAGTTTCACTGTTATTGCGAATGTGGAAGACAATGGAAATGGGCAAGCAGTAGAAGGATTGTGAAAAATGACGGGTCAACATCCAAAAGATTTGACATAAATGTGATTGTTACATCAGCTATTGTAACAATTGGGCAATCATATTCAGTGAGTTCTTTCATCTCTGTCTACCAAAAGATCAGCTTTAAAATGAGAAAAATGGAGATTTTTGCCTAAGTCTAGCCTGAAAATAGACCACCTAAATTGCTCCATTTGTTTTTTATTTTTGCTCATAAAAGCATCAAATCAAACTGAAAGGCAAAAACGATGAATTCCCAGCCAGAGACTGCCCCAAATTTGTTGAATTTTCATGCACAAATTCACAAAAATCTTTGAATTTCGGCTGAAAAAGCATCCATCAACTGCCAGAGTTGTAAAAGCATGTTCGATTTTCCAGAATCTGAAAGCTCTGTTCGATGTTATCAACATGCCAACAATATCCAGTACAACATTTTATGATACTCGAAAAATCGCTGTAGTTCCTGCAATCAATACAGTATTCGCCGCTCAAAAACAACTAATTATGGAAATTTTGAAGAAAATCGGAATCCCTATCGACGCAGCTTCAGATGGAATGTATGACACACGCGGATACTCTGCTTTTTGGTGTAGATACATTTTCATGTGCACTTTAACGAAGTTTATTATCCACTACAAAAATATGAGAAAAACATCAGGAGGCGCATCAAAAGCTCTTGAACCAGCAGCCCACATGCAAGGACTGAGGGAACTGATTTCGATGTATGCAGGATATTTCCAAAATTTGCCGCCAATCCGATCTCTCACGACTGATCGATGTTTAACAATATCTGCGAACATGAAATTGCATTTTCCATCGGTTATCCACAAATTCGACTTATGGCATTTAATTAGGAATATCACAATGGATTTATGGCCGAAGCGAAATCAAAAACAGATGGAACCAATCAAATTATGGCTCCAAGCTATGATTAATAATATTTATCAGTCGGTAGCAGATAGCAATGGAGATCCTCTGTTGGCCAAAGAAATGGTTATGAGTACATTTGCTCATATTACGAACCAACACACCGACTTCGACCAAATCACATGGTTCAAGTTCAATAAACTGAAAGCCTGCCGACATGATGCAAAATCCACAAGTCACACTGGTTTTTTGAATGTTAATAATGCGAAAGACATGAATGCCTGGGATATCGTAAGGAAAATTTTTATAAAAGGAAATCGATTGGAAGATATCGGCAAAATTTCTGCGAAATTTTGCACAAGTGAGTGCGAAAGTTTCAACAGCTTATCGACTAAATATGCACCCAAAGATAAATATTTCCATGAACACGAAACGACTACCCGTTTGAGTATTTTGCATTGGAATCAGCTGAAGTTGGACGAATTCGAAGGAACACGTGTTGTAGTTGGCGGGAAAACGTCAGTGAATAAAACAAAAAAGAGAAGAGAGTGAAGACATGCAAAAACGCCTCCACACACGAATGGCGCTTCAAAATTCGCGACACCTCAATTGATATTATGAAAAATCTCAAAAAAGTTGATGAAAATACAGAAGAAGTTGTGAGTGGAGATGATGATGAGGGGATCTCAATGGAAAAACTTAAAGACAATGAATATTTTGCGAAGCGCATGGCAAGAGTATTTGAAGATATTTGCGAAGACGATGAAGATTCATCATCATCAGAAGATGAAGAAGTTTAATATTTTTTCTGTTTTTAATTACAAAGTTTGTAAGTTTTAAATTTTCTATTAATTCCAAGCTTCTTTTTTGAACTTATCAAAATTTTAGTTTTTTCTTTATTAATTTCTGTATTAGCATTTTGTATTCCTTTTTTCCATTTTCACGAGAACATATTTATTTACAACAATAAAAAAAACCACCGTTTACAACAATTAAAATTCTTCTTCATAAGCATATGGAAAGGCTGACAAAAATCCAGTATACGTTTCTGATGGCCATTTTTGTCGAATTGCCCGAATAACGCAAGCTGGCAAAGGGATTCGCTTTTTTAATTGGAGGTGCAAATCGCTGACCAACATGGAATATGAGTAAAATCGATAATTCCTGTAAAAAACTAATTTGAAAAATCTACAGAAAAAATTAATCTGAAACAACTATTAACTCACTCCGACTTCCATTCGCAAACATTCTTGTTCAGCGCATACTTGTAACCACTTTCGAAAGTTTGAACCATCTATAAAACGCTTACAATTAGTTCTTTATGCAAACCGAATGAAACTCACTTCTTCTCTTAAATATTTGTTGAAGTTCGCGCATTCGACAATGCATTTGTCGAAATTCCCATTCCAAAATATCTCGTCCAATTTTTCCGACATTTTTTGGCCCATCCTCTTTTGAATGTTTAGATTGATAGGGTATATTAAACCACAACAATATTCTAATTCGTCCAAATCAACACATTTTCCACAATAACATACCACATCTCTTTCACGAAACAACATGTTCACAGCCTTCTTCGATAATAACAATTCTTTGTCTTTTATTAATTTTCTATGGTTTTCCATTTCCTCTTCGGTCGGGTCATACTTAGAATCATAAGTATTTGAACCATTTCCGCTTTCTTCCATATTCTCTTCCATCATTTTCATATTTTCCACAAAATTTGTTTTTCCAGATATTTTAGTATTCGATGAATTTCCCAAATCATCATCAATCATCATATCTCCATCCAATTCATTTCCAATGAGTTGTTCATCTAACTCAACTACTTGCATAATCTCTTCCATCATTTTCACATTTTCGACAAAATTTGTTTTTCCAGATATTTTAGTATTCGATGAATTTCCCAAATCATCATCAATCATCATATCTCCATCCAATTCATTTCCAATGATTTGTTCATCTAACTCAACTACTTGCACAATCTCTTCCATCATTTTCACATTTTCGACAAAATTTGTTTTTCCAGATATTTTAGTATTCGATGAATTTCCCAAATCACCATCTTCTCTCGAACCATCATCAATCAATCTCCATTCAATTCTTCTCGAATCCATCTCCATCCAATTCTTCTCGAATCCATCCAATTCTTCTCGAATAATGTTTGCCTTCTGGTTAGATTTATCAGATAATTCTCCTTCTTCCATCACAAAACTTCAATTCTTGAAAATCTCCTGAAAAACGAATAAATTTCATAAAAACAAAAAAAAAACAAGAAAAGAATAGAGAGTATTTTTTGTGTGTGCAAAATGAGAGAGGGAAAAGAAAGAAATGTTCGTCAGGTGCGTTGTTTGCGTACTGCCAAACAATAGAAACGACATTTTTATGCAGACGCTTTTTGAGAACCTCCTCATTTTCCACCTTTAACACAAGTCGAATGGACAATTCTGCAGGATTTTGTGAATCACGGTGAGTTGTAAAAAAAATCAATAAATAAAAATTTTCATACATTGATACAGAAAGATTCCCGCCCTCCATCATAACTCTTCAAATTTGCGAGAAAATCGAAGAGGATCAGGAAAATGAGCAATTTTTGACAGTTCGTCGATTCGTTGAGGTATTTTTGATGTTTTCAGCTAAGTAAATCGCAATTTTTTTACAGATCAATCCATTTTCGATGAAGCTTTACTTGAAGAAAACAGTTTCGCCAATTGGAAATTTTGAAAAACTCGAAAATCATCGGAAAATTCATCGATTTATCACAAAGTTTTGATTTTTTCGAGCGAAGCGAGTGTAGACCGGAAGCTTCCGCGTAAGCGGCCTCGAGCGCGGAAGCGCGAGTGTATGTCCCTTTAAAAGGGTCTTATAGGGACATACAGACCGCTGCGCGGAAGCTTCCGCGGAAGCGCGAGTGTATGTCCCTTTAAGAGGGTCTTATAAGAGCCATACACTCGCGCTTTTGCGCTCGAGGCCGCTTACGCGGAAGCTTCCGCGCAGCGGTTTGTAATATCGAAAATCTCATCGGTACCACGCGCTCCACACGCAACGCAGACCGCGTTGCGCCACAACACACACAAAAAGGGAACGATTCAAATTCCCTCCCTTTTTTGTGTGTTTTGTGGCGCGGCGCGGTCTGCGTTGCGTGTGGAGCACGTGGTGCCGATGCGATTTTCGATAATACAGACCGCTGCGCGGAAGCTTCCGCGTAAGCGGCCACGAGCGCGGAAGCGCGAGTGTATGGCTCTTATAGGGACATACCCTCGCGCAAAACGCTCGGGGCCGCTGCGCGGAAGCTTCCGGTTTACACTCGCTTCGCTCGAGACATTGCTCATAGTAGGCTCGAGCGAAGCGAGTGTAGACCGCAAGCTTCCGCGTCAGCGGCACTGTCTTCCGCTTTAGCGGCCACGTGGATTACTATGATCCCTAGCCATGTCATAGCAATCCACGTGGCCGCTAAAGCGGTAGACAGTGCCGCTTCGCGGAAACTTGCGGTCTACACTCGCTCCGCTCGAGCCTACTATGAGCAATGTCTCGAGCGAAGCGAGCTTCCGGCTTCCGCGTAAGCGGCCTCGAGCGCGGAAGCGCGAGTGTATGTCCCTTTAGAGGGTCTTACGCGCGGAAGCTTCCGGTTTACACTTTTAAATCGCAATTTTCCCCAATAAAACTTTATTAATTACCCAATTAATTAATTAATAATTACACTGTTGTTTCCCTCCAACAATAATTCCCTTCTGATTTCCAACAATTTTCACCGTGTTATAAGTGTACAAAATTCTTGATTTCGCCTCGAAATCCTCCCTCAAAACGTAATAAAAATGATCGGAACTCATGTCCAAAAATTGTGTGTCTAAAATCTCGAACTTGGGCAACGCTCCTTTGCGCGTCAACAATTCTTGCACGGCATTTTCGCGCGAGAATACGGTGCCATTGCAAAATTTGAACGAGAAATCGTCGGAGAAATAGGTGCGGATTGAAGGGGCGTCCGATTTTTCGATGAATTCTCCGATCTCCGTCTCGATTTTATGAGTCAAATTTCGAAGATCGGAAGATTCGGAGAGGATGGGAAAGATCAAGAATACCAAGAAGAATTTCATATTTTTTTGGATGATTTCAAATTTTTTCAACCGGACCCGCTTTTATTTGACATGTCTGTGAGAAAATCAAAAAAAAATTTTATAGCGGGCGGCGGAGAGATTGCCACGTGGACTAATACAATTTTATTATTACCAATATATATATATTTGAGCATAGATTTTCCCTAATTATAAAATATTCGAACATTGAACCATTTCCTGAGGTACCACTCTTTTCGCCGACAATTTCACACTTTTCTGCATGTTTTTCGTCGCATTTTCGATTTGCTCTTCGATTTTCGATTTTGTCGGGGGTGATTGAGCGTAGAGTTGGAGTTTTGAGCTGGAAAAAAAATTTTGGAAAAAAAATTACGATGCTCCGCGTTTACACCGTCAAATTCGACCAATTTTGATCGCGTAAACGCGGAGCATCGTTGTTTTCGACTCACCGATTCAATTTCATATGACTCGCCACCAAATCATTCGTCACCAACGCCGCCATCAACGACAATTCGCCCGCCAAAACTGTGGCCGCAATGATTTCACATAATTTTTCCGAATTTCTGCCAGGCTTCTCGTAGTTTGGTCCAGCACAATTCAGGCTCTAAAATTATCGATTTTTTCGCTCATTTTTAGCCATTTTTCATGATTTTTGGCTCAAAATTCCCCAAAATGCTCACCTGAAGACACGCTTTCTGTGGTGGCAAAATAGTTCCACCGCCAACTGTTCCAACTTCCATACACGTCATTGTACAAGACACATAAAGTGATCCTTCGGGAGTGACTTCCATTCTTGTTGAACACATTGAAGATGACACTACTTGGGCTGGATCCTGTGAGAAAATTGGGGGTTTTTTGGCTTAAAATTCGAGATTTTCAGCAAAAATTCAAGATTTTCAGCAAAAATTCAAGATTTTCAGCTAAAATTCAAGATTTTCAGCAAAAATTCAAGATTTTCAGCAAAAACTCGAGATTTTAGCTTGAAATTCGAGATTTTCAGCTAGAATTCAAAATTTTCAGCTAAAATTCGAGATTTTCAGCTAAAATTCAAGATTTTCAGCTATAATTCAAGATTTTCAGCAAAAATTCAAGATTTTCAGCAAAAACTCGAGATTTTAGCTTGAAATTCGAGATTTTCAGCTATAATTCAAAATTTTCAGCTAAAATTCGAGATTTTCAGCTAAAATTCAAGATTTTCAGCTATAATTCAAGATTTTCAGCAAAAATTCAAGATTTTCAGCAAAAACTCGAGATTTTAGCTTGAAATTCGAGATTTTCAGCTATAATTCAAAATTTTCAGCTAAAATTCGAGATTTTCAGCTAAAATTCAAGATTTTCAGCTATAATTCAAGATTTTCAGCAAAAATTCAAGATTTTCAGCAAAAACTCGAGATTTTAGCTTGAAATTCGAGATTTTCAGCTATAATTCAAAATTTTCAGCTAAAATTCGAGATTTTCAGCTAAAATTCAAGATTTTCAGCTATAATTCAACATTTTCAGCAAAAATTCAAGATTTTCAGCAAAAACTCGAGATTTTAGCTTGAAATTCGAGATTTTCAGCTATAATTCAAAATTTTCAGCTAAAATTCGAGATTTTCAGCTAAAATTCAAGATTTTCAGCTATAATTCAAGATTTTCAGCAAAAATCCAAGATTTACCTGTCCTGTAGCTATAAAAACAGCAGCAACAATATTGGCAGCATGAGCATTTGATCCTCCGATACAACCAGCTCTAGAACTTCCGATTTGAAGTTTGGCCTGGAAAAATTCGGAAAAACTACGAGGCTCCACGTTTACGGGGTCAAAAATTATGCATTTTTGATGGATTTTGACGGTGTAAACGCGTAGCATCGTTAGAAATCTTCAGAATTGATTATTTTTCATGGCGTAAACGCGGAGTGTCGTAGTTTTCACTCACATTTGCTGCATTTGCCATATCTATCGGTGTGGTCTTCAAGATTTTCGACACAACATTCGCTGGCAGCACACATTCGGCAACCACTGATCTACCTCGACCTTGAGTCCTGAAACGATGCAAAAATACGGTATGTACCTTTAAAAATCGTGGTTTTTTTTCGATTTTAGGGTCAAAATTCGTGATTTTTCTAGAAATTCAGGTGAATTTTTAGCAAAAAATCCGGAAAAAATCTCACCAATTCACAGCCGCCGCTTTTTTATCCACACAATAATTTCCGCTCAATGAGACGACTTGCATTTCGGGAAATTGTTCGGAAATGTATCGAATCGCTTGCGAACAGCTTCTGAAACAGAAAATTCGATGATTTTGAGCCAAAATTCATAGAAAATGACCCCGTAAACGTGGAGTATCGTTTGAAACTACAATACTCCGCGTTTACACGGTGAAAAATGATGAATTTTGAGTCATAAATCATGAAAAATGACCACGTTAGCGCGGAGCATCGTTTAAAATTGAAAAATCCATTTTAAACGATACTCCACGATTACGCAGTCATTTTCGATGATTTCTAGCTCAAAATTCATCATTTTTCACCGTGTAAACGCGGAGTATTGTAGTTCAAACGATGCTCCACAATTCCAACTCACTTCGACACCATATTCATGCCCATCGCATCTCCAGTAAACGCAACAAATCTCAAAAACACCAAATTCCCATCAATTATCACTTCGAGATTCTTGAGACGCGCAAATCGACTACAACTTTCAAATTCGGTTCTGACATGTTGCAAATTTTCAGCGATTTCCAGCCACATTTTGAGATTTCTGAAGGAAAGGGGAAAATTTTGAATTTTAAAGTGGAAAAAACTCACATCGCATCTCTAGCGGTTGGAAATTTCACTACAGGTGCTCTAGTCATCCCACAATTATAAACAGTTGATTGAACACCATTAGAAGCCTAAAAATCGATAATTTTGGTTAAAAATGATGGATTTTCATCAAAAAAACGTGAATTTTGGGTCATTTTTAATGAAAAATCGTAAAATTTCACCTTAATCGCATTCATTCCTCGATTTGTTGATGCAATAAGTGCACCTTCTGTTGTAGCCATCGGCACATAAATATCCTTCTCATCGTTTAGACAAAGAGGTCCCGCAATTCCAACAGGCACAGGAATATAACCTATTACATTTTCACAACAAGAATTGACCACCTTAATGAGAAATTATCAAATTTTGCTTAGAAAATTGTGAAAAAAAGCTCACATATTTATAATCGTATCCTCTAAATGGTAAATCCTCCAAATTTCTTCGCAAAAATGCTCGTCTCACCGCTATAGCTTTCTCAAACCCAAAATCAAATCGATTTTCCAATTCCCGCTGCTTCACTTCGCCTTGCTTCAAAAGTCTAAGCGCTTCTCCAGGCGTCACTTTCTTCCCTTGCTCCCATTCTCGCTTCACATCATCATAACTTCGTTCCCCTGGCGAAATATCGATTTTCTCTTCGAAATCTGATTGTGTTCCAATGTCTCTGGTTTGAACATCATCTGGCTCTTCGTTTTCATCTTCGCCAATCGAGAAAAATGTGTTTTTTCTTGATTTTATGCCAATTTTTTCCATCACAAAGCTAAAATTTTGTTTTTATTCATTTTTTCTCGGGGAAAAAACCTACTTTTCAATGGTGTCTCGACAATTGGGATCTTCAAAATTCACATTTTTCAAAAATTCATGCAATATACTCCTCTCCATCACTGAAAACCTGGGTTTTATCGAGAAAAACGCAAAAAAAATAAAAATATTTTATTGACCACGCCCCCTTCGCAACACCTCGCACAGAGTTTTTGCAAACACGCGGCACGCTTTTTATTTATTTTTTGAAAAAAAGTTTTAGCATATTTAAATGTCTGGAAAAAAGCGGAAAATCACCGATTTTTTCAATGGTCCGTGCAAAGAAGAAACTGGCGAATCTCTAAAGTGCCCGAAAAAATCAATATTCCCCACGGAACCCAAGAAAATCGCGAAAAAACCAGAGAAGCGCGAAAAATTGGATTTGAGTCAAAGAATTTTGGACGTGGGTCAAGAGAATATCGGAAATTTGCACTGCGAAGCGTGTAATATGATTTATAGTGTAGATTCGCCGAAAGAAGCTGAAAGACATCGAATTTTTCACAATCGTTTCGAGACCACTGTGAATTTTAATATCGAACAGAATTTGATTGAGATTTTGAAAACTTTGCCGAATCAAAAGATTGGCCAACATCGAATTGTGTTTATTTGTGCGAAAATGGCGGGAAAAATTGTGAAAACATCGGTGGAATATTGGATGGTGAGCGTAAACGTGGAGCATCGTTTGAGGCGCCAAAAATTTAAATTTCAGAAATTCGTCAACGAATCCGTCGGCTACGTGTCAGAAAGCACGGGACTTTGGGACGAAAATCGGCGAGTCTACCTGAGTATGGGTCTCAGCGCTGAATCCGAAATATTTTTGGCGGGAATTTTGGTGGCCGAAAAATTGGAGGAGGCGATAAATGAGGAAAGCGGGGAGGTACGGAGTACGGTCATTTTTGGCGCGAAAAATGACGCAATTTTGGATTCTTGGTTCAAAAAACGTTCAAAACGCACCGAATTCTTATCTTTTTATTGAAACAATTGTTACACTAAAAGTGCAGAGACTAGAGTGTAGTTTAGACGAAGAATGATAATTTTTCAATATTAAAAAAAAATGAAAACTACGATGCTCCGCGTTTACACCATCAAAACTATATCAAAATCCTTCAAATTTTATCGCGTAACCGCGGAGCATCGTAGTTTTTCCTGAAATTTTAAATTTTAACTCGAAATGCTCCAAATTTTACGGCGTAAACGCGGAGCATCGTAGTCATGTTTCCAGACCACTAAAAAATGCAAAAACGATGATTGGATTGTGGGAATCGATCGAATCTGGACGCACAAAATCAAGAGAAAACTGGGAATCGGAAGTGCACTTCTAGATGCTGTAACTACACGGGATACCAAATTTGAGCACAGGAAAAGAAGATTACGAGTGGCTTTTTCGGAATTATCAGATGAAGGACGAGTTTTTGCTCAGAAATATGTTGGAAAACACTACGAAAATGAGCCATTTCTAATTTATTGATTGATTTTTGTGATAAATGAAGGTTTTTATTGAAAAAATCGTGAAAAATAAGCCATTTTGACCTGAAATCCAGAAAAAAAGCACCGTAATCGTGGAGTATTGTATGTAATATGAAAATTCAAATTTTTTTCCACGTTTTGTTCCCCGAAAATCAATATTTTCATCAATTTTCCATATTTTCCACCTATTATAATTTACAGTACCCCCAAAACGCTGCATTTTTCAATGTGTGCATTTGTGCGTCGCCGTGTTTGCACATGAAATAAATGTGTTTTTCTGTTTTTTTTTGTTTCCAGAGTTAAAATGAGGACGAAATTGAAGAGAAAAGTGAGTTTTTTCTAGAATTTTGAAAGAAAAAGCTGAAAATGTCTGGAATTTCCAGAAAGCCACTGTAAATCCCCACAAATATCGATCGAATTGGCTGAAAGATGATTTTGGATTCGATGAACATCAAATCGATTTGTTCATGAAAGCTGTGGCCAAGGCTTTTGTGAGTGGAAATCGGGAATTTTGGGCTGAAAGTTGCTGAAAAATCAAATTTATCGATTTTTGCAGGGAAATCCGCTGAATAAGGGGTTTACCAGTGTGGAGAAGGAGGAATATCGAAATAAGATGGCTGGCGAGTTTGTGAGTGGTTTTGGGGTGAAAATTGAAGAAAATATTGGCTCTGGGGGTGAAAAATCGGATTGTTCTGGTTCTGGAGCGAAAATTCGTGATTTTCAAGCTCCTGGAGCTGAAAAATAGGATGTTTATGGTCAAGAAGCTGAAAAATTGGATTTTTAAGCTCCTGGATCTGAAAAATCAGATTTTTTTGGTCCTGGGGCTGTAAAATGGGGTTTTTGAGGTCTAGAAGCTGAAAAATCGGACTTTCAAGGTCTTGGAGCTTAAAAATCATGAAATTTCGGTTCAGAAGCATGAAAAGCTGGTTTTTTTGGTCCCGGAACTGAAAAATTGGATTTTTCTGGTCCTGGAGCTTAAAGATCTGGGTTTTGAGGTCCTAGAGCTGAAAAATCATGAAATTTTGGTCCTGGAGCTGAAAATCTGGATGTTTATGGTCAAGAAGCTAAAAAATCAGCAAATTTAGCTCCAGGACCATGAAAACCTGCTTTTTGAGGTTCTAGAGCTGAAAAATCAGATTTTTAAGGTCCTGGAGCTGAAAAATTGGATTTTTGAGGTCCTGGAGCTGAAAAATTGGATTTTTGAGGTCTAGGAGCTTAAAAATTGGATTTTTGAGGTCTAGGTGCTGAAAAATCATCAATTTTAGCTCAAGGAGCATTAAAATCATGTTTTTCCGGTCTATAAGCACGAAAAGCTGGATTTTCAAGCTCCTGGAGCTGAAAAATCACGAATTTTAGCTCCAGGACCATGAAAATCATGTTTTTGGCATCCTGGAGCTGAAAAATTGGATTTTTGAGGTCCTGGAGCTGGAAAATCATCAATTTTTTCTCCAGGACCTTAAAAATCACGAAATTCTGCTCCGGGACCTCAAAAATCATCAATTTTCGCTCCAGGACCATGAAAACCTGGTTTTTGGGATCCTGGAGCTGAAAAATCACGAATTTTAGCTCCAGGACCATGAAAACCTGGTTTTTGGGATCCTGGAGCTGAAAAATTGGATTTTTTTGGTCCTAGAGCTAAAACATCGGATTTTTTTGGTCCTAGAGCTGGAAAATCACGAATTTTCGCTCCAGGACCTCAAAAATCACTAATTTTAGCTCCAGGACCATGAAAATCATGTTTTTTTGGTCCTAGAGCTGGAAAATCACGAATTTTCGCTCCAGGACCTCAAAAATCACTAATTTTAGCTCCAGGACCATGAAAATCATGTTTTTGGGATCCTGGAGCTCAAAAATCATCAATTTTTGCTCCAGGACCTAAAAAATCACGAAATTCTGCTCCAGGACCATGAAAACCTGGTTTTTGGAGCTCCTGGAGCGAAAATTCGTGGTTTTCAAGCTCCTGGAGCTGAAAAATCTGATTTTTGAGGTCTAGAAGCTTCAAAATCACGAATTTTAGCTCTAGGACCTCAAAAATCATCAATTTTCGCTCCAGGACCATGAAAACCTGGTTTTTGGGATCATGGAGCTGAAAAATCTGATTTTTGAAGTCCTAGAGCTGAAAAATTGGATTTTTGTGGTCCTGGAGCTTAAAAATCATGAAATTTCGGTTCAGAAGCATGAAAAGCTGTTTTTTGAGGTTCTGAAGTTGAAAAATCGGATTTTCAAGCTCCTGGACCTCAAAAATCATCAATTTTCGCTCCAGGACCTCAAAAAATCCAGCATTTTTCAAAATTTCCCCCGGAAAAATTGAAAATAATTCAGAAATCACGTGAACGTGATCTAATTTATGCAAAATCATTCATTTTTCCTCGAAAAAAAAAATTTATTTTCAATTTTTTGACTTACCAGGAACTCTATAAGTGAGTAAAATCGATAATCTGAGCTCTGGATCGAAATTTTGTGAAATTTTAAGTTTGGGATGCTCCAGAACCTGGTTTTTGAGGTCCTGGAGCGAAAATAGGTGATTTTCAAGGTTCTGGGTGGAATTTTCATGATTTTTTGAGTCCGGAATCTGAAAAATCACCAAATTTCGTTACAGGACCCAAAAAATCCCATTTTTCACGCCATGCGCCTTTAAAATCACCAAATTTCGTTCCAGGACCCAAAAAACCCCCATTTTTCACCCCATGCACCTTTAAAATCACCAAATTTCGTTACAGGACCCAAAAAATCCCATTTTTCACGCCATGCGCCTTTAAAATCACCAAATTTCGTTCCAGGACCCAAAAAATCCCATTTTTCACGCCATGCACCTTTAAAATCACCAAATTTCGTTACAGGACCCAAAAAATCCCATTTTTCACGCCATGCGCCTTTAAAATCACCAAATTTCGTTCCAGGACCCAAAAAACCCCCATTTTTCACCCCATGCACCTTTAAAATCACCAAATTTCGTTACAGGACCCAAAAATCCCATTTTTCACGCCATGCGCCTTTAAAATCACCAAATTTCGTTCCAGGACCCAAAAAACCCCCATTTTTCACCCCATGCACCTTTAAAATCACCAAATTTCGTTCCAGGACCCAAAAAACCCCATTTTTCACCTCATGCACCTTTAAAATCACCAAATTTCGTTCCAGGACCCAAAAAATCCCATTTTTCACTCCATGCACCTTTAAAATCACCAAATTTCGCTCCAGGACCCAAAAAATCCCATTTTTCACCCCATGCACCTTTAAAATCACCAAATTTCGCTCCAGGACCCAAAAAATCCCATTTTTCACCCCATGCAACTTTAAAATCACCAAATTTCGTTCCAGGACCCAAAAAATCCCATTTTTCACCCCATGCAACTTTAAAATCACCAAATTTCGTTCCAGGACCCAAAAAATCCCATTTTTCACCTCATGCACCTTTAAAATCACCAAATTTTGCTCCAGGACCCAAAAAACCCCCATTTTCACCCCATGCATTTTTAAAATCACCAAATTTTGCTCCAGGACCCAAAAAACCCCCATTTTTCACCCCATGCATTTTTAAAATCACCAAATTTTGCTCCAGGACCCAAAAAATCCCATTTTTCACCCCATGCAACTTTAAAATCACCAAATTTCGTTCCAGGACCCAAAAAATCCCATTTTTCACCCCATGCAACTTTAAAATCACCAAATTTCGTTCCAGGACCCAAAAATCCCATTTTTCACCCCATGCACCTTTAAAATCACCAAATTTCGCTCCAGGACCCAAAAAATCCCATTTTTCACCCCATGCACCTTTAAAATCACCAAATTTCGTTCCAGGACCCAAAAAAACCCCATTTTTCACCCCATGCACCTTTAAACTCCCAAATTCTTTCAGAAATCCTTCGTTTCTCACTCATCCAATCGCTCCGATCTCAAATACGAGCTATTTTTCCACGAATTCGAGCACGAAAACACAAAAATCAATTTTCGACACGAAATTTTCCGAAAAACCTGTCAAAGACTCGCGAAAATGGCACGGGATTTCGAAAAAGAGCGATTGGAGCAGGGAAACACTTCGAATTGGTGAGAAACTACGATGCTCCGCGTTTACGCGGTTGAATTTGAGCGAAAATTGCGTTTTTAACGATGCTCCGCGTTTACGCCGTCAAAAATGATGCATTTTGATGCATTTTTCGAGGTGTAAACACGGAGCATCGTTTAAACCTTCAAATTTGATGATTTTTCATCGCGTAAACGCGGAGCATCGTATTTTTTCGATTTTTCCAGGTGGGAAGCCTATAAACCCCAACCAACGGTCTACGAATTCCCTACAGTACCCCAGGAAAATCCGGCGGAAATTTTTGAGCAATTAAAAATGGTCGAAAATCGCCTGAAGTTCATTGATCAATTGGAAGCCAGGGAATTGAATCATTATTATAATCGGGTCTGAAAATCGGTGAGTTTTTGGATGAAATTTTGGGAATTTGGCTGGAAATTGTGAATTTTGAGCTGAAAATCGTAAATTTTGAGCCAAAATGAGCCTAGAAATGTGAAATTTGGATTTCTAGGCCATAATTTGGGTTTCTAGGCCATAATTAGGGTTTCTAGGCCATTTTTCTAAATTCTAGGCCATTTTTCTAAATTCTAGGCCATTTTTCCGATTTCCAGGCCATTTTTCGGGTTTCTAGGCCATTATTTGGGTTTCTAGGCCATTTTTCGGGTTTCTAGGCCATTTTTCGGGTTTCTAGGCCATTATTTGGGTTTCTACGCCATGATTTGGATTTCTAGGCCATTTTTTGGGTTTCTAGGCCATTTTTTGGGTTTCTAGGCCATGATTTGGATTTCTAGGCCATTTTTCGGGTTTCTAGGCCATTTTTCGGGTTTCTAGGTCATTTTTTTGGGTTTCTAGGCCATTTTTTGGTTTTCTAGGTCATTTTTTGGATTTCTAGGCCATTTTTCGGTTTTCTAGGCCATGATTTGGGTTTCTAGGCCATGATTTGGTTTTCTAGGTCATTTTTTTCAGATTTCTAGGCCATAATTCAAATTTTTTACAGATCTGCTCAAAATTGTACAAATTTGCTTTAATTTTTTGATTTTTTGTAAGTTTTTTCCAAAAAATTCCGAAAAAATTTGAATTTTTCCAGATTTCCGCTCATTTTTCTTCGTTTTTTTTTGCAAAATTTTTTTCCAACAACAAAAAAAAATTGTTTTTAGGAATGTGAAAAATGGCTGAAAAATCTGGAATTGTACAAAAAGTGAGTTTTTTTTTCCAGATTTTCACTGAAATTTTTGAAAATTTTGCAGAAAAAATCGGGAAAATGCGCGAAACGCAGGCTGAAATTGTCGAGAAAGTGAGTTTTCTACGATGCTCCGCGTTTACGCGGTGAAAAATGATGAATTTTGAGCTAGAAATCGTCGAAAATGACCGCGTAATCGTGGAGTATCGTTTGAAACTACGATGCTCCGCGTTTACGCTGTTGAAAATGATGAAAATTGCGGTTTTTTGGATTTCAAACGATACTCCGCGTTTACGGCATCATTTTTAGTGATGTAAACGTGGAGCATCGTAGTTCAAACGATACTCCGCGATTCCGGGGTCATTTTCAATGATTTCTACCTCAAAATTCATCATTTTTCACGGTGTAAACGCGGAGTATCGTAGTTTTCACCCAATTTCTTCCAGAAAACGCGTAAAAATGGAATTTTCCGAATCCAAAGCCTGGGCCCAGCCTTTCGAAGCCCAATTCTCCTCAATCGAACAACGACTTCGAGATTCGACCTATAAAATCCTGATGGGCACCAAATATTATGCGTGTGCTGAGGAAAACATCAAAAAAGAGTTGAGAAGTCAAATTTGCCAACATTTGGTGAGGAAAAACTACGACACTCCGCGTTTACACCGCGAAAAATGATGAATTTTGAGCGGAAAACGATACTCCACGATTACGCGGTCATTTTCCATGATTTTTAGCTCAAAATGCACCATTTTTCACGGCGTAAACGCGGAGCATCGTTGTTTTTCCTTGTAGCTCAACTGGAAACTCGAAAATCGCCCAATTTTACCGGAAAACTACGATGAACGCCTCCGTGAACTATTGAATTTGTACCAGAAAGTTAGCTACAAAAAAAGTTTGACGACTAAAAATGTGCTGAAACGACTGATGAGAATGAGCCGAAAATTCTGGAAAACGATGGAATTTCGAGGATTACGGTAAGATTTTGGGGGAAATGGGCCAAAAATCGAGAAAAATGGCCTAGAATTGGCCTAGAAACGTGAAATTTGGAATCCTAGGCCATCATTTGGTTTTCTAGGCCATTTTTCGGTTTTCTAGGCCATTTTTTGGATTTCTAGGCCATTTTTCGGTTTTCTAGGCCATTATTTGGATTTCTAGGCCCTTTTTGATTTTCTAGGCCATCATTTGGGTTTCTAGGCCATGATTTGGATTTCTAGGCCATAATTTGGGGTTCAAGGCCATGATTTACGTTTTTAGGCCATTTTTGGGTTTCTAGGCCATTTTTTGGATTTCTAGGCCATTTTTTGGTTTTCTAGGCCATGATTTGGGTTTCTAGGCCATGATTTGGATTTCTAGGCCATGATTTGAGTTTCTAGGCTATTTTTCGGGTTTCTAGGCCATTTTTCGGTTTTCTAGGCCATGATTTGGATTTCTAGGCCATTTTTCGATTTTCTAGGCCATGATTTGGATTTCTAGGCCATTTTTTGGTTTTCTAGACCATTTTTCGGTTTTCTAGGCCATTTTTTGGATTTCTAGGCCATTTTTTGGATTTCTAGGTCATTTTTCGGATTTCTAGGCCATTTTTCGGTTTTCTAGGACATTTTTCGGATTTCTAGGCCATGATTTGGATTTCTAGGCCATCTTCAGGCTTTTTGGGCTCATTTTCATCGATTTTTTGCAGACCCGAAGGAAATTTGGACGAATTCGAGAGAAATTTCGAATTTTGCCGAAATCAGCTCGAAAATCAGGCGGAAATCTACGAAATTCAAATGCGCGAAAAAGATCAGCGAAATTTGGATTTTGTGTGAGTTTTTGGGCCTAAAAATGGCCTAGAAATGGCCTAGAAAGCCTAATTTTTGTTCCAGATATCAAGGAAGACCAAATTCGCCCGAAAATCCGGAAATTTCCAGCCAAAATGCATATTTTCAACAAAATTTGTGAGTTTTTAGGGGAAAAACGGCCTGAAATAGGCCCATTTTAGGCCTGGTAGGCTTTTCAGGCTCATTTTAGGCCTTTCAGGCTTTTCAGGCTTTTTTTTTTATTTTAGGCCTAATTTCTTCTTCCAGATATGATCCTCAAATGTACAGTACTCCAAATACGTGTCAATTTTTCCCAAGGTAAATTTTGGCGCCAAAATTTTTTTTTTCAAAAAATTCAAATTTTTTTCAGCTCAACATCTCAACCAACTCAGAAATTTGCAAGTTTTCCCGAATTTTTTTAAATAAAATTTTTTTCCGCCAATTTTTTTTCTCGAATTTTATTGATTTTTCGGGTTTTCCAGCCCTAAATTATCGATTTTTCCCCGAAATTTTTGGATTTTTCCACGATTTTTGCAGATATGGTTGCTCAAAAAAACATCGATCGAAGTTCGTTGGTGGAGATCAAGACGGTGAAGTTGGATGTGAGTTGAAAATCTGAAAATTTTGAGCCCGAAATCATGAAAAACGGCCCGAAATGGCCTAAAATCCGAAAATTTCCAGGAAAAACCACCCGAATCACCGGAAATCGTCATTTTGGAGCATCAGGATGAGCCAAAACCATCGTCCTCCGAAGATCCCAGGTAAAAACAACGACACTCCGCGTTTACACCCCGAAAAATGATGCATTTTGAGGTTTTAAACGATACTCCGCGTTTACGCGGTTGCTTTTGCTCAAAATTCATCATTTTTAGTGGTGTAAACGCGGAGTATTGTAGTTTAAACGATACTCCGCGATTCCGCACTCAAATTCTACCGAATTTCAGACAAATCATCTCGCCGGCTGAAAATATCCCGAAAAATGTTCAAAAGTTGTCTAGAAGTGCGAGGAAACGATTGAGGCAAGCGAAATTATTGACGCCCGCTGATTCCACACCTGCCACGTGGGTTTTGAAACGACACTCCGCGTTTACACCGTCGAAAATGATGGATTTTGAGCTAGAAATCGTCGAAAATGACCGCGTAATCGTGGAGTATCGTTTAAAAGCTACAAATAACCGCGTAAACACGGAGTATCGTAGTTTCAAACGATACTCCGCGATTACGCGGTTATTTTTCATGATTTTTAGCTCAAAATCCATCATTTTTCGCAGTGTAAACGCGGAGTGTCGTTGTTTTTAGCGGGAAATTCAAAAAATTCAAATTTTTTGCAGGAAAGATCCGGAAAATGGTTGGAAAAAAATCAAATTGATTGGAATTCAGGCAACATACTACAATGATCTCAGCATTTTGTTCAGGGTGAGTTTTTTTGGGCCGTAAACGTGGAGCATCGTTTAAAAGCTAAAAATCATGACAAATAACCGCGTAAACACGGAGTATTGTAGTTTCAAACGATACTCCACGATTACGCGGTCATTTTCGACGATTTCTAGCTCAAAATTCACCATTTTTCACGGTGTAAACGCGGAGCAACGTTGTTTTTTTCCAGAAAACCCCCAAAATTTTGGCCAAACATTCGGAAGAAGTCAAAGAAGCTGCTAGGATCTTCAAAAATGAATATGTAGGTTAAAAAAATGCGATTTTCATGGCTAAAATCCGATTTTTTTCAGAAAAGACAAGTTTTTGCACGGAAATCTTCAGAATCTGACCAAAAATCCTATTATGAGCAATTGAAATCGGAATTATTGGCTGAAATTGGAGCTGAAAATTCGGAAAAATCGAAAAAAGTGGAGAAATTGGCTGAAAAATATGTGAAAACCCCCGAAAATCGAGAAAAATTGGCTGAAAATCCGAAAAATCCAAAAATTCCCTCACTTTTCGATGTTCAAGTCGCTGAAACCGCTCAAAACATCCAAATTCAGCAGCCAGCGCAAGCAGTGGTGAAATTACGACTCTATGAGCCGGTATATCAGCAGTACGGTAGGTTTTTGCACGAAAAACTACGACATTCCGCGTTTACACCGCGAAAAATGGTGGATTTTGAGCTAGAAATCGTCGAAAATGACCGCGTAATCGTGGAGTATCGTTTGAAACTACGATACTCCGTGTTTACGTGGTTATTTGTCATGATTTGTAGCTTTTAAACGATACTCCACGATTACGCGGCTCAAAATTCATCATTTTTCGCCGTGTAAACGCGGAGCAACGTTGTTTTTGCAGCCGCAGCCCCAATCTACACCCAACAATATCTCCAACCACAAATACAGTACCCCACACCTCCAATTTTGGCGCCAAAAGAATTATCGATTGATTTCGGCATCCCGCAGCCGATTCGCAAAGAAAAATGCCAAGAAAAAATGTCCGAGGAGCAAATCGCTCAACTTTTGCAAAGAATTCGAGACGCCTCGAAGTCGCCGGAGAGAAATGGTGAGATTTCAACGATGCTCCGCGTTTACACGGCGAAAAATGATGAATTTTGAGCTAGAAATTGTGGATTTTTGAGTTTTAAACGATGCTCCGCGTTTACGCCGCGAAAAATGATGCATTTTGAGCTAAAAATCGTGGATTTTTGAATTTTAAACGATACTCCGCGTTTACGCCGCGAAAAATGATGCATTTTGAGCTAAAAATCGTGGATTTTTGATTTTTAAACGATACTCCGCGTTTACGCCGCGAAAAATGATGCATTTTGAGCTAAAAATCGTGGATTTTTTGATTTTTAAACGATACTCCGCGTTTACGCGGTGAAAAATGATGCATTTTGAGCTAAAAATCGTGGATTTTTTGATTTTTAAACGATACTCCGCGTTTACGCCGCGAAAAATGATGAATTTTGAGCTAGAAATCGTGGATTTTCGATTTTTAAACGATACTCCGCGTTTACGCCGCGAAAAATGATGCATTTTGAGCTAGAAATCATCGAAAATGACCGCGTAATCGTGGAGTATCGTTTGAAACTACAATACTCCACGGAAAATCATGAAAAGTCGGAGATTTTTGATTTTTAAACGACGCTCCGCGTTTACGCCATGAATTTTGAGCTAGAAACCATGAAAAATGACCGTGTAATCGTGGAGTATCGTTTAAAACTACAATATTCCGCGTTTACACCTCATAATGCACTATTTTTAGTGGTGTAAACGCGGAGTGTCGTTTAAAATTCATCAAACTTCTTCCAGATTCCCCACCACCACCAACATCCAGCCAATACATCCAAACTCAGGCCTATCCAGGCCCCTCTCAGGCCTATCCAGGCCCCTCTCAGGCCTTTTCAGGCCCCTCACAAGTCGGCCCCGGCTACAATCTACTCGCCGATCGTTGGTGGGAAAAACCACTGCCGCAAGTTCAGCCAGATGCTAGAACTATGGCTGAGAATCTGGTGAATGGAATTATTGATGAAAGTGTGTTTGAGATACAGTTGAGAGAGCAACAGGCACGAATTCAGGTGAAAAACTACGATGCTCCGCGTTTACAGGGTGAAAAATGATGGATTTTGAGCTAAAAACGATACTCCACGTTTACGCGGTCATTTTCCATGATTTTTAGCTCAAAATGCATCATTTTTCGAGCTGTAAACGCGGAGTGTCGTTTAAAATCCAAAATTTCTCCAGGCTAAAGCTGCTGAAGAAGAAATGGCGGTGAAAAATCGCCTCGCAGAGATCGAACGTCAACTTCGAGCCATTGATCGAGAAGATCTGGGTTCAACATCGATGGAACACGAATTCGAGCGACGCGAAATCGAATTACGACAACGAGAGGCGCGTCTGAAACAGATGGAAGAGGAATTTTGGAGAAATCGAAGTTCTGGGTGCGTTTTCCGATGGTTTTGATGGAAAAATCGAGATTTTTGAGGTTTTTTTACCCGGAAAATCGCGATTTTTGAGGTTTTTTAACCCAAAAATCGAAAAAATCTAGTATTTTCTACTATTTTCCCGCCTAAAAATCATGGGGGACTAGTTTTCCCCCAATATTTTTCTAGGCCAGCTAGCAAAAACCACTATTTAAACGACACTCCGCGTTTACACCTGGGTTTTTTTGCGTGTTTGATTATTTTTTAGATCTAGGACAAGGTTCTAGGCCTAGATCAGGAAGATCAGGGCCAGTCTAGATCTAGGCTAGATCTCAAGCCTGGATGTTCTAGATCGAGTCTAGATCTAGATCTTAAGCCTAGATTTCAAGGTCAGGCCTAGATCTAGATCTCAAGCCTGGATGTTCCAGATTCCAGCCTAGATCTAGATCTACCATCAGATCTGAAGCCTAAGCCTAGATTTCAAGGTCAGGCCTAGATCTAGAATTTAAGCCTGGATGTTCTAGATCGAGTCTAGATCTAGATCTACCATCAGATCTGAAGCCTGGATGTTCTAGATCGAGCCTAGATCTTTCGATATTTCCAGATCTACTAGATATTCCCCACCACCAACAACTTCAACACATCCGAACTTCTCCTCCGATCCTTATTACTATCAAAATCCGAATTCTTTCCAATTCGCTCCGCCCATCTACGAAAATCCGATAAAAATCTCGTCCGCTTCCAACAAAAAACCGGCTGCCAAACACATGAAACGAAGAGGTTTTCACTCATTTTTTTTTTTGAATATCGATTTTTGGCGCCAAAAATTGCGCATTTTTCGCGCCAAAACGTGGATTTTTTTTTGCAAATTTTCCAGATGCCGCTGCGCCTTTCGAAGATGATGATCTGACCAGAAATCAGAGACGGCAGCGACGAAAGCGGACATCGCAGGAGAAATTGGAGCGAGAGCAAGGTGGTGAGTCGAAAAACTACGATACTCCGCGTTTACACCTCGAAAATTGGTGGATTTTGAGCCGAAATCCGTTGTTTTCGAGGTTTTTAACGATGCTCCGCGTTTACACCGCGAAAAATGATGGATTTTGAGCCGAAATCCGTCGTTTTGAGGTTTTAAACGATACTCCGCGTTTACGCTGTCCGAAATCAGTAATTTCGAGGTTTTAAACGATGCTCCGCGTTTACGCTGTCCGAAATCAGTAATTTCGAGGTTTTAAACGATGCTCCGCGTTTACGCTGTCCGAAATCAGTAATTTCGAGGTTTTAAACGATGCTCCGCGTTTACGCTGTCCGAAATCAGTAATTTCGAGGTTTTAAACGATGCTCCGTGTTGACACCTCGAAAAATGATGGATTTTGAGCCGAAATCTGTCGTTTTTCAGGTTTTAAACGATACTCCACGTTTACACCTCGAAAAATGATGGATTTTGAGCTCGGAATCGTGGAGTATCGTTTAAACTAAGTGTAATTGCGGGATTTTTGATCTACCACCATTTTTTTGTTTGTTTGTATAATGAAACTACGACACTCCGCTTTTACACCTGGAGAGAATTCCACGTGGAAGATTCTTTTGAAGGTGTAATTCTGGAGCGTTGTAGTTTTTGTGTCCTACGACACTCCGCCCATTACACGTGGCGTTTTTGCCACCTGAAACTACGAAACTCCACGTTTACACCTCGAAATTGTTTGCAGCAAAACGCTCGAACTTCTACGATCATCTCGATCCGATCAGCGACGATGATCAGGATCAGAATCAATATCAACATCAAGATCCGTCGATTATGGTGACAATGCCGCATCAAATGAGAGGTACAACGATGCTCCGCGTTTACACCGTGAAAAATGACGCATTTTCATTTTTCGAGGTGTAAACGCGGAGTATCGTTGGAATTTTGCAGATTTCAATGAGGCTAGACGTCCAAGATATACACCGCCGAAGGATTTGGTTTATGTACAGGTGATTTTGGGGGGCCGGGCCTGAATCGGGCCTGAAAATGGGCCTGAGAAAGGCCTATAAGGAAACCTCTAAATTAGGGCCTTAAAGATGCCTTAAATTAGGCCTAAAATAGGGCCTTAAGGCCTTAAAATGAGCGTTAAAAGGCTTTAAATAAGGCCTAAAATATACCTTAAATTAGGCCTAAAAGGCACTGAATCTAAGCTTAAAATAGGGCCTTAAAAAGGCCTAAAATAGGGCCTTAAACATAGCCTTAATTAGGGCCTTAAGGCCTTAAATTAGGCCTTAAATATACCTTAAATTAGGCCTAAAATAGGGCCTTAAAGAAGGCCTAAAATAGGGCCTTAAATATACCTTAAATTAGGCCTAAAAGGCCATGAATCTAAGCCTAAATATACCTTAAATTAGGCCTTAGATATACCTTAAAGGAAGCCTTAATTAGGGCCTTAAAATATGCCTTAAATTAGGGCCTTAAGACCTTAAAATGAGCCTTAAAAATTTTTCTAACAAAAAAAAATCAATAATTTTTATCTTATCAATATTTTTCCCGATTTTTTTTCCAAAAAAAAATTTTCCGATTTTTTCAGGTTTCCGATGAGGAAGATCAATAGGAAAAGCTAATTTCTGAAGCAAAAAAATTTTTTTTTTCAATTTTTATTGTCTGCAATTTTTCTTATCACTTTTTTATTGTAATAAACTAGTTTTTCCCCAATTTTTTTCATTTTTTCATTTTTTACCTCAAAAAAATCGTTTTTCATCGATTTTTCCAATATTTTCAATGATTTTAACCGAAAAATTCGAGATTTTCAGCAATTTTCAGCCAAAAATGACTGAAATCTGGGAGAATTTGCGAAAAAAGGCGAGATCTGCCGAGAATTCGATTGATGTGAAATTGGTGTCGTTGAACAAATTATCGGCGAATTCACATGGTGGGTTTTGCTGAAAACTACGACACTCCGCGTTTACGCGGTGAAAAATGATGGATTTTGAGCTGAAAATCATCGAAAATGACCCCGGAATCGTGGAGCATCGTTTAAAGCTCAAAATCCACCATTTTTCGCGGTGTAAACGCGGAGTTTCGTTGTTTTTAACGATACTCCACGTTTACACCGTCAATTTTCAATATTTTTGCAGGCGGCTTCGATATCGATGAGAAAATCGTGACGTCACGACAGAATTTGTTCCAAAATCTGACTGATGAGATCAGTGGGCTGATCGAGCAATTGAACACGATCAATGATGAGGTTTGACCTTTTTGGGCTAAAATTTGGGAAAAAACTACGATACTCCGCGTTTACGCGGTGAAAAATGATGGATTTTGAGCTGGAAATCATCGAAAATGACCCCGTAATCGTGGAGCATCGTTTGAAAATCATTTTTGAACGTGTAAACGCGGAATTTTGTAATTTCAAACGATACTCCGCGATTCCGCGGTCATTTTCAACGATTTTTGGCTCAAAAATTCCCGATTTTTCGCATTTCAGATGTCCGAAGTGACGGGATCACAAACATCAGCCGCCTGGGCCAACAATCCAGCAATTCAGCACACTTTGCGAAGACATCGTGAAATTCTGCGCGATTATGGCACCGAATTCCGAAGAGCCCGCGATAATGTTCAACAAATTCTACAAAGAGAGGCTCTTTTGAGCAGTTCGACTTCGGAGAGTCGAAATGGACGTGTGAATAATCGAGCCAAGGGAATTGATATGTATTTGAAGGTAGGAACTACGACACTCCGCGTTTACACCTCGAAAAATGATGGAAAATGATGGTTTTTTGTGGTTTAAACGACACTCCACGTTTACACCATCATTTTTCACGGTGTAAACGCGGAATTTTGTAGTTTCTAAACGACACTCCGCGTTTACACCTCGAAAAATGATGGAAAATGAGGGTTTTTGAGGTTTAAACGATACTCCGCCTTTACACCTCGAAAAATGATGGAAAATGAGGGTTTTTGAGGTTTAAACGATACTCCGCCTTTACACCATCATTTTTCACGGTGTAAACGCGGAATTTTGTAGTTTCTAAACGACACTCCGCGTTTACACCTCGAAAAATGATGGAAAATGAGGGTTTTTGAGGTTTAAACGATACTCCGCCTTTACACCTCGAAAAATGATGGAAAATGAGGGTTTTTGAGGTTTAAACGATACTCCGCCTTTACACCATCATTTTTCACGGTGTAAACGCGGAATATTGTAGTTTCTAAACGACACTCCGCCTTTACACCTCGAAAAATGAGGGTTTTTGAGGTTTAAACGATACTCCGCCTTTACACCCTCCTTTTTCACGGTGTAAACGCGGAATTTTGTAGTTTCTAAACGACACTCCGCCTTTACACCTCGAAAAATGATGGAAAATGAGGGTTTTTTGCGGTTTAAACGACACTCCGCCTTTACACCACGAAAAATGATGGAAAATGAGGGGTTTTTTGTGGTTTAAACGATACTCCGCCTTTACACCATCATTTTTCACGGTGTAAACGCGGAATGTTGTAGTTTTTAAACGACACTACGCCTTTACACCCTCGTTTTTCATGAAAAATTCAAATTTTTGCAGGAAAACGAGCACATCTCATCATGCGAACGACTTTTGGACGAACAATTGGAGATGGCAATGTCGACGAAGGAGAATGTGGCAAGACAGGGAATCAATCTACGTGGCATCTCGAATCGTCTACATCAAGTAACAAGTGAGAGAAAATGATGAATTTTGATGTAAAAATCGTCGAAAATGACCGCGGAATCGTGGAGCATCGTTTGAAACTACAATACTCCGCGTTTACACCGCAAAAAATGGTGGATTTTGAGCCTCAAACGATGCTCCACGTTTACGCGGTCATTTTCCATCATTTTTTGAACTGTAAACGCGGAGCATCGTTGTTTTTACGACACTCCACGTTCACGCGGTCATTTTCGATGATTTTTACATCAAAATTCATCATTTTTCGAGGTGTAAACGCGGAGCAACGTAGTTTTCTCGCTATTTTTCCAGAAAAATACCCGGCAATCAACAATTTGATGCAAAAAATCAAGACAAAAAAGCAGAAAAATACCGTAATCCTCGCCGCCGTCATCAGTTTTTGCCTGATTTTCACCATTTTCTGGATTATCAATTGATTTTTGTGATTTTTCTGTGTAAATAGTATTATAATGGGGCATAATTTATGAATTTTATCGATTTTCGGATTTTTTTGGTGATTTTTCATGGTTTTTAGCCATTTTCCCATTATTTTCAAAGGTTTTGGCCTCAAATTTTCGAAAAATTCCAGATTTTCAGCATGGTTTTGAAGGCCTACGTTTGTCCGTCGATTTTGAACGCAGATTTGGCTTCGCTGGCCGCTGAATGCCAGAAGTTATTGGCAGCTGGAGCGGATTGGTGGGTTTTTGATGGAAAATCGGATTTTTTTGACACCGGAATCGTGGAGTGTCGTTTAAACCGTGAAAAATGAGCCATTTTGAGTGAATCTAGTGATTTTCAACGATGCTCCGCGTTTACGCCTTTGAAAATGATGAATTTTCATGAATTTTGACTCCGTAAACGTGGAGTATCGTAGTTTAAACGATACTCCACGTTTACGCCTTTAAAAATGATGAATTTTCATGAATTTTGACCTCGTAAACGTGGAGCATCGTAGTTTAAACGATGCTCCGCGTTTACGCCTTTAAAAATGATGATTTTTCATGAATTTTGACCCCGTAAACGTGGAGCATCGTAGTTTAAACGATACTCCACGTTTACGCGGTCAAAAATGAGCCATTTTGAGTGAATTTTGACCCCATAAACGTGGAGTATCGTAGTTTAAACGATACTCCGCGATTCCGCGCTCATTTTTCACCATTTTTCCACCAAAATTCGAAATTTTCCGATTTCCAGGCTTCATCTCGATGTCATGGATGGTCACTTCGTTCCGAATCTCACCTTCGGACATCCAGTCGTCGAATCACTTCGAAAATCCCTGGGAACATCGGCATTTTTGGATGTTCATCTGATGGTTTCCAATCCGGCTCAATGGATCGAGCCGATGGCGAAAGCCGGTGCAAATCAGTTCACTTTTCATTATGAGGCTGTTCAGGATTGCGAAGTTTTGGGGATTATTGAGAAGGTGCGTGAAATTTAAGCCCCGGAATCGTGGAGTATCGTTTGAAACTCTTTTAAACGACACTCCCCTTTTACACCTCTCAAAAATCATGATTTCTCATCATTTTTCCGTCAGTGTAAACGCGGAGCATCGTTGCTTACCGAAAAAATCGCTTTTAAACGACACTCCGCTTTTACACCTCTCAAAAATCATCATTTTTCCGTCAGTGTAAACGCGTACTATCGTTGCTTCCCTCAAAAATCGCTTTTAAACGACACTCCGCTTTTACACCTCTCAAAAATCATGATTTCTCATCATCTTTCCGTCAGTGTAAACGCGGAGCATCGTTGTTTTTGCTCAATTTTCACGATTTTTGGCTCATTTTCCACCATTTTTCGCCGCGTTAACGCGAAGCATCGTAGTTTTCTTGCAGATTCGTGAAAATGGAATGAAAGTGGGACTTTCGGTAAAGCCTGGAACATCTGTCGACAATATTTTGAGGTAGATCTTGAATTTTCAGATTTTCCCAGAAAAAATCTGAAAATTTTTCAGATTCGCCGAAAAAATCGATAATGCTTTGGTGATGACTGTCGAACCGGGTTTTGGCGGTCAAAAATTCATGGAAAATCAGATGGAAAAGGTACTGTAGGGATACTGTAGGGAATTTTGGCGCGAAAATTTGATCTACCCTCAAAATTTCGCGTTTTCGCCCTAAAATAACCATATTTGGTCTCAAAACGCTCCAAATTTGGCGGGAAATTTGAAAAATTCAAATTCAGGTTCAAAAATTACGCCAATCACATCCGAATCTCACAATTCAAGTGGATGGTGGTGTGACACCGGAAAATGTGGAAATTTCAGCAAAAGCTGGCGCTAATGCGATTGTCAGTGGAACTGGAATCATCAAATCGCAAGATCAGGCGAAAGCTATCGAAATTATTCGAAATGCCGTGCAAAATGCGATTTCCGCCTGATTTTTGGGCCCAAAAATCGATTTTTTGTGATAATTTTTTATAAAATTTCAATAAAAATACCCGAAAATTCAGCAAATTTTCAATTTTGTCGCCTTGAAATCGAGATTTTCCACCAAAAAACATCGAGTGTAGGTGTGTTTTGCGAAATCGAAACTGCACGCGACAAAAACGGCGCAAATCAGGCAAATTGTGATGGTTGGAATGAAGATCAGCAGGATTAGGATGATTGAGATGGCTGCAACGATACTACGCGTTTACACGGCGAAAAATGGGGGTCTAAACGATGCTCCACGTTTACATCATTGAAAATTGGAGGTTTTTGAGAGGTGTAAGCGCGGAGTGTCGTTTAAAAGCGATTTTTAAGGTAAGCAACGATGCTCCACGTTTACACTGACGGAAAATGATGAGAAATCATGATTTTTGAGAGGTGTAAAAGCGGAGTGTCGTTTAAAAGCGATTTTTGATGTAAGCAACGATACTACGCGTTTACACTGACGGAAAAATGATGAGAAATCATGATTTTTGAGAGGTGTAAGAGCGGAGTGTCGTTGTTTTTGGTCAAAAATCGGGGTCTAAACGAAGCTCCGCCTTTACGCGCTGAATTTTTGGAGGAAAAATTGAAATTTTTCAATAATTTTAGTTGGGAAATTGAAATTGACAGCGTAAAGGTGTAGCGTCGTAGTTTTCATCCAAACGATACTCCACATTTACGAGTTCATCGAAATTCAGAGCTCTGAAGCTATATTTTCCCAGCGTAAACGCGGAGCATCGTTTGAAACCCTAAAAAACGACGATTTCGGCTCAAAATCCATCATTTTTCGCCGCGTAAACGCGGAGCATCGTAGTTTGGCTCAAACCTACTCTGAGCAATGATAGCCACACCGAAATTCACCAAAAATGTGATACAAAAACTCGAAAAAGCCAACGAAATCGGAATGGCGCAAAATAGACATGCGAATTGTGGGAAAAATCGAGGAAGATTTGCCTGAAAATTGAAAATTTTTGAAATTTTGATTTTTGGCGCCAAAATCTCACCAAAACCCATCGAAATCGCCACGTCATAGCTGTGCAAATGCGCTCCATCGCCAAATTCTCATCGCCATTTTTCATTTCTGCAAATTTTTTCTGAAATTTCTCTGAAAATTAAAATTTTTCCGAAAAAAATTAAATAAAATTGAAATTTTTTCAACAATTTTTTGGGCGCGAAAGAAAAACATTAAAAAAATACGATTTATTCAAAATTGACTACTGTAGTTTTTTTGGCGGGAAAATGTCAAAAATTCAAATTTCCTCATCGTGATTCACTTTTTTCATGATATCCGACACAATATCGCAATCGGTGGGAGCGTTGGTGAAAATTGTGCCAACAAATGCGTGAGAGCCCCACATGGCGTGCATTAGAACCTGGAAAATCGGAGATTTTGGGTGGCGGAATCGCGGAGCATCGTTGTTTTTGGCGGGAAAATCGCTTTAACGCAGTGAAAAATGGTGGCGGAATCGCGGAGCATCGTTGTTTTTGGGGGAAAATCGCTTTTAGGCGGTCAAAAATGGTGGCGAAATCGCGGAGTGTCGTTGTTTTCTCTCAAAATTGCTCAAAAATCGCCGCGTAAACGCGGAGTTTCGTTGTTTTCGCTCAAAATTGCTCAAAAACCGCCGCGTAAACGCGGAGTTTCGTTGTTTTCGCTCAAAATTGCTCAAAACCGCCCGCGTAAACGCGGAGTTTCGTTGTTTTCGCTCAAAATTGCTCAAAAACCGCCGCGTAAACGCGGAGCATCGTTGTTTTCTCTCAAATTTGCTCAAAAATCGTCGCGTTAACGCGGAGTTTCGTTGTTTTCGCTCAAAATTGCTCAAAAACCGCCGCGTAAACGCGGAGTTTCGTTGTTTTCGCTCAAAATTGCTCAAAACCGCCCGCGTAAACGCGGAGTTTCGTTGTTTTCGCTCAAAATTGCTCAAAAACCGCCGCGTAAACGCGGAGCATCGTTGTTTTCTCTCAAATTTGCTCAAAAATCGTCGCGTTAACGCGGAGTTTCGTTGTTTTCGCTCAAAATTGCTCAAAAACCGCCGCGTAAACGCGGAGTTTCGTTGTTTTCGCTCAAAATTGCTCAAAACCGCCCGCGTAAACGCGGAGTTTCGTTGTTTTCGCTCAAAATTGCTCAAAAACCGCCGCGTAAACGCGGAGCATCGTTGTTTTCTCTCAAATTTGCTCAAAAATCGTCGCGTTAACGCGGAGTTTCGTTGTTTTCGCTCAAAATTGCTCAAAACCGCCCGCGTAAACGCGGAGTTTCGTTGTTTTCGCTCAAAATTGCTCAAAAACCGCCGCGTAAACGCGGAGCATCGTTGTTTTCTCTCAAAACCCTCAAATTTGCTCAAAATCGCTCGCGTAAACGCGGAATTTCGTTGTTTTCTCTCAAAACCCCTCAAAATTGCTCAAAAACCCTCGCGTAAACGCGGAGCATCGTTGTTTTCTCTCAAAAACCCTCAAATTTGCTCAAACTCCCTCGCGTAAACGCGGAGCATCGTAGTTTCCCCCAATTTCTCACCTTACAACATCCCAAATCCTCAATTTTGAATCCCATTTGCTTGTAAGCATCGTGTGTCTCAAACAACGTGTGATTTGTGTAGCTGAAGAAAAAATTTTTGAAAATTTATTTTTGGCGCCAAAAATAAAATTTCAAAAACTCACGCCTCCAAATATGGGCGGCCTGAAGCTGGATCGATAAAATCGGCCCAATATCCGCATTTTCTCAAAGTTGTGCAAATTGCGTCAGCCGACATGATGAACTGGAGGAAAATTTGAATTAAGCGGGGAAATTTCGAGGGTGTAAACGCGGAGCATCGTTGGAAAATTGGAAAAATCACGGTTTTTGGCTCAAAATCCATCATTTTTCGCCGTGTAAACGCTATTTCCAACGATACTCCACGTTTACGCGGCGATTTTTCAACTCACAGCCGCCGTCAAATTCTCACGTTCCTCTTCCATCATTTCACTCCACGATTTCATGTCATTTTCAGTTTTTTGAGCCAAATTCATGACTGTAACATCCATTGAAGCTGTGTCGAGTTGTGGGAACAAAAATCGCATTTCTGAACGGAAAATTTGATGTTTTTAGGTGAAAAATCATGACAAATCGATAATTTTAGGCCAAAATCGATATTTTCCCACCTTTTTTCAACAATCTTGGACATTTTTGAACGCTAAGCTCAATTTCGACGTCGGCCGCGTTGAGGCTCGCCTTTTCCTCGAATTCGTCCTGAAAAATCGAAAATTTCTGCATTTTCGCGTCATTTTCGGTGTCAAAACATTGAAATTGACGAAAAAATGCAGATTTTCAGGGTTTTTCTGCATTTTCGCGTCATTTTCTTTGTCAAAACATTGAAATTCACGAAAAAATGCAGAATTTCAGGTTTTTTCTGCATTTTCGGTGTCAAAACATTGAAATTGACAGAAAATGCAGATTTTCAGGGTTTTTCTGCATCATTGCGTCATTTTCAGTGTCAAAACATTGAAATTGACGAGAAAATGCAGATTTTCAGGGTTTTTCTGCATCATTGCGTCATTTTCAGTGTCAAAACATTGAAATTGACGAAAAAATGAAGATTTTCAGGGTTTTTCTGCATTTTTCGCGTCATTTTCGGTGTCAAAACATTGAAATTGACGAGAAAATGCAGATTTTCAGGGTTTTTCTGCATTTTCGGTGTCAAAACATTGAAAATGACGAAAAAATGCAGATTGTCAGGGTTTTCTGCATTTTTGCGTCATTTTCGGTGTCAAAACATCGCAATTGACGAGAAAATGCAGATTTTCAGGGTTTTCTGCATTTTCGCGTCATTTTCGGTGTCAAAACATCGCAATTGACGAGAAAATGCAGATTTTCAGGGTTTTCTGCATTTTCGCGTCATTTTCGGTGTCAAAACATTGAAATTGACGAGAAAATGCAGATTTTCAGGGTTTTTCTGCATTTTCGGTGTCAAAACATTGAAAATGACGAAAAAATGCAGATTGTCAGGGTTTTCTGCATTTTTCGCGTCATTTTCGGTGTCAAAACATCGCAATTGACGAGAAAATGCAGATTTTCAGGGTTTTCTGCATTTTCGCGTCATTTTCGGTGTCAAAACATTGAAATTCACGAAAAAATGCAGAATTTCAGGTTTTTTCTGCATTTTCGGTGTCAAAACATTGAAATTGACGGAAAATGCAGATTTTCAGGGTTTTTCTGCATCATTGCGTCATTTTCAGTGTCAAAACATTGAAATTGACGAGAAAATGCAGATTTTCAGGGTTTTTCTGCATTTTTGCGTCATTTTCGGTGTCAAAACATTGAAATTGACGAAAAAATGCAGATTTCACCATTTTTCTGCAATTTCTCGTCATTTTCGGTGTCAAAACATTGAAATTGACGAAAAAATGAAGATTTTCAGGGTTTTTCTGCATTTTCGCGTCATTTTCGGTGTCAAAACATCGCAATTGACGAGAAAATGCAGATTTTCAGGGTTTTCTGCATTTTCGCGTCATTTTCGGTGTCAAAACATTGAAATTGACGAGAAAATGCAGATTTTCAGGGTTTTTCTGCATTTTCGGTGTCAAAACATTGAAAATGACGAAAAAATGCAGATTGTCAGGGTTTTCTGCATTTTTGCGTCATTTTCGGTGTTAAAACAATGTAATTGACGAAAAATTGCAGATTTTCGTAGAAAACTCGGTTCCGGGCTCATTTTTGACCAATTTTCATGATTTTTGGCTCATTTTTCATGAAAAATCCGAATTTTCCCACATTTTTCTATCACATACACTCATTTTCTCCAAATGATCCCTGTCCGCCTCGACATTTGTGTTGGACAACAATCCCAAAAGCGAATGCTCGTTGTTCGACATGATATTCTCCAAAATCTGATTGGCGTAGTCTTGGTGGTGTTGCGACGATGCTCCGCGAGTGACGAATGGCTGCAAAATTGATTTTTTGGTGGGAAATTCAAAAATTCGAAAAATTTACATCAATTTTGCCACCGAATGCCACGTCACCTTGGAATGGATATTTTGTGTCGTTGGGTCCGAGAAGCGAGTTTTGACGAGCTGAAAATTGTGCATTTTTGCGTGGAATTCGGTGTTTTGCAGAAAATCGAGGAAATTCTGCAATTTCCCGTCAATTTCAGTGTTTTCCATGTAAAAATCGATTTTTCTGCAATTTTCCGTGAAATTTAGTGTTTTCACATCAAAATTGTGCATTTTCGCGTGGAATTTGGTGTTTTACAGTGGAAACTACGAGAAAATGCAGAAAATCGGGGAAATTCTGCAATTTCCCGTCAATTTCAGTGTTTTGCATGAGAAAATGACGTAAAAATGCAGAAAAATGGTGAAATCTGCATTTTTACGTCAATTTCAATGTTTTGACACCGAAAATGACGTAAAAATGCAGAAAAACCCTGAGAATCTGCATTTTTTTGTCAATTTCAATGTTTTTGCATCAATTTTCACGTAAAAACACTAAATTTCACGCGAAATTGCAGAATCAATCGTTCTAGCCTCAAAAATTGCGAAAAATTTGAATTTTCCGCTCAAAATCACTCACGTGTAGTTCCTTTTCCCACAAAAACAATTGGTGACGTGGCGGTTTGCGCTTGCGTCGAGAATGCGCTGATTCTTTGCGTGAATGCGCCGATTTTTGTGCCTTTTGCTGACATCATCTGAAAACTATAGTCTAGTTTGGTTATGTGTTAAACTACACTCTAGTCTATTAAAAAATGAAGAAAAAGCGAAGAAAACAGAAACTTTTGGGGGAAAATGTCGATTTTTCTTCTCTTTTTTTTCTCTCGACGAGAGAGTTTGTGTTTGGCGGAGGGTGGTTAGAGAAAAAGAGACGAAGAGACTGCAAAATATCATGTGAATACGCAAAGAAGACGTGACTTTTTGAAACTCGCGGAAAATTTTGAATATTGCGTGGCCTAGCCGCCGACAAGTTGGGGGGACTAGGAAATTCCTAGGCCATGGTGTATTTTTTTCGAAATTTTCACAATTTTTCGCACAGTGTCCCGAACGCGTATTGCGCCAGCACTCCACACACCACACACTCTCTCGTTTTCTCTCTATCCCTCATCCGTCTCTTCAGCAAAGCGCACTCTCTCATCTTTTTTTGCGCTTCTGTTTTTTTGCTGAAAAATGCTGGAAATGGAACTTTGGTAACTAAATCGAATATGGAGAAGACAGAGGAAGAAAAATTAAAGCTATTCCAAGTTGTTTCATAAAAAATGGTTGAGAATGAAATGAGCAAGAGCTCCTCAAAAAATACCTTGTGCAAAAACACCATTTTTGACCCTGGAAAGCTGATAAAATTCAGTGTTATGCTTCCAAAACATTGAAATAGGACTCCTCAAGTATGTGGAATGAATAATAATTCAAATTTATGCCGTTTTTGTCATTTTCTTTTCCATCGAAATTCGCCCAAAATTGAACAAAAGACCAGATTTCAGAAGTTTATTTTGATCAAATAATTCTTAAAACACCTTGAAAGTATTCTAATTTGCATATTTATCATAAAACAAGTGCCAAATCACATTTTTCCTTCATAAAATTTGAATTGTTTTTCTTCAAAAGATATTAACTAACTTATTTTGAATCCAATCTTCACATGTTTTATATCAAAACGTTCCTCTCGTTATTCTCCAGAACATATAGCTCAGTTTGGGAGTTTTCATGCAAGTATAATTCAATTCTAATCGTTTCAAGAAAAAACCTAGTGTTAATTTTTCAAAAAATCGACAAACAGGCTTGTGCGCTCTACCGCACATGCACCAAAAATGCGCACAACTTTTCTCTGGCTACGCGTTGGGGGCACTGTGTTTCGGGGTTTTCAGCGATTTTCAGCTAGAAATCGTGGTTTTCAGCAAAATTTCCAGGTGAATTTTCTGAAAATCTCTGGAATTCATCAATTTTCAGCAGGTAATCATGTGTTTTGATGAAAAAACCGAAAAAAATGAAAAAAATCGTCAATTGATAAGAAAATCAACAAAACATGTCAAATTAAAAGAAGAACATTGATGTTCTTCTTTTTTTGTGTAAAAAAGGGGGCGTGGCTAGGATTTGGCAACTCTGGCACAGTTTTCAAAAGAAAATTTATTTACAAAAACGAATCATGCTCGAAAAACCCGTGCTTATCACAAAATTCTACAAATATAAAGCTAGAAAATTTCAAAAAAAAAAGGTGAGCAATAATAAAAAAGTTAGTGAGTACAATTTAAAGGAACATGACCGAAAAATGCGCATTTTTTGAGTATAAATAAGCCCATGTTCCTTTAAAAATCGAGATTTTCGTGGCGAGACCATTTTAAAGGAACATTGGCTTGTTTAGACTCAAAAAATGGCAGATTTTCGTGGCGGGACCCATGTCCTAGTTGAACGGTTCGCCTTTGGGAATGTAGGGTGGCCGGGAGTCGGTGGTTTTAGGCCGCCGGCGGCCGAGTAGACCATCAAATAGGCCGAGCTGCAAAAAAAAAAATGCCACGTGGCGAAAATGGTTTTGGCGCGAAAAAAAAACTTACGAAAAATGCGAGGGAAATGAGGCCGAGAGCCAATGTGATGGCTCCGAGGATCATTAGGATTTTCATCGCCAAATATGCGTACCTGTAAGGAATTTTGGGAATTTTCGGGGGTTTTAAAGGCGCAGGAGATGAAAAATCGTGTCAAGACCAAAATTTTGATGAAAAATTGGATTTTTCAGGTCAAGAAGCGATTTTTAGATGAAAAATTGGATTTTTTAGGTCCAGAAGCGATTTTTAGATGAAAAATCGTGTCAGGACCCAATTTTTGATGAAAAATTGGATTTTTTAGGTCCAGAAGCGATTTTTAAAGTTTTTAAAGGTACAGGAGATGAAAAATCGTGTCAGGACCCAATTTTTGATGAAAAATTGGATTTTTTAGGTTCAGAAGCGATTTTTGGAGTTTTTAAAGGCACAGGAGATGAAAAATCGTGTCAGGACCTAATTTTTGATGAAAAATCCTATTTTTTAAAGTCCAGAAGCGATTTTTAGATGAAAAATCGTGTCAGGACCAAATTTTTAGTGAAAAATTGGATTTTTCGGGTCCTGGCACGATTTTTAGAGTTTTTAAAGGTACAGGAGATGAAAAATCGTGTCAGGACCGAATTTTCCATGAAAAATTGAAATTTTCGGGATTTTTAGATGAAAAATCGTGTCGGGACCTAATTTTTGATGAAAAATTGGAATTTTTAGGTCCAGAAGCGATTTATAGATGAAAAATCGTGTCAGGACCCAATTTTCGATAAAAAACGTCCCAAAACTCGTCCCGGGCTCAATTTTTCGCAAATTTTCCGATTTTCCAGGTCCCGACGCGATTTTTCCACCCCAAAACCCAAAAAAACCCACCATTCCATATCATACAGGTCCGATTTGATCGTTTGCAAACTCTCATCATCGATTTCCGACGTTTCGGCCACTTTGAGCACCGGAATCAGAGCCGAGTTCATTTTCTTCAAATTCACCCTGGAAAATTACAGGGGGGGTTTTAAAGGTACATACAGTAATCGTGTCAAAACTCACGGAAAACTCAAATTTTTTCCCTTCCACATCTCCACGTTGACTTGAGAGACACGCCGTGCAAATAGGACGGCGCCAATTCGCTGAAATTTGAATTTTTGGGGGCGGGAAGGGGGCGGGGCCTAATTTTGCAATCCTGGCACAGTTTTTTACAAGGTAAAAGGGGCGGAGCTTGGATTCTGCAATCCTGGCACAGTTTTTTACAAGGTAAAAGGGGCGGAGCTTGGATTCTGCAATCCTGGCACAGTTTTTTACAAGGTAAAAGGGGCGGAGCTTGGATTCTGCAATCCTGGCACAGTTAAAAGGGGCGGAGCTTAGGTTTGCAAGTCTGGCACAGTTTTCTCATCAGAAAAAGGGGCGGAGCCTAATTTTGCAAGTCTGGCACAGTTTTCTTATCAGAAAAAGGGGCGGGGCTTAGGTTTGAAAAACCCTGAAAATCTGCATTTTTTCGTCAATTTCAATGTTTTGACACTGAAAATGACGCGAAAATGCAGAAAACCCTGAAAATCTGCATTTTTTCGTCAATTTCAATGTTTTGACACTGAAAATGACGCAAAAATGCAGAAAACCCTGAAAATCTGCATTTTTTCGTCAATTTCAATGTTTTGACACTGAAAATGACGCGAAAATGCAGAAAAACCCTGAAAATCTGCATTTTTTGCGTCAATTTCAATGTTTTGACACTGAAAATGACGCGAAAATGCAGAAAACCCTGAAAATCTGCATTTTTGCGTCAATTTCAATTTTTTTCGCGCGAAATTCAAATTTTGGCGCGAAAATTGGCCCTACCGGTTCAATATCCACAATAATACTATCACTCTCCACATTACTCTCCTTCAATCCAACAATACTATCAGCCACAAACTTCGGGGCATACAAAAAATTGGGTAGGGAAATGGCGATGGGCGGTTGACCGCGTTGACATTTCGAAATGTCCAAAAGACCGTGCGGTAGGCAATTTTCAGTGTTATTTTTGACATTTTCAATTGGAAATATTTCTTTTTCCGTGGGATTACAAAATCCTTGATTTCCAGGATATTGCAAATCGAAAACTTCTTTCGGCAAAATAAATCGATAGGCTTTTAGGTCTCGAAATTCGACTTCTTTTTCAAATTCCAGCCAAATTGTTCGACATAATTCAACAACGAAAACGTATAATTTATCGGATTTTGAGATGAATGGTTTGAAAAGGGAACCGTCGGTTCCATGGATTTGACGTGATTCGGAAGTGGACCACCTGGAAAAATTGGATTTTGGTTGGAATTTTGGAGAGCTTAGGGTGAAAAATTCGGGGTTTTTAGGTCTTGGAGCGAAATTTTTGAATTTTCATCATGATTTTTTGGGTTCTGGCACGATTTTTAGAGTTTTTAAAGGTACAGGATATCAAAAATCGTGTCAAGACCAAATTTTTAATGAAAAATTAGATTTTTCAGGTCCAGAAGCGATTTTTATAGTTTTTAAAGGTACATGAGATGAAAAATCGTGTCAAGACCGAATTTTCATGAAAAATTGGATTTTTTAGGTCCAGAAGCGATTTTTAGATGAAAAATCGTGTCAGAACCCAATTTTTCATGTAAAATTTAATATTTCGGGTCCTGACACGAATTTTCAAGCTTTTAAAGGTGCAGAGGCTCAAAAATCGTGTAAGGACCAAAATTTTAATAAAAAATTTGATTTTTTGAGTCCTGAAGCGATTTTTTGAGCTTTTAAAGGTGCAGAGGCTCAAAAATCGTGTCAGGACCCAATTTTTAGTGAAAAATTGGATTTTTTAGGTCCTGAAGCGATTTTTAGAGTTTTAAAAGGTACATGAGATGAAAAATCGTGTCAAGACCGAATTTTCATGAAAAATTGGATTTTTTAGGTCCAGAAGCGATTTTTAGATGAAAAATCGTGTCAGAACCCAATTTTTCATGTAAAATTTAATATTTCGGGTCCTGACACGAATTTTCAAGCTTTTAAAGGTGCAGAGGCTCAAAAATCGTGTAAGGACCAAAATTTTAATAAAAAATTTGATTTTTTGAGTCCTGAAGCGATTTTTAAAGGTGCATAAGCTCAATAATCGTGCTAAGACCAAAGTTTTCATGAAAAATTGGATTTTTTAGGCCCAGAAGCGATTTTTAATGAAAAATTGGATTTTTTAGGTTCAGAAGCGATTTTCGCAATATTTAAAAGTAACAAAAAACCCTCACCAACTCTCATCCAATTCCTCTTCATCATCATATTTCAAAATCTTGCCCAAATCATTTGCATTTTTGGTTCCATCATCGATTTCGAAAATTTTCGAATTCGTATTATTTGCCTCATAAAACAGGCCAATTCTGTCGGGAATATCCAAAATTGCTTCGCAGACAAAATTCATGAATGGAATTTCGCAGACTTTGTCGAGAAATGGATCTTTGTAGCCTTCGAAGAGAAGTTCGTCAACTTCGACTTCTGCAAGGAAAATTCTAGGGTTTTAGTGGGGAAAATCGTGAAATTTGACCCCGTAAACATGGAGTATCGTTTAAACTACGATATTCCGCGTTTACACGAGGAAAAATGATGGAAAATCACGTTTAAACGATGCTCCGCGTTTACACTGGCGCGAAAAAATTAAATTCAAATTTTTCCCGCCAAAAACTGTTTAAACAGGGCTTGCGAAGCACGCCACGTGGCTGTTTTTCGGCGGGGAAAAATTTGAATTCAAATTTTTTCGCGCGAAAATCAATTCTAGCCTTATTTGATCTCAAAATGATGCAAATTTTGGCGCCAAATTGAAAATTTCAAAATTAAAAATTTTTCCCGCCAAAAACTGTCTGAACAGGGCTTGCGAAGCACGCCACGTGGCTTTTTTTGGCGGGAGAAACTTTGAATTCAAATTTTTCGCGCCAAAATTAATTCTAGTCATATTTGGTGTCAAAATGCTCACCCAAAAACGCGGTTTGCGACAAAAGCGTCGTCGCCGCCGCCTTCATTCCCTCCGTCGACGCAGCTTCGACAAACTTCTGATAAATCATATTCGGAACCCATATTCGATTGCCCAAAATACACGTTTGACACGACTCTTTTTCGTTGAAATGAAACGTGTTGATACGATGATATTTGACGGTTCCATTTCCAGCAGAAATCACTCGATTCTCCATTTTTTTGTTGAAAACATAAGGGCCGGTTTCGATGACGTGCGGTTTTTCGCCGCGCATAAATTGATCGGGATTTTTGACGGAGAATACGTTGAGATTGAATCTGATCTTGTATTCGGGTTTGGTCCATTTTGACCAGAGAATTGAATCGGGCACGAGTTGAGAGTTCTGGAAACATTCCGTGTGGTTAGCTTCCGCGTTAGCGGCAATGTCTTCCGCTCTAGCGGCCACGTGGATTACTATGACGTGGGACCAACGTCATAGTATTCCACGTGGCCGCTGAAGCGGAAGATAGTGCCGCTGACGCGGAAGCTTCCGGTTTACACTCGCGCACAGCGCTCGGGTCGAGCGAAGCGAGTGTAGACCGCAAGCTTCCGCGTCAGCGGCACTGCCTTCCGCTTTAGCGGCCACGTGGATTACTATGACGTGGCAAGGGATCATAGAAGTCCATGTGGCAGCTAAAGCGGAAGACAGTGCCGCATACCTCGGCCAACATCGTGGTTTCAAAATAATAAAATTGTACTCTAGATTTTTGGAGTGAAATTTGTAAAAATTGTACTCTACCCTGAATTCGAAATTTTTTTCTTCTAATAGATTTAATGTTTAAATGGATATATTCGGGGTTATATCTGATTTGTCTGCTAAACACAAGCTTGAAAATTCGTGCTTTAGTTAGATTTCGTAAAAAAAATGCAGGTTCAACCAACAATTGTTAAGTTAAAAACAAAAATGAAACTGAACATCGTGAAATGCCAAAATGCAAAAATCGACCCGTTTTCTAATTATGTGAAATTAGTTTTCAGAAACAATGTTATTTGAAAAATAGATCAGACTGATCAGTTTTGATAGTTGTTTTCTTTTCAGATGAAGTTTGACCATTCAAATGTCAAAAAGAAATCGACGGAAGACAGTGTAATGAAAAAGAAGATTGAGCAAAGAACAGGGAAATATGATTTAATTCTCCATGGTGTAATAATTATATCTAAAAAAATTTGGCTGTTAGTTTTTTTTCAAATAAAGAACTGTTTACAAAAAAACGCAATTCAAATTTTCGAAAAAAAAGTTTGGGTGGCAGCGGGATTCGAACCCACACCACACCACAAGCCAGCTCAACGCCTTACCACTACACCATGGAGGCGATTTCTTCCCCCTTCTCAATTTTCATATTCAAGATCGCTGTTTTCTATCCCTTTCAATAAAATCAATGAGAATTTCGCAAAATAATTTAAAGCTAGAAAAAAACTGGCTGAAACTTGAAATTTTAATCTGAAACTCTATATGTAGAAACTTAAGGGTCTGAGAACGCTAGAACAAGCATAAAATGTTGGGAAAATGTTTTCGATTAGACCGCAAACTGGAATCGTGGTTCCTATACATTTTTGCATTGGCTGAACCACGAATCTGAAAAGTAGCGTTTTTTCGAGTTCGGGTTCAATTTTCGAAAAAAGTCAAAATAGAGACTTATATTAATTTTTCGCGCTCTACATTATGGTTATATGTTTGATTACATTTCATTCAGCCTGAATTGAGTTATGATCAAAAATGTGTTTTTTGGCCCACGAGTTGAGTCCTGAGTTGTCCCGAAAAATTTTTAATGGATTTTTCGACTTAGGTAGCGTTTTTTTGCGGTCTAGTCGCTAGAATCAACAAAAAATTTCAACCAGAGTATGTAATTTTTCAAAAATTTGAGTTTTGAAAAAATCAATTTTTTTGAAAAACGAAAAATCAGTATTTTTCGATTTAAAAATAGTTCAAGCATTGAATTTTGAAGTGAAACGTTGTATTTAGAAAGTTAGTGATCCAGATATGACAGAGTTCCTATAAAACTGAAAAATTTCGATCTGATTCAAGTTCCATGGAAATTTTTTCTGTACTCTAAAAATTTTCAAAATTTTTTTTTGAAAATTGTACCCTGCTCCACCACGGGTTGGCCGAGGTATGCAGTGCCGCTTACGCGGAATCTGGCGGTCTACACTCGCTTCGCTCGACCCGAGCGCTGTGCGCGAGTGTAGACCGGAAGCTTCCGCGTCAGCGGCACTGTCTTCCGCTTTAGCGGCCACGTGGATTACTATGACGTGGTTGCTAAAGCTATTTATCCCACGTGGGATATGACCACGTCATAGCCATCCACGTGGCCGCTAAAGCGGAAGATAGTGCCGCTTACGCGGAGGCTTGCGGTCTACACTCGCGCACAGCGCTCGGGTCGAGCGAAGCGAGTGTAAACCGGAAGCTTCCGCGTCAGCGGCACTGTCTTCCGCTTTAGCGGCCACGTGGATTGCTATGACGTGGGATATGATTGCTAAAGCTATTTATCCCACGTCATAGCAATCCGTGTGGCCGCTAAAGCGGAAGACAGTGCCGCTGACGCGGAAGCTTCCGGTTTACACTCGCTTCGCTCGAAAAAAATTGACGATAGGTTCCCCTGCGCGAGAACCCGAAAATTTCAGCCAAAATTCAAATTTGGCTGAAATTTTGAGGTTCAGGCAGTCAAGCGGTGGAAGTATGGAGCATCGTAAACCGCAAGCTTCCGCTTCAGCGGCCACGCGGATTGCTATGACGTTTACCATATCATAGTAATCCACGTGGCCGCTGACGCGGAAGCTTGCGATTTATTCCACGTCATAGCATGGTTAGGATACGTACAGGTAGTTGTGATAAGTCAAAAATTCGAAAATAAGGGGTTTCACGTATTTTTTTCCGGAAAAAATGTTATTTTTTCGAAAAAAAACTAGGTCACGTGATTTATTTTAAGTTTTTTCTAAAAAAAATTCAAATTTTTATTTTTAGGCGCCAAAATAGCCACGTGGCGTTGGCTAAGTACCTGCATAATTCCCAATTTCACAAAATAGGGCACCAAAATGGTGTGATTCACCAAACCGCCAAACAGCAAAAGCGCTCCAAAACCAATCAATAACGCTGACGTGGCAATCTGCCAACACGACATTTCGGAAAATCCACGTTTCAGCGACGATTTTTCGGCATTATGTGAAGAGGAAATCCCGTTGCCATTTACTGCAAAAATTGGATTGGGATTTTTGACGGTGTAAACGTGGAGCAACGTTTGAAACTCACAAGCCGGCATTTGGAATGGCGAATCGCCGAAAAGATATGATTGTTTGCGAGCCGGCAAGAGAAAATCTGCAAAAATTTGGAATGAAATGCAACGTAAAAGCGGAGCAACGTTGGAAAAACGAGGGAAACCATGATTTTTGAAAATTTTCATAGAAAAATTTGAATTTTCGCACGAAAAAACGGTGTAAAAGCGTAGTCTCGTTCTCGCGCGAATAGAAAAACCAAAAAAAAAACACCGCAATTCCTTCTCTCATCAATAACTATAATGATTATAACACAAAAAACTGGTTAATCACACTTTTTCCACCTTTTTTAAAGAAAAAACGAAAAATTCTTGCCTGCCTGCCTACTATTAAATTGGTATCATTATTGATTACTACAAAATAACAACAAAAAACCTGATTGTCTACAAAAAAAAAACAAAAAAGTCAAGCCACCTAGGGGACTCGAACCCCTGACCTTAAGATTAAAAGTCTCACGCTCTACCAACTGAGCTAAGGAGGCTTCTGCGAAATTTTGGGGAAATTGTGTTTTTATAGGGGAAGGGAAGTGTGATTTTTCATTTTATTATTAGAAAAAAGTGGCAAAACATTAATCTTCTTTGAAAAATGGGCGCAAAACAACATTTTTTCGCCAAAAAAAAAAAGTTGTAACTTTCACTTGACCTCTTTTTAATCCAAAAATTATTTTGAAAATACAATTTTTTCAAGTTTTTTTCCAACAAAAAAAAATATAACTCGTTCAAGGACATTAAATAAAGAAGTGCAAAAATTCTCAAAACTTTTTTGTTTTCCCCCCAAAAATAATCGAATTTGCCAGATTTTATCGAAAAAATAGAAGTAGAAAACAAAACATACTTGAAATTTTACAGAAAAAATGAGAAAAACCCTACTTTTTGACAAATTTCGACCTTGAAAGCTTCTTTTGTTACAAAATGATGTCATAAAACCAGAAAACGCAATGATTTATTGATTTTTGGGAGGAAAACAAAAAAAAAAGAAAAAATTTCGAAAAAATGAAGTACAGTAGTTTTTTCAAGGTGCACGCGATTTGTGTGCAAGGTCTCGCCACGATTTGAAAAAATTTAAAAATAAATTTTTTTTATTTTTTCAAAAAAAAATGTTCGCGCGCGCGGAAATCAAAAATGAGGAAAATGGAGGGAAAAGTGAAAACTGTTGGAATAAGGTCATCAAACTATTCATTGAATAGAAGAATTGCGGGAAAAATATTTTATTCATGTATTTTTTATGCGCGAAAACTTGATTTTTCAAAAAAAAAAACAAACATTTTTGATATTTATGAAATCTAAAACAAAAAATACATGAAAAATAAATAAAAATAGCACAAGATTAACAAATTGTACATGATATTCGATTTCTCCACTCAATAATCGCCAGTCCAAATCGATTGATCCAATTCACTCTCATTTGCGGCAAGCGACTGAAAATTTCAGATTTTTTGAGGGGGAAACTGGATTTCTAGCTGAATTTTTCAAATTTTCAGCAAAAACATCATTTCTAGTCAAATTTCTGGCCGAAAATTTATAAAAATACAAAATTTTCAAATAAAATCTCACATCATCAATATCGTCGAAATTCTCCTGAGGTTTCTCAATCTCCAAAATCTCATCCTCTTCATTCGAAACAATCATTGTATCATCGCTCGATTTTGATGGTTGATTCTGATTTTCAGCCAAACCTTCCGATTTTCTAGCTCGTTTTCCACGTGTATTTCCTCCAGTCGTATATTGTTTGAAATGATCCATCATCGAAAATTCTTCGAAATCCTCTTTCTTCTCATCTTCTTGTTTCAAAATCGGCGGATTTTTCAACGGACTGAACATTCCACCCATCAAAGATCCATCAGCTGTTGTTCCAGATTCAGAAGACAACAATAATGAATTATTATCGATTGAACTTTGGAATGAGTCGATTATTGAATCGTTTTTGAGAGCTTCCGTTTCAAGTTTTCTTTTCAGACTTGATGTGATTCTTTGAATTCCAGGATATGATATTGGATCATTTGAGATATGTTGGAAGCCTGGAAAAATAGGAAATTGTGAATTTTTAGGTCCTGAAGTGAAAAAAAAAATGCTCACCACTATCAGTTGTGAGTGTTAAACTTTTCTTTAAACTCTTGCTCTTCTTAACCAACTCAGGAGTTCTGAAATTCGCAGAATTTTGTCTCTTCATAGATTCCTGCTCATCAACTTTCAATTGATATTCCTCGAGTTTCAAATTCAAAGCTTCCACTTCTTCATTCAACAAATCAAATTCTGCCAAAACATTGTCATGACGAGTTTTGACTTCGAGACTCTCGGAAACTTCTTTCTCAAGTTCAACGCGGCTTTCTGAAAAGAAAAAAAGGATTAAAACTTAAATTAGAACTGGTTTTAACTGAAACTCACCCTTCAAAGCTTCAATCTCCTTTCTCAATTGCACAATCTCCGGATCTTTCTCAATTTCTTGCTCAACATTCAAAAATTCCTCAAATAATTCGAGATTATCCTTGAATAATTCGCGATCTTCCTCTGAAAAATCCTCGATTTTCTCGACTTCCGCAAGCAATTTATTGATCTCTTCAAGTGTCTTGATCTTCTCTGATTCTTGTTTTCCAAGTTCTACGATTTGACTATCCAGCTCTGCTTGTTCTTTCAAAGAATTCTCGATTTCCGCCTGCTGCGCAATATTATCCCTCTCCAATTCCTCCACATATTTCCTCAAATTCCCCACTTTTTCCTCATTTGCCAATTGACTATCCACATTCCTCTTCTGAATCTCCTCCCTCTTCGCAATCACCAATTCATCAAGCTCCCGAAGCTCTTCCCGCGCTTTTTGAACTTCTCTCGATTTCACATCGTAATCCCTATTCAACACATCGATTTCCTCCTCAAGCAGCTTTTCCTTCTCACTTTCAGCCTCCAAACTCTTCTCATATTCCTCGTTTTCCTTGGTCATTTTCGCAATCTTCTCATCGTATGGAAAATCGAATAGTTTTTGAAGATTCAAAGTTTCCACTTCTTCTAAATCGTGTTTTTCGTATTCTTCCAATTTCTCAATCAATATTTTGATTTCTGAAGTTGAGGAATCGATAAGATCCTTGATTTCCTTGGCAACGTTTTCGATTTCTATTCGATATCTAGACGATTTTTGCGAAGTGTCTCCTTTGAGTTTTTGATAATGCGCTTTGCTTGAATTGCAAAGTTTCGAAAAAATCGATAATTCTTGCAGTTTTTGTTGAAGAATCGCAACTTGCTTGATGAACACGTCATTCCTGAATTAATTGAGAATTATTTTATCATTCTTCTTTAAAAAAACTAGTTTAACTCACGTCAATTCAATGCTTCTCAAGGAACCAGCCATTTTCCTTTTTTCCTGCGAAAAAACACTGAAAATGAAAAAAAAACAGGCTGTCGCTGCGTATCACACACGCAATTGCGTCGCTGCTCAGCGAATGTGCGCGCGCGGGAATTCAAACATTTTCGAAACAAAAAACAATTTATTCATCAAAATTCATCAATTTTCACAGAAAACATAACATCACCATTTGTAAGTCGTCACTTTGCTGCAAAAAAAATCAATAATTTTCCAGAATCAATAATTTCCAAGCAAATTTCATACAAAATCAGGAAAAAGCGAAGAAGTGTAGAAGTGTGTGCTGCCAAGAAGTTAAAGTGTGCTTTTCAGATCTTTTCTGAAAAAATCAGTGTGAAAATCATATGGAAATGCTTTGTGGAACTGCCAGAAACTCAGGAACCATTCACAAAAAGCGGCGGAAACGCGGAGCATCGTTGTTTTCTCAACAATGCTCCGCGTTTACACTCAAAAAATGATAGAAAAGCGGCTAAAACTTTCCATGCTAGTTAGGTTTCATGCTCAGAGGATTAAATCTGTAATTTGTAGAAGTTTTCACTGGAAATCAGGCTGAAAATCGAATTTTTCAAGGCTTACCCAAGGAAAATGAACCAGTACCAAATGTTGAATGCGAAAAAACTGACAGGAAATACGATTGAAGACATCTGAAAGGTGCGTCAACGCGGAGTGTCGTTTAAAATGACTCTAACCTGATCGATTTTCAGCGCTGTCCAATCTTTACAATTCATGCATAACCAAGAACATCGACATCGTGAGATCCTATGAAAATTTCAGATTTTTTTCAGAAGATCAGTCAAAGATCTTACTTTATAGTGTCATGTTTACCATCTCTCGACAAATATCCGACGATCGCAAGTTCAATAAGTGATGCAAAAATGAAGGCCATCGAACTTAGAATCCACACATCAATCGCTTTCACATCCGATGTTTTTGGTAGATTGTTGACGACGGCACCGGATTGGAATCTGGAAAACAACGATGCTACGCGTTTACGCGGGGAAAAATGATGGAAAACGACGGTTTTCCGGGTGAAAATCATATTTTAAACGATGCTCCGCGTTTACGCGGTGAAAAATGATGGTTTTCCGGGGTGAAAATCATGTTTTAAACGATGCTACGCGTTTACGCGGTGAAAAATGATGGAAAATGATGGTTTTCCGGGTGAAAATCATGTTTTAAACGATGCTCCGCGTTTACACTCACGTCAAAGCCAGCAATGAATTGACACCAACCGTAGTCCTTGATGGAACTTGCTCTGCACCAAGTGTGAATGATACCTAAAAATTTTTTTTTGAAATTTTTACAGCGTAATTGCGGAGTATCGTTGTTCAAACGACACTCCGCTTCCACACCTACCCAAGAAATAAACACCGAAATATAGGCCGGCACATAGACCTGTAGAATATAGAACCCGTAGAGTCGTTGGAAGGTGAAGGTGGCCACCAATTCGTTGAAAATCCCGGGTGCGTAGAGCTGTAAACGCGGAGTGTCGTTGTTTAGGTGGAAAAAAGTGTTGGAAAATGGTTGTTTCAAGGAAAACTGTGTGAAAACAACGATTTCACCTAGGTGTAAACGCGGAGTGTCGTTGTTTTTGCTTAAAATCGCGCATTTTTGACGGCGTAAACGCGGAGTGTCGTTGTTTAGGTGGACAAAGGCGTGGAAAATGGTTGTTGCAAGCTAAATCTTGTGAAAACAACGATACTCCGCAATTCCACCTAGGCGTAAACGCGGAGTATCGTTGTTTTCACCCAAAATTCCTCATTTTTAGCTCAAAATCGCTCATTTTCCGCCGCGTAAACGCGTAGCAACGTACCCGCATCGCACTTGTCGCCGAAAAATCAACCAATGTATAATCGGGAAGTGTGATGTTGTCTTTGATGATGGTGATCGGTGCTACTGTGGTGATCCACTCCAATTTCACATGATCGTTGTTGTGGGTGAAGCTCTCGTAGTACAGCATACAACGTTGCTGATCGATGGGGAAGGTCCTGAAGCGAAAATGATGGGGGGTACTGTAGGTATGAGGGGGGTACTGTAGGTTCTGGGGGAGGGGAGGTACTGTAGGTTTCGGGGGGTTTATAGGTTCTGGGGGAAGGGGGTACTGTAGGTTCTGGGGGAAGGGGGTACTGTAGGTTCTGGGGGAAGGGGGTACTGTAGGTTCTGGGGGAGGGGGGACTGTAGGCTCTGGGGGGGCGGAGGGTACTGTAGGTTCTGGGGGGGGGGGTACTGTAGGTTCTGGGGGGGGGGGGTACTGTAGGTTCTGGGGGAAAGGGGGGGTATATTGTAGGTTCTGGGGGAGGTACTGTAGGTTCTGGGAGGGGTCTATAGGTTCTGGGGGAGGGGGTACTGTAGGTATGGGGGGGGGGGGGGGTACTGTAGGTTTTGGGGGGAGGGTGCTGTAGGCTTGGAGGGGTACTGTAGGTATGGGGGGGGGGGGGTACTGTAGGTTCTGGGGGAAGGGAGGTACTGTAGGTTTTGGGGGGGGGGGACTGTAGGTTTTGAAGGGGGCGAGGGGTACTGCAGGTTGAGGGGGGAACTGTAGGTTTTTGGAGGGGGAGGTACTGTAGGTGTTGGGGGGGGATGGGGGTACTGTAGGTTCTGGGGGGATACTGTAGGTTTTGGGGGGGGGGGGGGTACTGTAGGTTCTGGGGGGAGGGGGGGGGGGTACTGTAGCCTTCAAAACTACAGTACCCCAGTCATGTGGGGTCTCAAAATGACGCAAATTTGACCTACCTCAATGTATTCGAACAAGGTCCGGTTAATTTGATACGGTAATTGTGCCAGATACTCCCGTTACTGTAGATTTGTAGGAAAATATTTTTGAAAGGGCTCTCGTGAATTGTGGCGAGTTTACTATTGACAAAACACGCCTGCGGATTCCAGATCTTGTTCAGAATCGTAGCACCATCCACTGACATATTGCTGGAATCTTGATCTTACCCCTGATCTTCTATAGATCTTCCCTACCTCTTACACGGATTCAAATGCGAATAGGCTAGCGCTGGATCAGTCCATCGCTCAGTCACATAGATGTCCAACTCGAATTCCGAAGTGATCTCGATGATCTTCGACACCTCCTGAACCCAAATCTCTATCGAAACTTCGACTTGTCGACCACCGGGAAGATCTAATTTGTTATAACCATCGAGGATTTTGTCGATGATCCAATCATCGCCTTGACATTTGTTCGGGGGATTCGAATTCGAGATGTTTCGGGTGTGTTTTGGGCAATTGAAGAGGCTGGAAAGCGAAAAACTACGATGCTACGCGTTTACGCGGTGAAATTCGGTGGGGAATGGGGGTTTTTAGGTGAAAACTACGATGCTACGCGTTTACGCGGTGGAATTCGGTGGGAAATGAGGGTTTTTAGGATGTTCCGGGTTCACAGGGTTGATTTTAGGTGAAAACTACGATGCTCCGCAATTCCGAAGTCGTTTTTAGGCGGAAAATTTGAAAATTCAGAATTTTTCGATTTTAAACGATGCTCCGCGTTTCCGGGCTCATTTTTCGCGCTGAAAACGGCAAAAACAACGACACTCCACAATTCCACTCACCATTCTTCCGATTTTTCGTCAAAACTTCGGCGTAAAATCGAATTTGTCGTGTCGAAAACGAAAAAAAGAAGAAAAATTTTATTTGACATCACATTAGATTTGTCTATCTGGAAAAAAACAATGAGAATTTTAAATTAAATTTTTTCCCAAGGGATTTTTTTTTTTTTTTTTTTGAGAAAAAAGAAAAAAAATCGGGAAAACGAGCGATTTCTCACAGAATTTTTGATGAAAAATTGGATTTTTTTTTGCTTTTTTTTTTGGCGGAGCCACAAAATTATAATTACTATAGAAACTGAGAAGAAATATGATACTTTTTTGGGAAAAAAAAAAAAAAAAAATTTTTTTTTTTTTTTGGAAAAAGGGGAATTATTTATGAAGAAAACTTGGGAAAAAATGGAAAAAACTGGAAAAAATCTGGGAAAAAGGCCTGAAATGGGCCTAAAATCTAGAAAAAGGGCCTGAAATTGAAATTGAGACTGAAATAGGCCTAAAATCTAGAAAAAGTTGGGGAAAAAAAGGCAAAAACTGGGAAAAATCTAGAAAAAAGGCCTGAAATGGGCCTAAAATCTAGAAAAAGGGCCTTAAATAGGCCTAAAATCTAGAGAAAGGGCCTGAAATGGGCCTAAAATCTAGAAAAAATGGGCCTCGTTTGAAAAAAACAAAAAAAAAACAACGAAAAACACACACATTTTTGAGAGAGTGCGAGACGAAACATGCTTTTATCAATAGAGCGCACTTCCATTTCTACTTTTATTTTTTTGTTTTTTTGTTTTTCGAAAATGTTTTTTTCGCGGTTTTTCATGATTTTGAATGATTTTTGAAGGTATTTCATGGAATTTCTTGAATTTTTATCGATTTTTTTGCTAATTTCAGGAAAATCGTCAGAGAAATGGTGGAAATATCGAAATTTTCGAGGAAAAATGGAGGAAATGTGAGTTTTTTGTGGGGATTTTGAGAATCTGGCCTAAAATAAGCCTAAAATGGAAGGAAAAGCCTAAAAATAAGCCTAAAATGGACAGAAATGCTTAAAACAAGCCTAAAATTGGACGAAAAGCCTAAAAATAAGCCTAAAATGGACGGAAAAGCCTAAAAATAAGCCTAAAATGGACGGAAAAGCCTAAAAATAAGCCTAAAATGGACGGAAAAGCCTAAAAATAAGCCTAAAATGGACGGAAAAGCCTAAAAATAAGCCTAATTTCCACAAAAAAATCAATTTTTCACGACTTCAACACCAAAAATAAAAGAAACAAAGAGAAAAAAATTTTTTTTTTCTCAAAATCCAATTTTTTTTGGCTGGTCCTCCTCCTTTTTCTTTATTTTCCAAAAGAAGAAAGTGTACACATCTTTTTTTTTTTTTCAAAAAAAAAAAAAAGAATTGGATTTCCTCTAACTACAAAAAAAAGCAGCGCGGATTTTTTTGGGTAAAAAAAGGAGAAAAAAAAAATAAAATGAGAATGAGCTGTGGAAAAAAAGAGAAAATTTTTTCGCAGAGAGAAAATGACACTAATTAGGAGAAGGGATTTGAATTCAAATTTTTTAGCGCGAAAATTTGAAATTTTGAAAAATCTAGGAAAATTTGAATTCAAATTTTTTAGCGCGAAAATTTGAAATTTCAAAAAATCTAGGAAAATTTGAATTCAATTTTTTTGGCGCGAAAATTTGAAATTTTTAAAAATCTGGGAAAATTTGAATTCAAAATGTTTCCCGCCCAAAAAAATTCGTAAAACATCGCAAAAAAGTTGGAAAAAGTCAAAAATGAGGGAAAAACATGGAGGTCCCTTGTGAATTTTCCCAGCCTTTCACATTTTTATGGAAATTAGCTTCGGCTCTTTTTTCGGGGGAAAAATGGGGAAAAACAACGATGCTCCGCGATTACGGGGAGGGAACGATAGAAATTCAAAAAAAAAACATTTTTCGCGCCTTCTAGATTACTGTAGAAATGTTTTGAAACAAAAAATTATCTGGGTTACTGTAGATCTAGATCAAAACTACAGTAATCCTTCGTAAACAGGGCTTACGAAGCACGCCACGTGGCTAAAAACTCTACAGTAACCCCAAATTCCAGGTAGATCAAATCTACAGTAATCCTATACGCCACGTGGCTTTTTCAGCGCCAAAAATTCTACAGTAACCCTAACCTTGTTTAGTATCAAAAAAATCCCGAATTTCAAGTAGATCAAAACTACAGTACCCCGCGACATTTTTCGCGCCAAAAACTCTCGATTTTCTCGCATGTTATCTCTAGTATCTCTCATTTATCATTTACAAATTACCGTATTTTTTTCGTCTTTTTATTTTTTTTATCAATGTATAATAATCAAACTACTACTCCCTTATTTGTCTCTTTTTTATCATTTTCTCTTTTTTTTCCCCAAATTTTTGTTCTCTTTGTACTTTAGATTTTTTTCGAGAAGAAGAAAGATCTTTCGATTATTTTTTCTCAAAAATTTGCGATTTTTTGCGGGTTTTTGTGCTAAAATTTGAGATTTTTGACCTAAAAAACCTTGGGGTACTGTAGATTTTGGCGCCAAAAAATTCAAATTTTTTAGCGCGAAAATTTGAAATTTCAAAAAATCTGGGAAAATTTGAATTCAAATTTTTTAGCGCGAAAATTTGAAATTTCAAAATATCTGGGAAAATTTGAATTCAAATTTTTTCGCGCGAAAATTTGAAATTTCAAAAAATCTGGGGAAAATTTGAATTTAAATTTTTTCGCGCGAAAATTTGAAATTTCAAAAAATCTAGGAAAATTTGAATTCAAATTTTTTAACGCGAAAATTTGAAATTTAAAAAAATCTAGGAAAATTTGAATTCAAATTTTTTCGGCGCGAAAATTTGAAAAAATCTCGGAAAAATTCCTACAGTACCCCTTGATCTACCGAAAAATGGCCTGATCCAAATTTTTCAGAAAAGAACCTTCTCTTATCAACTAGGGTTCCAAAAAACGCGAAATTTTTTTTTTTCAAATTTTCTTTATAGACCGCCCTGATTGATAGTGTGTAACAAATCATAAATAAATTTTTTTTTTTGATAAAAAAAAAAAAAAAATCCTGTTTCACTTATGAACAACAAAATATAGTGCACCGCGCTAAAAAATCTCGCCATACTCTTTTTTTCTCTGCACTCTCTGCACTCTCTCGCGCCTCTCCAACCTTGATAATCATAATATTTGTAACTTTCTTATCAGCTGACCAAAGTTTATTCGAAACCCGGGTGAAAACAACGATACTCCGCGTTTACGCTGTGAAAAACCAAGAGTTTTGAAGCAATAAACCACTTTTAAACGATACTCCGTGTTTACACCCTTAAAAACCATCAAATTTCAAAATTTCAAGGTGTAAACGCGTAGCATCGTTGCAGAAATGTCGATATCGGATCAAAATCCGGGTGCATTGGCGGGTTTGGCAGCAGCCATCTTGGGTTCCACCTATTTTTTGTATTGCAAACTGTTGCGCTCAACAAAACTCCGGCTGGCCGGCGGATATTCGATCGATCAACAAGCTCTGCCAGTTGAGGTGGGTCTCGCCGCGGCGAAAATCTCCGGGTTACGGTGATTTTTGGCGCGGGTTTTTTGATAGTAAATAAGCCTATAGGCTTGTTTGGTATCAAATTGAAGCGCGAAATTTCAAAAATTCAAAAAAAAATTTTTTTCAGGACCAACCTGGCGTCTGGAAATCCGCCTTGATGGACGGAAAAGACGACGTGATTCACACTTTCTATCCAGATGTTCAAACTCTTCATGACACATTCTTAAGGGGTGTTAAAGTAGGTGAAAAACAATTTTTCTAGCGAAAAACCCATGATTTTCCCATAGGAAAGCGGTGGAAATGGTGATTGTGTGGGTTTTCGAAGTTCAGCCGATGTGGATTACGAATTTCTGAGCTATGATCGAGTTTTGGAAGACTCCAGACATTTGTCGATGGCGTTGGTCCACGAATTTGGGTTGAAACCAGGTAAAAAACAAAAATATATATTTTTTTTTATAAAAAATATTCAAAAAATTCGCGTGGCGCCACACATCGTGGCGAGACCCATGTGTGTGTTTGCATGCGCCTTGAATACGGTGTGTGTGTGTTTTTTTTTTTGAAAGACAAAAAATTGTTTTTTTCGCCTAAATTTTGAGGAAATGTGAGTTTTCGGGGGTTTTTTTGATGAAATTTCGGATTTTAAAATGATTTTCCAAGGGAAATATAGGAATTTTCATGTAAAATATCGATTTTTGACCAGAAAATCATGAAAAATCGCAAAATTATTGATTTTTTGAGGTTTGAAAAGGGAAATATAGGAATTTTCATGTAAAATATCGATTTTTAAGCTGAAAATCATGAAAAATCGCAAATTTTCACTGTGAATTCATTGAAAACTATGAAAATAATTCAAAATTTCCATTTTTAACCTGAAAATCATGAAAAATCGCAAATTTTCACTCTGAATTCATTGAAAACTATGAAAATAATTCAAAATTTCGATTTTTAACCTGAAAATCATGAAAAATCGCAAATTTTCACTGTGAATTCATTGAAAACTATGAAAATAATTGAAAATTTCGATTTTTAACCTGAAAATCATGAAAAATCGCAAATTTTCACTGTGAATTCATTGAAAACTATGAAAATAATTCAATTTCGATTTTTAACCTGAAAATCATGAAAAATCGCAAATTTTCACTGTGAATTCATTGAAAACTATGAAAATAATTCAAAATTTCACTAAAATTCCCAAATTTTCCCCCAAAAACCCCTGATCTTCCTCCAGGCAACACAACAAACATCGCAATCTACGCTCGAAACTCTCCACAATGGTTAATCAGTGCTCTTGGCTCAATGAAACAATCAATAGTCGTAGTACCATTATATGATACACTTGGACCTGAAGCTGCAACTTTTATCATTTCCCAAGCGGAAATTAGTGTTGTTATTGTGGACAAATCGGAAAAGGCAAAATCATTGATTAAAAATTGTGAAAATGTGCCGAGTTTGAAGACAATTATTGTGATTGAAGCGGAAAATTTTGAAGAAGATGATATTGAACTTGCGAAATATAATGGCATTAATTTGCTCAATTTCAAACAAGTTTTGCAAATCGGAAAGGAGCATCTTGTCCGAGAGAAATACACGGAATTGTTGCCGAAACCCGATGATGTTTATATTATTTGCTATACTTCTGGGACAACTGGGACACCGAAGGGAGTTATGCTAACTCATGCGAATATTGTTGCGAATATTAGTGGATTTTTGAAGATTTTATCGACGTTTATGCCAGAGTTTATGAGGGGTAGACAGGTGGGAATGTATTTTAGATAGCTTCCGGAAGCTTCCGCGCCACGTGGATTACTATGATATGGCAAACGTCATAGTGATTCACGTGGCCGCTGAAGCGGAAGACAGTGCCGCTAACGCGGAAGCTTGCGGTCTACACTCGCTACGCTCGAAAACCCGAGCGCCAGAGGCGCGAGTGTAGACCGGAAGCTTCCGCGTTAGCGGTCACTCGAATTGGGGGCTAGGGCCCTTAACTGTGGAGGTAGGGCCCTTAACTGTGAAGGTAGGGCCCTTAACTGTGGAGGTAGGGCGCTTAACTGTGAAGGTAGGGTCCTTAACTGTGGAGGTAGGGCCCTTAACTGTGAAGGTAGGGCCCTCAACTGTGGAGGTAGGGCCCTTAACTGTGAAGGTAGGGCCCTCAACTGTGGAGGTAGGGCCCTGAGGTAGGGCCCTTAACTGTGGAGGTACGGTCCTTAACTGTGGAGGTAGGGCCCTTAACTGTGAAGGTAGGGCCCTGAGGTAGGGCCCTTAACTGTGGAGGTACGGTCCTTAACTGTGGAGGTAGGGCCCTTAACTGTGAAGGTAGGGCCCTTAACTGTGAAGGTAGGGTCCTTAACTGTGGAGGTAGGGTCCTTAACTCTTGAAAATTTTTCCTGGAAGGGGGGTTAACTCAAGGGGAACCGGAGCTACTAGTTCATGTATGCGAGCGGAGCGAGTGTAGACCGCAAGCTTCCGCGTCAGCGGCCACTCGGATTGCTATGACGTGGCAGAGCTGCGATTATACCACGTCATAGTAACCCGTTTTTTTTTTTCATTTCAGAGTCATATCTCATACCTTCCTTTATCTCATATGATGGAACAATTAACCCATTGGACACTTCTCGGTTTTGGCGCCAAAATCGGATATTTCCGTGGAAACATCCAAGGATTAACCGACGATATCAAATCCCTCAAACCAACTGTTTTCCCAGTAGTTCCACGATTATTGAATCGATTGTACGACGCAGTTACGGTGAGTGTAAACGCGGAGCATCGTCGTATTTTTTGTTTTTCAGTCAAAAGTCGCTCAACAAGGTTTCATCAGCAAACTCGTCTTCAATTTCGCCTTCTCGCAAAAATTAGCCCTAGTGAAATCCGGAAAAATCTCTCGTGAAACAATTTGGGACCGGTTTGTGTTCAAAAAAATCCAGGAACAAGTTGGCGGCAAAGTTGATCTGATGGTGACCGGATCCGCTCCGATCTCATCGCAAGTTCTCGAAACTTGTCGAGTTACACTTGGCGCCACAATTGTTGAAGGGTATGGACAAACTGAGTGCACGGCACTGGGAACTTTCACTTGGATGGGTGATCCCAGTACGGGGCATTGTGGTGGACCGGCGCCGTGTACATTGATGAAGTTGGGAGATGTTCCGGATTTGAATTATTTTGCCAAGGATGGGAAAGGAGAGATCAGGATTAAGGGTGAGAAACATTTTCAAAAAATAAAAATTTTGCGAAATTTGAGTCATTTTAATACCAAATAAGCCCAGGTTCAATTTTGGCGCCAAAAAATTTGAATTTAATTTTTTTTCGCGCTGGAATAGCCACGTGGCGTGCTTCGCAAGCCCTGTTTGAATAGTTTTGAATTTCGCGCCAGCAACCACCAACCTTGACGCATTTTTTGTAACCTGAAGGATTTCGAAGCTACAAATATTGCGCCAGCAAATATACATGTTGACGCATAATTTAAAATTTTCAAAATTTGAATTTTGGAAATTTTTTGAAGCCGAAAATAGCCACGTGGCATTCATTTTTTGGGACGAAAAATGTAAATTTTTTCAAATTTGAATTTCGCGCGAAAAGTTCGATTTTTGAAAAATCCCAAATTTCAGCTACAAAATAGCCACGTGGCATTCATTTTTTGGGACGAAAAAATGAGATTTTTTGAAAAATTTGAATTTCGCGCGAAAAATAAAATTTTTGAAAAATTTGAATTTCGGCTATAAAAAAGCCACGTAGCATTTTTTGGGACGAAAAAATGAAATTTTTGAAAATTTCAAATTTCGCGGGAAAAAATGAGATTTTTTTTTGAAAAATATTCAAATTTCTTCAAAAAAAATGAAAATTTTTGAAAAATATTCAAATTTAAACTACAAAAAGCCACGTGGCATTTCAAAATCTGCAATTTTCTCAATTTTCAACCAAAAATCTTCAAATTCGGGCTCAAAATTCTCCAAATTTCCAGGTCCATCCGTCACCAAAGGCTACTACAAAGATGCCGAAAGAACCGCCGAACTTTTCGACGAAGCCGGATTTTTGATGACTGGCGACATCGGAGAAATGCTGCCGAATGGCACAATTCGAATTATCGACCGGAAAAAACACATTTTCAAGCTGGCACAAGGCGAATACGTGGCACCGGAGAAGATCGAGAATGTTTATGTGAGAACATCGGTGGTGCAACAGGTTTATGTGGATGGTGATAGTTTGCAAAGGTTGGTTGCGGGGAAAATTACGAAGCTCCGCGTTTACGCGGTGAAATTTGGAGCATTTTGAGCCCAAACACTGTTTACGAGGTCAAATTTGCCCTAAAATGACTCATTTTTGATGGCGTAAACGCGGAGCATCGTAGTTTCCACTAAAAATGGGGGGGGGGGGCTCAAAAAATATTTGGGCTCAAAATGATCCAAATTTCGCAGTGTAACCACGGAGCTTTGTAGTTTTCTAGTTTTCTACAAGGCTCCGCGTTTACACGGCGAAATTTGCAGCAGCCCAAACACTTTACGAGGTCAATTTTACCTCAAAATCTCTAATTTTTGATGGCGTAAACGCGGAGCATCGTAGTTTTTCTGTGAAATTTCGATCTTTAGATGGTTAATCGCAGTTGTTGTGCCCGAACCTTCGGTTTTACTGGAATGGAATTCGAAACATGGTGGAAACCTAGAAAGATCGATTCAGGAAATTTGTCAAGATGAAAAAGCGCAGGAATTTGTGATTCAGGAATTGAATTCGTATGGAAAAGCCAATAAATTGAACTCTATTGAACAGGTGGGGAAAATTTACGATACTCCGCAATGACGCGATGAATTTCTGGCGGGAAAACTCGATTTTTGAACATTTTTCAGGTCAAAAAAGTGATTCTTGAGTCGGACCCATTCACAGTTGAAAACGGCCTACTTACACCAACTCTGAAAGCCAAACGACCCCAACTTCGACTGAAATACAAAGATGAAATGAACAAGATCTATGCGAAATTTCCGAATTTGTGATTTTTTCTCGTTTTTTTAGTCTTTACTGCCCCAAAAATCCTATTTTTCACACATAAAAATCCACTGAAAACCGTTCATTTTCAGCAAAAATTTCAGAATTTCAGCTCGTTTCTCTCGATCCCGACAGATCCAATCGAATCAGCGCGGATTTCGCGTTTTTCAGATTTTTCAGCGCAAAAATCGTTGAAATTATCGATACGGCGCTGGCTATGAGCATTATTGAGCAGACAAGGAGTTGATATTTCAGCAAATAGTGTCTGAAACGATGGAATTCAGTGAAAAACAACGATGCTCCGCGTTTACGCGGCGAAAAATGACGCATTTTGAGCCAAAAACCATCAATTTTGAGGGTGTAAACGTGGAGTGTCGTTTACACCTTCAGAACTCTTCATTTTTCACCGCGTAAGCGCGGAGCATCGTTGTTTTTACGTTTTACTCACCTATCCACTTGCTTCGCCTCCTCTACTGTAGGAGCTTGGGTTACTGTAGGAGCCTGGGTTACTGTAGTCAACTTTGTAGGCGATTTCTGGGTTACTGTACTCAACCTCCCCGTTGTAGTCGATTGCTGGATTACTGTAGATCCTTTGGTTGATTTCTGGGTTACTGTAGTTATAGGTACTGTAGATCCTTGAGTTGATTTCTGGGTTACTGTAGTTATAGGTACAGTAGTAGTCACAGCATCCTGGAGTACTGTAGAATTCGAATCTTGGAGTACTGTAGAATTCGAAAAAGATTCCGTGGTTACTGTAGCTACAGTAATCTCAAATTTGGCAAAAATTAGGAAAATCAATAAGAATTGGTTCATTTTTGTTAGAAAATGAGAAAAAAAAATTTTTTTTTCGAAAAAAAAATTTTTTAGAGGTCACGTGAAAAATACAAAAAATAACAATTTTTGGGGTGAAAAAAAAACCGGGAAAACTACGATGCTCCGCGTTTACGCCATCAAAAATGAGCCATTTTAAGGCAAAATTGGCTAAAAATGAAGCGAATTTTGATGGCGTAAACGCGGAGCGTCGTAGTTTTCAATCATATTTCTTAAAATCCAATTTCTCCTCAAAAATCCTCGCGGGTTTTCCGCAAATCTTTCGAATCATCTGCTGAATCTTCCGCGTCTCGGCCGCATTTCCGCGAGCTTCCGCAAGCTTTGCGTGTAATTCGGCGCGTCGTTCGCGAATTAGCCGCTTCTCACAAGATCGCATCGAATTTCCGGTGAAGATTGTTGTCAGAAGCACTGGTTGATTGGCGAATTTTTGAATGCAGGGTAGAATTGCTGAGAAATGTGATTCGCCGGATTCGGCGATTCGAATTACGACAATATCTTCGTCTTGGACGCGGATCTGGAAAAATTCGTGGATTTTGAGCTGAAAATCATGAATTTTGGAGCATTTTGAGCCCAATAAGTTGATTTTTTGAGAAATACAACGAAACTCCGCGTTTACACCCCTAAATTTGATGGATTTTGAGCCAAAAACCTGGGTTTTCAAGGAAAAATACGTTGCTCCGCGTTTACACCCCTAAATTTGATGGATTTTGAGCTGAAAATCATGAATTTTGGAGCATTTTGAGCCCAAGAAGTTGATTTTTCGAGAAAAACTACGATGCTCCGCGTTTACACCCCTAAATTTGATGGATTTTGAGCTGAAAATCATGATTTTTGGAGCATTTTGAGCCCAAGAAGTGGATTTTTTGAGAAAAACTACAATGCTCCGCGTTTACACCCCTAAATTTGATGGATTTTGAGCCAAAAACCTGGGTTTTCAAGGAAAACTACGATGCTCCGCGTTTACACCCCGGAATTTGATGAATTTTGAGCCAAAAACCCGGGGTTTCAAGAAAAAACAACGATGCTCCGCGTTTACACCTCATTTTTTGATGGTGTAAACGTGGAGTATCGTAGTTTTGCTCCAATTTTGAAATTTTTTCCACGTGGATTTTTCCCGCCAAATTTTGAATTCAAATTTTTTTTAGAAATTAAAATTTTGCGGCCAAATTTCAAAATTTGAAAATTTTGCTTCTAATGACGTAAACCCGGAGCTTCGTTGTTTTTCTAGATTTTCAAACGATGCTCCGCGTTTACACCTTCAAAATCGTCGAAAAATGGCTCAAAATCCATCATTTTCGACGGCGTAAACGTGGAGCATCGTAGTTTTTCCCCAAATTTCAGCTAGAACTCACACTCAAGCTCATTTTCAGCACGGCAAATCCGAAATCCCCAAACATCTCGGCTCCCAATCTCATAATTTCGGCAAAAATCGCACCTTTTCGAATCTTCTCAACATCTGCGCCCAGAATTCGAACAACATAGTAGCGATTTTTGATCTTGACCATTTTCGGGGCTGAAAATCGCTGAAATTTTTAGATTTTGCCACGTCATAGCTTAAAAATAGTTGAAAATGGGTGAAAAAACCCGAAAAAACCATCAAAATGATCGGAAAAATCTCAAAAATTTCATTAAAACCCTAAAAAATCGTGATTTTTGCCACGTCATAGCCTCAACATTGACAATGTTTATACCATCGGGGAAATGCGATGACATCTTTGATGTTGCGAATCGAGAACAAGAATTGGAGGAGTCGTTCGAAGCCGATTCCGAATCCTGATGTTGGAGGTTGACCGCGTTGGCGAAGTTCGAGATACCAGTCGATGTTGCAGCCGCGTTTCTAGAGGAAAATTTGAAAATTTGCGATTTTTTGAGCTAAAATTCGAGATTTTTGGGCAAAAATGAAGTGCGGCACGGTTTTAGGGGCGTGGCTTATTTATATAGGGAAAATTTGGGATTTTTGGTGGAAATCAGGCTGCGGCACGGTTTTGTGGGCGTGGCTTATTTTTCTAGGAAAAATTTGCTATTTTTTGAGCTAAAATTCAGGATTTTTGGTTTAAATCAGGCTGCGGCATGGTTTTGTGGGCGTGGCCTAATTTTTTCTGAAATTTTTGAGCTAAAATTCAGGATTTTTGGTTGAAAATAGGCTGCGGCATGGTTTTAGGGGCGTGGCTTATTTATACAGGGAAAATTCAGGATTTTTGGTTGAAAATAGGCTGCGGCACGGTTTTGTGGGCGTGGCTTATTTTTCTGGGAAGAATTTGCGATTTTTTGAGCTAAAATTCGAGATTTTTGGTTGAAAATAGGCTGCGGCATGGTTTTGTGGGCGTGGCTTATTTTTCTGGGAAAAATTCGGGAAAAAATAGGCTGCGGCAGGGTTTTAGGGGCGTGGCCTAATTTTTCTGAATTTTCTGAGCTAAAATTCAGGATTTTTGGTTGAAAATAGGCTGCGGCACGGTTTTAGGGGCGTGGCCTAATTTTTCTGGGAAAAATTTGCGATTTTTTGAGCCAAAATTCAGGATTTTTGGTTGAAAATAGGCTGCGGCACGGTTTTAGGGGCGTGGCCTAATTTTTCTGGGAAAAATTTGCGATTTTTTGAGCTAAAATTCAGGATTTTTGGTTGAAAATAGGCTGCGGCACGGTTTTGTGGGCGTGGCCTAATTTTCTCCGGATTTTTGAGCTAAAATTCGAGATTTTTGGTTGAAAATAGGCTGCGGCATGGTTTTAGGGGCGTGGCCTAATTTTCTTCGGGTTTTTTCAAGCAAAAAAACATTTTTCAATGGAAAACTACGATACTCCACGTTTACACTTCCAAATTGCATGTTTTTCGATGGTGTAAACGTGGAGCATCGTAGTTTGTGGTGTAAACGTGGGGTCTTGTTGTTTTTCTGATTTTTCAAACGATGCTCCGCATTGACACCGTTGAAAATCACTAAAAATCGCATTTTCAATAGAAAAACAACGATGCTCCACGTTTACACCATCAAAATTGACGAGAAATGGCTCAAATTGCATCATTTTCGACGGCGTAAACGCGGAGCATCGTAGTTTTCATGGATTTTGGCTGAAAATGGAGCATTTTCAGCGGAATTTTCGCTCACCTTGAGCTCCTCCACATCGGTTTCCCTCACAGATCCACCGGCCAATTCTCCGACGATCGGAACCAAAAGATCGAATGACAGCGTTGTCGTCGATGTTTCTCGAGCCATATAGAAGGGCTTTTGATCCACTGGGAAATGTGTGACAAAAACCGGAGAGCCGCCAAAATGCTCCACCAGTGCCAGCTCATTTTGCTTCGAAAAATCCTCCGCCTTCCGAACTTCCAGCCGGGATTTTCAGAATTTCGAGAGCTTCTTCATATCTGATTCGTGGCCACGTGGCGTCGAGAAGTTTTTCGAGGTTCGGACGATCTTCCGGATTGCGAAAGTGTCCGATTTTGGCGATTTGCGATTTTAGAATTGGGCTATCTTCGATGAGATGGATTAGGGTTTGAATGTAGGCTTGGATTAGATCACACATCTCGTCGATTGACTGAAAGATGGGATTTACTACGATGCTCCGCGTTTACACCGTCAAATTTGATGGTGTAAACGCGGAGCATCGTAGTTTTTTTTTAGCAAAAAAAATTGGCGATAGGTTCCAAGATTTTCATGAAAATTGCTGAAATTTTGAGGTTCAGGCATTTTTGTTCACATTTTTCAAACGATACTCCGCGTTTACACCGTCAAAATTGATGGAAAATGGGTCAATTTTGATGGTGTAAACGCGGAGCATCGTAGTTTTTTTTCAGCGAAAAAAAAATTGGCGATAGGTTCCCCTGCGCGAGAACCCAAAAATTTCAGCATTTTTTAGAAAATCCAAGATTTTCATGAAAATTGCTGAAATTTTGAGGTTCAGGCATTCTTTTTCACATTTTTCAAACGATACTCCGCATTTACACCTTCAAAATTGATGGAAAATTGGTCAATTTTGATGGTGTAAACGCGGAGCATCGTAGTTTTTTTTCAGCGAAAAAAAAAAATTGGCGATAGGTTCCCCTGCGCGAGAACCCAAAAATTTCAACATTTTTCAGAAAATCCAAGATTTTCATGAAAATTGTTGAAATTTTGAGGTTCAGGCATTCTTTTTCACATTTTTCAAACGATACTCCGCATTTACACCTTCAAAATTGATGGAAAATTGGTCAATTTTGATGGTGTAAACGCGGAGTATCGTAGTTCTTTTTTTTCAGCAAAAAAAAATTGGCGATAGGTTCCCCTGCGCGAGAACCCAAAAATTTCAGCATTTTTTAGAAAATCCAAGATTTTCATGAAAATTGCTGAAATTTTGAGGTTCAGGCATTTTTGTTCACATTTTTCAAACGATACTCCGCGTTTACACCTTCAAAATTGATGAAAAATGGGCAATTTTGATGGTGTAAATGCGGAGTATCGTAGTTTTTTCATTTAAAAAATTGGCGATAGGTTCCCCTGCGCGAGAACCCAAAAATTTCAGCATTTTTTAGAAAATCCAAGATTTTTCATGAAAATTGCTGAAATTTGAAGGTTCAGGCATCAAATTGACGTTTTTCAAACGATACTCCGCATTCACACCTTCAAAATTGATGGAAAATGGGTCAATTTTGATGGTGTAAATGCGGAGTATCGTAGATCTTTTGGATTCTTCGAAAAACCACAAAAAACATGATATTTTCTGGCGTAAACGCGGAGCATCGTTTGCAATCAACATTTATTCGAAAAGAAATTAGATAAATCGTCGGCATTCGAAGTTGACCCAGCAAACTTCATTCCACGCACAATTGAACTTCCACCAACACCATGCCTCGGAAGTTCCGACGAAAACGGCGAGAATCAATAGGATTTGAAGAAGGGCTGAGGAGAACATCAGAATTTTCTGTAGAATCGGAATTGGGGGTCTGTTTTTATGCGGGGAAAAAATTGATGAAAATTGATTCGATTTGGACGGAATTTTTGCAAATTTTCTGCAAAATCGAGATTTTTTGATTCCTGGTACAAACACCAAATTCTGCAGAAAAATAAATGTTGATTGCAAACAATGCTCCGCGTTTACGCCATCAAAAATACGCAATTTTGAAGGGTTCTCGAGGTTTTCAAACGATACTCCACTTTTACACGTGATTTTCATAAGTTTTGATGTTCCCTCTACGATACTCCGCATTTACACCTTCAAAATTGATGAAAAATGGGTCAATTTCGATGGTGTAAACGCGGAGTATCGTAGTTTTTTACCTGAACAAACGCAATTTCCGCCTCCAACATATAAAATTCGCTTAAATGTGCATGACTCTGTTGTTTTTCCGCGCGGAAAGCGGTGCCCAACGTATAAACCCGCTCCAATTTCGCCGCCATCGCCTCCAAATGCAATTGTGAGCTGACAGTCAAGAAGGTCGATGCACCTTTGATCTCAAAACACTCTCCGCCACCTTCCGCATCGTTCCGCGTCAATTTCGGCGCGTCAATGTTGACGAAATCGAGTCGCTCGAAGAAGTCTCGTGTGGCACGAGCTATCAAGGATCGTGAGCGAAGAATGGCGGCGAATTCCGGGTGCCGCGCGCGGAGATGCGTCTTTTTCCGCGCGTTGTCTGCGGAAACATCGGCGGAATAGCGGGGATTCGAGTCGTGACCGAGGATTTCGAATGCGTCAGCAACAAGTTCCATTTCCTGCTGATCTCCCTGACTTTTTTGCCATCGTCCGATGGCTGAGATCGGACTGCCAACCTGAACTGGAAACTTTTGGGTTAACCTGGCTTACTGTGATGTGAAGGTGTAAATGCGGAGTATCGTAGTTTGTTCATCCAAAAAAAAAATTGGCGATAGGTTCCCCTGCGCGAGAACCCAAAAATTTCAGCAATTTTCAGATTTTTCATGAAAATTGTTGAAATTTTGAGGTTCAGGCATCAAATTATTAAACATTTTCAAACGATACTCCGCATTTACACCTTCAAAATTGATGGAAAATGGGTCAATTTTGATGGTGTAAACGCGGAGTATCGTAGATATTTTTTCATCAAAAAAAAATTGACGATAGGTTCCCCTGCGCGAGAACCCAAAAATTTCAGCATTTTTTTTTTAGAAAATCGAAGATTTTCATGAAAATTGCCGAAATTTTTAGGTTCAGGCATTTTTGTTCACATTTGTCAAACGATACTCCGCATTTACACCTTCAAAATTGATGGAAAATGGGTCAATTTTGATGGTGTAAACGCGGAGTATCGTAGTTTTTCAGTACTACAGGTTCTCTAGATCATCATAGTAATCCACTTCGCTTGAAGTTCCGGGTTCAAACATCTATGAGGTGTCAAAAATCGAATCAATTTTCATCAATTTTTCCCGCATAAAAACAGGCCCCCAATTCGAATTCTGCAGAAAATCGCGATGTTTTTCACCTCAGCTCTACAAATCCTATTGAGTCTAGCTGTTTTGGTCGGAACTTCAATGGCACAGGAGGAACGACGATGTATAACATCCAAACAATGTCCTCAAGGTCAATATTGTTTTTTGTTTAGATGTTACGAATAATGAAGTTTTAGTAATGCTCCGCAGTTTACACACTTTTGAAAAAGAAAATTCGCTCACCTCCCTTCGCCAACTCCTTATCCACCACAATCTGTTTCCCATCGCCAATTGTGACAAAAACCAGCTTTCCGCTTTTCCGCACACTTTCCGCCCATCCGTCGAGTTTTAGGCGAGCAGCCGCGGCGGGTTCCGCGCAGAATTTCCGGATGAAATGAGAGCGGAGCAGCATTTCTGAAAAAAACGAAAAAAAATTGGCGATAGGTTCCCCTGCGCGAGAACCCAAAAATTTCAACATTTTTCAGAAAATCCAAGATTTTCATGAAAATTGTGGAAATTTTGAGGTTCAGGCATTTTTGTTCACATTTTTCAAACGATACTCCACACTTACACCTCTAAAAATTACAAATTTTCAGTTGTGTAAGGGTGGAGCATCGTAGTTTTCCCCAAATTTTCGTCCCCCCCTTTTTGAGCCAAGCCAAATTGAGCTGAGCAATCATCGCCTTCTCGTTTTTTTTTTTGTGAGCTCAGCTCACAAAAAAAAAGAGCCGCATCATAGATTGCATCAATTTAGCAAGGGCAAAAAGGGGAGGATTTTTTTTTAGTTTAGTTTTTTTTCGTTTTTTTTTGTTTGGCTTCGGCTTTTTAGGGTATCTGATTTCTTTTTTTTTTGAAAGTTTTGGCTTGTCCAAGAGAAGTACACGAATTTTTTCGTATTTTTTTTATCAATAGAGCGCATTATCATTTCCCATTATTTTTGATGATTAATAAATAAAACAAAACAAAAAACTTGAACCGAAAATCAAATAAATATTACATTTCTCATCTATTTCGTAACTCTTTCGTACATATTATTTACTTGTGAGACAAAAAAAGCCCCCAAACTCTCTCATCTCATCAGCTTTTCCCTCTATTTTTTCCCGCGCGCGCGCGAGATGACTGAACAAATAAAAGACAAAAAGAAGCGAGTAAAACATTTTTTTGTCTCATTTTTTTAGTTAGGAAGGCTTTTATGTTTGAAAGTGCAGGATTTTTTGGTGAAATTTCGATTTTTTGAGCTATTTTTCAATGTACTTTTATCAATTTTTAAAGAAAATCTGTGTAGTTCTCTTGGAGAAGTCACTTTTAATCATTAATTAATTAATTTTAGTCAAATTTCTGTGTAGTTCTTTTGGACAAGCCAATTTTAACTAAATTTGTTAAGAAAATCTGTGTAGTTCTCTTGGACAAGTCAATTTTAATTAAATTTGTTAAGAAAATCTGTGTAGTTCTCTTGGAGAAGTCAATTTTAATCATTAATTAATTAATTTTAGTCAAATTTCTGTGTAGTTCTTTTGGACAAGCCAATTTTAACTAAATTTGTTAAGAAAATCTGTGTAGTTCTCTTGGACAAGTCAATTTTAATTAAATTTGTTAAGAAAATCTGTGTAGTTCTCTTGGAGAAGTCACTTTTAATCATTAATTAATTAATTTTCGTCAAATTTCCGTGTAGTTCTCTCGGACAAGCCAATTTTTATCATTAATTAATTGATTTTAGTCAAATTTCCGTGTACTTCTTTTGGACAAGCCAATTTTAATTAAATTTGTTAAGAAAATCTGTGTAGTTCTCTTGGAGAAGCCAAACACTTGCATTGCTCATTTTAGCGCCAAAATTGGAGCCAATTTAGAATTTTCCCCCTAAAAACTATCAGGTTACATGGAAAAATTGCTCAAATTTCCCCTTTTTTCTGTAGTTTTTCGTTTTATTTCTGTCTCATGCTATATTTCCTTTTTTGGCGGAAAAATGTCCTTTTTTTTCAAAAATTTTTGGAATTTGATAAGAAAATTCCAAAAAATTGATTTTTTTTTGAAAAAAAAAAAATTTTTAAATTTTTTTTTTCAAAAAAAAAATGTCATTTCCAGCATTTCTCTCAAATTTCAACAAGAAAAATCAAGTTTTTCAATTTTTTTTTTCTCAAAAAGTTCATAGTTCTCTTATCTTCTTCTAATTTTGTTAAAGGTCATCATTTTCTTGTCAAAATTATCGATTTTTATGAATTTTTGTGTTAAAAAATGGGTTTTACACCATTTTTCTTGCAAAAAATCCAAATTTTCAGCCGCCTCCCTTTAAAAATGGGCAAAGATTATCGCTATCCACAGGGTGGATATGCTCGTGGTGGATACGGTGGATATGTTCCAGCACCAGCTGCACCAACTATGGAAATTACGATAAATCAGGTGAAATACTGTTTTTTTGCACGAAAATCTCAAATTTCCATCCGAAAATCAACTTTTCTAACAAGTTAGCCTAACTAAAACCCTTCTAGACTTTAAAGGGACATAAGACCCGGATTTTTCGTACCAAGACCCAAAATTCCGGATTTTTTGAGTATAAACAATCCTATGTCCCTCTAAATTCCGACTAGACTCTAGTTTAAAGGAACATAGTCTTATTTATATTCAAAATGACTGGTATTTCGTACCGAGACCAAAAATTCCGGATTTTTTGAGTATAAACAATCATGTGTCCCTTTAAATTCAGACTAGACTCAAGTTTAAATGAACATAGTCATATTTATACTCAAAATGACCGGAATTTCGTACCGAGACCCAAAATTCCGGATTTTTTGAGTGTAAATACCCCTATGTTCCTTTAAATTCAGACCAGACTCTAGTTTAAAGGAACATAGTCATATTTATAGTCAAAATTACCGGAATTTCGTATTTTTCGCGTATAAACAATCCTATGTCCCTTTAAATTCAGACTAGACTCTAGTTTAAAGGAACATAGTCATATTTAGTATCAAAACGTGGCGAATTCAATTTCCAGAACTCTTCCGCCTCTTCCGCATCACCCTACGCTCAACCCTCCTCACTTCCGCGTCGAATTCCCACCAAACCACCAAGCGCTCCACCCCCGCCACCTCCAGAATACTGTGCAGGTAACCCAGAACGTCCCGATTTTTCAGCAAAATCGCACACAAACTTCAGGCGCCGATCAACCGGGCTTCAATCCGATGTGGTTCGATCGATTTCCGCGTCGCGAGAATCGCGGAATGTTCCGCCTGTGTTTGGTGGAACTGATGTTGGCTGTGGTGATTTTGGCGGGTGGAATTTGGTGCTATCGAGACACCAGCGATTATTGTCCGTATTATTCAGCGATTTGGACATCAGTCATTTATGTGATTAATGCTATTGTGAGTTTTTCTTAGGGTCTTGGAGCGAAAATGGGTTGTTTTGATACTAAACACGACTATGTTCCTTTAAAATTCACTTTTGGGATGAAATTCCGGTTATTTTGAGTATAAATATGACCATGTTCCTTTAAACTAGACTGTTGTCGTGAAAACCTTGAACTTAAAGGGACATATGATTGTTTATACTCAAAAAATCCGGAATTTTGGGTCTCGCCGCGAAATTCCGGTGAATTTAAGTATAAATATGGCTATGTTCCTTTAAAGTAGACTTTTGCCACGAAAATCTTGAATTTAAAGGAACATAGGGGTATTTACACTCAAAAAATCCGGAATTTTGGGTCTCACCGCGAAATTCCGGTGGATTTGAGTATAGACATGACTATGTTCCTTTAAAATTGGGTCTCACCACGAAATCCAAATTTTCTAGATAGAAAATAATGAAAAATGACGTTTTTTTGAAATTTTTGCAGGTCGGAAGTGCTGCCGCAAAAATCGGCTCAATAAATCTCTACATGGCTCATTTGACACTTTCGCTGGTCTCAGTTATGATGTGCCTGATTAGTGGTGGACTTTCAGCCAGGTAGGGCTGAAAATCCTGGAATTTTCAGCAAAAAATCAATAATTTTGCAGAAATTGGGCGCTAGTTGGAACTTATCATCATCCAAGAATCGATCGCGATGAGGCTTTTTGTCTTTTGGGAACTCATGATACTAGCAGGTAGGTCAAAAATGCGAAAAACAAAAAACTTGCATCGACCGGGAATCGAACCCGGGCCGCCCGCGTGGCAGGCGAGCATTCTACCACTGAACCACCGATGCTTGTAGAAAAACCAGTTCAAATTCCCGAGATAACAATAAACACATTTCGCTTTTTTGATAAAGCGCTAGCAATTTTGTTATCTCCGAAATTCGCGCTGGTTTCCCCACAAGCATCGGTGGTTCAGTGGTAGAATGCTCGCCTGCCACGCGGGCGGCCCGGGTTCGATTCCCGGTCGATGCAAGTTTTTTTGTTTTTTTTTCTCATTTTTAGCCAAAAAATTTGCAGACTTTCCTACATTTTCTCACATATGGATAAATACGATTTCGCCAAATGTTTATGGCAACTCAAAGTTGGAGTTGCGGTAAATTCGGTGCAATTTGTGGTTGCAGCAATTGAGAGTGGGTTTTTGGGATTCGAGTGTAAACCGCAAGCTTCCGCGCCAGCGGCACTGTCTTCCGCTTTAGCGGCCACGCGGATTACTATGACGTTTGCCATATCATAGTAATCCGCGTGGCCGCTGAAGCGGAAGATAGTGCCGCTGACGCGGAAGCTAGCGAATTACAGATTTTCATGGATATACGTGAAAATTATCGATTTTTCATGAATTTTAGGTCAAAATTGAGCATTTTTGCGCAATTTCAGCTCAAAATTGAGCATTTACATGAATTTCAGCTCAAAATTGAGCGTTTTTATGAATTTCAGCTCAAAATTGAGCATTTTTGCGCAATTTCAGCTCAAAATTGAGCATTTACATGAATTTCAGCTCAAAATTGAGCGTTTTTATGAATTTCAGCTCAAAATTGAGCATTTTTGCGCAATTTCAGCTCAAAAATGAGCATTTTCATGAATTTGAGCTCAAAATTGAGCATTTTCATGAATTTCAGCTCAAAATTGAGCATTTTCATGAATTTCAGCTCAAAATTGAGCATTTTCATGAATTTCAGCTCAAAATTGAGCATTTTCATGAATTTCAGCTCAAAATTGAGCATTTACATGAATTTCAGCTCAAAATTGAGCGTTTTTATGAATTTCAGCTCAAAATTGAGCATTTTTGCGCAATTTCAGCTCAAAATTGAGCATTTACATGAATTTCAGCTCAAAATTGAGCGTTTTTATGAATTTCAGCTCAAAATTGAGCATTTTTGCGCAATTTCAGCTCAAAAATGAGCATTTTCATGAATTTGAGCTCAAAATTGAGCATTTTCATGAATTTCAGCTCAAAATTGAGCATTTTCATGAATTTCAGCTCAAAATTGAGCATTTTCATGAATTTCAGCTCAAAATTGAGCATTTTCATGAATTTCAGCTCAAAATTGAGCATTTACATGAATTTCAGCTCAAAATTGAGCGTTTTTATGAATTTCAGCTCAAAATTGAGCATTTTTGCGCAATTTCAGCTCAAAATTGAGCGTTTTTATGAATTTCAGCTCAAAATTGAGCATTTTTGCGCAATTTCAGCTCAAAAATGAGCATTTTCATGAATTTCAGCTCAAAAATGAGCATTTTCATGAATTTGAGCTCAAAATTGAGCATTTTCATGAATTTCAGCTCAAAATTGAGCATTTTCATGAATTTCAGCTCAAAAATTGAGCATTTTCATGAATTTCAGCTCAAAATTGAGCATTTTCATGAATTTCAGCTCAAAATTGAGCATTTTCATGAATTTTAGCCTAAAATCATCGATTTTCGATGAATTTTAGGTTAAAAATGTCAATGTTTGATCAATTTGATGAATTTTAGGTCAAAAACACCAAATTTCATGAATTTTAGACCAAAATTATCGATTTTCGATGAATTTTAGGTCAAAAACACCAAAATTCATGAATTTTTGCCTAAAATTATCGATTTTCGATGAATTTTGGGTCAAAAAACCCCAAATTTCATAAATTTCAGCTCAAAATCATCAATTTTTCCCAATTTTCCCTCGAAAAATCCAATTTTTGCAGTTCTTCTCAACCTTTTGTCGGCTGTTTTGTGTATGAAAAGAACGTGCACCTCGTGCCTCTAAATCTACGGTTTTTCTTTAATTTTAGCCATATTTTTCTTGATTGCATGATTTCTCACATATTTTTGCTTTATTAATAAATTTTTAATAAAAAGTTTCAAAAAAACTCACCAATTTTCGCCAAAAATCCTGTAAAATTCAATTTTTCTGTGGAAAAAACTAAAAAAAGATAGAAAATTGACTGAAAAATCAATAAAATCATGAAGAAATCGATGGAAAAAACAATTTTTTATGTGAAAAAACCCTAAAAAAACAGATTTCTATACTAAAAACAACGGGGAACACGGGATTTTCGCGTTATTGTTGAGCCAATTTTTGAAGCGCCGCCTCATCTCCTTGTGACATTGAAGTTAGTCGTTTTCCCAACTTCTCGTGAACATCCAAATATTTTGCAACACATCGGTCCAAACAAACTGCTTCGCCCTGCAAAAATCGTGAAATTTGGCTGAAAATGAGCCAAAAATCGTGAAAAATGGTCAAAAATGAGCCAAAATACGTGAAAAATGGTCAAAAATGAGCATTTTCAGCTCAAAATTACAGATTTCCCATCAATTTCCATCAAAAATACCTTGGTCAACTCGGATTCTTTGAATGACGTGGCAATACATTTCGCCTGACAAGCTGTCGTCATTCTTCGATACATATCAGACATCATTTCGACTTCCAATTCAGCAACTTGTTGCATTTGAGCGTCGGTTGCCATTTTTGGAGCTGGAAAATGGCGTTTTCAGGGATTTTCAGTGGGAAATTTGGATTTTTCAGCTATTTTTAGGGCTAAATGGTGTTTTGCAAGATTTTCAGACAATTTTAGCTAAAATTTCTTCCCCCTAAGATTCCTATGACGTGAAAAAAAATTGGCGATAGGTTTCCCTGCGCGAGAACCCAAAAATTTCAGCATTTTCCAGAAAAATCCAAGATTTTCATGAAAATTGTTGAAATTTTAAGGTTCAGGCATCAAATTAAATGACTATAATTTTTTTTTTCGACCGGAGCGAGTGTAGACCAGGGCTGGTCGGAATTGACCTTTCGGAATTTCGGAAGTACCATTTTCACTCCCGATTTTATTTTCGGAATTTCGGCATTCCGACTTTTTATTCCGAATAATTTTTCGATAGTTCGGAATTCCGATTTTTTCTTCCGACTTTTTTTTTTTCGGAATTTCGAAAGAAATTCGGAAGTCCTAATGCGCAGGAAAAAACTGGAAAACGACATTTTTCGATGAGTTATCAAAACAATTATAGTGAAAATAGTTGCGAAAAAAGTTAATATTGTTCTTTAGTTCATCAAAGACAACAAATTTTTGTCTATTATCGCTTATTAAGAAAATTTTCACCATCATTTTAGTCTTAAAATAAAGTTTTCTTTATAAAAGCATAGATTCAGATATTCCGAAATTTTTGGAAAGTGATTCCGACAGAAAAGTCGGAATGAAAAAAAGTCGGAACGAGAGTCGGAATTTGAGCAATTCCGAGTTTTTCTTTCGGAAGAGCTTCCGATCAAACTGTACTTCCGAAAAAACGTCGATTTTCGGAATTTCGGAATTCCGATATTCCGATTCCGACCAGCCCTGGTGTAGACCGCAAGCTTCCGCGTAAGCGGCACTATCTTCCGCTTTAGCGGCCACGTGGTTTACTATGACGTTTACCATATCATAGTAATCCAGGTGGCCGCTAAAGCGGAAGACAGTGCCGCTGACGCGGAAGCTTGCGGTCTACACTCGCGACTTTGTCGCTCGAGCGCAGGAACAAGGTTCCCCTGCGCGAGAACCCAAAAATTTCAGCATTTTTTTAGAAAATCCAAGATTTTCATGAAAATTGTTGAAATTTTAAAGGTGGAATCCGAGGAAAAAACAAGTTTGATTCATTCCGGGGTCCTTTCTACACTTTGGAAATGTCCGTTTACTAAAAAAATTGCGAAAAAAGAGCATCCGGAGAAAAAAACGGAGAGAAACGAAAAAGTCCATATGTATTGCAGGTGGGGCTAACGCGCTCCAGCGAACAGGCGGAAAATTTGAATTCTGGAGTTTGTTTTTGTTTTTGTTTTTCCTTTTTTTATGTTTAATAAACTCATTTTTCATGAATTATTAATGATTTCGTATTCATTATGTTATTCCGTAATGGTTTATTTGACATATTCGAAAATTTTCATGTCACAATAAGATTTTTTCAGATGCATTTTCTGCATTGCTGTTATTGCGCTGGGAAATTTGAATATCCTCAAATGCGCCTTGTCACACAGAGCCAAAAACAATTAGAAAAATGGAAGAAAATTTTGGGGCCTCATTTCGTGCGAAATATAAAAATGTATAGTAAGCCACATATTTGCCGTTCGCATTTTGAATGGGATTCTTGGGGAAAAATCGCAAGAAAAAGAGTTACCGAAGCCGTTCCCGTTTCTGAATCAACGGAATTCAATGAATCATGCTCCGCCAACTTCCAATATTGCTGAAATTACTCCAATATTATCAAATCTTGCTGAAATTACTCCACCATTATCAAATCTTGCTGAAATTACTCCATCAACTTCGAATACAGCATTTGAGAAGGATATGGATGTTCATGGAGATGCAACAGAATCTCTAAATGAGCAACGGGATCGATTGGATGAAGTGAATCCATTTCAGGAACAAATTGATATGATAAAAGATCCGGTATTATTTGTTAGTAAAATCACTAAAAAACATTTCATTTTCTAGAATTATCAACCGACAACTAGAGATTTTGCTGAAGTTTGCGAAGAGGAGTGTGAATATTCGAGTGATTCTGATGGAAACCCTGAAGAATTTCAAATCGACTTCAATTTTCTTCTAGTGTCAATTCAGCTTCTACTCCCATTGATTTTGTATTGTAGAGCATGTTGCTCACAAGCAAAATATAAATCTACAAAATCAGGATGCGCATTAGACGTGAGTTTTTTTTTGAAAATAAAAAGAAATTATGTTCCATTTTTAGTTTCACTGTTATTGCGAATGTGGAAGACAATGGAAATGGGCAAGCAGTAGAAGGATTGTGAAAAATGACGGGTCAACATCCAAAAGATTTGACATAAATGTGATTGTTACATCAGCTATTGTAACAATTGGGCAATCATATTCAGTGAGTTCTTTCATCTCTGTCTACCAAAAGATCAGCTTTAAAATGAGAAAAATGGAGATTTTTGCCTAAGTCTAGCCTGAAAATAGACCACCTAAATTGCTCCATTTGTTTTTTATTTTTGCTCATAAAAGCATCAAATCAAACTGAAAGGCAAAAACGATGAATTCCCAGCCAGAGACTGCCCCAAATTTGTTGAATTTTCATGCACAAATTCACAAAAATCTTTGAATTTCGGCTGAAAAAGCATCCATCAACTGCCAGAGTTGTAAAAGCATGTTCGATTTTCCAGAATCTGAAAGCTCTGTTCGATGTTATCAACATGCCAACAATATCCAGTACAACATTTTATGATACTCGAAAAATCGCTGTAGTTCCTGCAATCAATACAGTATTCGCCGCTCAAAAACAACTAATTATGGAAATTTTGAAGAAAATCGGAATCCCTATCGACGCAGCTTCAGATGGAATGTATGACACACGCGGATACTCTGCTTTTTGGTGTAGATACATTTTCATGTGCACTTTAACGAAGTTTATTATCCACTACAAAAATATGAGAAAAACATCAGGAGGCGCATCAAAAGCTCTTGAACCAGCAGCCCACATGCAAGGACTGAGGGAACTGATTTCGATGTATGCAGGATATTTCCAAAATTTGCCGCCAATCCGATCTCTCACGACTGATCGATGTTTAACAATATCTGCGAACATGAAATTGCATTTTCCATCGGTTATCCACAAATTCGACTTATGGCATTTAATTAGGAATATCACAATGGATTTATGGCCGAAGCGAAATCAAAAACAGATGGAACCAATCAAATTATGGCTCCAAGCTATGATTAATAATATTTATCAGTCGGTAGCAGATAGCAATGGAGATCCTCTGTTGGCCAAAGAAATGGTTATGAGTACATTTGCTCATATTACGAACCAACACACCGACTTCGACCAAATCACATGGTTCAAGTTCAATAAACTGAAAGCCTGCCGACATGATGCAAAATCCACAAGTCACACTGGTTTTTTGAATGTTAATAATGCGAAAGACATGAATGCCTGGGATATCGTAAGGAAAATTTTTATAAAAGGAAATCGATTGGAAGATATCGGCAAAATTTCTGCGAAATTTTGCACAAGTGAGTGCGAAAGTTTCAACAGCTTATCGACTAAATATGCACCCAAAGATAAATATTTCCATGAACACGAAACGACTACCCGTTTGAGTATTTTGCATTGGAATCAGCTGAAGTTGGACGAATTCGAAGGAACACGTGTTGTAGTTGGCGGGAAAACGTCAGTGAATAAAACAAAAAAAGAGAAGAGAGTGAAGACATGCAAAAACGCCTCCACACACGAATGGCGCTTCAAAATTCGCGACACCTCAATTGATATTATGAAAAATCTCAAAAAAGTTGATGAAAATACAGAAGAAGTTGTGAGTGGAGATGATGATGAGGGGATCTCAATGGAAAAACTTAAAGACAATGAATATTTTGCGAAGCGCATGGCAAGAGTATTTGAAGATATTTGCGAAGACGATGAAGATTCATCATCATCAGAAGATGAAGAAGTTTAATATTTTTTCTGTTTTTAATTACAAAGTTTGTAAGTTTTAAATTTTCTATTAATTCCAAGCTTCTTTTTTGAACTTATCAAAATTTTAGTTTTTTCTTTATTAATTTCTGTATTAGCATTTTGTATTCCTTTTTTCCATTTTCACGAGAACATATTTATTTACAACAATAAAAAAAACCACCGTTTACAACAATTAAAATTCTTCTTCATAAGCATATGGAAAGGCTGACAAAAATCCAGTATACGTTTCTGATGGCCATTTTTGTCGAATTGCCCGAATAACGCAAGCTGGCAAAGGGATTCGCTTTTTTTTTAATTGGAGGTGCAAATCGCTGACCAACATGGAATATGAGTAAAATCGATAATTCCTGTAAAAAACTAATTTGAAAAATCTACAGAAAAAATTAATCTGAAACAACTATTAACTCACTCCGACTTCCATTCGCAAACATTCTTGTTCAGCGCATACTTGTAACCACTTTCGAAAGTTTGAACCATCTATAAAACGCTTACAATTAGTTCTTTATGCAAACCGAATGAAACTCACTTCTTCTCTTAAATATTTGTTGAAGTTCGCGCATTCGACAATGCATTTGTCGAAATTCCCATTCCAAAATATCTCGTCCAATTTTTCCGACATTTTTTGGCCCATCCTCTTTTGAATGTTTAGATTGATAGGGTATATTAAACCACAACAATATTCTAATTCGTCCAAATCAACACATTTTCCACAATAACATACCACATCTCTTTCACGAAACAACATGTTCACAGCCTTCTTCGATAATAACAATTCTTTGTCTTTTATTAATTTTCTATGGTTTTCCATTTCCTCTTCGGTCGGGTCATACTTAGAATCATAAGTATTTGAACCATTTCCGCTTTCTTCCATATTCTCTTCCATCATTTTCATATTTTCCACAAAATTTGTTTTTCCAGATATTTTAGTATTCGATGAATTTCCCAAATCATCATCAATCATCATATCTCCATCCAATTCATTTCCAATGAGTTGTTCATCTAACTCAACTACTTGCATAATCTCTTCCATCATTTTCACATTTTCGACAAAATTTGTTTTTCCAGATATTTTAGTATTCGATGAATTTCCCAAATCATCATCAATCATCATATCTCCATCCAATTCATTTCCAATGATTTGTTCATCTAACTCAACTACTTGCACAATCTCTTCCATCATTTTCACATTTTCGACAAAATTTGTTTTTCCAGATATTTTAGTATTCGATGAATTTCCCAAATCACCATCTTCTCTCGAACCATCATCAATCAATCTCCATTCAATTCTTCTCGAATCCATCTCCATCCAATTCTTCTCGAATCCATCCAATTCTTCTCGAATAATGTTTGCCTTCTGGTTAGATTTATCAGATAATTCTCCTTCTTCCATCACAAAACTTCAATTCTTGAAAATCTCCTGAAAAACGAATAAATTTCATAAAAACAAAAAAAAAACAAGAAAAGAATAGAGAGTATTTTTTGTGTGTGCAAAATGAGAGAGGGAAAAGAAAGAAATGTTCGTCAGGTGCGTTGTTTGCGTACTGCCAAACAATAGAAACGACATTTTTATGCAGACGCTTTTTGAGAACCTCCTCATTTTCCACCTTTAAGGTTCAGGCAATTTATTTGTTTACATTTTTCAAACGATACTCCGCATTTACACCTTCAAAATTGATGGGAAATCGCAAAATCCACCAATTTCGATGGTGTAAACGCGGAATATCGTAGTTTCTGAGATCTTTTTTCAGCAAAAAAAATTGGCGATAGGTTCCCCTGCGCGAGAACCCGAAAATTTCAGCATTTTTCAGAAAATCCGAGATATTCATGAAAATTGTTGAAATTTCAAGGTTCAGGCATTTTTGTTCACATTTTTCAAACGATACTCCGCATTTACACCATCAAAATTGATGGAAAATGAGTCAGTTTTGATGGTGTAAACGCGGAGTATCGTAGTTATTTTCATTTAAAAAATTGGCGATAGGTTCCCCTGCGCGAGAACCCAAAAATTTCAACAATTTCCAGAAAATCCGAGATTTTCATGAAAATTGCTGAAATTTTGAGGTTCAGGCATCAAATAGTGATATAAAAAATACTCCACGATCTACGGCTTCAGTAGCCACGTGGATTACTATGACGTTTGCCATATCATACTAATCCACGTGGCCGCGGAAACGGTAGATACGCGGAAGCTTTTCAGAATTTCAGATAATTTCAAGGTTTCTCAACCTTTTCAAACACAAAAACCAGCAAAAATTGAAAAAAATCAATAATTTTATAGATATTATATTATATGTACAAAAAACTCGTCAAATTATAAGCTTCCGAAATCGGCGCAATTTTCGGTCCAAAAAACGGCATAAAATATGGTGAACCATCAGCAGGTCCTAGAATTTGCAAGGCAATTAAAACCACATCAAAAAGCCAAAAAATGAACAATCCACCCAAACTGAACATCTTCAACAACCCCACAGCATAATATCCCAAATAGATTCGATCGATTCCGAAAAATCCCAAAAATACGGATAAAATCAATGCGGTTGGGTAGGAATATTGATTTTTTCCGCGGGTGGCCGCCTTCCGCATGCGGATATTTACACGCGTTTTCGATTGTTAAATTGAAGCGTCCCGTTGTTTTGTCCTTTCCTAGGCAATTTATTGATTTTGCAGTTTGGCATGAGACTTGGATTGAGTTGTCTGGTGAGCAGGTTATGGTTTGTTGGGTGCGACGGGAGATTTCAAAGTTTTCACAGCGATATCTGAAAGAAAAAGGTTTTCCGCAAGCTTCCGCGTAGCTTTGCCTCTTTGCGGAAAATTGCTCCGCTCGAATTCCCTTAAAAAATGATGCAAAACTCACTGAAACTTGTTCAAATCTTCGCATTTCACAACATCCTCACTCGAAAAAACGTCTACTTTCAACACGAAAATCAAAATTGCCACGATTTTCCACGTCATAACATTGTTTGGGGCGAAAACAGGAGAAACCCGCGAAAAAATGAAAAAAAATAAATTTCGACGTGGCCGAGAAAAAGCTAGTCCCCCGGCCACGAAATTTTGCTGTCTGCGTCTCGCTGGTGAGAGAGTTTTGGCTGGAATTTGGGAATTTCAGCAAGGAAGCGACGTGGGAACAATGAAGAGAAATTGAGAAATTTTGAATTTGGCGTTAGAAAATTCTAGAAATGAGGAAAAAAGTGGCAAAAATTTAAATTTAATCAAAAAAAAGTAATTTTTGACGTGAACTCTCGTTTCCAACTTGGCAAACCTCGATTTTCCCGTGGAATTTCGTCATTTCTAACTTTCACAACACTCCGAATCTCCAAAAAACCTTTTGAGCAAATTTTATGGTGATTTCTTGGTGAAAATTTTGAATTTCTTGTTTAAAATCGATAATTTCAAGTGAGTTTTATCGAAATTTCGAGTATTCTCTATTTTAATATCAAAACCCCCGATTTCCCGTTAAAAAACTGGAAAAAAAATCCCAAAAAAGTACACTTCAGTGCAAAAAAATAAAAGTAAAGATGCAATGTCGCTCCAGCGCACACCATCTCTCGTGTACTTCTCGTGGACAAGATTACAAATATTTTTTTTTTCGCAGTTTTTTTCCGTTTTTCAAGCAAAAACCAAGAATTTTCAGCAAGAATGGATGGAGAATTCTCAATAGATCGTCTATTTTTGCGATTAGTATGTGCAGACACAAATTCGAAGCTGCAAAAGTTCACAAATGATCATTTATTCGAAATTTTGGATTTTGCTGGAAAATCGGCTGGAAATATGCCAAAAGTCATGGAATTGCTGCAGCATTACAACAAAATGGTGAAGACGAATTTGGAGATTAATTTTCCCGTCGATAAGCTCATCGAACTCTTCCAAGGCTCATCTGCAGTTTCAGCCAATCTCTCTCAAATATATCTGAAAATGTCGAAATCGCGTGTGCCGCCCGTGCAACAAATCCCGCTTTTACCCATTTTCCTCAAATCTATCGACAAAAAACCCAACGATTTGACGTTTGCCTACGAGATTTTTGCACTTTGTTTTCCGGCGCTCGAAGAATTGAGCAAAATCGAGCGAAATCAGTGGGAATTGAGCGAGGAGGATGTGAAGTTGAGTGAGGTTGGCGAGCGAATTTTGGCCAGGATTTTTGCCGCGTTTTTGGCGTTCAGAGCGAATAGTTTGTGAGTTTTTTGAGAAAAATTGGGGAAAAAACTACGATGCTCCGCATTTACACCTCAAATTTTTTGCTGAAAAGCTGAGAAATTCAAAAATTTCATCAAAAAACTACAATACTCCGCTTTTACACCCCTAAAAATAATGAATTTTAGCGCGAAATTTCGAAAATTCAAATTTTGATTAGAAAATTGAGAAAAACTACGATGTTCCGCTTTTACACCCCACATTTTCAGCGCTAAAGCTGGGAAATTCAAAAATTTCATCAAAAACCACGATGCTCCGCGTTTACACCCTGAAAAATGAAGAAATTTTAGCGCGAAATTTCGAAAATTCAAAATTTCAGTCGAAAATCGTATAAAACTACGATGCTCCACGTTTACACCCCATATTTTCAGCGCTAAAACTGGGAAATTCAAATTTTTCATGAAATAACATGATTTGCTATGGATTTTTTTGCGAAAACAACGACACTCCGCGAATTACACCCATAATTTTCAGAGACGAAATCGCCAAAAACATCGAAAGCTATCAAAAAAACGAGGATTTCTCATGTGCCGGCCTCTCACCGCATGAATATTTTCAAATTTCTCAAAAAATTTGTCCAGAAAAACTGGAGCTCTCGAAAAACAAGCTTGCTCTCGTCAAATTGTTGGGCCTCGATATATTCTCCAACTCCAAAAACACCTTCCCATTGCTCATTTTAGCAGCTGCAGCCAATTTGAACATTGTCGATGAGGCTGCTGAACATTTGATCAAGAAATTCGAGATTGAAGAAATGGTGGATGATTTGGCGGTGTGCCAAGATTTGATGGGTTTCTATTTGGGCTCAGCTATTGCTCCAGGCAAAAATGACAAAAAATCGATAATTCAACCGGCGAATTTTGTACAAAAACAGAAAATTTTGCCGTTTTTGACCAGGTCTAAAACTGCGCCCACGGTTTATATGAATAATATTAAGGTAGGGGATTTTTGGGGGGAAAATGGGCCTGAAACCAGCCTAAAATGGCCAAAAATGGCCAAAAATGGCCCGAAATGGCCTAAAATGGCCAAAAATGGCCCAAGATGGCCAAAAATGGCCCAAAATTCCCCAAAATTCCCCAAATTCATCGATTTTTCCACAGATTTGCATCGATGGAATGGAAAATGCCCAAGTTCCCCGTCTTCAAACCGCCGCCTTCCAATTTTTCCACTCAGTCATCGAAAAAATGCCCCAAACCGCTTTGAAAACGCTCGGAGCCACGCTTTTTGCAAGATTGAGGAAGTATTGTAAAACTGTGATTGCTGTGAGTGTTTTTCCGGGGATTTTTGACTGAAAATGAGCCTGGAACGTGGAAATTTGGATTTCTAGGCCATTTTTTGGATTTCTAGGACATTTTTTGGGTTTCTAGGACATTTTTTTCGGATTTTTAGGCACACCTGACGAGAGAGTGTCCCAAATTTTTTGTGCAGTGTGAAAATTTTTTCAAAAAAAAATGTGCAGCGTGAAATTTTCAAGTTTTTCGAAAAAAAAAAAAAGTCCGCGGGCAGGAGGATTCGAACCATGGTCTCATGCTCGCCAGTCTAAAATGCTATCCTCTCGGCCACATCTCTTTTTTCTCCCGAAGGGAAAAATGTTGGTGGAAAGGAAACTGTTTTCAAACGAATGCGTTGCAACGTTGCTCAAAATTTGAAGTTAGGATAACTAAGCTTAGGCTTAACGGATATAGTTGATTTTTTTCCAATAGATTGCTAAGGTCATAGGCAGTGTGGAACACCATGAGTGCAGTGTGGAAATGCCCTATTTCGCTGTTATTTTGAAGTGTCCATTTTGATGGTAAATATGGACATTACAAAGAATCGGACGGCATTTTTTTTCGAGCACATATCAAGGGTTGGTATATTCAGAAAGTTGGTGTATTTTTAAGCGTAGTTTTTGAATTTACCCATGTGCAGTGTGGAATTTGAAGTTTTTTCATAGAAAGTCAATTTTTTTGAAATTTCAGTGACACTATGGTTTGCTAAGCAGTCACGTAAATTCCACACTGCACATTATGTTACCACACTAAAACAAAAGTCTGCTGAGTTGATTTTCACCGAGAAACTTCGAAAAATTCGCAATCTGAAGTTGATTTTGAAGTTGGGAAAAAAATAAAAAAAGTTAGCTCGAATGAAGATTCGAACCTGGGCCTTCTGAACACTAGCAAAATGGCCTACCACTGAACTAAATGTGCATTTATTTCCCCAAGTTAAATGTTGATGAAAAGGAAACAAAGTTTATTTTCGAAAAAAATGCAGTGTGACTTTTGAAAAAAATGTACAGTGTCCATTTTGGACACGTCTCGTCAGGTGTGTTTTTAGGTCATTTTTTTTAGATTTATAGGCCACGTTTGGTTTTATAGGCCGTTTTTCACATTTCTAGGCCAGTTTTTGGATTTCTAGGCCGTTTTTTTGGATTTCTAGGCCATTTTTCAAGTTTCTAGGCCATTTTTTGGATTTCTAGGACTTTTTTTGGATTTCTAGGACATTTTTTGGTTTTCTAGGCCATTTTTTTAAAATTTCTAGGCCATTTTTTGGTTTTCTAGGTCATTTTTTGGATTTCTAGGCCATTTTTTGGTTGCCCAGGCCATTTTCAGAATTCTAGGTCATTTTTTGGATTTCTAGGCCATTTTTCGGGTTTCTAGGCCATTTTTCGGGTTTCTAGGCCATTTTTCGGGTTTCTAGGCCATTTTTCGGGTTTCTAGGCCATTTTTTGGTTGCCCAGGCCATTTTTCAGAATTCTAGGTCATTTTTTGGATTTCTAGGCCATTTTTCGGGTTTCTAGGCCATTTTTCGGGTTTCTAGGCCATTTTTTGGTTGCCCAGGCCATTTTTCAGAATTCTAGGTCATTTTTTGGATTTCTAGGCCATTTTTCGGGTTTCTAGGCCATTTTTTAGATTTCTAGGCCATCTACGTGTCAAAAAATTCAATTTTTTTCCAGAATTCCCCCGCTCTTTGCCTAGTCTATCGATGTCTTGGAACTCTGGGAAAAGTCAAGCCAGAACTGGTATTTGATGATATTTCGATAGTGAATGAGATGTTTGACACGATTATTGAGGTAATTTCACGCAAAATCCCGTTTTCCCCGCGAAAAATGCTCCAAAATGGGCGGAGCCACCCGAAGCTCCGCCCACTTTTTGCGGCAGACGACGAGAGACAGCGCGCGCATCTTTTCTATGCATTTCGCATTCGGTTTCTTTGTGGCCTTGTGGCCTAATGGATAAGGCGTCTGACTTCTAATCAGAAGATTGCAGGTTCGATCCCTGCCTGGGTCAAAATTTTTTGTTTTTTTTTTCCGAGCGGAGCGAGTGTAGAAGTGTGAATCTAGGTAAAAATCAATAATTTTTCCAGACTTCTGCTGATGACGTGGGCTACAGTGTAGTCGATTGTCTTGTCGCATGGCTTCCGGGATTTTGTGCTGCGAAAACGCAAGATGCCACAAATTCCGCGCTGAAAACCTATATTTCCGCACACGTGACGCATGAAAATGCAAAATGCCGCATGGTTTCGCTGAAATATATCGAAGCGCTCATATTTTCTGATGAGGATTTGGATTTGACTTGGATCCTATTAAGAGCTTGCGGTGATTTACGCGAGGAAATGCGCGCGGAAGCCGCGCGGTTGCTCGAAATCTCACTCAAAACCAACAAAATTCCCGAATTGTCCAAAATTATTGCGAAATTTTGGGGATTTTTGAGCGATGACGTGGCAAAATGCGCGCCAAATTCGAATTTTTCCGCATTGATTCATCAAATGTGCTCGAGATATATCTGGGCCGCGCTGGAGACGCGGATTTGCGGAAAGCCCGCGGAATTGCGGATTGTTGAAGGTGATGAGCATTGGATTACGGTGGCGCCCAGAATTTATCGATTGATTTTGGAGGAGAATTTGGAGCTGGAAATTGTGGAGAATTTGGTGAAAATGGCGCTTTTTGGGTGTCGGGAGAGTATTGGTGGGTTACTGTAGCTGAAGATTTTTGGCGCCAAAAATTTGGGTTACTGTAGGCTTTCAAAATTTTTGAATTTTGATTTTTCGCGCCAAAAATCCTGAATTTTAGGTTACTGTAGGTTTTTCTGATCTTTTGAAAATTTGAATTTTCGAGTTTTCGCGCCACTGAAAAAACTACAGTAATTTTTTTGTTGAAAATTCAAAAATTTCAATTTCGCGCCGAATTGTTCTACAGTACCCCCTAGGAGTTTTTTGCCGCCAAAACTTTTAAATTCAAATTTTTTCCCAGATGTTCACCAATACCGTATCGCAACCTGCTTCCTAATGGCCCTCAAAAATCACCCACAAAAATCGGGCCTAGATTTTACGGACCAAATTCAGGCCTGCAGCCTGAAAGCCCGAGATTCCACGAGATTTGAATTGTCGCAAGCCATAGCTTTTTTGTTATCGAATTTGATTCCCGAAGGCCCGGAAGGCCTGGAAAAAATTCAGGCCGAACTAGAGGCCAAAAATATTCCTGGACTTTGCTGGATCGCGTCGGCCTATGCAGTTAAAGGCCCGGATTCAGGCCTGAAAGGCCTGCTCTTGAAGTACTGTAGAGAAGGATATGAAAGGCCCAGTTCGATGCTTGAAGCGGCCCTGGGAGCTTTGGGCTTTTTGATGGTCCACGCGGAAGCGTTTCCGCTTCCGGAAGCCGAAGAGATTGCGGAAAAGATTGCGGCATCGCGCAAGGATTCGCTGTCGCAGAAGAGTCGCGAAGCTGCCGCAAGGATTCTGGGGTATTCCGGAGCGCAGGCGGCACTTTTCCGCGTCGGAGAAGGCCCTCCGCAACCCGAACTTCAGCTAACTGTTGGCGAAGCGATGATTGATGCGATGTTGGGAAGATATTCAGTGAATCGCAGGAATTTTTATGTGAAAGCAGAGGAGGAGATGGGAATTGAGGTGGGCGGAAGCGGAAGCGGAATTTTCCGCGAAGCAGCCACGTGGATTAGTATGATATGGTAAACGTCATAGTAAAACGCGTGGCCGCTTTGCGGAAGATTGAAAACTACGATACTCCGCGTTTACACCATCAATTTTGAAGGTGTAAATGCGGAGTATCGTTTGAAAATGTTTAATAATTTGATGCCTGAACCCAAAAATTTCAGCAATTTTCATGAAAATCTTGGTTTTTCTAAAAAATGTTGAAATTTTTGGGTTCTCGCGCAGGGGAACCTATCGTCAATTTTTTTGGTGAAAAAACAACGATACTCCGCGTTTACACCATCAAAATTGACCCATTTTCCATCAATTTTGAAGGTGTAAATGCGGAGTATCGTTTGAAAAACGTAAATTTTGGTCTACAAACAAGCTTAGGGATATTTTTCTACAGTAACCCTGATTTTTTTTTTTGCACAAAAATTCCCGGATTTTTTAGGTTTCAAAAATTTGATAAGAAATTTGCGATTTTTCTGGGTTACTGTAGTTTTTGGCGTATCAAAAAACCCCAATTTTTCGAGAAAAAGAAAAAAACTACGATGCTCCGCAATTACAGCTTCAGAAACCTAGGTGTTTTTGGTATCAAAAAATCCCAAATTCCCGGTAGATCAAAACTACAGTAATCCTGAATTTTCCCAGATCCTCGTCACCGATTTAGCCGAACTCGAAATGCTCCAATCTCGCTGCACACTTCTCCTAACCGAAATCATCGACGAAAAGCTGACGTCACAAAATCATCATTTACGGCGAGCCGCATTGGTTTGGCTTCTCGTCCTGACGCAACGTCTTTCCGCACGCGGATTCACCGCATTCCGCGACAAAACATGCCTCAAAATGATACAGAATGCGTTTGCGGATGGGCTTACCGAAAATGACGAGTTTACCCAGGATATCGCGTCGAAGGGCATGGGTTTGGTGTATTCGCAAGCGGATGCGACGTTGCGGAAAGAATTGGTCGCGGAATTGATGGAAACGCTTGCGGAAGGCCGGAAAACCGCGCGGAAAATTGATGGAAATACGGTGCTTTTTGAGGTCATATCTTCATGGGATTGCTCATGTTAATCTATTTTTTTTTCAGAAAGGACAACTTGGAAAAACTCCGACTGGTGATAATTTGACGACTTATAAAGAGCTTTGTACTTTGGCCAGTGATTTAAATCAACCAGATTTGGTCTATAAATTTATGCAATTGGCTAAGCATAATGCCACGTGGAATGCGAAAAAAGGAGCGGCTTTTGGATTTGGAGCAGTTCTCGAGCAGGCCAAAGATGAGCTTGAACCGTATTTTGGAAGCTTGGTACCCAAGTTGTTTAGGTAGGGGTCGATAGCAAGTGTAGACCGCAAGCTTCCGCGTCAGCGGCCACGCGGAAGCTTGCGGTTTACACTCGCGCACAGCGCTCGGGTCGAGCGAAGCGAGTGTAGACCGCAAGCTTCCGCGTCAGCGGCACTGTCTTCCGCTTCAGCGGCCACCTGGATTACTATGATATGGTAAACGTCATAGTAATCCGCGTGGCCGCTAAAGCGGAAGACAGTGCCGCTGACGCGGAAGCTTGCGGTTTACACTCGCGCACAGCGCTCGAAAAAAAAACTAGATTTGATGCCTGAACCCAAAAATTTCAGCAATTTTCATGAAAATCTTGGATTTTCTGGAAAATGTTGAAATTTTTGGGTTCTCGCGCAGGGGAACCTATCGCCAATTTTTTTTGCTGAAAAAACTACGATACTCCGCATTTACACCATCAAAATTGACCCATTTTCCATCAATTTTGAAGGTGTAAATGCGGAGTATCGTTTGAGAAACGTCAATTTGATGCCTGAACCTTAAAATTTCAACAATTTTCATGAAAATCTTGGATTTTCTGAAAAATGCTGAAATTTTTGGGTTCTCGCGCAGGGTAACCTATCGCCAATGTTTTTTCCGCGTCATAGTTTTCCGCATGGCCGCTTACGCGAAAGCTTGCGGTCGACACTCGAAAATTTTGGGATTTTTTGATACCAACAAGCTTAGCTTCTACAGTAACCCTGATATTTTTGTGCCCAAAAATTCCCGGATATTTTAGGTTTCAAAAATTTGATAAGAAATGCGATTTTTCTGGGTTACTGTAGCCGTATTTGGTATCAAAAAATCCCAAATTTTTCGATAACTACGATGCTCCGCAATTACACCTATGAAAATAGAATATTTATTCGAAAACAACGATTCAAAACCACTTGATACAAGTCCAAAAAAGACAGTGTTCGTCTTTTGCACAATCCGAACTGATATAACAAGCATCGATTGAAGTTGCCATCAGAATCGGGAGAATCGAGAAGATTTTTGACAGGGAAAACATTTTTCTTTAGAGAATTTCGCTGCAGATTTGTTTTTATGCGAGCAAATTTGATGAAAATTGATTCGAATTAGGTCTACAGTAACCCTAGGGATGTTTGGTATCAAAAAATCGCGAATTTCTGTGAAATTTGGGATTTTTTGATACCAAATAAGGCTACAGTAACCCAGAAAAATCGCAACAATTTTTCCGAGAAAAAATTTCTTATCAAAATTTTGAAACCTAAAATATCCGGGAATTTTTGTGCACAAAAAAAAATCAGGGTTACTGTAGAAAAATATCCCTAAGCTTGTTTGATATCTAAAAATCGCGAATTTTTCGAGCGAAGCGAGTGTAGACCGGAAGCTTCCGCGTTAGCGGCACTATCTTCCGCTTTAGCGGCCACGCGGATTGCTATGACGTGGGATAAATCGCTTTAGCAATCATATCCCACGTCATAGCAATCCGCGTGACCGCTAAAGCGGAAGACAGTGTCGCTGACGCGGAAGCTTGCGGTTTACACTCGCTCCGCTCGACCCGAGCGCTCTGCGCGAGTGTAGACCGCAAGCTTCCGCGTAAGCGGCACTGTCTTCCGCTTTAGCGGCCACGCGGATTGCTATGACGTGGATTTTTGGCGCCAAAATCCTAACTCTAACCTTATTTGGTATCAAAAAATCCCGAATTTCGGGTAGATCAAAACTACAGTAATCCTAAACTGTCTGAACAGGGCTTGCGAAGCACGCCACGTGGCTTTTTTGGCCCAAAAACTCTACAGTAATCCCCTAAGCTTGTTTGGTAGCAAAAAATCCCGAATTTTGAGAGAAAAACTACGACACTCCGCATTTACACCTTAAGAAACCTAGCCTTGTTTGGTATCAAAAAATCCCCGAATTTTTCGAGCGAAGCGAGTGTAAACCGCAAGCTTCCGCGTCAGCGGCCACGCGGATTGCTATGACGTGGATTTTTGGCGCCAAAATCTTCACACTAACCTTATTTGGTATCAAAAAATCCAGAATTTCGGGTAGATCAAAACTACAGTAATCCTAAACTGTCTTAACAGGGCTTGCGAAGCACGCCACGTGGCTTTTTTTGGCGCCAAAAATATCCCTTAGCTTGTTTGGTATCAAAATGACTCAAATTTTGCGAGAAAAACTACGATGCTCCGCAATTACACCTTCGGAAACCTTACCTTATTTGGCTTGCAGATATCGCTACGATCCCGATATCAAAGTTCAACAATCAATGCGATCCATCTGGTCAGTGCTAACTTCAAACCGAAGAAATGTGGTCGATGAATTTGCTGATGAAATAGCTCAAGAATTGCAGCCGGCGCTGATAAATAAAGAATGGCGTGTTCGAGAATCGGCATGTTTAGCCATGAGTGATTTGCTGCGAGGTCATGACACTCCAAAAATGCACCAGAAAATTGGGGAATATTTGGAAAGTGTGTTGAGAGTTCGAGATGATATTAAGGAATCGGTTAGATTGGCGGCGGATAAAACTGCTGAAAGTATTCGGAGACTTATTGTTAGGTAAGGTTTTTGGGGGAAAAAGCTCAAAAAATGCTCTTTTTAGACCTAAAATTCATGAAAAATGCTTAATTTTGAGCTGAAAATCATGAAAATTTCCTCTAAAGCTAAAGGGATTGCTCATGTTAAATTTTAAGCTTCAAATCCAGAAGCTGCAAGAAAATTTTCAAAAAATATATAAAGATTGCTCATGTTAATCGCAAAAATCCAAATTTTTGACTTAAAATTTATTAAAAATGAGCTGAAATCAATAAAATTGCTCAAAAATGCTCATTTTTGAGCTGAAATTCTTGAAAATGCTCAATTTTGAGCTGAAAATCATAAAAAATGCTCAATTTTAACCTAAATTTTATGAAAAATGCTCAATTTTGAGCTGAAATTCATGAAAATGCTCATTTTTGAGCTGAAATTCATGAAAAATGCTCAATTTTGAGCTGAAATTGATCAAAAATGCTCAATTTTGAGCTGAAATTCATGAAAATGCTCAATTTTTACCTAAAATTCATGAAAAATGCTCAATTTTGAGCTGGAATTCATGAAAAATGCTCAATTTTGAGCTGAAATTGATCAAAAATGCTCAATTTTGAGCTGAAATTCATGAAAATGCTCAATTTTTACCTAAAATTCATGAAAAATGCTCAATTTTGAGCTGAAATTCATGAAAAATGCTCAATTTTGAGCTGGAATTCATGAAAATGCTCAATTTTGAGCTGAAATTCATGAAAAATGCTCAATTTTGAGCTGAAATTCATGAAAAATCCTCAATTTTGAGCTAAAATTCATGAAAAATGAGCAAAAATGAGCTGAAATCATTGAAAATGCTCAAAAATCCTTGAAAATCACCAATTTTCGTCGCGTAAAAGCGGAGTGTCGTAGTGTTTTCCAGATTGGCTTCTTCTACCAACATCAAAAAATCCGATGAATTCCTCTCATCAATCCTCCCATATCTCGTAGATCAAGGAATTGTGAATTCAACAATCAAATCCAACAAGATCTATTGTCTAGCACTTCTATTAGATCTCACAAAATCGGCCGGCAAACAACTCAAACCCTACCTCCAACATCTAATTCCGATCCTCCTCGACACGATATCCGAAAACGAATCAGCCGTGTTGAATTATGTGGCTGTCCGCGCGGATTCCGCGCAACTCGAAGCGTTGGATGACGCGAGAGCAAATATGGCGAGAAGTTCGCCGATGATGACGGCAATCAATGATTTGTTGCCGCATGTTGATGCGCGGATTTTGGCGGAGATGACGCCGAAGATTGCCGATCAACTTAGAGCATCGGTTGGAGTGTCGACGCGTAGTGCTGCTGCGCAGCTTATTACGCAACTTGCGTTGAGAGCACCGCAATTGATGATGGATTCCAAGGTGGGGGTTTTGGGAGGTTGCTCATGTTAATCTGCTAGAAATTGCTCATGTTAAACTTCTAGGGATTGCTCATATTAATCTCAAAAATGTTGATTTGAATTTTTAACATGAGCAATCCATATTTCTGGGGAAAATCTTTCCATTAGGATTGCTCATGTTAAGTTTATCGCTCTAAATCATAAAATATAGGGATTGCTCATGTTAACTTCAACAAAAAAATGTTATTTTACCGAAAATTTGGAGCATTGCTCATGTTAAGAAGGAGAAAAATAGGGATTGCTCATGTTAGTCTTATAGATATTGCTCAGGTTAAGTTTGAAGCTTTAAAGCAAAAATATAGGGATTGCTCATATTAATCTTCTTGGGATTGCTCATGTTAAACTTCTAGGGATTGCTCAGGTTAATCTTTTAGGTATTGCTCATATTACTCTCATAGGGATTGCTCATGTTAGTCTCGGAAATGTTGACTTGAATTTTTAACATGAGCAATCCCTGTTTTTTTGGGGAAAATTTTTTATTAGGGATTGCTCATGTCAAATTCAACAAAAAATGTTATTTTACCGAAAATTTGGATCGTTGCTCATGTTAAGAAGCGATTGTGTCTTTCTTGAGAAAAATAGGGATTGCTCAGGTTAAACTTCTTGGGATTGCTCATGTTAGTCTTATAGATATTGCTCAGGTTAATATTTTAATGATTGCTCATTTTAATATTCTAGATATTGCTCATGTTAACTATAAAGCTTCAAAGCAAAAATATAGGGATTGCTCATATTAATTTTCTATAGCTTGCTCATGTTAAACTTCGAGGGATTGCTCATATTAATCTTCTAGACGTTGCTCATGTTAACTATAAAGCTTCAAAGCAAAAATATAGGGATTGCTCATGTTATTCTTCTAGGGATTGCTCATTTTAATATTCTAGGCGTTGCTGATGTTAACTATAAAGCTTCAAAGCAAAAATATAGGGATTGCTCATGTTAGGAAGCTATTTTTTCTTTTTTCTTTTCCGAAGGAGGAAATTCTACAAAAACATGTTGATGAATGAATGATATTTATTTTTGGAAACACATATTAAGAGTCCGTGACACAATCGAACAACCAACAATAATAGCCTTTTGGACAATCTGAATGATAAAAACAAGCATCGACTGAAGCGGCCATCAAAAATGCGAGAATTGACAAAAGTGTTGGGGAAAACATCAGGATTTGAAGTTTTTCTGCACAACCTTTTTTTATACGAGAAAAATTGATGAAAATTGATTCGAATTTCGAACATCAGCGCGTTTTTTGAACCCGGACCATGCAAAAAACTTGCTTTTAGCTCAAAAATCACCAATTTTCAGCCAAAAAATCTAAAATTTTTCAGCCGCAATGCGACAAACTCTTCAATTCTCTGATCCCAGGAGTTCGAGATCGAAATCCATCAATTCGAAAACAATTTGCAAATTCAATGTCATATCTCGCCAAATTTGTATCGCAAAATCTCATGCAAAAACTGCTGAAAACCGTAGTTTCAGACCTGGTGACTGAAAATGAAGAGCTGAAATTGTCAGCCAGACATGTCCTGCGAAATCTCTCGCAAAATTGCTCCGAATTGCTCGGCTCACATGCCACACAAATTGTGCCATTCGTATTTTTGGAAACTTGCCAGGAAGTGAAGAAGGGTGATGAGGAAGGCAGGCTGAAACGAGAAGAATGGCTGGAATTGTGGGCGGAGCTTGTGCCGAGCACATCTGCCGCGGCAAGATTGTATAAAGATGAGATATTGAAGACGGGATTGGAGATTGTGAAGGAGAATGAGGTGTGGAGGGTGAGAGCGCAGGCGGCGAGAATGATTGGAGCGACGGTGGAAGTGTTGGGAGGGAATGTTGGTGGGGAGAGTGTTGGTGAGTGGGGGGGGGGTGAGCTCGGGTAGAGCAAACAGGTTTGCTCTACCCGGGTGCTCTGCGCGAGTGTAGACCGCAAGCAGAAAACAGGGCGTGCTTCGCAAGCCCTGCTTAAACAGTTGGCCGCTTACGCGGAAGCTTGCGGCACTATCTTCCGCTTCAGCGGCCACGTGAATTGCTATGATATGGTAAACGTCATAGTAATACGCGTGGCCGCTGCGCGGAAGCTTGCGGTCTACAGTCGAGCGCTCGACCCGAGCGCTCTGCGCGAGTGTAGACCGCAAGCTTCCGCGTCAGCGGCACTATCTTCCGCGTCAGCGGCAACGTGGATTGCTATGATATGGTAAACGTCATAGTAATACGCGTGGCCGCTGAAGCGGAAGATAGTGCCGCTGACGCGGAAGCTTGCGGTCTACACTCGCTCCGCTCGAAAAAAAAATAGATTTGATGCCTGAACCTTCAAATTTCAGCAATTTTCATGAAAATCTTGGATTTCTCTGAAAAATGCTGAAATTTTTGGGTTCTCGCGCAGGGGAACCTATCGCCAATTTTTTTTTTAATGAAAAAAGATCTCAAAAACTACGATACTCCGCGTTTACACCACCAAAATTGACCCATTTTCTATCAATTTTGAAGGTGTAAATGCGGAGTATCGTTTGAGAAACGTCAATTTGATGCCTGAACCTTAAAATTTCAACAATTTTTATGAAAATCTTGGGTTTTCTGGAAAATGCTGAAATTTTTGGGTTCTCGCGCAGGGAACCTATCGCCAATTTTTTAAAATTTACATAAACATTTTTTCATGAGAGTTAAGCCTTTTGGGGAAGTTTTGGCCCCAAAAAAGCCACGTGGCGTGCTCCGCAAGCCCTGTTTAAACAGTTAGCCGCGTACGCGGAAGCTTGCGGTTTACACTCGGAAAAAAACGCATAGCATTCAACAAGATTTATTGGGGTGGAAATGATTAAAAAGTGAGACATGTCCAAAAGATGCAACGAGCATTGTCATGATGACATTCCGAATCCTTCCAACACGCATCCACAACAATCGCCACACAAGCAGCAGCCATCAAAAATGGGACGATTTTTGTTGTTGAAAACATTTCTGTTTGTCGTGGGGAACATTTTGGGGAGCCCACTTTTATGCGCAAAAATTTGATGAAAATTGATTCGAATCAATTTGATTTGATTTGAAAAAACGCCCGCGAGGAAGTTTTTTTTTGGTTTTGTGTTAAACTTTCGAAAAATTGAGGATATTGCTCATGTTAAGCGTGAAAGTTGCTCAATTTTGAGCTGAAATTAATGAAAAATGCAAGTTACCAACGACACTCCGCATTTACACTCGAGCGGAGCGAGTGTAGACCGGAAGCTTCCGCGTAAGCGGCTTCGAGCGCTTTGCGCGAGTGTATGTCCCTTTAAGAGGCTTTTATAGGAACATACACTCGCGCAAAGCGCTCGAAGCCGCTTACGCGGAAGCTTGCGGTTTTGCGGAGCACGCGGAAGAATTTTTGCTCAAAATGCTCGGATTTTCTTGGAATTTTGCACAATTTTCAGCAAAAAACCTGTGGTTTTCTTTAAATTTAGGCTAAAACTTGAATTCTGGCTCAAAAAATCAGGAAATTATCCGAGTTTTAGCTGAAAAATTGTGTTTTTCGTGAAATTTAGGCCGAATTGTGTGATTTTCAGCGGAAAATATTTGAAAATGCTCAATTTTAAGCTGAAATTCATGAAAATTCTCAATTTTTCAACGATGCTCCACATTTACATCGGAATTCTCGAGCGAAGCGAGTGTAAACCGGAAGCTTCCGCGTAAGCGGCACTATCTTCCGCTTCAGCGGCCACGTGGATTACTATAATTTGGAATTCTAGTAGTGATATTCCACGTCATAGTAATCCGCGTGGCCGCTAAAGCGGAAGATAGTGCCGCTAACGCGGAAGCTTGCGGATTACACTCGCGCAGAGCGCTCGGGTCGAGCGAAGCGAGTGTAGACCGCAAGCTTCCGCGCAGCGGCCAACTGTGTAAGCAGGGCTTGCGGAGCACGCCGCGTGGCTAATTTTTCCCGCCAAAAATCGCCACAGGGCGTGCTTCCCTGTCTCAAACAAAAATCACAAATTTTTGTTGTAGATCAAATCATCGACTCGCTTCTCCCCACTCTTTCCGGTCGAATTTGGGCGGGAAAAGAGGAGATTCTGATGGCTGTTGCGAAGACGATTGAAGCCGGCGGAGCCGCACTCAAAACCTCACTGAGCCCTGAAAAAATCGAGCAAATTTCCGCGATTTTGAAGCGAGAAGCTGGGAAAAGAAATGTGGATTATTCATCGATTGGTTTGTTGGCGTTGGCGAAATATTGTCGCGTTTTGGAGGATTTGAAGACGGCCGAGTGGCTGGCGGAAAAAGTTGAGGAAAATGTGCAGAAAGTCATCGGGTAGGTCAAAAAATTGCGCATTTTTTGACACCAAACATGACTTTTGCAGTGAAAATCGAGCCGGCTCCGATTCCGATGACGAAACCCTCACAAATCTCGAAAAAGAGATTCGAATCTCGAAAATTGTCACCTCAAATCTGGTGGCACTCGGAGCATCGTTGGCAACGTTTCGAAATGGCCGAGATGCTTGCAAGACTGTTGAGAAGTTGGTGAAATTCATGAGGATGCCCGCGATTGCCTGGAAATCCAAACAGAATTTGTTTGTTGAACTGGGAAAGACTGTGGAGATGTGAGTTTTTAGCGCGCGAAAATTTCAGATTTTTTGATATCGAATAAGCCTAGGATTACTCATATTAGTGGGGTTTTGGAGCATTGCTCATGTTAATTTTTTTTCAGAAAATTTGATTTTTCGAGCATTTTGCTCATGTTAATTTTTTTTCCTGAAATTGTGATTCAAATTTTTTTCTCAAAAATTTAATTTTCGAGCATTTTTTATCATTGCTCATGTTAAATTTTCTTGGAATTTCACAAAATTGCTCATATTAGTGGATTTTTAGATTGCTCATGTTAAATTTTTCCAGAAAATTAGATTTTTAGAGCATTGCTCAGGTTATTTTTTCTTTCAAATTTTGACAAAACATTGCTCATGTTAATTTTTTCCTGAAATTGTGATTCAAATTTTTTTCTCAAAAATTTAATTTTCGAGCATTTTTTATCATTGCTCATGTTAAATTTTCTTGGAATTTCACAAAATTGCTCATATTAGTGGATTTTTAGATTGCTCATGTTAAATTTTTCCAGAAAATTAGATTTTTAGAGCATTGCTCAGGTTATTTTTTCTTTCAAATTTTGACAAAACATTGCTCATGTTAATTTTTTCCTGAAATTGTGATTCAAATTTTTTCTCAAAAATTTTATTTTCGAGCATTTTTTATCATTGCTCATGCTAACTTTTCTTGGATTTTCACAAAATTGCTCATATTAGTGGATTTTTAGATTGCTCATATTAACGTTTTTCCAGAATTTTTCATTTTTAGAGCATTGCTCATATTAATATAAATAATTCCCCAAATTCTTCCAGCTGGGACCTCAAAAGTCAATTTGACGCAACTCAACTGGTTGAAACAATCTTCGAACAAGCCGACGAAATGATAAATCAACAAAAGAATACGGTAGCCGCAGATGCTCTCCAAATCATCATAAAAATGCACGAAAAACGCGAATTTTTGAGTGTTGATTGGGAAATGGTGGAGATTTTGATGAAAAATGGAAAAGCTGGCCAAATTACTGGATTATCGAATCGATTGGAACATTTACAACAACAGAAAATGGAAATTGACTAAATTATTGATTTTTTTTTGTGTAAAATAAATTGTATCGCATTTTTTGGACACCAAATGGCGATTTTTGGCGGGAAAAATATCGCCACGTGGCGTGCTCCGCAAGCCCTGCTTAAACAGTTGGCCGCTACGCGGAAGATTGCGGTCTACACTCGCTCACCGCAAGATTCCGCGTCAGCGGCACTGTCTTCCGCTTCAGCGGCCACGTGGATTTCTATGATCCCTTGCCACGTCATAGCAATCCGCGTGGCCGCTAAAGCGGAAGATAGTGCCGCTGACGCGGAAGATTGCGGTCTACACTCGCGCAGAGCGCTCGGGTCGAGCGAAGCGAGTGTAAACCGCAAGATTCCGCGTCAGCGGCACTATCTTCCGCTTCAGCGGCCACGTGGATTACTATGATCCCTTGCCACGTCATAGCAATCCGCGTGGCCGCTGAAGCGGAAGATAGTGCCGCTGACGCGGAAGATTGCGGTCTACACTCGCGCACAGCGCTCGGGTCGAGCGAAGCGAGTGTAGACCGCAAGATTCCGCGTAAGCGGCACTATATTCCGCTTCAGCGGCCACGTGGATTTCTATGATCCCTTGCCACGTCATAGCAATCCACGTGGCCGTTAAAGCGGAAGATAGTTCCGCTGACGCGGAAGCTTGCGGTTTACACTCGCTTCGCTCGACCCGAGCGCTGTGCGCGAGTGTAGACCGCAAGCTTCCGCGTAGCGGCCAACTGTTTAAGCAGGGCTTGCGGAGCACGCCACGTGGCTCCGCATGACGGAAGTCTGATGACGTCATCAGAGCAAGGAAAGAAAGACATCGCTTCGATTTTGCAATAAATTTTCATTCTAAATTCACAAAAATACACCATCTACTGTTTCAAATTCATAACTTGCGCATTCAATTGATCCGTCGGCACACCGTACGCGTTTTCCGCGTCCATTCCGCTCAACTCGCCCGTCTCGAATTGTCCAAAATCATCATCATCGCAAAAATTCGTTCCGATTTCCGCCAACCGCTTCTCCACATTCTCGATCATCGCCTGGAAATCGGCGGCGGTTTTCGGGGGCGGTGGTGCGGAAGCGGACGCGGAAGCGGAAGATGTTGAGGGACTACTGGCGGCTGCCAGTTTTTCGGTGAGGAAATCGTCGCCGAATGGATCTGAAAGATTTTTTACCACGTGGATTTTTTAAATCAAAATTTTTCGAATTTTCACTAAAAATATCCAAATTTCAATGAAAATTTCGAATTTCACCTCAAAAAATCCGGGATTTTCAGTCAAATTTCAGCAAAATTGTTGTTTTGGCTCAAAATTCTCGGTTTTTCTCCAAGTTTCACTAAAAATATCCAAATTTCAATGAAAATTTCGAATTTCAGCTTAAAAATCGAGGATTTTCAGCCAAAATCCGAGATTTTCAGCAAAAATTGTGTCATTTTGGCTCAAAATTCTTGGTTTTTCTCCAATTTTCACTAAAAATATCCAAATTTCAATGAAAATTTCGAATTTTCAGCGAAAAATGTGCAAAAATCCCCGATTTTCAGTCAAATTTTCAGCTCAAACTCACCATAGCTCTTTTTCTCCTCCTTCTCCCCGGCTCTCGGATCAAAATCATCGTCAAAAACCTCCGGCGCCGACTTCAATTCCACACCTTCCAATTCTTGAGCTGCTCCTGGAGCTCCCAAATTCTGCCGTCTTGGTGCAATTGGTGGAGGTGGTGGGGGCAGGACAGCGGGAGGTCTGGGCGAGGGCAGTTTGGGCGCCTGTTCCAATGGTGCCGTCATCAAATCAGGCCTCGGGGTTGAGTAGATTCCCCCAGGGAGGTTTGGCGGCGGACCTTTTGGCATTGGTGAGCATGGCAAAGCTGGAGCATCCATAAGATTACCCACGGCTCCAAAATGGCCCCCAGGGGAGCCCTTATTGGCCCGAATCGATTCGGCCAATCGCTGACTCAACACCTGATTTTCGGCTTCGAGTTCAGCGATTCGCTTTCGTAAGATGAAGACTTGTTTTTGGTTTTCGAGAGAGCTTCGATTTTTGTCGAGGAACCTTTTGTAGGCAAGATCGAAGGCTTCGCCGATGGTTAGAGTGATTTCTTCGGCCAGTTTTTCGGAGGTGAATGCGAAGCAACTGTGTTTGGAGTTTTGACCTTCGGCACGGGCGATGAATGAAAACATACGTTTGTCCTGGAAAAATTGGGATAGGGTTAATTTCAGACTAGAAAAAACCACGTCATAACAATCCACGATGCCGCTGACGCGGAAGCTTGCGGTTTACACTCGCTTCGCTCGGAAAACTACGAAGCTCCGCGTTTACGTTCTACGTTATGGTTAATTTCAAAAACCACGTAATAGCAACCCGCGTGGCCGCTTCGCGGAAGATAGTGCCGCTGACGCGGAATCTTGCGGTCTACACTCCCGCACAGCGCTCGGGTCGAGCGCAGCGAGTGTAATCCGCAAGCTTCCGCGTCAGCGGCACTATCTTCCGCTTTAGCGACCACGTGGATTGCTATCCTAGTGATATTCTACGTCATAGCAATCCACGTGGCCGCTAAAGCGGAAGATAGTGCCGCTTACGCGGAAGCTTGCGGTTTACACTCGCTTCGCTCGGAAAAAACTACAATACTCCGCGTTTACACTGGACAAAAAAATTTTCAAATATTGATTTTCAAAAAAAAATTCCCGAAATTTTTACGTTTCAAGAAATTGGTTTGAAATTTCTTCAAGACCGAAAATTGATATCAATAGATGAATCGATTAAAATTATCCAAAAATTCATTATTCTGAATTTTTTGAGCTTTAAATTCATCAGATTTGCCACGTCATAGCCCGAGCGAAGCGAGTGTGAACCGCAAGCTTCCGCGCAGCGGCACTGTCTTCCGCTTTAGCGGCCACGCGGATCGCTATCCTAGTGATATTCCACGTCATAGTAATCCACGTGGCCGCTGAAGCGGAAGACAGTGCCGCTGAAGCGGAAGCTTGCGGTCTACACTCGCGACTTTGTCGCTCGAGCGAAGCGAGTGTGAACCGCAAGCTTCCGCGTAAGCGGCTTCGAGCGCTTTGCGCGAGTGTATGTCCCTTTGAAAGCCCCTCAAAGGGACATACTCTCGCAAATGTAAACCGCAAGCTTCCGCTTTAGCGGCCACGCGAATTGCTATGACGTTTACCATATCATATCAATCCGCGTGGCCGCCTACACGGAAGAAAAACTCACATCCTTATCATCGGCACAAAACGAGATCCGTCCAAGCGGAAATTTATAGAGAATCTGTTTGCTTTTGGTGTCCGCAATCACCACATTATCGATCGATATTTGAATATCGACTTTCAGCAATTTCGCCGTTTCTCTCGTCTGTTCCGATCGTTTCAGCTGAAAAATCGTGGATAATTTCAGATTATTTTCAGCCAGTCAACTCACATCGCGCTGAAATCGAATCGCATGAATCGCCTCGCGTGCCACGTCACTGCCATGCGCTTTTGCCGTTTCGACGGTGCCCAAGAATCGAGCCACGTATTCGACGCGTCCGTTGATCAGAAAATCGGGCGGATGAATCCAGGTTCGACCTGAACCGCCACGGTATTTTACACTTGATGATGATGTGGATGGTGTGGAGGAGGACTGCAATAGGAATTAGTTAGGCGGCGTGTGCCTTCGTGTCAAGACCAAAACTATTTTTCGAAGTGTTCTATGCGCCTTTAAAAATCGACTCCGATTTTTAAAGGTACATAGTAAACTTCTCATGAGTTCAAATCGTTTCAAGACCAAAACTAGGTACTTTAAAGGCGCATAACTATGAATTCTTGGTTTTCAATCGTTTCAAGACCAAAAATATACAATTTTGTGATTTTTAAAGGCGCATAACCTATTTTTCGAAGTGTTCTATGCGCCTTTAAACATCTACTCCGATTTTTAAAGGTACATAGTAAACTTCTCATGATGTTAAATCGTTTCAAGACCAAAAAATGGTAGTTTAAAGGCGCATAACTAGGAATTCTTGATTTTCAATCGTTTCGAGACCAAAAATATGAAATTTTGTGATTTTTAAAGGCGCATAACATATTGTTCGAAGTGTTCTATGCGCCTTTAAAAATCTACTCCGATTTTTAAAGGTACACAGTGAACTTCTCATCATTTTGAATCGTTTCAAGACCAAAAATTGGTAGTTTAAAGGTGCATATCTAGGAATTCTTGGTTTTCAATCGTTTCAAGACCCAAAATTATCATTTTTAAAGGTACATGCACCATTTTTAATCGTCTCAAGACCCCAAAATACACCATTTTTCATGATTTTTCGGTCTCAAGACCAAAAATTATGATTTTTAAAGGTACATGAACCATTTTCAATCGTTCCAAGACCCCAAAATACACCATTTTTCATGATTTTTTCGTCTCAAGACTCACCTCTCCATTACTCGCAGCTCCTCCAGCCGAGTTACTCGAAGTTCCAACTCCAGTCACAGCCGATATCGATCGCTTGAAAGTCTTGTAAATATCTTTGGGCATTTTTTTGGCCGGCCGAAAAATCTTGAAAATGATTTGTTTTCTTGGGATCAAAAAGTGTAACAATGAGAAAAAATCGCGAAAAAAAGAAGGATGAGTCATCTTCTCCTCGAGAACTACACAAGATAGATAAATAAACAAAACAAAAATATAAACAAATATTTTCGATTTAGCCTAACTTCACTTAATTAATCGATTTTCCCTAATTAAAATAGTGAAAAACAAAAAAAATTGAAAAAAAATTGTTTGGGGCGAAAATCCGGTGGTCAAGGACGCAAAAATAAAAGTTTGTGTGTGACCAGAAAAAACACACAGAGAGAGAGGCGAGAGATGAGAGAGTGCAGAGAAAAAAAACAAAGAGAATTGCGGGAATTGTTCCCGCAAAACCATTGTGTTGGGAGAGTTATCGATTTTTTTTTTGGATTTTTTGGCGGGAAAATTGCCACGTGGCATGAAAATTCAAAATTTTCATGAATTTTGGGTTAAAAATTTGAAATTTTCATGAATTTTGGGTTGAAAATTTGAAAATTTCATCAATTTTTGGTTGAAAATTTGAAATTTTCATGAATTTTGGGTAAAAAATTTGAAATTTTCATCAATTTCGGGTCAAAATTCCAGGATTTTCATGAATTTTGGGTTAAAAATTTGAAATTTTCATGAATTTTTGGACAAAAATTTGAAATTTTCATCAATTTTGGTTTAAAAATTCGAAATTTTCATGAATTTTGGGTTAAAAATTCAAATTTTTCATGAATTTTGGGTTAAAAATTTGAAATTTTCATCAATTTTTGGTTGAAAATTCAAAATTTTCATGAATTTTGGTTGAAAATTCCAGCACAGGGGTTTTATTACTACCGAGAATTAATCACGTACAAAACATTTTATCTGACGACAAAAAATCTCTGCAAACAGCGCGCTACGTGGCCGACAAAAAAAAACAATAGCGTGTGGCCGGCCTCGCGAGATGTCGGTCGCTGCAAACACACATATAGTCCGACTTTTTTCTTTTTATTCGTGTGTCTTTTGAGCCAAAGGGTTTTCAATTTTCTTTTTGAAAATCTCAAAAGCCTAAGCTCCGCCCACATATCTGTGCGGAAAAAGATGGGCGGAGCCAAATTGCTCGATTACAATTTTACATTGACTCGGTAGTGAAAAAACCCCTGTGTCCAGGATTTTCATGAATTTTGGGGAAAAAATTTGAAATTTTCATCAAATTTTGGTTAAAAATTCAAAATTTTCATCAAATTTTGGTTAAAAATTTGAAATTTTCATGAATTTTGGGTTAAAAATTTGAAATTTTCATCAATTTTGGGTCAAAAATTCCAGGATTTTCATGAATTTTGGGTCAAAATTCCAGGATTTTCATGAATTTTGGGTCAAAATTCCAGGATTTTCATCAAATTTGGGTTAAAAATTTGAAATTTTCATCAATTTTTGGTTGAAAATTCAAAATTTTCATGAATTTTGGGTAAAAAATTTGAAATTTTCATGAATTTTGGGTTAAAAATTTGAAATTTTCATGAATTTTGGGTCAAAATTCCAGGATTTTTATCGATTTTTGGTTGAAAATTCCAGGATTTTCATGAATTTTTGGTTAAAATTCCAGGATTTTCATGAATTTTGGATTAAAAATTTGAAATTTTCATCAATTTTTGGTTAAAAATTTGAAATTTTCATCAATTTTTGGTTAAAAATTTGAAATTTTCATGAATTTTGGGTTAAAAATTCAAAATTTTCATGAATTTTGGCTCAAAATTCCAGATTTTCAACAAATAATTTTATTAAATCTCCAAAAAATCCAAGTTAAAGCTCATCTTTTCCTCCATTTTCATTCCATTTTTGAATCGTTTCAATTTTCAAAAATCCACCATTTTCATCCAATTTTTTCTCATCAACAACATCGACTTTCAATTTTCCGCTTCCGATTGATGTCAAAAATTCCTTGATTGATTCAGTCGAAAAACTTCCACGCATTGTTGAGAATCGCAATTTTTTTGGGCTGAAAATTGCGAGAGCTGGATATCCGAAGCCACCGATTTCGAAGGTTGATTCGAGTTTTGGTTGAGCACCGCCTTCGTTCCAAATCCATCTGGAAAAAAAATTGGAAAATTTGGAAAAATATGGCCTAGAAATCCAAAAAAATGGCCTAGAAACTCGAAACATGACCTAGAAACCGGAAAAAATGGCCTAGAAACCCAAAAAATGGCATAGAACTTCGAAAAATGGCCTGGAAACCCAAAAAATGGCCTAGAAACCCAAAAAAATGGCCTAGAAACCCAAAAAAATGACCTAGAAATCCAAAAAATGGCCTAGAAATCCAAAAATTCGTCTAGAAATCGATTTTTCAGATATTTCCAGTCAAAATCGGATTTTCATGAATTTCCAGCACAATTTCAAGATTTTTTTTTTTAGCAAAAATTTCAGATCAAATTTTGTATTTTTCTTCATTTTTCAGCTAAAACCATAAATTTTGAGCGAAAATTCGGATTTTCAATGGATTCTAGGTCAAAAAATGAAGCTTTCATGAAAAATTCCGAATTTTCAGCTAATTTTAACCAAAAATGGGATTTTCCATGGTTTTAGCCGAAAATAACCAGTTTTCAATGAATTTTCAGCTGAAAAAATGAAGCTTTTATGGGGCTATTCAGCGAAAAAAATGTTTTCTCAACGGGAGAAAAGCGAAGAAAACCTATTCAAGTCGGTTGAGAAAACATAAAAATCAAACACTTGAAACACACAAATTGCGACGAGACCCAACGAAAAAACAACATGTTCCTTTAAGATACTGTAGAAAATCGCAACGGGACCAATTTACAGTAATGCAAAAGGTCAAAGGAACATGTTGTTTTTCGTTGGGTCTCGTCGCAATTTGTGTGTTTTAAGTGTTTGATTTTTATGTTTTCTCAACCGACTTGAATAGGTTTTCTTCGCTTTTCTCCCGTTGAGAAAACATTTTTTTTTTCGCTGAATAGCCCCATTATGAAAAATTCCGAATTTTCAGCTAATTTCGGTCAAAAATGACATTTTTCATGAATTCTAGGTCAAAAACCACAAAATTTTAGGATTTTTCAGCTATTATCGAAAATCTCATCGGTACCACGCGCTCCACCGAAATAAACACGCAACGCAGGCCGCGCCGCACCACAACACACACAAAAAGGGAGGGAATTTGAATGTGTTGTAGCGCGACGCGGTCTGCGTTGCGTGTTTATTTCGGTGGAGCGCGTGTTACCGATGAGATTTTCGATGAATTTTCAGCTAACTTTGACTAAAAACGGGATTTTTCATGGTTTTTAGGTAAAAAAATCAGGCTTTCATGAAAAATCCCAAATTTTCAGCTAATTTTGACCAAAAATTTGGATTTTCATGAATTCTAGCTCAAAAAATGGCAAATTTTCAGCTATTTTCGGTCAAAAACACCATTTTTCACATTTTTTCCAAACTCACGCCCAATTTCTTCCCTTAAAAACCTCGGAAACCTTCTCAATAACTCCCAAATACTCCTTTCGACATTTCAAATCACAATCCAAAATATGCGGCAAAAACGAGAAAACACAAAGTGCCTTTTCACCACACGCATTTTGCACCAAATTTTGATCTACCCCTTCAAGAATCTCAACTTTGCTCAACAATTTTTCAAATTTCGCCGTCGTATATTCAACAACACTTTGCCAATCTCTCGCGCCATTATAATCTTCAAAATCCGAAGTTCCGCCAACTCCAAAAAACTTGACAGTCGGATATCCCTGAACTCCAAAACGCCCGCAAGTCTTTTGATTTTGTGTGCAATCCACTTGCGCAAATTCGACTTTTCCCGCCATTTTTTCGGCGGCTTTCCGGAATTCCGGCTCGAATTTCTTGCAATGTCCACACCAGGGAGCGAAAAATAGGACGAACCAGATCTTTTTTGGCGAGGATTTCGATGGGGAGATGGTTTTCTCGAAGTCGGCGTCTTTGAGGTATTGCATTTGCCATTTTTTGGGAGGTGCTTGGATTTTTGGTGGGGCTGATTCTGCAAAATTCGAATTTTCAGCCAAATTTTCAGATTTTTCCAACAAGATTTGTACTAAACTATGTGAAAAGTGCCTTAGAATTGTTTGAAATGAGGAAAATCTGGAAACTCCATGTTTTCCCATCAATTTTATACCTAAGAGATGCGATTTTTCAAAAAAAAATCTAAATTTTGTAGGAAAACGGACGAAAAATCATTATTTTCAGCATTTTCAGCCGAATTTTCAGATTTTTCTAATAAAATTTGTACTAAACGATGTGAATAGCCTTCTATTATCGTTTCGAATGCACTAAATTTCACCCTGGCTTCAAATTTCAGAAAAATAGGCTGAAAATGTGACTAAACGTGACGAAAAATCACTATTTTCAGCATTTTCAGCCAAATTTTCAGATTATCTCAATCAAATTTGTACTATACCATGTAATTCATCGATTAGAACTGTTTCATACTTATCTCAATCTGTTTCAGCTGCTAAACTTCAAAAAATAGGCTGAAAATGTGACTAAACGTGACGGACGAAAAATCATTATTTTCACCATTTTCAGCCAAATTTTCAGATTTTTCCAACAAGATTTGTACTAAACGATGTGAAAAACCTTCTATTATCGTTTCGAATGTACTAAATTCCACCCTGACTTCAAATTTCTGAAATTTAGGCTGAAAATGTGAATAAACGTGACGAACACCCCTATTTTCACCATTTTCAGCCAAATTTTCAGAAATTTTCAACCAGGTTTGTACTAAACGATGTGAAAAGCCTTCTATTATCGTTTCGAATGCACTAAATTTCATCCCAGCTTAAATCCTCTGAAATTTAAGCTGAAAATGAGACTAAACGTGACGAAAAACCCTATTTTCGTCATTTTCAGCCAAATTTTCAGATTTTCCCGAACAAATATAGTCTAAACGATGTGAAAAGCCTTCTATTATCGTTTAGAATGTAATAAATTTCACCCTGACTTCAAATTTCTGAAATTTAGGCTGAAAATGTGACTAAACGTGACGAAAAACCTTATTTTCATCATTTCCAGCCAAATTTCCAGAAATTTTTAACCAGGTTTGTACTAAACGATGTGAAAAGCCTTCTATTATCGTTTAGAATGTAATAAATTTCACCCTGACTTCAAATTTCAGAAAAAATAGGCTGAAAATGTGACTAAACGTGACGAACACCCCTATTTTCACCATTTTCAGCCAAATTTTCAGAAATTTTCAACCAGGTTTGTACTAAACGATGTGAAAAGCCTTCTATTATCGTTTCGAATGCACTAAATTTCATCCCAGCTTAAATCCTCTGAAATTTAAGCTGAAAATGAGACTAAACGTGACGAAAAACCCTATTTTCGTCATTTTCAGCCAAATTTTCAGATTTTCCCGAACAAATATAGTCTAAACGATGTGAAAAGCCTTCTATTATCGTTTAGAATGTAATAAATTTCACCCTGACTTCAAATTTCTGAAATTTAGGCTGAAAATGTGACTAAACGTGACGAAAAACCTGATTTTCACCATTTTCAGCCAAATTTACAGAAATTTTTAACCAGGTTTGTACTAAACGATGTGAAAAGCCTTCTATTATCGTTTAGAATGTAATAAATTTCACCCTGGCTTCAAATTTCAGAAAAATAGGCTGAAAATATGACTAAACGTGACGAAAAACCTGATTTTCATCATTTTCAGTCAAATTTTCAGAATTTCCCGAACAAATATAGTCTAAACGATGTGAAAAGCCTTCTAAAATCGTTTCGAATGCACTAAATTTCACACTGACTTCAAATTTCTGAAATTTAGGCTGAAAATGTGACTGAAAGTGACGAAAACCCCTATTTTCAGCATTTTCAGCCAAATTTTCAGAAATTTCCTGAACAAATATAGTCTAAACGATGTGAAAAGCCTTCTAGAATCGTTTCGAATGCACTAAATTTCATCCTGGCTTCAAATTTCAGAAAAATAGGCTGAAAATGTGACTAAACGTGACGAAAACCCCTATTTTCACCATTTTCAGCCAAATTTTCAGATTTTTCCAACAAGATTTGTACTAAACGATGTGAAAAGCCTTCTATTATCGTTTAGAATGCACTAAATTTCACCCTGGCTTCAATCCTCAGAAAAATAGGCTGAAAATATCACTAAACGTGACGAAAAACCCTATTTTCATCATTTTCAGCCAAATTTTCAGATTTTTCCAACAAGATTTGTACTAAGCTATGTGAAAAACCTTCTATTATCGTTTCGAATGCACTAAATTTCACCCTGACTTCAATTTTCAGAAAAATAGGCTGAAAATGACGAGAAACCTTATTTTCAGCATTTTTCATCCAAAATCTGAAAATTTCCCAGGGATTCTATATTCAAAAGATGCAGAATCTTCTCCTCCACTTTTCAATATACGAATAACCCCCAAAACCCTCTGAAACCACCGAAAAACAAGTAAAAATCATCTTTCCCACTAAATGTTTCGTCTCCTCGCCACGAGACCCATGTGCGCCTTTAACCCGCGTTCATTTGTTTTCAGCCTAATTTTCAGATTTTCAGCAACTTCACAGCCTTCAAATGTGACTTATGGGATATCAGAAGAATCAGCGAAAAATTGCGCATTTTTTGAACCCAAAAACTCACTTCCTTCGGCTCGCAATTTCACCAAATCGCCAATTTCTCGTAAAACAAATTCATCCAAATTCGCTGCTTCCTCGACCTTCTTGGGCTTCTTCTTATCATCCAGGAAAACCAAGACATCTCCATTTTTTGCACCAAATTTCGCCGCCAATTTCGCATCAGCCAAACCGAATTCCACCAATCCAACCAGATTTTTGGCGGATTTCAGCGCGCTTTTGCTTTCGGCTCCAATTTCAACCAACCAAATTCTTTGCGATTTCCCAACTTCTTTTTCGAAATTCAAAGAATTCAGGGGTTTTTGCGCGAATATTGGTTGGAGAATTAGAAAGAAAACTGCAAATAATTTCAGATTTGACTGAAAAATCTGTGAATCTCCTCAACTCACCTAAAATTTTCAACATTTTCGATTTTTCTGTCAAAAATGACGAATTCCGGGGGTTTAAATAGCCCTAAGATGACGTCAGCTTAGACGTCATGACGTCACACGTAGAAAACGCGCTCCAATGCAAATTTTTTCGAAAATCAATATTTTTATGCGGGAAAAAAGGTAAATGGAGATCAAAAAAGGGAGAAAAAGATAAAAAGCTTAATTTACAGGATAAAAATAATTAAAGGCGGTGCAAAAACGATTTATTCGTAATCTTCATCATCGTCCGAGAAAACGGGGCTCGGTTTTCTTTTTTCGAGTTTTGGCTGTGGAGGCGGCTGCAGCTTTTCGTCCTTTTGCGTTTCGCTGAAATTTTTTAAAGTTTTTTTTTTGACACGTGGATTTTTTGTGAAGGTTTTTACTTAAATTTTCTGAACTTTTTGATAGAAAAATGTGAAATTCGGTTTCTTGACTGAAAATTTCGATTTTTGACGCTGAAAATTGCGATTTTCACGTCCCAGGTCCAAATTTCACGATTTTTCGTGTATTTCAGTTTAAAAAATCCAAATTTTCATCGGTTTGGTGCTAAATTCGTTGTTTTCCGGTGGATTTTGAATCTCAAGACCAAATTTCGGTTATCTTTCACGATTTTCTGTTGAAAAATCGTAATTTTACTGAACTTTGGTACTAAATTCGTCGTTTTTTCCGTCCTGAGACTATATTTTGGTCAATTTTCGTTAGATTTTCGTCTAGACACCCAATTTTAGGTTAAAAAATCGAATTTAACGCTTCTAGGGTCAAATTTCTCGATTTTTCCCATTTCTGGGCTCAAAATACTCAAATTTCGTCATTTTTCACATTTTCCGGGTCAAAAATGATCAATTTTAGGTGAAAAATCTCAAGATTTCACTTTCCGGGCTCAATTTCCATCATTTTTCCCAATTTTCGGCTCAAAAATCACCCAAAAACTCACTTTTGGCGTAACACTAGTCGTCAACATATCGCTCGTCATTCCCTCGATTTGAACTCGATCAATTTTCGCCACCAATTCGTCCGCCTCTTTTTTTCAACTCGTCCGATTTTGTCGATTTGGCGAATGTGGTGAGCAATTCTCTGATGGCTGTCACCACAATTTTGTGATTTAGGAATTTGCTCCAATTCGTTTTCGACTGTTTGAAATGTTGGAAAGCGTTGTCGGTTAGGGTGAATTTGGAGACGATAAAAGCCAGATATTTCGGAGCATCCGGGTGCGATTTGGTTCTGCAAAATTCGGGGATTTTTCGAGCGAAGCGAGTGTAAACCGCAAGCTTCCGCGTCAGCGGCCACGTGGATTGCTATGACGTGGAAGGGGATCATAGCAATCCACGTGGGACCGCTGAAGCGGAAGATAGTGCCGCTAACGCGGAAGCTTGCGGTCTACACTCGCGCACAGCGCTCGACGTGGCAGGGGAACACAGAAATCCACGTGGGGCCGCTGAAGCGGAAGATAGTGCCGCTTACGCGGAATCTTGCGGTCTACACTCGCGCACAGCGCTCGGTTCGAGCGGAGCGAGTGTAGACCGCAAACTTCCGCGTCAGCGGCACTATCTTCCGCTTTAGCGGCCACGTGGATTGCTATGATAAGGTAAACGTCATGGAAATCCACGTGGCCGCTAACGCGGAAGCTTGCGGTCTACACTCGCGCACAGCGCTCGGTTCGAGCGGAGCGAGTGTAGACCGCAAGCTTCCGCGTCAGCGGCACTATCTTCCGCTTTAGCGGCCACGTGGCTTACTATGACGTGGCAAGGGATCATAGAAATCCACGTGGCCGCTGAAGCGGAAGATAGTGCCGCTTACGCGGATAGCTTTGACTTGGCAAAAAACTCACTCTGACGTGGCAAATTTATAGAAGATTCTCTCCAGAGCTGTGTCAGCTAGTGTACGACTTTTTTCACGAACCAATCCGATCAAGAATCTGCAAAATTATAGGATTTGGGTTAATTTTGCTGAAAATTTTCATCAGTCAAAATTGTGCCTTTGGAATTTAGGTTTTGCCTCGAAAAACGTGGAAATCATTTTTTTTCAAGAAAACCTAGTATCCAGATGCAAAATTTTCGAATTTCGGCTCAAATTCCCCCGCAAAACCCACTCAAAAATCCTCTCATAATTCGCAAAAGGCAATCTTTCGGTCGGCGACGATAGATCAAACATAAATTCGGGTAGATATTGATGAATCGATTCGCCACGTCGATTCAGATCCGCAAAGAAGCTCGTCGCAATTTTGGCCACTGCCGGATTGTCGTCTCCAATACAACGAACCGGGTCGATGATGAGACTTCGAATTTGGATCATATCGTTTGACATGAGATGGGACAGGACTAGGATTGCTGATTCACGGGTTGCCGGTTCGATGTCACGTGACCTAGAATTCAATTTAGGACGAGTGTAGACCGCTAGCCTCCGCGTAAGCGGACACGTGGATTGCTATGATCTCTAAGGTTTCCACGTCATTGAAATCCACGTGGCCGCTGAAGCGGAAGACAGTGCCGCTTACGCGGAATCTTGCGGTCTACACTCGCTTCGCTCGAAAACTCACATCTGATACAATCCTTTCGAGTACAATTCGAACAAATTGGGTTGCGAAAATGCCAAATCCGAACAGGCTACCAATAGATTCGATCTCACCAATGGATACGGTGTTTTTGACATCAGCGTGAAGAATGTGGGAGCGGCGAATTCGGCGTGAATTGTGCTGTAACATTGGATTCCGCAAGCTTCCGCGCCACGTGGCCGCTAAAGCGGAAGCTTGCGGTTTAAATTCGCGGGTATATGTCCCTTTAAGGTGCTTTTATAGGCACATACACTCGCGCAAAGCGCTCGAAACCGCTTACGCGGAAGTTTCCGGTTTACACTCGCTTCGCTCGAGTTTTTTCTGAGCGGAGCGAGTGTAAACCGCAAGCTTCCGCGTCAGCGGCACTGTCTTCCGCTTTAGCGGCCACGTGGATTGCTATAATTTGGAATCCTAGTGATATTCCACGTCATAGCAATCCGCGTGACCGCTTTTCGCGGAAGCTTGCGGTTTACACTCGCGACTTTGTCGCTCGAGCGAAGCGAGTGTAAACCGCAAGCTTCCGCGTTAGCGGCACTATCTTCCGCTTTAGCGGCCACGTGGATTAGTATGATATGGCAAACGTCATAGTAATGCACGTGGCCACTGTTGCGGAAGCTTCCGCGAAGCGGCCACGTGGATATCATAACAATCCACGTGGCCGCAAGCCTACACATAGCGATTTTTAACAATAAAACCCCACTCACCTCAACGTCATAAATTTGCCAAACGCAAAACTTGCGGCATCCCTAATCCTCTCCGGAATATTCTCAGCCCGTACCGCATACACAACAATCGGCAGCAATCTTCCCAATAGCTTTTGGGGTTTCAATACACGTCTTTCGGCAAATAATTGCGTTAGACTGTGCATGAAATTATCCGATTCTCCTTGTGACGCTTCCAAAGTATAGTCAAAGATCAGGCGTCGTTTTACAATTGTATTTTCGATTTCATCCAAAAATCGGGCCGGTTCTTCCGGGATATTTGATTCGTTCTGTATTTAGACGAAAATTTGAACCCAGAATTGATGAAAAATCGAGAAATTTGACACTAGAAGCGTTAGATTCGATTTTTTAAACCTTCGGACGAAAAAAATGACGAAACTAGATGAAAATTACAGAAAAATCACGATTTTTCAACAAAAAATCCCGAAAATTGACCGAAATCTAGGTCTTGTGACGAAAAACGTTAAAATTCACACAGTTCAACCCGAAAACTACGAATTTAGCATCAAAATTTGACCAAACTGATGAAAATTTAGGGTTTTCGAAATGAAATACGTGAAAAATCGTGAAATTTGACCAAAACTATGTCTTGAAGTGTGAATTTCTCGAAAACTGGCTAAAAATTCGGTTTCTTGACTGAAAATTTCGCTACTTTCATGTCCCAGGTCCAAATTTAGCCAGTTTTCGAGAAATTCATACTTTAAGACATAGTTTTGGTCAAATTTTACCATTTTTCACGTATTTCATTTCGAAAACCCTAAATTTTCATCAGTTTGGTCAAATTTTGATGCAAAATTCATAGTTTTCGGGTTGAACTGTGTGAATTTCAATGTTTTCGTCTCGAGACCTAGATTTCGGTCAATTTTCGCGATTTTCTGTTGAAAAATCGTAAATTTGCTTCTAAATTCGTCATTTTTTCGTCCTGAGACTATATTTTGGTCAATTTTCGTCCGAAGGTTAAAAAAATCGAATTTAGCGCTTCTAGAGTCCAGATCTGAACTTTTGATAGAAATATGTGATTTTTCATCAAAATTCGGTTTCTTGACTGAAAATTTCGGTTTCTTGACTGAAAATTTCGCTACTTTCACGTCCCAGGTCCAAATTTAGCCAGTTTTCGAGAAATTCACACTTCAAGACATAGTTTTGGTCAAATTTCACGATTTTTCACGTATTTAATTTCGAAAACCCTAAATTTTCATCAATTTGGTCAAATTTTGATGCTAAATTCATAATTTTCGTGTTGAACTGTGTGAATTTTAACGTTTTTCGTCACAAGACCAAATTTCGGTCAATTTTCACGATTTTCTGTTGAAAAATCGTAAATTTTCTCCTAATTTCGTCATTTTTTCGTCCGAAGGTTAAAAAACATCGAATTTAACTCAAATTTCCCGATTTTTCACCAATTCTGAGCTAAAAAATCACAATTTTCGTCCCAAAAATCGCATTTTCAGCCCCAAAAATGGGTTTGGTAGAGCAAAAAAGCTCATTTCGCCCCGAAAAATTCCCCATACCTTATGCGCAAACCGCATTTTCGCCTCATAATTCGCATGAATCTTGGGAATATTCAATTGAATGAATCCATTGATTCGAACCGCGATTTCGCCAATGAATGCCACCAATCTCTCAATTATTCGACACCACAATCTCGCCCAATAGTCTCTGCGTTGTTCCGCGCATTTTTTGCGCGTTTCAGAGGAGCTACGCTGATTTTCAGCCGTTTTTTTGTAGAATAGGTAGAATTCAGAGGCTCGCCGAGCACGGTAGAGGAACTGTAAGCAAAAAAACGATGATTTTTGGCTCATTTCGTGTCAAAAAACATACCACACTTGCAAATTTCGGCAATAATTCGTTGACATCTTTGGCGATATTCAGGATGATAGTTATCGTAACTTGACAAATTCCAAACCAATTCTGATCGTCTGAATCTCTCAACATCTCGTAGATGAATAATTGTTCCAAACTTCGGAAAAATGAATCGTCGTTTGGAATTTGGAAGATCGGAGTGTTGACGTCAGAAGCAGAGGAGGTCTGCAAAAAAATAACATAGCTATGACGTGGCAAAAGTAACCCTAGACATATTTAGTCTCAAAATTCTCCAAATTTTCGCGCCAAAAAATGTACAGTAACTCACCGGTGTGTGCAAAACCGATACAACTCTTAGTGCTTCGAATGCCAGCGGTGTTTCCAATGATAGCATTCGTTGAAGTGTTCGAAGTCTTTGTCGCGATTCAACAACTCCATTTCTGGAGGGAAACTTGGGTTTTAAGGGATTTGGGTTGAATTTAGGTTAATTTTAGGTCGAAATTCATGAATTTTAGGTGATTTTGAGCCCAGAAGCTTAGAAATAAGCTCTAGAGCTCAAAATTCGGCAAATTCTCATGATTTTTGAGCCCAGAAGCTCAAAAACATGCTCCAGGGCTCAAAATTGTCCAAAATTTCTACCATTTTTGAGTAATTTTAGGTCAAAAATCATGATTTTTGGTCATTTCTGAGCCCTGAAGCTTAAAAATATGCTCTAAGGCTCAAAATTCACCGATTTTCCTGGTTTTTAGATAATTTTTGAGCAAAAAATTGATTTTTGGTCATTTCTGAGCCAAGAAGCTTAAAAACATGCTCCAAGGCTCAAAATTGTCCAATTTTCACGATTTGAGGTCATTTTTGAACAAAAAATCGAATTTTTAGTCATTTTTGAGCCCAGAAGCTCAAAAACATGCTCCAGGGCTCAAAATTCGAAAAAATTCATGATTTTTGGTCATTTTTGAGCCCAGAAGCTTGAAAATATGCTCCAGGGCTCAAAAATTCACCGATTTTCATGGTTTTTAGTAATTTTGAGCCCAGAAGCTCAAAAACATGCTCCAGGGCTCAAAATTGTCCAATTTTTACGATTTTTGAGCCCAGAAGCTCAAAATTATTTCACCCGCAAAAAACTCACTCCGATCTCGTAATCGCATACAAAATCCTCAGCGCATCAATTCTCACCACCGTATCTCGATTGATTCCCGACGCAATTGCCCACAATTTTTGAATGACTCCTGGTGTGAACAGGTCTTTTTGCGCTAACAAATAGATGACTTCTTCCACTGAACAACGATCCGATTCATTGATATCTTTCATTGCGTTCATCAGATTGGTTACGGTGGATTCTTCGCGAATTCGCTCTTTTTCATTGAGATTTCTGCAAAGATTCGCGATTTTTGACCAAAAAATGATGATTTTCAGCATTTTTGGTATCATTTTTCATGATTTTGAGCCAAAAAAACCGTAGTTTTGGCTCATTTTCCACCCAAAACTCACGAATACTTGCTAATAAACATATCTGTGGCCGCTTCTAATAGTTCCTTTCGGATTTCCAGCGAATTTCTCCATACTAATGAGCACATCGATCGAATTGCATTTTCAGCTCCGCGAATATTGAATTGTTTGCATTTGGCTAGGAATTTGATGCTTTCTTTCATTTCGGATAATTCACCCATTATTACACTTCGTAGGGAGTATTGCACACATTTTGAGAGCTCTTCTTCAACACAGAGTTTGTTCTGGAATAATTAAGAAATTAAGGGAGGACCTTTTAGGCTTAGGGTACGGTTTTTGGCTAAGTTTTAGCCTTAAGAACTTTAAGGTTGTGGATCTTAGGCTTAAGGAGCTTAGACTTAGGCTTAGGCTTAGAGACATTATTGTTGGACTTAGGCTTAGGCTTAAATATCTTAAGCTTAGGTTTATGGATCTTAGGCTTAGTCTTAAGAATCTCAAGCTTAGGCTTACGAACCTTAAAGTTGTGGATCTTAGGCTTAAGGACCTTAGGCTTGAAGAAATTAGGCTTGGGCTTAAGGACCTTAGGCTCACGGCCTTTAGTCTCGAGGGCCTTAGGCTTAGAAACATTTTTTAGCTTAGGCTTATTAAGGACCTCAAGCTTACGGGCTTTAGTCTCAAGGGCTTTAGGCTTAAGTACCTTAGGCTTGAGGACCTTGGGCTTAGGCTTAAGGACCTTAGGCCTGATGAAATTTAGCTTAGGCTTAAGGACCTTGGGCTTAAAGAAATTTAGCTTAGGCTTAAGGAGCTTGGGCTCAAAAATAAACTTTTTCATCAGTTTTTTCTAAGGTTTCGCAGTCCGGAATACTGTACAACTGCAAAATTTTGCAGTTCTACAGTACTCCCTGGACCAAAATCACACGAAAAATCCAAATTTTCGGGTCCTACCTTGCACATATCAATAGCTAGCTTGATTTCCAACTGTTTGGCTCGATAATCCTCAACTCTCTGCTCTTCTAGAACCATCTCCTCGTCGTTTAGGTTATGTTTTCGGATCTGGAATTGATATTTTGGGTTGAAAATTGCTGAAAATCTCGAAATTTTCAGCCAAAAAGCGGGATTTTCAGCCAAAAACCCACCTCATTATTAATATAATCATCATTGATCTTATTGTAGAGCCACGCTTGCATTGTTGATTTTTGCTCTTCAATCGTCTGACTTTCGTCAAGTCTGCAATTAATTACTTAATTACGCCCTAATTACTAAGGTAATTAATTAAAACTCACAAAGGCAACCAATTTTTCGACGCATAAATATGCATTAAAATCACCACCGAAACTTGTGGTCTATCCAAAACTCTTTCAACACATTGCTCATATTTGCTGAAAATTTATTGGGTTTTTTAGGGCTTTCTAGGCTCTAGGCTTTTTTTAAAGGCCCCAACTCACTCAATAAGCCGGTGTCCATCAATTTCCTCGTCACCAAAAGCTTGTCCATTAACATATTTATCGATTTGCTCGCGAATCTCGATTTTTAGTGCCATATCTTTTGAGGCGAATTGTGCGGCGACGTCTTCGACAATCGAATTTTCGGGGTTTTTCATGAGTTTTTTCTCGCGGAGCAAGGCGCGGAGCTTGTCGATTACTATTGAATAATTGAACTGTAAAAATTTGGGGATTTTTGAGAGGTTTTTAGGGTTTTCAGAAAAAATTCATGATTTTCAGATATTTGAACGTATTTAGAGAAATTGCAGTCAATTTCGAAAATTCTATTTTTTGCGATTTTTCAGGAAAAATTCATGATTTTTCAATATAGGTCAATTATAACCGTAATTGTCTTGATTTATTATTCTCAATTTAAAATTTTCTGGGATTTTTGCGAAATTTCATATTTTTCTGAAATTTTCTAGGTTTTTTTTTAGGGATTTTTCAGAAAAAAATCATGATTTTTAGATATATTTTCAGAGATTTGAACGTATTTAGAGAAATTTTAGTCAATTTCGAAAATTCTTTTTTTTTTTGCGATTTTTCAGGAAAAATTCATGATTTTCAGATATATTTTCAGAGATTTGAACGTTTTAGTCAATTTTGAAATTTCTATTTTTTTGCGATTTTTCAGGAAAAATTAATTATTTTTAAATAAATTTTCAGAGATTTGAACGTATTTAGAGAAATTTTAGTCAATTTTGAAATTTCTATGTTTTCGGGATTTTTTTTAACGAAAAATTCATGATTTTCAGATATATTTTCAGAGATTTGAACATATTTAGAGAAATTTTAGTCAATTTCGAAAATTCTATTTTTTTTTGCGATTTTTCAGGAAAAATAAATTATTTTTAAATAAATTTTCAGAGATTTGAACGTATTTAGAGAATTTCAAGAAAAATTTCAGTCAATTTTGAAATTTCTATGTTTTTGGGATTTTTTTAACGAAAAATTCATGATTTTCAGATATATTTTCAGAGATTTGAACATATTTAGAGAAATTTTAGTCAATTTTGAAATTTCTATGTTTTCGGGATTTTTTTTAACGAAAAATTCATGATTTTTAGATATATTTTCAGAGATTTGAACATATTTAGAGAAATTTTAGTCAATTTCGAAAATTCTATTTTTTTTGCGATTTTTCAGGAAAAATAAATTATTTTTAAATAAATTTTCAGAGATTTGAACGTATTTAGAGAATTTCAAGAAAAATTTCAGTCAATTTTGAAATTTCTATGTTTTTGGGATTTTTCAGGAAAAATTCATGATTTCCAAATATAGGTTAATTTTAACCCTAATTTTCTTGATTATTCTCAATTTAAAATTTTCTGGGATTTTTGCGAAATTTCATATTTTTCTGAAATTTTCTAGGTTTTTTAGGCGATTTTTCAGAAAAAAATCATGATTTTCAGATATATTTTCAGAGATTTGAACGTATTTAGAGAAATTTTAGTCAATTTCGAAAAATCTATTTTTTTTTTGCGATTTTTCAGGAAAAATAAATTATTTTTAAATAAATTTTCAGAGATTTGAACGTTTTAGTCAATTTTAAAAATGTTTTCGGGATTTTTCAGAAAAAAATCATGATTTTTAGATATATTTTCAGATATTTGAACGTATTTAGAGAAATTTTAGTCAATTTCGAAAATTCTTTTTTTTTTTGCGATTTTTCAGGAAAAATAAATTATTTTTAAATAAATTTTCAGAGATTTGAACGTTTTAGTCAATTTTAAAAATGTTTTCTGGATTTTTCAGAAAAAAATCATGATTTTTAGATATATTTTCAGATATTTGAACGTATTTAGAGAAATTTTAGTCAATTTCGAAAATTCTTTTTTTTTTTGCGATTTTTCAGGAAAAATAAATTATTTTTAAATAAATTTTCAGAGATTTGAACGTATTTAGAGAAATTTTAGTCAATTTCGAAAAATCTATTTTTTTTGCGATTTTTCAGGAAAAATAAATTGTTTTTAAATAAATTTTCAGAGATTTGAACGTTTTAGTCAATTTTAAAAATGTTTTCGGGATTTTTCAGAAAAAAATCATGATTTTTAGATATATTTTTAGATATTTGAACGTATTTAGAGAAATTTTAGTCAATTTCGAAAATTCTTTTTTTTTGCGATTTTTCAGGAAAAATTCATGATTTTTAGATATATTTTCAGAGATTTGAACGTTTTAGTCAATTTTGAAATTTCTATGTTTCCGGGATTTTTTTAACGAAAAATTCATGATTTTTGGATACATTTTCAGATATTTGAACGTATTTAGAGAAATTTTAGTCAATTTTGAAATTTCTATGTTTTCGGGATTTTTTTAAACGAAAAATTCATGATTTTTAGATATATTTTCAGAGATTTGAACATATTTAGAGAAATTTTAGTCAATTTCGAAAAAATCTATTTTTTTTGCGATTTTTCAGGAAAAATAAATTATTTTTAAATAAATTTTCAGAGATTTGAACGTTTTAGTCAATTTTAAAAATGTTTTCGGGATTTTTCGAAAAAAATCATGATTTTTAGATATATTTTCAGATATTTGAACGTATTTAGAGAAATTTTAGTCAATTTCGAAAATTCTTTTTTTTTTTGCGATTTTTCAGGAAAAATAAATTATTTTTAAATAAATTTTCAGAGATTTGAACGTTTTAGTCAATTTTAAAAATGTTTTCGGGATTTTTCAGAAAAAAATCATGATTTTTAGATATATTTTCAGATATTTGAACGTATTTAGAGAAATTTTAGTCAATTTCGAAAATTCTTTTTTTTTTGCGATTTTTCAGGAAAAATAAATTATTTTTAAATAAATTTTCAGAGATTTGAACGTATTTAGAGAAATTTTAGTCAATTTCGAAAAATCTATTTTTTTTGCGATTTTTCAGGAAAAATAAATTGTTTTTAAATAAATTTTCAGAGATTTGAACGTTTTAGTCAATTTTAAAAATGTTTTCGGGATTTTTCAGAAAAAAATCATGATTTTTAGATATATTTTTAGATATTTGAACGTATTTAGAGAAATTTTAGTCAATTTCGAAAATTCTTTTTTTTTTGCGATTTTTCAGGAAAAATTCATGATTTTTAGATATATTTTCAGAGATTTGAACGTTTTAGTCAATTTTGAAATTTCTATGTTTCCGGGATTTTTTTTAACGAAAAATTCATGATTTTTGGATACATTTTCAGATATTTGAACGTATTTAGAGAAATTTTAGTCAATTTTGAAATTTCTATGTTTTCGGGATTTTTTTAAACGAAAAATTCATGATTTTTAGATATATTTTCAGAGATTTGAACATATTTAGAGAAATTTTAGTCAATTTCGAAAATTCTATTTTTTTTTTGCGATTTTTCAGGAAAAATTAATTATTTTTAAATAAATTTTCAGAGATTTGAACGTATTTAGAGAATTTTAAAAGAAATTTCAGTCAATTTTGAAATTTCTATGTTTTTGGGATTTTTCAGGAAAAATTCATGATTTTTTTGATATAGGTTAATTATAACCCAAATTTTCTTGATTATTCTCAATTTAAAATTTTCTGGAATTTTTGGTACCGAAATTTCATTTTTCCGAATTTTTTAAAGTTCTGGGCGATTTTCAGAGCCAAAATTTGAGTTTCGTAATTTTTCAACCAAAAAAGGTGTGATGTTTCAAAATTCAAATTTTTTTAATTAAAATAATTCCAGGATCATTTTTTTCTGGATACTTTTCAAGAATACATTTTTTAGAGTTTTTTTTAAACTTTTTGAATGATAAAGGTCCAAATTTTTAACATTATTTCTCGAAATTTTTGAACTTTATGTTTTGAATATTTTAAGCTTAAAAATCTCAATTGTTCTCAAATTTTTCAATATTTTTCATTGCAACATCCAAAAAGCCAACAAAACCCTTTATTTCAATTTTGAAAAAATCAATTAATTAAAATCAGCTAATTTCAAACTCGAAATCCTGAATCCTCCCTTGATTCCTTCACTTTGAATTCCAACCATTTCAAATCCATTATCAAATTTCACTTCCAATCTTCCTTCCAAATTAAATTTCGCGCTAGATCCATTTTTCCAAAATATATTTTGCCAATCCTCATCATTCCATCCTAAAACACCATCAAAATCTGCAAAAACATCCGATTTTCGTTCGTTCGCTGAAAATTTCAGATTTTCTCGATTTCTCCAAAAATACGGATGAAAAATCGAGTCATTATTGGTCGAAAAATGCTCCAAAACTGAAATTACGAATCCTTGCGCAAGTTTTTGAGCCGGAGTTGTTAAAAGTGCCAGGGGAAGCTGGAAGAGCACGAAAATCACTGAAAATCGCATATTTTGTCTGAAAAAAAAACTGGGAAATCATAGGAAAAACAAAAAAAATGAATAATAAAACAAAAAATAATCAAATCAAATCAGAAATTCGATTTTTTAAGCCAAATTTCGGCATATTTACTATCAAAACTGTGAAAAACCGAAATTTTCACATTTTGTACCAAAATACGCGGAAAAATCGAAAAAATGCCAACTCACATCATGTCCAAACGCATTGTAGGTCAAAAAAGTCGTCAAAAACGTGACGGCATTTTTGCGAACCATCACTGATTTATCATTTAATCGATTCGCCATCAAACTAATCAGTCCATTTGATTGAATTTCGATTGGAATGATACTTCCGCCTTCCATTAATTTCGTGAATAATCCGACGGTTTTGGCGCGAGTTTGAGCGTGCGAATCGTGAAGGTGACCCTGCAAAAATCAGTGGATAGGTGTGGCGCCTAGAGATGATCGGTGTCAAGCAGCCGAGCCTTGAAACCATAGTTGTCAAGTGGTTAAGCCTTGAGATAAAAAAAATTGTCAAGGAATCGCTCCTTGAGAATCACTAAGGGAAGGAGGGGCTCTTAGAAAACATGGCTGTCAAGTAGTGGCTGCTAGAGATCCGCTATGCCAAGCAGCCAAGTCTAGAAAACATAGCTATCTGGAACCGGCGCCTAGAGATGCACTCTGACAAGGGATCGCGCTTTGAGAACCGCTCTGGCAAGCAGCCAAGCCTTGAGAACTGCTATGTCAACCAGCCACGCCTAGAAACCATAGCTGTCCAGTAGTGGCTGCTGTCTAGGACCGGCGCCTTGAAAACCACTCTGACAAGACATCGCGCCTTGAACAACCGTCTGACAAGCAGACACGCCTTGAGAAGCACTATGGGAAGGACCCGCGCCTTGAGATCCACTATGACAAGTAGCCACGCCTAGAAACCATAGCTGTCAAGTAGTGGCTGCTAGAGATCCACTCTGGCAAGCAGCGAAGCCTTAAGATCCACTATGACAAGCAGCCACGCCTAGAAACCATAGCTATCTAGGACCCGCGCCTTGAAAACCACTATGACAAGGCATCGCGCTTTGAGAACCCCTCTGGCAAGCAGCCAAGCCTTGAACAACCCTCTGGCAAGTAGCCGAGCCTTGAAAAGCCTAATTGAATAGGACCGGCGCCTTGAGAACCGCTCTGTCAAGCAGCCCCTTGAAAATCATTCTGACAAGGCATCGCGCCTTGAACAACTCTCTGGCAAGTAGCCGAGCCTTGAACAACCCTCTGGCAAGTAGCCACGCCTTGAGATCCACTCTGACAAGGAATCGCGCCTTGAGAAGCACTATGGAAAGGACCCGCGCCTTGAGAACTGCTACGTCAAGCAGCCACGCCTAGAAACCATAGCTATCTAGGAGCGGCGCCTAGAAACCCTAGCTGTCCAGTAGTGGCTGCTAGTGATCCACTCTGGCAAGGAGTGGCTCCTAGAAAACATAGCTATCAAGCAGCCACGCCTTGGAAGCCAATTTTTCAAGGAACCTTCCCTATGGGTCAAAATTTCGCGATTTTGGGTAATTTCAGGTCAAAATCCTCGAATTTCAGCTCATTTCAGCCCAAAAAACCCCACTCACCATCAATTTATGAAACAACAACATTCTCTGCTTTTTACGATTCTCAAATTGTTTACAAATTGCGTCGGTCAAAAATTCGGATTTCAAAATATCATAGAGTACTGTAAGTCCAGCCGATCTCATAATTGCAGAATCATGTGATAGAAGTTGGAGGATACTGTAGTTGTTTTTGAGCAAAATATCGGGAACATGCTCACCAAGGCTCTGAAAAAAGTGGGGTGGGGTACTGTAATTTTGGGCGCGAAAAATCCACGTTTGGTGTCAAAAAACGCGGATTTTTCGCGTAAAAAATTGCGGGGTACTGTAGTGTTTTTTTTAAAGGAACATACCTGAATTAGAAGCGAAAGTGGTTTTAGGGAATTGAAATTGCATTTTGTGATTGCACATGCTCCAATGGTTATTGTGTCGAGAAGAGAGCGAAGATTTTCTGAAACAGAAAAATTTTTGAATTTTTGAAAAATGGCGGGAAAAAGTACAGTAATCCATGAATTTTGGGGGGAAATTCAAAATTTCAAAAAAAAATTTAAATTTTTGAGAAATGGCGGGAAAAAGTACAGTAATCCATGAATTTTTGGCGGGAAATTCAAAATTTCAAAAAAAATTTGAATTTTCAAAAAATGGCGGGAAAAAATACAGTAATCCATGAATTTTTGGGGGAAATTCAAAATTTCAAAAAAAAATTTTTAATTTTTAAAAAATGGCGCGAAAAATAACAGTAATCCATGAATTTTTGGCGGGAAATTCAAAATTTCAAAAAAAAAATTTGAATTTTTAAAAAATGGCGGGAAAAAGTACAGTAATCCATGAATTTTAGAGGGCGGGAAATTCAAAATTTCAAAAAAAAAATTTGAATTTTTAAAAAATGGCGGGAAAAAATACAGTAATCCATGAATTTTAGAGGGCGGGGGGTTCAAAATTTCGAAAAAAAATTTGAATTTTTTAAAAAATGGCGGGAAAAAGTACAGTAATCCGTGAATTTTAGAGGGCGGGGGGTTCAAAATTTCGAAAAAAATTTGAATTTTTTAAAAAATGGCGGGAAAAAGTACAGTAATCCATGAATTTTAGAGGGCGGGGGGTTCAAAATTTCGAAAAAAAATTTGAATTTTTTAAAAAATGGCGGGAAAAAGTACAGTAATCCATGAATTTTAGAGGGCGGGGGGTTCAAAATTTCGAAAAAAAATTTGAATTTTTAAAAAATGGCGGGAAAAAGTACAGTAATCCATGAATTTTAGAGGGCGGGAAATTCAAAATTTCGAAAAAAATTTGAATTTTTAAAAAATGGCGGGAAAAAATACAGTAATCCATGAATTTTTGGCGGGAAATTCAAAATTTCAAAAAAATTTGAATTTTTAAAAAATGGCTGGGAAAAATACAGTAATCCATGAATTTTTGGGGGGAAATTCAAAATTTTGAAAAAAAAAATTTGAATTTTTAAAAAATGGCGGGAAAAAAGTACAGTAATCCATGAATTTTTTGGGGGGGAAATTCAAAATTTCAAAAAAAATTTGAATTTTTTAAAAAATGGCGGGAAAAATACAGTAATCCATGAATTTTTTGAGGGGAAATTCAAAATTTCAATAAAAAAATTTGAATTTTTCAAAAATGGCGGGAAAAAATACAGTAATCCATGAATTTTTGGGGGGGAAATTCAAAATTTCAAAAAAAAAATTTGAATTTTCAAATTTTCCCGCCAAAAACACCTACAGTATCCAAATTTTCGTGTCAAGACCATATTTGGGCTCAAAATGCTCCAAATTTCGCGCCAAAAACACCTACAGTACCCAAATTTTCGTGGCAAGACCATATTTGGTCTCAAAATGCTCCAAATTTCCCGCTAAAAACACCTACAGTACCCAAATTTTCGTGCCAAGACCATATTTGGTCTCAAAATGCTCCAAATCTCCCCGGGATTTCAAATTTCCGGCTCAAAATCAACTTACTCGAATTCCGGAGCTGTCCGGGCTGATATCCGATAGCAACAATCGGTTCAATGAATGGATATGTTGTAGCAGCGGATTCTCGCAAATATTCCAAACTCATCGATTTTTCCAGCAATCTTTTGGCCATTTCTGGAAGAAAATGGGATTTTGGAGTGAATTTTAGGTGATTTTAGGTGATTTTTCATGAATTTTAGGTCAAAAATCATGAATTTTCATCATTTTTGGTCAAAACTCATGAATTTTGATCATTTTTAGATCAAAAATCATAGATTTTCATGAGATTTTAGGTCAAAATTCACAAAATTCATGAATTTCTCAAATTTTAGGTCAAAATTCATGAATTTTAGGTCAAAATTCATGAATTTTCATGAATTTTAGGTCAAAATTCATGAGTTTTCATGAATTTTTGGTCAAAATTCATCGATTTTCATGAATTTTTGGTCAAAATTCATCGATTTTCATGAATTTTTAGGTCAAAATTCATCGATTTTCATGAATTTTTAGGTCAAAATTCATCGATTTTCATGAATTTTAGGTCAAAAATCATCAATTTTCATCATTTTTAGGTGATTTTTCATGAATTTTCATCATTTTTAGGTCAAAAATCATCGATTTTCATGAATTTTAGGTCAAAATTCATCGATTTTTCATGAATTTTAGGGTCAAAATTCATCGATTTTCATGAATTTTAGGTCAAAATTCATCGATTTTCATCATTTTTAGGTGATTTTTCATGAATTTTCATCATTTTTAGGTCAAAATTCATCGATTTTCATGAATTTTAGGGTCAAAATTCATCGATTTTCATGAATTTTAGGTCAAAATTCATGAATTTTCATCATTTTTAGGTCAAAATTCATCGATTTTCATGAATTTTAGGTCAAAATTCATCGATTTTCATGAATTTTAGCTCAAAATTCATCATTTTTCCCCAAATTTCCTGCCAAAACCTCTCACCATCCGCCAGATTATAATCAATCGATAAAATCTTGACAATTTGAAAGACCTTCTGCAGCCAAGTTTGTGTCGAAACTCTCAAACATTCGGGATCTTCTAGAACTCCAAATACAGTGTCGGCAAAGGTTTTCAGGAAATCTGGATCGATTGCGTCGGGTTTCCAGACGTATTCTGCGCAATTTTTATACTGTTTTTGATCGATTTCGACTTCGAGTTGGAGAATTTCACAAAGGCAATTGATTAGCTGAAAAAATGGGGAAATTTGGAGCATTTTGAGCCTAACTATAGTCTAGTTTGAGAAATATTGAATTTTTTGAGCTCAACTATAGTCTAGTTTGAGAAATATTGAATTTTTTGAGCTCAACTATAGTCTAGTTTGAGAAATATTGAATTTTTTGAGCCTAACTATAGTCTAGTCTGAGAAAAATTGAATTTTTTTAGCTCAACTATAGTCTAGTTTTGAATTTAGGTCAAAAAATCAAGAATTTTCATTAAAATTTCGAGCATTTTTTGAGCCTGAAATTGAGTCTGAGAAAAATTTGAAATTTTGAGCCTAACTATAGTCTAGTTTTGAATTTGGGATAAAAAATTGAAATTTTTAATGAAATTTGGAGCATTTTGAGCCCAACTATAGTCTAGTCTGAGAAAAATTGAATTTTTTGAGCTCAACTATAGTATAGTTTTGAATTTAGAGCTTAAAAATTGATTTTTAATGAAATTTGGAGAATTTTGAGCCTAACTATAGTCTAGTTTGAGAAAAATTGAATTTTTTGAGCCTAACTATAGTCTAGTTTAGAATTTAGGCTTCAAAATTGAATTTCTAATGAAATTTTGAGCATTTTGAGTCTAACTACAGTCTAGTTTTGAATTTTGGAGCAGGATTACTGTAGACCAACCCGATTTCTCTGCACATTCAACCATCCCTGCGCATCCTCATCCAAATCACCAGCCGCCACACGTTTGCCTTTCCGTCCGGTTTTTTCCGCTGCCGCGTCGCGTTGTCTGAAAATTTGGGCATTTTTGGCTGAAAATTGGGCATTTTTGAGCCAAAATACATCAAAAATGAGCATTTTTCATGTTTTTTGGCTCAAAATTGATGAAAATTGAACATTTTTGTGCCAAAATACATCAAAAATGAGCATTTTTCATGTTTTTTGGCTCAAAATTGATGAAAATTGAACATTTTTGTGCCAAAATACATCAAAAATGAGCATTTTTCACAATTTTTGGCTCAAAATTCATCAAAATTGAGCATTTTTCAAGTTTTTTGGCTCAAAAAAGTCCAAAAATCACGATTTTTGGCTCAAAATTCATCAAAAATCCCTATTTTCACCCCAAAATCCACCAAAATTCTCACCTTTTGCTCACATACAACTGTAATTGCACCGTAATTCGCTGAACCAATAGCACAAACATGGGAAGTGCTTGACAAAGTTCGGGATTTCGGGGAATTTCGGCTCCTGATGTTCGAGCTGCGATATAATCCAATGTATGATCGGTGATGGCATCTTTTAGGGTTCCGAAACCTGGAAAATTGGGATTTTTGGTGGAATTTGGAGCATTTTGAGCCAAAATTCATGAAATTTGGAGCATTTTGAGCCAAAATTCATGAAATTTGGAGCATTTTGAGCCAAAATTCATAAAATTTGGAGCATTTTTTGAGCCAAAATTCATGAAATTTGGAGCATTTTGAGCTAAAAATCATGAAAAATGCATTTTTTTGAGTAAAATTCATGAAATTTGGAGCATTTTTGAGCCAAAAATCATGAAATTTGGAGCATTTTGAGCCAAAATTCATCAAAAATGCTCATTTTTGCTCAATTCTAACCTGAAATTAATTATTTTCAGCCAAAAATCACCTACAGTACCTTTTCAGAGCATTTCCTAGAATTAATTTTTTAAAAAATAAAAATTTTCCGCCATTTTTTTTCACGTGGAAATTTGAATTTTTTCGAAAAATCGATTTTTTGGGAGGTTACTGTAGGGGTTTTGGCGCGAAAATCGAAAATTCAAAAATTTTTAGAAAAATCAAATTTTCGCGCCAAAAACTTCAAGGACTACTGTAGGGCGCCAAATTTGAATTTTTCAAAAAATTTTGAATTTTTTGCAGGTTACTGTAGAGTTTTCGGCACAAAAAATCGATTTTTTGTCAATTTTATGTTAAAATTCTTCATTTTTCACCAAATTTATTGATTTTTGGGTCAAAATTTGTCAAAAATCATCAATTTTCTATGAAAAATCATCATAAAATTTACCTCAAAATTCATCAATTTTCACCAAATTTAATGATTTTTAGCTCAAAATTCATAATTTTTCACGATTTTCAGCCCAAAAATCCTCCCAAAACAACTCACAAGCCACCAAATAATCAACAATTCGAAATCTCATCGACCAATCCTCATAACTTGATACCAAACTAGTTACACTAACTAGTGCCTCAAAATACTTGACAATTCCTTTCCAATCCGAAACATCGGCAAAAGTTGAGAAGTCTTGAATATCTCGCTCGATTTTGTCGGGATCCATTGTACTGTCAACTTCTGTGATCATTTGGGAAATTAGTTGAACTTCTGAGCCATTTTCTGGCTCCATTTCTTCGTCTGAAGACATTCTGAAATGTATTTTTGGTTGGAATTTTGAATTTGCGAGAAAATGAATGTAAATATGGTGGGGTTACTGTAGATTTTTGGCGGGAAAATTCGAATTTTAAATTTTTTTTTGCCAAAAAATGAGTCCAAACACGATAGGGTTACTGTAGATTTTTGGCGGGAAAATTCAAATTTTAAATGTATTTATTTTGCCAAAAAATGAATCTAAACACGATAGGGTTACTGTAGAATTTTGGCGGGAAAATTCGAATTTTAAATTTTTTTGCCAAAAAATGAGTCTAAACACGATAGGGTTACTGTAGAATTTTGGCGGGAAAATTCGAATTTTAAATTTTTTTTGCCAAAAAATGAGTCCAAACATGATAGGGTTACTGTAGAGTTTTTGGCGCGAAAATTCAAATTCAAATTTTTTTTTTTTGAAAATTCATTCTGATGGAAAAAATGAGTCTAAACACGATAGGGTTACTGTAGATTTTTGGCGGGAAAATTCGAATTTTGAATTTTTGCCAAAAAATGAGTCTAAACACGTTAGGGTTACTGTAGAGTTTTTGGCGCGAAAATTCGAATTTTGAATTTTTGCCAAAAAATGAGTCTAAACACGTTAGGGTTACTGTAGAGTTTTTGGCGCGAAAATTCGAATTTTGAATTTTTGCCAAAAAATGAGTCTAAACACGTTAGGGTTACTGTAGAGTTTTTGGCGCGAAAATTCGAATTTTGAATTTTTGCCAAAAAATGAGTCTAAACACGTTAGGGTTACTGTAGAGTTTTTGGCGCGAAAATTCAAATTCAAAAAATTAATTTTTCGCTCCCAGGTTACTGTAATTTTTGGCGCCAAAATGCAAAAAAAGATAAGATTTCCGATAAAAAACGGATTTTTCAACAAAAAAAACAAAAAAAATCCAAAAATTCTCAAATTTTTATCACAAAACAATAGATTTGATCATAAATTCCCCAATTTTCCCCTCAAATTTCGACCAAAATTTTCGAATTTTTCCATTTTTCCCACGAAAAGCCACAGGTAAATAGGGAGAATTGTGGAAAATTAGAAGTTCTTGATGTTCGCCTGATTGTTCGGAACAGATGGCGATTCCGCCGAAGATTCCGCGAATTTCGGCGAAGAATTCGGTGAGTTTTTGAATTGGAAGATCGTCGGACGGGTTTCTGGAAGAAAAATGGGGATTTTTGGGTGAATTTTGAGCTGAAAATCGTGATTTTCAGAATTTTTTGAGCTAGAAATCATGAATTTTGAGCTAAAAATCATGATTTTAAATAAATTTTAAGCTAAAAATCAAAATTTTTGATAAATTTTAAGCTGAAAATCATGAAAATTGATGAATTTTGAGCTAGAAAATTCAAATTTTCCACTAAAAACCAACTAAGCCTAATCTTAAGCCTAAGGCCTATGCGGAAAAACAAAAAAAAGGAACAATTATAGGCTTAATTTATTTTTTGGCAGGTGTCCAAGACCAATTTTTGCTAATTTTTAGAGTTTTTAAAGGTACAGGAGATTAAAAATCGTGTTAGGACCCAAATTTTTAATGAAAAATTGGATTTTTCAGGTTCAGAAGCGATTTTTAGATGAAAAATCGTGTCAGGACCCAAAATGTTGATGAAAAATTAGATTTTTCAGGTCCGGAAGCGATTTTTAGATGAAAAATCGTGTCAGGACCCGAATTTTTATACAAAATTGGATTTTTCAGGTCCAGAAGCGATTTTTAGATGAAAAATCGTGTCAGGACCCAATTTTCGGTGAAAAATTGGATTTTTTTGGGTTCAGAAGCGACTTTTAGATGAAAAATCGTGTCAGGACCCAAATTTTGATGAAAAATTGGATCCAGAAGCGAAAAATGACGAAAAATAGGATTTTTCAGGTTCAGAAGCGATTTTTAGATGAAAAATCGTGTCAGGACCCAAATTTTGGTGAAAAATTGGATTTTTCAGGTCCAGAAGCGATTTTTACATGAAAAATCGTGTCAGGACCCGAATTTTGATGAAAAATTGGATTTTTCAGGTCCAGAAGCGATTTTTAGATGAAAAATCGTGTCAGGACCCAATTTTTGATGAAAATTTGGATTTTTCAGGTCCAGAAGCGATTTTTAGATGAAAAATCGTGTCAGGACCCAAATTTTGAATGAAAAATTGGATTTTTCAGGTCTAGAAGCGATTTTAGATGAAAAATCGTGTCAGGACCCAAAATTTTGATGAAAAATTGGAATTTTTAGGTCCAGAAGCGATTTTTAGATGAAAAATCGTGTCAGGACCCGAATTTCGATGAAAAATTGGATTTTTTCGGTCCAGAAGCGATTTTTAGATGAAAAATCGTGTCAAGACCCAAATTTTGGTGAAAAATTGGATTTTTCAGGTCCAGAAGCCATTTTCAGAGTTTTTAAAGGTACAGGAGATGAAAAATCGTGTCAGGACCCAAATTTCAATGGAAAATTGGATTTTTTAGGTTCAGAAGCCGATTTTTAGATGAAAAATCGTGTCAGGACCCAAAATTTTGATGAAAAATTGGATTTTTCAGGTTCAGAAGCGAAAAATTCATCATTTTTCATGATTTTTAGCTCAAAAATTCCCAAATTTCACCGCAAAACCCTCAAAACTCACAACAATCTTCTAGCAATCTCTCGACAAAAATCACTCCTCACCAGCACCTCTCCATGCCCCGTGGAACAAACCGCCACACTTCTTCTTGCGGAAATTTTCCGCATCCTTCCGCGTTTCCGCCCACGTTCCCGCTCCATAAACACAACTATGTCCCAGTCTTCCGGGATTCTTCAGAATTATTCCGCCACTTGAACTTGAAGCCTCGCAGAGTTCTGAGCTCCACAAAATCGCGCCAACAGTGTCGTAGCTCAGATTTTGCTCTTTTTCAAGTTTTTCGAAATTTTCTATAGATTTTGGGGATTTTAGAGATTCCTGCGAGGATTTTTCAACATTTTCCTCGTCGAAAAATCGATTTACACCATCGCCAACAATTAACATCGGATGCAATAGCTTGCGATTTCGCCACCACGTGGATTTCGCGATTTTTTCCGCAATTTTCGCGGGATTTTTCGAATTCCTCACACATCCAACAGCTCCATATTGATTTTTATCATTCATATAACTCGCCTCATTTTCCACACCGCCTTCTAGATTCAAATTAGATCCATAGCCGCAGTTGAAGCTTTCATGATCTTCTAGAACTTCTATAGCTTCTATGACATTGTTGGAATTTGCGGAGAGTTCTAGAACTTCTAGCATTTCGTTGTTTTTCTTGATTGATGCTCCACCATGGACGGCTATGATCATTCTATTGATTTTTTAATTTTTCCTCCAAAATTGACCCGCTGAATCGGTGCTTTAGAATGATTTTTTCGTTTTTCACCAACACGGGAATATCGTATTTGTATTTCTATAAAAATTTCCATTTTTTCCACTAAATTTCATTGAGCCCAAACAGACCTCTATAAGCGCCTTTATCGGCTCGTTTTTCAGGTTTTTCTCAATAACTTCGATTTCTGGGTGTTTTCGCAGATAATTTCCGAGTTGTTTGTGAAAATGCACGCACAATGAACAATCTTCGGTTGAATAGAGTGTGAGTTTTGTGGCGATTCCTCGGCGAAACGCGAAAAACATCGAAAAAACAAAAATAAAAATAAATATTGTTTGAATTGGCGGGAGGGTTGTACACTTGCAGCGTGTTTGGCGCGAGTGTGTAGAGTGTGTGCGGCGCTTGCCGAAAAGCCACGCCCCTTATTTTCGTTTTTCGCAATTTTTTTGGCCTGGTTTTCTTCTTTTTTCGAAGTTTTTAGGGGTTTTTTGAAGGTTTTTTCTACTTTTTTCTATTTTACAGTAGTTTTAAAATTTTTGAACTACCCCTATTTGTTTCTCTATGCAAAATTTATCATCAAATTTGCGATTTTTGGTTTAGGCCAATCTGCAGGGATTTTTATGAATCTTTATTTTTTGTTCAAGAAGATTTGCGCATACTCGACATGTAGTTAAAGTCTTATCCTTGGATGCTCGTGATACGCTGATTGCTGCGAAAGAACATCCAGGTGTTGTTTACTCGAAATTCGCAGCGGAGAAAGGATTACACATTGATGCCAATCAAGTTTTTCCGAATTTTTTGAAAAATTATAAAATAGCGTGTCAAAAGTATCCTTGCTTTGGTTACAAGACTGTTGGAGATCGTGAATGGTGGAATTTTGTTGTGAGAAACACGCTTTTAGATGTATGTGATGAAAAATTGGCGCGGGGTTTTGAAATAATTGTATTTTTAGTCTGCGCCTGGCTCGTCAAATGATATTACAAGCAAATTAGCCGACGAACTTTTTGATTTTTATGCGACAAAAGAACCGTGGAAGTTGGTTGAATCTGATGTAAATAATATTTTCGAATTGTTTCGAAAATAAACTTCTATTCATTCTAGATTCGATCAACTCTTCAAAAGTTCCGCCTCAAAGGCATCTCACTTGTTGTAACGTCGAATACTGATAGTCGCTTGAAATCGATTCTCAAACAGTTTTGCCTTGATGACTTGTTTTCCATGATTTTACTTGCTGGCGAAGTTGGGTATGAAAAACCTGACAAGAAAATTTTTGAACTTATTTTCAATCACTTTGATTTGTCTAGTCCTTCTGAAATTTTACATATAGGTGATCACTTTAAAAATGATTATTCTGGTGCTAGAAATTTTGGCTGTAAATCTCTTCTCTTTGATCCTCTTTCTAAATCTGTTGAAGTGCCCTCCATTGATCGTATCTCTAAATTTTCTTCCCTCAACTTATATTAAATTTGTAAATATCCTTCCATTATATAGATTGAATAATAAAGTTTTTCAGGTCATGGATCTCTTTCGAAAGCCAAAAAAGCGAGCTGGAGCTCCAACCGCCGTTCGACAACGAGAAGATGGAAGTGATGAAGATGAGACTGCTGTGAAAACTGCGATTCCAAAGAAACGACGCAACAATCCAATGGTCCAGTCGGTGAGAATTGGTACATTTTGTTTTCCATTTTTATCCCCTTTCCTAGCCACTCAATGCATTCTTGAGTTACAGACTAGTCGGAAAGAAAAGACTGCTCGATCTTCGTCTGATTCGGATGGCGATGATGACGAGATTGCTGTTGCCGAGCACACTTTCGCTGCATCTGGAGATTCTGGCCCAGCCGGTCCTCGTGATTCTGGTGCCACTGCAACTCTCGACATCGATACTGATGTATCTGTTGATGCTCAGGCTCAATTCGAACGAGTTCAACAGCAATTGAAGGAGGGTCTTGAAAAGGATGGAAAAGTTCTCTACAAAGGTGCAGCTTTGTATGGAGCAAAAGAAGCCAAGGACACCGCGAAAGGCAATGCTTCTAGTGGTATGAATAGAATTGGACCTGTGAGAGCTCCTGCATTTTTGCGACAAACAGTTCGATGGGATTTTGCTCCGGACATCTGTAAAGATTATAAGGAAACTGGTTTTTGTACTTTTGGAGGTATGTTTTCATAATTTTTAGTTATTTCAAAATAATTTATTGATTTTCAGATTCTTGTAAATTCGTGCACGATCGTTCGGATTACAAACACGGTTGGGAAATCGACAAGGACTTCGAGGAAGGAAAATACGACGAAGATGATAATACTGATTATACCATCAAGGAAGAGGATGAAATGTATCCAGAAGAATGTTACATCTGCGGAAACGCGTTTGTCGATCCAATTGTCACCAAATGCAAGCATTACTTCTGCACAGATTGTGCTATGAAGGAGTTCAAAAAATCTGCAAAGTGCCCAATTTGTCAACAAAACACTGAACGGATTATGAATGCGGCGAGGGATTTGATAAATCATTTGAAACGGAAGAAAGCAGAGCAGAAAGTCCCGAGTGATCATGAAGAAGAGGAGGAAGAACCGGCGAGTTCGAATTGTGAAGGTCATGATCATGAGGAACACCACCATCATCAAGAACATCGCGAGGATTATCAAGATGATTCTGAAGAGAATGACGAAGGAGAAGAGGCTGGTTTAGAAAGTGATAATGATCAAGATGAACCTGAAGTTGCTGATGAAGAACAAGCTATTGAAATGGAAGCGATTGATGATGTGGACGATGGAGAAGAAGATGAATCCGAAAGTGATGGAAATGAATCAGATTAATGGTTCAAGATCTCAATTCTGTAAATAAATAACTTATTTTTACCTTTATTCATTTATTTCTTGTTCCACACTTACTAATGGTTCAGACCATTTGAATATCTCTATTTCTATTTTATTTTTTGTCTTGCTTTTCTTAATCCAAATATTTTTGTAGGGTTCCAATTACAGACATGAAGGTCAAGACTAAGACTATCCGCGGACAAAAGAAAGATCAACTCGTCAAGCAACTCGACGAACAAAAGACCGAGCTCGCCTCGCTCCGCGTCTCCAAAGTCACCGGAGGAGCCGCCTCGAAGCTCAGCAAGATCCACGTCGTTCGCAAGAACATCGCCAGAATCTTGACTGTCATCAACCAAACCCAAAAGCAAGAACTCCGCAAGTTCTACGCTGATCACAAGGTAATTCGATTTCTTGATGTTTTGTTGGCAACAAAAATTATTTTGATTATTTTCAGTACAAGCCAATCGACCTTCGTTACAAGAAGACCCGCGCCATCCGCAGAAGACTCACCGCTCACGAGCAATCATTGAGAACTGCCAAGCAACAAGCCAAATCCCGAAACTTCGGAATCAGAAAGTTCGCTGTCAAGGCCTAAACGAATTTTGATGATGATTGTATTTTTGTTATCCAAATTTGGAACATAAAGTTGTTTTGTTCAACGTTAAAAGAAATTCGTGTCGATATTCTTTGTGTCGCTCTTCAAGAACTTACTTTTTTCCGTTTGTTTCGAAATCCTCTCGCTTTTTCTCTGCGTCTCGTTCCCAAAAGAAGAATGTGCGCTCCAATGCGAACGCCATTTGCCTGCCTATTTCGCGCCATTTCTCAGTTTTCTTTTAGGACAAGCAGAAAAATGGCTTCTTCAGCAAAACGCCCGAGAATTGCAGATGATACCAGTGATGATGATGAAGAGGTGAGTTTTTGAAGGGGGAATTTGAAAATTTATGAAATTTTTAGGCTTTTGCAAAAAAATTGACCTAAAAATCATATTTTTGGTCAAATTTCTGCAGTTTGCTTAAATTTTTCATGAAAAATCTGAAAATTAAAGATTTTCTTAAAAATCTGGCTGAAAATTGTCAAAATTTCAGTCAAAATTTCGTCAAAAATCCCAAATTTCAAGATTTTGCACCAAATTTGACCTAAAAATCATAATTTTGATCAAATTTCATGTTACCAGCTCAAAATTCTGCAATTTCCTTGAAATTTTCATGAAAAATCTGAAAATTAAAGATTTTCTTAAAAATCTGGCTGAAAATTGTCAAAATTTCAGTCAAAAATTCTGCAATTTGCTTAAATTTTCCGTCAAAAATCACCAAATTTGCATTGAAAATTTACCTAAATTTCAAGATTTTTGAACCAAAATTGGCCTAAAAACATCACATTTTTGATCAAATTTCATGAAAAATCTGAAAATTGAAGATTTTCCTCAAAATCTGGCTGTAAATTGGAAATTTCAGTCAGAATTTCGTCAAAAATCACAAATTTCAAAATTTTTCCATCAAAATTCACCTTAAAAATCATATTTCATGAAAAAATCTGAAAATTAATGATTTTCTTCAAAATCTGGCTGTAAATTGTCAAAATTTCAGTCAATTTTGTCAGAATTTCGTCAAAAATCACCAAATTTGCATTAAAAATCCTAAACTTCAAGATTTTTCACCTAAAAAATCAGATTTTTTGATCAAATTTCAGTTACCAGCTCAAAATTCTGTAATTTTCTCGAATTTTTCATGAAAAATCAGAAAATTAAAGATTTTCTTCAAAATCTGGCTGTAAATTGGAAATTTCAGTCAAAAATCCCAAAATTCTGCATTTTTCCATCAAAAATCCACATATAAGGTTGAATTTCATGAAAAATCTGAAAATTGAAGATTTTCCTCAAAATTTGGCTGTAAATTGTAGAAGTTTCAGCTCAAAATTCTGCAATTTTCTCAAATTTTTCATGAAAAATCTGAAAGTTAAAGATTTTCTTCAAAATCTTAGTGTAAATTAGAAACTTAATTCCAAATTTCGTCAAAAATCCCAAATTTCAAAATTTTTCCATTAAAAATCCCAAATTTCAAGATTTTTGCACCAAAAATCATATTTTTGATCAAATTTCACGAAAATCCAAGTTCTCAGCCCAAAATTCTGCAATTTTCTCGAATTTTTCATGAAAAATCTGAAATTTAAAGATTTTCTTCAAAATCTGGCTGAAAATTGGAAATTTCAGTCAAAATTTCGTCAAAAATCCCAAATTTCAAGATTTTTCCATCAAAAATCCACATTTAAGGTTAAATTTCATGAAAAATCTGAAAATTAAAGATTTTTTCAAAATCTGGCTGAAAATTTCGTCAAAAATCCTCATTTCCAGGGCAACGTGTTCAGCGTCGAATCAATTCTCAACAAACGAATCTCAAAAAGGCGGAAAATCGGAATATCTCGTCAAATGGGCCGGTTTTCCGGAAGATGACGCAACTTGGGAACCAGAAGACAATTTATCGTGTCACGATTTGATTGCCGAGTTTGAGAGAGAAAATGTGAGCATTTTTGGGGCAAAATGAAGATTTTACGTGAAAATTTGGGGAATTTTCAATTTTTCTAGCTAAAAATACGAGAAAATTCAATTTTTCTATAGAAATTTGGGGATTTTTCTAGCAAAACTAGCTGAAAAACACAATTTTTCCTTTAAAAAACCCAAAAATTTGAATTTTCAATGTAAAAATCATCAAAAATCCTTATTCTCACATAAAAATCCGAAAAACTCGAATTTTTGACCAGAAATTCCAATTTTAAATTAAAAAACAGCGAAAATTCGAAATTTCCCATTAAAAAAAACCCTTCAAATCTCCTCCCAACTCTCATTTTACCCGAAAATTTGAATTTTTAATGTAAAAATCATCAAAAATCTTATTTTTTACCCAAAAACCCGAAAAACTTGAATTTTTGACCAGAAATTCCATATTTTCATCAAAAAACAGCGAAAATTCGAAATTTTCCATTAAAAACCCTTCAAATCTCCTCTCAACTCTAATTTTACCCGAAAATTTGAATTTTTAATGTAAAAATTTTAAAAAAACCCAAATTTTCCATTAAGACCCCCAAAAAACTTGAAATTTTGACCAGAAATTCCAAATTTTCATCAAAAAACAGCGAAAATTCGAAATTTTCCATTAAAAACCCTTCAAATCTCCTCCCAACTCTCATTTTACCCGAAAATTTCTATTTTTCAAGTAAAAATCATCAAAAACCCAAATTTTTCACCCAAACACCCGAAAAACTTGAATTTTTGACCAGAAATTCCAAATTTATATAAAAAAACAGCGAAAATTCGGAATTTTCCATTAAAAACCCTTCAAATCTCCTCCCAACTCTCATTTTACCCGAAAATTTGAATTTTTGTTGTAAAAATCATCAAAACCCAAATTTTTCACGAAAAACTTGAATTTTTGACCAGAAATTCCAAATTTATATAAAAAAACAGCGAAAATTCGGAATTTTCCATTAAAAACCCTTCAAATCTCCAAATTTTACCCGAAAATTTCTATTTTTCAAGTAAAAATCATCAAAAACCCAAATTTTTTCACCAAAAGACCCAAAAAACTCGAAATTTTGACCAGAAATTCGAAATTTTTCATCAAAAATCAGCGAAAATTTGAAATTTTTTACAAAAAACAGCGAAAATTCGAAATTTCCCATTAAAAACCCTTCAAAACCCCTCCCAACCCCAATTTCTTCCAGAAAAAAGAGAAATCCAACAAAGATGAGTTGGATTCACAAGAATCGGAAGATGTTGATAACAAACAACTTCGTTGTATTGTCGGATTGACAAAAGCGCCGGGAGAATTGCATTTTTTGTGCAAATTCACTGATGACACTGCCATGTTGTTGCCAGCTAAAGAAGTCAATTCACGGTGAGCATTTTGAGACCGAATTTGGGAATTTTTCATGAAAATTGAGCCAGAAATGTGAGATTTTGATTAAAAAATTGATGGAATTGTGAAAATTTGAGCTAGAAACTTTGAAATTCATGAAATTTGACCTAAATTTCGAGGTTTGATAAAAATATGTTGAAAATTATCTAAAATTTGAGCTGAAACCTTGAAAATTTGATTTTTCATGAAAATTGAGCCAGAAATGGGAAATTTTGATAGGAAAATTGCGAAAATTTGACCAGAAACCTTGAAAATGGTTGTTTTCTTTGAAAATTGTGAAAAATTCAACCCTAAAATTGTTTTTGAGGAAAATTTGAGCTTGAAACTTTGAAATTCAAATTTTACGTGAAATTTGAGGTTCAGAAATGTTGAAAATTATCTAAAATTTGAAAAAACTGAGAAATTATGAACCAGAAATCTTGAAAATGGTTATTTTCATGAAAATTTATTAGAAAAATTTGAAATTTTTTCTGGAAAATTTGATTTTTTAAATTTTTAAAATGATTTTTATTGGGGAAATTTTGAGAAAGCCTTTTGAAATTCAAAATTTTCATGAAATTTTGTAGCTGGAAACCTTGAAAATTTGATTTTTGCATGAAAATTGAGCCAAAAATATGAAATTTTGATACAAAATCTGGAAAAATTGCGAAAATTTGAGCTAGAAATTTATTTTCCATGAAAAATCATTATTTTTATTGGGGAAATTTTGAAAAAACCCTTTTTCATGAAATTTTGAACTGAAACCCTTGAAAATTTGATTTTTCATGAAAATTGAGCAAGAAATGTGAAAACCTACGGTTTTTATTGAAAATTTGATTTAAAAACCTCATGAAATTTTGAGTTAAAAACCTTGGAAATTTGAATTTTCATGAAATTTTGAACCCGAAAAGGTTGAATTTTGATAGAAAATCTGGAAAAATTGCAAAAAAATTGAATTTTTGATGAAAATTTCAATTTTTTTCAAAAAAAAATTTAAAAAATTCAATTTTCCTCCCAAAAACGCGGATTTCTAGCCAAAAACCATCAAAAAGACATGAAAATTTCACTCCAAAAACCTGAATTTTCCCCAATTTTTGCAGCTATCCAAATCATGTCATCCGCTTCTACGAATCTCGCCTAAAATTACACGATAACTATACAACTTCATAATTTTTTCGCAAATTTTTCATTTTTCATCAATTTTTCCACATTTTTTCCTGTAAAATTCCAAATTTTCAATAAATTTCACCGAAAAACCCGTTTTTTTCACCCAAAATCAATCTAAAATTAGATATCGCGGATATGTCGACGAATACGTGGATTTTGTGCAGAAAAAAGTGGAGAGACGCAAAAAACGAGCCGAAGAAACGAGAAAAGGCAGATTTCCGATGGAGGATGATGTGGAAGAGGAATGGCCGAGAATTCCTGAAGGAATTGTGATTTTGGTGAGGATTTTTGAAAATTTGAGCTGCAATTTGGATTTTTTAGAAGATTTGGAGGTTTTTGAGCCAAAATTTGAGAATTTTGATGAAAATTGACCTGAAATTCAGATTTTTTAGAAGTTTTGGAGCTCTTTGAGCTAAATTCAAATTTTCAACTAAATTTTCCTGAAATTCAGATTTTCTGGAAGATTTGAAGGTTTTAAGCTCAAATTTGAGAATTTTGATGAAAAATGACCTGAAATTAAATTTTGGAAGAAAAATCTGAATTTTTAAGCTGAATTTGAAAAATTTGATGAAAAATTTATCTGAAATTCAGATTTTTCTGAAGATTTGGAGCTTTTTGAGCTCGAATTTGAGAATTTTGATGAAAAATGACCTGAAATTTAGATTTTTCAGAAAATTTGAAGGTTTTTGAGCTCAGATTTGAGAATTTTGATGAAAATTTATCTGAAAACTGAATTTTGGAAGAAAAATCTGAATTTGAAAAATTTGATGAAAACTCAGCTGAAATTCAGATTTTCTAGAAGATTTGGAGCTTTTTGAGCTAAAATTTGAGAATTTTGATGAAAAATGACCTGAAATTGAATTTTGGAGGAAAAATCTGAATTTTTAAGCTGAATTTGAAAAATTTGGAGAAAACTCAGCTGAAATTCAGATTTTTTAGAAGATTTGGGACTCTTTGAGCTAAAATTTGTGAATTTTGATGAAAATTCATCTGAAAATTGAATTTTGGAAGAAAAATCTGAATTTTCAAGCTGAATTTGAAAAATTTGGAGAAAACTCAGCTGAAATTCAGATTTTTTAGAAGATTTGAAGGTTTTTGAGCTCAAATTTGAGAATTTTGATGAAAAATGACCTGAAATTCAGATTTTTTGGAAGATTTGGAGGTTTTTGAGCCAAAATTTGAGAATTTTTGATGAAAAATCTGAATTTTCAAGCTGAATTCGATAAATTTGGAGAAAATTAACCTGAAATTCAGAATTTTTAGAAAATTTGGAGGTTTTCGAGCTAAAATTTGAGAATTTTGATGAAAAATGACCTGAAATTGAATTTTGGAAGAAAAATCTGAATTTTCAAGCTGAATTTGAAAAATTTGGAGAAAATTGACCTGAAATTCAAATTTTTCAGAAGATTTGGAGGTTTTTGAGCTAAAATTCGGGGAAAAATGACCTAAATTTGATATTTTTGAAAAAAATCTTAATTTTTAAGCCAAAATTCGGAAATTTTGATGAAAAATGACCTGAAATTCAGATTTTTTGAAAGATTTGGAGCTTTTTGAGCTCAAATTTGAAAAATTTGATGAAAAATGACCCGAAATTGATATTTTGGAAGAAAAATCTGAATTTTCAAGCTGAATTTGAAAAATTTGATGAAAATTCAGCTGAAATTCAGATTTTTTAGAAGATTTGGGGGTTTTTGAGCCAAAATTTGAGAATTTTGATGAAAATTGACCTCAAATTGAATTTTGAAAGAAAAATCTGAATTTTTAAGCTGAATTCGGAAATTTTGATGAAAACTCAGCTGAAATTCAGATTTTCTGGAAGATTTGGAGGTTTTTGAGCTAAAATTCGGAAATTTTGATGAAAATTAACATGAAATTAATTTTTAGATAAAAAATCTGAATTTTCAAGCTGAAAATCGAAATTTTCATAATTTTCCGAATCATTTGAACCAAAATTCATGAAAAATCCAAATTGCCACGTGGCATTTTGCAGACGCGCGAGCAACGCGAAGCAAAATTGGCCGAAAAACGTCGTCAAGCTGAAGAAGCTCAAAAACAACTTCTGGAAGAAGTCGTCGAAAATCCGCTGATTCTGGAAGATGTGGTGGTTCAGGATCAGGATCCGATATTTTCCGATTTCCAAACATCAGCAACAGAAGATCAAGCTCAAAATCAAGAAATTCAAGAAATCTCGTTTGATGACGTGGCCGAGCCAAAAGAGCCCGAGATCTGTCAGATTTTGGTGGATACTGTCATCGAGGATGAGGATGTGGATTTGAGTACTGTAGTTGGGAATACTGTAATTCCTGGGATTCAGGAGGAATTAGAAGTGCAAAATGAGGAAAAACCTATCCAGGAGCAACCTACAGTAACCCAAGAGACTACAGTAATCCCAAAAATCGAAGAAGAGCCTTCCACAGTACCCCAAGAGCCTACAGTACTTCACCAAATCAAAAATGAGCCACAACCAGCAGAAGAAGAAGAAGAGGGAGAAGATGAATATGATGACTAGACTCTAGTTTTAATTTTACAGTAAAAGTTTACTATTTTAAAAGGTAATAAATGTGTTCAACAAAAAAAAATCGTACAAAAAACGGTGGATTTTGAGGGGAAAAGGTGAAAAAACTCAACGATTTGCAAAAAATAACAAACAGATAAAAAAAATCAACAAAAATGAGCCTGGAAGGCCTGAAAATGAGCCTAGAGGGCCCAAAACGAGCCTAAAAGGCCCAAAAAATGGGGCCAAACCGGGCCTTATTCGCTATCGCTGCTCGATTCCTCTTGTTTGACAACAACCTTCTTCTTTTTCGGCTTCACTGGCTCCTCTTCTTCTTCGGCGGCGGCGGCTCCGTTTTCAGCGGCTGGCTCCTAGAAAAATTTGAAAAATTATTGATTTTTTTTTAAATTTTAGCTGAAAACTTTGAAATCTAAAAATCCACGTGGAAAAATTTTCTGAAAAAAATTGATTTTGTCAGAATTTTAGCTGAAACTCTAAAATCTAAAAATCCACGTGGCTTTTTCGTGAGCTTAAAATTTAGGTTTTCGCACCAATTTCCAACGTTACTGTAGTATTTTGTAGATTCAAAAACTTTCCACGTGTCAAAATTTAGAAAATCCACGTTGCAGCGAAATAAGGGCCAAAATTCAGGTTTTTAGTTGAATTTCAGATCAAATTTGGCTTGAAAACTTTAAAATTAGGATATTTTCAGTAAAAAATCACAAATTTTAGTTATTTTCAATTTTTCTGGAGCTAAAGAATTCTAGGGCTTTGAAAATTGATAAATTCAGCTAATTTTCAAACTTTCCACGTGTCAAAATTTGGATTACTGTGCCACGTGGATTTTCAGCTGAAATTTTTCTATTTTGAAAAATCCACGTTGCAACAAAACAAGGGCCAAAATTCAGAATTTTCAGAGATTTCTAGACGAAAATCAATTTTTGGATTCAAAAATTTTTGAAAAAAACTTTCAAGAGGATTTTTCAGTTGCTTCAAATCCACGTGGCTTTTTCGTAGGCTTAAAATTCATGTTTTCGCGCCAATTTTCAAAGGGTTACTGTAGTTTTTATTCAAAAAATTTTCCACGTATCAAAATTTAGAAATTCCGTGGATTTTCAGCTGAAAATCCACGTGGCAAAATTTGCCAGGCAAATATTCGAAATTCATAATTTTCACATTTCAGCCAAATTTCCCATATTTCCGATCAGACAAATCAATTTTCCACGTGGATTTCAGCCATTTTTCCTGATTTCCCAGCCAAAAAAGTACCTCCTTAACATTGGTGGCAACATATTCCTTAGCCCAAGATTTGGGTGTTTTGTCAGTCGATTTTCCAAACTTGTCCAACAATCCATCCTTAACCATTTGCTTCTTTTTCGATGCAACCGGTCCCAATCCCCATTTTCGGCCATAAACATCTCGTTCCATGATGACACGTTTCGATTTGGCAACAATTCCGTGATCGACTGACGCGATTGTTGATGTGCTCATTTGAGCAATTGCAATACAAATTGCTTCTCCTGGAAGAAAATCAATGGGGTTTTTTTAGGTTGAAAATCTGAATTTTTATGTTAAAATCTGAATTTTTAGCTTAAAAATCTAAATTTTTAGCTTGAAAATCTGAATTTTTAGGTTGAAATCTGAAATTTTAGGTTGAAAATCTGAATTTTTAGGTTGAAAATCTGAATTTTTAACCTAAAATTAATTTCAGTTCATTAGAAATTCTTATCAAACATGTTTCCTGATAGATTTTAATCTGTTTTTCACGATTTCGTTGTCAAAAACCACTTAGCTCAACTCTCTATGATGACGTGGCAAATTTGGTGACTTTACGAGGTTACAAATAGCTTCAAAATTTAATTTTTATGAAAAAAACCATTTTTGAAGCCACTAAGTCTACAAATAGTTTCAAAAATGGTTTTTTTTAAAGAAAATTAAATTTTGAAGCTATTTATAATCTCGTAAAGACACTGGTTAAATTGTGCCACGTCATCATAGAGAGTTGAGCAAAGTTGTTTATGACAACGAAATCGTGAAAAACAGGTTAAAATCTACTGGGAAACATGTTTTATAAGAATTTCTAATGAACTGAAATTAATTTTTTCACGATTTCGTTGTCAAAAACTTCTTAGCTCAACTCTGAATATGCGCTATGACGTGGCAAGATTCGAAAAATCAGCACTTTTTGAGATGAAAACTAGCTTCAAAAATGAATTTTCTTGCAAATCTGATAGAATATGGTTGCTCAGAAGTGTCGATCACATGAGTTCAGATGAATTCAAAAATTATGTAGTCGACCTTCCTGAACAACCATATTCTATTAGATTTGCAAGAAAATCATTTTTGAAGCTAGTTTTCATCTCAAAGTGATTTTTCGAATTTTGCCACGTCATAGCGCATATTTAGAGTTGAGCTAAGTTGTTTTTGACAACGGAATCGTGAAAAACAGGTTTTTCGAGCGGAGCGAGTGTAAACCGCAAGCTTCCGCTTTAGTGGCCACGTGGATTACTATGACGTTTGCCATATCATAGTGATCCACATGGCCGCTTACGCGGAAGCTTGCGGTCTACACTCGCTCCGCGTGGATTTTCGAGCGGAGCGAGTGTAGACCGCAAGCTTCCGCGCAGCGGCCACGTGGATTACTATGACGTTTCCCATATCATAGTAATCCACGTGGCCGCTTACGCGGAAGCTTGCGGTCTACACTCGCTCCGCTCGACCCGAGCGCTCTGCGCGAGTGTAAGCCGGAATCTTCCGCGAAGCGGCCACGCGGATTAATATGACGTTTGCCATATCATAGTAATCCACGTGGCCGCTGCGCGAAAGATAAATTTTCCTGTACGAACCCTTAGTGGTCATAATAACAATCTCTTTTCCAACTTCAATATCATCATCAAATCGCAAAACGCCAGGAATCAAGATCTTTGCACCATAGCAAATCGCATTAACCGAACTATCCTTAACAACGATGCGTTTGTGTTGAGTGAGCAACGCTTCGAGCGGTTGAACAATATGTCGCATATAACTTTCGTCTTTTTGCGTGTCGAGCAAGTATTGCGCATCCAAAACGTCGTGCATGGTGACCATTTGTTCGTTTTCGTCGCAGATGCCGGAGCGATTACGGCGAAGTTCTTGCATTTGACCACCGCAGCCGAGAATGAGACCGAGATGAACGCAGATTGTTCGCACGTAGGTTCCGGATTCGCAGACGCAGCTGGAAATCAGGGGGTTTGAGATTAGGGCTCAATTTTGAGCTCATGAATTCCTAGAAAGAAAATTCTAGATTTTTCTAGGTAATCTGGCATTTTATCGTAATTTGAAAGCTGAAATTTATGAAATTCAAGCTAAAAAATCTAGATTTTCATTAAATTTTATTAGAAATCAGGGTTTCCAGAGCTGAAATTCTTAGATTTTCAAAAAATCGTGAAAATATGGAATTTTCAGATAAAACTATAGTTGAGCATCGACTAAATGACATTTTCATGTTTTTTAAGCAAATGAGTTGAAATATTGGGTTCTAATGTTATTCATATGATAGAATGGTCTAAGACGAACAGAATGATATTAATTTTGATGACTTTAGGTTATCCATAAGTGATTTAACGGCTTATCGCCTAAGCCTCGCTAAATCACTTATGGATAACGTAAATTCATCCAAATTTATATCATTCTGTTTGTCTTAGACCATTCTACCATATGAATAACATTAGAATCCAATATTTCAACTCATTTGCTTAAAAAACATGACAATGTCATTTAGTCGATGTCCAACTATAGTTTTATATGAAAAATCCATATTTTCAAAATTAAAACTCAAATTCCACGTCATAGTTCACGTGCTGAAATTCCCTTTTCAAGCTATGACGTGGAAATTGAGTTTTAATTTTGAAAATATGAATTTTTCATGTAAAACCTCCTACTCACTTAAAAATACCCATTTGTTGTTCAGGATCATATTCAACAAATTTGTTCTCATAAACAGTTCTAATACGCAATTGCCGTTTAACAGCCGAGATCAAAGGTGGACGTTGGAAAAGCGCTCCGGTCAACTTCTCCAAAGCCTGTCTCACTTTTCGCTCATCATCAACAGCTTCATGCAACTTGAAAATGCACATATATTCCTTTCCAGCTCCCTGTTGAGATTTAGCCAATCGTGTAGTTCTATCAATACAAACAATCAAACAACCCGACACTTTTGGATCAAGTGTTCCACTGTGACCAGTTTTTTCAGCTCGGAGAATTCTCTTGATCCATGAAACAACTTCGTGAGACGATGGATTGGATGGTTTGTCCAAATTGAAGAAACCAGACGAGACGTAGCTTTTGATGTCTCTTTTGAGTGGAGAAACTCCTTCGGTATGTGGAGTGTAGTGACTGGTGCGAACATTGAGTTTATCGTAGTTTTTCAAGAGAAGTGGCCATTGAGAGGCGTCGAGTTTTGGACCATCGTTTGAGGATGGAAGTTGGAATGAACCTTTGTGTTGAGCTTCCTGGAATAATGGGAAAATTGCGCATTTTTTGAATGGAAACTTGAAAAAACCCGATTTTCAAGCTCAAAATGCTCGTTTTCACATGTAATTTCATAGGAAATCAGAGTTTTTGGCTCAAAATCTGTGAAATCCCCATTTTCCTCTCCCTAAACCTTTTCCATACTAAATCCCCCTGTTTTCTAGACAAAAATCAATAAATTCCTCAAAAATCCCATTTCCCGCGCAAATTCCAAAACGGGCGGTCCCAAAAATTTTCCTTTTTTCATTTTCCATCCCTTCTCCATGTTTTTTACCCAAAAAACCCAATGAAAAACTCACAGAAAGTTCGGCTCCTTCGAGACGTTGCTTCTTGTCTTTCTTGCCCATTTTGACTTTTTTACCTGCAAAAATCGATAATTTCTAAATTTCTACTGACTTCTAGGCAAAGCTTATATCCTCAGCAACATGAAAATCACAAAAAATCTCGAAAAATTCCCAGCGAAACCCCCAAAACTCGCCGAAAACCTCAAAAAACAACAAGAAATCGAAGAAAAAGTGTTTTTTGGCAAAATGCCCGAAAAGTGTGCGTCGCACCCCTTCGTATACCCACACACTTAAGGGGCAGCTACGCACAAACATTTTCGAATTTCCCTTTTTTTGGCGCGCAATTCTCCATTTCTCTTGTTGTCTTTTTGTTTTGCTGGGTGCGTTGGGTTTCTGCTCATTTTCCAGGCGGTTTAGGCGGGTTTCGCGTTGATTTTCAGATGAAAATAGTGCTGAAATCGTTAGTTTCACCTAGTTTTAGCCCTAGATGCTGAAATTTTCGGCTGAAAATTTGGATTTTCTGGAAATTTCTGAAGCATTGATTTTCCTCGTTTTTAGGTATTGCTAGCTTTGCGTTGAAACTAATAGGATTTCCCATTTCTCTAGAGATTTTTGGGGGCTGAAAATCGATTCTGGAAATTTCGAAATTTCATCATCATTTTTTGCGAAACTCTGATTTCTAGGGTTTTTAGGCGGGTTTCGCGTTGATTTTCAGATGGAAAATCGTTCGTTTCACCTAGTTTTAGCCCTAGAAAGTTGGATTTTCCAGAAATTTCACAAAATCTAAAATAATCATAGGTTTAATATAATATTCAGCTGTTTCTATGGTTTCCCCAAGTTCACACGAACTTTTTCATTTTTTTTTGTTTACATCAATTGATATCTTATCAATTTCAATATCAAGTGTTTTTCTAGAAAAAATGGCATCTGGTGACGGTATCCCAACTTTCAAATTGGTTCTCGTTGGAGATGGAGGTACCGGAAAGACAACTTTCGTTAAACGCCATCTTACTGGAGAATTCGAGAAGAAGTATGTTGGTGAGTTGAGATTTTCTGTTTCCTTGATGAAAAAAGCTAATAATTTGGGTTTGCAGCCACTCTTGGAGTCGAAGTCCATCCACTTGTATTCCACACAAACCGAGGGCAAATCCGATTCAATGTTTGGGATACCGCTGGACAGGAGAAGTTCGGTGGACTTCGTGACGGTTATTACATTCAGGGTCAATGCGCCATCATCATGTTCGACGTCACGGCTCGTGTGACCTACAAAAATGTGCCGAATTGGCATCGCGATTTGGCGAGAGTGTGCGAGAATATTCCGATCGTTTTGACGGGCAACAAAGTCGACGTGAAAGATCGCAAAGTGAAAGCCAAGACCATCACTTTCCACAGAAAGAAGAACCTTCAATACTACGACATTTCGGCCAAGTCCAATTATAACTTTGAGAAGCCGTTCCTTTGGTTGGCTAGAAAATTGCTCGGAGATCCAAATCTCGAATTTGTCGCTATGCCAGCTCTTGCACCACCAGAGGTGAGCTGGAATTTGCGAATCTGCAAAAATTTTGCTGAAAGTGTCTATGAGCAAAGTTTTAAAGCTATAAAAATCAAGTGATTTTACTCGAAAAGTGACTGAAAATAATAAAAAAGAGTTGGAATTTAGAAGATGCGTAATGTTCCATTTGACGAAATGAGTGAAATCATAAAGAAATACTGATTTTTAAATACTTAGCCGAAATAGTTTAAATCTGAGCTCAAAATCAACACAAAACCGAGTCTGGTTCATTTTTTTGAATTTTTTGTTTTATATTATCGAAAGCAACAAATTCAAAAAATGAACCAGAATCGGTTTTGTGTTGATTTTGAGCTCTGATTTAAACTATTTCGGCTAAGTATTTAAAAATCAGTATTTCTTTATGATTTCACTCATTTCGTCAAATGGAACATTACGCATCTTCTATATTTCAAATGTTTTTATCATTTTCAGTAATTTTTTGAGAAAAATCACTTGATTTTTATAGTTTTAAGCTTGGCTCACAGCAGGCCTGTGCCGGAAATTTTCCGGTTTTCAGGAAATTTTTTTCCCATTTTTCTGAATTTTACGATTTTTTGAACGTAAAAAGTCCTAAAATAGAAGAATTGTATCTAAAAATACAATTTAGGGCCAACTTAGTGCTGAAATTTCAAATTTTCAGACTTTGAAAAATTTTCCGGTTCAAAAAATCCGGAAATTTTCCGACTTTCCGTTTTCCGGGTTTCGATTTTCCGGCACAGGCCTGGCTCACAGGTCCTTTCTATGCAATTTTTAGGGGTTTTCATCACAAAATCCCAAAACCACCTAAAAAATCCCCGATTTTCCAGGTTCAAATGGATCCAGCCATGATTGCCGAATACGAAAAAGATTTGGACCGCGCCGCCAAAGCCGATCTTCCAGACGACGACGATGATCTTTAAGCGACACACCATCAACATCTTGTTTTTCCTAAATCTCACACATCAAACCACACTTCTTCTTATTCTCCCCCATCATCAATTTTTATCCAATTTTTCGCGCTTTTCCATTGAAAAACTACCATTTTATACACATTTCATATGTCAATTAATTTCCATTCTTAAATAACCCCCTTTTCTCTCCGGTTCTCCCGAATTTTCTCCTTTTTATTTTTCTCTTGATGGGGGCCTCTCTTTTTTGTACATTTTTGTTCTTTTCCAACCTGTGCGAATGAAAAAAGAAGTGGGTTTCAAAGAGAACATTAATTGGCATACATCATTCTTTTATTTATTTTCATTTTCATTTTTTTTGTTGGAGAAATCACAAACACACATAAAATAGCACCGTTGTTAGATTATATTACACATACTTGTAACATTTCTGATGTGTTTCAGGCAGGCGAGTTTTGAACAGAATCGAGTCGGCTCGAAATTGCGAGAAACGCAATGGATTGTACCCGTAGATTGTGGTGAAGAGACGAATGCACTCGTGACGTTTGGAGAAATGAGAATCGGAATCGGACAGTTTTTCGGCACATGTTGGACATCTGGGAAAAATTGTGAGATTTTGGGGAATTCTGGGGGAAAATTCACAAAATTTGGATCAAAATGGTAAATTTTAGGCTGAAAATTGAGAAAAATTCAAAATTTTAGCTGAAAATTGAAAAAAATCGCAAAATTTTGGTTGAAAATTGAAAAAAATGGCAAAATTTCAGCTGAAAATTGAAAAAACTTCAAAGATTTGGCTGAAAATTGAAAAAAATCAAAATTTTTAGCTGAAAATTCAGAAAAATCGCAAATTTTCAGCTGAAAATTGATAAAAATGGCAAATTTTTAGCTGAAAATTGAACAAAAATTCAAATTTTTAGCTGAAAATTGAAAAAAATTCAAATATTTAGCTGAAAATTGAAAAAAATCGCAAAAATTTAGCTGAAAATTGAGAAAAAATTCAAATTTTTAGCTGAAAATTCAGAAAAAATTCGCAAAATTTTAGCTGAAAATTGAAAAAAAAAGCAAAATTTTAGCTGAAAATTGAGAAAAATTCAAATTTTCAGCTGAAAATTGAAAAATTCGAAATTTTTAGCTGAAAATTGAAAAAAATCGCAAAATTTTAGCTGAAAATTGAAAAAAATCGAAAATTTTTAGCTGAAAATTGAAAAAAATGGCAAATTTTTAGCTGAAAATTGAAAAAAATCGCAAAATTTCAGCTGAAAATTGAAAAAATTCAAATTTTTATCTGAAAATTGAAAAAAATCGCAAATTTTTAGCTGAAAATTGAAAAAAATCGCAAAATTTTGGCTGAAAATTGGGAAAAAATTCAAATTTTTAGCTGAAAATTGAAAAAAATTCAAATTTTCAGCTGAAAATTTAAAAAAAATTCAAATTTTTAGCTGAAAATTGAAAAAAATCGCAAATTTTTAGCTGAAAATTGAAAAAAAATTCAAATTTTTATCTGAAAATTGAAAAAAATTCAAATTTTTAGCTGAAAATTGGGAAAAATTCAAATTTTTTGCTGAAAATTCAATTTCAGCTCAAAATTCACCGTGTTTGGGCTCAAAATTCTCCAAATTTTTTTCCTAAATTCAAATTTAGGTCCCAAAAACTCACTTTATGGTCCATCTAGAAGTGGTTTTGATCGGCGGTTTTCTGGTCAAATGTGCCACGAGGAAATTCATGGCGATATCTTCGCAATTTTGAATTTCATCCACGTGGCGGCGAATTTCGGCGGGCATTTCATAGGTGTAGAAATCGAGGTAATTCTGGAAAAATTAGGGCCTTAAACGGGCCTAAAAACGGGCCTAAAGGAAGCCTGAAACTAGCCTAACAACAGGCCTAAATTAGGGCCTTAAGAGCCTAAAAATAGGGCCTTAACAGCCTAAAACCAGGCCTAAAATAGTGCCTTAAACTCACCTTATGCAAAAAAGCGGCTCCCGTCAAAATAATGCTCATTTGACACGTGTGATTACTGTTATAGTACATTTTTTCCCCATATCTTGCATGATATCTCGCCGGGAATCCGACGATACGGTCACGATTTTCGCGCCAAACTCTAGAAATTCAAATTTTTCGTGGGATTACGGTCATTTTGAGACCAAACATGACTAGGGTAGGGTTACTGTAGATTTTGGGTCTCGCAGCGAAAAATTTAAAGGAACATAGGCTTGTGGGGTGTCAAAATGATCAGAAAAATGTGGGGAGCGAAATGCACGTGGCAATTTCTGGGTTACTGTATCTGGGTTACTGTAGAATTCCAAAAATTTGCAAAAATTAAAGGAACATCGGCTTGTGGGGTGTCAAAATGATCGGAAAAATGTGGGGAGCAAGATGCACGTGGCAATTTCTGGGTTACTGTATCTGGGTTACTGTAGAATTCCAAATTTTCGCAAAAATCAAAGGAACATAGGCTTGTGGGGTGTCAAAATGATCGGAAAAATGTGGGGAGCAAGATGCACGTGGCAATTTCTAGGGTTACTGTATCTGGGTTACTGTAGAATTCCAAATTTTCGCAAAAATTAAAGGAACATAGGCTTGTGGGGTGTCAAAATGATCGGAAAAATGTGGGGAGCAAGATGCACGTGGCAATTTCTGGGTTACTGTATCTGGGTTACTGTAGAATTGCAAATTTAAAGGAACATGGGCTTGTGGGGTGTCAAAATGATCAGAAAAATGTGGAATTCGAGGTCTAGGGTACTGTAGGTCGTGGCGGGACCCAAAATTAAAGGAACATGGGCTTGTGGGGTGTCAAAATGCGTCAAATTCAATTTCCACGTGGAATTTCAGGTTTTCTACAGTACCCCAGGCATATTTGGTATCAAAATGCTCCAAATTTGCTCACCTAAAAGCTAAAAGGAACTCTTCCTGCATTAAATCAATATCATCATCTAAAGAAAGCACGGCTTCAGTCTCAATTCGATTCCACGGAATAAATCGATTGTTCAGACTGTTTTTGGCGACTTTTATGAATTCGATTGGAACATGAAGGGAGGGCCAAGAATCCGAGGGAACTCGATTTATGTTGTTCCAGATTACGAGGATCTGAAAATCTGGAATTTGGCTGAAAATCTGGAAATTTTGGTGAAAATACGATTTTTTTGAGTCTAAATTTGATATATTTGGCTGAAAATCTGGAATTTTTGGCTGAAAATCGGAAATTTGGCTGAAAATGCCAATTTTTTGAGTGTAAATTTGATATATTTGGCTGAAAATCGGAAATTTGGCTGAAAATCTGGAATTTTTGGCTGAAAATGCGGATTTTTTGAGTGTAAATTTGATATATTTGGCTGAAAATCTGAAATTCCATCAAAAATTTGGCAAAAATTCAAATTTTTAATGAAAAATCTGATATTTTGAGTGTAAATTTAGCCTACAGTAATCCAGGAGCAATAAATTTTGGCGCGAAAATTTTAAAAATTCAAATTTTTCTCAAAAAAAAAGAAGCTTCAAAAATCCACGTGGCATTTTCTACAGTAATCCTGGATCAAGAAATTTTGGCGCGAAAATTTTGAAAATTCAAATTTTTCTAGAAAAAATGGCTACAGTAATCCAGGATCAAGAAATATTGGCGCGAAAATTAGGAATTTGAATTTTTCTCAAAAATCCACGTGGCATTTTCTACAGTAATCCTGGATCAAAGAAATTTTGGCGCGAAAATTTTGAAAATTCAAATTTTTTTTGAAAATCCACGTGGCATTTTCTACAGTAATCCAGGATCTACAGTAATTCTGGGTCAAATTTCACGTTTCCGCGCTCATTTTCCGCGCTTCCGCAAGCTTTCCGCGCGCGTCTCACCTTATTCAAATAGGGTAGCTGATTTAACCGCTCCAGTGCCGCCTTCAATTCCGCATCCCTCTCAAAAGTCAACAAAACCACCGTAAACTGCTCCTTGTGTCGATTTCCGCCCAAATTCCGATTGAATTCCGTTCCGGAACCGGGAAATATGGGGCGGAACGCGGACGCGGAATCCGGAAAGAATTCCGCTTCCGCCGGCGGATCGTGCGATCCTATCAAATATTCCGGAGTTCGGTGGGGCGCGATTGCAACATTCCACGTGGAATATGAGTAGAGTTGGAATTGCGTGAAATTGTGGAGATATTGTGGGGATTTGTAGGCGGGTTCGAGAGGTCCTGAAAATTTTTAAATTCGGGGTACTGTAGATTTTGGCGCGCGAAAATTCCGGTCGTTTTGAGACCCAACAAGCCTAGGGTTACTGTAGATTTTCGGGTCTCGCAGCGAAAAATTTAAAGGAACATAGGCTTGTGGGGTGTCAAAATGATCGGAAAAATGTGGGGAGCAAGATGCACGTGGCAATTTCTGGGTTACTGTATCTGGGTTACTGTAGAATTCCAAATTTAAAGGAACATAGGCTTGTGGGGTGTCAAAATGATCGGAAAAATGTGGGGAGCAAGATGCACGTGGCAATTTCTGGGTTACTGTATCTGGGTTACTGTAGAATTCCAAAATTAAAGGAACATAAGCTTGTGAGGTGTCAAAATGATCGGAAAAATGTGGGGAGCAAGATGCACGTGGCAATTTTTGGGTTACTGTATCTGGGTTACTGTAGAATTCCCAGATTTCGCAAAAATTAAAGGAACATAGGCTTGTGGGGTGTCAAAATGATCGGAAAAATGTGGGGAGGGTACTGTAGGTCGTGACGGGACCCAAAATTAAAGGAGCATAGGCTTGTTTGGTGTCAAAATGCTCCCCAAAAACTCACCCAGCGAATAATCCTCCTCAAATTTTGGCTGCTGCGAAACCGGCGTCAAAATCGGTGCTGAAAATGACGTGGCATTCTGGAAGGCGGGCTGCGCTCGATTTTTTCGATTTTCCTCAAAACTCGGCAGCACCAATCGATATCTCAAGGCGGCCAGTAGAGTTCGAACGAAATCTGGAAAAATTTTTGAATTTCGCGCCAAAAATCGCTAGCTACAGTACCTGTTTTCGTGGCGAGATATCGCCGCCAAAATACTTGTCCCATTCGTTTCATTTCGAGAAAATCGGCGATTTCGATGGATTTTAGGATGAAGTGGAGTTCGGGAAGGCGAGCCAGAGGTATACGGTAGGTGGCGAGACGCCAATCGATAAATTCTGAAAGGGGTACTGTAGGTTTCGCCGTGAAAATACGGTCATTTTGAGACCAAATACTGTAGGGTTACTGTAGCGCGAAAATTCGCAATTCAAATTTTTTTTCGCGGTCATTTTGAGACCAAATACTGTAGGGTTACTGTAGGTAATTTTTGCGGGAAATTTGAATTTTTAAAATTAATTTTTTCGCGCTAAAAATCTACAGTACTTCTAGATTATTTTAAGGCGCGAAATTTCGAAATTCAAAAAAATTCAAATTCATTTTTTTCGCGGTCATTTTGAGACCAAATACTGTAGGGTTACTGTAGATAATTTTTGCGGGAAATTTGAATTTTTTTAAATGAATTTTTTCGCGCCCAAAAAAATCTACAGTACTTCTAGATTATTTTAAGGCGGGAAAAATGAAATTTCAAAAATTTTTGACACGTGGAGTTTCAGCGCGAAATTTCGAAATTAAAAAAAAATTCAAATTCAATTTTTTTTCGCGGTCATTTTGAGACCAAATACTGTAGGGTTACTGTAGGTGATTTTTGCGGGAAATTTTTTAAAAAATTATTTCTAGCGCTAAAAAACTACAGTACTTCTAGATTCATTTAAGGCGGGAAAAATGAAATTTCAAAATTCAAAAAAAAAAATACAAATTCAAATTTTTCGCGGCCATTTGCCACGTCATAAACTACAGTACCCCAGCCATATTTGGTCTCAAAATGACCCGAATTTCGCGCCCAAAAATCTACAGTACCCCTCCCGCAAATTTAAAGGAACACCAACCTTCAAACGGCAAAACTACAGTAGTCGACAGTATCACCGGAACACATCCGAATCTCAAAGAATTGGCCAAATTCTCCAAAAATTTGGGATTTTCGTGGCGGGACCCAAAAATGATGCAAAATTTGGAGTTGTGCCAACTCCACTCATCGAATTTTCCCGGCAAATTCAAATTTTCCACCAAAATTTGCATTTTGGCGGGAAAAATTTCGGATTTTTTGAAATTTATGAAGAATTCCCGAGTGGCCGGTAGAATCGCCACGTGGAAATTCGAGTTTTCCGCTTCCGCGTCCGCTTCCGCAGCGTCGATGAGCGGAAAATCAATCAGTTTTCGCGCCATTTTTTGCACCAAAATTGCGTCAGCATGCACCAGATTTGCGCCAACGTTGAAAATCACCAAATTTTTCTTGGTCGCGATTTTCTCGCCATTTGTTATGCGGATTGTTAGGCACGCGTCGCTTTCCGCGTCGACCAAATTTTGAATTTCCGCGCGGAAAACGCGCAGCCACGTGGATTCGCGCGTTCCGTTGGTTTGCATTGACACGTGGATTGGGAGGAAGGAGGAAATTGAGCAGCGGCTGGAAAAATTGCGTCATTTTGAGTCTAAACAAGCCTATGTTCCTTTAAAATGGTCTCGCCACGAAATTCACTATTTTTAAAGGAACATGGGCTTATTTAAACTCAAAATAATCGGAATTTCATTAAATTTTCAAATTTTCAGGTTTCGCAGCGAAATTCCGAGTCTGAACAAGCCTATGTTCCTTTAAAATGGTCTCGCCACGAAAATCGCTAGATTTAAAGGAACATGGGCTTATTTATATTCAAAATTTCCCAAATTTCATTAAATTTTCAAATTTTCAGGTCCCGCAGCGAAATTTTGAATCTAAACAAGCCAATGTTCCTTTAAAATGGTCTCGCCACGAAATTCGCGATTTTTAAAGGAACATGGGCTTATTTATATTCAAAATTCTCGGAATTTTGTGAAAAATTTGAAATTTCAGGTCTTGAAGCGAAATTTTGAGTCTAAACAAGCCTATGTTCCTTTAAAAAGGTCTCGCCACGAAATTCGCTATTTTTAAAGGAACATGGGCTTATTTATACTCAAAATTCTCGGAATTTCATGAAAAATTCGAAATTTTAGGTCCCACAGCGAAATTCCAAGCATTTTGAGTCTAAACATGCCCATGTTCCTTTAAAATGGTCTCGCCACGAAATTCGCTATTTTCAAAGGAACATTGGCTTATTTGTACTCAAAATTCTCGGAATTTCATGAAAAATTCGAAATTTTAGGTTTCGCAGCGAAATTTTGAGTCTAAACAAGCCTGTGTTCCTTTAAAAAGGTCTCGCCACGAAATTCGCTATTTTTAAAGGAACATTGGCTTATTTATACTCAAAATTCTCGGAATTCCATGGAAAATTTGAAATTTTAGGTATCGCAGCGAAATTCCAAGCATTTTGACTCTAAACATGCCTATGTTCCTTTAAAAAGGTCTCGCCACGAAAATGACTATTTTTTAAAGGAACATGGGCTTATTTACACTCAAAATTCTCGGAATTTCATGAAAAATTCGAAATTTTAGGTTTCGCAGCGAAATTTTGAGTCTAAACACGCCCATGTTCCTTTAAAATGGTCTCGCCACGAAATTCGCTATTTTTAAAGGAACATGGGCTTATTTATACTCAAAATTCTCGAAATTTCATGAAAAATTCGAAATTTCAGGTCCCGCAGCGAAATTTTGAATCTAAACAAGCCCATGTTCCTTTAAAATGGTCTCGCCACGAAATTCGCTATTTTTAAAGGAACATGGGCTTATTTACACTCAAAATTTTCGGAATTTCATGAAAAATTTAAATTTCCAGGTCCCACAGCGAAATTTCGAGCATTTTGTGTCTAAAATCCTGGATTTTCGCTGCGAGACCCAAAAATAGCAATATTTATATTCAAAATTCTCCAAATTTCATGAAAACCCCAAAAATCTCACCCAAAATCAATAATATCCTCAAAATTCGGCTCGCCACGTGGCGATTCCAGAATTTTCTCGGATTTTCCAGAAACGGGGGAATACGGCAAGAAAACACGGACATTTTGAGTTTGCCGCGTTTCTTCGAGAAGTCGCACAGCCGCCTCGATTTCTCCTTCGATTTTTGATAACTCGGCTTCTAGAAAAAGGTTTTTTCAGGTTTTCAGCCAAAAAAACCGCTGAAACTCACGTTTTTGCGGGATTAATCTGAGCAATTCCTCATGCGCCGCCCGGATTTCTTCAATATTCGCCTGCGATTCGAGCAATTCCTGCCTGACACTTCGCAAAATCCTCTGCTGCTCTCGAATAATCCGCGAATACGTGTAACCACTGCAAACTTGCTCATTTTCTGGCTCTTCGCCAAGTTTCAGAAAATTATAGATGATACATGAGGTTGATAGGAATATTAGGAATATTGATAGGATAAGTAGACGTATTCTATTATTCATCTAACATGTGGAATTCCACTGGAAATGCTGAAAAAAGAAAAAAAAATAATTTTTTTTGAAGTACCATGAAAGACGCACAAGCCAAACAAGAATGGTCCTGTCGCGATAAATGCGCGCGATGACAATGTGTGTACTTCTCGAGGAGGAGATTTTATAAATTTTTTTTTCGAAAAAATTTCAGAAATTTTCCCGCTGAAACGCTGCATTTAAAAATTAACTGAAGGAAAAAAAGTGTGCATATTTGCGTCATTTGCATTGTTTGCACTTTTGGAGAAAGGTCTTTATCGATTTTTTCCATTTTTTCGCATTGCATATCATTTTTCCTCGTTTTTCGTGTAATTTTCATTGATTTTAGATGTTTTTTTTTGTAAAGTTAGGGTAACTAAGAAGAATTTTGCAGAAATGTTGCGCGGTCGAGTTGATCCGAAAAAAGAGGAGCAGGAGCGGTTGCAGGGTATCCTTTTGGATATGTTGAAGGAGGAGGAGAATAAATATTGTGCTGATTGTCAGGCGAAAACTCCGAGGTGACTAAATATGCTGCAATTTTGGGGGCGGGCCAGAATTTCCACGTGTCAAAAAATATCAGAGAAAACTTGAGAATCCTGAAAGCTAGAGATTGAGACTTAACCAAGCCTAGACAAGCCTAACTAGGCCTAGAAAAAGCCTAACAACAAACCAAAACGTGGATTTCTATGACGTGGAATATCATAGTAACCGCAAGCCACGCGGATTACTAATCCATAGAGATAATTGCAATCCACGTGGCCGCTAAAGCGGAAGACAGTGCCGCTGACGCGGAAGCTTGCGGTTCACACTCGCTTCGCTCGAATATCTTGGTTGTTCGAGCGAAGCGAGTGTAAACCGCAAGCTTCCGCGTCAGCGGCACTATCTTCCGCTTCAGCGGCCACGCGGATTGCTATGATCTCCATGGCTTCCACGTCATAGCAATCCACGTGGCCGCTAAAGCGGCACTGTCTTCCGCTTTAGCGGCCACGCGGATTACTATGACTTGGAAGCCATGGGGATCATAGCAATCCACGTGGCCGCTGAAGCGGAAGATAGTGCCGCTGACGCGGAAGCTTGCGGTTTACACTCGCTTCGCTCGAACAGCCAAGGTATTCCGCAATCTTCCGCGTCAGCGGCACTATCTTCCGCTTCAGCGGCCACGCGGATTACTATGACGTGGATTTCAGTAAATCTTCAAGGTGTGAAGCTATCCACGTGGCCGCTAAAGCGGAAGACAGTGCCGCTGACGCGGAAGCTTGCGGTTTACACTCACTTCACTCAACCCGAGCGCTGTGTGCGAGTGTAAACCGCAAGCTTCCGCGTTAGCGGCACTATCTTCCGCTTTAGCGGCCACGTGGATTGCGAAGTTGGCAGAGATGCGGAAGCTATGCCCAATTTTTGAGAAATTGCTCAAGCTTGCGGAATAAGCCTACCCTGAATTCTTCCAGATGGGCCGCCTGGAACCTAGGAATCTTCATCTGCATCCGCTGCGCCGGAATCCACCGCAACCTCGGTGTTCACATCTCCAAAGTGCGTTCAGTGAACCTGGATAGCTGGACAGCTGAACAAGTGCAAACGATGCGAGTGATGGGAAACGAAAAAGCGCGCCAAGTGTACGAGCACGATCTACCCGCCCAATTCCGTCGTCCTACCACAGATCACGCCATGGAGCAATTTATCCGCGGGAAATACGAGCAGAAACGATACTTGTTGAGGGATTTTGTGTATCCGAGAGTGGATGTCAATGATTTGCCAAAGAGTTTGGGAGGAGGAGGCGGAGGGGGTGCGGGAAGCGGAAGCGGAAAGAAGCATCCGGTTGTGAGTATTTCCGCGTTGGGAACAACGCAGAATGGAGGAAGTGTAAGTTTTTGAAGAGTGTAGATCGCAAGCTTCTGCTTTAGCTGCCACGTGGATTACTATGACGTGGAAACCATAGAGATCATAGCAATCCGCGTGGGACGCTAAAGCGGAAGACAGTGCCGCTGACGCGGAAGTTCGCGGTCTACACTCGCTCCGCTCTAGGCTCAAAATTGACCAGAACTCATGAATTTCAGACTTTTTGAGTTTGAAATTGCTGAATTTTAGGGCGAAATTCCCCAGCCTACCTCAAAATTGACCCTAAATTGATTTTAGGCTGAAAATGAGCAAAAAACCCCGCATTTTCGTTCATTTCCAGCCTAAAATAAATTCAGGGTCAATTTTGAGCTGGACACTGGAATTTTGCCCTAAAATTCAGCAATTTCGAACTCAAAAAGTCTGAAATTCATGAGTTTTGGTCAATTTTGAGCTAGTTTCCACGTGGCTCGAGCGGAGCGAGTGTAAACCGCAAGCTTCCGCTTTAGCGGCACGTCATAGCAATCCACGTGGCCGCTAAAGCGGAAGACAGTGCCGCTGACGCGGAAGCTTGCGGTCTAAACATTTTATCGTGACCTATGACGTGGCAATTTTGGAAAAATCCCCTCATTTTCTCATTTTTCGTAAAAAATCATGGATTTTTTTCAGAAATCCACCGCCGCCGCCCCAACAATCTCGAATTTGCTCGATTTTTCCGATCCAACACCAAATTCGAATTCGGCAGGAGGAAAAACGGCGACTAGTCAGAATTTATTCGATGATTTTGCTGGATTATCCATGGTGAGCTTGAAATCCATGTTTTCTAGTGGTTTTCGACCCGCTGAACACTATTCCGCTGGCAAAAACTGCAAAGCTCAACTCCTAATATGAGTTATGACGTGGCAAAGTTGGGAAATTTCGAAAATTTGCAGCTTTATGAGTCACATAAAGCTGCAAATTTTCGAAATTTCCCAACTTTGCCACGTCATAACTCATATTAGGAGTTGTGATTTGCAGTTTTTGCCAGCGGAATAGTCTTCAGCGGGTCGAAAACTACTAGAAAACATGGATTTTATTCAAAATATCGATTGATGACGTATTGAGCTCCATGTTGGCCACGTGACGTGGAAACCATAGAGATATAGCATTCCACGTGGCCGCTGAAGCGGAAGATAGTGCCGCTGACGCGGAAGCTTGCGGTTTACACTCGCTTCGCTCGAACAACCGATATTCGAGCGAAGCGAGTCTAAACCGCAAGCTTCCGCGTCAGCGGCACTATCTTCCGCTTTAGCGGCCACGTGGATTATTATGACGTGGAAACCATAGAGATATAGCATTCCACGTGGCCGCTGAAGCGGAAGACAGTGCCGCGGACGCGGAAGCTTGCGGTTTACACTCGCGCAGAGCGCTCGGGTCGAGCGGAGCGAGTGTAAACCGCAAGCTTCCGCGTCAGCGGCACTATCTTCCGCTTTAGCGGCCACGTGGATTGCTATGATCCCTTGCCACGTCATAGCAATTTGTTCCAGCAACCCGCCAACACCGCCGCTTCCAACGACGATTTCGATGATTTCGGCTCATTCGTCTCCGCCTCAACACAACAAAAATCAGCAGATCTTGTCGGAGGCTTCGCCGACTTCTCATCAGCCCCATCTTCCTCCTCAAATCTCGCCGATTTGACACAACTTCCCGTGTCAAATAGTCAAGAAACGAGCTCAACAACAAATGGAGGGAAAAAGAGCAATGCGGATATTTTGTCGCTTTTCGGAAGCGCGGGAGCCGCAAACTCGGCGAGCCATAATATTGTGGCTCCCGGCGGATTTACTGCGTTTGGATTGCAGGCCGCACCACAACAACAACAAGCACAATCCAATGATTTGTATGGTGGACTTGGTGGAATTAATTTTGGAGCAGCTCCTCAAGCACAACAACAATTTGGTGGATTTGCACCGGCTCCGGTTGTTTTCCAACAAGCTCCACCTCAACAAGCATTCAATATTCCCAATAAATCGAATGCTTTTGCTGATTTGGCACTTGGAAAGGTGAAAATTTGGGCATAGCTTCCGCATCTCTGCCAATTTTGTTTTGAAAATCCCGAAATTCCGAGGAAAATTGGGATTTTCAAAACAAAATCGACAATTTTTCAAAATTTGGGCATAGCTTCCGCATCTCTGCCAATTTTGTTTTGAAAATCCCGAAATTCCGAAGAAAATTGGGATTTTCAAAACGAAATTAGCAATTTTTCAAAATTTGGGCATAGCTTCCGCATCTCTGCCAATTTTGTTTTGAAAATCTTGGATTTCCTAATGAACGTGGATTACTATGACGTGGAAACCATAGAGATCATAGCAATCCATGTGGCCGCTAAAGCGGAAGATAGTGCCGCTGACGCGGAAGCTTGCGGTTTACACTCGCTTCGCTCGAACAACCAAAATATTCGAGCGAAGCGAGTGTAGACCGCAAGCTTCCGCGTCAGCGGCACTATCTTCCGCTTTAGCGGCCACGTGGATTGCTATGATCTCTATGGTTTCCACGTCCACGTTCATTAGGAAATCCAAGATTTTCAAAACAAAATCGACAAATTTCAAATGTTTGCCAAAAATTCAACATACGATTTTTAAAAATCACCGTTTTTTTGCTGAGCGGATTAAACTTTATAGTTTTTGTTCACCAAAAATCATAAAAAAATTGAATTTCAGGTGATGAAAACGAACTATGGACAAAGTGCACTTTCAACACCAGCCCCATCACGAATTTCTCCACAAATCCCCGCTCAAAAAACCGCGCCAATCTCCACCAATAATGATTTATTCGATATGTTCGCCTCAGCCCCGCCCCCAACAACAACATCACAAGCTCCGCCCACTTCTACTCAAACATCAACCACAAATTTTGACGATTTGCTGAGCTTTTAATGGATTTTTCATGTTAATTCTCTTTTCGCTAGGCACATTTCCACCCTTTTTAACCACATTTTTTTCATTTTCTTCCTAAAACCCCATGTGATATAGTAGTAATTTATTTGATTTTTTGTTTTTGAAATTTCAAATTCGGTTGTGTTTTTTATGTTTTTAGTCATATCCGGTTTTCTTTTCTTTTTCCCCCCTACGACCTTTTTTTAACCAAAAGAATTTTTTTCGCATGTCAAATAAAAATACTTGAAAAATGGTTTTTTACAAGGTTTTTGAGTTGAAATTCGAAAATTTGGGCATAGCTTCCGCATCTCTGCCATTTTTGTTTTGAAAATCCTGAAATTCAGAAGAAAATTGGGATTTTCAAAGCAAAATTAGCAATTTTTCAAAATTTGGGCATAGCTTCCGCATCTCTGCCAATTTTGTTTTGAAAATCCCGAAATTCCGAGGAAAATTGGGATTTTCAAAACAAAATTAGCAATTTTTCAAAATTTGGGCATAGCTTCCGCATCTCTGCCAATTTTGTATTGAAAATCCCGAAATTCCGAAGAAAATTGGGATTTTCAGAACAAAATTAGCAATTTTTCAAAATTTGGGCATAGCTTCCGCATCTCTGCCAATTTTGTTTTGAAAATCCCGAAATTCCGAAGAAAATTGGGATTTTCAAAACAAAATTAGCAATTTTTCAAAATTTGGGCATAGCTTCCGCATCTCTGCCAATTTTGTTTTGAAAATCCCGAAATTCCGAAGAAAATTGGGATTTTCAAAACAAAATTAGCAATTTTTCAAAATTTGGGCATAGCTTCCGCATCTCTGCCAATTTTGTTTTGAAAATCCTGAAATTCCAAAAAAATTGGGATTTTCAAAACAAAATTAGCAATTTTTCAAAATTTGGGCATAGCTTCCGCATCTCTGCCAATTTTGTTTTGAAAATCCCGAAATTCCGAAGAAAATTGGGATTTTCAGAACAAAATTAGCAATTTTTCAAAATTTGGGCATAGCTTCCGCATCTCTGCCAATTTTGTTTTGAAAATCCTGAAATTCCGAGGAAAATTTGGATTTTCAAAACAAAATTAGCAATTTTTTACGTGAACTTGACGAAACTCGAAATTCCACGTATTTTTTTTTGATTTGCTCACCCATTTTTGAATTTTATCGACTAGAAACTAACGAAAATCTTGTAATGGCTAAGAATAATGAGACAGACGATTTGGAAGAAGAATCTGTGAGTTTATAGGACAAAATCTTGGGTTTCTAGGCAATAAATTTGAATCTGACAGTTTTCTACAGGTTTTCTAGGTCACTTTTGGGAGATTATGACGTTCACCGAACAAAATTCAAGTTTTCAAGCTTCAAAACACAGAAATTCTGATTTTCGCTCACGGAAAATCTGATTTTTGACACGAATCATATTAAATGCACTTCCGCTCCCCCTAATTCTTCACATTTATTTATTTTTGCCAACTAACTAACTAACTACAACAAATCTGTGTGTGTTCGAAACAATTTTGCCTGACCATTTATTTGTCTAGTTTTGTAACCTAGGAATTTGACTACAAATGGCACATACTTATATATTTTTAGAGTTGCCTCAGCCGCGAGTTGTTAAAAAATGTCAATATTGACTTTGAGACGCAAAGTTTCGGGTTCAAACCAGGTTTTTTGCTCTCTGGGAGAGAGAGAAGTGCGTCTGGGCTTTTTTTAGCGAAAAATTAAAATTTTTTGATTTTCAAAGATTTTTAAAATTCCTCCAATAACATTAATATATTATTTACTTTCTTGCGCAGGTATTCAACAAAAAAATCAACCAGTTTTCATTGAATTTAGGCCAAAAATAGCTGTTTTTCGTATTCCCCCCGCGCGAAAAACAAAAATACGTGTGCGTCAATTAAAATGCACAGGTCGCAATTGCCCGCGTGTTTGCACACATTCCCCACCACCTACAGTAATTTAAAAATATATTTTTTTGTTTTTTTTTGTACTTTTCGCCGCCGCGCGCCTACATTAATAGATAGATTTCTTTTCTCTTTTCCAATCTTCTTTTTCATGTCGGTCATTGTATTTTCGCATTGCATTTTATTCTATTTTGAATAGTCGCAAAAAACGAGGAGAAGAAGAATTGTTTTCTTTTTTTCCCTTCTTTCAATCACATTCGTCATTCTGACACGGTCTTTTGTTTTTTTTGTTGTAAAATTGTAAAATTTTGTAGGTCACACGTGTTTCCCCCAATTTTCCACCCAAAACTAGCAATTTTTGAACATCTGGCGATTTTTTTCGCAAAAAAATGCGAAAAAATGCAAAAAATATTGAACATCTGTGTTTTTAGAACCCCTATTCACTTATTATTTCCTTGAAAACCGGTTTTCTTAGCAGAAAATTATTTTTCTCGATTTTTGAACTTTTCTATCGATTTTCTTCTTCTCTCTAAACAAAAAGATCTAATTTCTTGATAATTTATTTTGCAAAGCTTTTTCCAGGGGAAAAACGAATGAACGACGATTTTTAAATGCGAAAAGTGAGTTTTTAGGTGAAAATCTTGAAAAATGGCTGAAAATTGATGAAAAATTGTTAAAATTGATGAAAAATGGCCTAGAAATCCAGATTTTCCTATAAAATATGCAAGTGCGCTCTACTGAACTATTGATTGAACTTGAAAATTAGCGATAGAGCGCATTTGCTGTTTTTGGTCTAATTTAACCCAAAAATGGCCTAGAAAACCTAATTTTCGTCTGTAAAAAGCAAGTGCGCTCTACGGAAATATTGATTGTTCTAGAAAATTGTCAATAGAGCGCAGTAGCTTACTTAGAAGTGAAAACATTCAATTTTATGGCCTAGAAATCCAGAAATGGCCTAGAAACCCAAAAAATGGCCTAGAAACCAAAAATATGGCCTAGAAACCCAAAAAATGGCCTAGAAACTCAAAAAATGGCCTAGAAACTATACTCAGACATGAGCGGTTTTTCAAATGGTTTGAGCGAAACCAGTTTTTTTGGTTCGCTCACTCATTTGGTTTTGGTTCGCTCATTTGAAATGGTTTGGTTTGGTTTTGGTTTTTGGTTCGCTCACTCATTTCAAACTGGTTCGAACCGGTTTTCGATCAAATGGTTTTTGGATTTCTGGCTCCTGGGTGTCCGGAGTTGATGAATTTCGGGGTTTTCGGGTATGGGGATTACTGTAGTGAACTTATTTTCATGTAAAAGTCACTCTTAAAGGCACATAACCACCAAAATTTTTTTTTTTTGAAAATGAGGTATTTTGGCACGGGGAACATTTTGGTGAGGTATACGGTCGGGAACAGACTTTTAAAGGCGCATGCCAAGCTATTACCCATTTTCCGAGATATTTTTTTCAAACTATCATAACTTTTTTATTTTTGAAGCTTTTTCGAAATTTCGACAACCATTTTGACGGTCTTGAGGTGAGCTAAATTTTTTGTGTTGACACCAACTCCCGTATTTCGCCCCTAGGAGGTGAAAAACACGGTTTTTCTCTCAAAAATGTCATTTTTGATGTAAATTCGAACAAAACAGTGTCATTTTTTATGTAAACTGATCGAAAACCGGTTCGAACCAGTTTGAAATGAGTGAGCGAACCAAAAACCAAAACCAAACCAAACCATTTCAAATGAGCGAACCAAAAACCAAAATTTGGGCAAACCAAAAAAACCAGTTTCGCTCGGTTTTTTTCGAACCATGTCCGAGTATACTAGAAACTCAAAAAATGGCCTAGAAACTCAAAAAATGGCCTAGAAACCCAAATTCGGCCATTTCCAGACTCATCAACGTCAGCAAAATCATCAAAATCCAGTGGATCTGGAAGCGTCCACGTCATCAACAGCCGATCAAACTACATACACAAATTCGTCGCGATCAACAACAGATTCCACATCGAAAGGACATCACCGAAGAACTTCATCGCTTTGGGTTCCACCATCCCGACCCATTTTTCATTCACCAAGGTGAGAAATTTGGATTTTTCATCGAAATCTGGTCTAGAATTGGATTTTCAGACGTTTTTGGCTGAAAATTTGAGAAATTCGATGAAAAATGACCTAGAAAACATATATTTTTCCATAGAAAAACTCGGCCGTGGCCTAGAAATCCGAATTTCTCATTGAAAAACTCGGCCATGGGCTAGAAATCCAAAAACTAGTCGCAATGGACTAGAAAACCAAATTTCTTATTCAAAAACTCGGCCACGACCTAGAAATCTCAAAAACTAGTCCCTATGGCCTAGAAAACCCAAATTTCTTGTTCAAAAACTCGGCCGTGGCCTAGAAATCTCAAAAACTAGTCGCTATGGCCTAGAAATCCAAATTTCTTGTTTGAAAAACTCGGCCATGGCCTAGAAAACCAAAAACTAGTCCCTATGGACGAGAAATCCAAATTTCTCAATAAAAAACTCGGCCATGGCCTAGAAATCCAAAAAACAAGTCCTTATGGACTAGAAAACCAATTTTCCCATATAAAAACTCGGCCGTGGCCTAAGAATCTCAAAACTAGTCCCTATGGCCTAGAAAACCAAATTTCTTGTTCAAAAACTCGGCCATGACCTAGAAATCTCAAAAACTAGTCCCTATGGACTAGAAAACCAAGTTTTTCATTGAAAAACTCGGCCGCGGCCTAGAAATCTCAAAAACTAGTCCCTATGGACTAGAAAACCAAATTTCTTATAGAAAAACTCGGCCGTGGCCTAGAAAACCCCAAAATCTTCCAATTTTCAGCCAAGTCTTCCGCGAAAAAGCCGAAAATGGTGGTCGAATTCTCAAATCGCATCCCGTAACGCGTTGGATGTTTGGCAATGTGCCAATTCTGCCAAAACAGCGTGTAATCTCACCGAATAATCAAAAAGAGCCGCCATTGAGATATGAGCATCCGAACCGGAAATATTGCCGAAATCGAATTTCGACCACCAAATACAGTTTGCTCACTTTCATTCCCAAGAATTTGTTTGAACAGGTGAGCGGTTTTGGGCTGAAAATCTGGAATTTTGGGGATTTTCTGAGCATTTTGAGCCTAAATAAGCCTGGATTTAGGCCTAACGTAGGCCTGAAAATAGGCCTAACTTTAGGCTTAATTTGGACCTAAAATAGGCCTGATTTTAAGCGAAAAAACGAGCCTAAACAAGCCTAGATTCAGGCCTAGATAAGCCTGAATATAAGCCTTTTTTAGGCCTAATTTAGACCTAAAATTGGGCTTTTTGATGAGTTTTAAGCTGAAAATCTCATTAATTTTTGGATTTTTAATTAAAATCCAAAGATTTTTAATTAAATTTTAAGGGTTTTCCCAAAATTGAAGGGATTTTCAGCTAAAAATCTTAAAAATTCATGAAAAATTCGAAATTTTCAGCTAAAAATCTTAAAAATTCATTAAAATTTAAGTTTTTTGCATCAAAATGTTCAGAATTTCTTGAAAAATTTGAAATTTTCAGCTAAAAATCTTGAAAATTCATGAAAAATTAAGTTTTTTGTATCAAAATGTTCAGAATTTCAGGTAAAATTCAAATTTTCAGCTAAAAATCTTAAAAATTCATGAAAATTTAAGTTTTTTGTATGAAAATGTTCAGAATTTTATGGAAAATTTGAAATTTCAGCTTCACCGCGTCGCAAATCTCTACTTCATCTTCATAGTTATCCTAAATATGATAATTGGAGCATTTGGGAAGTATATATCAGTTATGCCGATTGCATTTGTGCTCGGAATCACGGCGATCAAAGATGCGTTCGAAGATTATCGCCGATATAAATCCGACAGGAAGATCAATCATTCGACGTGTCGAGTTTGGGATGCAAGTCAGCAGAGGTGAGAATTTGGAGCATTTTGAGCCAAAAATCGTGAAATTTAGAGCATTTTGAGCCAAAATTCGCGAAATTTGGAGCATTTTGAGCCAAAATTCGCGAAATTTGGAGCATTTTGAGCCAAAAATCGTGAAATTTGGAGCATTTTGAGCCAAAAATCGTGAAATTTGGAGCATTTTGAGCCAAAATTCGCGAAATTTGGAGCATTTTGAGCCAAAAAACGTGTTTCTAGGCTATTTTTGATCCTGGGGACTAGTTTTTTGGAGTTTCTAGGCCACGGACGAGGTTTTCTAGAAGAAATTTGGATTTCTAGGTCATAGGGACTTGTTTTTGGGTTTCTAGGCCGCGGACGAGTTTTTCCAATGGGAAATTTGGATTTCTAGGTCATAGGGACTTGTTTTTGGGTTTCTAGGCCGTGGACGAGTTTTTTCCAAAAGAAATTTGGATTTCTAGGTCATTTTTTGACCCGGGGACTAGTTTTTCATGGGTTTCTAGGCCGCGGACGAGTTTTTCGATGGGAAATTTGGGTTTCTAGGTCATAGGGACTAGTTTTTTGGGGTTTCTAGGCGGTGGACGAGGTTTTCAATGGGAAAATGGCCTAGAAACCCAAATTTCATCTAGAAAAACTCGTCCGTGGCCTAGAAACCCTAAAAACTAGTCCCTATGACCTAGAAACCCAAATTTCATCTAGAAAAACTCGGCCGCGGCCTAGAAATCCGAAAAACTAGTCCCCAAGCTAAAAAATGTCCAAAAAACACGAATTTTGGCTCATTTTTTATGAAAAATTCAATTTTCCGCCTCAAAATTCACTAAAAATCTTCAAATTTTCGATTTTCAGATACCGAAAACTCGAATGGCAACACATTTTGGTCGGCGATTTTGTGCATTTATCCCATGATGAAATAATCCCAGCTGATATTTTATTATTAAGAAGCAGTGATTTGAATGGAGTTTGCTATGTGGAAACGTCGAATTTGGACGGAGAATCGAATTTGAAACAACGACAAGCGATTCGAGCAATGGGAAAATATCATAATATTAATGTACCGTTGGAATATTCACCCAGTGAATTCAATTATAAGGTTCGTGAGCATTTTTGGAGCATTTTGAGCCGAAATTCGAGAAATTTCGAGTTTTTTCACCCAAAAACCATGATTTTTGAGCAAAAACTACGATGCTCCGCGTTTACACCTTGAAAATTCAAGGTTTCAGACCCTAAAAATCATGATTTTTATCATTTTAAGCGAAAACTACGATGCTCCGCGTTTACACCTTGAAAATTCAAGGTTTTTGACCCAAAAATGATGATTTTTGATCATTTTATGTAAACGCGGAAAAAAAACTACAATGCTCCGCGTTTACACCTTGAAAATTCGAGTTTTTTGACCCAAAAATCATGATTTTTTATCATTTTAAGCGAAAAACTACGATACTCCGCGTTTACACTTTGAAAAATTGAGTTTTTTGACCCAGAAACCATAATTTTTGACCCATTTTTACCCTGGTGTAAACGCGGAGCATCGTTTCAGCGGAAAATTACGATGCTCCGCCTTTACACCACGAAAATTCGAGTTTTTTGACCCAAAAACCATGATTTTTGATGATTATAAGCAAAAACTACGATACTCCGCGTTTACACCTCGGAAAATGATGGAAATTCGAAAAATTTACATGATTTTGATCATTTTTACCCTGGTGTAAACGCGGAGCATCGTTTGAGCGAAAAACTACGATGCTCCGCGTTTACACCTTGAAAAATGATGAAATTTGAGTCTTTTGACCCAAAAACCATGATTTTCCAGGTGTAAACGCGGAGTATCGTTGCAAAAATGTTGATTTTTCCAGGTTGTCTGCGAGGAGCCAACAAATGATGTGTATAAATTTGAAGGAAGGCTGGAAGCGATGGAAAATGGTGGGTTTTTGGGCTAAAAATGGCCTGGTGGGGCCTAAAATGGCCCAGAAATGGCCCTAAAAGCCTAAAAATGACATAAAAATGGCCAAAAAATGGCATAAAATGACCAAAAAATGGCATAAAATGGCCCTAAAAGCCTAGAAATGGCCTGGGGCCTAAAAATGGCATAAAATGGCCCGGAAATGGCCTAGAAAAGCATAAAAATGCTCAGAAATGGCCTAGAAAAGCCCAGAAAAACCTAAAAATGGCATAAAATGGCCAAAAAATGGCCCTAAATGGCCTGAAAAAGCCCAGAAAAGCCTAAAAATGGCCTAAAAAAGCCCAAAAATGGCCCGAAAAGCCAAAAAATGGCCTTGGCATAAAAATGGCCCTAAAAGATGCCCAGATGGCCTGGGGCCTGAAAATGCCCAGAAAGGCCTAGAAATGCCCAGAAATGGCCCGAAAAGCCAAAAAATGGCTTGAAGGGGCCTAAAATTGCCCGGAAAGGCCTAAAAATGGCCAGAAAATGCCCAAAAATGGCCTAGAAATGGCCTGAAAATGCCCAGAAAGGCCTAGAAAAGGCCCGAAATGCCCAGAAATGGCCCTAAAAGCCTAAAAATGACATAAAATGGCCCAAAAAGCCCAAAAGTTTTTCCAGGCCCCCCACTTCCCCGAGAATTTACAATTTTGGCCAAAGAAAATGTGTTGTTGCGAGGTTGCGTCGTAAAAAACACGGATTTTGTCGAAGGAATCGTGTTGTATGCGGGAAATGACACAAAAGCGATGTTGAACAATAATGGACCAAGATATAAGAGATCTAGCCTCGAAAAATTGACAAATCGTGATATTTTGTGGAGTGTTGCGATTCTATTGATTATGTGTATAATTGGAGCGATTTTTTGTGGAGTATGGCTGCGGAATTATTCGAATTCACCATATGACACACCATTTTTGGTGTATGTTTCGAGAAATTCGACATATTACAATAATCATGATCGCCAATACCAGTTTGATCCGAGTTTTGAGAGTTTTTATGGATTTTGGAGCTATATTATTGTGTTGCAGGTGAGATTTTTCTGAAGTTTTGAATTCAGCGCGAAATTTGGAGCATTTTGATATATGGGTTGCCCAGGGGGCTTGAATTTTAGGCCTGGTTTTGATGGGCCTGAAATTTAGGCCCGAAATCCACGTGGCAAAAACTGGATTAGAAAATTTGTTAGGCTCATTTTAGGCTCGGTTTTTGACAAGCCTGAATTTTTTATCCAAAATTTAGGCCTGGTTTTGACGGGCCTGAAATTTCATTATATATTTGTTAGGCCGGTTTTTGGCAAGCCTGAATTTTTACCAATAATTTAGGCCTGGTTTTGACAAGCCTGAATTTTTTACCTATAATTTAGGCCTGGTTTTGATGGGCCTGAGATTTAGGGCCGAAATCCACGTGGCAAAAATTTAGTTCAAATTTTGTTAGGCTCATTTTAGGCCTAGTTTTTGGCAAGCCTGAATTTTCAATCTAAAACTTAGGCCTCGTTTTTGACAAGCCTGAATTTTTTATCTAAAATTTAGGCCTGGTTTTGACGGGCCTGAAATTTCATTATATATTTGTTAGGCCGGTTTTTGGCAAGCCTGGAATCTAGGCTTGGTTTTGGCAAGCCTGAATTTTTAACCCTGAAATTTAGGCCCTGTTTTTGACAAGCCTGAAATCTAGGCTCAAAATCCACGTGGCAAAAATGAAGTCCAAATTTTGTTAGGCTCTTTTTAGGCCTGGTTTTGACAAGCCTGAAATTTCATTACCTATATTTTAGGCCGGTCATACGTCGCAAGCCTGAAATTTAGGCCCGAAATCCACGTGGCAAAAATTAAGTCTAAAATTTTCGACGAAAGGGATAACCCCCCCCTTTTTTTTTCATTTTTTCTTCATTTCCAGCTATAGAAATCTGAAAATTACAATATTATTGAGCTTAAGCTCAGAATTTGCATCAATGAGGCAAATAGTGAATTTTGAACTTGAGTTAGGCTCGGTAGCATGCCTTTATTAGACAAGCCTTATCAACTATGCTCCACGATAAAATCCAAAGAATTAAGCCTGGTATCAAGATGGGACCACTATGTCATTTTGTTACCCTGTGTTATCAAAGAACACAGGAGTAAAAAGTCACTAGGGGTATCTAATGAATACCAATGAATATTAAACATGAGTTAGGCTCGGTGATTTACCTTAATTAGGTTCTTATCAACTATTTCCAAGAAGGGAAAATGTATTAATTTCAAAAACATTAGTTTGACCCTAAATCAAACCACAAACTCTGAGAAAAAAATATGATCGTAATTGTAGATTGCATTACTATTCTGTAGATCGCTGACTTTTAATGATATTAGAATATAGATCGCGGATTCGATAAAGTAAAAAACCTTACAGATTTGAAATCGAGAATTTTTAATTTTGAGAAATATGAAATTTTTTTCATCCAAGAGATTAGTTTTAAAAAGATCATATCAAATCTAGCTAGTTAAACGAGACACTAAATAAATTAAATTGTGCAACCACATTGATCCATATTAATTTTGAATAACTCTACATTGTCGCTTAATCTTAATTTTTGCAAATATTACAGTTACTAACTGTCAGTTGATATGTGAAAAAATGGCATAATGGTCCCATTTTGATACCAGGCTTAATTCTTTGGATTTTATCGTGGAGCATAGTTGATAAGGGTCTAATAAAGGCATGCTACCCCTAACTCAAGTCTAATATTCATTGGTATTCATTAGATACCCCTAGTGACTTTTTACCCCTGTGTTCTTTGATAGCCGAGGTGGCAAAAATGACATAGTGGTCCACATCTTGATACCAGGCTCATTTCTTTGGATTTTATTGTGGAGCAAGTTGATAAGGGTCTAATCTAGGCTCAAAATCCACGTGGCAAAAAAGAAGTCCAAATTTATGTGGGAACTTTTTGAGGCTTTAATTGGTATCACTAAGGCAGAATATATAGATAAAATTATCATCAAAACTGAGAAAATTTCATAACATTTTTTATCTCAAGTGATAACCCCTCCAAAATTTGGTGTCAGGGATAACCCCTCCACGGGTCGATTACCCCTGGCATGCGACGTATGAGGCCGGTTTTTGGCAAGTCTGAAATCTAGGCCCGAAACCCACGTGGCAAAAATGAAGTCCAAATTTTGTTAGGCTCGTTTTAGGCCTGGTTTTGATAAGCCTAAATTTTTTACCTGAAATTTAGGCCTGGGTTTTGACAAGCCTGAAATCTAGGCCCAAAATCCATGTGGCACCTGAAAATCTGAATTTCAGGCTTGATTTCCACGTGGAAAAAATTAAGTCCAAATTTTGTTAGGCTGGTTTTAGGCCCCTAGTTTTTGACGGGCCTGAATTTTTAACCTATAATTTAAGCTTGGTTTTTGACGGGCCCGAAATCTAGGCTCAATATCAACGTGGCAAAAATTAAGTCCAAATTTTGTTAGGCTCGTTTTAGGCCTAGTTTTTGACAAGCCTGAAATTTCGCATATTTCGACATTAAATTTGACCTAGATTACTGTAGATTTTGGCGCCAAAAACTACAGTAATCTACAGTAACCCTAGTCTTGTTTGGTGTCAAAAAATCACAATTTTTTGGTAGATCAAAAAACTATCTGAACAGGGCTGGCGAAGCCCGCCACGTGGCTTTTTGGGGGCCAAAACCTACAGTAACCCTAGTCTTGTTTGGTGTCAAAAAATGCACAAATTTTTTGTAGATCAAAACTACAGTACCCCTGATTTGATTTTTTTTCCAGGTAATGATACCAATTTCGCTGTACGTCTCCATAGAATTCATAAAAATCGGCCAAGTCTGGTTCATGTCACAAGATCGAAATATGTATTATGATAAAGTCGATAAGCGGCTACAATGTAGAGCGCTAAATATCACTGAAGAATTGGGACAAATACAATATGTGATGTCGGATAAAACTGGAACATTGACTGAAAATCAGGTAAGGCTGAAAATTTGGCTGAAAATGAGCCAAAATGGCCAATTTAGGCCCAAAAATAGGCCTAGAAAGCCCATTTTTAGGCCTAGAAAGCCCATTTTTAGGCCTAAAAAAGCCCTAAAAATTTCCAGATGGTCTTCCGACGATGTTCGGTCAAGGGAAAAGATTATGGTGAGAATATCAATCGCCACAGCTCCGTGGCCATGGAATTGGTCGCATCGAATCTGAAATCGGATGAATTTGCGTCGAAATCCAAACTTCAATTAGCTGCGTTGGCACAAGCGGCGGCGAATACCGGAAGACTGAGGTGAGTTTTTTGATCTACCTGGAATTGTGCATTTTTTGAGACCAAATATGACTAGGGTTACTGTAGGTTTTGGCGGGAAAATTGCGCATTTTTTGACACCAAACATGACTAGGCCTGAATTTAAGGCCTATCAAAACTGGGCCTGAATTTAGGGCCCTGCAAAAATCAGGCCTAAATTTAAGGCTTCTAGAAAAACCGGGCCTAAAATCAGGCTTCTGAGAACTAGGCCTAAATTCAAAGTTTTATTAAATTCTGGATTTTTTGAGACCGAATATGACTAGGCCTAAATTTAAGGCTTATCCAAACCAGGCCTGAATTTAGGGCCCTGCAAAAATCAGGGATGTTTTCAGGCTTATGGAAAAACCAGGCCTGAATTCAAGGCTTCTAGAAAAACCAGGCCTGAATTTAAGGCTTCTGAAAACGAGCCTAACCTTAAGGCTTCTAGAAAAATCAGGCCTTAATTTAAGGCTTACTGACAACCAAGCCTAACTTTTAGGCTTCTAGAAAAATCAGGCCTAAATTTAAGGCTTTTAGAAAAATCAGGCCTCAATTTAGGGCTTTTAGCCTTTCTGACTAGATTTGAAAAATATCAGGCCTAGCTAAAATTAAGCCTGAAACTTGAGGCCCACCAAAATCAGGCTTCTGAAAACCAAGGCTTATTTTTAGGCTTTCTAAAAACCGGGCCTAACTTTAAGGCTTCTGAAAATCAAGGCTAGATTTGGCCTAGCTAGAAGTTCAGGCCAAAAATTTAAGGCCTAGCTGAAATTCAGGCCTGAAATTCAAGGATAGCTAAATTTAAGGCTTCTCAAAACCAAGGCTAACCTTTAGGGCTTCTAAAAACCGGGCCTTAATTTAAGGCTTCTGAAGACGATCCTGAAATAAGGGCCCTGCAAAAATCAGGCATGTTTTCAGGCTTCTAGAAAAATCAGGCCTAATTTAAGGCTCACCAACACTCGGCCTAACTTTAAGGCTTCTTAAAACTAGGCCCTGAAATTTGAGGCCCACCAAAACTGGGCCTAAAATCCCCAAATCATATTTAGTGTCAAAAATTAGGCCTTTTCCAGACCAAGTCGCGACACAAATCTCGAAACCCAACTCGCCGAATCGGAAAAATCAATAGATGATCCGATTTTCGCCTTTTTCCTAGTTATGTCAATTTGTAATACAGTAGTTGTAAATGCAAAACCCCATGAGGATTTGATGGATGAAGAAGGAGCAATTACGAATAGTAGATTTGGAATTGAGCAAGATCAGGAGCCGACTGAATCGACTGAATCTACTGAACCACTCGAGAATGTTCTAGAAGAGGAAGATCTGATTAATTTGGATTCGGCTGAAAATTCAGCAGATACCCGAAGTTCTCCCAAAAATTCGGAAGAATTTGAGGAAATTGAGCTGGCTGATATTTCCCCCGAAAGCAAAAATGGCAATAATTATAATGGGGAAAAGGAGACGAGAAAAGGATTGGCTTCGATTTTGACACAAAGGCATTCCTCAATTCTCAGCAATCCGTTTTCGAAACTCAAAGGATTGAAATCGCCGTTTAGAAGGTGAGATCAGCAATTTTTTGACACCAAATATGACTAGGGTTACTGTAGGTTTTGGCGGGAAATTCTGCATTTTTTGAGACCAAATATGACTAGGGTTACTGTAGGTTTTGGCGGGAAAATTGGGGATTTTTTGACACCAAACATGACTAGGGTTACTGTAGATTTTGGCCCCCAAAAAGCCACGTGGCGGGCTTCGCCAGCCCTGTTTAGATAGTTTTTTGATCTACCAGAAATTGTGCATTTTTTGACATCAAATATGACTAGGGTTACTGTAGATTTTGGCGGGAAATTCTGCATTTTTTGAGACCAAACATGACTAGGGTTACTGTAGGTTTTGGCGGGAAATTTGGGGATTTTTGACACCAAACATGACTGGGGTTACTGTAGATTTCGGCCCCCCAAAAAAGCCACGTGGCGGGCTTCGCCAGCCCTGTTTAGATAGTTTTTTGATCTACCAGAAATTGTGCATTTTTTGACACTAAACAAGCCCAGGGTTACTGTAGATTTTGGCGGGAAATTGTGCATTTTTTGACACCAAATATGACTAGGGTTACTGTAGATTTTTGAGGTACTGTAGGGTCCAAAGTACTGTAGAATTTTGAATTTGAAAAATTTTGAATCTAAATACGCCTAGGGTTACTGTAGATTTTGGCGGGAAAATCGGAAACATTTAGAGCCTTGGATTACTGTAGAAAATTTTGACACGGGGTACTGTAGATGGCGAAGCCCGCGCGGGGGCCAAAATCTACAGTAACCTGGACCGGGCGGTTACTGTAGATTTTTTAATAGCAATCCCATTTTCCCGCCAAAACCTACAGTAACCCACGAAATAATCCTGGATTTGATCTACCTGAAATTGCGCATTTTTTGGCATCCCAAGGGTTACTGTAGGTTTTGCCGCCAGAATCTACAGTAACCCGAACATTTTCATCTCAAAAAAATCCGGGAAAAAATAGGTTTCAAAATTTTTTTGAAAATCGCTGGTTTTTTCGAATTGGGTCCAAAAAAATGAAGGTTACTGTAGATTTTGGCTGGAAATTGTGCAATTTTTCACACTAAATTTGACCTAGGTTACTGTAGATTTTGGCGCCAAAATCCTACAGTAACCCTAGTCATGTTGGGTGTCAAAAAATGCGGAATTTTTGGTAGATCAAAACTACAGTACCCCGATTTCAAATTTTTTGTTGCAGATCAGTAGATAAACGTGCCAGCCAATCAGATGTCTCACAACCGCCACCGCTTCACTCTTTTTATGATTCTGAATCCCCGGATGAATTGGCGTTGGTTGAAGCAGCCAGGGAGTACGGTATTCGATTGCTAAAGCGAAGATTTGATGATGTTGTGGTGTATTTGAGACATTCGCAGAAGAGTTTGAAGTTTAAGGTGAGACATTGCTGAAAATTGTGAATTTTTGGATTATTTTGAGCTAAAATTCGTGAAAATTGAGGTTTTTTGGATGATTTTGAGCTAAAATTCATGAAAATTGAGGGTTTTTGGATAATTTTGACCTAAAATTCATGAAAATTGAGGTTTTTTGGTCCAAAAATTGATGAGATTGCTCATATTAAACTTGTATTCATCAAATTTTCACATCTAGACTACCTATTGCTCATATTTGAAGTTTAAGATGAGACATTGCTCATATTAGGCTGCAAAATTGAGGTTTTTCGATGATTTTAACCTGAAATTCATGAAAATTGAGGTTTTTTGGTCCAAAAATTGATAATATTGCTCATATTAAACTTTTATTTATCAAATTTTCATATCTAGGCTACCTATTGCTCATATTTGAAGTTTAAAATGAGGCATTGCTCATGTTAGACCTAAAAATTGAGAATTTTGGATGATTTTAACCTGAAATTTATGAAAATTGAGCTCATATTAGGCTACAGTAATCTTTTTGGATTTTCTTAAAGGAGCATTCATAAGCTACCTATTGCTCATATTAAACTACAAAAAAAAATACAACCATTGCTCATATTAGGCTGCCTATTGCTCATGTTAAACCACAAAAATTACAACCATTGCTCATATTAATCTCAGGTTCTTCACACTCTTCCCTTCGACGCCGATCGCAAAAGAATGTCTGTAATAATCCGTGAAAATTCCGGCAAAAAACGCGTAATCCTGCTGACAAAAGGCGCTGACGCTGCAATTTTGCCATGCCTATCCGCCGATTTTTTGACAAGTCCCGAAGGCGAAGAATGTGTGCTGAAATCGCAAGAACATTTGACAGAATACGCAAAACAGGGATTGAGAACACTGTGTTTGTCGATGAGGATTTGGACAGAAGATGAGTATCAGGAGTGGCGAGAGAAACATGAAGAAGCTGAGCTCGAGACGACGAAAATGAGAGAGGATGCGATTTTGGAGAGTGTGTTGAGAGCGGAGAGCGATTTGGAATTGTTGGGTGGGTTTTGGCGCGTTTTTTGATACCCAACATGACTGGGGTTACTGTAGGTTTGATCTACCAGAAATTGTGCATTTTTTGATACCAAACAAGCCATGGGTTGTAGGTTTTGGCCCCCCAAAAAAGCCACGTGGCGGGCTTCGCCAGCCCTGTTCAGATAGTTTTTTTGATCTACCTGGAATTGTGCATTTTTTGAGACCAAATATGACTAGGGTTACTGTAGGTTTTGGCCCCAGAATCTACAGTAACCCGAAAATTTTCATCTCAAAAAAAAATACGGGAAAAAATAGGTTTCAAAAATTTTTTATAATTTTTTCGAAAATTTTTGAAAATCACTTGTTTCTTGGATTGGGTCCAAAAAATGAAGGTTACTGTAGATTTTAAAGGTACAGTAACCTGGGAATTTTCGGCACGAAATAATCCTGGATTTGATCTACCTAGAATTCTGGATTTTTTGACACCAAACATGACTGGGGTTACTGTAGGTTTTGGCGGGAAAATGGAATGTTTTTGATCTACCAGAAAATTGCTATTTTTTGAGACCAAAATCTACAGTAACCCCAGGTTACGGTAGATTTTGGTCACGCAAAAAGCCACGTGGCGGGCTTCGCCAGCCCTGTTCAGACAGTTTTTTCGGCCCCCAAAATCTACAGTACCCCAAAATGATCTACAGTAATCCTAGGCTTGTATGGTGTTGAAAATTTTTTTTTCGATTTTCCCGCCAAAACTTACAGTAACCCTAACCCTACCCTAGGCGTATTTGGATTCAAAAAAATCCCGAATTTTTAGTTCTACAGTAATTTGAACCCTACAGTACCTCAACAATCTACAGTAACCCTAGGCTTATCTAGATTCAAAATTCCCAAAATTTCAAATTTTTCAATTTTCCCGCCAAAACTTACAGTAACCCTAATCCTACCCTAGGCGTATTTAGATTCAAAAATTCCGAATTCAAAATTCTACAGTATTTTGCACCCTACAGTAACCCTAGGCGTATTTAGATTCAAAATTTCCAGAATTTTTAATTCTACAGTACTCTGGACCCTACAGTACCCCCCACATGTTTTCCAGGTGTTACCGCAATCGAAGATCGACTTCAAGACGGAGTTCCCGAATGTATAAATTCACTTCGAGAAGCTGGAATTCGAGTGTGGGTTCTGACTGGTGATAAAATCGAAACCGCTGTAAATATCGCATATTCTTCGAAATTATTCTCACCAAATATGGATTTGTTAAATATTGGAGCGAATGGAATTGCACCAATTGGTGATTTGTTAAATGAACATTTGGAAAGAATTGGAAGAATTCGAGAAATTGAAGATGAAGCGGTGGAAAATCATTTTGGACTGGTTTTGAATGGAGCTACAATGGGTTATTGTATTGATCCGCATAATTTGGAGAGATTTGTGCAGTTGTTGAAGAGGTGAGCATTTTTTTTGAGTTCAAAATTCAGAAATCTAGAAAATGCGGAAATTTGAGCTCAAAATTCAGAATTTTCTAGATTTCTGGAGCATTTTGAACCCAAACTCGAGAATTTTTGGGTTCAAAATGCTCTAGATTTTGAAAATTGAGCTGAAAATTCAAGAAACCCCGGATTTTTCGAACATTTTGAGCCCAAAAATGCTCAGAATCTGATTTTTGGGCTTTAGAAGCTGCTAGGCCTAAAATTATCCGAAAAAATCGGATTTGGGCTCAAAATGCTCGGAAAATTTTAAAAATGCAGATTTTTGGGCTCTGGAACCTTTTGGGCCTAAAAATCTTCATTCTAGGCCTAAAATTATCCAAAAATAACCGAATTTGAGCTCAAAATGCTCATTTTTGAGTTCTGGAAGTTTCTGGGCCTAAAATAGTCTGAAAATAATCGAATTTGGGCTCAAAATGCTCATTTTTGAGCTCTGGAACCTTCTGCGCCTAAAATAGTCTTAAAATAATCGGATTTGAGCTCAAATTGCTCGGCGAATCTTAAAAATTCAGATTTTTGAGCTCTAGAACTTTCTGGATCTAAAAATATTGATTCTAGGCCTAAAATCACCCAAAAATAATCAAATTCGGGCTCAAAATGCTCATTTTTCAGCTCTAGAACCTTATAGGCCTAAAATTATCTAAAATTAATCGAATTTGGGCTCAAAATGATCAGGGAATCTAGAAAATTCAGATTTTTTGGGCTCTGGAATTTTCTGGACCTAAAAATCTTGATTCTAAGCCTAAAATTATCCAAAAATAATCGAAGTTGGGCTCAAAATGCACATTTTTGAGCTCTAGAAGCTTCTGGGCCTGAAATTATCCAAAAATAATCGAATTTGGGCTCAAAATGCTTAAAAATTCAGATTTTTGGGCTCAAAATGCAGATTTTTGAGCTCTAGAAGGCTCTAAATGCTCCGAATCAGATTTTTGAGCTCTAGTATCTTCTCGGCCTGAAATTATCCAATAATAATCAAATTTGGGCTCAAAATGCTCAGAAAATCAGAGGAAATCTCAATTTCAAGCTAGATAAACCTAAAAATTCGTTCCAGTTGCCGCTCAGTCCTTTGCTGCCGTGCAACCCCTCTCCAAAAAGCCCAACTCGTCCATCTCGCCAAAAATCAATTGCACGGAAAAGTGCTAGCAATAGGAGACGGTGCAAATGATGTGAGTATGATTCAAGGTGCTGATGTTGGTGTGGGATTATCTGGGCAAGAAGGAATGCAGGCTGTGATGTCAAGTGATTTTGCAATGGCTAGATTTAGATTCCTCACAAATCTATTATTGATTCACGGACACTGGAACTATTATCGATTGTCACAAACTATACTCTATTTCTTCTATAAAAATGCAATGTTGGTATTTGTTGTGTTCTGGTATCAAATATTCAATGGATTTTCCGCTCAAGTCCCCATTGATCCGGTTTATTTGATGATTTATAATCTGGTTTTCACATCAGTTCCACCACTTCTTTTCGGATGTTTGGATCAGGATTCATCCGGTGACATCCTCCTTAAGAATCCCGAATTATACAGGGAGATCGGGCAGTATAGTTGGTGGAGTTTTTGGGTGAATATGGTGGATGCGGTGTGGCAGAGTTTGGCGGTGTTTTGGGTGACGTATGCGGTGAGTTTGGGGCCTGGAAACCTTGGAAATTCTGAAGTTTTAGCTCAAATTTGAGAATTTTCAAGGTTTTTGGAGCATTTTGGGCTCAAATTCGGGGATTTTTGGGGTAGTTCCTGAAAGGGTCCCCTGAATGGGGCCTTCCTCCTCCAAAAAGGGTCCCCTGAATGGGTCCTAGTGTTTGTCATTTCACCTGAATGGGACCGCGCGTAGCACATGTCAAAAAATGGCGAAAAAAGGGTTTTTGTCACTTTCCTGAATGGGTCCTCTAAAAAATGGGGCCCAAAATGCATTTGGCGTTTTCCTGAATGGGACCAACCTCTTGTTTTGTCACTTTCCTGAATGGGACCTCAAAAAAAGGGGCCAGTTGTAGTTTTGTCATTTTCCTGAATGGGTCTTGTAAATTTTTATTTTGTTGATTTCGTTTCGGATCGCCCATAGCCATTTTTCAACTCGAAAAATGAGTTATAATTTTTTTATCTACTCTGATCTTTCCAGTCAGAATATCGGAAATAAAATTTCAAATAATTCCCTCCAAATTTTTTTTGAAACGATTATTTTCGAAGTTATTTTGAAACGACGAAAAAGAACAACCATTGTGTAATTATTGAAAGAAGCCTCGGAATCGGTTAGGATACATGTAATGCATTTTTCTTATTGTTTCCGAGATTTCTTTGAAAACTTTCACTAGAATACTCACGACAAGCCTCACTGCAATTCAAAATTTCATATATCTTTCTAACCTACATTTTATCAACAAAGACACGAATTTCATCAACTAAGTCGTAATTTCTTACAAAATTAGAGTTTTTGATTGCAAAATTTAAACAAAATTCAAAGTTATACAAAAATGTCATCTCTATTTTCACACCTGTCAAAAATTTTCGCACTTTGGCCCTAAAAAAGAATGCGTCCAAGAAGAAAATAGTGCGTATTTTTGGAGAACGAGATCACGTTTTTTGGGAAGTTTCCCTTCCGTTGTTCACTGAGATTGCGCATTAAAATGTCATAAGCCAATAATTAGGGAAAGTTTGAAAATTAGTTTTTTTTTTCAAAAATATGGCTCTTTAGCAGGTCCATTTTCAAGCCAACTTTATTTTTGAAAATGAGGTGAAATTGAGTTTCTACTGACTAATGATTCTCAAAAAAACTTGCAAATAGTAGGAGTGTTTCACAATCGACTGTTCGAAATAGAATATCTCATATCAGATTTTTCGAAAATTGTGTCGAAATAATTATTTTCAATGTATCAATTTCAGAAAAAAATCCAAATTGTTCTTTTTCGTCGTCTCAAAATAACTTCGAAAATAATCGTTTCAAAAAAATTTGGAGGGAATTATTTGAAATTTTATTTCCGATATTCTGACTGGAAAGATCAGAGTAGATAAAAAATTATAACTCATTTTTCGAGTTGAAAAATGGCTATGGGCGATCCGAAACGAAATCAACAAAATAAAAATTTACAAGACCCATTCAGGAAAATGACAAAACTACAACTGGCCCCTTTTTTTGAGGTCCCATTCAGGAAAGTGACAAAACAAGAGGTTGGTCCCATTCAGGAAAACGCCAAATGCATTTTGGGCCCCATTTTTTAGAGGACCCATTCAGGAAAGTGACAAAAACCCTTTTTTCGCCATTTTTTGACATGTGCTACGCGCGGTCCCATTCAGGTGAAATGACAAACACTAGGACCCATTCAGGGGACCCTTTTTTGGAGGAGGAAGGCCCCATTCAGGGGACCCTTTCAGAGACTGCCATTTTTGGGCGGAAAATGCTCCAGAAATCTAGAAAATTATGAAATTTGAGCTCAAAATTCAGAATTTTCAAGATTTTTGGAGCATTTTGAGCCCAAACTCGAGCATTTTTGAGGTTTCCTGAGCATTTTGAGCTCAAAAACCTTTTGAAAATCGAGCCTGAAATTGAGAGCCTTCAAAAGTTAAGGCCTGATTTCAGGCTCATCATTTAGGCTTATCAAAACTGGGCCTCAATTTCGGGCTTCGCAAAAATTTTGGAAAAAAAATCCCGGGAAAAATAGGTTTCAAAAAATTTTGATAAATTTTTCAAGAATTTTTGAAAATTGCTAGAAGTTTGTATTGATTTTAGTCAAATTTGGTACCAAAATCTAGAAAATGCTCCAAAAATCTTGAAAATTTTGAAATTTGAGCTCTGAATTTAGAATTTTCAAGATTTTTGGAGCATTTTGAGCCCAAACTCGAGCATTTTTGGGCTCAAAATGCTCTGGAAATTCAGAAAAATCTGAAAAAAGAGCTTAAAATCCAGGTTTTGAGCCCAGAAATGCTCTGGAAATTCTGAAAATTCTGAAATTTGAGCTCTGAATTCAGAATTTTTAAGATTTTTGGAGCATTTTCAGCCTAAAAATGCTCGAGTTTGAGCTCAAAATGCTCCAAAATGATCCAGAAACCCCAAATTTTCACCCAAAAATCCCCAAATTTTTGCAGACTTATCACAACTCGACTTCTGATATGTGGACATTTGGTCATTTATTAGTTTGTCAATTAATGTTTGTCAACACATTTCACCTCGGATTATTAATACAATATTGGACATTGCCAATGTTTTTCTCAATGTTTCTCTCAATTTTGGCATTTTTGGCAATTTGCCTACTTTACAACGGATTTGTGACACCAAATTGGACGTGGACAGGTGCAAAAGATGTGCCATCAATGATTGCACTGACGTCTTTTTCGCAGTTTGATTTTTGGTTGGCGCTAATTGTGACGATTGTGATTTGTTTGGCACCGAGAATGATTGTGCTGGTGGTGAAGAATACGATTTGGCCGAATCGGATTATGAGCAAAAGGATTCGGGGAGATCGAGAGGAGGAATTGAAGAAGAAAAAGGAGAAGGGTGAGCTGTTTTGGAGCATTTTGAGCCCAAGAATCGTTGTTTTTGGAGCATTTTGAGCCTAGCATCATGATTTTTGAAATTTGGAGCATTTTGAGCTCAAGAATCGTTATTTTTGGAGCATTTTGAGCCTAGCATCATGATTTTTGAAATTTGGAGCATTTTGAGCACAAGAATCGGTATTTTTGGAGCATTTTGAGCCTAGCATCATGATTTTTGAAATTTGGAGCATTTTGAGCCCAAGAATCGGTATTTTTGGAGCATTTTGAGCCCAAAAATCGTTATTTTTGGAGCATTTTGAGCCTGGAACATCGATTTTTGAAATTTGGAGCATTTTGAGCCCAAGAATCGTTATTTTTGGAGCATTTTGAGCCCAAAAATCGTTATTTTTGGAGCATTTTGAGCCCAAAAATCGTTATTTTTGGAGCATTTTGAGCATAGCATCATGATTTTTGAAGTTTTGATGAGTTTTGGAGCATTTTGAGCCCAAGAATCGTTATTTTTGGAGCATTTTGAGCCTAGCATCATGATTTTTGAAATTTGGAGCATTTTGAGCCCAAGAATCGTTATTTTTGGAGCATTTTGAGCCCAAAAATCGTTATTTTTGGAGCATTTTGAGCCCAAGAATCGTTATTTTTGGAGCATTTTGAGCCCAAAAATCGTTATTTTTGGAGCATTTTGAGCATAGCATCATGATTTTTGAAGTTTTGATGAGTTTTGGAGCATTTTGAGCCCAAGAATCGTTATTTTTGGAGCATTTTGAGCGTAGCATCATGATTTTTGAAATTTGGAGCATTTTGAGCCCAAGAATCGTTATTTTTGGAGCATTTTGAGCCCAAAAATCGTTATTTTTGGAGCATTTTGAGCCCAAGAATCGTTATTTTTGGAGCATTTTGAGCCCAAAAATCGTTATTTTTGGAGCATTTTGAGCATAGCATCATGATTTTTGAAGTTTTGATGAGTTTTGGAGCATTTTGAGCCCAAGAATCGTTATTTTTGGAGCATTTTGAGCCCAAAAAGCAGTATTTTTGGAGCATTTTGAGCGTAGCATCATGATTTTTGAAATTTGGAGCATTTTGAGCCCAAAAATCATTATTTTTGGAGCATTTTGAGCCCAGAAGGTTTTGGAGCTCAAAAATCAGGATTTTCGAGATTTCCTGAGCATTTTGAGCCCAAAAATCATTATTTTTAGACTATTTTAGGCCCAGAAGGTTTTGGAGCTCAAAAATCAGGCTTATCTAGATTCCCCGAGCATTTAGAGCCCAAAAATCGTTATTTTTAGACTATTTTAGGCCTAGAAGGTTTTGGAGCTTTTCTGGAGCATTTCTGGGCTCAAAATACTCCAGAAATCTTGAAAATTCTGAATTCAGAGCCCAAAAATCAGGATTTTCGAGATTTTCTGAGCATTTTGAGCCTAAACATGAGCATTTTTGGTGCCAAAATTCCAAAAATTCGAAAAATTCAAAAAAATTTTCTTGCAGATTTCACAAATTGCCTGGTTCAATGTTTTTCTGCTCCATTCCGATGTGTTCGTTTCATTTTTTCGTCAAAAACACGAAAAAATCAAAATATTCATGTGCAATAATACATTTTTCATCGAAAAAACGGGATTTTTTTGTTTTTCGCATTGCTCATTGTATATTTTATTTGAATTTTGAATAGCTTACCTAATTTTCTCTCTCTTTTTTGAATACGAGTAGATTTTTCCATTTATTTGCATGTAATAAAGAATTTTGATCTTTTTTGCGGTTTTAGACATGATTTTCAGCTCGAAACTGGAATTTTAAATGAAATTTTCAGTTAGCATGCGTGCAGAATTTCAAGAGCTACAAAATGAGCCCGAAAATGTCTGGAAACCCAGGAAATTTCAAAAATTTTCAAAAACTTCATTTTCAGATACAAATTTCGGTCAAAAACTAAGAAACCCAACATCTCTGTGTAGAGAATTTCAAGGGCTTCAAAACCACACAATTTTCAATCTGAAAATGGCAGATTTTCGTCTGAAAATCCAGGATTTACCGAAACTTCCCGCTCCCCCAACAAAAGTGTGCAAATGTGCGTCGCCGTGTTTACACACACCAACGACACTCCGCTGGATGACGCGTTGAGCGCGCATTCATTTTCGAATTTTTCTCGCGTTTTTTTGGAGTTTCCCGCCGGAATTTGAAGTTTTGCAGATGTCATCCAGTAAATTTGGGTTGGGCGGTGAAAAGGTGCGTGTCGCGCATCGAGCCAACGCCCAAACAACAAATGTTCAAGCGGATATGGATGTGAAAAAGGCGTTGTTGTCGAAAATGATAACAAGCACATTGAATGGCACAAAAAGTTCGGCTAAATCTGGGGGGAAGAAGATGGGGGCGAAAAGGGCGCGGAAGAATGAGAGTGATGAAAGTGAGGATGATTTTATTGATGATGAAGGTGTTAGTGATGATGAGGATGATGATTTTGAGAGGGAAGATTTGGAGGAGGAAAAACAGAGAAGAAAGGTGGCGGTGAAGAAGAAGGTGAGTGTTTTTGGGAGGGAAAATCGAAAAAAATTGTGAAAAATCGATAATTTTGAGCTGAAATTCATGAAAAATGTGATTTTTGATGAAATTTGACTCAAAAATGATGAAAATTGAGGAAATCTAGGCTTTTTGAGCTGAAAATGATGAAAAATCGATAATTTTCAATGGAAAATGTCAAATTTGCTTCCAAATTCTAGTTATAGTCTAAAAATTGTGAAAAATCGATAATTTTGAGCTAAAATTTAGGAAAAATGTGATTTTTGATGAATTTTGATCTGAAAATGATTAAAATTGAGGAAATCTATGCTTTTTGAGCTGAAATTGATAAAAATTGAGGTTTTAGACCTTAAAATGCTGAAAAATCGATAATTTCCAATGGGAAATGTCAAATTTGCTTCCAAATCCTAATTATAGTCTAAAAATTGTGAAAAATCGATTAATTTGACTGGAATTAACTGAAAATTTGATTTTTGAGCCAAAAATCGATAGTTTTCACCGGAAAATTCCCAAATTTCGCTCCAAAAATTTAATATTTTCCGCATTTCCGCAGGCTTCCGCTTCCGCAACCGACGAACAATCTCCACCCGAAGTTCCCAAACGAAAACAACGAACTTTGTCGGATTCTTCAGAAGATGAAGTTGACACGTGGCACAGTAAACCGAAATTCGAAAATTCTTCGAGCAAAATGAAAACGAAAGCTTTTCAAAAAAAAGTGACGCCAAAAAAGAAGAAAATTGTGATTGAAGAGAGTTCTGACGAAGAAGAAGAGGAAAAAAATTCAAATTTGAAATTGGCGCCAAAAGATGAGGCGGAAAGCGAAGAGGATACAGTACCCAAAAAGAAATCGAAGAAAAAAGTGGAATCTGACGAGGATTATTATAATGAGGAAGAAGAACTTGGAGATAATTCGGATGAGGAGAGAGACGCAGAGGGAAGCGAGACACCAGACAGCGATAGTGATGCAGAGGAGAGGAAGAGGAAGAGAGGCGAGACGGCGAGTCAGAAAAAAGCGCGGGAATATTTTAATCGAGCGGAGAAAGAGGATTTGTTGATGCAGAAGGGGGTGAATGAGAAGATTGCTGAGTTTATTTTGAAGAATCGACCGTGGAAAGAGTATCAGGAGATGGTGAGCGGGGTTTTGGGAGGGAAAATGAGCCATTTTGAGCCAAAATTCATGAAAAATGGAGGATTTTGAGCTAAAATTGATGAAAATTGATGAATTTTGAGCTAAAATTGATGAAAATTGATGAATTTTGAGCTAAAATTGATGAAAATTGAAGAATTTTGAGCCAAAATTCATGAAAATTGAAGGATTTTGAGCTAAATTTGATGAAAATTGATGAATTTTGAGCTAAATTTGATGAAAAATGGAGGATTTTGAGCCAAAATTCATGAAAATTGATGCATTTTGAGCTGAAATTGATGAAAAATGAATTTTTTCGACCTAGAATAGATTTTTAAGCCAAAATCCATGAAAAATGAAGGATTTTAAGCTGAAAATCACGAAAAATGTGTTTTTTCGACCTAAATTAGATTTTTAAGCCAAAATTCATGAAAATTGATGAATTTTAAGCTGAAATTCATTAAAAATGAGGTTTTTCTTCCTAATAATGGATTTTTGAGCTAAATTTCATGAAAATTGATTATTTTTGTCAAAAATCATGAAAGTAGAGCTAAAATTCATGAAAATGAGCCATTTTGAGCCAAAATTCATGAAAATTGATGAATTTTGAGCTAAAATTCATGAAAATTGATGATTTTTGATCCAAATTTCATGAAAAATGGAGGATTTTGAGCTAAAATTCATGAAAAATGATGAATTTTGAGCTGAATTTGATGAAAATTGATGAATTTTGAGCTGAAAATCATGAAAATTGATGAATTTTGAGCCAAAATTCATGAAAATTGGTGGATTTTGAGCTGAATTTCATGAAAATTGAAGGATTTTTGATCCAAATGTGATGAAAAATGAATTTTTTCGACCTAGATTAGATTTTTAAGCCAAAATTCATGAAAAATGAAGGATTTTAAGCTGAAAATCATGAAAAATGAGTTTTTTCGACCTAAATTAGATTTTTTAGCCAAATTTCATGAAAAATGAGTTTTTTTTACCTAGATTAGATTTTTTAAGCCAAAATTCATTAAAATCGGAGGATTTTGAGCCAAATTTCATGAAAAATGGAGGATTTTGAGCTGAATTTCATGAAAATTGATGAATTTCAAGCTAAAAATCATAAAATTCTCTAAAAATTGACGAAAATCTGAATTTTCACCCCTGGTTTCTCCAAAAAATCCCATTTCAACCCAGAAATTCGAAATCTACGCTAAATTTTGACAAAAGTTCACTAGCGGGTTCGAACCCGCCATCTCTCAACCGCCAGACATCTCTCTAACCGACTGAGCCACATTTTTCCAGGAGAAAAAGGTGGCGGGATCGATCCCGCTAGTGAACAAAACACTTTTTTTTTTTGAAATTTATGTTTGCCGGATCAGAATTTTACGAGGAATTCGAATTTTTCACTGAAAATTCTCAAAAAAAATCGATTTTTTCCCAGATGACAAGTTTGAAAGGTGTTACACGTGGCATAAATGCGGTCGACGGATATTTGGAGCATTTGGAGAAGCAGGGAATTTTGAAACGGATTCTGGACGATTGCAAAGATCACGCGAATACGGTTGCACGGGATTTTGAACGATGCACCGAAGGACCGCTGAATTTGAAATTGATTAGTGAAGGGTGAGCGATTTTTGGGTGGAAAAGGGTGAAAAATCGATAATTTTGACCTAAAATTCATGAAAAATCGATAATTTTGAGCTGAAATTCATGAAAATCGATAATTTTGAACCAAAATTGATAAAAATTGAGGTTTTAGACTTTAAAATGCTGAAAAATCAATAATTTTGAGCTAAAAATCATGAAAAATGTGATTTTTGATGAATTTTGAGCTGAAAAATCGATAATTTCCAATGGGAAATGTCAAATTTGCTTCCAAATCCTAATTATAGTCTAAAAATAGTGAAAAATCGATAATTTTGAGCTGAAATTCATGAAAAATGTGCTTTTTGATGAATTTTGATCCGAAAATGATGAAAATTGAGGAAATCTAGGGTTTTTGAGCTGAAATTGATGAAAAATCGATAATTTGGAGCTGAAATTCATGAAAAATGTAATTTTTGATGAATTTTGACTCAAAAATGATGAAAATTGAGGTTTTATACCTTAAAATGATGAAAAATCGATAATTTTCACTGGGAAATGTCAAATTTGCTTCCAAATCCTAATTATAGTCTAAAAATTGTGAAAAATCAATAATTTTGAGCTGAAATTGATGAAAATTTGATTTTTGATGAATTTTGAGCTGAAAATGATGAAAAATCGATATTTTTATTGAAATTAATTGAAAATTTGATTTTTTAAAATCCAAAAATCGATCGATTTCATCGGAAAATTCCCAAATTTGGCTCCAAAGTCTTAAAATTTTCAAAATTTTCATGAAAATCTTAAATTTTTCATCATTTTTTCTCCAAAAATCTTCGAAAATTTCAGAATTTTCCCGATTTTTCCCCAAAAAATCTTCGAAAATTTCCAGTTTCACCCTTCACGAATACCAAAAAATCGGTGTAAAATGGCTAATTATGATGCACCAAAAAGAGCTCAACTCAATTTTGGGCGATGAAATGGGACTCGGAAAAACCATTCAAATCGTCGCATTTTTATCGTATTTGAAACAGTCTGGAAAATCTGGACCACATTTGATTGTTGTACCATCGTCAACTATTGAAAATTGGGTTGGAGAGTTTCAGAAGTGGTGTCCGAGTATTAAGGTGAGAAAAATCATGAAAAATGAGCCAAAAATTGGGATTTTTGGGCGAAAATAGGCCTAGAAGGGCCTAAAAGGCCTAAATAAGCCTGACTTAGCCTTTTTCCAGCTTCTCACATATTACGGAAATCAAGACGAGCGCAAACATCTTCGACATCGCGTCAAAAAGCAAAAAGATAATGTGAGTTCGCGCGCGGGGAAATAGCGCAGTGGTAGTGTGTTGAATTGGCGAGCGCAAGGTCGCGAGTTCGAACCCCACTCGGCGCAGCCATCTTTGTTTGAGTTATCCCATTATCTTTTCATTAGTGCGTTCTTGTCAAGCACTGATGCCTTAAAATGGGTGAGATTGAAGCTGAACCTGACACCACCGATTGATTTGTGGATTATTGATTGGTGTGAAATGGTTCAGACGACATTTTTTTTGGGGGTTTTTTTGGCTGGAAATTTGGAAAAATCTGGAAATTTTGAGCCAGAAATTGGGGATTTTTTCTGAGAATGTTTGAAGTTTTTTGGTGCCAAAATTAAAATTTCAAAATTCTGAATTTTTGAATTTTGACCCGAAAGTGTGGAGTTTTGCTGAAAATTTGGAAATTTCAAGTTTTTCGCGGGAATTTTTGCCACGTGGCATTTTTTTGTTGTTGAAGAATTTGAGATTTTCTAAAATTTGAATTTTTTAAATTTTCAAACTTCCCGCGTTGATTTTTGGCGGGAAATTTTGAATTTTTGAAAATTTGCGATTTTTTGAGGCTAAATTTGGGCAAATTCAAAGTTTACAAAAAAATTGATTTTTTTTTGAATTTTTAAACTTCCCGCGTTAAATTTTTGGCGGGAAACTTTGAATTTTTGAAGAATTTGAGATTTTTGAGGCTAAATTTGGGCAAATTCAAAATTTACAAAAAAAATCGATTTTTTTTTGAATTTTCAAATTTTCCGCGTTGATTTTTGGCGGGAAATTTTGAATTTTCAAATTTTCCCGCGTTAATTTTTGGCGGGAAATTTTGAATTTTTTGAAAATTCTGAAAAATTGCGATTTTTGAATTTTGACCTAAAAATGTGGATTTTTCGGCTATTTTTTCCAGAAATTTTGAAAATTGAATTTTTTTTTTTGGAAAGTTTTGAATTTCTCAAATTACCAGAAATATCTATATTTCCAGATTTTCAGCCAAAATTCACCTGAAAATCCCAAAAAGCATTTCAAGACTAAATTTGTGCATGTTTGATATCAAAATGCTCCAAATTTCGAGGATTTTCAGAATCCACGTGGAATTTGGAGCATTTCAAGACTAAATATGAGCATGTTTGATGTCAAAATGCTCCAAATTTTGAGGATTTTCAGAATCCACGTGGAATTTGGAGCATTTCAAGACTAAATATGAGCATGTTTGATGTCAAAATGCTCCAAATTTTGAGGATTTTCAGAATCCACGTGGAATTTGGAGCATTTTCAGCCAAAATTCACCTCAAAATTTGATTCCAGATCGATGTAATCTTGACGACTTATAACATGGTCACCTCAAAAACGGATGACAAAAAATTCTTCAAAAATTTCTCGCTAAACTATGTGATTTATGACGAAGGACATATGCTTAAAAATTGCGATTCGGAAAGATATCGCGGCCTGATGAAAGTGAAAGGAAAACGAAAAATATTGCTGACCGGAACCCCGCTGCAAAATAATTTGATCGAATTAATCTCGCTAATGTATTTTGTGCTCTCAAAAGTCTTCAATAAATATTGCGAAGATATCACACATCTACTACAACATTTCAAACAAGTTGGACCGAGTTTGGAATCAAAAGATCGTGCATTATATCAACAGGATCGAATTGATGAGGCGAAGGCGATTTTGCAACCGTATATTTTGAGAAGACTGAAAAATCAGGTGTTGGGAAGTTTGCCGACGAAAACTGAGAGGATTGTGGAGGTTGAGATGAAGGAGAAGCAGCAGGAGATTTATGAGGAGATTTTGGAGGCGTGAGTGGATTTTTGGGAGGAAATTGGGTCTAGCAGTGTTTCTAGGCTAAAAAATTGAGCCCAGGAGGTGATTTTTGATTCAAATTAGGTCTAGAAACTTTTTAGGCTGAAAATACCCTGAAATTGTGATTTTTGAGTTCAAATAGGCTCTAACAGTGTTTCTAGGCTGAAAATTGGGCCTAGAGTCTGAATTTTGGTCCAAAACAGGTCTAGGAGGTGATTTTGGCCCCAAATTAGGCCTAGAAACTGTGTTTGGGCTCAAAATGCTATGAAATCTTGATTTTTGAGCTCAAATAAGCCCGAAAGGTGTTTCTGGGCTGAAAATAAGCCTAGAATGTGATTTTAGGCTGAAAATAAGCCTAGAATCATTTTTCTGGGCTGAAAATGAGCCTAGAATGTGATTTTTGACTGAAATTAGGCCTATAACATGTTTCTAGGCTGAAAAAAAGCCTAGAAGGTGATTTTGGGCTGAATATGAGCCTATGAGGTGATTTTAGGCTGAAAATAAGCCTAGAATCTGATTTTTGGTCTAAATTAGGCCTAGAAACTGTTTTTAGGCTCGAAATGCTCTGATATATTGATTTTTGAGCTCAAATAGGCTCGAAAGGTGTTTCTAGGCTGAAAAATTGGGCCTGGGAGTTGATTTCTGGTCCAAATTAGGCCTGGGAGAAGGTTTCTGGTTTAAAATGAGCCTAGAACCATTTTTTGGGCTGAAATTAGGCCTGGGAGAGGGTTTTGGCCCCAAATTAGGCCTAGAACACGTTTTTAGGCTGAAAATAAGCCTAGAAACTGTTTCTGGGCTTAAAACAGGCCTGAAATCACTATTTTTGACCGAAAAAGGTCATAAAGCCTATGTTAAGCTTTTCCTAAATTTTCAAGCTTAAAATTGGTCTGAAAATTCCAGCCAAAAACAAAAATCAATAATTTTCCAGCCTTCGAAATTCGGATGATTCTGGTGAATCGTATGGTTCTCTGATGCGTCTACGACAAGCCGCAAATCATCCGCTTCTGAGAAGATCACATTATGATGAGGATGTTTTGGACAAAATTGCCAAAACGCTGTGTAAAAGGGTGAGGATTTTTGGGTGAAAATTGTGATTTTTGGGTAGAAAATTCGAGATTTTTGGATTTTTTCACCCGGAAATGTGATTTTTTGAGCATTTTCAGCCAAAATTCATGAAAATTGAAGATTTTTGAGCCAAAATTCATGAAAATTGAAGATTTTTTCAGCCAAAATTCATGAAAATTATGGATTTTAAGCCAAAAATTCTGGAAATTTTATCTGAAAGCTTGAATTTTTCAAAAATTCTGGAAATCTCGAATTTTTCCTCAAAAATATCCTGAAAAGTCTGGATTTTGAGCTGATTTTCTGAAAATTTTGGTTTTTGGCTGAAAATTCTGGAAATTTCATCTGAAAACTTGAATTTTTCGAAAAATTCTGGAAATCTCGAATTTTCCGTCAAAAATATACAGAAAAGTCTGGATTTTGAGCTGATTTTTCAAAAATTCAGAAAAATTTGATTTTGGGCTGAAAATTCTGGAAATTTTCACTTAAAATTACACTGAAACCCCTAAATTTCACCCTAAAATCCCTAAATTTCACCCTAAAATCCCTAAATTTCACCCTAAAACCCCTAAATTTCACAAATCTCCTTAATTTTCTGAAGAAAATTTTGATTTTTGGCTGAAAATTCTGGAAATTTTATCTGAAAACTTGAATTTTTCGAAAAATTTTTGGAAATCTCTAATTTTTCCTCAAAAATATCCTGAAAAGTCTGGATTTTAAGCTGATTTTCTAAAAAATTCAGAAAATTTTGATTTTTGGCTGAAAATTCTGGAAATTTCATCTGAAAACTTGAATTTTTCCTCAAAAATCAACAAAAATTCTGGATTTTAAGCCGAAAATTCATCGAATTTTCACTGAAATGATCTAAATTTCACCCTAAAACCCCTAAATTTCACCCAAAACCCCCTAAATCTCACCCAAAAATCCCCCTAATTTTCTGAAGAAAATTCTGGAAGAACATTTTGGTTTTGGGCTGAAAATTCAGAAAATTTCATCTGAAAACTTGAATTTTTCAAAAAATTCTGGAAATTTTGGTTTCGGGCTGAAAATTCTGGAAAATTCATCAAATTTTCTAGATTTTTGGTCAAAATTACACTAAAATTACCCTAAAATCCCTAAATTTCACCCGAAAACCCCTAAATTTCTGCAGGAAAAAACGTATGAATCCAAAAACTGGCATCACATTTCCGAAGACTTATCCTATCTCTCCGACATCAAAATCCATCAACTCTGCGAGAAATTCCCATGCATCGCAAAATATCAACTCGATGAAAAATTCGCGTTGGAAAGCGGGAAAATCGATAAACTCGATGAAATGTTGCCGGAAATTCAGAAATTAGGAGATAAAGTTCTGATATTCTCACAATTCACATCAATGTTGGATATTTTAGAGGTTTATCTGGGGATTCGAGGATATTCATATAAGAGATTAGATGGGCAGACACCAGTTATGGAACGGCAGGAAATGATTAATGAATTTAATGTAACTCCAAATCGGGAACTGTTTGTATTCTTGTTATCTACAAAAGCTGGAGGATTGGGAATTAATTTGACGAGTGCAAATCATATTATTATACATGATATCGATTTTAATCCCTATAATGATAAACAGGCGGAAGATAGATGTCATCGAATGGGACAATTGAAGAATGTGCATGTGACACGGCTTGTTAGCAAGAGGACGGTGGAATTGGGAATGTTGGAGTTGGCGAAGAAGAAGTTGAAGTTGGAGAAACAGGTGACAGGTTAGTGAGAGCATTTTGGGGGGGGGGGGGGGGAGATTTTGGGGTTCTGAGCTCGAAATTTGGTTTTGACATCGAATATGCTCATATTTAGTCTTGAAATGCTCCAAATTCCACGTGGATTCTGAAAATCCTCGAAAATCCGCGTGGCCGCGTTCGCGGAAGACAGTGCCGCTTACGCGGAAGCTTGCGGTTTACACTCGCTCCGCTCGACCCGAGCGCTGTTCGCGAGTGTAGACCGCGAGCTTCCGCGTCAGCGGCACTGTCTTCCGCGAACGCGGCCACGTGGATTGCTATGACGTGGCAAGGGATCATAGCAATCCGCGTGTCCGCGTTCGCGGAAGACAGTGCCGCTTACGCGGAAGCTTGCGGTTTACACTCGCGCAAAGCGCTCGGGTCGAGCGAAGCGAGTGTAAACCGCGAGCTTCCGCGTCAGCGGCACTGTCTTCCGCTTTAGCGGCCACGTGGATTGCTATGACGTGGCAAGGGATCATAGAAATCCGCGTGTCCGCGTTCGCGGAAGACAGTGCCGCTTACGCGGAAGCTTGCGGTTTACACTCGCGCAAAGCGCTCGGGTCGAGCGAAGCGAGTGTAAACCGCGAGCTTCCGCGTCAGCGGCACTGTCTTCCGCTTTAGCGGCCACGTGGATTGCTATGACGTGGCAAGGGATCATAGAAATCCACGTGGCCGCTAAAGCGGAAGATAGTGCCGCTGACGCGGAAGCTTGCGGTTTACACTCGCTTCGCTCGAAAATTGAAAATCCCTAAAATTTCAATGAAACCTTTTTTGGCTGAAATTTTGTGCTGAAAATCATGAAATCCTTGATTTTCAGCGATTTTCAGTGAATCCATGATTTTCAGCGCAAAATTTGAGTCAAGAAAAAATTTGAAGCATTTTGACATCAAACATGCTCATATTTAGTCTTGAAATGCTCCAAATTCCACGTGGATTCTAAAAATCCTCGAAATTTGGAGCATTTTCATATCAAACATGCTCATATTTAGTCTTGAAATGCTCCAAATTCCCCATTTTTGCAGACGGTGTAAAAGGACAATTGGACGAAAATGAGGTGATCAAAGAGGAAGACGATGAAATTGATGGCGAAAAAAAGAAGGTGGACAAGAATGAAGTGAGCAATTTGTTGGCGTCGGCTCTCGGCAAAAAATGAGCCGGAAAATCGAATTTTTGAGCATTTTTGAGCTGGAAATTGATGATTTTTGCCTATTTTTTGACCTAAAATTGTGAATTTTTGACCTAAAATACCGTATTTTCAGCCCATTTTTTTGTTGTTAAATTGCACGATCTCTCCTCCTTTTTTCATATTTTCTTAAAAATTTTGAATTTATTTTTTTCCCCCCAGTTTTATTCATTTTTTTGTGTGACTCTACGAGTTTTTTTTCTGTGAAAATCGATTTTTTCCCGAATTTTACATCCAAAAATCGTGATTTCTATCGATTTTTTATATCTAAAAATTTTGAAAATTTGAATTTTTCAAGGGTTTTTCAGGCATTTTTTGATGGGAAAAATTGAGGATATTTGTGATCGATATTTGGCGAGACGAGAGGAGCAAGTTAAGGTAACTTTTTTTTTTGAAAATTCTGAAAATTTGCGATTTTTTGAGTCTAAATTTGGCCATTTTTCACAAAATTATCGATTTTTTTTTTCGATTTTTCAAATTTTCCCACAAAAAAAATCGATTTTTTTGAATTTTCAAATTTTCCGCGTTGATTTTTGGCGGGAAAATTTGAATTTTTTGAAAAATTGCGATTTTTTGAGTCTAAATTTGGGCAAATTCGAAGTTTTCCCACAAAATTATCGATTTTTTTTTGAATTTTCAAATTTTCCGCGTTGATTTTTGGCGGGAAATTTTGAATTTTTGAAAATTTCCGATTTTTTCAGTCTTAATTTGGTAAAATTCAAATTTTCCCACAAAATTATCGATTTTTTTGAATTTTCAAATTTTCCCGCCAAAATTTAGACACGTGGATTTTTTCGCGCGAAATTCAAATTTTTATCGATTTTTTCAGGTTACTGAAGCGGTTGAGCGATGTTTGAAGAAGGGATATGATTATGAGAAATTGAAGGTGAGCATTTTTGGGGGCTGAAAATCTGGAAAGCTGAAATTTTGGCTGAAAATCTTGAAAATTCTGAAAATTCCCGATTTTTTGAACCAAAATTGATGGAAATTGAAGAATTTCAAGATTTCCAGGTCAAATTTCATCAAAAATTCGAAATTTTCAGTCAAAATTGATGAAATTTTAAGATTTTCAGTCAAAAATCTCCGAAATTTCAGACACGAGTTCAAGACGCAGTAAGTGATTCACATTTAGCCTCAAAAGTGATAAATGCAGTTGTCGACTACTATCCACAATTGAGAAAACGACAATTTCGAGACAATGATGAGGAAAAAGATAGGAAAAGGTGTGTTTTTCGGGATTTTTGGGGATTTTTGAGCTAAAATCTGAAATTTTTGAGCATTTTTGACCTAAGAATCATGAAATTTGGATTTCTAGGCCATTTTTTGGGTTTCTAGGCCATTTTTCGGGTTTCTAGGCCATTTTTGGGTTTCTGGGCCATTTTTTGAATTCCTAGGCCATCCTTTGGGTTTCTAGGCCATTTTCAGGGTTTCTAGGCCTTTTTTCCGGTTTATAGGCCATTTTTTGGGTTTCTAGGCCATTTTTTGGGTTTCTAAGCCACATTTTGGGTTTCTAGGCCATTTTTTCAATTTCTAGGCCATTTTTTGGGTTTCTAGGCCATTTTTTGAATTCCTAGGCCATATTTTGGTTTTCTAGGTCATATTTCGGGTTTCTAGGTCATATTTCGGGTTTCTAGGCCATTTTTTGAGTTTCTAGGCCATTTTTCAAATTTCTAGGCCATTTTTGGGTTTCTAGGCCATTTTTTGGGTTTCTAGGCCATTTTTTGGGTTTTTAGACCATTTTTTGGGTTTCTAGTCCATATTTTGGGTTTTTAGGCCATTTTTCGGTTTCTAGGCCATTTTTTGGGGTTTCTAGGCCATATTTGGGTATCTAGACCATTTTCTGGGTTTCTAGGCCATTTTTTGGGTTTCCAGGCCATTTTTCGAGTTTCTAGGCCGTCATTTGGGTTTCTAGGCTATCCACGTGGCATTTTCAGTCCAACTTTTTTTTTTGCAGAACCCGAGACCGCAGCCGTGACCGAGATCGTTCTAGCAAAAAATCCAAACCCGACCCGGAAAAATCACCGCAAAAAAGTGGTACGGTAGCCGTGACGGAAGACGCGTTGCGTGCCAAAGAATTGATCTATCGAGCACAGCAGGAAATTGAGGAGAAGAAGCGGAAAATGGCCGCAGGCGTCGCGAATTTGACGCATGCGTCAAAAGCGATGACGCCTGCGACAGCCGCAGGCGGCAAAGCTGTTGCGTTGGGCAGAGAAGAGGCGCAAATGTTTATGAGTGTTTCGATGGACAAAAAATCGCGAATGGAGATGTTGAAGGCGAAATTGGCGGCGAAAACGCCGCGACTCGGTGAGATTTTGCCGCCGCCGGCGATGCCTGCGACGCCGCAGGCGGAATTTGCGGTGGAGAAAAAGGAGGTTTTGGAAAAGGAGCCGGCTGCTGGGAAGGAGAAGATTTTGGAGTATTTGGATCCGAGAATTGATTTGAAATCGGCTGAACGGTAAGGGTTTTTGGGCCGGGGAAAATTTGGGAAATTTTGAGCCTAAATATGGTCTGGAAAGCCTGGAATTTAGGCTGAAAATTCGCTGAAATTCCGGATTTTCGAGCTTAGATTTGGGCTGAAAATCTGGATTTTTCAGCTAGAAAATCTGGAATTTTTGATCTACAAAATTGGAATTTCAAGGCTTCAAACCCTGCTGGAAATTCTGGAAATTTTGAGCCTAAATATGGTCTAGAAAGCCTGGAATTTAGGCTAAAAATTTGGTGGAAATTCTGGAAATTTTGAGCCTGAAATCGGCCCGAAAATCTAGGCTTTTTTCCAGTCATAATTTGGTCCTGAAAATCTGAAAATTCTGGACCTAAATTAGGCTTTTCTGGCCCAAATTCATACTGAAAATCTGGGCTTTTTGTAACGTGAATTTGAGTCTGAAAATCCGGAAATTTCGGACTGAAAATCTGAGAATTTTTGAAGCCTAAATTTGGCCTGAAAATTTAGCTTTTTCTAACCCAATTTTGAGCCTGAATTTCTAGGCTTTTTCCAGCCATAACTTGGTCCTGAAAATCTGGAAATTCCGGACCTAATTTAGACTTTTCTGGCCCAAATTCATACTGAAAATCTGGGCTTTTTCTAACCTAAATTTGAGCCTGAAAATCTGGATTTTCGAGCCTAGATTTGGGCTGAAAATTCGCTAAAAATCTGAAAATTTTGAGCCTAAATATGGTCTAGAAAGTCTGGAATTTAAGCTGAAAATCTGGAATTTTTAGTTAAATTTAGGCTTAAAATCCTGCTGGAAATTCTGGAAATTTTGAGCCTGAAATCGGCCCGAAAATCTAGGCTCTTCTGGGCCCAAATTTGTGCTAGAAAATTTATTAATTTTAAGCCTAAATTTGAGCCTGGAAATTGACTTACGATCAAGTGTTTCTAGCCTAGATATGTCTTGAAAATTCAGCTCAAAAAATTCTGAAAATTCCAGATTTTCAGCTCTAAAATTATAGCTAAAAACCTAGACTATTAAGGCCGACTTTAAGCCTGAATTCAAGGCTTAATAAGCCTAAAACTGAGCCTCCAATAAGGCCTAAATTTGAGCTAATATTTGAGACGTCTAAAATTGGGCCAAGCCTGATTTTCAGTCCGATTTTCAGCTCCAAAATTCAAATTTTCCAGTCGTCGCCGCGGTTTCGCGTTCCACGAAAAAGGCGAATTCGAAAAACTCGCCAACAAACAACGTGCTCTCGCCAAACTCGAACGACTCCAAAACGAAGTATCATCGGCTGCAAAATCTACGGGAATCTCGTCAGCCGTCAAATTGGCAATGGTTACACCGTCTGGAACAGCTGGAAAAGCTGACAATTCAATTGTGCCCGATATTGAGTGGTGGGATACGTTGGTTTTGGATAAATTGAAGTGAGTTGAGCCCAGATTTGTCTGGGCTTCAATTTGAGCCTAAATAAGCCTATATTCAAAAAAGCCTAATTTCAAGCCTGAATTTAGCCTATATTCAAGCCTATATTCAAGCCTAGCTTAAGGCCTGAATTTCGGCCCAGAATCAAGGCTAATTTCAAGCCCAGACTAGCCTGAATTTGGGCCTAGAAACAAGGCTAATTTCAAGCCTAAAATTAAGCCTATTCAACCTGAAGCTTATACAACCTAAAGCCTGAAATTTTGGCCTAGAATCAAGCCCAGAGAAGCCTGAATTTAGGCCTGAATTTCGGCCTAGATAAGCCTGAAATTAAGCCTAGATAAGCCTGAAAAAGCCTAAGCCTATTCAACTTGAAGCCTGAAATTAAGGCTGATTTTAAGCCTAGATAATAAGCCTGAGATCAAGCCTATTTAGTCTAGCTTGAGGTCTGAATTTAGGTCTAACTTTCAAGCCTAATTTCAAGCCTAGACGAGCCTTAATTTAGGCCAGACTTTCAAGCCTAGATAAGCCTAGCTTATGAAAAGCCTGAATTTGGGCCTAGTTTTAGCCTCAAATGAGCCTATTCAACCTTGAAGCCTATACAACCTAAAGCCTGAAATTTAGGCCTGAAATTTAAGCCTAGACGAGCCTGAATTTAAGCCTAGAGAAGCCTAGCTTAAGGCCTGAATTCAAGCCTAGACGAGCCTATAATTAAGCCTAGGTTCAAGCCTGAAATTAGACCTATTTATCCTAGCTTGAGGCCTGAATTTAGGTCTAACTTTCAAGCCTAATTTCAAGCCTAGACGAGCCTTAATTTAGGCCAGACTTTCAAGCCTAGATAAGCCTAGCTTATGGCCTGAATTTGGGCCTAGTTTTAGGCCTGAATTTAAGCCTAACCTAAAGCCTGAAATTAAGCCTAGACGAGCCTGAATTTAGGCCTAGAGAAGCCTAATTTTAAGCCTGAATTCAAGCCTAGACGAGCCTATAATTAAGCCTAGGTTCAAGCCTGAAATTAGACCTATTTATCCTAGCTTGAGGCCTGAATTTAGGTCTAACTTTCAAGCCTAATTTCAAGCCTAGACGAGCCTTAATTTAGGCCAGACTTTCAAGCCTAGATAAGCCTAGCTTATGGCCTGAATTTAGGCCTAGAATCAAGGCTAATTTCAAGCCTAGATAAGCCTGAAAAAGCCTAAGCCTATCCTGAAATTTAGACCTAATTTCAAGCCTAAAATAAGGCCTATTCAAACTGAAGCCTATCCAACTTAAAGCCTGAATTTAGGCCTGAATTTAAGCCTAGACGATCCTGAACTTAGGCCTAATTTTGAGCCTAAAACACATGAAACTTAGCCTAAAATCAAGCCTGAATTTGAGCCTAGATAAGCCTGAAAAAGCCTAAGCCTATCCTGAAATTTAGACCTAGACGAGCCTACAATTAAGCCTAGGTTCAAGCCTGATTTAAAAAAAAAATTCGAGCCTAAAACACATGAAACTTAGCCTAATTTCAAGCCTGAATTTAGGCCTGATTTCAAGCCTAATTAGCCTAGATGTTTTGCAGCTACGACGAGATTCCCGAAGCATCAGATGCTGATCGATATTCTCAAACAATATCCGAACTAGTCGAACATCCAATCTCACTTCGACCACCAACAGATCCACTAGTTCCACAATATTTGAAAGTATATTTGACAACCAAAGAACGCAAAAAGATTCGGCGACAAAATCGAAAAGAAGTGCTGAAAGAGCGGACTGAAAAGATCAGATTGGGGCTGGAAAAAGCGCCGGAAGCCAAAGTGAAAATTGGAAATTTGATGCGAGTTCTGGGAAATGAGGCGATTCAAGATCCGACGAAAATGGAGGCGCATGTGAGGAAACAAATGGCGGAGCGGTTGAAAAAACATGAGACATTGAATGCTGAGAGGAAATTGACGGATGATCAGAAGAAGGCGAAAAAGACGAAGAAATTGGCGGAGGATACGAGTACGGCGGTGAATGTTGCGGTTTATCGGTAAGTTTTTTTTTTTGGGGGGTTTTTGAGCCGAAAATTCGGGTTTTTCATGCAAAATTGGCCCCGGACCTTGAAAATTGGATTTTTCATGAAAAATTGAGCCCTGGGGCTCTTTTTGAGCTTGAACATCAATATTTATTGATTTTTCATGAAATTTTGAGCCCTGGGGCTCTTTTTGAGCTAAAAATTCGGTTTCCCGTGCATTTTTTGACCTGGGGATTTGAAAAATGCGATTTTTTATTAAAATTTGGGTCCAGGACTGATTTTTGAGCTTCAACATCAAAATTTATCGATTTTTCATGAAATTATGATCAGGGAGCGATTTTTAATGCAAAAATTCGTGTTTTTCATGAAAAATTGACACCAGGTGGTCTAGAACTTCGAAAAATCGATGATTTTCGACCTTGAAACCTTAAAAATTGAATTTTTCATCAAATTTTAGTTCTAGGAAGGATTTTTAGCCAAAGTTAATATTTTTTTACGAATTTTTGAGTCTACAGAAATTTATCGATTTTCATCAAAAATTCGATTTGGTGGGTTAATTTGACCCAAAATTCAGGTTTCTAACGATTTTCGGACCCCTACATCTTGAAAATTGAATTTTTCGTGAAATTTTGAGCAAAAATATCGATTTTTGGTGATTTTTTGACCGCTAGAGCTAGAAAAATTGGATTTTTTCATCAAAAATTGATGCTGTGGCTACATTTTGAGCCAAAAATCCCATTTTTTTTGTTTTTGACTTGAAAAATTAGCCGCGGAAAATGTACGTTTCAAAATATTCAAATATGTTTTTGAGTTTTTTTCATCAGTGATACCTCTCCAACGTGCGGATCGATTTAAAGTTGGAATTTTAAGTATGAAAATGGTGGCCTAGTTTTTCATAAATCTGGAAAACTAGGCCAAAAATGGGCCAAATTTTGAGCGATTCCAAATTTGACCTGAAAATTCCAAATTTTCACCTAAAAATCTGAAATTTTCAGTGTAAAATCTCTAACTCATCCATCCAAAAAATTCAAAGTCGAAACCAACGCGAAACAATTGCAAATGTCCGGAGCAATTATGATGCACAAAGCACAAAATATTGTGGTTGTTGAAGGCGGACCGAAACAGCAGAAGTTCTACAAAAATCTGATGTTGAATCGAATCAAATGGTCCGATGAGATTATTGGACAGAAAAAAGAGGCGGAAAAAGATGCGCCCGGAGAGAGGAATTTGTGTGAAATGGTAAGGATTTTTTGGGATTTTCAGATGCCACGTGGAATTTGGAGCATTTTGAGACCAAACACAGCTATATTTGAGCTCAAAATGCTCCGAATTTCGAGGATTTTCAGAATCCACGTGGAATTTGGAGCATTTTGAGCCCAAACACAACTATATTTGGGCTCAAAATGCTCCAAATTTCGAGCACGTGGAATTTGGAGCATTTTGAGCCCAAACACAACCATATTTGAGCTCAAAATGCTCCAAATTTCGAGGACGAGGAATTTGGAGCATTTCAAGACTAAATATGAGCATGTTTGATGTCAAAATGCTCCAAATCTCAATCTGAATTCCGGATTTTCAGAATCCACGTGGAATTTGGAGCATTTCAAGACTAAATATGAGCATGTTTGTGCTCAAAATGCTCCAAATTTCCCGCTGAACCCGATTTTTTGCCTTTCAGATTTGGGAAGGTCAAGTGAAGCGTCGAAATTTCAAAGATTTCCAAGTGCACACGGCACAACTCGAAAAACAGGCTCGCGAATTTTTCGAAAAACACGGTGTCGCACAATATTGGGACCTGTGCTACAGTACTACCGTACTCCTCGAAGGACAGGATGTTCTACCGACTGCCTAGCAGGAGTACTGTAGTTTTTGGCGCCAAAAATTGGGTGTTTTTTTGTTGGAAAAATGAAGTTTTATTTATTTTTGACGTTTTTTAGTTGAAATTTTTTTTCCTGTTGGAATTTCCCGGGAATTTTTGTATTTTGGATTACTGTAGATTACTGTAGATTTTCTACAGTACCCCCCTCCAAATTTCAGATGGAAGATTTGGAAAAAATGCGCAAAGACGTGGAAAATTTGGAAAAATCGAATTTGGCCAAAAAACAAGTGTTGGCCGAAATTTTGGCCCAATTCCAGACGGCCCAAAATCAGGCCGACACGGAAAAACGCAGGAATTTTGTGCGAAATGTGATGCGCGCTGAAATTTGTCTGAAAATCGAGGAAAGCGAGAAGCGGCGACTGCGAATTTCAGCCAAATTGTTGGATTCGTATCGATTTCAGCATTGGACGTGTTTTGGAGTTGGAGTGGAGAATTTGGAGGAGGAGGGGGAGATGTGAGTGATTTTTGGGGAAAGATTTTGAAAATTTGAATTTCCCGCCCAAAATTTTTGAAAATTCGGGAAAATTTGCGATTTTTTGAACCTAAATTTGCCACGTGGCACTTTTTGGGGCCAAAAATATTGATTTTTTTGAAAATTCGGAAAATTTCTGATTTTTTAAAGCCTGAATTTGCCACGTGTTAAAAATTAATGATTTTTTGAAAGAAAAAAGCCACGTGGCAAATTTAGGCTCAAAAAATTGCAATTTTTCAGAATTTTTTAAAAAATTGATGATTTTTAGCCCCAAAATTCAAAATTTTCAAAAATTATCGATTTTTCTGATTTTTTAAGCCTAAATTTGCCACGTGGATTTTTTATTTTGAAAAATGAATAATTTTTTACACGTGGCAAATTTAGGCTTAAAAAAACAAACAAAAAATCGATAATATTTGAAATTTTGAAATTTTCGGGTTCCAAATTTCGAATTTCTGAAATTTTGATGATTTTTTGAGTTGGCGGGAAATTCAAATTTTCAAAAAAAAAATCGATGAATTTCTGGTCCCAAAAAGCCACGTGGCAAATTTAGGTTCAAAAAATCGCAAATTTTCAGAATTTCTCAAAAAATCGATAATTTTTGGCGGGAAAATTTAAAATTTTTCAAAATTCATCGATTTTTCTGATTTTTTTTGAACCTAAGTTTGCCACGTGTCAAAAATTCATCGATTTTTTTTGAAAATTCGAAAAATTTGCGATTTTTTAAGCCTAAATTTGCCACGTGGAAAAAATTCATCGATTTTTCAAAATAAAAAAAGCCACGTGGCAAATTTAGGCTTAAAAAATTGCAAATTTTCAGAATTTCTCAAAAAATCGATAATTTTTGGCGGGAAAATTCAAAATTTTCAAAAATTATCGATTTTTCTGTTTTTTTTTTGAACCTAAATTTGCCACGTGGATTTTTTATTTTGAAAAAAAATTTCAAATTTTCAAAACATCGATGAATTTTTGGTCCCAAAAAGCCACGTGGCAAATTTGGGTTCAAAAAATTGCAAATTTTCCGAATTTTTCAAAAAATCGATAATTTTTGGCGGGAAAATTGAAAATTTTCCAAAAAATTCATCCGATTTTTTCTGATTTTTTTGAACCTAAATTTGCCACGTGGATTTTTATTTTAAAAATTAATGAATTTTTCCACGTTGCAAATTTAGGTTCAAAAAATTGCAAATTTTCAGAATTTTTCCAGAAAATCAATAATTTTTAGCCGCAAAATTCCAGAATCGTCGAAATTCTCGGCTGCCGCGAAACTCGCTGGACAATTTTCGACGACGAAAAATCGATGCGAAATTTGCAGACTATACGGTAGGTTTTGGCTTCTACAGTACAGTAATCTACAGTACCCCCCTTCTACAGTACCCTTTTTCACAGGCCCCGAAGCTCCGCCCATTTACACGTGGCAATTTCAAATGCACATTTTTTCGCGGGCTCCAAACCCGAAATTGTTTTGCACTTCCGAAAATGCCCGCCAAATTTGGGACAGTAAGTGAGCTACAGTACCCCCAAAAGCTACAGTACCCCCTACAGTACCCCCTTGCAGATTATCCCCTCAATTTTGTGCCGAAATCTGGAGCCACGTGGAATTTCAGACCATTTGTCTGAAAATCGAAAATCTTCCCACAAGGCAATTGTTTTTGGAAAATGAATTTGTGGATGAGTACGGTAGGTTAGGGAGTACTGTAGACCTACAGTAACCTACAGTAATCATTTCCAGCCGCGATAATCCTGGCAAAATGCATTCAAACTTGCTGGACATCGAAAAATCTCGAAAAAAAATTGCGAATCTCGAAATTTCTGCAAAAATCGCGCCAGAAATTCCGATGCAACGATTTTGAGACGTGGCAATTTTTGGGCGGATTTGAGGAATTCACGGAGTGTTGTGCCATTTTGGAAGATGGAAATCAGGAGGAAATTGAGCGAATTTGGACCGCAAATGCGGAATTGGCCAGCGAATTTGTGAAGTTTTTTGAGCAATAAACAATTTGGAGCATTTTGAGACCAAATTTTGAGCTCAGAATGAATTTGGAGCATTTTGAGACCACCACCATATGTAAGCTCAAAATGCTCCAAATTTCGAGGATTTTCAGAATCCACGTGGAATTTGGAGCATTTTGAGCCCAAACACAACCTTATTTGGGCTCAAAATGCTCCAAATTTCGAGGATTTTTAGAATCCACGTGGAATTTGGAGCATTTCGAGCCCAAACACAACCATATTGCTCCAAATTTCGAGGATTTTCAGAATCCACGTGGAATTTGGAGCATTTCAAGACTAAATATGAGCATGTTTGATGTCAAAATGCTCCAAATTTCGAGCTTAGAATCCACGTGGAATTTGGAGCATTTCAAGACCAAATATGAGCATGTTTGATGTCAAAATGCTCCAAATTTCGAGGATTTTCAGAATCCACGTGGAATTTGGAGCATTTTGAGCCCAAACACAGTCATATTTGGGCTCAAAATGCTCCGAATTTCGAGCTGAAAAGCAAAAAACTATTGATTTATTAAAACAAAACTTCAGCCCATAAGAAAATACAAAAAAATACAGTAAGATATGTTCCGAATTGAGATCAAATATGAATCAATATGAAACCCTGACATCTGAAAAGCGATGCGCCTTTAAAAAATTCGAATTTTTTTTTTTTTTTTTTTGAAAAAAAACGGTGTCGAATGGTTAAAGGCGCAAGACTTGGGGGAAAATACAAAAAATACAACAAAAACAGTGCTAATTAAGGTATTACCTTAAGGTAATAACCTTAATTAGCGCACTAATTAGTTAAAAATCCGAATGCTCAAAGCTGGAGACAATCGAAGACTCTTCCGCATCCATATACACTCCGCTAGTAGCCAACGCTTTCACCTCCTCTTCCGTCAGCATCCGCCGCAACGCCGCGTCGTAGATTTGCTCGGGACCACGACGGTATTTCAGACCGTTGTCGCGAGCGTCCCAAATTTCGTCGACTGAAATCAAGAGAATCCAATTTGGAGCATTTTGAGACTAAATATGAGCATGTTTGGGCTCAAAATGCTCCAAATTTTGAGGTTTTCAGAATCCACGTGGAATTTGGAGCATTTTGAGACCAAACACAACCATATTTGGGCTCAAAATGCTCCAAATTTCGAGGATTTTCAGAATCCACGTGGAATTTGGAGCATTGAATTTTGGGCTAAAAATTATCGATTTTTTGAAAATTCTGAAAATTTTCGATTTTTTAAGCCTAAATTTGCCACGTGGAAAAAATTATTGATTTTTCAAAATAAAAAATCCACGTGGCAAATTTAGGTTCAAAAAAATCAGAAAAAATCGGATGAATTTTTTGGAAAATTTTCAATTTTCCCGCCAAAAATTATCGATTTTTTGAAAAATTCGGAAAATTTGCAATTTTTTGAACCCAAATTTGCCACGTGGCTTTTTGGGACCAAAAATTCATCGATGTTTTGAAAATTTGAAATTTTTTTTCAAAATAAAAAATCCACGTGGCAAATTTAGGTTCAGAAAAATCAGAAAAAATCGAATTTTTTGGAAAATTTTGAATTTTCCCGCCAACTCAAAAATCATCAAAATTTCAGAAATTCGAAATTTGGGACCCGAAAATTTCAAAATTTCAAATATTATCGATTTTTTTGTTTTTTTAAGCCTAAATTTGCCACGTGTAAAAAATTATCGATTTTTTGAAAAATTTTGAAAATTTGATGATTTTTGAGTTAGCGGGAAATTCAAATTTTCAAAAAATCAATAATTTTCGGTCCCAAAATGCTCCAAATTTCGAGGATTTTCAGAATCCACGTGGAATTTGGAGCATTTTGACACCAAACACAACCATATTTGGGTTCTGGACCATTCGTGGATTACTATGATCCCTTGCCACGTCATAGCAATCCACGTGGCCGCTAAAGCGGAAGATAGTGCCGCTAACGCGGAATCCTGCGGTCTACACTCGCGCACAGCGCTCGGGTCTAGCGAAGCGACTGTAAACCGCAAGCTTCCGCGTTAGCGGCACTATCTTCCGCTTTAGCGGCCACGTGGGTTGCTATGACGTGGCATGGGATAATAGAGCCCCCCTCCACTCACCCCCAATAATTCCCAGCTTATCAACATCGGGATAGGCCGGTGGCTCGGGCTGCTCCTCAAACGGATCCGGAGTGGGATGCGGCACATTTTCGGGATCCTCATGATAGGCGCTCATCGCCTCTTTGCAATCCGCATCCTCGATGTGTCGCTTCAGTTTGTCCTCGACGACCATGCGGACGATGCGGTTGAAGGCGCAACCGGCGGTGATGCGGCCGTGCGCCTCCGGATCCCACATTTCTTCGGCGATTCCGCGCAGCACACGCGATTTCTTTAAACAACATTGAATTGATTGTTGTTCCTCTGCGTCCCTGTTCTCTGGTCGTCTGATTTTAGTAGTAGCCTACTCAATACTCTAGTTGTCTACCTCTCTGCGTCTCTCGCTTGTGCATACTTCTTTGCAGTTTGCTATCTCTGCGTCTCTAAGCCCTCTAGTTGTCTGTCTCTCTCAAAATGTTGTGCTCTCTAGCTACCTGACTCTAGTTGTCTGTTATGCTCTCTAGTTCTCTGGTTCCCTGCGTCTCTCGTAATCTTGCGTACTCTATCTAGTAGTATGTTTCTCTGCGTCTCTGATTCTCTAGCTGCCTGACTCTAACTGTCTTTTCTATTCCCTTGCTATCTAGCTGTCTACATCTCTGCGTCTCTCGAAATACTATGATCTCTAGTTGTCTGGATCTCCACGTCTCTCGTACTTTCATACTTTCTAGCTATATGCCATTTCTGCGTCTCTGATTCTCTAGCTGTCTGACTCTGTATCTCGTCGTCTCCTCTGCGTCTCCTCTATCCCCATACTCTCTAGCTATATGCTATCTCTGCGTCTCTGATTCTCTAGCTGTCTGACTCTAGCTGTCTGTTAAGCCCTCTAGTTCTCTGATTCCCTGCGTCTCTCGCAATCTCTAGCTCTCTAGCTGTCTGACTCTTCCCATGTGTGTATCTCCTCTACGTCTCTTCTCTTCCCTTACTCTCTAGCTATATGATATCTCTGCGTCTCTGGTGATCTTAAGCCCTGTAGTTCTCTGATTCCCTGCGTCTCTCGCAATCTCTAGCTCTCTAGCTGTCTGACTCTTCCCATGTGTGTATCTCCTCTACGTCTCTTCTCTTTCCCTATACTCTCTAGCTGTCTGCTATGCTCTGCCTCTCTAACAACATGGTTGTCTGCCCCCCCCCCCCCCAACTCACCGGATGCCTATTAATCTGCGCCCTCCACACCGGCCTCATCCTCTTCCCCACAACAATCTCCCGCATCTGCCCAATCGTCGGATTCATGCCCACCTGATCCTCATACGGCAACATATACTCCGCCATCTCCTCCACCTTCTCCTCCCCCAAAATCGTCTGCGACAACACCTCCCACATCACCAACGCCATCGCATAAACGTCCATCTGCTTAAAGGCGCACGGTGTGAACTCGGTGGCACCCTCGAGAACTTCAGGCGACATATAGCGACGGGTGCCGACCTGCCCGAGAAGATCGTTGTATTTCGGGTTGCGCATCTCGAACTTCCGGGCGAGACCGAAATCTGCGATCAGCGCTGTCATATCCTTCCGAACTAGGATGTTCTTGGATTTTATATCCCTATGGATTATAATCGGCTTGGTATGTCCAAAGAAAAATGGTCGATCATCATGTAGGAATTGTAAACCATCAACCATACTTAAGATAACTCTGATAGCTGACGCCAGGCTTATGGTATTCCGCTTGATTAACTCATATAGGCTAAGTCTCTCATGGTATTCGGTAACAATCCATAGTTCCTGCCCAACTTCCTCGGATCCCCAATATTTCAAGATCGATGGGTAGCCCTTGGGTAAACTCGCAAAATAATCGAAGATCTTCTTCTCGGCAAGATAACTGGGGCGTTCGGAGATGTCGTGCTTCTTGACAGCCACACAGTGCTCATTCCCCTCTGGGTCGGTGTATTTCGCGCGGAACACAAAACCATAGCGACCGTGTGCGATGATGTGTTGATCGCTGATCGCCTCGCTGATGTTGTTGATCGCCGTGCTGTTCTGGTTGTTGGTGTCGAGTTCGGGTGGATAGTAGTGGGCTGGGTAGTGGAGACGACCGTTGAGAATCGGGCTGTTGGTGGGTTTTGCCGGGCTTCGCGTGCGCATTTCGAATTCTTGAGTGGGTAGGACTAGGGGAGCTGATGCGTTTGTGGTTTCCTGCAAGAAGTTAGGTTTGTTACTGTTTTTTTGCCACGTCATAGCTATTCTGAATCACATTGCGGTCATTTTGAGACTAAACATGACGGGGGAGGGGTACTGTAGTTTTGATCTACTTGGAGTTCTACGCATTTTGACACTAAACATGACGGGGGTACTGTAGATTTTGGGTCTCAACGATCCTCAAAGCTTAGAGTAACCCTAGGCTTGTTTGACCTCCTCGGAAAACGTGGATTTTTCGCCACGTCATAGCTATGGGGTACTGTCATGCCTCGAAATTACGATCATTTTGAGACTAAACATGACGGGGGTACTGTGGATTTTGGGTCTCACCACGATCCTCAAAGCTTACAGTAACGCTAGGCTTGTTTGGACTCTAAAAACGTGGATTTTTCATGCCACGTCATAGCTATGGGGTACTGTAAAGCTGATCTATCTAAGGTACTGTAGCGCCTGGGTCTTGCCACGCGGGAACACGTGGATTTTTCATGCCACGTCATAGCTATGGGGTACTGTAGTTCTGATCTACTCGGAATTCTTGAGGTCAAACGTGCTATGATAAAAATCCACGTGGCTACAGTAACCCTAGGCGTGTTTGGACTCTTAGAACGTGGATTTTTCATGCCACGTCATAGCTATGGGGTACTGTATTTGTGACCTACTTTCGAGACCGAATATGATTAGGGTACTGTAGGATCTGTGTCTCACCACGATCCTCAACGCTTACAGTAACCCTAGGCGTGTTTAGACCCTAAAAACGTGGAATTTCCGCCACGTCATAGCTATGGGGTACTGTACCGCCTGGGTCTTACCACGCGGGAACTACAGTACCCTAGGCCTGTTTGGTATCAAAATACGTGGATTTTTTGCCACGTCATAGCTATGCTCCCTTCAAAACTCACCAATTTGACATGTGTCTGTTGCCTCCTTCGACTACACATTGAGTAGATCAAAATGGTGGCGGCCGCAAATGACAAACACGCCGTGAGCATCACCATGTAGACTACAAAAGACAGTGAATATCCGCCGGTTTTTAGTTCAGCTTCTTCTTCTTCTTCTTCCTCACTTTCTGGTGCTAGTTCTGAAATTTTCACACGTGGAAGTGTTAGATTTTGGAGCATTGCTCATGTTAACACACATGCTTCCTGAGAATTGCTCATATTAATGAAGTAGAGCGGACCATTTTTCGGCAGTTTTATCGCTAATATGAGCAACGCTCCGCATTCTTAAAATCAGAATTGCTCATATTAGTGATTTAGAATCCTTTTTTGTTAATATTTGGAGCATTGCTCATATTAGCTGTGCAAAAAATAGAAAAAATTAACGATTTACTTTGGTGCAAAAATGAAAAAAAGGGTGAAAATGGTGCAATTATAAGGTACTAACCAATAATTTTTGGAGCATTTAGTGTCGAATTTTTGAGCTGTTCCGCTTCCGCTTCCGCGTCCGGATCCACGTAGAACGGATTCAACATGCGCACCGCCCTCTTCTCGTTGCAGTTTTTGGTCAGACAACAACAGTTGCGCACACGGCTTTTGCGTTTCACGCCGTTGTTGAGGCACTGCAAAAAAAAAATAGCAAATGCGCTCCATGGAGAATTTTTGAAATTTTTCGAAATTTTGAAGATTTGCATTAGAGCGCACTTGCTTCTCTGAGCATTTTCGTGTATTTCCGGACCTCTAAGAAGCATTTTAAAGTTAGTTATAGCAAGTGCGCTCTATGGAGAATTTTTGAAAAATTTCAATTTTGCATTAGAGCGCACTTGATTTTCTGAGCATTTTCATATATTTTTGGAGCTCTAACACCTATTTTGAAGTTAGTTATAGCAAGTGCGCTCCATTGAGAATTTTTGAAAATTATCAAAATTCTCAAAAATTCGCATTAGAGCGCACTTGATTTCACTTCCGCTTTAGTGGCCACGTGGATTGATATGATCCCTTGCCATGTCATAGTAATCCACGTGGCCGCTGAAGCGGAAGACAGTGCCGCTGACGCGGAAGCTTGCGGTCTACACTCGCGCAGAGCGCTCGGGTCGAGCGGAGCGAGTGTAGAACGCAAGCTTCCGCGTAAGCGGCCCCACGTGGATTTCTATGATCTCTATGGTTTCCACGTGGCCGCTGAAGCGGAATCTTGCGGTCTACACTCGCTTCGCTCGACCCGAGCGCTGTGCGCGAGTGTAGACCGCAAGCTTCCGCGTTAGCGGCACTATCTTCCGCTTCAGCGGCCCCACGTGGATTTCTATGATCTCTATCGTTGCCACGAGGCCGCTGACGCGGAATCTTGCGGGCATTTTTGATAGACTCGCGGCTCCGCCCGTCGACTTACCGTATGCTCTCCGCATCCCGCTTTGCTCTCCGCCATCCGCTCCTGACAACCTTGAAAATGAATCGTCTCCTCCGGAACCCCGATGATCTTTTCCGTCGAATTCACCACCTCCACCCTGGGTTCATAGCTGAACACAGAGATGCACGATAGAACGACGTGTGAGCCGTGAAGTGTGCACGTTTGGGTGGTGGGACAATTCGGATTGGTGTCCGGGTCGCAGATGGTGCGGTCGAGGAACTGCAAAAATTTCGAGGATTTTCGGAGAATCCACGTGGAATTTGGAGCATTTTGAGACTAAATATGAGCATGTTTGGGCTCGAAATGCTCCAAATTTCGAGGATTTTCAGAATCCACGTGGAATTTGGAGCATTTTAAGACTAAATATGAGCATATTTGATGTCAAAATGCTCCAAATTTCGAGGATTTTCAGAATCCACGTGGAATTTGGAGCATTTCAAGACTAAATATGAGCATGTTTGATGTCAAAATGCTCCAAATTTCGAGGATTTTCAGAATCCACGTGTACTCGAGCTGATCTTTAATTTTTTTTTCGGCAAAAAAAAAATTATCACCTGACATTTTTTGAAAAATGTTGTTCTTCTCTTTTTTCTTCCTCGTCACATGATTTATTTTTCAGCAAAAAAAAAGTATGAGAGCTATAATTTAGTGAAGCGAGCAAAGTATAATTATTGAATTTCGAGCGCCGGAGGCGCGAGTGTAAACCGCAAGCTTCCGCGTCAGCGGCACTATCTTCCGCGAACGCGGCCACGCGGATTGCTATGATATGGCAAACGTCATAGCAATCCACGTGGCCACTAAAGCGGAAGACAGTGCCGCTGACGCGGAATCTTGCGGATTACACTCGCGCCTCCGGCGCTCGAAAATCCACGTCATTGAAGGCGTCGTGGCCGCTAAAGCGGAAGATAGTGCCGCTGACGCGGAAGCTTGCGGTCTACACTCGCGCAAAGCGCTCGGGTCGAGCGGAGCGAGTGTAGACCGCAAGCTTCCGCTTCAGCGGCCACGTGGGGTGCTATGACGTGGCAAGGGATCATAGCAATCTACGTGGCCGCTAAAGCGGAAGATAGTGCCGCTTACGCGGAAGCTTGCTGTCTACACTCGCGCAGAGCGCTCGGGTCGAGCGGAGCGAGTGTAAACCGCAAGATTCCGCGTCAGCGGCCAACTGTTTGAACAGGGCTTGCGAAGCACGCCACGTGGATTGTTGGGATTTGAAAATCCTCGAAATTTGGAGCATTTTGAGCCCAAATATGCTCAAAACTCACCGCACAAACCAAATACGGTTCATTATTGGTCTTATTGATCTCATAATTCACCCCCTCCACGCCAACAACTCGCGATCTCGCCGATCCCTGCAACACTTGCGCAAGAGTTGTGCCATTCCGCTGCGCATCCGTCGTTCGATGCGCCAATTTGTTGATGTACTCCTCTTCGGGACTCATAGTTCTCTCGGGTTCGGCGGCAATTGCCGCAAACGACACTCCGCAAATTACGCCGATTAGAATCACATATTTGAGAAGAAGCGCCATTTGCCCTAGGCGGGCTGTAATTAATTTTCAAAAATTAATTAATTAACAAAATCCACGTGGAATCTTAATCACGGCAAGTGAAAAAGGAAAAAAAAAACAAAAAAACAAAAGTAAGAAAAATCGAAATACACAAGGCCGCTGGCGCCTTGACGAGAGAGTGAGAGACGACAGAGAAGCAGACAGTGTGTGTCTCTGCACTCTCTCATCTCTCCACACTCTCTCGTTTTTTTTTTTGGAGAAGAAAAAGGGAAGAGCCAGGTGTAACTAACATTTTTTAATCTTTATTATTATGTAATACATATGTAGATGTGTATAATAATAGTGACTTAGGATAAGTAGGGGAGCGGAAATGGGGAAAAAGTAGTAGTGACCGAAATTCAGCTCGAAATTTGGAGCATTTTGAGCCCAAATATGCTCATGTTTAGTCTTGAAATGCTCCAAATTCCACGTGGATTCTGAAAATCCTCGAAATTTGGAGCATTTTGACATCAAACATGCTCATATTTAGTCTTGAAATGCTCCAAATTCCACGTGGATTCTGAAAATCCTCGAAATTTGGAGCATTTTGACATCAAACATGCTCATATTTAGTCTTGAAATGCTCCAAATTCCACGTGGATTCTGGCCACTACAGTAATCTGGGAAATGGAATGTGCGGAAAATAAACAGGAAGCAAATTCGAGCGGCAAAGCCGCGAGTGTAGACCGCAAGCTTCCGCGTCAGCGGCACTATCTTCCGCTTTAGCGGCCACGCGGATTGCTATGACGTGGCAAGGGATCATAGCAATCCACGTGGCCGCTACGCGGAAGCTTGCGGTTTACACTTGAGACCGCAAGCTTCCGGGAACGCGGCCACGTGGATTTTCAGTACTGAATTATTAACTGGCCGCTAAAGCGGAAGATAGTGCCGCTGACGCGGAAGCTTGCGGTTAACACTCGCCGCTCCGCCGCTCGTACAAAATTTAATAAACATCGAAAATTCGATCGGTAATCTCAAAAATGACATTTTTCGCAAAAATCACATCATTTTCATTGGTCAATTGACTGCAAACAACCATTCGAAGAAAATAGTTGCCTTGAACTGTTGAAGGGACCAAATGAATCCGACGATCCTCGTTGATCGCATTGCACAGTCTTTCGTTGTCAGAATTTGAGGACTGCAAAAAAAGAGGGCGATTTTTAGAGTCCGAATTCGACTAGGGCCGGGATTGAACGCGTGGCTAGCGCGACTCAATGTTGCTTAACTTGCCAGATTGGATAGCGTATTTTTTCGTGTATTTTCGGAGCTCTAAACCCTATTTTGAAGCTAGTTATAGCAAGTGCGCTCCATTGAGAATTTTTGAAATTTTTCAGAATTTGCATAATTCGCATTAGAGCACACTTGCTTCCTCACTCACATTTTTGAGCTTAAAACAAGTGAGACCTAAATGTTGTGGTACAAAATGCTCGAATCTTCCATCCTCAATGATAAGTTCGGCGAACTTCGCCGCCAATTTTTCGGTTCCTCGAAGATAATCCTGGATTTTGGCCACGCCCATGTTTCGCAACACAAACCAGATTTTGAGTGAGCGAAAACGTCGGCCAAGGGCGACTTGGAGGTGCTGCAAAAAAATTTCAGGATTTTTTGGAGACCGCAAGATCCCCTGACACGTCATAGCAATCCACGTGGCCGCTAAAGCGGAAGACAGTGCCGCTTACGCGGAAGCTTGCGGTCTACACTCGCGCACAGCGCTCGGGTCGAGCGGAGCGAGTGTAAACCGCAAGCTTCCGCGTGAGCGGCACTATCTTCCGCTTCAGCGGCCACGCGGATTTCTACGATCCCTTGCCACGTTAAAGCAATCCACGTTGCCGCTAAAGCGGAAGAAAGTGCCGCTGACGCGGAAGCTTGCGGTCTACACTCGCTTCGCTTGACCCGAGCGCTGTGCGCGACTGTAGACCGCAAGATTCCGCGTTAGCGGCACTATCTTCCGCGAACGCGGATTTCTATGATCCCTTGCCACGTTATAGCAATCCACGTTGCCGCTGACGCGGAAGCTTGCGGTTTACACTCGCTTCGCTCGACCCGAGCGCTGTGCGCGAGTGTAGACCGCTAGCTTCCGCGTTAGCGGCACTGTCTTCCGCGAACGCGGCCACGCGGATTGCTATGATCTCTATGGTTTCCACGTCATAGCAATCCACGTTCTGAGCTCGAAATTTGGAGCATTTTGACATCAAACATGCTCATATTTGGTCTCAAAATGCTCCAAATTCGGAGCATTTCTCACCCGATAATCGGCAGCTGTGCTCTGATATTCATGTGCCAAATACAGCGCGTCGACGTTGAAAAATTTGGCGATATTCGTCCCATTTTTGAACCACATTGGACTACAATCGAAATTCACCATTCCCGCTTTGTGCAAATTGAAATTGTAGGAATCGGCGTGTTCGATGCCATTCAGCAGATATTTGAATTCGGGGCAGAAGGCGAAGGTTCCTGAGCAATTACTATGAGCAATGCTCCAAATTTCGAGGATTTTCCAGAATCCACGTGGAATTTGGAGCATTTCAAGACTAAATATGAGCATGTTTGATGTCAAAATGCTCCAAATTTCGAGGATTTTCAGAATCCACGTGGAATTCGGAGCATTTTGAGCCCAAACACAACCATATTTGGGCTCAAAATGCTCCAAATTTCCAGTCTACCTGCATAAGCCGCATCGACATGTAAATACAATCCTTCTTGCTCACAAATCGGTCCCAAAACATCCAATCGATCCACTCCACAACTACAAGTTGTTCCGATCGTCGCCAAAAACATGAATGGAATATAGCCACGATCTCGATCTTGTCGAATCGCATTTCTCAGGGTCATTTCGGACACTCCGAAATTCCCCAGAAAATCTCGCTGAGCTTTCAGTTTTCGCAAACGAATTCCCGATAGCATTGCGCCTTTTTCAACTGAACTGTGTGCTTGATCTGAGCAATACATTACGAATTTTTCGAAGACTGTTGGATCGTGGTAGAATGGAACTATCATTTCGGCATTCTCATCGTCTTCCTGAAGGAAATTGGGGATAATTAAGGTTGTTAAGGCTACCGCAAGATTCCGCGTCAGCGGCACTATCTTCCGCGAACGCGGCCACGTGGATTGCTATGATATGGTAAACGTCATAGCAATCCACGTGGCCGCGTTCGCGGAAGACAGTGCCGCTTACGCGGAAGCTTGCGGTTTACACTCGCTCCGCTCGACTCGAGTGCTTAAGGTTTTGAGCTACCTTAAGGCTATGCCTCACGTCATAGCTATGATCCGCGTGGCCGCTGAAGCGGAAGCTTGCGGTTTACACTCGCTTCGCTCGACCCGAGCGCTGTGCGCGAGTGTAGACCGCAAAATTCCGCGCTAGCGGCACTATCTTCCGCTTCAGCAGCCACGTGGATTACTATGATATGGTAAACGTCATAGCAATCCACGTGGCCGCGTTCGCGGAAGACAGTGCCGCTGACGCGGAAGCTTGCGGTTTACACTCGCTTCGCTCGACCCGAGCGCTGTGCGCGAGTGTAGACTGCAAGATTCCGCGTAAGCGGCACTATCTTCCGCGAACGCGGCCACGCGGATGGCGATTATCCCTTGCCACGTCATAGCTATCCACGTGGCCGCTTACGCGGAAGACAGTGCCGCTGACGCGGAAGCTTGCGGTCTACACTTGCTTCACTCGACCCGAGCGCTGTGCGCGAGTGTAGACCGCAAGCTTCCGCGTCAGCGGCATTGTCTTGCGCTTCAGCGGCCACGTGGATTGCTATGACGTGGATTTTCAGTACTGAATTCTTGACTGGCCGCTGAAGCGGAAGATAGTGCCGCTTACGCGGAAGCTTGCGGTCTACACTCGCTTCGCTCGACACACAACATTTCTCGAACTCACCACAATGTGGATGGATTTTTGGGATTGGAGAGTTGGCTGAAAACGTGGCGGGGTTTGCTAGAAGCTCCGCGAGCCTCAACCGGCTCCGGAAGGGGAAGCGGAAGTCTGAGCTTCCGCTTAAGCCTGGGAGGTCGCCTCCAGCTCACCTTATTGCTCTTAACTCGCTCGAAAATCTCCCGAATCGTCTTGCCAATGTCCGCCGTCCACTTCCCCAAACCCACGTCGCCCTCGGCCTTGATTCTAGCGACTTGCGCGGCTCGCGCCGCCATAATCGCAATCATCGTCGAATCACTCGCGGTGCTCTGGATGATTCCGCAACCCGGACCGTCGTGCGCGTTTTTGAAGTGCTCGGGGAGCCCGAGCAAATCGACCAGCCAATCAAGAGAGGACATTTCGAGCTCAGTCATTGAGGGACACGATTTCTGTAATTAATATGAGCAATCCCTAGATTTTCTAGTTTAATATGAGCAATATCATTGTGACGTGGAACTCACCCAAGTAAATCCGATCCCCGCAATTCCACCGCTCAAAATATCGGCCAAAATCGACTGGTAGCTGAGAGCCGTCGGAAAATAGGCGAAAAAATGTGGATGGTGCCAGTGGGTGGCACCATTCAACACCACACTCTCCAAATCGTCGAAGATCGCCGACCAGTCTTCAGGGCTCGCAGGAGCTTTGGATGGGACCTGGCAAAAATTATTTTGAGCTCAAAATTTGGAGCATTTTGAGCCCAAATATGGTTGTGTTTGGTCTCGAAATGCTCCAAATTTCACGTGGATTCTCGAAATTTGGAGCATTCCGAGCCCGCCGCTTCGCGGAAGCTTCCGGTTTACACTCGCGCTTCCGCGCTCGCCACTCACCAACTCTTGAATATATCCCGGTTTGATGTCGGGCAACGGACGACGCTCACGAATTGTGTCCCAATAATCGGCCACAAAATCCACCATTCGTTTGCCCTCCACACGGAAGCTTGCCGAATCCATGCTCTCTGAAATCAGGGGATTTTCAGAGATGACACGTGGAATTTGGAGCATTTTGAGACCGAATATGAGCATGTTTGGGCTCAAAATGCTCCAAATTTCGAGGATTTTCAGAAGCTTTAGGAGCCTTTAAGAGTCCAAAAATCAAAGCCACGTGGGTTCGGGAAAGTCTCGATCTTTGAGATCACAAGAATTCAGAATGACATGCCGATTACTACAAAAAGGCTAGAAATCCCATCAATCCACGTGGCTGGGTGCCCAAAGTTCTGCCACGTGGCGTGCTTCGCAAGCCCTGTTCAAAAAGTTGGCCGCTGACGCGGAAGCTTGCGGATTACACTCGCTCCGCTCGACTCGAGCGCTGTGCGCGAGTGTACATAGACCGCAAGCTTCCGCGTCAGCGGCACTGTCTTCCGCTTTAGCGGCTACGTGGATTTCTATGATCCCTTGCCACGTCATAGCAATCCACGTGGCCGCTAAAGCGGAAAATAGTGCCGCTAACGCGGAAGCTTGCGGTCTACACTCGCTCCGCTCGAAAAAAATGTATATTTTTTGATACGAAAAAAAAACATAGGCTCTGCGAGCCTATGGTAACGAGCATTTTCCGGAAACTTATCCATCCACGTCCGGGGTTTGCATAGCAAAAGAAAAGAAAAGAAAATAAATAATGATTCTAGAAAAAAGGGGGCGTGGCCCCCTTTTTTCCACATAAAATATTCATGGACTTTTAATGAGATGCAAACATATAAAGTTGAAAAATGACAATGGAAAGAGGGGAAACTGGTTTGTGGCGAGCGAAGTGAGTGTAGATCGCAAGATTCCGCGTAAGCGGCACTATCCGTCTTCCGCGTGAAGCGAAGACAGTGGATTTCTATGATCCCTTGCCACGTCATAGGAATCCGCGTGGCCGCTGAAGCGGAAGACAGTGCCGCTTACGCGGAATATTGCGGTATACACTCACTTCGCTCGAAAATTGAGTCCAAAACAAGTTCCAAATTTCATAGATCACTGAAAAATCCCTCAAATTTCAAATTTCTTGGCTGAAATTTTGTGCTGAAAATCATGGAATCCTTGATTTTCAGCGCAAAATTTGGGTAAACGAATTTTAAAAGCTTCATATTTCCTAAAAAGTTCTGAAACTTGACTGATTTCTTTTTGATAAAAATTTTTTTACAATTTTTTTCTCGAATATTTTTTTACTTTGAAAATGTAAGTTTCAAAATAATTTTAAAAAACCATGAAAAACAACCTGAAAAACAGTATGTTGTGAGGAAAACGAACTGGAAATGAAATTTGGATCATTTGAGCACAAATATGGTTGTGTTTGGGCTCAAAATGCTCCAAATTCCACGTGGATTCTGAAAATCCTCGAAATTTGGAGCATTTTGACATCAAACATGCTCATATTTAGTCTCAAAATGCTCCAAACTTTGGGGGTTCAAAAAGTACACAAAAAAATGCTCAGCGACGAAATACTGTGTAGGTTTATCATCTCTGATAATAATTATTTTTTTTATAATATTATTATAAAAAAAAATAATATTTTTTTCTCAAGAAAAAAAAATAGCTGTACGAAAAAATGTGAGATAAGAAAGAAAATAGAGTGCATATTTTCAGAGAATCCACGTGGAATTTGGAGCATTTCAAGACTAAATATGTGCATGTTTGATATCAAAATGCTCCAAATTTCGAGGATTTTCAGAATCCATGTGGAATTTGGAGCATTTTGAGACCAAATATGAACATGTTTGGGCTCAAAATGCTCCAAATTTGCCACGTCATAGCCATGTTTTGTTATCACCGAAAAAATAGCACAAAACACACCGTGTCAAGATAAGAACATTTTATTTATTATTTTTGTTAATTTTCTGTCCAGCCAAGCCACAGAAAAATGGTGTTTTGGACAATTTTCGCGCCAATTTTTGCCCTGATTTTCACGTGGCAAATTTTTTTGCCATTTTTGTTGCGTCAAGATGCGCTTCCACTTTTGGGAGTGTATTCACAGGCCGGAAAATGGTATTGGTTGAAGTTTCGATTGATGAAATTTGTGATTGAGAGACGGCAAAAGAAGCAGAGTGGAGAGAGGGTAGGTAGAGACGCAGAGGAAGTAGATCAAAAATGTTTTGATCTACAGAAAAATTTGGAATTTTTCATTTTGGCACAATTTTGAATGGGTTACTGTAACTACCGTAACCGCAACATCTACAGTACTTCTTCTGAACTACAGTACCCCTGAAAACTCTCAGGGTTACTGTAGAAAATTAGCCTAGAATTTTTTGATCTACAAAAACATTTGGAATCTTTGTGCCACAATTTTGAATGGGTTACTGTATCTACCGTAATCCAGAGGTTCTGACACATCTACAGTACTCTCACAAAATTCCAAGGTTACTGTAGAAAATTAGCCAGGAATTTTCGATCTACAGAAAAATTTAGAATTTTCATTTTGGCACAAATTTGAATGGGTTACTGTATCTACCGTAATCCAGAGGTTTGCAGGGTACTGTAGCCCACGGCAAAAGAAGCAGAGTGGTGAGAGGGTAGGTAGAGATGCAGAGGAATTTACTGTGGGTCAAAAGATTTTTTGATCTACAAAAAAATTCGAAATTTTCATTTTGGCACAATTTTCTGCTGGGTACTGTAACTACCGTAATCTAGAGGTTCTGACACATCTACAGTACTTCTTTTGATCTACAGTACCCCAAAAATATCCAAGGTTACTGTAGAAGCTCAAAAAAAATTTCAGAATTCCAAAAAATCCGAAAATCTAATGAAATCCCAATTTGGTGGCGATGGTGGAGAGCGAAAAATCGAAGAGATGGAAAAGAAGCACGAATTGAACACGGTGAGTTATGACGTGTCAAAAAATCCACGATTTTTGGTGAAAAATCCATCAAAAATGGTGGATTTTGAGCCAAAATGCACCAAAAAACCGGATTTTTGCGCAGGAATTCGGCGCAGATGCCGTCTTTTTCGACGCCGCAAATCGTGACGGGTGGTATTTTACACTTGGCACCGCGCAACGACCCGAAAATGTGATTAATCTATTTTTTATCCTCAAAATTCCCAGCCTGGGAACTTTTGTTAACGAAGAACTTCTCACGGATACAAATGTTAAGGTAAAATTTCTGTTTTTTTGGATTTTTGTGCTGAAAATCGTAGTTTTCAGCGATTCCATGAGTTTCAGCGCGAAATTTCAGTCCAGAAACTTTTTTTTCAACAAAAAAAAAAAAAAATAGCGCTCATGGGGGATCGATCCCCTGACCTTTTACTCGGCAGAAAAATCGATTTTAGGTCAGAATTTTGTGCTGAAAATGCTGAAAATCGTAGTTTTCAGCTTTTTTCAGAGTCTAAACACGTCAGATGCCACGTGGCGAACCGCTTCCGGATTCACAGTAAAATGTCTGGAACCCATGAAAAAATGGAGTCTGAGCTTCCAGGGAAACCTGGTAAAATCCCCAGGATTCCGCGTCTTTGAAAAAATTGGCGCGGAAGCGGAAGCGGAAAATTTTCCGCGAATTCCGGCGAGTTTCGAGTTGATTTGGACGAATTTCGGCGGGCAATTCGATTTCGACACGGCATGTTCGCCGACTTCAATCGCACATTCGCTGGCGATTGAGCCGTGGAGCAGGGAGTTGTTTGAGCGGTTGAGAGCATCACATCAGACACATTATGAGCAGGTGAGATGCCACGTGGAATTTGGAGCATTTTGAGACCGAATATGAGCAATTTTCGAGCGGAGCGAGTGTAGACCGCAAGCTTCCGCGTTAGCGGCACTATCTTCCGCTTCAGCGGCCACGTGGATCGCTATCACACCTTGCCACGTCATAGCAATCCGCGTGGCCGCTTCGCGGAAGACAGTGCCGCTTACGCGGAATCTTGCGGTCTACCATTGCTCAGGTTAACATCTTGGTTGTTCGAGCAAAGCGAGTGTAAACCGCAAGCTTCCGCGTCCGCGGCACTATCTTCCGCTTCAGCGGCCAGTTAAGATTTCAGTACTGAAAATCCATGTCATAGCCATCCACGTGGTCGCGTTCGTGGAAGATAGTGCCGCTTACGCGGAAGCTTGCGGTATACACTCGCGCACAGCGCTCGGGTCGAGCGAAGCGAGTGTAGACCGCAAGCTTCCGCGTCAGCGGCCACATGGATTCCTATGACGTTTTTCCATATCATAGCAATCCGCTTGGCCGCTTCGCGGAAGATAGTGCCGCTAACGCGGAAGCTTCCGGTTTACACTCGCTTCGCTCGAAGCATTGCTCAGGTTAACATCGAGCGGAGCGAGTATAAACCGCAAGCTTCCGCGTCCGCGGCACTATCTTCCGCTTCAGCAGGCCAGTTAAGATTTCAGTACTGAAAATCCATGTCATAGCAATCCGCGTGGCCGCGTTCGCGGAAGATAGTGCCGCTGACGCGGAAGCTTGCGGTTTACACTCGCTTCGCTCGACCCGAGCGCTGTGCGCGAGTGTAAACCGCAAGCTTCCGCGTTAGCGGCACTGTCTTCCGCGAACGCGGTCACGTGGATCGCTTCACAACTTGAGACTAAATATGAGCATGTTTGGGCTCAAAATGCTCCAAATTTCGAGGATTTTTAGAATCCACGTCTAATTTGGGGCATTTTGAGCCCAAACCCACCCATATTCGGTCTCAAAATGCTCCAAATTCAATTTCCAGTTCCGGTTTTCTCACCGGCTCCATCACTTTGGATTCTCAAACCTTCTCACCATCCAAAATGACATCAATGCGTGATCATACAATTGCATCATATCGTCGTTGGTCGGATATTCGCAGATATATTATGATGATCTATCATTTGGAAGATGGAACTTGTGTTCATACATCGGTGATTTCGATGCCAGAAACTGTTTTTAGTCAGCTGGAGTTTGGATATATTGTTAGACCGTGAGTTTTGGAGCATTTTGAGCCCAAATACGGTTGTGTTTGGGCTCGAAATGCTCCAAATTCTGAAAATCCTCGAAATTTGGAGCATTTTGAGCCCAAACATGCTCATATTGCTCCAAATTCCACGTGTCATTTGCAGTTCGGGCCAAGTTCTTCCCGTCGATCGTGTCCATTTCTCACTTCCCAATCACGGCGAATCAAAACACGATTTTCCCGCCAAATTCCATTATTCGTTTGAAGTTGCCGACGGCTCGAAGTACGGTGTCGACGTGGCTATTCGGGATACGGTATCCTTCAAAATGGGCCTGGATTTGAGTTGTCAAGTCAATGAGAATATGGCCGAGTTTTTGGTGGACGAGAAAACCAAGGGATGGGGTTTTGCTGAAGTTGAATATCGTATTCAACCCTATTGATGATATGACGTCATGAAATAAAAAAATTTGAATTTTTTTGTGAAATTTTAAAATTCTCAATAGAGCGCACTTGCTATAACTATCTTCAAAATAGCTTTTAGAGCTCCGGAAATACATGAAAATGCTCAGTGAATCAAGTGCGCTCTAATTCAAATCTCAAAAATTCTCAATGGAGCGCACTTGCTACAAAAATCCCATAAAAACTCTTAAAATTCATAAGAATCAGAATAAAACAGGAAAATACAAAGAATCTCTCAGGCGGGGGGCATAAAAAAATAACATGAAAAAAAATTTTAAAAAAATTAAAAAATGAAAATAAAAATTTAATTTTGGCTGGAAAAATCGACGACAGTTTTGTCGATCAGATATTTGACCGTATCCCGAACAGATTGACGCAGCTGCAAAATTGAAAATTTTTGAATTTTGAAAATTTCGCGCGCGCTTCAAAAAAACAGACTTACTGTAGCTTTTGGAGCCGGCTGGAATTTTGTGACCAGTTCGGCGAACATAGCGTCTTGGATTGGGCTGGAAAAGGGAAAATTTGAGAGTTATGACGTGGCAAATCGAAATTTGGAGCATTTTGATATTAAACATGCTCATATTTAGTCTTGAAATGCTCCAAATTCCACGTGGATTCTGAAAATCCTCGAAATTTGGAGCATTTTGAGCCCAAATATGCTCATATTTGGGCTCTTGAAATGCTCTAAATTCCACGTGGATTCTAAAAATCCTCGAAATTTGGAGCATTTTGAAATCAAACATGCTCATATTCTGTCTCAAAATGCTCCAAATACCACGTGGATTCTGAAAATCCTCGAAATTTGGAGCATTTCTATATCAAACATGCTCATATTTAGTATTGAAATGCTCCAAATTCCACATGGATTCTGAAAATCCTCGAAATTTGGAGCATTTTGAACCCAAATATGCTCATATTTAGTCTTGAAATGCTCTAAATTCCACGTGGATTCTAAAAATCCTCGAAATTTGGAGCATTTTGAAATCAAACATGCTCATATTCTGTCTCAAAATGCTCCAAATACCACGTGGATTCTGAAAATCCTCGAAATTTGGAGCATTTTCATATCAAACATGCTCATATTTAGTCTTGAAATGCTCCAAATTCCACGTGGATTCTGAAAATCCTCAAAATTTGGAGCATTTTGACATCAAACATGCTCATATTTAGTCTTGAAATGCTCCAAATTCCACGTGGATTCTAAAAATCCTCGAAATTTGGAGCATTTTCATATCAAACATGCTCATATTTAGTCTTGAAATGCTCCAAATTTCACGTGGATTCCAAATGCTCCAAAAATGCTCACCTTTCTCTTCTCCTTTTCCGCCTTGCTTCCGCTTTCCGCGTCGTCGGCCTCCTTGACTTTTCTCGGTCTTCCGCGCGTCTTCTTCTCTCCAGATGTCGCCGATTTTTTGGTTGCGGAAGCGGAAGCGGAAGCGCGTGGTTTCAGCAAAGGTGCGGCGAATTGTGGCATGAAAATTGGCGGTGGAACATTGGCGATAGCTGCACTCAAAATCTGCGCAGCCACCACAGTTTTTGGTGTATTTTGGGGTGGAATTGAAGAGGGCGAACCGGGCCAACGTAAAATTGGACGTTTTTTGGGTTGAGTGGCGGCTGGTTTGAGAAGAAGAAGAGTGTCAGAATTGGGTTGAGAGGAGGGTTTTGGTGGATTTGAAGATGATGATGATGGAAGTGGTGGTGGTGATGGAATTGACACAGTTTTGGCAGCAGGCTTTTGGGTAGTGATTGGCCTGAAAATGAGAATGTTTGATATGAAAATGCTCCAAATTTCGAGGATTTTCAGAATCCACGTGGAATTTGGAGCATTTCAAGACTAAATATGAGCATGTTTGATATGAAAATGCTCCAAATTTCAAGCTGAATTCAGAATTTTCACTGGATCTAAAAATCCACGTGGCAAAATTTATCAAATTCTTTGAGAAAAAAAATCAACACCGGATTTTCAGATAAAAATTATTCCCCAAATTTTCCAGTGCCACGTGGATTTTTTTGCATTTTCAGTAAAATTTTCAGACTTTCAAATTCAATTCCAAAAAATGAATCCACGTGGCGAAATTCCTCTGAAAATCCTCAAATTTTAGAGTCGTCTTTAACCAAAAAAAATAAATAATTATTTTGCCACGTGGATTTTCAGATAGAAAAATTTCAGATTTTATTTTACAGAAAAAATATTTTCCAGCATTTTCAGTGTGCCACGTGGATTTTCAGCATTTTCAGTTCAGTTTTCAGATTTGAAATTTCAAAAATTCAAAATAAAAATCCACGTGGCATGTTTGGTGTCAAAAAACGTGGATTTTTCTCGTTTTTTTCCAAAAACGTGCCACGTGGCTTTTCCAACAAACCAAAAAAAACTCACTTTTCCTTCTCCTTCTCTTTTTCCTTCTCCTGCATAATAATCATACCATCCTCGGGCTCTTTTTCCGCTTCTCTCGTCAATTTTGGCGCGGCCAAAAGTTGTTGAGCAGTTTCGGCGGCGGCTTTTGCCAACATTTCCTGCAAAATTTCGGGGGATTTAAAGGCGCATGGGTGGGAAAATTAGCGATTTTTCATCAGAATTTCGCTCCAGGACCATTTTTTTATCGATTTTTCGCTCCAGGACCAATTTAAAGGTACATATTGTGAAATTTGAGGTCTTGGCGCGAAAATTAGCGATTTTTCGACAGAATTTCGCTCCAGGACCAATTTAAAGGTACATATTGTGAATTTAGAGATTCTGAGGTGAAAATTCTGATTATTTTCGCTCCAGGACCCAAAAATCAGATTTTTCGGGTCCCGGAGCGAAAATTAGCGATTTTTCGACAGAATTTCGCTCCAGGACCAATTTAAAGGCGCATATTGTGAATTTTGAGGTCCCGGAGCGAAAATTAGCGATTTTTCATCAGAATTTCGCTGCAGGACCAAATTTATACCATTTTTTGTTGATATTTTCGTGTCAGGACCAATTTAAAGGTACATATTGTGAATTTAGAGATTCTGAGGTGAAAATTCTGATTTTTTGGGTCCTGCAGCGAAAATTAGCGATTTTTCATCAGAATTTCACTGCAGGACCATTTTTTAAATCGATATTTCGTGTCAGGACCATTTTAAAGGCACATATTGTGAATTTTGAGGTCTTGGAGCGAAAATTAGCGATTTTTCATCAGAATTTCACCACAGGGCCAATAATAGACCATTTTTTATTGATATTTTCGCTCCAGGACCCAAAAAATCAGATTTTTAGGGTCCCGGAGCGAAAACTAGCCATTTCCCATCAATTTTTCCCGCCAAAATCACTTACATTAACTCTGCTATCATTTCCACCATGCTTCAAATGATAATATTGATTCAAAATGTGCGGATTGCGCATTTTTTGACCACAAAACTGGGCATCTTCCGAAAATGCGGTTTGAAGTGACGAAAGTTCGTTGTTCTGAAGGAATTGTTTTGAAATTCGAAGACAAAAATGGTCTAGAAATGGCGGGTTTGGTTTTCTAGGCCACGGAGCACATAATTAGCACCTGCCCGCCAACACCAAGCCACGCCAACATATCAAAAAAAAAATTGTGTGCATTCGAGTTAGGCTAACTTGATGGATTTTCACATATCTCGAACGATGGATTTGGTGGATCGAGATCCCGAAGATCAAACTACGGTAAGGTCTAAAAACTATCGTATCTAAGCCCCCAGAAAAAAATTAATTCCAGTTCAATTTCGACGATCTGCCAATTCGTATTATCGATCAGATTTTCGAATATTTGGAGACCTATGAAATTGTGATAATGAGAGGAGTTTTACCGTCTTTCAAGGATTATGTAGATGGAATGCGGAAGAAGAAAAGGTCAGCAACTTGGGACCAGGATAAACTCAAAATTCAATTTCAGCTTGAAATTTGGAGCATTTTGAGCCCAAACATGCTCATATTTAGTTTGAAAATCCTCCAAATTCCACGTGGATTCTGAAATGCTCGAAATTTGGAGCATTTTGACATCAAACATGCTCATATTCAGTCTCTAAATGCTCCAAATTCCACGTGGAATTTGAAAATCCTCGAAATTTGGAGCATTTTGAGCCTAAATATGCTCATATTCAGTCTCTAAATGCTCCAAATTCCACGTGGATTCTGAAAATCCAGCTTTTTCCAGCTCAATTCGTCCATTCGAGATAGATATTCAACACAACCGCTTCTCACTAGGCCACTACAATTTATCTCCATCATTTCAAACCCGCCAATATTCCTCGCCTCAATGGAATCACTTGCTCTACTACAACATCTACGGCGATGTTCAACTCAACTGGATTCGTCCCTGCACAGTCATCTACGGAGCATCTTCGAATATTTTCGAAACTTGCACAAATTTTCAACCATTTTTCAGAAATGTCTGGAAATTTTCGGTTTCTGGAATTACGCGAAGCAACAAAAAATGCATCGAAAACTTTTTGCAAAAATATGGAATATATTGAGAATCTTGAAGAATTCGAATTATTCGACAAAACTGTGACAGAGGAAGAATTGCTGAAAATGCTATCGACTATTAAAAAATCATCATCATCATTATCTCACAGTTTTGACCTAACTCTTCATCAGAATTTGCCATGTTTGAAAAAACCAATAATCGATAAATTTTTCGAAATCAGCCACGGAAAAACAGCTGGACTCTATATTCGTGGTGAAATTCTGAACGGAAGCAGCAGGTTTGAAAAATCGGAAAAAAAGTGGAGAGATGGAATATTTCGATTCTTCGATTATGAATATGACGTGGAAGAAGTTGGAGATATCAAAAAAAGATTGGAATTCGTGAATTGCGAAAAATCGACAGGGAAAGCGATCATTTCGGCACTTTCTCGAAAATTCAAAAATCAAACGACTATTTCGAACACTTCGATGTGTGACTTCTTTAGTTTTGGAAATCGGACTGTACAATGTAAATATATCTATTGATCTTGATAAAATATTAATGTTATCACCTTTTTCTATCAGGTGTAAACACGGAGCATCGTAGTTTTTAGTACTGCAAACGATAATCCACGTTTACGCGGTCATTTTCCACTGAAAATCATGAAAAATGACTGCGTAAACGTGGAGCATCGTTTGAAAATTGAATAATAGCGGCCACGTCTACAGTACCCCCGAGTTACTGTAGGTCTCGAGCGCCAGAGGCGCGAGTGTAAAGGAAGCTTCCGCGAAGCGGCCACGCCTACAGTACCCACTCTGGGGTACTGTAGCTTGTCTACAGTACCTCTCTGATGTATTGTACCGTAGCACATGATCTACAGTACCCCCGGGTTACTGTAGGTCTCGAGCGCCAGAGGCGCGAGTGTAAAGGAAGCTTCCGCGAAGCGGCCACGCCTACAGTACCTCTGATGTATTGTACCGTAGCTCGTCTACAGTACCCCCGAGTTACTGTAGGTCTCGAGCGCCAGTAGGCAAACGAGTGTAAATGGAAGCTTCCGCGAAGCGGTCACGCCTACATGTACCCCCACTGGGGGGGAATTTTCTGGAAAATTGGAATTTTCATCATTTTCTGGGGTACTGTAAATGCTGAGTACAGTACATTTTTAGTACTGCAAACGATTTTACATGGTCATTTTTCACTGCAAATCAATGAAAATTGACTGCGTAAACGTGGAGCATCGTAGTTTTTGCCAATTCCAACGATACTCCACATTTACGGGACCATTTTTCGTGAATTTTAGATCATTTTCACCCAAAAATTGCAATTTTCACCCCAAAACCCACCGAAACTCCAGTTCTCTCAGCACATTTTGGGACCATCGACATATTGGCAATCTCAATACACCGTCTTACAGTTGCACTACAAAATCCGGTTTGTTGAGCCGTCACTTCGTCGGGTTTTTGCCAAATTGTACCGTAGGCACGTTCGCCGAGTTTGCGCGCATATTCTCGATTCCAGAATGCGGTGCGTGCTATCATGACACGTGTCTGGTCGCAAAGATGAGCGCGAACCTGTGGAAATTTCGAAAATTTTAAAGGAACATAGGTCTCGCAGCGAGAAAATACACATTTTTTGAAAATTTTAAAGGGAACATGTGTGGTGATTTTCTGGGTCTCGAGGCGGAAATTTAACGAATTTTCTGGATTTTTTCGTAAATTTCGAGGTCTTGAAGCGAAAAATTGGAATTTTCATGGATTTTTGGCATTTTTTAAAGGAACATGGCTTAAATTTCGAGGTCTTGAAGCGAAAGTTTTGATTTTTCATGGATTTTTCGCTGCGAGACCCAAAATTTTGAATTTTTAAAGGTAACATTCGGTGATTTTCGAGGTCTTGAGGCGAAAAATTAACGAATTTTCTGGATTTTTTCGTAAATTTCGAGGTCTTGAAGCGAAAAATTGGAATTTTCATGGATTTTTGGCATTTTTAAAGGAACATGGCTTAAATTTCCGAGGTCTTGAAGCGAAAGTTTTGATTTTTCATGGATTTTTTGCTGCGAGACCCAAAATTTTGAATTTTTAAAGGGACATTTGGTGATTTTCTTGGTCTCGAGGCGAAAACTTAACGAATTTTCTGGATTTTTGGAAAATTTCGAGGTCTTGAAGCGAAAAATTGGAATTTTCATGGATTTTTGGCATTTTTAAAGGAACATGGCTTAAATTTCGAGGTCTTGAAGCGAAAGTTTTGATTTTTCATGGATTTTTCGCTGCGAGACCCAAAATTTTGAATTTTTAAAGGAACATTCGGTGATTTTCAGGTCTTGAGGCGAAAAATTAACGAATTTTCTGGATTTTTTCGTAAATTTCGAGGTCTTGAAGCGAAAAATTGGAATTTTCATGGATTTTTGGCATTTTTAAAGGAACATGGCTTAAATTTCGAGGTCTTGAAGCGAAAGTTTTGATTTTTCATGGATTTTTTGCTGCGAGACCCAAAATTTTGAATTTTTAAAGGGACATTTGGTGATTTTCTTGGTCTCGAGGCGAAAACTTAACGAATTTTCTGGATTTTTGGAAAATTTCGAGGTCTTGAAGCGAAAAATTGGAATTTTCATGGATTTTTGGCATTTTTAAAGGAACATGGCTTAAATTTCGAGGTCTTGAAGCGAAAATTTTGATTTTTCATGGATTTTTCGCTGCGAGACCCAAAATATCGAATTTTAAAGGTGCAGAGCTCAAAATTTTCGCTCCGGAGACCTGAAAAATCCACATCTTCATCATTTTTCACCGGATTTTTCGCTCCAAGACCATCAAAATCAATTTTTTCGCGTCGGGACCATTTTAAAGGTACAGGAATTCAAAATTTGAGCTCCGGAAGCCAAAAAATGCAATTTTTCCCTATATTTCACTTCTAAAACCAAAAAATCCAATTTTTTCGTGTCGGGACCATTTCAAAGGTACATGAATTCAAAATTTGAGCTCCGGAAGCCAAAAAATGCAATTTTTCCCTATATTTCGCTTCTAAAACCAAAAAATCCAATTTTTTCGTGTCGGGACCATTTTAAAGGTACAGGAATTCAAAATTTGAGCTCCGGAAGCCAAAAAATGCAATTTTTCCTCATTTTTCGCATCGGGACTATTTTAAAGGTACAGGAATTCAAAATTCGAGTAGCGAGACCCAAAAAATACGATTTTCTTACCGAAATCGACGTCGTATCCTCCATAAACCGAAAATTGGCCATATCCACGCGAAAATACGCATTTTCAGCGCATTTTTGACACGCCGTGACATTTCCAGAACTGATATTATTGTTATTATTGATATTCTGTGAAACACGAACACATTTCGTCGTTTTCTCATTGATTTTCGTATAACACGTGATGCTTTTTGGTCGATCAGAATAGGCGGGAATTTGAAGATTTTTGGGCGCCACCGATGTCGCATTCGATTTTGCGCCGCCCATCTTTTTGATGACAACAGAATTTGGGGATGTCTTCTCCTGCGCCGCCTTGTTTTGTTCCATGATTTTTTTGGAGAGCGGAAGGGTTGGGAATTGACTGGAGGCGTATTTGGTTTTGAGCACTTGGCTGGCAGAAACACCGTCGAATCTTCTGTGAAAATTAAAAATGAAAAATTGACGATAGGTTCCCCTGCGCGAGAACCTGGAATTTTCAGCCAAAATGCGATTTTCTTCGAAATTTGGCTGAAAATTTCAGGTTCAGGCATTTTCTGACTACGAAAAAGTCCAAAACTTCAGGAAAAATCGAATTTTTCATCAAAAATTTAATAAAATATTGACGATAGATTTTCCCGCGCGAGAACCCGGAATTTTCAGTCAAAATGCGATTTTCTTTGTCTGAAAATCGCAATTTGGCTGAAAATTTCAGATTCAGGCATTTTCTGACTACGAAAAAGTCCAAAACTTCAGGAAAAATCGAAATTCTCATCAAAAATTCAATTTTTGATGAAAATTTGGATTTTTCTTGAAATTTCCGATTTTCGCACGAAATTATTATTTTTCACCTGAAAACCATGAAAAATTCAATTTTCTTAGTCCCGAAACGAAAAACGAGCTTTTAGAAGAGCCTAATCCAAGTTCCTAAAGTGATGAGTTAGGCTAACTAACTGCAAGACAAGTTAGTAACATAGTGTAAAAGGTCTTCCTGTAACTAAAAAGTTACCCTAACTCGTCTTGCAGATAGTCAGCCTAACTCATCACTTCAGGAACTTGGATTATGCTTTTTTAAAGCTCGTTTTTCGCTTCAGGACCAAGAAAATTGAATTTTTCATGGTTTTCAGGCACAACTCGGCCAAAATCGTGGTTCCCACAAAAAAAAATTGTGAATTTTTCAATTTTCGACCTCTAAAAACTGAAATTCAGATGTTTCCAGGTGAAAAATCATAATTTCTCACTTCAATATCCGATCAGTCGGATTCTTGGATTTTCCAACAACAACATCCTCCTCTCCGTCTTGTCTTTCTAAAGGAGGCGGTGGAGATGAGCAAAGTCGAGGGCGTTTTCGAATGTAGGAGGAATCTGTAATAAGGAAGAAGGAAACATTTAAGAATCCGCAAGCTTCCGCTTCCGCGTCAGTTAGACGCGGAACCCTTCCGCACCCTCATCACTATCACTATTCTCATCATCATTCTTCAAATTCGCCGCTGATTTTTTCATCGATCGATATCCCAAAACTCCAACACGTGTCAAATCTTTCCGCATTCTCTGCTTCTCAAATCTCGAATTTTGTGGACGTTGTGGTGGAAGTGAGGGAGCATCTAATAATCCATCGGTTTTCGAAAGTTTCGCTAAATCCTTCAGATTCAGATTTAGCTCCTCAACACCGCCAACAACATCCACTTCTTCTTCTTCGTCGAGTTTTTTGGGAGTTGTGCGAATTGCCATTGGTTTTCGGCGGACAGCGAGAGCTTCTGAAAGAATTTTTGGTGTGATTTTGATTTTGACACGTCATAGCGCTCAATTTTTGGCGCGAAAAGTATACTTTTCTTCTTCTGCTCCTCTTCCTCGACTTTTTTCGCAAAAACATCCCATCTTGATTTCAATACAACCGGATTTCCATCTTCGCCTATCTCAACCTCTTCTTCTATATCATCTTTCATATCCTCGACAATTTCCAGCGATTTCAATTGTTGCTCATTTTTGATTTTCTCGAATGCAAAATCTAACGGCGTGAGTGGTTGTTTTGCGGATGACGTGGATTCTGCGAAAAAAAATTTGTTTAGATTTTCTTCAAGAAGATTTTCAGACAAACCCTCTGGTTCCAACGGCTTTAATTCAGCTAGCACCGGCTTTTTCAGCTTCCATTTTGCTGCGAAATTTCGCGAAAAAGCTCGAAAAATAATTTTTTTTTCGAAAAAAAAACCCAAAATTTCGCGCGGGTACTGTAGAGGTCCCACGTGGAAATGCATTGTGTGCCGTGCTCCTTTGAAGGCGCACGGATTTATTTTTGTGTGTTCCCGGGGCGATATCAACGCGGTTCTTCGTTTTTTCAAATTTTTACTTTCTTTTTTCGCATTTTTTTTTATTTTCCACTTGTTTATTCGTGTTCCCCGCCCAGTGAGAGACGCAGAGAAAAAGTGGGCAAAGGGACAGCCAATTATTTCCCTGCTAGGTCTCACCGCACCCCTCGTAAATCGATTCCTTCATTATTCAACACAATAAGGCGTTATTGCAACCCTTTTTTAACCGCATCCGCGTTCGAACTCTTGCGTTGCGGTTTTACGAGGGATTTTTAAATTTATTTATTTTTCTAGCCCTTCACAATGTCTGATAGTTATACATTATTGAAAAACGTGGATCATTTGCAATGCGATGAGAATTTGGTAGAAGACGATGAAGAAGACGACGAAAATCCACCACATTTACAACCAAATACATCAAATGTAGTGATAGTTGAAGAAGAAGAAGAAGATGATGAAGAATATTTAGAAGGCGAGGAAGATGAGACGGAATTTTTGACAAGATTAATCGCATCAGTTAAAGAGATTCCTATACTTTATGATCCAATTGCACAGCGACAAATATCGAAAAATCATCTAAATCGAGCTAGAGATGATGCTTGGCATCGTCTTCAAAATCAACATCAATTTATGAATATTTCCCAACCTCTGGAGACAATTTGGAACTCTTTAGTTGATCAATTCACAACTTCAGCTAAAGAATCGATGGATCTTCGTTTGCGAGCAGCTTTGAATTGGCTGGATAGATTTATTGGGTATTCAGAACCGCAGGCACCTCCAGAACTATTGGATGATTCGACGTCGGTTCAGGAGGATGTGATGATCAGTGGATGTCGGACGATTCCGATGGTTTCGCAGCAGAATCAAGGGGCGTCTGGGGGTGGATATGTTGTGGTGCAGCAGCAGCAGCAGGGAAGAGGTGGACATGTTGCTGGGTGAGTGTTTTTGACGCGAAAAATTTGAATTTCCCGCCGAAAATCTGATGTTTTCTCATTAGAGCGCATTTGCCTCTCCGAATTTGAATTTTTCATAAATTTTTGGTTAAATTTATATGAAAACCGGTCAATTTTTATCGATTTTTGAGTCAAAAATCGATATTTTCTCATTGGAGCGCATTTGCCTCTCCGAGTTTGGATTTTTCATCAAATTTTGGTCAAAATCCATGATTTTTGGTCACAATTTTTGGCTCAAAAATGTGATTTTCCCTTTGAAAATTTTAAAATAACTGAGGAATTCGCAATTTTCTCATTAGAGCGCATTTGCCTCTCTGAATTTGAATTTTTCATCAATTTGTGGTTAAATTTCTATGAAAACAGTTCAATTTTCATGATTTTTAAGTCAAAAATCCGATATTTTCTCATTAGAGCGCATTTGCTTCTCCGAATTTGAATTTTTGATCAAAATCCATAATTTTTCACAATTTTCGGCTCAAAAATGTGATTTTTCATTGAAAACCTCTCCAAATCAGAGAAATTTCGAAATTTTCATCAAAAATTAATCCTGGAACTCGAAAAATTCATGTTTTTGGTCTATTTTTGATGATTTTCTCTTTTAAAATTTTTAAATAACTGAGAAATTCGCAATTTTATCATTAGAGCGCATTTGCCTCTCCGAATTTGAAAATTTCATCAATTTTAGGTTAAATTTATATGAAAACCGGTCAATTTTCATGATTTTTGAGTCAAAAATAGATATTTTCTCATTAGAGCGCATTTTCCTCTCCGAGTTTGAAATTTTTCATCAAATTTTCGGCCCCAAAAATCCATTTCCAACTCATTTTGACATAAGAAATGCTCGAAAATTCAAATTCCAAATTTTCCCGCCAAAAATACCACCCAATTTTCAGTCAAAATCCACGTGTCTATCAACACCAACAACATCAACAGGTCTCGAATGGAAATGCACGTAGATTAGTGGTAGGTTTCTCTGCGTCTCTCGATTTCCCACACTCTCTCGCTCTCTCTCACCTTGATAAGAAAATAGAGAAGAGACAGCGAGAAGGTCAACAACATTTCGGCGGCGAGCGATTGTTGCACTCACAGCCGAGTGGTTAACACTCGCGCCTGGCGAGTGAGAGGTCACAGGTTCGATGCCCGACGGGTGCATCGCAATTTTTCATTTCGGAAATTGTGTGCAACCTATTGGGCTATAGCAATTATCTGCAGTATCTGCTCATTGATCGTGTTGTAGTCAATGAGCTCGTAGTCCGATTACATTTTTGCTCATTTTTTGGGGGATTTAGCCTAAGTTCCGACTCATTTTCCATAGAAAAACCCAAAATTTTGCAGGTTTCTTCCACACATCCACCGCAAAATCATCAACAATACAAAAGATCACACCCGCAACTTCAGGCGGTTAAAAAAGAGGATTCGAATGTGACAACAATGATGGTTGATATGACAACATATTATGATAATGGAAATGGACAGAAATTGTATCGATTGATGACGGTTCCGCAGAATGGAGGTGGAGCACAGCAAAGACAGCAATATCATGTAGGTTTTGGTGGAAAATTCAGAAAATTTGGAGCATTTTGAGCCAAAATTCATAAAAAACGCACTTTTTTGAGCCAAAAAACACGTTTTTCATCATTTTTCGAGGTGTAAACGTGGAGTGTCGTTGTTTTCGGCATTTCAAACGATACTCCACATTGACGGGGTCATTTTTCTCGAATTTTACACCAAAAACCCCCGATTTTTCCAGATTCCTCGCTCACAAAACATCGAATACGACATGCCACCCGAACCCATCATCGAATCCTCGAATTCTTCCGATCATCAAGTTCCGCCGCGCAAAAAAATGGCACCAATGCCACAAATGATCACAACAACATCCACGACGAGCACCAGTACAATACAATCGAATAATCGAGTGGAAGGTGAGCGTTTTTGGCGCCGTAAACGCGGAGTATCGTTTGAAACGTGAAAAACTACGATGCTCCATGTTTACGCGGTCATTTTTCATGATTTTTGATGGAAAATGACCCCGTAAACGTGGAGTATCGTTTGAAACGCGAAAAACTACGATACTCCACGTTTACACCTCGAAAAATGATAGGAAATTGAATTTTTTGAATTTTCAAACGTTGCTCCACGTTTACGCGGTCATTTTTTATGGTTTTTGATGGAAAATGACCCCGTAAACGTGGAGTATCGTTGAAACTACGATGCTCCGCGTTTACACCTTGAAAAATGATGGGAAATTGAATTTTTTAATTTTCAAACGTTGCTCCACGTTTACGCGGTCATTTTTCATGATTTTTGATGGAAAATGACCCCGTAAACGTGGAGTATCGTTTGAAATGCAAAAAACTACGATACTCCACGTTTACGCGGTCATTTTTCATGGGAAATTCGAATTTTGGCTCAAAATCCTCAGTTTTTCACCAGAAAACATGATTTTTGACCTATTTTCGTTGAAAATTTCGAATTTTCCACTTCCAGATAATCGAATTGTTGCTGGCGGTGTTCCAATTGCCGATGATGAAATCATAGATGATGGAATACAGGAAAGCACAATTGTTATTGATCCAGATGGACATTTACGTGAGTTTTTGGCTGAAAATGGCTGAAATTTTGGATTTTTCATTGAAAATAACCTAAAATTCATGAAATTTGGCCTAAAATGAGTCATTTTTCATGATTTTCACCAATTTTGTTCCAGACGAAGAATCTCCGCTGCTGAATGCCTCCCCTGATGTTATGATATCCGGACAATCAACATCGAATCGACATCTGACACCTTTGTTGAATAATGAGCCAAAAATGGGAGGATTACGCGAGGCACAGATTCCTGGAACTTCTGGAACTCAACAAATGCATCATCAGCATATTTGTGAGCATTTTTGGAGCATTTTCAGCCAAAATTTAAGATTTTTGGAGCATTTTGAGCTGAAAATCGAGATTTTTTGAGAATTTTGAGCCAAAATTTGAGATTTTTGACCCAAAAAATTCATCTGGAAACCTCGAATTTTGCCACGTAGATTTTTTTGGCGCCAAAAATGGGTCATTTTGATACTAAACAAGCCTATGGGAGTACTGTAGGTTTTGGCGCCAAAAATTCGAATTTTCTGCGCCAAACGCGAAAAAGTCAAAAATTCAAATTTCGCGCCAATTTTTTTTTGCGCGCGGGAAATTTTGAAAATTCAAAATTTCGCGCCAAAATCTACAGTAACCCTAGGCGTATTTAGTGTCAAAAATCCCAAATTTTCGCGCCAAAAATCTACAGTACCCAATTTCCACGTGGCTTTCAAATCCAATTTTTTCTAGCTCGAACTGGTCGCCCTGAAGAACTCGAAGATCCCGTTGAAACTGCCACCGCTGAAATTCTCGAGCAACAAAATCAATATGATGCTGATCTGCAATTTCAGCAGCTGATTAGCTCACATTTGAGCAGGCTTAGTGATGATGATGTGAGTTTTTTGACCGAAAATTCATGAAAAATGCAAAAAAACAACGATACTCCGCATTTACACCTTGAAAAATGATGGAAAATTGAATTTTTTGAATTTGCAAACGTTGCTACGCGTTTACGCGGTCATTTTTCATGATTTCTGATGGAAAATGACCCCGTAAACGTGGATTATCGTTTGAAATGCTGAAAACTACGATACTCCACCTTTACGCGGTCAATTTTCATGATTTTTAGTGGAAAATGACGCCGTAAACGTGGAGTATCGTTTGAAACGCTGAAAACTACGATACTCCACCTTTACGCGGTCATTTTTCATGATTTTTAGTGGAAAATGACCCCGTAAACGTGGAGTATCGTTTGAAATGCTAAAAACTACGACACTCCGCATTTACACCTGAAGTTAATTTGCAGAAAGCAATTATGAAATATCATATGCAGCGAATTTTGTTGGACGCTCGATTTGGCGAAGGAACCGCGAAGCATATGATACCGGTTGGTTTTTTTTGAATTTCCCGCCAAAAATGCCACGTGGCAGATGGAATTTGCGATTTTTTGATACCAAACAAGCCTAGGGTTACTGTAGGTTTTGGGGTCAAAAAAACTACAGTAATCTTGATGTTTTGGTGCGAAAATTTGGGATTTTGAACAAAAAACGTGGCACAAGGATCTACAGTAACCCTAGGCTTATTTAGACTCAAAAAATCCCAAATTTTTCGCGCCAAAACCTACAGTAACCCTAGGCTTGTTTAGATTCAAAAAATCCCAAATTTTCGCGCCAAAACCTACAGTAACCCCCCGATTTTTTCCCACAGGAAGTCGAAATTCTGGAACACGACGGAGTTGAAGAGGGCGAAGTTGTTGTCCATGGTGAAACTTCGAATTCGTCTCAACAGCAGCAAAAACAGCGATTCAATCAATAATTTTTTTATCCTGTGTACTTCTCTCGGGTTACTTTTTTCCTCATTTTTTTATTGTCAAAAATAAATCACTTTTTCTTAAATTTGCTGAAAATCCGGCTGAAAATGGTCAAAAACCACGTTTTTTACCTGAAAATTTGAATTTCCCGCGAAATTTTGAGCTTTTCACAGGTCCCGCAACGATGCCAAATGAACGAGATTCGGGTATGTTCCTTTAAATTTCCCAAAAAAAAATTGAAAATTTGAATTTTGCAGCCGCGCGCGAAAAGTGCGCTGGAGCGCGAATTGCAACTTCATCACGAGAAATCGCTGGATTTGGAGGAGGCGCCGCACGGGTGGGTTACTGTAGATTACTGTATTTCAAATTTTTGGCGGGAAATTTTGAAAATTCAAAAAATTTGGGATTTTTCGAGACTAAATAAGCTTAGGGTTACTGTATTCAAATTTTTGGCGGGAAAATTTGAAAATTCAAAAAATTTGGGATTTTTTGAAACTAAATGAGCCTAGGGTTACTGTATTTAAATTTTTGGCGGGAAATTTTGAAAATTCAAAAAATTTGGGATTTTTTGAGACTAAATAAGCCTAGGGTTACTGTATTTAAATTTTTGGCGGGAAATTTTGAATTTTCAAAATCTACAGTAACCCTAGGCTTATTTAGGCTCAAAAAATCCCAAATTTTTTGAATTTTCAAAATTTCGCGCGAAAAATTTAAATTCAAATTTTTTTCAGCTCACGGCTCTATCAAATGTTCGGACTCATTGAAAAGGAATTCGAAGCACTGTATACGGAAAATATGGCGCGTAAGTTGGATGTTTTTCCGGAAGCTTCCGCGCGGAAGGCTTCGCGGAAAATTGCGGATTTTTTGATACCAAACAAGGCTAGAATCCACGTGGAAAATGTTTTGTTTTCCGCAAGCTTCCGCGTAAGCGGCACTGTCTTCCGCGAAGCGGCAACACGCGGAAAAATCTGCATTTTTTGATACCAAACAAGGCTATCTTCCACGTGGAAAATGTTGTTTTTCCGCGAGCTTCCGCCTACGCGGAAAATCCGCAACCCCACCATATTTGGTCTCAAAAAAACCGCAATTTTTTACAGTCCGCGCGCGGATTGCTCAACTCACCGCCGCCAATCCGGATGAGCCGACCACAAGCAGCTCCGCGAGCACCGCCAACAATTTCGGTGGTCCCAATTTTCTTCTACCCGCCTCTTCTCAAAAATCCCGAAAAGGCATACAAATGGGACAGAAATTACGGACTGCACTAAGAGGTCCGCCCGTTTTTCGAGATGGTTCGAAGTTTCGACTGATTCGACAATTTGAGGGGCACCGCGATGGAATTTGGCACGTGGCAGCGGATTTGGCGAGGAATATTTGTGCGACTGCTAGTGCTGGTGAGGATTTTTGGTGGAAAAATTATGAAAATTCATGAAAATCCGTCAAATTTGACCCAAAAACCAGGAAAAATGATGAATTTTGACCAAAAATCAATGAAAAATTCGAATTCGGAGAAGAAAATGCGCTCCAATGAGAAAATATCGAATTTTTGGCGGGAAATTTGAATTTTTCAAAGGGTAAATAACAATTTTGACCCAAAAATTGTGAAAAATCAAGAAAATTGACCAAAAATTGATGAAAAATTCAAATTCGGAGAGGAAAATGCGCTCTAATGAGAAAATATCGATTTTTGCCTAAAAATCATGAAAAATGACCAAAATTTGATGAAAAATTCAAATTCGGAGAAGCAAATGCGCTCTAATGAGAAAATATCGATTTTTTGTCTAAAAATCTTGAAAATTGATCAAAAATTGATAAAAATTTCAAATTCGGAGAAGAAAATGCGTTCTAATGAGAAAATATCGATTTTTGGTCTAAAAACCATGAAAATTGACCTGTTTTCATATAAATTCAACCAAAAATTGATGAAAATTTTGAATTCGGAGAGGCAAATGCGCTCTAATGATAAAATTGCGAATTTTGGTCTCAAAATCATTGAAATTGACCAAAAATTGATAAAAATTTCAAATTCGGAGAAGAAAATGCGCTCTAATGAGAATTTTCAAAGGGAAAATCATCAAAAATCGACCAAAAACATAGGTTTTCGACTAATTTTCACCAAAAAATTCGAAATTTTTCAGACCAAACTTGCAAAATCTGGTCGCTGGACTCAAATGGAACCTGTCTAGCCACATATTTAGGACATTTTGGAAGTGTGAATTGTGTGGTTTTTCAAGAAAATCAAGAATTAGTTGCCAGTGCAAGTGGAGATGAATCGACACATATTTGGAAATATTCGGGAGCCACGAATTCTGGAGACGGAAATTCAGAAGGAGAAGATGAAGATGTGGAGAATGGTGAGCAAAACTACGATGCTCCGCGTTTACACCATTGAAATTGACTCATTTTTCATCAATTTTGCAGGTGTAAATGCGGAGTATCGTTTGAAAAACGTCAATTCGATGTTTTTTTCGAGCGAAGCGGCCACGTGGATTAATATGATATGGTAAACGTCATAGTAATTTGCGTGGCTATCTTTGCTCGAAAAAAACTACGATACTCCGCGTTTACACCATCAAAATTGACCCATTTTCCATCAATTTTGAAGGTGTAAATGCGGAGTATCGTTTAAAAATGTTTAATTTAATGCCTGAACCTTAAAATTTCAGCAATTTTCATGAAAATCTTGGATTTTCTAAAAAAATGTTGAAATTTTCGGGTTCTCGCGCAGGGGAACCTATCGCCAATTTTTTAATGGAAAAACTACGATACTCCGCATTTACACCATTGAAATTGACCCATTTTCCATCAATTTTGAAGGTGTAAATGCGGAGTATCGTTTGAAAAACGTCAATTTTCAGCAGGCCAAAAAATCCGAAGCCCAATTCTCAGGCTCACAGGCCATCGAGGCCCGGTTTCGTGTTGTGAATGGCTGGAAAATGGGCAGAAAATTGTGACGGCCTCGTGGGATCGAACCGCAAATATATGTGATGTGGAGAAAGGAGAGGTTGTTAGCATTTTGAGTGGTGGGTGGTGGTTTTTCGAGTGGCGGAGCCGCGAGTGTAGACCGCAAGCTTCCGCGTCAGCGGCACTGTCTTCCGCGAAGCGGCCACGCGGATTGCTATGATATGGCAAACGTCATAGCAATCCACGTGGCCGCTAAAGCGGAAGATAGTGCCGCTGACGCGGAAGCTTGCGGTCTACAGAGCGCTCGAGTCGAGCGGAGCGAGTATAGACCGCAAGCTTCCGCGTCAGCGGCCACGTGGATTGCTATGAGCTATATGATTGCAAAAGCTATCTATGCCACGTCATAGCAATCCACGTGGCCGCTAAAGCGGAAGATAGTGCCGCTGACGCGGATGCTTGCGGTCTACACTCGCTCCGCTCGACCCGAGCGCTTTGCGCGAGTGTAGACCGCAAGCTTCCGCGTCAGCGGCCACGTGGATTGCTATGACGTGGCAAAAACATAGATCTCAATACGTCATCAATCGATATTTTGAATAAAATCCATGTTTTCTAGTAGTTTTTGACCCGCTGATCACTATTCTGTTGTCAAAAACTTCAAAGCTCAACTTCTAATTCGAGTTATGACGTGGCAACGTTGGAAAATTTGGACTGAAAGCTAGTTCTGACCTCCCAAAGTCTAAAACTCATATTAAAAGTTGAGCTTTGAAGTTTTTGACAACAGAATAGTGATCAGCGGGTCAAAAACTAGTAGAAAACATGAGTTTTATTCAAAATATCGATTTTTGCCACGTCATGCGGAAGCCTCAGCGGCACTATCTTCCGCGTTAGCGGCCACTATGACGTGGCAAACGAGATCATAGCAATCCACGTGGCCGCTAAAGCGGAAGACAGTGCCGCTGACGCGGAAGCTTGCGGAAAAAACCCCCAAAATTAATTTTGCAGGTCACGAAAGTGAAGTAAATCACTGTAGCGCTCATCCAGATCAACGACTTGTCGCAACTTCCTCAAAAGACACCACATTTCGACTCTGGGATTTTCGGGAACAAATTCAATCGGTTGCCGTGTTTCAAGGACATCAGGAGTGAGTTTTTGGCGCCACGTGGCATTTTTGGCGCCAAAATTTTCGAATTTTCTTCTAGAAGTGTCACATCCGTCGCGTTCACCAACGATTTTCGAATCATCAGCTCGTCGGACGATGCAAGTGTCAAAATTTGGGATCTTCGAAATATGCGATCATCGCTGGCTTCAATTCGCCTAAGTTCGGCTGCAAATCGAGTTGCAGTAAGTAAACAAAATGGAATTATTGCGATTCCGATGGATAATCGACATGTTCGAATTTATGATTTGAATGGAAATCGATTGCCGAGAATGCCGAATCGAAGGGTGAGCAATAGGGCTGAAAATCCGGATTTTTTGAGTCTAGATAAGCCTGGGGGCTAGGATTTTTGAGTCTAGACAAGGATTTTTTGAGTCTAGACAAGCCTGGGGGCTGAAAATCCGAGGGCCTGGCGGCTGAGAATCCGGATTTTTTGAGTCTAGACAAGCCTGGGGCTGAAAATCCGGATTTTTGAGTCTAGACAGCAAGCCTGGGGCTGAAAATCCGGGGCTGAAAATCCGGATTTTTGATTCTGAAAATCCGATTTTAGTCAGCCTGGCTGGCTAGGCTGAGAGAGTCCTGGGATTTTTGAGTCCTGGATGGATTTTGAGTCTAGGATGAGTCTAGCTCTGAAAATCCGGATTTTTGAGTCTAGACAAGCCTGGGGGCTGAAAATCCGGAAAATTTTTTTGAGTCTAGACAAGCCTGGGGGCTGAAAATCCGGATTTTTTGAGTCTAGACAAGCCTGGGGGCTGAAAATCCGGAGATAATCCTGGGGGCTGATCCGGATTTTGAGTCTAGGAGCTGAAAATCCGGATTTTTGAGTCTAGACAAGCCTGGGGGCTGAAAATCCGGATTTTTTGAGTCTAGGGGCTGAAAATCCGGATTTTTTGAGTCTAGACAAGCCTGGGGGCTGAAAATCCGGATTTTTTTGAGTCTAGACAAGCCTGGGGCTGAAAATCCGGATTTTTTGAGTCTAGGCCTGGGGGCTGAAAATCCGGATTTTTTGAGTCTAGACAAGCCTGGGGGCTGAAAATCCGGATGTTTTGAGTATAGATAAGCCTGGGGGCTGAAAATCCGGATTTTTTGAGTCTAGACAAGCCTGGGGGCTGAAAATCCGGATTTTTTCGAGTCTAGACAAGCCTGGGGGCTGAAAATCCGGATTTTTTGAGTCTAGACAAGCCTGGGGGCTGAAAATCCGGATTTTTTGAGTCTAGATAAGCCTGGGGGCTGAAAATCCGGATTTTTTGAGTCTAGACAAGCCTGGGGGCTGAAAATCCGGATTTTTTGAGTCTAGACAAGCCTGGGGGCTGAAAATCCGGATTTTTTGAGTCTAGATAAGCCTGGGCGCTGAAAATCCGGATTTTTTGAGTCTAGACAAGCCTGGGGGCTGAAAATCCGGATTTTTTGAGTCTAGATAAGCCTGGGCGCTGAAAATCCGGATTTTTTGAGTCTAGACAAGCCTGGGGGCTGAAAATCCGGATTTTTTGAGTCTAGATAAGCCTGGGCGCTGAAAATCCGGATTTTTTGAGTCTAGACAAGCCTGGGGGCTGAAAATCCGGATTTTTTGAGTCTAGATAAGCCTGGGCGCTGAAAATCCGGATTTTTTGAGTCTAGACAAGCCTGGGGGCTGAAAATCCGGATTTTTTGAGTCTAGATAAGCCTGGGCGGCTGAAAATCCGGATTTTTGAGTCTAGACAAGCCTGGGGGCTGAAAATCCGGATTTTTTGAGTCTAGATAAGCCTGGGCGCTGAAAATCCGGATTTTTTGAGTCTAGACAAGCCTGGGGGCTGAAAATCCGGATTTTTTGAGTCTAGACAAGCCTGGGGGCTGAAAATCCGGATTTTTTGAGTCTAGATAAGCCTGGGCGCTGAAAATCCGGATTTTTTGAGTCTAGACAAGCCTGGGGGCTGAAAATCCGGATTTTTTGAGTCTAGATAAGCCTGGGCGCTGAAAATCCGGATTTTTTGAGTCTAGACAAGCCTGGGGGCTGAAAATCCGGATTTTTTGAGTCTAGATAAGCCTGGGCGCTGAAAATCCGGATTTTTTGAGTCTAGACAAGCCTGGGGGCTGAAAATCCGGATTTTTTGAGTCTAGAAACTCAAATTTCCACCCGAAAAATCCCAATTTTTGCAGTGTCACACCCGAATGGTTTCATGTTGCTCGTGGCTCGACGAAAATTCGTCGCCCAATTTATTGACTGTCGGATTTGACAGAACTCTGGCCGCCTGGAAAGTTAATATTGGAGGAAGCTAGATTTTTTTATTGATTTTTGTATGTAGAAAGTGAATGAATATGAAAACTAAAATTTTAGATGTATTTTGGTATGCCACGTCAGGGGAAGATTTGTTGATTTGAACATCGGATTATTTTGTGCATAATTCGATGTTTTCGAATCATCAAATCTTGTATTCCAGTTCCTCCTTGAATTGTATATAAGAAGAAGTTCGTGGAACTCTCGAAAAATCAAACAAAAATGAAGATATTCAGTGCGTTCTTCTCGATTCTGTTGCTTTCCCAAGTTGACAGCTTGACAGAGAATCAAAAATTAGGCAGCCAATTTCTTGTGGCACTGCACGAAACAATGCTTGCGTGCACTGGAACTGTAAGATCGATGCTTGAACGTGATAACATGCATTTGGCAGGTATGAGTTCCTCTTTATTATTATTATTATTATTGTCACCATTTCCATAGTTCAGCGGTCGTCGAAGAACTCATGAGAACTTGTGAATTTGCGAAATTTTACGGCGACGGCAAAAATTTAACCGAAGCAAGATGGGAAGCGTTCTGGAAAGGGAATAAGGCGAGCAAATGTGAAGATGGAATACGTTTCTGTGTCGAGATAAAAGTGTCAGACGACAGATTCATGATTTTTATCGGTATGCCTGACTCGAAATATGAAAGGGGGTGGAGGCTTATCAATTATGTAGATAATTATGGGCCTAATTTCGTTCCCAATTATTAATAAAATTTCACAACCAACACCCTGGTTTAGCTTAAAGACCCCCGCGTCGTCAACGCGGGGTCTCGTTGTTTTCTTTTTATTTTTTGCAATATTTTGTTGTAGAAGTTGAAATTTGCATTTTCTTGGGTTTGAAAGAGTCACAACATTTTAGGCTAATGCAATAGGGTGAGAGGAAGAGACTTAGAGAAAAACATAAAAGAATTCACGTTTTGTTGATTATTCGCGTGAACTCTTGTCGCCTCGCTTCATTTTTCAAAAAAAAAATTTTTTCCGTGACATTTTGAAATCCACGTGTTTTTTGCCAACCAGAACACCTCCAAAATTCTCCCAAAATCCAGCATTTCTGGATTCCGAGAAACAATGAGCTGCTACGAAATCATCGATCCAAAAGATCTGACCGACGCGGAAACCTTGGCCGAAGAATTGAAAAAAGAGACATTCGATGTGAATTTGCCGAATGGCGCAAAATTGATTCAACACGCCGAAAAAGCATATTCGAATTTGTATTCGAATGGAAAAAGTTTTGATGATTTAGAGGAAAAGAGAATGGGAGAAGCGTATTTGGATGACGAAATTCAGTTTTTGTTCAATTTTAAGATTCATCCGGATGGTGTTAAGGTAAAAAATAGTGTATTCCGCTTGCTATGATCTCTATGGTTTCCACGTCATAGCAATCCACGTGGCCGCTAAAGCGGAACATAGTGCCGCTTACGCGGAAGCTTGCGGTTTTACACTCGCTCCGCTCGACTGGAGCGCTCTGCGCGAGTGTAGACCGCAAGCTTCCGCGAAGCAGCCACGTGAATTGCTATGACGTGGAAACCATAGAGATGATAGTAATCCACGTGGCTGATCACGCGGAAGCTTGCGGTCTACAGAGCGCTCGGGTCGAGCGGAGCGAGTGTAGACCGCAAGCTTCCGCGTTAGCGGCACTATGTTCTGCTTTTCGCGGCCACGTGGATTACTAGGACGTTTTCCATATCATAGGAATCCACGTGGCCGCTAAAGCGGAACATAGTGCCGCTGACGCGGAAGCTTGCGGTCTACACTCGCTCCGCTCGACCCGAGCGCTTTGCGCGAGTGTATTCCGCAAGCTGCCGCGCGCAGCGGCCACGTGGAATGCTATGACGTGGAAACCATAGAGATCATAGCTATCCTCGTGGCCGCTCACGCGGAAGATAGTACCGCTAACGCGGAAGCTTGCGGTCTACACTCGCTCCGCTCGACCCGAGCGCTCTGCGTGAGTGTATTCCGCAAGCTTCCGCGCGCAGCAGCCACGTGCATTACTATGACGTTTGCCATATCATAGCAATCCACGTGGCCGCTAAAGCGGAAGACAGTGCCGCTGACGCGGAAGCTTGCGGTCTACACTCGCTCCGCTCGGCGTGCTTTTTGACGCAGAAAGCTCAATTTTCACGCCAGGAAATCCACGTGGCATCGAAATTCCTGTGAAAATCCCAGATTTTTGCGAGAAAATTTGATGAGCAGAAGAAAATTGCTTTTTTCCGCAAAAATCTGTGATTTTCTCAGGAATTTCGATGCCACGTGGATTTCATGACGTGAAAATTGAGACTTCTGCGTCAAAAAGCACGCGGAACTTTGAAAAAACAGACACGTGGCAAAAATCAGGTCAAAAATGCCGAAATTTTCCAGTTTTTCTGGATTTTTAGGCGTCAAAAATCGAAAATTTCCCGCAAAAACACACTAAATTTTACAGAAAATGAAATCAGTGGGCAATACAATTCAATCAAATACCCTAGTTATCCAACACAAATGCGTAATGTATTCGTACGCGTACGCGTTAACGGTAGCCGCGGAAGATCCGGAACCCGTATGCGAATTCCGCCTCTTCCCAATCTCTCATACTTATCGTCATCCAACGGGTCAAACGAAAGGCGGTGTACAAAGTACGATGAAACAAAAAGCGCCGGAATTAGCGGATGTTCGCTTGAAAATCGGGATGATTGAATCGGCGAAATTGGATTTGATTAGGGAATTGGATGGAAGTTATAAGTGTACGACGTTGATCACGTTGGAGACGCTTAAGAATATTACGAAGGTGAGATTTTTGCGATTTTTATATGAATTTCAGTTGGAAAAGCCAGATTTCGAACTGAAAATCGATTTTTAGCTATAAATCTGCCTTCTTTAACTGAATTCTGCATGAAATATGTGAAATTTACCGATTTTTCGTGAAAATCTGGTTTTCCACACGAAATTCTCATGAAAAATCGATTTTTAGACCAAATTTCAGTCTAGACTAATGCTTTTTATCCTTGAAAATATGATTTTTAACTCAAAATATTCAAATTCCCAAAGAAAATCCATTTTTAGGCGGAAAATGAAAAGAAATTGATTTTTTTCGTGGAGTACGGTTTAAAGGAACATTCATTTGTTTGTTGGGTCTTGAGGGGAAGAGATGGGCCGTGTGTTTAGCGGGGTTTTTTTCACACCCGCTCAAACAATGAAAAAATTAGCAAAATGCTGTTCTCATTGGCGTACCAATTTTAGTTACCTTAGAGGTCGTTATATGAACAACTAAAAATACCATTAGAATCAGCGTCTCAAGATCTACATTAAACTATGTTACTCATATTTTTAGGGGTCCTGCGAAGAAAGTTACGATTTGCGTCGAGACCACGCGGTTAAATAAATACGTGTCCCTTTAATCTGCAACGTAAATCAATGAAATAGTTGGCGTACCAATTTTCGTTAGGAAAACAGGCGTTAGAGAAAAATGAAAAATATCACGAGATTCAGCGTGTCGAGATCTACATTAAACCATAAGATTCATAATTCCTAGGAGCCCAGGAAGGCCAGCTTTTCGAGACCCAATAAATTAATAAATGTATGTTCCTTTGAACCAACAAAACAGTGTGAATTCTCGAGAGACGCAGAGACGCGGTGTTTGCACACTTTTCGATTGCGTACTACAGTAGAAAAACAGTCATTTCTCGTTTCAGCGGGGTGTGTTTTTTGTTGAAAAAAAAAACGTTTTTTTTCTGGTTTTCTCCGGAAATTTTCGCGGTGCTTTGAAGGGATTTTTTAACCAGAATGTACTTAAGGAAAATTGAGATTGACCTGGTTTCTGATGAAAAATTACTTTCTCGCCTGAAAATCTCATGAAAAATGAAGATTTTATCGATTTTTTTAGAGAAATTTAAAAGCAACATCCGCGCAAGCCAATTTTGTGATATCTTCAAAATGCTCGTAATATTCATCTTGCCAAAGTATTTTCAGCTCTCTTCCGCGATTTACAGTTGAAAGAATGGTTGGCTGAAATATTTAGCTTCATTTAGAATCTAGAAGTTTTCTCACGACTAGAAAATAACTTACAATCGATTTAGTGTCGTTTTTCTGCTCAGCTTTTTTTATTTTTTCGATAATTTCAGAGCATTGGTTCTTCTTGAAATAATCATCACATCTTTTAGCGAGCGAGCAAATTTCGAACTTTTCGGTAAGGTTTTGAAGAATATCATAGTTTCGAGCTGAAAATAAGAGTTTGAATAGGATTTTCTAGACAGTTACAACTTACAAGTGATTGTAGTTGGATCAGGCAACAATGCTGCCAATAACATCAAAAACTCCTCAGATTTGACATCATCAATAGTGATAGTAGTCTCGTTGTTTTTCACAAATTTTTCATTGAAGAACTTGGAGTAGGTGCAGAAATACTGAAAATTTACAATTTCGTTGTTTTTTCTCGAAAAACTATAACATTACGAACCCCTTTGCTGATATGATATTCATCTGTTCCACCTTTGAAAGAAGCATCAGAGAAGATTGCTGGATTTTTCGAAAAATCGTAATATTTGAAGCTGAATTGACATTCAACGGTGATAAACTCGATTTTTGAGTTGTAACTTGTTGGAAGATCAGACCACTTGAGAAATTGATCCCATCCCCATGCATGTGATTCTTTTGTGTAACAAATGAGTGTGCCATTCATTTGTTTCAGAACTTTTCCCATTTTTATCGAAGACTTTGAATACACGGTTCACTTCTGCCAACCAACTTGATTTTTTCATTTCCAGAGTAGAAATAAAGTGCGAGATACTTGATTTTATTGATTTCTTTCGTTTGAACAGCGAGTTTCCTGTAAAAACATGTCGAATTGTTCAATTTATAACTAAATTCACCATTTAAAATTATCGGTGACCAATTCCGGGCTGTATTTTCCATTCGCATCCAATGAATCAACATTCTCAACTTTCCACACAATTTTTAGTCCATCTTTGACAATCGGATTCATATTTGAAGCGAGTTTTCCTCGAAAAAATGAAAAGAATTCCTAAAAATTAAGTTGAGCAATAGCTTCGTGACGAGACCACACACATATTTAGTGGCATGTTCCTTTGAAACAGTAGGACGAGAAATAATTGCTTGGGGGTTTTTCGGGCGGGAGATTGGGGTTTTGTGGGAATTAGGCATACTTTTCTTATAATTGTATGCTAAACACTTGATTTTTATGTGAAAATTAAAGTTTTCTCAAATTTTCCGCTTAGAAATTAGGGGATTGTTTGCAAAAAATCGATAAATTTTACCCGATTTTTCCCTCAAAAATCCAATTTTCTTCCGAAAATCTTCATTTTCAATTTCCAGAATGGTGTTGCTGATCTTCAAATCTCATTCACAGTCGATTCAATCTATTTCGGCATTGATGATTATGTTCCACTCCACCCAAAACTAGCACCGATTTCGTCGAACTCGAATCAAATTCTGGAGCAAATGTTGCGCGGTGAGAAAATTCCGAAATCGGATTGGGTCATCTCGGCTGGCGCTGGCAATGATTCGCCACGCGATTTTCATGTTCACGGTGTTGTTTTGGCCAATTCCAGCTATATTTTGAGAGCGGCGATTGAGAAACATATGAGTATTGGGGGCGATGTTTTGACGATGGTTTCGCATGAAAATCGAATTGTTTTGCCGAAATTGCAGTCGAAAGATATGAAAGTGGTGAGATTTTCGGGGAAATTTGGGATTTTCTGATGAAAAATCAGATTTTTAACTGAAATTTGTGAAATTTTTGTTGAAAACTTTATGAAAATTTGAGATTTTCACCCAAATTTTGAGAAGAACACGAATTTTTCATGAAAACTTCGAATTTTAATTGAAAATCCAAGAAATTTTGTTGAAATCTGGAATTTTCTACGATTTTCTGATGAAAAATCAGATTTTTAACTGAAATTTGTGTAATTTTTGTTGAAAACTTTAGGAAAATTTGAGATTTTCAGTGAAAATTTCAAGTTTTGATAGCAAATTTGAGGTTTGACCATTTTCTGATGGGAAATCCCGAAGTTTTGACTTGAAATTCGATATTTTCAGCTAAATTTGACGGTTTTTCATCAAAAATCTGAAATTTTAACGATAAAAACAGCTTTCCAACAAATTTTCTTCAAAAATTCTGTAAATTTCAAGATTTTTGATTAAAAATTTCAAATATTACAAATTTCCCGCTTGAAAAAAAGGGGCGTGGCTTCAAAATTGCAAGCCTGGCACAGTTTTTCCTTCAAAATCAAAACAAAAAGGGGGCGTGGCTTCAAATTGCAAGCCTGGCACAGTTTTTCCTTCAAAATCAAAACAAAAAAGGGGGCGTGGCTTCAAATTGCAAGCCTGGCACAGTTTTTCCTTCAAAATCAAAACAAAAAAGGGGGCGTGGCTTCAAAATTGCAAGCCTGGCACAGTTTTTCCTCCAAAATCAAAACAAAAAAGGGGGCGTGGCTTCAAATTGCAAGCCTGGCACAGTTTTTTCTCCAAAACAAAAAAGGGGGCGTGGCTTCAAATTGCAAGCCTGGCACAGTTTTCCTCCAAAATCAAAACAAAAAAGGGGGCGTGGCTTCAAATTGCAAGCCTGGCACACTTTTTCCTCCAAAATCAAAACAAAAAAGGGGGCGTGGCTTCAAAATTGCAAGCCTGGCACAGTTTTCCTCCAAAATCAAAAACAAAAAAGGGGGCGTGGCTTCAAATTGCAAGCCTGGCACACTTTTTCCTTCAAAATCAAAACAAAAAAGGGGGCGTGGCTTCAAAATTGCAAGCCTGGCACAGTTTTTCCTCCAAAATCAAAACAAAAAAGGGGGCGTGGCTTCAAATTGCAAGCCTGGCACAGTTTTTTCTCCAAAACAAAAAGGGGGCGTGGCTTCAAATTGCAAGCCTGGCACAGTTTTCCTCCAAAATCAAAACAAAAAAGGGGGCGTGGCTTCAAATTGCAAGCCTGGCACACCTTTTCTTCCAAAAATCAAAACAAAAAAGGGGGCGTGGCTTCAAAATTGCAAGCCTGGCACAGTTTTTCCTTCAAAATCAAAACAAAAAGGGGGCGTGGCTTCAAATTGCAAGCCTGGCACAGTTTTCCTCGAAAATCAAAGCAAAAAAGGGGCGTGGCTTTAAATTGCAAGCCTGGCACAGTTTTCCTCGAAAATCAAAGCAAAAAAGGGGCGTGGCTTTAAATTGCAAGCCTGGCACAGTTTTTCCTTCAAAATCAAAACAAAAAGGGGGCGTGGCTTCAAATTCCTCCAAAACTCTCTGTTTTCCAGCTTCTCACATTCATTTATCAAAAACGTTTTGCTCTACCCGATTTCGATTCAGTTTCCCGTGTTGGCTCAATTTTGGCTCATATTTTCCGTGAAGAAATTCCCGAATTTTTTGAGAATTGGCAAGCTGAATTGGTCAAAAAAGCGATGGCTTTGGATGTAAGAATTTCCCGCTGAAAATCGTAATTTCCAGCAAAAATGCCCGGATTTTCAGAGAAATTTGGGTGCTGAAACGATTGCGGAATGTGTGAAAATGTTGATTTTTGTGCATTCTGCTCCGCAAGGTGCTCTTTTGGCTGCCTATAATTGTGCACTGATTGTTGCAGCAGATTCGCTGCAAATTGCCGAAAAATCGAGAAATTGTGAAAAGATTTTGAAGAAGGTGAAGAAATTGATTGGATTGGAATGGCCGATTATTGAGAATATTTTGGAAATGTGAGTTTTTTAGCTAATATGAGCAATGTTTTTTGAAAATTCACTAAAAATCAAGGTGGCCGAACTTTTGAAAATCCTAGGTCACGTGGTTTGAAGGCGCGAAAATTTGAATTTTCAAATTTTCCCGCTCAAAAACCAACGTGGCCTAGGTTTTGAGAATCTTAGGCCACTTGGTTTGAATTTTTAATTTACAAATTTTCCCGCTCAAAAACCAACGTGGCCTAATTTTTGAAAATCCTAGGCCACGTAGTTTAAAGGCGCGCAAAATTTAAATTTTTAAAAGAAAAAAATTTAAATGTTCAAATTTTCCCGCTAAAACCGAGATGGCCTAGTTTTTCCAAAATTTAGGCCGCGTGGTTGAAAGGTGCGAAAATTTGAATTTTCAAAATTTTTAGAAGAAAAACATTTGAATTTTCAAACGTTCCCACTCAAAAAACCACGTGGCCTAGGATTTGAGAATTCTAGGCCACGTGGTTTGAAGCTGCGAAAATTCCGATTCTTGAATTTTTCAAAAAGAAATATTTGAATTTTCAAACGTTCCCACTCAAAAAACCACGTGACCTAGGTTTTGAAAATCCTAGGTCACGTGTTTTTTAGCGCGAAAATTCCGATTTTTGAATTAAAAAAAAAATAGATATTTGAATTTTCAAATGTTCCCACTCAAAAACCACGTGGCCTAGGATTTGAGAATTCTAGGCCACGTGGTTTGAAGGTGCGAAAATTGAGACTCCGCCTACGCGGAAGCTTGCGGAACATCCGGAAATCAATCAATAATGTATATTTCCAGCATCCAAGATTTCAAAGAAACTGTGTGCGGAGTCGAAAAATTGCAACTCGTCGAATAGCTCGAAAAAAATCAATAATTCCAAGCTGAACTCGTAGAAATTATCCTATTATTCAACTAAACCAAATCATGAAATAATTTATTGCTATAGTTGAAAATTACCGGTTTTCAAAAAAATTTGAAACAAAAAGAAAAATTTTGGAAATACTTTTGAAACAAAATATCACCAAACAAAAAATACCCGAAAATTTTGAGGAAATTTTAAGTTTCCTTAGAAAAATGTTCATAAAAAATCAACTAGGATAATAAATTTCGGGCGGTTGATCTCGTCGCATTGTTGTTGGATATTTGAGTTTTGCCCGCATCGGAATCATGATTGCAGAAGTGTTTGCAGCAATTGCGGGACCACCGAAAGTTGTGAGAGAATTCTGAATTGTTTCCTCGTATTCTGGAGGTTGTGAAGATGCGATCTTCTTATTGAACTCCATAGTTGATAAGGAATATTCGGTAGATGTTGAATAGAGATCGGGATTGTTGAGGAATTGAATCGAAGCTGTTCGGGCGGCTGGATTCGCATATTGGGCTTGTAGTTTTTGCTCGACTTTTTCGAGATGATCCTTGGTTGCTTTTGATTCACCGCCACAGTAGAACATTGTGAGAAGGACTGGGAGGATTACGAGACCGTGGAGAGCGCCTGGGTGAAAGATTATTTAGCTCAGAAATTTGGGCTTCAAAATGAGCCTAAACATGGTTGGGGAAAATTTCAGATTTTGGCTGAAAATGTGGAATTTTCTGAAAATCAAGTTAGGGCTCATTTTGTAGAGAATTTCAAGAGCTACAAAATGAGCATTTTCAGAAATTTCAGATTTTCAGCCAAAATCTGAAATTTCTGAAAATCAAATTTGAGCTCATTTTGTAGAGAATTTCAAGAGCTTCAAAATGAGCCTAAATATGGTTGGGGAAAATTTCAGATTTTCAACCGAAATATGAAATTTTTAAAAACTAATTTTAGATTCATTTTGTAGCTCTTGAAATTCTCTACAAAATGAGCCCTAACTTGATTTTCAGAAATTTCAGATTTTCAGCAAAATCCACATTTTTCTGAAAATCAAATTTGAGCTCATTTTGAAGAGAATTTCAAGAGCTTCAAAATGAGCTCGAATAGGAATTCCAGAAATTTCAGATTTTGGCTGAAAATCGCGTCTGAAAGTTAGGTTAGGGCTCATTTTGTAGAGAATTTCAAGAGCTACAAAATGAATCTAAAATTTATTTCCAGAAATTTCAGATTTTCAGCCGAAATCTGAAATTTCTGGAAATCAAATTTGAGCTCATTTTGAAGACCTTGAAATTCTCTACAAAATGAGCCCTGACTTGATTTTCAGAAATTTCAAATTTTCAGCCAAATCTGAAATTTCTGGAATTCCTATTTAGGCTCATTTTGTAGCTCTTGAAATTCTCTACAAAATGAGCCTAAAACCGTATGGCCTAGGATTTTCCAAAGTTCGGCCACCTTAACGGGAAAATTTGAGAATTCAAATTTTTGCTAGGCATTGCTCATATTAACCCTCCCTACTCACCCAACAAAATCACCAAAATGATAGTTTTCAGAAAACTTCTGAAAACATAACTTTCAGCTGATGCCATAAATGAGACTCCCAAAATTGTCGACGAAGCTGACATGAGAATTGGTGCGCCGACTGCGTAGAGCGCATTTCGCATACGTTCCGACGCTTCGATGTTGTCACCCTGGAATGTACATTTGTGTTAGAGCGCATTTGCTGCACTGATTAGAGACAACGGGAATTTGAGAGAGCGCAGAGGGCTCGAGCGAAGCGAGTGTAAACCGCAAGCTTCCGCGAAGCGGTCAATCCACGTGGCCGCTAAAGCGGAAGATAGTGCCGCTGACGCGGAAGCTTGCGGTCTACACTCGCGGCTCAGCCGCTCGGGTCGAGCGGAGCGAGTGTGAACCGCAAGCTTCCGCGTCAGCGGCACTGTCTTCCGCTTCAGCGGCCACGTGGATTCCTATGACGTGGCAAGGGCTCATAGAAATCCACGTGGCCGCTGAAGCGGAAGATAGTGCCGCTAACGCGGAAGCTTGCGGTCTACACTCGCTCCGCTCGACCCGAGCGCTGTGCGCGAGTGTAGACCGCAAGCTTCCGCGTTAGCGGCACTGTTTTCCGCTTTAGCGGCCACGTGGATTTCTATGATATGGTAAACGTCATAGTAATCCACGTGACCGCTTAAGCGGAAGCTTGCGGTCTACACTCAATGCAGCAAATGCGCTCTAACGCGAAAATTATCAATGGGGCGCATTTTCACCAACCTTTGCAAAATTATATGCCAAATGCGCTGCAAAATCAACACAAAACCCAATCGACATCACAATCGTGACCATCGATATGAAATCGAGTCGCACCGACCAAAAAGTCATGAATCCCAAAATGCCGACATTTATCGAGACTATGGAAAATGATACCCAAAGTGAGGCGACGGGTTCGGGAATAAGGATGAGGGAGACGGCGACGACTGCAATTCCAGCATAGGCGATTGAGGAGAGAGTGCCCGGAAGGACGGCATTGTATTGTTCGGCAAACTGGAACAAGGAACAAGGTTTGGGACACGTCATAGCAATCCACGCGGAGTGCCGCTCACGCGGAAGCCTAGTGCCGCTCACGCGGAAGCTTGCGGTCTACACTCGCTCCGCTCGATGTTAACCTGAGCAATGGTACCGCAAGCTTCCGCGTTAGCGGCACTGTCTTCCGGTTTAGAGGCCACGTGGATTGCTATGATATGGAAAACGTCATAGCAATCCGCGTGGCCGCTGACGCGGAAGCTTGCGGTCTAGACTCGCTCCGCTCGAGCCTAATATGAGCAATGCTTCGAGCGGAGCGAGTGTAGAACGGAATCTTCCGCGTAGCGGCCACGCGGATTGCTATGACGTGGCAAGGGATCATAGAAATCCACGTGTCCGCGTTCGCGGAAGATAGTGCCGCTGACGCGGAAGCTTGCGGTACCATTGCTCAGGTTAACATCGAGCGGAGCGAGTGTAGACCGCAAGCTTCCGCGTCAGCGGCACTATCTTCCGCTTTAGCGGCCACGTGGATGACGTTTACCATATCATAGTAATCCACGTGGCCGCTTCGCGGAAGCTAGCGGTCTACGCTCGCTCCGCTCGATGTTAACCTGAGCAATGCTTCGAGCGCAGCGAGTGTAGACCGGAATCTTCCGCGTAGCGGCCACGCGGATTGCTATGATATGGAAAACGTCATAGCAATCCGCGCGGCCGCTTCGCGGAAGATAGTGCCGCTAACGCGGAAGCTTCCGGTCTAGACTCGCTCCGCTCGATGTTAACCTGAGCAATGTTTCGAGCGGAGCGAGTCTAGACCGCAGATTCCGCGTCAGCGGCACTGTCTTCCGCGTAGCGGCCACGCGGATTGCTATGATATGGAAAACGTCATAGCAATCCGCGCGGCCGCTTCGCGGAAGATAGTGCCGCTAACGCGGAAGCTTCCGGTCTAGACTCGCTCCGCTCGATGTTAACCTGAGCAATGTTTCGAGCGGAGCGAGTCTAGACCGCAAGATTCCGCGTCAGCGGCACTGTCTTCCGCGTAAGCGGCCACGCGGATTACTATGATATGGAAAACGTCATAGCAATCCACGTGGCCGCTTCGCGGAAGATAGTGCCGCTAACGCGGAAGCTTCCAGTCTACACTCGCGGCTCAGCCGCTCGAACCAACCTGAAAAAAGTCGGCATACACGCCGGTCTGCAATTCGCTAGTCTCGGCAAGCCTGCGGAACAACCGCATGGCTCTCGATTGATTCGCCGAGCCGACGTGACGCAATTGAACCGGGATACGCGACGCGTCCAACGCTTCGCCGTCCGCAGTGAATACCACATCTCTGGAAAAATGTGTTGCTCATGTTAAACAAAATGTGGCCTAGGATTTCCTAGAGCTCGGCCACGTGGTTTTTCCAGCGGGAAAATTTGAAAATTTGAATTTTTTCAAAATAATTATTCAAAAATCCAAATTTTCGCTGCTATTCAACCACATGGCCGAACTTTTGCAAAATCCTAGGCCACATGGTTTTTCTGGCGGGAAAATTTGAAAATTCAAATTTTTCTGAAAAATTCAATCATTGCTCATGTTAAATTCTTGCTGCTATTAAACCACGTGGCCGAGGATTTTCTAGAGTTCGGCCACGTAGTTTTTAAGCGCGGGAAAATTTGAATTTTTTCAAAATAATTATTCAAAAATCCAAATTTTCGCTCCAGAATCCACATGGCCGAACTTTTGCAAAATCCTAGGCCACATGGTTTTTCTGGCGGGAAAATTTGAAAATTTGAATTTTTTTGAAAAATTCAAAAATTCGAATTTCCCGCCTAAAAACCACATGGCCTAGGATTTTCTAGAGTTCGGCCACGTGGCGCGGGAAAACTTGAAAATTTGATTTTTTTTCAAAAATAATTATTCAAAAATTCAAATTTCCCGCCAAAAAACCACGTGGCCTAGAATTCTCAAAAACTAGTCCACCTCGATTTTCGGCGCCAAATTTTTCGAATTCAAAAAAAATCCCCCACCTATTATACTTGGTAAACTGCGGTTGACTGAGAAACACATTTCTCAAAATGTAGACAAAATTCTCGGGAGTTATCAAAAGTCCAGCCTGTTTGACGAACGCCAGAAATGTGCGAAGCCTGGAAATATATCATGTTTGGGCTCAAAATGCTCCAAATTCCACGTGGATTCTGAAAATCCTCGAAATTTGGAGCATTTTGAGCCCAAACATGCTCATATTCGGTCTCAAAATGCTCCAAATTCCACGTGGATTCTGAAAATCCTCGAAATTTGGAGCATTTTGAGCCCAAACATGCTCATATTCGGTCTCAAAATGCTCCAAATTCCACGTGCTCACCAAGAATCACTACCGCCCGTAAACTCCGTATGCTCATACAACTCAATTTCCTTCTCCAAAACGTTCCAAATCCTTCTGGGTGCCACGTCATTTTCCGACAAATTATACATCCAAACGTGCAGTGAACTACCGTAATCCGAGAAATATTTCTCGGCCATTTGAAGGGTGCGTTTACCGTATGAATTATCCGGCAGCAGGTCGTTCGGTTCGAGACCCAATTTGACTTTTGTGCAACCGTACGATGCTATTGCCTGGAACCTTTTTTTTTTCAAAAATTCAAATTTTCGCGCTCTCAAACCACGTGGCCGAGGATATAGTAGAGTTCGGCCACGTGGTGTTTGTAGCGGGAAAATTTGAAAATTCAAATTTTCTTGCAAAATTCAAAAATCCAAATTTTCGCGCTCATAAACCACATGGCCGAGGATTCTCAAAAGTTCGGCCACGTGGTTTTACTAGCGGGAAAATTTGAAAACTCAAAAATCCAAATTTCCGCGCTCATAAACCACGTGGCCGAGGATTTCTTCAAGTTCGGCCACGTGGTTTTTGTGGCGGGAAAATTTGAATATTCAAATTTTCTTGCAAAATTTAAAAATCCAAATTTTCGCGCTCTCATAAACCACGTGGCCGAGGATTCTCAAAAGTTCGGCCACGTGGTTTTTGTAGCGGGAAAATTTGAAAATTCAAATTTTCTAGCAAAATTCAAAAATTCAAATTTCCGCGCTCATAAACCACGTGGCCGAAGATTTCCTAGAGTTCGGCCACGTGGTTTTTGTAGCGGGAAAATTTGAAAATTCAAAAATCCAAATTTTCGCGCTCATAAACCACGTGGCCGAGGATTGTCAAAAGTTCGGCCACGTGGTTTTTGTAGCGGGAAAATTCAAAAATCCAAATTTTCGCGCTCATAAACCACGTGGCCGAGGATTCTCAAAATTCGGCCACGTGGTTTTTGTAGCGGGAAAATTTGAAAATTCAAATTTTCTTGCAAAATTCAAAAATTAAAATTTTCGCGCTCATAAACCACGTGGCCGAGGATTCTCAAAAATTCGGCCACGTGGTTTTTCTAGCGGGAAAATTTAAATTTTGAAATTTTTTTCAAAATAATTATTCAAAAATTCAAATTTCCGCGCTCATAAACCACGTGGCCGAGGATTTCCTAGAGTTCGGCCACGTAGTTTTTGTAGCGGGAAAATTTGAAAATTCAAATTTTCTTGCAAAATTCAAAAATCCAAATTTCCGCGCTCATAAACCACGTGGCCGAGGATGATCATGACTTCGGCCACGTGATTTTTATATTGAAATTGATGCGGAAGACTGTTCCGCTTACGCGGAAGCTTCCGGAACCTTCCGCAACTCACCAAATATCCAACAAACAGCGTCAAAATCACCACTCGCACCATCGGATTCAACAGCAAATCACTATAAGTTGTGCGGAAGAATCTGGCGAGCACACTGTTTTTTTCGAAGCTCCGATCGCCGGCGGCGCCGAGTTTTCCGCTTCCGCTCTCGATTTTCCGCGCGTCAGACCGCGACAATTTGGTGAAGAATAGACAGTGTCGATTGGCGACTTCACGGCGATTTGTGAAGACCATGACGGCGGCGAAAAAGGTGAGTTGGTAGATGTAGGTGAAGATTACGGCGGCGACTGCGTAGGCGCAGAACATCTGTAAGGAAAATTGGTTGTTCGAGCGAAGCGAGTATAGACCGCGAGCTTCCGCGTCAGCGGCACTATCTTCCGCTTCAGCGGCCACGCGGATTTCTATGATCCAATGCCATATCATAGTAATCCGCGTGGCAGCTGAAGCGGAAGATAGTGCCGCTGACGCGGAAGCTTGCCGTCTACACTCGCTCCGCTCGAAAATTTGAGATTTTTTGAGTCTAAATAAGCCTAGAGCCTGAAAATATGGATTTTCGAGCCTAAGCCTCAGATTTAGGCCAAAAATAGCACTATTTTTTTAATTTTCTGTAAAATTTTGGATTTTTTGAGTCCAAACAAGCCTAGAATCTAGATTTCTGTAAAAATTTGCTAATCCGGGTACTTTTAACCTAGAATTAAATTTGTGTCCGAAGTAGGCTTGAATTTTCAAAAAATTAGGAATCTGTTGAATCTAAATAAGGCTAAGATCGGAACTAAGATAAAAAATGGAGTTTTTTGAGCCTAAATAAGCCTAGGGCCTGAAAATCTTGGATTTTTTGAGCCTAGATAAGCCTATTAAAGTCAAATCTAGACTCCCAGTTATCCACGTGGCCGCATCGCGGAAGACAGTGCCGCTAACGCGGAAGCTTGCGGTTTACACTCGCTCCGCTCGACCCGAGCGCTCTGCGCGAGTGTAGACCGCAAGCTTCCGCGTCAGCGGCACTGTCTTCCGCGTCAGCGGCCACGTGGATTTCTATGATCCCATGCCACGTCATAGCTATCCGCATGGCCGCTAAAGCGGAAGATAGTGCCGCTGACGCGGAAGCTTGCGGTCGCTTCGCTCGTTCTCACCTGCACACTTGGAAACGGTGTTGCACATCCGACTCCAAACGAAATGAGATCAGTCAGCGAGGTGACGGTGATTGAGACGGCCGCGTCTGCAATTAGAGAGTGTGTCATTTCATATATCAAACATTTGCATGCGAGAAAAACATGCAGCGCATAGCCGAGTGGTTAGCACGCGCGTCTTTTGATCACAATGTCACGGGTTCGATGCCGCTTCGAGGCAAACTTTTTTTAATTTTTTTTTTTTTTAATTTTCCCCGTTTCTCACCGGCAAAAGTCTCCTCCATTCGATGCTCGAAACTCGCCGTTGATGGCGTCGATCGCCACGCCGACAACAATATAAACACATTGTCAACACCGACCGCTGCAATTTATTTATTTGATTTATTTGATTTATTGTGTATGTTATTATTCTTGTTCTTCTACATTTTATTATTATGTGTAAAGAATTATTCCTCAAAAACCGGAAACTTTTCTGTTGGTCAAACACACATTTTGAACCAAAAATGTTCAGAATTCGCTATTTTTAAATGATCAAAAGTCAGGCTTCTCTGCGTCTCTCACAATGTCTTGTGATCTCTAACCCACGGCCATTTACTCCAATGCCCCTCGGGTCAGACGAGAGACGACGGGGGTCTGACGTCATCAGATATTTTTGAGTAAAAATATGTGTGCCTTTGAAAAAAATACCGTATTTTGTTTCAAGGAACACATGTTTTATGGAAAATATCTCGAAGCGAAATTCATTTTCGGGATATTTTTGCAAAATACTCTCGTCGTCTCGCGTCTGACTTGACGGGCGCCTTGTATGGTCGTGAACAAGCTAGACAACCAGATATCACGGGGATTTTGAGAGACGCAGAGAAGCCATGTCTGTTTTCTCTGCGTCTCTAACTCTCCCCTAGCTAGACAACCAGAGAGCACGGGATTTTGAGAGACGCAGAGAAGCCTGCAGGAAGACTTCTCTGCGTCTCTAACCCTACCCATGCTCTCTAGCTAGACAACCAGAGAGTAAGGGGATTGTGAGAGACCCAGACTCTGCCAAGGCTTCTCTGCGTCTCTAACTCTCCCCATGCTCTCTAGCCAGCTATTTAGAGATCATGGGAAGATGAGAGACGCAGAGAAGTCCTGTCTGCTTTCTCTGCGTCTCTAACTCTAGCTAGACAACTAGAGAGAACGGGATTTTGAGAGACGCAGAGAAGGCATTCTCTGCGTCTCTAACTCTCCCCATGCTGTCTAGCTAGACAACCAGGGGATTGTGAGAGACGCAGAGAAGCTTTCCGCGTTCGCGGAAGCTTGCGGAAGCTTGCGGAAAACTCACAAAACACAATAAACGGCATCGAGTAGGCGACACTCGTCATACCGTAACCCATCATCAACAGTATCCCAACAGCTGACGCAATTGCCATAGCTGCGGAAAACACTCCGCCGATCGCAAGCCTGCAAAATAGACGCGGAAGGTTGCGGAAGGTTGCGGAAAGGAAACTCACCAAGGCCGCGATCTTCTCCACGAGAAAACACAGCAGCAAATGACGGTGTAGATCGAGACGCAGATGAAGCAGGGAAGAAGCATGCTGAAAAATGAAACAGATAAGGCTTCCGCGTACGCGGAAGCTTGCGGAAGCTTGCGGAAACTCACTTTATGAGTTGGAGGCGATCGCGCGCGCTTTCGGCCGCCAGAGTCTCATAGGTCCACCAACTTGCGCGGATAATTGGCGAATCGTACTGGAGGAGGAAGTCCGCGAGGCGGACTTCCCATTTTTCCGCGACCGAATCCTCGTTATCGCTGGAGTGTCGTAGGGCGTAGGGGAGAAGCATGGCTTTGGCGCCTGGAAATTTTTTGAGCATGATTTTCAGCGCAAAATTTCAGCCAGGAACTTTGAAAAAAGTTCCAAATTTTGTGGAACCAAGTTTCTTGGCTGAAATTTTGCGCTGAAAATCATGAAAACCTTGATTTTCAGCGATTTTCAGTGAATCTATGATTTTCAGCACAAAATTTCAGCCAAGAAAGGTTTCATTGAAAAAAAAGCGATTTTTCTTTTGAAAAATTTCAAAAATTCAAATTTCCCGCGCGCGCCCTACCGTACCCGCAATCCGCTTATCATCATCCAACGTGATTCCGCCCAACAAATGTGTCATTCCGCCGGAATCGAATTGAATTGCGTCGGAGAATTGTGAAAGTGTCATTTCGTCGATGGATCGATTCAGAAAACTTCGATCGGAGACCAGAAGAAGTTTGAAGATTTCGACGAGCGGGTTCGAGACACAGATTTCTTCGGGCCTGCAAAAAAACGGGGGATTTTTCGAGCGGAGCGAGTGTAGACCGCAAGCTTCCGCGTCAGCGGCACTATCTTCCGCGAAGCGGCCACGCGGATAACTGGAAGTCTAGACTTGATTCAAATCTGGATTCTGGGCTTATTTAGGCCTAAAAAATCCAGATTTTCAGGCTCTAGGCTTATTTAGACTCAAAATACTCCCCTTTTGGCCTTTATTTAGGCTTCAGGCTCTAGGCTTGAATTTTGCGGCGCCAAAAAAACCCAATTTGAAATTGAATTCTAACAAAATGAGAAGTTGGCAAAAGCGCTCTAATACAAATTGACCCGAGAAACTTGAAAAATTCAAATTTCGCGCAGGAAATTCCAGTTTTTGGGACGTTTTTTGAGTCGAAATAAGCCTAGGGGCTAAAAATCTGGGATTTTTTAGGCCTATAATCCAGATTTGAGTCAAGTCTAGACTTCCAGTTATCCACGTGGCCGCTGAAGCGGAATCTTGCGGTCTACACTCGCGCACAGCGCTCGGATCGAGCGGAGCGAGTGTAAACCGCAAGCTTCCGCGTCAGCGGCACTATCTTCCGCTTCAGCGGCCACGTGGATTTGCTTGTGCAAAAAAAAAAATGCAAATTGACCCGGGAAACTTGAAAAATTCAAATTTTCGAACAAAATTGAGCAAATGCGCTCTATTGAGAATATTCAGAAGATCCCCCCTTTTTTTGCTCTTCTTCTTCTAGAAAATCTTCATTTTCTGACACATGGCTCACACTTTTCTGTTTGTTTAATTTCGTAATGATAATCCAAAAATATAAATGATAGGGGGGTCGAGATTTGATTGTTTGTTTGTTTGTTCAATTCATCCGATCTCAATTAATTCATCGAGAGCACAAAAGAAAGAGCAAATTTGATTTTCAGCACAAAATTTCAGACCTTCAATTTCTGATCATCCACTTGTTTCGTTGATGATTATGATTATGCACACGGCACTTTAAAAATCACCATCAATTGATTGTTGTCAAAACAACCACTTGAGATATGCTGATGATAAAAAGAGATCAAAACAACAGATTTCCTCTATTTACACGTGTGTGTGTGTGATTTGTAGTCCTCGAGAACTACACGATTTGTAGTGGCGAAATTTAATTTTAAAAAAAGTTTGCCCTGAGGTGGGATCGAACCCGTGACCTAGAGATTCAAAGGCGTACGTGTTAACCACTCGGCTATGCGCGCCTGTTTTTCTTCTATGCAAGATGTTTGATATATGAAGCGAGGAAAAATGGCGCATTTTCCACGTGAATGCTCAAAAGTGTGAAGAGAGAAAATCTGATATGCAAATATTTTTGCATAGTTTTGTTGGTCTACCTACTTATGAAAATGTGGTTTTGGGTGTGCGTACACCCAAAATATTTGAGTTTCGGATTGGTTTTTGGTGTCAAAATTGCATTTTTGGCGGGAAAATTCAAATTCCCCGCTAAAATTTACCCCGGGAACTTGAAAAATTCAAATTTTAGGGCAAAAATGAGCAAATGCGCTCTATTGAACATTTTGTGTTTTTCAAGAAATTTTGGAATTTCGATTTTTCCTCCAAAATTGACCCCGGGAACTTGAAAAATTCAAATTTTCGCGCCAAAAAACCAGCCGCTTCCAAAAATACACCGATTTTAGATATTTCATTGTTGCAATACACGAACCAAACATGGTTTCGGCTTAACCTTTTCTTCTCCGAGAGAACTACACGATATTTGCGAAACGGATTAAAATTGTGGGGAAATGTAGCAAAATAACATGATGTTGTTCTGTTTTTTGTGGAGAAAATTCTCAATAGAGCGTATTTGCTCATTTTTGCTCAAAAAATTTGAATTTTCCAAGTTCCCAGGGTCAATTTTGGAGCAATAATCTTCAAAATTTCTTGAAAAAACACAAAAAGTTCAGTAGAGCGTATTTGCTCATTTTTGCTCAAAAAATTTGAATTTTTCAAGTTCCCGGGGTCAAAATTATCGATTTTCACGATTTTCCGCCCCAAAATCACTTACGTCGTCATATTTGGCGCGAAAAGTGAGTGTAGAGCTTTGCTGAACTCGGGCGGTATGGGAAATTTGACGCAAATCGACGGATAATTGATCCTTCGATCCTCTTCGTCTTCAACAGTCAGTGACTGCAAAAATTATTCAAATTTTCAAATTTCCCGCCAAAAAATCCCCACCTGTACGATGCTCCACAATTGCATCGCCGCATGCATAACCAGCGGATTCAGAATATCAGCATCCTCTTCACGGTGTGTGACTATAATGTAGCCGGCACGTCGAATATCGTATCTGTAAAGAAAAAAATGGGGGAAAATGATGCAAAACGCGCATTTCGCTAAACTACGAGCAAGCGGAGTGTCGTTGTTTTTTTTCGAAAATTTGAATTTGTCAAATTTCGCGCTGAAAAATGAGCAAATGCGCTCTGTCGAGAATTGTGTGTGTTTTTCAAACATTTTTGAATAAATAGCAAGCGCGCTCTATTGCTAGAATGATTTTTGGCGCGCGCGGGAAACTTGAAAAATTCAAATTTTCATAGAAAAATGAGCAAAAATGCAAAAATGGGAGAAAATGATGCAAACAGCGCATTTCGCTAAACTACAGGCAAAAGCGGAGTGTCGTTGTTTTTTTTTTCAAAATGTTTTTTTTTTCGAATTTTTACCGTAGCCTAAGCCTAAGAAGCCTAAGCCTAAGAAGCCTAAGCCTAAGAAGCCTAAGCCTAAGAAGTCTGAGCCCAAGAAGCCTAAGCCCAAGAAGCCTAAGCCTAAGAATCCTAAGCCTAAGAAGCCTAAGCCTAAGAATCCTAAGCCTAAGAATCCTAAGCCTAAGAAGCCTCAGCCTAAGAAGCCTAAGCCTAAGAAGCCTAAGCCAAAGAAGCCTAAGCCTAAGAAGCCTAAGCCTAAGAAGCCTAAGCCTAAGAATCCTAAGCCTAAGAATCCTAAGCCTAAGAATCCTAAGCCTAAGAATCCTAAGCCTAAGAAGCCTAAGCCTAAAAAGCCCGAGCCTAAGAAGCCTAAGCCTAATAAGCCTAAGCCTAAGAAGCCTAAGCCAAAGAAGCCTAAGCCTGAGAAGCCTGAGCCTAAGAAGCCTAAGCCTAAGAAGCCTAAGCCTAAGAAGCCTAAGCCTAAGAAGCCGAAGCCTAAGAAGCCTAAGCCTAAGAAGCCTAAGAAGCCTAAGCCTAACAAGCCTAAGCCTAAGAAGCCTAAGAAGCCTAAGCCTAACAAGCCTAAGCCTAAGAAGCCTAAAAAGCCCACCTTCTAGTGGCATAAAACGGATCGCTATCATTAATATGAAACAAATGATCGAGTTGCCTTAACTCGGTTCTCGCTTTCGCATCAGTCGGCGTATACAATTCCAACTCGTCTTTCATAAAAGCCTGTTCGTGTCGCAATAATCCGGTCGACAAAAATGCGGTGATTAAAATTGGAATGATGAAAAATGGGAGGGGATGGCGAACGACGAGACCACTGCAAAAAATTGGATTTGTCTTCCGGAAGCTTCCGCGTTCGCGGTGATCGCGCGGATTGTTGCTATCCGCGTGGCCGCTGAAGCGGAAGATAGTGCCGCTGACGCGGAAACTTGCGGTCTACACTCGCTTCGCTCGACCCGAGCGCTGTGCGCGAGTGTAGACCGCAAGCTTCCGCTTCAGCGGCCACGTGGATTTCTATCATCCCCTGCCACGTCATCGCTATCCGCGTGGCCGCTAAAGCGGAAGATAGTGCCGCTCACGCGGAAGCTTGCGGACTACACTCGCTTCGCTCGACCCGAGCGCTGTGCGCGAGTGTAGACCGCAAGCTTCCGCGTAAGCGGCACTGTCTTCCGCGAACGCGGCCACGCGGATTGCTATGACGTGGCAAGGAATCATAGTAAACCATGTGACCGCTAACGCGGAAGATAGTGCCGCTTACGCGGAAGCTTGCGGTCTACACTCGCGGCAAAGCCGCTCGAGATTCTCGAGCTCAGAACCACGTGGCAAAAATCTCGAAAATGTTTTTATTTCAGTTTTTTCTAGACTGAAATTGTGTGCTGAAATTCATGAAATCCTTGATTTTCAGCGATTTTCAGTGAATCTATGATTTTCAGCGCAAAATTTGGGTCTGAAAAATTTTATCCAAAAAAAAGTTCCAAATTTCATAGATCACTGAAAAATCCCTCAAATTTCAGTAAAACCTTTCTAGACCCAAATTTCGAGCTGAAAATCATGGAATTATTGATTTTCAGCGATTTTCAGCATTTTCAGCGCAAAAAACCCACCTATAGGCTCCAAAAGCTCGTGCAAATCGTCGTTCCACACAATCGAATCGCATTTTTCGTCTTCTTCAGGTCCAAAAAAAAAATTCCAAAAAAAAAAAAAAATTGAATTTCAAAAAATTTCTTCTCATTCCTCTTTTTTCTCAAAATACACAGAGTGACCACCACAAACACAACAAAAATGTGCACATTTTCTCGCGCAACCAGGGCTCCGCCCCCTTTTTTTTCGCTCGCAAGCTCCGCCCATTTTTGTGTGCTCTGAGAACTCGATGAGGAAATTGACACTGTGAGAGAAAAAAGTCAAGTGTCAAAATTATATGAAGAAGATATCTATAGATATATCCATTTATTGCGCAACTTCCGCGCAAATAAAACCAGGAGTACTGTAGAGAAATCCACGTGGCAAAAAAAAAGTTCTGTAGATCACCGAAAAATCCCTCAAATTTCAATGAAACCATTCTTGGCTCAAATTTTGTGCTGAAAATCATGAAAGCCTTGATTTTCAGCAATTTTCAATAAATCCATGATTTCCAGCACAAAATTTGAGTCTAGAAAATGTTATCCAAAAAAGTTCCAAATTTTGTAGATCACTGAAAAATCCCTCAAATTTCAATGAAACCTTTCTTGGCTGAAATTTTGTGCTGAAAATCATGAAAGCCTTGATTTTCCTCAATTTTCAGTGAATCCATGATTTTCAGCGCAAAATTTGGGTCTAGAAAGTTACAGAATTCGTTCAATTTGAAATTTTTGCTCAAAACTTGTCTGCCACGTGGATTTTCACTGTGAAAAATTGCAATTGTCCGCAAGCCTCCGCGTAAGCGGAAAGCATATAGTTAGCGGCACCCTTTCCGCGTTCGCGGAAGATGCGCGGAAGCTTCCAAATTTTTTTTTTTTTTTTTTTGGCGCGTGAACTCTGCACTTGAGAATTCATTTCATTTATTATATTTTTGTCCATTTTTATTTGTTTTTTAGTCACTTCTTTCCTCAGACAGCGAAAAAAAGAAGAAGAAAAAGATGGATACAAAAATAGGGGGATAAAAAACAAATACAGAAAGATCTTGGGTCAGAGAGAGAGAGAGACGCAGAGAAAAAGGAGCGCATTTGAATATTTTTGGATCGAGCGGCTTTGCCGCGAGTGTAATCCGCAAGCTTCCGCGAAGCGGCACTATCTTCCGCTTTAGCGGCCAGTTCCAGAATTATTAATTTTCTGAATGTTCTTGTTGAAGACTTCAGTAGACTCTTGTAGTCGTACAATTTTCTAGACCCAAATTTTGTGCTGAAAATCATAGATTCACTGAAAATTGCTGAAAATCAAGGTTTTCATGATTTTCAGCACAAAATTTCAGCCAAGAAAGGTTTCATTTAAATTTGAGGGATTTTTCAGTGATCTACAAAATTTGGAACTTTTTTTGGATTTCAGAAAAAGTTTCTAGACTGAAATTTTGTGCTGAAAATCATGAATTCACTGAAAATCGCTAAAAATCAAGGCTTTAATGATTTTCAGCACAAAATTTCAGCCAGGAAAGGTTTTATTGAAATTTGAGGGATTTTTGAGTGATCTATGATCAGAGAGACGCAGAGAAAAAAGCGATTTGGAATATTTTATTTACAGTATTTCATCTACAGTAAACTGACTGATAATCCACGTGGAATTTTTTTTTTTGAATATCTGAAATTTTGGCGCCAAAACCTACAGTAACCTCGCGATTTTTCTGTGATTTACAAAATTTGGAACTTTTTTTGGATAATATTTTCTAGACCCAAATTTTGTGCTGAAAATCATGGATTCACTGAAAATCGCTGAAAATCAAGGATTTCATGATTTTCAGAACAAAATTTCAGCCAAAAAAGGTTTCATTGAAATTTGAGGGATTTTTCAGGGATCTACTGAAATTTGGAACTTTTTTGGATCGAGCGGCTTAGCCGCGAGTGTAAACCGCAAGCTTCCGCGTCAGCGGCAAGGTTCGCGGAATCTTCCGCTTTCCAGAAAGTAACAGTTCTACCCGCGTTTTTTTGTCATGTTATGTTATGTTTTATTCTTCTCCTGTGTATTTGTGTGTTAGGTTGATTTGTTTACTCGGCCGATTTGACACACAACACGCCGGATGCACACAATACAACTTTCTTCTTTCTTATTTTTTGTGTGTCAGGCGCCGAATGGTCAAAGGGAGCAAAAAATGAAGAGAAAAGGGGTCGAACATTTTGTGCTGAAAATCATGAAAGCCTTGATTTTCAGCGATTTTCAGTGAATCTATGATTTTCAGCGCAAAATTTGAGTCTAGAAAATGTTATCCAAAAAAAATTATAGATCTTTCAAAAATCCCTCAAATTTCAATGAAACCTTTCTTGGCTGAAATTTTGTGCTGAAAATCATGGATTCACTGAAAATCGCTGAAAATCAAGGCTTTCAAGATTTTCAGCACAAAATTTCAGCCAAGAACTTTGAGGAATTTTCGAGCGAAGCGAGTGTAAACCGCAAGCTTCCGCGTCAGCGGCACTATCTTCCGCTTTAGCGGCCACGCGGATTGCTATGATATGGATATTTGGCGCCAAAATTTTCACTATAACCTTATTTGGTATCTAAAAATCCCGAATTTGCGGTAGATCAAAACTACAGTACCTTTAGGTTTTTTTGGCGCCAAAAATATCCCTTAGCTTGTTTGGTATCAAAAAATCCCGAATTTCGAACGAAGCGAGTGTAAACCGCAAGCTTCCGCGTAAGCGGCACTATCTCCCGCTTTAGCGGCCACGTGGATAGCTTCACACCTTGAAGTTTTACTGAAATCCACATCACAGCAATCCACGTGGCCGCGTTCGCGGAAGATAGTGCCGCTGACGCGGAAGCTTGCGGTTTACACTCGCTTCGCTCGAAAATTGAAAAATCCTCAAAGTTCTTGGCTGAAATTAGCCTTGATTTTCAGCGATTTTCAGTGAATCCATGATTTTCAGCACAAAATTTCAGTCTAGAAAATGTTATCCAAAAAAAGTTCCAAATTTCATAGATCACTGAAAAATCCCTCAAATTTCAATGAAACCTATCTTGGCTGAAATTTTGTGCTGAAAATCATGAAAGCCTTGATTTTCAGCGTAAAATTCATTTATTACTGTTTCCGACAATAACAATATGGTCGATGTATTTCCGATTCGATACAATCTGCACTTTTTCCATATTTCGAAACTCGTTCAATCATTCCTAATATTTTTATAATATCTGAATTCACCTTAATATTTGCCTCAAAAATCGCTTCACTTGGTTTTTTCGCCAAAACTGTTACTGTATATAATATTGAGGTTTTGTATTGATTTTTATATTGAATTAAAGATGTCACCTTTAAAAATTAGGATTTTTTTTTTGAAATTTTTTTTTTCTAAAAACTCACATTTTCAAATAGCATTTCAATACATTTTCCAGAAAACCCGCTTTCATTCAATTTCAAATTGACCGCTTCAATCACTTTTGATCCAATATTTCTAGCAAATTTTGTGGTGCTGAAAATTTTAAGATTTTGATTTTCTACTGATTTTCTACTGAGAATCAAAAAAAACTTGCTTGTCTGCTTTGAAAGTTTCAAATTGACAGATACAAAATTCTGTAGGAATAGGCAAAGTTTGACAATTTCGAAAAGTTTTCGGCTGGTGTCGAAGAAGTGAATTTCCTTTTTCACCGGGAATGTTTAGCGGTTGAGTTTGAGAAAATCCAGATTTTGATTGGTACTGTAAGATTTTCTAAACTGAAATTTTGTGCTGAAAATCATAGATTCACTGAAAATTGCTGAAAATCAAGGATTTCATGATTTTCAGCACAAAATTTCAGTCAAGAAAGGTTTCATTGAAATTTGAGAGATTTTTGAGAGATCTACAAAATTTGGAATTTTTTTTGGATAAAATTTTCTAGACTGAAATTTTATGCTGAAAATCATAGATTCACTGAAAATCGCTGAAAGTCAAGGATTTCATGATTTTCAGCACAAAATTTCAGTCTAGAAAATGTTATCCAAAAATTTTTGGAATTTTTTTTTTTTTTAGAAATTTTTGGAATTTTTTTTTAATTTTTGGAATTTTTTTTGGATAACATTTTCTAGACTCAAATTTTGCGCTGAAAAATCATGGATTCACTGAAAATCGCTGAAAATCAAGGCTTTCATGATTTTCAGCACAAAATTTCAGCCAAGAAAGGTTTCATTGAAATTTGAGGGATTTTCAGTGATCTTCGAAATTCGGAACTTTTTTTGAATAACATTTTCTAGACTGAAATTTTGTGCTGAAAATCATGGACTCACCCAAAATCGCTGAAAATCAAGGCTTTCATGATTTTCAGCACAAAATTTCAGTCTAGAAAATGTCATAAAAAAATTTTTGGAATTTTTTTTTTTTGAAATTTTTGGAATTTTTTTTTCGATAACATTTTCTATACCCAAATTTCGCGCTGAAACTCATAGATTTACTGAAAATCGCTGAAAACCAAGGCTTTCATGATTTTCAGCACAAAATTCATTGAAAAATACCTTCAAAATATCCAAAAACGTTGCTCTCGTATCATAATGTGTTTGCAAATATCTCGAATTCTCCCGCATAATTTTCAAAATCTCTGTAGTTTCTCGTAATTCTTTTCGGAATCGAAATCACAGTCATCGGATTATTTTTCTCAATTCCTCCCAATTTCGTTTCCAAAATTCCTCCAAATCTCATTCCATGATCAGCCATCAAAAAAACAAAAGATTTCTCGAGTTTTTCACGATTCCGTATCAAATATCTATGAAAATCCCCATCTGCATGGAAAATTGAATTCTGATAATCATGTCCAAGTTCAATAGCCCAAATCCAACTGAATTTTGGAATATTTTTTTGAAAACCTGAATAAGAATTCTGAAATTGTTGGAGATAATCTAAAAGTGTCTGATGATGTTCTCGACAAAAATGTTTCCTCGTCAAATTTTCTGCATATTTTTCATAGGCATTTTGAAATGGTTTCATATAATGATCACTTGGTGGCTGTTTAAATCCCCTGCAATTCGGATAAGTCATAATTCCACCAGCCCAATCTTCAGCCAACATTGTTTTATAACCATATTCCTGGAATTCTTTGAATAAATGAGTTTCGTTGTCTTTAAAAACATCGCAAAAATATTCATCATTCCAATCTTCTTCTTCAATAATTGATTCTTCTTCTTGGAAAAAACTTCGATCTAATTTCAATATCGATTTTCCGAACCATAAAGCAGCACCATTTGGTCGACTATTTTCACCGATTTTATTCATAAATGGAAATTCGACAGCTTTGAAATGATTTTTGAAATATGAAAGAGTTCTTGGTAATGATCGAATTGATTGTGTATATGATAATGAATCAATCAATATTACAACTATGTCGAATTGTTTTAATCCAGAAATATTGATTTTTGGTGGTTTCAATGGGCTGAAAATCAAGGATTTCATGATTTTCAGCACAAAATTTCAGCCTGAGGGATTTTTCAGTCGGAAGATTCCGCGAACCTTGCCGCTGAAGCGGAAGATAGTGCCGCTTCGCGGAAGCTTGCGGGTTACACTCGCGGCTAAGCCGCTCGATCCAAAAAAATTCCAAATTTTGTTAGTAGATCACTGAAAAATCCCTCAAATTTCAATCTTGGCTGAAAAATCGCTGGAAATCAAGGATTTCATGATTTTCAGCACAAAATTTCAGCCAAGAAAGCTTTTTTTACAAAAGTTTTCATAGATCACTGAAAAATCCCTCAAATTTCAATGAAACCTTTCTTGGCTGAAATTTTGTGCTGAAAATCATGAAAGCCTTGATTTTCAGCAATTTTCAGTGAATCTATGATTTTCAGCGCTAAATTTCAGTCTAGAAAAAAAAAAATTTTTTTTTGAAATTTTTTTTTGGATATTATTTTCTAGATTGAAATTTTGCGCTGAAAATCATGAAAGCCTTGATTTTCAGCAATTTTCAGTGAATCCATGATTTTCAGCGCTAAATTTCAGTCTAGAAAAAAAAAAAAAATTTTTTTTGAAATTTTTTTTTTGGATATTATTTTCTAGATTGAAATTTTGCGCTGAAAATCATAGATTCACTGAAAATCGCTGAAAATCAAAGCTTTCATGATTTTCAGCACAAAATTTCAGCCTAGAAAATGTTATCCAAAAAAAAAATTCCAAAATTTTCAAAAAAAAAAAAATCCAAAAATTTCAAAAAAAAATTCCAACAATTTTTGGATAACATTTTCTAGACTCAAATTTTGTGCTGAAAATCATAGATTCACTGAAAATCGAGGCTTTCATGATTTTCAGCGCAAAATTTCAGCCAAGAAAGGTTTTTTGAGGGATTTTTAAGATATACTTTTCTAGACTGAAATTTTGTGCTGAAAATCATGAAATCCTTGATTTTCAGCGATAACTTACGTTTCAATAATCTGACTATGCAACCATCCATAAATATCCGTATCATTTTCATTCGAACAAACAGTTTCCAATATTTCACAATCAATCGGGCCTGTTTTATTAGTCCAATCATCTACTGAATTCTCCGATTCTGATTTGAATCTATGACATCTTGCTCGACATTTTTCTTTTTTTGAAGAAGAAGAAGAAGACCAAGTAGAATTCTTGAGTTCGGTTAAAATTCTGAAGTTCTTGTCGCATTTTTTTCCAATCGAATTCGAATCGGGATCAATGAACTGAAAGTAAAATATTTGGAAATCAAAAAAAATCTGAAGAATTTTTTAATTTTGAAACCAACCTTCATAATTTCATCATCCCATGCATCATATTGTGGAAGATGGCAAATATTCCAATAATCCTGTTCGTTTTCAATTAATTTTTGGATATTTTTTGAATTTTGTTTCAAAAATATTGAAAATAGTGCGAAATAAATGAGAAATACGAAAATAAAAAGAAAAATTTGGATTTTTTTCATTTTTTCAGGAAAATTTGAAGAATATAGTTTGATTTATATTTGTTTTATTCGATTACGAAACAAAAATGTTTGATTTTTTGAAATGGAAAAATTCGGAATTGAAAAATTGTGAAGAAAAAAACCAAAAGTATAAGTAATAAATTTTGAAAATTCCATAGAAACAGAATTTTCCAAACATTCTTTGACCTCAAAAGGAAATTTTGTGCTGAAAATCATGAAAGCTTTGATTTTCAGAGAATCCGATTAATTCCAGCTAAAAATACGGTGAAAAAAATCCACAAACAATCACAGTAAAAAAATTAATTTCAATAAAAAAGGCTTTTTAAATTTTTGGCACACGAAAAACTGCTATAATTACGAATTTCCGTAGATTTTAATACTAATATATGGTGATTTGATACACCAGCGTGCTTCACGTTCTTCAAATTGTTGAAAAACTTCGATTATTCTATTTTTTGCTTGAAAAATATGCCTTCGATTGTATGCATTGATTTCTTTTGTCAAAAATGGACCAAACTTTTCGTAGTTTATACATTTCATGTCAAAAGTTTCTCTCAAACTGATGTTTTTCAAATTCCTCTGAATTTCTCCGTTTTTCAACTTCATCAAATAGATTTCGAAATTGTTTCCTTTGCATAATTCATTGCATTCAATATCAGCAGTTAATGGATCCATTTCCAATAATTGTTCGAAATTAACTACTGCTTCATTGTATAGAAGGATGTGTTTACATCGACGAATCTAAAAAACAAGGCTTTCATGATTTTCAGCATAAAATTTCAGCCAAGAATGGTTTCATTGAAATTTGAGGGATTTTTCAGTGATTTATGAAAAAAATTTTTTTGATAACATTTTCCAGACTGAAATTTTGTGCTGAAAATCATAGATTCACTGAAAATCGCTGAAAATCAAGGTGTTCATGATTTTCAGCATAAAATTTCAGCCAAGAATGGTTTCATTGAAATTTGAGGGATTTTTCAGTGATTTATGAAAAAATTTTTTGGATAACATTTTCCAGACTGAAATTTTGTGCTGAAAATCATAGATTCACTGAAAATCGCTGAAAATCAAGGATTTCATGATTTTCAGCACAAAATTTCAGCCATGAAAGGTTTCATTGAAATTTGAGGGATTTTTCATTGATCTATGAAAATTTGGAACTTTTTTTTGGGTAACATTTTCTAGACTGAAATTTTGTGCTGAAAATCATGGATTTACTGAAAATTGCTGAAAATCAAGGCTTTCATGATTTTCAGCACAAAATTTCAGCCAAGAAGGTTTTTTGAGGGATTTTTCACTTTTCTAGACTGAAATTTTGTGCTGAAAATCATGAAAGCCTTGATTTTCAGCAATTTTCAGTGAATCTATGATTTTCAGCACAAAATTTCAGTCAATAATAACATTTTCTTGACTGAAATTTTGTGCTGAAAATCGCTGAAAATCAAGGCTTTCATGATTTTCAGCACAAAATTTCAGCCAAGAAGGTTTCATTGAAAATTGAGAGATTTTTGAGTGATCTACAAAATTTGGAACTTTTTTTTTGGGTAACATTTTCTAGACATCTCATAAATCTTACCGTATTCCAGTCAATATACCCAAGTCCTAACCAATCGAAATACTCTCCCCCACATTGATCGTCGATTTCGATTTTATCAAGATTTCGGAAGTTGCTAATATCGATATCGCGAAGACGATATGCATAAGCCTGGAAATATTGATTTTCAGCGATTTTCAGTGAATCCATGATTTTCAGCACAAAATTTCAGTCTAGAAAATGTTATTCAAACTGAAAAATCCCTCAAAAAACCTTTCTTGGCTAAAATGTTATGCTGAAAATCACGAAATCTTTGATTTTCATCGATTTTTCAATAAAAAAAACTAACCCCATAATAAAAATATTTAACAGCTCTTCCATATTTTGCAATATAATTATTCAAATATTTAATTCGAACATCTTCAGGTTTTCCATCAACAACTTCAGTCCATTTCACAATTGCCTCTCCATTTTTCGAAATTTTATACAAAACAATAGTCTGATCCTCATATTTCTCGATGAATTTCAGCCAAAAATCATTCTCAGGTTTGTCGGTGAATGCGAATTGTATTTTTGGCGTTTCGTCTTCTCCGTTCACTTCGATTTTATACAAATAATTCTCCGATCTTAGTGCTTGATTTTCCGATTTTTTCGAGCATTGTGAGAATCGCCATCTAGTTTTAAGCTCAATTTTATTCGCTACAATTTGTTGAATTTCTGGTGGTAATTGTGGCCAGCAAGTGAATTTATCCAATTTTTTGAACACTTCGATGGCTGCAAAAATACTTTTTTTTCAAGTTTAAACTAGACTATAGTTTTAAAAAAACCAACTTTCAATTTTCAGAACAAAATCTCGATCAAAAGTCACCAAATATCGCCGATCTTCTGATTGAAAATTGATCCGAATTCCATCAACACCTTCACAAATCCCACTAAAAATCGCATGATCCAGATTCGTCTTCGAAATTTCCACAAAATCCACACAAATTTCGCCATTTTTCAACTTATTCAAATATTTTTTGCAATTCGCCTCATTCAAATCCAGAATCTCATCGAAACTCCCATTTTTTCCTTGGAAATTGAACAAATCTTCTGAGCTGAAGCCGATTTTCGGTAATTTGATTGAATCGATTTTCAAGAGCTGCAAAAAAAGTTCAAATTTTGAACATTCAAAAATTGCGTGGCCTAGGATTTTCAAAAGTTCGGCCACGTGGTTTTCAAGCAGGAAAAGTTGAATTTTCAGATTATCGCGCTGAAAAACCACGTGGCCGAACTTTTGAAAAACCTAGGCCACGTGGTTTCTACATAGGCTCAAAAATTGGAGTTTTCAAATTTTTTTTCAAATACGTGGCCGAACTTCTGGAGATTCTAGGCCACGTGACTTTTCAAGCAGGAAATATTGAAAATTCAAATATTCAGAATTGTTGGCGCTAAAAATTGAGGTGGCCTAGGTTTTGCAAAAGTTCGGCCAAAAAGAAAAAAAAAAGTTGAATTTTCAGATTATCGCGCTGAAAAACCACGTGGCCGAACTTTTGAAAAACCTAGGTCACCTCAATATTTGCCGCTAAAATTTTTATTTTGAAAAAAAAGCACACAAACCTGGTTTTCATCCAAAAATGGTAAATCTTCAATGTTTTCCCATTCTTTGGGTGTTTTGCCAATTTCGATTTTTTTCAAATTATCCAAATGTCGCAGGGTGAAATCGAACCTTTCTGAGCACTGAAAAAAATGAACATTTTTGATTAGAGACAATGGGAAATTGAGAGAGAGCGCAGACAACAAAATCTTGTTTTTCTCTGCACTCTCTCGATTTCGCGTTATGTCTAGAGCTCTCAAAACTCACATTGAACCGGAAAAATTGAAGTTGTTTTCTATAAATTTCCAAATAATATCTGAGATATCGTAATCTGACTTCTTGATTCTCTCCAGTTTCAAGTTTTGTCCAGATTACAGTATTCTTTCCGGATTTCAAGCTGAAAATTGGGATTTTTGAATTTTTTTTTTTAAAGTTTTGAATTTGCAAATTTTCGCGCTCAGAAACCACGTTACCTAGAATTTCCAGAAGTTTGGCCACGTGGTTTCTAGGCGGAACATTCTGATTTTTGAATTTTTCAAAAAAATTTAAAAACTCCAATTTTTGAGCCTAGAAACCAGGTGACCTAGGATTTTGAAAAGTTCGGCCACGTGTTTTCAAGGCGCGAAAATTTTGATTTTTGATTTTTTACGAAAATTTGAATTTTCAAATTTTTCCGCTTGAAAAATGACGTGGCCTAACATTCGGAAAAGCTAGGCCACGTGGTTTTAAAGCGAAAATTTGGATTTTTTGAATTTTTCACGAAAACTTGAATTTTCAAATTTTCGCGCTCAGAAACCACGTGGCCTAGAATTTCCAGAAGTTCGGCCACTTGGTTTCAAGGCGCGAAAATTTGGATTTTTGAATTCATCCCAATAAAATTCGAAAACTTACCAACTACAAACTACAATAGTTTGATTCGAATTCGTAAACCACTCAAAATCCAGCCAAAATCCATTTTCTTCTTCATCAAACATAAATTTCAACCTCGAATCATAACCACTTTCATTTTCATCAATCGACAATCCATAAATAAAAAATCGCGATTTTTTCGCATCCAATTCACACAATTTGGAGCATCTCGTGAAAATGCACCGAGTTTTTGGGTCCATTTTATCGATTATTGATTCGCGTGCTTTTGTGGGGATTTTGAACCAGCTGAATTTTGAAGGCGACATTTTTCCTTAAAAAATCTTTAAAAAATGACATTTTATTTGCCACGTTATTTATTTTTTCACGTTTTCACGTGAAAAAAATTTAAAAAAAAGATATTTTTCACAAAATTTTCTAGAAAATTTGTCTGAAAAAATTAAACTAAAGAAATCCACAAAAAAAATCATATATTTTTCCAACAACAAAAAAAACACCTAAACTATAGTCTAGTTTGAGCTAGACTAGACTATAGTCTAGTATAAATCCAGACAGCATCGATTCCTTCGCCGATTTGAGATTGCTGAAATTTGAAAATTTGAATTTTCAAATTTTCCCGCCTAGAAAAACCAGGTGGCCTAGGAAATTTTCGCGTGGCCGAACTTTTTCTAGGCCATTTCTTTGCCACTCACCAATTTCCACGCGTCATTTTCCGGAAGCGGAAAGCGGCAAGCCAGCAAATTTGTATTTGAGCGCATTTCGCTCAATTTCGGCACCAAATCGCCCATCTGCAAAAAATTTATTGATTTTTTAAAAAAATTTTTTTTGCTCACCAAACTTTCGGCTCCAAAAATCACAGCAGTTTCGTAGGGTTGCAGGTCGGTTTTGAAGATGTTTTTGCGGAAAAATCTGGAAAAATTTGAATTTTTTGGGGCCAAAAACCACGTGGCCGAACTTTTGCGAAAACTCGGCCATGTGATTTTTCTAGCGGGGAAAATTAGAAAATTCAAAAAATCTAGATTTTCGCGCCTAGAAACCACGTGGCCGAACTTTTGCCAAAACTAGGCCACGTGGTTTTTGAAGCGGGAAAAATTGAAAATTCAAAAATCTAGATTTTCGCGCCTTGAAACCACGTGGCCGAACTTTTGCAAAAACTAGGTCACGTGATTTTTCTAGCGGGGAAAATTAGAAAATTCAAAAATCTAGATTTTTGCGCCTAGAAACCACGTGGCCGAACTTTTGCAAAAACTAGGCCACGTGATTTTTCTAGGCGCGAAAATTTGAAAATTCAAAAATCTAGACTTTCGCGCTTAGAAACCACGTGGCCGAACTTTTGCGAAAACTAGGCCACGTGATTTTTCTAGCGGGGAAAATTTGGAAATTCAAAACTCTAGATTTTCGCGCCTAGAAACCACGTGGCCGAACTTTTGCAAGAACTAGGCCACCCTCATTTTTGGCCGCCAGAAATTTCAAATTCAAAATTTAATTTCAGGATTGTCAAGAGGAATTGTATTAGACTATAGTTTAGCTTAAACTAGACTATAGTCTAGGCCAGAAATAGTGTAGTTTATGTGAAAAATTTGCATTTTGGAGGTCAGAAACCACGTGGCCGAACTTTTGCAAAAACTAGGTCACGTGGTTTTTCTAGGCGCGAAAATTTGAAAATTCAAAGTTTCTGAAAAAAATTCAAAACTCTAGATTTTCGCGCCCAAAAACCACGTGGCCTAATTTTTGCAAAAACTAGGCCACCCCGTAAAAACTAACCTGGCCTCTTTTCTCAATCCATCGCGAATCGATCGATATTTCGAATAGGCGACCAAAATCGAATTTAGCTCAACTCCATGACTCAAATAACCTTCGCGAGCACATTGTAGAACCTGAAAAATTGAAAATTTCAGATTTTCAGGTTTTTTTGGGCTGAAAATTGCGAATTTTCACCCATTTTTACCCAAAAATGACCGGATTTTCGAGTGATTTATTTTCAAAAAATATTTTTTCAAAAAAAATACTGACTTAGGGGAATTACAGGTAAAGCTGCTGACAACCAAGAAAAAAAATAGAAAAATTACAGAAAAAAACATTTTTTGCAAGTAGAATTGGCCAGGTTTTGTGACTACAAGTGAACATTTTGGGGAATAAAAAATATGAGAAAAATGGGGAAAAAAATGGGGGAGGAAAAGGGTTTTTTGGGGTTAATATGAGCAATGCTACAAAAAAATTTCAGGAAATTTTTTGGTCAATTTTCGGAGGAAATTTGTATTAGTAAAAAGTTTAACATGAGCAATGAAATTTCCCACAAAATTTCTTGGAAAAATCCAAAAATTGTCTAATATGAGCAATGTGTCTCATAGTTTTTCAAGAAAAATGTGAATTTTCTTTTGAAAATTTGCTTAACATGAGCAATCCTGTATTTTCTGGTGAAAATTTCCAAATTTTCAATTGAAATTCGCATTTTCTGGATAATATGGGCAATTCTTCACATTTTCCACTAGAAATGCTCAAATTTAACATGAGCAATGCTAAATTTCCTTCAAAAAATCCCAAATTTTCTGCAGAAAATCCCAAATTTTGAGGAAAATCTCAAATTCTCAAAAATTTTTGTAGAAAATCTCAAATTTCACTCGAAAATTGGAATTTTCTCGAAAATTCCTCTAAAAATCTCAAATTTAACATGAGCAATGCTAAATTTCGCTCGAAAAATGGAATTTTTCTTAAAATTCCTTCAAAAAATCTCAAATTTCGCTCGAAAAATGGAATTTTACTCAGAAATCCTCCAAAAATCCCAAATTTTCTATAGAAAATCTCAAATTTCCTGTAGAAAATCTCAAAATTCCTTCAAAAATCCCAAATTTTCTGTAGAAAATCTCAAATTTAACATGAGCAATGTTAAATTTTACTGGAAATTAGAATTTTTCGTAGAAAATTCCAAATTTCCCGCTCCAAGAGCTAATATGAGCAATTTTTCACATTTTCCACCAGAAAATCTCAAATTTCACTGAAAATTCAGAATTTTTCTCGAAAATCCTTCAAAAATCCCAAATTTTTTAACATGAGCAATGCTAAATTTCGCTCGAAAAATGGAATTTTTCTTAAAAATCCTCCAAAAATCCCAAATTTTCTATAGAAAATCTCAAATTTTCTGTAGAAAATCTCAAATTTCGCTCGAAAAATGGAATTTTACTCAAAAATCCTCCAAAAATCCCAAATTTTCTATAGAAAATCTCAAATTTTCTGTAGAAAATCTCAAAATTCCTTAAAAATCCAAAATTTTTTTCGTAGAAAATCTCAAATTTAACATGAGCAATGTTAAATTTCGCTCGAAAAATGGAATTTTACTCAAAAAATCCTCCAAAAATCCCAAATTTTCTGTAGAAAATCTCAAAATTTCTTCAAAAATCTCAAATTTCCTGTAGAAAATCTCAAAATTTCTTCAAAAAATCTCAAATTTCCTGTAGAAAATCTCAAATTTAACATGAGCAATGTTAAATTTGATTGAAAATTCAGAATTTTTTTCGAAAATTCCTTAAAAATCCAAAATTTTTTTCGTAGAAAATCTCAAATTTAACATGAGCAATGTTAAATTTGATTGAAAATTCAGAATTTTTCTCAAAATTCCTTCAAAAATCCCAAATTTTCTGTAGAAAATCTCAAATTTAACATGAGCAATGCTAAAATTCCTTCAAAAAATGGAATTTTTCTCAAAAAATACCTAATTTTCAATAGAAAATCTCAAATTTCCCGCTCCAAAACCCTCCCTCCCCCTTTCTAGAAAATAACTAAAAAAAATAAATCTCTATCTACATCTCTCTCAAGAAGTACACTTCTTCTTCTAATGCGACGTTTCAACAAGTGCAGTCGCCATCGGCGCCGGCGTAATCAATCGATTAAATTTCGTCTTTTTCAGCAATGTCCTCGTCGATTTCGCCGCCTTCTTCTGTTTTTTCACCCTTTCCATCAAATCCACTCCACGATGTGTCACTCCATCCATTTGATCCATTTTCGACACCAAACTCTCCAAATCTCCTTTTCGAATCGGTTTCACTGAGATATCCCTAACCGCTCGAAATTGCCCACAATTATTCACATGTTCGTTTTCCAATCGGAAATAATTCCAAATAAATCTTCTGAAGACCTCAAAAGGTGCCGTAATTGTAGTAAGTTGATCTCCATCTAAAGTCCAGGCTTCTCCCAGGGATACATTAAGTACCCAACTAAGTCGCAGCACAAAATCCTGAGCAATAGCAGCATAATAATACCATTTGCTCCCATAAATCATCTCCTCTCGCAAAAAAATCACATCTTTTGGCGCCCTGGGGTCAATCAATCCCCAATCCATAAAAATATCCCACAAAAACGTATAGGTAAAGCTCATGATATAGCTCAGCACCCAAATATAATAAAATGGTGACGTCACATCTTGGTTCTTGTCGTTGGATTTGAAGAAGGCGCCGCAGGCGACAACAAGGAATGTCGTGGAATATTTGCCGGCGTTGACGAGATGCGGATGCACGCGTTTGGTGTCGTGATATCGCCGCAAGCATTGGAGGAAGCGCACCATTGCGGGGATGATTGAGACGAAGCTTCGGACGCCTGCGGCACTCATACACATGTCTTTGCCGGTTGCAATGTCTACATATCCCCAGGGGACACTTGATGTTGTTGTGTTGATGGTTTTGACCTGGAAGATTGTTTTTATTCAAAATTTAGTATGAGCAATGCTATTTTAGACTTAAAACTATCAATTTTTCTATAGAATCTACATATAATTAATGGGAAATTTTAAGTGAAAAATTGTTTTTATTCAAAAGTTTAATATGAGCAATGTTCGATTTTATATTGGAATTTATCGATTCTTTCTAATTAATGCTGAAAATCACGTGGCCTAAGATTATCAAAAGTTCGGCCACGTGTTCTCTCAGCGCGAAAATTTGAATTTTCAAATTTTCCTGCTTGAAAAGTCACATGGATCCTCACGTGGCCTAGGATTCTCAAAATTTAGGCCAGCAATTTTTCTAGCGGGAAAAATTGAAATTTTTGAAAAATTTAATGAAGCATTGCTCATATTAGAAATTTTGGTCTTAAATTCACATAGATTTTTCTCGTTAATTTTTTTAGCATTGCTCATATTATAAAGTTAAATTTTTTCCGCCTCAAAATAAAATTATAACATGAGCAATGTCATCAAATTTCCAAGAAAAATCCACGTAAAAAATTATTTTAATATGAGCAATGGCTGAAATTTGTCAACGTTTCAAAATTTTAGCGGGAAAAAGTCTAATTTCAAATTTTCCCGCTAGAAAATCGGCACGTGGCCTAACTTTCGAAAATCCTAGGCCACAAGGTTTTCAGCGGGAAAATTTGAAAATTTAGAATTTAACATGAGCAATGCTACCAATTTTCCAAGAAAAAAACCATATGAGTTTAAGGCCAAAATTTCTAATATGAGCAATGCTTCAAATTTCTCAATTTTTGATCTGATTTGAATTTTGAAAATACATTTTTGAGTACAAATTCAAAAAAAATATATTTTTTCCTCAAAATTCCCCTCAAAACCTCACCTGCAAATCAAAATTCGAATAATCCACTTCAGTCGAATAGAAGCAAATAAAATATTGAAAATCCAAAAACGCAGTGGTCAGCGAATTCATCTGATCTCCCAGCCAAAAATCAGTGAAAGTCACAAAATGAAAAGGCGATGTGAAACAATTATAGCAATGTTTAAGCAGCCAAAATCTCGAATTCCTGTGAAAAATCGAATCGGGTTTGGCAATCGGGTTAAACAACATAATCGCACAAATAACCATGAGTGCTAGTGGCGGAAGAAATGGCGGAATATGCAAAAGATGCGCGTAGAGATAGGCTAACACTGAAAGTGACCAAAGCATAATTAAAAATGAGGCGATTTGCATGAGTGTCTGATAGGATAGATGATTTCGTGGGTCGACTTCGAAGATCAGCACATGATTCACACCGGCTCCAGCCCAACCAGCCATATTGATGCCGCAGAGGAAGAGTGAGAAGAAGACGAGGAGAGGACCGCGGAAGAGGCGGACGGCCACCCATTTTGGCTCGTTTTGACGGGGTGTTGCTGCCCACCAGGAGAGGAGAATTGCCAGGAGAAGGACGATGCTGGCGCCGATGAAGAGGCCTAGCGAGAAGGTTGTGATGGGTTTTTGTTTTTCGGAGAGTGGGGGGACCTGGAAATATGGATAGATTGAGAGGAGGCTGAAGCATAGTGATCCGCGTCAGCGGCACTATCTTTCGCGTAAGCGGTCACGTGGATTTCTATGAGCCCATGCCACGTCATAGCAATCCGCGTGGCCGCTGACGCGGAATCTTGCGGTTTACACTCGCTTCGCTCGAAAATTTGGGTTTTTTGGGTCTAAATGAGCCTAGAGCCTGAAAACCTGGGATTTTTCAGGCCTAAATAAGCCCAGAATCTAGATTTGAGTCAAGTCTAGACTTTCAGTTATCCGCGTGGCCGCTGAAGCGGAAGATAGTGCCGCTGGACGCGGAAGCTTGCGGTTTACACTCGCTTCGCTCGACCCTAGCGCTGTGCGCGAGTGTAGACCGCAAGATTCCGCGTAAGCGGCACTATCTTCCGCTTCAGCGGCCCCACGTGGATTTCTATGATCCCTTGCCACGCCATAGCAAATCCGCGTGGCCGCTAAAGCGGAAGATAGTGCCGCTGGACGCGGAAGCTTGCGGTTTACACTCGCTTCGCTCGCGGATCGTGAAAAATTCCAAATTTTCACTGTTTTCAAAATTTCTGCCTTTAAATTTTCTTAACATGAGCAATGACTGAAAAATCACAGATAAAAAACTAAGATTTTAAGATGAGCAATGTCTGTGTAAAATATGAAGAATTGCTCATGTTAGCTAGAAAATTTATATTTTTCACGAAAATTGGAGCATTGCTCAGATTAGTGGCATTTTTGAAAGAATTTTGAGACATTCCAATTTTTGCAGTGAAATTTGGCATTGCTCATGTTAAGTTAGAGATTTTCTAGTGGAAAATGTGAAAAATTGCTCATATTAGCGGGAAATTTGGGAGTTTTGAGAACAATTCCAATTTTTCAATGAAATTCAGCATTTCTCATGTCAAATTTGGAGATTTTTAAGCTACAAAATCCACGTGGCAATTTTTTCTAAAATTTTGTAGCATTGCTCAGGTTAGACTTCAGCAATTCCAAATTTTCTCTATAAAATTGCAGGCATTGCTCATCTTAAAATTCGTGATTTTATGATTCTTCAGCCATTGCTCATGTTAAATTTTAATTTCAGGAAAATTTTGTTATTTTTTGAAAAAATCCAAAAAAAAATTTGTTAGAAGAAAATTGTTTCACAAAACGTGCGTGAAATGTGGAAATCCAAAAATTTTCGGTCATTTTTAGAATTTCTTCGTCTAGAAAAAAAAATGGGCTCATGTTTGACTAGAGAGGAAACCAAAACAATAAAACTAGAGTCTAGTCCAAACAATGAAGAAATCAAATCTGGTACAAAAACTGAAGAAACAAAACTAGAGTCTAGTTCAAAAATCGAAGAAGAAATCGAATCTGGCACAAAAATTGCTGAAGAAACAAAACTAGAGTCTAGTCCGAAAAATGAAGAAGAAATGAAACTAAAAGGAACTGAATGGCTCTATTTACCATTCGAAATGCGCCAAAATATCATCGATTTTATGAATCTTGAAACAAGAGCAAGACTTGCAAAATGCTCAAAAGATTGTTGCGACGAAGTTATGCTAAGTCGAGATTTCGCTGACGGAATTGAAATAATGAGTTTTGGAGAGAAAGGAGAAGGAGAAGATCGGAGAATTTCGATAACTTTGGATACAGAAGGTGATGAAGAATGGTCATTTGATATAACCGAAGTTGCGGCTGGGATTTGTCAAGTTAAGTGGGTGATGAGTGGGCAAATAATTTCGATGACAACTTTTGAGAATCATGATCTGATGGATGTTGTTTTGATTTACTTCAATTATATTTTGCAGAAGAATTCGAGAAGTTTGAGCACTATTGATATTGATATTGTGAGTTGAACTTTGAGAGAATAAAAATGTAGTTTTCATTGATTTTCAGCGGAAAAATATATGTTTTCTAGTGATTTTCGCGTCTTAACTTTAACATGAGCAATAGCTGAAAAATTACGGAAAACAAAGAGTTTAGTATGAGCAATGCCATTTTTTGCGAAATTGATTTCTTAGGAAAAATTTAAAAAAAAAACAGATTTCTTAGGAAAAATTATAATATGAGCAATAATTCAGAATTTTGAATTTGCCGGCGATTCGTTTTCGCGCTTTGAAATCACGCGGCCGAACTTTTGAAAAACTCGGCCATCTCGATTTTTGGCGCCGAAATCCAGCAAATTCAAAATTTTGAAGATTTAACAATTTCAAAATTCCACATTAAGCATTGCTCATACTAAACTCCTTGTTTTCCCTAATTTTTCAGCTATTGCTCATGTTAAAGTTAAGACGCGAAAATCACTAGAAAACATATATTTTTCGAAAATCTAGCAGATTTTCTTTTTTTTTTACATCAAAATCTGCTGAAAACTGAATTTTTCATGAAAAAATGTATTTTTCAGGACGATTTTCCATATGATCGAACCAATATGAACAACTTAAAAACTAGAAATCCAGTAGAATTGACGCTTTTAACAAATAAAAATGGAATTGATCCAATTTCAAGTGGATTTGTTGATTTCGAACATCTTAGTCGTTTTCAATCAGTCTTCGAAATTCCGAATATTCGACTAGAAGATCTATCCAAAATCAAATGCAGATTTCAAAGTTATACAAATCCGATGTTTATGCTGAATGAATTCGACGATTTTTTGCGGCGTTGTTTAGTTGAAGAGGAATTTGATGAAAATGTGAAAGAGATTGAATTCAATAAAAAAGCTTTTGAGATTTATGAAACGAAATCTGAGGAATTTCGAGATATGATTGAGAAATATATGGATGTTCGAAGAGTAAGGTTGAGAAATGACGGAAGATTAAAATATGTTCAATTTGTGCGAGAATCGAAAGCGAAACGAAAATATGTTTTGACTTTGGAAAAACACTCTTTCAAACTTAGAATCTCTCGAATTTCCGAATAAAAATTGAATATTGTTTTTTTTTATCAAAATTTGCCTCAGAAATTGAAGGGACTTCTTCTAGTTTCAATTTCAGGCACCCAAACATTTACAATTAGAAGCCCGATTTTTCGAGATTTTCAGAATTTCAGGGTATGTTTTAACTGAAAAATTGAATTTTCAAGCAAAAATTTTGGCGCGAAAAATTCAAATTTCAAAATTAACCTAATTTTGAGCTTGAAAAAATGAAGGGAACTTCATTTTAGACAGGTCAAATTTGAAAAAAAATCAAAATTGAGCTTCAAAAAATCCAGGAGATTAATTTTCAGGCTGAAAAATATTTTATTTTAAATTTATGTCTAAATTCAGAAATTCAGGTCAATTTTTAACTGAAAAATTGAATTTTCAAGCAAAAAATTTCGGCGCCAAAAATTCAAATTTGAAGATTAACCTAAAATTAAGCTTCAAAAATTCAGAAGCTCAATTTTCAGGCTGAAAAATATTTTGTTTTAAATTTATGGCAAAATTCAGAATTTCAGGTCAATTTTTAACTGAAAAATTGAATTTTGAAACCAAAATTTTGGCGCGAAAATTCAAGTTTAAAAATTAACCTAAAATTGAGCTTCAAAAATTCAGAAGCCCGATTTTTCGAGATTTTCAAGCTGACAACGAATTTTTATTTTAAATTTAGGTCAAAATTCAGAAATTCAGGTTTAGCCACAAAAATTCAGGATTTCGTCTAGTTCTCATTTTTGGCGCCAAAAATTCAAATTTAAAAATTAACAATTGTTTTTGGTCAAAATTCAGAAATTCTGGAATTTTAGCGTTAAAGCTAGCGTTTGGCACCAAAAAATTCAGATTTTGAGCACCAAAAATGTCAATTTTACCCAATTTTCAATCCCAAAAGCCAACCTTCAATCTCTTCATTCCAGCCTGTCGATTTCCCGCTTCTAGCTCATTAATAACACTCGTTTCCACATTCGTAATCAACGTCTCAATTTCTCGATTCAAGAAAAAGCTGGACTTCTCCACCTTATTAATCCGCCAATCCAATCCTTTCTCATTCCCCGTCAATTTATCGTGCTTCTTCAAAATCTTCCTAAAACCAGTTCCATTCAATTGCTGATAATTCTGCACCAAAACAAGGCCCAAATAGAATTCCGAAAACGCCAATTTCAATTGTTGCTCATTCCTCGTAGCCTCCTTATGCATTTTGTCCTTGGGCCCAAATCTGAGCCGCTTCTTCGGCTCATTTCTCGATTGCAACACATCTTTGTAGGTTTGAAGTTCGGTCTGGAGTTCGTGATATTTGCCTTGGGCTTCGGCGATTTTTTGCGAGAAGAATAGATTGATTTTGGTTAATTCTTGATCGCATTCATTGAAGAATTTCTCGTCGAGCCGTGAAATGTGCTCTTCTCTTCTATCATCATCAGCTGGAACTTCCATCATATCAGAATACAATAAATTCTTCATTCTCTCATAGTCAATGTATTGTTTTCGCCATTCCGGTGTCAAATGTGACGCTAATTGCTCACCGAACTTCATTTTTGGGCACTTTCACAGCCTGAAAATCCAAAAAAAATCCCCTAAATCACTCACAACTCTCCCATCTCCCGATCCCAAATCAATAAGTGTGTTGTTCCGCGAGTTTCCGGAAGCTCCGCGAGCTTCCGCGACGCGCGACAACGCTCGCGATACATTCGCCAGCTGTGCGTCGGTCGCCGGAACGTAGGGAATGCAGACGCGGCGGAGCGCCGGCGCGACAAATGGGATGGCGACGGCGGAAATCGCGAGACCTATGCCGCCCGCGACACCCGCGATTATTAGACCTTTGTTTAGCGAGGTGGCGGAAGCGGAAGCGGACGCGGAAGAAGCGGTTTCGATGCTGCTCACTGGAAACGGGCACACTTATTGATTTGGTTAGTTTTTAAAGGTGCATGGGGTGGAAAATCGATATTTTTGAGGGGGAAATTTGAATCGTTTTGAGACCAAATTTTTTAAAAAATCTTCACATTTTTCGCGCCAATTTTGCTTCAAAAACTAAAAATTTCGATTTTTTCCTATTTTTTGACATTTTTTCATTGAAACATATTTTTGAGGGGAAAAATGGTCAAAAATAGGGAAAATATAGTTTTTCAACATTTTCTGCTCTTTTTTTCGACTTGAAATTCAATTTCCACCCGAAAAATCGATTTTCCCCCGTTTCTTCGCAAAAAAAACTCACTTTTTCTCCAGAATTTCCAGAATTTCCTCGCAAAAAATCAATAAATCAATGACGATTCGATCTATATTACCTGCAAAAACCAAAAAATATGCAAATTCAGCCCGAAAAACTTGGGGGAGAGAGAGAAAAACCAAAAATTGGCTCATCAACAAAAAGTGCGTCAGCGCGCGCACTGGAAATGCGTCAATAGTGTGCGTCTGGCGCACTTCCAGTGCATTTTTTCATTTTTTTTTAATTTTTGCGCGGGATTTGGGATTTTCCGGGTTTCCCGGGTGTTTTTGGTGTGAAATCGTCTGAAAATAAGTGCAGGATTGTTAATTTCACCCTGGGAACCCATGAGAATTCGTTGAAATCCCCAAAAAATCACATTTTTGTTTAGAAATGTTGTCTCGATCACTTCGCTCTGCCTCAAGAATTGTGCGCTGCTATTCACAAGCCGCCGGACTTCCGCTAAGTGAAGGAGCTCCAGCAAACTTGCCTTCGTCTGAAGATCGTCAAATTTCACCGAAAATTGCGGGTTTGGTTGATGAAATTGCAAGTTTGTCGCTTTTAGATGTGAGTTTTCCAAGGTTTTTGGAAAATCGTGGCTTCACCAACATTTTCCAGGTCTCCGATCTCAACTGGGCTCTCAAAAAACGTCTCAACATCCCCGATCAACCATTAATGTCAGCCGCAGCGTTCGCAATGCCTGCCGCAGCCGCCGCACCAACCGCCGCAGCTGCAGAAGAAGCCGCCTCCGATGTGCCGCAAAAAATGACGTTCACCGTGAAATTGACGAAATTCGACGACACCAAGAAGATCGCAATCATCAAAGAGATTCGTAACTGTGTGCCGGGTTTGAATTTGGTGCAAGCCAAGAAGTTTGTCGAAACCGCGCCGGTTAATGTGAAAGAGGATTTGGGTAAGGCAGAAGCCGAAGAATTGAAGAGTCTTTTGGAGAAGGCTGGAGCTACTATTGAGATTGTCTAGATTTTTAGGATTAGGATTGTTTTTTATAGTGTTGTTGATTTTTGTTTTTTTCTTTTTTTCACAATAAGAACGATTATTTATTCACAAAATACCCGAAAAATTAAAATCATCACAAAGTCTTATTCAATCCAGCCATACCAAAAACTTTCACCGTCATTCCAAATTGCATCACTCGCATATCTTTAAAGGAACATTGCCCAAAACTAATCGCATGATCCGATATTTTTCCACTATGCGAATCCGATTTTCTTCCAAAACCAAAAATCCAAGGATTTGAGGGAGGATTTATGATGTTCATTGGGATTTGATCGTTGAATAATCGATTTTTATCTTCGTCCACAGGGTCGATGATTTCAACGTGATGGGATTGTGAGCAAGAATAAAGGGAGTGTTCAGAAGATCTGGGGAAGAAGAATCCCCGGCAAAGGCTTAAACTATCGATCGCGTTATTTGTAAAAACCACTCCTCCTCGAATGGCAATCTTGCGCGTCGCTCCGGAAAACGGAAAAATCCAACTTCCCGCATCCTTAACTCTCCCAAAAATCATTGACCTCGACGCATCAAACTTGGCCAAAACCTTGCGAAGATGCGGAACAATCAAATAATTCTGATCATCTCCGATAAACGTCCATTGCGCTGGAAGTTTTGACGAGAATTCCATCACATGTTGATAGAAATCCCAATAGAAATGATTGGAGCTCGTCGAGATTGGCACTAGTTGAAGTGCACTTTTGGATTTCCACTTTTTCGCGAATTTTTCGTTGTTGGTGAAGTAGATTGTCTCATTGCAAAGCTTTGTATAACCATCGTCCAAGGTTTCGACGATTTTTTCGAATTTCGCGGCTTTTGGGTGGATTATAATTACACAGCGTAGATTGAAAGTGTCGCCAAAATTGCTCGTATCATCTGAAAACACCAAAATTCAATTTTCGGCTTGGAAAACCCTTGGAAAACCTTTCGGGCGGTGCAAAAATTTAAAAAAAAACAAAAAGAAGTCCGAGAGAACTACACGAAACCCCAATCGCTTCAAGATATCTGCTCGGAAAATCGATGTGCCTTTAAAATGTATTTTCATTTTTCGGCCTAAAATCGGGGTTTTTATCGTTAAAAACCCACCATGATGTGTTATATGAATATGCTCGATTGCCTCAATCTCATAATCGGTCAAAATGATCAAGCCAAATAGATATCCCAGCGAAATTCCGAAGAGGATCAGGAAAATTGTGTCGCTAGAAGAAAATTTTTGAGAAATGATGTTTTTTTCATTTTAATTTTGAATTTGGCGCGTGAAAATTAGCGGAATATTCATTTTTAAAGTGATTTCTAGGGGGAAAACGCTTTTTTGATGGAAAGTGAGTGAAAATTTGAATTCTAGAATTTCCCGGGGTGCAATTTCGGCGCAAAAATGTTGAATTGAATTTTTTGAACTGGTTTTCTCCAATTTCGGCTCAAAATCTCTGAAATTTGGTGTGAAATTCAATTTTTCAAAGCAAAATTAGGAAATATTCGAATTCTTGACCTTAAAATTAGTCATTTTCAACCAAATTCACCCTAATTTTGAGTGAAAATGACTATTTTTTAAAGTTGAAAATGGAAAAATTCAAGAATTTTCAATTTTTACAATGAAAATTGAATTTCACAGTAAAAATTTGATTTTTTCTTCAAAAATTATGAATTTTTGGCCAAAAATCATGAAATTTTCGCTATTTTCCAAAAAATTTCACCCCAAATCCCTTACCGTAATCCGCGATTCCTCCAATTCCAGCAAAATTTCAGCATTTCTCCATTATTCCTGAAAATTTCCCAATTTTCTTTCAATAAAAGTCGAAATCGACCAAATTTTCTCTTTTTGATTGGTCACTTTCTATCTCTGCGTCTCTTCTCTCTCGCCCGGCGCGCAAGAAGGTAAACAATTGACCCAGAAATCATAACTATTCAATTTTCGCCCAACCAAAAAAAAAACTTTAGAAACTAGAATTTTTCATTAATTAAAGAAAAAAGAAAAATAACAATTGATACAGAAAAACCCTTTTTTGTGTAGAAAATACGCCGAAACAACGAAAAATCTCTTGATTTCCCAAAAAAAAATAGAAAAAGCGGGGGACAAGGCACAATATTTTTGAAAATATATAAAATATAAGGGGGAGATCTTGGAGCAAATTTTTTGGAGGGGGGAGTTAGGGAAACTAAATTTTACAAAAAAAAGGGGGAATTTTCCAAGAAAAACCTGAAAAAATGGCTGAAAATTTAAGTCTAAATCAATATTTTGTAATAAAATGCATATTTTTTGAATTTAGACTCGAAAAATATGCATTTTCTTACAAAATATTGATCTAGGCTTAGATTTTCAGCCATTTTTCATGTTTTTCTTGAAAAATATCACCTTTCAAAAATAACACTAAATACGCTAAATCTAACTTATGGCTTAGGCGATGAGCAGTAGAACCAAAGTGATGTCATCGGGTTTTCCGCCTGGAGCCGAGAAGCCGTGCTCTTTGGCTTTCATGGCGAATGGTGAATTGTGATTTGAGTCGAAGGCGAGGCGACGGGCGGTGAGAGCCAATGAGTTGCACACCTGAAATTTGGGATTTTTTGAGTTTAAAGAAGCCCTGAACTTCGAGTTTGGGCTGAAAATTGCTAGATTTTCGAATCTAGGCTTGTTTAGATTCAAAAAATCGAGTTTTTTGAGCCTAAACAAGCCTAGGCTCGAAAAATGCACATTTTTGTGCTGAAAATCGAATTCAGGCTTGAAATTCTTGGATTTTCCGGGTCTAGGCTTGTTTAGACTCAAAAAATCCAGTTTTTCGAGTCTAAACAAGCCCAGGCTTTTTCAAAGCCTAATTTAGCCCGAATTCCCAAATTTTCAAGGCTTTTCCTGTTTAGCCTTTTAAAAATCGTAATTTCTATCGCCCAATTTTTAATTACAAATAAAATTCTTAAAAATCCTATTTTCCCACAACAAAAATAATTATTTTTCTCCCGAAAACCCATAAAAATCCTTGATTTTTTACGGGGGAAACTTTTAAAAAACCAAAGGGAAAAACTTAGTGATCAAAATCCAGGAAATTTGACCTGAAATTGAATTTTCAGCTCAAAAAACTAGAAATTTCGAGGTGAAAATCTAGTTTCAGTTCAAAATTCCTAGTTTTTTGAGTCTAGGCTTGCTTAGGTCCAAAAAATCCAGATTTTCTGGACCTAAACAAGCCCAGGCCCAAAAAAATGCTAGAAATTTCGCGTTTTCCGAGTCTAGGCTTGTGTAGGCCCAAAAAATTCAGACTTTTGAGCCTAAACAAGCCTAGGCCCAAAAAATGCTAGAAATTGCCCGTTAGGCTCTAAAAATCCAAAATTTCCCCCAAAAAAACACCAACCTCTTGAACATTCCGCTTCTTGGCATCCAAACTTTTCAATTGTTCCAAAACCTGGGTCTCGCTCAAATTATCCCAAACTCCATCGGTGGCCAAAATAATGATATCACCTTTTTTCACATCCAACTCATCACGGTCCGCCATTTCTGGCTTATCGCCAATGAAATTTTGATAGCCTAGAGAAAAATTGGGATTTTTGGGGTTTTAAAACGTCGGGGGCTTGAAAATTTGGGATTTTTTGAGTCTAGACAAGTCTAGGCTTGAAAAATTGTGTGCTGAAAATCAAGTTTCAGCTCGAAAATGCTAATTTTTCAAGTCTGGGCTCAAAAAATTCGTATTTTCACAGTTTAAACGAAATTTTGATCGAAAATTCTGAATTTCGGCCTTATTCCATCGAAAAATCAATAATTTACATCCTAGGACCCAGAAAATCGTGATTTTTGAGGTCTCAAAGCGAAAATTCGTTAATTTTTATGAATTTTCGCTTTGAAACCCAGAAAATCGTGATTTTCGAGGTTTCGAAGCGAAAATTCATGAAATTTGAAGAATTTTTGTTTCGAAACCTCAAAAATCACGATTTTCTAGGTCCTTGATGTAAATTATTGATTTTTAGATGGAATAAGGCTGAAATTCAGAATTTTCGGTCAAAATTTCGTTTAAACTGTAAAAATACGGATTTTTTGAGCCCAGGCTTGAAAAATAAGAATTTTCGAGCTGGAACTTGATTTTCAGCACGCAATTTTCAAGCCTAGACTTTTCTAGACTCAAAAAATTCCGAATTTTTCAAACAAAAAACTCACCATCTGGAGGTGAAGTGAGCTGAAATGGCGCGTTGAAATAGTGCACCTGTTCGCGACTCTTCGATATAACTTTACCATTTCGCACAACCATGAAGCCGGAATCGCCCAAATTCGCCGAATATAGTCGTTCTTGATGAACGACAAGAACACAGGCTGTTGAGGAACCTGGAAAACAAAATACATTTTGGAGGTCTCCAGAATTTTTGAGATAGTGGGAGAATGGCATAAGCAGAAAAACACGTGAAGCCCAGATTTTCAAAATTTTCTGAAACGTATTTTTCCTGGGGTAGATTTTGACCAGCTAAAAAAATTCAGAAGATTTTTTTGGGTTGTTTTGAGACTAGGTATGCCATAGCCCTATTTTTCCGGATTTTCCAGATTTTCAGCTAAAAATCTGGAAATCCAGGCATTTTTAGACCAAAAATAGTCAAATTTAGGCTAAAAATGGTTTGAAGTTATATCAAAAAATTTGAAATTCTCAAATTTTCATTAAAAATTCCTAGAATTTTAGACAATGTTAATAAAATTTCTAGCACATTTTGACCCGCTGATCACAATTCCGTTTTCAAAAATTACTTAGCTCAACTCTGAATTTGAGTGGAAAAGTTTGGAGGCTTCACAGGGCTTTAACTATTTTTCTAATCTAGTTAAAGCCATGTGAAACCTCCAAACTTTTCCACTCAAATTCAGAGTTGAGCTAAGTAATTTTTGAGAATGGAATTGTGATCAGCGGGTCAAAATCTGCTAGAGATTTCATTAACATTGTCTAAAATTCTGGGAAATTTTTATGAAAATTTGGGAATTTGAAAAAAATTTCAGATGAAGATTGAGCCTAAATTTGACAATTTTTGGTCTAATTTTTTAAATTTTATGAATTTTCGCTTCGAAACCTTCAAAATCACAATTTTCTGGGTCTCAAAGCAAAAATTATTCAAATTTCATGAATTTTCGCTTCAAAACCTTCAAAATCACGATTTTCTGGGTCTCAAAGCGAAAATTATTCAAATTTCATGAATTTTCGCTTCAGAACCTTCAAAATCACGATTTTCTGGGTCTCAAAGCGAAAATGGTCTCAAAAAATCCCAAATTTTCCGCTGCCAACTCACCAACAGGCCGCGGCGCTTCCGCCGTCGCTGTAAACGCAAAATCCAGCAAACTTTCGGGCCTTTTCGGATCGAAATCGCCGACTTCCACACGTTTTTCGCACTCCTTCATTAGTCGACGCGAGAAGGCGGAAGGATCGATTCCGTATCGACGCCAACCACCAACACCATCAGCGACACCTACAAATTATTGATTTTTGTGAATTTTCACGAACTTTAAGGCAAAAATCATCATTTTTCATGATTTTCAGCCAAATTTCAGTCAAAAACCCACCGACTACAAATGTATTCTTGAACCTTGAAATAAACCAAGCATCATCACCATATCCGCCTTTGTCCAGGACTGTTGAGGGACCATTTAGCATGTCCTGGAAATTATATATGATTTTGGGATCAAACTAGAGTGTAGTTGTATCTGAAAGTCTAGTTTCAGACTGAAAAATTGCAGAAAAAATATCTGGATTTTTAGCCTGAGTTTTGAGCCCAAAAATCATCAAGTTTGGACTCAAAATGCTCAGGAAACCTTGAATTTTCACGATTTTCAGATAAAAATCTGGAAATTTCAACTTTCCCGAAGTTTTTTAAGCCCAAAAATCATCAAGTTTGGACTCAAAATGCTCAGGAAACCTGGAAATTTCAAGATTTATAGCTGAAAATCTAGAAAACTCAAGTTTCCCGGAGTTCTTTGAGTCCAAAAATGACCATATTTGTGCTCAAAATGCTCCAAATGCCAACACAAACCTTGGGAAATCCAGCACAACTCGCAATAACATTTTCAACATGTGAACTGGTCGCCGAACTCGCCGCCGCTTCCGCATTCTTTCCGCTCGCCGTCGACGCGCCGGCGCTTCCCGAAAATCCGCGTTTCTGTCCGGCTCCGGCGGCCAACGCTTCGGGCCCGATGGAGGAGCCCAAATCGAGGGCCGTGGCCGAGAAGACGGCTCGGACTGCCAGTCGGCCGCACGCCAACAATCTCACACCGGCCACCATTTTGTTTTGACGAGCGAGAATTTTTGGTTATTTATTGATCGGATTTTTTTGGTTTTCAGATTTGCATTCGCCACAAGATTTGAGAGAGAGTTAGACAAAGTTGTAGAGCTGAAGAAGAAAAAAATGTGAAATTAAAGTTTGAAAATGGAAAAATAGAGGGGAAATGAGTACGAAAAGCAGAAGATCGAATTTCAAAGAGAAAACACGTGGCAAGAGAAAAATAAGAGGGGAGTACGGTGGTTTTTGGCGGGATTTTTGGGATCAAAATGAAGTGAAGTTATGACGTGGAAAATTCTCGAAAATTCATGGATTCAGAAGGTTCAGCTCAAAATTTCTGATTTTTCAAGTGTAAATCCGAAAAATGTGAAATTTTCAGCCGAAAATGCTGCATTTTTCAGTCTTAAAATCGAAAAATCGCGATTTTCTGGGTCTCAAAGCGAAAATTTTACAAATTTCGTGAATTTTCGCTTCGTAACCTTCAAAAATTACGATTTTCAGGGTCTTGAAGCGAAAATTTTACAAATTTCATGAATTTTCGCTTCGAGACTACGAAAATCACGATTTTCAGGGTCTTAAAGCGAAATTTCTTCAAATTTTATGAATTTTAACTCGGAAACCTTCAAAATCAGCGAAAATTCCTCAAATTTCATGAATTTTCGCTTCGAGACTACGAAAATCACGATTTTCAGGGTCTTAAAGCGAAATTTCTTCAAATTTCATGAATTTTCGCATGGAAACCTTCAAAATCACGTTTTTCTAGATCTCAAAGCGAAAATTCTTCAAATTTCATGAATTTTCGCTCGGAAACCTTCAAAATCACGATATTCTAGGTCTCAAAGCGAAAAATTTTCAAATTTCATGAATTTTCGCTTGAAAACCTTAAAAATCACGATTTTCCAGGTCTCAAACCGAAAATTCTTCAAATTTCAAGAATTTTCGCTTCGAAACCTTCAAAATCACGGTTTTCTGGGTCTTGAAGCGAAAATTCTTCAAATTTCATGCATTTTCGCTTCGAGACCACAAAAATCACGATTTTCTGATCCTTAGAGCGAAAATTCTTCTGTAGAATCAGTTATGACGTGGCAAGACCTCTATTATAGCTTTATAAGGTTTCCCGAGCTTTTGCCACGTCATAACCCATCAAAAATGACGAATTTTCGCTCTAAAACCAGCGTGTCCAAAAACCAAATCGAATAAAGATCAGAAAGTCCAAAATTGCGCGCAAAAACCATATCAAAACGTGGTTTTCACATCGCTGAATCGAACAAAAAAAATGATAAGCAATGAGAATACACTGTCTTTTATTTTTATCATTCTTTTTTGCCTTTTTCGCTTTACATCGATGGAAAATCGATCGATACAATGCGATGGGAAAATTGTTTTTCTCAAAAACAAAAAAAATTTTATTATCACATGTGACACGGAGGGTCAAAGTCAAACTATTTGAAAAAGTGATCGTTCTCTGTTTCGCGCCAAAAATGAACTTTTTGCGCGCGAAAACAAACGTCATTGAGGGGAAAAAGTGTGCCAGACTTGCAAAGGACATCGACTAAATGACATTTTCATGTTTTTTAAGAAAGTGACTTAAAATATTGGGTTTTAATGTTATTCATAGGGTAGAATGGTCTAAAACGAACAGAATGATATAAATTTTGATGACTTTACGTTATCCTTAAGTGATTTAACGATGTTTAGGCGATAAGATCAACTAAACATCGCTAAATCACTTATGGATAAGGCAAACTCGTCAAAATTTATATCATTATGTTCGTCTTAGACCATTTTTTCATATGAATAACATTAGAACCCAATATTTCAACTAACTTGCTTAAAAAACATGAAAATTTCATTTAGTCGATGTCCAACTTTAAATAGTGCCTACGTGATTTTTGCGAGATTTTTTGATCGAACGTCAGAGGAGTAAACATTTTTTTCGAGACAGAGAAAAAGATAGCTAAATGGTTTTTGGTTTCAGAACTGGTTTTTTCGCGTCTGGAATTTTTTCGCGCCAAAATTTTTCCACGTGGGAGCGAATCTTGGCGGCAAATTGAAGTTTAGATTTCAAAATATTAGCAAAAATTGTTATTCTCTCCAGAGAGAGAGGGATTTTGAAATATTTCACATTTTGGCGCCAAAAATCCAGAAAAATTCCCAATTTTTCTCCCATGGTCAAAGTAAAAATAACATCAATTATCAAAAAAAAAAGTCAGCTGTGTTATCTCAAATTCCACACAAAAAACTTTCAATTTTTCTCTATTCTTGAGAAGAAAAAAAAGAAGAAGAAGAAGAATATCAAAAACCGATCAACTGTTATTTGTCGAAGAAAAAGCGAAGCGAAGAGATGGGCAAAGTACACTTTTTGCGCAATAAAACCACCCAAACTACACTAATTTTTGTGCGTTTTTCGTTGACAGAAGCAAATATTTGCATGTAGATGTGCTCGGGAGCATTTTTGGGAAGGGAAGGAAAAAATCCCAAGACCGAGAAAAATACGTTTCAAAAATTCGTGACAATAAATTTTGACGATGAATTTTTGTTCACAATCGCAAATCATTCATTTGGGCTTAAAATTTACTGTAAAAAAGTTTAGACCTTTTCTACTTTTTCTAGCCAAAATTAAGAAAATAAGCCCCAAAATTCCATTTTTAAACCAAATTTCATCGTCCAAAATATACTGAAATAAAGAATTTTTCATTAATACTATGCAAGCCGAAAACTATTTTTTTAAATCTAAAATTGAAGTAAACTTCAAGATTTTCATTTTTCCGGTAAATAATTAGCCTTTTCCGGGTTGGAAATGATGAATAAGCCGGTTTCAAGCTTAAAAATCGGTTTTTTCAGAAAATTTCGAATCTGAAACTTGAAAAATTCATGATTTCGAGTGTAGACCGCAAGCTTCCGCGAACGCGGCCACGTGGAATTTCAGTACGCCCTCCAAGTCATAGTAATCCACGTGGCCGCTTCGCGGAAGCTCGCGGTCTACAAATTTTCAAGCTTCAAATACGAAATTTTCAGAAAAATTCGATTTTTAAGCTTTAAAACTAATTATTCATCATTTCCAACCCGGAAAAGGCTAATTTTTTACCGGAAAGATGAAAATCTTAAAGTTTACCTTACTTTAGATCAAAAATAATAGTTTTCGGTGTTAATGAAAAATTCATCGTCAAATTTGAATTTCAGAAGTTTTTAGACGATGAAATTCGGTTTAAAAATGGAATTTTGGGGCTTATTTTCTTAATTTTGGCTAGAAAAAGTGGAAAAGGTCTAAACTTTTATAGAGTAAATTTTTAGCCCAAATTTGCGAATGTGAACAAAAACTCATCGTCAAAATTTCATTTCACGTATTTTTGAAACGTATTTTTTCCGGTTTTTTTTGGCAAATATCTTGGGATTTTTCGGGCCAAAATTTCACGAAAACCACTAATTTTCAGCTGAAAAACCGATTTTCAGCAAGAAATGATGCAATTTGCCCCCCGCGATTTAATAGAAACCCAGAAAACAGAACTAATATGATATGATAAGGGAACGAATCAAAATATCAAACAATTATATATTTTTTTTCGAAAAAAAATAGAAAACCCGGGAACCTTTCCATCCCCAAAAAAACCATCAAAACAACTTGAAAACGACGAGACATCGTATAAAATTTGGATGCTCAGAAAATGCGCTGACAGCTAGCACGCGAGCCGGCAGACGGCCGTCGAATTCTGATACTAATTTGTCAGTTTGCTAGCTCGCAGACAGCGCCTGCTAGGTTCTGCCAGCTAGCAACCTCGCGGCCATCTGGCAGAACCTAGCAGGCGCTGTCTGCGAGCTAGCAAACTGGCAAATTAGTATCAGATATCGACGGCCGTCTGCCGGCTCGCGTGCTAGCTGTCAGCGCATTTTCTGAGTGGCAACAGAGACAGGCGGTCTGGTTGTCTCTACAGCTCTCCCCATTTCTCACACTCTCTCCTCACACCCCCAATCAATATCTCGATATCTCTGCACTCTCTCACTATCTCTTTTCATCACCCTCTCTCAGCTGAGAGGAGCGGAATCGTGTCTGCGTCTCTTTGGTTAGACAAACTATTCTTTTTTGTGTCAACGACAGCTGACGAGAGAGAAAAGAAAATGGACCAAATTTATTTAAAATGCTGTGTATGTGCTTGTCTTGAGAAAAAAAAGTAAAAAAATTGAGAAAAGTGTAAGAAAAAACTGATTTTATCAGCGAAAAAGTTGACGGGGAACTAGTTTTTTTTGGAACGAAAGTTTTGAAATTGAAAAATTACATTTTTTCATGGTCAAATCTTCCCTATAAAAAAACGCTCAAAAAAATGAATCTTCGCTGTCCGCAATGAACACCATGACGCAAACTTGCACACATTTTTTTTGGGCAGCTTGCCAATTTTTCTCAACAGAGCGTAGATTAAAGGGAGGACGAATTGTTCGTTTGGGTCTCGTCGCGATGTGTTGCGCTGCTCAAATGTTTTTCATTTTCTCTTTTTTTTTCGTTTTTTCTCTTTTTTCGCCGAGGTTGCGATCTGGAGGCTGCCGTTCAACTCAGCTTCAGAACAGCATGAGCAAGAATTTGAAGAGCTCGAAGCAATTTATACAGAAGGGGAATTCTGAATCGAGAACATCCAGAAATCAGCCTACAAATAACACTGAAATCAAATCAAGTAAGTTTTTGCTTCAATTTATTTGTTAAATTGAAATCATATAAACTTTTTGCAGTTTGGTGAACCTGGAAATGATGATTTTACAGTTGAATTAAGTATAAAATTCACTGAGAATTATCCGGAAGGGATTCCTGAAACAACAATTGATGGAATTGATGAGCAATTTGAGGTTACTCGGATTTTCGAGGCAATTGAGAAAATGAAAGCGGTTGCTGAAGAGAATTTGTGTATGGTTATGGTATTTTCGATAGTTTCAGCAATGCAAGAAGAAATTGAGGAATTATTAAATGTGAAAAGGCGGAGATTGCTCGAAATCGAGCAAAAAATAGGGAAATGTTGTGACGCCGAAGAGTTTACGCGCTTGGAAGGAGAAATTCGATGCGGAGCGGAAGGCGGCAAATGAGAGTGCGGAGAAGGAGCGATTGGCTGCGTTGGATGGCAGGTTGACGGGCGGGAAGACAATTGTTCTTGAAGGGTGCCACTTTGAATTTGTCGGATATGACGTTGATTGGAGCACAGGATGAGGTCGAAATTGATGCTTTTTGATGAAGAGGTGAGTAATTTTTCTGGGAGAGTGGAGGGGAGGGGGTGGCACAAGGGTAAAAAGAGAACCTTTCCAAGGTAAAACCGCCATATTTCGAATTTGCAAATTCACGAATCGCATCCTTACAAATTATTCATAAAATTTCGCACTGACGCGGATAACTTGCATGTTTCCATATTAACATTCCAAATTATTTAGATGCCAACTCAATCGCCTCCATTTTCGACTGGACCATGCAATATATTGGTAATTTTAACTTTATGTTGTTTTTTTTGTCAATAAATATTATAAAAATAAGATGAATTCCTTCATAATGTGGTTCCTCAGCAATCCGGATCCCCGAAATTTCTCTTTCCGCATTCCCAAGAAAAAATGAATATAATTTTTCAACGGAGTGATTCTACAGAATCTGGTTGGAAAATTGGAAAGCTGACAAAAGTATTTATGTGCACGATTGCATTACGGTCTTTGCAGCTTTTGCGCTTTTTTTGATTTTTAAATTGAAGAATATTTCTCGAGCTAATTTGAGTTCCCGGGCGAGTAAGCTTTCTAAAAAGACCTTTCGGTCCAGTCTTTGTCTAAAAAACATTTCTAATGAGGTCTCAAGGCTTGGGCTTTGTCTTAAAACGACATGACCCAATCTTTCTAATCAATAAAAAATTGATCTGTTCACTAAATGAGCAGATGATTATGGCCAGGGTGATTGAACAAGTTTAGGCATAGCGCCCTGGGTCCACTAGTAACGTTTTAAAGTCCACTGAAAATGAAAAAAATGAAAAAACGTGTGCGTCAGGTAAAATGCAAAGTACGCAGCGTGTTTGCACACAACGCGCGTTGACTACAGTAACCTAACGGGAAAATATTTTTGTTTTTTTTCAGGTTTTGGCCTAAAATTGAGGTTTCCAGTGGAAATCTGTGGATTTTTCGTATATTTTATGATTTCAAGGCATGAAAATGGGATTTTGAAAGAATCTGCAAAAATTTTCATGCAAAAACTGATAATTTCAGCTAAAAAAAAGGGATATTTCGAGAAATAGTGGGTAAACTACATTTTGCTTTTCAAAATTTTGAAACCATATTGTTCACAATTTTTTATTAACAAAGATAAATCCAAAAATTTATTGATCCTTTTTGGTTTCTTGTGGAATTTCAGTGATTGAGTTCAAAAATACGGGTTGCGCTCTTTCCGGCTTATTCGTAACAAAGCAATAGATCTCCACAACCAATTGACAAATTCTCCACATAGTCGCACACAGGAAAATCTGACAAATCGCCCCAATCATCACAAACATCCAATTCGACCATTGATTTCCCGATGTCAACATCGAAGTGTCCAATCCTGAAGTATACGCGCTGACCAAAAACAAATTCTCAATGAAGACATGTGGAGAGACGATCCAAGTGTGAAGAGCGGTCAGGAAGAAGAGAATCGATGTGTAGATTGCGGGATAGAGGAAGGATGGGGAGATTGGCTTGACTGGGATGAGATATTGTGAAGTTAGGCGGGTGTATGATTGTTGGATGTCGTATTTGTCAGAGTTGTACTGGAAAATAGAGGTTTTCAGGGAGACTAAATGACATTTTCATGTTTTTTAAGAAAGTGACTTAAAATATTGGGTTTTAATTTTATTCATATGATAGAATGGTCTAAGACGAGCAGAATGATATCAATTTTGATGAGTTTACCTTATCCATAAGTGATTTAGCGATGTTTAGTAGATGGACTCGCTAAATCACTTATGGATAAGGTAAATTCATCAAAATTTATATCATTCTGTTCGTCTTAGACCATTCTATCATATGAATAAAATTAAAACCCAATATTTTAAGTCACTTGCTTAAAAAACATGAAAATGTCATTTAGACGATGTCCATAGGACATTTGTTTTCAAATTTCCACGGTCACTTGAAAATTCGAATAATGTTTTCAAACTGCCACGTCATAGGGTCATATTTTTACTTCTTCAAAACCAGAAAGTGGCAGTTTGAAAACATTATTCGAAGTGATTTATCAAGTGACCTATGACGTGGCAATTCTGAAGTAGAAACCCACCGATTTAATCATAACCCCTCTCGAATTCCCATTCCGATCTCTCATCTGCCTCCGATATTCCAACACGAAATCCCTCACATTATCCGAATCTCCAACATGTTTGACTTTCGAATGATCATCGAACCAAATATCCACTTTTCGATCCATCCAAATACATAATCGTATGATATTCCAGCCGAAAACACAATATCCCGAGAAGGTGTATAGAATAACCCACCAGGAATCGGAATCGGATATATCGTCGGCGATTCCTAGAAATTTGACATTTTCATATTTTTCGAGAAAGTTAGTTGGAATATTGGGTTTTAAGGTTATTCCTGGGATAGAAGGCTCTAATGATATAATTTTTGATAATTTAATGTAACTCCTAAGTGACTTAGCTGCTAAATCACTTATGAGTATCAAAAATTATATCATTATAGCCTTCTATCCTAGGAATAAGCTTTTAAGAAACCTAATATATTTCAACTAACTTGCTAAAAGTTATTGAGCCCACCTAAAAACGCATTAAAAACCAGTAAAAAATCGCGTTGTGCAGGTCCAGCTGTAAATTGATCCGAATTAATATAACTTAAATCGAGATCTTCCAACAGATCTCCTAGAGACTGCGATGTTTCATTGGAGATCGCAGTCTGTACAGTCTCCAGAATCAGACTGTATTTCATTGAAGATCGACTTGTGAAGACGTAAGTTCGACGTTTTATTGTGAAATATCCGATGATGATCCAGCATATTAGGAGAAATGTAGCGCTGTAGTCTGGAAAAGGGTTGGATCCCAAAGCGGAAAAACTAGGTCCAGTTTTTGAATTATAAAAATTTTGAAACGTATTTTTTGGCGCGAAAACGTCACGTGGATTTGATTCAAACATCCATCCAATAATTGAAAAAATACAGTCGAAATTTTAATTCGTCAAAATTTCGAAACGTATTTTTCCCTGTCATTTTCGCGCCAAACTCAAATTTCCCTGAAACTCACTAAACAACGCCTTCTTCTTCGAATAATTCTGGCCAACGACTCGCAAAAACATTTTTGACTAAAATTTTCCATAAAACATTTCAATTCTCTAGGAAATCTCCAATAGAAACACAGGGTTGCTTGGATTCAAAGATTTTTATTCATTCTTTTTGTAAAGAAAACAAGAATAGTACAGGGATTTTTGGGATAAATGGAGATCGGTGAGATTATTTTCATACATTTAAAAATAAAAAAATTCAATTAAATATTTACGATCTTTCTCCTCGAATACGTCTGGCGAGTTGCATGTCTTTTGGCATGATTGTAACTCTTTTGGCGTGAATTGCGCACAAATTGGTGTCCTCGAAAAGTCCGACCAAATACGACTCGGATGCTTCTTGAAGTGCTCCGATCGCGGCAGATTGGAAACGCAAGTCGGTTTTGAAGTCTTGCGCGATCTCTCTCACCAATCTTTGGAATGGCAGTTTGCGAATCAACAATTCGGTCGATTTTTGGTAGCGACGAATTTCGCGGAGCGCGACGGTTCCCGGGCGGTATCTGTGGGGTTTTTTGACGCCGCCGGTGGATGGGGCGGATTTGCGGGCGGCTTTGGTGGCGAGTTGTTTGCGCGGGGCTTTGCCTCCGGTGGATTTACGGGCGGTTTGCTTGGTGCGAGCCATTGTTTCTGGAAAAATTTGGGGTTTTTTTTTAATTTGAAGAGGGGAAAAGCACGAAAATTGATGTGAGAGAAAATGAGATTTTTGGACCTGGTTTAGTGGGTTTTAAGCAATATTTCGCAATTTCAGACAAATTATCGATTTTTCTGGAATTTTCGAAAATCTCATCGGTACCACGCGCACCACCGAAATAAACACGCAACGCAGACCGCGTCGCGCCACAACACACACAAATAAGGCAACGATTCAAATTCCCTCCCTTATTTGTGTGTTGTGGCGCGACGCGGTCTGCGTTGCGTGTTTATTTTGGTGGAGCGCGTGGTACCGCTGAGATTTTCGAAAAATCATTTTGGTACGCTTTAGCTGTTTTTCTACATTTTCAGCGGGTTTCAGACAAATTATTGATTTTTCCTGAAAGTTTCTAGAAGCTTCCGCGTGGTATTCCACGTCATAGTTCGCGGAAGCTTCTAGAAAGTTTCAGGAAAAATCAATAATTTGTCTGCTCAAAACTACCAAAGCGTACCAAAATGATTTTTCGAAAATTCCAGAAAATACGATAATTTGTCTGAAATTGCGAAATATTGCTAAAACTACACACTTTCAGCAAAAATCGATAAATTGCGAAATCTACTGAAAATCCTCTAACTCACACTAAAAACTCCCTAAACCCCTTAGAAACCCCCAAAAAACCAGAGAAAATAGAAAAGTCACCATTCAGCACAACTGAAATGTGTAAAATGATGGTACAAAACGTAAAAATGGCGTCGCGAAATAGGCGTGTCCAGATGTACGCAGCCAATTTTTGGCGCGCATATGTAAAAATAGGATACTCAGGCAAGCAGACACGTGATGCGAAATAAAGAATGAAAGGGGGGAGAGCTATTTATTGGAACCGTGCCAAATATCGATTGACAACAACAAATTTTTGGAATAATTTCGAAAAGCTTGAAAAATCCTTGGGAAAACATGGACAAATACAGAAAGACTAAAAATTGTTTTTTGTGGGCCTAAAATATTTTTCTGCGAAATTTTAGGATAAGATTTGGCTGAAAATTATAGATTTTTTAGTTTTCGACAAAACTCGGATACAAATTTTTGCAAAAATTGAAAAAACATCGAAACTTTACGAAAAATAACGGAAATTTTCCGAAATTTTGGGAATCTATGAATCTCGCAATTCTCTAAAAGCACTGAAAATTTCAGTAAAATCCACGTGGCACGCGCAAAGTTATAGCAAAAAATCTGTAAAAAATTCAAAAATTCCGGCAAAATTTCTCACCTCCCTCCTCGCCAACCACACTATTTTCGAAAAACACACCCGTTTCTCTGCCGTCTCTTCACCGACCCTACTACTCTCTTTTTGTTGTGTGCAATTGTGCGACGGGTCGGGTGTTTGCGGAGCGTGATGATGAGGCATTTGATTTGACGACAATTATTTTGAAATCATCATTTTTTGTTTTTTGCGGGTTTTCGCCGGGGATTTTGTGGGGTTTGCGGGTGTTTTGAGTGGAAATTGTGGGGAATTTACGGGAAAATTGGTAGGAAATAGAGGGAGAGCTAGAATTTCGAGAATTTTTTGAATTAAAACACGTGATTTGGATTTTTCTACGATTTTTTGCATTCTTTCGTCAAAAAACTGAAAATTTGGACAAAAACCTCTAAATTTCCCAGAAAAACCAATTTCTGGCCAAAACCCCCTCGAAATTATGTGAAAAATTGTGTTTTTCACGCGTAATCTCCTCAAAATCCCCATTTCTCAATATTTTTACTTCAGAATGGCGCCACCAGCAACCGCAGCTGTAATTCAAGCAGTTCTCGATTCCCCAGGATCCGCAAATCCACGTTTGACTGAAGGATCCGACGAGAAAACATTGAGCAACTATTTCAAAACAAAAGTCGATGATGCTCTTCAACAAGTCGCTGATAAAGGTCAAAATGTACGACGACTTCAAGCTCAACGAAACGAGCTCAACACCAAAGTTCGAATGCTCAAAGAAGAGCTGCAACAATTGCATGAGCAAGGAAGTTATGTGGGAGAAGTCACAAAAGCCATGGACAAGAAAAAGGTTCTTGTAAAAGTTCATCCAGAAGGCAAATATGTTGTTGATGTTGATAAATCGATTGATATTAATTCAATTAACGCTGGAGCAAGAGTTGCACTCAAAGCTGACAGTTATGCTCTTCACAAGGTTCTTCCCAACAAGGTTGATCCATTGGTTTCACTTATGATGGTCGAAAAGGTTCCTGATTCAACTTATGAGATGATCGGAGGTCTAGACAAGCAGATCAAGGAGATTAAAGAGGTCATCGAGTTGCCCGTAAAACATCCAGAGCTTTTCGAAGCGTTGGGAATTGCTCAACCTAAGGGAGTGTTGCTCTACGGACCGCCGGGAACTGGAAAAACTCTGTTGGCGAGAGCGGTGGCGCATCACACCGAATGCACATTTATTCGTGTGTCGGGCTCGGAGTTGGTGCAAAAGTTTATTGGTGAGGGAGCGAGAATGGTGAGGGAGTTGTTTGTGATGGCCAGAGAGCACGCGCCGTCGATTATTTTTATGGATGAGATTGATTCGATTGGATCGAGTAGAGTTGAGGGATCGAGGTGAGAGTTTTTTGGGATTTTGGAGCATTTTTGCATCTAGATTTGTTGGAAATTGTCGAAATTCGGGTTTCTGGGCCATTTGAGCTGAAAATTCGGTTTTCTAGGCCATTTTAGCTGAAAGTTTGGTTTTCTAGGCCATGAAATTGAGAAATTTGGTTTTCTAGGTCATGAAATTGAAAAATTAGGGTTTCTAGGCCATTTGAGCTGAAAATTTGGATTTCTAGGCCATGGAATTCGAAACTTTGGTTTTCTAGGCCATCTGGAGGGTTTCTAGGCCATTTGAGCTGAAAATTTGGTTTTCTAGGTCATGAAATTGGAAGATAATGATTTCTAGGCCATCTGGAGGGTTTCTAGACCATTTGAGCTGAAAATTTGGATTTCTCGGCCATCTGGAGGGTTTCTAGGCCATGAAATTGGGAAATTTGGTTTTCTAGGCCATCTGGAGGTTTTCTAGACTATTTAAGCTGAAAATTTGGTTTTCTAGGCCACCTCGAGGGTTTCTAGACTATGCAAGCAGAAAATTTGGTTTTCTAGGCCATGAAATTGGAAATTCGTGGTTTTCTAGGCCATCTGGAGGGTTTCTAGACCATTTAAGCTGAAAATTCGGTTTTCTAGGCCATCCCAGACCAAATTTGTGTTTTCTAGGCCATAAAAATGAAAAAGTTGGTTTTCTGGGCCATGAAATTGGAAAATTTGGATTTCTAGGCCATCTTAAGGGTTTCCAGACCATTTAAGCTGAACATTTGGTTTCCCAGGCCATAAAAATGAACAAGTAGGTTGTCTAGGCCATCCCAGACAGAAATTTGGATTTCTAGGCCATGCAATTGGAAATTTTGGATTTCTAGGCCATCTGGAGGATTTCTAGGTCAATATTTGGTTTTCTAGACCTAAAAAAATGCCCAATTTTTTGCAGCGGTGGAGATTCGGAAGTGCAACGTACAATGCTCGAACTATTGAATCAACTCGACGGTTTCGAGGCCACCAAAAACATCAAAGTCATCATGGCCACAAATCGTATCGATATTTTGGACCCCGCCCTGTTGCGTCCAGGAAGAATTGACCGAAAAATCGAATTTCCGGCGCCAGACGAGAAGGCGAGAGCCGACATTTTGAAGATTCACTCACGCAAAATGAATTTGATGCGCGGAATTAATATGAGAAAGATTGCCGAGCAAATTCCGGGAGCTAGTGGAGCTGAAGTTAAGGTAACTTGGATTTTGGGATGAAATTTGAAATTTTTGGAATTTCCCACTAGAAAATCCACGTGGCCGAGGTTTTGCAAAAGTTCGGCCACGTGAATTTCTGGCGGGAAAACAAGGAAATTTGAGTTTTCAAGATTTCATGCTGAAAAATCCACGTGGCCGAGGTTTTGCAAAAGTTCGGTCATGAGATTTATGCGATCCAAAATTCTCAGAGTTATGACGTGGCAAAAATATTTGATATTTCAAAAATCGGACGAAAAATTTGAAATGTTAGAATTTTGCGCCGATGTTTTTGGCGCCAAAAATCTGAAATTCAAATTTTTGAAACCTAGGGCCAAATTTGAGCAAAAATTTTGAATTTTCGGAATTTTTAAAAGTTTTGAAAAAATCATGTTTTCATTCAAAAAAACTAAATTTTCTCCTAATAAATCTAAATTTCTCCCAAAAAGTTTCCAAATTTGCTGTTTTTTCCAGGCCGTGTGCACTGAAGCCGGTATGTTTGCCCTTCGTGAGCGTCGAATTCACGTAACTCAAGAAGATTTCGAAATGGCTGTGGGAAAAGTTATGCAAAAAGACTCGGAAAAGAATATGTCGATCAAAAAATTGTGGAAATAACTTATTTCTCTAATTTATTCATTTTTGGGCGTTTTCTGGTCAATTTTTGTATTAAAATGTTACATTTTAATACAAAATTTCAATTTTTGTAATAAAATGTTACATTTTAATACAAAATTTGATTTGAAATGCTCCTTTTTACCCCCCTATTTATTGTCATTTCCAAATTTTTTGTGTGTAAAAAGTTCCGTCAGAAAAATACAAATTTTTTCGAACAATTTTGAATTTTAATAGGATTATAAGGGTCTTAACGCGATTTTTTTTCGGAACTAACTAAAATTTTCCTTTTCCCTTATCGTGTTTTTTATTGTAGGCACTTAAAAATTCGCTTTTCTATTTTTCACACGATTTTTTGGGGAAAAGAGAAATTATTGTTTTTTGGGTGGTCGCTTATGCGCCTTTAACTACAGTAGCCTTTGAAAAATGTTTTTTTTTTTCGATTTTTATCAATTGATAAGTGTTCGTTGGGGAATTTCTTTCTATTTATCAATCAGATTTTTTTTTTGATTTTTTCTTTTTTTTTTGTTTTTGAAGGGTTTTGAAAGTTTTTTAACGCGAAAATTTTCATTTTTAAAAAATTTTCTCGATTTTTTGACCAACAATTCATCATTTTGTTCGTTCTTTTTTCCGATTTTTCGCAATTTTCTTAAAACAACTGTTGATCTTTTTATTATTTTTGCGACAGAAAACAAAATGTTTTTCTTTCTCTTTGAGCTCAATTTTTGATCTACCAAATTTTTTTTGGGCGCGCGAAAATTTGAATTTTCAAAAAAAAATTCTTTTTCGCGCCAAAATCTACCGTACTTTTTCTTAAAGGAACAATGCTTTTCGGCATAAATCGTTTCCATTTCCTCGTTCTCATCACTTGGCAATTTTCCATATTTTTTGCGTCCCAACAAATTTTTCCGATCTTCTCCAATTATGTGCCGCAATGGAAGTGCGGTGAGTTGCGGAAGGGTTTCCGCGAGGGTTTCCGCGCGGAAATTTCAAATATAATGCTTTTAGGAGATGGTCCGGTGACGTCGAATTGCACAGTGTATTTGGAGTGTAAGCAGAACATCACATTTGTGGATGTTGCCTTCAAATCAGCAGCGTTGGAGTGAGTTTTATTTATCAAACATTTGCATGTGGGAAGAAAACTGAGCGCGTGGCCTAGTGGTTAACGCGCGCGCCTTTGAATCATGAGGTCAGGGGTTCGATCCCGCGCCGAGCTGAACTTTTTTTTTTTTTTTTTTGAAAAATGACAAATTTTTGCAGATATGGTTGGATTTGCCCTCCCGACGCCTACAATCAATCGCTCTTCTCACAAACCCAGTTTGCCGGAGTTCTTCTAGGCACCTTCAGCTTCGGAGCAATGGCGGACACTGTGGGAAGAAAGCCGGTGGCGGTTTTTGCGCTCTCCTTGGGCATCACTATGAATTTCTTGACAGGTAGGCGTGGAAGCTTGCGGACAACCAAATTTCTATAATTCCAGGTCTCGCACCGAATCGCTACATCCTGGTAGCAATTCGATTCTTCCTGGGTTTGGCTGTCGGTGGAACGTTGGTCGTTGTGTGCACTTTTGTTATGGAAATGTTGCTGCCGCAACAAAGAATGGCTCTGCGAGCATTCTTTAATTGGGTGAGCCCATTTTCAAACGATGCTCCGCGTTTTTATGAGATGTAAATGCGGAGCATTGTTTGAAACATTCAAAATCGCTCGTTTTCATGACGTAAACGCGGAGTATCGTTGTTTTTACTGATCTCTTAGGCTTCTAGGAATGTTGGAAGATTTTCCAAGCTTCTGAGTCTTCTAGAGCAGCTAGAATTTTTTCTGAGCTTCTGGAAGTGCTCCCAGGCTTTCTAGAAGAGCTCCAGATTTCTAGGAGCTTCTGAAGCTTACTGGGAGTCTTCCGGAGCTTCTAGAACAATTTTCAGAGCTTCTAGAAATCATCCCAGGCTTTCTAGAAGCTTCTGAAGCTTTCTGAGAGTCTTCTAGAGCTCCTAGAAATTTTTTCAGAGCTCCTAGAAATTCTCCCAGGCTTCTAGTAGCTTCTGAAAATTCTCCCAGGCTTTCTGGAAGCTTCTGAAAGTCTTCCCAGGCTTCTAGAAGCTTCTGAAGCTTTCTGAGAGTCTTCTAGAGCTCCTAGAAATTTTTTCAGAGCTCCTAGAAATTCTCCCAGGCTTCTAGTAGCTTCTGAAAATTCTCCCAGGCTTTCTGGAAGCTTCTGAAAGTTCTCCAGGCTTCTAGAAGCTTCTGAAACTTTCTGGAAGTCTCCTAGAGCTTCTAGAACAATTTTCAGAGCTTTTAGAAGCTTCTGAAGGATTCGGGGAGTCTTCCGGAGATCCTAGAACAATTTTCAGAGCTTCTGAAGGATTCTGAAAATTCTCCCAGGCTCTCTAGAAGAGCTCCGGCTTCTAGAAGCTTCTGAAAGTCTTCCCAGGCTCTCTAGAAGAGCTCCAGATTTCTAGAAGCTTCTGGAAAACCCCCAGGCTTTCTGAAAGTTCTCCAGGCTTCTAGGAGGTTCTGAAAATCCTCTCAGGCTTTCTGAAACTGCTCCCAGACTTCCTAGAAGAGCTCCAGATTTCTAGAAGCTTCTGGAAAATCCCCCAGGCTTTCTAGAACCCCCCCCTCTCCCATACCAACCCCAAAACCTTCCAGGGTGTTGCTCGCCTCATGATGACACTCATCGCAATGGCCCTCCCCGAATGGCGTCTCAGCTCAATCGCCTGTGCCATCGCCGCCCTTCCCGCTCTCCTCATCATCGTCTTCATCTTCCCCGAAAGTCCAACATGGCTGCACAACAAGGGAAAATTGGAGGAGATGAAGAAATCCGAGAAGCATATCGCAAAAGTCGCCGGTATTCCATACATTCCAGTTGAGCACCAGAAAATCGAGACGGGCGGAACGCAAAAATCGATTTTTGAAATGTTCAAAACCGCCGGAGTTCTTCGCCGACTCTCGGTTCTATGGCTCATGTGGTTTGTCGCATCGATTTGTGGATATGCTGTTGATCTCAACTCGAATTCCATCTCTGGAGATCTGTTTTTCAATCAGATTCTATTCTCGATCCTGATCGCTGTTTCGAAAATGATTCTGGTTCTCGTGGACACTTTTGTGCCCGGTTTTAAGCGGCGGACTTTGCATCAGGGAGCTCAGGCGGTTGTTGTCATATGCTTTTTGATTTTAGCGGTTATGAGTGTGCAGAAGAATACGGAGGTGGGTTGAAATACGCTCTAATGCACAGCTGTCTGCTTCTCTGCGTCTCTCACAATCTTGTGATCTCTAACCAGCTAGACAACCAGAGAGCACGGGATTGCCAGAGACCCAGACTCTACCAAGACTTCTCTGCGTCTCTAACCTTCCTCACGCTCTTTAGCTAGACAACCAGAGAGCAAGGGGAGCTTGAGAGACGCAGAGAAGCCTACCGGAAAACTTCTCTGCGTCTCTCAAATTCCCATACTCTCTAACTCGAGCTTACCTGAAACCAAGTGCGCTCTAATGCACAGTTATCTGCTTCTCTGTGTCTCTCATGCTCTCTAGATTCATTTGCGCTCTACTGCACACATTTCTCTGCGCCTCTCGAATTTACATGCTCTCTAACTCAAGCTAACCAAGTGCGCTCTAATGCAAATTGCAGACGCCAATCTTCCTAATAATCAACCTGATCGGCACCGTTTTCATCGAATACACCTGGGATGCGTGTTACCTTTGCGCCGTCGAAAGTATGGAAACTTCATGCCGTGCAAGCGGCGCCGGAACTTGCAGTTTGGTGGCTAGAATTGGCGCCATTATTTCACCATGGGTAAGTATCCGCGTAAACGCGGAGCATCGTTTGAATGCGTAAAAGCGGAGTGTCGTTTTTGCAGCTTCTCTACACGAAATTCTGGTGGCCACCATCGGTCTACGTCACCGTAGTGATTTTGGGATCGATAAACCTGATTGTCAGCTATTTTTTCTTGGTGGAAACCAAAAATGTGAACTTGGATAATGTGCATATCACGGAGCACAATCATGATGATGAAAATGGAATTGAGATTGGTGGCGAAAATGAGGCGATGCTTGACAAAAAACATTGAGCTTTCAATATAGTTTTTGAATCAGAGAAAACAAATATTTTGATATCATTTTGTGCAACGAAAATATGAATAAAGTATTCCGAATTTATCACATTTTTGAGAATTCTGCGAAATTTCAGTTTTTTTGCGAAAAAAATTAATTTTAAAAAACCTTTTGGAGTACTGTAGGAGAAGTTGTGTGCAAACACATTGCATTGCAGACTTTTGGTGACGCGCAATTTTTATTTTTTTTTTGAAAAAAAAAAGTTTTTCCGCTTATTTTTGACATAAAAACTAGAGGAAGAAATCCCCGCCTTTCAAAAAATACACTACAATGTAGTCCAATAACCTTTCTCTTATCAAACATTCCCTTTTTTGTATCATCAGAAAAACAAAACATTTTCTTTTTATTTTTATTATTCTGCTACAAATTATTATTATGTCCATAATAAAATCGAAAACCTTGCTCTATAGAAATTTCGGAGATCCGCAAAAAGTTTTGGAGTTGACCGAAGTCGAAGTTAGCACAACTCCAGGCGATGGCGAGGTTTTGGTGGAATGGCTGGCGAGTCCGATAAATCCGCTGGATATCAATCGAATTATGGGACAATATATTATCAAGGGCGATCCGCCGATTATTGGGGGAAGTGAGGGAATCGGAAGAGTTGTGAAGGTTGGTGGGAACGCGGAAAACTAGAAAGTATATGGAAAATTTGATTGAAAAATCCACGTGGCAAAAATTAGCGGGAGAATTCAATTTTCAAAAAAAAAATTCAAAATTGAATTTTTCCCGCAAAAATTTTAAAATTTTCGAAAAGAGTTTTCCACGTGGCAACCAATTTTCATTTTGCAAATTTTGAGCTGAAAATGAAAAATCTAAAATCCACGTGGAATTTGGAGCATTTCAAGACTAAATATGAGCATATTTGATGTCAAAATGCTCAAAATTTCGAGGATTTTCAGAATCCACGTGGAATTTGGAGCATTTTGAGACTAAATTGAGCATGTTTGATGTGAAAATGCTCCAAATTTCGAGGATTTTCAGAATCCACGTGGAATTTGGAGCATTTCAAGACTAAATATGAGCATGTTTGATGTGAAAATGCTCCAAATTTCGAGGATTTTCAGAATCCACGTGGGTTTTGGAGCATTTCAAGACTAAATATGAGCATGTTTGATGTCAAAATGCTCCAAATTTCGAGGATTTTCGAAAATGAGCAAGTTTAGGCTCAAAATGCTCCAAATTTCATGCTGAAAAATATTTTCCAGACAGGACCCAACAGCAAATTCCACATCAACGACCACGTCACAATTTTCTCCTCCGAAACTCCGTTTTGGACCGAATTCGGTATAGTTTCAGACGATGAATTGCAAAAAATCGATAATCGAATATCGATTGATTTGGCGGCCACAATAATGGTAAATCCACCAACAGCATGGCTTATGATACATAAATATGTGAAATTATCGAAAGGCGATTTTATCATTCAAAATTCGGCGAATTCTGGAGTTGGAAGAAGTTGTATTGAAATAGCAAAAGCTGCGGGATTCAAAACTATAAATATTGTGAGAAATCGAGAAAATATTGAGGAATTAAAGACGGAATTGTGGAAACTTGGAGCTGATCATGTTTTTACTGAAGAGGAATTTGCAAAAGGAGCTAGAGAGGTGGCTGAAATTTATCAGAAACTTGAGATTTTTCACTGAAAATCCTGAGTTTTTAGGAATTTTCAGCTAAATTTTGGCTATTTCTGAAAAAAATCCTGAATTTTCAGCTGAAAATTTCCCGGAAAATTGAAAATCTCGAATATTAGCTGAAAATTGAGGATTTTCAGCTAAATGTAGGCGATTTCTGAAAATTATGTGTTTTGGTTCAAAATTTGGCTGAAAATCCTGGATTTTTAGCTGAAAATTTCCCGGAAAATTGGAAATTTTGAACTCTTCCTCAAAATTCATTGAAAATCTTGAATTTTCAGCTGAAAATCCCGAATTTTTAGCTAAATTTAGGCGATTTCTGAAAAAATCCTGAATTTTCAGTTGAAAATTTCCCGGAAATAGGAAATTTTGAATTTTTCATTAAAATTCATTGAAAATCTCGAATAATAGCTGAAATTTGACTATTTTCAGCTAAATTTAGGCTATCTCTGAAAATTATGGGTTTTCGTTCAAATTTGACTGAAAATCCTGGATTTTCAGGGATTTTCAGCTGAAAATTTCCCGGAAAATAGGAAATTTTGAATTCTTCCTCAAAATTCATTGAAAATCCCGAATTTTAGCTGAAAATTGAGGTTTTACAGTTAAATTTATGCGATTTCTGAAAATTATATGACTTGGTTCAAAATTTGGCTGAAAATCTTGAATTTTCAGGGATTTTCAGCTGAAAGTTTCCCGAAAAATAGGAAATTTTGAATTCTTCCTCAAAATTCATTGAAAATACTGAAATTTTAGCTGAAAATTAAGGATTTTCAGCTAAATTTAAGCTATATCTGAAAATTATGTGTTTTGGTTTCAAATTTGACTGAAAATCATCTGGAAATTGAGATATTTTGAATTTTTCTTGAAGTTTCACTGAAAATCCCGAATTTTAGCTGAAAATTGAGGATTTCTAGCTAAATTTAGGCTATCTCTGAAAATTTTAAGCCAAAATTTAAAAAAAAATTTGCAGTTCATCAAAACCCTGCCGTCCCGCCCAAAATTGGCCCTAAATGGTGTTGGTGGGCGAAGTGTCTTGCAAATTTCGTCAGTTTTGGAGCGCGGTGGAATGTGTATCACTTATGGTAAGTCTGTGTAAACCGCAAGCTTCCGCGTCAGCGGCACTATCTTCCGCTTCAGCGGCCACGCGGATTGCTATGACGTGGCAAGGGCTCATAGTAATCCACGTGGCCGCTGAAGCGGAAGATAGTGCCGCTTACGCGGAATCTTGCGGTCTACACTCGCGCACAGCGCTCGGGTCGAGTGAAGCCGAGTGTAGCCCGCAAGCTTCCGCGTAAGCGGCACTATCTTCCGCTTCAGCGGCCACGCGGATTGCTATGACGTGGCAAGGGTTCGCGGAAGATAGTGCCGTTTACGCGCGGAATCTTGCGATCTACACTCGCGCACAGCGCTCGGGTCGAGTGAAGCCGAGTGTATCCCGCAAGCTTCCGCGTAAGCGGCACTATCTTCCGCTTTAGCGGCCACGCGGATTGCTATGACGTGGCAAGGCCTCATAGTAATCCACGTGGCCGCGTTCGCGGAAGATAGTTCCGCTTACGCGGAATCTTGCGGTATACACTCGCGCACAGCGCTCGGATCGAGTGAAGCGAGTGTAGACCGCAAGCTTCCGCGTAAGCGGCACTATCTTCCGCTTCAGCGGCCACGCGGTTGACGTGGAAACCAAGCGGAAGCCAATTTTCCAGGAGGAATGTCAAAAAAAGCGCACGAATTCAGCACATCTGCCCTGGTGTTCAATGATATAACAGTGAAAGGAATCGCAGTTGGAATGTGGGCAAGATTGCCAGAAAGTCAAAAAGATTGGGCAGAATGTCTGGAAGAAGTGCAGAAATTAGCAGTTTCGGGGGAAATTACAGCGATTCCGATGGAGAAGACAAGTTTGGATGATTATCGAAAAGCTTTTGGGAAGGCTATGGGACAGGGAAGAAGTGTTAAACAATTGTTTGTGATTAAAAATGAGGCGGCGGGAAATGCGAAAATTTGAATTTTTCATAAAATTTTTGACAATTTTTCGAAAAATATTTATTATCTCTCCTTGGTAAAATTAGATATATGGGGTTAGATTACAAAAAAAATCGATTATCATAGGGAATACATCAAAATCTACAGCCATTAGTGCGCTAAATTCCAAAAAAATCAATCGATAAATAATTATTGGGGCGGGGAGGGTTAGGTTAAAATAAGGATATGGATTAAATAGAGGAGAGACCACCGGTGTATTTCTTCAGCAAAATATTTTGGGAAAATGGGAAACGGGGAAGGGGGGAGGGGGCAAGTTGGCCTAACTGCATGCGCATTTGCGGGCGACCATGCCATTAACATTGGCAATCGAGACGCGGCCATCGCGGTTGACGTAGAGCAAACGAATGTAGTCGTATCTGCAAGAAATGAGGGTTTAAAGGCGCATAGGAACGTTGTGTAGTTCTCGAGGAGAAGTTTTATTTATTTTTGTTTTTTGGGATTTTTGTGTTTTCCTAAATTTACATTTTGAAAAATCCGATTGACTTTCAGACAAATTTTCAGAACTCACTGAGTTGGATGGCAGCAAACCGAAGATCTGCTCAAAATATCATTCTTCTCTCCTCCCTTCTGCAAAGCAGCAACAACTTTATGATGTCCATAATCCAAGAATGCCGGTTTGTTCTCTCCATAATCACAAGTTCCACGACAGACATAAGCATTATAACGATCCGGTGCAACAATCCAATCCCATCCGATCTTCTCAAAATCAATCTCCAAATCATACAAGCAACAAGTCTTCTCTTTCGAATCCGCGTGACAAACCGCAGCCGAAGTGTCACGACGTTTTCTGCTGCTGGAGGACATGGATTGTGTTGGCGCCATTGTGATTTGCAAGATCATATTCTCATAGTCATTCATTGTCTCTTGCGGGTGAATTGCGATATTCTTTCCAGAGAATTTGGCGGAGACGAAGATTCCCTTGGTGTTTGGCTCGGCTTCAATCAATCTTCCAACATCTTTTGGCGGGATTTGAACGGTTAAACGTTGCGAATTTGAAATGGTGTGAAAGGCGGTGACGATAAGATCTCCGAGTTTTCCATCAGTCGATTTTTCGTAGACTTGAATGTTGACTTCTTGATTGTAAGTCGGGATGTCAAGATAGGCGTAGAACGAGAGTTTAGCCTGGAAAATCACAATTCAGAATGATTCACATAATAATAAGTATAATAAACTCACTTCCTTAACCTGAGCCGCTTCAAAATCATGAGTCCCAAAATCGAAATAGGAGATCAAACTAGATTCATCCTCTCCATTCGACGGATCACTTGCTATAACCATCACAGTCTCTTCTTCAGCCATCAATTTCAATTCCAATTCATCCATGTTCTCTTCGGCCAATCGACGCATCTCGCGACGCATTTCAGCCGACGGCATTTTTTCTTTTGGTACATTTGGTGGCGCATCCATGCCAAGTTGAGTGAGAATCGTTTTCTGCAAATGTGCTATATGGTATGTCAACTAGAGTGTAGTTTAGTTATGTAGCGTTCTTTGGGATACTTGTAGCTATATCAGCATGTCCCTTTAACTACCGTACACTGTTTTCCTCCCCGTTTTCTATAGCAATTATCAGAAAAATCCCCGGAGACGTGGCATTTCTGAATGACGTCGTCTTCCTCTCGTAGTTTCTGATCGACCAAAATCATAAATAAATAACAAGAATACAAAAAAACTCCTACCTACTACCTACTATATAGATATTTTTAGCTCCCCGGAGAGGCCTACGTCATCTTCAGGGGGCCTAATGACCTGAACATCGCTCGAGCCTACAGATCTACAGGTCTACAGGTCTACAGCCTACAGCCTGCAGGTCTACAGCCTACAGGTCTACAGCCTACAGGTCTACAGCCTACAGGTCTACAGTCTACAGGTCTACAGGTCTGCGTAAATGACCCTCGGCCTTTCGAAGATCTAAAAATAGGCCACAGTAACCCAGGCCGGACTCACATTTTTGAGTTCGGGAGGAAAAAACGGAAATGTTTGCGGAAATTGTGTTTTGTTAACCAAACATATAATCTAGTCACCCTCGAAAATTTTCAAACAACTTTTTTCCTGGAATTTGTGAGAGCCGGCCGGAAAAACAATTTGATGAGCTAGCTGAGCATTTCCAACAAAAATTTTTTTGAATTCAGGTCGGCTCTTTAGGAGCCCCTATTTAAAATTTAAATTTTCAAATTTCGCGGGTCAAAAGCCTTCAATTTGATGAACTTTTTGAATGATTTTTGAGCAGTTTTCAAAAATTTTCGAAATTCAAAATTTTTTGATCTACCCCCCAAAAATTCCCCGCCCCACAACTTACCATAACTTCCGCGGTCCGCTGATGTTTCAATTGTTCATAGCACAACGAGTCCTTTGGGCAAGCATCGGACAGAGCAGTCACCACCAGAATAGCGCCAATAAGTGCACCAAGAAGTCGCATGTTTTGAAGAAGAAAGTTTCAGAAGAGTAGTACTGAAGAGTGAAGAATTTCAGCAAATTCCAGCCGCTTTAAATAAACAAGCTTCTGCTGCTGCTCCCCTCGATTTTCGCTCCAAGCTCCGCCCCTTTTTCAGAAAAGTGGGCGGAGCTTGCTCTTTTCAACAACGCGGGTTTTTTTTGACGTGGAAAAGTTTATACACCGGAAAATAAAAAACATTTGGAAGAATACAATTAAAAAAATGGTCCCGAAACGCAAAAATACAGTACATGAACGATGCGACTTTAATTATCTCCAATTGAGTTGTTGAGCTTGGATTTTGGCTGAAAAAATGGGTATGGAATTACTGTAGCATACATTTTCGGGGGATTTTTTTTGAAGTTCAGAGCTACAAATCGAGTTCACATTTTTTAGTATAGATTTGGCATTTTTTGTTGGGATTATTATAGTTTTAGCATTTTCAGCCGGAAAGTTCGTGAGATAAGAAGAAGAAGAAGAAGATTTGGCATTTGCATATAGATCTTTGGATAGTAGCGGATGCTTGAGCTTGGAGGCGTCAAGGAGCGGACCCTTGAGCTCACGTTGGATCTAGGAGTGATTGCTTGACAGAATGAGTTGTGATAAGGAGTGAGGCCTTGAGAATCTTGTCTAGGAGCGAGCCCTTGAGCTGGATTTCAGGAAACCATAGCAAAGTTCTTTGAACTATCTCAAATTTTATGAATTTTTCCGTCAAAACAACATTGTTCGGTCTAGACACCATTCAAAAGTGTCACAAGACCAAGAAAACTTTTTGGCTGCTTGACAAAAATATATTTTCAAGGGGTGGTGGCTTGTCACATCAATATGACGACAAGGGATCACTGCTTGGTAAAATATTGAATGTCAAGCAACGGTGCCTTGTTTATCAGAAACTTTTCTCAAGGGCCAACCGCTTAACAACCCAGAATCATGTCAAGGGTTCGTTGCTTATCACCATCATGTCTCCTCAAGGCACCAACACTTGTCAAAACATGAAAAAACTTCTAAGGATCGATCACTTGTCCAAAAAATCAACAACAACAACACCTCCCTCACTTCCTTTTCTTTGGAAAAACGTGTGCTCGTTTCCTGTCTGCCCCAAAACTCCTCAAATCCACCCTCAATTCCGGATTCTCCGGAAATTGAACTTTTCGTCGAAAAGTTTTTCGCATTATTTTCCAAATGTTTTTTTTCCAATTTGCGCCGGAAAAGCGAGATGATTAATCCGAATTTTGTTTGACATTTTCTGAATTTTCGTGTTTAGAAAAAGGGAGTTATAATACGATTTTTGTAGGGGACGATGGTACAATTTTCATCCTTTTTGTCTTTCTCAGAATTACTAAGCAAAAACAACGATTTAGTATAGTCGCAGTGGCTACTTGACAGATTTTTGTGGGGTGAAGGGTTGGATGCTTGACAGAAAAATCGGTTGGCAAGGATTGGCTGCTTGACAAATGTGATCTTCGTCAAGGGATGGATGCTTGTTGGAACAATGAGCTGGCAAGGTACGAATCCTTGGCGAACAAGATAGGATGTCTAGGGTTGAACACTTGACAGATGAATCAGTTGACAAGGGATGACTGCTTGACAGATGTGAGCTTTGTCAAGGAATGGATGCTTGTTGGAACAATGAGCTGGCAAGGTACGAATCCTTGGCGAACAAGACAGGATGTCTAGGGTTGACCACTTGACAGAAAAATCAGTTAACAAGGGATGGATGCTTAACAGGATTTCTCTTGATATCAAGGGATGGATACTTGTCGGAACAATCAGTTGACAAGGGATGAGTCCTTGGCGAACAAGAGAAAAACGTGTAGGGTTGACTGCTTGACAGAAAAATCATAAAATTGCACTTGAAGCTTTAAAAAAACTCCCACATTTTTTTTCCAAAAAATCGCAGAAAAAGTCCCCAAATGACGGCAATAAGTACGTAGGATTTTCGAACTTGTGAAAAAAAAACATAGTCGGGGGATTTCGAGAGAGAAAAGGGCACACGAATTTTTCAAATCAGCTTTTCAGATCAGATTAGTGTGGGGATTTTGATATTATTTGGTTCGGGGCAGGCAAAAGAGCATGAAACAATTTTTCGGATCAAATAGTTGTCTAGGGATGGCTGCTTGACATATGGATTAGCTCATCTAGGCTTCGCGCCTTGACAAAAATATGAATCCCCTAGGCTTGACTGCTTGAGCTCAATACTCGTCACAAGGCTCCACTGCTTGAGCCCTACCTATATCTTCAAGGCTGCACTCCTTGACAAGGTAGATCCTCTCAAGGCTCCGCTGCTTGACCCATATGTTCATCTTCAAGGCTCCCTTCCTTGACAAGAGTAGTTCCTCACAAGGCTCCACTGCTTGAGGCCTGCCTTTATCTTCAAGGCAGCACTCCTTAACAAGAGTAGTTTCTCACAAGGCTCCGCTGCTTGACAAGATTTCCGAAATTCAAAAATAGCACCTGCAGGCTCGTCATTTCCAAAAAATTTGTATTCCCCCCCCCCACATTTACAAAAAGGCTTACGTCAAGCCAAAAAAACTCACCAGAACAAAAATATTGGCAGGAAGTGTGCGAAGCGCGTGTTGGAGCAAATTATCGGCAACTTGGGGGCTCCTAAAGACCTTAGGGATTTTTTAAGAGTGGTTAGGGTGGTTACCTTAAGGTGATTCTTGGGAAAATCAACCGTCCCGCACTTAGTGCCATCACAATAACATTGATTTTCCGCGATTTTCCGGGCAATACAGTCAATGTGATCTGTAAAAATTGGATGTTTGATCTTGTGACGCATTCCGACTCAAAAATAGATCAATTCGTCATCAGAATTGAACACGTCATTCTAATTATCATCATAATGGAGTACTACGAGATCAGAACTTGTTCTATTTTTTGCATCAAACTTGATGATAAAAATGATGTACTTGGGGGAATAGTCATGATGTAAGTGCGTTTGGGGAGAAGCTAAATATAGGGGTAAGGAGTCACTGCTTGGGAGCAGAAAAAAATAGCCAAGGGATCGCTGCTTGGGAGCTAGACGTGGTGTCTAGGAGTGGCTGCTTGGGAACTAGATATGGAGATAAGGAGCCACTGCTTGAGGGAAGGTTTGATGAGAAGCATTGGCTGCTTGGAAGCAGAAAAATTTGCCAAGGGATCGCTGCTTGGGAGCTAGACGTGGTGTCTAGGAGTGGCTGCTTGGGAGCTAGCTATGTAGATAAGGAGCCACTGCTTGAGGGAATGAGAAGCATTGTGAGCAGCAAAATTAGCCAAGGGATCGCTGCTTGGGAGCTAGATGTGGTGCCTAGGAGTGGCTGCTTGGAAACTAGCTATGGAGATAAGAAGCCACTGCTTGAGAGAGATATTTGTGATCAAGGCACCATTGCTTGGGAACCAATTTTTGACCAAGGAATACCCCCTTTAGCTCTAAATTTTCCCAAAATCGCTGAAAATTCCAGATTTCTCAAAATTTTTGTATCTTGTCAACAAAAACAAAAATCGGCTACCGTATTCCAAGCAGACAACCTTATTAGACATTTAAAGCGGATTAACTTTACTAAAATTAATAATTTTTTCTCTTTTTTTTTCGTCGGTGTCTAGAATTACTAATTTTAATATTTAATTTAATTTTTTTTTGCCCCAAAAAAAAATAAAAAGGGAAAAAACTTACCCTACGCTCGCCGCTGAACATAAAAACATCATTGAGATCAAAATTGGCAGTGATTTCGATGGCCTAAAAAACACTTCATTTTTTTTCGAGCTTGTCCGAGAGAACTACACAAACCTCATTGTGATGACTGCAAAGTTCGAAACAAATATCGATTGGTTGGCGGACGATGGCTGGACTGGTTTTGATGTTGGCATGAATTGAGATTGGACACGGGATGACTGGAATACGGCACAGTGGAACCACTGAACGAACCGGGCATGAATCGGCAAGGTTTCTGGAGGAAAAACACATAACAGTTTAGTATGAGCAATGCTTTGAGAATCTTAGAATTCAGGTTTTTGTAGTTTAATATGAGCAATTCATCTTATAGAGCTCTCAAAATCCAAGCTAACATGAGCAATGTTTTTGGAATATTCAAGCTCCAGTGACTTGGAAATTCTTAAATAATCTGAGCGATCCTTCAAAACACGGAAATCGTTTATGTAGAAAAAGTCGAGTTTATCATGAGCAATCATCAATTTTAGCTATTGAAACTAGATCTCTGGTCCAAAGCTATGTCCATTTGGTCATAATATGAGCAATGTTCCTAACGACAATAATCCATGTTAATCTGAGCAATGTATGAGATCAAAAAATCTCAGTTTTCCAGACATTTTCAGAGCAATTAATAATAAAAATCGGATAATTTTCTCGAAAATTCCCAGCCAATTTTTTTCAACTACAAAAAATCGGAGAGAAAATCAGACTTCAAGAACAAGTTTTCTCTGGACTTCTAATTGTTAGATTTAGTTTAGAATGAGCAATACTATTTCAATTTATTAATCCACGTGGCAAACTTTGAGTTTACCATGAGCAATAGTATTTTCGAAACTCACGAAACAAATTTGGCAAATTTTGAATCGGACCCGAAAAATCGGACCACTTTTTCAAAAAAGTCAATTTTTTTGGTGCAAAAATCAGGAAATTTTGAAAAAAGTGGTCCGATTTTTCGGGTTCGATTCAGAGTTTTTCTCAAAAAATCGGACCTGGTCCGTTTTTTTTTGTGGTGTCACCCTGGTCCGATTCAGAAAACCCTCAAAATCGGGTCCGATTCAAAAACTGCCAACAAATTCCTGCCCAAAATGTTCCCGGTGCAAAAAGTAATGTCAGAGTTATTTTTGCCAGAGTTATTTTTACTCATCGGAAATATGTAAACTTCAAAATACATACGGTAACTTCCTCTCCATCTTTCTCTTCTGATCAAAAATCCGGCCGGAAATGCTACCGTACTCCTATTTGTCAGCCAATCACATAAAAGGATGAATGAGTAGGGAGAAGAAGAAAAAAGGCGCGTTTTGTAGTTTGCAAAATACACACAAGACTACAATTTGTTTTGTAGAGCAGGAAAATACGGCAAAAATAGAGATGAGGGGGCGAGAAGAATTAGAATTGGAACAAAATACAGGGGGGAGCCTTAAGCAGCCAACCCTTGACACGAAAATCATCTGACAAGCGTTGGCCCCTTGAGCAGAGATGTTTCTGACAAGCAACCAACCCTTGACATAACACTGTTATTCTTTTTCTCATCCAGAGTTCCGATAAGTCCAGAAAACTTGATCTAGAAGTTTGAACCTTCAAAATCTTGTATACTCAATTACAGCAATTTTAAAAATTGGCTGGGAATTGGAATTTTTCGAGAAAATAAGTGCATTTAATTGCTGGGAAGTCTGGAAATCGGAAAATCACTGATTTTTGAACTGCGAGAAGGGCGAAAACATTGCTAATATTAGAAAAATGTTCGAAAAGTGTTCAGCGAGCGCAAAAATGACAAAATACCAAACGAATCGTGATATTTCTTGGAATTATCCAACCAATTCTGCAGAATTCCAAAATCTCATCCTCGAGCAAATTATTGGGGCCGCGCAAGTTCGATTCCTGCTGCCCGCTAATCTCAAAAACAATCGTTTTTGTACACAAAACAAAATGTGTTCCCAGGTGACTTGAATGAAGAAGAAGAACAGCAATTAACCAAAATAGAATATTATCATCAACAAAACAAAATGCCACGTCATAGGCTCTACCAGGCGTTCTAAGGAAAAAAACGACAATTTTTGTCAGCGACGAGGTTCAAAAAACAACGATGCTCCGTTCAAAAGCGAAAAACTACGATACTCCACGTTTACACCTCAAAAAATTATGGAAAACATGATTTTTTTCATTTTCTAACGATACTCCATGTTTACGGGGTCATTTTTCATGGTTTATGATGGAAAATGACCCAGTGAACGTGGAGTATCGTTTGAAGCGTCGTTTTCATATCAAAACGACAATTTTTGTCAGCGACACGAAGTTACGACCAAAAAAAGAAAGAAAATTAATTTTTTTCTGAGACTGAGGGACAAAAAAAAATCAAATTTCCTGTAGTTTTTCTTGAGAATTGGGGAAAAACAATTATCAATGGAGCGCACTTTAGCAGAACTCCATTGCTCATATTAAATTCAGAGTTTTCAATTTCAAGTAGATCAAAAATTTTCGTACATACATTGCTCATGTTAAAGCTGTTGCGGATCAAAATGAGCAGAATGTGAATTTCAGGAATTTTCAGCCAAAAATTCCACAAAAAAAATCTGAGAAAACTAAAAAACTAGCCAAATTTCTCGCATTTTATACCTACCAGTGGCGAAAATGTGAAAACAAGAAAAGTCTAGACAAAACTACCAAACTGACTGACCAAACTACACTCTAGTCAACAAGCTTCTGGAAGAGTTCGCCTAAGGTATACGGTAGATCGGTATTTTGTGTCTGTTCACAAAAGATACCATAACATCAAAGAAGCCTGTCAAACTAGACTCTAGTCAACAAGGTATACTGTAGATCGGTATTTTGTGTCTGATACCATAACAAGCCTGTCAAACTACACTCTAGTCTCATTATTTCCTCCCGATCCTTGTGCTTTCCAAAAATAGCCCATTTCCTTGTGATAATGATAAAAAATTAGTAGGAAGCAATCCCAAAGGTGTTGAAATGCGTCATGAACCAAGTGGCACAAAATAATAAGGTTTTTAGACATGAGGGGTTGACAAATCAGGCTTTCAGGTCTGGATTGGGCCTCAGGTATGTTAATGTCTTAAAGGAGGAGCTGAGGATAAGCCTGAAGGTAGTCCAAGAAGCCTGAAAGCCTGGAATGCCTGATATTTTCCAGAGCAGGCCTAATCCAGCCCAACTTCCTCTATCAGGCCTAAACCAGGCCTTTCCAATTCCAAAAATAGCCCCAAAACTTGTTAGTCACTATGCGATTTGCGTCAATCCGCTAATTTTTGTCATTGTTTTTCACTTTTGCCCCAAATTCTCTAGTTCTTCTGACTTTTTTAATTTTTCAAGTCATCCAAAAATGAAATTTGGCTGGAAAATTGGGGGCTGAGAAAAGCCCTGGAAAGCCTAGGAAGCCTAGAAAGCCTAGAAAGCTTAAAGCCTAGAAAGTCTAAGCCTAACTTTTCCAGGCCTGAGAAGCCTATAGCCTAGAGAACCTAAAGCCTATTGCTCAGAGAATCTAGAACCCTAAGCCTAAAGCCTAGATCCTAAAGCCCAGAGAAGCGAAAGCCTAATCCCTAATTTTCAAGGCCTAAAAGGCCTGAAGCCTAATTTTCAAGGCCTAAAATCCGGGGCCCATAATTCTTTAAGGACCACACAAAACTTTGAACTCTCAATTTTTTTGCCTCTAGTTTTTAGCCCAGGCTTAACCCTGTCTGATCCTTTTTCAGTCGCGCGAAAAATTGGATAAAAAATTCTAGAATTTTCTATTTTCTAGAGAAAAAGGGGGAATTTTTGTAGTTTATATGGGGCAAAAAAAAAGCAAGTAGTTCTTGAAAAATTTTGTTGTTGTTTTCTCAACGAAAAAAAATAGACCACGTGCTTGTTTTTGTGAAGTTATAATAACTAATTAGCATGATTTTTCAAAAAAAAAAAGATTTTTTTTTTTGATTTTTAAAAATGAGGGAGGAAAGACTACAGTGTAGTTTATTTTTCTAATATCAAAAATCAAATTTCACAATTTTATATGAATTTTAGCTCAGAAATCACTGCGGGACTATTATTTTTGATTAATTTTAATTATAGAGGCTCAAGAGTCCTAATTAACCGATTTTAGGACAAAATTCCTCATTTTTCTCGAAATTCGCATGAAAAACCACAATTTCGGCTCAAAATTCATCAATTTTTACAAAAAATCAAAATTTTCAGCTCAGAAAACGCTTCAGGAATCAAAAATCACCATTTTCTATGAAATTTGACTCAAAATTCATCAATTTTCGCCGAAATTCAAGTTTTTCAGCCGAGAAATCACTGCGAGACCTAAAACTTATCAATTTCTATGAAATTTGGCTCAAAATCCATCATTTTCTTTCAAATTTCGAGTTTTTGAGCTCAGAAATCACTACTAGTCCGAAATTCCCTAATTTTCAGATTTACAAGCAAAAAATGATTCAGGGATTAAAATTCACCATTTTCAGTAAAAATTCAAGTTTTTCAACTCAAAAATCGCTGTGGGACCCGGAATTCACCATTTTTAATGAAATTTGGCTCAAAATCCATCATTTTCAGTCAAAATTCAAGTTTTTCAGCTCAAAATCCACCCAAAACCCCCGTACCTCTTCCATTCGACCGCCAATCTTCCCAACGGTGTTTCACCATCATCCTCTTTCGCCTCAATTCTCAACGCAATCGAATAGCAAATAATCTCCTCTTTTTCCACTTCATCATTCAATTCATTTCCAGCTCCACCATTTTTGTGATCAACAAATCCAACAACATCGGCCATGAGAAATTCGACTGATTTGATGATTAAAGAATCGGCCGACAGGATTTGAACGTTTAGAATATGATCACAATGATTTAGGATTGATTGCATTGGAATTCCGGACATGTTTAGAACTTGACTTTGAATTTGGAAGGGTTCTTTTGCTAGGACATTTATCGGAATGTTTGAAGTCTCTTTTCGAATTTCGGAATTTTCTTCAAATTCATAGGATAGCTGGAAAATCGGGGAGATTTTTGGGGGAAAATCGGGATTTTCAGCAAATTTTTAGGCCTAGAAATATTGATTTTTAACTTTTTTGGCGCCAAAAAACCTACAGAAGACCTGGTTTAAAAATTTCCGATGTTTCGCGAAATTTTTTTCCCGGGCAAAAATACGTTTCAAATTTTTGTATCCAGAAAAAATCCTGGGTCATGTTTTTCATGAAAACATGATTTTTAGGTCAAAATTTATCGATTTTTTTCGAAATTTTGGCTCATTTTTCATGAAAATTTCAATTTTAGGTCAAAACTTCCCAAATTCCAGGCTAATTTTCAGTGCCAAAACTGGTTGCTTCAAATTCGGAAAAAAAATAATTTTCAAATTTTTGTAACCAGAAAAAATCCTGGTTTTTCATGAAAATTTCAACTTTTAGGTCAAAATTTATCGATTTTTCCAAATTTTTGGCTCATTTTGCTCCAAAATGCTCACCTCCAATTGCAAATCATATTCCCCAATCAATTGTGCCGAAAACCTCACATCAATCTCCAAAAATCCACCATTTTCTGGCCAAACATCACAAATCTTTTGCGAAAATTCGGATTTCAATTCGATTCCATCTTGATCCACAAATAGAACAGCCGCCGCTTCAGTTTGTTTTTGTTCATTCCTTTTAAAGTCCAGACGGCAGTTTTTCAGCGCGTTTTTGGTGATATTTTCGAGTTTTAGGCGAGTTTGCGCAACTTCGCCGATTAGACATTGAATTCGCGCGGGTTCAGCGAGTTTCACGCCCGATTTTATGCCGGTTATTCTGGAAAATTCAAAAAAAAATTTAAATTTCGCTCTGAGCCGGACTTGATCCAGCACCTTTTGATCAATTCATTTTTTTTTCAAAAATCGATAATTTGCCACGTGGATTTGAAGATTTCGGGGTAAAAATTGAAAAATTCAAAAAAAAAAGTTTTCAAGTTTCGCTCTGAGCCGGGCTCGATCCAGCACCTTTTGATCAATGAATTTTTTTTCAAAAATCGATAATTTGCCACGTGGATTTGAAGATTTCGGGGTAAAAATTGAAAAATTCAAAAAAAAAGTTTTCAAGTTTCGCTCTGAGCCGGACTCGATCCAGCACCTTTTGATCAATGAATTTTTTTTTCAAAAATTGATAATTTGCCACGTGGATTTGAAGATTTCCGAGTAAAAATTGAAAAATTCAAAAAAAAAAATTGAATTTCGCTTCTGAGCCGGCCTCGATCCAGCACCTTTTGATCAATGAATTTTTTTCAAAAATCAATAATTTGCCACGTGGATTTGAAGATTTCGGCGTAAAATTGAAAATTTTGAAAAAAAAAATTCAATTTCGCTCTGAGCCGGACTCGATCCAGCACCTTTTGATCAATTCATTTTTTTTTCAAAAATTGATAATTTGCCACGTGGATTTGAAGATTTCGGCGTAAAAATTGAAAAATTCAAAAAAAAAATTGAATTTCGCTCTGAGCCGGACTCGATCCAGCACCTTTTGATCAATAATTTTCTCCTGAACTTCAGTATGGCCAAATTTCCAAAAAAATCGAAAAAGAAAACTACAATGCTCCGCGTTTACACCACAAAAAAATGCATTATTTTCATCTAGGTGTAAACCCGGAGTGTTGTAGTTTTTCAAGAGACCTCAAAAAACATCGATTTTTGGAGGTGTAAAAGTGGAGCATCGTTTTTTTGTGACTTGACGCCGAATTTTATATCAAAAATCTTCAAATTTTCCCAAAATTTCCAAATTTTCGATCAAAATTAGCCTAACTCACTTCAAAACCTCAACTCCCAACACATCTTCGACCGGCAAATTTCGATTCAACGAATTCTCATCAAATTCCAATTGTCCAAACATCAACGACGTGGATTTTTGTCCAAATTCCAGCAAGACCTTCGCAACTTGAACTATTTGATTCTGCTGTGCTCCAGATGATTTGAGGCTCAAAAATCCCCCAATTTTCGCCGGTTTCAAACTGGATACTTCGATTTGATTTCCCAAACAAATCGGATCGAATTGGAATTCTCCAGCCTTGCAAATCACCAGAATTTGATCTATGATTATCGATTTTTCGATTTCACTTCGAATTTCACATCTGATTGCGATTTTCGAGTTGATTTCCACGATGTGTTGATCCAAAAATGAGATGTAGACATTTAAAAATGTTTCGATTCTTGAAGCTTGGATGTTGAAAAATTGGCGATCTGCCAACACTTTTTGCCATTGTTGTTGATAGGTTTGAAGCTGGAAAAATCAGATTTTTGTGGGGGCGGAGCCTATTCTGCAACCCTGGCACAAACCTGCATCAAATTCACATCATCTTTTGGAAATGGAACTGCCGGAACTCGCGATGCCAACAAATCGAGAAATGCAGTTTCACAATTTGATTCGAGAAGCTTCGAATAATTTGGGCATAGAAGTTGAATACATCCGGCCGCGAAATCTGGAGAAAATTTGAATTTTGAGAATTTCGCGGGGCAAAAATCATGCGTAAAGGTGGATTGTCGTTTGAAAATCAAATATCACGATTTTCTGGTGTTTTTTGAGGTGTAAAAGCGGAGCATTGTAGTTTCAAACAATACTCCACGTTTACGGGGTCATTTTTCATGAAAAATTCAAATTGTTCGCAAAAAATCATGGAAAATACCGTGTAAATGTGAAGTATCGTTTGAAAATGCAAAAAATCACGTTTTGCATCATTTTTTGAGGTGTAAACGCGGATCATTGTAGTTTTGAACGATACTCCACGTTTACGGGGTCAATTTTCATGAAAAATACAAATTTTTCACCGAAACCATAGAAAATGACGGTGTAAACCTGGAGTATCGTTTGAAATTCAAATATCACGGTTTTAACGGTGTAAACGCGGAGCATTGTAGTTTCAAACAATACTCCACGTTTACGGGTTATTTTTCACAAAAAATCAAATTTTATGCCAAAAATCGCAAAAAATGACGGTGTAAACGTGGAGCATCGTTTGAAAATGCAAAAAATCACGTTTTCCATCATTTTTTGAGGTGTAAACGCGGAGCATATTAGTTTCAAACAATACTCCACGTTTACGGGGTCATTTTTCATTAAAAATTCAAATTGTTCGCAAAAAACCATGAAAAATGACGGTGTAAACCTGGAGTATCGTTTGAAAATGCAAAAATCCCGGTTTTCTAGTGTTTCTTGAGGTGTAAACGCGGAGCATTGTAGTTTCGAACGATACTCCACGTTTACGGGCTCATTTTTCACGAAAAATTCAAATTATTCGCAAAAAATCATGGAAAATGACCGTGGAAACGCGGAGCAACGTTTGAAAATTCGAAAAATTCAATTTTCCATCATTTTTCAAGGTGTAAACGCGGAGCAATGTAGTTTTTACCATTTCAAACGATACTCCACGTTTACAGGGTCATTTTTCATCAAAATCCATAAAAAATGACGGTGTGAACCTGGAGTATCGTTTGAAAATGCAAAAATCACGTTTTTCATGATTTTTTTGAGGTCTAAACGATACTCCACGTTTACGGGGTCATTTTTCATGGAAATTAAGGTAAAAATGCTCATTTTTCTCAAAAATCTCGATTTTTCCACCAAAACCCTCACCAAAATCTCACCTTTAACACTAGCAATTGCATAACTCGCCCAAACAGCTCGATGCATAATATCTTTCCTAATTGAATACGGTAATGCTGCGTCTCGCGCCACAATCGACCACAATTGCAGGGCTTTTGGTATTTCATTGTTCGCATAGCTCACATTTCCCATTTCGAGCATCACTTTTTTCTGCATTCGAATACAATTGTAGCGTTTGTATTGGCTCATGGCGGCGCTTAGTAGAGATATTACACCTTCGTGATTTATCACAAGTCGTTGCTGCAAAAATCGGGGAATTTTGATATATTTTTCATTGAAAATGACCCTGTAAACGCGGAGCATCGTTGTTTTTGCATTTTAAACGACACTCCACGTTTACGGGGTGAATTTCCATCAGAAACCATGGAAAATGACCGCGTAAACATGGAGTATCGTTTGAAAATCGGAAAATCACGGTTTCCCATCATTTTTAAAGCTGTAAACACGGAACATCGTAGTTTAAACGATACTCCACGTTTACGAGGTCAGTTTCCATCAAAAATCTGGAAAAATGACCCTGTAAACATGGAGTACCGTTTAAAACTACGAAGCTCCGCGTTTACACCTCAAAAAATGATGGGAAACATGATTTTTTTCGCATTTCAAACGATACTCCGAACGTTTACGGGGTCAATTTCGATCAAAAAATCATGAAAAATGATTCCGTAAACATGGAGTATCGCTTGAAAATCCGAAAATTACGTTTTCCCATCATTTTTCAAGGTGTAAACACGGAGCATCGTAGTTTTCAGCATTTCAAACGATGCTCCACGTTTACGGGGTCAATTTCCATCAAAAATCATGAAAAATGACCGCGTAAGCATGGAGCATCGTTTGAAAATCATATTTTCTATCATTTTCCGTGGTGTAAACGCGGAGCATCGTAGTTTCCGCATTTTAAAGCCACATAGAGCTACAGTACACCTACCGTAATCGCATTCACCGCGCTCGCCTCAATTTCAGGCGTGGCAAGACCATCGAATCCCACTCGCCACGGTCTTTGCCCAAAGAATACGGTATTTGGAGCCAGAGGATCGGGTGTTGGATATGGTGACGTCACTGGTGTGTCTGCAAGAAAATCGTGACGACGATACTCCGCGTTTACGGGCTCTGAACTCACTTCTCTTGAGCGCTGAAATTTCAGTATTTGCAGTGGAGTAGATGCTGGCGGCCTGGTCCAAATGTGTTCCCGGATTCAGTGTGGCGAGGGCCGTCAGGCCTCCGACCACAGCCTGATCGAATAATTGGGCAAAATGCCAGCACTGAAAACTAGACTGTAGTTTGTGGCGGGGTCAAACTAGACTGTACCTGTTTCGCTTTCCACAACAACAATTCAATTGAGGCCAAATTGAGTGTTGGATAGATGCCAGGAGCTGATTGGAAGAATATCGATTGATGTTTTCGCATTTGATTGACAGCTTCTAGAGCTGTACTGTGCAGGAAACACAGTTCGCACATCTGAAAAATCATTTTTCAAACGATACTCCAGGTTTACGGGGACATTTTCCATCAGAAACCATGAAAAATGACGGTGTAAACGTGGAGTATCGTTTGAAAATTCAAAAAAATCACGATTTCTATCATTTTTTGAGATCCAAACGATACTCCACGTTAACGGGATTATTTTTCATCGGAAACCATGAAAAATGACCCCGTAAACATGGAGTATCGTTTGAAAATGCAAAAAATCACGTTTCCCGCCTTTTTTGAGGTGTAAACGTGGAGTATCGTAGTTTTTCGCATTTTAAACAATACTCCACGTTTACGAAGTCATTTTTCATGAAATTTAAGTAAAAATGCTCATTTTTCATCAAAAATCTTGATTTTTGCATCAAAAACCTTGCCAAAAGCTCGTTTTCCATCATTTTTTGAGGTGTAAACGTGGAGCATCGTAGTTTCAAACGATACTCCACGTTTACGGGGTCATTTTTCATGGAATTTATATGAAAATGCTCATTCTGCATCAAAAATCTTGATTTTTGCATCAAAAACTTTGCCAAAAGCTCGTTTTTCATCATTTTTTTTAGGTGTAAACGTGGAGTATCGTAGTTTAAACGATGCTCCACGTTTACGGGGTCATTTTTCATGAAAAATCACGAATTTCAGGTCAATTTTTCGCGCTGAATTCGAAAAAATGCTCACCTTATAATTCAACAATCCGGCAACACTTCGCCACTCAAAAATATCCACTCCATCCCATTGTTCCAAAGTGTCCCTGCATTGATCGTAGGCCAATCGATAATTTCTGGAATTTTTTTTTTGAATTTTGCTGAAAATCTGTAGGTGGGGAAAAACTCACCATTTTTTGAATGCGAAATTTTCGGAAAATAAATTTTTTTGTGAAAAAAATCGAAAATTATCGATTTTTTGGCGAAAATGCCACGTCACACGTTTTTTTTTTTGAAAATTTTAAATGAAATTTTTATTCAAAGGTCAAACTAGAGTGTAGTTTGTGGAGATGAAGCAATTTTTGGGTTAAAACTTCCCAATTTTCTTGATTTTCAGCTAAAAATCTGACATTTCTGGTCAAAATTGATGTTCCAGAGCAAAATTCACCAATTTTCACGAATTTCGGCTGAAAATTCATGAAAAATCAAATTTTTCAGCGAAAATCACAAATTTTGAGTAAAAAATGATTTTCTAGGTCAAAATTTTACTCAAAAATTGAATTTTCTTCAAATTTTAGTTATAAATTCACTTTTTCAGCTGAAAATTTGAAATTTTTAGTCAAATTTGATTTTGCAGCTCAAATTTCACCATTTTTCTCAAATTTTGAGTCAAAACTGACTTTTTCAGCTCAAAATTCACAAATTTTCACAAATTTTTATCGAAAATTGACTTTTTTCAGCTGAAAATCTGAAATTTTTGATCAAAATTGATTTTCTAGATCAAAATTCATCATTTTTCACAAATTTTAGCTTAAAATTGACCTTTTCAGCTCAAAATTCATCATTTTTTTCAAATTTTAGCTTAAAATTCACCATTTTTCTCAAATTTTGGCTCAAAATCACCCAAATCACCCGAATTTCCTCCCAAAACCTTCCCAACCTCAATGCAGTATGTGTATCCTGTCTCAATTCAGAAATAAAAGCCAATTTGAACAATTGTCGAACATGCAAACTTGGCGTGTTATTCGGAATATTTCGACTTCGAATTGCCTTCAATTTTTGTTGATAAAATGATTGAGCAAGTTCGTGAAAGGCCGATTCGAGTTTGCAGATGTAGGCCTGCGAAAAATTGGGGCTTTTTTGGGCTTTTTTCAGGCCGGAAATGTGAAATTTCATGGTTTTTAACCTAGAATTCATGGTTTTGCTGAGAAATTAAACTTTAGAGCTGAAAATCATGGAATTTCAGCGAAATTTCAAATTTTTCATGATTTTAGGCTTAAAATTTATCTCATAGTGGAATTTTTCAAGATTTTTCAAGATTTAGTGAATTTTCTTGTAATTTCAGTTATTTTCAGCTGAAAATTGATGAAATTTCACGATTTCCAGCTGAAAAATCACAATTTTCTCGATTTTCAGCTGAAAATTCAGTTCAAACTCAAATTTTGCAGCTAAAAACCAGGTTTTCGTGATTTTTGATGTAAAAAATGCGAAATTTCATGATTTCCAGCCAAAAATTCTGAATTTTCCAAGTTTTCCACACAAAAATTACAATTTTCTTGATTTTCAGCTGAAAAATGCGATTTTTCACGGGATTTCATGAAATTTTGCAGCTAAAACTCAGGTTTTCGTGATTTTTCAAGATTTATTGATTTTTTCAGGTAGAAAGCTCATTTCAATGAATTTTTCGAATTTTCTTGTAATTTCAGCTCTTTTTAGCTGAAAATTTATGAAATTTCTCGATTTTTAACTTAAAAATCAAATTTTGCAGCTAAAAACCAGGTTTTCGTGATTTTTGATGAAAAAAAGCCGAAATTTCATGATTTCCTGTCAAAATTTCATAATTTTTCAGATTTTCCACCCAAAAATCACCCACCGGAATATCTCCATGAATCGGCAAAACAAAAAGATGTTTTGGTGTCAAACTGCAAATCTGACAAAGCGCATGAGCTCTTTCAGCCGCCAAATTATCCTCGCTATTTGTTGATTTTTCCTGTAGCATGACGAGTGCAATTTTGGTGGTCCCATTTTTCTGCTGCAATTGGCTGCGAATACTCGCCACTTTGCTCTCCGCTTCCAATTTTTTCTCCTCCCAACTTGGATGATTCCAATCCAAATCGACGAAAAGAACAATGAGAGCTGGAATCTGGTCCAAATATTTTGTTGGCCAATCTCGTCTCAAGATTCCCTTCTCTCCTGCCTGTTTTTCGCGTTTTCCAGGCAAATCGAGTTCTCCGCTGATGATTCGAAGTTGAAGTGGTGGTTTATCGACGCGATTTTGTCGCAAACTATTTACAATGATATTGTGATGATTTTTGTTGGTTGGGTCCAGCCCAGAAATGAATACAAGTTGCAAGGGTCGACCTGCGAGCCAATCACCGGCTTCTACAGGATCCATCGACTGCCTATTGAAGAGAAAAAAACTTTCCTGAACATTTCTAAAACCCTTTAGGTTTTCAAGGTTTTAGGTATGCATAAAAAGATGCTCTACTTTTATTGTTAGTTGTTATTGTGAATGAAGTTTCAACAAATGAAATGAAATGTCAACAATTTATTGAAGACATGAAGTAATAACAAAAACAATCAGAAAGTTGTCGACGATGCTGATGTAGATCTAGTCGAGCTGGAAAAAAAAGAATATTGATTTTTTTGAACAAAAATAAACATTTTTCCCCCCGGAAAGTTTTATTATTCAGACATTTAATGGAATTCATCGAATTTTTTCGCACGTTTTACATTCGTGGGAGATAGAGAAATATGAAATGTTCAACTGGTTTTTGAGCGAAAAATTGCAGAATTTCAACAGATCGCCTTCGAAACGTCATTTTTATCGCAGATCTAACTAAACTTATAACCGCAGAACGCAGATATAGTAATGGATGCCTGCTTTTCTCGATAATTTTAGAAGGGGCCCTTATTTTTCGAAAGCAAAACTTACTTTCTTGAATCCGATGTCCTTAGCTTGCTCACGGAAGCATCTACGGCAGAGGTCAAGTCCGTACTTGCGGATAAGTCCGTGGTGTCCGGCGCAGACGCGGCTGAAATGAAAAACAAATTTAGTTTGGTTCCAATAAAACCCTCGTCATCCGCTTTTTTCCCACTATAAAAATTTAATGTTCAACTGTTTTTGAGCAAAAATCCTCATAAATTCAAAAATTCGCCTTCGAAACGTCATTCATCTCGCAGGACTAACTAAACTTATAACCACATTTGCGGATATAGTAATGGATGCCTGCTTGAAGTTTTATTTGCCCATAAAAATGCGTCGAAGCCAAAAATAACCACTTACCACGAGCGAGATCCTGGTCCGAATTTACGTGGGTGGGAGAACCACAAATTTTGGAAACCCATGTTGAAATTGGCTGGAAAGAAAACGATAATTGATCTTTGGACTTTCAAATAAACAAAAACACTAAAAATAGAGTAGTAGAGGTTAAACGACTAATTGGGTCACAAAAAGAAAAACAAATTACATGCACAAAAATTGAATTTGACGGAAACAGAGTGCTTTGCTAATAAAGACCCCCCTCGGAAAATGTGGAATATTTGATGTAATTTGCGAGAGGAAAGAACAAAGGGTATAAAAAAACGGAGAGGAAGTAAAATATTGGATTTCCAGGAAAATATTGCTTTACGAAATTGGGAACGATAAATATTCTTTGAAAGTAAATCACAAAGCCGCTTTATTTCTATTTTTGGAAGGGAAATTGTATTCATTAAAGACAAATCTAATCCAGGAAATCAGAAAATACCAAAGAGTTTTCTTGGTAAGGCAATTCGAAAATAATCGAATATCTTCGAAAATCAAAAAATCTGCTTTTACTGGGAAAGATAATCTGAAAAATGAACAGAAACCAGAAAAAACACTTTTTGGCGAGTTTTTTGTGAGAAAATATCGATTTAAATGAAAAATGATGACAATTTCATGAAAATTGAGAAAAATAAACGTTTCAAGGTCTGAATTGCTAGCCTGAAACTAAAAAATCTTAGAATAAGTTGGAATTCAACTCAAAAATTGAAAGTTTCGAAGAAAACTTCGATTTTTTGAGAAAAACTCATTTTTTCTCGAAATTTCGCCCGAATCGAAGAATTTCCTGGATTTTCTATGAACCTAGCCTTCTCTACAACCCTTAAATCAAATTCTCCATCAAAAATAACCCAATTTCCCCCAAAACCACTTGAAAACCCCTAAAAATTCCCAAAAAATAGGCGAAAAAAAGAAAAATAAAAAATGTTTTCCCCTTTTTCTCTGCCCGCAGCATACGGTAACACACACTCGAATGTGCGTCGCTCGCGACAAGACCCATTCTCTCTGCAACTCCGCCCCTCCTTTTCCACAGAAAGAAAAAAAGACGAGGAATTTTTTTTTTGTTGAGGAGAGAAGAAAAATGGGTGGAGCCAAAGACGGCGCGGCGATTTGAAAGAAGGCACATTCCTCTCTTCATTTTTGTGCTGCTTGTGTTGTGAATAAAAAAGGAGAGTGACTGAGTGTGGCTGATAAATAAATGAAATAAAATAGCAAGAAATAGAAAACGAAGAAGTTGACGACAACAAAATTGTTGTATTTTTTCCCTTCATATTCTAAACTATTTATATTTTTATTCTTATTATGTAATCGATTTTTTCGCCTGTTTCTTATCGAAAAATATTTATATATACATTTCCCATACTTTTTTGTGTTGCTATTATCATAAAAATGTGGGCGACAGGCGCAATTGTATGCTCACCTGTTTTTCGAATTTTTTCCACATGCTGCCCGATTCGCCGAACTCCCGCTGCACAACAACACCGAGTAAGTCAACGAAATTGCAAGCAACGTTCCCAGCACCCCGGGTGGCGCAGTGGCAGCGTTTTTGCCTGCAGCGCGCAAGGTCACCGGTTCAATCCCACCCCAGCGCTTCTCTTTTTTACTTTTTTTTGGATTTGCACAAAAAAGGGGAGAACAAAAGCTATTATATCCACGGAACAACAAAAAAATCGTGTTTTTGTTTTCTTCCGCAAACCATAGATATTCATAAGCCCGAAAAAAGGGAAAAGCTGCTAATAAAATATTTACAAAAAAAACCTCTCATCAAAAACCATAAAAATGCTGTGGCTCGTAAAAAATGTGCACTTTTTGGAGAGAGAAATTGAAAATTCGCGTGACGATTTTGAACCCAAATAATTCCAGGTTGGTCCCCCCCTTGAAAAATACATACTTATGACGTGTTTTTGAGCTGGCAAATATGGGGGGGGGCTGAAAATTTTCAGATTTTTCCTGTGTGAGTGTGTGTGAAAAAGCTTCGGGGGGGGATTATCGGATTATTAATCCTTGGATGAAAAAAAATCGAGAAAAAAAGATTATCATAAGATTTTTCAGGGGGGGGAAATGAATTATTTAGTCATATCTGAACTTTGGACCATAGAAATTCAAAAAAAAAATTTTTTTTGGGTAAAATGAGTTTTGAAAGTAAAGAATATCAAGTTTCATTTAAAAAATTTAAAAAAATTTTGCCACGTGGCAAAATTTTTTGAGCCAAAATTGAATTAAGAAAACACATGGCAACCAGGGAAATTCGGGAAAAAAGTTTGTAAATTTTTTTGCCACGTGGCAAATCTCTAGCCGTCTGGGCTCTCTCAAGTTTCTATGCTCTCTAACTTTTCGGATAACTAAAAATGAGCACCAGAAAAATGTTGCCACGTGGAAAAAATTACACGTGGAAAATCTCTAGCCGTCTGCACTCTCTCCAAATTCTGTGATCTCTAAATTTTCTGAAATTACACGTGGCAAATCTCTAGCCGTCTGCACTCTCTCCAAACTCTGTGGTCTCTAAATTTTCTGAAATCACACGTGGCAAATCTCTAGCCGTCTGCCCTCTCTCCAAATTCTGTGGTCTCTAAATTTTCTGAAATCACACGTGGCAAATCTCTAGCCGTCTGCACTCTCTCCAAACTCTGTGGTCTCTAAATTTTCTGAAATCACACGTGGCGGAATCTCTAGCTATCTGCCCTCTCTCTCCAAAACATACAGTCTCTCTCTAATTCCACCTGTCTGCGGTCTCTCAAAATTCCATACTCTCTACTTTTTTATTTATAAATTTTCCATCTTGAGCACGAAAAAAAGTTCACAAATGTGTCTAAAAAACATCGAGTCTGCTCTCAATTATTCATAAAAAACACTCATTTTTTTGCCTGCCTTCAAAAGCAAATTTTTCCATTTTTTTTGCTGCTGAATATCATTTAATTGCTTTTTTATGGGAAAAAGAAGAAACTTATGAAAAATTTGAAAATTTGAATTTCGCGCCAAAAAATCCACGTGGAATTTGAAAAAAAAATCGATTTTTTTTCGGGATTCAGCACAGAATTTGGATCATTTTGACACCAAATATGATGGGTTACTGTAGGAAAATCTACAGTACCCTCTATCATATTTGGTTTCAAAATGATAATTCTTACAGTACACCCGACAAAAAACAGTGGATTTATCCGGAAATCCCAGCTTCACCTCAAAGACTGTGCAAATTCAACCGAATGCGGATTTCTATGCGCCAGCGGCTTCCGCGCAGCAAAGCGGCGGAAACGCCGCCGCGGAAAAACAAAAATATTATGGAGACATTCATTTTCGTGTCGAGTATGATTTTGAGCAGTCAAAGGTAAGCGCGGGGGTACTGTATTTGTAGATCAATAAAAAAAACTACAGTAATTCGATTCAGGAATTTAAAGGGACAGCCAATATTTCTATATTTTTAAACCTACAGTAATGTATTTCAAAGGGACATTTTCAGAATTTAAAGGAACATGCATGTTCCCAACCTAAAATTTGCTGAAAATCACGATTTTCAGCATGAAAATCACCCATTTTCAGCCAATTTTTGCAGCTTTCCGTCACAATTCTATCCGCCTCAAATCTTCCAGCAATGGATCGAAACGGAATGTCCGATCCCTATGTCAAAGTTTTCGTTCTGCCAGAACGAAAACAGAAATTCGAGACGAAAATCATCAGGAATACGTTGAATCCCACCTATAATGAGACTTTTCAGTTCAAGGTGAGCATTTTGAGACCCAATTTGATATGGGTTACTGTAGAAAATCCACGTTGAATCTGGAAAATTATTGATTTTTTTGAAATTTGGAACATTTTGACACCAAATATGATGGGGGTAGGGCAAAAAAAACCACGTGGCACGAAATTTTGAAAAAATTCGAATTACACGTGGATTTTCTACAGTAACCCATATCACATTTGATCTCAAAATGTTCCAAATTTCGAAAAAAAACAATAATTTTTGAATTCCACGTGGATTTTCTACAGTAACCCTATCGAATTTAATCTCAAAATAACCGAAACTTCAAAAAAAAATCAATATTTTTCGAATTCCACGTGGATTTTCTACAGTAACCATATCATATTTGATCTCAAAATAACCGAAATTTCAAGAAAAAATCAATAATTCTCAAATTCCACGTGGATTTTCTACAGTAACCCATTCGAATTTGATCCCAAAATGATCCAAATTTCACGGAGAATCCAAAAAATCAATAATTCTCAAATTCAACGTGGATTTTCTACAGTAACCCTATCGAATTTGATCTCAAAACGTTCAAAATTTCAAAAAAATCAATAATTTCGGAATTCCACGTGGATTTTCTACAGTAACCCCTATCATATTTGATCTCAAAATGTTCCAAATTTCATAAAAATCAATAATTTTTAAATTCCACGTGGATTATCTACAGTAACCCCAATCATATTCGGTCTCAAAAAAGATCCGAATTTCGAAAAAATCAATAATTTTCCGATTCCACGTGGATTTTCTACAGTAACCCCTATCATATTTGATCTCAAAATAACCGAACTTTCATAAAAATCAATAATTTCCAAATTCCACGTGGTTTTTCTACAGTAACCCCTATCGTATTTGATCTCAAAATGTTCCAAATTTCAAGCAGAATCTGAAAATCCGCCCAAAAATCAATAATTTTCCAGATTCCCTTCAATGAATTGCAATCAAAAACTCTAATGTTAGTGGTGTATGATTATGATCGATTATCAAAAGACGATAAAATGGGACAATTGAGTGTTCCGCTGGAATCTGTGGATTTCGGAATCACAACCGATATTCAGCGAGCGCTGGAAAAACCTGAGAAAGATGACGAGGTACGGTAGTTTGGCGCGAAATTCTGTGATCTACGAGAAATTTGCGATTTTTTGAGTGTAAACATGGGGGGATTTTGAAAAAAAATATTTTTTTGGCTGGAAAAAATTTTCAGCTAATCTCAAATGACCTTTTTGAGCAACAAAAAAGACATAATCTGTTTTTTCCGCCGCATTTTTCTCAGCTGGACAAAAAAATCTGGAAAAAAAACCTACAGTAACCCTAGGTCTCAAAAAATTCCTTTTCGCGCCAAAACCTACAGTACTTCCCCGGTTTTCAGAAAGAATGTCGTTTGGGTGATTTGTGTTTTTCGACAAGATATCGTCCGGCTACGGGTACAGTAACCCTAACGATTATGGAGGCGCGAAATTTGAAAAAAATGGATGTTGGTGGAAGTTCGGGTATGTTCATTTGAGTACGGTAGCTTCTACAGTAGTTGTTTTTTGAAAATTACTGTAGTTTTGAAACTTATAGACCTACAGTAGTACTTCAGAAAAATTGGAGAATGATGTTCCTTTAAAAAATAGACCTACAGTATTTAAAGTAGTACTGTACTTTAGAAAGCTTACTGTATTTTTGATAATGCTATGTCCCTTTAAAAATAAACCTACAGTACTCTTTTTTTTTAATAATGTACACTTTTTAGAACGTGTCCCTTTGAAAACTCTACAGTACTCCTTGAGGAAATTAGATTTTTCCTCAAAAAAAAATCCAATTTCCTCGGAGCGTAAAAAAATGAGCAAAACAAAGGCTCTGTACCCAAAAAACGTGGAATTTTCCAAATTTTCAGTCAAAAAACGCTGAAATTTTCCAAATTTTCACTCAAAAAACGCTGAAATTTTCGAATTTTCACTCAAAAAACGCTGAAATTTTCCAAATTTCAGTCAAAACTGTCTGAAAATTCGCAAATTTTGCAGATCCCTACGTCAAAATCTACCTGCATCACGGTCGAAAATTGTTGAGCAAAAAGAAGACTTCGCGCAAGTACAAAACACTCAACCCGTATTATAATGAGAGTTTTCAGTTCAAAATCGAGCCGCATATGATTGATGTGGGTTTTTTTTGGTTGCGGCACGGTTTTGTGGGCGTGGCTTAATTTCACAATTCTTAGAAGCACTAAGCCACGCCCCTAAAACCATGTTTGGTGTCAAACAATGCGCATTTTCGCGACGAGACCCATCAACTACAGTAATCCCTACAAAAACTACAGTACCCCTTTTGCAGAAAGTTCATATAATAGTGTCAGTGTGGGACTACGATAAGATGAGCAAGAACGATTTTATTGGCGAAGTCACATTGGGTTCGAAATATTTGAACTTGCCGCAGGTACAGTACCTTAAAGGGACATACAGTAATCTAATATGTTTTTTTTGCAGATAACCCATGCTTGCTCTGAGCAATGGGCTGAAATGTTGGTCTCACGACGGCCTGTCGTACAATGGCACACTTTACAAGAGCGAATGGAGAAGGAGAAGAAAAAAGAGGAAGATTAAATAATTGGGGCCTAAATTAGGCTAACTTCTATTATCACATATCAGTATTCTATCCATTTTATACGAGTGTTTTTGTGTTTAACAATAAATAAACTTTTGGCTAGCGTTTTTAAGCTTAAAAATTAACATTTTCTACAGTAATCCTATCGAATTTGATCCCAAAATGTTCCAAATTTCACGAAGAATCCAAAAAATCAATAATTTTCGAATTCCACATTTTTTAGAAGAGAAAATTTCACGTCTGCAAAGCCATGGCTTGAAAAATCGCCTTAAAAAACAAAAAAAAAACGCAATTTCGTCAGTCGCGTGCGGCTGTGCGTTGCGGTTGGAAAACAATCAATAATCCATTTTTCCTCCCGATTTTGGACGGAACAATCATTTTTTGGAATGTTTTTAAGACAAACCTTTTTCACGCGCTTCCCATAAGCTTCATTTCAATTTTGCGAGCAATTTGAAGGTACTCCTGTAAAAAATACATTAGTTTTCCACTTTGAACGATAAAACAGTGAAAAAAACAAAGAAAAATAAAAAATAAAACAAATCACTAAAATAGGGGCAAGCGCAAAAAGCGGAGTGTTGTTTGCAACAGGTTATTTATTCCCTGTGTGTTTTTGTGTTTAACAACAATAAACTTTTGGCTAGCGAGAACTTCTTGGAAAAAAGCAGCGGAAAAATTATTGCTCGCATAGCGCAGTGGTTGTGTGCGCGCGCCGCTCACTCAGCGAGGGTTCGGTTTTTGATGCGCGCGCAACCTTTTTTTTTTTTTTTGGTTTTTTTTTCGTGTGTTCAATTAGGAAGCTTCTTCTTCTTTTCACATCAGCTGACCATTACACATTATATAAAAGCAGCTGAATTGCCTTGGTTTACTCATCTTTTAGCCGGCGGCTTAAGCAAAACTTGTTTTGTTTTCGATTGCGCAACAGCCCATTTCTTCTCTCATTTTTCCTCTTCTTATTTTTTCCCTCCTCCATTTTCCTATTAACATTAACATTTTTTGATTTGAAATTTGAAATTTGAGATTTTCAGGAAAATGCAAGCAAAACTTTTTATGATTCCCTGGATTTTTGCCGTTTTTGGAGAAGCGCAAAGGGATGTGCTGGTGGGTAGATCAAAATTTTGGCGCGCAAAAAACTACAGTAATGTTGTTTTCCAGACAGGAGGACCTGATTTACTTGTCGATGCTCATCATAGACATTTTCACGAGATGTTGAGAAGACAACAGGCGATCAATGATGCTCTATTGCTAAATAATGCACTGCATTTGACACATCCACAATTTGTTGCGCAGTGCGTTTTATTTTTTTTTTTTTTTTTGAAAAAAAAAATCGATTTTTTTGAGCCGGGGAATTTCAAGAGCTTCAAAATGATATAAAATACTTGCTGAAAATTTTTTTTTTTGAGTTTTAGAGTGGATTTTCAGCATAGAACTAGAGTCTAGTTCAGAATTTTAAGAGCCTCCAATTTATTCTCTGAAAATTCCAGCTGAAAATCCAATTTCAAAAAAATTCCACAATTTTCTTTCCAGCCTGATTTTCAGCCATAAATCTAGAATTTCAGAAAAAATACCAAACTAGAGTCTAGTTTAGAATTTTAAGATCTTCAAGATGCTACAGTTTGTTTTCTTAAAATTCCAGCTGAAAATCCAAATTCAAAAAAAAAATTCCACAATTTTCTTTTCAGCCTGATTTTCAGCCGTAAATCTAGAATTTCAGAAAAAAATAGCAAACTAGAGTCTAGTTCAGAATTTCACGGGCTACAAGATGCTCCAATTTGTTTCCTGAAAATTCCAGCTGAAAATCCAATTTCAAAAAAATTCCACAATTTTCTTTCCAGCCTGATTTTCCGCCGTAAATCTATAATTTCAGAAAAAACTGTAAACTAGACTCTAGTTCAGAATTTCAAGAGTTTCTAGATGCTCCAATTTGTTTTCTGAAAATTCCAGATTTTCTAGCTGAAAATCCAATTTCAAAAAAAAAATCCACAATTTTCTTTTCATCCTGATTTTCAGCCTAAAACTTGATTTTCAGAAAAAGTAGCAAACTAGAGTCTAGTTCAGAATTTCACGGGCTACAAGATGCTCCAATTTGTTTCCTGAAAATTCCAGCTGAAAATCCAATTTCAAAAAATTCCACAATTTTCTTTCCAGCCTGATTTTCCGCCGTAAATCTATAATTTCAGAAAAAAAACTGTAAACTAGACTCTAGTTCAGAATTTCAAGAGTTTCTAGATGCTCCAATTTGTTTTCTGAAAATTCCAGATTTTCTAGCTGAAAATCCAATTTCAAAAAAAAATCCACAATTTTCTTTTCATCCTGATTTTCAGCCTAAAACTTGATTTTCAGAAAAAGTAGCAAACTAGAGTCTAGTTCAGAATTTCACGGGCTACAAGATGCTCCAATTTGTTTCCTGAAAATTCCAGCTGAAAATCCAATTTCAAAAAAATTCCACAATTTTCTTTCCAGCCTGATTTTCCGCCGTAAATCTATAATTTCAGAAAAAAAACTGTAAACTAGACTCTAGTTCAGAATTTCAAGAGTTTCTAGATGCTCCAATTTATTCTCTGAAAATTTCAGACTTTCTAGCTGAAAATCCAATTTCAAAAAAAAATCCACAATTTTCTTTTCAGCCTGATTTTCAGCCGTAAATCTATAATTTCAGAAAAAAACTGTAAACTAGAGTCTAGTTCAGAATTTCACGGGCTCCAAGATGCTCCAATTTATTCTCTGAAAATTCCAGCTGAAAATCCAATTTCAAAAAAAATTCCACAATTTCCTTTTCAGCCTGATTTTCAGCCTAGAACTTGATTTTCAGAAAAACTGTAAACTAGAGTCTAGTTTAGAATTTCACGGGCTACAAGATGATCTAATTAATTCTCTGAAAATTCCAGTTTTTCTAGCTGAAAATCCAAAATTTAAAAAAATTTCCATAATTTTCTTTTCAGCCTGATTTTCAGCCGTAAATCTAGAATTTCAGAAAAAATACCCAACTACAGTCTAGTTTAGAATTTCAAGAGCTACAAGATGCTCCAATTTATTTTCTGAAAATTTCAGATTTCCTGGCTGAAAATCCAAAATTTCAAAAAAATTCCACAATTTGCTTTTCAGCCTGATTTTCAGCCGTAAATCTAGAATTTCAGAAAAATTAGCAAACTAGAGTCTAGTTTAGAATTTCAAGAGCTACAAGATGCTCTAATCAATTTTCTTAAAATTCCAGCTGAAAATCCAAAATTTCAAAAAAAAATCCACATTTTTCTTGCCAGCCTGATTTCCAGCCGTAAATCTAGAATTTCAGAAAAAGTAGCAAACTAGAGTCTAGTTTAGAATTTCAAGAGCTACAAGATGCTCCAAACTCAGACATTCGCTGGCCAGCTCGCCACCAGATCGCTGCGGCCACCTGGAAACCGCATGGCCGCCAGGTCGCCTTGAGTTTTCCGGCGACGTGGCCTGTGTGTTTGAAATTCTGGAAAGCTGGCAAGACAGTGGTTTGTACTCAAAACAGTGCATTTTCTACTGTTTTTTTCACTTCCTAAGGTTTCAAGTGCTGCGAAAAAACAGAAAATGAGCCAAATTTTTCGAAAATGCCTCGATTCACAAGTTTTTCAGACATTTTCATGAAAATTCATTTTGACGAGGCGAAGTGGCCACCACGTGGTAGCCATGTGGCCGTGACCTAGCCAGAGCCTGGCCACCTTGCCAGCGAAAAAAAAAACCGGGCGACATGGTTTCCATGTGGTTCCCAGGTCAGCCAGCCTCCCCACCTGGTGGCGAGCTGGCCAGCGAATCTCTGAGAAGCTAGCCGCGCAAAATCCGAAATTTCAAAAATTAATTTCAGGCTCCCCCAGATCCCACCAGCTCCACCAGCCACTCTCTTCAATCCAAACCCATTCCAACTCGGAAACTTGGAGCCAGCATCTCGTATGTTTTCTCTACCGCTCTCCACTCTCTCCACACTCTCCACACTCTCTAACTTTTTCCAGAATCATCAGCCAAAGGTTCCTACGGTCCAGCAGCTCCCCAGGAGCTCGCAAGAAAAACCAACCTGGCCGGCGTCAAAACTGTGCATATTGTGAAGAAGGAAGAAGAGGAAGAAGATACCGTAACCCCAACTACAGTACCCCCCACATCTACAGTACCCCCAAGTGACTTGGAGATGTCGGAACTTTTCAAAAAATTGAATTTGACTCAAGAGGAGACGAAAAATATTGTGGAACATGTGGAGAATTTGGTGCGCTTGGAGCTCGCCAAAAAATTGCGGGAAGCTGAGACATCAACTACAGTAGTGCCGGTGGGTAGTACTGTAGCTACAGCTACAGCTACAGTACCCCCAGAGACAACTACGGTACTTTCAACTACAACTGCTGTGGAGGTGATGACAACATCGAAGCCGAAATTGAGGTTGAGAACTCTTCCCAAGCATCATCCGATTAAGGTATGTGGGTACAGTACTCTAGAACCTACCGTACTCTAGAACTACGGTAGTTTTGAAAAAGCATCAAGCACTTCTTTGCAAAACACCAGCGCTCTCCCAACGTCGCGTGTAGCTAAGTGGTAGCGCGTTGATTTTGCGCCCATGAGGTCAAGGGTTCGAGCCACACCCGGAGCAAACTTTTTTATTTTTTTTTGCAGAAAGAACCTGCCTTGCCGAATGGCGCCATCAAAACATCGCTGACGCATTTGCCGATTTTTGTTGGCGCAAACATCGAAGATGACGCAAACACAAATGGTTTTGAGAAGAAGCAGCAGCACATTTTGATAGCCGCCAATCAGGTAGGTCATGCGAATTTTTGATCGCAAAAATTTTTGGAGTTTCAGGAATCGGACAAGGATTTGTTGGTGGATTTTGCGACGGGGTCACCATTGGAGCTGAATGAGCAAGAGTCTTTGGAGCTGTTGCCGATGGCGGCGGAGCCGATTTCGAGCAGCAGCACTACAACTACCCTGGCTCCACAGACGCTCAAACCAACTACAGTACTACCAAGGCATCCGAATGTGAGTTTTTGGCGAAGTTTTCCGCGAAATTTTGACCTACTGTACTCTACAGTAATCCAACGAAGTATTTTTTATCTACAGTAACCCTTAGCTACAGTAATCTGGATCAAATTTAGTATCAAATTTTGAACTACACCATTTTCTGACCGACAGTACCCCAGAGTTACAGTACCCTAGTCAAATTTATTATCAAAATTCTCCAAATTTTTATCTACAGTATTTTTGACCTACAGTACCCCTTAGCTACAGTAACCTAGTCGAATTCGGTCTCAAAATGCTCTAAATTTTAATCTACAGTATTTTTGACCTACAGTACTCCCTTAACTACAGTAACCCAATCATATTTGGTCTCAAAATGCTCTAAATTTCAATCTACAGTATTTTTGACCTACAGTACCCCAGAGTTACAGTAACCTAGTCAAATTCGCACTCAAAATGCTCTGAATTTCAATCTACAGTCATTTTAACCTACAGTAACCCCAAAACTCTAGTAACCTAGTCGAATTCGGTCTCAAAATGATCCAAATTTTAATCTACAGTATTTTTGACCTACAGTACTCCCTTAAATACAGTAACCCTATCATATTTGGTCTCAAAATGCTCCAAATCACCTCGCGGACTAGTTTCCGACACCTAGGCCATCTAGAAAATCGTGATTCTTCCAGCACATCCCAACAAATTTCGAGCGTCTCGCTTCCGATTATCGACAAAGACTTGACGGAACTGGAGATCTATCAAACATCTTCTCGAAAATCTCGCGAAACGCTCATATTTCGCTGGCCAGCGCGCGTGGCTAGGAAAATTCAATTTTTTTTTTGAATTTTTTGCATTGGAGCGCATTTGCTATCTGTCTGTATATATTATTATTATTATTATTGATTTTTTTGTGACATGAATATTTATTTAAAATCCTAAGAGATCAAAAGAGTTGGCTCCTGGCCAAAAACAGTAATTTTTGGGGGTGTACAAAGTGGTTTTGGCTCCACGAAATTCTTAAAATCGCGAAAAATTCATCGTCGAATTGTGAACCAGATGTTTGAATTCGCTAACATCCACTGACGCCAGATCCTCCGGAACTTTTTCAGGATTCTGCAAAAACGAAATTTGAATTTCAAAAATTTCGCGCGCAATTTTAAAGGAGGGGGGGACACATACATTTTGCAAAATTTGAAATTGACGCATTTTGAAGTGCGCCGTTTTTTGCTCGAGTTGATGTAATTGTTGCTCCAATTCGACGACGTGTGATAGAGAATCGAGCAAAATCTGCGAAAAAATTTGAATTTCCCGCCAAAATTTCCGTTCAAAACCAAAAAAGTTCATCGTTTTCTTCACTTTAAAATAGTACACACCTCGAAAAAAACCGGTTTTCCCCCCTTTCTATCTATCTGATTCTTTTACACCCAAAAATGCACTTTTATCCTATCAAGTGGGGGCAAGTGCGCTCCATCGCAATTATTTTTTCGAGCGATATTTTCTATGGAAAATAAACAAGGAAGAGCGCACGCATCGGTGGTTCAGTGGTAGAATGCTCGCCTGCCACGCGGGCGGCCCGGGTTCGATTCCCGGTCGATGCAACTTTTTTTGTTTTTTTTTATTTTTGAAGCCTAAAAGCCCGGGCCTACCTTACAAGCAACTTGATCTTTCGGAATTTCACGAGTATATTCTTTCAAGCGATCATAGAGTCCAGAATTCGAACTAGAGGAAGTGGAGAACATTTTGGTATTATTAGAAATTTCTGATTTTTCTTGCTTGCAACCTTTCAAGTTCGCTCCGCCCCCCAAAACATCGTGCCAGACACGATTTCTCTGCGCTCTCCTCGATTTTCTATACTATTTTCATCGGTGACTGACGGTACCAGGTTGAATAAGGCGAAAAAAAGAGAATAAGATAGTTCATCTTTTTTTTTTGCTGTCGGTTTTTTTTTTGAATGGCGCCAAATGGTTGATTTTTGAATTTGAATTGTGTGTTTTGCCGGCAAAATTTGAAAAAAATTACAAAAAAACAATTAATTCATAACAAAAAAATTCAACAAAAAACAAAAAACAAAAAAAATGTGCAGCTCAAAAAACTTTTTTTGAGGCTTTTGTGATGATTGGCAAAAATTTACTGTAGCGAGTTCTTTCGACGACCGGCAAATTTGTGGCCAAAAGAGCAGATCTGCAACGAAAAATCTTTAAAGGAGCCTACAGTAATCCTGTGGGATTTTAAAGGAACATTAATTTGGAGCTTTAAAATCACTTGACTACTGTAGAATGTCCAAAACTACAAGGTTTAAAGGCACATACAGTAATCCTGTGGGATTTAAAAGGAACATCAATTTTGGTGCTTCAAAATCACTTGACTACTGTAGATTGTCCAAAAAAGGCACCCAGAATTTTCAAAGGAACATAAACACATTATATTCTTGGGCCTTTAAAATCATGTTTGAAAATATAAAGGCACATACAGTATCCCAAGAATTTTCAAAGGAAAATATCAGAATCCCTTGAATTCCCAAGCTACAGTAACCCCGCAAATTTAAAGGAACATACGCATTTCGATCAGCCAAACTGTGCAATTTTGCCATCGTCAAAATCGTCGCGGAACCATTGAATACTGTATCCGAAATCATTGAGGCGGCAAGCTGGAAAATTTGAAATTTGGGTCAAAATTATCTGGAAATTTCGGATTTTTAGCTCAACATTGTCCAAAATTATCCAAAATGCATGATTTTTAGCTCATAATTCATGATTTTTAGCTCAAAATTGTCCAAAATTCATGAATTTCAGCTCAAAATTGTCCAAAATTCATGAATTTCAGCTCAAAATTGTCCAAAATTGATGAATTTCAGCTCAAAATTGTCCAAAATTCATGATTTTTAACTCAAAATTGTCCAAAATTCATGAATTTCAGCTTAAAATTATCCAAAATTCATGATTTTTAGCTCAAAATTCATGAATTTCATGATTTTTAGCTCCAAATTCATGAATTTCAGCTCAAAATTATCCAAAATTCATGATTTTTAGCTCCAAATTCATGAATTTCAGCTCAAAATTGTCCAAAATTCATGATTTTTAGCTCAAAATTGTCCGAAATTCATGAATTTCAGCTCAAAATTCATGAGTTTCAGCTCAAAATTCATGAATTTCAGCTCAAAATTGTCTGAAAATCATGAATTTCAGCTCAAAATTGTCCAAAATTCATGATTTTTAGCTCAAAATTGTCCAAAATTCATGATTTTTAGCTCAAAATTATCCAAAATTCATGATTTTTAGCTCAAAATTCATGAATTTCATGATTTTTAGCTCCAAATTCATGAATTTCAGCTCAAAATTATCCAAAATTCATGATTTTTAGCTCCAAATTCATGAATTTCAGCTCAAAATTGTCCAAAATTCATGATTTTTAGCTCAAAATTGTCCGAAATTCATGAATTTCAGCTCAAAATTCATGAGTTTCAGCTCAAAATTCATGAATTTCAGCTCAAAATTGTCTGAAAATCATGAATTTCAGCTCAAAATTGTCCAAAATTCATGATTTTTAGCTCAAAATTGTCCAAAATTCATGATTTTTAGCTCAAAATTATCCAAAATTCATGATTTTTAGCTCAAAATTCATGAATTTCAGCTCAAAATTGTCCAAAATTCATGATTTTTAGCTACAAATTCATGAATTTCAGCTCAAAATTGTCCAAAATTCATGATTTTTGGCTGAAAATTCATCAAAAACTACGAATTTTGGGTCAAAATTCAGATTTTCCAGCTAAAAATCCCCCCAAAACCCCCATACCATTGAAAAATAGGATTCATGTCGTTTCATCAAATCAACAATGCGTGAAATATCCTGAATCAATTTGTGTTTTCTCAAAATCGCATCTTCTTCTTCTCCAAAATTCTCAGAATTCCTCAAAAATCGCTGAACACTTCTCAGCAAATCCGAAAAAAGTTGGCAAAAAATCGCTGTGAAATTTTTGATGATCGAATTTTTCGCGTCTCGAATCATCACATCCAACAATTCCGTCAATTTTGTCAAAACATCCGGCGAATTTTTTCGATTTTCTGGCCAATCATCGCTTGCCAAACGTGTCAAAATCAGTTGAATTGCTAGCGATTCGAGATTTGAGTTGGCGTAAATTCGAATTATCTGCTTGTAGAGATCAAGTTCCTGTGGATTTTCACCGCCTTCCAGATTTTCGACAAGTTTTGTGAGGTTTTCTGAAAAAATGGGATTTTTTTGGGGGGACTAGTTTTGGATTTCTAGGCCAGCACGATATTTTTCATCAATTTTAGCTCAAAATTCTGTGAATTTTAAAATTTTCATAAATTTGCAATGAAAAATGACCCCGTAAACGTTCGGAGTATCGTTTGAACACAATTTTAAACATTTCAAACGATACTCCGCGTTTACACCGTCATTTTTCATGGGATTCGGCCTAAAAATCCAAATTTTTAATTGAAAATTGACCCCGTAAACATGGAGTATCGTTTGAACACAATTTTAAACGATACTCCGCGTTTACACCGTCATTTTCCATGAATTTTGGTTAAAAATTTGAATTTTTAAATGTAAAATGACCCCGTAACGTTCGGAGTATCGTTTGGACTCTTTAAAAAACAATTTTGAAAGTTTCAAACGATACTCCGCGTTTACACCGTCATTTTCAATAAGATTCGGCCTGAAAATCCCAATTTTAAATGAAAAATGACCCCGTAAACATGGAGTATCGTTTAAAAAGCGAAAACTACGATACTCCGCGTTTACACCGTCTGTTTTCATGAGATTCGGCCTTTTTAATTGAAAATTGACCACGTAAACATGGAGTGTCGTTTGAACTCTCGAAAACCGAATATTCAACGTTTCAAACGATACTCCGCGTTTACACCGTCATTTTTCGATGAATTTTGGTTCAAAATTTGAATTTTTCATCAAATTTGGTATCAAAATGCTCAAAATTTCGAGATTTTCATAATTTTCAGGTCAAAATGCTCCAAATCTCACCAAAAATCGCCTGTTTCACTTCCCAAGTATGAACAGATTTCAAAACCACGCAAATCTTCTCCAAATCCACTTGCTCTTCTTCCAATAAAACCTGATTTATCTCCTCAGCCGTGCGATTCACATATTTCGTCTCCGACATTTCGGGACCCTTGAAATTCTCGCGCAAAAATGCATTTTTCGATTTTTTCACAAATTTTTGGAAGATTTCCGGATAGGTTTTGGCATATTTTCGAAGCAAATTTTGAGTGGCGATCGAGGTTTCAGCCGAATTTATGAGCAAATTCTGGAAAAAATGAGCTATGACGTGGCAAAAACCAATTTTTTTAAAGAAAAAACTCACGAAAATTGCAAAAAGATCCTCTTTTCCCTCAATAACCCCATCCAAATTCGTCAAAAAATCGATAATTTTCGGATTTTCCCCAACTTCCAGCACAGCTTTTGTCAATAATCCAGAAATTCCAGCAATTCCACATCTTCTAGCCAACATTTTCAGCTTTTCCTCTTTTTCAAGCGACATTTTGAGCAACTGGACTACGGTATTCTCCTCGAGAACTACGGCAAAGAATTCGATGTGATTTTGGAAGATTTCAAGGATTTTCGGGTGCGATTCGAGCTTTTTCAGCGATTTTTTCGGCCATTTTTCGGTGGATTTTGAGCCGAGAGCAAGAAGATGGAGAAGAGCGAAATGTGGGGATTTTTGCATTTCCTGGAAAATTTGGGGGATTTTTCAGGGCTTTTTTGAGGTCCAGGAGAGGATTTTTCACATTTTTTAGGCCCTAAATCTAGTTAATGTGGTTTTCCAGGTCCAGAACAGCATTTTCTCACATATTTTAGGCCTAGAGCCTAATTTTTAGGATATTTCAGCTTTAGAACAGGATTTTTCACATTTCTGAGGCCTGGGATTGGATTTTTGGGATTTTCCAGGTCCAGAAGAGGATTTTTCACATTTTTCAGGCCTACGATTAGATTTTTGTGAATTTTCAGGCCCGAAGACCCAGTTTTTGTGAAGTTTCAGGCCCAAAATCTAGTTTTTGTGATTTTTTAGGTCTAGAACAGGATTTCTCACATTTTCTAGGCCTAGGATTAGATTTTTGAGATTTTCCAGGTCCAAAACCTAATTTTTGTTATTTTTCAGGCCCAGGAGATGATTTTTCACATTTTTCAGGCCTAGAATAGGATTTTTGTGATTTTCTAGCCCTAGGATTAGATTTTTGTGGTTTCCCAGGCCCGGAACATGATTTTTCACATTTTCTAGCCCTAGAATTAGATTTTTGTGGTTTCCCAGGCCCGGAGACCTGGTTTTTGTGAATTTTCAGGTCTAGAACAGGATTTTTGTGATTTTCCAGGTCTAGAATAGGATTTTTCACATTTTTCTTCATAAATTTTCACTTTTCAAAAAATGCTCACCTCAACTTCCACATTTTCTTTCCAAAAATCAATAACAATCCCATTATCCTCATCACAATATGCATTTTCAGCCAAAAGCAAACAAATTAGAGAATATCCCAGATTTCCAGCATCTTCAATTCTTTCAGAAGCATAAAAATTCTTGATAGTTTCAGCCAAATTCAACTTAATCTTCTGAACCAATTTCGAAAATCCATTTCCCAATAAATTTGCGCTGTTTATAAAATCACAAATAATCGCAGTTTCATTTTTTGATACATTTTCTGCGCTTGAAATTGCTGCAAACAACAAATCCCAGCAATTTTGTGCAGATTCAATGCCCAAAATTCGAAAATAATCCGAAAAAAGTTGTCTAAACGGTTCTCCAACATGCGCATCATCGCCGTTCACTTTACAAACATTCAACGTTGATTCCAACACTTCTTTCGGTCGATTTTGCGCTTGAATTTTGCTCAAAAGACTCGCCGCTGATTTATCATCACTGATCAGAGCCAATGCAATCGGTTTTTCGATATTTTCCTCGGATTTTTTGGTTGTTACACCAATTGCTTCTGCCAACGCGGCATTCAGCTTCTTCCTTTTCTTTTCTGGCGCTGAAGACATCTAAAAAACAAGGTTTTTGGGGAAAAATAGTTTTTTCGCAAAAAAAAGAAAAATCGTCCGAGAGAAGTACACATGTTTGCTGTTTGCATTAGAGCGCGTTTGCTCGTTTGAATGCGCTGAAAATCAAGGAACAACGAGAAAATTTTCCTTTTAAAAGGAGGAAAAAGAGAAGAAAATGGTTGAGGTGAGAAAACATGACCTAGAAAACCAAAAATTACCTTCCGATGGCCTAGAAAACCAAAAAACTTCACAATTTCAGACCAAAAGCTCAAAATTCTCGAACTTAAGCTTAATTTGTATAGAACTTCGTAGAGTACCCCAAAACCGAGTGATTTTGGGAGTGGAATTTAGGGAAAAATTGATAAAATTCATGGAAAATCTTGAATTCGCATTATTTTTCTAGGTTTCCCAGCTTTTCTTCGCGAAAAACCTACATTTTCCCAAACCCCTTCATTTTTTGATAAAATATCCATGAATTCTAGAAATTTTCTACTCCATGGACCCTTCTAAACATCTGAAAATCGGTGAAACCAAAAAAAAAGAAAAAAAATACAAATTGTGTCACGTTTTTCAAATAAATCACAAGCCGGCGATGTTCCATATTCAATATCAGGATCTTCATTACACTGGAAAGCAAATGCCGTGAGATACGAGCATGCATAAAATCCTTGTTCCGGATAACAATATTTCATCATTGGAAGCGAATTATTCTTCTTCCAATCATCCCAGTCCTCATAAACACGGCATGTTGTATCGATAAAACGAAAACTATGATCGGAACCTTCGATTTTGTATAACAATTTGAAAATCGGTAGCGTAAACTGATTTTTATCTTGCTTGCAACAAATGAAAATCGTGCCAATGCTGAATTTTGGTCGATTTTCAGCTGGAATCATCGCCCAAACTTGTTTGATTTTATGCGAAATCCTTTTCGCTTCTTCTAATTGCTCCGCTGAATGATTCGTTTTTCCAGCTTGTTTGATTTTAGGTGTTCCATTGATTGCTAGACAGATTTTTGAGACTAGTTCTTCTTCGCTTTCCTTATCATATTCAACAAATTGTGTGCCTTGAAAAATATGGTAGAACATTTTTTGCGTATAATCAGCTTCAACACTCCATTCTTCGACATCTTCTTCATCCCAACTACTCGGATACTCTCCAGTCAAAGTATTACCCATTTTTGATCTGAAATTCATTCTTTTTAGAAAAAAAACAAATATTTTTGCGTCTATTATTGTGTTTGTAATCGGGTTAGTGATTTTGGGAGAAAGTTAATGGAAAATTAAGGTGAAAAATACCGAAAAACAGGATTTAGCAGCTTTTCTCTGCAAAATATTCAAAAATCCTATTTTCCAAGGTTTTTCAACTTTTCCCCGTGAAATATTTGAAATTTCCTATTACCTTCTATTCTTCTGATAAAAATCTATGAATTCTGCAAATTTACCACTCTTCTAAACATCAAAAACCCCGAAAAAGTGCTGAAAACAAAACAAAAGAAAAAAATATTCGAAAAATAGTACGGTAGAAAATGTTGAAGGCACACACATGTTTGTATTTGGGTCTCGTAGCGATGTGAATTTAAATTTGTTTTTTTTTCTTTTTTTTCGCAAAAAAAATCAATAATTTTTTGCAGATCTCTTTCGGTGAAATGATTGGTTCCCTAACTCGATTATTATTTTTTCCTGTAAAATTTCAATTTTTGTGGTAAATTTTGTGCATTTTTTTGAATTTGAATTTAAAAAAATCAACCTCAGGTTACTGTAGCACACAGAAAAAGTGTGCAAACACCAACACACAGTGCATTTTACTTGACGCGCACGTTTTTTCATTTTTTTTTTCGAAGCTGAAAATTCTAATTTTCTCCCCCAAAAAGCAACATTTTGCCGCTTATCTCATACAATATTTTTATTTGTAATGTGTGTTTTCGATTTTCCATATTATTTTTATCTATCATATTTTTTGTTGCTATCACTTTCTCGTTTTTTTTTGTTGCGCCCAGATTTTTTGAAGTTGCCGACAACAATTGATTTTTTCTTTAAAATTTGAAATGGAGTTTTTTAGCACCAAAAAATCGTCTTGGGCTCTCGAGAAGAGAAAAAAATGATTTATTTATAGGAGGCCTGGCGGTGAAATCAAAAAAAAAAAAACAAATGTGACAAGTTTTGACAGGCAAAACTTTTTTTTGTTTTTTTTTTTTTGATTGATTACCCCCTATTTTTCTCGCCTTATTATATATTGTTTTTGGTGTATGGGAAGATTTTTCGATAAAAAATAAAACCAGTTTGCATAATTTTTTCGAAAATTTGCATGTCCATATTTCAAAAGTAATGCTTTTTTTCTGCGTTTTCGCATTTCAATTTTTGATTTATAGTAGTTTTCCGCGAATTTTTGAGCCGAAAATGTCGATTTTCAGCCGATTTCGAGCCGAAATTTTCGATTTTCAGCATATTTTTGACTGAAAATCGCGATTTTCCCACTTTTCGTCCATCTGATTCATTATTGATCGATAATCCAAAAAAAAACCCATAAAAACCAGGTCATAGAGATTTTACGACCCTCTTCTCTCTCTCCCCCCGATTTTTATGGCTAAAATAAATGCTGCACTATCTTTCTCTGCGTCTCTCGTCGTCTCGCACTCTCTCAGTTTCTGAAGTTTTTTTTTTGATTTTGCCGCCAGAACATCTGGACAAAATTGTTTTTTTTTGTGCACAACATTTTGCATTGGAAAATTTGAAAATTCAAATTTAGCGCGAGCTCTCTGCGTCTCTCTCTCTCTCGCTCACTCGCTCGCACTCAATCCACATATGTTTTTTTTCCAGTTTGACCCGCCCCTTTTCTGTCTCCTTTTTTTATTTGTTTATTTTTTTTGCTGTGTGTTTGGCCCCCAGACAAAAAAACAAGACAAGACGGATTTTTATACAATTTTTTTGAATTTTTAAATTTTCCCGCCAAAATAATGCTACGTGGTTTGTTGGCGGGAAATTTGAATTTTTGAATTTCGCGCTTCATAAATGCAACGTGGAAGTTTTAGCGCGAAAACTTTGAAATTTGAAATTTTCAAATTTTCCCGCCAAAATAATTCTACGTGGAAGTTTTAGCGCATAAACTTTGAAATTTGAATTTTTGAATTTAGCGCTCCACGTGGAAATTCAAGCGCGAAAACTTTGAAATTTGAATTTTCCAATTTTCCCTCCAAAATAATTCTACGTGGAAGTTTTAGCGCGAAAAGTTTGAAATTTGAATTTTTGAATTTTCCCGCCAAAATAATTCTACGTGGTTTGTTGGCGGGAAATTTGAATTTTTGAATTTTCCCGCCAAAATAATGCTACGTGGAAGTTTCAGCGCGAAAAGTTTGAAATTTGAATTTTCAAATTTCTCCCCTGAAAACACGTGGCGCGAAATTTGAATTTTCAAAAAATTCACACGTTTCTTAAGCGCGCCAAATTCAAATTTTCAAATTTTCCCGCCAAAACTTTTCAAATCTTCCGCTCTTTTTCTCACATTTTTTGCATCTAATGAGATTTGACCGCGAAGATTTATAGGCCCGGTTTTTTTTCAATCGACTTTTTTTTTTGCTTTGAAAATTTTGTGGCGCCAAATTTTTTTTCAGCGCTAGATAGAATGAAATCTCGCTTATTACTCTATCACATTCTATCATGCTGCCACGTGGCATTTTTCGTCGCCGCGAGACCCGCTTCCTCCACATCGTCGTTTCGAGACCTACAAGAAGCCGCCGAGATTCTGGTGACGAATCGGAATATTTTGGAGGAGGATCGAGGCGAAACATCGCATCGATTAATTGGCTCATTTTCGACGGTTGGCACTAATTATGAAACAGGTGGCGATATTGTTCAGGTGAGAGCTTTTCCGGAGCAGGTGCGGGGCTTTTTTTTGGCTCCTGACGTGAAGAATTTTGATTTTTAATCAAAATATCGTAAAATTTGGCTCAAAATCTTCATTTTCCGGGTCCTGACGCGAAAAATATTGATTTTCGACCTGCGTAAACGCGGAGTATCGTTGCAATGCTGCAAAATCGTAATTTTTTCTTCCTGACGCGAAAAATATGAATTTTTGTCCAAAACATCGTGAAAAGTTGGGATTTTTGAGCCCTAGAACGATTTTTGCTGTGAAAATTAATTTTTTTCGGGTCCTGACGCGAAAACTATTGATTTTTGTCCAAAACATCGTGAAAAGTGGGATTTTCGAGTCTTTGAACGATTTTCGGCTTGAAAAATTGAATTTTTGATGTATTTTCCGGGTCCTGAAGCGAAAAATATGAATTTTTGACTGATTTTGGCTTTAAATTGCATGTTTTTTGAATCCTGCAGCGAAAATAAAAGATCTTTGACCAAAATATCGTGAAAATAGGCTCTTGGACTTTTAAAATTCGAATTTTTCGCTTCAGAACCCGAAAATACATCAAAAATTAAATTTTTCAAGCCAAAAGTCGTTCTAAGACTCAAAAATCCCATTTTTCACGATCTTTTGGTCAAATATTCATATTTTTCGCTTCGGGACCCGAAAAAATCAATTTTTCAAGATGTTTTGGACAAAAATTCATATTTTTCGCTTCGGGACCCAAAAAAATTAATTTTTCAAAGCAAAAATTGCTTTATTACCCAAAATATTCTAATTTTCACGACATTTTGGACAAAACTTCATATTTTTTGCTCCAGGACCCAAAAAATCCGAATTTTTCACGATGTTTTGAACAAAAATCCCATATTTTTCGCTTCAAAACCCAAAAAAATCCGAATTTTTTTCTCATATTCAAAAAAAAGTTTTGTGCTCTCTTCCGCCCCGAATTCCCCGGAGACCAATTGCGCTCTGCCGAAAAACATGAGCGCGAGAAAAAAAAACCAATTTTGGCCCCGCGCAATATTTCATTTTTGACATCCACTATACATTTTTCACACACAAAACAAAGGGATGTGTAATTTCCGGACCAAAAACAACAAATAAACATTTTGGTGGTCCGAAAAAAAAGAGATAATCTAATTGTCAAAGGGAAATAGTAGAAAGAAGAAAAAAAAATGGGAAAATGGCGAAGGAAATTGAATTTTTCTGGACATTTTTAGGGAAATTGGAAAATACTCTATGGAAATGGATATTACCAGATTAAGGGGTGGAAATGCTGAAAATCGTAGTTTTTAGCGATTTTCAGCGCGAAAATTCAGTCTAGAAGCAATTTTTTTTCAAAAAAAAAACCTGCGCTCATGGGGAATCGATCCCCTGACCTTTTACTCGGCAGAAAAATCGATTTTTGGTCAGAATTTTGTGCTGAAAATGCTGGAAATTGTAGTTTTTTGCGATTTTCAGCGCGAAATTTCAACCCAGAAGCTTTTTTTTCAAAAAAAAAAACCTGCGCTCACGGGGAATCGATCCCCTGACCTTTTACTCGGCAGAAAAATCGATTTCTGGTCAGAATTTTGTGCTGAAAATGCTGGAAATTGTAGTTTTCAGCGATTCCATGAGTTTCAGCGCGAAAATTCAACCCAGAAGCTTTTTTTTTCAACAAAAAAACCTGCGCTCATGGGGAATCGATCCCCCGACCTTTAACTCGGCCAGAAAATTCGATTTTCGGTCAGAATTTTGTGCTGAAAATGCTGGAAATTGTAGTTTTCTGCGATTTTACCGAAAAATTGCCATTTTTCCATTTTCTTGTTGCAGTAATTGTGTATTTGTTTGTTATTTGCATCCGAAATGTGCTCCGCCATCTTTTTCTTCTTTTTTTGCTCTTTTTTTTTATACATGTGAAAAATGTATAAGAAAAAAATTGGGGGGATTCGGAATTATCCCATAAAAAACGAGCGTAATAATTTCGCTGAAGTGGATAGGGGCGGCGGCAAACATCAAAGGGACATTTTAGGATTACACCCCCTGTACAATTTGGTGTGTTTTATGGCCATTTTTCGCATAAAACTGAGAGATTTATGAATGATTAGGAAGAAATGAAGAAATAAGCGATTTCTCCACTTCTAGGCCAATTTTTGAGCTGAAAATCGTGAAAATTCTGAATTTTTGGTCACGGAACGTGAAAATCGTGATTTTTCGACTGGAAATTATCGATTTTGATCCACAAATCATGAAAAATAGGAATTTTTGGCTCCAAAAATTCAAATTCAAATTTCTTTCAGGTTTCCTCATTCCGCGCCTGTGATGCCAGACGAAAAGGCCTCGATCACACGGTTTTCGAGCATGTTTCGGTGGTTTTTGTCGATGATGTACAGCCGTTTTTGACTGGATGTGTTGCGTTGGATAATCAGGTGGGTCTGAGCTTCAAATTGCATGTTTTTTGAGTCCTAGAGCGAAAATTGAAGGTTTTTTAATCAAAATATCGTGAAAATTGGGTTTTGGGCTTTTGAAATTCATATTTTTCGCTTCGGGGCCCAAAAATACACCAAAAATTCAATTTTCAAAGCAAACATCGTTCTAGGGCTCAAAAATCCAATTTTTCACGATTTTTAATATTTTTCGCTGCAGAACCCGAAAAAATCAATTTTTCACGATTTTTTGGTCAAAAATTCATATTTTTCGCTTCAGAACCCGAAAAATCCAAATTTTCACGATGTTTTGGACAAAAATCGATATTTTTCGCTTCAGAACCCGAAAATACATCAAAAATTCAATTTTTCAAGCCGAAAATCGTTCAAAAACTCAAATATCCAATTTTTCACGATGTTTTGGACAAAAATTGATATTTTTCGCTTCAGAACCCAAAAATACATCAAAAATTCAATTTTTCAAGCATAAAATCGTTCAAAAACTCAAAAATCCAATTTTCACGATGTTTTGGACAAAAATTCATAATTTTCGCTTTAGGACCTCAAAAAATCCAATTTTCGAAGCAAAAATCGTTCTAGAACTCAAAAAATCCAATTTTTCACGATGTTTTGTTCAAAAATCGATATTTTCCGCTTCAGAACCCGAAAATACATCAAAATTTCTAATTTTCAAGCCGAAAATCGTTCAAAAACTCAAAAATTGAATTTTTCATGATGTTTTGGACAAAAATCGATAATTTTCGCTTCGGGACCAAAAAAATTCAATTTTGCAGGCTCGGTTTGCGGAAAAATCCGGAGCAATGGCTCTCGTCGTCGGCCCAGCTTCGCGCGTCGAAAAAACCCTTCGCCCTCAATTCTCCACCCAAGCCAAAATCCCAATCATCGTTCTCAACGACACCGAAACTCTGAAACTCCGCCAACTTCTCGATGTCGCACAAGGTTCCATGATCAAACTACGTATCAACTTTGCGCAACCCGAAAACGCTTCGAAAATCCTCAAGCTCCAAGTGTTCCGACCGACATTGCTCAATATTTGTTTGATCGGGCTGCTTGTGGTTCTGGTGATTTTTGTGTCGCTGTTGGTGGTGATCAAGATTCGATGTCAACCAAGTATGCATCGAGAATTGTGGTTGAGAGCGTTGGCGAGAACGGCGCTCGCAAAAATGGAGACGAGACATTTTTCGAAGGAAAAAAAGCGGGAAAAGAGACCTAGACCTCTTCAAAAACTGGCATCCGCATCAAATTCGAGCTATTTTGCTGTTTTTGGATCACTTACTTCAGGTTAGGCGGGAAAAAAAGCTAAGCTAAAATCACTTTTTGCAGTAGCCGCATCTTCTTCCAACAGTCAAGAGCGTTGCGTGATTTGCCTGGAAGAATACGAAGAGGGAACCGAACTACGCGTTTTATTCTGCGGCCATGAATTCCACCCAAAATGCGTTGATCCATGGCTTCTCTCAAGAAGAAGATGCCCACTTTGTCAATTTGACGTGGTTTATAAACATTATCCGATTGTTGATGATGGAGAGAAGGTGGAGACTCCAAATTCCGATACATCTTCCCTACTTCCTCCACCAAATCCACCATCATTTCTGCATTCGGAGATGAATCCGAATCGAGTTCGACTAACTCGTCCCCTACCGCGTCGTGTTCCGCGAGCGAGAAGTTGTCCGCGACGCCGACAATTACGATCGAGAAATCAATTGGAGTTTCGAAATCGGCTTGGCGGATATTCTTCCGATGTTTCGTCGTCGCATTTTGAACAATGTGTATAATTAGGATTTTTTCGTTGAATTTTGTGCCTTTTCCCCTTGATCTCTGACCTCTTTTTGTTAATTATTTTTTAATTTATTATAACGGGTTTATTATTTGCATATGAAACATTTTTATTTTAAGGCTTTTCGGGTCAAAAAACCCCTTTGAATTCCACAAAGTTGAGAATTTCCAGAAAAAAATAAAAATAAAAGAAACATTCTCCTAGAAAACACATTGGGTCTTGCAACGACCAGTAATTATTTTGTTGTGCGCCTTGAAACCATCCTACGGTATGTGTATTTCAAATAATTTTTATTGATTTTTTGCGAGGCGAGTTTTGCGTGAAGGTGAGGGTTTTGGGGATTGCGAATTGGCGGGAAATATTGGGAAATGTTTAGAATTTCAAGGGTGGCTGTTGAAAAATTGGAAAACTTGATGATTTTTCGTTTTTCTTTATTTTTTTGCTTGAGATTGAAAAATCTCAAAATTTTTTGAATTTCTCAGAATTTGCTGCGAGAAAATGATGATTTTTGAGTAAAACAACCAAAAATATCAGGTTTTCTGTGAAATTTTTTGTGAATTTCACTATTTCTCTGAATTTACAGCATAAAAATCATGATTTTCCCCATTCAACACCAGCAAAAAACGTGCTGGCCGAATTCTGTCGGCTCCTAGGCCATCTGTTTTATTGTTCTGTTTATATTAAGAAGCGAAAAAATATCCCTCGGGCGACGGAACACTGTTTTCCTCGTCGCTAAAACTGCACACTTCGTTTTCTTTTCATTTTTCTCTGCGTCTCTATCCATCTCAAGACAGTCTTTCTTTTCTCTCCCTCTTCTTCTCTTTTGGAAATGTTTTTTTTACCGAACAGTCGGCATGTCGTTGAAATTCGGAACTTTGGAGCTGGGACCAATCGACTTTTTGATATGTATTCTGGCCGGATATATTAGCTATCGATTTTTGAAGCGCGTCGTATTTGCACGGTATATCGAAAAACCGCGAAAATTTGGAGAGGTACGATTCGCCCAATGTTTTTTTCAATGAATTCCAGATTTTTTTCAGATGTCTCCCCTGAAAATGCAAGATATGACAGAAGCGGAACTTCGAGATTTGCGAGAAAACGAGAATCGTTGTTTGGTGGTTGTTGAAAATCAGGTAATCAGGGGGATTTCGAAATTTCTTATCAGGAATATGAGTAATTGGCGCCAGAAAAGAAATAAAAATGATTTTTTTTATGAAATAAAATTAAACTGATTATAGAAATGATATAAATATGTATATTTTTTAATAGATTTTCAGTGAATTTCAGTTGGAAATTCAGAATTTTTGCTGGAAATCATAGATTTTCTAATAGATCTCTAATAGATTCTGATTCTGGCAAGGATTATGAAATTTTTCTGAAATTCAGAATTCTTAGCCAAAATTTATTCGAAAATCTATGATTTCCAGCAAAAATTCTGAATTTCCAACTGAAATTCACTGAAAATCTATTAGAAAATATACATATTCTGAAGCTGCTAAAGACAATTCCGTTGTCAAAATTGCAAATCTCAATTCTGAATATGAGTTATTTTGTAACTATCAAAGCTTGGTGAATTTACAAGGCTATAACAAACTTCAAAAGTGATTTTCATATAATCACATAACCTTGTTCAGAAGATCAGGATTACACAGGTTTTTCTGGAATTTCAGATCTTCTGAACAAGGTTATGTGATTATATGAAAATCACTTTTGAAGTTTGTTATAGCCTTGTAAATTCACCAAGCTTTGATAGTTACAAAATAATTCATATTCAGAATTGAGATTTGCAGTTTTGTCGTCTCCAGAAGCTACTACTAGAAAATATATTTTCCAGATTTTCGACATGTCGACTTCTCGAATCCTCTACGAAGCCAACTTCTCCAAACTCGACGACGAAAAATTCGGCGGCGAAAAAGATTGGCAGAAATTCATCAGACGAAAATATCCGCTCGTCGGCAATCTTGTCGCAAAAAATGCGCAAAAATCGAATTATGACGGGGCGATTGCTAGCATTTTGCAATAAATATGGGTTTTTTTGTGATTTTTTTTGCTGAAAACTAAAAAAACCGGTTCGTAACCGCTGTTCTATCTATAATTTTTGGACCAGGCATCAAACCTGGCAAGATTTTTTTCCAGATGGCTTTAATGTTCCCGTGTCATGTTCCGATGCCTCCATTGAATTGGAGCGAACATTTGTGGTTGCCCGAAATCTCGCCCACTAATGAATCTTTCATCACCACTGTTTTCGAGCATCGAAATCAGGCGAATGTGAGTTTTTGAACGCGACGCGGTTTGCAACGCGGCTATGGTATTTATGATTTTTCCCACGAAAATTAGCATGAAAAGGGGAGAATTCGAAATATTTTCGAAAATAATCGATTTTTTTTCGCTTTTGCTATTGTTGGACATTGACTAAACGGCATTTGCATGTTTTTTAAGGAAGTTAGTTGAAACATTGGGTTCTAATGTTATTCATACGATAGAATGTTCTAAGACGAAGAGAATGATATAAATTTTGATGACTTTGGGTTATCCATAAGTGATTTAGCGAAAAATATCGACTAAACGTCGCTAAATCACTTATGGATAACCCAAAGTCATCAAAATTTATATCATTCTCTTCGTCTTAGAACATTCTATCCTATGAATAATATTAGAACCCAATTTTTCAACTAATTTGCTTAAAAAATGTGAAAATTTCATGGCAAAACGTAAACTAAAAAAGATTTCCCTCATTTCTGATGACTTCGAAAATCGCAAATAATACTCCCTACAGAACAATCAAGAGCTGCTTCGACACCTCTCCGACTCGGTCGCCGCCATCCGCCATCGTGAAGTCGAAGTCGAGGCGGAAGATGCGCGAACACAAGCGGCTGCTGCGGCCGCCGCCGTCGCCAACGCACCCATCCCTCCACCACCCACCTCGTCTGCCGCATCCGCTGAACAACCACCGGCTGACGCTGAACCCGAAGTGATTTTTGAGAGTTTGAATACTGGAAATATGCCGCCAGCTCCACTTGATCCATAATTTTTGATTGATTTTGAGCTGCTGGAACAGAATTGAGATTTGCAGTTTTTGTCCAGCAGCTTAATCTCCAATTTGTCTGTAAATATCTATAAATACTCATCAATCTCCATTTTTTTTTCAAGATTTTGTCCAATTTTCACCGTTTCTTGCGGTTTTGAATATCTCAAATTGATCGTAACTTATTTTCACGAGTTATTTTGCAGAACTTTCTGGGTTTGTGTCGATTTTAGCCAAAAATCCGACGCGTGAACGGTGCGGAAATGAAGAACACGGAAGGTGGTGCGGAAGACAACAACAAAAAAGGAGGAGGCGGAAATAATCGGAGTGAGAAGAGGAAGAGGAGTGAGGGTTTAGGCGTTGGGGGTCTCGAAGCGCTACAGTATTTTTTTAAACGTTTTTTTTTGCAGATCGGAAAGGAAGAGGAGCAGGAGGCGGCAATGAGGATCCAACAACTTCCTATACGATTCTGAAAGCTGTTCGAGCTCCGCAGGAACCTGTGGATTTGGCCAGAATCAAGGGGGATCAGCAGAAAAGTGAGGAAGATTCCGCGTCAGCGGCCACGTGGATTAGTATGATATGGCAAACGTCATAGTAATCCGCGTGGCCGCTAACGCGGAAGCTTGCGGTTTATACTCGCACAGAGCGCAAGCTTCCGCAGTAAGCAGCCACGTGGATTAGTATGATATGGTAAACGTCATACTAATTCAGGTGGCCGCTTACGCGGAAGCTTGCGGTTCACACTCGCGCAGAGCGATCGGGTCGAGCGGAGCGAGTGTAAATCGCAAGCTTCCGCGTCAGCGGCCACGTGGATTAGTATGATATGGTAAACGTCGTACTAATCCACGTGGCCGCTAACGCGGAAGCTTGCGGTTTACACTCGCTCCGCTCGACCCGAGCGCTCTGCAAGCTTCCGCGTCAGCGACCACGTGGATTACTATGATATGGCAAACGTCATAGTAATCCACATGGCCGCTTACGCGGAAGCTTGCGGTTTACACTCGCGCAGAGCGCAAGCTTCCGCGTTAGCGGCCACGTGGATTAGTATGATATGGTAAACGTCATACTAATCCACGTGGCCGCTTACGCGGAATCTTGCGGTTTACACTCGCGCAGAGCGCTCGGGTCGAGCGGAGCGAGTGTAGACCGCAAGCTTCCGCGTCAGCGGCCACGCGGAATACCATGCTCTGAGAGTCATAGTAATCAACGTGGCCGTGAAGTTTTGACACGTGGATTTTCTAATGTTTATAAAAATGGTTCCATAAACTCATACTAGTTTTTCAGCCCCAAGGGATTGAAATTGGAAAATGCTCGAAATTTGAATGAGAAGTCAGAATTTATCGATTTTTGAAAAAAATCAAGAATTTTCATGAGTTTTGATCCAAAAATCGATAAATTCTCATTCAAATTTCGAGCATTTTCCAGTTTCAATCCCAAATTTTGGATTTAATTAATGAATTTTCATTTTCACGCAGAGATAATTTGATAATAAATTATATCAAAGTCAAATCGCTCTTAGGACTGAAAAACTAGTATAAGTTTGTGGAACCATTTTTGTAAACATTAGAAAATCCACGTGTCAAAAACTTCACGGGCACGTAGATTACTATGGTATTCCGCGTGGCGGCTGACGCGGAAGCTTGCGGTCTACTCGACCCGAGCGCTCGTTCGAGCGGAGCGAGTGTAAACCGCAAGCTTCCGCGTAAGCGGCACTATCTTCCGCTTTAGCGGCCACGTGGATTGCTATGACGTGGAAGGGGATAAGAGAAATCCACGTGGCTGCTGACGCGGAAGATTGCGGTTTACCCTCGCTCTGCGCGAATGTAAACCGCAAGCTTCCGCTTAAGCGGCACTATCTTCCGCTTCAGCGGCCACGTGGATTGCTATGACGTGGCAGGGGATAATAGAAATCCACGTGGCCGCTGACGTGGAAGCTCAAGCTCCAATTTTCCTTCAGAAAACAATCAACGTTGGGATGCGAAATCGGGTCCAACTCGAAACTCGAACATATCAGCTAGCACTCCACGAAACTATCAACAAAATCGTTCGGCAATCAAACCACTAATCCCACCAGAACCACAAGCTTTGATGGGCATTCGATTGGATCGCGATCCGCGTGAATCTACCGAAAATGCAGCTTCGAACCATTCGCTCACTTCTGTACTCAGCCATCTATCCGAAAAACAAAAGGCGGCGAATGAGATGCAAAGATCGAGATATTATCGAAGCGAGAATTTGGGACATCTACCGCCGACCAATGAAATCATCGAAAAATGTTGTCAGTTTAGCAAAGCCGATTTTGTTACCGAAAAGAATCAGGCGATTTTGATTGATAAGAAGTTTGATGTGAGTTTAAAAAACGTTTTTTTATTTGAAGAATTTGAAATTTTTAAGCTTATCTGCACCCAAAAATCTGGAATTTCAGACCTATAATTAGTCTGATCTATGTAGATTTTCAATCCTAAAACTAGGGTTATTTAGGCTCAAAAAATTCAGAATTTTCAAGAAAAGAATAGGCCTATTTAGGCTCAGAAAATCCAGAATTTTAGGCCTAAAACTAGGCTCATTTGGGCTAAAAAATCCAGAATTCTTTAGGCTTAAAGATCCATTTGGAGCCCATTTTCATCGCCAAAACTAGGCCTATTTAGGCTCAAAATATCCGCAATTCTAGGCCTATTTTGACTAGATAAATCTCAAATTTCAGGCCTAAAACCAGGCCCGATTTCAATCCTAAAACTAGGCCTATTTGGGCTCGAAAAATACAGAATTTTCAAGAAAAGAATAGGCCTATTTAGGCTCAGAAAATCCAGAATTCTTTAGGCTTAAAAATCCATTCTAGGGGCCTACTTAAGGCTTAAAATATCTGAAATTCTAGGCCTATTTTGACTAGATAAATCCCAAATTTCAGGCCTAAAATTAGGCATATTTAGGCTCAAAAAATCCCGAATTTTCAAGAAAAGAATAGGCCTATTTAGGCTCAAAATATCCCGAATTTTTTTCGTTGTTTTGCAGTTGATGATCACCTCATGCAGTTCTCGTTGTAACGCAATCTCGATCCGCGTCAAATCGCAACATCAAGACGACACTTTTGCCGTGTGCGCCCTGCTTTTCGCAACATCGACTGAACAAGAAATTCGCGAAGCGTGTTTGGAATGTATTGATATGTTTTCGAATACTGGTGAGTCATTTACTGTTTTGTATAGTGAAAAATGTGTAAAAATAGTGTTTTTCTCATTTTTTCCCGGAAAATCTCTGAAAAATTCCCCTTCCAGCGTATCGAAAAAACGAGCGAACACAATTCTCGAAATGCTCCGAACCCTACCTGACAAAATGTCAAATTCGACCACTTTTCGAGCCGGCCGAATCGTTTCCCGAAGCTCTCTACTACTGTAATCGATGTGATTTCCACATCAACTCTGTTGCTCACGCGAAAATGCATCTGGAACAAAGTTCGCATTTCGATGATGTTGAACGACAGGAACAACGCGAGAAATTGTTGAGAGATACGCCACAACCGAGCAGGGAACAATATTTGGCGGCCACGAATTATTTGAATGCGATTGTTGAGGAGGAGAGAAAGGTTGGGTTTTGAGCGAAAATTCCGAGATTTTTGGGTCAGAAATCGTATTTTTAGCCACATTTTGGTCCTGACTGTCTCAAAAGTTCGAATTCGGAGGTTTTTAGCACCAAAAATCCATTTTTTTTTCTAATTTTGGGTTGAAAATGGACAATTTTTGGCCCCAAAAATCTCCATTTTTCAAAATATAATCTGGTCCTGAACAATTCTGGTTGTTAAAATTTGAATTCGGAATGTTTTGCCACCAAAAATCCTTCATTTTCAATTTTTTTAGCCTTAAAAACTCGTAATTTCAAAATTCAAATTTAATTTCTTGACGCTGAAAATTCTTTTTTTGCTCTGGAAAATTTTCGATTAAAATTTTCAAATTCAAAGTTTTCGCGCGAAAAATTCTAAATCACAAAAAAAAAAAATTTAATTTAATTTCTTGCCCCCAAAAATTCTTTTTTTTTTCTCTGGAAAAAAGCCGATTTTTTTGAAAATTCCAAGTTTTCGATGAAAAAAAATTCAAATTCAAAGTTTTCGCGCGAAAAATTCTGAATCACAAAAAAAAATTCAAATTTAATTTCTTGGCCCCAAAAATCCTTATTTTTTCTCTTGAAAGTTTAAATTCACATTAGTTGGAGCCAAAAAAAGCCAAGTTATTTAAAAATTCCAAGTTTTCGATTAAAAAAAAATTCAAATTCAAAGTTTTTGTGCAAAAAAATCTGAATCACAAAAAAATTTAATTTCTTGGTTTCAAAAAAAAATCCTATTTTCATTTTCATTCAGAAGCGCAAAATCTCCACGGAAAAAATTGCTGAAATTCTCGACTTCCTCTCAAATCGTCTCTTCCCATCACTCGAATGCAACAATTTCGCTCTAAAACCATTCGGATCAACACAATATGACGTGTTCCTAGCCGATAGCGATTTAAACATCGCATTTTTCATCGACGATTTGGATATGTCACAATTATTCGATTTCTATGGTCGAATTGTTGAGACATTGAATGGATTTCAAGAGGAAATTGGAAATTCGGCTGATTTGGTCACCGATGGTTCGAATTCGCAAGTTTCGTTCAATTTTCGCGGCGAAATTGTTGTTCGACTGTGTTCGGGAACAAATACGATTTGCAAGGCGCAATTGTGTTTTACGAATTTGATGAAGGTTTATACGCAAGTGAATCCGGCGATTTGTGAATTTATGATGTTGGTTAGATTGTGGGCTGTGGTGAGTTGGATTGGGCCTGAAAATTCTGGATTTTTTGAGCCTAAGATGGCCTAATTTTGGGCCTGGAAAGGGGGGATTTTTTTTAGCCTAAAGAAGCCTTATTTTTGGCCTGAAAAGCCTAAAAGGACTGAAGCCCGAAAAGTCTGAAATTTCGGCCTGAAAATATAGATTTTATAAGCCTAAACAACCCAATTTTTGGGCTTCTGGAAAGTCTATTTTTGGCCTGAAAATTTGGAATTTTTTAAGCCTAAAGAAGCCTAGTTTTGATAATGAAAATGGGCCTGAAATTGATTTTTTAAGCCCAAAGATTTCTGGATTTTTTGAGCCTTAAAAAGCCTAGTTTTGATGATGAAAATAAGACTGAAATGGATTTTTGAGCCCAAAGAATAATGGATTTTTTAAGCCTAAATAGGCCTATTCTTTTATTGAAAATTCCGGATTTTTTGAGCCTAAAATGGCCTAGTTTTGATGATGAAAATGGGCCTAAAAGCCCCTTTTGTGGCCCTTGAAAGTCTAGGGTTTCAGCCCAAAAGGCCTGATTTTTAGACCTGAAATTTGTAGGAAAAAAGTGAAAAAATCTGTTTTTTTTGAAATCCACGTGGCAAATTGTACTGAAAAAACTGATTTTGAAATTTTGAAATCAAATTTCACCAAAAAAAACGTGGAATTTCTCAAATTTGACCTATGACGTGGCAAACCTTTTTTTCCAGAAAGTCGGAATCGATTCGAAAAACAAGCAACGCGTCGGCTTGCCCAGATACGGTTTCGATATAATATCAATTCACTATCTACAACAATCTGGACATTTACCGGTTTTGCATGAGGTAGGCGAGAATTTTGTGGGCTTGGCCTAGAAACCCAATAAAAATGGCCTAGAAAACCAACAGAAATGGCCTAGAAAACCAACAAAAATGGCCTAGAAAACCAACAAAAATGGCCTAGAAACCCAACAAAAATGGCCTAGAAAACCATATAAAAATGGCCTAGAAAACCAACAAAAATGGCCTAGAAAACCATATAAAAATGGCCTAGAAAACCAACAAAAATGGCCTAGAAAACCAACAAAAATGGCCTAGAAAACCAATAAAATGGCCTAGAAAACCAACAAAAATGGCCTAGAAAACCAACAAAAATGGCCTAGAAACCCTATAAAAATGGCCTAGAAAACCATATAAAAATGGCCTAGAAAACCATATAAAAATGGCCTAGAAACCCCCGCTTTTTGCAGCTCGTCGAAAAAGATTCGGAAGAGCAACAAGAAAATGTGATAGAAGAGGCGAGAGAGCGGAGAATTCGACAAATGTCGAATTATCTGAGTGATATTCAGATGATTGTGAGTGGTTTTTGAGGAGGGCTGATTCACGAATGAAAAAAATTTAAAAAATGTTTTTTTTAACATTGAAAATTCAATTCACGAAAAGTCAAAAAAATATAGAAAAAAAAATTAGTTTTTCGAGTTTTTCAGCCAAAAATGATGACAAATCGAGATTTTTGAAGCTTCTGGAGTGATTTCTGATGAAAATTGACCTTGGAATTCACTTTCCAGAAGTTTTAGCTGATGAATTTCGAAAAAAATTCATAAAATAAAGCGAAATAGGGTTCTCAAAGTTTATTTTCATCAGAAATTCCTCCAGAAGCTTGAAAAATATCGATTTGTCATCATTTTTGGCTGAAAAACTCGATGTTTTTTCGAAATTTTTGGACTTTTCGTGAAGACCTAGGTGATTTACTGTAACTCTTTTTTTCCAGAAATCCCGTTTCGAAAGCAAAAAAAGTTGGGAAATTGGTAAAATCTGGATAAGTTTTCTGAAATATCTCATCGAAAAACACCGTGACATTGTCATACAAATCACCCAATTCCAACCAATGTCCAAAGAACAAACACGTTGGAACAAGAAATCGTATCATGTTGTGGATCCGTTTCGCGCTGACAATGTTCTCACCATTCCAAAAGTCACCCCATGGCTCTCGTTCTATTTCAATTGTGTTTTGTCGACGTTTCGATGTTTTGCGATTCCGCGGAATTCGATGGGATCGCTGGTTTCGTTGGATTTTTATCAGAATGTGAGTGGGAAAATTTGGGGGTTTTTTTGAGCCGAAAGAAGCCTATTTTTGGTCTGAATTTTGGGATTTTTTGAGCCTAAAGAAGCCTGGTTTTTGGCCTGAAAATACGGGATTTTTTGAGCCTAAATAAGCCTGGTTTTGGCCTGAAATTTGGGGATTTTTTGAGCCTAAAGAAGCCTAGTTTTGGGCCTGAAAATGGGGGATTTTTTGAGCCTTAAAAGGCCTATTTTTGGGCCTGAAAATGCAAGATTTTTGAGCCTAAAAAAGCCTAATTCATGGCCTGAAAATAGGGGATTTTTCGAGCCTAAATAAGCCTGGTTTTCGGCCTGTGAAGCCTAATTTTGGGCCCATGAAGCCCTATTTTTGGCTTAAACATCTGGGGTTTTTTGAGCCTAAAGAAGCCTAGTTTTGGTCCTGAAATTAGGGGATTTTTTGAGCCTAAAGAAGCCTTGTTTTCGGCCTGTGAAGCCCTATTTTTGGCCTGAATTTTGGGATTTTTTGAGCCTAAAGAAGCCTAATTTTAGACTTGAAAATACGTGATTTTTTGAGCCTAAAGAAGCCTAGTTTTGGCCTGAATTTTGGGATTTTTTAGCCTAGAGAAGCCTAATTTTGGGCTAAAGAAGCCTAATTTTGGCCTGAAGCATTTTTTTGCAGAAAGTCTCAAGTCCGACGAAAAAATCATCACAAAATACAGCCAAAAAGAAGCTGCAACAACAACAAGAAACACCGTGTCAAAATAACAAAAAAGGAACAACAACACCAAGATTGGACACACCAACAACTGCAGAAAAACAGGTTTGGGATGAAAAATTGGGGATTTTTTGAGCTTAAATTCGGGATTTTTGATGAATTTTGAGCTGAAATTTGAGATATTTGATGGATTTTGAGCTTAAATTTGGGATTTTTGATGAATTTTTAGCTGAAATTTGGGATTTTTGATGAATTTTGAGCATAAATTCAAGATTTCTGATGAATTTTGAGCTTTTTTTTGTCAGCTAAAAATCGTGAATTCCAGATGGACTCGAATTTCGACGAACAACTCTTCAACGCTGAAATCCGTCGAAAAAGTTTGGAAATTCTCGAAACTCTTCGATTCGACAATGTTCCTTGTATGAAATTGACAGCCGAACACACGGAAATCGACGAGCATCGAAATTCGATGTATAGTCGACGAACTATGATTCGAGTTCGACGAATTTGTGGGCGAATTGAAGAGGTTGGAATGTTGGAAAGTTTGATGAAAGAAGGATTGTTGAAAAAGAAGAGAAAGGTGAGGAAATTCATGATTTTTGATGAATTTTGAGCTAAAATTCATGAATTTTGATGAATTTTGAGCTAAAATTTATGATTTTTGATGAATTTTGAGCTAAAAATCACTAAAATACTCTGCCATGGCCTAGAAAACTGAGAAAAACTCGGCCATGGCCTAGAAAACCAAGAAAAACTAGTTCGTGACCTAGAAAACCAAGAAAAACTCGGCCATGGCCTAGAAAATCAATAAAAACTAGTCCGTGACCTAGAAAACCAGCAAAAACTAGTTCACGACCTAAAAATCCAAGAAAAACAAGTCCGTGACCTAGAAAACCAAGAAAAACTAGTCTGTGACTTAGAAAACCAAGAAAAACTCGGCCATGGCCTAGAAAACTAAGAAAAACTATATCGTGGCCTAGAAAACCTAGAAAAACTCGGCCATGGCTTAGAAAACCAATAAAAACTAGTCCGTGACCTAGAAAACCAAGAAAAACTCGGCCATGGCCTAGAAAACTAAGAAAAACTATTCCGTGGTCTAGAAAACCAAGAAAAACTATATCGTGGTCTAGAAATCCAGCAAAAACTAGTCCGTGACCTAGAAAACCAAGTTTTTTCCAGAAGTCTGCTCGAAAATTGGTGGGCGCGTTTTCTTTCGAAGCAGCTGAAATTCAAGAAGATGAAGTCTTCAATTTTGAACCACTTCAGAAAGAAGCAGAAGCTGAAATTGCAGATGATGCTGAAATTGTGGCTGAAAATTTCGATGCTGAAATTCCCACAGATGAAATTCCATCTGAAAATCCTTCTCCAGCTGAAATTTTCAAAAAAAATCTGGAAAAACGTTCGGCAACACCGCCTGTGGAAAGTAGTTGGCAACATTGGAGCAGCCAATATTCGACACCTGAAGATGCTTCATCTGCTGCTGCCACGTGGCGACCTGTTTTCTCAACACCAACCACAGATTTGGCTGAAAATCTGGAAAATTCGCTGAAAATCACGAAAAAACCACCATGTGAATTTGGCGAATTTCAAGGACCCTCGAATTTTTTGTCAAAAACGGCCGCAAAAAATGAGATTCGCGCAGTCGACGATCTGATTTGCTATGAGGAATTTTTCATTCGACAGGATTTCGATGAACGACAAATTCGAGAGTTGAGAAAAGGAATGGGAGAGACGGACTATCGATTCACGTTTGAGCCGAAGGATTTGACTGGAGGATATGTGAGGGTTTTTGAGGCGGGATTTTGGGATGAAAATTGCGAAATTTTGAACTAAAATTCAAGAAAATTGGCCTAGAAATCATCTGGAAAATGAAATTTTGCCATTTTCGACCCATAATTGATGAAAATCATGAAATTTCAAGGTTTTTAGAGCAAAGTTGAAAAAAATCATAAAATTTCAAGATTTTTGAAGAAAATGGCGAAATATTGACCTAGAAATGATCTAGAAAATGAAATTTCGCGATTTTCAACCTGAAATTGATAAAAATCACAAAATTCTGAGGTTTTGGACCTGAAATTCAAGAAAATTGCGAAATTTTGGTATAGAAATGAAGAAAATCATGAAATTCTGAGGTTTTCGGAGCAAAATTCAAGAAAATGGTGAAATTTTGGTCTAGAAATCATCTGGAAAATGACATTTCGCCATTTTCGACCTAAAATTCAAGAAAATGGTGAAATTTTGAGGTTTTGGACCTAAAATTCAAGAAAATGGTGAAATTTTGGTCTAGAAATCATCTAGAAAATGAAATTTCGCCATTTCCAACCTAAACTTGATAAAAATCATGAAATTTTGAGATTTTTGCACTGAAATTGATGAAAATCATGAAGTTTCAAGGTTTTTGGACCTGAAATTGAAGAAATTATTGAAATTTCAAGGTTTTTGAACTAACATTTTCAATTTTTGAATGTTTTTCTTGCAGGAAATGGAAGTGAAGTGCAGTTCATGTGATGGAAATCATATAGTGGATAATTGTCCATCGATGGAAATACCGCCAGTTGAAAAATTTGCGAAAAGAACAAAAGAAGAGATACGGGAACTCGATGAGATTATTGATAAGTATTATCGTGAGTTTTTTGGGAATTTGGGGGATTTCGAGCCGAAATTTGGAATTTTTGCACAATTTTGAGCGAAATTTCGTGTTTTTTGATGAATTTTGACCTAGAAAACCAAGAAAAACTAGTCCGTGACCTAGAAAACCAAGAAAAACACGGCCATGGCCTAGAAAACTAAGAAAAACTCGGCCATGGCTTAGAAAGCCCGAATTTTTGATCAAAATAATCCAAAAAATATGAATTCCACCTGAAATTTCCCAAAATTTTGGTTCCAGAAGACAATACAATCAATGAATCGCGTCTTCGACTTCTCGAAAATCAAGTCAAAAATCTGGAAAACCACCTACGCTCAACCTATCGAAAAGATGTGGTTTTGACGATTTTCGGATCGGTTATGACTGGAATTGGTGTCAATAAATCGGATATTGATGTTTGTTTGAGATTTGGACAGAGTTATGAGCAACCTGAGGTATTTTTTTGGGAAAAATTGCGATTTTTTGACACCAAATATGATTTGGAGCATGAAAATCCGAGCATTGCTCATATCAACCCAAAAATTTCGATTTTCGCCTCGAAATTTTGAATTTTTCATCGAAAATTTGAGAAATTTCAGAGCATTGCTCATATTAGCCCAAAAATTTTGATTTTCGCCTCAAAATTGTGCATTTTTCATCGAAAATTGGGGCATTGCTCATATTAACCAAAAAATTCCGATTTTCGCCTCGAAATTGTCGCATTTTCCCCCGATATTTAGAACATTTTAGAGCATTGCTCATATTAACCAAAAATTTTCAGGATCGAGACGCTGAGAGAAAATTGGTAAATTTGAAATGTTGTGCTTTTTTCCGCCTCTAAAAATTGCTGTAATTTTTTTTGTCTGAAATCCATGTTTGCTCTAACCTCCCCAAAAAATGCAATTTTCCCACCAAAAATTCAAAATTTTTTGCAGAATCTTGCGCCAGTCGATGTGATATCACAAGTTGCTGAAAAACTGCGAAGAGCAAAAATGACTCGAAAAGTTCAACCAATTCTAACCGCCAAAGTTCCGATTGTGAAATTTCAGCTGAAGTTGGACTATGATTTGTATGTGGATGCTGAGTGAGTTTTGTTTTGTTTTTTTTTGGTGAAAATTGACAATTTGCGAGATTTTGAGCTAGATTTCATGATTTTTGGATGATTTTGAGCTATTTTGCACGAAAATTGCGTCAGTAACAGTTTTGTTGACGCATTTTCCGGTAGATCTACCATATTTCTGTTTTTCAGCATCAGCTACTACAACATTCTTGCTCTCTACAACACGAAACTTCTTCGAAGCTACACACTTTGGTCGGCGGATAATAAGTTTGCAAAACTCGGATTATTTGTGAAAAATGTGGGTTTTTTAGCTGAAAATTGTCCAAAACAGTCGACTTTTACTCCCAAAAATTGTCCAAAACAATCGATTTTTAACCGCTGAAAATTGTCCAAAACAATTGATTTTTAACAGCTGAAAATTGTCCAGAACAATCGATTTTTCGACCCCACAGAATCGTTCAAAACAATCGATTTTTTCACCTTAAAATTGTCCAAAACAATCGATTTTTACTCCCAAAAATTGTCCAAAACAATCGATTTTTACTCCCAAAAATTGTCCAAAACAATCGATTTCTCACCCCCAAAAATTTTCCAAAACAATCGATTTTTACGCTCAAAAATTGTCCAAAACAATCGATTTTCACTTCCAAAAATTGTCCAAAACAACCGATTTTTACTCCCAAAAATTGTCCAAAACAATCGATTTTTACTCCCAAAAATTGTCCAAAACAATCGATTTTTACTACCAAAAATTGTCCAAAACAATCGATTTTTCACCCCCAAAAATTGTCCAAAACAAGAATTTTGCAGTGGGCTAAACAATGTGACATTGGCGACGCCTCAAAAGGATCCATATCCTCATATGCTCACATCATTTTGCTCCTCTCGTATTTGCAAAAATGTGATCCGCAAGTTTTGCCACGACTACAGGAGGTCAGCATCTTTTTTTTTTTCAAAAAAAAAAAAAATTTTCGCGCCAAAATTTTTTAATCAATTTTGTTTTTCAGGATTTCCGAGATTCGACAACCGAAAAACGAATAGTCGAAAATTGGGACACGTACTTTTATGAGGGCGAACCCAAACCCTATTTGAACAATCAAAAAACGTGTGCCGAACTGCTTTTGGGATTTTTCGACTATTATTCGCGATTTGATTTTCGGCATTTTGTGAGTTTTTTTGTTGAAAAATCCAGAAAATTTGACGATTTTTGGCTTAAAATTGTGTATTTTTGACCAAAAATTGAGAAATTTCAGAGCATTGCTCATATTAACCCAAAAATTCCCGATTTCGCCTCAAAATTGTGGATTTTTGACCGAAAATTGGAGCATTGCTCATATTAACAAAAAATTTCAATTTTCATACCAAAAATGGATAGTTTCAGAGCTTTGCTCATATTAGTTTTTCTAAATTTAATTTTAAAAATAATTCAAATGGAAATTTGAGCATTGCTCATGTTAGGCTAGAAAATTTGATGATTTTCACCTCAAAATTTTCCATTTTTCATTGAAAATTGAGAAGTTTCAGAGCATTGCTCATATTAACCCGAAATTTCCGATTTTTGCCTCAAAATTGTCGCATTTTTCATCGAAAAATGAGAAATTTCAGAGCATTGCTCATGTTAGCCAGAAAATTTGGCAATTTCATCCTTAAAATTGTGAATTTTTGACCGAAAATTGTAGCATTGCTCATATTAGTTTTTTTTTTAAATTTAAAATTGAAAATTTATAATTCAAATAGAAATTTGAGCATTGCTCATGTTAGTCTTTTAGCTTTTTCGAAAATTTAGTATTTATTGCTCATATTATAGGCTGAGAAATGGCGATTTGAGAGCATTGCTCATATTAATAGACTAGTATGAGCAATGCATCATTCTTTTTTGCAGGTTATCCAATGTCGTCGTGAAGAGAACTTGTCAAAACTCGAAAAACAATGGACAAAACCGCTATCGATTGAAGATCCGTTCGATTTACATCACAATTTGGGATCTGGAGTGACTAGGAAAAGTTGGTTGCTCAAGAGCATTGCTCATATTAATTTGTTGTATTTGCAGTGTTCGCCTTCATCCATCGAACTTTCATCTGTTCCCGTAAAGTTTTCATGTCGGCCAAAATTCGCGACACAATTCCCAGAGATGACCAATTTATCGACAATTATAGGGTGAGTTTTTGGGCGGTTACTGTAGGTTTTTTGGCGCCAAAAAATGCAGAATTTTGAGCCAAAAATCGAATTTTTTGGGTTAATATGAGCAATTCTCTGAAATTTCTCAAATTTTCGATGAAAAATGCACAATTTCGAGGCGAAATGGGGAACTTTTAAATGAATATGAGCAATGCTCTGAAATATCTCAAATTTCGATGAAAAATGCACAATTTTGAGCCAAAAATTAGAATTTTTGAGCTAATATGAGCAATGCTCTGAAATTTCTTAAATTTCGATGAAAAATGCACAATTTCGAGGCGAAAATCGGAATTTTTGGGTTAATATGAGCAATTCTCTGAAATTTCTCAAATTTTCGATGAAAAATGCACAATTTTGAGACGAAATTGAGAATTTTTGGGTTAAAATGAGCAATGTTCTGAAATTTCGATTTTTGCGAGAAAAAGTCCAAATTTTATGATTTTTGGGTTAGAAATTCTGAAAAATTCTCGAATTTTTGGCCCAAAAATGGCCTAGAATCCCCCAATTTCATTGTTTTGCAGAGAGAATTGCTTCGAAGTTGTTCACAAGGTCACGCGCCTTCAGATCGACAATGTCATATATGCGCGAAAATTGGACATTTTGCTGAAAGTTGTCCGAAACGAATTGCGTGAGTTTTTTTTTGTTGGGAAAAAATCCGGAAATTTTTGCGAAAATTTGAATTTTTTTCTTCACCTCAAAATAATCGATTCAAATTTTGCAGATCCAATAAAATTTTCCTCAATTTTGTGCTGAAAAACAGGTAATTTTTTTCGAGAAGCACAAAATTGGTACAAAACTGAAAATTTTATCTTAAAATCTAGATTTTTGACCGAAAGTTTGAATTTTAATGAAAATTAAAACATTGCCCATTTTACAGTCTGAAATTATCTGAAAATTTCAATTTTCATGAAAATTTAGGCATTGCTCATATTATAGTCTGAAAATGTTCAATTTTCATAAAAATTTAGGCATTGCTCATATTAAAGGAGCTAAAATATCTGAAAATTTCAATTTGCTATCCAAAAAAAATCCCAAAATCCCAGTTTTTTATGCTGATATTCATGAAAATTTTAAATTTTTATGAAAATTAAAATATTGCTCATATTATAGTCTGTAATTATCTGAAAATTTTGAATTTTTATGAAATTTTAGGCATTGCTCAGATTATAGTCTGAAATTATCTGCAAAATTTGAATTTTTATGAAAATTAAAACATTGCTCATATTATAGTCTGAAAAATTTAAATTTTTATGAAAATTTAGACATTGCTCATATAAACGAGCTAAAATATCCGAAAATTTTAATTTTCTATCACAAAAAAATCCCAAAAATCCTAGTTTTTGTGCTGAAATTCATGAAAATTTCAAATTTTTATGAAAATTAAAATATTGTTCATATTATAGAAAAAAAATAATTTCAAAAATCTGAATTTTTCACGGAAATTAAAATATTGCTCATATTATAGTAAAAAAATAATTTCAAAAAAATTTTTTTGCAGTCAACGCGAAGCAAAACGCAATCGTTTTTCGTCGGTTTCAACAGTCGGATCATCGACACAAAATGCTGGTGGTTCTGGATATCATTCCTCAAAAAATCGCCCGAATTTCTCGCCAAATCCGAACAATAATACGCCAAAGAAGGGTGGAAGCAATAATAAGGAACAACAAGAACAAAAGAAGGTGGATCCAAAATTCCTTGAATATCATAAGAGGGTTGGTCCTGAGCACACATGATATTGGGGGTTTTTGAGAATTTTCGGACCTTGGAGACTGCAAAATTGATGAAATTCGGGAATTTTTAGCTTAGAGTGGAGAATTCTAGTGAATTTGAAGCCCAGAATGAGGTTTTAGACGATTTTTGACCCAAAAATCAGTTTTCTAGCTGAAAATTGAGTATTTTACTGAAAATCCGGTGAATTTTGAGCTCAAATTGAGTTTTTGAACCATTATTGAGCCAAAAATCAGTTTTCTAGCTGAAAATTGACTGAAAATCAGTTTACTAGATTCTAGAGCATATTAACCAAAAAAATTCCCGATTTCGCCTCAAAATTATCGCATTTTTCATTGAAAATTGAGAAATTTCAGAGCATTGCTCATATTAACCAAAAAATTCCCGATTTTCGGATTAAAATTGTGCATTTTTCATTGAAAATTCGAGAAATTTCAGAGCATTGCTCATATTAACCCAAAAAATACTGTATTTTCATCAATTTCAGCAGCCTCTTTCCCCTTACCCCCTTACAGTAACCCTTCTGAAATCAGCCCCAAAAATTACCAAAAAATCTCAATTTTCAGACGGTCTATCACTGAAAATCGCTGGAAATCAGGTCAGCTTCCGCAATTTTTATATGTATATGTGTAAAAATATTCTCGCGCGCCCAAAAAATCTCAACAAAAAATTCCCCACTTGTTTTTTTTTTCTCTCTCGTGATCTTCTTAAATTTTTTGGGTATTCATTGATTTTTCGTTTTTCATGTGCCAAAACCGTAGTTTTACACAGTCTTTTTGCTCTTTTTTTGTTGCTTTTGAAGTTACTTGCCGTTTTTTTTTGTTTTGAGTTTTTTTTGTTTTTTTTTCGAGGGAAAATGGGATATAGGCTGAAAATTACTGAAAATCTGAGGTTTCTAGCTGAAAATTGAGGTTTCTAGCTGAAAATTGAGGTTTTTGGCTGAAGATCGAGGTTTTCTGCTGAAAATTGAGATTTATAGCTGGAAATCAAGGTTTCTAGCTGAAAGTTGATTGAAAATCGAGGTTTCTAGCTGAAAATTGACTGAAAATCATGAATTTCAGCTCTAGAAGTTCTGAAAATTGAGGTTTCTGGCTGAAAATTGAGGATTTAAGCTGAAAATTGAGTTCTCTAGCTGAAATCTGAGGTTTTTAGCTGAAAATTGACTAAAAATCGAGATTTTTGAGCCAAAAATCTGGGTTCTAGCTGAAAATCTGGTTTCTAGCTGAAATCTGAGGTTTCTAGCTGGAAATTGACTGAAAATCATGGATTTCAGCTCTAGAATTGCTGAAAATCGAGTTTCAGCTAGAAAATGACTTAAAATCAAGGTTTCTAGCTGAAAATTGACTGAAAATCAAAGTTTCTGGCTGAAAATCGACTGAAATCCCTAAAATTCGGGAAATATTCGGGTTTCTAGCTGAAAATCTCGAAAATTCCAGATTTCCAGCTCAAAAATCTAGTAAAGTTATGATAACTTGCCATAATTCGGCGTCATAACAATTATATTATTATTATATAAATAATATATAATATATCCCGGTTCTCTTTTGTTGTTTTTTCTCTCACCCACTCTCTCATATCTCCACACTATTTCGCGTTCACTTCTCTGCAATCTCTCACTCTCTCTTGCCTGCCATTTGGCAGATGCTGTTTGCGTTTCGCATGCATTTGTTGTAGTGGCTGGCTGGGTGATTTTTGAGCCAAAAATCGGGTTTTCTAGCTGAAAATTGAGTTTTTTACTGAAAATTTGAGGAATTTTGAGCTCAAAATGAGTTTTCTAGTGAATTTTAAGCTCAAACTGAGTTTTTAGACGATTTTTGAGGCAAAAATCAGTTTTCTAGCTAAAAATTGAGTTTTTTACTGAAATTTTGGGGAATTTTGAGCTCAAACTTAGTTTTTGGACCATTTTTGAGGCAAAAATCAGTTTTCTAGCTGAAAATCGGGTTTTCTAGCTGAAAATTTGGGGAATTTTGAGCTCAAACTTAGTTTTTGGACGATTTTTTTGAAAATTCAACGATTTCCAGTCATTATTACCCGAAAATCAGTTTTCTAGCCGATTTTCTAGATTTTCAGCCAAAAATCTTGTCTGAAAATCCCCGGTTATCCAGTTTTTTTCCAGATAAATTGTAAAGTAGTTTTCCTCTCTTTCCCAAGCCACAAAAAATATCCGAATGTTTTTCATCTCATTTTTTTGCCGCCGCCTACATTTCACATATGTCGGGTGATTTTCAGCTGAAAATGTTGGTTTTTGGTTAATTTTGAGCTAAAAAACTGGATTTTTGGTCACTTTTGAGCTAGAAACCTCGATTTTCAGCCAAAAATTCGATTTTCAGCAAATTTCAAGCCAAAGGACTGGATTTTCAGCTAAAACCTCAATTTTCAGCTAAAAACTGGATTTTCAGCCAAAAATTATGATTTTCAGCAAATTTTAAGCTAAAAAACTGGATTTTCAGCCAGAAATCATGATTTTCAGCTAGAAACCTCGATTTTCAGCTAAAAACCTCGATTTTCAGCTAGAAAACTCAATTTTCAGCCAAAAATCATGATTTTCAGCTAAAAACCTCGATTTTCAGCTAAAAACCTCAATTTTGAGCCAAAAATCATGATTTTCAGCAAATTTCAAGCCAAAGGACTGGATTTTCAGCTAAAACCTCAATTTTCAGCTAAAAACTGGATTTTCAGCCAAAAATTATGATTTTCAGCAAATTTTAAGCTAAAAAACTGGATTTTCAGCCAGAAATCATGATTTTCAGCTAAAAACCTCAATTTTGAGCCAAAAATCATGATTTTCAGCCAAATTTCCAGCCCTTTCCCATTTTCCCTCCAAAATTTTTTGTGTGATTTTTGTATGTACCATGACTTCCCCCATTTTTTTTGTTTTCAAATTTTTTTTCCAAATTTTTTTTCCATCTCCCCAAATTTTTTTTTGGTGAAAAAATAAAGTCATTTTACAATTTATTTTTTTTTCAATTTTTTAATTTTCTCGATTTTACACCGTTTTCAAGCGGTTTTCATACCTTTTTCCCCCAATTTTTCAGATTTTTTGGAGCGTTTTCCACGTGTTTTTTTTCTCAAATTTTTATCAGCAAATTTTCCATCTAATCATTTTTTTTGGAAAATGCTTGTTTTGCAGAATTTTTGAGCCAAAAATCAATTTTTTTTTCAAAAAATTTAGAAAAAACAATTTTTGATCTACCCGCCAAAAAATGAGAAAGTTTTTTTGGGAAAAAATTTTTTTGACGAAAAAAAATCGATTTTTCTTCTTTTTCTGGGGGATCTTGAATTTCAGCTGTTTTCAGGCGATTTTCAGCATTTTCTAGTCCAAGTTGGGATAATTTCTAGATTTTTGGCTGAAAATCTTGAATTTCAGCAGTTTTCATGTTGAAAATCAACATTTTCAAGCTAAAAATCGATTTTTTGAGGGTTCTAGCTGAAATTTTCAGCATTTTCTAGTCCAAGTTGGGATAATTTCTAGATTTTGTGCTGAAAATCTTGATTTTCAGATGTTTTCATGTTGAAAATAAACATTTTCAAGCTAAAAATGTTTGAAAATCGATTTTTTGAGGGTTCTGGCTGAAATTTTCAGCATTTTCTATACAAAATTGACATTTCCTCCTCCCAATTTTCCCATTTTCATTCCAAAAATAAAATGGACTCGGCCATAAACAACAACAAAGTTGTTGTTGTTATTTTGCTGTCAGAACATCGTGTACACTATTTTTTTTTTTTTTTGGAATTTTTAATTTGGCTCCTTTTTCTGGCTCATTTTTTGAGCTATGACGTGGCAAAAATAGTCTTTTTTAGCCCAAAAAAATAAAAAAAAATGGCAAAAAATCGATTTTCAGCCTGAAAACTGCTGAAATTCAAGATTTTCAGCCAAAAATCTAGAAATTATCCCAACTTTGACTAGAAAATGCTGAAAATTTCAGCTAGAACTCTCAAAAATCGATTTTTTTGCTGATCTGAAGGTGCGGGGATCAATTCCCCATGGGAACCACTTGGATTTTGGATTTTTTTTTTGCCACGTTTTTTCCTAGCTCCTGCTCCATTTTTGCTCTTTTTCAGAGCTCCGCTTGCACTTTTCTTGAATATTTGGTCTCAAAAATCTAGTTAGTCTATGTATGTAGTCATAGTGCACAATGAGAACATTTTGGCTGGAAATTTGAGCGGTTTCCATTTTTTTTTTTGAATTTTGGTTGTTGGCGGCCAGAAAAATCCATTTGGCATTCGAATTTTCAAATTTTTTTTGCATTTCGCGCCAAAAATCCACGTGGCATTCAAATTTTCAAAATTTTTTTTTCATTTCGCGCCAAAAATCCACGTGGCATTCAAATTTTCAAAATTTTTTTTCATTTCGCGCCAAAAATCCACGTGGCATTCCAACTTTTTGAAAATTTCTATTTTCGCGCCAAAAATTCTCATGTTTTTTGTTCTCCAAAACCCGATAATTAGTTTTTCCCTCGTTTTTTTCATTTTTTTTCTTTTTTCTTGAAATTGACAGCTGAAAAAGTTGTGTTTTTCCACGTTTTCAGCTCAAAATTAATCAATTTCATTGCTTTTTGAAACGAAAAATCTGATTTTCCACGTGGAATTTCAGAATTTCATGGTCCAAAAGCTGAAAAATTATAAAAATGTGATTTTCCACGTGGAATTTCAGAATTTCAAGATCCAGAAGCTGAAAAATCATAAAAATTTGATTTTCCACGTGGAATTTCAGAATTTCATGGTCCAAAAGCTGAAAAATTATAAAAATGTGATTTTCCACGTGGAATTTCAGGATTTCAAGGTCCAGAAGCTGAAAAATGATGAAAATTTGATTTTCCACGTGGAATTTCAGGTTTTCAAGGTCCAGAAGCTGAAAAATCATAAAAATTTGATTTTCCACGTGGAATTTCAGAATTTCATGGTCCAGAAGCTGAAAAATCTGATTTTCCATTTGCTGGGGAATTTGAGCGGTTTCCTTTTTTTTTCGAATTTTGGTTTTTGACGCCCAGAAAAAATCCACGTGGCATTCAAATTTTCAAAAATTTTTCATTTCGCGCCAAAAATTCTCCAACCAAACCCGATAATTAGTTTTTTCCTCCCCATTTTTCTTTTTCTTGAAATTGACAGCTGAAAAAGCTGAAAATTAATCGATTTTCTTGCAGAGTACAATATGTCGTGCTGAACATCGTGTCCGATTTTATTCCCCGAAGTTTTGACCGAAGTTCTGAACTACTCCAAAAAGTGTACATTTCAATCAATTATTATTAATATTTTTACTAATATTTCTAATAATTAGAAGATTTCTACTACTAATGATGACTATTGCAATGCAGGTGAGCTGAGAGCATTTTTTGGAGCATTTTGGGCTCTATCTCAATATAAGGGTCCCAAAAAAAAAAAAAAAAGGGTCCGTGATTTTTTTCATAGGTCTGATTTATTTGATTTTTGGAGGAAAAAATGTGTTTTTATGGACCCTCAAAAAAAATAACGGACCCATATATTTTTTTGGGACCCTTGAACAAAATTACGGACCCCTGTATTTTTTACGGATCCTTAAATTTCCATGGGACCCTTATATTGCGATAGAGCCGCATTTTGAGACCGAATAAGTTATGACGTGGATTTTATTTTTTGTTTTTCTTACAGAAACCAGCCAAAAATTCGACATCATCACCCAGCAAATCAAGCGGTTATGCAGAGAGTTCGGCGAACTCGGATGATTTGATTGTTTCGATGCCCGAACAAACTCTGGTTGAATGTTTTGGCAATTTGGCAATCTCCAAACGATTGCCGCATTTGAGACCGCCAGCCGCGTTTTGTGAGTTTGGGAATTTTGTATGGGAAATGTGGGTTTTTCAATTTTCAGCCAGAAACCTCAATTTTCAGCTGAAAAACCCAATTTTCAGCCATTTTCTAGCTGAAACTCGATTTTCAAACATTCTAGTGCTGATATCCATGATTTTCAGTCAATTTTCAGCTAGAAAACCTCAATTTTGAGTTAGAAACCTCGATTTGGATTTTTTTTACCTGAAATTCGAATTTTGAATGGAAAAAGTGGGTTTTTCGACCTGAAATTTGATTTTTTAATGGAAAATTTGACATTTTTTGAGCTGAAATTTGATTTTTTCTCTAGAAAATCTGATTTTGGAGACCTGAAAATGAATTTTTCCCAAAAAAAATCCGGTTTTTTGAGCTGAAACTCGATTTTTCCCTGGAAAATTTGATTTTGGAGACCTGAAATTCGATTTTTGAATGGAAATTCTGATATTTTTTGAGCTGAAATTGTATTTTTCTTTGGAAAATCTGATAGTTTTTGAGCTGAAATTCGATTTTTCTCTGGAAAATTTGACATTTTTGAGCTGAAACTCGATTTTTCTCTGGAAAATTTGACATTTTTGAGCTGAAACTCGATTTTTCCCTAGAAAATCTGATTTTGGCAAACTGAAATTCAAATTTTGAATGGGAAATATGGGTTTTTCCACCTGTAATCAGATTTTTCTCTGGAAAATCTGATATTTTTTGACCAGAAATTGAATTTCTCACAAGAAAATCTGATATTTTTTGAGCTGAAATTCAAAATTTGAATGAAAAATCTGACATTTTTTGAGCTGAAATCTGATTTTTCCCGAACAAAATCCGATTTTTTGACCTGAAATTGGCCAAAATTCAATTTTCCCATCTTTTTTCCAGGTCTTCCGTTTGTTTCGATGAATAATGATGCAGTTAGTGGACACGCTTTGAAGCATTTCACATTGACGTGAGTTGAGGCCCGAAAATCCAGGCCGGAACTAGGCCTGACTCCTATAATCAGGCCAAGTTTAGGCCTGATTTTCGGGGATAAATCAGGCCGAAGCCTAGGCCTTTTCTTAATCCAATTCTTTTCCAGTTCACTGTTCGATTCTCTTCATCCATATGTTCGTATGCCAGTTTTGCATCGTCGCGATATTTCGTCGGCAATGAATGTTTATTGGCTGAAAAATTGTCTGGAACCGGATCAACTCGATTTGGTGCATCGATTTGCTCTCGAGATGCAAATTCATTTGAGCCAATGTTTTGGATGTCGAGTTGTATTGGATGTGAGTTGGTTTTTTGCTTTTTGAAACGAAAAAAATCTGGTTTTCCACGTGGAATTTCGGGATTTCAAGGTCCAGAACCTGAAAATCATAAAAATCACGAAAATTTAGTCTTAAATCTTGAAATTCTGAAATTCCACGTGGAAAACCAGGTTTTCCAGGCCTACCATCAAATGTTTATGATTTTTCAGCTTTTTCCTGAAATTCCACGTGGAAAATCAGAGGATTTCAAGGTCCAGAAGCTGAAAAGGCATGAAAAGTTGATTTTCCACGTGGAATTTGAGGATTTTAAGGTCCAGAAGCTGAAAAATCATAAAAATTTGATGGTAGCTCGGGAAAATCTGAATTTCAAGGTCCAGAAGCAGAAAATCTGGTTTTCCACGTGGAATTTCAGGATTTCAAGGTCCAGAAGCTGAAAAATCATAAAAATGTGATTTTCCACGTGGAATTTCAGAATTTCAAGATCCAGAAGCTGAAAAATCATGAAAATTTGATTTTCCACATGGAATTTCAGGATTTTAAGGTCCAGAAGCTGAAAAATCTGATTTTCCACGTGGAATTTCGTGGATTTCATGGTCCAGAAGATGAAAAATCTTAAAAATTTGATTTTCCACGTGGAATGAACATAGACCTGAAAATCTGAGATCTAGGATCAAAAATTCAAAAAAAGTTTTATTTTTTAATTTGATTTTCCACGTGGAATTTCAGGATTTCAAAATCCAAGACTAAATTTTCTTGATTTTTGTGATTTTTCAGCTTCTGGACCTTGAAATCCCGAATTTCCACGTGGAAAATCGAATTTTCATGATTTTTCAGCGTCTGGACCTCGAAATTCTGAAATTCCACGTGGAAAACCAGAATTTTTATGATTTTTCAGCTTCTGGACTTTGAAATTCTGAAATTCCACGTGGAAAACCAGAGGATTTCGTGGTCCAGAAGCTGAAAAATCATAAAAATTTGATTTTCCACGTGGAATTTCGTGGATTTCAAGGACCAGAAGCTGAAAAATCTCGAAAATTTGATCCTAGGCTTGGAAAAAAAAGTCAAAAAATTAAAATTTCACAATTTGAGGCCAAAAATCATGAAAATCTCGAAAATATTTCACTTGAAAGTGACTTTTTCATTTCAATTTTACAAATCTCTCTTCAGATCTACGGTTCAACTCGAAATGGTTTCGGAACACGAATGTGTGACGTGGATATGTCCCTCTCATTCTATCCATCTCCCCCAATTTGGGCAACAAATTCGGATCGTGTAATGCGTGCCGTCGCCAAAGCGCTCGTCGATTTCCCAAAAGCCATTGATGAACGATATGTGAATGCAAAAGTGCCGATTGTTCGATTCCGAAGTTTTGACATGGATATGGAGGCGGATATAAGTTATAAGAATGATTTGGCATTGCACAACACACAATTGTTGCAACAATATTGTAAATGGGATCCCGATCGATTGCCGACACTTGGTGTTTGGATTAAGGCTGTGAGTTTTGGCGGGATTTTTGGGGGGAAAATGCGCTAAAAATGAGCCTAAACATGCCTAAATAACCCTAATTACCTTAAAACTGCATTAAATTCATATTTGAGCCTGAAATTCAAGTCTGAAATTATAGCTTTAAGGGAAATTCTGGATTTTGAGCCTAAATCTCAGAAGCCTAAAATTGAAGCCTGAATTTAAGGCCTCAAATTAGAGTCTGAAGGAAAATTCTGGATTTTGAGCCTGAAATTCAATCCTAAAATTAAAGCCTGAATTTCAAGCCTGAATTTATAGTCTGAAGGAAAATTAAAGCCTGAATTTAAAGGCTGAAATTATAGTCTAAAATTAAAGCCTGAATTTTTTTGAGCCTAAAATTAAAGCCTGAATTTTGAGCCTAAAAGTACATCCTAAATTAAAAGCCTGAAATTATAGCTTTAAGGAAAATCCTGGATTTTGAGCATGAAAGTACAGCCTAAATTTAAAGCCTGAAGGAAAATCCTGAAATTCAAGCCAAAATCAAATCCTGAATTTTAAAGCCTGAAATTATAGCTTTAAGGAAAATCCTGGATTTCAAGCCTGAAACTAAGGCCTGAATTTTGAGCCTAAAGTTCAAGCCCGGAGCCCGGAATCAAATCCAGAATTTTGAGCCTAAAATTAAATGCGCTAAAAATGAACCTAAACATGCCTAGGAAAATCCTGAAATTCGATCCTAAAATTAAGGCCTGAATTTTGAGCCTAAAGTTCAAGCCTATAATTAAAGCCTGAAATTCAAGCCCAAAATCAAATCCAGAATTATGAGCCTAAAATTAAGGCCTGAATTTTGAGCCTAAAGTTCAAGCCCGGATTAAAGCCCAAAATCAAATCCAGAATTATGAGCCTAAAATTAAGGCCTGAAATTGAAGCCTAAATCTCAGAAGCCTGAAATTAAACCTTACCCTAAGAAGCCCTTAAGAACCTCTCTTTTTTCCAGTGGGCAAAACGTTGTGGCGTTGGCGAAGCGTCAAAAGGTTCACTCTCCTCATACGCCTGGATCGTTATGCTCATCCACTATTTGCAACAAATTGAACCCTACCCGGTTTTGCCGTGTCTGCAAGAAATGAGTCGAGAAAAATCGGATAATGTATATGTGCAGGGATATAATGTGTACTATTGGAAGTTTGTTGATGTGAGTTTGGGGGGCCGGGGGCTTTTTGGGCCTAGAAAATCTGGAAAATTTTGTTACTCAATTTTTTTTCACTGAAAAACCGCAAAAAATTCTTTTAAAATTGGAATTTGGTAACTTATCGTAACTCCAATTAATCTCTATATCTATCAAAAAATAAATTAATCAGGATTTAATCAAAATTTTCTTTAAAAATGTCAAAATTTACCATTTTTAGTGATTTTTTACGAATTCTTTTACGATTTTTAAGCCTGGAGCTTTTTTGGCCCCCAGAAAATCTGAAAAAATCGCTCAATATTTCCAGCCAACCAAAAGTCGTCACTGCAATAAATCGGTGCTCGATTTGTTCGTCGGCTTCTTGGACTACTACAGCACCTATTTCGACTATGAGCAACACGTTGTTCAGATGGTTTCGCGAAAAATCGAGGCGAAACCGGATCGCTGGTCGAAATATCCAATGTGTATTGCGGATCCGTTTGAGACGGATCACAATTTGGCGCAAGGTGTTGATTATCAAAGTGAGTTTTGGGTTTTGGGTGGATTTTGAGCTAAAAATTGTGAAAATTGTGGAATTTTGAGCCAAAAATTGTGAAAATTAATGAATTTTGAGCTAAAAATTGTGAAAATTGATGAATTTTGAGCTAAAAATTGATGAATTTTGAGCCAAAATTCACAAAAATTGAGAAAATTTCACCCAAAAACCCCCTGGTTTTGCAGTGTTTGACTACATTCGAAGTTGTATGGAGCACTCGAAATCCGTGTTTCAAAATCGTCATCTTCGCGCCGAGTTTCTTTTGGGATACGGTAGTGACGTGGATGAGTACGATATGATGAGTGGACAAGAAATGGATATGGAGATGGCTAGCCAATTTGGGGTATGTTGTTTTGGTGACGCAATTTTTGGAGGCTTGGGAAGTTGCTGACGCGTTTCTGGTAGCTCAGGGAGTTGCTGACGCGTTTCTGGTAGCTCAGGGAGTTTGCTGACGCGTTTTTGGAAGCTTGAGAAATTGCTGACGTCTTTTCAGTACCACATTTAGCTGCTGACGCATTTTTCCCTCAAAATCCATTTTTGCAGGAATTCCTTCTTCACAAATGCATAATGATCAAACAAGCGCCACATCGACAATTCCGCGACAGAAGTATGAGTCAATCAACATCCACTTCAAACACCTCCATCAGCTCATAGGGTAATTCTACCATATTAAGACCCTATTTACGCTAAACCCCCTAAAATTGCGCTCAAAATGAGATCCCGCATAATATGTATTTATAATATAGGATTTTTCAATTTTTCACCACCACCAAAAATTCAAATTTTTATAAAATTGCGCGGGTCAATTCATTTTAATGTAAAAAATACCCTTTAACCTTAAGGACCTTAAAAAACACCTAAACAATTAATTTTTGTACATATTGACCCCTCACACTAAAATATAAATAAATAAATAAATGAAAAAAACAGCCGGCTGTGTTCCTTTAAAAAATTGAATTTTTATTATTTTTATTATTATTATGATGTATAAACAATGAGCTGGTACTCTCTATACAAAATTTTATCGATTGATTTTTAAGCCCCGCCCCCCCCCCTTTTTTTACTCACCCAAATAAACCACGCCCCTTTTTTCGTAAGCCCCGCCCCCCAGATCACACAGAAATGCCTTTTTTTATTGTTTACCCCGTTTTTTGTTGTGAATATGAATGAATGAATTTTTGATGGAAAAAAATCCACGCGGACTAACTTTTGAAAATCCTAGGCCACGTGTGAAAACTTTTTCTGGCTTGGGAAACAAAAAAACACGTGCGCGTCAAATAAAATGCATTGTGTGCAACGGGCTTGGTGTTTGCACACATTTCTTGCAAGCTACAGTAACCTTCATAATTTTTTTATATTTTTTTTTGGTTTTCAACCGGAAAAACGCCCATATGTTGATAAAAATGATCAAATTTCAATTTAAAAAATGTTTATTTATTTTATCAAATCAGTTCATTTTCAGATTATTTCTGTGAAAAATGAACCGACCAATGTTTTGTTGCTGCGATTCGAAGGTGAAATTTGGGCGCCCAAAAACTTGAATTCAAAATTCCCCAAAATTCTTCCAGACATTTCTCGCGTTCATCACAATTTTCTCGATTTTCACCTACATAATGACAATTTCGATCACAAGCTATTTGAGGGGATTCGATCCGAAACTCGCCAGCGCCCTCTTTCTCATCCTTCTCGATCTGCTCTTTTTGTACGGTATTTTGAGGGATGACACGGCGCTTTTGAGGATTTTGTATTGGTTTTCGGTGAGTTGAAAAATGCGCCAGCAAATGTCTTGCTGGCTTTTTTTCAGACCTTTCACACTATAACAATCTTCATAATTCTTATTATTGTTCCAGTTGCAGTAACAACTGCTGTTAATTTTCCAGTTCATTATTCAGAAAATCCTGAATTTTTGAATGAAGTTGCGAGAGAAGTATTTTCAGCAACTGAAAATGAAGAAGAAGAAGATTGCAACTTCAAAAAAATTGTGAAAATATCGCAACAACTTCTCATGCAAGATCTCGAACATCAATTGGAAAATCATAACAAAGCTGTTTTTATTAGCGGGCTTGTAACGGGATATGCAACAACTTCGGTGATTGTTGTCCTATTCATTGTTTCCTACATCAAACATTCGATTATTGGAGATTGTTTGAGATATGCGGAATTTCTTCAGAATACGCCACAACCCCTCAGACTTATGACGTATTGAATCATCAATAAATGTTGTAAAAATTGAAAAAAAATTTGCCTCGGCGCGGGATCGAACCCATGACCTGAAATTCAAGAGACGCGCGTGTTAACCACTCGGCTACGCGCTCCTGTTTTTCTTCGCTGCAAATGTTTGATATATGAAACGAAGAAAAAAATCTTTTTTGCAGCATATGTGACAAACTTGCGTTACACTTAGGCTAACTTATAATTAATTTTGTTTAAAAGTTGAAAATAACACACAATGTTTGGAACTTTAGGTATTCTCAGTATCAGACAAGCATAATTACAGGTTTTGCTACTTAGGTGAACTCGAAAGCTATGGGCGGAGCTTGGAGAGCTCCATAAAATGGCAGAAGTATCAGTTGACTTGAACCTCGCGGGGCTTCAAGTCGGGCGCTCTCTAAATGCCTCCTCCTCCTCCCATATTCATATTCCTCCTGATCTTCTCAGCTTCAGCAACAAGACTTCAGTGCCCATTCAAAATGGCTAATAATAATGATCGGAGGAATTGCGAGAGATCGGAGACATTCAGGAATTATTTGACAGCTAATCCCGAGTTCAAAAATCGACGTCCGGATATTTTGGAAGAGATGGCCACGTATTTCGAGAAGGAGGAGGTGAGCTTGCGAAGCACGGCGTTTTTGGCGCCAAAAATTCAATCTACCGCCTCAGAAGCCACGTGAATTGCTATGACGTTTACCATATCATGACAATCCACGTGGCCGCTAAAGCGGAAGATAGTCTACACTCGCGCTTCCGCGCTCGAGACATTGCTCAGGTTAACATCGAGCGGAGCGAGTGTAGACCGCAAGCTTCCGCGTCAGCGGCCACGTGGATTACTATGACGTTTACCATATCATAGAAATCCACGTGTCCGCTAAAGCGGAAGACAGTGCCGCTGACGCGGAAGCTTGCGGTTCACACTCGCGCAGAGCGCTCGGGTCGAGCGGAGCGAGTGTAGATCGCAAGCTTCCGCGTCAGCGGCCACGTGGATTACTATGACGTTTACCATATCATTACAATCCACGTGGCCGCTAAAGCGGAAGACAGTGCCGCTGACGCGGAAGCTTGCGGTCTACACTCGCACTTCCGCGCTCGAGACATTGCTCAGGTTAACATCGAGCGGAGCGAGTGTAGACCGCAAGCTTCCGCGTCAGCGGGCCACGTGGATTACTATGACGTTTACCATATCATAGAAATCCACGTGTCCGCTAAAGCGGAAGACAGTGCCGCTGACGCGGAAGCTTGCGGTTCACACTCGCGCAGAGCGCTCGGGTCGAGCGGAGCGAGTGTAGATCGCAAGCTTCCGCGTCAGCGGCCACGTGGATTACTATGACGTTTACCATATCATTACAATCCACGTGGCCGCTAAAGCGGAAGACAGTGCCGCTGACGCGGAAGCTTGCGGTCTACACTCGCACTTCCGCGCTCGAGACATTGCTCAGGTTAACATCGAGCGGAGCGAGTGTAGACCGCAAGCTTCCGCGTCAGCGGCCACGTGGATTACTATGACGTTTACCATATCATAGAAATCCACGTGTCCGCTAAAGCGGAAGACAGTGCCGCTGACGCGGAAGCTTGCGGTTCACACTCGCGCAGAGCGCTCGGGTCGAGCGGAGCGAGTGTAGATCGCAAGCTTCCGCGTCAGCGGCCACGTGGATTACTATGACGTTTACCATATCATAGTAATCCACGTGGCCGCTAACGCGGAAGCTTGCGGTCTACACTCGCGCTTCCGCGCTCGAGACATTGCTCAGGTTAACATCGAGCGGAGCTAGTGTAGATCGCAAGCCATATCATAGTAATCCACGTGTCCGCTAAAGCGGAAGACAGTGCCGCTGACGCGGAAGCTTGCGGTCTACACTCGCGCTTCCGCGCTCGTGATTTTTCTACTAATAATTCCACGTCATAGCATTCCACGTGGAATCCCAATAAATAGATTTTTGCAGCTCTTATTTTGCTGCTACGAATCTGAATGCCTTCAAGAATGTGGCTATGACCTGGAATCGTTGTTCGAAAACGATATGGCAAAAAACATTCAAACCGACGCCGCAAAACTTCTCACCAAATACAACATGGCCTTCTTCAAAAACGTGGCACCTCTCGAATTCTTGCTATTGTTCCACGCCGATCCCGATTCAGTGCTCATTGAGTTCTGGAAAATCCGAGCGACACATCTCAACAAAATCAAGAGCAGATTGGATGATGGAAGAATGGGCAATGAGAATCGGAAGAAGCCTTTTTTCTAGAACCAAAATTGAGCCGAACTAGACTGTAGTCTAGGCCGGGGGTCGTTCATTGTAGAACTGTTTTTTTCGTAGTCTTTGCCGATCTTTTTTTTGATTTTGAACAAATAAATATGTTATTATACGGTTTTCTAAAACACAGGAATTCCAGATTAAAGGAACATACAGTGTCTTATTGGAAAACGGAGAATGAACAATAATCATGACTGACACCTCTAAAAATAATACGAAAACAATTGCAGATATGAAAGTTTTATTCAAAAAACAATGTATTAGTTAATAAAACGGACATTTTTATAGACTTGTCTCTTTTGTTCCGCCAAAGTTGACGAAGCGAAGAAAACCAAAAATGCAACGAAGAATTGATAGAAATTCATTTTATGTTATTGTTTTCAGTCAAAAATCGACAAATATTTATACATCAAATATTTCACACGGCATTTTGAATTATTCATTCATTTTTCACAATATCGTATTGTTAGGTTGATAATTTACATATCCGTGAAAAATATAACAAAAAAAATGAATAATTCAAAATGCCGTGTGAAATATTTGATGTATAAATATTTGTCGATTTTTGACTGAAAACAATAACATAAAATGAATTTCTATCAATTCTTCGTCGCATTTTTGGTTTTCTTCGCTTCGTCAACTTTGGCGGAACAAAAGAGACAAGTCTATAAAAATGTCCGTTTTATTAATTAATACATTGTTTTTTGAATAAAACTTTCATATCTGCAATTGTTTTCGTATTATTTTTAGAGATGTCAGTCATAATTATTGTATATAAGAGAAAGACATCTCTTCAGCTCGTGGTCAAGTTTGGAGCTTTAAAAACATTTTTTTTGGGATACTTTGAGATACGCTTATCACAATATCACTTTTCTGACGGTGAGTTATGGCAGTCAGTTCATTTTTCCGGTTATTGTTGCCCAGAAGGGCTTCGCTGGCTGATTCGGCTAGGAAAGAAATTAGAACGATCTTATAAGAAATGTGGCCTGGAATTTAATAATTCGAATAAAAACGTGATGATTCTTTTTTGCATGAAAAAAGTTTCGATTTTTCACGTGAAAACTCGCGCACTTTTTGAAAAATGGATTATTAGCGCCTCGATGGGAACGATTTTGGGATAGAATATTGAAGGTCTTATCAAAAATAGTCTTCTGGGAATGGAGAAAAGTTAGGCGACATATTCAAAATTCGTAAAATGCATTGGAGTTTTCAAACGCTTTATTCTCCGCGCACCCACATACATTTTTATAAAGAATGGATAGGATCCCCACCTAGCTGCCAACTTTTAGAATTTTTTTCTTTTTTTTTTCTTAGCTCTATCGATTGAGCCTAAGTTTCCCTGTAGCAGGACAACCCTCTTAATAATTCAAAAAGAGCTCTGAAAAGGCCGAAGAAAATTTTGCAGAATCTTATTGGAAAACGGAGAATGAACAATAATTATGACTGACACCTCTAAAAATAATACGAAAACAATTGCAGATATGAAAGTTTTATTCAAAAAACAATGTATTAATTAATAAAACGGACATTTTTATAGACTTGTCTCTTTTGTTCCGCCAAAGTTGACGAAGCGAAGAAAACCAAAAATGCAACGAAGAATTGATAGAAATTCATTTTATGTTATTGTTTTCAGTCAAAAATCGACAAATATTTATACATCAAATATTTCACACGGCATTTTGAATTATTCATTTTTTAAAAATATTTTTCACGGATATGTAAATTATCAACCTAACAATACGATATTGTGAAAAATGAATGAATAATTCAAAATGCCGTGAGAAATATTGGATGTTGTAAATTTCTTTAGCAGAAAGCTTTATTCAGTCAAAAGAATAAAGGAGGAACATTAAAGAGACACGTAATCGCTGCAAGACCAAACACACGAAAAAAAATAATTTCCTCTTTTTCACCGTACTTTTTGTCCCATGTGATCGACAATGTGACTTAATAGCCTTTTTAGCAGCCAACTCTATAATTTGAGTCAAATTAAGCTCATTTTTCATTTAAAAATGCAACAAGTTCCTCAAGTATATCTCTACTTATTCTATATTCTCGGAATCATTTCAAGCATCCTTATAGCCTTCATAATCTTCCAAAAATACCTAAAATTCGGCGCATTCTTTAAAATCTTCCTGGTCTCTGGGATATTCGATATTCTCCACAGTGCGCTATACTTATGGCTCCACTGGGTAGCAAGGATTAATTTTAGAGCGTATGATAGTTGCTGGGTATGCCGTGCTCTTCGAAACTGTCTCAGTTATCCTAACTATAGCTACAATTTATGGATTGAAAAACTTCAAGACTTCTCACGAGAAGAAATTGATTATTGTGACGTCATCACACACTTTAGTCGCCTTTATTTTTATATTATACGAAACTTCGATGATTTTCAAATTCACGGATCCAATTAGTGTATTTGTGGCCAATTATCATACAACTATTGACTATTTTTTCTTGTGTTTCAATTTTTATACGATTTTGATTGCTGATTCGAGAATTCGACGGGATTTTTGGAGGATTTCGAGATTTTGGCGGAAGATGAAGATGTATATGAAAGTTAGTAATGTTAATTCGCATAATTTTCAGGAAAAATAATTTTTTTTTTGAAAATTATGATTGTATATTTCTCCCGGACTACTTTTTTTTTTTTGAAAAACATCGCGAAAACAATAATCAGGTTTAAAAATTAAAGGGAGGTAGATTTTTCAAGCCTATTTTTCACACAGCGATCATATATTTGTGTAGTTCTCTCGGACTATCAGTTTTTCATTTTTTTTTTGAATTATTCAGCCCAAAAAACTCACCAAATTCGCCACAAATATCCAAAATCCATCAATTTCCACGCAAATATGAGCAATGAAGAAATGCGGCAATCCTGAAAATTTGAAAATTCACAATCAGTTTGAAAAAAAACGCGCTCGCCTCAAAAAACAGCAAAAAATTTGCGAAAAAAAATAAAAATATTTTTTTTGTGGCGCGTTTGCGCTAAACAACGGGCAAAGCGGAGTGTCGTTGCAAAAAGGGAAATTTTTTTTTGAACTTGAAGAAAAATCAAAATTTCAAGGCTCGGTCAGAAAACAGCGGGGTCGCTACCGATCGGGGCGGAGTCGCTACACGTTTTTGTTCCCCGAAACGTGTAGCGACTCCGCCCCGATTGGTAGCGACCCCGCCGTTTTCTGACCGAGGGTTTAAAAGGAGGTTAGGTTTATTTATCATTTTTTTTTTTTGATTTTTCAATAAATCTCACATGACCAAAACTATAACCCCATATTATTTTGATACGAAAAAAAACTGTATCTAATTACACATTTGATGTTAGATGGTTTTGAGCCAAGATAAAAACAATAACGACGGTTGAAATATAATAATTGATTTATTCCAACGTTTCAGCGTTTAAACGCCATCTTCAGGGAATCACCTATAAAATAGTGAATAGAAATAAAGAAAATAAAGAAAAATGGAATATGTGTTAAGCTAAGTATAATACAAATTCAACAACACCGTAAAACCATGAAAATCCGTTAAAAATCAACCAAAAAACCCGTGAAAAGATGACAAATATAAAAATAGAAAATGAAAATGACAAAAGTGCCTAGTGTAAAAGCGGAGTGTCGTAGTTTAGGCGATGTTTTGAAAATTTAAATTAAATAAATTTTATTTAGGTTAAAAGTAAGTATTGAAAGGTGTTAGTGAGATATTTGAGGTAATTGGAGGGTTCCGAGCCTTGATATCATCTCTGATTATTCTTCTTTGTTATTTAATGAAGGATTTACGGTGTTTTATCAAAACTCCCTCCGAGATCTTCCTTCTACTCGTGTGGCGCTCGATCTCAAGAATGTCCAGATCAATGACAAGAGGTTTTCCACCATGTTTTTCCTTAGAATATTTTGCCCACACCGTAGAAGAGTAAGAAGCCAGACCAGGTTTGGTGCAAGCTCGACAGCTCGACGGAACACGAAACACCGTAAATCCTTCATTAAATAACAAAGAAGAATAATCAGAGATGATATCAAGGCTCGGAACCCTCCAATTACCTCAAATATCTCACTAACACCTTTCAATACTTACTTTTAACCTAAATAAAATTTATTTAATTTAAATTTTCAAAACATCGCCTAAACTACGACACTCCGCTTTTACACTAGGCACTTTTGTCATTTTCATTTTCTATTTTTATTTTTGTCATCTTTTCACGGGTTTTTTGGTTGATTTTTAACGGATTTTCATGGTTTTACGGTGTTGTTGAATTTGTATTATACTTAGCTTAACACATATTCCATTTTTCTTTATTTTCTTTATTTCTATTCACTATTTTATAGGTGATTCCCTGAAGATGGCGTTTAAACGCTGAAACGTTGGAATAAATCAATTATTATATTTCAACCGTCGTTATTGTTTTTATCTTGGCTCAAAACCATCTAACATCAAAAACTAAAATCAATATTTCATAATGCGACTACTTAACTCGTTCCCCCTTCAATTTATCTAATTACACATCTGAAACTCCCAGTTTTTCTGAAAATGCTGAAAATCTCGACGTCCTACGAATATTCTTGCTATTTTCTAGCCCTATTCCTCTGCGTTTTGGTCATTTTTTGCCTTGGAAAATACATCCAAAACTCCACATTTTTCTATATTTTCATGATTTCCGGCATTTTCGATATTCTACACTGCACTCTGTTTTTATGGCTGAAAATTACACGTATCTATGTCATTTTTCTTTATCTTCAAACTGCAAATCTTTTGCAATTTTTCGATTTTAAGTTTACAATTTTCCACGTAATCTCTAACTTTCTAATGGCTCTCAATAGATTTAGCGCAACTTTTTTGAGTTATTCAAAATTCTGGGGCCTAAAATCCCTCAAAATTTATCTAATCAGTTGTTTTCCGATTTTTCTCGAGGCTCAAACTATAGTGGAGTTTAACAATACTATAGTCCTCCTAGAAAAACCTGGTTCAATAATTCAACGCTTAATTGTTGGTGGCTACACTGTAGTCTTGCAAATCATATCAATTATCCTAAAAAAAAATGACCAAAACGCAGAGGAATAGGGCTAAAAAATAGCAAGAATATTCGTAGGACGTCGAGATTTTCAGCATGGGAAGGCTTACGCAATTCTTGACTAAAAATATATAAAAGTGTTAAATATGATTTTTTCGAGTTCTTTTTCTTGGGCTTAGAATGATATTGGTCAGCGGAATTTCTGATATAAGCGTATCTCAAAGTATCCCCAAAATGTTTTTAAAGCTCCAAACTTGACCACGAGCTGAAGAGATGTCTTCGTAAGTTCTTATATACAATAATTATGACTGACACCTCTAAAAATAATACGAAAACAATTGCAGATATGAAAGTTTTATTCAAAAAACAATGTATTAATTAATAAAACGGACATTTTTTTAGACTTGTCTCTTTTGTTCCGCCAAAGTTGACGAAGCGAAGAAAACCAAAAATGCAACGAAGAATTGATAGAAATTCATTTTATGTTGTTGTTTTCAGTCAAAAATCGACAAATATTTATACATCAAATATTTCACACGGCATTTTGAATTATTCATTCATTTTTCACAATATCGTATTGTTAGGTTGATAATTTACATATCCGTGAAAAATATAACAAAAAAATGAATAATTCAAAATGCCGTGTGAAATATTTGATGTATAAATATTTGTCGATTTTTGACTGAAAACAATAACATAAAATGAATTTCTATCAATTCTTCGTTGCATTTTTGGTTTTCTTCGCTTCGTCAACTTTGGCGGAACAAAAGAGACAAGTCTATAAAAATGTCCGTTTTATTAATTAATACATTGTTTTTTGAATAAAACTTTCATATCTGCAATTGTTTTCGTATTATTTTTAGAGGTGTCAGTCAATATTCTTGTATATAAGAACTTACGAAGACATCTCTTCAACTCGTGGTCAAGTTTAGAGCTTCGAAAACATTTTGGGGATACTTTGTGATACGCTTATCACAATATTGAAAACACAGTTGCTGAAGAGCATCATTACGTGATTCAATTTCTGTGATTCTAAGTTATTTTGATCTCCAATACTGTATCTAGACCAGCATTTGTTTTATACATACTCTTGCAACGTCTGCGTCGTGATTCCTTATTTAATCGATCAATTTTATCAACATTTTTTGCATAAAAAACAAGCTAATTTAATGATGTTTCAAATCTCCTCTTGGATCAATTTCTGGAATCACATCCATAGTTGGCATCTTCTGAGAGCAGTTTGTTTTAGCATACAACTGCTCGAAACAAGCCATTCTATAAATGATGTATAATACCGAGAATAAGTTGATCGATTGAAAAACAATGTGTACAATTTGACGAAGCTGGATAACTACAAATTTGCGGAGACGTTCGCTGGAAAATATGAAACATCACAAAAAACAATGTTGTATCAAATACACACTAACCCAAAAACACTTCTTGTTGACAACAAATGGTTTTGGGAAAAGTTCGCAATCTTCTTCACATATGTCGAACACACCATCGCAACCATCATAGTGCACAATCCAAAAATAATGTATTGTCCTAACAGTGGGATCTGCTCAGTTTTCGGTAATTTATCAGCAATTAATGTCAAAATAAATGTCATTGTCATAATATGCGTCATTCCAACTGAAAGCCTATCCATTTTGTAAATGTCTTTCATAAAAACACCAGCGATCGATACCGTGTTGATGATGAATGTTGGTAGAACAATCATATACATGTAAAACATCGGATTTCGTTTCAAATGCAATTTAACCACTGCATGTTTGTCATTGTCGAACAAGATATCATCGTAATAAACAACTTGTTGCCCATACGATATATTAACGATATCCCAAGCAGAATTTCCCTGAAACCTATATTATAGAGTGCTCCACATAACTATACGATCAAATGGTTCAATTTTTATGTTTTAAAGGTTTTATCCTGCTACAGAGAAACTTATCTTGAATCAACCACTGTTTTCCTTTGATTCGATGAATATTCCTAATGTTTTTTCTATGTTTTCTCATTCTTTTTGAAGATTTTTTCTCGTGTTCTCTGTGTCTCTCTCGATTTACCCAGTAACAGGTCCTCCAGGATGCTTCTAGCTTCCCGTTTTTCAGTTGAGATTCGTTGCGGCACGTTGAAAAAAATAATACGTGAATTTTTTGGTTTTTTATGAGGTTAGATACAGCGAAATTGTTGAAAACATATTTTTTATTTCGTGAATCACCGTATTAACTTTTGTGTCAAAATGTTTTGTGCTCTCCCCCCATCCTCTTTGATGAATGAACCCACCAATTTACAAGACGCAAGAATATGTTCCGGTAATATAATGTTGATGTTAAACGTATGAGAACTCTGTAGCGGTAATCCAACTCGAATTTCACATATTTGAGTATCAAATGGAAAATCTATCATATTCATTTTACAATTTGTTGTCAACCGCAATGGAATTTGCGCCATGATTTCACCATTATCATATACTGCAGCTGTTCGATAATTCTGATCACGATGCTCCACAACTTCACTCGCTCCATATGCAATAAATGGCAATGACCAGACTTTTTCGAGACGTGTCGTGATTTTGCCTATATTTCCATATTTTTTCTTATCCCAAGTCAACCTTCGATCTTTCCAAGATTGCACAAACTCCATTACAACAGTCATTTGCTCATTTGTTTCGTCAACGTTGACTAATTTTAGTAACTGCACAGCGATCCCATATTTATAATGAAAGAATTTTTGCGTTGAATTAGCTGTGTAGTTCTCATAAAATAACGCCATAATTTCCGAATCTTCGAAATCATCGTCAAATGCGAATGGTGACACTTCTTTGTCATAATCACCATCAAAAATGTCTCTGGTCAATTTTGCTAGATGTTTCGGATATACAAAATCTGAAATTTGATCAGATTTTGTATATATATATCTTAGAATGATATTGGTCAGCGGAATTTCTGATATTGTGATAAGCGTATCTCAAAGTATCCCAAAAAAATGTTTTCAAAGCTCCAAACTTGACCACGAGCTGAAGAGATGTCTTCGTAAGTTCTTATATACAATAATTATGACTGACACCTCTAAAAATAATACGAAAACAATTGCAGATATGAAAGTTTTATTCAAAAAACAATGTATTAATTAATAAAACGGACATTTTTATAGACTTGTCTCTTTTGTTCCGCCAAAGTTGACGAAGCGAAGAAAACCAAAAATGCAACGAAAAATTGATAGAAATTCATTTTATGTTGTTGTTTTCAGTCAAAAATCGACAAATATTTATACATCAAATATTTCTCACGGCATTTTGAATTATTCATTTTTTTGTTATATTTTTCACGGATATGTAAATTATCAACCTAACAATACGATATTGTGAAAAATGAATGAATAATTCAAAATGCCGTGAGAAATATTTGATGTATAAATATTTGTCGATTTTTGACTGAAAACAACAACATAAAATGAATTTCTATCAATTCTTCGTTGCATTTTTGGTTTTCTTCGCTTCGTCAACATTGGCGGAACAAAAGAGACAAGTCTATAAAAATGTCCGTTTTATTAATTAATACATTGTTTTTTGAATAAAACTTTCATATCTGCAATTGTTTTCGTATTATTTTTAGAGGTGTCAGTCATAATTCTTGTTCATTCTCCGTTTTCCAATAAGATTCTGCAAAATTTTCTTCGGCCTTTTCAGAGCTCTTTTTGAATTATTAAGAGGGTTGTCCTGCTACAGGGAAACTTAGGCTCAATCGATAGAGCTAAGGTGCTCCTGAAACATTCCATATTTCATTTTTAATTTAGAGCGAGTTTTCGCTAACCAGAAAAAAACATTAATCAGTAAAAAGTGAGTCAAACTACTGTAGATGGCGTCAGGCAGCGAAGCCCTTCTGGAACTGACTGCCATAACTCACCGTCAGAAAAGTGTTCTTTCGCTAGTTTTTCATAATTTTCCGATAACTTGGAGCAATTCGCGAAAAACAGAAATGTAACGAATAAAAGCCACATTAGAAATATAATAAAGTGGGAAAATATTAATTATTTTTGTACCTTTTTCGGAAGATATGAAAGGACTGATAACACGTTTTTCCTTTTATACTGGATTGATTTTGTATAAAAAAGAAACATGGTGTAAAAAGTATCTCTGTTATTAAATAACGTGATTTGAAAAGACAAAAAAAGAGAAGGGCGTGACTGACATGGAATGATTCTCAAAATTTAGCGAGTGTAGATCGCGAGCTTCCGCGTCAGCGGCCACGTGGATTGCTATGTCGTAGGAACCTTACTGATTTCCCACGTCATAGCAATCCAAGTGGCCGCTTTGCGGAAGATAGTGCCGCTAACGCGGAAGCTTGTGGTCTACACTCAACAAAATCAAGAGCAGATTGGATGATGAAAGAAGAATGGGCACTCCAGAATTTGTTAAAATTCACAAAAATTACGCTAAATCGATTGAGAGCCATTAAAAAGTTATAAACTAGATGGAGAATGCAGAAAAGCAGGTCGAAAAATGTGCAAACATGCGAAGTTTGAATCTAGAGCTCACTGGGATAACAAAACCTTACCCAGTGGAGCCATAAGTATAGCGCACTGTGGAGAATATCGAATATCCCAGAGACCAGGAAGATTTTGAAGAATGCGCCGAATTTTAGGTATTTTTGGAAGATTATGAAGGCTATAAGGATGCTTGAAATGATTCCGAGAATATAGAATAAGTAGAGATATACTTGAGGAACTTGTTGCATTTTTAATTGAGAAATGAGCTTAATTTGACTCAAATTATAGAGTTGGCTGCTAAAAAGGCTATTAAGTCACATTGTCGATCACATGGGACAAAAAGTACGGTGAAAAAGAGGAAATTATTTTTTTTCGTGTGTTTGGTCTTGCAGCGATTACGTGTCTCTTTAATGTTCCTCCTTTATTCTTTTGACTGAATAAAGCTTTCTGCTAAAGAAATTTACAACATCCAATATTTCTCACGGCATTTTGAATTATTCATTCATTTTTCACAATATCGTATTGTTAGGTTGATAATTTACATATCCGTGAAAAATATAACAAAAAAATGAATAATTCAAAATGCCGTGTGAAATATTTGATGTATAAATATTTGTCGATTTTTGACTGAAAACAACAACATAAAATGAATTTCTATCAATTCTTCGTCGCATTTTTGGTTTTCTTCGCTTCGTCAACTTTGGCGGAACAAAAGAGACAAGTCTATAAAAATGTCCGTTTTATTAATTAATACATTGTTTTTTGAATAAAACTTTCATATCTGCAATTGTTTTCGTATTATTTTTAGAGGTGTCAGTCATAATTATTGTTCATTCTCCGTTTTCCAATAAGATTCTGCAAAATTTTCTTCGGCCTTTTCAGAGCTCTTTTTGAATTATTAAGAGGGTTGTCCTGCTACAGGGAAACTTAGGCTCAATCGATAGAGCTAAGAAAAAAAAAAGAAAAAAATTCTAAAAGTTGGCAGCTAGGTGGGGATCCTATCCATTCTTTATAAAAATGTATGTGGGTGCGCGGAGAATAAAGCGTTTGAAAACTCCAATGCATTTTACGAATTTTGAATATGTCGCCTAACTTTTCTCCATTCCCAGAAGACTATTTTTGATAAGACCTTCAATATTCTATCCCAAAATCGTTCCCATCGAGGCGCTAATAATCCATTTTTCAAAAAGTGCGCGAGTTTTCACATGAAAAATTGAAACTTTTTTCATGCAAAAAAGAATCATCACGTTTTTATTCGAATTATTAAATTCCAGGCCACATTTCTTATCAGATCGTTCTAATTTCTTTCCTAGCCGAATATTTTTGGTCATTTCTTGATGTTCCTCTTCTCCTAACTAGAGAATAAATTAATCAGTAAAAAGTAAGTCAAACTACTGTAGATGGTGTCAGCCAGCGAAGCCCTTCTGGTTAAAGGCAGTTGGACAATTATTTTAATGGCGGATCGAAGAATTCGCAACGATTTTTTGGGGTTTTGGAGGAGGAAACAGGATCAGAAGAATAGGAATACGGTTTTTGTTGTGCGATCTAGTACGAATTTTTGATTTTTTTCGAGTTAGGATCCAAGTTTTCTTGTTAATTTGGTATATTTCCAAAGACAGCTGATATTTTTCTGGGTGCAAGTAAGTTCAAAGATTTCAATTTTGCCTGAAAGGCGGAGCTTGTCTACTACTTATAATATTTCATTTTGAACTTTGAAATGCTCATTGTTCCCCAAATTCTCCTCTACTTATTTTATATTCCAGCCGTGATTTCAAGTATAATTATAGCCTTTATCCTTCGGAAATATCTGAAATTCGGAGCATTCCATCAGATTTTCCTGGCCTCAGGGATCCTGGATATTCTACACTGTTTCATTTTCATCTGGCTTCACTGGGTGAAAAACTGCTGGCCCAGTGAGCTCTACAATTGACCTTTTCAAAAAGCAGGTGAAAATTTGAGAATTTCTCGGTGGAGAACTATGTAGAAGAACAAACTTCATTTCATTTGAAAAACTAAATCTGGGCGGAGCTTAACTTACACTAACTCATGATTATTTCCTATGCCTAACATAAAAATGCAATTTGTTCCCCAACTTCTTCTCTACTTATTCTATATTCCATCCGTGATTTCCAGCATTCTTCTAGCTCTAATTCTACGCAAAAAATATCTGAAATTCGGCTCATTCTATCAGATTTTCCTGGCTTCAGGAGTCCTGGATATTCTCCACTGTTTCAACTATCTTTTCGTTCATTGGGTCAAATTCTGCTATCCCAGTGAGATCTACGATGATACGCTGAAGTTTACCAGATTTTGTGATCTTCTATTTTCCTATACTCATTTTCTTTATAATTTTTTGATGGCTGCCAATCGATTTAGCGCAACTTTTATGAGTTATTCGAAGTTTTGGAGTGCGCAGCTTGTGAAGATTTATTTGGGTTTGTTGGCGAGTGGCGGAGCCGCGAGTGTAGACCGCAAGCTTCCGCGTTAGCGGTGGAAGCTTCCGCTTTAGCGGCCACGTGGTTTGCTATGTCGTAGGAACCTTACGGATTTTCCACGTCATAGCAACCCACGTGGCCGCTTTGCGGAAGATAGTGCCGCTAACGCGGAAGTTTCCGGTCTACACTCGCGGCTCTGCCGCTCCACGTCATTTTTTCGAGCGTAGCGAGTGTAGACCGCGAGCTTCCGCGTCAGCGGCCACGTGGTTTGCTATGTCGTAGGAACCTTACTGATTTTCCACGTCATAGCAACCCACGTGGCCGCTGAAGCGGAAGATTCCGGTCTACACTCGCGGCTCTGCCGCTCGCCTAGATTCCACGTCATTTTTTCGAGCGTAGCGAGTGTAGACCGCAAGCATCCGCGTCAGCGGCCACGTGGATTTTTCGAGCGTAGCGAGCGTAGACCGCAAGCTTCCGCGTTAGCGGTGGAAGCTTCCGCTTTAGCGGCCACGTGGTTTGCTATGTCGTAGGAACCTTACGGATTTTCCACGTCATAGCAATCCACGTGGCCGCTGACGCGGAAGCTTGCGGTCTACATATTTTTTCCAGGTTCCATTCTAATTATTTCTATAATATCTTGCATTCCAGTTATCCTAGAGGACCCCAAAAATGAGCAATATGTGACAGAAGTTGGCCTAACTTATGAAGATATTCAGAGACTTATTCTAGTTGTCTACGCTGTTTTCGGCGATTCATTTTCAGTTATTCTAACTATCCTAACAATTCATAGAATTCGACACTTTCAAACTTCTCACGAGAAAAAATTGATAATTGTAACTGCATCACATACAATTATTGCGAGCATACTTCTGATCTATGAGATCACAAAAATGTTGAAGTTCAGTGATCCAATTAGCGTATTTCTGGCGGATTATCGAAAAACTATTGCTTATTTTGGGATATGCTTTAATTTTGGGACGATTTTGATTGCTGATTCGAGAATTCGACAGGATTTTTTAGCGATTTTTAAACTGAGCAATGAGATTTCGGTGATTTCGGTTTGGAGCTCGGATACTAATTGAATAATTTCTAGCTTAGCTAGATTCCACGTAATTTTTTTTCGAGATTTTTGGATTTTGGCGGAAGATGAAGATGTATATGAAAGTTAGCAATGTTAATTCGCATAATTTTCAGGAAAAATATTTTTTTTTTGAAAATTATGATTGTGTATTTCTCCCGGACTACTTTTTTTTTTGAAAAACATTGCGAAAACAATTTTCAGGTTTAAAAATTAAAGGGAGGTAGATTTTTCAAGCGATCATATATTTGTGTAGTTCTCTCGGACTATCAATTTTTCATTTTTTTTTTGAATTATTCAGCAAAAACCCGCCCAAAAAACTCACCAAATCCACGCGAATATCCAAAATCCATCAATTTCCACGCAAATATGAGCAATGTGAAGAAGTTGGCTGAAAATTTGAAAATTCACTTTGAAAAAACCGCGCTCGCCTCAAAAACCAGCAAAAAATTTGCGAAAAAAAAAAAATTTTTTGTGGCGCGTTTGCGCTAAACAACGGGCAAAGCGGAGTGTCGTTGCAAAAAGGGATTTTTTTTTGTTTTTTTTTTTGAAAAATTAAAAAATTAAAGGGAAAATCAATTTGTGTAGTTCTCTCGGAATTTTTTTTCAAGCGGAGCGAGGTATCAAAAATTTTCTAGTTTAATTCTCTAGTTTCCAAAAAAACTTTGACCCTATCATCGATTCGTAATCAATTTCTATAATCAAATCACGGGCCCCCGTTTAAAACCCGAATTCCTTTCATATTTTCCCATTCGAAAATGAAAATTCTCTCGTTTCTCTCGCTTCTCTTCGCCTATACCATGGCTCGAACTTGTATCATGGATCAAGATTGTCCACCGGGTCAATATTGTTGGGAACCTTTTGCGCCTGAAGAAGATTTGTCATCTTTGGAGTCGCTGATCGGATTGTGCCGCCCGAAATCCGGATGAGTTCGTGTAACTTTAAATAAAACTCTTTTATCGCATTTTTGCCACGTGGATACTTGAACTAAAGAAGCTTAAATTTAAAAGTACAGAGTTGTTTGATACGTGGAATTTTTGGAAATTAAAAATTTCGATTTCTGCCACTTATTTGCTCACAAATCTTGTAAAAAACCAAGAAAATGAGAGAGACTACTGAGAATTGAGAGAGTCCAGACAACTAGAGATATTATCATTTTGTAGTTAACGAATTATTGAAAAAAACATTAATCTCAAAAAATGTCTCTAGTTGTCTGAAGTCTCTCAATTCTTCGTGCTCTTTTCCTTCAATTTTCCCAAAAAAACTTGGATTTTCTACACTTCAGAATCGAAATTTTCAGTAGAAATTCAGATTTTCAGAATCACTGAATCCTGGGATACATTTTGATATGAAATTTGGATAAAAATTTTTCAAATTTCAAAATAAGTCGTTAGCTACAAAAAGTGATCTCTAAAAATAAGTTTTTCCAAATTTCACATCGAAAAATTCCCCTGGTGATTTTGAAAATCTGAATTTTTTTTTGAAAATTTTGATTTTGAAATGTTGAAAATCGGGTTCATCTTTTGTAAAAAAAAATTGAAGGAAATGAGAGAGTACTGAGAATTGAGAGAGTCCAGACAACTAAAGATATTTCTGAGATTATCAGTTTGTAGTTAACGAATTATTGAAAAAAAGTTAATCTCAAAAAATGTCTCTAGTTGTCTGAAGTCTCTCAATTCTTCGTGCTCTTTTCCTTCAGTTTTCCCAAAGAAACTTGGATTTTCTACACTTCAGAATCAAAATTTTCAGGAGAAATTCAGATTTTCAGAATCACTGAATCCTGGGATACATTTTGATATGAAATTTGGATAAAAATTCAAAATTTCAAAATAAGTCGTTAGCCACAAAAAGTGATCTCTAAAAATAAATTTTTCCAAATTTCACATCGGAAAATTCCCCAAGATTTGGTGATTTTGAAAATCTGAATTTTTTTGAAAATTTTGATTTTGAAATGTTAAAAATCGGGTTTATCTTGTAAAAAACCAAGGCTTTTACTGGGCCCGATCTTTTGAGCAAATAAAATTGTGTCGTCGTACCCCCCCCCTTTAACCAGTTTTCAAAGTAATATGTATGCAGGAAACTGAATCATGACAATTTTCTGGACACTGCCAACGTGGATGTTTTCTCCTGAAGAATTTTCGAAGGAATCAGGCTTCAACCAGACTTTTTTGCTCAAAAACAAAAACATTGTGGATATTCAAACTGGAAATCAAGAATCCTGGATGCTCAGTTGGCTAGGAAAGACATAGATGACTTCGAGATACTTATTTTGAAGATCTTCGTAAAATGTTTGCCCACAACAAGTTCATCAGCTAGATTCCACGTCATAGAAATCCACGTGGCGATTGGAAATTTGAAAAATTGTGTTTTTTTTTTTTGAATAAATCCCTTTGTATTATTTTATTCAAATAAAAACAGAAAAAAGTTGAATTTGCCGCGCAAAAATGTATACTGTAGTCAGAGAAATGTGCAAACACTCGAAGAGAAGAAAAAACAAGAAATGGTAATGTTGAACGTCATAATTTCACGTTTTAATTTTTTTTTTGGAAATTTTAGGCATTTTAAGGTGTCTCTAGTGCTATTTTTGGGACTTTCTTAGGTTTAAGGCAATTTTTAAGGTCATTTTCCCTAAAAAAAAACAAGAAATGGGAAATTTGAATTATTTACACGTCATAATTTCACGTTTTATTTTTTTTTCGCAAATTTTAGGGCATTTTTAGGGTCTTTTCTTAGGTTTACGGGAATTTTTAAGGTCATTTTCCCTCGATTTCAAGCCAATTTCTCTCAGATTCAGATTCCTAGTCGAAATGCGTCAACGGAAATTGAAGAAAAAAAATGATGATTACATATTTTTCCCCCTATATATCTAGAAGAAATAATATATTTTTCACCTGCCACGAAAAATTTTCGGGTGACGTTCATAAGATACAACTTTTTCTTTTTCTTCTTTTTTTTCGACGAAAACAATTTTTTTCTGAAAATCCTCAAAGGAAATTAGTTTTTTTTTCTCGTCTCAAAATATTCATTATTGTCAATTTTCAATTTTCAGCTGAACATGTGGGTTTTGGTGATGTTTTTGGTGGTTTTGACAGTTTTCGCCAGGGTGACAGGTTAGCTTTATAGAATTCCTAGATTTTCAGCCAAACTAAACTTAGCCTAACTTCCAGAATCCTCGCTTCTCAGTCAATTCAATAATCCATCGGAAAATGATGCTTCTGACGCTTTCTATCGCTTCCAACAATCGCAGGAAATTCCAAGATATTTCACTTTTATTCGAGGTTAAAAATAAAGACTTCCACCTGTTTTTCAATTTTTTTACTGAAAAGCGGTGTTTGCACACATTGTTGGCTACCGTACTATTTTATTTGAAAAAAAATGAAAATTTGAATTCTCCGGAAAACCGGAGATAGTTCAATGGGGCGCATTTGCTGTCAATTTTTCGGTCTAAAAAGATTTAAATTTTGAATTTTTCAGAGCTGTGTTTGCACAGATTTTTGGCTACCGTACTACATATTTTCATAGTGAAATTTATATAAATAAAAAATACCCGTAATTTTGTGTCAATTATGTTTAGCTCTTTTTCCATTCGCATATCCAATCCATCTTTCAGCAGTTTTGTTAAATAATTCAAAATTCTCAAATTCCCCGCGTGATTTCTCAATCTGAGCAATCCATTTCAACAAATACACGTGCACCGCATGATAATCCCATCTCGCTAAATTCGGCGCGACATTCATCAAAAACACGTGGCGTAGATCATAAATTGTACCGGTTCCGGTGTCGTAAAATGGCAAGAGTTGACGAAGTGATGAGATTCCTGATTTGTACAATTCTAGACTTTTTGAGTCGAGAGTTGAGAGATCGAAAAGTCCGATGAGAGAATAGAGAAAACCGTTGAGGACAAATGAACCGGGTTGGGTGGGATATTCTTCGAACCATGCGATTTTGCCGTGGAATTCGGCGCGGATTCCGCCGGAGCTTGAAGGCTGAAAAAAATGGGATTGTTGACTGATGCATTTTTGGTAGCTCAAATTTTGAACTAAAAAATTCTTCTCTCATTTTATTGCATTTTTTGAAAAATCTTGATTAACACCTACATATTTGATACTCTTTGTCAGGGTTCCCCGTTCGCAGTCCCAAAAAAATAAGAAGACACAAAAAATAAGCAGACACAAAAAATACGCAGTCCCAACAAATAAGCAGTCCCAAAAAATAAGCAGTCCCAAACCACATAAGCAGACACAAAAATAAGCAGTCCCAAACCACATAAGCAGACACAAAAAATAAGCAGTCCCAAAAAATAAGCAGACACAAAAATAAGCAGTCCCAAAAAATAAGCAGTCCCAAAAAATAAGCAGACACAAATATAAGCCGACACAAAAATAAGCAGTCGCAAAAAATAAGCAGTCGCAAAAAATAAGCAGTCCCAAAAAATAAGCAATCCCAAAAAGTTAAGCAGTCCCAAAAAATAAGCAGACACAAAAAATAAGCAGACACAAAAAATAAGCAGTCCCAAAAAATAAGCAGTCCCAAAAAATAAGCAGTCCCAAAAAATAAGCAGACACAAAAAATAAGCAGTCCCAAAAATAAGCAGACACAAAAATAAGCAGTCCCAAAAATAAGCAGACACAAAAAATAAGCAGTCCCAAAAAATAAGCAGTCCCAAAAAATAAGCAGTCCCAAAAAATAAGCAGTCCCAAAAAAATAAGCAGACACAAAAAATAAGCAGTCCCAAAAAAATAAGCAGTCCCAAAAAATAAGCAGTCCCAAAAATAAGCAGACACAAACATAAGCAGTCCCAAAAAATAAGCAGACACAAAAAATAAGCAGTCCCAAAAAATAGGCAGACACAAAAAATAAGCAGACACAAAACATAGGCAGACACAAACATAAGCAGTCCCAAAAAATAAGCAGTCCCAAAAAATAAGCAGACACAAAAAATAAGCAGACACAAAAAATAAGCAGTCCCAAAAAATAAGCAGTCCCAAAAAATAAGCAGTCCCAAAAAAATAAGCAGACACAAAAAATAAGCAGTCCCAAAAATAAGCAGACACAAAAATAAGCAGTCCCAAAAATAAGCAGACACAAAAAATAAGCAGTCCCAAAAAATAAGCAGTCCCAAAAAATAAGCAGTCCCAAAAATAAGCAGACACAAAAAATAAGCAGTCCCAAAAAATAAGCAGTCCCAAAAAATAAGCAGTCCCAAAAATAAGCAGACACAAAAAATAAGCAGTCCCAAAAAAATAAGCAGACACATTATTTTTTGGGACTGCTTATTTTTTGTGTCTGCTTATTTTTTGGGACTGCTTATTTTTTGGGACTGCTTATGTTTGTGTCTGCCTATGTTTTGTGTCTGCTTATTTTTTGTGTCTGCCTATTTTTTGGGACTGCTTATTTTTTGTGTCTGCTTATTTTTGGGACTGCTTATGTTTGTGTCTGCTTATTTTTGGGACTGCTTATTTTTGTGTCTGCTTATTTTTGGGACTGCTTATTTTTTGTGTCTGCTTATTTTTTTGGGACTGCTTATTTTTTGGGACTGCTTATTTTTTGGGACTGCTTATTTTTTGTGTCTGCTTATTTTTTGTGTCTGCTTATTTTTTGGGACTGCTTATTTTTTGTGTCTGCCTATTTTTTGGGACTGCTTATTTTTTGTGTCTGCTTATTTTGGGACTGCTTATGTTTGTGTCTGCTTATTTTTGGGACTGCTTATTTTTTGGGACTGCTTATTTTTTGTGTCTGCTTATTTTTTGGGACTGCTTATTTTTGGGACTGCTTATGTTTGTGTCTGCCTATGTTTTGTGTCTGCTTATTTTTTGTGTCTGCCTATTTTTTGTGTCTGCTTATTTTTTGGGACTGCTTATGTTTGTGTCTGCCTATGTTTTGTGTCTGCTTATTTTTTGTGTCTGCCTATTTTTTGGGACTGCTTATTTTTTGTGTCTGCTTATTTTTTGGGACTGCTTATGTTTGTGTCTGCTTATTTTTGGGACTGCTTATTTTTTGGGACTGCTTATTTTTTGTGTCTGCTTATTTTTTGGGACTGCTTATTTTTTGGGACTGCTTATGTTTGTGTCTGCCTATGTTTTGTGTCTGCTTATTTTTTGTGTCTGCCTATTTTTTGTGTCTGCTTATTTTTGGGACTGCTTATGTTTGTGTCTGCCTATGTTTTGTGTCTGCTTATTTTTTGTGTCTGCCTATTTTTTGTGTCTGCTTATTTTTTGGGACTGCTTATGTTTGTGTCTGCTTATTTTTGGGACTGCTTATTTTTTGGGACTGCTTATTTTTTTGGGACTGCTTATTTTTTGTGTCTGCTTATTTTTTTGGGACTGCTTATTTTTTGTGTCTGCTTATTTTTTGGGACTGCTTATTTTTTGTGTCTGCTTATTTTTTGGGACTGCTTATTTTTTGGGACTGCTTATGTGTTTTGGGACTGCTTATTTTTTGTGTCTGCTTATTTTTTGGGACTGCTTATTTTTTGGGACTGCTTATGTGTTTTGGGACTGCTTATTTTTTGTGTCTGCTTATTTTTTGGGACTGCTTATTTTTTGTGTCTGCTTATTTTTTGTGTTCATAGATAACAATTTTCATTTCTAATTCGATTTCTCGCAACAAAAACCACTCACCACTTCAAAGAGCTGTAGCGCTTTTTTGGCCGCTTCCAAATATTTCAAATTTTCGGGGAATACAAAATTGGCCCGAGAAAGTAGTGAGATGGCGTGTCCTTGTGCCATTGCCGAATGCCAACCGGGTGCCAACACCAATTTCCGATCCGCAATTGATCTTTCCACCGGAACCGACCAGCCTCCCTTTAAAAATATTCGGGTTACGGTATGCGTCTTGAAATTTTCTGTATTTTGAGACAAAAAAGACTAGGTTACAGTAACCTAGCCATATTTATACTCAAAATGACCGCACCAAAAACCCTACCGTACCTTCTCATTCTGATTCTTCACCAACCAATTCGCAGCAGCCTCGAATGCGAACTTGTGTTGATTCGCGGATTGGCGGACTTCTTGGCGCAACGAAACTTTTCCACGAAAACCCAGCGAGACCAAACGAATGTCGCCTGGAACAAAATCGATATTTTTGTAGGTCGAAATTAGTATCAGCCAAAAATGATGACAAATCGGGATTTTTGAAGCTTCTGGTGTGATTTTTGATGAAAATAAGCTTCGAAAACTCAAAATTCATCAAAAACTTCTGAAAACTGAATTCCAAAGTCAATTTTCATCAGAAATCACTCCAGAAGCTTGAAAAATCCCGATTTGTTATCATTTTCTGGCTGAAAAACTAGAAATATTCCAAATTCGGTCTCAAAATGATCCAAATTTCGGCGCGAAAAATACCCCAGGGTTACTGTAATTTCTGGCGGCCAACCCAATCATATTGGGTCTCAAAACGACCGCAAAGCTCTCACCATTTCTCAGCACAACATTATCCGTCTTTTTCCTTCCTTGTGTGCTCGACAACGCTCTCGCCACATCAACCAACACATTTCTCGACACAAAATCCCATTTGCTCACAATTTCTGGATCCATCGAAAACGAAAACGAAACTTGTCCGTCTTTTTGTGGATGCAAATCTGCCACGTCACCATCATCCGGCCAAACACATTTTCCTCCGCCGGAATCATCGTGAAATTGATAATTCAACAGAATCAGTAGATCATCTTGTTTGTGCTGCAAATATGGGATACTACTGTAGATCGCTTCGGGACCCGCAAAACTCACTTTCGCCAAAATTGTGAACGAGGAATTTTCATCGTTTGGCCGCCATTCAAATTCGACAATTGGTAGACTTTCATTTTTATCCAAATAAATATAGGCACCGGCATTCGAGAGATTTTCTGCAAATTTTTCAAAAAAATTGCTAAATTTTCACAAAAATTCAAACTTTTTCACAATTTTCCAACCTTTTTTGCAGTTCGGATTACTGTAGTTCAAGGTTTTTTGAAAATCTCAATGAAAAAACCAGTAATTTTTGAGCTACAGTAATCCAAACTACAAAAATTCCTAATTTATTACACCGAGTATTTTTGCAGTTCGGATTACTGTGCTTATTTGAAAAAGACTAGTAATTTTCAAACTACAGTAATCCAAACTGCAAATATTTCTGAGTATTTTCGCAGTTCGGGTTACTGTATTTATTTGAAAAAACTAGTAATTTTAAAATTACAGTAATCCAAACTGCAAATATTTCTGATTTACTCCGAGTATTTTTGCAGTTCGGATTACTGTATTTATTTGAAAAAACAACTAGATATTTTTGAAGTGCAGTAATCCAAACTGCAAATATTTCTGAGTATTTTTGCAGTTCGGGTTACTGTACTTATTTGAAAAAAACCAGTTATTTTTGAACTACAGTAATCCAAACTGCAAATATTTCTGATTTACTCCGAGTATTTTTGTAGTTCGGGTTACTGTAGTTTAAAATTTATTGGAGAATCTCATTGTCAATGAAAAATCGAATAATTTTTAAACTACAGTAACCGAGTATTTTTGCAGTTCGGGTTACTGTAAATCCTCAACTTCCACATTTCCAGGTTAAAATTCGGCGAAAAATTCAAAAATTTTGCTCAAAAATCGAAAAATGCCCAACCTTCCGCACTAATATTTACAATTTTCCAACCGCTTTCCGCGTCCGTATAAAATAATCGTTCAGTGGTGTCCGACATTCCAGCGGCACCTTTCCAATCGCTACTTTTTTCGCCAAGGATGATTTGGTGATTTTCTGCAGAAAAAATTTAGAATTTTTTTTGGGGTAATGTAGCTCCCCTGAAAAAGTGCTGCTCAAAAATCGCACAAACCTTGCTGATTCTCCAGCCATTTACTATAATGTTGCAGTCCGTATTGTGCAATTTGAATGGGATAATAATAGGGTTTTGGGTCCCATTGGGTTGACATTGGCACATTTGTTGCTCCGTTTATACATCGGACACGATCACGCGATTCGACTGAATATGTCGAGAAATGACCGAATGGTCCCGTTGTGTTGTAGGGCGTTTTGTCCGGTGGAACACGCATTTTTGAGTAGGATGTGAAGATTTCGAAGAGGTTTGGGTCTGTGAAAAAATTGGGGATTTTTTGAGCTTAAAACTGTCTCTCTAGGCGCTGACCCTTGAGAACTAGGCTCTCTAGACGCCGCTGCTTGAGAAGTAGCCTCTCTAGGCGCGGCTGCTTGAGAAATAGTCTCTCTAGGCGCGGCTGCTTGAGAACTAGGTCCTCTAGGCGCGGCTGCTTGAGAACTATGCTCTCTAGGCGCGGCTGCTTGAGAAATAGGCTCTCTAGACGCGACTGCTTGAGAACTAGGCTCTCTAGACGCGACTGCTTGAGAACTAGTTTCTCTAGGCGCGGCTACTTGAGATCTAAGCTCTCTAGACGCGGCTGCTTGGGAAGTAGCCTCTCTAGGCGCGGCTACTTGATAACTAGTCTCTCAAGGCGCGGCTGCTTGAGAACTAGGTTCCCTAGACTCGGTTGCTTGAAAACTAGGTTCCCTAGGCGCGGCTGCTTGAAAACTAGGTTTCCTAGGCGCGGCTGCTTGAAAACTAGGTTTCCTAGGCGCGGCTGCTTGAGAACTATGCTCTCAAGGCGCGGCTGCTTGACAATTAGTCTCTCTAGGCGCGGCTGCTTGAGAACTAGGTTCTCTAGGCGCGGCTGCTTGAAAACTAGGCGCTATAGGCGTGGCTGCTTGAGAACTAGTCCCTCTAGGCGCGGCTACTTGAGAACTATGCTCTCTAGGCGCTGATCCTTGACAATTTGCAGATTTTTTTTCGTTAAAAAAATTAAAAAAAAATTCTCCACGTGACGTGAAAATTCTCGAATCCCTTCATTTCTATTTTTCTAAATCTACTCGAAAATGACCTGTTTGTCAAATATTCCACCAGAAATGCGCTGGAAAATAATGCGACGTCTCGACACGAAAAGTTTGCTTCGACTTGGCGCAACTTGTCGAAAATTTTGGGGCGAATCGCAAAAACAGCCGCAATACTACAATCGTGTGTGGTTGATGGAACGCCGAAAAATTGTACGTCTCATCTTGAACTCCAACAAATTGATTTTGGAATTTCACAAAATCGGCGAATCGAAGACACGTGTCAAATGTGTGAATCTGGCGTGGAGCAGCGCTAGGCAAAAAGTTTTTTGGACTGAAATTGTTGTGGAGAATGTTTATGATTGTGTTTTGAGAATTGTCAAGGAATTTTTGCGAAGAATTGCCGGGAATTTGAGAGAATTTTATTGTTTTGTGGTGAGAAAATTCATTTTTCACCCAAAAAATGTACATTTTCAGCAACAAAAACTTCGATCTCGTGTAATTCGAGGTCTACAACTTCCAAAAAATCTTCGAAATCTTGCGAGTTTCGAAATCGATGGTTGTAGCCAACAAATCGATATGGTCAAATGGAAATTCGTGGATTTCAAATCGCTTGCAAATGTTCGAAATCGCCTCAATATCTCCTACACAACAATAAGCTTTGAGCAATTATTGGAACTTCGAGCCGAAAAAATCGAGATTTATCGAATGAGCATTTTGACGTCGCAAAATTTGAGAGATTATATTGAGATGTGGGCCGAGAATCGATTGCATTCGAATTTTCGAGAATTACGAGTTTCGGCGGGGAAATCGAGAAGTTCAAAAATGGAATTGGTCAATTTGGCGGGTTTGCAAATTCGAAGGTGAATTAAAGCAAGTCGGAAAATTCGGAAAATTTTTCAAAGTCTGAAATTCCGATTTTCAGCCTTAAGTGGCCCTAAAATTATTTTTATGTTCAAAAAATTGAAAAATTGGAAAAAAAATCCAAAAATTTCATTTTTTCTATCATAAACTGAGAAAATTTCCCAAAATTTAGGCAAAATTGTAAATAAATATTACTACCAAAGATCGAAAATTGATTTTTCCGTGAAAAAATTGGAAATCCGGAAAATTTGGAAAATTTTTCTGAAATTTCGATTTTCAGCCTTAAATTGGCACTAAAACTTATTTTTAGTAACTATTTTAAACGTTTTACGTTCAGAAATAGTAAAAATTGAAAAAAAAATCCAAAAATTTCATTTTTGCTATCATAAACTGAGGAAATTTCCCAAAATTTAGGAAAAATTGTAAATTTTACTACCAAAGATCGAAAATTTATTTTTCCGTGAAAAAATTGGAAATCCGGAAAATTTGGAAAATTTTTCTGAAATTTCGATTTTCAGCTTTAAGTTGGCACTAAAACTTATTTTTTATGTACAATTACTATTTGAAACGTTTTACGTTCAAAAAATAGTAAAATTTGAAAAATTGAAAAAAAAAATCCAAAAATTTCATTTTTTTCCATCATAAACTGAGAAAATTTCTCAAAATTTAGGCAAAATTGTAAATTTTTTTTCCGGAAAATTGATTTTTCCCTGAAAAAACCGGAAAATTCGGAAAATTTTTCAAAGTCTGAAATTTCGATTTTCAGCCTTAAGTTGGCACTAAAACTTATTTTTAGTAACTATTTGAAACGTTTCACGTTCAAAAAATAGTAAAAAATTGAAAAAAAAATCCAAAAATTTCATTTTTTTTCCATCATAAACTGAGAAAATTTCTCAAAATTTAGGCAAAATTGATTTTTCCGTGAAAAAAACCGGAAAATTTGGAAAATTTCCGGCACAGTCCTGCTTCCAAATTAATTATCGATAATTTTTCAGCCTTCCCTATGGTACAAAATTGCTCCAATCAAAAGTGAATCACAGTGATTGGCTTTCAATTTCAAATTATGCGCATTTTTTCTGGATTCGAGTGGTGGATGAAAATGGCAGAGGTCCAGACGGTTATTAATCAAATGAACCTATTTTTTGATACAAAAATCCACATTTCGCGCCAAAAAAGTCTCTTATGTTTCAGAAGCCGCGTTGCAGCCGCGTCGCGTCCAAATTTCTCACCTTTTCCCAATTTTCCATTCATATCAAATCGTTTCTTGACATATTCAAAAGGCACATACACATCTTCCTCATCTTTCCAACATCTCATCGATTTTCCGGCGTCCGCTGAACATTCCATCATTTTTGCCGCGCCATCGCATTTTTCAGGCACCGCAAAATTTTCAATGATTTTTGGCGGCTCTTCGGCAACTTTGCTTGAAAACCAGCGATTGGCTAGAAAAAATGCGGCGAAAATCAGAAAAATGTAGAATTTCTGACGATGTCTGTTGCATTTCATCGTTCCATTGGCTTCTGAAAGGTCGTGTGAACAAATTTTTTTTCAAAAATTTAAAAAATATATATTTAAATGGTCCCTGAACCAAAGTTTCCATCCAACAACAAAAAAATCACAATTTTCATTAAAAAAATCATTTTTCAGCATGAACAATACAATAATGAGCCAATAGTTGATAGAGTAATTCCATTTCGTCCAAAAAATCGATTTTCTGAATTCGCGCCGCTTCTTTTTGGTCGAGAAGCTCTTTGAAGACCCGATTCATGTCGTAGACTTGCACGTTTTTGAAGCCGGCATTTTTGAATCTGAAAATTTCAGATTCTACTTTTTATATGAATTTTTAGCTGTGATATTTCCTTTGAAAATTTTTTAATAAAAGTTTGAAAAAATTACAATTTTTAGAAAAAAACTGGATTTCGGCTCAAAATGTCATTTTTTTTTTGTCTGAAACTTTCAGATTTAAATAAAAGGCCGTGAAATTTCTTTTAAAAATTAAAAAAAAATTTGAAATTCTCAATTTTTTTCAAATTTTTTTTATCTGAATTTAAATTTTGAAAAAAATTACAATTTTACCAGAGGCGCTCGAGGTACTGTAAGTACAGTAACCTAAGCTTAATGTAGATACAGTACTCCATGTTTAAAGGGACATACACTCGCTCCGCTCGAGCCGCTTACGCGGAATTTTGATCTACACTCGCGCCAAAGGCGCTCGGGGGTACTGTAGATCAGACACTACACAGTAACCACACAATTAGAGCAAATATCGAACATTTTGGAATTTTCAAAGGTTCATACAGTAATCTAAAGTCACAAAAATTTCAGAAAAAGCTACAGTAATCCTTAATTACCGTAGTTTCAGAGCAAAACATCCAGAATTTTCAAATTTTTAAAGGGGCATACAGTAATCCTCACAAAATTTAGTGAATTCTCGATTTTTAAAGGTTCATACAGTAATCTAAAGTCACAAAATTTTTTAGAAAAACCTACAGTAATCCTTAAAGGAACATCTACCGTAGTTTCAGAGCAAAAAATCCAGAATTTTCGAATTTTCAAAGGGGCATACAGTAATCCTCTTAAAATTCACAAAATTCTGGGGTAAATGCATCATTTTGCTCAAATTTTGACTGAAAATTTCAGATTCTCAATGGAGCACACTTGAATTTTTCTTGATTTTTTTTCAAATTTTTTTTTCGCGTAAAATTTTGGCTGAATTTGAAATTTGAAAAAATATAAAATTTTCTGAAAAAAAACTGGATTTCGGCTCAAAATACATGATTTTTGCTCAAATTTTGACTGAAAATATTGATTTTTCAAAGATTTTTGTTCAGGTATTTAAAAGGTCGTGAAATTTTTTTGAATAAAATTTTGAAAATCCACTCACCTCTCCACCTGTTTCTCCTCACTCTCACACATTTGCAGACCGTGTAAATGTATTCCGCGTTGCTCCAAATTCTGCTCCATAACTTTGGTGAAGGCGTCGGCGGCGCGGAATTGCTCATAATTCAAAAACTCGGTGGCGGCGCTGAATTTTTGCGCAAAAAATTCGAGCAAATTTGCACTGGCATCTGCAGACATGTACACCAAAACACATCTGGAAATTTTTTTTTTTTTTTTGGGGGGGATTCGGGAAAAAACTGACTCTGCTATGAAAATGGTGGGAATTGTGGCGTCGATTTGGCATTGCTCCAATTTTTGCTCGAGCTCTTTGAGTTGACGCAAATCGGCTCCGATTAGGTGATAATTTCCAGCGTGGAGGTCGGAGTGTTGTTGGATGGTGGCTGGAAAATCGGGGAACTTTTAGGGCTCCAAAAATTCGTTGTTGCTCATTTTGAGCCTTTTTTCTTGAAAAATTCGAAATTCTTGCCTAAATTTACCCCGGGAACTTGAAAAATTCAAAGTTTGCGCTCTATCAAAGATTTTTTGGCTTAACATGAGCAATTCCCTTATTTTTTACCTATTTTTCATGAAAAATCGATAATTTCAAGGCTATATTCGAAATTCTTGCCTAAACTTACCCCGGGAATTTGAAAAATTGAAAGTTTGCGCTTTATCAAAGATTTTTTGGCTTAAAATGAGCAATTTTCTTATTTTGACCTATTTTCCATCAAAAATCGATAATTTCGAGGCTATATTCGAATTTCCTGCCTAAAGTTACCCCGGGAACTTGAAAAATTCAAAGTTTGCGAGAGCAATTCCCTTATTTTTGACCTATTTTCCATCAAAAATCGATAATTTTAACCCAAAACCTATGAAAAGAGCTTATTTTCATGGTTCCTCTACAAAACTATACGTGATTTTCCCCGAATCACAAACAACCTATTTTCTGATCTTCTGATCTTCGTTTTAACCTTGAACCAGGAACTTTTCTCTACTTTTTTTTTCCATTTTTATCAACCAACAACTGCCGTTTTCCACCTATAAAACCCCCCAAAAATCACAGAAAAATATAATTTTCCATTTTCCACTAAATAATGTTGCTCATATTACTGCTCCTCACCCCACTCGCCACAATTTTGGCTCAAGACCCGATCGCCATCGATTGCTCAGCTCCAGTAGATCTAGGAACCTCGAAATCCTGTAAAGCCAAGCCAAGCTTAAAATATCATTACGACCCGAAAACCAAGACATGTTTGGCGTTTTTGTACACAGGATGTGGTGGGAATGCGAATCGTTTTGATCACGAAGGTGCTTGTTATCAATGGTGCGCGGGAAGTGAGTTTTGGGAGCCGAAATTGGGATTTGGGGCGAAGAAAACCTGAGAAAAGCGAAGAAAAATTGCCACGAGACCCAACGGAAAACAACATGTTCCTTTAAGATACTGTAGAAATTCGCAAGAAAGGTCAAAGGAACATGTTGTTTTTTCGTTGGGTCTCGTGGCGATTTGTGTGTTCTGAATAGGTTTTCTTCGCTTTTCTTTTAAAAAAACGTGATTTTTTGCAGTGGACAACTTCTCGTGCCCATTGGGCTCTTCAAGTGTTGCATCAAAAGAAATGTGCTATGAAGATGTGAGTTTTTGGTGCCCCAAAAAATTGTTGTTTTTGTCATATTTTTGTAGTTGCTGAGTGCAGAGAAGCTAGAGGGTAGGGACGCAGAGGGACATACACTCGCTCCGCTCGAGCCGCTTGCGCGGAAGATTCCGGGGCGCTTCGCGCAAGCTTGCGGAAAATCAACTTTTCGAGCTAAAAATGCTGGAAGTGCTAAAAATGAGCAATCCCAGCATTTTCAGCGTCAAAAATTGATCTAGAAATATTATTCACAAAAATATGTGACCCCCCTGAAAATGGTGCTTCAGGAGGGGGGGGGGTCAACTTCAAGAGTAATTTTTAGCAAATAACTTTCTAGATCAACTTTTCGAGCTGAAAATGCTGGAATTGGTTAAAATGAGCAATCCCAGCATTTTCAGCGTCAAAAATTGATATAGAAATATTTTTCACAAAAATATGTGACCCCCCTCAGGAGGGGGGGGGGTCAACTTTAAAAGTAATTTTTAGCAAACAACTTTCTAGATCAACTTTTCGAGCTGAAAATGCTGGAATTGCTTAAAATGAGCAATCATAGCATTATCAGCGTCAAAAATTGATCTAGAAATATTTTTCACTGATTTTTGGTATACCATTTTTGTAATTTCGGCTCCTGGATCCGATTTCATTCAAAAATTTCAAATTTCAAATTTTCAGTCCCACTGCGGCACCAACAACTACTGTCTCAACGGTCATCCAATCAACATTTGTTGCGAGAAAAAATGGCGCGAAAAATCGGACAAAGAATACAACCCGAAATGTCCCGCGGGGAAGAAAGCCTTCAAACCAACTGATGGTGGAATTGCGAGTTTGAGACTGGGCAAATCGTGTAAATCGAATCATTGTCCGGAAAAAGCCACGTGTGTTCAAGGAGAATTTTTTGCAGCTTGTTGTGTTTGAAAGTTTTTTGATAATGAAAATGAAGATTTTGTTTCACCTTCTAGATTTCTTGCTGAACTTCAACAGACAAAAAAAAATAAAAAACATTTTTTTTTTCCACCAAACCCCTCGTGTCAAAAATCAAGAGACAACCTTGACCAACTAATCTTGTCAACCAGGAACTAAATAAATTTCTTTTTTTTTCATCGACAACTGCCACTAGCCGAAAAATCTTCATTTTCGTCAAAATGTACCTGATCCTCGTACTTCTTCTAACTTCCACAATTCTGGCTCAAGATTTCGATTTTGATTGCAAAGCATCAGTAGATCTTGGAACCGCCTGTTCGCAACAAAAACCGATTTTGAAATATCATTTCGACTCGAAGACCCAAACATGTTTGGCGTTTTTGTACCAAGGTTGTGGTGGGAATTTGAATCGCTTCGATTCGACAGGATTGTGTAATCGATTCTGTAGACCAAGTAGGTTTCAGGGGAGGAAATGAGGTTCAGGCGGGAAAATAAATTGAATATTTTCAGTCGACAAATTCTCGTGTCCTTTGGGTTCTCCAGTGGTTCCAGGAACAAGTACATGCCGAGATAGCGTAAGTTCAAGTCTATACTTGGAAGATTGCCAGGAATAATTGTGACGTGGCAAAAATTGCACCTGCCACGTCATAATTATTTTGGATTAACAAATCTTGCTCAAAACTATCAAAATCTTCAATTTCCAGTCTGAATGCGGCTCAACCGGATATTGCAAACGTGGTTCCCACGTTGGCCTTTGCTGCCAAACCGCATACCGTGACAAATCTCACCTCGAATACAATCCCAAATGCCCAAGTGGCAAATCAGTCTACAAAATTGCATCCTCAACATTTTTGGGCAAATCTTGTAAATCGAATCATTGTCCGGAGAATGCCACGTGTATTCAGGGAGAATATTTTGCCACGTGTTGTGTTTGAAGGAACTACATGTTTTTTGTGAGATAAATTTTGTATCTGATCTATTTGTTTTGAAAATATTGTTCTACGCTAACCTTGAGAAAACTTACAGTTTCCTTGTTGGACGCCTTTAAAAGGGCATCGTACACATCGAAACATCAGGAAAAATGAGATTTTTCGTGATTTTCACAATTTCAATTCTGACCGTTTTGGGTCAGCATAGCGAATCGGATTGTCGTGCTCAATTAGATCTTGGAAAATCAAAATGTTCGGGAAAGAAGGCTGAAATTAAGGTGAGCTAGACACAAAAAAAAAATAAAAATAGAGTCTATTTTTGTTTTCAGTACCACTACGATGCTAAAACCGCCACATGTTTGGCATTTTTGTACACGGGATGTGGTGGAAATGCGAATCGATTCGACAGCGACAGTGAATGCTATCGTACTTGTCAGGGAATCGATGCGTTGAACTGTCCACTAGGCTCAAAACCTTTGCCGAAAACCAATATTTGTCAAGATTCGGTGAGATGAATCTCTCGAAGTTTCAGAAAAAAAATCCCTGAAATTTCCAGAAAGAATGCGGTTCCAAGGGATATTGTAACATGGGCAGTGGATTCGGAATTTGTTGCGAGAAAAAATGGCAAGAAAAATTGGATAAAGAATATGGCCCGAAATGTCCAGCAGGGAAAAAAGCCTATGAGCCAACTGATGGTGGAATTGCGAGTTTGAGATTGGGCAAATCGTGTAAATCGAATCATTGTCCGGAAAAAGCCACATGTGTTCAAGGAGAATTTTTCGCAGCTTGTTGTGTATAAAATAACTTGTTGTGGAAATTGATAAATGTTTTTAAAGCTTGAAAATAAAGAGAATGTCAAATTTTTGTTTAAGGAACGGTATTTTTATTCATTTTTTTAAACCATTTTTTAATAAATTTTAGGGCTGATTCACGAACAATGTTGATTTTTTCTTAAATTTTTTTTTCAAAATCATTTTTTTTTAATTAGGACACTTTTTCTCTAACATGAGTAATGTTTTGGAAATTGGAAACTATCACAAAAAAATGTCTAAAACATTGTAGATCAAAATTAGTTTTTCAAGTTTTTTCAGCCAAAAATGATGAAAAATCGAGATTTTCAAAGCTTCTGGGGTGATTTCTGATGAAAATTGACCTTGGAATTAACTTTTCAGAAGTTTTTGCTGGTGAATTCCGAAAAAATTCATAAAATGAGGTGAAGCTGCTTATTTTCATCAAAAATCACACCAAAAGCTTCAAAAATATCGATTTTTCATCATTTTTGGCTGAAAAACTCTTGAAAAATAAAGATTTTCCCAAAAATCTCACCTTTTTCCTCGAAAAATTCGGCGGGATCAGGTTTCGGACCAGGCTTCAAAATATGTCGGATCTTTTTCGAAGTGACACTCGAAAAATCAATCTCCACATATTTCCGCAATTTTCCACCTTCCGACGAGGAAAGCCTCCAAAACAACGTGTCAAAACCGCATCCCAAACTGATAACCTGAGCAATCTCGTGTTTCGCCAGGAATTTTCGCACATATGTCTCAACGATTTTCGTGCGCGCCCAATATCCCATCGATATTTCTGGGAATCGACGAGTTTCGGCTGTTCCGATGGCGGAATTGGCGAATCTTGCGATGAAATCATCGCTCCAATAGCCTTTCTGTAATAAAATTGCATTTTATTGGTCAAAATTCTTGAATTCTATTTTTAAATCCAACTTTTAAGCCAAAAATCCCACCTGCACTGCAAAAAATTTACACTGCGTCGCATCATCATTGGTCCGCTGCACCGAATAATCGTCGCTCACCGAATTCGATCGTCGACGATTTGATATCGCCTCCGCCACCAAACTATCATTGCTCACCGCTTCCATGTCCATTTTCTAGGCTGAAAATCGGAAAATCGCGCTGAAAAACAACAAAAAAATAAAAATATTGACCGTGGCCTAGAATGCCGCTCGTTTTCTAGGTCACGCGTCCTGTGTCGATTTACGAGCATTTTCGAATTTTTCTTTTTCTGTGTTTAAAACTCATTTAACGAGGTTTCAGATAAGTTTTCGTGGTGGCAGAGGAGGACAAATGAACTTCAACAGTCCCTATGGCGATTCGAGTGCACCAGGACAAAATTCAAGAGGTCGTGGGCAATTCCGACAGCCGCAAGGAAATTGGCGGGGAAATCAAGGAAATTGGCGCGGAAACTCTCAGAATTATCGCGGGGGAAATCATCAAAATCAGCGAGGCTCATGGAGCAAACCGGTGGATTCCTCAAAAACACCCGCCAATGCCTACGTGATGCCACAAATGTCTGAAAATCCGTGGCTGAAATTGGAGGAGCAACACAAACGCGATTTCGAATAGGCGAAAGAAAATAAGTTTTTATTAATTCAAAAGATCAAAATAAAAATAAATATTCACACATAATAACAAGTAAATGCTAGCAGAAACCGAAAAATTATCACACATTTTTTGGGGGAGAGAACCGTATTTTCTGGAAGGAAGTGAGGGTGGATTTTGGTGGAAATCTGGCTGAAAAGGGATTTTCAGCTTTAAATTTAGGATCTGGCAGAATTTTAGCTTAAAAATTCAAATTTTTGCTTAAAAATGGAAATTTTTGCTGTAAATCAAAGATTTTGATTCAAAAATTCGCCTGAAATTCGTCAAAAATTCGCTTGAAACCCCCAGAATTTCACCAAAAACCCCACCTTTTCTCACAGCAGCTTCCAATATAAATCAATCAATAAATCCAGTGAAAGAGAGAGATCTGTTGTATGTGTATATTCGATTCAAAAAACATCATCAATTTTATATCGGAAGAACACACCAAAAAAGAAGGGCGGGGGATGATATTTAGATATAGAGCAAATAAAAAATCCATTAAAAAACAGTAGAAAAATTAGAGAGAGAAACAGACAGACAGACAAAAAATTCCCCAATTTTTTTCGCGGGGAAACCAAAAAAAACACCAAAAAATGAATAGGACAGGGCGAAAAAAAGAAAAAAAATGGAATTTGGCACCAATTCTAGCGATGCGATTGATGGTGTTGTTGATGATGATGATGTGGTGGTGGATTTTGGTGCGAAGAAGATGATGAAGATGTTCGATGTTGATTTGATGTTGTTGTCGAAGATCCGTTGCTATGACGTGGCATGGCTGGAAAAGAAGATTTCTGATTTGAAAATTACATTTTTCAGAAATCAGAAAACATTGCTCATATTAGAAAAAACCGGTTTTCTGAAAAAATTGGAAAACTTCATCTGAAAGTAATTGGCATTGCTCATGTTAGAAAAAACTTTCTGAATTAAAAAAAATTTTGAAGAAAAAAACATTGCTCATATTAGTAAATTAAGTCTCAACTCTGATAAATTCAAGAAAAAATTAACATTGCTCATATTAGAATTTTCTCGGCTCAAAAATTTCTTCAAAGAACGCAAAAAAAATGCTCCAAACCACTTCTAGAATCTGAAAATCACTGAAAATTCGAAAAATAAACGTTTTCCGAACAAAATTGAGCACATTCGCTCAGAAATTAGCATTTTCAGCCAAATTTTGTCTGAGAAGCTCCAATTCACTGAAAATTCGAAAAATTCACAAAGTTTGAGTGTAGAGCAAGTTTGGGACTTAAATTTTGTGAATTTTTCGAATTTTCACTCAAAATTTGGCTCAAAAATCGGATTTTCTCTCCATGTTCCACTCAAAATCCCCAATTTTTAATCACCCTTCATCGAATAACTTCCACTTCCTCCCCCACTTCCTCCAGTTGTAGTATTATTCATCACTCGATGATTCTTCTTCTGTTTTTTACTCCACATTTCATGACAATCTTGATGTTTGGGAAGGCGGAGCGGTGCAACTTTTTGATTTTCCAGTGATCGAATCCACGGATGCATCAATGCTTCACGGGCTGTTAGACGTTTTTTCGGATCGAGAACGAGAAGTTGGTCAAGAAGATCGATGGCTGATGAGGGCATTATGCTAGAAAAAATTTTTCTCAAAGCTCCGCCCATTTCAGCAAGCCTGGCACGCTTTTCGAAAAACCCACCTCTCAAAATCCTCTCGTATCCTTCTCGGATAAACTCGTTTCGCCTTAATCACATCATAACCCTTCAATTTCACAACATCCGGCCAAACATCAGTATTCGGAGTTCCGCAGACCTGAAAAATCGGGATTTTCCAAAAAGGTCCAAATAAGCCTATTTTTTGAGCCTAAAAGATTTAATTGAAAGAAAGCTCACCTTACTAATCAAATCCAGCTGAACAATCTCATTATTTCCAATAAACAGTGGTTTTCTGGTGAATAATTCACCCAACATACAACCAACACTCCACACATCAATTTCTGGACCATAACATTCTTCACCTAGCAACAATTCGGGCGGTCGATACCATAATGTGATGACGCGATTCGTGTATGGTCGCTCGATTCCTTCATGCCATAAACGAGCCAAACCCAAATCGGCTACTTTTAGTTCTCCACTGCAAAAAAGAGGGGATTCTTGGTGAAACAGGGGATAAAATATAGGTTTTCTAGTGAATTTTGCAATTTTTTGTATTTTCTTGTAACCTGAAATTACAAGAAATTTCAAAAATTCAAAATTTGGATGGAAAAATATGTAGATTTCGACCCGCTAGGTTTTCTAGTAATCAATTTTTGTATTTCTTGTATTTTCTTGTTACCTGAATTTACGAGAAATTTAAAAAATTCGAAATTTTGGATGGAAAAATGTTTTCCAGTAGGCTTCGACCCGATAGGTTTTTTAGTAATCAATTTTGCAATTTCTTGTATTTTCTCGTAACCTGAAATTACGAGAAATTCAAAAAATTCGAAAAATATGTTTCCCAGTAGACTTCGACACGCTGATCAGGATTCCGTTGTCTAAAATTGCAAATCCTAACTTCTGACAAGAGTTATGACGTGGCAAAGTTGAAAAATTTGGGATTTTAGGAGGCCAGGACCCGCTTTCAAAATGATTTTCACGAAAATCATCCAAAATTTCGAATTTATTGAATTTCTCGTAATTTCGGGTTACAAGAAAATACAAAAAATTGCAAAATTGATTACTAGGAACCCTACATTAATTTTGAAAGCGAGTTTTTCCCTTCTAAAATCCCAAATTTTCGAAGTTTGCCACTCATGTTAGAAGTTGAGCTTTAGACAACGGAATCTCGATGAGCGGGTCAAAATCTACACGAAATTTCGAATTTTTTGAATTTCTCGTAATTTCAGGTAACAAAAAAATAAAAACAACAGAATCGCGATCAGCAGGTCAAAATCTACATTTTCCATCCAAAAATTTCGAATTTTTTGAATTTCTTGTAATTTCAGGTAACAATAAAATACCAGAAATTGTAAAAACCCACCGATTATTGACAAGTATATTGCTACATTTAATATCACGATGCAAAAATCCAGCTTTATGACAATATGCTAATCCCTCTAATAACTGTTTAAATAATCCACAAATTTGTTCGCGACTGAATTCAATCAAATCACGCGACTCCAATAAACCCATTAAATCGTGGTCGACATATTCGAAGACCAAATAAAAATTGACGGCTGAAACGGGGGAATTTTTGTATAAAGATAAAAAACCATCAAAAATATGATAACTCACTTCTAGATTTGCTCAATTCCTGAACACTTGCATTATCCGAAACAATATCAATCAATCTCACAATATTCTTATGATTCAATTGTCGCAAAATCTTAATTTCTCGAACTGCAGTTATCGGAAATCCCTCTTTTTCATTTTCCAATCGAACTCTTTTTAATGCAACTTGTTCGCCGGTTGTTTTATTGACTGCTTTATAGACTTGTCCGTAGGTTCCTTCTCCAATTTGATCCAACATTGAATAATCCGATAATAGTTTTGTGCCCCATTCTTCTTGGCCTGGTTCGACTCGTCGACGAACACCGCGGCGATTCATAACTCTGGAAAAATTCAGGGATTTTTATAAGAACGGGAAAATCTAAAAGGATTCAGAGATTTTTCCGAACTTTAAGAAGATCAAGTCGAATTCTAGAATTTCCAGAATTTTCTTAAAAATCGGGAAGGAGGCTAAAAATGTTGAAGCATTTTCTTTTGCTCGAATTTTCAATGATTTTCAGATTTTAAAGGTGATTTGAAGCATTTTCAGACAAAATTTGGCTGAAAATGCGTAGAAATCGGATTTTTAAGGTGTTTCTGAACAAAATGAGCCAAATTTTGTATGAAAATGCTCTAAATCACTTCTAGAATCTAAAAATTCACAAAATTTAAGTCTAGAAACTTTTCCCGAGCAAATTTGGGCTCATTTTGCTCAGAAACCCATTTAAAATCGTATTTCTTACAATTAGCGTTTTCAGACAAAATTTTGCTGAAAATGCTAGGAAAGTTGGATTTTTGGGGGGTTTCTGAGTGAAATGAGCCCAAATTTGCTCAGAAAAGTTTCTAGGCTTAAATTTTGTGAATTTTCAAATTTTAAAGGTGATTTGGAGCATTTTCAGACAAAATTTGGCTGAAAATACTGAAAAATAAATTTTTGGGGGTTTCTGAGCAAAATGAGCACGAATTCGATCATAAAAATTTCTAGACTTAAATTTTCGAATTTTTCAGATTCTGAAGGTGATTTGAAGCATATTCAGACAAAATTAGGCTGAAAATGGGATTTTTGGGGGTTTCTGAGAGCAAAATCGCTCAAATTTCTGTTTTTCAGCTCAAAATCGCTCAAACTTCTCAACTTACACCGGTTTCGACGCAATTCTTCGACTCTCCACATGTGGCAGCGGCAAATTTCCCATCATTTTCGATGATCTTTTCGAATGCGACGACGAAGTTGGCGGTGGTGCATGTCCTGGTGGTGGTGGCACTTTTCCAGGCGCCGATGTCGAGGGACGATGATGAAGATTCTCTTGATTATTGGTGGAAGTTGGAGGTGGTGGAAAATGTGCGGGTGGTTGAGGTGGCGGGAGAACTGAGAACATATCCGGTGCCGCAGGTTGATGACGAGATGATGAAGAAGAAGATGGTGGAGATGGATCAAAGACATTTGAAGATGGCATTGGTGGGGGAACTGGTGGCGGGCGGAATACCATTGTTGGAAATTGGGGGACCGGTGCCTGGAAAAATAATTTTGCTCTTGCTTTTTTGCTCAACAATTCTGGGGGATTCTAGTCGAAAAAAATATCAAAAAACTATATTTTTTCCTATTTTTGACATTTTTTTCATTTTTGTGTGGAAAAAATGTCAAAAATAGGAAAATATATAGTTTTTTAACATTTGAATCACATTTAAAAAAAAAACTATATTTTTTTCCTGTTTTTGACATTTTTGTGTGGATAAAATAAAGTTTTTGGACATTTGAATCATCCCATTCAAATCTTTATGAAATTTCGTCCATAGACAGTTTTTAGGGTCAAAAAATCCCTGAAAATTTTAGAACCTCTGAGCCAAGTTCTGAGCTCTCAAAAATCATCATAGCTCAATTTCAAAATTATTTTTTGGGAGAAATATAGGTTCAGATATTGATCAGCATAGTCGATTTACTGGCAGTAAACATTTTTCCAAAAAATTTTGGAGTTTTTTTATTTTTGGATGAAAATTCATGAGAATTCACATGTGCTCACATATCACAAAATTTTCTGAAAATTCAAAAATTCAGATAATTTTTTGAAAAAATGTATGAGCACGTGTGAATTTTCAGGCGAAAAATAAAAAAACTCCAAAATTTTTTGAAAAATGTTTAATTTCAGTAAATCGTCTGAAACTTTATTTCTCCCCAAAAAATAATTTTAAAATGGAGCTATGATTTTTGAGAGCCCAGAACTTGGGGGTCCTTAAATTTAGGGTGTTTTTTGACCCCAAAATCCATCCAGGCTTGTTTTTGCTGTCAAAAATGTCTCCCTTACATGATAATAAGTTGGTGGCGGCGGTAAAGGCGTTGGAATATTCAAAGATGTTCCATTTGAATGCGCAGCTCCATCGACCATTTCTTCAGAACTCGTTGATGAAGAGCTACTATGTCTTTTCCTTCTTTTTGCTCTTCTTTTTACTTTTTGATGAGACGACGCCAGAACCATGTGTTTTCTTGATTTCATTGATTAGTGATGTTGACATCCTGGAGATTTTCGAGAATAATGTTTTTCAGCTAACAAAAAAAAAGAAAAAACTCACATATCTGGCGAATCGGATTCCGAAGAATGACGTCTTCGACTTTTCTTGCTTCTTTTGGGTGATCTATGCCGGCTGCGACTTCGTGAACGTTTTTCGCGACGCGTTTTTCGCTCTTTGCTTTTTCGACGATCTCCACCGCCTCGACTACTGCGATATCGACGATTTTCGCGAGAATTTGAGCGTCTGAAATTGAAAAATTGATATTTTCACGTTTTTTTACGCAAATGAGTTGAAATATTGGTTTCTAATGTTATTCATAGGGTAGAATGGTCTAAGACGAACAGAATGGTATAAATTTTGATGAACTTACCTTATCCATAAGTGATTTAGCGATGTTTAGTCGATATTTTTCGCTAAATCACTTATGGATAAGGTAAATTCATCAAAATTTATATCATTCTGTTCGTCTTAGACCATTCTACCCTATGAATAACATTAAAACCCAATATTTTAAATCACTTGCTCAAAAAACATTAGTCAATGTCCAACTATACAGATTAGTATAGTCGTAAAAATAATGATTTGTACTTAGGCGAAAAGTACATTTATCGGGAAAATGGGCGGGTTTTATTATGCTTTTTCCACAAAATCTCTACCTCATTTTACTCGAATTTCCAATTGGCGGCGAAATTTCATCACGTGAATGTCGATCCCGTCTCGATCCTTGTCTCGATGAGACTCGCGTCGATTTATAATTGCGATTCGGCGAAATACTTCGACTACGTGTCGATCTTTGCTCGCGATCACGATACGAAGAACCGCGTCGAGAATCGTTGATGGCTTGCGAAGAGGAGCTCGGCGACATTTCCATTGGTAAATATTCGGACGAGTGGTGCAAACTCATCTACTTTTGGTGGAAACCTGGAAAAATGATGCAATTTTTGAGGATAATTCAAAAATCAAACTCTGGTTGAAAATACGTATATATACAGCTAAAACTGATATCAAAAAATCAATTTTTTCGCCCAAAATTTGATTTTCAACTATTTTTCAAAATAAAACTTCACCAACCTTTCCCAAAATTTGTCAACGATTTTCCGAAACTTGCAAATATCCACGGATAATCTGAAAATCCACAAAAATCAAGTTTTGCACCTGAGAAACGCTGAACAACAACAAAAAAAAACGACGCGACGGTCGTTCGACAAATTGATTGGGCCACGCCCACTTGCATAAATTGTGTGCGGCGGTTGCCGACCACCTTTTTCTCCCTCGTGCCCTCCTTGTTTGCTGTTGTGTCTCGCGGCGGTTTGGAGGCGATTTGAATTGTTGTTTTTGTTTTTTTTCTGTGCGTCTGGGATTCCCAGGATTTTTGATGTGAAATGCTGCTTATTTTTGAAATAAGCCCAAAGAAAACGTGACCCTTTTCCTTCAAATATAAAAAAATCGATTATTTTTATTTATTTATTTTTCCTCTTCGAAAAACCGTAACGTTTCAAGGTCAGTTTTTCAAGGCGTCACTTTTCGTAAAGTTTTTCTCTCTTTCCAATTTGGACTTGATTTGAAAAATACCTGTTTAAATGTTTTTTTTTCTTTCAAAGCACCATATTATGACTCATTGTGTATTTTAGACATCACTAATTTGCCGGAAACCCTAAATTTCATAACTAGATTTATAAATTCTATAGATTTCTCATTTATTTTCCCCGTCTGTAGCATTTTCGAAAATCTTTGTTTTATCATGGGAAGATTTTGAAATTTTAGAGAATTCGCGCCTCAACAGGTCTCACCACATTTCAGCGTGTACTTCTCGCGGACAAATTTATTTTTTCAATTTTCCCGTCACTTTACAGTCACAAAAAAGTCACCTGAACTAGTAGTATCTATTGACAATAGAAGAAGAAGAGAAAGTGTAAATAATACACTCTACGTCTCCGCTATCTATTTTTATCGCCGTCGCAATTTTTTCTGTGTTTTTTTTTGATAGAGAGTATTTTGCGTAGTTATTTAGATAACATATTGTTCCCCGAAGAAACACGCCATTTTGTGAAATTCAGCACCAAAATGTCATGGAATCCATCGTTTTCCAGGCTGACTTCCTCTCATTTTCTCTGCGTCTCTCACGTTTTATTATTGATGTGTGGGGGGAGGGGGAAAACTTGTTTTTTTTTCAATATTTTTTCTTTTTTTCTGCTGGCACTTTTTTAAAGTTGCTTCATTATTGTTTATATTTTTATTGAGTATCAGATTACCAACAAAAAAAGATAATAATAAAATAATCGATTTTTTGTTAGATACAAAAGAAACCAAAAAGTGAAAAACAAATACTTACTCACTTCCTTGTTTATTTTTCATTTTTCCAAAAAAACTATACATTTTTCTTTGCAGAACAACGATTTTGGCGGGTTTTTTCATTTTCTTCTTCCTCAAAAAAAATATATTTATAAAGTGAGTCTCCTGAAAAAAAAAACAAAAATTTGTTGATTTTCGTGGCATGTGAAAACTTTTCCATAGAGAAATCGATTTTCCAGAATTCTCCTCACAAAAAATCATGCCAGCGTCGCCGACGACGGCGCGACAATAATCGCCACATTCACCTCGGTCACAAGAATCATTTTTGTAGCAATAGAATATCGTGAGTTGGCGCATTTTCAGCCCTAATTTCCCCCGATGTTTTGCAGCACATGTAAATATAATCTCTTCTCATTTTTGCCGCGATTTTTGTACGAACAATTCAGACGGTATAACAATGTGTTTTTTCTCGTTATTGCACTTTTACAGGTAATTTTTTCCGTTAAATTTCGCCCCAGAAAATAATTTCCAGCAAATTCCGGATGTTAGTCCAACTGGGAGGTATACAACAGCTGTGCCATTTTTGATTATTTTATCAGTTTCAGCATTGAAAGAGATGTTTGAGGATTTGGTAGGTTATTGGGCAAGGAATGCGTCAGCAGAATGCATTTTTTGATCTATGTTGCACCAAAAATGCGTCAGCAAATGTTCATACATTTGCTGACGCATTTTTGATAGCCGATGTTCCAATTAAAACCCGCCTGGACCTCGAATTTTCAGTCAAACTTTGATTTTGGCTGAAAATTTTGGGTTCACGTGCAGGGGAACCTATCGTCAATTTTTTTTCTGCACTAAAAATGCGCCAGCAAAAATCTAGCTACTAGAAATGCGTCAGTAAACGTTCTGACGCATTTTTGATAGCCGATGTTTCCATTAAACCCTGCCTGAATCTCGAATTTTCAGTCAAACTTTGATTTTGGCTGAAAATTTTGGGTTCACGCGCAGGGGAACCTATCGTCAATTTTTTTCTACACTAAAATGCGTCAACAAAAATTATCATACATTTGCTGACGCATTTTTGATAGCCGATGTTTTCAATAAAACCCGCCTGGACCTCGAATTTTCAGTCAAACTTTGATTTTGGCTGAAAATTTTGGGTTCACGCGCAGAGGAATCTATCGTCAATTTTTTTTTCTGCACTAAAAATGCGCCAATCAAATTCTAGCTACTAGAAATGCGTCAGTAAACGTTCTGACGCATTTCAGATAGCCAAGAATCCGATGTTTCCATTAAAACCCGCCTGAATCTCGAATTTTCAGTCAAACTTTGATTTTGGCTGGGAATTTTGGGTTCACGCGCAGGGGAACCTATCGTCAATGTTTTCTGCACCAAAAAACATTCAAAATTTCTAGAAACGTCGCCGTTCCGATCACAAAGTCAACGGATTCGCCGTCGAAATTCTCGTCGCTGGAAAATGGACGAAAAAAGAGTGGCGAGACGTGGAAGTCGGAGAATTCATCCGCGTCGACAATGATAGCTTATTCCCCGCCGATTTATTATTGATCTCCTCCAGTGAACAACAAGGAATGGCCTATATTGAAACATCGAATTTGGACGGCGAGACGAATTTGAAAATTAAACAGGCTTTGGATATCACATCACCTCTCACTTCACCTGAGCAATTGGCTAGATTCCAAGCGGAGATCACTTGCGAACCCCCCTCACGACATGTTAATGAGTTCAATGGGAATATTGATGTTGACGGGCAGGCGAGACATTTTGGAATTGATCAACTTTTACTGCGCGGGGCTCGTCTTAAAAACACCGCGTGGATTTTTGGAGCTGTGATTTACACGGGACATGATTCCAAACTTTTGATGAATTCAAAACGCGCTCCATTGAAATCTGGAACCATAGATGTGAAAACCAATTATCGAATAATATTCCTGTTTTTCGTTTTGGTAGCTTTGGCGATTATTTCAGCAATTGGAAGTGAATTTTGGAGACAATCTAATATTCCGAACGCTTGGTATTTGTCATTTTTGGAGCATGATCCTAAAGGCTCATTTTTATGGGGTGTTTTAACATTCTTTATTTTGTATAATAATTTGATTCCGATATCTTTGCAAGTGACGCTGGAAATTGTACGATTCTTCCAAGCGATTTATATCAACAATGATATTGAGATGTATGACCCGAATAGTGATTCATGTGCAATTGCAAGAACTTCAAATCTTAATGAGGAGTTGGGACAAGTCAAATTCATTATGTCGGATAAAACTGGAACACTCACAAGGAATGTTATGAAATTCAAAAGAGTTTCAGTTGGTCGGAAGAATTATGGGAATAATGAAGATGATGAATTTGATGATGAAACATTGTTGGAGGATTATAGGAGTGGAGAATCACCGATGATTTTGGAGATTTTGAAAATGATGGCGATTTGTCATACGGTTGTGCCGGAGAAGAAGGAGGGAGAGGAGTTGATTTATCAATCGAGTTCACCGGATGAAGCGGCGCTGGTTAGAGGGGCTGCCACGCAGAAGATCACTTTTCATACCAGGCAGCCGCAGAAAGTTGTTTGTGATGTGGTGAGGGTTTTTTGGCGGGAAAATTTGCGATTTTTTGGTACCAAATTAGCCTAGAACTTTTTGTTTGCCACGTGGAAATCCTATTTTTGAACTCAAAATTTGAATTTTCGAATTTCGCGCTATAAAATCCACGTGTCAAAATTCTTTACTCATAATTTTGGAATTCGAAATTTCGAATTTCGCGCTATAAAATCCACGTGTCAAAATTCTGAACACAAAATTTTGAAATTTGAAATTTCGAATTTCGAGCTATAAAATCCACGTGTCGGAATTTCAATGAAAAAATGCCACGTGGCTCGAATTTTCAACAGAAAAATCGATTTTTCCCATTTTTTTCGAATTTTCAACGGAAAAATCGATTTTTCCCATTTTTTTCGAATTTTCAACGGAAAAATCGATTTTCCCAATTTTTTTTCGAATTTTTAACAGAAAAATCGATTTTTCCCCAGTTTTTTCGAATTTCAAGCTATATAATCCACGTGTCAAAATTCCAAGCTCTAAATTTTGGAATTTGAAATTTCGAATTTCGCGTCATAAAATCCACGTGTCCGGAATTTTAAACGGAAAATGCCACGTGGCTCGAATTTTAAACGGAAACAATTGATTTTTTCCCAATTTTTTGAATTTTCAATGGAAAAATCGATTTTCCCAATTTTTTTTTTCGAATTTTCAACAGAAAAATTGATTTTTACCAGTTTTTTCCGAATATTTGACAGAAAATCCACGTGTCAAAATTGCAGAAGGAAAAAGCCACGTGGCTCAAATTTTCAACAGAAAAATCGAGTTTTCCCCAGTTTTTTCGAATTTAGCGCTATAAAATCCACGTATCGAAATTTCACAGGTAAAATGCCACGTGGCTCGAATTTTAAACAGAAAAATCGATTTTTCGCATTTTTTAACAGAAACATTCATTTTTCCAAGTTTTTTTTTCGAATTTCAAGTCATAAAATCCACGTGTCAAAATTTTGGAATTTCAAATTTCAACAGAAAAATCAATTTTTCCAAGTTTTTCCCAGTTTTCCTCTCAAAAAATCAATTTTTCCAAGTTTTTGTCCAGTTTTTTCCATTTTTCCAATTTTTTTCAGCTTGGAAACGATGAAACCTACGAAATTCTGGATGTTATCGATTTTACATCGGATCGAAAACGAATGTCGGTGATTGTCAGAGATCAAGAGGGAAACATCAAACTATATACAAAAGGAGCGGTGAGTTAGCTTGAAATTGGGGGGTTTTGGGCAGAAATTACCTCAGAAGTTGTGGTTTTTGAGGGAAAATCGGCTAGAAATCAATAAAATTGTCCTAAAAATCATGATTTCGGGAAAATGAAATGAAATTGATTCAAAAAATCAAATTTTCATGCAAAAATAACCTAGAGATCACCTAATTTTCCAGGATACTGTGATTTTTGAACGGCTGAAAAAAGGAAGTGAAGAAGATATCCGAAATTGTAGTGCACATTTGGAAGATTATGCATCATTCGGTTATCGAACCCTCTGTTTTGCTGTCAAAAATTTGCAACCGGGAGAATATGAAAAATGGGCGCCCGAATATAAAAAAGCGATTCTGGCAATTGACAATAGAGCGCAATTGCTTGCCCAGGCTGCTGAAAAACTGGAAAATTCGATGGAATTGGTTGGAGCGACTGCGATTGAGGATAAATTGCAAGAATGGGTGCCGGAAACGATTCAGGCGTTGATGGCGGCGGATATTCGAGTTTGGATGTTGACTGGGGATAAAAGGGAGACGGCTATTAATATTGGTGAGTAGTTTTTGGGTGGATTTTGGTGAAAATTTGGGATTTTTGAGCAAAAATAATAAATTTTGAGCTCGAATTTGAGAATTTCCGGGTTTTTTGAGCCCGGATATGCTCAGGAAGCTTTTTGAGCCGAAATTTCGGGGTTTTTGAGCTCGAATTTGAGATTTTCCGGGTTTTTTGAGCCCAGATATGCTCAGGGAGCTTTTTTAGTCAACATTTTGGGGTTTTTTGAGCCCAGATACGTTCAGAGAGCATTTTGAGCCAAAACTTTCGATTTTTGAGCAAAAACGATGAATTTTGAACTCGAATTTGAGAATTTCCGGGTTTTTTGAGCCCAGATATGCTCCGGAAGCTTTTTGAGTCAAAATTTTCAATTTTTAACACACCTCGGCCAAAATCGTGGTTTCCACAACAAAAAATTGTACGCTAACTTTTTACAGTACAAAAATTGTGAATTATTCAGTTTTTGTGTGATTTTTTTTTGTGATTTTTCAATTTTTGACCTCTAAAAACTGAAATTCAGATCTTTCCAAAAATTGTACTCTGGCCAGCCACGGCTTGGCCGAGGTGTGATTTTTAAGCAAAAATGATGAATTTTGAGCTCGAATTTGAGAATTTCTGGGTTTTTCGAGCCCAACAATGCTCAGGAAGCTTTTTGAGCCAAATTTCGGGATTTTTGAGCAAAAATGATGAATTTTGAGCTGGAATTTGAGAATTCCCGGGTTTTTTGAGCCCAGATATGTTCTGAGAGCAAAAAATGTATTTGAAACATGAAAAGCTCAGACTAGACTCTAGTTTAGAATATTTTCAGACTTTATTGTGACAAAAATGCGGAATATTCAAAGCTAAACTTGATTGCTCATGTTAGCAAATTCCACAATTTTCAGCTCATTCTTGTGCCCTTGTCCATCCACATACCGAATTATTGATTGTTGATAAAACCACCTACGAAGACACTTATAATAAATTGGAACAATTTGCACAAAGAGCAATTGAACTCGAAAAATTGGAAAAAGAATTTGCGATGGTAATCGATGGAAAATCCCTTCTTCACGCGCTGACCGGCGAAGCTCGAAAACATTTCGGTGAACTTGCACTCCGTTGCAACGCTGTTGTTTGTTGTCGAATGAGTCCGATGCAAAAAGCGGAAGTTGTTGAAATGGTCCGAAGTTTGGCGAAAGAAGGTGTTGTGCTTGCGATTGGTGATGGAGCAAATGATGTGGCGATGATACAAGCGGCAAATGTTGGAGTTGGAATTAGTGGGGAAGAGGGATTGCAGGTGGGTATTGCTCATTGGGATTAAAAAATCTGAAAATCTCTAGAAAATCTGAAATTTGCGCGAATTTTCTAGCTAAAAATCGTGATTTTCAGGGAAATTCTGATTTTTTAAACTCAAAATTTCGAAGAGATTTTGAATTTTAGAGGTATTTACCGAAAATCCGCATTGCTCATGTTAATAATTTTCAATTCAAAAATTCTTAACAAAATTAAATAAATAATGATTTCCATTCAAATATCTGGAAATCCAAATTTTTTTTAAGGTTTTTAAGCCAATTTTCTAGCTGAAAATCGGGATTTTTAGCCGAAAATTTAAAATTAATAGCAAGAAATTCGAAAATTCCACTGAAATTCCCTTTTTTTAGCTAATAATTTTGGATTTTCAAGAGAAAATCTAATTGTTGATTTCCATCCCCACATTTTGCATCCCACAACAGAATTTCAGCAAAAATTCAAAAATTGAAGCATTGCTTATGTTAATAATTTTCAGCACAAAAGTTCTTACAAATCCTAAATAATCTCTTGAAAAATAGGGTTATGAGCCAATTTTCGAGCTGAAAATCCGGATTTCCAGCCAGATTTGGGAAAAATTGGATTTCCAGAGAAATTCTGATTTTCTGGTTTAAATTTTCAGCAAAAATTCAAAATTCAGCTGAAAATCTAGTTGCTAAACCAAAAAAATGAACCATTGCTCATGTTGATAGTTTTAAACCCAAAAGCTAAATTTCATCTTGAAAAATAGGTTTTTGAGCCAGTTTTCTAGCTGAAAATAGGGATTTTTAGCCAAATTTGGGAAAAGTTGGATTTCCAGAGAAATTTTTGATTTTTTGGATGAAATTCTCGGATTTTCAGCCAAAATTTCTGCCGAAATAAAACTTTCAAGCTGATAATTTGAGATTTTCAGCAAAAATTCGAAAATAAAATTTTACCTGAAAATCTAGTTGCTACACTGAAAAATGGTACCATTGCTCATGTTAATAATTTTCAACTTTAAAATTCTTTCAAAAATCTGAAATTCTACTGAAAATCCTGATTTTCAGCTAGAAAATCAAGTTTTTAAGCCAATTTTCAGCCAAACAATCAGCAAAAAATCTAATTTTCCAGGCAGCCTCAGCTTCTGACTACGCAATTCCACGATTCCATTTCCTCCGAAGACTTTTACTAGTTCACGGAGCCTGGAATCATGATCGATCAGTCAAAGTCATCCTATATTCATTCTACAAAAACATCTGTCTATATATCATCGAACTTTGGTTTGCCATTTTCTCCGCCTGGTCTGGACAAACGATTTTCGAACGATGGACGATTGGAATGTTCAATGTGATATTCACAGCGTGGCCACCGGTTGTTTTGGGACTTTTTGATCATCCAGTTCCAGCTGAACAGATTATGAAATATCCTGCATTGTATGCCAGTTTTCAGAAGAGAGCTTTTTCAATTGGAGTGAGTTTTCAGCCCGGAAAATTTTATGCATTTTGAGTTTTTCCAGAATTTCTCCCTCTGGATTGGTATGGCTGTTGTCCACTCGTTATCCTTATTTTTCCTCACCTACTTCTACCTGGAAAATCAAGTTGTATGGGCCGAGGGTCGAACTGGTGGCTGGTTGATGTTGGGAAATTGTGCGTATACCTATGTGGTGGCCACGGTTTGTCTCAAGGCACTTCTCGAATGCGATTCGTGGACGTGGCCGGTTGTTGTCGCGTGTTTGGGCTCGATTTTCCTTTGGATGGTTTTTGTGGTGGCGTATTCGTTGGTGAGTTGTGAAAATGCGTCAGCAAATGTCCTTGCTGACGCATTTTTAGATTTATTGCTCATCGAAAATGCGTCAGCAAAAAATACCTTTACTGACGCATTTTTGATAGCCAACATGATCTATGTTGCACCGAAAATACGTCAGCAAATGTTCATACCTTTGCTGACGCATTTTTAGATTTATTGCTCAACGAAAATGCGTCAGCAAACAATACCTTTGCTGACGCATTTTTAAATTTATTGCTCACCGAAAATGCGTCAGCAATCAATACCTTTGCTGACGCATTTTTAGATTTATTGCTCAACGAAAATGCGTCAGCAAACAATACCTTTGCTGACGCATTTTTAGATTTATTTCTCACCGAAAATGCGTCAGCAAATGTTCATACATTTGCTGACGCATTTTTGACACCCAAGTATCCAATTTTCCCATTAAAACCCGCCTGGACCTCGAATTTTCAGTCAAACTTTTGATTTTGGCTGAAAATTTTGGGTTCACGCGAACCTATCGTCAATTTTTTCTGGATTTTTCAGGTCTTCCCACTTTTATCGAATATTGGAGCCGATATGGCTGGAATGGCCTATATAATGTTCTCATCCTACACTTTTTGGATTGCACTTTTATTCATCCCAGTAGCAACTTTGATGTGGGATTTGGTGATTAAAAGGTGAATTTTTTGCGATTTTTTTTAGAAAAATTGGCATTTTTCTCTAAACTCTCTCAATATTCTTCCAGTCTCTTCACAATCGCTTTGCCAACACCCCGTGAACTTGCCGTGATGTATTCGAAACGGAATTCGTCGATCAATGGATTCGAACGGTTAGCCAGGTTCGCGTGTGCCTTTTTTCTAAACCAAAACCCTTTTTATTCAAATCACAAACTGGTGTTCCTTTCCCCTAAAAAATCTTGCAGAAATACGCACCTAGATAGAGCATGGGTCTGACCACGAAATCTCCCTGGGGGTACTGTAGGAGGTAATTTTGACAGATGTTGTGTTTTTTATGTTGGAGCATGTTGATTTTCCTTCTATCTTTCTACCGTATGTTTTAGTTGCGTCAGTAAACATTTTTGCTGACACGAAATTTGTAGCCTGTTGTCCTGTGATTTTTTTCCAACGTAGTGTAGTTTTGAAGCCAGTTTGTGATTGAATAGAAATGTTTTTTTTCTCTAACCTCTCTCTCTCTCTCTCTCTATTTTCAATTATCTCTAGCTCATGGGCTGCAAATCATGGACCAACAAAAGACGCGGCTACCGTATTCGCCTCGAGATTCAGTCTACGCAAGAAAATCCAGCCGTCTCCTGAAAACTCGTGGCTGAAAAATGAGCAGCAGAGCCCGGAATACGGTTCCACAGAGATGACGAATTTTACACCGAAACGCCGAAAATCGCCGCCGATTTCATATGAAAATGAGAGTTTTGTACCGGACCAGCAAGAAGATGTGCCCCCGAATGTGACACGAATTGTGGTGAATTTGGATGATGAAGATGATCGGATTTATATGAATGGTGGTGGTGGAAAAACGACAAGAGTTTGAAGAGCATCCATCTTTTATTCTTTGTTTTTTCTTTGATTTGTGTATGTTTTTTTGAGAGGCAGCTACAGTACCCCGGGGAAGCTTTTTGGGATTTTTTGAATTTTGGTTTTGCGCGAAATTCAAAAATTGCCATGAGGATTCTGAAGCTTAAAATTATAATTTGCAATAATATTCTGAAATTGCCACGTGGATTTTGAAGCTCTGATTGGCTATTTGTAAATGATGTTTGAAAATAATAGAATTTTCAAGCTCTGGAAAATTCTAATTTTCAAGCTCTGGAAAATTCTAATTTTCAAGCTCTGGAAAATTCTAATTTTCAAAAATTCCCGAATTTCCACGTGGATTTTGAAGTAAAAGATTCTGTTTTTCAAAAATGATTTACAAATTGCCACGTGGATTTTGAAACCGAAAATTTCATTTTTTTTTTCGAAAATCATTCACAAATTTCCACGTGGATTTTTAAACTGAAAAAATTGATTTCCAAATTGCCACGTTGATTTTTAAGCTGAAAATTTCAGAAACCACGTGGCTAAAAATGATAAATGATTTCTGAAAATAATAGAATTTTCAGCTTAAAAATCCACGTGGAAATTCGGGATTTTTTTCTACGTGAATTTATTTTCAGACTGAAAATTCTATTTTTTTTCAAAAATTATTCTCAAAAATTTGGGATTTTGGTTTTGCGCGAAATTCAAAAATTTCTATGTGGATTCTGAAGCTCAAAATTATATTTTTTTCAAAAATGATTTCGAAATTGCCACGTTCAAAAGTCACGCTTGAAATTATTTTTCCCCGATTTTTCTTTAGATTTTCTCTGATTTTCCTCCATGTTACTGTAAATACTTACAGTAACTTGGATGAATCTACAGTAACCGATTCAGTTTTTATTTTCGCCTAACCCCTTTGCGCCTTTGCCCCGCCCCAAATCACCACCGAAATTGTTGTTATTGCAGCTACTCGTCAAGTGTGCTCGAAAATGTGCGTCTGCTAACATCGTCGCTACGACCCGGCTCGGCTGATTTGTCGCGTCGCAGAACCGTTTCTGAAGCGTCGTTGGCGTTGGCCGAACAGACTAGATGTGAGTGGGGGAAAATTTTGGAGCGGAAAAAAATAAAAAATAAAATTTATGAAACCGCAACAATAGAATTATCGTTAGTTTTCATTCCAACAGTTGATTGTGGATTGATTACTGTAGCCTCAATATTCCTCAAACCAGAAATCCTCAACAAAGCTTTTCGATAAGGCGAAACATAGTATAAATACAATATCGGCGATAAAACTGGAATAACACATTCTGCAGCCGAAATCACACATTCCACACCAGGATGTCTGACGACACCAGAAGCCTCGAGACTAAACATAAAACCGCCCAACGCGAAAAATATCGGAAGAGAAGCTTGTAGAGTTAAAGCGGTTAGTAATTGCTTATGCAATGCTTTTGTCTCTTTTCGCAAGTGTTCCATGGATTTTGAGAGGAGTTTGATGATTTTTCGGCGGATTAGAAGAACTGAAAGAGGTTTTAGGGGTGTTATTTTGGATCTAGTTTTAAAAAACCTGCCTGAAAATATGATTGGTATTGGGGAAGTTAGCATAACTGCGGGAGGAAATAGGCCAACGAATGAATCGGTGTTTAGACTTCCGGTTGCTTGAGACCACGAAATTGTTGTATCATTTGGGTAGAATTTGAAATATAATTTATAAACTGTAGTTGTGTCGGCTTGATTGAAGGAAAAGCAAAAGAGGAAGAAGAATGCGGGAAGATAGGTGAGAAACATTAGAATGAAGAGGGTTTTTGGCTGGGGTGCCGGGTTTTTGAGAATGTAGTATCGATAGCTGAAGGAGAGGCAGAGGGAGTATTGGGAGTAGACGAAGAAGTGGAACATTAGACCGCACCTGGAAATTTGTATTGGATTTTCCCATGATTGGGAAAATTTTGAGGCTTGAAAAATACACGTGGAAAAATTTTTTCAGCCATAAATTCAAAAAAATGTTTGCTTAAAAGTTCATCCAGAAATTCAATAGGGTAATTTCTATCATGGAAAATTCAGCCCGAAATTCACTTGTCAAATTTTTAGCTCGAAAAATCCATGCGGAAATTGTTCCTTCAAAATTTCAGCAGAAAATCCACGTGGAAAGTTTTTGTGTGAAAATATCCACGTGGAAAATTGTTTTCTTCAAATTTTCAGCTTAAATCTTACGTAATTTTTTCAAACCGAAAATCGACGTGGAAAATTTTTCTTAAAATTTTTTTTAGAATTTCTGGAGTTAAAAATTCCACGTGGCAAGTTATTTTTCAAATTTTCAGCCCGAATTTCACGTGGAAAGTTTTTAGCATGAAAAATCCACGTGGCAAATTTTTCTTCAAAGTTTCAACCGAAAATTCCAGCTTAAATCTTACGTGGCAAATTTTTTGCGTGAAAAATCCACGTGGGAAATTTTTCTTCAAAATTTCATCCAAAAATTCACGAAGCTATATTTCAGCATGAAAAATCCACGTGGAAAATTGTTCCTTCAAAATTTCAGCAGAAAATCCACGTGGGAAGTTGTTTTTCTTCAAAATGTTTAGAATTTCTAGAGTTAAAAATTCCACGTGGCAATTTTTTGCTAGAGAAATCCACGTGGCATGTTTTTCTTCAAAATTATAGCAGAAAATCCACGTGGCACTTTTTTCTTCAAAATTTCAGACCGAAAATTCCACGTGGCAATTTTTAGCTCGAAAAATACACGGTGTAAATTTTTATTCAAATTTTCAGCCCAAAAATCTACGTGGCATTTTTCCTTCAAAATTTCAACCAAAAATTCACGTGACAAAAATTTTCAATTTTACCCAATTTTCCCCCAAAACCAACCCAATAAAACAAAAAGTGGGTGAAAAATATTGACAAAATCCATATGAAATTTGAACAGTAGCCGCACCGATAGGAACAAGCCTAGCCATCACAAATAGCGTAGTAATACACGCCAAAATATCGGTAATCGCAAATTTCATAATAAGAATTGAGTAGGATTTGATGGAACTTGGCGATTTGAACCAGGCTAAATAGAGAAGAATCGAATTGAGGAATAGGCCGAGAAGTGAGGTTAGAATACTGAATAATTTGAAAATTGTTATTATGAACATTTGGGGGGAGCTCTGGAAAAGTGATTTTTGGAGAGCAAAACAACGAGTTGATTAATTTTTCTGATTGTTTTAGGGGAAAAAATGTGAGAATCTGGGGAAATTTAGATTTTTTCTCTGATTTCTGGAATTTTCTAGTTTCTTGGATTTTACATGAAATCTAATCGGGAGCTCAAAAATCGATTTTTGACCTGAAATTAGTTTTTCAGCCAAAAATAATGAGATTTTTGAAGCTTGTGGAGTGATTTTTGATGAAAATAAGCTTCGAAAGCTCAAAATTCATCAGAAAAATTAGCAAAAACTTCTGAAAAGGTCCATTTTCATCAGAAATCACACCAGAAGCTTCAAAAATCTCGATTTGTCATCATTTTTGAATGGGAAATTCGAAAACAAATTTTTTTGATCTACAATGTTTTTTCGGCGTTTTTTTCGTTCGTGAATCCTATTGCTCATGTTAGAAAATTTTAATATGTAGAATAATTTTCGATTTGAAAATTACATTTTTCAAAAAATCAGAAAAACAAAACAATCCCTGAATAAATCCCTGAAAGTAATTGGCATTGCTCATGTTAGAAAAATACTTCAATTTTTTTTGAAAATGAAAAATTTTTGACCTACAATGCGTGGAAAAATGATTGAAAATTCATTCTTTTTAGAATTTGGGACGCTGAAATTCCCTATTTTTTCAGCTAAAATTCACCCTGGGATTGAATTTTTCACCTGGAAAAAATCAATAATTTTTTTCTTCCAGATGGCTACGCATTTTCGCAAGACGAATCGAGTTCTGTCGCCCAAACCGAGTTGATTCGAGCCGTCGATTCGACACGCACAAAACCCACGGGAAGATAATAATTTTCTCCCCCTTTTTTTCCCGTTTTCCCCCTAGCCCCGCCCCCTTTTTGCCTTGTTTTTCAATCAAAACGTGTAGATTGTATTACTGTAGGTACAGTACCTCTTTTTGATTACTGTAGAATTTTTTTGCTCCAACGGGTTTTCTTCTTTTTCTTTTTCTTCATTATTTAGAAAATACTTTTTTGCATACCGTGTATAAAGATTTGCTCCAATTTTAGAAATTTTTGTTTTTAATTCAATTAATTTGGAAAAAAGGTTGTTCTCCTTTGAAAAATCTCAAAAACGCGCCGCAAAATTGCATAATTCGTGTAATTTTCCCAGGCTCCGCCCACTTTTTCCCTCTCTTTCCCCCCTCCCGATTTTTCGCCTTTTTTCTCTGCACTCTCTCAAGGTGAGAGAGTGTCGTGTTATTTTGTTTTCATTAAAAAAATTCGGTTCTTGAGGAGTAGATTTGCCACGTGGATTTCCTCTAATGAACATTGCTCCACAGGTTGCTGTCGAGACGTTTGAATATGATGGAAATCAGACGATGTGAGTTTTTTTTGGCGGGGGGAAATTTGAATTTGGCGGTGAAAATCAGGGGAAATACGTGGATTTTTGAGCGCGAAAAGTTTATGGCAAAATATCGAATTTCACCTGCAAAATTCAGTTTTTCTATAGATTTCTAGAAAAAAATAGTTTTGAGCGGAAATTCGATGATTTTTGCTTTCAGAAATTTAATTTCATTCAAAAATTCATCAAAATTGTAGGAAATTTCAAAAATTTGGCCAAAATTTGACCAAAATTGCCGGATTGACTGAATTTTTATCACTTTCTGACCAAAAAAATGAATTTGTGAATTTTTAAGCTTAATTTTTGAGCGCGAAAATGTTTTTTTAGTCGAAAAATTTATGGCAAAATATCGAATTTCACCTGCAATTCTTTTTGAGCTATGAGTGTTTTATATAGATTTAAAAAAATATACATAAATATTTGTTTTTGAGCGGAAATTCGATGATTTTTGCTTTTAGAGATTTAAATTCATTCAAAAATTATAGGAAAATTGAAAAATTAGTGCATTTTTTAACCAAAAATCTCGGATTTATGTGCTCCAAAATTAATTTTGGTCCAAAAATTAGCTTAATTTCTGCGAAAATATTTTTTTCATTTTTTATTTCCCAAAAAACTTCTTCAAAAATTCGTAGATAATATCGGATTTTATCTGCAAAAACCGGATATTTCTAGGCCCAAAAATTCATATTTTTTTAAATAAAAAATCAATTTTGGACTTGAAAGATTAAGAATTTTCTATGAAAAAGTCTAATCCTATAATTTTTGACAAAAAATTGAATTTCTCTCCAAGAAAGTACAGATTTTTGAACTTTTTTTCACAAAAATTCCCATTTTTCGTACTTTTTTCTCGTATTATTTGTTTATTTTGTCAGAGAGAAGAAGAAGGAAAAGATGACTCCACCACTTTTTGATTTTTATTTTTATTGATTTTTGCGGTGTTGAGAATTCTATTCACAAAAAACATATAACCATAAAAGTTCGTATCAAACTTTTTTTTTCGTACATCGAAATCAAACTTTTTTTTTTTAGTTTTTATCAGGGGAAAATGATAAATTTTGAATTTTTTTTTTGAGAATGGGGGAAAATGTTGTCTGGGGCTTGATTTTTAGCGCTAGAATTCTGAAAAAAAACTTCCCTGAAATTTGAATCTTGAAATTTCGCGGGAAAAATGAATAACAAATCCACGTGGCATTTCTTGGCGTGAAATTTGATTTTTTTTTGTTTGAAAATGTTTTTAGACATCAATTTTCCTGGCCATCAAAAATCCACGTGGATTACCTTAAATTTTATTTTTCAAAAAAGTTTTCCAAAAATTTGAATCTTGAAATTTCGCGGGAAAACAAATATTTCAAATTTTAGAATTTTCGCGCGAAAATATTCAAGAAATCCACATGGAATCGGAATTTATACAAAAAAAGTAGAAATTTTTTTTAATTCGAAAATTCCACGTTGCAAAAAAACAGCTGAACAATTTCTAAAAAATTGGAATCTTGAAATTTCGCGGGAAAACAAATATTTCAAATTTTCAATTTTTTGCGCGAAAATATTCAAGAAAATCCACGTGGAATCGGAATTTATACAAAAAAAAATAATGTCTTTTTTTAAATTCTGAAAAATTCCACGTGGCAAAAAAAACAGCTGAAAAGTTTTCCCAAGAATTTGAATCTTGAAGTTTTGCTCCCCAAAAACTTGAATTCCAAATTTTTGGCAGAAAATTTAAATTTTTTGAAAATATTCCGATTGTGCTAGAAAATCTGTAACTCAAACTTTCTGAGTTTTTAGACATATAATCCACGTGTAAATTATTTTCAAAAAAAACTAATTTTTTTCTTCTAAAAAACCCTTTTCCCATGTTTTTTGATCTTTTATTAAAATTTTCTGCCCAGTGCTTTCAAAAATTGCTCACACGTATGTATCTTTGATGCTGATCTGATCAGCTGCCAAAAAAACACACACACACAAATTCATGTTAATTCCAATTTTACGTAAGGGCGGTCTCCTTGGCGACAGCCCAAAACCAAAAAAAAAATTATATTATCACCGCGACACTTTTTCGTTAATTTGTAGTAGTGGTTTTTAAAAGATACCACGGGTTTTCCCAAAATTTCGAAATTATTTTTTGAAAAAAAAAATTGAGTGTGTGTCATTATCAAATATTTGAACTTGCTGACTCACTTTTTTTTCTCCCAATTTTTTTTCGGAAAAATTTTTGGTCTTTTTTTCATAAAATTGGGAGAATCGATTGTTTTTGTGTTTTTTTTGTATTTTACACAAAAAAACGACGATTTGCATAGTTTTTGACGTAGTTTTTTTTGAAAGTCACAAGTTTTTTCTATTAATTTTCCCAAGAACTCTTCAAAACAAAAATAAAAATCAATAATCATTGTTATCATGTCAAACAACAATAATAATATGTGACTTATGTGGAGAGAGACGTAGAAAAATCATAAATACTTTTATTTGCTCTCTTATCAATTCGAGTTCTCCCCGTTTTTTCCCCATTTTACTTTTGAAATTTGAAAAAAACCGAGTTTTACTGTTTGAAAATTGATTTCTTTGACGAAAAACTTGAATTTTCCTTAGTTGAAAATTAGTTTTTCGAGTTTTTCAGCTAAAAATGATGAGATTTTTGAAGCTTCTGGAGTGATTTTTGATGAAAATCAGCTTTTTTTTCGAAATTCATCAGCAAAAACTTTTGAAAAGTGAATTCCAAGGTCAATTTTCATCAGAAATCACTCCAGAACCTTTGAAAATCTCGATTTGTTATCATTTTTGACTAATTTTGACCTACAATGTTTTTTCGACATTTTTTTACTTTGGGACGCTGAAATTCAGATTTTTTAAATCTAAAATTCACCCTGGGACTTTGAAATTTGAATTTTCCACCTAAAAAATCGTGAAAAAGTCCACGTGGAAAAATCTTCCGAAAATCCACGTCATAACTCGTTTTTGGCCTCCTACTTGTTGACTTTTCAAAAAATGCAACTATAAAATATGCGAAATGTTTTCTCTGAAAAAAAATCCGATTAAAAATTGGCATGACTCATAACTAACTTTTTTTGCAAACTTTTGCGCCGCCAAAAATAAAACTTCCTCAATTCAGATAGCAAATATTTGACGAGCAAAAATCTAAGATTTTGCTCCCCAGAAAAAAAGAGCAAAAAATTAGAGCAAAAATAAAATAAAATCTCTGGCGTGTGACGTCAAAACCCAGATTTTATTTTAAATAATAAATATCTTCCCAAGATTTTATTTAGCCATTTTCATTTTTTATGTCACACAGAATTTGTGAGTCTCTTTTTTCAGCCACTCGAAATTTTCAGCCAAATCTGAAAAATATTTTTGGTTTTCCAGAATGTCCTCTGCGTCTTCGAGTAATGGTTTGGTTTCAAATAATAATTTATCAAATATTGTCAGCACTTTGGATCAAGGTAATCTAGAAAACCTCGGAAATTTTCAGCATTTTTTTCTGAATTTCAGAACATTATGCTTCGACGGATTTCTACATCGGTCTAGGTTTGGCAGTTTCTTCATCGCTTTTTATTGGAAGCTCGTTTATCATCAAAAAGAAGGCGTTAATAAAGGTTTGCGGCGCGGTTTTGTGGGCGGAGCTTTGTTAAATTCTTGTTTTGCAGCTCGCCGGCGGTGATATGTCACAACGTGCCAGTGAAGGTGGCTACGGTTATCTGCGAGAATGGCTTTGGTGGATGGGTGTGATAACGATGGGCATTGGTGAGGCGTGCAATTTTGCCGCCTATGCTTTTGCACCCGCATCGCTTGTTACACCACTTGGCGCTCTTTCGGTTATTGTGACGTGAGTTTGGGTTTTTTAATGTTTTTTAGGTGTGAACTTGCGATTTTTAATGAAATATAGGTTTTCTAGTAATCAATTTCGCAATTTTTTGTATTTCCTGTATTTTCTTGTTACCCGAAATTACGAGAAATTCAAAAATTTGAAATTTTGGATGGAAAAATAGTAGATTTTGACCCGCTAGGTTTTCTAGTAATCAATTTTACAATTTTTTGTATTTCTTGTATTTTCTTGTTACCTGAAATTACGAGAAATTCAAAAAAATTCGAAAATATATGCTTCCCAGTAGATTTCGACACGATTCCGTTGTCTAAAATTGCAAAACACAACTTCTAACATGAGTTATGACGTGGCAAACTTCGGAAATGGTTTTCATCTAATATCATGAATGAAGTTTGAATTATGCACTGAAAATTTTTTTTTTCAAAATTTATTACAAAATGAAACGAGCCTCCTGAACAATGCTATGATATCAGATGAAAGCGAGTGTTTTGACCTTCCAAAGTCGCAAATTTCCGAAGTTTGCCACGTCATAACTCATGTTAGAAGTTGAGCTTTGCAATTTTAGACAATGGAATCGTGATCAGCGGGTCGAAAACTACTGGAAATATATTTTTCCATCCAAAATTTCGAATTTTTTGAATTTCTCGTAATTTCAGGTAACAAGAAAATACAAGAAATACAAAAAATTGCAAAATTGATTACTAGAAAACCTATATTTCATTAAAATAGCAAGTTCACACCTAAAAAAGATAAAAAATCAACACAGACCCCAGAATCATCGAGTATTTTTTTCAGTGCAATTCTATCATCCCGCCTCCTCAACGAACGTCTAAATCTACTTGGCTCAATCGGTTGTGCACTTTGTCTACTCGGCTCCACTGTAATCGTAATTCATTCGCCAAAAGAAGAAGAAGTGGGATCGATGGCTGAATTGGCGTTGAAAATGAAAGATGCCGGATTTCTGATCTACGTGATTCTGATTCTCCTCGCCACCGCCTTCATCATTCTACACATTTCACCCAGATACGGTCACACCAATATTCTGGTCTATATTTCGGTTTGTTCACTGATTGGCAGTTTGTCGGTTTTGTCGGTGAAAGGATTGGGTTTGGCGATCAAAGAGACGTTGAATGGCAATCAGCAGTTTACCAATTGGTTGACGTATTTTTGGTTGGCGTGTGTCGCGATTTGTGTGTCAGTGCAGTTGGTGAGTTTTTTTGAAGTTCTGGAAAAAATATAGATTTTCGAGTAATCAATTTTGCTATTTTTTGAATTTCTTGTATTTTCTTGTTACCTGAAATTACGAGAAATTCAAAAAATTCGAAATTTTGGAGTAGATTTGTAGATTTCGACCAGCTGATCATGATTCCATTGTCTAAAATTGCAAAACTCAACTCTTAATATGAGTTATAACGTGAAAAAAGTTCAAAATTTCAGGATTTTGGCAGCTGAAAACTATTGAGCTTTAAAAATTGTTTTCATGATTTTTTCTAGATTTTCCGACCTTTCTGAACAATCCTATGCTATTGGATTTGCATGAAAATAATTTTTAAAGCTAGTTTTCAGCTCTCAAAATCCCGATTGACACGTCATAACTCACGTTATGATATTTTAGACAACGAAATCGTGATCAGCGGGTCGAAATCTACTGGAAATATTTTTTCCCATCCAAAATTTCGAATTTTTTGAATTTCTCGTAATTTCAGGTAACAAGAAAATACAAGAAATACCAAAAATTGCAAAAAAATACTAGTGAGAGTTAGATTTTTTCGAAATTCAAGAAAAATCTCTGTTAGATCTTCCAGAATGTTCAGAAAAATCTCCTAGACCTTCCTGAATTTCCGCTGATTCCAGATTTACCTCAACAAAGCCCTCGACATTTTCAACACATCAATGGTCACTCCCATCTACTACGTCTTTTTCACCACATTTGTCATATTGGCATCATCGATTTTGTATAAGGTAAGCGCCGTTTTGTGGGCGTGGCCCCCTTATTCCCAAAATTCCAGGAATGGTCGTGTTTGGGAGCGTCTGATGTGATTGGAAATTTTGTGGGATTTTTGACGACGATTATTGGAATTTTCCAGGTAGGCAGATCTAAAAATGAGCAAGACACAAAAAAATTGAAAAAAAATTTCAGATGCAACTTTTCCGCGACGTGAACATTTCACTATATCAAGTTCAACGTCTCGTCAGCCGACCATCTGCAAATCTAGGATCTTCCGATTTTTCATCGTCATCTACAAATCTGGTCGATGATTACTGTATGCGACAATCGAACAACGGAAATCGACGAACTGTTTATACATAACCCGAGAAGAATCCGTCTTTTTGAAAAAATCTGACAAAAAATCTTATACATTTTTAAATTTTACGTGTACCCGCCCACCCAATCTTTACTCCCTCTCCCGCTTCAAAATTTGCTCATTTTTTTCGCCGCCAAAAGTTGTTCGGGACCTCTTTTTTTGTTGTTTTCATTTATACATTCCGTCTTGTCTTACAATTTCTTCTGCCTGATGACCGGTGTTTTCTTCAAAATCATTGTGAATATGTTTTTTATATTTTTATAAAATGGTGTTATGGAAAAATTAGTAAATCAACAACACTCCGGAATTACGCAAATGCATGTTGTTTAGTGTAAACCCGCCGCGTCCCTTGGTTTTCTAGGCCAGGGAAAGCTCGGCCACGTTTATTTCTAATCGAAAATTCGAATTTTCATTTATTTTTTTGCAGAAATTTGAATTGTCCGAGAGAAGTACACACAGAAATGGTCTATATTTGAAATTTTTAAAAGAAAATGACAGGTGAGTTAGACTAAGTCCAGTTATTTTACACTGAAATTCTGATGTTTCAGAAGAATGGCGAAATTCGGAGCACTGGGAAGAAGTTCGACGGATTTTTGAGAGCATGTTGGTGATTTTTGGGGGGGGGGGGGATTTTTCTAAAGTGGGAGGTATTTTTCATGAAATTTGGGTTCTAAAGATACCCCATATGCCTATGTTCCTTTAAGATCTACTCTACAGTAAAGAAAAAATTGTTTGGTATTTTTGTGTAACCCTTTTTTTCAAATTTTGCAGCTGAAAATTTAAATTTATCAATTAAAATTCAAACAAAATTCAATTATTCGTTGTAGATCTTCTTATAAAAACCGGGTCATCTCTCTTCTTCCCAACAATCGCCAAAAAATCCATCCTGATTCTCGAATCAGCGATTAAAATGGTCCCAAAGTTAGTGCAAATGAAAATATAGGCTAAAATAGTTCGATATTCGGCCAAAAATAATGAAATTGGATCTTGTAGATTTAAAGTTTTGGTAACTTGATAAAGAAAAACCACAATTGCGATAACTGTATGTGATGCAGTTACGATAATTAGTTTTTTCTCGTGAGAAGTTGCAAAATGTCGAATTCTATGAATTGTTAAGGCTGTGAGAATTATTGAGAAAACATCACAAAATACAATATCTGCTGATAAAATTAGTCGCTGAATAGCTTGATAATTCGAAATATTTGTTAATTTTATCACATTATGGATTATGGGTTTTTCAGACTCCAACTGCTGACAGAAAGAAATAAATTATATTTTGAAAAGGTAAATTGTAGTTTCACCTGTTTCAAAAGGTTGATGAGGTCAAATGGCATTTTGTCGAGCGGTAAACTTTGCCATGTAATAATCAACAAAACATTAAGTCAGAAGATTTTTTGAAAATTAAAGTATAGGGTTGTTTTATGATTTTGTGCAGACAGAATTAGAATAACCTATAATTTCACATTTTACAACTTTCAGAGATCTCCTAACTCACCCAAAATGACTCTCCAATTTGTTTCCCAACTTTTTCTCTACATTATCTATATTCCTGGCTTCATTTTCAGCGCAATAATCGCATTTGTGCTCCGGAAATATCTGAAATTCGGATCATTTTACCAAATTTTCCTGGCTTCAGGGATCCTAGATCTTTCCCACTGTATTCTTTACAATTGGCTACATTGGGTTGAAAATTGCTATCCTAGTCAAATCTACTATGATATCGGTTATTATTGGGTATCTCTAGAGAATATTCTATCATTCACCCATTTTTTATATAATTTTTTATTATCGATCGATCGATTTAGCGCAACTTTTATGAGTTTTTCGAAATTCTGGACTGAAAAACTTGTGAAAATTTATATAATTATTGTATTTATTATCTCGATTTTATCCTGTATTCCAACATATTTAGAAACTCCAGAAGATGTGGTAAAATTAACAAATATTTCAAATTATCAAGCAACTCAGCGTTTAATTTTATCAGCAGATATTGTATTTTGTGATGTTTTCTCAATAATTCTCACAGGTTTAACAATCTATAGAATTCGACATTTCGCAACTTCTCACGAGAAAAAATTGATAATTGTAACTGCATCTCATACAGTTATTGCAATTGTGGTTTTTCTTTATCAAGTTACCAAAACTTTAAATCTAAAAGATCCAATTTCATTATTTTTGGCCAAATATCGAACTATTTTAGCCTATATTTTCATTTGCACTAATTTCGGGACTATTTTGATCGCTGATTCGAGAATTAGGATGGATTTTTTGGCGATTTTTGGGAAGAAGAAAACAGAGCCGATGTTTATTGTAAGATCTACAACGAATAATTGAACAACTTTTTTTTTGATAAATATAGTTTTGTTAATTTGAAATTGATGTGTTTTTTTGAAGTTTCCAGCTGCAAAATTCAAGGCTACACAATACTTTGCTTGATCAAAAAAGCAAAATCCAAATTTTTAAAATATAGCGTTCCCTGATTAAAGTAACAAAGTAAAATCAGAATTTTTCAAAAATACATTTATTTCAACTATGTGGTCTCCGAACTCCACACAGAGATCACAAAAACCGAATTTCCACGACACTTAAAAATGGCTAGAAAATCCTGACGAATCCTCGAATCAGCAATTAAAATCGTCGCCAAATTACAGCATATAAAAATGACGGTTAGAATAGTTCGATATTTGGCCAAAAATAAAGAAATTGGATCTTGTAGTTCTAGAGTTTTGGTAACTTGATAAAGAAAAACCACAATTGCAATAACTGTATGTGATGCAGTTACGATAATTAGCTTCTTCTCATTGGCGGTCTCGAAAAATCGAATTCTATAGATTGTTAAGATGGTTAAAATGATTGAAATGAGATCGCAAGTTACGATATATCCACTCAAAATTAATCGTTGAATAGCTTGATTGTTTGAAATATTCGTTTTTTTTTATAATTATATAAAAAATGGGTGAATAATAGAATATTCTCTAGAGATACTGAAAAAAAAAGAAAATGAATTTCGAGCGGCGAAGCCGCGAGTGTAGACCGCAAGCTTCCGCGCAGCGGCCAGGTGGAATTTAACTGTTTTTTTCCGAGCGGAGCGAGTGTTGACCGCAAGCTTCCGCGAAGCGGCACTACCTTCCGCTTTAGCGGCCACCTGGATTGCCTATGACGTGGAAGCTTCCGCATGTCATTAACGCGGAAGCTTGCGGTCTACACTCGCTCCGCTCGAAATAGTATACCTGTGTAATATCCAGTATCAATGTAGATTTGACCAGGATAGCAAATTTGCACCCAATGTAGCCATAAATAAAGAGCACAATGTGAAAGATCGAGAATCCAGGAGACTAGGAAAATTTGATAAAATGCTCCGAATTTCACATATTTCCGAAGCACAAATACTATAATTATACTGAAAATGAAGGCGGGAATATAGAATAGGTAGAGGAGAAGCTGGGGAACAAATTGCATTTGTTTTTGGAAGTGTAGGGGACTCAACCTTTTTTCATGCAGGTCAACTAGGGGCTGTTAGCCCCCAGGCGTAACAGTCTTCTCATTTATTTCCGTTTCACTTTTTTCTGTGATTATTGTCCACAGAACATTGACTCACAATCAAATTTATAGAAAATTTCAAATTTTTTAATCAAAAAATGATTCGTGGCAAAATCAGGAAGGCTTCCTAATTTTGCCATGGATGACGTCATCGATAAATTTTTCGAAAAAAAAACTTATTTAATTATTTTTTTGAATTGAGTGAACTCGAAAGATGTTAACCAAAAGAATTACAATTGAATTCATTCAAAATTTCAAGTTTTTTGATCAAAAAATGACTCGGGCCGATTTTTTTTGAAAAAACTAGGGCCGATTTTTAAAAAAAAATCGGGCTGATTTTTTTTTTGAAAAACTCGGGCCGATTTTTTTTTTGAAAAATCTCGGGCCGATTTTATTTTTTACATTCTTGAATTATTCCAAATCTGTAACTTTTTTTTTGAAAAACTCGGGCCGATTTTTTTTTTGAAAAATCTCGGGCCGATTTTATTTTTTACATTCTTGAATTATTCCAAATCTGTAACTTTTTTTTTGAAAAACTCGGGCCGATTTTTTTTTTGAAAAATCTCGGGCCGATTTTATTTTTTACATTCTTGAATTATTCCAAATCTGTAACTTTTTTTTTTGAAAAACTCGGGCCGATTTTTTTTGAAAAATCTCGGGCCGATTTTATTTTTTACATTCTTGAATTATTCCAAATCTGTAACTTTTTTTTTGAAAAACTCGGGCCGATTTTTTTTTTGAAAAATCTCGGGCCGATTTTATTTTTTACATTCTTGAATTATTCCAAATCTGTAACTTTTTTTTGAAAATCTCGGGCCGATTTTTTTTTTGAAAAACTCGGGCCGATTTTTTTACATTTTTGAATTATTCCAAATCTGTAACTTTTTTTTGAAAAACTCGGGCCGATTTTTTTTTGAAAAATCTCGGGCCGATTTTATTTTTTACATTCTTGAATTATTCCAAATCTGTAACTTTTTTTTTGAAAAACTCGGGCCGATTTTTTTTTTGAAAAATCTCGGGCCGATTTTATTTTTTACATTCTTGAATTATTCCAAATCTGTAACTTTTTTTTGAAAATCTCGGGCCGATTTTTTTTTGAAAAACTCGGGCCGATTTTTTTTTACATTTTTGGATTATTCCAAATCTGTAACTTTTTTTTTTGAAAATCTCGGGCCGTTTTTTTTTTTGAAAAACTCGGGCCGATTTTTTTTTACATTTTTGGATTATTCCAAATCTGTAACTTTTTTTGAAAAACTCGGGCCGTTTTTTTTTTTTGAAAAACTCGGGCCGATTTTTTTTTTTGAAAATCTCGGGCCGATTTTTTTTTTACATTTTTGGATTATTCCAAATCTGTAACTTTTTTTGAAAATCTCGGGCCGTTTTTTTTTTGAAAAACTCGGGCCGATTTTTTTTTACATTTTTGGATTATTCCAAATCTGTAACTTTTTTTTGAAAAACTCGGGCCGTTTTTTTTTTGAAAAACTCGGGCCGATTTTTTTTTGAAAATCTCGGGCCGATTTTTTTTTTGAAAATCTCGGGCCGATTTTTTTTTACATTTTTGGATTATTCCAAATCTGTAACTTTTTTTTGAAAAACTCGGGCCGATTTTTTTTACATTTTTGGATTATTCCAAATCTGTAACTTTTTTTTGAAAAACTCGGGCCGATTTTTTTTTACATTTTTGGATTATTCCAAATCTGTAACTTTTTTTTTTGAAAATCTCGGGCCGATTTTTTTTTACATTTTTGGATTATTCCAAATCTGTAACTTTTTTTGAAAAACTCGGGCCGATTTTTTTTTTACATTTTTGGATTATTCCAAATCTGTAACTTTTTTTTTTGAAAAACTCGGGCCGATTTTTTTTTACATTTTTGGATTATTCCAAATCTGTAACTTTTTTTTTTGAAAAATTCGGGCCGATTTTTTTTTTACATTTTTGGATTATTCCAAATCTGTAACTTTTTTTTTGAAAAACTCGGGCCGATTTTTTTTTTACATTTTTGGATTATTCCAAATCTGTAACTTTTTTTGAAAAATTCGAGCCGATTTTTTTTTTACATTTTTGGATTATTCCAAATCTGTAACTTTTTTTTGAAAAATTCGAGCCGATTTTTTTTTTACATTTTTGGATTTTTCCAAATCTGTAACTTTTTTTTGAAAATCTCGGGCCGATTTTTTTTACATTTTTGGATTATTCCAAATCTGTAACTTTTTTTTGAAAATCTCGGGCCGATTTTTTTTTTACATTTTTGGATTATTCCAAATCTGTAACTTTTTTTGAAAATCTCGGGCCGATTTTTTTTTTACATTTTTGGATTATTCCAAATCTGTAACTTTTTTTTTGAAAAACTCGGGCCGATTTTTTCTTTGAAAAACTCGGGCCGATTTTTTCTTTGAAAAACTCGGGCCGATTTTTTTTTTGAAAAACTCGGGCCGATTTTTTTTTTGGAAAAACTCGGGCCGATTTTTTTGAAAAAACTAAAAATTTAGAAAAATCAAGCTGAAAATCAAAATCAGACATAATTTATTAATTGAAAATTCACAAAAGACACGAGACAATTGAGGTATACTGTAGCAAAAATTAGAATCGGGTTAGGTTTAGAGAAAAAATAACAACTTTTACTTTTTTTCGAGGTGAAAGTTGTATTTGTCTACTAGAAATATGCAATGAATAACTGAGATCACGCGGGGAAAATATTTGAATTCAAATAAAAATAAAAAATCGCCAAAAAACTACAGTACTCTTTCCTAAAGGCGCTTAGCGAAAAATTTTAAAGAAAATTAGAGAATAAGTGAAAACTTGCGTTACAAAGTTATATACAAAAAAATTGGATTGAGCAACTATTTACAGGTTGAGCGAGTCGCGCGACGAGATGTCGTCGGCGAATTTGTCGCCGCGTTTGATGTTGTTGCGACTTCGGCGAACTCTTCTTCTTGATCTTCTTCTTCTTCTTCATCATCATCATCATCACAAACTGTGCGACGCCGACGTTTTTTGACCGGAGCTTCGTCTTCCTGGAAAACATTGGGGTTTTTCAGAGCCCGTAGATTTGTGGGCGTGGTTTTTGTAAGCCACGCCCACTTCTGTGTGCCAGAATTGCAAAATTGATCAAAAAGAGGCGAATCTTGATTTTGCAAGCCTGGCACACTTTTTTTCTGCAAATATTCAAATTTAAGCTTATTTTTGACCAAATTTGAAGTGTTCTAGCTTTTTCATGAGAAAAAGTGGGCAGGGCTCAATTTTTGCAAGCCTGGCACACTTTTTTCCTAGAAATATCAAAATTTCAGGTTTTTTTGGCTGTAAATTCATCAAATTTGACGGTTTCAAGCTTTTTCAGTCAAAAAAGGGCGGAGCTTTATTTAGCAAGCCTGACACACTTTTTTTGTACAAAAATTAGATTTTTGGCTTAACATAGCTCATTTTTAATGTATCTGGGCTCAAAATTGATCAAATTTGACGTGTTTTAGTTTTTTCATGAGAATAAGGGGCGGAGCTTAGTTTTTGCAAGCCTGGCACACTTTTTTTTTTCTCAAAATTTCAAAATTCTATCTCATTTTTTACCAAATTTGACGTGTTTTTGTTCATTTTTTACCAGAAATGTTTTTGTTCATTGTGTTTTTGTTCATTTTTTACCATAGCTCATTTTTAATGTATCTGGGCTCAAAATTGATCAAATTTGACGTGTTCCAGCTTTTTCATAAGAAAAAGGGGCGGAGCTTAATTTTGTAAGCCTGGCACACTTTTTTCCTAGAAATATCAAAATTTTAGCTTATTTTTGACTAAATTTAACGTGTGTTCTCTCATTTTTTACCAGAAAAAATTCCCAACCCAAAAAAATCACCAACCTCAAAATCAAAATCATTCTCAAACACCACTTCAACAACTTGTTTCTGCTTGATTCCATTCGTCGAACTCGTCATCACAACCGGTTCCAAATCCTCGATTCGTGGTGCAATAATTGTTCGTCGACGTGGTGTGGTGGCGACGGGTGTTTTTGGTGCCAAAAACACAGTGGGTTGCAAGAAAAATTGTTTGGTAGAAGCAGAAGCTTCGGGAGCTTCAGCCGCTTTTCGATGCAATTTCAGTTTTTCCATGAGTTTTTGCGTGACTTCTTGTACCGTATTTTTGAGTTGTTTTGGTGCCAAAACCACATGATGTGTACAATCATTCACCTTATAAACTCCAATCAATCGATTTCCCACCTCGAACATCTGATTGCGCAGAGAAATAATGATGAATTGCGCGTTTTTGGTGCGCTCCGAATTGCGGATATAATTTGCGATGAGTCTGACATTTTGTGAATCTAGAGCTGCATCGATTTCATCCATCACATAAAGTGGAGTTGATCGATAATGATGCATAGCGAAAACGAAACAAAGTGAGGCGAGGGTTTTTTCACCGCCTGATAGATTTTCGATGAGTTTCCATGATTTTTTGGCGGGTCGAACGCTGGAAATTGAGATTTTGGGGAACATTTCAGGATCAGGTATGCTGAAAATTCAAATTTTCAGCGTGAATTTGAAGTTTGTCCAAGAGTTCACAGAAATTTCAGAAAAATTACAGACTTTCAAATTCAAATTTCTGCCTTGTTAATTTAAAAAAATCTGAAAATTGTGGATTTTTACTTTCTCAAAATTACAGACTTTTCAGATTTTCAGGATTTTCTTCTGAAAATTTTGAACTTGAATTTCCAGGTTTAAAATTTGAGCAAAACTTAAATGTTCTAGTTCTAAAATTTGAAATTTTCTTCATTTTTTGGACTCAAATAAATTTTAGATTTTGAAAACAATTTGAAACTATAATTTCCTGAAATCTGAAAATTTTTAGTTCTAGATTTTCTGGGATTTTTTTAGGACCAAGTGCAAAATACTTTAAAATTTCAAATTTTCAGCTAGAAAATCTGGAAATAATTATTCAAAATATCCTCTGATTGTGAGTTAAAAAATCTGGAAATCCAGCTAAATTTTCCATTTTTAAAAGCTCAAAATTCTAGAAATACAGAATGAAATTCTGAACTTTCAGCTCAAAAATCTGGAAATTCAGAATTTTCTCACATTTCCTAGCCATATGTCCACTCAAAAATTACCAAATCCCAATCCCCGCCCCAAAAAATCGCACCTAAATTTGACTCCAGCCTCAAATGGATCAGCCGTTCTTCCCTCTTCCACAAATTTCAAACTCGCATCTCCGCCATTCGTAATCAATTGATAAAGTGCTTGTGTGGTTGCCCCAAGAAAAGCCAATGCATCCGCAAATTCGCTGTAGCGAAATTGTCGCAATTCGCCGAGTTTTTTGCGATGAATTTGTAGATTGACACCGAATTTGTCGAGTTTTTCCACGTGTGCCAGATAGATTTTGGCTTTTTTGATGTATTCGTCGAAAATCGATTCATCTGTGTTTTCTCGATTTGTTTCCATATATTTTTCGAGAGATTTCAGATTTTGTCGAATTTTCTCCTTTTCTGCACGTGTCATATCTTCGATCTACAAAAATGATACAATTCTTTTCCTAGGTTAAAAATAAGCCAAAAATCTCCGATTTGGGCTCAAAAATTCCTAGTTATGACGTGGCAATTAGGACAGTTTTAAAAATTCTCAAAACCCCTTTCCAAAGTCAAAAATGAGCTAGAAATCCCGAACTTGGGCTCAAAATCTTCTCCAAAAATCCCTTGTTATGACGTGTCAATTTGAAAATCTCAAAAATAAGCAAATCCTGAATTTGAGCTCAAATTGCTTCCTAAAAGTCTGAAAGTTCAAAAAATGCTGAAAAATATGTCCCCGGGTCAAAAATGAGCCAAAAATCCTGAATTTGAGCTTAAAAATTCCTAGTTATGACGTGGAAATTTCACAGAGCTCAAAAATGCTCAAAAACCCATTTTCTGGTCAAAAATTAGCCAAAATTACTGAATGTGGGCCCCTTTTCAAGGTCTGAGGCTTATTTTCACCAAAAACCCGAATTTGGGATCAATATCTTCCATAAAAATTGATAATTAATGAGGTGGCAATGATCAGAGCTCAGATGACCAAAAATCTATTTCCAGATCGAAAATGAGCTAAAAATCTCGAATTTGGGTTCATTTTCAAAGCCTGAGGCTTATTTCCATCAAAAAATCTCGCATTTTTCCCCCACAAAACCAAACCTCCATATCAGTCATCATTGTAAATTCTTCAACATCCTCAAAAGTCACAACATTTCTCTGCGTCTCTTCATTTTCCCGTTTCATTCTTCGTCTTCTCTCCGAATCTTCTTCCTGATCTTCATCCTGATCTTCTTCAATCCATCCAATATCATGATCAATTCTCACATTTTCATATTTCGAAAAATCGGGAATTTTCCGGATTTTCAGCGCTGCGATTTGCCGCTGAAAACCTTCGAGTTGCAATTCAATATCATCCAGCGATTGATTGAGAGAAGTTAGCGAATCTCGAAGATCCGTCAGATTTCGATTCTGATTTCGTTCCTCTTCGTCGAGTTCTTGCCGTCGTTTTCGGAGTTCTTGAGCGGCGTCGCGGAGAAGTGAAAGTTTTTGCTGGAAAAAAAGAGAGACTAGACTTTTTTAGTCTCACAAAACAACAAACCCTTCGATTTCTGACCAAATCATTCAACGCAAAAACTTCTTTTCCATCGGCTTCAGCCGAACCCAAAGCATCACATTCTATTCGTTTTTTCATCAAAGTATCTCGCAATTCGACAAGCAATCGCTCCATCTGTGAAAAAATCATAATTGCTCACAATAAAATTCGACAAACAAATTTTAAAGGTACATACAGTAGCCAAAATTTTTTTCAAAAGAATTTCCCGCGAAATATCGTGATTCACAATTTTTGGGGGAATTTCCGGCTGATTTTTTGCCACGTGGAATTTTTTTTGAAAATTCTTAAAGCATTTCAAATTTCACTCTGAAAAATCCACGTGGCATTTTTTTGAGAACGCAAAAATTTGAATTTTTTTTCAAACTAGTTTTTGATGTGAAATTTCAAGATTTAAATTTCTCGCGTAATTTCAAGACTCATATTTTCGAGCAAACTGATTTTTCTTGCCACGTGGCATTTTTTGAATTTTAAAAATCAATTTGGATTTTCAGCGCGAACTTTTGAATTTTAAAAAATCCTGAATTCTTCAGAATCCCGAATTTTTCAAAGACAAAAAACATACCGCAGCGACATTATGTTGAGAATTAATAATGGCCGCATTTTCCTTGGCAATCTCCTCTTCCACATTCATATATCGTTCTTTTGCGAGTGCAGCTCGTGCACGATATTTTGCCACAAGTTCATTGAACATTCCATCGATTTTTGACGAGCATTTTGTCACTTTTATTTTTACAGCTTTTGCTTCAGCTTCAGCTTCTTGGAGTTCTGCAAAAAAACTTGGGTTAAACTTGATTTTTGAAATTTTTTGAGCTCGATTTTTAGCTTCAAAATTTCAGAAAAATCCGAAAATTCCAGAATTTGAGCTCAAGAAAAATCAGAGTTATGACGTGGTAATTAGAAATCCTCGAAAATGAGCAAAAAATTCCGAATTTGCGCTTAAAAATTGCTTCCAAAAATCATAGTTATGATTTTTCCAGATTTTCGAACTAAGACTTCAAATTCAAGCAGAAAATCAACATTTTCAGCTTAAAAAATTTCAGATTTCCATGAATTTCAAAACTGAAATACCCACCCTTCTTCATCTCCTCCAATTTCTTCTCCTTTTCCTCCATCTCCTTCGGATCGAATTTCGCTAGAGCAACTTTGTTCTCCTGCGCTTCGACAGCCCGTTTTTTTGTCTCAATGTTTGTAGTTTGATCGGCAAACGAATTTTGCAATCGATCTCTGGCTGCAATCATTCCATTCGCTTTTTTGCTAATGTCAGCCAATTGGACTTCGAGCTGCAAAAAATCGATTGAAATTGGGGTACTGTAGGTACAGTAGTCTATGTAGCTTACAAATTGATATCTGGCATAGATTTCCGCATGTTCTTCTGTAGTTTGATCGAGTTGCGCTTTGGTTTGTCGAAATTCTTCCTGTTGTTTTTCGCTTTGTGGAGCTCGAATATCACTTCCGATTCGACCACTGCAAAAAAATGTTGTTTTTTGGATTGCTCATGTTAAAGCGATCAGTTTGAGTCCAAACATGATATTGCTAGTATTGCTTTCTAGCCAGCAAAAAACTGCTCTTAACCTGAGCAATATCCTTTTTGTATTCAAAATCAAACGTGCTGAATTTTCAGCCCGAATTTAACTAGAAAACTCAAATTTTAGATAGAAAATTTCAGAAATTCTTGATTTATAGCACAAAATTATCCAAAAATCTCGAATTTGAGCTCAAAAAGCGATTTTCTGGTATTGCTCATGTTAAGGAACTCATTTCGAGACTAAATAGGATAATGCTCATATTTAGATTCAAAATGATCGTCTTAACATGAGCAATATCATTTTTAGACTCAAAATGGCCGTCTTCAAATTTATTATCAAAATATTCAATTTCTAGCTCAAAATTATCCAAAAAACATGAATTTTCCATCAAAATTTTCAGATTTTTCAGATTTCTAGCCCGAAAATCGCCTCACGTAATAGCTTTTCCACCACCCGAAACCGCTCCAGTCCTCTCAATCGTATTTCCCTCATACGTCACAATTCGATATTTGCCATGAAATTGTCGATCGATTCGTTGGGCTTCTAATAATCCGGGCACAACAAGCATATCTCCAACACTTTGATAAAACACTTTTCGAATTCGCGGCTCTTGAATTCGCAAAAGATCGAAGAGTCGAGGAGCTGGGCTGGAATTTGGGAGGTTTTTAGAGGGGGAAAGGGTTTTTCGACTCACAAATCCTTTTTATTCCTGTTCATACTTGCTTCGGCGTTTAGAGTTTGATCCAAACACATGAATGAGCATCGAGGAAGTGAGCACTGAAAAAAATCGAATTTTGGCTGAAAATCATGGATTCTGATTTGAAATTCATGATTTTTCATGAAGAATTTAGTAAATTTCCTCATTTTTAACCTAAAATTAATGAAAATTCGTAATTTTTAACCTGAAATCGTTCACAAATTCACAATTTTCAACTTAAAATCAACCGAATTTCGTGATTTTCAACTTAGAAACCCCAAAATCTCACCTCAATCAAATAATCAATAGCAGCTTGTCCATCATTTGCAGTTTCCACAACATACCAATCCAAATGTGGGCAAGTTGTTGAGATGGCTGCATCGTAGAGTGGATCAATGGCTCCAAGATCTCCCTGGAAGAATTGTGGGGGTTTACAACGATGCTCCGTGATTACAGCGGAGAGTTCTGAGGTTTCTAATTGGGAAAAAATCTGGTATATTTTTTGTTGAAAAAATTTCAAATTTTTGAGCTCTGAAGCTTAAAAAATCAATTTTTCATTGAATTTTTGGAATTTCTGCATGATGAAGCTGAAATTTAGAAGATTTTCAATTACATGTTTAAAATAGATCCAAGAAGGATTCTAGAAGATCTAGAAGATTTTTCTGAATCTTTAGAAGGTCCGAGAAGACTTCTAGAAAATCTAGAAAATTTTTCTTAATTTTTAGAAGGTCCGGGAAGACTTCTAGAAGATCTAGGAGAATTTTCAGACAGAATTAAATTCAAAAAATGGTTTCTAGAGTCATCTTTTGATTTTCTAGGCCATCTTTTGGTTTTCTAGGCCATTTTCAAGGCTCTACGGTATTTTTTGGTTTTCTAGGCCATATTTTGATTTTCTAGGCCATTTTTCAAGGCTCTACGGTATTTTTTGGTTTTCTAGGCCTTATTTTGATTTTCTAGGCCATATTTTGATTTTCTAGGCCATTTTCCCCGTTTCTATCCAAATTTGATATCAAAATGCTCCAAATTCGCCCCCAAAACCCGCTGTGCTCACCAATCTTCCCAACAATCCCGGCAATCTTCCGCTCGCCTTCGCCTCCAACAATGCAATATGAACAGTACTTCCTTTCGTCAACAATTCATTGTCGCGTGAATCTTCGTTGAATTTCGCGCGCAACACGTCGAGTTTGTTGCGTAGGTTGGCTTCCTGGTTTTGAATGTGCGGAAATTCGACTTGGGCATCGCGCCAAGTTCGCTGGATTTGCGGTAGAGCGCGTTTGATGTCGGCGAATTCTCTGGAATAATTTTTTATTAAAAATTCACTGGAAATCAAGTTTTCCCGGTCAAAATTATCAACATTTCGGTATTTTTTGACAAAAATCTTCAAAGTTTTTTGTTTTTCATAAAAAGATTTTTCCACAGAAAAATTATATTCCAAAATGCCTAAAAAAAAATTGAAATTTAAAAAAAAGCACAATAAATTTTTCGCGCAATTTTTTTTTCAAAAATAGAGGATCCTAATTATTTCCTTTTTTTATGTGTAAATGCGGAGCATCGTTTGGGTTCTTTAAATTTTCAGAATTTCTGATCAAAATTTCACTGAAAACCAAGGTTTTCTGGTCAAAATTAACAAATTTTCAGATTTTCATGAAAAATTCACTGAAAATCAAGATTTTCCCCAGAAAACTATCTAAAAAATTTCTAGGAAAGATTTTTCGGTGTAAATGCGGAGCATCGTTTGGTTCCAACAAAAAATAATAATTTTTTGAAAAAATAAAGTAATTACGTGACGTGACTATGTGTCTTCCACACGTTGCCAAAAATTCATCATTTTGCAATTTTTACACCTTAAAACTGGTGAGTTTTTCTTCTCTCATCCATTTTTCCATTCAATTTCAGATGTGGTTATTCTCATCGAAAAGATTCAAACTTTTAAAAACAATAGCTTTGCTTATAGTCTTCATTTATTTATTGTATTTATATTTACCATATGACTGGTTGAAACGAACAAAAATCGGGGTACAATTTCGACAATGGATGGCTGGTGATGCCGTGTTCTATAACACTTGTCATCGTCCGAAATATGATCCGTGGAATGAGGAAATGTTGGAGGTTTGTTCTTGATTTATTTCGCTTGTATTTAAAAAATTTCCCTATTTTTCAGCATATCGACATGAATTTCAATCCAGTTTCAAATTGCGATAAAACCTTCAAACCTTTCACCAAACTAGAAAATGGACATTGGTCAATAGTTGATGAAAAAACAAAGTGTCGAGCAAGGTTTGAAAATCAAAAATCAGTAATCCAAAAATACATATAGAACCTTACTTATAGATGTCAAAGATACAAGGGAGAACGCGAGAATGATATTGGTGATTGGATGGATAAAGCTGGACCAGTTGATTGTGAGATATTGGAAACTGTTTGTTCGAATGAGACACATAAGGATATGTATGGGTTTTTGCATAGTCAAATTATTGAGACGTGAGTTAGGGAAACTGTATCGCACGATTTCGTCATCAAAAACTCCAGAACTCAATTCTCTGATGAGTTATGACCTGATAGCATAACCTTGTTCAGAAGGGCTGATTACATTAGCAGAACATTTTTGCTCTTGAGATTCTGTACAAAATGAGCACAAAGTTAGAGAATTTTAAGCTTTTAGGGCTGAACTAGGATTTTCGAAACTCTTATCTATGTAATCGACCCTTCTGAACAAGTTTATGCTATCAGATTTACATGAAAATCAAAAATCCGCTAAAAATCATGGTCAAACTTTCAGTTGTTCACCACAAAATTTTCCAAAAATTCTGGAAAATCTAAAAATCATGCATGCAAAGTCAAAATTTCGAAATTCTCGAAATTTATCGGTATTTGTGTGTAAATGCGGAGCGGGCCTAACAAAGTCGGAAAAAAGTCGGATAATTTTGCCACGTCATAACTCATCAGCGAGTTGCAATTTTCGAGCGGAGCGAGTGTAAACCGCTATCTTCCTTGTAGCGGCACGCGGAAGCTCGCAAAAAAATCCATGATTTTTATAGACCTTTGGATCCACCGAAAAAGAACATTTCCGGAATGCAACAATTCGATGTAGTTGTTATATTGCTCGATTCGTTATCATATACCCAAGCAGTTCGATCACTTCCATCAACTCGCTCATTCTTCAAAAGTCACATGGAGGCTATCGAATTTCCATACTTGAATAAAGTCGGTGAAAACAGTCGTCCCAATAGTGTTGCATTATGGTATGGAAAATCATTGGAAAGCATCGATCGAAGTTTATATGATGAAGAATCGATTGACGAAGATTGGAAACACGAATATTTTTGCTATGAATTCAAGGATAACGAGACGCATTTGTTCAAAGAGTTTCATGAGCATGGATATAAAACAATGTTAGCTGAAGATTGGGCTGAAGGTTCGGCGAATTGGCCGGATTGTGTAGGATTCAAAAACCCGCCGACTGATCATTATATGCGACCATTTCAATATGCTTATGAGAAAGTAGCTGAAAATATTACGAAAAAACATTTGGAAGGTCATTTGTGTCGAGAATATCACCACACATTGTTCGATTATCTTGAGCAATTTCAGAATTCTTATACAGATAATGTTCCGAAATTCAGTTGGTTCTGGTCGGCACACATCGGACACGATGATGAGAACGGATTCTTCCGCGTAGACAGGGAACTTCAACAATATCTTTTCAAGAATCGCAAAAAACTCGAGAATTCGTTTGTTTTTATACTTGGCGATCATGGACTTCGATTTGGAGATCAGACTGAAACAACGACGGGCAGTTTTGAGAAGAACAATCCGTATCTTGGAATATCGATACCGAAAGAGTTGCGAGATTCGACTGATTTATTGAAAATGATGGAGATGAATGCCAAAGATTTGCAAACACATTATGATACAAGAGCGACATTTTTGGATATTTTGAAGGTTGGTTTTGGGAATTTTTGAATGAGGCTTTGGCGCTGAGGAAGAGAGAGTATAGGATAGTTAGAGACGCAGAGGATTTAGTAGCTATTGCTAATATTAAATGAGAAGTTCGAGTTGGAAATTGCTTAGATTAGAGAGTGTGAGATAGTTAGAGACGCAGAGGAATCAGTAGATATTGCTCATATTAAATTTTCCAGTTAGAGATTGCTCAGATTGAAGAATATAGGAAAATTAGAGACGCAGAGAATTCAGTAAATATCACTCATATAAAATAAGAAATTCGACTTGGAGATTGCTCAGAGTAGAGAAAAGAGGATAGTTAGAGACGCAGAGGATTCAGTAGAGATTACTCATATTAAATAAGAAGTTCGAGTTGGAGAATGCTCAGGTTAGAAAGTGTGAAATAGTTAGAGACGCAGAGGGTTCAGTAGACATTGCCCAGGTTAAAGTTTATCAAAAAATAAAGCTGTTTCTCATCAGAAAAACTTAATTTCCAGTATCAATCAAAATCCGGATTCCTGGAAACCGAAACCCTAGATATTCCTGAAGAAAAAGGTCATTCACTCTTCCGCCATCAACCAAATTCGACAAGAACTTGTAGAACACTTCCAATTCCAACCGAATATTGTATTTGTCAGTTTGATATTGTTGAAGAGGACAGGTAAATGAATCAATAAACCAAACTATGAAAATCAAAAATTTTTCAGCACTTCAAGTTTGGCTGAAAATATTGGTAAAGCCGTTATTGATTCAATAAATTCGAAATTGAAGCAAGGTGGATTTGAAGATAAATGCACAGTAATGGAATTTGAAAAGGTACGTTCAGAATTTTAGAAAAATCAATTGGAATCCAATATTTCCAGACACTATCTCTCAAAAAATTCAAAAACACTTTCGATGGTTTCTACTCGATTAATCTCAAAGTCAAAGGAGAAAGCGGAGCAACTTTTAAAGCAAATGTAGAAGCGAAAAACATGTTTAGCATCATTATTCATGGAACAATTGAAAGAACTTCGATTTATGGAAGAACTGCTGATTGTATCAAATCAGAAGTTCATCGACCATTTTGTTATTGTCGTGAACAACCGAAAAAGGTTTCCTTTTTGTAATTATTAGCTCTTCAAAATGTGGTTTTAAAAAAACTTTTGCAACTTGGAATAAAGTATTGTATTCAAATCAGCTAGAGGCAGCGTAAACGCGGAGTATTGTTTATTTTCGGATTCAGTTTTTCATTGAAAATTTGCAGAAAACCAAGATTTTCAGGTCTTGTTAACGCGGAGTATTGTTTGAAAATCAGATTTATCAAATTTTCGATTTCTGGGATGAAAAATAACCAAATTTTCAGTGTTCCATTGAAAATCCTTTTAAAATCAAGGTTTTCAGGTCAAATTTAACCTAATTCTGACTATTTTCAGTCAAAAATCACCCAAAACTAGAATATTGTTCAAATTTTCAGCTTTCCCCATCAAAAACTCCAAAATTTCCCACCAAAACACTCACTTTTTATCATCCTCCAACTTCTTGTGTAATCCTTCCAACTGGATTTTTAACTCTTCCAACAATTCCTGATCTCTTTGCGCACATTTTCGTATATCCAAAATATCACTCTCAAAAACCGTCGTCTTCGTTTTGAGCTCGTTAAAAATCGCATTTTTGCTCGAATATTCTTCTTCGGCCGCCTCTTTTTTCGCTCGCTCATCCACCACTTTTTTCTCGAATTTCACCAGATTCTCATTGGCCGTTTTTGTGTCTTTGGCTTCTTGTTCAAGTAGATCACGCGATTCTGATTCGAGCATTTCGATTCGACGTTTTGCGATTTCTGGCATCGCTTCAAGTTCGATTTTCTGCAGAAAAATTGGATTTTTTTCATGAATTTTAATTTAATTAGCCTTGAAAATCCACGTGGAAATCTTATGTCTGGTTTTCAGGCCTCATTTTTAGGAATGTTTTTGATAATCCTAGAAATCCACGTAAAAAATTTAGGCCTGAATTCATGTGGAAAATTAAGGCCTCATTTTTTAGGCTGGGCAAATTTAGGCATGTTTTTGATATGCCTGAATCCACGTGGAAAATTTAGGCCTCTTTTTTTGAGCTAAGAAATTCAGGCCTGATTTTTAGGCTGGACAAATTTAGGCCTGATTTTCATGGGTCTCGAAAAATACAAGTGAAAAATTTAGGTCTGGTTTTCAGACCTGATTTTTGATGAGCCTTGAAAATCCAAGTGGAAATTGAGATTTCAGATAAAAAATCACTAATTTTAGCTCAAAAATCACGAATTCCCACAAATTTAGGGTTAAAAATCACGATTTCCCATAAATTTCTGCTCAAAAATATCCAAAATTCCAGCCAAAACCCACTTTTTTCGTCTCCGTGTCCAATTCTTTTGTCATTCGAACCAACTCATTATTGCACTTTTTCAGATTCGATTTTCTTTTCGATTCAGCGGTTTCGACTTCACGAATTTCAGTGTTGTAGGTTTCGATTTCGTCTTGCACTTTTTCTTGGTCACTGTAAAAGGAAAATTCAAGTTTAGAAAATTTTAGCGCTAAAAAATCATGAAAAATCCGAATTTTAGCTCGAAATGCTTCAAAAATCTCAAATTTTACCCCAAAATGTTCCCCTAGATCTCACAGATTATTATCGGCATCAGTGGCCTCAACTTCCCGAATCTCCAGAATCAAATTCCTCTTTTTCTTCTCCATCTCATGAATTTCCGCCTCTTTTTCTTTGATCTCAACTTCAATCGGTATCTTTTCCTGTGTCAATCGATATTTTTCAATTTGTATCAATTTCGACTTCAAAAATGCCACCTCATTTTGTGAATTCATAAATCTTTGCGCATTTTTCACTTGCGGTTCGAGCTCTTTTTTCAATTTTTCCGCTTCTCTCACATATAATCCTTGTTGATTTGTTTGAATTTCGATTTGTCGAACACGATGTTCTAATTTTCTGATAAATGGGACAAATCGATTGGATCCAACGATATCTTCGATATATTCCAACATTCCTTCTTCACCGTTTTGAGTTGCACGGGGTTTCATCATTGCAATCGCTTCGACTTCACCCTGAGAGAAAATTGGGGCGTTTTTTGGTGGAAAATTTGATTTTTCATCAATTTTGGGTGAAAATTCTTTTGTATCAAAAATCGTAATTTTCCATTTAGGAAATTAAAAAATGCTACGTGGAAAATTTAGACCTTATTTATGACGCTTAAAAATGTACACCTGATTTTTTAAAGAAAAATCCACGTGGAAAATTAGGGCCTAGTTTTTAGGCTGGACAAATTTAGGCCTATTTTTTAGTCCTGATTTTGATGATCCTAGAAATCCACGTGGAAAATCAGGGCCTCATTTTTAGGCCGAGAAATTCAGGGCCTCATTTTTTAGGGCGAGAAATTTAGGCCTCGTTTTTAGGGTGGGCAAATTTAGACTTGTTTTATGGGCCTTGAAAATTCACGTGGAAAATAAGGCCTCATTTTCAGGCTCAGAAATTTAGGCCTAATTTTCTAGGCTGGACAAATTCAGGTCTGATTTTCATCAGCCTAGAAATCCACGTGGAAATTTAGGGCCTCTTTCTTAGGCTTAAAAATTTAGGTCTCATTTTTAGGGTGAACAAATTTAGGCTTTATTTTTATGAGCCTAAAAATCCACGTGGAAAATTGATTTTTTTCATGAATTTAAGGTCAAAATACTAATTTTCCATGAATTTTTCATAAAGAATCAAGATTTTCCCAATTTCCCTCCCCAAAAAATCCAACCTGCAAGATCAAAAATCGATTATGAATCAGATCGATTCCAATATTCTTCAAATATTCCTCCACATCTTTATGACTCGCCGTTTTTCCATTTATCAGGTATTTTGAAGAATTATCGAGGAAAACCTGGCGCGAAATTGCGAAATTTGAATTTGGCTTGATCTCGTAGCGATCATCGTCCTGAAAAGGGGGGAATTTTGAGTTTTCAAAGTTTTTTCTCCCTAACAAAAAACCTCTGAACTCACTAAATCTCTGACAAAATACATCTGAATCTCGACTCGACAAAATTTGCATCTCTCGCCTCCTAATGCAGCCGCCGTATGAATTAATGAGCTCAACTTCTTCGATCGAATCTTATTGCTTCGAAATCCAAAAACAAAGAGAAGCGAATCAATCACATTCGATTTTCCACTTCCATTCGGTCCCATAATCATCGTCAAATTCTTATGAAACGGTCCAAGTGTTTGAGTTCCCCGATAACTTTTGAAATTCTCCACAACTATCTGATGAATCATCAAACGATACTCCGTTTTTCCACTGCTGCCGCTGTCGATGGGTTTTGGAGGGATTTGGATATTCAAGAGATCTTCATTTTCATCATATTCTAGATCGGTGTGCTCCCAGACTAATCGGATGTTTTCAGGAGCTTCGAATTTCCTAGGTGTATGCCTTTTTTGAGGCGAAGAAGAGGCTGCTGCTGAACTTCGAAGTTTTCGCTGCTGATTTTGATCTTCCTCGTCGTCATCTGTGAAATAATCCTCTTCGTTTATCTCATCATCTTCCTCCGAAGCCGCGGTTAAAGGGACAGATGTTGTTGAGCGCTGATTGTTGTTTCGTCGCTTTTTCGGCGGCATGTGAGATTGCCCTGGAAATTTTTTTGAATAAACTTGTTCTAGCGGTACACTGTGTATTTATCACTTAGTTTTCAACAAGGAAAAAATTGAGAGCAAAGTTATAGACAGCACAAAAAATTTCAAGAAATGAAAAAACAAATTAAAGGGACACACGTGAACGCAAGAAATATCTCGCAGCGAACAGTTTTTTCGGAGGATTTTTGGAGAACGCCTGGATTATTTTTTTTTCTCGAATTCGAAATTTTCAGATTTTTTGGAGTTTTCAGCATGGGAAAGGGGAATTTTAAGCTGAAATGGAAGAGAATTCAAAGAATTTCGCGGCTCAGATGGTTTTCCAGGGTTTTCTTCTCAAATTGAGCTAAATTTCAAGAAAAATCGTAAATATTGGGAAATTTGGGGCTTTTTGGGTTTTCAGCGCAAAAATCAGGAGAATTCCGAGAAATTTGAGCTCTACCTTCAAAAAACCAGTTATCCCACCTTCTTAGCGATGAAATCTAACCCTAATCCCAAATAATCCCCTGGAAAAATGTATTTTGGTGATATTTCCGGTTTCTCACCTGGGTGTGAAACTTGCAACCGGAAACTAGGATTTTCCCGGAGAAATTCGAGAAAATTCAATTTTTTCTGTAAAAATTAGAAAAAACGATTTTTGAGAAACTCAAAATTTCCGGAAGTCAATCTGAAAAAATCCAGAGTTTCGAAATTCCTGAAACTCCATCAAAAGTGGTTACATAACACCAAAGAAAAATCGATGTTGGCACCTTTTCAGATAAAATCTGAACCCTAATCCCCTTCCCAGCCACCCAACCAACCCTAATTAAGAAACAAACGAAGGGAAATGTTAAATAGGAGCATATATATAATTATAAATCGCATTATAAGCAAGTGTGTTGATGTGTGTGACAAGACACAAACAGACACACGCTTGGAAGAGAAACCCCAACATTTTCTAGGCCAGCTAAAGAAAAATAAGGAGGGGGGGGGGAGGTTACCTTTAAACACTTTCTCCTTTCGCGCGTTCCTAATTCCTATTTAATTGTCATGAATTAAATATATAAATTTGGCACAATTCCAAGAATTTTCAAACGTGACATTTTATGAAACGTGGTCAACAGATGGGGATAAAATGGGATAAAAGATGAGAGATCTCACAGTCTTGTGTATTTTTGATTAGGAAATTAGCTGAACTTCGAAGATGGCTGCATTTAGTTGTATATATATCGTTATTCAAATTAGTGGTGAGTATTTGGGTTGAAATCGCATGCTCTAATCGTATTCTTAGGATAGACTGGCTTAAGACAATTCGACTGATATAATTTTTGATGACTTAAGGTTGCCCTTAAGGTGGTTTAGCGGCTTTTCACTTAAGGGTAACGTTAAGTCATCAAAAATTATATCATTGGGATTGTTTTAGGTCAATCTATCCTAAGAATACGATTAGAGCGTGAGTGGAAAATATAATAAGATCTACTGAATCGTATTTTTTAGCAGTAATAACATTGGCAGTTTTGACGATTATAAATTGTGGAAAGAAGAAAGCAACAGCAGCAGCACCTAAGAAAACAGCATCAACTTCAAAATCATCAACAACTAACGCACCATCACCCAAAAAATCGGAAAAGAAACCCGACGAAGAAGCTAAAAAGAAAGAAGAAGAGGAGGAAAATAAGAGAAAAGAGGAGGAAGAAGAGAAAAAGAGAAAGGAAGAGGAAGAAGAAAAGGAAAAGAAGAAAAAAGAGGAGGAAGAAGAGAAAAAGAAAAGAGAGGAAGAAGAGGAAAAGAAAAAGAAGGAAGAAGAAGAAGAGGAGGAAAAAAGAAAGAAGGAGGAAGAGGAAAAGAGAAAGAAGGAGGAGGAAGAAGAGAGAAAGAGAAAGGAAGAGGAAGAGAAAAAGAAGGAGAAATCGAAAAAGATATCTGTGAAAGAGGAAGAGCCGAAGAAGATTGATTTGAACGAGAAGGAGAAGAAGATTGCGGCTGGCGCAAAAGTCGGTGTCAATGATTATCCGACGATGAATAATGTCAAATCTGATTGGTCGGATAAATCGGCCAAGAAAAAGTAGCTATCCTTTGGACAAATTGAGGAAAATAAAGTATTTTTGTAGTGAGAAATTGCTCACTTTTGTGTGTTGTACTTTGGAATGGGAAATTAGGGGAATTTTTTGCCACGTGGATTTTGCGATCCTCTAAAACGTGTAAAACCTGATTGCCACGTGGAATTTCGCTCTGAAAATTTAAAATTACACGTGGTTTTTTTAAACAGAATAAAACGTGGATTTACCTTTGCCACAAGATTTTATTTTCTGAGAAAAACTTGGATAAATTCAAAAAAAATACACGTGGCAAAGTTGACCACGTTTTCATTTGTAAATCAAAAACCACGTGTAATTTTCAATTTTTCAGAGCAAAATTTCACGTGGAAAACAGATTTCTCACGTTTTGGAAACGCCAAATCACAGGCAAATTCATATGGATACATAATTGATACATTTCTTAAACTGCCACGTGGATTTTCATTTTGAAAACCTTCAAACCAAAAATAAATAAATAAAACTCGGCGTCCATCTGGACGCTGAAAAGTGCAAATGAGTGAATAAGACGAGAAAAAGTGCAAAAATGACTAAAAGAAAAATTGAAAGAGGGCGGAGCTTCTTCCTTTTCATGAATTCAAATTTGAAGGCCGTGAAAAAGAAACAATTATTAAAGTTTATCAACATTTTTGGCAAAAATAATTTTTAAAAAATAAGTACAAATAACTATTAACAAAATTAAATGCATCACAAAAATTGGGAATTTTTTAAACTAAAACGAAGGATTTTTGAAAAATTCAAAAAATCACCCAATTTTTGTGAATTGGAGTTGTTTTTCAGCACAAAAATTTGAAAATTTTCGTAAAATCGTCAGTTTTAGTTCAGCTTCATCCCAATTTCCACCCAAAAACAGCAATTCCTTAAATAAAAACCAAGTTCTCGGGTTGTCCACCAGTTTGAGCATAATTCACCGCATTCAACCACCTGGTCCTCTCTTCTTCCTCTCGAAACGAAATACAGTAACCCGGTTGGCGGCTACAGTACTCCCCACCGTCTCCCTTTAAAATGGCAGTTGTGTTGAAGTGATTGGGTGGTTTTCGAGTGGAATCAGCACCGACAAACCAAATCACATCATCCAATTGCCACGTTTTGTAGAGCTTTTCGTTACGGTAGATCAAAATCTGCAAAAAACGGGGGATTTTTCGCGAGTTAGTTTTTTTTCTGGCTTACCGATGCTCCTTTCTCAATTTTCATCTCATACGATTTGAAACTTTTTGATCCGGGTTCTGCCATTTTTACTTTTCCAGTGAAAGAAGACTGAAATTAGGTGGTTTGGAGGGGAAAAGAGGTTTAGGACTCTAAAAAATGACCTGAAATTATTTTATGTCACGGGGAGGTTTTCAGACTCAAAATTCATGATTTTTAGCTTAAAAATGACCTGAAATTAATTCTAGGCTAACCTGAGCTCAACATTACTTAACATACATAGAAAGGGTCCCCAGAATCGGGGTGAGGGGTTTAACTTTTTTCAAAAATCTGAAGGGAAGGGTCCCTAACTTGGCCAATTTTCTGCTGATAATTTACCAAAATTCCCAGATTTGTCCAAAATTCGCTCAAAAATGTGAGGAAGGTGTTTAACTTTAGAAAATTTTCAAGGAGGGACCCTAACTTTAAAAACTGACTAGGGGGACCTATTTTATGTATGTTAGTTAAAAATTGAATTTTCAAGTTTCTGGGACTTTCAGGTCTAATTTCTGCTCAAAAATTCAATTTCAGGTCAAAATTCACAAATTATAGCTCAAAAACAAGGGGTTTCCCGTGCCAAACCATCAAACGCGCTCCATTACCAACACCTACCGTATTATCACCATCAAATCGATATTTATCATGATCGAATAGTAAATAGGAGTCGGTGCATTTCCAGCCAATCCATCTCATCACAATTTTCGACAATTTTTCGCTGGCCGGAATTCGACGCCTAATCTGACCATCGCATAGAATTTCGAAGATTGAGTAGGAGGCGGTGCGTGGAGCGTCGAAACTGTTTTTCGCTATTGCTTCGCGGCAGACCTGCGGGAAAAAATGAGGATTTGAAGGTCAATTTTTCAAAATTGATTTTCTGGATTTCTAGAATCCACCACAAAAAGTTCAGACTTTTTTTAAAAGCAAATTCAAATTTCTTCAAAATTTTCACTAAAAATCCGATTTTTCACCGAATCCACGTGGATTCAGGCTTCATGTAAAAATTTTGAAAAAAAAATACTTTTTTGAAATAAAGTTTTGAAATTTTGGCTTAGGCCACATGGATTTTCCAAACTTAATTTTTTTCAGAAAAAAATTTCATGAATTAAAAAAAATTTTTTTTTTGAAATGCAAAAATTTCTGGATGATTTTTTTGTTGAGAAATTCAATTTTTCGTGGATTTTCCTGATAATTTTCATTTTAAAAATTCGAAAAAAAATTTCAAGATTTTACAGAATCCACGTGGATCTTAGATTGAAAATAAAATTCTACGTGGATTTTTTTGAAACCAAAAATTGCTCTGAAAATCACATTTTTCAACATTAAAAAATCAGAAAAAACTGGAAACATACATGTTTTACCCCTGGATTTATCCAGGGTTGCGGTCTTACTAACTCCGAAAAAAATTTGAGGTCCTACTAACTTTTTTTGAAAATCGATTTTTTTGAAAATTTTTTTAATTAGTTATCATCATAAAGTTTTGAACATGAAATAATTTTTCGATTTCAAAATTGCTCTAGATTATGTCACAAGGTCCACTCTTACTCATTATCCAAAATAAATGCTTTTTCTGAAAGATCTAGTAAGACCGCCGGCCCAAAAACTATCGAAAATCTACTTTTTTCATCAATACACCACTTTTATCATCATAAAGTGTTGAACGAAATTTGGTTTTTGTATCTGAAAATCATTCTAGGTTATGTTACAAGGTCCCCTCTTAGGTATTATGCAAAATAAAACCCCTTTCTAAGAAGTCTACTGAGACCGCCGGCCCAAAATCTATCGAAAATCTACTTTTTTCATCAATACACCACTTCTATCATCATAAAGTGTTAAACCAAAATTGATTTTAGCATCTGAAAATCGTTCTAGGTTATGCCACAAGGTCTATTCTTAATTATTATCCAGAATAAATGCCCTTTCTGAAAGGTCTACTGAGACCGCCAGGCACTTATATAAAATTCTGGATAAAATCCAGGGTAACCCTGGATAAAATCCAGTGGTCTCAACTATTTTCCCCATGCAGCATTATTTATCAATTTCATAGTTCAATATACCTCAATAGGACCTCTAGACACACTGTGCAAATTTTCAAGTGAAAATATTAATTTTGACATACTTTTCTAGGTTTTGAGTTTTCTGGTAATAACCAATTTTCAACATTTTCGAATGGAAAAAAGTATTTTATCGTATTTATTCATTGAATATAAGCTTTTATATTGTTGTATAAGGTCTAAAGAATTCGTATTTCAATTTACAATTCAATCCATGATTTTCTTCTATATTTTTTGAATAATTGAATGTAAAATACAAAAATGTAATTTACTGTTTGTGTTTTTTCTATCTCTCAAACGCATCCTATTCAAATGAGAAAAACAGCATGCGGGTTATGTGGGCACACATAGCGCAGTGGTAGAGCGCTGAGTTAGGGACCCAATGGTAGCTACCATAGGGTTCGAGTTCACATACTGGAAACGTGTTGCAAAATTTTTCAATTTTTTTCGAAAAAAAAATAAAAATTTTTTTTTTAGTGTGGGAGGCTTTTGCCCCCACACTAACGGTCTTACTAACTTTGAAAATTTTTATTTGAGGTCTCGCTAACTGTAGGGGTCGATCCAGGAAGAAAAACATGTATGACTGGAAAATTTCAAGAAAACCAATTTTTTCAGAGCAAAAGCTAAAATTTCCTCACCTCTTCTCCAGCCAATCCAACTTTCACATTAAATGGCAAATTATCCTTTTCCCACATATGAATTGGAACCATTAATTCGGCTCCGAATTTTTGATTATTTTTCGTTTTCTTTTCGGCTTCTTTTAAAAGTTGACGCGAAATTTCCTCTTGGGAGCTGATCTGCAAGAAAAATGAGGCTTTTTCGAGAATTTTGAGCAAATTTACATCAGAATAACAGGAATTTTGGGGAAAAAACATGTAAAAATCAGAAATTCCAGATTTTTTAAAAGACCAAACAAATCCTACCTGGAAAATCTGATCATAAAAATTGATAAAATGTCTAATGACATTAATTTGATCGTTATAATTCTCGGTGAAATTTTGAGGCGACGAATCGGTCGAAAATAGACTTGCACCGAAAATCTGCAAAAAATCTGACACGTGACAATTTTTGTCCGTGCACAAACCTTTGCCAAATTCTCAACACTCGCTTTATTATCCTCCATGTGTTCGTGAACATTTTTAAGATGAGCAATCAATTTTTTGAGCGTCGATTGGTGGATTATTGGAAGTTTGGAGATTATTCGACTGTATTCTTCGAGATTTTCAGAGGTGGGAGAGTCGATTCTGGCTGAAAATTGGGGAATTTTGCGATTCTCAAGCTGCTGTATTATTATGCGCTCAAAGTTGCTCGAAAATCTCAATTTTCGAGCTTCCGGGGTCAAATTCAACCATAAACATGCTCCTGGGCTCAAAAATCGCAATTTTCATGGTCCTGGTGTCAAATTTGGTCATAGACATGCTTCTGCGCTTGAAAATCTCAATTTTAATGATCTCTAGATTAAAAATAAGCAATAACTCATTTATCCGCTCAAAATTTTGAATTTAATACTCTCTAGGTTAAAAATCATCAGAAAAAATGCTCCAAGTCTCAAAAACCTTAATTTTCAAGCTTCTGAACTCAAATTTGCTTAAAAACATGATCCTGAGCTTTAAATTTCCATTTCCATCAAATTTTCCTCAAAAAGTGGCCTCAGACAAGCCTAAGCCTTCAAAGTCATTGGCAATCATAAATTGATCGCCTGAATCCAGAATTAATGCTTACTAATCATAGGCCACGGCGAGGAATCGAACCCTCGTCGAATTTTCGACAGACACGTGTGTTAACCACTAGGCTAAGCGAGTTGTGCAAACATATAGCTATTTTCGGATTTTAGTACCTACAAGATCTAGTGCGAGTGCAGATTTTGAGCACTTTTCAGCTCTGGAAGTGAAATCAGAATTTTTGAGGAGTCAGAGTGAAATTTCGAGAATTTTCAGGTTCGGAAGCTAATTTTCGGTTATTTTCAGCTCTGGAAGCCTAAAATGAACAATTTTGAGGTTGCAGAGTGAAATTTTAAGCTTTTCCAGGTCTTAGCGCTGATTTTGAGCATTTCCAGCTTCCGGAGCATAAATACTTCAATTTTCAAGATATTTGAAATTTCAGAGGTTATTTCACATATTTTTCGGCCCTGGAATCCTAAAATGAAGAATTCAGAGGTTTCAGAGTCAAAATTTGCTCATTTTCAGCTCTGGGAGCTCAAAATCTGGATTTTTGAAGTTTCAGAGCTTATTTTACATTGTTTCTGGCTCTGGAAGCAGGAGATCAAGATTTTCAGCGATTTTTAGCCCAGCTAGGTAAATTTCCATAATTGTTGCCCCAAAAAACTCACCCATCTCAAACAACTCCTTCTGCACCTCAAATCTCACCAACGGATCAGCCAATCTTCTAAAAAACTGTCTCAAAACATCAGCAACCGCATAAACCGTCTCATTATTCTCATTTTTAATATGCGTTCCAACTGGATCATCCAATAATTTATTGAGAATTATCTTGGCTTCCGATACTTTTCCATTTCTTCGATAAATTCCTTCGGATTTGATACCAAATGCATCAACAAATCTCAAACATTTATCAACCAAAACAGGAATATCATCTGAAGTTAGCCGATATTCTTCGAGTGTTTCGTGATTTGATCTTTGATGGATTGTTTGAAAGATGTTTTCGTAGAATGCTTGAGTGGAATTATCGTCTTTAGCTTCTAGGAAATAGGACCTAAAAATTGGGAAAACTTGTTTTATCAATTTTTTTTTTGATTTTGGTCAAATTTTTTTTAAATTTTTGAGAGTTTGAATATTCCACGTGGATTTTTTAGCGCACAAATCTGAAATTTCTCAGAATTTTTTTAAAACTGAATTTTCTGAACTCGAAAATTTCAGCCGAAAATTGGTTTTCGTCTGAAATTTTGAAACTTTCATGAATTTTTCTAAATTTTTCAATCTCTAATTTTCGGCTCAAAATTCACCTGGAAATCACCGAATTTTCAGCTTTAAATCAGCCTAAAATGCTCAAATTTTCAGCTCAAAATCTTGTTTTTCTCAGGTTAAGTTTAGCCTAGAAATCCAAATTTCCAGCCTGAAATATACATGTAAATCTTGAGTTTTCAGTTCAAAATCTAGAATTTTCAGCCGAGTTTCAGGCTGAAATTCCCAAAATGTTCCTCACCTAAAAAGTGATTCATCCTTCCCAACAATATTCAAACTAAAAGCTCCTCTCTTCGATTTCGCTGAGCTTGAATCAGGACTCGAGAATCTCAGCGACTTATCCAATTTCTCCTGAATCGTCGTCACTTTTCTCAAATCCACTTCAACTGATTCCACAGGAGTTGTGCTAAGTGGTCCCGAAAGCCGCTTCCTCTCCAGGCTATAAACAAGGGTTCGCCCAAAGACTCCGGCAATAGCGGGCGCCCATTCACCAGCAGTTCCTTGTCGTATCCAAAGTCTCCCGAAGATTGAAGAATCTCCTGGTGGTTTGGGGAATTTTGGTGGGCACCAGGCTTCGGAAATTAGGAGCATCCAGAGGGCGGCGGGGTCTTCGGGTGTGAATTGTAGCTTTTTTTCGAGGTGTAAGATTTGGATGGTGTCGATTTGGTGGGTAGAAGATGAAGATGGTGAAGATGTTGAGGCTGGAAAATTTTGAGCTTGAATTTCTAGGTTTCTGGGTAGGTTTTAGGCTGGAAATGTGTAAATTTAGGTTTTTTGAGCTGAAATTTTGGGATAAGTTTTTTTTTGTTAAATTTTAAAATCTTATTCTTAATTTTCTGCCTTCTCCTTGTCATTCTCTGTCTTCTCATATATGATGTTCTTTGTGCAAAATCGTGAAATTTCCAGATTTCCCGAAAAAAAAGAAAAAACGAGAGAGAGTGTTGTGTGTAGAAGAGACGAGAAGAGAAGGTGAGAAAATGAGAGATAGAAATACGTAAGAGAGACGCCAGACAACACGATGTTTGTGAATTTTTTTGCAACCTCAAAAACATTTTTCGTTTTTTCACAAAAAATGCTGAAATCGTTCATACTTAACCAAATTTCACAATCTTTGCTGCAAAAGTTGGCAAATTCTTGAGAATAAAGATGGCAAGAAGAAAAACCTAGAAAATTCTTCTCCAAACCCCGAAAAACTATGAATATATGTTTTTCGCCTTGAAAACTTCGAAAATTCTTCAATTTTCACTCACCAATATCCATAAAATGACCATTTTCAGCTTTTTTCCTCAAAATTCTGAAAGTATAGATATCCTTGATATCAAATGGTCCCAAATAAAAATCGCTAGTCTCTTCGTCTTCGTGAAAACTGATTTGGAGATTTCGGAGGCGGCAGTGCACACGTTTTTCTTTTCGGAACTGCAAAAAAATCATTTTTTTTTCTCTGAAAATTGTTTGCCACGTGGCATTTTTTGGAGCTTCAAAATGAAAATCCAACTCACACTGCTCAAAAACGTCACAAATCCAACAAACGACACATTTTCACCCGATTTTTCGTCAGAATCTGCTGAAAAATTCATTTTTTTGGGAAGATGAGGGTTTTTGGCGCGAAAACTCACCAATATTCACATAAGGATGTGAAATTTGCAAATTTTGTGGCTCGGGATCGAAATCCGGTGAAAAATCACAGGAAATTGAGGAGTTGCAACTTTCGACGACGGGTTTTTCGGGCGAAAATAATTCGTTGTGAGACACATAGATATTTTGGGATTTTCGAGAGGTTTTTGACGAAATTGAAGTTGTTGAGGAGGTTGGGAACTCGTTTCTAAAATGAAAAATGGGCATTTGGGCTTGGGATATTCTGGGGTGACTCCCAAATGACGATTTCTTATTTTTATCCATAAAATTGAGCTAAATTAAAAAATCGAGAATTTAGAGTAACTCCCAAATGACGATTTCTTATTTTTATCCATAAAATTGAGCTAAATTAAAAAATCGAGAATTTAGAGTAACTTCCAAATGACGATTTCTTATTTTTATCCATAAAATTAAGCTAAATTAAAAAATCGAGAATTTAGAGTAACTCCCAAATGACGATTTCTTATTTTTATCCATAAAATTAAGCTAAATTAAAAAATCGAGAATTTAGAGTAACTTCCAAATGACGATTTCTTATTTTTATCCATAAAATTAAGCTAAATTAAAAAATCTAGAATTTAGAGTAACTCCCAAATGACGATTTCTTATTTTTATCCATAAAATTAAGCTAAATTAAAAAATCGAGAATTTAGAGTAACTCCCAAATGACGATTTCTTATTTTTATCCATAAAATTAAGCTAAATTAAAAAATCTAGAATTTAGAGTAACTCCCAAATGACGATTTCTTATTTTTATCCATAAAATTAAGCTAAATTAAAAAATCGAGAATTCGTAGCTCTAAATTCAACAAAATCAGGATAATAATGATACGGTATGTTCCTTTAAAAACCCAAATCTTTCAAACTAGACAACTGCATTGCTCATATCAATCTAGAATTGTAAAATTTTGTGTTGAAAAATTCTGGATAATAAAATATGTATACGGTATGTTCCTTTAAAATCCCCAGAAAATTCACAGTCACCCTCCAAAGTACCATTCCCCCTCAAAATTTAAAGGAACATACCTTCTTGGACACGGTGTATATGGATTATCCTGAACTTCCGGATGTCTGACTTCAACTGGAATCGGACTTGCCAGAGAATTCGAATTTGAGTTAGAAGAACTCGGCTTCTCTTCCTCTGACTTCTCTAGATCTTCTTCGCTCAGCCACTCTCTCAATTGTTCGACTTCATCAGAAGTCGGTGTGAGACCCGATAGAGTACGGTATTTTTCGAGTGACAGGTACATCGGATTTTCGATGGTTAGCACTTCGATGGGAGTGGCGGGAAGCGGGCGACTGGAAAAATATTGTGGTACTGTAGGTTTTGGCGTGGGATTCCGAGCATTTTGAGACCAAACATGCCTAGGGTTACTGTAGGTTTTGGAGCCAAAAATCCACGTGGATCTTTAGAGCCAAAATGTTGAGCTTTTTCAAAAAACCGCTTATTTTCCAGCACTAAAAAATCCAGGGTTACTGTAGTTTTTGACGTCAAAATCTACAGTAACCTTAAGTTTATTTGATGTCAAAAAACAGGAAATGTTTTGACCTCAGAAATTCTAGGATTACTGTAGTTTGTCTACAGTAACCCTAGGCATATTTGGTGTCAAAAAACACTAACTTTTTTGATCCCAGAAAATCTAGGATTACTGTAGTTTTTCTACAGTAACCCTAGGTATATTTGGTGTCAAAAAATTGCAAAAAAAATCCACGTGGATCTTTTGACGTCAAAATTCACACTGCCCCCCAAAAAACCCCTTACCTCATAATCTCGTCCACTTTTTTCGCTTCCTCCAAAACTTCTGGCAGCCATCCAACTTCAGGCGGTACAACAGGCCGTGCAGAAGGAGGTGGAGGGGGCGGAGCTTGTCTGGGAGGCGGTGACGTCTGATGCGGAATCAGATCGCTAAGTCTGTGCGGTGCGGCTTGCTGACGTGGCGGTTTTGCGGGTGCAGGAGGACGTGGCGGCAATTTTGGCGGGGTTTTTTTGAGCTCCTGCTCGACTTTTTGATTTTCCGCGTTTTCCGCTTCCGCTTCCGGTTCTTCCGCGATTTTTGGATCGAATTTGGTGCGTGGTTTTGGGACTGGTGGTCCCGACATTTTTGTTGGAGCTGGAAAAAATTGGAATTTTTTCCGCAAAATTTGGAGCATTTTGAGACCAAATAAGCCTAGGATTACTGTAGGGTTTTGGTGCCCAAAACTACAGTAATTCTGGAATTTTTGGAGGAAAATTTGAATTTTAGAATTTTTTTCAAAATGGGAATTTTTAGCACGAAAACCTAGAATTAAAAAAAAATGAAAATTTCGACATAACTGTTTTTTTCAGCAGCAAAAACCTACAGTACTCTTTTTCAAAGGCGCACAACAAGAAAATTGATTTTTTTCCAGGATTTTTGAAATTTTTCACAAATTCAACAAAAAATCTACGTGGCTTGGTTGGTCTCAAAAAAATCGCAAAATTTTCGCCCCAAAAAATTCCACGTTGTTATTTTCGCATTAAAAACTACAGTACCTTAAAGGCGCACAGAAAACCTATTTTTTTCAACAACGCAAAAAAAACTCAATCAATATCTGGTATCTACATACAAATACACAAAGTAAACAAATCAAAAGAACTTTGATTTTTTTTGGAAAAAAAATTTGAATTAATTTTTTGGGGCGCCGAGAATTCCACGTGGCTTTTTTGAGGCTCCAAAAAATACAGTACTATTGAGAAGAAAGAACAAATTGAAATTCCGAAGAATCAAATGTGAAAATAAAATAAAAAAACGAAAAGAAAATGGGAGAGGGAGAAATAGTGAACGGGAGTGGAGAGTGTAGACGGTTAGAGAAAAAACAACATGAATCATCAGCGAGAGAGTATGGAATTGTGAGATACGCAGAGATTGGGTAAACTTTGATGGTTTTACCTCAAAAAATAGCCTAAACCACAAAATTTCATTATTATCACAGCAAAAAAGTAAACAAAAAAAATGTTCTACAGTATTTTGAGCTACAAAAAAATAGTTACAGTATTTCGAACTGCAAAATTAATTTATACAGTATTTTTTCTAAAATTTGTAGTTCGAAGTACTGTAGGCTACAATACAAACAAAAATTGTTACAGTACCTCGAACTACAAAAGTTTCAGAATATAAAAAAAATTTTGTAGTTCGAAGTACTGTAGTCTTCTACAAATAAAAATAAACTACAGTAATCGAGATTATTTCGAAATCTTCTTAAAGGCTTTTCCACTGGCATACTGTAGGCCTGAATAAATTGTTGTGAAGGCGGTGAGACAGCTGAAAATAGAAGAGAAAATTTAGAGAGCGGGAGGGAAGAGGAGTACTGTAGATTTTTTTGGCGCGAAAAAAATCACAATTTTCTAATTTTTTTTAAAGTTTTACATGAAAAAAATCGTATTTTCTGAACTTTTAGCACCAAAACTTTAAAATTTTGAAGCGATTTTTTTTCAAAAAACAAAAAACCTACCCCAACCCGAAAATGGCGTCATTGGCAATTGGTGAAAAATCGAAAACCGGCGACGCCAACGACAATGCGACTAATGACAATTGAAACAGCGTGTTTACCTGGAAAAAAATATTATTTGAAAATTGACGATAGGTTCCCCTGCGCGAGAACTCGAAAATTTAAGCCAAAATTCGATTTTTAACTGAAATTTTCAGGTTCAGGCATGTTTTCTAGTAATTCTCGGCTCTTTTTCGATTGGACCAAAACAATTATCTATAACTAGGTTTATTTTGGTCCAATATAGTTCTATAAAACGTGAATAGATTTTCAGCCGCGGTGCTGAAAATGATCCCGTTTTCAAATTTTGCTGAAACCCTTGGGAACTTACTCAAAATTGAGCTGGAAATCGAAAATCTTACCTGAAAATCATTTTCATCATAAATTAAATTCAGGAATTCAAATTCATCTAATTTTGTGGTCCTGAACAATATCCTGCGCTTAATTTTGAATAAAAATTATTTTCAGATGAATTTTGAGCAAATCCCCAAGGTTTTTAGCAAAATTTGAAAACGGCATCATTTTCAGAATCGGCTAAAAATCGATTATATCCCAAAAATTCAACCTTGCTCATATTAGTCGGCATAACTTGCATCGACGAAACTTGCGGATTGAAGAATCGATTCAACGTGTAAGGCGGCTCCATACTCTTATATCTCTTGTAAAATCCACCAGTTATCAGCAAAACGTCGCGAAGAAGAACAATTGTGGTGAGGGGGACTGGAAAATAAATCATCAAGTTCAATTTTTGACGCCACAAAAATAAAAACCCACGTGGAATGAGTTGAGCATGTGTCATTGTAACAAACATAACCGAGACGAGAAGTTTATCAGCGACCGGATCCAAAACTGAGCCGAGGAGCGATTTTTGACCGGGGACGTTTCGAGCTATCCAACCGTCGAGCTATGAAATTTGAAAATAAAATTTTTTGGCGCGAAAAATTGACCTACCATATCCGATGCGCCTGCGATAACAAACATGGCGAAAGCTGGGGTGAATTGGTGTTGGACGACGAAATAACCAATCAATGGTGTGGCGCCAATTCTGAGAGAAATTGATTTATTTTTGGGAGGAAAATTCAAAATGAAAAATTTACGATAAGTTCCCCTGCGCGAGAACCTGAAAATTTCAGCCAAAAATCGATTTTTGATTGAAATTTTCAGGTTCAGGCATGATTTTCTTGTAATTCTCTGGTCTTTCAGTGAAATTTCATGATTTTTCAAGTGTTGAACCAAAAAAATCGTAAAAATTCATCTAAAAAATTGACGATAAGTTCCCCTGCGCGAGAACCTGAAAACTTCAGCCAAAATTCGATTTTTGACTGAAATTTCCAGGTTCAGGCATGATTTTTGAGTCTCTTACTGAAATTTCATGATTTTTCAGATTGTGAACCTGAAAAATCAAGAAAATGCACCAAAAAATTGACGATAGGTTCCCCTGCGCGAGAACCTGGAAATTTCAGCCAAATGTCGATTTTTGACTGAAATTTCCAGGTTCATGCATGTTTTTCTCGTAATTCTATGGTCGTTTAGTGAAATTTCAGGATTTTTCAGATTGTGAACCTGAAAAATTATGAAGATTCACTTCAAAAAATTGACGATAGGTTCCCCTGCGCGAGAACTCGGAAATTTCAGCCAAAATTCGATTTTTGACTGAAATTTCCAGGTTCAGGCATGACTTTCACGTAATTATATCTTCTTATAGCGAAATTTCATGATTTTTCAGGCTGTGAACCACAACAATTATGAAAATTCATCTCAAAAATTGACGATAGCTTCCCCCGCGCGAGAACCTGAAAATTTCAGTCAAAATGCGATTTTTGACTGAAGTTTCGAGGTTCAGGCATTTTTTCTCTTAATTCTATGGTCTTTTAGCGAAATTTCATGATTTTCCAGGTTTTGAACCCAAAAATCATGAAAAATCTTCCAACCTAGCCAAGCAAATCGCATTTGGTACTGTGGCAATTTTGTACAATCCCGAATCCTTCTCATTTTCAACAATTTTCTGTGTTTTGGGTGAAGAAGTCGAGTAGATCCTAAAAACGTTCCTTCAAAAATTCAAAGCACGCTCCAAAACCTACCGTATTCTCTTCGTTGTCATTGGAGCGAATTTCAGCAAACAATGTCTAAAACTCATCATTTTTCCATCTGATCATCAGGTTAAATCTAAATAAATAAAAGAGAAAAACATGAGAAAAACTAGATGGGGAAGAAAGTATTTTTGACTGAAATTTCACACTTTTTTCGAAAACTTTCGAAATTTTTGGTTGAAAACGTTCATTTTCTCTCTAAAAACTTCAACATTTCGAATTTTTGTGAGAACAAAAAAAGCGAAACTAAAAATTATCAATTAATCGAAAAACGCAGAGAAAAAGAGCCGGAGCTCGAATCTCCTAATGGCGATTACGGTAGGATTGTGGTGGGCGGATGGCTTGTTCGAACGCGAAGAGATTGGTGTAGAGAGCAGTGGCGAACTGGAAAGGATTGCGGGTTTGGGAGGGGTTTTGAGAATTTTATCTAATTTTTGAGAGAAGGTCAATTTTAAGCTTTTCAGATTATTGGGTTTTGAAATTGTCTAATTTTTACAAGAGAAATTCATAAGATTAACTTTAGTAATTCAACCACGCTGATCAATATCCTGAAGTCAAAAATCGCACTTTTTGGAGTTCTAAACTTGGAATTGAGTATGTTTCATGTTCCGAGGTGAAACATCAAATTTTATAACTTGGATCATGTTGTTCAGCAGATTTCATTACCTCATAAAACTTTAGTTCATCAAAAATATGAAAACAGCTTCTGTTTCAGCTATTTTGAAAAATTAAACTTCTACGAGGTTTTCGAATGTGCTGAACAAGTTATAAAATTTGATTTTCCACCCAAGAACACGGAACATACTAAATTTAAACTTTAGAGCTTAAAAAAGAGCGGTTTATGGCTTTTTTGACTTCATTATCGTGATCAACATGATTTTTAGCAAATCGTTCTCGTTTCCTCAAAAAAAAACCAAGATTTCCATATTCCCACATATTGTCTTGTCTTATTCATCAAGAATTTGCATATTTCAAAAATTCTCACCGATGAAACAAAGAAGATTGCAGAGACAGCCAAATAGGTGTTGAATTTGGATTGGAGTTCACCGTGGACCTTTCCGTATGGTTGGAATGGGACTGGCATATGGTCGAAAGTACATGGTGGTCCTGGGTTGGCCTGGAAAAGAATATGGTTGTTTGGAGGGTGAAAATTATTGAAAAGAAAATAACTTACGTGGTGTCCACCGGATCCGTTTCTCTTTTGAACGACTTTGCGGAGAGCCAAGAAACGAGAGACAACAGCGCGGTTCATTCTGAAAATGAGAGAATTTCTTCAGAACCGAAATAAGAATTTAAACTGCCACGTCAGAGTTCACGGAAAATATCATTTCATTACTCATTTTCATCTAGAATAAGTAAATCATGAGAAAAGTGCATTTTTGTCACTTTGTGGGTAAGTTCTGATTATTAATAAGTAAAAGTACACTTTTCGCTGAAACTTGCTATGAGAAAAACTTGCATTTTCATTCTAGTACTTCTTTATTTTACCCAAACCAATAAAAATTCGAAATTCTGACAAGAAACAAAAATATACCCAAAACCACGTTTTTCTCTCCTAAAATCTCAAAATTTCTTGATAAATCACATCTACGTCAATTCCCCTACTCTAAATTCAAATTTTCACAAAAAATTCACCAACAAAAACCCGCAGAACCCTTTAAAACCTCAAAAAACAGCGAAAAACACAACAATTCTAAAAAGGACGGCTCTTTATCGATCTGCTAAACAACAGGCAACCCGGGCGGCGCGGAGTCTCGTTGTTTTGTTTTCATTTTCGCATTTTTTGCAAAAGTCGCAATTACGGTAGTTTTCGGAGGATATTTGAAATTTTGCAGATGATGGCTGAAGGAACACATAATGATATGATGCCAGAACAACACCAAGAAGCGGATAAAGATATCGAAAATAGTTTGGAGCAAATTGCTCATGATGATTCAGCAAATGTGAGTGATTTATCGATTTTTCGCTTGTTTTTAGATTATTTTGTGCGTTTTCAGATGGATTGGGCGATGGACGAACGATTGAAACGAATGATTGTTGATTTGCAAAGACATTGGTTGACAGATTATCACAATTCTCGCGAAAAAGCGTTGGTTGAGTTGACGGAGAAGTTGCATCAGGAGTTTTTGTCGGATCAGCAAAAGATTCGCGCCGATTTGTTGCAACAGTTCAAGGAGGAATTGGAGCAGACAAGGTGGGGGCTTTTGGACAGGAAATCATTGGGAAAAACTGATTTTTGGCTGAAAATTGAGGAGATCCAGGGTTTTTGAGCTAAAAATCATGATTTTTAGCCAGTAAAACATGGGAAGATACAATTTTCAACTCATTTTTTGTTTCAGAGCCGATCTCGAAACCAAATACCGTGAACAATTGAAATCGGAAAGTGCAAAACTCACCGAGCGACACAAACGAGAATTGGTGGCGTCGAAAAAGAAACAATGGTGTTGGCAATGTGAAAATGAGGTGAGGTTTTGATGATTTCGATTGAAGTTCTCAAATTTTCACAATCCCGTTGTTTGAAACGATTTAGCTCAACTCTGAAAACGTGTTATGACGTGGCAAATTTTGAAAATATCTTCTGAGACGATTTACATGAAGATCAAGCCTAGATTTGCATGGTAACATCATTTGTGAAGCTTTGCCACGTCATAACTCATATTCAGAGTTGAGCTAAGTAGTTTTGACACCGAAATCGTGATCAGCGGGTTGAAGTTCACTAGAAAACATATATTGGATGAAAATCCAGGAATTATAGCTGGAAAACTTGAAAAATCCTAATTTTTAGACCAAAATTCATCAATTTTCATAGTTTAAAGCTAACAGTTGGTCGATTTTTATGATTTTTAAGTCAAAAATTGGTCAGATTTCGAAAATTTGAATTAAAAACCTGAAAAATCACTAAAATTTCACTACAGAGCCCAAAAAATCATGCCTGAACCTGGAATCTTTAACCAAACGTACAATTTTGGCTGAAATTCCGCGTGGAATCTGAAATTTTTGAATTTTTCAAATTCCGGCTCTAAAATTAGCTTCCGGGGTGAATTTTCACGATTTTGACTCTCCTTAATCTGAAAAAATCACAAAATAGTGGAACAACCTGGAATTTTCAGCCAAAACATCTTCAGAGATTCAAAAACATCAAGATTATTGATATAATCCCATAATTTTTGCAGGCCATCTATCACTGTTGCTGGAACACAGCCTACTGCAGTGTCGAATGTCAACAAGGTCATTGGCAAACTCACCGAAAATTCTGTCGCCGCAAAAAGGGAGGATCTGGAGCCGGTGCTCCAGGAGCTGCTGGAGCATCTTCAAGTGCCGCACAATAATAACTTTTTCTTGTTCTTTTTGGGTTTCTCAATTATTTGTACCATTTATTCTTTATTTAATCAATACTTTCCTTTTTTTTTCCCAAAACACTCTTTTTTTCACACTTGTTGATCTCATTTTGTTATCAATTTTTATGAATTCTGTATTTTTTTGTTGAGAAATCTTGCCACGTGGATTATTGGGTTTCACACCCTGAAAAATCATGAATTTCAGTACAAGACTCAAAAATCATGCCTGAAGCTATCAATTTTTTGAAATTTGGGATCTAGAAATTCTTGGATTACCAAAATTCATAAAGATTCCACGTGGCATTTAAAAATGTTGAATTTTTCAAATTCCGACGTCGAAATTAGGATCCCGTGTAGATTTTTACTGTCTACAACCTAAAAATTCACAAGTACAATGCGTCAATCTAGAAATTTCAGCCAAAAATCTCAAAAAAATGCTCCAAATATCCAAAAACATAATTATTCATATCATATCATACCAAAAAAACGAAAAAATCAAGAGACATTTTTGGGTGGAAAGCAAATAAAAAATGGGGGAGAATTTGAAAGAAAAAAATAAGAAATTTGGGGAAAAATAATTCCCAAAATAATCTCTCTTACAAGTAGTAGAACAAAAACCGTGTGCAGAAACAAACAAAAAATGGGTGATTTGGGAGAAAAAAAACGGGGGGAGATGGAGAAAAATTCCCAAAACAATAAGATACGCAGGCAAATATAGATAATTAAATAAATTTAAATTAAAAGGGGGAACAAATTTTAAAGGGACATACACAAAAAAATTATGGTGAAAAAAACAAAACAAAGAAAAAATACTACCCGATGGGTCAGGAAATGGAAGAAAAATCTTGGATACACCGTGTGTTCCTTTAAATATATCATAATTTATTGATTTTTTGGTGGTGGAGATGAAGTTGGTGTTGTTTCCTCGTAGACTTCCGGTTCGTCTCCCGAATTGAAAAAGTCCCATTCGTCTTTGAGAATGTTGATGAGGGCGGTTCGAAGCGGACTCTCCTGAAATTATATATTGCATTTTTTGAAAAGTGGGAGAATTTAGAATTACACGTGGATTTTCGAATAAAAAATCGCTAAAAATCCAAATTTTCAGTCAATTTCTGCTGAAATGCTGAATTTCTAGCTTCGAAAAAAATCCCGGAAAAATACGTTTCAAAATTTTATTTTTATTACATTTCAAAAAATCAACTGATTGTTGTTTCAAAAACAATTGCGAAAAATTAAATTTAACTCTTGAAGCTTTAAATTCAAGTCCTGAGCTCAAGAAATATCAAAAATTCGAGCTTAAATATAGAAAAATGCTCCAGGACTCAAAATCGTAGGAAAAATCATGAAAAATACCAAAATTTCAAGTTTCCGGTTCGAAAAACTTATTTTTTCTCAAAAAAAAATCAAAATTTCTCACCTCAACCTCCTTCGGATCTTCGGCCAATCCTTTGGCAAACTTCACAACTCGACTACCAAACTTCAACACAAAATCATTATCCTGTGGATCTTGCGATGATCCTCCGACCGGTCCCGAACTCGGCCCCTCTCCATGATAATTATCAGCAGGTGCTGAGGGATCAACATATCCAAACGACACTTCAGATTCCACTGCATTTTGTGGCGAAATTCCAGGTGGAAGTTGCACATTTGGTGGAGAACTTGGTTGAACTGCTGACGATTCTTGAGCTGCTGCTGAAGTTGGAGCTGGAGCTGAAGTTTCAGCTGGAGTTCTGGCAGTTGGGCTTCGCATCTCATTTTGTGGCGAATTTTCGCCACTTGATGATTTTTTGGCAGCGTCAGCGTATGAAAAACCACTGGTTGGAGGCTGGAAAATTCAGGATTTTAGGTCAATTTTAGGCTGGAATTTTCCAAATTTAATTTCAGGATTTCTTGGTTAATTTTAGGCTAAAATTCCTTTAAAAACTCACATTAGTATTAACATTGATCGGCGACGAAGATTCCAACGCATCAACAAATCCAACAATCTGAAAAATTGAAATTCAGGGTAACTAGGGTCATTTAGGGTCCAAAACGTGATTTTTAGATCAAATTTCATAAAAAATAGTGCTCCCCGGCTCAAAATTAATCAAAAATCCCAAATTTCGGATCAAAATTCTCCAAACCCCTTACCTCTTCCTCTTGTTTGGCACTACGTCTCTGATAATTGTGTCCACCGTGATGTTTGACATTCTTATGTGTCTCTTTCTTTGAAACTTCCAACAATTCTCCCAAATTTGTCGATTGTTGTGGAACTGGACGATTGTTTTGAGATTTGTTGTGTTGTTGTTGGGATGATGAAGCTGCAAAATATAAATTTCAGGTTGGTTTTTCGAGGGAAAATTACTGAATTTCAGATTTCTAGTGTTAAAATTCATCATTTTTCATGAATTTTGATCCAGGTTCGTTTTTTCACGATCTTCAGTCTAAAAATCAAGAAAATTACAAAATTTCAGATTTCTAGACTTCAAATTTATGAATTTAAGCTCAAAAATCATCCAAAATGTTCAATTTTAGGATTGGATTGATTTCAGGTCATTTTCATGCTGAAAACCTTGAAAACTACAATTTTTCACATTTATAGAGTCAAAATTTTCATCGATTTTCAGCTTAATATTCATCCAAAGGATCAATTTTTGACCTCCAAGGAAGGAACTTTTTGGCTCAAAATTCATCAAATTTCACAATTTTCAGCTCAAAATCCCTCTTTTCCCTTAATTTTCCTCCCAAAACCCCTTACCATTCTTCTCCACCGAATATCTCCGTCCATTTTGTTGTTCCGCATTCTTGGGCGGCGAATTTCTACGCTCCTCAACTGCCGAATTCCGTTGCTGTTGTGCCTTATTCTTCTTATTATTATTTTTTCCGCCTCCAACAGTAATAAATTCATCTTCTTGCTCTTTCAATTGTTTGGCCAACAATTCAACTTCTTTGTCATCTCGATAATTCGATGGATCGTGCAAAATTCCTTGTGTTCCTTGTTGTGGGGATACTGTAGAATTTGCAGTTGCGGTTGTCCGCGCGTCGACAAATTCAGTTGGCGGAGTTTTCAAATCCTCGTCCGCCGACATGAATTCCTCTTCCGCGTCTTCCCAAGGACCTCCATTGACTCCAGATGATGACCGTTTTCTGAAAATGGGGAAATTGATATTTTTCAGAATGTTTAGCTTTTTTGAGAGCACATAAAGCTCTTTCTCATGAATTTCGACCTAGAATTCTTAATTTTTCAAGATTTTCTTCTCAAAAAACATCAATTGTCATGAATCTTGATTCAAAAAATCAATTTTCGTGTAAAAAACTATAGAAAATATTCAGTAAGCATAGTTTTAGGTAATCAAATTACCAAAATATCAATTTTTCAAAATTCAAACCAAAATTGTATTTACAGAATCGGAAAAGGATTTATTAAATCGTAATTTTCGAAAAATATTGATAAGCAAAATTTGAAACGTAAATTTGCTGAGATTTTTTAATGCTGAAAATCTTGAAATTTCTCAGTTTCTAGATCAAAAATTCATGAAAAATCCAATTTTCAGCCAAAAAAAAAAAACTCACGTTTGAACAGGTGCAGCGGTGGCAGCAATAGCTGTGGTTGTTACATTTTCCTCTTCGCTAATCATATTTTGCTCCATTTTATTATTATTGTTGTTGTTGTTGGAAGAATTGGAAGAACTCGGTTGATTTTTCTTCTTGTTTTTGTTGTTCTGCAAGAGAACAATTAGGATTTTTGCATAAAACTAGGAACTTTAGGATGAAAAACCGTAAATTTTCCAGAAAACCAACCTGTTCCTTGGTGTTCTCAGCCGTCACACCTTTATTCTTCTTATTTCCCTTCTTAGCACCGGCTCCTTTCGGTTCAACAGACACTGTTTCGCCGAGTTCCAACAAGATATCAGAAAGTGAACGTTGAGTGTTGTTAAACTCTGCAAAAATATTGATTTAGAATATGAAAAATGACTCAAAAAATGGTATTTTTTGATACATTGATAACGATTTCGGTGTCAGAAACTGGTCAATATGAGTTATGACGTAGCAAAGTTTGAATGATAAAAAGAATGATAGAGTACTCATTTTTTGAGGTTAAGTAATCAATTCAAATCTCCTGGGCGTTAGCTAGCTTTTTATAGATCGCAAGCTTCCACATAGCAATGACGTGGAAATCATACTGATATTCCACGTGGAATTTGACGCGGAACATTGCGGGTTGCCACGTCATAACTCATACTCAAAATTGAGCTGAGGGCTCGAACTTGTAGGAGATCGTGAGAAACCAGAAAATCTATGAAATCAGTCAGAAATTCAGTAAGAATTAAAGAAATTCTTATCAAAATGGTCACTCTCCCAATGTTGGTTATGACGTGGCAACGGAATTTAGATTTGCTTCTATTAGAGAAACTATATTTTATTCAAAAATCACAACTAAATTTTGAAAACCATCAGAAAATCCGAAATATTGTTAGAAAATGATTCAAAATCCTCTGAAAACCCAACTGAATTGTCAGAAATCCAAAAACCCTACAAAACCATCAGAAAATCAATGAAAATGACCAAAAACTCTCCAACAACAAGGAGAGACTAGGAAAATCCAAAGAATAAAGTTATGCTAAATTTCCGGACCAACGCCACGCTCATTCAACCTACGCGGGAACACATCGAGACCCAAAAACCCTCCCAAAACAACCAAACAACAACTGGGGCCTGTGCTATAAAAAAAGACCACGACTAGAGACGAGAGAGTGCGAGACGAACGGGTGAGAGATGAAGAGACGCAGACAGCAAGTAAGAGACGCTCTCTTACATCCTCTTGGGCTGTGTATGTGTTATTATTAAATAGTTCTTCTTCTTCTTGTGTCTGTGTGTCCAAAAATGGATTGAGAAAACTGAAAGGCGAGAGAGTGAGTGTGTGAAATGAAGAGGGTGCAGAGTAAAATGCAAAGAATAAATAAACATTGCAAGGAGACAAAAAATGCGAATGGAATCGAAGAAATTTGAAACTTTTCAAGACGATTTTTGCAAAAGGAATTGGGGCAGAATTTTTGGATTTTAGAGGGGGAAAACTGGTTATTGGCGAAAATCTAGGAAATTTGAATTTCAAAAAATCAAGACGAATTTTCAGAGTTTTTCTGGTTTTTCATTTTTTTCAAATTCCGAAAAATCAAGAATTTTTCACTGATTTTGGAGAAATTATTCGAAATTTCAAGAACTGAGCTTTAATTACAGATTTTCAAAATTTCTGTTCAAAAAATTTAAAATTTTTGAGATAAGATTAATTTTCATGAATTTTGGCCCAGAATTCAAATTTTCGCAAAAAATCTGAGTTTTTACATTGAATTCTGAAGATTTCGAGAACTTCAGAATTCTTTTAAAAAATTTAGATTCACAATTCAGATCTTCGTGGAATTCTGAATGTGGGAAAACCTGTGAAATCGATTTTCAATGAAATTAATTTTAGTTGATAATTTCTGAATTCTAATTTTAAATTTACAAGATTTTCAGCTCAAAAAATCCCTGAAATTGTTCGATTTTTGGAAATTTCAGATTCATAATTTTTCAGCTTCAAAATGCTCCATTTTTCTGGTTTTTTCGGCTAAATTTTCAGCTCAACCCCCTTAAAAACTCACCATTCTCTGCTACAGTATATTCATTCTCCAATCCCTTTTCCTTCTTCTTTTTGCCCTTTCTTTGTTGTAGTTGTTGTACTGGTTTCATTTCAATTGCTGCTGGCTTCTCCTCTTTTCTTTGATTCAACAATTCCGGATTGAACTGCAAAAAAAACTATTTTTTGACTGAAAATTTAAATTTTTGAAAATTGGCTAGGTTCGTGGCCCCAATGTTTTTAGCTTTAAAAATTCCAGAAAAATTCAAAATCTAATTTTTAAACCCAAAATCCGCCACGTGGATTTGTGGGAGGAAAATTTGGGGTTTGCCACGTGGATTTATATATAGAAAAAATCCCTCTTTTCTGCACAAAACTACTCAGGCAGTAGAAAACTCCGGAGGGGAACCAGAAAACGCAAAAACTCCGGAGATTGGCCAAAGTGGGTACAGAAAATCGAGAGAGCGCCTGTTTTTTCTAGTTTGGCACGCCTTTCTAGTTTGGTTTTGGCGATTCTCCGGAGCAAATCGCTGTCGATCGAACGCGCTCCATCGAATGATGACAATGACTAGTCATTTTTTTCATTTCATTTTTTTTTCGTTTTTCTAATTTTTGCTATTCCTTCAAAAATGCTCAGTTTTCAGCGTGTCTTTGCCTGATTTGATAATTTTCAGACAATTGAAATCGTCTAGAAGCAATGTGCGTCCTACGAAATCGTCATGCATGACATATATGGAAAAAAAGTCAACCTGGACTCCATATGGATAAAAGTCAACCTGGACTTGGAATACAATTAGCGATTTTTGCTCCTGGTGAGTGAAGTTTCTTCAACAGAAGTGAATACTAGTTTTAATTATAGATTCAATTGGAATCCCTCGTGCTAGGAGAATTTGAAAGCAGAGGCTCGCTCAATTTTCATTTCTGGAGGATCGCCTTGCAATAATTCCAAAATCCTGAATCACAAGATGTATTCTATTTATGAGGTGAGTCATGAGAAAGAAAATCGATGAACGTTTTTTCGAGTTTTTGAGCTTTGAAAGTTTCCAAATTTCAAGTTTATGACCATTATCACATCCTATCTCAAAAAGGTCGTTCACAATTTCAAAGTGAGAAATTACGATTAATAATACTCTTGGAGAATCATCCTTATAAATCTATTATCCTTTTTTAATTTTCAGCATGAAATGCGCGTATGGCGTCTCCACACAGTGCTGCAGCTCTCCTCGTTGGCTCAAAATGATAAGAAACAGAAGTTCTCGTCAAAAAATTGCCTAAGTCAACACTCAATCTTCATTAGAATGCCAAAGGAATCTTCTGATGCTTATATTCTACTCGTTAGGAGATTGAAACAATCAGAAAATAACTCATTTTTCCTGTTTGTTGAAAATAAATATTGATTTTTGAGAGTGAAACACTAGAATGTATTCGAAAAAAGCAGGCGACAAAAACAAAAAAACTCTGGAGAATCGACAAAAAAGTTCCGGAGAATCGCCAAAGCGTACCGAGAAAAGATCCGGAACCGGGTTTGGAGCCTTTTTCGCGACATTCTCGTTCCATTTCGGCGAAACTCCGGAGTTTTCTACTGCCTGAGTATATAATTTGGCCATAATTTTTTTCCCCGCCATAAAAAAAAACAAAAATTTCTCGTTATCAATTTGCCCCCAACCGAACAAAAAACTGATAATGAAGAAATGCATGTTTTTTGACTGGAACACCGAACGACAAAAGTCTACTGTTTTTTCGCTGTCGCCGCTGATAACCATCGATTACATTCATTTTATGGGCTAAAAATGTACATTTTCAGCCGGAAAAAATATCGTCAAAGGAAAAAATCGATACATTTTTTGTAATAACTAAAAAACGCAGTTTCTTTTCAAAACACGAAAAAGGGGGCGTGGTCTAGAGAACTTTCGAGAAAACTTTTTATTTTGAGAAAAAACTTGTCATCTTGTCACGTGGAATAAGACCAAGATTGTGGAAAAAAAATCACTTGAAAACCTCAACTTTGGTCTGAAATTCAAGATTCTAATGTAAACAAATCGGAAAAAGCATAGAAATCTGAAAAAATTCTCATTTTCTCAAAATTTCAGCCGTTTGGTCGAAATACACGTGGAGTCCGTCGTGGACTTACAGGGGAAAATTCAAAATTTTGCTACGTGGATTTACGAGGTCCAAAATCAACTAGAATGATGAATTTTTCGTATTGAAAATCGAAATTTCATGGAGAAACATCGAGAAACACCAGTTTTCTGTAATACCTGGAATTTCAAGGGAATTCATAATAAAAACCTGAGCTTCTAGTCTCTCCAAGCCTATGTCGGAATCTCACGAGAAAATTAATAGAGAACCTTTCTTTATAGGTTAAAAAACAGGGAATGGCCGAAAACTCAGATTTTATTAATTCAGCCTAGAAACCAGTTTTTTCTCGGAAATTCAGCCAAAAATCCCATAGAACCATCAGATTTTCAGAAAATTCGCCAGAAAACCAACCTCCTCTTCCTTCACACGTTTTTCTGCCACAGCTTTCCGCTTCTTCTCATTTTTCTCTACAGTCCTCTGAAAGCACATCCAAGTGAACCACTTGAGACTTAGCAGAACTACTAGGGTAATAAGCCAATACCAGACTTCGTTCAAATCAAAAAAACTCATAAAAAGTACAAGAATAAATACTAGTAAGTAGCTAGGAAAATAATACTAGAACAATAGAAGAAACACGATGATAGTCACCAATTTTTGGCGTACAACGAGGAATGATTCACCAGAGCAAAGAAGAGGAAAAAATCATTCCCTGTTACACAATTTTTGTGTGTGCGCGCAAAACGGGGCGGAGCCTAGGGCGCCACTGTTTTCCGCGACAACAAGATACAAGTGAGGCAAGAAAAAATTGAGGTGGGAATACGACTAAAAAATAGTGAAGCGCTGGACGGCGGGCAGCAATGAACACACTATTTTCTGATAAAATCGATTTTTTTGTGCCGCTAGCGGCAGTGTGGGAACTTTGGCCTTGAAAAAATACAAATTTTGCCACATCTGATGACTCATTTTTGGTTGAAAGTTTAGGATAGAAAAAGTGGGCGTGGCTTAGAAATTGCAACAGTTGGAAATAGTTTTCAGGCTTGAATTTGTAGAATTCATGAATTCCAGAGCTCAGAGTGTAGAAAACGGATGAAGCTTCACAATTTCATAAATTTGAAAATGTTCCGGAACAAAGGCGAGAAAAACTGTCTGGCACAGTTTTTCGGCCTAAAATGGTAATGATATTTTGAAGCCAAGATCACTCAAAATGGGAGAAATCTGAGAAAATGCAAATCTGGCACAGTTTTTGGTTTGGCTTAAAGTACCGAAACAATGACGAAGCTAAGAAAATTGCAAGCCGGACACAGTTTTCAGGCTCGAAATGACTAGGTTTTTAGATTTTCAGGTGTAGGGCACAGAAAAGGGATCCGCATCTTCAAAAATGCTTGCATGACCCATTTTTGGCTCAAAATAACGAATCTTATGAACATTACAGTCCGAAGCACAGAAAAATTGTCGAAAATGATAAATTTTGCAAGTCTGGCACAGAAAAGTGGGCGTGGTTTCAAAATTGTCAGTATCGCACACTTCCTAGCTCAAGATTATCTCAACCGCTTCAAAATAACGAAATTTTCTGCGCGTCCTCACCGTAAACAAATTGTTGAATCCCAAATGTCGCGCCAATTCGAAATCGATTTTTTGGAATCGACTGTTGTTGTTGAGTTCAAATTGAGAAGTTGGTGAAGAAGAAGTAGACATGGTTTACCCAAAAAATTGGAGTTTTTGTGAAAAAAAATTAGGAGAATACGAAAAAATACGAATTTAAGAGAAAGGTTGCAACTTTCACTCTATATATCTGATAAAGGTAATTTTCGACTTTGCCACGTCATAACTCATCAGGAAGTTGAGTTTTGCAATTTTTTACAACTGGATCGTGATCAGCGGGTCGAAAACTACTTTTATCAAATATCTAGAGTTACCTTGTGAGAAAAGAGAGAAAGGTAAAAGTTTGCAACAAAAATCCATATCAATCGAAAACAAAAACATTTGGAAAGAGAGAGCGAAATGGAGAGAAATGACAAAAATAAAATACGAAAACCGAATCGAATGATACCAAAAAAAACGGCCAAAACAAAATTTTCCACTTTTTTCTGTGTGAAACACACAGAAAAGGGGATGAGAGAGAAAATTGGCCACAATTTCTGTCGCTCTGAAAATTATTTGAAACCAAATAATTTGTGATGACAAATAGGAAGAGAAAAAGTGGGTAGATCAAATGTCAAAAAATTATATTATTATTATTATACAATTTTTTGCGAGTGTGAAATTGTAGATCAATATTTTCCGCAAGCTTCCGCGAATGGTGCCACGTGGATTACTATGACGTTTGCCATATCATAATAATCCACGTGGCCGCTACGCGGAAGCTTGCGGACAAAGAAAAACAACAAAAACCCGAATTTCGCCCAAATTTTCGTTATAAAATCAGAAAATCAGCTGTTTTTGCGTCTCGCCACGAGATTTTTCGCGAACCAACAAACTTTTTGTTATCTCTCTCGTTTTTTTTTGCCGAGAGGTGTTTCGAAATAGCAATTTTTGATGACAAGCAGATTTTTTTTGGTAGTAATTGAGAAAAAATGGGAGAAAGTGGGAAAAAGAGAAAAAAAACACGTGATTTTTTTTGTTTTGGTACAAAATTTTCGTGAATTTTCCTTCTAAAAATCCATAAGTATGCTTTAAAATTTCAGATTTTCCTGGACTTCAAGCTATTTTGAAGTTTCAGCTTGTTTGATATCAAAACATCACAAATATTTAGCTTCAAGAATCCACGTGGCAAACTTCTTGAAAAATCACAATTTTCCAGTTTTTTCAGCCTGAAAATCTCAAATCGCTCAGAAATTCCGAGCAACTTTCTCAAAATTTTCAGCAAAAAATTCCCAAAATCCGAAATTTCGGAGCTCATAGGCTTATTTAGTGTCAAAAAATGCCCAATTTTCCAGCCCAGCAAAAAACCCACGTCATAAGCCGGTTGCAATGGTGGCTGATATGCTAACTGCAAGGGTGGTTGTAGTGGTGGTCTTTGTTGTTGTTGTTGTAGTTGTTGTAATTGTTGTTGTTGTGTGATCAATGCATAATTCGCCGGTGTCAGCATATTTCTTTGCAACAAATCGGAGCCGATTGCAAGCGGGGTCAATGAGGTGAACATTGGTCCGGAGCCTGGGCCGAGAATTCGCTCATCTGGTCTGATATTTTCTGTATGATTGTTTTGACGGATTTGTTCTTCCTGGAAGAAAATATTGATTTTTTGAGGGTTTTTTTCGGGGGGAAAATCAGAAGGATATTGATTTTCAAGCTAGAATATTGATTTTTTTTTTCGAAGCTAGAATATTGATTTTCAATGCTGAATTTTGATTCGGACCAGCTGAATCACATTTCCAACTGTTGGGAAATTCAAAATGTCTAAAAATGAACTTTTGATAAAGCATACTAAATCAATCACGATTCTGAAGTTAAAAATTGCCAGAAAGCATCTTTAGCATCTTTTTAGAGCTCCAAAGTTAGATTTGAGTATGTGCCATGTTCCAAGTGAAAAATCAAAGTTGAATAATATTTTTCAGCACATTCGAAAACCTCATAAAGTTCTAAATGGGTTTTCAGCATTTTTTGATAAATTGAAATTCTATGAGGTTTTCCAATGTGCTGAAAAATATTATCCAAGTTGTGAATCAAAATTCTAGCTTCCAGAACTTTCCACCAAAAATCCAACCTCATCTCCCGTCTTATTAATTTGCTCTCTCTCCTTCTTCCTCTCTTCAGCCAATTGTCTTTCCAGTTCAGTCATCGGCCTCTTCTTCTTCTTTTTCTTATTTTTGCCTGTTTTTCCACTTCCGATTACAGTTCCACACTCCATTCTATCATATCTATCCGTCGAAATCGGACCCAACTCTTGCACGTGTTGCTCTGGATTTCCGCGTCGATGCGTCGATGCGCGTGGCGGAACAACAACTTCTTCCGCACTGCAAAAAAATAAATGAGAAATTCAGAAAAGAAATTATGCAAACTCACCCATCATCGATGAAATCCATTTCTTCGTCGTAGGTGACCCTAAACAACAAGAAATACGTGTCAAAAATCTGGAAATTGGCTGAAAATCAGATTTTTCGTCAAAAGATCATAAAAATCCATCAATTTTAGGCTAGAAATCATGAAAATTGATGAATTTACGATGGGAAATTGGGATTTTTGATGAAATTTAGGTTTTCTAATAGATTTTTACCAGCTGAACAAGATCCTGTGGTTGGAAACTACTTTCGGACATCAGGATTGTGTTCAGCAGGTGAAAATCCATCATAAATCCTAAATTTCATCAAAAATTCCAATTTCCCAACGAAAATCCATCAATTTTCATAATTTCCAGCTTAAAATTGGCCGATTTTCATCATCTTTGGGTGAAAACACTGAAAATTCACCAGAAATCTCGAACTTTCGCAGGTTTTGCAAGAAAAATCCCAAAAACTCACGGTTTTTTCTCTTTTTTGCCCAAGAGTTGCATAATTACCGCAGTCGTCGATTGTTTCGTCTCGTCCGGTAAGATTTGCTGCAAAACAACAAAAAGTTCACGAAATTTTGATTAGAAGTTAGCCTAATTTTTGTTTTGGCGCCAAAAAAACGAGAAAACAAATATTTTCAAAATCATCATTTCGGACAGAGAAGCCAGAGAAGCAGACACTTTTTTCATTTTTTTATTTCGAAAAAATGAAGGCAGTGTGAGAGAGAGGAGGGTGCGAGAGAAAGAGGGAAAAGAACATTCTTTTTTGTGCTTTGCAGGATGGAAAAGCACTAGAAACAAAAAGAAAATCTGCAATTTTTATCGAGTTTTGAGATCTTCTTGAGGAAAATATTGATTTTCTGCTGTAATTATCAGATTTTCAGCCGTTTTCAAGCATAGGCTTGGAGAAAAACAGTAAACAGACTTTTTAATGGAAAATTTAGTGTAGAGTGAGCTTTCCAATTGAAACTTCAGGATTTTTCATTGGAAATGTGCTATTTTCAGCTTTTTTCAACTCTAGACTTAAAAAAAACCAGCTAAAACCATATTTAAACTGATTTTTGTCTAATCTAGGCTGAAAATTCACTTGAAAGCTTTCTCCAGACTGAATGTTTCATATAAAATCTGTTTACTGATTTTCTCCAAGCCTGCGCTTGAAAATAGCTGAAAATCTGGTATTTGCAGCAAAAAATCAATATTTTCCTCAAGAAGATCTCAAAACCCAAGTGCTTTTTCGCATTTTTCACTCACAAAACATTTCAAAGACAAGAACAACACAACACAACAACGAATTTATAGAATAATATTCAAAATTAACCTTCAATTTAGCGGCGTTCCTCAACGTCTCCTCAAATTCGCCAAAAGTTTGTTGCATCAACGAATCCGTGATGATTTTCTGAAAAAAACTTCTTGAAAAGCATTATCACCTTGAAACTCCTTACCTCAGCGATATCCATCTCTAACTATAGCTATCTAATGAACAAAATACCTGAAAAATAGTGATAAAAGGAGGTTTTCTCAAGAGAAACGCATAAGCTACTTGCAATAAATGAAAAAGAAATAAAGAATAAAAAGGGCAAAAAAGCGACCACACAACACCGGCAGGCAGATTAGAATAATAATATGTATTATATTATTCCTAATACCATAGAGTATAATAGCTGGAAATCGAGCCGCGGCGAGAGAAAGAAGCGAAAAGCTCCACTTGGATACCAACCAAATTAATTAACACCTTGCTGCCTTGTGTTTCTATGCGAAAAAAGACGAGGAGATAAGCCGAAAAGCAGCAGGTGCGGGCGGCAGAAAAAAACGCAAGAAATAAAAGTAAAATAACGAGACTCCGCGTGAACGGCGGGTCTCGCAGCGACTCGGCGCGAAATGAAGGAGTGTTTGAAATTATTTTTCCTTTTTTCACCTTTTCATGCCGCGAAATAAGCTAGAAGTAAGCTGGGAATATTTCGAAATCAAACAAAAAAAAAATAAATTTTGTGGGTCACGCTGAAAAATATTTTTATCTGCAGAATTTTATCATTTTAACTTTTTTTCCCCCAAAATAAATATTCATTGAATAAAAAAAAATATCACAAAATAAATGTAGTTTCCCCCAAAATATTATAATTTCAATTGAAAATTAAAAAACAAAACTTCTTAAATTTATTTGACAGCCTTCATTTTGCCCTCATCCAACTTGAAAATCTCGACAATTTCTCTCTGATCCATCTGCGCTTTTTCGGCCGCTTGTTTCGCGTCCAAAAATCCATCGGGACTTTTTCCATATTCCAGTGAGAAGAATTCAGCGACTTCTGGAAAATAATAAATAATTTGGTCTTAAAATGTTCCAAGCTAAACAAAACACATTTTTTGAATTTTCTGGTTATTTCTCATGAAAAATATAATTTTCCGATCTTCCGGAATCAAAAATTGCAGGAAATCCATGATTTCTCACAATTAAAAAAAAAATGTTCCAAGCCTCCAATTTTTCAAAAAAAATTTTTTTGATCTACACGCGTCAAAACACCACAGAAATCCAATTGTTCCTTTGTTTTATCTGTGAAAAAATTCATTATCGATATTTGGTAAATCGAAAAATCCACGTTGTTTCGAGCTTTTTGTCGATGGGTAAGTTCAATTTTCTAAAAAAAAACCCATTTTTTGTTGTTAATAATACACAGTGTTCGTGGTTGTTCTCATGATTTCATAATACAAATTTCAATTTTTTCCAGATGTCCACCAAAAGAATTCTAATAAAATAATTCTAGCGGAACTGATGCAATTGGTCGAAAAGCTGCTGAACAATTTGCAAAACTTGAACATGCCGTGACTATTTCGGGAAGAAATTCGATGAAAACCAAGGATCTTATGGAGAGTGTTTCATTCGAATTTGTCGGATTTGCAGAAAACTCGCGAATTCGCTGGCATTGTTGCCAATGAGAAACTGTGAGTTTTTTTTTTTGGTTGATTTTGACATACACGCCCGAAATTTAGATGCAAAATGTCATTTTTCCCAAGAGATTGCAAAAAAAATTAAAAAGAAAACAACGAGACTCCGCGTTGACGACAGGTCTGCGCGCGTGGTGGAAAAAATTAAGCAGTCCCTAAAAATTAGGCAGTTCCAAAAAATTAAACAGTCCCAAAAAACAAGCAGTCACAAAAAGGTAAGCAGTCCCAAAAAATTAGGCAGTCCCAAAAAATTAAGCAGTCCCAAAAAATAAGCAGTCACAAAAAGTTAAGCAGTCCCAAAAAGTTAAGCAGTCCCAAAAAAATTAGCAGTCCTAAAAAATAAGCAGTCACAAAAAGTTAAGCAGTGCCAAAAAGTTAAGCAGTCCCAAAAAATAAGCTGCTTATATTTTTTGGGACTGCTAATTTTTTTGGGACTGCTTAACTTTTTGGGACTGCTTAACTTTTTGGGGCTGCTTAACTTTTTGTGACTGCTTATTTTTTGGGACTGCTTATTTTTTGGGACTGCTTATTTTTGTGTCTGCTTATTTTTTGGGACTGCTTATTTTTTGGGACTGCTTATTTTTTGGGACTGCTTATTTTTGTGACTGCTTATTTTTTGGGACTGCTTATTTTTTGGGACTGCATATTTTTGTGTCTGCTTATTTTTTGGGACTGCTTATTTTTGTGTCTGCTTATTTTTTGTGTCTGCTTATTTTGTGTCTGCTTATGTTTTGTGTCTGCTTATTTTTGTGTCTGCTTATTTTTTGGGACTGCTTATTTTTTGTGTCTGCTTATTTTTGTGACTGCTTATTTTTTGGGACTGCTTATTTTTTGAGACTGCTAATTTTTTGGGACTGCTTATTTTTTGAGACTGCTTATTTTTTGGGACTGCTTATTTTTGTGACTGCTTATTTTTTGGGACTATGGGCTTTTACTTTTTGCCGAATACTTATCGAAATTTTCTGAATTTTCGCATCGAACTAGAAAACAGTTGAACTAAGCTAACGTAAATCTAAAATCTTTCACGGTATCAGCAATGTTTTTCTGACCACAAACCTGTCTTCTCCTTATTCTTCCCCTTCACATCCGCTTTTCTGACAATATTCAAAGTCAATTCCTCTCCAGCCTGAAGAATCGCACAAGTCGGCGACATTGTATAACCCTCATTATTATTGAGCATACAAATCTGATAAACTAGAGTTACACTTCCAATATTTGTCAGAGTTATTGATGTTTTATCCTCGCGATTCGGAGTCAAATAGATCTTATTGGTGGAAAGTTCGAGCTTCGGAATCAGCGACTCTTCTTCCTCTTTTCTCGCATCGATTTCGATTCGTCTCTTCATGTTGAAGAATGATTTGAACTTGATTGATGGTTGTTCCAATCGAATTCCATCGGCCATATTCATTGAATCGCAATAGAATTGGAGCACACTTGGCTCGAATTCACGACCTTGTTTTTCGTATTTTTTGTAGGTTTTTTCGCGACGAGTTTCGAGCCAGATCTGGAAGATTTTCGGTGGGATTTAGAGCCACAAAACCAGGTTACGGAGGTGATTCAGATTCTGAATTTTCGAAAAATTCAATTTCCGAAGGTTTATATCAGTGTGGAGATTTTGCCACGTGGATTTTTAGATCCAATATTTTTAAACCGTACCTCCACATCAATCTGCGAAATATTGAATTTCTCCGAAAACTCCTTGACCTCCTCAGCTCCCGGGAACTTTTTATGTTTCGCGTAAATCAATTCCAGATTTTCAGCCTGCCAATTCGAAATTGTGCCATATTGCAGGAATTTCTTGGGCACCTGCTGCTGTTTGTGTTCCAAGTCATCATCGGAATCCGGATATTCCCGAGGTGCACAAATTTGCGACGCGGAAATTGGTGGTGGTGGTGGGGAGTTCAGGTATTTTTCCAGCATTTGCTTTTTTGGTGACAATGGTTTGGGCGATTTCTGGAATTAAATTAGGAATTTTTTGAATTTCTTGTATTTTCTTGCAACCTGAAATTACGAGAAATACAAAAAATTCTATTTTTTCTAGCTCACCTTATTAGAATCAGCTCTAGCATTTTTCGAAGTGTCAATAAGACTCATCCGTTTTTCCGAAGTGTTCTTCGGAGTGTCGTTGACCTTATCAACACTTGGAGTCTTCTTCATATCTTTTTGAATCTTCGGAGTTTCCTTAGGTTTCTGAAGATCCTTGGAATCAGATTTTGGCTTCTGAAGTTCCTTGGGACTCTTGAAAGTCTCCTCAGACAAGACAGCACTCTTCTCATATTTTGGTGGAAGATTCGGTGAGATCACATGATATCCACTTCCCAACCCGAGTTCCGGTGGAGTTATTGGTGATGGAATCTTCGGAGTGTCGTTTTTCGAGTGCGCGGAAGCTTCGCGTTTCCGCGTGTCACCAGATTTTGGTGGTGAGCCGCCAGATGTCTTGGGTGGAGTTGGTGAGACAACGTCGAGCCCAGGGAATCCTGGACGAGACGTGATGAATGAGTTAGGCGAAGTCTGGATAGGATCAGCAGGGTGTTCGGATTTTTTGGGTGGTGAGCTCTTGTCTCGACCGCTTGATGTTTTTGGTGGAGGGGTTGGTGATGTTGACATCATCTTGGGTGGAGATGAAGATTGACGCGGTTTGGTTGGGAGAGTCTGGAAATTTAGAAGTTCTAGAAATGCATACAGAACTTCGGGAAGCTTCTAGAAACACGTCAGCGAATTCCTGAGCTTCCTGAAATACGTTAGCTAATTTCAGAGCTTCGAGAAACACGTAGCATTTTTCGAAGCTGCTAGAAAAGCGTCAGCAAAATTATAGATCTATAGATGTCTCAAAACTGCGCCAGCACAAAAAATGCGAGAAATTTTCTCTAATTACATTTGAGCTGCTGAACTTTAAGGGGGGATAATTGAATATCACGGGATATGATTATAGGGTGATTCATGAAAAATTTCTGATTCACATCATCAAAAATCTAGGCTTAGACGAAGTGGGTACTGTAGTTTTCCTGGTTACAGTTTGATCTATTTTTTTCATTTTAGAGTGTCTCAAAAATCTACGTGGGGAAATTCTAAAAATCTACAGCTTCAAAACTACAGTCTAGTTTGAAAACAGTAGATCAAAATTGCAGCTTTGAAATTTAATTTTAAAAAAAAACTGCTCACCTTCTTATCGCACATCGATTTCATCGCAGAATTTCAGTTTGAATTTCAGCAGTCAAAATTTTTCAAAATAATTTTCTGAAAATAAAATTGTCTATCTCGAGCCACAAAAAATGGGCGGAGCTTAAATTGAGATGAAGCTCCGCCCACTTTAAGCGTCAGCGTCATGCAGAATTTGATAAATCAAATATGGAACTCTTGATCTCTGACATCGAGAGAGCATAGAGAAAAAGAGAGAGCAGAGAAGCAGAGTCGCTGTGATTAATAATTTTCTGATCTCCGGGGAAATTAGAAAATTTTTGGGAATAACAATGATTTCTAGAATTTTCGAGAAAAACTCTTCTAGAAGATTTTTGAGACCTGAAATTGAATTTAGGGGTGATTTTTGAGTTGGAAATTTGGAGCTGATTGTTTGAATTTTTTTTGAAAATCTACAGTATACCAGGCGAGCATCCTAATGACCCATTTCTCATATTAACACACACTAAAGTAATCCTAAGTGAACATGGCTCAGGTTAACTACCTACAGTAATCCCGCAACGAATTTTTCATTGTGTGTTTTGGTTTTTCGAGCAAATCTCATTTTTTATTGAGAACAAGCGAGAAAAATTTAATAACACCCTATAAAAAGCGCCGTTACAAAAAATCACGAGTTCTGAGAAAAAAGTGCAAACACAGCCCTCCAAATCCAATTTAACCCAAAAAAATAATGATAGGTTGGAGCTAACGATTTCTGAGAAAACGTCCAAATTTAATTCGCGCACATAAAAAAATTGATTGTCAGCTTTTGTTTTCTTGAAGTGCACAAGTGTCTGAGCAAGGAAACAAGTTGAGATTACGGTAGATTTCTGTGGCGTCAAAATCACAGGAAATCGTTGTGGGACCTAGAAACTGAACAATATACAATCAAACAAAAATCATCATGATTACTGTAGAGAGTTAACATGAGCAATGGGCCTCGGAAGCTCAAAAAATTTGAAATATCAAGAAATGAAATTCTAAATTTCCACGTACTAAAAAATCACGTAAATTATTTTTTGACATTTATTTCGGCTCTGAAATTCTTTAGTGCATGAAACATCTGCGTTTTTTTTTGAAAAAAATAATTTTGGGGCCAAAACTTAAATGTACATCAAATTTCAATTTTTAAAATTTGTTCAGTAGAAACTTTAGTTGTCTGATTTCGTATTTCGAAAAAATCACCTGCTCCAAAAACTCACGTATTTTTATTTCAATCTAGTTTAAAAATATCAAAATGTCCACAAATTCCTCAAATTTCTTCGATTCCTACCCAATCGAATGCGATGTTTCCTATGATCCACTTCTCGAATTTCTAAAATTCTTCCTTCAGGCAATTTATCTGCTCCCAGGCTCTCTAATAATCCTAAAACTCCTCTACATAATTCTATTTGCCCAGCGCTCGAAGTACAAAAATAATTATTTTTTTCGATTTTATGTGCTAGATTTGCTAGCAAGTTTCTATAACTCATTCAGTGATTTGATTTTTGGCAGATTTTTTATATATATTACACCATTGTGTGGAATTATTGCACCTTTTTTCTACGATTTCTCGATTTTTCTCCAAATCTCAAATAATTTATATAATTATTGTCGAGCGCTGAAAAGTGTCACACAAATATTGCTCACCACAAATCGTATGACTTGCGTGATGTTTCCAATTTTCCACCAGAAAATTTGGAAGACATCTTTCAAAATTGTAGTTAGCATAACTCTAATCCTCCCATTTTTCGCGATTTGGAATTTGATAATTTCGAGAAATTATATCACTGAAACTTTTGGCGGGTTTCATGTTAATCATAAAAATGCGATCTCTTGGGCAAGTTTATCCAAGTTTCAATTGGCTTTTATCAGTGTGGCGTTGGTTTTCACATTTTTGAATACAGGTATGGAGGAGGTGGAATTGGGGAGTGTCGTTTGAAAATATTTTCCACGTGAATTTTTTTGAATTGAACACGTTTTTTGAAGTCCAATGAAGCTAAAAATTTTAGAATTTATTTTTTTCGCGGAAAAAAAGCAGAGCGTCATTGCGGAGCCTCGTTGCGAATTATTATTCTTCATTTTTTCCAGCCCTAACTCTCTACGGCCTTCACAATCTATCAAATCGCGTCAAAAGCACCGAAAAAACCCTATGCCTAACCTCATTCATAATTTCTATTGGATTTTTTGCCGCCGGCGTTTTTCAATTCGTTTTCGCTTTTTGTAAGAGTTGCAGTTTTCCCGTGCTCGGGCAGAAAACGGCGAGGTCGCTACCAATCGGGGCGGAGTCGCTACACGTTTCGGGCGACTGGCCCGAGGCTGTTTGGGCGAGCTTGGAGCGACTCGCCCGAGTGCGAAGCAACTTGCCCCGTTCTCGCCCCGATCCACTCTCTCGGAGGGTGTCCAGAAGCATTTTTCAAAAACTGTATCTATGGAGCAAAAGTAGATCTACTTATAGTTTTATTACCCTACATTTATATGGGCCATTTTATCACTGAATCACTGTGAAATCCCGAAAAAAAAGCATAAAAACCATGATTTTAAAAATGAGCAAAAATTGTAGCGAGTTGCCCGGTACTCGCTACTTTTGAGGCGCGTTTGGGGCAACTCGCTACAAAACGAGTCTCGAAAATTGTGTAGCGAGTCGCCCCGAGCTATGTCGTTTTTTGGCCGAGTGCTTTTTGGTGTTCAATTTTTGACATTTGATTTGATTAATATTGGGTAAGTCTTACTGAAAATTTGCCACGTCATAACTCATTTTAGATCTCCCTTAATGATGATTATTATGAATTCTGAATTGAGAGCTGAAGTTATGCCTGGATTCTTCAATAAATTACCGCAGACAACTAGAATTTCAGTTCTGTCAACAAATTCTTCTTGAATGAAAATTTTTCGCTTTTACAAAATCAAGGTGCCAGGTTCGATTCCCGGTACACGCTAAATTTTTTATTTTTTTTTTCCGAAAAACCAGTCGAATTATTCGTGGCTCATGAAACGCCAAAAATAAGTTCAGTTAGAGACCGTTCGACGATGAGAGAGTGTAGAGATACGAGAGAGCGCAGACATTTAATACTATTTGTGAACTGACTCTTCTTTTTTCGACTTTTTTTGTTTCGGCAAAAGTCAACTGTAAAGTTTACTTTTACTTTGTTTTGTTTTTATTTTAGAAAAAAGTATGAAAAAACTTGTGATTTTCGTGCTGATTTTGGGATTTGAGCAGAGTTTGGAGCAAACGGTGAGTTTTTTTTTTGGGGAGGGGAAAAGTGGGACTTTTTTCAGAATCAAAAAGGTTTCAAAAAATTTAGTGACTTTGCCACGTGGATTCACTGGACTGAAAATCACGAACTTTGCAAACTAAAATTTTGCCACGTGGATTTTTAAAAATTTTTTTGAAGTTCTAAAAAATTTGGTTTCACTGGTCCAAATTTCGCTACGTGAATCTTTGAAGTAAAAAATGTTAAAATTTTGCCACGTGGATTTCTAGAAATCCACGTGGCAAAAAAAGAAATTTCTTGAAGTCAAATAAAAAAAAACAAGAATGAAACACCGGCTATCGCCGGTGTTCATCCTTGTTTTTGCTTCGCAGCCTTCGGCTGCGAATTGTGTTCTCTGCAGACACAAAAAATTCAGAATTATAAATTGTCACGCCTGTGTCGTGGTTCCCTAAACTTAAAATGTTCCGCTAACTTTTTTCAGTGTAAAAATTGTAATTTTTCGGTTTTTGGACCTCTAAAATACTCAAATTTTGATAATTCTCAAAATTGTTATCTAGCCCACGACCCCACAACGGATTGCCCGAGGTGTTTCCGAACTCTTTTATTGGAAAACTTTGGCACAGGACATAAAATAGGTCCCCCGAGCCAGTTTTTTTCAGTTAGGGTCCCTCTTTGAAAAATTTACAAAGTTAAACCCCATTCCTCACATTTTTGAACGAAGGCAAATCTGGGAATTTTGGTAAATCATCAAGAGAAAATTGGCCAAGTTAGACACCCTTCCCTTCAAATTTTATAGCAACAGCTGAACATTTATTGGTTGAACTTTGAAGGGTTTCTTTCGGAAAATACGAAATTGATTATTGAAATGGAATCGCAAATAAAAAATCAGTCCCTGCCTTATTTTTGCTTTTCACAAATTGGTTCCGTGTCACTAATTTTCAAAAAGAGTCGGCCATTGCAAAATGGGTCTTCGATAATTTTCTAAATTTTTGCAAAATGGTTCCGCGAAATCGGTTCAAACTTCAATAAGTACTATTGTTTTGCGGACTCATTTTGAAATTTTTCTGGAAAACTCTCGGATGCCTATTTTGAAATAGCTGACTGATTATTAAAAATGGAGCGAGCTATTTTTGAAATCACGGATCCTTTTCAAATCGAAAAGGTAGGTACGCACTCATTTTTATTTTGCAAACCTTCTTTCATGGTGTGCCTCGAACTTTTTCGAGAGACCATTTCAAAATGAGCATATGCCCTCATATCACCCTGATAGATGGCTGCATTTTTATTGTAAAATATTATTTTCCTGTAACACTGTTGGAATCCTACAGAATTGTTGAATTTTTTTTTTGAGATCTCACAAATAACAAACTGAATAAGTATCAATTTCCAAATACCGAGAGATGACACAAAAATGAAAAAGCTAGATTTTCATAACTTCACTTCATGGTTCAGGTTATAGAGTGACATTCAGGAGTTCTTGATAGTTTAGTTTCATTTCCTATAGCCACTTTATTCAGAATTCAGCAAAATTGAAGTGGAATAAGATCATTATGTGAATTCTTTTCGAAATTTTGAAATGAGAAAAGATAAAAAGATTTTCACGTTTGAATTAAAAATTCGAAAGTGGGGCATTTATATAGGTCAAACGGGACACTTTTCGATTTAAGCCCAATAATATATAAGTATGATATGTGAATTCTTTTCGAAATTTTGAAATGAGAAAAGATAAAAAGATTTTCACGTTTGAATTAAAAATTCGAAAGTGGGGCATTTATATAGGTCAAACGGGACACTTTTCGATTTAAGCCCAATAATATATAAGTATGATATGTGAATTCTTTTCGAAATTTTGAAATGAGAAAAGATAAAAAGATTTTCACGTTTGAATTAAAAATTCGAAAGTGGGGCATTTATATAGGTCAAACGGGACACTTTTCGATTTAAGCCCAATAATATATAAGTATGATATGTGAATTCTTTTCGAAATTTTGAAATGAGAAAAGATAAAAAGATTTTCACGTTTGAATTAAAAATTCGAAAGTGGGGCATTTATATAGGTCAAACGGGACACTTTTCGATTTAAGCCCAATAATATATAAGTATGATTTCAGAAAAAGTTGATATGGATTTTTTGAAGCTGAAATTTTTTGCCACGCGGATTTTCAGACCTGACCTCGATTTTTCCAGTGTCAATGTACCAATCAACCCTCCTGCTCCGTGAACTACGATACCAGATATCAAGCAGACACTCTTGAAGAAGCCATGGCCTCCTTCCCCGATTTATCCCTGGACTCGGATTCTCAAACATCTCTAGATTCCGATGTTGGATGTTTAACTGAAGAATGTCAAGATTGTCAGAAGGATCTGAAAAAACAGCTGAAAAAAGTGGGACTTCTTCAACCGGATATTAATGATATTTTTATGACAAATCAATTGAATTCGACTTCGAGTTGTCGGAAATATCGATTCAGTTTGCAGAAGAATATGGGTAAATTTTGAGGAAATGCTGAAAATTTGGGAGTTTTTGAGCTAAAAATCTTGAAAATTCAGCAGTTTTTAACCAAACTAGATCAATTTTCATGAATTCTAGCTCAAAAAATCGCAAATTTTCAGCTAAATTTCTAGATTTTCCCATCCCACTTCTAAATATCCTAACATGTCTCAATTTTTCTAGAATCTAACCAAGAAAATTCAAAGGATGATTCAGAGGATAGTAGTGATGAGAAAGAGGATCAGGAGAGAGTACAGAGCAAAGGTGGAAGACGGCGGGAAAAACGACAAGTTTCGACAACTTCACAGAATATCACTGAAGTTGTGGGTGAGTTGGGCTAAGTTTGATTTTGAAAAAGGTTAGGTAATTATTAGAAGCCTGGGAAATAATCTAGAAGGTTTTGGAGGTTTTCTGATTTTTTAGAAGCTCTGGAAAATTTTGAGAAGCCCAGAAGATTTCAGAAATTTCAAGAAGCTCTGAAAATAATTCAGAGAATTTTTCTGAACTTCTAGAATCTCCTGTGATTCTCTAGAAGCTCTGGAAGTGTTTTCTGAGTTTTCAAAATTCTGAAAATGGTTGAGAAAAAGTTTCAAATTCTTCAGAAGCTTTGGAAATTCTCAGAATAGTTATCTGAAATTCTAGAAGCTCATAGAATTTCTCGGTAGCTCCCAAACTGCAAGGATTACTGTACCTGAAAAAATCCCAAGATTCTTAAAGGCACACGCTACACAATTTCGTGCACAACAAAAGGCATCGACGTGGATTCGACGGGTACTGTATCGCTATGCTCATCTTGTTGGGTTTGGCGAAAATTACCGGCTAATTATCGACCACAGTATGTTAATGAGTTGATTTGTGACAACGCGGATGGAACTTGTTTGAGTGGTAAGATGCCACGTGGATTTTTGACGTCAAAAATTCATTAATTCCAGGCTACGCGACCTGTTCCATCGGCCACCGTACCTTCGACGCGATTCGAACCGATCCAACAACCGGCAAAACTGCTACAGTAACCCTACAAGCTGGAAGCTATTGTGAATGTCGGGCTACGGTATGTGCCTTGAATCTTTCTTCCTATGCGCCTATATGATATTTTTGCAGAGTCAATCCTCGATTCAATCTTTGGTTTCAGGCGCTGGAATTAGTGGAGTCTATAATCCAAAAATTATTGGCTAAAAATCGATATTCAGCTTTGAAATTGTATATTTTTGTTCCCCAAACATTCCATTATTAATGAATTACACGATAAAACTTGAGATTATAGTACACACTCTAGTTATCTTTGTGGTCAAAATGGCGCCATAATTGAACACCCGCCCGCCTAGAGATACTAATTGATAAGACAATGAGAAAGAAAAAAACGAATAATTTTCGACAAAGGTCATTTTCTTTCTATCCCGCCTTTTCTATTGATTCCTTTCTGTTTTTTGCGCGAAAAATTAGAAAATTAACAAAATAAATAAGTAAAATTCTGTTTGAAAAATCCATGTTCGCGCATTTGGGTCTCGCGGCGATATGCAAATGTGTGTAGTTCTCGCGGACGATTTTTTAATTTTTTCGCAAATTTTTTAGGCGCCGGTTTTTCTTGTGTTTTTGGGTGATTTTGAGCTGGAAATAAGCAGATTTTTTAAAGGACACTTTGAAAATCTTGAATTTCATTGAAAATTTTAGTTTTAGACTGAAAAAATTGAGGATATTTGAGGTGAACTGTGAAAATTCACAAATATCACATTTTTCATTTTCTAGCTGGGATTTCAGTTCCAGAAGCCTAAAGAGTCTAAATTTTTAGGTTGCGCAGGGATTTTTGGGCTTAAAATGAGCAAGATAAAGATTTTGAGCCAAAAAATAGTCAAATTTGAGCTCAAAACCATCAGAAAACCGTGCATTTTCAAGTTTTCCATCTAAAAATCTCCCAATATTTATTTTCCAGACAAAATGACGTTAGCACGCAGTGCAATTTTCGAAGAAATTGCACAAATCGCCAAACAGCGAGTTATGCTAATTGATGGTGCCATGGGAACTATGATTCAAAGGGAGTATTTGGAGGAAGACGATTTTCGTGGAGAGGTTTGGTTGTTTATTGTATTTGATAGGTTCTAAAGAACATTGATAAGAAATGATAACAGCTGACATCAAAATTTGATCTAAAAAAACAGGTTTTTTTGTTTTGAGTAGAATGAGATCACTTTTTGGTGCTAGAAAATAATTCAAAAATTGATATTGTTAGAAAATTTACAAGAAATCCGAGATTTTTGATGAAAATTATATTTCCTGGTAGATTTTTTTAAAAGTAAAAAAAATTCATTTTTCAAACCCAGAAAATTCGAAAATTTTAATTTTACCTTAAATTCGTCATTTTTCGAATTTATCGTAATTTCAGGTTGCAAGAAAATACGAGAAATTCAGAAACTTGCGAAATTCATGTTTTCTAGCTCAAAAATCGCATTTTTCAGATCCTCAAAGAGCACACCAAACCTCTTAAAGGAAACAACGATCTTCTATCCCTGACAAGACCCGAAATCATCTATAAAATCCACAAACTTTACCTGGAAGCCGGTGCCGATTTTGTGGAAACCAACACATTTTCTGGCACAACAATTGCTCAAGCTGATTATGCTTGTGAACATTTGGTGCATGATATTAATTTTGAATCGGCTAAGCTTGCGAAGAAAGCTTGTGAAGATGTTGGAAAAGCGACGGGTGAGAGAATTTTTGGATGAAAAATTCAAATTTTAAATATTTCACATTAAAAAATGGTGGAAATTTTGATTTTTTCACCCAAAACCCAAATTTCCCTTGCCAAAGTTGAATTGTTCCTAAAAACCAGGTAGACGTCGTTACGTGTGTGGTGCAATTGGACCAACCAACAAAACCCTATCGATTTCGCCGTCTGTTGAAAAACCCGATTTCCGGAACGTTAGTGAGTTGATTTCGGGGTTTTTTGGGAGAAATTATGAGAATTTTTGAGGATATTGGAGCATTTTGAGCCAAAATTTGAGATTTTTGAGCAACAATTATGAATTTTCGGGCAAAATTTTCCCCAAAGATTGGAATTTCAGAAAAAAAATCTAGCAATTGCTCATATCATAACCTAGGGCATTGCTCAGGTTAATCTTCAAAAATCCGAAACCCATAAATTTCATGAAAAATATTTCAAAATCTTTTTTTTAATTTGTATAATCTGAGCAATACTTTAAAGTTTATGGAATTTCTCATATTAGAATCCAGGGCATTGCTCATGTTAGCACACCCAAAACCCTATTAAATGTCTAGACAAAAACAACCAACATAATTATTGCTCATGTTAAATTATCGTGCGAAAATATGTATCAAATTTCCATCTAATTTTTGTGAGAACTTTTCAAAATCGGAGAAAAACAACAAAGTTAACTTCCAATAACTTTATTGGTTAACACAATGGATACAGATATACTTAATCCCTATCCAAATCGATAATATCAGGCATGTCTACCGAACCTCTTTGGAAACGAACATATTGTTGTAATGCAACTGGAGCATTTCTCAATTTTCGTTGAGAATCGGAGTTACAAGCGAGCACGCTGAAAATGAAAATATGTAAATGTGGTTTTAGACCAACTGATCTTCTAAATTGAGTTATGACGTGGCAAAGTTCGAGATAGACAGATATAACCTGGGTGTCTGTCTTCGTCTCTCTCTCTCACTCACACAATGTCAATATTTTGAGCCTGTTTCGAGGCCTAGAAACATACCTCAACAGAACCAAAATGATCAGAGCTTCTACCCAAATAGTCACAACATGTGGATGTATTTTCATCTGAATCGATTCGCAATGAATAATCAAATGTGTATGACGAAACGGTGTCACAACTTCTTGTCTCAATTTCTCGCTGCTCTCCTTGCACATCCTTTTCATTTTCTCATAGTCATTTTCATGAACCGTGACATTCAGAAAAAAATCCTCAACCATATCTCGTTGATCCTTGAATATCTTGAAAGTGTCTGCGTATTCGACATTGATGTTGAGCACGATGATTTTGTTGTCTAGCTCGAATTCTTTTTCCACTCGACTCCAATAAACGAGCAACTCGTTTTTATGGAGTTCGGGCGGAGGTGGTGGCCGCACAAAAGCTGTTGCGATGTAGAAGAAGGAGAAGAAGAAGAGAAGCGCACCGATTTTCATGGTTGAAATTAGGGCTGTAAAAAAAGAGTGTTCGGGTGCCGGAATACACTGAAAAGAAGAAGAATGAAGTTATTCTAGGCGGAGCTCAGAATCAGCGTGTGCGAAATTTTGTATTGTCTAGACAGTAGCGCAATTTTGTTCACATTACAAATTACTGTGAGAAACTGTATAGTTTGTCTAATTGAAGGTAGAATATTCTACGAGCTCAAAAAAAAGTAGCATTGCTCAGGTTAGGCTACAGAAAAACCTTCTGAGAACAAAGCATTGCTCAGGTTAAGCTACATGAAAAGGAAAATCTATTGAAGAGAAGCATTTCTCATCTTACAATTAAACTATTGTCTAGACAGTAGCGTAATTTTGTTCACATTACAAATTACTGTGAGAAACTGTATTGTCTAATTGAATATGAATATTTTCGAGAAAAACAACTTGATATACGAATTTCCGATAAAATTACCTAGACCCTACAAAAATGATCTAGATCCCAAAAAAACCTTCAAATCTAAGATCAGAAAAAATTGAAAAACATTTTTAGAAGCTCAAAATTACTCATACTAGAACAATCCGAAAGTACAGCATTCCAAGAGCCCCTAAAAGCCGAAAAATAGTTGCATTGCTCAGGTTATGCTTCGAGAAAAGTCCTAACGAGGGAAGTGTGTTATGAGTCCCCGGAGATTTTCAATGAGACCTATGTTTTTTAGGTCAGTTTTTCACGCTGATAAAGCTCCTGTTTTCAGTTTTTGCTGAACGACTCTCTGAAGAGCCCAAAAATGAGCCAAAAGTTGAGAATTTCCTGAAAATCGCGTTTTTGGGAGCCCATAACTCATGTTAGAAATTATTTTTATGGAAAACTGAATGCATCACGTTGTTCAGGAGGGTTGATTTACCAAAGTCACAAATTTTTGATTAGTAAGTCCATACTTTTTCAGAAAAAAATTTTGTGGCTCAGAAAATAGGCTCAGGATTGCACATTTGAAAATTTTTGGAAAATTTTGTCAAAACTTGTGACTTTGGTAAATCGACCCTCTTGAACAACGTGATGCATTCAGTTTTCCATAAAAATAATTTCTAACATGAGTTATGGGCTCCCCAAAACGCGATTTTCATGAAATTCTCAACTTTTGGCTCATTTTTGGGCTCTTCAGAGAGTCGTTCAGCAAAAACTGAAAACAGGAGCTTTATCAGCGTGAAAAACTGACCTAAAAACATAGGTCTCATTGAAAATCTCCGGGGACTCATAACACACTTCCCTCGTAAGAAGCTAGATCACAAAAAACTCCTTTCAATTCTGTTTTCCAGCCTTCCAAGAGCTCGTAAAAGCCTACGGCGACCAAGCTCGAAGTCTTCTAGCCGGTGGAGTCGATGTTCTTCTCGTCGAAACCGTCTTCGATTCTGCTAACGCAAAAGCCGCCCTCTTCGCAATCCGAACACTTTTCGAAGACGAAGGTCTCCTCGAAGTGCCAGTTTTTCTCTCCGGAACAATTGTCGACATGTCCGGAAGAACACTTTCCGGACAAACTGGCGAAGCATTCCTCGTCTCAACAAAACAGGGAAATCCGACAGCCGTCGGGTTGAATTGTGCTCTCGGAGCAAAAGATATGCGACAATTCATCGAGAATATGTCGAATTGGTCGGATGCATTGATCTTGTGCTATCCGAATGCCGGATTGCCGAATGCGTTGGGAGGATATGATGAAACACCCGAAGAGATGGCTGCGGTTTTGGGAGAATTTGCGAGGGATGGACTGGTGAATATTGTGGGAGGATGTTGTGGAACTACACCTGATCATATTGCGGCTATGTATAAAGGTAAGGGTTTTGGGGTGAAAAGTTGAAATTCCTATTGAAAAAAACGCTGTTTTGGGATTTTTAAGCCAGAAATCATAAAAAATCGATTTTTTTGAATTTCTTGTATATTCAGGTTACAAGATAAAAGGAAATTCAAAAAATTCATGGTAGTTGCACCTCCCGGTTCTCCTTTGCTTGATATTGCAAGGAGTTTGACGTCAAAGATGACAGTGGATTTAAACCACTAGCAAGGCAAAACAACAAAAACACGGATTTTAGGCCAAACTTTATGTTTTTGACCAAAATAAACAATGAAAATACAGATACAACTTCACGAAGAAGTGTATCAATAATAATAAGTGATGAGTTAATTAATTAACACAGAGAATTCCGAGAATTCCCTGTGAAAACAACGAAAAACCTAGAAAAACACAAAAACACAAAAACGAAACTAAATATTTTGAAATGCACGTGGAGAGCGCACACACACACAAAATACGTCAATCTTTTACAAGATGGCGCATTTGCGGTGCACATCCTCTTGAGGATGACTTCCCCCCCTCAAGAGGTGCCGCCACGGTACCTATGACAAAATAAAATTAAAACCCTTGATCGATTGGATGTTGTTTGGAAGAAGCATATATGCCCAATTTGTTTCGCTTCAACATTTGAATATGCTCAATATACTTTGGCGATATGCAACCCTCATAATCTACACTTTTGACATAAACCATGTTGCAATTATTCTTCATCTTTCTTTGTCCCTTTCCAGTTTTGGCTTCTTCCAACTCGATCATCTTCTTCTCCATTTCAATTCTTCGAATTTCAGCGAAATTTCTACGAAGGATCATTCCAACACTAATTTCTTCTTTTCCCAATTTTCGATCTTCATAACCATTTTCAACCTTTGCTTTTCCATTTTCATTCAATTTTTGATCTTCAACTTTCTTCTTCTCCGTTTCAACTTCAAACAAAGTGTCACAAAGGACCTTCCCCATCCAACCTTCATCTTTTTCCAATTTTCGATCATCATCTTCAACTTTTGCCATTTCACTTTCTTCAACTTTTCCATCTTTTCTCTCTTCATTTTCAGATTTTCCGACTCGATCTTCTTCAATGTTCGACGAACCATTTCTGGAAAAATAATCTGATTTCACATAATTTCCCAATTTTCCCTTTTCTTTCAAATCTTTCGCTGCGCTTGTTTCACACTTTCTATCCCAATTTCCCAATTTTTCAACATTTTTCTTGTTTTCTCCCATTTTCTTTTCACTATCAAATCTCAAATAAATTCCAAATGTTCCAAAACTTTCCAATCCAAGAATCAACATATCTTCCCAACTTTTAATAACATGAAATTTCACAATTTTCTTCATATTTCTGATCTCAATCTCAATACTCCAAATTCCAATAACATTCAATCTTTTTCCACTGCAATCATATATTGAACTTTTCGCATTTTCTTCTTTCAAAATGAATTTCTTCCAATTTTCAACATTTCTCTTCAATTTTTCCAACTTTCCCGTTGAAATAACATTAACCATCGCTCCACTATCAATCAAAATTGTCGCATATTTTCCAAATATCTTCACATTTTCCTTCATATCTTCCCATTTTCTTCGTCTTATGGTGTTAACCTTCTTGGTTCCCGAACATTTAACAGCAATGTGTCCTTCTTCACCACATATAAAACACTTTCTCGAATCTCTTCCATTTTCTGATGCTGATTTTCCATCTTTTTTCTCTTCCCATTTCTTCTTTTCATCCTTATACTTATTTCTCTCCAAATCAAATTCAAATTGTAAAGCCGCAGCTTTCAACTTTTCATACTGGAATCCGTCCTTCTCATCATTCTTTTTCACCGCCAAAAGTCCCAATAAAGTCGGATTTCGCTTCGCAGCTTGCAACAACTTCGCCGTCTTGAAAATATCCACTTCCTCTTTCGACGAAGCGAATGCTTCTTTCGCAAGCGAATCAACAACGATAAGATAACCTTGGAGCGACTGATCTTGACGAATTCTCAAATCTTGCCATTTTTCCACTGCTCTTCCTCTTTGACTTGTTCTCGATGCATTCATCGCTTTCTTGAACTTCTCAACAATTTCTTTCCATGTCATTTCCTCTTTCAATTCAATCGTCTCAAATAACTTTTTAGCTTCTCCACGCAAAAATTTTGCCTTCATAACAGCTGCCATTTCCATTGAACTTTCCATATTTTGCTTATATTTCATTTCGAACAAACTCAAGAAATCATCCAAATTTTCTTGCGGTTTTCCATAATAAATTTCAGGATCTGGCATCGTCGAGATCTTCATAAATCTTGCCACATTCATAAGTTCTTCTCGAACACTTTGTCTCGAACCTGAACTGCTCGATTTTCCCGATTTTTTGCCCCGACTACCCGCTTTTTCAACAATTTCCACTTTTTCATCTCTCAAATTCTCAATATTTCCCGCTTTTTGCTCTTTCACCCATTTTTCAACTCTTTTCTCTTTGACTTTTTCAGTATTATCGCTGCGCGAACTTCCCAAACTTTCCGACTTACATATTTCCATACTCTTGGTTTCTCTCACAGTTTCCATCTTCAACAACTCTTCAACTTTTTTCATTGTCTCATCCATTTCATTTCCATCATCAACAATATCCAAATTCATCATTCGCACACTCGGCGTTGGTGACAATTCTCTTTTTCTCTTTTCCTCATTCTCCATTTTCAGTTTCATCATCAATTCATCTTTTTGTTCCATCAATACCATCATCTCTTCGAATTTCTGCTCATATCTCTTCAATTTTTCGTTTTTCTTCCAAATCTCTTCCTCATTATTCTTCAACTTTCCATTCAATTCTTCAACCTGCAAAATAAACTTTTGTCTTTCTTCCTTGACATTTTTCTCAATGTTTTCAAGTTTCTCACCATTTTCTCTTTCCCAAATAACCAATTCTGTTCCTTTCTCCATCAATTGTGCCAATTTCTTCACATTGGTCTTATTTCCTCTTCTTAAATATCGCAAACATCTCATTTCATCCCGATTTGGCATTTGCGCCCACTTTTCCTTGACCATCCCGCGCAAATCCTCTACTCGTTGTTCGACTTTCTTCATCAACGGATTCAATACGACATCCGCTTGTCTTTCACTCAATTTCCATTTCTTCGCATCTTCTCGAGCTTCTTGTGCAATCATAATCCAGTCCGCTGCTTTCTCATCAAACATCATACCAATATCCTCCTCATGTCCCGTTGAATCCTCCAATCCACTGCTCACTGATCCAATGTGTTGCATAGTTTCACTTGCCGTAGCCATTTTCGATGTCGAATTCTCCACTAGTCCAAAATATCCAATATCCTTTTGACAATCGAACAATTCCTTAACTCCAGTCCTGAAACTAGGAAAGGATCACTAGGAACGTGTTCAAAAATCAAAAAAATCGACGAATACACGAAGTTGAATGAATTTGGGGTTGTGGTTGGTTCGGCCCCCAAGTTGCACCTCCCGGTTCTCCTTTGCTTGATATTGCAAGGAGTTTGACGTCAAAGATGACAGTGGATTTAAACCACTAGCAAGGCAAAACAACAAAAACACGGATTTTAGGCCAAACTTTATGTTTTTGACCAAAATAAACAATGAAAATACAGATACAACTTCACGAAGAAGTGTATCAATAATAATAAGTGATGAGTTAATTAATTAACACAGAGAATTCCGAGAATTCCCTGTGAAAACAACGAAAAACCTAGAAAAACACAAAAACACAAAAACGAAACTAAATATTTTGAAATGCACGTGGAGAGCGCACACACACACAAAATACGTCAATCTTTTACAAGATGGCGCATTTGCGGTGCACATCCTCTTGAGGATGACTTGGTTTTAGCTCAAAAATAGCCAATTTTGGATGTTTTGAGTTAAAATGATAACAAGTTTCCCTTCCAGAACCCTGAAAATTTAAAAATCTCAATTCTTAGCTCTTTCTTGTAATTTCATGTTCCAAGAAAATACAAGAAATTCAAAAAATTACAAAATTAATGATTTCTAGCTCAAAAATTATTGCCACGTAAAATTTCAGCACCAAAAAATTAATTTTTTAGATTTCAAAAAAGTTTTCCAGGTGGCAAAAATCGGTGTTTTTTTTTTGAAAAACAAAATTTGTTCGAAAAAAATTTCCACGTGGAATTTTTCATGAAAAAAATATGTTTTCACGTGACCTACTTTTTTTCCGCGTCATCAAAATCCCCAATTTTCAAAAAAAAAAAAATTCTCATTTTCATTTCTCAAATTTTGCAGCCGTCCAAGGAGTCGTGCCACGTGTTCCGCCCGCCGATCCGCATGCCGGAAAAATGCTCCTCTCCGGTTTGGAACCCGGAATCGTGGGACCCGAAACCAATTTCGTGAACATCGGAGAACGTTGTAATGTCGCGGGATCACGGCGTTTCTGTAATTTGATCAAGAATGAAAATTATGATGTGAGTTTTGCCGCCAAAATTGAAGAAAATGGTGGATTTTGAGCTGAATTTCATGAATTTTGGACTATTTTTCACAAAATTTCGCCCCGGGACTCATTTGGTGTCAAAAAATCAAAAAATTCCCAATTTCCAGGCAGCAATCGATGTTGCTCGAGTTCAAGTCGAAAGTGGAGCCCAAATCCTCGACGTAAATATGGATGATGGACTTTTGGATGGTCCCTACGCTATGGCCAAATTCCTTCGACTCATCTCATCTGAACCCGATGTTGCAAAAATTCCAGTTTGCATCGATTCATCAGATTTCGCTGTAATTATTGCGGGACTTGAAGCAACTCAGGGAAAATGTGTGGTTAATTCGATTTCGTTGAAAGAGGGAGAGGAGAAATTCAAAGAGCGGGTGAGGGCTATTTTTGGGGATTTTTTGAGCTAGCAATATTGAATTTTGCAATTTTTCGAATTTCTTGTAATTTCTTGTAACCTGAAATCACAAGAAATTCAAAAAATGATGAATCTCCACCTATAAAATCTCAATTTCTTCCAGGCTCGAATCGTAAAACGCTACGGAGCCGCAGTAGTCGTAATGGCATTCGATGAACAAGGTCAAGCAGCCGAAACCGATCCAAAATACTCGATTTGCGAGCGAAGTTATCGAATCTTGACCGAAGAAGTCGGTTTCAACCCGAATGACATCATTTTCGACGCAAATATTCTGACAATTGGAACCGGAATGGAAGAACACGCGAATTATGGAATGTATTTCATTGAGGCGACACGAATGATTAGGGAGAATTTGCCTGGAGCACATGTTTCGGGAGGAGTCTCCAATATTTCGTTCAGTTTTAGAGGAATGGAGGTCGGTTTGGGATTTTGCGCGGGGAAATTTGGGGCATTTTGAATGTAAATGAGCCTAGAATAATTTAGGCTCCGCCCCTTTTTATGTGCCCGGAAAATCCGAGAACTGAAATTAAATCTCCCGAGTTACCCCAACTTCCCAATTTTCCAGGCAATCCGTGAAGCCATGCACTCAGTATTCCTCTTTTACGCAATCAAAGCCGGAATGGACATGGGAATCGTAAATGCAGGAGCACTTCCACTTTATGAAGATATCGATAAAGATCTACTAAAACTTCTAGAAGATCTATTATTCAATCGAGATCCAGAAGCTACGGAAAAATTATTAGTCGCTGCACAAGAAATGAAAAAAGATGGCAAAAAAGCGGACACAAAAACGGATGAATGGCGTGAGACTACGGTAGAAGAACGGTTGAAATATGCGCTAGTCAAAGGTGTTGACACATTTGTTGTAGCTGATACAGAAGAAGCCCGGCAGAATACTGTGAAATATCCGAGACCGCTGAATGTTATTGAAAGACCATTGATGGATGGAATGGCGGTGGTTGGGGAATTGTTTGGAGCTGGTAAAATGTTCTTGCCACAAGTGATCAAATCTGCGCGGGTTATGAAAAAGGCTGTGGCTCATTTGTTGCCGTTTATGGATAAGGAACGCGAGGAGAATATTGCGAAAATGGGATTGGATGCGGATGAGGTGAGCTGGGGGTTTTTGTGTAGGAAATTTGAGAAATTCTGAGAAAAAAAGATGAAAATAATGTTTTTTGACCTAGAAAATTCAAATTTTCTAAAAAATTTTTAGAAGAAAAAATCTGCCTTTTGAAAGTGAAAAATTGCATTTTTCTGAAAATTTCTGAAATTTCGAAAATTGATTGTTGTTAACCAGAAATAGTGAAAAATCTTGCTTGAATTCTCATTTCTGAAAAAAAAGTCTTGAAAAAATCTGATTTTTGCATCTGGAAAATTGAAAAATTATGAAATTTCAGAATTTTGAAATGAAAATTGATTATTTCGAAATAAAAGGGCAATTTTTGACTAGGCATACTTGAAAAATCTTGAAAATTTAATTCCAGAATCAAAAATCCCGATTTTTGGCTCTAGAATTCCTCTATCTGAAAATATTCTGAAAAGCTAAAAAAAATCTGAAAATTTCACAATTTTGAGCTGAAAATTTGAAAATCTTGGATTTCTGGCTTGAAAAATTGAACTTTTAATTTTTATAATGAAAAATTCTGATTTTTTGAAGCTTAGAATTCCATTTCATAAAAATTTATCTGAAATCCTCGAATTTCAATGAAAGAATTTTCCAGCATTTTTGAACCCATAGAATTCCCCTATCTGAAAATTTTCCGAAAATTAGAATCTGACAGAAATCGGACAAGAATTTTTTGGCAAAAAAATCTGAAAAAAATCTAAAAATTCCAGAGTCCCTACCAAGGAACAGTTGTAATCGCCACAGTAAAAGGAGATGTTCACGACATCGGAAAGAACATTGTAGCCGTTGTTTTGGGTTGTAATAACTTCAAAGTCGTCGATCTGGGAGTTATGACACCTTGTGAAACTATTATCAAAGCTGCAATTGATGAAAAAGCCGATTTTATCGGATTATCTGGATTGATTACACCGTCTTTGGATGAAATGGTACATGTGGCAAAGGAAATGAATCGACTTGGATTGAAGGTTGGAAGGAGTAGTTCAGAGTTCAAGTTCAAAAATTTTTCTTGCAGATCCCACTTTTGATCGGCGGAGCAACAACTTCAAAAACGCACACAGCTGTCAAAATCTCGCCCAGATATCCTCATCCAGTTGTTCATTGTTTAGACGCATCGAAATCGGTTGTTGTTTGTGCTGCACTTTGCGATCAAACTGTTCGAGACGCGTTTTTGCAGGATTTGAATGAGGAATATGAGGATGTGGGTTGTTTTGGGATGGACTGTAATTATCGTCTGAAATTTGGATTTTTTTGATACTCGACATGAATGAGCTTAAAATTAGGTCAAAAGTGGCCTAGAAATCCAGTTTTTCAAATTTTGAAGAACATTTTTGGTCAAAATTTCTCAAGTACCTGATTTTTCCATGAATTTTGGGTAATTTTAATCAAAAATTGAAGTTTTTAAATGATTCTCAGCCTTTATCGACCAAAAAATCAATAAATTTATGAATTTCAGGTCCGTCAAGAGCACTACGAATCGCTAAAAGATCGTCGTTTCACAGCTCTCGAAAAAACGCGCGACAAAAAGTTCCAAATCGATTGGAAGAATTTCGAAGCTGTGACACCCACATTTTTAGGCAAACGCGAATTTTTAAATGTGGATTTACAAGAACTTCTACCGTATATTGATTGGAAGCCATTCTTTGATGTTTGGCAACTCAGAGGCAAATATCCGAATCGAAGTTATCCGAAAATATTCGATGATGCTGATGTTGGAGCAGAAGCTCGAAGAGTTTTCGATGATGCGCAAGTTTGGCTCAAAAAATTGATCGATGAGAAAATTCTGAAGGCGAATGGAGTGGTTTCATTCCTCCCAGCTGGATCTGAGGGAGATGATATTCATGTGTTTGACGAGAAAACTGGTGTGAAATGTGGAACTTTTTATGGATTGAGACAACAATCGGGAAGAGAACACGATCAACCGCATTTCTGTTTGTCGGATTTCATCAAACCGCTTGAAAATGGTGAGATTTTGGGGGTTATGAGCACAATTATCAGAAAAAAGTGTGTCAGGGTTGCATTTTTGTGAAGCTCCGCCCATTTTTTTGCTAGCTTGTCACGGTTTTTCCTATTTGTCTTGAAAAAAGTGTGCCAGGATTGCATTTTTCTGAAGCTCCGCCCGTTTTTGCAAGCTTGTCACAGTTTTTCATAAAAATTCAATTTTTTCACCAAAAATCCGAAATCCATTGCATTTTGAAAATGTTTCAAATGTTTCAGATCTCAAAAAAACCAAGAATTTCTGTTAAAAATGGGCGGAGCTTCATTTTGCAAACCTCGCACAGTTTTTCTATCTGAAAATACGATAAAATTTTTCGAAATTTCTAAAACTGTGCCAGATTTGCATTTTTCAAATCTCCAAATTTTTCAGATTAAAAAAAAACCAAGAATATCTGTTAAAAGGGGGCGGAGCTTCATTTTGCAAGCCTGGCACAGAGTTTTCAATCTGAAAAAACGATAAAAATTTTCCGAAAATTCTGAAAATCCAAATTTTTCAGGTCGCCCATCAGATTATCTTGGCCTTTTCGCTTGCACAGCCGGACTCGGAGCCGAAGAATACTGTAAAAAATTGGAAGACGAAGAACACGATGACTATGCCTCAATTATGGTCAAAGCATTAGCTGATAGATTAGCCGAAGCCTATTCCGAATATTTGCACAAAGAAGTTCGCACAAATCTATGGGGATATTCGAAAAATGAGGAATTGACTGAAACTGATTTGTTATCCATCAAATATGATGGAATTCGACCGGCTTGCGGTTATCCAAGTCAACCGGATCATACAGAAAAAAGAACGTTGTGGAAATTGTTGGAAGCTGAGAAGGAGGGTATCATTTTGACAGAACATTTGGCAATGTTACCGGCTGCCTCAGTTTCCGGATTGTATTTTGCCAATCCGCACAGTCAATATTTTGCTGTCGGAAAGATTGATCAAGATCAGGTAATTTTTGAGGGAAAAAACTACGACACTCCGCAATTACACATGGTTTTTTGGCGTGAAAATTCAAAGAGAGATCACAACTGGAAAACCTAAAATTTTGCTACGATGTTCCGCAATTACGCATGGGTTTTTGCCGGGAAATTTGAAAAAATTGAAGTTTTTGAGAAAATCTGGAAGATTTCACGTGGTTTTTCGATGAAATGACGTGGCGATTCGGAATTCTAAAAAAATACGATTACACGTGGTGAAATTTTTCTTGCAAAATCACGTGTAAATGGAGCATCGTTGTTTTTTTTATCCAAAAATTCAAATTTTATATTTTTGCGTTATTTTCAGATCATCGATTACTCAAATCGCAAAAATTCACCACGCGAAGAAGTCGAACGATGGCTTTCGCCAAATTTGGGATATGATGTTGAATAATAATTTTTTGTGATTTTTGAAATTTTTTTGACATATCAATCAGTAGATTTTTCTATTTTCTTGCCTTGAATTCAATAATAAAATCGAATCAAATTTGAAAATTCGATCATCTTCGAATTTATATTCATCAATTTCTCCAATTTCTTGCAAATAATGTTTTTTCTTGTGATCTTTTTGCTATTCCCAATTTCCAGCCAAGATTCAAGTTCGGAAGAATTTGAAATTCTTCTTGAGGAGCGCCGAAAAATTCCGGATAGAAATTGGTTTTGTGGAGCGGGTTGGAAATCGAGATGGTTTGCGTATGGATGGATGAAGGCGTGTTTTGCTGGACAATGTGAGTTTGGGCTGGGCTTATTAGGATTCTGATCTTAAGATGTTTATAGATGGATTTAATCATCAATGTGCAATTCATGATGATTGCTATGATCAACAAATGGGCCAAGAGAAATGTGATGATCAATTTTGCGAAGGAAATGCAGTGAGCAAAAAAATTTCAAGATTATTTTCAGATGAATCTAGGTTAATTTTAGGTTACAGCCCAGAATTAGACCTAAAGTTTAGGTCTAATTTTAAGCTTGATTAAGGTTCATAAAAATAACTTTAAAAATCACCCTAGACTCAAAAAAACCCCGAATTTTCCAGCTCATCGCCAAAAACGACGGCAGAGGTTTTTGCAAGCCATACGTCGACGGATCTTGTCTAGCGGTAAAACAATACGGAGCTCCAGCTTACGCAAGTGCCGCAACTCATCAAAATAATTACGTGCCTTATTTGATGCACAGAAATGAGTTTGGTGCAATTTATAATGAGATTTTCACGGGGTGTAAACTTCAGAATGGTATGTCATAAATCAGAATTTAAGATCTAGGCTCAAAAATTTTCAGCAACTTTTTCAAGCTGTGGGTATAATTACGAAGAATGTCTTATTTATAAATACGAAAAATGCGGTGAAAATCTGAAAACGTGCATTTTGGACACTAAAAACTACCGTACATCGGAGCCATCTTGCGATTTGGTAGTGGAAAAAGTGGCGGAGCAAATCAAATTTTGATTTAATTCATTTCAATAAAATATTTTCTAATTCGCTAAAAACGGGATGAAAAAAGAGAGGAAAACGAGGGGAAACTTTAATTTTGTTGTTTTTGTTGCTAGAAAATACACATTGGTTGTAAATATGATCGAACTTCAAGGATGAGACGAAAATAAGTTCTTACAATCTCCACCACGACATACCGGCGCGAATGTGCGAATAGTTAGGGAATGCTTCGGTGCGACCTGGAAGATTTGGGATTTTAGTCAAGTAATTTTGAAATTTGGATTTTTTTTTCAAATTTTCAGCTAAAACTGAAATCTCAGTTGAAAAATTCTCTTATAAACTTTTTTGAAAACTTGAAACTTTTCTTTTTTGAATCCTAAATCTTTGAAAAAACAGGGTTTTATCAGTTTTTCGATGAAACTTCGGATTTTTCCATCAGGAATGCTTTAAATTAATTTTAATGGCTTCAAGAATCAATGAAAATGGGCGGAGCATGAATTCGCAAGCCTGGCACATTTTTAATTAAAGCAACACCCTCGTATAATAGGCACTTTCTTGAAAAAAGCCCAAATGTTCTCAAATCTTAGAATTAGCTTAGTTTTACTGTTTTCTAGTTCGGAGAAAAAATTCAAAAAGTTTCAATAAGTATTAGCCGAAATATGGAAACCCATTGAAAAACTGAAAAAACTCAAATTCAAACAACGCGGGCTAGCGTCAACGCGGAGTCTCGTTGTTTTCTTTTTTATTTTTTTGCAAATTTTTTTTCCATTTTTTCGGAAAATGACAATTTTCATGGAAAAAACTGTTTTCTGGGTATGAAAAAAATAAATTGAAGAAGTATAAACATTAGGACTCAATATTTCAGACGAAAACTAATTTTTTTGAGGGAAATTGTGTTTTTTTTAGTTTTTGACCGGAATATGCAATATAAAACTGAAATATCATTGTCAAAAATAAAAGTAGAGATAGTTAAGGATGTTCAGAAATCATTGTTATAATTTATTTCATTGTTTTCAGTGAAACAATTCACTTTTTGTTGAAAAAAAGTTGAAAGGGGTACTGTAGCACACAATTGTCGTCACAGTGTTTGCACAATTTCATGAAATTGCGGATCTGCACAATCTGCAGGCGATTTTCAAAAAAAAAATAATGTTTTTTCTCAAAAGTGGTCAAACTTGATCGTTTTTGAGTATTTCTTTTTCATATTGCTTGTGAGTATAGCTGGATAGGTTAATTTTATATATTTTTGTGTTTGAAATCATTTCGCAATGGTCTTATTATACGAGGGTGTTGCTTTAAAAAAAACCGTGCCTGAATTACAAATCAAAGCCCCGCCCATTTGGAGTTCAACAGAACTTGAAAAATTCGAAATTAGCTTTGAAAAGCTAAAAATTTCATTGAGATTTCCCCAATTTCCCCGCCAAAAACATCAACTCACCAACTCCAGCAGTAGCAATATCACGATCATAAACGTGTCTAGAAATAGCCTCACGAACTGCGGTCGCATCAACTTTTTGAATTTGAGCTTCCAAGTCGGATAATTGTCGAACATTTCCAGTGTAGAGAAGCTGAAAATTCCATGGTTTTTGGAGTCAATTCAAACAAAACAAGAAAATCTCACTTCTTTAGCGTTGAATCCAGCTTTTTGTGTGTTGGTTTCCAAATTTTGATAGACATTTGTTCTGTATTGATTTCTGGCAAGAGCAACTTCGTCTTCAGTTGCGGCCGATGCCAAATGTTTCCATTCGTGTCCGACTGATTTTGTGATTCCGTGGGTGTCGTTCAAATCGTGAGCGTCGGCGACAAAGTAGATTCCGAACAATCCAGTGTCTCTGGAAAAATACATTTAACAGTTTTTCGTGGAAAAAAACAACAACGCTCCAGAATTACGCATGGTTCGTGATCAGCGGGTCAGAACCTAGAGATATTGCCGCCGAAAAACCACATTTTTCAACAAAAAAACTCACTTATAATTAATATTGAAATGTTGAATATTATGAAGCCCATGATCGGTTCCAATTTTTTGGATAAGTCTCGATGCAGCAGTTCTAGTTGTAGCATGAGTAACATCCCATTGTCCGATGAATTGACTGGCAATTTGGAGAGCAAGAGCATCTTTGTGTCCATAGCCAACTCCTTCAACAGCGACCGCGGCGTACATGTGTGGAATGTTATCGTTACGGTATCTGTATTCAGATCCGGTGAAACGAGTTCCATCGGCCTAGAAAATAATGTGGTTTTGTTTTCGAGCGAAGCGTGTAGACCGCAAGCTTCCGCGCAGCGGCCAAGAGGATTATTATCCCGTAGAAGAAAAAAAACTAGAAAAAAAAAATGATAAAACTCTTACAGCTGGAACTTGTCTTGGATATTCATTGCTCAAATCTCCGAAATATTTCTCAGCGAGTTGTGGAACTCCCGATACTCCACCACCAACAGCCGACAAAACCATACGAACTGGTCGATAATGATCCTCTTGCCACTCCTTCAATTGTTGGGCAGTGATTGATTGAACAGATTGTGTTGTTCCCAAAACACTTTTAGCCAATGGAGTTCCTTGGAAAGCGGCAGCATGAAGATTATCGAAGAGAACTGCTTGATAATAATCATCAGAAGCGTCCAATTCACGAAGAATGGCGGATCTTTCGGTGTCGATTGCGGAAGCATCGAGTTTGGAGTTTCTCAAAACATCAGCGAGAATATCGACGACTTTTTCAACGTCTTGTGAAGCGGCTTGAACAAAGACAGCGGTTTGGTCGCGTTCGGTGAAAGAGTTCAATTTTGCTCCGATTGCGTTGAGCTCGGATTCAAGAGCAGCGCTGGCTCTCTTTCCGGTTCCTTTGTGAATCAATCTTTCGAGGAAATGAGCGACTCCGTTGTTTTGCTCATTTTCGAAACGTGAACCGGTCTCAATCCAGACTCCGACCTAGATTTATTTCATTTTCATTTTTCAAAAAATCCTTTAAACACTCACAGTTGCGGTAGATCTTCCATTATCCTCAGTAACAACTCGGAATCCATTTTTCAAAGTGGTGACTTCAGCATTTGGTGCAGCAGCCAAAACATCCTTGACAGACAAAGCTGAAGCGTTTCGCACCTAGAAAAATCAATCAATAACTTCGGAAGCATCTTAAAATGTAAAAATACCTGGGTGTTGAAAGCTGGACGGATCGTTGAATTGATCACAAGTCGCAAAGCCATTTTCCCTTGTTTTCTGCAAAAAATCACTCATAAATTATGCTAAAAATATCGTTAGAAGCACAAAAATGTCGTCTACAACTCTAAAATCAAAATAAAACTTGAAAAAAGCGAAATCCCGATGAAAAACCCCTTCAAAACAAAATTCCGTATGTGGCCGCCCAGCGTAAAAATAAAAAGACACTTCGTCGTGACAAGACCCTTGGCCAAACATTAAAGGCGCGCTCGTAAATCGACACAAGCATTTCGAATTTTTTTATTTTTTTTGGTGTTTTTTGGGTGTAACTTTGTTGGTTTTGAGGGTAGCGGAGTGAATTTGGTGTAGAAAAATTCAGAATTTCATGGGGAATTTTTAGAGCTATGAAACTCTGACCAGCATGTATTTTTTCGTGAGAAAATTATTTTTAATTGAAAAATTGCATTATTTCAGGCTAAAAATGTCTTCAAGACATCGATTAGACTTGGATGGTTCAGGACGTGGAGATCGAAAGCGCTCGCCCCCACGTCACAGATCCCGCTCTCGCTCGCCACAACGTTTCAACACAAAACCACAAATCGGTGCAATCGGCAATATGAAAGTGGCAATAAACCCCTACAATCAACAACCCTATTCAAATAGATATTGGACAATTTGGGAAAAACGCTCACAACTTCCAGTCTGGGAATATAAGGAGAAATTCATGGAAATGCTGCGAAATTATCAATGTATAACATTAGTGGGTGAAACGGGTTCCGGAAAAACCACACAAATTCCACAATGGGCTGTCGAATTTGTGAAGCAGCAAGGATTAGGACAAACCGCAAAATTAGTCGCGTGTACTCAACCAAGAAGAGTTGCAGCAATGAGTGTTGCAACAAGAGTTGCTGAAGAAATGGATGTTGTTTTGGGACAAGAAGTCGGTTATAGTATTCGTTTCGAAGATTGTATTTCAGAAAGAACTATTTTGAAATATTGTACTGATGGTATGCTTTTGAGAGAAGCTATGAATAGTCCACTCCTAGATCGATATAAAATTCTAATCTTGGATGAGGCTCACGAGAGAACTTTAGCCACTGATATTTTGATGGGTTTGATCAAAGAAATCGTCAAAAATCGTGCGGATATTAAAGTTGTTATCATGTCAGCCACTTTAGATGCTGGAAAATTCCAAAAATATTTTGAAAATGCGCCGTTGTTGAGTGTTCCTGGTAGAACTTTCCCTGTGGAGATTTTCGTAAGTTTTTGCCGCTCAAATTTTTTGAAGTTATCCTAACTCCTTTCCAGTTCACCCCAGAAGCTGAAAAAGACTACCTCGAGGCTGCTATTCGCACAGTAATCCAAATCCACGTTTGCGAGGAGACCGAAGGTGATATTCTACTTTTCCTAACTGGTCAAGAAGAGATTGAAGAGGCTTGTAAGCGAATCGACAGAGAAATTCAGAATCTTGGTCCGGATGTGGGAATTTTGAATTGTATTCCATTGTATTCTACACTTCCACCAGCTGCGCAACAAAAGATTTTCGAACCCGCGCCGCCAAATCGACCAAATGGAGCTATTGGTGAGCAATTTTGAATTTAATTTTCAAAACCACGTGTAAATGCGGAACGTCGTAATTTTTCTCATAGAAAATTTAAACTTTTTTTCAAAAATTCTGATTCAATCTTTCGGAATTCAAAGTTTTTCCTCAAATTTTCAAACATTTCTATTTTCGCGCTTTTTTTCTATCAAAATTCCAGCGTCAAATTCAGAAAATTCAAATTTTCAGGTCGAAAATGTGTTGTATCAACAAACATCGCCGAAACCTCTCTAACAATCGACGGAGTAGTCTTCGTCATCGATCCAGGATTCTCCAAACAAAAAGTCTACAACCCAAGAATCCGTGTCGAATCGCTTCTCGTCTGTCCAATCTCAAAAGCATCCGCAATGCAAAGAGCTGGAAGAGCCGGAAGAACAAAACCTGGAAAATGTTTCAGATTGTACACTGAGACAGCTTATTCGTCTGAAATGCAAGATCAAACTTATCCCGAAATTTTGCGATCGAATTTGGGAAGTGTTGTGCTGCAATTGAAGAAATTGGGAACCGAGGATTTGGTGCATTTTGATTTTATGGATCCACCTGCGCCTGAAACTTTGATGAGAGCGTTGGAATTGTTGAATTATTTGCAGGTAGGAGATTTTTTCTAGAAATTCTTTGGAAAACTAGTTCACATTCATTTTGAATCTCAAAAAAAAAGCGGAAGCTTGCGGTAGGCGGAAAAATGTCAAAAGTTCGTTCTATAAAATACTTTATTATCATTTCTACATCAATGAATTCCACGATATCTCAATTCCTTCATCATTTCCTCATATTGTTCCATCTCAAAGTTGTGCTTAGTACGAGCTCCCGCCGATTTTCGTTCATATTCTTTAGGCGAACATTTTTCGATTCTATCGAAATAATAAACTTCTGATGCTCTTCTCTCAACCAATCTCCATTTTTCAACAAGTTCTTTGAATTCCACGTCATACTTTTTGCCAACACAGTATACCAGTTCACGAAGTTGTGCTGGTACTGTAGAGCATTGCGAGATTTGTTGAGTGGGACCGCATGTTTTCATTTGATCGATGAATTTTTGAACTATTGGGAGACAATTTTGGAATTTGCATTGAGTTACGATTGTGTTATAGTCGAGCTCGCTGAAATTCGAGAAAAACTTATTGAAAAAATTAGTTGATTTTTTCACGGGCTTCTTAAACACGAGAACGATTTGCTATAACATGCATTGGGTAATGCTTTCTAGAAGGCCTACTAGAACTTTTCCCATCGTTCCAAAAAAACTCACACTTCATGAATCTTCTCATCATTCGCATAATTCTCCACAACATTTTTCCAACGCTCCTCCAACTTTTTTATCCTTATAAAAATCATCAAATTGCTCTTTCGAGCTGATAGCCACAATATACGGTATTATCGGCAATTTCTCTGTTTCCCTCTTCAAATATTCAACAATCGCCAATTCCTGATTAAAAACTGTGGAATCTGAAACCAATCGATATTTTGTTTGCACCGAAAACATCGAATCATCTTGATTTAATTGCTCAGAAATAATTTGCCAAAGTGCATCATCATATCTTACACGATACAATGCATCTGAATCCACATTCAAGACAACAAATTTAGCATTTTCGATAATAACATGATCCTTTTTCAACCATAAAAATTCGGTTTTTCCCAACTCTCTTTGATAATAAATTGGAATATCCCAAGCTTCTTCCATATCTACCATTTGAATTGTCTCATTTTGTTTAGCGAATACAAATTGTTTTAGTGCAACTTGATCTTCAGCAATTTTTTTCACAAAAACTACAGGGAACATTGTCTTAGTTGTCCAGGATTTCGCAAAACTTTCAATATTTAAGCTTTCCACTTGATTATTCTGTCGATCATATGATTTCTGAAGATGTTTGTATAATTCCTCATCAACCACATTTTTATATTGATTTTCTTTCAAATAATTGCGAAGTCCTTCATCGAATACCGATTTTCCGACAACTTTTCGAATCATTGATAAGACTGAAGCGGCCTTTTGATAACTGATTCCACTGAAAAATGTGCCAATTTTGTCGGATTTTTTGAGTTCGAAAGTCATTGGATGATTTGGCAAATCGATTGGTTGGAAGAGGCTGAGATATTCGTAGCGGAGGGCGTCATTTTGAACTTCGAGCAAGAAATGATTGCGCTGAAAAACAATGGACTTTTTTGGACCGCCTATGACGAGATCTTGAAAAATTTGTCATTCAAAATCTATCTAAAAAATCCAACCTCGTTGTAATTCATTTTTGCTGCCACATCAGCTCCAGTCAATTCAAACAAAGTCGCAAATCCTTCGTTGAGCCAAATTCTAGTCCAAAATTCCATTGTAACCAGGTTTCCGAACCACTGGAATTTCGGATTTTTTTTAAAAGTTAAGCGGTGGTATTTTCCGCTTTAGTAGCCACGTGGATTACAATGATATCTCAAACGTCATAGTAATCTGCGTGGCTCCTGAAGCAGAAGATGCGAAAATGCTCACCTGATGCGCTAATTCATGTGCAATAATAATTCTCACAAATCTCTTCCTTCTCAAATTATCCAACTTCTCATTATACCCCAAACATCCATCGCGATACGTCACTAATCCCCAATTCTCCATCGCTCCTGCCTCAAAAACCTTGACTTCAACCATATCTAATTTCGTCATCGGATACGCCACACCAAAATCATCCTCGAATTTATCGATTATCTTCACGGCTGATATTAAAGCCATCTCCATATTCTTGATCTCTTCAGCTCTCGCCCAAACTCTCACACGAATTCCTGCTCTTGTGTAGGTTTGGATATGCGCGAAATCGGATATAAAGAATGCTAGAAGATATGATGACATTTTTGGCGAATCGAGGAATGTTGAAATGAGAAATTCATTGTCATACTCTTTTGTATCAATTAGATCATTATTCGAGAGAGATTGTGTTCCAATCGGATGAATTATAGTCATCTTCCAAACTGCTTTATAAGCTGGCTCATCGAAACATGGAACTGCAAGTCTTGCAGAATCCGGCTCCATTTGTGTGACAACTGCTACTCTAGGTTGCCCATTTTCATCGATATAAGTGGTATCGTAGAAGCCTTTTGAATCATTTCGAAGTTTAGCGAAATATTTGACGAATATTGTGATCTTTGAAGATCTCTCCAGATCCTTAGCTAATTTGATCTCAATATAGTTGCGATGAATTATAACTTCTTGAAGTTCTTCAGCTTTTTCCTCGCCCATTATTTTAACTTGAAGAATATTCAATTCCTGAGCATGGAGAAAAATCTGATTAGTAGATTCGAGAACTTCGGATTTGATCAGAACTTCTCCCTCGAATGTCATATTTCTTGAATCAGCTTGATATCCGAAACCTGGCAGGAATGCTTGAATCGTTAATTCATATTCGATCGGAGAAATGAGATTTGGGAGGCGGAAGATTGTTGAATCATCGGTTTTGTAGCCATTTGCCAGGATTTTTGGATGAGGTTTTGGGGAAATCGGAAATCCAGGTCCATCTGTTGTGGAGGGTGGAAGGATTTCTTTGAGGATTTTATCGAATTCTTGTGGCGCTGCGAAGATGAAGATTATTATTAGGCCGAAGATGACGAGGAATAGACGGTAGAGCTGGAAAATTGGGGATTTTAAGATAGGAATTATTAAAATTGATGGATTTGAAGCTAGAAAACTGGATTTTTGGTCAAAAATCTATTAAATTGGGAATTTTTGAGCTGAATATCATGAAAATCGACCAATTTTGAGCTCCAAACAGAAATGTTCGATGTATTTTTGACTAAAAAGCTTCCGCATCGTTCTCCGCGTTCTCAGAAGCTTTCGGAAAAATATAAATCTTACCGTATTACTATTCTCAGTTGGTTTTGGTTTTTCCGCATCCGTTTCCATTTTTTGTTGTTTGCAAAAAAAAATAATGAGCTGAATTCTGATGATTTTTTTGGTCTGATTCTTTTTTCGAAACGTGGAAAACGTGGCTTTGCAAATGTCACGCGGAAAAATAATTTTTTTTGAAAAATTGAAAATTTTACGGACCAAAAAAGACCGGGAATTTTATGAGATCTAAGAATCCACGTGACTAACCCTATATATCCAATTTACAGGCAATCAATGATGATGGAGAGTTAACCGAACTTGGAAGCTTGATGGCCGAATTTCCGCTAGATCCACAATTGGCAAAAATGCTCATAACATCCACTGAATTGAATTGTTCAAATGAGATCTTGTCCATCACAGCCATGTTGTCAGGTGAGAGGAATTTCAGTGATTTTAGCCTGAAAACTGGGATTTTCTAGGGTTTTTGGGTGAAAATTAATAATTTTGAATGTTTTTGGATCTAGAAATCCTCAAAATTCCCCAATTTTCATCCAAAAATTATGATTTTTCAGTTCCCCAATGTTTTGTTCGACCAAATGAGATGAAAAAAGAGGCGGATGAGGCGAAAGCGAGATTTGCGCATATTGATGGAGATCATCTAACTCTTCTCAATGTTTATCATGCTTTTAAGCAAAGTGAGTTCGAAATTTGAATTTGGGGCGAAATTTGGGATAAAATGATAGTAAACAAGCCTAGAATAGGCTTATTTAGTGTCCAAACATCAGAATTTCAAAAGAAATCATGAAAATTTCTGTAAAATTATTGATTTTTCGAATTCACGTTGAAATCTGAGTAAAAATGATGCCCAATAAGCCTATATTTAAACCTTTTTTGCGACGTGTAATTGCGGAGTGCCGTAATTTTTTTTTGAGTTCAGATTGAACTTTGGGATCAAATAACCCTAATTTTTGCCTCGTCATAACTCAATTTTCTCTTTTTCCAGACAACGAAGATCCCCAATGGTGTTATCAAAATTTCGTCAATTATCGATCGATGAAAACTGCAGATACAGTAAGACAGCAACTTTCAAGGGTCATGGATAAGGTGAGTAATTTGAAGAGGAATAGTTATAAGCGGACTCTTCGAGCCAACTCAAAAATAAAATGTTTTCCTCAAAAGCTCAATTCTGACCTGTAATAAATTTTAGTACAATCTTCGACGTGTCTCAACTGATTTCAAATCTCGTGATTATTATTTGAATATTCGAAAAGCTCTGGTTGCCGGATTTTTCATGCAAGTTGCACATTTGGAACGAAGTGGACATTATGTTACGGTTAAAGGTGAGAGATTTTGGCGCCAAAAATCCACGTGGCAAATTTGCAATTTTTTCAGACAATCAATTAGTCAATTTGCATCCCTCAACAGTCTTGGATCACAAACCCGAATGGGCACTTTATAATGAATTTGTATTGACGACGAAGAATTTCATCAGAAGTGTCACCGATGTTCGGCCGGAATGGTGAGGGTTTTGGAATCTTTGGGGAAAAAATGAGATTTTTGGAATCTTGCAGAAAATTGCGATTTTTCGAGTCTAAGCATGACTATTTTTGAGAAATCGATAAAAAAATTCGAAATTTGCATGGAATTACCGTAAAAATATTCTCTGAAAAAATAGAAAAGTTTTCGAAAGATTTTTTTTGCTGAAAAATCCATCCTAAAATTAATTCCAGGCTTCTCACAATCGCCCCACAATACTACGATTTGGCGAATTTCCCGGACGGCGACACAAAACGCAAATTGTTGGTCGTGTCTCAAACATTGCGAAAAAATGCCGGGCCAGGATATTGAGCCCCCCGAAACCTGTTGATCCTCATTTTCACTTTTTTTTACCCTGTTTTTTTCTGAAAAATTAAATTAAATTCGTCTAAAACCAAGCATTATATCTGTTTTTCAGTGAAAATTGCAGAATTTGAAATTTTCGAGCTCCAAAATTTAACAAAAAATATTTCGAAACTCAAAATACATAGAAAATGAGTAGACAATAGAAATTTTCAGCATTTTTAGTTTTTTTCTATATTTTTGATATCCTTGGGTTCTTGCTCTCCAATTATTTTTGAAGACAAAACAATTTTCCTCAATGAGTTTGAAAATTGGACAATTCTTATAGAGAAACCTGGTTTAAAAATTCAACGCTTTATAGGTGGAGGCTACACTCTAGTCGCTGAACTTATATCGATCATCCTTACAATTCTAACTATCTCGAGATATGCTAACTTCAAAAATACCCACGAAAAGAAGTTGATAATAGTTACAATAACTCACACATTTTTTGTTTTGTTCTTCGCTATTTATCAATTTTCGCAAGTTTTCAATCTTACCGATTCAATTTCCAAGTTTTTGGCGATTTATCGAACAAATATCGGATATTTGTTTGTCTTGCTGAATTTTTGCACAATGTTGATGGCTGATTCGAGATTTAGGAAGGATTTTTGGCGGATTTTGGTTTTTTGGAAGAAGAATGTGAAGACGAAGATTTTTGTTATGCGATCTGATACGAATTTTTGATAAAAAATGAAGTCTTTTTTTAATTGTGAGAAATTTGGCTTCCTCTTCAAGATGAAAAATCTGTGAACACCAAGTTTGATTTTCTGGAAAATAATCGGTGAATTACGCGAAGTCAGATATTGAAGCTTACAAAAACATTTCTGAATTTCTGAACAAATTCTTGAAGAAATAACTCATTATGAAAATTGTCCAAAAAAGTGATGGAAAATATGAAATTCAAAAGGTTGTAGCTATAAATGGAATTGGCACTGAAATATTAAAAAAAATGGTGTCTTCATTTCTATTTCTTCATTAAAATATCGAACCTTTAATTTTCAAAAGTGATCTCTAGAGAAAAACATTATCACCACACGATTCACCATGTTTGAATCCACGAAAATCCTTTCTTTGATAATTTAGTGATAACGACTGATAAGAGCTTCTGGGATGAAGGTGGAGCTCTAAACTTATCAAAAATATCATCTACTATCACCAAACATCATTTCCTCCAACTCCCAGCTCATTCTGATAATTTCGAAATTTTTTGATTCGATTCGATTCGATTCGATTCGATTCCCTTCATTTTTTAAAAATTTTTCAAACATCTACGTTTAAGCAGCCAAGGAGACTCGTCATCCCAAATTGTCTCGTTTTTCGCAGAACTACCGTTCTGCTGCAAGCTTTTCGTAAGATTTCCCAACTTTCCTTGCAGCTCGAAGAGCTGCTTTTGGAAATTCTGGATCTAGAAAACCATGTACCGAGGATTATGTTTCTAAAAATGATTCCGTCCGGAAAATTGAATCTTTTTGATCTTAGGTTAATGTCAGTTCAAGCCTGAGCTTAGATTTTAGGAAGTGTCACCTGTCTGGTTCAGTTGAAATTCCAGATTTTCACAATTTCACCCTGAAACTCCTCAGAAATCACATAATTTTCACACGACCAAAACCAGCAAAATTGTGTGTTTTTCTATTTCAAAACAAATTCCACTCAATGTTTTATTCAGCCTGAAAACTTGAATATTTTCCAGCAAAACCGAAAAAAAGAAAAATAAATAGAAATTGCATTGGAGCGCAATTGCAACATCAACCACGAGAGAGAGTGGGGGAGCGAGAGAGTGCGAGACAAGTAAGGAAAAAATAGTCATTTTTTTTTGTTTTCCTGTTTTTTGTGGCGGGTTTCGCTTTTTTTGTCTCGGCAATGAAAAATCATTCTGTGACGTGGATTTTTTGGTGTGAAATTAAAAAAAAACATATTTTTCAGATCTGCTCGAGAAATTCAACAGTATTGAGATCGTGGATGGAAAAACTTGGATTTTTTGGTCGATCTCGAGAAATTCAACAGTATTGGGATCTTGGATGGAAAAATTGGATTTTTTGGTCGAATTCAAGTCAGTTTATTTTGGGAAGGGATTTTTGTTGGGAAGGTCAGAAAAAGAGAAAAAAACTTTGACTGATCAGAACTCAGGTTAGACTTCATAATATTTGAACCATTTTTTTTTGATTTTTAGATAATTTCAAGAACTCAAAACTTTGATTTTGACTTAGGGGCTAAATGTGACCTAGAATTAAAACGCTTGAGTTGTTCGAGACACCCATATTTTTCAAAACTTGGTTCAAAATTTATATTTTTTCAAATTCGAGGTCGGAAAAGTTTTCATTCAGTGCCACTAGGCTGTGTTCAAAATTTCAGAAAGATTCGTAAAGGCTTAGGTGCAGGCTTCGAGGCGATAGCCGAGTATCTCTCGAAAACCCTCTGACTTTCCTCTTAACTCTTAACCACAACTTCATTTTTTGAAGTTTTATCTAGACTGATATTATTTATAAAAATCCAGGGCATAGAGATCTCTTGAAAACCCTCTGACTTTCCTCTTAACTCTTAACCACAACTTCATTTTTTGAAGTTTTATCTAGACTGATATTATTTATAAAAATCCAGGGCATAGAGATCTCTCGAAAACCCTCTGACTTTCCTCTTAACTCTTAACCACAACTTCATTTTTTGAAGTTTTATCTAGACTGATATTATTTATAAAAATCCAGGGCATAGAGATCTCTTGAAAACCCTCTGACTTTCCTCTTAACTCTTAACCACAACTTCATTTTTTGAAGTTTTATCTAGACTGATATTATTTATAAAAATCCAGGGCTTAGAGATCTCTCGAAAACCCTCTGACTTTCCTCTTAACTCCTAACCACAACTTCATTTTTTGAAGTTTTATCTAGACTGATATTATTTATAAAAATCCAGGGCATAGAGATCTCTCGAAAACCCTCTGACTTTCCTCTTAACTCTTAACCACAACTTCATTTTTTGAAGTTTTATCTAGACTGATATTATTTATAAAAATCCAGGGCATAGAGATCTCTTGAAAACCCTCTGACTTTCCTCTTAACTCCTAACCACAACTTCATTTTTTGAAGTTTTATCTAGACTGATATTATTTATAAAAATCCAGGGCATAGAGATCTCTTGAAAACCCTCTGACTTTCCTCTTAACTCTTAACCACAACTTCATTTTTTGAAGTTTTATCTAGACTGATATTATTTATAAAAATCCAGGGCATAGAGATCTCTTGAAAACCCTCTGACTTTCCTCTTAACTCTTAACCACAACTTCATTTTTTGAAGTTTTATCTAGACTGATATTATTTATAAAAATCCAGGGCTTAGAGATCTCTCGAAAACCCTCTGACTTTCCTCTTAACTCTTAACCACAACTTCATTTTTTGAAGTTTTATCTAGACTGATATTATTTATAAAAATCCAGGGCATAGAGATCTCTTGAAAACCCTCTGACTTTCCTCTTAACTCCTAACCACAACTTCATTTTTGAAGTTTTATCTAGACTGATATTATTTATAAAAATCCAGGGCATAGAGATCTCTTGAAAACCCTCTGACTTTCCTCTTCACTCTTAACCACAACTTCATTTTTTGAAGTTTTATCTAGACTGATATTATTTATAAAAATCCAGGGCATAGAGATCTCTTGAAAACCCTCTGACTTTCCTCTTAACTCTTAACCACAACTTCATTTTTTGAAGTTTTATCTAGACTGATATTATTTATAAAAATCCAGGGCTTAGAGATCTCTCGAAAACCCTCTGACTTTCCTCTTAACTCTTAACCACAACTTCATTTTTTGAAGTTTTATCTAGACTGTGATATGATTTTAAAAAATCCAGGGCATAGAGATCTCTCGAAAACCCTCTGACTTTCCTCTTAACTCTTAACCACAACTTCATTTTTTGAAGTTTTATCTAGACTGATATTATTTATAAAAATCCAGGGCATAGAGATCTCTCGAAAACCCTCTGACTTTCCTCTTAACTCTTAACCACAACTTCATTTTTTGAAGTTTTATCTAGACTGATATTATTTATAAAAATCCAGGGCTTAGAGATCTCTCGAAAACCCTCTGACTTTCCTCTTAACTCTTAACCACAACTTCATTTTTTGAAGTTTTATCTAGACTGATATTATTTATAAAAATCCAGGGCATAGAGATCTCTTGAAAACCCTCTGACTTTCCTCTTAACTCCTAACCACAACTTCATTTTTTGAAGTTTTATCTAGACTGATATTATTTATAAAAATCCAGGGCATAGAGATCTCTTGAAAACCCTCTGACTTTCCTCTTAACTCTTAACCACAACTTCATTTTTTGAAGTTTTATCTAGACTGATATTATTTATAAAAATCCAGGGCATAGAGATCTCTTGAAAACCCTCTGACTTTCCTCTTAACTCCTAACCACAACTTCATTTTTTGAAGTTTTATCTAGACTGATATTATTTATAAAAATCCAGGGCATAGAGATCTCTTGAAAACCCTCTGACTTTCCTCTTAACTCTTAACCACAACTTCATTTTTTGAAGTTTTATCTAGACTGATATTATTTATAAAAATCCAGGGCATAGAGATCTCTTGAAAACCCTCTGACTTTCCTCTTAACTCCTAACCACAACTTCATTTTTTGAAGTTTTATCTAGACTGATATTATTTATAAAAATCCAGGGCATAGAGATCTCTTGAAAACCCTCTGACTTTCCTCTTAACTCTTAACCACAACTTCATTTTTTGAAGTTTTATCTAGACTGATATTATTTATAAAAATCCAGGGCATAGAGATCTCTTGAAAACCCTCTGACTTTCCTCTTAACTCTTAACCACAACTTCATTTTTTGAAGTTTTATCTAGACTGATATTATTTATAAAAATCCAGGGCTTAGAGATCTCTCGAAAACCCTCTGACTTTCCTCTTAACTCTTAACCACAACTTCATTTTTGAAGTTTTATCTAGAC